ACTGGCTTTTAAACCCAATTCTAAAAAAGTTTGGATGCTGTAAAATATGTTGAAAAAAAAAAAAAAAACAGATTTAGATGCATTTAAAAACGATTGAAAACAGAGTAAAAAAAAAAACATATCAGGAGTTCAAACTGAAAAATTTAATCGTCTCTTAAATAAAATTGTGCTTAAATTTAATGCCAGCAACATGTTTTCAAAAAAAGTTGGGGTTAAGAAAACAGTGGAAAAGAAACTAGTCTGAGTCCACATCTGAGTCCAGTTAAGTAGTCTGAGGTGGATGAAAAACCTGCGCTGTGGTCAGACGACTCAAGATGCGTCGGTCTTTTTGGAAATCATGGACACGGTGTCCTCTGATCTGAAGAGGAGGGGGACCTTCCAGTTTGTTATCAGTAGAGCCCACTGATAACAAGGCCCTATTAATGCTAAAGAGTCCATGTCTCCTTAAAACTCCAGAAACCTCCAAACTTCCAAAAAGTTTACAGAGTTAAACAGAAAAGAAATGATAAATTTACTGATTTAACTGAATTATTATTGTATTTTAAGTCCTTTGGAATTCAAATTGTTTAAGGTAATTTTATAAAAAAATATATTACTTATGGAGTAATTTATGAATAAAAAAACTGTATATATACATGTAATATTTGACGGTAATTATTGGCCCATTTGAGGGATTTTTTAATTGCAACAGTAACTATTTATTTACTAATGCAAAATTTTTTTAGACCCTGAAGACGTTAACCTGAAAAAATATTTAGTTAAATATTGATGTACAGTTATCAAACTCACAGTAATATCTTTATTCTTCTTCAGTCTTATTATATTGTTAAACAGTATCATATGTGAGTGCATGATTAAGTCACAGATATGACTATTTTAATGACAAGATAAAAATAATGTAAATAGACCTTTAAAGCATTTTTAGTCCACTTTCTAAAGCCCTGTCTTAGTGTTGTTCGACAAATGTACATTTATAAACCCCCTTCATAAACCCTGAGGTCTGCTTATTGGCATTAAAGTGTGTTTTGTTTAAAGTTTAAACTTGACTTACTGAATAAATAAAGGAGATCATGCTTCACAACCAAACGCTCTGAGTGGTTCTCAGTCAAACACTGCCATCTAGAGGCTGCATGCTAAAACACCAACCGGCTCGTCTCTTTTTAATTAAAATGCCATTTTTAGAAATGAAACAGTTTGAACCTATTTTATTAACATCCATGTATGAACAGAAAGTAGTACATTTATTGTCCTTCTGACAGCTCATACACACAAATCCTGGTATCACAAAATATCTCAGTAATGATGTAAACGCACTTACAATAAAGCCAAGGATCTATTTAAGGACTCATTAGGACTGCTAACAGGTTATTCAAAGTACAGGTGGATTCAGCCAGCAATTAAAGCATTTATTGAAGCAAATCAAGGTACTTCCTAAAATGTGAGTGATGTACCTAATTACCTGAATGATGATGTTCACAGTGACCTAAAAAAGCAGGTATGCACATGTTGTGTGTGTCCTTGCAGTCAAAGTATTTTTCTGGTGATGAGGTTTCAACTCTTAGAAATGTTGGACAACAGCTGTACAGACGATCGAACATCTGAACCTGCACGAAAACCAACAAGGACGTTTCATCTTTTACAAAAAAATAAATAAGTTGCATGATTAAAATAACATACAAGTGCAAAGTTCTGCCCTTAAAGCTTGAATACACGTTTCGAAACAGTTTGATATTGACCAATCTCAAAGGGATTCACTGCTACAGTACTTTGTGATGCGCCGCAGTAACAAGATTAAAGTTTAAAAAAATGATGCCCGGTGAGAGGAAACATGCGTGACAATGATGAGTTCAGTGGATGATGATGATGTTGGCATGACCGTATCTCCACAATCAAAAACGTTCATGTGGCAAAAATCACAGTCAAAAATAAAGCGTTCGTCAGGGCGAGGGCAGGTTGTATGCACAGTGTTGACGCTGTCATACTTGACGCAGGCTGCCTGAGTTCCAGCCTTCAGCTCCTCGCTGCGAGCCTCCCTCCTTCCTGATCTGTACTACGCTGTTGTGTCCTCTCAGTGGAGGAGGAAAAGGTGAATTTACCATCAAAACAACAGAACCAAGATACACAGGAAGATGTCTCTAACCTCTAATTTTCTGTATATGATCTACAGACAGTCAAAGAGCCGTCAAGTGGATTTTCGCGGGTATGTTTGGTCCAGTTCCTATTTGTAAAGGTGACTAACGTGTTTCTCACTTCACACTTGTCTCTGCTATAAAAAGATTTATGCTTCCTCTTCAGACCTGTAATCATCTTGGATTTATAAACAAGTTCCCTTTTCAGTCAAAGAATCAAATTTTTATACAAAGTCACTTCTTCCTGCAGGAGATTTGGCCCTTCAGCACCGTGGACAGCTCCATTATGATTCCAAACTACCTCCAATTTCCGCTCTGAATATTCTTACATTCGCTTCAGACACCTGCGCAAAACAAACCCTCACTGTGCTGTCAGAGTGGCACTCACATCTGTCTTTAAAGCATCAAGATGACACCGCTTACAGATCAACAATCCTCTGACTCAACAATGAACAAAAGTCTCAGCTGGTAAGGTTTAGTTTCTTTGACTAGGTATTTGGAGAAAATCAACAAAAGCATGTACCAAACACAACAGGACTCCTTTCTCCTCATGGTCATCAAACTAGTCTGAAATTCAGCCCCGAGAGACACGGGTACTAAAGCGAGCCTTCCCTGACATGCACGTTTTCTTCCCTCCAAAGCAAAGTGAGCGAGCCGAGTCCCACGGAGCCAGTGAGTGGAGTACGGTATTTTCTTTGGAACAAACAGCTCTGCAGCACATCAGCTAATAGAGCCCTGCTCCCAGAGGGAAGCTCGATATAGGACACTTTTCCTCTTCCTCCACTTGAGCTATTAATACACCCAAACAAAAGAAAAGAGGCTTAATGAGGCAGCAGCGGGGAACTCATGCGAAACTCAGTTAGACGAGAGCTTTGTAGTGTTTAGCTCCAAGGATTCCAGCTTTTCATACGGCCGATGGATCCTTCTTTGCTAGTTTTATTGTGGTTGAAGCTGCGGGTAAAAAGCACAGTATATGTACATCCTTACCCTTGGACCCATTTAGCCAGGCCTTTGTGAAAGAGCAGAAGCAACACAGTGGTGGAAAGAGATGCATAGTTTTGAGCGTGATAATATGCGGGGTATATGGATGTTACAGGTCGTCTATAGAAATTACCGGAGACATGAAACATAATTCACCAGTCGGGGGGGAAAAACTAAGAGAGACTGTGACATGTGAAGCATTTCTTTGCATATTTGCATGAAAGAAAAAATCTCATGCAGCTTTAGAGCAGCTACCTTGAAGTTAATGCTTTGGTTCAGATCAGAAGTGCATTCAAATGGAAGAAGATGAGGGAGTGTATTAAAACTCACACAGTTAAGTCCAACTAAGATTTGTTGTATATCCTGGTGGAGCAGGAGGAACTGTTTCTAGTCACATATTGAACACAAATACCCCTGTACAGATCAAAAGAATACAGTAATTCAGCGAAACAGACGAACACAGACTCGCAAAAACAAATCACAGAGCATTGCATTTACTTCGCCTAGATAACCCTGTTAACACCAGGGCTGTAGCATTTGAACATTACAATATCTAAGCTATTGTAAAAAGGGGGTTTTGGCGTTAAGATAATTTACACCTTCATGAGTAAAACTTCTCTAATCGGAGCGGGTATTTTCAAAAATGTGCAAGTTTAAAAAATCCGATAAAAAAACCAAGAAAGAGGAAATTGGCGTTAAGTTTGTTTCATGCACTGGGGGCGTAATTCTGAGCAGATATCTGCCTCTAAGTGAAAGTGTGCAAAGATCACTGTTTCAGTCATGCAATACAACATGTTGAGCAGAATAAGGGGCCGTGTCTAAAGTAAAGGAGTATCACTTTAAGCTCCTTAGGAACTGATAAAGAAGAGGAGGTGATCTGCTGCAGGTTTATGACACAAGAGGCGAGTTTGAAAGCTTTTTCGGCTTTAAATATCACCACCTTGAATTCATGGCATTTCTGTTTCATTATTTTGTTGCATTTTTTGGCACTTAAACCTCCTTTTTTTAATTGTATAAAGAAGCCACTTAAAAGCTACCCTTTTGGCATCTCATAAAACTCAACCTCCGACCTCTCCTCTCCACTAAGCCGACTTGAATTTTCCAAACGGGAACTTTCTGCTCAATCCAATTGGCTGCGGCGATATAAAGAGACAATTAAGTCCTGCTCCAAACAAGGCAAATCCACTGCCGGGCTAAATACTGACTGGAGGATCAGACCATGAGGAGGAGCAGCAAAAGCTGAGACTTCAAAGTTAGTCGTCCTCCCACATCAGAGGCAAAAATGAATCCAAATATAGCTCTTCTTGTAGGGTCAGGTCCCACCAGGCAGCAGTGCTCCCCGTACAACAATAAAAGCCGAACATCCGGCATCCGCGTTTGCTTACTCCTATAAAAAGGTTTCGCTTCTTTAATCCCTATGAACAAGGACATTTACTTTTCAACTACTGGACAAAGCTGCAGTTAAATCCCCAAATTCAGCCGCCCACATAAACAAAGTCCAAAGGATTCTGGTTACATAAATGCGACAAACTGATTCACGACCATTAACAAGCGGCTAATGGCGTTCAGCTCTTTTTGCCTACGAGAATCTTAAAAGGTCTCTACTTAAAGCGTCGATGATCTATGATAACTACAAAGATGACTGTTAGACTACATGGAAACAGTCTTTCGGCTGATCGGGTAAAACACGCACAAACACAAATATCTGTTTGTTTTTTTTTTAAAGATAAAGACTCGCTATCAGTTATTTCTTTTCAGATCAGTCCGAGCCATAAATAAGTTAACAATATAGCTTATCATAAATAGATTTCAGTCTGTCAAATTCACATATAAATATCTCGCTCCATCTTGCAGAGACTTCCCAGAAAGAGGAAGTGGACCCACGTGACGTTACGCCGCGTTTCCTCTCTCATTTTTGACAGAAAAATAGAAAGCGTCCATGGTGTAAACACTACGACTTTCCCTTTTTTTTAAAACCTCTGGAGGCGTGGACAGAGACAGGTAAACAGAGTGGACAGAGATCAAGCCGATGATGAGACTCAGTGTCTCTCCATGGACTGTCTGGACCGGGGGGGCGGTAGGACAGCCCTTTTTCATGTTGGACACCGGTGACGACTCCTTCCTGGTCCAGTCCCTGATTGATTCAGTCTGTGTGTGAAGCTGAGAGAGAAAGAAAAGAGAGAGGCTATTGCTAGTAATGACTGATTGATTGATATTGAGGTGACGGTTGCTGCTCCTGCTGCATGCTTGGTTTTTGGAGACGTGCGGACGTCCATGCAAGTGAGCCAGAGGCAGAGAGAGCCGCCGGGGACAGAGAGGAAGAGAAGATCACCGTCTCTACGCCGGTCCGAGCCGTCCTGTGGGTCATGAAACTGTCTGAATCTGTCTGCTCCTGTTTGCTACCTCACTGTCCTTCCGAGAAGTCGAAGGCTGGATGCGCTGGTTGGTGCTCAGAGTCTGTTTCCAGGGTGATTGGTGTGTTGACAGGCGTGCTGCCGGAGGGCTGGGGGTTGGTGTCACCCTCTGGGGAAGTCTTCCCCTGAGACTGAGAGGAGGAGGACGAGGAATGGGTGCTCTCACTGGAGCTGCTGCGGGTGTCTGTGCTGGTACTCGTCTTCTTCATCTTCCTCCTCTTGGCTAGTGGCGCCTTGTCGACCGTCTGCAGGCGGAAACCTTCCCGCTTACACTTGTTAAACGCCTGGCGTAGAAAAAAAAAAAAGGAATAAGTGAACCATTAATGATGAATTCTGTGGATAATTCACAAAAATAAAAACTCTCTTTCTTCTGATACTGACTCAAATCCCTGAGCTGGGTATGTTTGATTTGGGCTTTGGATCACTGTCTGAAATGAGACTCACTAAAAAAGCTGCAGGTACAGAAATAAACTTGCTTTCAGCTGAACTTGGAGCTGCCTCCTCGCTGGGTGAAGTCACTCTGAGAACAGCACCCTCTGGTGACGGGCTGCAGTATAGGTCATAAATCCCGCCTCCGCCAGCAAAGCTTATGAGGCTGTGGACAAACTTTAGATTTTTTTTACAGCATATTGCAAACACTTTTGATTAAAAACTACACTTCAGAATTACCTAGTCTTGGTGCTGATGGTCGTGCTTGCTCATATAAGATCATATACAGCAGGGATTGACACTAACTTTTTTCACAAGGAGCACACAAAGAACTTTAGAGGCACAATAAAAATTGATCAAATAATATTTGCCTTATTGGTCGACATAAGTACGATTATTTGAAATCAATTTTAGGTCTCTTGGTCACATGGCATGGAGGCTATTGAAGAAAATGTTCAAAATTTGCCTTTAAATTTAACACAAAATTTTTTAGAGGACAAATTAGGGAAATAAAGAGGAGTGTCTTATTGTTCAACGTAAGTATTATTATTTGAAATCAATTTTAAGTCAATTGGTCACATGGCATGGAAGTTATTAAGGAAAACAGCCTTTTTTGAGAACATCAACTGGTAGTTTATTGACGGTCCCTTATTCAACACTGACGTTGACAGTGAGGATGCCAAGTAGATTTAACTGCGCTGCTGTTGCTATTCCCAGTTATGGAGAGTGAGCAGACACCGGTAGATCCGCAGTGAATGTCCGTTGAATATTCAACCTAAAACTAACTTCACCGCTGTATTTACATGAAAACACATTTGTAGCCTTGGCTGATTTTTTAAAAATTCGCACACAACTATTCTTAGTCACGAATGCGAGAAAAATGGTCGCACTGCCCTGTACAGGTAACACCATAAATTTTACCCTGTCTCATATGCAGTTAAAACTCCTCCCAGGAGCTTTAATCTTCTGAGTGACTGGTTGACTGATCATTCCAGCCGCACTTTGAAGAACTAAGCTCATAATATGCTGTAAATAATGTTAATCTTTATATAACCGCTTTGGTTTGGGTTAAAGAGCGGCTGCTGTCAGGTCGATTAACAGCAGCAGTTAGTCCTCACCTACTCAGATCTTACCACAGTCCAGCATCCAAAACAAACATGCACTCCAGGTCATGTCTTACATTAAAGGTGGCTTTGACATAAGTGTGGACGGAGACAGTGGAGGAGCCCAGGATGTCCGGGGTCATGAGTGGGTTGGAGGACAGTTGGCTGTCGTCCTGCAGCCAGGCGTTGTAACGTAGGCCGCACATTTTAATCCTCTTGTTTGGGTCCACCGTCAGCAGCTCTGCAGGAGGAAGGTAAGGGATAATTACCTGGAGGGCTGAAAATACTCAGAGAGGAGCTGAGCTGTGAAGAGGAAGTGATTTACTCCTCAGGTAACTCAGTCACCCTGAGCTGCTTTGTGGATTAAAGGTTCAGTCTGTGATCCGAAGGTGAACAAAGGGTAGACGAAATTCATGAGGCAAAAACAGCCGCTCTACGACAGCTCTTTGAATATGAACTATATATAACTGTGAATATTTCCAACGCTATATAGAGTCGGTTAATCTACCGTCTCATTATTTTACCAACTTTAAATTCTGATGCTGAAATATCTTCTCTTCAAAAATCTCAAAATCTTATCTTTGCAACCAAATATTCAAAGCCCCAGTCTTGTGGAACTGCAGGTAAATGATTCACTCCTGCCTACCGTCCTCCATCCTCACCTTGTATAAGGTCCTTGGCCTGCTGGGAAACATTTCTCCAGGCCTCGCCTTCAAAAGAAAAGTCCCCGTGTTTGATTTTCTTCATGATTTCTTCAGCGCTGGTGTGAGTCAGGCTCTTCTCTTGGCACTGAAAAGGCACCTGGCCGGACAGCATGGTGTACTGCAAAGAGAGGAGAACACAGAGGACACTGTCATATATCACCTAGACTGATGTTTCCACGCCTGAACATCTACTCTGCTTTAGATCATCACACTACCTGTCCTAAAGTGATTCTGGACAACAAGCAGGCATCAGTTAGACAGTGAAAATACAATCATGCTTCAAACGGGCTCTTGACTGATCACGACTTTGCTGCGTGTTGTTGACCATGGTTGAACCAGCACTAAACAGGAGAGCGTTCTGTGCTCAGCTGACTGAACAGGATACTCTCACCTTGGCCCGCTCACTAGGACAACAACGTTTGTGAACAGAGCTTTTGGCAGCGGAGGATCTGATCTCTCTCTCTCTCTCTCTCTCTTGTGTTGGCTCACTTTGCTTCCAGGGCATTGTGCACACAGCTTGTCAGTAGCCATCTCATCAAAGCTTCATGAGGCACACTACTCCCATACCCCCCCAGGGGGCGACGCTACGAAACAGCACTCGAACAGAGAGTCCAGAATCTGCACGGATGACTGGCCGAGGAATACAGAAATCTCTCTCTCTCTCTCTCTTTTTCACCCCCTGTGTGTCCTGCCCTCCTCTTTTTATTTCCCCCTCTACACAGAAAAAGGTTAAATTAAGATGACATTTCCGCTACCAGGAAAACAACGTCTCACATGAGCACAGGCTTAACCCGCTCTGAGAGGGGGGCTGGTTGCTCTTCACTCGGCGGTGAGCGTTAAACTGTGTCAGCTCACCACAGGATGCTGAGGGTTGTAGAGGAGAAGATGACTATCATGCAGAACAGATTACACTGAACATGCACACACATGCATACATACATGAGAGAATCTACACACGAGGAAAAACTACATTTTTACACAAGCACATGTGGCAAAAAGCAACTTCAACAAAAATCTCTTCAGTCAAAGTTCAACAACTAAAGTCAACAAATTCACTTTCAAGTGAACGAAAATTTGGTTCTCTAAATTTTTGGATTTAACATTATGTTAAAAAAATGTCCTAAAAGTGGATTTTTGTGTTACATTGACTTTTTAAAATTATGAAATTATTCTATCAGGTCATTTTGCTAAACCACAGTGTGAAAAAAGCCTGGACTTGTTTAGACTGTGCATCTCTATAGAGAGCTGATCAGAGATGTGTTGGTTCGATTTTTCCCTGACACAGCAGCAGTTTCAGCTGTTGACTCAGAGTATAAAGACGTCAAATGTCCATATATCAAAGACAATTGGCTCTATTGTGACGCTTTTACTAAATAACTTCATGGAGTTTTAAACAAAGCTGAAAAAAAACTTCAGTGTTCAGCAAAAGCTGCTACAAAAAACATGAAATCCTAAAATCCCATAACACCTGATATAACATCATTAAAAAATGAAATGTGCTTTTATTTATTTATTTTTTTCTGTTTTGTGTTAAGGTTGCTTTCTTCTATTTTGAAGTATCCTCAAATTCAAATTAAACTATATTTTTATGGGACTTTTTTAGAAAAAATATGTAGTTCAAAGTGCCTCACAGAGGCTGAAAAACAACAATTTATAACAATAAAACCCGAACCTCCCACCCACACACCCACCCATGGACCCACACACACACAAAGACACACACCCACCCTCACTCACCCACACATACACGAGCGCACACAGTGTGAGAATTTAAGTTATATCGTTAGAGAGACATAGCCTGACATCGAGACATTACATGAGGAAAGAGCTACCTTTGGGAAACACTGGAGAAAAAAAAAAAAAATTAAAGATAAAAAAAATAAAAAGGTATAAGGCTGCACGATATTGGAAAAAAATAATATTGCGATTTTTTCAACCCTGCGATATATATTGCGATATTAAAAATACAGTATTTTCACCAGATGACCTGAATAGCACTTAATGTTATGCTGCACTGCTGAAATCTTGACGACAGTTAATCTGCTCTGATCTTACCTCTTTTTGTGAATGTTAGTAGAACGGCTTCTGTCTGTCTCAGAGATATTTTTAGCTTTTATTGTGCTGGGACGTTATTGTGGCAACAGATGAACACAGAAGACGTGTTTTGGTCGACATCATCCTTCTTTTAACCGAAATAATTCCAGATAACTGACTTTCCTTTTCTTTTTGGCAACAAATCTTCATTTTCGGTGGTTTTCGCTTGTTCGTTGTTCATTTTGCGATCGTTGTTGTTGTTGTTAGCGGTGTTGTGCAGAGAAACGCATGTCCTCCGAGAATTGCATGCACCTCGCAAAACGCGCACTGCTTATAGTAGAGTGGTCCACGGAAATGTACAATTTAAAACCCATACAGTTCTTATTTGTTGGGCTTAATAGTCATGAGTAAAGTTCCGAAAGTAATTCTCAGCGGACACACGTCTCCCTCCATGTGCAGAACATGTGCAGGGGTGGGTTTTCTCCTCCCTGATTTTGATTGACAGCTGGCAGGGTAGTCTGATTGGCAACTGAGAAGTGAGTCTGATTGGCAACTGAGTTAAGGACGAAGGCGATTGGTGGATCGCTGCACAGCACATGCAGAGTCACATGGAGTGTATCTCAGTCGGTTACCCTTGAAATTAAATGAGTTCATTCACCTCCAATATCGCAGGCTCTGCGATGTGACTATCGCACACTCGTACATCGCGATGACGATAGTCAAACGATATATCGTTCAGGCCTAAAAAGGTAAAAAGAAAGACTAAAACCTGATGGACTAAAACAAGAAAATAATATTAAATGAACAAATAAGTAAGAGCTCTTTATCATGTAAAAGGGGTAAAAGAAGTAAAAACCTCTAAGACGATAATTAAGAAAAGGACTAAAAAGTAGGTCATAAGTTACAGAACTGAAATGAAACTAAATGAAAACTGTTTTGGGTTCATGAGAAATCTTGAAATGTCAGATTGATCATCTTTCAGAGAACTGCTAAAGCTAGTCTGCTAGCAGCTGCTTCTTCTTCTTTGTCTCTTCTTTGTTTTATGACCAGAATAAAGGACCTCTACTTTGAACTCATGGTATCACCTCAAAAAATATTGAATTTCTTACGACTAAAATGCTCAGTATGCAGGCCTCTGAACCTTACATGTTTGATTGATGAGTTTATTAAAAAGTGTCCCCAGAGTTGGTGTATACACTAAGCTTATTATGCTTATTAACTTTTTGTTATGTGTAAGAAAAGGCTGTCTTTATTTGGTTATGTATGGACGCTGATCTGATAAATACAGAAAGTAGAAAAACAAAAAGACATGAAAGAACGCTGCGATAAAATCTACAGGCCTGCTGTTTTATCACGCTGACTTTTCTCGAGACAAAAAAGCTGCGAGCAAGAAGAAGGCTTCTTCTCCGCTCGAGTAGAAAATGTGTAATGTCTGGCATTTGTGCTGGAGTGGCAGTAAAATAAAGCAGAAGTGCAGAGGCAGAAAGCTGACTCTATATTTCTCTCTCCTTATGATAATGCGGAGTTGAATAATGATTGATTCTCCATCAGCCCAGCTCACCACCTGTATTTTGTTTTAACCTCTGCATGTTTCTGTCCTCCCCACCCCCACTCACCAGAATGACCCCCAGGCTCCACAGGTCGCAGGACTCATCATAGCCGTCATATTTGAGAATCTCAGGCGCCGCGTACTGCAGTGTGAAGCAGGGAGTCTTCAGGAGCTGATTGTCCGGCGGTTTGAGGCGAGCAAAGCCAAAGTCTATGATTTTTATCTCGGAGTTCTCACTCTCGTCTGTGAAGAGCAGGTTCTACAAAGCAATTCAAGACACGGACAGCAATCATTTCTTTCTGCTGCGCAAAACCGGCCCACTCCAGAGCTCACTAAATTGGACATCAAGACTTGTCTGACCAGGTACTTTTGACCCACGTTAGGGTCAAAACAATTTTACTCTTGTTTTGTAGAAGATTGCACAGTCAGAATGACAACAGCCCAGATCATACAAAGTTCAGAAAAACACAGTAATTCTGTTTTTAAAGCTCATGAGCCTGAGTGACTGTGTTTCTCTCAGAGACACAAACTGTGCTCAGAGGAACAACAGTTTCAAGCAGGAGCCCTGCTGAATAAATGTTGGTCCAATACCTCCGGTTTCAGGTCCCTGTGCACCACTCCCACGTCATGCATGTGACTGACGGCTGAGACCAGTTTTCTCATGATGCGGCTGGCCTCCGTTTCGCTGAAATGTTGCTTCCTGCGGATCCTCTCCAGCAGCTCCCCTCCACCGAGCAGCTCCAGGACCAGGTAGGTGTGGAGCTACGGCAAAGACACACACACACACACACACACACACACACACACACACACACACACACTGTGCTTTAATTTCTGTGTGGTCGTTTACAGGGGTTTTAAGCTGTGTTGATTTTGTTGACGATGGTTATGACGAACTTTTCACGATAAAGAGATGTTGAGCTCAGAAAACGGCACTGATAATAAAAACTCTGACAAACGTTTGTTGTCTTTAACAGAGATGTTAGCGATGGACTATCCAACATTATTTTCCTCCACTGTGCATCAGATCTGTCCAGCAATAAGGTCATGAGTTAAACAAGGAAAAACATTTCGACTTAAAGCTCCTGTGAGTAACTTTCTGTTTGAGTCAATTTTGGCGCCCCCTTGTGGACAAAACAATCTTAGTTTATCTGGTCCTTTGCACACATTAAGATAGACTTACGACAAGATCATCTCACCCTGCTGACTTTCGGTGTCATGTATTATTTGATGTGATTATTTTCTGTGGAAACTGAATCAGTCATTAAAATTTACGATGTAAAAATCATCTGTCTTGTCGCTGATGGTCTTGTTTACTGTTAAATAACATGAAAATGAAGTCTAGTCTACTCCGTGGGAGCTTTAAATGATGATTTTTTTTCATTAACAAAAACTAGACAAGAATGTTTCGAGTTGTTGTCGACTAAAACATAACTTGGTAACACTTTACTTGTTTTATGTTTATTGTTATACAGCCTTATGATTATTAACAAGTGTTTATAATGATAGTTATTCAAGTTTATAAGCAAATTATAAAACATCATAAACATATATATTTATTTACATAAATATATTTATAATGGGTTAAAGATATGGGCGTCAAGTAAAGTGTTACTAATAACTTCAACTAATAAATGTAAAAAAACAAAACAACTTTAATATGACAAACTTGTAGGTGTTTTTCATCTATAGACTTTGACGAAATCTGAATAATCTGCCAAAATGAACCCTGGTTCTTAAGAGGGTTTTTAGTCTTTATCTTAACGGTCATTATCAAACTGGTTTGACTTGGACACATATTGTGATTGTGTCTTTTTGTCCGTTTTAAAGCTGCTTCTCCTCATATGCGTGTAATAGACTTTGTAATTGGCTTTATTTGTTGCATGACACACGCAACACAAATAACGTTATCACTGATGTTACTGTATCTACACGTCTCATCTTACTGCGCCCATTTCAGACCTCTCTTCTTTAACATGCTCTTGAATAATACAAGTGCAAACACTCATAGTAGTTTTGCAACTAAACAAATATGACAATTAAATGATTCAATAATTCATTAAACAAAATAAGAGCGATTTTAAAAGGTGTGTCAGGTACTTCATAGTTAGGACAGGGTCAGAAAATGAAACGTTTTAAGTTTTATTTTTCATATTATTTCCTTTCGTGGTTTCACAACTTAAACCGCCAGTTCCAAACAGGTCAGAGTTTAAGTGCAGAGAAGTTGACTGAAGGTTTTTTTTTTGTTCATGTTAAATTTAGCTTAAAAACAGCCCCTTCCTCGATCCCATGAAGGGAACATCAAACCATACAGGCGACGAGTAAAAGTAAAAAGGGGCTGAACAAAGTGGGAAGGGAGTAATGTGTCTGGGCAGTGGGGTAGAGTTTCTCATTAGCACTTGCTCTGTTGAACAAAGGCGGGACCAGGCTGAGGCGAGGCGAGGCAGCGCAGCTTTGATCTGGGTCACAGGCCTCTGAGGTACACTAATAAGCCCACTGAGCTCATCAGGACTAAAGTGGTGCTCCTGGGCTTGAAGGAGCGCGGCTAATGAACCTGTACACAGCCAGCCACACGGACACACCTTCAGAATAATCGAGGTAAGCTTCAGTTGGAAGGCGTGCACTCTTAGTTTGGCTTGAGTGTGCGTCTCGATTAGCAGCACAAGTAAATCTGGGGCTGTTACTATTCAGCGGTGCAAAATGGGTGTTTGTACAGCTGCGGTTTAAAAATACGCTTGGTGTGAAACATGTCGAGGACAGAGAGAGATGTTTATGGGACAATACAAGAAGAGATAGAGAGAGACCTCGAGGGCTTATAGCATCCCCATTAATCTGCCTTGTTCCAGTTCCAAGACTTAATAAGGCTGCTGTCCTCGCAGGCTCCATTCAGAGCCGCGCAGAACACAATTTATGTTGGCAAATGTAAGCGCAGCAGTCCGCCTCACCTGGTCGTGATAAATTTCATGGAGCTTGACAATGTTAGGGTGGCCGTCGCAGAGCTTTAGAGCCGCTATTTCCCTCTGAGTCTGAGCCTCCATTCTGCAGAAAAACACAAGCAGGAAGTCAAAAAACAGTTAAGAAAGAAAACATAAACACACTAACAGAGACACCTGCAGATTTTTGTTTTACATTCGTCTGAAAACATTTCTGGGGTTTCTTCTGTTTCCCACAAACCACTTCTTCACCTTGGGAATGACACGAGACTCAGCTTGAGTTTGAGTTTTATGTCGACGCCAGATACATCCATTTTCTAAATGCAGTTCTGCTCAACAACTGGGTTCATTTTTCACCCTGGTATGGACGAATTCCAGCAAATCCCAGAGAGAAAAATGTAAGCTGTTAGCAAAGTGTGATTTAACCTTCAAACTTGCCTCTCCAGGGACCGGACTAATGTATCTGTGTCAGGAGAACTGGCCCAGAAAGGCTTACTTTTAACAGAGCTTTAACATAGGTAAATGTCAGAGTGCACTTTTAGGGAAGCAGTAAACACAGACAGTCATTGATTATTTGTGGCAGTTGCCAGTGAAAACATCTGGGGTTATAATCAGAGCTCCATTCACATGTTGTTGGTTGTATTTTCAACCAACAGCCCGCTACATTAGACTGAGTAGCAGGAGGAATCATGTAATCAAGTAAAATTATGCCCTCGGATTTTTAACGTGCATTTTTACGCCCATATTTCGAGTCAAACTGGCCCAGTTTCAGTCAGGGAGGGGGAGGGAGGACGACTGATTCATCCAGTCACACTGTAAACATCGCACAGAGGTTGACAAACACATCTGGGCGGGCGTGCTGCGAGGAGTCGTACCTCTTGCTGACTATCTTGACAGCGTATTTCTGTCCGCTCTTCTTGTGTGTGCAGCGTCTGCAGATGGAGAAGCTCCCCTCGCCCAGAACGCTGTCCCTCAGGTCCATCTCATAGTTCATGTAGAAGGGGGAGTCCTGCGGGGGAGGGAGCAGAGCACAAAAACAAGGTTTCACTCAGGGTTTTAAGTCAAAGTGAGCTTAATTCGATACGGTTCTGATGTTTTTGGGTCTCCAGTAGGACTCTGAGTGCATGGGCGGAGTTTAATAACTTTAAAATGTTATTATAAAGTTACTGTAACCTGATTTTAATCATAAAAGCTACACTGAGTATTTATATTGGAACTCTGCACCAATTTAATCTTGTTTTTTTATTTATTTTTCCAGTGACAGTTCCCTGGTATCAACTGAATTCATCACGCCCATACACCTCTAAATGGAGTCTCTTTAACGGCGCTATGACTCACAGCTACTCGATGTACACAGTCAGTGTCATTACAGTGGTTTATTTTACCAGAACAGAGTGGCGCTGCCCTCGGAGAGACAGTACGAACAAAAGAAGACCGCGACTGTTCGACTCGCTCATTGTGTTTACCAAGGCGTCCTATTATCAGACTCCTCCAATCAAAACCAGAGCTCTGAATCAAAAACCTTGAACCTCTAAACTAGTCAAGAACAAGATGGGTAAAAAGCAGCAGTGATCTACACAACAAATAATACCTGGAGTAGCTGAAACACAATATTTCATCTCTTTAAAGACCCACTCTGATGAAAATCATGTTTTTTATATCTTCATATGGTATTTTTCTGATACTAGAGGACATATGATGGGAAAACTAAATGCCAAATTGCTTTTCTGAGTATTTCTTCATTCAAATCGATGTGAATCTCTAGCAGACCCAGGTTCAGATGCAGTGAGATTTCATACGTAATCACTTCAGGCTCCGCCCCCAGAGCCACGCTATGCAGGCCACACTCTGCATATAGAAAGGAAGCAGAAAGGATGATCGCGAAACAAGCGTGTGCGGTAGCTGATTGCAATGCGCGTAAGAAAGCTAATTATGATATTAACTTGGAACAACCAAATAGCTCCTATGTTACCTGCTACTTCTACTACATCGGCAATGTTAGGCTGCAAGCTAGCGTGAAGAGACGTGTGCAGAGCAGCGCTGTCTCCGCCCACGACTCAGAGACAAATTACTAATGATCTACTGGAGCTCTGCAGAAGAAAATACCTTGAAAATGACACAGGTAATGCAATATTTGGTAAAAACTTCATAATCACAATATAAAGACCACTGAGGACACTTTAAGTAGATAAAAAAAATACGATCGGAGTGGGGCTTTAAATTTAAATTAAATCCCTTCGGTAACATCCGTAACTTGGACACATTTCTGAGAGGTATTCTCATTTTCTTTCTCTCATTTTCACCAACCTTAAACATCAGCAGACAGCACTTTCTTATTGATTTTATACATTATTAATGTAGTGAATTAATGAAGGCAGACTACAATCAAACTGTCAATATCTCTGACATAACCACCCCTGTGTTCCCCTCTCTATAATTTAGTCGCCTCTCATTTAATGATGGTTTCTGCTCTCTGCCCGTCCTCGTCTCTTCTATACTCGATACTCCGGGATCAGGCCTGCACTTCCATACCGTGGTCATTCTCCAGACAAAGACACCATTAATGATGGAGAGGAATAAAGCAGTCTTTTATTCCCTCTCAAATATAGGTCTGATATAGAGGTCAATGATGCAGTATTTCTATATACACAGTATAATTCACTGTGAATCACACCACTCCTTCCTTATTAACCATTAACAAGAGCCTGAACCCCGCAGCCCACCTCATCCTTGTTCTACTTACAGCCTCTTTTCACCAACACTTGATTTTTTTTTTTATAAATTAGACACACTTGCTAAAACTCAGGTTACAAGTTGGGCAAAAATTGAGTCTTTTATTTGTTTTCATGGACTGACACACACGCCTAAATCACTGCTCTCTATCTCTCAACAAAAGCGAAAAATAAAAACGCTTCTGAGCATTTTCAGCTCAGCTCTTTTGCTTTTATTCGCTTGATTTTCGTTTTTTTTCAGTGTTCACATTTTGACTTTTATCTCAATTGCTTTTAAATCCTCTTACATTGGTGTGTTTTGATGCACCCATTCCTCTGGCGTTGTATTACATTTCCATGAAGCACTTTGATCAATGCCTGTTGTTTAAAGAGCTCTATAAATACAACAACTTGACATTCAAATAAAGCCCACTCTGCGTGATTATCAAACTCTTAACCGTCATGAAAATGCTTTTGTTTCATAGAATGTGTCCCCATCTTCTGCGGTACATTAAAAAAAACAACCCAGGAAACGTCTCTTGTTGTGCAATTTTGTCGAACTCATTTGCATTGAAGAAGCGAAACATGGAAGTGATAAGTAAACAAGGCGGCCGAGCTTGAAAATGTAAATATGCAGAATCTGAATGAAGATACTGGAGATGACGACAAGCCAAAGCAGACTGTTAACAAGCTTCCTGTTTGTTTGAGCTGAGGCTTCATTGGAATTCTGACACTTTGAGTTCATTGTTGCCTCACCGCCTGACTGAAACTTCCTCTTTATAAAGTGTGCAATAACTCAGGGATGCAAAAAGCAGCTCTGACCGTGTTGTTACTAGAGCTGAATGATCATTTTGGGTGTTTCCTGGATTTGAACCACGAGTGTTATTCCTTTAAAATCACCAATACAGTTAGAAAAATATCTGAACACAATTTTTTTCCACCTGCAGGTCTCCAGGATGTTTGTGATGAAGCTCAAATCTCTCACACATATACTGAGTCAATGCAGGCTGCTCTAAAAGCTTCATACTGCACAAATACAAAAGTGCATCCCTGAGCGAAAAAAAGGTAAATAAATAGGCTCTTTGCCTGTGGAGGAAATGTGAGTGGAGTAAAACAAGTGCAGCAGGGGAAAAAAAAAAAGTTTTAGTGGATTAGAGGGGAGGGAAAAAGTCTCATCTGTGTTTGACAGCAGCCATTAGCTTAAGTGTGTTTGTGCAGGGGTATCTGAGCCCATTCGTCTTACCTTCATCATGGCGCTGCGGGCCACCGCCGCAGAGCCCGGCCTCTCCGAGCCCCCACACAGCTGGACAGGATCGTCCATCACCACATTCCTCTTGAACAGGATGGAGGGGGCCATGAAAGAGTATCCCTGCACACAGAAATACATGAACCCTCTTAGGTGTTTACATTGGACTCAGACAGGATGAGGCTTGAACTGTATGGACCGAGGACACTGAAGAAGACTGCAGCGATAAAAACTCTGATGATGTTTGAATTATGGTCAAATCTCGAAACTTTAAACTCTTTATTTTTTTCCTCTCTTGTCAAAGCAGCCTGTCACCTCAACAATGAGCTCATTCTGCGCCTCTGTGAGTGACAGCGGCTGTCCAGCTGTTGCCATTGTTCGACCTGTCATTGTGGAGCGCTAAATTCCAGCTGTGGGGAGCCCACAGCTTTGAACTGGCATTAATTCTTCTTTTCCTTTTTCACAGACACACACACAGCTGTGTGGTATGTGGTGACAGCCATGGATGGACGGAAGGATGGATGTTGAATGAATGAGATGCCCCAAATTGCCGGGCTTGAATATTTGATTGCTCTGCTGTGAAATTACATCTTGGCGCTCTTAATGCAATTTTAATTTTGTTTTGTGAGCCACCGTGGGGGAGCAAGTGCGCGGTTTAAAATTGGGATTGCTGTCGTTATCTCAGAGATTGCTAGGCTTGCAAATTATAAAGACTACAAAATTTCAGACTGTGTGAATGGCAGCTGAGAGCGAAAAAAGCCAAGATGAAGTTGGCAATCAAAGACTGAAGGCGTAACCGAGACAGACGTGGTGATGCTCTCAAAGTGTAACCTTTTATTCCATGAGAGAAGCCCGTTAATGGATCTATTGATCTGCCGCGCTCAAGGATCCAGAAGGCAATCAGAGTTGAAATTTCATGCAATACATCAGACAGCCATCAGCTGGCACGGAGCTGTGGGCCATATTACGGTTCAAAGCTACATCAAAAATAGTCATTCACATCTGTTACTTCAATGAGAGCTGCATATGGCAGCAATTACTTCAATAAAAGAGCCTTTAGTCAATGTGAATACCAGTGCACACAGACAGACTCATGTTGACTTACAGCAACCTTTTGAGGACATTCACAACTTCACTTGATTACTTCAATTGCCGTGGAGTATGTCAAATATAGTCGCAGACAAAAAGTGGGTGATGTATAATGCGATTTTTCATGCGTGTCAACATTTCACACTGCCTGAAAACCAAAGACAGGACAAACATCCGATCAAAGCACATGCAGATATAAAACGCTGTCCTGTGCAGTGACCCACGAGGGATGGTTGCCCTCTGAAAGTCCAGTTCTCATCCTCTCAGTCACATGTCTTTCCTTTAAGCTCCATTATTGTACACAAAACAATGCAAGAATAACAGCACAGCAGGCTGAGAGCTTTTTAAAATGACAGACTTTCTCAATAAAACAAGTAAAAGCAACAAATCAAGCAGGTTAAAATTCAAGATCAGCATTTCTGCTACTCTTAAAATACTCTGAGCTGAGTTGCCTTAAAAGATGCCTAAAAAAAAAAAAACACTAAGTAGTTGATTTTATAGTTAAAATTGGAGGCGAAGATCTCGACAGTAATGCTATAATGTCAAAAATAAAGTATGATCATTAGGGTTTCTACACAGTTGGAATTTCCACACTTTTCAATACCCTATTTTTTGGAATTATTTTTGGAAATACCTACTTTTCTATTTTAGTATTTTAGAACTGTGGTAATAGTCTGGAAACACTAACACTTATCCATACTTTATTTTTCATTTTCCATATTTTTTAAGACCTGGAAATTGATCAAATTTGTTTCCATACTTGCGTAGGAACCCTGAATCATTATCACTTTTAGAAAAATTCAAATTCTTTATCTTTTTTCATTTGAATTAAATGTTTGTCACCTTGTTTTATTTTGTGTGTTTGTTAACGTGATTTCAAACTAGCAGTTAAAGGGTTAACTTTGACTCGGAAACTTTTTAGGCTGTAAATTATTCATCATCCTATGGAGTTGAGCAGAAGTCAGAGAAATGATTTCACTCTGCTGTTTTACAAAGTTTAATGACATACGACATGACGGCTTCGTATAGTCCAACCCATAAAAGTCACCAATCCCTCCAAACAAACTGTGAGCGGTCTGATCTTTATCAGGCACAGAGAGAAGCATCTGATCTGATCCTGAATCTTCTCCTGCAGTTTTTGCTCTCCCCCTCTGAGGTCCCTTAAACCAGACTGAGCTGCTGTAAACATCCATTTCTGTCTGTGTCCATTAAGATTCAGAGTAACTGGGAGCTGCACTTCAAACACTTCCTCTGGTTTGACTCCCTGCTGACAACTAACCCTTGAAACTGAACCAAAAAAGAGTAAAGAACAGAAAAATATCGAAGTATTTGACCCTCTGTGTGCTAACATGCTCCCACCTGGAAGATGCGGTCACAGTTCTGGGGCAGAGCTGCAGGAGAGTACGTGGGGTCCATCTCCGTAAACTCGTCGGCGAAATTGCTGACGTCCAGCTCGTCGCGAATCACCGGTTTGAACGGAGCCGGAACTTTCTTGGCTGCCAAGTCCTCCCAGTTAATTTTCTAGTAGAAGAAAAAGAAACATAAGAGTTTGGCCCAAATAGAGGAACAGAAGAGTGTGTCAAAAGTCGAACGACGCAAATCTTTACTTTAGTGAAAGCAAAACAAGTACAGACTGAGGAATGTACCCAGGCAGCTCATGAATGACAGTTTTATCATCTGTTATTGTGCAAAGCCGGGGAACTTCATCATAGAACCTTATGAGTATGAGTAACCCATTTATTTGGGTTAAAAGTGATTCGGATTGCTGCTTGAATGATTCAGAATAATGATGAATGTGCGCCCTTTAAAAGAATGAAAGCTCAATACGAGAAGAAAGTACCATCAGAGGAAAGAAAACTAACTGGTCTGTGGTTTTTTTGTTGTTTTCCTCCTCTGTTGGACCTCGTTCTTGTAAAACGGATTATACAAACACGCAGTTTGAGTAACTGCTCTCACTCAAACCTTCCCATTATGTGCAGAAACAGCCCACCCTGCTTTTGAGTTCCTGTAAATATTGTGAGAACGTGCAGACAGGCAACGAGCTCCACCTGGTAAAACGGGTGTTTTTTCACATTTTCTGCTCCATTAGGACCCGAGCCCAGCCTCTTCTTTGGATCTTTGATGAGGAGTCTCTGGATGAGGTCTTTGGCCAGCGGTCCCATATCTTTAGGGAAAGGAGGATCCTTCTTCGAAATCCTCCTGTTATGAGTGAGTGAGACAGATATGGTCAGTGATTCGACATGGAGAGGAGCTGAAAACTCTGGCTGCTGATCAGGGAGAAGAATCCATACTTGGCAATGTCTGTGTGCGAGTTCTCATCCCCGTCGACTGTGAAGGGTGATCCGCCAGTCAGAAGCTCGTACATCAACACGCCGAGGCTCCACCAGTCCACCGCCTGGAATTCAGAAAAGCACCCACCCGTGACTTTGGCTTCACAGACAAACAGGCAGATCTGACTGGGGGGTGCACACGATAAGGAGTGCAGAGAGGAGAGCCTGAGCTGCTTCGTTTGATCACACACAGAGAAAAAAAAAAAACAGTATAAAACTGTAAATTACCTTGTCATGTCCAGACTCTCCTCCTTCCACGATTTCTGGAGCCATGTACTCGATGGTGCCGCAGACGGAGAACGCTCTCTCCACCTGTGTGAATAAAAAAAAACATGCAACCATGCAAACCACGTAAGGAGTTAAAGATAGTGAGTAAAGGATTTTGACTGATAAAAAGGGTCGAGAAAAGTTTCAACAACAGGAACAGAAAAATGCAAAAATGATCTGCCAAAATGTCCTTCATAATACTGTCTATGTCTGGTGGAAACAGTGCAGGTTATTGAAGGTCTCAGCCTTTAGTCCTGGCAAAATTAAAACACCAAAAAAGGTTTGAGATTTAAGCCCCCTGTGGAAATCGGTTTCATATTTTTTGGTTTTCCCAGAACTTCCAAGATTCTCAGAGGTTGCTTGGTCACCCGCAGAGCTGAGACATTTTCTCATCAGGGTCTCAGTTTCATCCATTTGTTGGTCTTGTTTTCGAACCACAAGTTTACAGCCACAGCATCACATACAGTAAAGAGCCATTCAAGTTCAGACTGATGCACAGAAGTCGCTCTTTTCTTTTCAGTAAGATTTGTTCCTGAGATTAAGTTTCTCCAGGACCAGAACCCCATTTCTTAGATCTGACAGAAATAGGTGCTCCTAATGAGGATCCGAATGCTGTAAAAACCTACATGGTTCATCAAATAGATAAAATAAGGGACTATTTCGGAAAAGATCTGAAATCAAAATGTTTAAGACATATTTCTGAGACATGCTGTACCTGATCAAACTCTTTACTCAGGCCAAAGTCTGTGAGAACTATGTGACCGCTCGAATCCAGCAGAATATTCTCAAGTTTCAGGTCTCGATAGACAATCCCAAGCTGCCGAAAGAAAATGACAGAGGAGCAATTGAGACACAAAGTTGGTAAGCAGCGAGAGAAAACTTCAGAGCAGACGAGAGGGAATGATTGTGTCGAATGTGGAGTTTACCTGGTGTAGATGCTCGAGTGCCGACACAATCTCCCCGCTGTACAAGGCGACTTCTTGCTCTTTAAATCGCACCCTCTGCACCAAGTGTGTGAAGAGCTCCCCGCCATTTACATAATCTGTGACAGAAAATACCACACACGTCAAATTTAATCCTAAACCGTGTAAATTGGTTGTTTTTCCTGCAGGGAAGGGGCACACGCTGAAATCTGTGTTTGTACTCATTAACTCGGCTCGTGAAAATCCATTTCTTCCACTTTCTGTAAGATAATCATTAACCTTTTCCTGTGCTTGAATAAACAAATCACAGAGAGGAGAATCCGCAGGGCCTGAATGTCAGTTCCTGTAGGAAATATCCTCACCGAGAATGAGGTGCAGCTTGGTGTCGGTCTGGAAGGCGTAGTGGAGTGTGACGAGGAATGGAGACTGGCGGATGTGCTCCAGCACTTGCCTCTCTGTCCGTGTGTGTTCGGCGGTCTTCGCCTTTTGCACGATCGTGGCCTTCTTCAAAACCTTCATGGCGTACAGCTTCCCCGCATCATGACCGCTCACCTTCCTCACCAGGAACACTTTGCCATATGCTGGTGGTTAAAATAAACAAGAGACAGAGGGCAAAGTTCAGTGCAGAGTGACACAAATGACTAGCATGCTTCTCATTCCAAAAAACATACAACTGGCTTTGAAATAAGACATGTCAAGTAAGAGACAGAAAGAGACTCTCACTCACCTCCTGTGCCCAGAACCTTCAACAGCTCAAAGTTTTCGATGCCCACTCTCTCGACATGGCCCGTCAGGTTGGCTAAAGTCAGAGCAGAAACAGAAACATGTTAAAAACTGGATTCAAAACGACCACAACTGTGTCTGGGTTTATATAACTCTTCTGGAAAATGAACAAATGTCATTTCCCAGTATGTTTCTGGTAATCAGGAAAGCATGTATTCCCTCGAGGGTTGTATATAAAGCATGCTTTCGCAACATCAAACAGAAGATTGACCTCGGCTAAAAAAACAAACATATTTTCCACAAGAAGATCTTTTTTTCCGCTGGGGCTTATCTGGCTCATCGGTACATTTATATTTACATTCACTGCCCTACAACCCAACTGTGTGTGACTGCTGTTTGTGAATGCATTACAAATCAGCTCTCTTGCAAAGTCAGAATTACTGCGATCCAAGCTCTTCACAGCTGTATTGATGACTGCAAAACACAATGCAATAAAACGAAGCTGTGCAAATGACTGTGCATGATTCTTTGGAGCAAACTGTAGCATGAACATGATGTTCTATAGATTAAAAACTGTTCAAACCACCTTTAATCACTGCCTCTCTCTTTACAGTTGAAAAGGGTAGCGTGGTTTACAAACCAGCTGAACAAGCCGACATTGCCACACAAGCCTGCGGCACAAAAAAACACCAAGGATGTTATCATCATCCACTCAATACTGTTGATAAAGCTGAGTTGTAAATACATTTGCAACTTCTCAGCTGCTGCTGCTTCTGTTGACTGAATCTGTGGACCTTGCATGCCCAACAGAAGGCACCTTACCTTGCATCACCTTACAGAGCTCGCCATGCTTTTTGTTTCCGTACTGGTGCCCACATTATTAATTATGTATGCTTGCATTTCATTTGGTTCAAAGAGACTCTCTGCCTTGATGCTTTGAAGCTAATCGAGTCAAAAAGGGCGGAGGAGAAGGGCTTTACACTAGAGCATCAACAATTCAAAACACCGGACCAGTCAGGACAGTCTGAGCGGTGATTTAATCAGGCCAACAGCAGCGGACTTGGTCTAATGTACAAATGTGTAACACTGCTGATACATCAATTGGATAATCAGAGAGCATCCCCCGTGTAAACAAAGGTCTCCATGAAAACTTTTTTACTCTCTCTGGAATAAAATGTCAGAAAACGTGCAACATTAGCTCAGAAAAGATCATTAATTCCCATCGAAGATCTTCAGTTAATTCAAACCAAACTGTCTGTGACTCTGAGCGTCTTTCCTAATCACTGTACTCCAGCTGACTGAGCGTGCCACGCTCTGAGACATGCATGTCCATTGTAGTGAACGCATTCCTTCTGTCTCGCACTCTGAAAATAGGCTACTGAGCAATTAAAACGGCTGATTTAATCCTTTCCGCTGCTTCTCCTGTTACACACGAGAAGAAAGAGTGCAACTATCAGGCACTTGGATTGCGTACTGCATTATTTCAAAACAATGTTGCTGTCCTTTACATTTAAGGTCAAAAGGTTCCGATTGCATAACACCCTTGTCAAGCTCGCCCTGCGCGGGCCAAGTTTGATTTCGGTGTTTATTAATAGACCAGATGATGCCCTACAGCAAAATGAGAGCGTCAGCAACCTGAAAGCCTTGTATTGAGAATCGAAATGACTATTTATCGCAATATTTTGTTGAGTTTTCTTGTACTACAACAAAATAAGAACTATTTGCTCAAAGCAGTAAATATTCTGTACTAATAAAACTATATTTTCTCTGCAACATCCCACCAAAACATGTCAATATCTGTCTGAGGAAGTGTGTAAGTTACACTAACAGCATGTTTTCTATATAGTTTATGTCAAGAAAACACTGATTGCAAAGTATATCTTGATAATAAATGAACGGTTTGCATGTTATCTTTGAAAGTTATGACTAATGTGCTGTTTCAAACAGTTAGGAATACTAGTTCCACACTTTTTTTGACCTTTTCAAAAGTCTCCAGTTTCTTTTCCGCTTCTAAAAATTGCTGCAATCTTCGGGAGATTACGATCAGCAGTTTTTAAAACTTTTTGACCTTTCAATGACTGATCTATCAACCCTTGAAATGAATGCCAGATTGATCTGCCTCAAGAATACTCGGTTGTTGCCGCCTTTTGTCAGATGCTTCAGCAGGGGTCTACAGTCGAGTGAAGTTCAACAAAAGAAAGTGTGACAACTAGACTGACTGCATATTTAGGGCAGGGCAGCAAATGGGGGTTGCAGCATAGTCATGTTGCAGCCTGAACAGCAGTTTCACAGTGTCATTATAAACCAGTTGCAGCTGCAGGCAGGCAGTCAGCGTGTAACTTCAATCAACATTGAACAAACCCTGCCACTGAAGGCCACTGCATTCATATTTCAGGATTGTGACAGTAATTAGGAGTGAATTTCCTGTTGATTCTTTGTCACAGGATACTGCAGGTCAGTGCCTGTCCACTCAGTAGGCTACTATACTTTCGTATCATTATAAGACATACCTAAGGTGGTTGCTGTGAATGTGTCCACACAGTGTGGGGTGCAGGGTGGAAGCTAACGGGGTGTCATTGACAGCACTGCAGCTGTGATGGCGAGGGAGGAGTTAGCAGTGACCGCTAACATATGCAGGCAGGGAAACCAGCAAATTAAGTAATAAGGTGTAGCTGTTGGAAATCTCTGCCTCATTTGCTGTAGTGACACGTTGACTTGAGCGGATGTTATGACTCGCGGTTATTAAGCTGCGCTTTGCTAACGTGCGTAAAACGGTTAGGTAACGTAAGTAACGCGTGAAGCCTCTCTCAGGTAACGTTACACCTCCCCGAGCCATTATTTCGGATATAAGTCACGTTAATGTTGATGTTTGCGCACGTTATTACCACCCACTGACAGTGACAGTTTTGACTCTTTACAAGCTAACCCAGCTAACATCTCTCCAGGGCACGTGTGTCCTCAAACGTTACACGGTACATCAAACACGAAAAAGTTAAAGCAGCCTTTTAGCTAACTTACCATTTTTCAGTTCATGTTTCACAGTAAAGAGGTCACCTTCTCTGGAAGATCCCTCCATCGGGGACGGCATCGTTATTTCGTGTTCCAGTTATGTTCAAAGATGCGTTCAGGCAAGGTTACGACCACCTCGCATGCTTGTTTGGTATTAACATGAAGATAATTAAACGCCTGATAGTGAGGCGCCAGCTTTACATTTATATACTCAGAATATTGCTACCAAACGTAGCAGCAAGCAAGCCCAGGAGGAAACACTTGCTTCTTCCACAGAACACCACCACTACAACTACCTTCGCAACCAGACAGTCCCTCCTCTCCGATTGGGGTTGCTATGTGGAAATCTGACCGTCTATTGGATGATTTTACAGTGACGACACATGATCCCGCCTCCTTCCAGAGACTTGTGCTGCCTTCAAATGTCCCTCGTACGCGCGTATGTCAAAGGTCAGAAGTGTAAACATTTGAAGTCAGATCAATAAAAACAAACTTTAAAATTCAGAGAAGAATAAAAAATATCAGGTGGTTGTTTTTTATATGGGTTTTATTAGAAAACAAACTTAAATATTAAAGCAGTAGTAGGAGATTTGGTAGGATTTGAGCTGTTTGTCTGCGATACTTGAATTAAAATTATATTTCATAGCCTAACTGAATCCATGTAAAATAATAATAATAATAATAATAATAACTTTATATTTCTAGTACTTTTAAAAACAGAAGTATATAAAGTGCTTTGACAAACAGTTGCAAAGCATCAGCACATGGAAATAAAAACAAATAAAAAACATAAACTCAGTTAAAAACAAGGTCTCCGAATTGAAGGTAAATTTCATTTGTCATAAGAAACCCAGGCAATACAAGAACCCTACAACATAAAATAGATAAGAAGAAGAAGAAGAAGAGTAATGAATAGGGGGGTGGAAAGCAGGAAACAGGATAGTAAATATAAAAAGACGATATTAATAATGATAATAAGATTATAATAAAATAATAATGATGGTAATATTAATGATAAAATGGAATAACAAAAATGAGCAGGAAAAAACAATAAAATCAATAAAAGGCCTAAAAGGTTAAATAAGAAAGGATTACAAGTAAAACAAAGGCTAAAAGGACAGTAAGTTGAAATAAGATAGAGGTAAAAGAGATAAAAGAAATAAGATAAAAGATAAAAGACGGCATCACATAAAAGCAAGTCTATAAAAGTGAGTTTTTCAATTTGACTTAAGAGAAGCGACTGTCTCTGCATGCCTTATCTCCTCTTGCAGGTCATTCCTGCCAGAGTAAAAGTAAAAAGTAAAGTAAAAGATACAGTCATGAGTTAAAAGTCTATAATGTACAAAATTGAAATTAATTATCAAATCCAAAATAAGAGGAAATAAATCAGAGATAATCCACTTTCTGCTTTAGGTGTTGGCATTGCTCCTCCATCATGGTAACTTAACTTAGTTCAAGAAACTTATTGAACATATAAGGCCTCCTGGTCTTTCCAAAGTCGAGGCTAAAAACTAAAGGTGATAGAGCTTTCTCCATCAGAGCTCCTCGACTTTGGAATTACCTGCCAGAGGAGATAAGGCGTGCAGGGAAAGTTGCTGCTTTTAAGTCAAATTTAAAAACTTACTTCTACAGACATGCTTTTTTATGATGCCATCTTTTATCTTTTTTACCTCTATCTTATTTCGGTCTTTACTGTCTTTTTAGCTTTTGTTATGCTTGTACTCTTTTCTTAATTAACCTTTTAGGCCTTTTATTGTTTTATCTCTTGCTCATTTCTGTTGCCCCTATTTTATCATTATTGTTATTATCAGGATTGCCTGTTATTATTTTATTATCATTGTTGATATTGCCTTTTATATTTACTATCCTGTTTCCACTTTCATCCTCCCTTTTAATTGCATTTTCTTAACTATTTTATGTTTCTATTTTGGTCCTCATGGTCTCATTTTATGTTGCATGGTTCTTGTATTGTCTGGGTTCCTTATGACATGAAAATGGCCTTCAATTCCATTTTTACTGAGCTTTTTGTTTTTATCTGTCTTTTTACATGTGCTCCATGACTATATGTCAAAGCACTTTGTAAACTTCTGTTTTTAAATGTGCTATACAAATTTTATTATTATTATTATTATTGTAACTCAGGGCACTCATTTCTAATTGATTTATTGACAAAAAAATGTATATCCCCCCCCTCAAAACAGAAGAGTTAATTTTTTTCTGCTGCACGAAAAGCACCAAGTGGCATTTTAATGGTCAGGAAGTACAGAATGTCTCGGAAATGAGAGCTTCCTTTTACTTTACCTAAATCAAGAGGTTGAGATCATGACAACCTCAGATGTTTTTTTATCTGTCGTAGTCATGTATCACGAAAAGCAATAAAATGTGTTTATTCAACATATCGTCTCATAGATGTTGGTTTACTACAGTAGGTCTGCATGATGTTAAAGAAAGCTTTTAGTGGGAAATAACTTTAGGAGAGAGGAGCTTTTTGTAAATGTTAAATAATCACTGTTCATCTTAGACTCTGGGATTGTAAATTAGTTAATGTACACCGTGTAATGAGCAGTTTACAAAAAAAGAGGCAGACTGTAGTTCCTCAGTTTGTACAGAGGGTGTCACCTTTGCGCTGTGATTACATGATAAAGGAGGAAATATTCAACATAAGCCAAATATGAAGAGGGATGATCATTTATGACCATATTATTGATTTGTTCGATTGATTGTTTGTTACGCTCCTTTGGTAATAAATTTGCCTTAAACTGTAACTGTGATTCTCTGTAAACATTCGCAAAGATTTGCAAGGTTTAATACTGATTTTGTGAATAAGAAAGGGAAAAAACTGCAAACAGCTTGCATTGGAAGTCAGCATAATGAAAGACTTATTTTATATGTAGAATCACAGTCAAGGCCACATGACAATATCTTTTTCTTTTGTTCCTCTTGTTAAGAGGTTCAAGAACATGATGTACAGAATCCCTTCATTACAGGTATTTAAACATGTGCTGAGGTAAATATATAGTGATGGTATAAACAATAATACAAAATATAAAAATGAAATATTTCAGTCTTTTATCAAGATTTCAGGTTGATATTGTTCATAATTCCTCACACTGTTTCTGCAGGGAGATGGCCATTATTTAAGATTCCATTTACAGGTAATGGAATAAAAACCCTAGATTTCTAAATGTATAATTATTTTAAATATAATGTAGGTTATTTAGCCTGAGTAAGAGCTATAATGACTTAAATTTGTCTTCTTGCACCTCCCTTTCCCTGGATGTTGTCTTCTAATGGTTGAAATCATACCTAAGAGCTAAATCAGATATGGTAAAGTTAAACAAAGACAAAAATCCCACTTTTCCAAAATGCGTGGCTGAAGGGTATTTACCCTTCCCCTGAACAAACAGTTCAGTCCCAGTACATACTGTGATTCTCTTTACCTGTCTAGACACAGATTTCTGCTTCCTCCTGGTGGTAGGACACTGTTAATGCGCCCACTTTGTCTCAAAAACTTACATTACACTTTAGATTTGTTTTTAGGATTAAAACTTACTCTCATACTTTGAACACAAGTTAGACGCGGTTGCTAACTTTCATCCGTGCGCTTTATTTCTGGATCGGAAAGTGTCTATTTTAATGTGAGCATTGTTGTACCAAAGGTCCAATCAGATGAGAGTCCACCAAAACCGACCAATGATTGCATAGAGATTTCGACGACAGCCAATCAGCTTCCACCTCGATTGAATCGGTTTTCAGGAAGTGGCACACAACCGCCTGTCCTGTTCACTTCCCGGTGATAGTAGCCTCCTGTGACAGCAGCGGGCTAAGTTAGCTAGCTTCACCCACTTTTCACACCACTGCTGACTGACCTCCGCTCCTAAGATGGCTGGTGTTCGAGCTCTTGGTGTTCTCTCCAGATTGACATCCAGGAGATACGCTCTTTATACAGGTAGAGACTGTATAAACGCTTACATTGAGCAGACCTGATGGAATAATGGGGTTTACTCTGTGTCTAATTAGCTTGTTAGATTAGCTGTTAGCTCCGAAGGACGTCCTGCAGAAATGTGCTCTTAACTCTTCACAGAAAAGTCTGCGAGCTCTCTAACTAAACATACATTGAATTGAAAGCGATTCTGAAGTATTCTTTGGTATAAATCTTTTTAAACGTGAAAACTTTACTGTGAATCGAAAGCTAAGCTAAAGACAGCTACAGAAAGCCACAAGTCCAAAAAGCTCTGATTTTGAATTATAAGTTCATAAGCTATTTCTTTAGCACTGAATGTGTGTATTTACATAGTTGAGAGAGAGATTTCTAGACCTTCTCCATTGACTCTTAATGGTGTTGGTTGCTGTGTTTGAATGGCAGACAGGGAATGTAGGTGAAGGGTCACTTTCCACACCATGACTGAGACAATCTGAGGTCACTGCTGTGTTATGTGAACCCAATTTAAACCTCTCATCTGTGTGTTTACATGTAATTATAAGAGTGTTTTACAATTTGAATAGTCAGGTTACACATCCCAGCACGTTAAAGCAGATTTTACGTCTTTACAAACTTAGTTGGAGGTATGATGTAATGTTAATATGCCTTTTGATTGGCTTCTTTCAGGCAACAACTTCCGCACCTTCTCAGTCGCCCCAGTCATGCAAGGTAAACCCAAAGTGTTTGTGCATGTCAGTATTCGCAGGGTACAGTGGCACGTTTATTTCCTCACCGTACATTTTATTCTCTTTCTATTTTTAGCCCGAACTCATGTGAACTATGAAGTCAAGGACAATGTTGCTGTAGTACGGCTGAACGACCCAACCTCAAAGGTGTGAAATCATCTTTAAAATGAATGAATTTAGGTGTTTTTCTCCTATAATGCTGCAGATGTTATAGGAAACATGGGGTCATTTGTCTCTTCCAGGTCAACACACTGTCAATCCAGATGCAAAATGAGCTAACAGAGGTGATGTCTGAAGTGTGGGCGAACAATGTGGTTCAGAGCGCGGTCCTCATCTCCTCAAAGCCTGGATGCTTCATCGCAGGAGCGGATATCAAGTAAGAGAAATGTATTTAGTTTGCTGGGTCTATAAGTTTGAAACATGTTTGTAAGGTTCACCTACTTTCGTTTCAGTATGATCGCTGCTTGTGAGACCGCAGAGGAGGTCACCAAACTCAGTCAGGAGGGGCAGAAGATGTTCGATCTGATTGAAAAATCTCCCAAGCCCGTCGTTGCTGCCATCAACGGCTCTTGCTTGGGAGGAGGCCTAGAGGTAAGCAAACATTATTTACATATATAATTGACTATCCTGAAGTTTTTGACTAGTTAGTGTGATAATGTGTATCCTCTCTTTCTGCATTTCAGTTTGCCATTGCCTGCCAGTACAGAATTGCAACAAAGAGCAAGAAGACGGTTCTCGGTACCCCTGAGGTGATGCTGGGTCTTTTACCGGGAGCTGGTGGCACTCAGAGACTCCCTAAAATGGTTAGTGTTGAGAGTGTATTCCACATGTTTCTGATAATATTAGCTTATCATTTTAGGATAATAAAATAATATGTAAAAGTGCGCTGCAATGGTTATGACATCGTAACTACCTGGATGAAGCCGGGCACAAAATAATCTGCTTAATGCTGCTAATTGGTTTAAGATTTTTACCTTCACCTCTGAGACCCTGCAAACAGATTATGTCCCCCCTGACGATCATGTCTTGTCCTTCAAAGTATAGACGATTACAACTAACTTTTAGAAACAGACACAGAAATTAGAACTTTTTTTTTTTAATCATTATCAGGTTGGAATTCCCAGTGCCTTTGACATGATGCTGACAGGGAGAAATATCCGCGCAGATAAAGCCAAAAAGATGGGGCTTGTCGACCAACTGGTTGACCCTCTGGGTAAGATATTCCTACTCAGATTTTTAGTAAAATCTAAATTAGATTTCTCCATCAATAGTGTTTTAATTAGCAGCTTGGAAACATATTGTTTTAAAATCTTCCTTTTTGTGTTGGTATTACAGGACCTGGTCTGAAGAGTCCAGAGGAAAGAACGATAGAATACCTCGAGGAAGTTGCTGTTGAATATGCCAAAGGGATTGTAAATAAGAAGATCCCTCTCCACAAGCCGAAAGGCACGATGCAGAGTAAGATGAGCAGCATTCATTCAGTATTTGCTTATTCTTCGAGTTTATACCCCTTTGAAAACATTCGTTAACAGTTAAATGTTTCTCCTCATAGAAATTCAGGACTACATTATGGGCATTGAGCTTGTCCGGAATCAAATCTACAAAACTGTCCACGGAAAAGTTATGAAACAGAGCAAGGGACTTTATCCAGCACCCCTGAAAATCATTGAGGTAAGTTACAGCTCCCTCTGTTTTTAAAACATCTGTAGGGTATGAGGAGAAATTTGAGTGACAAGCCTGCCTCGAGATTCTTCATCAGTTTCGAAAAAGGAGTCAAACTAGTTAGAAACATCTTTTTTCATAGTTATTGGTTTATTGTATCCAAGTAAAGTTGAAATGGTACAAAGGTAGCTTTTAAAATTACTAAAAACAATTGAATTTATCAGTAACTAATTCATGTTTTGATAGATTTTCATCTCGTTAGCTATATATGACTGTTCTGATCACTCACTGTGTTATTCTAATCGTGTGTGAATATTCTCTCTTCCCAGTGTGTGAAGACTGGAATTGAACAAGGCCCCACAGCAGGATACTTGGCAGAGTCTCAGGTAAGTTTTGTCGGCCTATGTCCTGGGCAGATTAAGCATATTAAGTCGTATATCATGTAAGTGAGCATCAGCTGTGTTAACTCCTGTTTCAGAACTTTGGCAAGCTGGCAAGAACCACAGAATCAGGAGCTCTGATTGGTCTGTACCACGGTCAAGTTGCATGCAAGAAGAACCGCTTTGGAGTTCCTGAGAAAGAAGTAAAGTAAGTGTGGAGCACTTTTAACACATAGTCAACCTGCAAAGCTCCACACCAGTTCTTTGGTCAAATATTTGACAAGGACTGATAACAAAAAACACTCCACATACATAAATGCTAATGTTTGTTAAGGTTCTTAATACAGAGTGTCTTCTTGTTTTAGGACTCTTGCCATCTTGGGAGCAGGTCTGATGGGAGCAGGTATCGCTCAGGTGTCTGTGGACAAAGGTTTACACACAATCCTGAAGGACACAGCTGAGGCTGGGCTGGCCAGAGGAGAGCAGCAGGTTTACAAAGGGTGAGATTTCTTATCAGAGGAAAAAATATATATAATTATAGAATAACTGAAAACTTTTAAATTAGCTTTGAAATCTGATACTTTAAAATATTTTAAATGATTAAACTCTTCTTCTAAAAAGGCTGAATGACAAGACCAAAAAGAAGGCCATCACGTCCTTCCAGAGAGACTCCATCCTGTCCAACCTGACCGGCCAGCTGGACTACAGCGGCTTTGAGAAGGCGGACATGGTTATTGAGGCTGTGTTTGAGGACATCAACATCAAACATGCAGTCCTGAAGCAGGTGGAGGCTGTAAGTATGAAAGCAAAAAAAAATGAAAGATGTCCTCATGTATCAGTCACATATACCCTCGAGCTACCATCTAACATTCCTCTGCAGGTTGTTTCCCCTCACTGCATATTTGCCAGCAACACGTCTGCTCTGCCCATCAAAGATATCGCTGCTGCCAGCAAGAGGCCTGACAAGGTCGGTACTTGGCAGTCGTTTAGTTTAAAAGTGCCTTTTAAATGAAATCACTCATGTAAATTTGATCATTTCTCTTTGAATTTCAGGTGATTGGAATGCACTACTTCTCTCCAGTGGACAAGATGCAGCTGCTGGAGATCATAACCACTGAGAAGACGTCAAAGGACACCACAGCCTCTGCAGTGGCGGTCGGCCTCAAGCAGGGCAAAGTCATCATCGTAGTTGGGGTAAGGTGTTTATTTTCCTTTTTAAATTGCTCTACAAGTTGTAAAGTTATGTTCAGCAGTTATGCAAAAGTTGTAGCATGCACTCTTAAATATGACCGTTTTTACAGGATGGTCCTGGATTCTACACGACAAGGTGTCTGGCTCCCATGTTGGCTGAAGCAGTGCGAGTACTTCAGGTTAGTAGTAGTACTCATGACGGTAACCCTGACTTTGTTATTTACTGTTTTACTTATAATAAACTCACTATTAATGGATCTATTACAGGAAGGAGTCGACCCCAAGAAGTTAGACTCACTCACCACAAGCTTTGGGTTCCCTGTGGGTGCAGCCACGCTGGCTGATGAAGTCGGCATTGACGTCGCTGCTCACGTAGCTGAGGACCTCGGCAAAGCCTTCGGCTCCCGCTTTGGAGGAGGAAATGTGGAGGTTCTGAAGACCATGGTGGACCTGGGATTTAAGGGTATAAATATTGAGTTATTTGACCCCACTTTAAAGAACATTTTAAAATGTCTGTTTAGTGTACAAAGTGTTTTATTATAGCATAATCTTTGTTTTGTTTTTGATCGGAAGGACGCAAATCAGGAAAGGGTTGCTACGTCTACCAGGCAGGCCTCAAAGTCAAAGAAATCAACCCAGACATCGGTGACATCCTGGAGAAATACAGAATGACACCAAATCCTGCAGTGTAAGTTCAAACTGGGGCGATCTAAAACTAGCCATACCATTAACAAAGTCATCAGATGTTACTGCTACACTAAGAGCACATGCTGTTATTCCACATGGAAAACCAAAACTCTAAAGTCGTTATATGTTGTCACAGTTTGTTTCTGTTCTTGTGAATCTTTTTGCAGCTCATCGGACTCTGATGTGCAGTACAGGCTGGTGTCTCGATTCGTCAACGAGGCCGTGTTGTGTTTGCAGGAGGGTATTTTGAACAACCCTCTGGAGGGAGACATCGGCGCTGTGTTCGGTCTGGGATTCCCTCCCTGCCTTGGAGGTCAGAGTTCCTCCTTAATCTTGGTCATCTAAGTCGCTTGTGCTCCTGTCTGTGAAGGGAGAGCATAACATCTCAAAAGAGCTTCCTTTTGATCTGTGTTACATATGAAATTAGAAAGCCCAGAGGTGATGGTGACAACGTATTTTAGGATGTAGACTAAGTTATCATTTAATCTGTGTTTGGTTTTATTCAGGGTTCAGTATTTTAGTCTGAATCAGGATTTGCGCTTTCATTGAGCCGATTTAAAGATGATTAGATCAGACTAAGCCAATTTCTTTGAGATAAAGACCAAACACAGAAGGGCACTGATCAAATGAATTCACTCTGAAGTAAACAGACACCCTACAGTGGTGAGTTTTAGACATATTTGACACGATAAAAACAGCAATTAACAAAACCAAAGTATGTCAAACTGTTAGGAAAGAAATGTAGAAATCAACTGCAGATACATTTAAAGTTACACCAACCAGAGTATTTTTTAGAGGAAAACCACAAAATTACAATTTAGATATTAAAGATATCCATATTTATTAGATTGTGTTACTTAGATGGTTCAGGTTTGAGCCACAAGTGAGTTAAAGATATTTTAAAGGTGCAGCGGGTAGCATTTAGAAGCATTTAACAGTATATGTTAAGTTAGTAGGAGTGGAGTATGATATTCATACGCCTGTTTAATCTAGTGTGCAATCACCTGAATATAAAAATCATATATATATATATATTTTTTTTCTGAATGAGACTTTTATATCTACATAAGGAGCAGGTCCCATTCCATTGAGGTTGCCATCTTGTACCAGCAAATTTTTTGGTTTCTTGCAGAGGGACAGAATAGAAAAATTGGAAAGGGCTCGATGCAATAATGTGTTTAGTAAGCGGCTGTGCAAAATACACCAGTTAGAAAATGAAGACAAAAATGGTAAAAACACTTATCATGCACCTTCATGTTTTGTAGCGACATTAAAGGAGACGTTTTCAAATAGTGAAAATAAAACACTTGAAGGGTCTGGACGGTTGTCAAAGTGGTAACAAGATAAATTCTGACTGGATCTATTTAAAACCACACACGATAAAAATTAATATTGATAAGACTGAATAACTGGGGCTGAAACTCTTAAGTACAACGAGCATCCAGTCATGAGCGTCGAGTCCACAATTGGAAGTTTCTTAAACTTGCTGTGATAGAGGGTCTCAACAGCAAGGCAGAGGTAAATAGGAGTTATAGTAAACCACTTTGAGTCCAACAGATTGATCTTGACACCGGATAATCCTGGGGTCAATTTAACCTAGATATGAATCTGATCACAGCAAAGCCACTCAGGCAGATTCCAGTGCACTGACTTCGATGGGTTTTCTGTGATTGTATGCCTGACATATTTACGTATCTGTTTCCAGGACCCTTCCGTTTCGTGGACTCCTTCGGCGCAGACAAGCTGGTGGAGAAGATGAGGCAGTACGAAGCCGTGTACGGGAATCAGTTCACACCATGCCAACTCTTACTGGACCACGCCAGTGATCCCAGCAAGAAATTTCACAAGTGACCGGGCCGCCGTGTGTGCCAGTAGCAGTTCTCAGTAGATAAACTCCAGCCTCCCGCTAAAATGTGCCTAACGTTTATATCAGGAGTGGGGGCAAAAACAACGAAAACACAACCAGTTTCATGTAAAGTGGGTACAAATAGCTAAAACCAAAGCAGGCTAATATAAAGGAAATGCACTAGATCATATCTACAGAATGACTGCAGCTGTTTTTGAGGATTTTTTCACATTATAACATCTATGAGGATGTAATTCCAGGTACTAGCGAGCTCTATTGTGTTATAATTTATAAATAAGAGGCTCTATGTTGGTGTTAACCTAAACCTACTGATGTGACTAAGGTGGAGTAAGCCTTAATGACATCTGAGCATTAAAACCTACAGGGGAAATAGGATTTACTTGGGACTGTATTGGTTTTAGCTGGTTGTACCTCTTAATAAAATAGAAACTGAGCGTGTAATGTCAGCAAAAAAACATTGATGGTGGTTTTTTTGTACTTTTAACATTGATTTGCTTGATGGTGTATAAACTAAGGAGCAGAGGGAGGCTGATTGTTCTCACATTTTGGATGTAAAGATGCTCTAGAGGCAGAAAAGTAAAAATATTTTCCATCATTCAAAAATAATTCTTCATTATTAATGAATGTCTATCAGTGTCTTTCTTTTTTGTACATTTGGAGCCTGGTTTAAACAACAATGATGTAAATGTGAAGCCTGAAATAAATTTTGTTATGAATCAATCTAAACTGTGATTTTTCCCTGAAGATGCGTTCACGTGCTAATAGGAGGCTAATTTACAAGGCGTCCACAATTAGATCATATCGATGTACATGAGAAGATTAGCTGGAATCTAATTCGCTGTGGAGGTCACATGATTGGTTTCCATTGTCCGCAGCAGAGCAGGGTGTGTGCTGAGGGGAGGCAGTGTGGGCTGGGCCGGGGGCTGATGGGTGTTTTTCCTCAGCAGCATCCTTTAAATAATCTTGTGACATCGCGTTTTTCGCTGAAAGATGCTCAGGGCGGAGGAGATGTTGAAGGAAGAGGAGGATGAAAATAAATGAGATACGAGAAGCTGCTGCTGCTGTCGCACCTGCGCTGAGGGGAAAATTCTGGAGACCCCGCCCGAGCAAACTGGCTTCCCAACGTGGGAAATATGCATTTTAATCTCTGACCAAGATGTCCAGAGGTAAGACCTGCGAGGCGGTGAGGGTGGTGGTCCGCTGCCGGCCTCTGAGCAGAAAGGAGGCGTCGGAGTGCGAGAGTATCTTGGGTATTGATGAAAAAGTGGGCCAGATCACCATCCGGAACCCGAAGGCACCACCTGATGAGCCTATGAAAGTGTTCACGTTTGATTCCGTCTACGGCTGGGGGTCAAAACAAAGAGATATTTATGACGATGTCGTTCGACCTCTTGTGGAGTCCGTGCTCCAGGGCTTCAACGGGACTATATTCGCCTATGGACAGACCGGGACAGGTAAAACACACACCATGCAGGGGGTCTCAAACGACCCAGACATGAGGGGGGTGATCCCAAACTCATTTCAGCACATTTTCACACAAATATCCAGGACTCAGAATCAAAAATACCTGGTGAGGTCATCCTACCTGGAGATCTACCAGGAGGAGATCCGAGATCTGCTGTGCAAAGACAACAACAAGAAACTGGAGCTCAAAGAGAGCTCAGACTTTGGGGTTTATGTCAGAGATCTGTCAAGTGTGGTGACGAAGAACGCCACGGAGATAGAGCACGTCATGAATTTGGGGAACCAGTCCAGATCTGTGGGGTTCACCAACATGAATGAACGCAGCTCTCGCTCTCATGCAATCTTTGTGGTAACCGTGGAGTGCAGTGAAGTGGGCCCAGATGGTGAGGACCACATCCGGGTGGGGAAGCTGAACATGGTCGACCTGGCTGGGAGTGAGCGCCAAAGCAAGACCGGAGTAAAAGGGAGGCGGCTCAAGGAAGCGGCGAAGATAAACCTGTCCCTCTCTGCTCTTGGGAACGTCATCTCAGCTCTGGTGGACAGGAGGAGCACCCACATCCCGTACAGAGACTCCAAACTCACCCGCCTGCTCCAGGACTCACTGGGCGGCAACGCAAAGACAGTCATGATCGCAACAGTGGGCCCATCGCACAAGTACTTTGAGGAATCCCTGGCCACCTTGAGGTACGCCAATCGGGCCAAGAACATCAAGAACAAGCCACGGATCAATGAGGATCCCAAGGACGCCCTGCTGAGGGAGTTCCAGGAGGAGATCGCACGCCTGAAAGCTCAGCTTGAGGAGCGAGGGATGCTGGCGAAGGAGCGGAGGAGGATGAGGAGGAACAGCAAAAGACTGAGTAAGAGTCTTGCTGGTGTGGAGGAGGAGATGCTGAAAGACAGGGATGCGTGGAAGCCCATGGAAGAGGAATTGGAGGTGAATTACAGCAACAGAGACGGGAGCGACACTCCCAAGGCTTTGACCTGTCAGGGGGGCAATGAGAAACTGAAACACCTGAGCGAAAACAGGAAGAGCATCGTGGACATGCAGTGGGATCAGGACGCTCTGGAGAAGATCATAGAGAAGTACAAGGTACCTACTGTGTCTAAAAATGGGAGGATTAAGGAACAAAAAGAGAGTCACGTGAATAATTGATTGTATTTTTTTCTTTTGGTGGCAGGCTATGGAGAGCAAGCTGCTGGTTGGAGGAAAGACAATAATAGATCACACCAATGAGCAGCAGAAAATGCTGGAGCAGAAGAGGCAGGAGATTGCAGAGCAGGTATGTAGAGACAGTCATTCATGAAGTTTTGTTTTCAGGGACTCTACAATGTAATTTCCCTTACTAATACAGGTTTTGACATCCAGCACTGGCTGAAAACAAGCACTGCAACAACACTAGAGCAATAACAAGCTCACAAAACAATCAAAAATGGTGATCGCTGACTTTCTCCACAAATACAACACAGTTTGTTTATTACCAACAGAGTCATTCATCTCAAAATACTTCATTTTTAGGGGATATGGTTTTTAATTACTGCATTGACAGGAATTTTCAACAATATCTAACACCACAACATTGGAGCAACTCTTCTTTTAAGTCACTTTTTACCCTTTTCTGTAGAGACATGATTGCTTCATAACCATCTGAATATTTATCTGAGTATGTTTAAGTTCAACCACAGTTTCAACTCAATGTAGACTCTAAAAAAGTGTCATCATCATCAGCAGACAAAGTATTTCAGTACCAATGTTTTTATTCCTGCTACAGTCCGGTATTTTCAGATTTTGATGTTGTGTAAGTAGATTAAAAGAGCCTTTGTTTACATTTTCCTGGCAAAGTTAAGCTGTTGTCATGTTTGAAAGTTATAAAGAAACAGGAGAGGCTGCAAAACTGAGGACAAGATTAAACTTCTACTATGTTCTCTAATCAAAAAGACCCTGTATGTTGTGTCTCATACGCAGATTCGTCGAGAGAGAGAGATCCAGCAGCAGATGTTGCTGCAGGACGAGGAGACGTTAGAAATGATGGAGACTTTCTCCTCCCTGCAGCAGGAGGTCGAAATGAAGACAAAGAAGCTCAAGAGGGTGAGATGACTCATCGCTGATGTGTCCCAATGACATTACCACATCAGCAATCACATAATTCAATTGGTCAATCTTATTTCTAACGGGTTCTGTTTCATGAGAGATACCCCAGGGAGATGTAACACTGATAGGTTTATGTTTCACTAGACTGAACTCTGACTTGCTCATCTTTTAGAGTAATTACATTTATCCTTTCTGGTTTTCACGTTAACCATCTCTACATGTCTGTTTTATTCTGATACCTTGTCCAGTACAGCTTAAGCTTCATCTGTAATTCATGTCCTCTTGCTGTGTGCAGTTGTACGCCAAACTGCAGCTGGTGAGGGCAGAGATAAAAGACGTCATCGATGAACACGTCACAACCAGACAGGAGCTGGAACAGACACAGACTGAGCTGACCAGAGAGCTCAAGTACAAGTGAGTAACCACAGAATCCTTTTTACATCTGCTCGTTACCACACATTTAAATGTAAAGGATTGATTTAGATTAATTAAAAGACGGTTCAAAACATTAAGAAATTAGAGCCCAGATAGATGACATAGTAAATAAATCTGTGCTGCTCTTATAAAGTCGAATAACAAAAATGTTTCTGATTGATGGGTTGTTTTCTATGACCTTAGCTGAAACACACTCACATTTTATGTTGCAGATATCTCCTGATCGAGAATTTTATCCCTCCTGAGGAAAAGAACAAGATCATGAACAGGCTGCACTTTGACAGCGAGGAGGATCAGTGGAGACTCCAACCGGTTCTTCCGTCAACGAGGTCAGCTCACTGAAACACAAAGTTACCGTACTCTGTGAACTCATCACTCTAACAGCAGAAAAATGATAGATTCAGGACTTAAGTTCAATCTAGTATAGTTGAGTGCTATAACTTTAATTTAGTTGCTTTAACTGCTGATGATATTAAGTGCCTTTGAGATTCATTTACAAGCATTAATTTGTCCAAACTGCCAAAACTTAAACTCTATCACTGCTATATTTTTTCTTTTTTCCTACAGTGGAAGTATTTTGGGCACCCACAGTGTCAGTTTTGGTATGACCACTAGGAGTCACCAAATTCTGAATATTTTACATAACAGACAGGCAACCTGCAAGACATTGTAACCTTATGTGTAGATAATTTGTGCTTACTGCATGTCCAGGAAATAGATCTCATTAAATAATCAAGAACCAGACACCCACGGTTGAACTCTTAACTAATAAGAAAGATGAACAGAAGACGGCACAGGGGATATAACTGCATGTATGTAGTGCTCAAAGTTCAAGAAGTTTCTGTGAGAATAGTCTAACTAAGTCTTGATCTGTATCCAAATCCTCCTTGTCTAATGTCTTTACCTCAGTGCACCCACTCCGGTCAGGAGACGGCCTCTCTCAGCTGTGGGGTACAAGAGGCCAATCAGCCAATATGCACAGATGGCTGTTGCCTCAGCAACTGGGGCCCCGGCTAGATACCAGGTCAGTGCTGCTCGGACATTCACAAGGATAGCTGGCGGAAGTACAGCAGAGGACGAGATGTGAAATTTTGGTCTTTGGCACCCTCATTTGCATGTTCACAGCCGTCTTCTCTGCTGAGGAATGTGAAGATGGTTGTAGCCATGGAAACCTTTCGCACTTTAAACAGTCACATCTTACACTGTTAAGCCATCAATTTCATATCTCAAAGTACACAATGAACATTTTTAAATAGAAGCCAGCTCTTACATAACAGCTCGGCTTAAAGAGTATTTTGGGGTTTTTTTCTTTGAGAAAAGTTAAGCCTAAAGTTACTTGGACTGTAGCACTTCACATATAGTAATAACACCAAAACTTTAATTAGCTTATTTTTCAAGGTATTGACATGTTTCATAATAAAAGCAGTCAAAAGTTAAACTATCAAACAAGTAAAACACTGGAAAGACGAAACCAGAAATCAACGTCAATAGAAAAGAGTAATGCTTCTTACTAGAATGCACTTTCCTGTGTAATTACGTAACATAATCTCTGATTTATTTTACAGGCTGAGAATATAATGCTGTTGGAGTTAGACATGTCTCCACCGACTATGTTCACACTGAATCTGAACGGCGCTTACATGGAGAGAGCCTTTTCTCCCAGGCTGATGAGAGATCTTTTGGTAACTGCTCCTATACGAGAGAGAAGCGCTGCATCGTCGCCACGGGTCAGGAAATCCAAGTCCTGGTGAGAATAAACACAAGAATGTAAAAAAACACAACTTTTCTTGCATGATTGTAGATTCTGAAAATTGCTCTTTTAGCGGCACTAGCATGTTAATTACCCTTAAGCCACAAATACAAGTAATGTTACCGTTACATTACCAAATAAACATTTTTTACATGCTAATACACTGACATAGATTTTATGAAGTCTCGTGATTTTTGAATTATATTTTATTATACTACTGTTACCATGGAGATACAGTGTAAAATCTCAAAAATGACTGTATAATCTGTATTTGTTCAATGGTCTGCAGGTATCAAGCATCACAAGCAGCATCTGTCACATCATCCTCATCCACCACCAATCTGACATCAGGATCTCAGAGGCAAAGACCGTCTTCGGCTGCCTTTCTTCCACAGGGAGACCCAGTTCAGACAAGCCCCTGAAAAGTGTCAACACAACTGTACAAATTGCTGGCTTTAGTTAAAGAGGCAGTGAGACTCCAGACAGGCCTAATATGGGCACCTGAAATCTTCTGCCTCAATTTAAAATGATTTCACTGCATTTTATCATGTATCTATTCAAAAAATCAGCAAGCATGTCTTTAATGTAAGTGGAACAAAAGCATTGTTTTTGCTCACTGTTGCCTAGAAACTCTGTAGTTTCTCGTGGCTTATGTCAGTTTCAACGAATAGCACAGCAAAAACCTCGTTCTTCTTCAACCGGGTATGACAAACTGTTAATTATGTGGACGATCTCTAAAGATCTAACCGATTTTACGCCATTGTGTTTTTTTTAAACCAACACTTTATTGCCTATTTTCTAAGAAATAAAAAACCTGTAGATTGTATTCACTCGTTGCCAAAACATTGGAGGATGATTGGGAGTAATTTAAGACCCTGAGCTGTGGTGGCCGAGAACCGCCACTGCTGCAAAAAAAAAAAGAATGCAAAAAAAATAAGTCACAACAGAAGTTACTGATGCAAAAAATAAAAGTAAAATAAAGAGAAACCGAAGCCCGCTGCGAATAAAAAAAGAAACGGTGCAGATTAACGACGCAAAAAAAAAGTCTAAGTCTTTCAACTTACTTCTCGGCTCATCTTTCCGCCGTCGTTTTCTGTGCCTAGATCCAAGAAAAAAACAAAAAACGGTGCATCATCATTATTGGTCCTTGGCAGCTCACTTCTGCTGTGGCTTTTTTAAAATTTAAATCCTTTTATTTTCACAGTAACTTTTTTATTTTTTGCATCACCACTTTTTTTTTGCGTGATTAACTTCTGTTGTGTTTTTTAAAATTTATTTCAATCCTTTTATTTTCGCAGTAAATTTTTTTTTTTGCATCACCACTTTTTTGTGTCATTAACTTCCATTTTGTTTTGTTTTTTTTCAATCTGCACCGTTTCTTTTTTTATTTGCAGTGGGCTTTGGTTACTTTTTTTTTGCATCAGTAACTTCCCTTTTGGTTTCTTTTTTTATTTCAATCCTTTTATTTTCACAGTGAGTATTTTTTTTTTTTATTTGCATCACCACTTTTTTTTGCATCATTAACTTCTGTTGTGTTTTTTTATTTCAATCCTTTTATTTTTGCAGTAAGTAACTTTTTTTTTAAGCGGGCTTTGTTTTTTTTGGGGTTTTTTTTGCATTATTAACTTCCATTTCGGTTTCTTTTTTTTTTTGCATTTTTTTTTTTATTTGCAGCAGTGGCAGTTCTCGGCCACCATACTGACCACTTCAGGGGGGCCATCCTGGTTTAACCTGTATGCTTGATGAATCGTTGTCAATTAAAGCTTACTGTAATTGTGAGCCAAAAATGTGAAGAAAGCTTGTAATGCACTCTTGATTAGCTGCCTTATGTGCTTCCAGTCCATTTGCTTACACATGAAAATAAACAGACTAAAATGGTCTCTGGGTGCCTGTTTCTATTCCCCCTGTGCTGGACAATGGTTTAAAAGATGGGTGGGAAAACTTTGAGACTCTGAAATGACAGCTCTTGTACAGTAAGATGACGTTTCCTTGGGAGTCACGTGACGCTTTTACAGTAAGTCCAACATGGCAGACGGAGTGGATCTTACGCGGTAACTAAACGCAATATTTCAACTAGAAGCGGACTAAATCAACACTACTCTGCAACAAGACAGCAACCATGAGGGAGAGGCAAAAGAGGAGGAAGGGGAGGACGTGGGCGGAAGCCGCTAAAACGGTATTCCGAGTGTTTTTTATGGCGTTTGTTGTGGTTGTTTTCCTTGAACGCTCCCACTTGTACAACACTGTTGATGAGTTCATGACCTGCTGCTGCTGCTGGAGACGGGAGTGTGAGGCCTGTTGTGTTTACGGTCACTCATTCTAAAGGGCTGCTGTCATTAGCCGTTTAGCTTCGTTTTAACTCTCAACACTGAGCTCTAACGCAGAGAAATTAAACTGAGCTTTGTGCGCCAAAGCATCCCCACCACTCCCGTCTATGTGTTGTACCCGGACAGAAATGTTGACATGTCAGTCAAGATTCAAACCCGAGCAAAGTGACCGTGAAGTCATCACGCCTGTGCCCCGCGTTAGCCGCGTTAGCACGCTAGGTTTGGCTATCGCTGCTGAGTTCGTACACAAGTTTGTCAGATACCACTTAAATGTAAAGCACGAGGAAATGTTCTTTACACACATGTAACACAAATCCCCACATGTCTTAAGCCGATACTTGAGCACAGAATTGATTCACTACATGGAAAGGTTTGGCGAGATGACAGAGTGCAGAGATGAACGTTGCTAGCCTAGCTAGCTCTGTAGCCTAGCATGCTAATAAGACTGAGTAACACCAAGAACGACAACGGGTAGTTTGCTTATGTATCAGAGCTTATGATATATGAATCTACTGCTATAAATAATAAGAGTTTTCAAAGACGAGTAAAATCCTGTTTCACTATCATGCTGGACACACTTGTGCAATGTGGACGTACACGGAGAAGCCAAATTATTAGGAAAACCTAATGCAACCAAGTATAACAGCTGTACCACAAATTTTACTTTTACGAAGCTTCAACATTTTTATTTTCACTTACACACTCAGATAGGGGTTAATTTCTTAAAAATTAAAAGGTAAAGTTGCTAATTCACTGGAGTTCCTTTTATTTTGGTCCCATCAGGTTTGTCAATGAAGTGGACAAATTATTAGGAACACCTTTCAACACTGAATTAAACCACCACTACACACTATGTCTTCAGTAACAAACTCAGAGTATATTAATCACGGATGTGGTTGTTTCTTTAAAGTAGAAATTGTGAAAGTTGTGAATGTGTTTGAATTCCAGCTAGTGTTTCTTTGGAATAGGATAGGAATTGCTATTATTCTGGTCCCATCAGATTTCTCAATGAAGTGGACAAATTATTAGGAACACCTTTTATTACTCACCTTTGCCTTAATTTCTTTAAAGTAGAAATTGTGAAAGAAGTTGTTTATGTGTTTAGATTCCAGCTAATGTTTCATTGCATTGATTTATAACTTCATTGTTTCTATTATTTAGTATGGCAGCGCCTTTTAGGATAAGTAGTGTACCACCTGTTATTTCGTGTCAGCCTGGCTTTGTGTGAGCGTGTGGTCTAGAGTGCAGATCAACATAATAGCAGTAGATCATAACCCAGTTAAGTCCAAAAAGCCACAGTGCTTGTTAAGGGTTTGTGGTCTTGATTATTCTGAGCATCATATTGAGAACTGACACAGTCAAGGGATTTGAGGCTTTGTGGAATCGTGTTATGAAGCTTGAGTACATGAAGTCTCAGGCTGCGGCCTTGAGACCACATCATGTTTCATAACAGTAATAATAATAATACTTTGTTATCATAGGTTTTGGAGAAATACCCTAACACTCCCATGAGCCATAAAGAGATCTTGCAGGTGATCCAAAGAGAGAGGCTCAAGGAAATCAGGTAAATACTGTCCCTTTACTACAGTTTTTCAGAAAGGTTCCACTCACTGTTGTTGATGCTTACACCCTTTGATTTCCTTTTTCATGTTACTGTTATTTCACAAGATTGTTAATTATTTCATTTCTTTTTTGTTTCATTGTCACCCTTCTCATCCAGAAGGTAAGAAAAAAAGCAAGCCCCCTTCCCTCCTTTGAATCCTAACCAGCTGACTGCAGTGCCCCTCTGTTTGGTTTTAACCTTTTGCATGTTATTAACAATAACATGTCCTGGGTCCAGATGCATAGAGATCGTGTCACACTAAGACTTACTAAAGCCACCTGTAGCATAAAGACAATTTGGGGTATTAAAGCATGCACTCTGAAGGCAGTGCTTCACACATGATCAACACAGCCACATGCCATTATCCATTCCTCCACCTGTTTAACAATTGTTTGATGAATAACTAATGTTGCATTCCTTTTCAGTCTAATTGCATCCTTTAAAGTTGAGATTTTGTCTAACAAACTTTTGCGCTGTATCTGAATACACTCTGATGTGTGTTTCCTGCTTCACTTGGTACCTTTGGATACCTCTGTGGTATGGCTGATGGGGCGTAATTGTGAAATCAATACAGCAGGGTTTTTTTATGCAACAGACACTTTTTACAAGTTTAATCTAGAGATAAAGATCGCTTATATTCCTAAATTAGTCCTCAACCACTTTTACGCAACTGATTCTGAATGAACCTTTCAGAAGGTTTTGTGAATCTGGCTTGAACTCACACACTTCCCTTTGCTGCATGATAGCAGTTCCTCCCTGAATTTCAGACCAACTTTAACCCTCTTAATGTCCTTCCCCACAGCTGTCTGATTTAAAAGGGTAGTAAATGTGTAATTTGTCTTTTTCTCTTGTGATCCAGTGGAACCTCCCCGCTGGCCTGTCTGAATGCAATGCTGCACACAAACTCGCGTGGCGAGGAGGGGATCTTCTACAAAGTCCCTGGCAGAATGGGAGTCTACACGTTAAAGGTTGGTCAGGTCATGATCTCAGCAATCACTGAATTAATGCACTATTATGATGTGATTGTGTACCACAGAGGATCTCCTCCATGTCTTATATTTTATCTAACACATAAAACTGAAACACACTCCTTGTACTCTGTTTTATACGTAGAAGGATATCTCAGATGTGGCGAAGGAGCTGTCTGAGGATGGCTCTGAGGACAGCAGCGACACTCTCTCAGACTCCCAAAGCACAGTAAACAGCAGCAGTGCCATCTCCAAGGACGGCAGAAGAGGAAGGTGGATGAGAAGAGGTACTTGACACACAACACAAGATCTGTTTCAGTGAAAATGTTGGACATCTTTACAGCTAAAACATGTCCTTTCCACTTCAAAATGCCAATTTAGGAATCACCCGATTATGTTCATAATGGCTTGGTTAGATTGCAGATATTAAAATACACAAAATATCGCTGCTATTATACATTTCAGGGTTTTTCAGCTTGTTGCGTTGCTGTGATTGCTGGTTGAATCTGTAGAAGTCTGCCCAAACATCCTGAAAATGAAGCAATAACTCTTGACTGTAGCTGTTTCTGCTGGTTCTTTATATAGCTCTGACTGTGAGAGTTAACGCCCCTCCTCAAACGTTCTTAAAAGTCATTGCAGAAACAGGAAACAAGCTGAAGTTTAAGTAGGAGAGGCAAACTGAGAGAAAGCGCTTTTAAATGGTTTGAACTCATCACGGCGTAACTCCTGGAGCCCACTGAGCATCGAAAACATGATGATAGCAAAAGGTGGGTTTCATCTTCTAAGAATCCTGTCGTAACTCGGCATCATCGGCTGAGGAGCTGCAGCCTTGAAACCATTGTTGCAGTTTTTTTTCTGTCTGTTTTGTAAAGTCATGGCTTTACAGTGAGTCATGCACCTGATTGTGACTGATTATCGGGCAACTTCAGAGAACAAAGTGGCGATTACTTTGTTTTCCTCAAGGTTTGCTCTCACTGGTTCTCTTCATTTCTCTGCGCAACTTCAATATATTTGTAACTGTTGAAACAGGAAACTTTATTTTCTCTCTATGACCTGTGACCACTTCCTTATTATGCACAAGTTATAGCGACTAAACACAGAGAGAGAGGACGATATAGACTCTTAGTTTCAAGTAGTCCATGCAAATGCAAACAAATGCAGCGTCACAGAAATCTGCCTCCGAGAGTATTCAGTCAAAAATGAACAAAAGAGAGGTTGCTGTCAGCAGTCTTCCTATTGAGGCCTTCTTAGTACAGCCTGGTAATGTAACCTTGTGGTCTTTATGCGCAGTATTGGTTTCAGTTTCCTCACAACAAAAGCATGATACGACAAAGTCAGTACACCGCCTTCAGGAAGTGTCTTTTCTAACATCTGTGTCGTCTCTTTTGTGTTTTTCGTAGTTCCCTCCAAGCTGCAGTCACAGCCGTCCTCTCCGCAGCCTCGATGCTCGTCGCCGTCTGTCCCCACCAGCAAACTCATCTCTCCCTCGCAGAAACACAGCAAGAAAGCTTTGAAACAGGTACTGGCGGGTTATGTAGTTGTTGTTTTTTGTATTAATAACATCCAGGGGGTGGTGGACTGACTAGTTTTCGCTATTTTCGCAAACACAGTGTCTTGGGTGTAACAGGAGTTCCTGCCACACCCTCAAAATCACGATCAGTCATGTAAACCTGACCCTCCAGTGCACTAAAACACTAAGTAAGAAGAGGTGTTAATGTTTTCTTTCCATGTGGATAAACTAAATGTAGTGTTATGAAAAGATAGTGGTGTTCCTAATCATTGTCCCTAGTCTAGTCTGTTGCCTATTCAGATTTTTACCCACCTCTGAATCCTCACTCTGCAGATTTCACTGCATTTTGCTGAACTTTCTTTCTGCTGACACAATGTCGGTAAACGTGAAAACCAGGCGCCAATTTCCCCTCCGTTCCCTGCCTGTTCAACAGCTTGTGCTGATTATTTTAAAACAATGAGGCGTCAGGGAAAAATGCCTATAGCTGCTTCTACAGTATTAATGCTCTCATAATCCACCCGCTCCACATTCTTCCTATTGGCTGCTTTGTGCCTTTTGTGTTCCATTTTAATTAGATTTCATTTGATTGCACAGATTGTAATTCCCTCCATCTGTGCTGGTGTGGAGTTTTCAGCTTTGTAACACCAATTTGTATTCATTTATTGGGCGTAGGAAACACTAGAAGATTGTCATTTGGCATTCAAATATTAGTGCTGGAGACCTGTTGTGTAGTTTTCCTGATTTTTAAGAAAAGTCTGTTTGAAAAATGTATCAAATGGACTTTATTAAACAGCATCTTTAACCTGTTGACATTGTGCTTGTAAGGTAATAAGACTTCATATCAGATTTAGATGATTTATGCATGTGTTATGCAACCTGAGCTTCATCGCTGCACTGTTATTTAGCTGTTATTTAACCAGGCAAGTGGCCCTGGGGGAGTTTTTTGCAGAGAAACACTCTTTAACACTCTTTTTTGTTCATGCTGCTGGCTATTTGTTCCTACTCTTGTTTTTTTTCCTGTTTTTAGGCCTTGAAGCAGCAGCAACAGAGAAACCAGCGCAGACAGGGAGGAATGCCAACCAGCTCCAGTCCCAGGCTGCTTCTGAAAACCATCAAAGATATGGCTGAAAACATTACTACAAAAGCAGGTAGGTGGCTCCTTTTTAACCATGAAACACACAGTACTATAATGAATGAAGGGCTGCACATTTTCCACATTGACTAATATGGCACTCTGCACATCACGCTTTTGTTATTACAGCTTTTTATATGCAGACAACAAATAACACACTGCAATCATCCAAATATGACTCAAATAACTGGCAGCACCATTGCAGAAACACTCAGATCTCTCGTCTGCAGTTCCTCACAGCTTTCCCCTCTGCTTCTTTTATTCCTCACAAACAGACTTGTGTCATCCAGTCGTCCCGAGAAAGGTCTCTCAGAGATCAGGCCGCCTCAGTGCAGGTAAGCTGGGTGTCTGGTTTCAATTAACCGGTTAATTGGTGGAAAACTTGGAGGAGAGGGCTGGTGCTGTTCTGTATTTGTCTTCCAGCTAAAACAAACTGCGAATGAACTCCCCGTCAAGTGTGTGCATATCCTTCATTTTCAAGTTCAAGTTCTATGAAAGTTATTGAATTTAAGTCTGAATTTTCAAGCACAGTCCTCTTCGCTGTAGACCTCCACTGAGGGGAAAAAACGATTATAAGCGGTGCTATGGCCTATCTTTTCCATTATAAGTCCATGTCACTTGGTGGTTCAAGAAAAACTCATTAGTGCGCCACAAACGTAGGAATCCACATTGTTTAAAGCTATTAAACCAAGCTGTTCTGGGACGTTATTAAGTTTTCTTTTAAAATTGAAACTGCTGCATATGTTTTACAGATTCATAGATTCACTGAGAACCAGTGTATCGAGGTCTCTATGCTTTGGAGTGGGGCTTGTGCAGCATTGATTTGGCCTTTTCATGAAGTTTGTTGACCGTATAAAGATATAGCAACAACACAAACCTTATGTATTAAAATGATGTGTTTAAAATATGCAAATTGACTGTTACTTTGCCCCCTTTTGCTCGAGCTACGATGGAGTCAGCTGCAAGAGAGCCAGTGTGAAATGTGTGAAACAAAGTGGCAAAAAACAAAATTAATCATATTACCACACATGCGAGTAAATTGCTTAAGACGTCAGTTGCAAGATCGATGTGTTTCTGCACTGCTGGATCCGTCCTCGCTTACATCTGTTTCCTGTTTTTGTGTTGCAGGGCAGCTGAGACGCAACCGGTGCAAAATAGATGTAGAAACACCAGACTCCATTTTGGTTAACACCAACCTGCGGGCCATCATCAACAAGCACACGTTCTCTGTCCTGCCTCACGACTGCCAACAGAGGCTGATGAAACTTTTACCAGAGGTTGACCAGCAGGTGAGTCGGAGATTACACACACAACGGTCTGTGTTTTGAGATCATGTCGGTGTGTAAACTTCATGTCACATCGTCAAGATAAGAGTTTTACTGCAGCTAACTTCAGTACAGGATGTCTCTATGTTCACCGATTCCAACCGCACATAACCTTTGGAAAGCACGAGTCGGCGCATGAGTGATGGTTTCTGTGATGATGTAAGTGAAAACCTTGTACCTCTTCTCTTCAGGCCTGCATGGATGGCCTTCTGAAGGTCACGAGTTCTGCCTTAAACAATGAGTTCTTCACATCAGCAGCTCAGTCCTGGAAGGAAAGGCTGGCCGAGGGTCAGTTCAACTTCAATTCATACCGACTGCATTCACATTCTTATTGAAAGTTAGAATTATGTCACCAAGGTTAGGAGTGGATACAAAGAGTCAAGTATAATGTAACCTTTCTCTCATACTGTTATGTAACTTTTTTCCTTCACAGGGGAATTTACTCCTGAGCTGCAGCTACGAATGCGGCAAGAAATTGAAAAGGAAAAGAAAGTGGAGCTGTGGAAGGAGACCTTCTTTGAGAACTATTATGGGGAAAAGTAGGTCCCTCTTGAGTTTTGCATGATTCACTAATCTGATCCATCTTGAGGGAGTTGGAAATTATTTTTCCACCTATAGGATCTACAAACAACAGAGAGGCATTAGTTGCTTTTACTTTTTTGACCTTTTCCTTTTGGAGAGTTCTATGTTTTAAGAAAGGCATCAGAATCAAACATCTGTGCTATTAAGTTTTGAATGAGATTCAGCTAAGGATCCAAACATCAGCGTTATCTTTCTCACCTATTAAATGCTCGGATAACAACCTGGCAAGATCACTTTTGTATATAAATAAAAAACGGTTGACTGTGATTAGATATAACTGTATCTACAACTACGACTCCAAACTACTTGGAACTCTGTGTAAAAAGTTGATTAAAAACTGTTTATTTCACTGAAAATAGCGCAATGACAACATATAAGATTCAGGAACTGAAAAATGTAATTGTTTTATGAAAAATGTATGTCCATTTTCAATTTGGTGCCGTTAACTTATTTAAGAAAAGTTGGCACAGAGGCAATAGTCCAGTAGACCAGTTTCTGTCATATCCAAAGTGAAACGTTGGCCCATCCTTTGGTGTATTTTTCATGATGCTCCAAAGTCGATGGGTGCTGAATTAGGACTGTCGTTAAAGTTTAACACCAGGACACTTCTACTACAGAGCCATGCTGTTGCAATAAGTGCAGAGTGTAGTTTGGCTTTGTCCGGCTGAAATAAGCAAGATCTTTCTGAATGGCAACCATGCAAAGGGCACTTTTGCATCTCCATGTCATCACAGATACTATTCCCCATAGCAGTCATGGCTTATCTCTTCTTTACAGCCGCCGATGACAGGTCCATGATTCCCTAAAAGACTTTCAAATTTTATTTGCCAGACCGCAGGACAGTTTTCTTTCATTTTTCTATCGTCTTTTCAACAATATAAACAACTAAATTTTCTTCTCTTTTGGGGGGCAGTAACTTGTAGACCAATATTATCATATTTAAGAATTCCTTCAAAAGCTGAGTGTTTATAAATCTGCAGATGTGAATGAGCTGTAGATCTGTTTCATTTTCCACCTCTCTTTACCTCCATCTTCTCTCTCTACGTAGTTCTGGGCTCAGCTTTGAAGATTCCAAAGAGCTGACAAAGCCTGATCTGAATCAGGAGTCTGCTGGGCCCCATCAGACAAGAACTGCGGCTCAGGTACTGGTGGAATCCAAGGGCGCTAAGGACAACAGGCAGAGGGATGCTGATAACTCCGTAGCAGCTGAGGGCCGTATGAGGCCAACACAGGAGCTTCTGAAGACACAGCCTGCTCAGAGAGTAGCAGTCTCCACCACAGAGCCCATGAGGACACGGCGCGCTCACCAAGCCGAGGAGCGCAAGTTGAACACGGCAGCACAGTCTGGGCCTGTAGTGGCAACACAGGAGGTTCACAGGCATACAGATCAAGCAGCTGTCGATACTCTGCCTGCAAAAGGGCAAAAAGAGGAGGTGAAGAAGGAGCCCCCACAGTCACTTGTGATCGAGAGCAGTCCACAAAAGGCTAGCTCACAGTTAAGAGAGGATCAGCCGGCGTCTGCAGTTAAGCCTGCTGAGGAAAGTGGAGAGGTCATCTCTGAGCCCAGCGGTCCCTCAGAGCCACAGAAAAGGAAATCAGTCAGTGAGATGGGGGAGGAAGTGACACCAGAGAAAAGGTCCCGAATGTCCTCAGTTTCCTCCGTGTCTTCAGTCTCTTCTGTTTCTCCTCCTGCTTCATCCATATCCAGCCCGGCAACACCCACTTCTGCAACAAATCAAAGGGTGCCTCCACTTAAGGTAGAGAAACATCTCCTCTGATCTGTCTATCTGATCTTTGAGTGTGTCAAAAACTCACTGCTTTGATGCTAGAAAGGTGGCTCTCACAAGTTCCAGCTGGGATTCCAAGTCCTTAGATCTTGTATCTGTGATAGGAGGATAAAGTGACAGAGGAGGGGAACATCTCTGGTTTAATTTACGTGTTTTTTGATGAATGCACATTTGATATAATCTCTTTTTTCACCCTGCAGATCCCTGTGTCAAGAATACTTCCCATTCCTGTGTCACCAAGCCAAGTCTCACCAAGGACTCCCCTCAGCAGCCCGGGTCGCACCGGAGCTCGTACTTTGGCTGACATCAAAGCTAAAGCCCAGCTTGCTCGTGCACAGCGAGCGGCGGCTGCAGCAGTATCAGCGGCATCGAAGGGGGCGGTGCCGGGTCCAGGACCAGGAGGTGGCAGGAGTGAGCAGCCATCGCCCAGTCCCAGCCCAACATCCCCACATGCACCGACCAGGTTATCAGCCTCTGACAGCAGCAGCAATCAGACCACTACACCTCCACCCCGCCTGTTGGACTCTTTAGACCAGCTGAGTCCAAATCGACCTCAAATGTGTTTTTCAAGCAAAACTGACGATAGACACAAAAGTCATTCAGTCGGTTTAGGCGTTCAGAGGAGCTCAAACACATCAACGCAACCCACTCCCTCATCTGTGCACGCCACAAAAGGACAGGAAATCCCTTCACCTGTTGGATCATTAACCAGGACAAGCTCCTGTATCCCCGCAAACAACCCTCTGGTCACTCAGCTCCTTCAGGGCAAAGAGGTTCCACTGGAGCAGATCCTCCCTAAGCCGCTATCTAAGGTGGAAGTGAAGATGTTGAATGTGCCACCTGTGAGTAAGGGAAAGACATCGCACTCTGCTGAGCACAGGACTGATAAGCAAACCTCCCACCAGTTAAATACTGCAGGTAGAACGGGAGTTTTCTCCGAATACACAAGACATCACAGGGAACTTCCTGATAAAGAGACTCAAGAGCAGATCCTGCAGGCCCTCATGCAGAGGAAAAGCCAGCAGACCCAGGCCTATGGTGTCATGGGGCCTCAGCAACATCAGTACAGACCCCATCAGCTGGTGTATGCAGAAGAGAGCCAGGACCAGTCCAGGCTCTCTATAGGGTTTCTCAGTCGTAGGAGGACGCCCAGGCCTGCAATGACAGGACACTATCTGCTCAACGTGTCCACATATGGCAGAGGATCTGAGAGCAGGAGACTGCAGCAGTCCGCCACCCTAAATATGTCTTTGTCCGGGTTAAAAAGGGAAAGCACAGAAGGAGAGGATGCGGGTAAGGATGAAGAACCCGCCAGGAAAGTTTTCTCTCCTGTTTCAGGGGTCAAAACAGAGCAGCAGGGATTCTCAATAAGCAAGTTTGATGAAGCGGTGAGCGCTCAGCATTGCTCCAATATCAAGACTGAGCCTGGATCAGAGGACAGTGCAGCTGGTGCAGAAAACAATAGTCCCAGTGCGACAGCCAAAGACACCAGCTCTTATTTTCTGCCAAACAGAAGGCATCCCGAACTCTGCAATAGTAATCAAGGAAACTCCGAGCCATATCTTTCCCAAGTGAACCCCAGTCACCAGCGGCTATCTGCCTTTCAGCCCCAGAGAACACTCGATAATCAGGAGCCCGTGGCAACTTCCTGCTACGGCGGCACTATCAGCATGTCTGTACCTCACACTTTGAACCACAGTACCGCGGGCACCGGCTCCTCTGCGGCCTCAACAGAGGTCGACGGTGGCGGCGTCCATGGGAGCGTTATGTCTTTCTCCGTGACCGTCACCACCATCCCCGCTGGTCACTCTTTGGACCACGGAAACCAGGGCGAGCCGTCGCCTGAGCAGTCGTTCATGGAGGGCTCCAACATGGACGACATGCAGTCCAAATGCTACTGCCGACTGAAGGCGATGATCATGTGCAAAGGCTGCGGGGCCTTTTGCCACGATGACTGCATCGGCCCATCCAAACTGTGCGTGTCATGTTTGGTCGTGCGATGATATAAAGTGAATAATCACAAGATGGCGTGGATTGATTTGTATTGAAGCGAGGCACAAAGCAGAAGCAGACTGCTCAGAATCAATACGAAATCAATGACGTGGCAACGCAAATTCGCCATGCTAGAGCAGGGAGGGTCCTGATGGGAAAAGCAAGGGTTTACACTGGACGGTCTGCTGTCTCACCAACATCTATGAAAAGTTGTTTTGTGCAATCTCTTTGGTAGAAATGTCAGCTTTCAATCAAATCAGTAGTCTGTCAGATGTTTGACGAATATCGGCTCTGGCAATGTTTGCACTCGGGTAGGATTAGTGAGATCTATTTTTTTAAATATAAATGTGTAGTTTTTAAAAAAAAAGGAGGGAAAAATGAATGTTGCTATTTTTGTAGAACATGACTGTTTTGTGTTTTAGACTGACACTTTTCTTATTGGACCTAATCAGTTATGGTTAGAGGCAAAAAAGGGCGTAAGTGATAATCATTGGTTGTAGAGTACCTCCTATTTGGCATTTATGCACGTATGGCAGGGAAGTGCAACTTACAGTGACTATTTTATATAAACTGTACATTTATTACTGAACACACTCAGATTTTAGAAAGGTAATATAAAAGGAACTTTGAATGATAAGTACACCTGTTTAGATTGCACATCACGTCGTTTTTTTGACTTAGATTTACAGGGCGAAGCACTCACAAACAACACGGATACATGGTAGTTACTGTGTACAGCACTTACACTCAGAGATATGGAAAAAGAAGAATGAGTAATATATAAATGCCTGAGATCTTTTCCACTCCAGGATCAGATCTGTAGTCACCTCCTACTGTGTGAAGCTGCATTTTCTCCCTAAGAAGCCAGTCTGTACATATATATCCTCCGATGAGGTGTGTTTTCACACACGTCTACTGTATTTCTGTACAGACTGAGTACAGCAGTGGCAAACACACACAAACAAACAAAAAGAAACACTCAAGGCAATGGGAGAAAATGGAGATCGATTTTGTTTTCTATCTGTAAATAGTTGCTCATTAACGGTATATTCCTAGATGTAGAAATTTATTTTATTTGTGCAGCACACCTTGCTTGAGCATATCCAGCTGTTTATTGCAATTCTTTTGACTGTGGAAGAAAAAAAAACAGAGCAGTAAGTTCTGCTAAAATGCTAAATGCTTTATCATGGAGTGATTGAGCATGTCATGCTTCAGTTTAACTAATGATTTGGAGGTACAAAATGACACCTGATTAATTGCAGATGCAGCACTTCGCTTCAAAATGGCGTTTTCAGGAGATGTACAACAGTGATGCACGAAATAATCCTGCATCAATGCTTACTTTGCCACGAGTGAATGTGTAGAAAAAAGAAGTAAAGATTTACCTCTGCAAAGTTTTCAGATGTTAATGCGAAATGCAAATTGAGACGCGTTATTTGAATTCTCCTGAAGGTGCAGAGTGGGCTTGTTTTACAGCAATTCCTTCAAAGGTAACATGCCAAAGTCACCTTTATGAAAACAAAATAATCAGAACTTTTTATTATCTGACTAGTTAATCAAAGTAATATATTTTAATTAATATATTTTAATATAAAAAATCTATTTGCTAATTGTTTTTGAAAATCAACAGGGTATTTACTATGATAATATATTGGCTGTCGGTTTTTCTTCTACACTTGTTAAAACTGGACAGGCTAACCTGCAGAAAATAACTTGACTTTTTATAAATCAAATTGCCCAGGTATCAATATTCTGAAAGGCCTGAGGATTTTTAGCGGATCCACTGGTCTTTATTTTTCATAGAGATGTTGTCTAATACGTGTGTTTCTTTTTAGCTGTCTACATTTGTGTCATTACCTTATGGAAACTAAACAATTTTTTTTAAAGCATCATTTTTAGGTCAATGGATTAAAGTCCATTTTTAAATGTCTGTGATATTGATGGGAGGTTGTCTTGTGGAAAAGGGTTTTACAACTGTAGGGTTAGAATCACAAATTTAGCTTAGTCATCTCACTAAATTTGGTGTACCAGTATCAGAATTATTTGAAACACGTTTAGTTTATCCCCCATGAATATAAACTGTAGGTCTTATTTGGTTGAATGTGATGTTTTAATATTTACTCATGTAGAGTCGGGGACTGAATTGCATTGCAAAACTATTAACAAAAAAAAACATCATCATCCACCTGAAAGGCAGCTGAAATCTAGGTTAATAATGACTGAAACGCTGCAGTCCTCACTGTCACTCACGTTAGCTGTTAGGTGTGCGTTCAGAGGAGAGGTTCCTTCAGAGGGGTCAAGTGTCATGGACAATCAAAATGATCTTGAAATGTCACAGTTATCACTAGCTGAATTTGTTTAACATGTCTGTATCATTTCATCTCCATTTAAACTCCAGGTGAATGTAATATAGTAATCAGCACTTGTAAACAAAGTGTATTTTATCAAAAGTAATAGACTATTATGAATAAATAATGAAAAGGAAAATGTTGATTTGTGTGTTGATTGTTCGCCTTTTGGTTCCCTCTTACGGTGGCCAAGAGCCGTCACTGCTGCAAATAAAAAAGAATGCAAAAAAAAGAAGCCACAACGAAAGTTACAGATGCAAAAAAATAAATAAAAAAAAGAAACGGTGCAGATAAAAAAAAAAAAAAACACAACAGATGTTAACGACACAAAAAAAAGGGGCGATGCAAAAAAAAAAAAAAAAAGTTACTGCAAAAATAGAAGGATGCAAATAAAAAAAGCCACAACGGAAGTGAGCTGCCGGGTACCAATAATGGTGATGCACCGGATTTTTACGACGTAGGCACAGAAGAAGACGGCAAGAAGACGAGAAAGAAGTAAGTGGCCTAACCAAATGACACATCGAAAGGTTTACGAGGCAAAATTAAACAATAACCATTTCACTTACTTATTTGCTCGTCTTCTTGCTGTCGTCTTCCAGGCCTTGATTGTAAAACACCAGTGAATCATCATCATTGGTTCCCTGCAGCTCACTTACGTTCAGTGTTGTTTTTGTTGACGTTGACGAAAACATTTCGTGATCGTCAATGAAAACAACACTGCAGAATATATGTTTAGCATTTGACTGACAAATGCTTATGAATTTTGCTACTCTGTTAGTCGTCCTTTTTTTTTTTTAACCATCGTCACTTTTTTTTTTGCGTCGTTAACTTCCGTTGTGGCTTTTTTAAAATCTGCACCATTTCTTTTTTTTATATGCAGCAGGCTTTGGTTTGTTTTTGTTTTTTTGCATAGGTAACTTTTGTTGTGACTTCTTTTTTCTTTTTGCATTCTTTTTTATTTGCAGCAGTGGCGCTTCTCAGCCACCGTACCCTTTGATTCATTTTGTGAGTGAAAATCGACATTATTATAAGACATTTGAAACGGGAACCCTCTCACACAGATGGTACGGTGTTGCATTTTGGGAAATGTAGGACAAGGTGTGCCTTTAAGCTCCTTCTGTCAGGATATCGCTGTCTCTGCTGAAGTTCATTCATTCAGTTTTTGATTTCTCCACGTTTATGAAAGAGCAGACCCGTGTGTCTGAATGGCCCTTTAAAAATACATTTCCTCTGTTTTTCTCTTCTCTTTTATGTTGGTCATAATTCAGAAAGCAGCAATAGTAGTAGTGCGCCTTTAACCAGCGTGCGTGCGCACATGCGTAAACTATAGTAGGTGTTCGCGCATGGCATCTCCGTGCCTGCTCGCGCTCTGCTCTGCCGTCCTCTGCCGCTGGGTCGCTGATGATGCCGCGCGGAGCGGGGCGCTCGTACGTTTCTGTGTGCGGCTACAACCGCAGTTGTCAAGACTGAAGTCGGATGAAACAGGAGGAGGAGAGGAGGTTCAAAAACGATGATGGATCACCGGGGCTCTTCCTCTTAGCGCGGACAGCTGTAACGTCGGCGGACACGCGCGTGGATTCATCAAAGGTGAGAGTGCGGCGGTGAATCACGGAGGAAATATCCTCCTTATTCGCCCTGGACCACTTATCCTCCTCATCTGCTGCTGCTGCTGCGATGATGATGATGATGATGGTGATGCTGTAAACGCAACCTGCGTGATTTTCCCCGTTAGAGGCCACTTCACCGCTCTGCCTCTCGCTCGGCTCATGAAACAAGTGAGAAAATGAAAAGATGCGGGATCGCTATTGTTTCTTTCCCACAATTTGATGAGCATCACGACACGGCATTCCCGTTGCGGAAATAAGGTAAATAGGCATTTAAACTGCAATATGGCTGCGTTTGTGCGCTGCCGTGGCTTCAGGAGTGAAGATTGAAGTGTTGCAGGATGGCTCAGTGAGAGAAATGAGGCTTGGAGAAACCGAGAAGTTAATGATATCAGCGGAAGGGAGGCACTGCAGTAACACAGTCCTAATGTTGACTCGCGTCAAAGGATGTTGTCATTACCTCTCAGCTGAAGGTGCGGTTATACTTTCACGCACCTTGGTGGGCCTGTGATGGTAAATACACGGCAAAGAGGGATGACACCAAAACCAGTCTGAGGTTTTCATTATTTATGAGTAAATGAGTGGATGAAATTGACAGGAAACCGATGACTTCAGACTCTATCTCTGTGATTCTGGTCTGTTATTCTCGTCATGTATGAAAAACTTACATCTATGAACTTATCTGACATGAAATAATCAACGCATGTACCAAAGTGTCATTTCCTGCCATGCACTGCTTCCATTTTTTTCTTGCCAATGCAAGGCCTGAGTTGCCTACTCATGAATTTCTGCAGTTACTTCATAGGCTGAATATTTACAATGAACCATTGTGATATTCGGCTGACAGGAGTCTGCTGGGTCTCCCACTGAAAATGTTCTCTCACTGAAGTGCAGCAGAGCCTCTCTGTTGTATCAATACACAAGCTTTGCATGGGTAGAGTGCATGTTACCCTGTTCAGATACAAATATGAAGAGGTTGGTCAAGTGTCTTTAAGAGCCATCGGTGACTGTCCTGACTGAGTTTCTGTCATAGTTTGACATTTCGGAGTCATAAAACAGCTGTTTTTGGGAAGACAGAGTGATTTGAGACTCTTAGACTTTTATGTGCTGGAGGTGAAATCAGGTGACACAGCTGGTCAATTAATCAAAGAGTCACCCGCAGAAAAATACATGGCAACTACTTTTAGTTTCTCTAAAGTAATACATTTTCTAACTTCTCAGAGACAAAGGTTTCCTTAGCTGTCTAGTTCGGCCACAACCCCTCAAATACTACCTTCATTCATTACTTAGATGTAAACGGTCAATTTTTACAGTAAAGCTGCAACTAGAAAATGTTCAAAGACATTTCAAAGATGAATAATTAGGCAAAAAATTGAACTTTTTGATGAAAATATTCAGTTTTAGTGGTAGACATGGAACAAAATGTAGCACTGAGAGAAATAAATGTTAACTTGCAGTTGAACATTTCAGGTGAGTGTCACTGCAACACATAGATTTTCATCATTTTTAAACTGGGGTTGGCAATTGATTTTAACATGGGGCCACATGAGAAACCTGAACTGTGTTGGAGGGCCGAACCAACAATAACTTCAACTTCAAATCAGGGGGGTTCACACATACAGAAAAGCCAGCCCAAATAAGGAACTACTAGTTAAAAACAAGCCCCAAAAAAGTGCATCCACAACTCATAAGTTTTACAAGCAACTTCTGAGAATAAAAAGCCTAAAGGCGTTTATAATAAGCGGACTTGTCAACTATAAGGCGTCTTCGTATATTTTGCCGATGTTTAAACTTGTCTCTGTTCACGAATGCAGATCTAGGATGTACACACGTGCGTCCAAACGGAAACAAAACAACGGCTAGGTCTTTAAAATAAAAGCAACACACTGTTGGTGATTTGATTGACGGACCTCACGAAGGGCCAGATGTGGCCCTCGGGACGTAAAATACCTAGGTCTGTTTTAAAGCTACTGTGAGAAGTTTTTAGCTGGTTGTGAAATGTAAACTGATGCCACTTGATGACGTATAAAAGCAATTGAGGCGATCATGTAGAAGTTTGACTTTTTAAAAGGCCTTGATTTAAATACCTGAAATCTGTACAGTATAAGACAAAATCAGCCATGTGATTCGATGAACATCTTTGTCCACAAACCAAAAGTTCCTCACAGGAGCTTTAATATACGTAATTTTGAAAAAGTGACTCTAATATAAGTCAGGGATTCCTTCTATATCGCAAAGACACACATTTTAGTGGCGTCTGCACCCTCCATCGAAAACTTGAATTTAGACCCTGATTTGAACCTGGACAAGGATACCTATTTAAATACTTTTGCATTTCAGTTGATTAGGTCATTTTAAAGGCTATTGCAGATGCCTCTGACCAACATTCAAAAGCAGTCAAACACAGGCCAAAGTGGTTTCAAAATAAGACTTTAGGGAGGTAACCCTTGCTTTTTGATCACGCTCTGCTGGTCAGCTGATCCCTCAACCTGAGCATGAGTGAACACACCTTGAACATGCAAACCATCCGGTTATGCTTTCTCTGTTCGAGGCCACCCAGAGCTTCTCCCTCATCGGCCGGCTGCACCGTGCTCCATGTCCGTTATCATTAAGTGGTTTCTCTGCAGCTCGGTCAGTGTCATTAGCCCACAGGATGCAGTCACTGCTGAGCGCGATGTCATGGAGAATTATCATTCGCACAGACCACGGGCGTTGGAGTGTTTTCCCCAGCCAGCTCACCGATATCTCTACAGGAAGAGAGGGAGGGGAAACAAAAGCACAAATTGAGAGTTAATGAAGTCCTTGAAGGAAAGAGAGAGGAGGGGGGAAGTGTTAATTACTTATTTAAAACTCAACTACATTTTGTCAGCGAGGAAAAGCTTATCTCTCTGAAGTAGAAAGGCATCTTCATTAACTCTCTCAATGTGTTTTTTTCCTTACAGGGTCGACGTTCAAGGCTCCACTTTGTTTGACATACAGCCCAGGACAGGTAAATACTGTACGTTTTTTATTTTTTTAGCTAACTTTGACAAATAGAAGAAGTTTTTTTTACAGCACTGCTCAGGAAACAAATAGTTTGAGCTAATCCATTCCACATAGTCTGTATGTTTATGTATTCTTCAACAAAAAGCTGGTGTGTCTGCAAAGCTCTGGCCTACAGGGTAAATAATATATAAAAAACACAATGTATTCTTTGTTTAAATATAATTATATAACTCATAAGAGCTGACCATATGACAGGAGGAAGAGTGCACATAGATATTTATAGGATGTTTATTGATGAGATATATGCCCAGTCTTCCCACACAGGCATATTCTAGATATTTTCTTAAATTTTGCCTGGAACAAAAGCCACATTAATCATCCTCATTTGCAGTGTTTGCGCTTGATTTTTGACAATGAAAAATGCTGCGGTCTATTTATCAACATGCTGCTGTCTGAACAGTAAGCGCTGCATGCTCTGCTGTCTGATGTGCCGCAGGATGATCGAGGAAGGCAGTAAACGAGGCAAGGCCATGGTGGAGAAGAGACAGCTCTTCATGGAAATGAGTGAGTGGAGTCGACTGAGAGAAATATCTATTCACTATTCATAGTCAGCAGCAGCTCTTGTTATTCTCTGACTGGCTCCAAGTTGCGCAGGAGATACGTGGTCCTTCACACATACAGTATAATTCCCCCCCACGCATGGACAGAAATAGTGTAAAAATATTCCTAAAATGAGCCTGATTGTATTTGAAGAGAGCTTTTTTAGGAATAGCTTAAAAGGAGGTGTGATAATTCATGCTTTTATTTTGCAGGAGCTCAAAACTTTGACGTTATAAGACTGTCGACTTACAGGACTGCCTGCAAACTTCGATTTGTGCAGAAGAGATGCAACCGTAAGCACGTGTTGATTCTTGAAAAACTGCTCTGACGCTGTGTAAGCTGTAAAAACGTTCATCCAAACATGATCACAGACTTGAATGACCACTTCCTGTCTGTTTGCACCCCCGTCACAGTTCACCTGGTGGACGTCTGGAACATGATCGAAGCCTTTCGCGACAACGGGCTCAACACGCTGGACCACAATGCGGAGATCAATGTGTCGCGGCTGGAGACGATCCTGTCTTCCATTTACTACCAGCTTAACAAGCGGCTGCCCACCACACACCAGATCAATGTGGACCAGTCCATCGGACTGCTGCTCAACTTTATGGTGGCCACCTATGACAGGTAAGGGTCAGGTGCAGAATGTGGACTGAGTAACTCCTCAGGTGGAGCTCCATTTCTTGACAGGCTGCTGTACACACTGCAAAGCCTTTTCCATGTTAACAGATGGGACATGGATTAGACCTAAACATTAAAAAAAAACATGCAAGCTTTTTTTTCTAGGGGTGATGCTGGCCTAGCAGTCCAAGCATGAGCCTCTATGGAAGTTATGCCTGAAGCAGATCTGATACTAGCTTGCGGCTCCTTTCCTCACTCTGCTTTTCCATTTCCAATCCTCTGAAACAAAAGCAAAAAAGCCCAAAAACAAAGAAAGAAAGAAAGAAAGAAAGAAAGAAAGAAAGAAAGAAAGAAAGAAGTTTCATCACAGATGTTTGTAACTATCAAGTAGGAAGCTTCAAATTGCCTTGTTTGTTTCCTAGTTGGTTCATCAAAACTGACAAACCAAGCAGACTAGTCTAAAGTTAAGAAAAAAGTCAGACAACAGTCAAAGCTGCGTACAGTTTATTTAAGACTAACGACTACTGGGATCACACTGTGGTTAAACAATGTCAAATTGGTCTGTGGCATGTGTCAACCATTAGCAGATCTAGCACCACCAGCGTTTGGGCAAGAGGAAAAGCCTGCCAAACCATGCTACAGTATAAGACAGCCTCCAGGTTGTGGACTATTAAAGCGTTTTGGTGGTAGTAGTTATCAAGATTTTAGTCAAACAGGAATAAAAATCTTAATAACATGTTAAACCAACTTTTAACTCTGTTTCATATTAGTGAGGTAACAAATTTTGCCTCTTAGTCCCATTCTCTGTTGTTTCTGCTCCTTCAGACAGTGAAGATTTACTGCTTTCCCTCTCCTATCCTTTGAAAAAACTCTCTCCATGTTGGTTCTGTCTTTCCATGGAGCTTGAGAATGGAAAATTTGAAAACGTTGCAGGGTCACTGCCCTACTTTTTTAGACACACATTTAATGAAATTTTAAATGCTGGATTTAGCCCAAGCAGAATTGGCCATGAGTCCCTGGATTTTCACAAAACTTACCCAAAACAAAACTCAACTTTCCCCACTGCTAGCCTCTTCACAAACAGCCCATTTATCCAGCTTTAAGGGCTCAAATATCTTTGTAATAAACTGCAAAATGTTCAAAAAAATACAGATGCTGCTCTGTGTGACATGGGAGATAGAAATGTGTCTCCGGTTCACTGTACATCCCTGCTCTTAATGTCTAGTCTGCGCTCAAGGCCTCTCCCTCTGAGTACAGAGGTTTATTATTGACCGTGGAGCTCTCTCTCATTATTGTACCTTGTGTGCTCCAATTGATTGGCTGCTTGCCCTGCCCATTCATTGACCCGTTCAATTGGTTTACTTTTATCTGTAAGGCCACTCCGACCTCGCTCTGTTATTACTCCTGCTGCTCTATCTGCGGGAAACTCGGTGGAAACGACCGCCTGCGATCGCAGGAAGCAGTTTCACTATCTGTCCCCGAGGTCTTAACTGAATTATAGGCAAAAGAGCTTTCATGTACTGCGTTACCTCTGCTCCAGAGCAGAGGCTAAATGAATGTGAAATGAAAGAGCGGCTCTCTGATGGCAAGTTAGTAAGATTTAAGGAGTCTCGAGTCAGCTTTATAATGACCTGGAAACACTGAGTTAATCTGAGATTTAAGGATTAGCTCATGATTTTTTACATTTCATACACTGTTAGAAACGCACTGTTGTTTTTATAATGTTGTTTTAAAGGATTTTAATGTTGATCTTGGTGTCAAGTTTTTGTCTCGTTTAATAGAAATGAAAAAATAAAAATAGAGAAAAAATGAAATTTCCTCAGAGTGGAAAGGCCGAGGACACGGCAAATGTTCAAGTCTTCTGTCATATGCAAATCTACAGCTGCAGCCTCTGTATGTGTCTGGGATTACTGCTAAAACCCTCCCAAATACATTGTGTATCAAAATACGGTTGCACCTGCTTTATAATCTCAGCTGTGCATCCATAAGAAACTTTTTAATTAGACAAATTTCTCCAAGGGAACCTTCCCAAAAGGATCAATAAAGTTCTATCTAATCTAATTTTATCTAATCTGATCTAATCCAATCTAATCATGCATGCATTTGTGAAGCTATTTCTGCAGTTTGGTGAAAATTGCGCAAGTTTGTGAATCACATCTGGTCCAAATCTTGTGTTTTTTTTATTTTTTTTATTGTTATTAACATTTAGCATTTCTGTGCTCATCATCATTCCCTTTATGTTACATGAAGAGGGCCAAACCAACAATAACTTCAACTTCAAATCAGGGGGTTTCACAGATACAGAAAAGCAAGCCCAAATAAGCAACTACTAGTTAAAAACAAGCCCAAAAAAGCACGGCTGTGACTCACGAGTTTTACAAGTGACTTCTGAGAGAAACAAGCCTAAAGTTGTTTGTAATAAGTGCACTTGGCAACTATAAGGGATCTACGAATATTTTGCCGATGTTTAAACTTTTCTCTGTTCATGAATGCAGATCTAGGATGTACACACGTGCGTCCAAACAGAAATAAAACAATGGCTAGGGTTTCAAAATAAAAGCAACACACTTGTATAGCATGTTGATGATTTAATTGACAGACCTGATGAAGGGCCGGGCAGGGACATCCAAAGGGCCGAATGTGGCCCTTGGGTTGTAAAATGCCCAGGTCTGCTCTAGAGGGTTTGCACCATAAGGCCTCAACATCACCTTTGTGCCTGAGTCTGGATTAGCAGACGTTAATCATGGTTTGTATTTTCAATATATATCGACCACCGTCTTTGGTTTTAGGGTAGGAAATTAGGAAACTAAACTTTGACACAATGGTCAGCTCAAGCATATTTTTCATATTCCACTGGTTAAATACAAACTCAAAGAAAGGGCATATATAAAATAACTCCAAACATAATTCATGTCTTGATCCCACAAAAAAGGTTGATTTCAAACTTTTGTTTTGAACACTGAGATTTCACTGCGTAAGTCACACATTCTTGCTCTGATGAAATATCACATTTGTTTGCAATTGCAGTGAGAGTCATGGAAAGCTGACAGTTTTCTCAATGAAAGCCATGCTGGCGACAATGTGTGGAGGAAAAATAGTGGACAAACTACGCTGTGAGTACATTTCAAAGCACCTTAAACACAGCATGTTTAACACAATCGCTCTGTCTCTATATAAGCTCTATGGGTTTTCCCTGATTCTCTGCAGTCTGATGTCATTGTAAACTCGTTTCCAGGGTATTTTGGGTCAGAGCATCTTCATGTAGTTCCTCTGCTTGAACACACAGGGGCGCTGTTGTAACATGTCTGCAGAGTTAATCTATCTTCCACTGTGCATATTTTAACTTTATGCTGAGTGCACAGACCGTCTAGGGATCAATAATATGCAGTCACAAAAATGTCAAAAGCCCACTTTGCACTCTGTTCCTGCTAAGAATATTAAGTCTGACATTTGCTGTCTCAGATATTTTCTCGCAGATCTCAGACTCAAGTGGAGTCATGATGTTTGCAAAGTTTGATCAGTTCCTGCGCGAGGTGCTGAAGCTCCCCACAGCCGTGTTTGAGGGCCCCTCTTTTGGCTACACGGAGCATTCGGTGCGGACGTGCTTCCCTCAGCAGGTATGAGGGGAATACTGAACGACCCAGACTGATTTTTCCTCTCCGTCTCTATAATCTCTATAACTGATGTTCTATTTGTTTCTATGTGTTTCTATCCAGAAGAAGATCATGCTGAACACGTTTTTGGATGTGTTGATGGCTGATCCTCCCCCTCAATGTCTTGTTTGGTTACCGCTCATGCACCGACTTGCAAATGTTGAAAATGGTAAGATCCAGTTTCTACTTGCATTAACAAACCAAAACAAGACTCTGAGTATACATATCAGCGAAATAAGATAAATATTTGTCCAATCATGTCTTAGTAGCTTGATTTAAGCGTAATGTTTACTTATTTCAATATAAAAGGACCTAAATCCTCGTTATTTTTATTGTCCTTGTCACTGCTCAGTCTTCCATCCGGTGGAATGTTCATATTGCCGGAGCGAGAGCATGATGGGTTTCCGGTATCGGTGCCAGCAGTGTCATGGCTACCAGCTCTGCCAGAGCTGCTTCTGGCGTGGCCATGCCAATGGTCCCCATAGCAACCAGCACCAGATGAAGGAGCATTCATCGTGGGTAAGACAAAGCCCTGATCAATCCTGATTTTAAATCCCGCTGTTCCCTTTTTGAAACAATCAAAGCGTCAATACCTCTGTGAGAAAGTAAAACGATTTCACATTATAGCTGAGCATCCAGACGCTCTCTACGTTTCCTGTCCTCTCAGAGCAACACGAGGGGGAGTTAATGGGGTTTCAATCATTTTGGTAAATTAAATTCTATTGATTGGATATGCTGTGTTGCCTGATATTAATGCTGTATGTCACAGACATTGTATCCCAAATCAAATCCCCAATCCTATTCCTCATAAACAAGTGAGTCTCCCTGAGACTTGATAACAAGAGTGTATGAAACACAAATCAGTGACTGTTATAAAATATATTTATGGTTTATATCACAAAGAACGGCCTGATAAATCTTAGTACTCTCAACACAAAACTGATTTAAATCAAGACCAGCTTGTATTTAAGACTTAGTTTTCAATATTGTCCTGTGTTTAAAATCATCTGTGCTGCATCATTTTGACAGGGTGCAGGGTTGTTGTCATATCTGTTACTGTTTCACTTCTGCTGTATTTCATTGAGGTTCACAGGGTAGATTATTAATAGAAAGGCAAGGCTTCTATTTTTTCTTATTAGATGTAAACTAACAAGTAAACTCAAAAAAAAATGGGGAAAAAAGGAAAAATTGGAAAAAAATAAAAATAAATAAAGCCAGTGTCAATTTTTTTTTTGCTAAATTTTTAAGGTACAGTTTTTAAGGCTGTATTTCATGGTGCTGCTTATAGGGTTTTGAAATCATCTCCATTACTCAGTCAGATGTAGCTTGATCTATCAAGTTGGAAACAGCTTACATGGAGCAATGTTCATATAAAAAATGAAACATCTCAACATAAAATGCTCTCTTTAAGAAGTTATACTCATATTATGTTGCGTGTTAACAGTGTTTTTGTGTATGAGTACTTTTAAAAAAATGATAAACTTGCCCTTTTAGAGACGCTCACTACCTGCTTATGCCACGGTCTGAACAAAACTGATATACAGCTGAATTCTTAAGTGACAAGCCATTCAAAGCACCCTATAGTCCCCTTTGGGAATGACTTAAACACACATTAACCTCAAAATCTGAAACTTTGCTTCTGTTCAGTACTGTAGTCTAACATTTTCACTGAACAGTTGTTTTCAAAATAGGATAAATGCAGAATACCACCTCTGTAAACTTAGGAAATGTACGCAGCACGACTGGATTGTGTTTCTTAAAAGTCAAAAATTTTAAACAGGGATTAAAAAAAAACTGTACGGTACTTTGATTAAATTGTTTAAGTAGACTGTAGAAGCGGAGAGAGTAAATGTGGGTATTTATGCACAGATATCTCGGCCACCTTTGCCTATGTCAGCACTCTGATTTGGCCACCATGGTTGAAAAAGCCTCATCACACCCCTGATGCATAATCACCAACTTTACAAGGTGCTTCCTAGTATTTGGCCCTCACCTCTGTTCATAAAATTGAAATGAGACTAAATAAGTCAAAGGCAACAGCAATACATAAAAGTTCAATGACACCAGAGTCTGTATTTCATGCTGGTCTTCACCTCCGGACTTGAAGTAATACTCTCGAGTCCTGCCCTTATTTTGACAGAATGACCTCCAGAATCGAAGCCATATTTTCATTGAGCCTTAAGGTCCTGTAAGAGTTACTGTGGTTGTCAGAAACATGTTAAAAGAATTTATTACAACGTTGATTTATCAGGTGAAAGAGCGCAAGGGGGAACTTTTAACTTTCTAAAAGTTCTCTTCTAACAAACTCGACAGTCAGATGATAAAAACACAAAAACTCTAATCACACGGCTGACCTCAGTTCCCCACATGACATAGAAGAAGAAGAACAGACTCATTGTGTTGCAGTTTTGTGAAGTAGCAGATTTAAACACTTCCTGAATCTGCACAAACTCCTGCTGATGCACACTTCTGACACAGTAAACAAATCGTTGACCCAGTTATGCAAACTACCTCTGAAAACAGTTTCCACTAACAGAGCACTATAATACCTCTCGACTTATTAAAAACTTAAACGTGATGGAGTCTTCATTTCTTCCCCGCAGAAGTCTCCGGCCAAAAAGCTGAGCCACGCAATCAGTAAATCTCTGGGCTGCGTCCCCATCGGAGAACCGCCGCATCCTGTGTTCCCCGAGCAGGCGGAGAGGCCGCAGGAGCTCACTCACACCGTGTAAGTCCCGTCCACAACACATTTATAACCACTACATGTGTCACTCATGAGGGAAACCCAACTCACAGCACAGCATGGCTCAGTGTGCTCATGATCTACAGTCTGCTCTTGTCATGTTACGGCCTCCATCTTTCCATTTCTCTGTCACCACATGACTGATGGAGAGCCATGATGCTGAGATGTCAGCCCATGATTATTCGCTAACGTGGAAACAGTGATATATACTCGGCAGGCTCAGCTGCAGCCGTCCCCGTAAGCCTGTTGGCAGTGAAACATGTATGTTGGTGTAAATCTCACATGCAGCTTTGAAAGTCATTATAGGAAATGCAATATATTACAGTCGGCTGCTGTCTTTTAGCCTGCGCACTCATTTACATTTCAGTTGAAAACGGCAGGATTTCCATAATCAGTTCCAGCACATCGATGCAGCCATAAGGGTCCACACTGATACAGTTTTTTCTGTTTCTGACCAGTTACACTAAATTCTGGTGCTTCCAACGGGACAAACTCTGTAATATTTCAGTTAAAGGGGGTGATTAATGGTTTCTGTTTGTCCGTGGCCTTAATAAGATCGCTGGAAATCCCTCAACTTTCTTATTCGAGCCGACGACATTCCTCATGGCACATTTCATAACGCAATCCTGCTTCACATCCCAGTCACGACCGTACAGCTAAGCTGTGTGTGTGTATGCCTTTGCTGCTGGCAAGTGTCACTGAGTAATTGATAGTGGGGGGAGAAAACCAGCTCAGCCAACGCCAAGAAAAATAGACACAGCGTAAATACATCAACATGATTTTGTGTTCTGCTGCGTGAAAGCTACCATCATCTCTGAATCAGCTCTTACATCCATCCTCCGCCAGCTGGTCAGAAGTTTTTTTTTTTTTTTCTATTTCTGCATTGTGCCCAAACTTATGCATTTAAGATGAAGTTTACATTTGCATAAATTTACCATTCATCATATCACAGAGTCGAGGCTCGTCTTAGATGTTTACTCATCCAGCTGAGAGATGAGACGATTGGATTAGCCCGTCCTGTATGGCTGTTTAGCATGAAATTACATCACGCAAGTAGATTAATATTGATGAAGATAACGTTTGTGACTAAACTACTTTGGATTAGGACTCTGCTGTGCCCACAGCATGTAATAATCCTCAATGCTTACTTTTTGTGACACTGATTTATGTGAATGATGGAGGCCTTAAAATCCTTCTGGTTGTTGAACAATAAGTTGAGTGTCAAGGCCAAATTAAAGAAGAGATAATGATGAGAATAAAGCTGAAATATTCCAAGAAAAGAGGTGTAATACTACAAAAGTTGGAGTGCCTGTGTGTTATTAAGTTTGGGCGATGTTGGAATAGCTTTTGCACAGTCTGTTCAGGATTGATAAACGATCACTGTCCGCTCTGTACCCTCGGTTATATGTTGTAAAAAGCGTTTGCCCTGCAGGTGATCTGAGAGAACTGGGGTAGGTCCCTCATTTGAGTCTAGACTTATGATTAAGTGCATCTCTGTTTTTGCTCAGCTGGTTGTTGTTGCTCTCTGTTTTTGGATTGTGATGGTCCCTGCACGGATCACCAGTTATCACGAGGAAACACAAAAAAAACAGAGGTTGTACTATTTTGGGTCCAGTTATTGAGATCAGACACAGAAAAGCATCAAGACACTGCAGGAAGGAAGAAGGTCACTGCTGCTTAAAAGAGGAGCAATGCAGGAGTCAGGGGCGGATCTGCGGTGTAGCTACAGGTGCCCCAGCCCCAGTGAGGGTGTCCCCCTCACTGAAATTTGATTCTACACCCTAAAGTCCTAAATTATGATTGGCCATTTGCAGATTAGTAGAGGGGACTTGTGTTAAAATCAACTATTTTGGCCCAAATGAGCTAAACTATTTGCAAAATATTAGATTAAGATTTCAAATAATCAGCAGACCTAAGCAAAAAATTGTTTTTCTTCTCTCCTGCCTGATAAATTCTGACTATTTCTTATTTATCTTGTGTGTATTATGAGGAAGCCCAAACCATGTGTGTGAACTATGGTGCTAAACTTTATTTAAACTTGAGTTAATTCGCATAAACTCACAGCAAAATTAAAATGCCGCTCACGTATTCATGTAGCCGTATTAATTATTTAAACGTGATGAAGTGGATGAAAGAAAAAACAGTTTACAGAAATTTTGTTGAAAGTGCCTTTTATACTTGACCAGAATCTCAAACAGAGACCTTTTGCTGGTAATTGGAGGTTTTTTTTTTCTCAGTTTGTTGTACCAGGACTTTTTTGAGATTTGGGGTTAGAAAACCAAAGAAATCCTTTGTTTTTTTTTCTTGGAGTTTTCTTTTAAGTGTTAAAAAGACAAAGTTTCTTTTCGTGCCGGTGCAGATGGCATTTCAAGGTTGGTGACACTATATGTGTGCTCACTGACTTTTGGTGTAATGGATGAGACTGTGACCCCAGAGAGTCGCTGTGTACTTTTCAGACTCTATTGTTGCATCTGACGCAGGAAGGGTTTTGTCTACAAGTTCTTTGAGGATTAAAAAGAAGCCCTCTATTTTTGGCTCCAGGGATCACACTGTGAAAACTTTTCGCAGGGTCATGGAAGTAACATTTCTTATTAACTGTGTGATGAAAAGATATTATAATTTTAAATTCTGTATGTTGGTCTCACTGTGAGAATCTGATCCAACAGAATCGTGTCAACTTTGGAGACAAAGGGGAAAATCTAATATTTACAAGGTGGAATATAACTCATAACTTTTCTAATGAATAAGTTGTAAAAGAAAGACACACTCATGTCTGTTCTTTCACTTTAAAGTTAAAATGCAAATCTATACTTAACATATCAAGAGGTTTCAAAGGTATAAATGTCATATTGCAGTAAGCAGTGTTGGGTAGTAACACGTTATTAGTAACGCCGTTACGCAACATCGTTACTTTATTCAGTAACTAATGATGTAACACGTTTTTTTTATTTATTTTTTATTAAGTAACTATATTTCCGTTAAAAAATGCTGCCTTACATGTAAACTGTGTCCCAGGTCAAAAATCCTTTTACAGTGGTTGCTGCCGTAAAAGATGCAGGCGGATGTACGAATTTTTGCTGATATTGGACCAATATCAATATCGTATCGGGACACCCCTAGTCAACACTCCTCATGACGAAACAGATTTAAAAACAAACTTTGGCTACTTTTTCATTTGAGGAAATGCAAATACAGAGAGCATGTGAGTCTAAGCTAGCAGTTCCTCTGTGTTTAGTTCATATGCTGTGCTAACATACTCTTAACTGTAGCTTCATTAACCCAGAGAACAGAAATAAAGGGGGTCTAATTATCTGATCTAATGCTTGGTAAGAAAATAAATGAGCATTTAAATCCGAATAATACCTTTAAATCCAACGTCTCAGTTTTAAATGTTACCCCCATACTCTCTGTAGCCTTCAGCCGTAAGGAGGAGCTGGCACTAATGGACTAATTCTCATTTTTGAACGCTTGATTTCAGAGAAATTAGGGGTGAATACAATAATTTTCTGCCTAGCATTCCCATGCTGATTCCCCCTGCTGGCTACAGAAATCTTCCCTCAAACTGGATCCCTGGGATAATTAGTCACAGGAAAACTGCCAAGCCTCTGATATTATTCTACACTGACTTGATTTTATTGATGATTCATACGTGAGAGGGAAATGTGCTGTTGGTTTTTCTAAAAGTAGTGAAGCGAGGTGCCAATGCTGATAAATGTTGTCTGTGAGGAGGTGTTATTTAACGTCGTGAACCAGGAGACATCCATCACCGTTGTCTCTCTCACCCGAGTGTGTGTGTGTTTAAGTCTGGGGAGGTGAGTGAGTAATAATGGCAGAATCAGGGTAGAGCGTCAGGTTTGATCAGAACTCAAGAATCGAACGGGCAGGAGTCTCCGAGAAGTCCAAAACTCCTCTCTCAGCGCTCGTAGAAAGCGTGAAGCTACTCTGATTCTGTTTTGAAATATTTACCGGCATCTGGAAGCAAAGACTAACACCGAGCTGAGCTGTGAATTTCTCCCTCCACTCAAACTGTCAGCCGGATTCTCTGGGATTTGTGTTTCAGAGAAGAGTTATAGGTTTGGGATGCACCGTCTGTCTTGGGAACTTTAAATCTATGAAAACTCTGCCTACCTTCAGGCTTTAAGCACCAAATATTCGAAAGCAAGAGTCAAAAATAGGCCTCCTACTGTACTCTACTTTGCATAAAATAAGTCACAATCTCAGCACTGGTTTAAAACTTCCAATTTCCCCATTTTCTAATCCCCAGAAATCCCTCTGCCTCTTCTCCCCTCCTCTGTTTTCCATCTTTCCTTACTCTCCCGCTCAATACAAACTCCATCAATATCATTAAAACGGAGAGAACAGGCCTATGTTTCACTTCTCTGTGAGCGCCATCCATTGGGTTTTTATGGCCAAAGTACTGACAGCCTCCCGGGGGGACGAGGAGCACCTTTGCCAGCAGCCGGAGAGGACGCTTCATGTTTGTGTATTATTTTTAGCTGCCGAGGGCGATTGAAGGCAGCCATGCATCTGTCGATGACGGAAGAATAAGGTGAACGCGCAAGTGTGTGTGTGTGTGTGGACTTAATTTTCATCTCCTCTGCCCCTGCCAACTGCCAAGCGCAAGTAAAAAAAGGTGGGACATTGTGATTCGCTGCACGCAGGTAACACGAGGCTTAGCGCATTGCAGACTTTGATCTCTTAGTTCCTTAAACGTTGTGTCAGTTCACTCCCCGCTTGACCTCTGGGGCAGCGGCTGAATCAAGAACGATGTGAGGCCTTAATGAACATTTCTCAAGTCAGCGGAGCGCGGGGCTGCAGACGTGGATGTGAATGAGTTAGGACATCTGGCAGAAATAATCCAGGATGAAATACTTTCATATAGGAGGAAGTTTTGTCGACTGCGCCCTACTGTTTTATGGGAGTTCTGTTTATGCTCTCAAAAAGCCAAGAAGATTAGTTATAGCGAGGAAGAGCTTGGAATTATGTAAGAGGATGGATTAAGATATGTAAATGCAATTATAGTATTATAGTATGGGCTGAAAAGGCCGGTTTGTTACACATTAGTCCTCTGAAGGGATGAGAGTAGCTTATTTTAGATACATGGGGAAAGCAAATGGCATTTCCCTAATTTCCAGCTCCAGAGAGAGGTGACGAGACGAGTCAGAGAGGAGAGCTTCACACAGGACAGAGAGAGAAAAAGAGAGAGAGAGAAAGAGAGAGAGAGTGTGTGCATGTGCAAGACAGAGAGCAAAATCTACGTCGTCATAGAGTCACGTGACCGCCGAGTTTCCTTGGAGACAGCAGCAGTGTAGTACATTGAGATGCTCGCCCGCTCAGTCGAGGGCAGATTAGGCATCTGGCAGCAGCAGCAGCAGCAGCAGCAGTTGGATGTATTTTGCCCGCCAGACAGGTGCTCGCTCCCCTCACAGAGGTAAGTGTGCTGACTCGTGGTTCCCCCGTCATCTGTCTGGTCGCTCACCTTCAGGCTGGATTATTGTGACATAATCAGCGTTAAATGAGAAGGTAAACATCTGAGTGCATGGACTGTTCCTGCAGGAGGCTGACAGACAGGGGAGCATGTGCAGGTTGTTGTTTCTCTGTTTGATTGTTTTACCTTTAGCGTCGGAATTAGCAGGACAGGGTTTGTTTGTGCAAGTGGATTTGGAAGCTGAGAATTAAGACTGATGAATTACTCATGGTTTACTTTTAGATGTGTCAGGGTAGTCCAGGGGGAAACTAAAATGCGAGTATTAAATAATTTCAGAGTGGATTTAAAAAGAGCACAGTGATGCAGGGAACATGTAGTTGCTCTGTGAATGAATAACCTTGCATATTATCGGCATGCAAATATCATGTGATTAAATTTAATGTTATTTTTGTTGTGTGTTTAGTTGAAAGAAAAATATGTGAGTGTGTGAGCTGTTGGAAAAGGCAGAAAAAGGCTGTCAGTGCCTCACGCTGATAACATTATTCTGCACAGTGTGGATATAAATAGTGTGATTTTGAGCAAAAGTGCTGATCGGACAAGTAAGCATAATAAGACACAATGCTGCTCAGTGTTCAGCCTTTTTATGTGATAATGAGCGCTTTAAATAAAACAGTCACAGCCTGATAAAAACACCGACAAACTTCTGTTTTTGTACGTCCTGGCTGCTGGGATGCTGAAATGTTGTTGTGTGGTGCTTGACTCAGAGTTGTGAAGAGTGATATTTTGATCTGTTAATGAGACTCAGTGGTCCCGGGGTTGTTTGGGCTCAGACGGGCTCATCAGGGCCGACCACTCAGCCGCCAGATGGACCACATCGCTTTGTTTACCCTCGCAAATTACCTCCCACAATGTCACCTCTCCTGGTTTTTCACAGACTTCCACTTTAATTAGAGTTCTTGTCTCGCTGTTATTTTGCTTCCTGGAGAAACAATTGCTCCATGATTTAACTATTACATGTGATGTCGACTTTTTGCACCACATCCCTCCTCTGCCTTCCCCCCCTCTTATCCTCTTTTTGTACAGTTGGATTAAATTGAAGTGAGGATCGCTGATTCATGATTACTAATAAAATGCAAATGCCCTCTCTCCCTCCATTCCCCCTGGTGACACGCACCACAGGCCTCTGCAGCGTAGCATTAAAGTCCTCTAATCTTGTCTTTTAGTCAGCCGAAACCAGCGGCCAACAACATGAACGACACAATGCTCATGTCCTCCGGGGCACCCACTCCCACCAAAAGGTAAGCACCCTACCCACCCCCTTTCAGGCATCCTGCATACAGATATTATCCTGATTATTCAGAATTAGCATCACTTTTGTCATTACTGCCTCTAATGTATGCTGCACGGATAACAGAACGTCACTCTGAGTTACTCTCATGTAAAATAAGTTATTTTTATCACGCAGAGTTTGCTCTGATCGTAGGATTCTCGCTGACACATTCTCTCTCATCAGTGGAGAAAAATAACAAGAGTAACGCATCAAACCAGACGCCAGACTCTTTATTTGTTACCTCACACTTGACACATATCTGCATCGGAGCTTCATGCCCTTCTGAGTGTATTTTTAGAGGGGAAAATTTGCCACGCTGTCATGGAGAATATGTGAGCAGTCCTACTTAAAGGCTCGATTTGACAAATAGATTATGATAGAATTAGAGCCTCGTCGTGTAAGCAGATAGCAGGCGACGCGTTCTGTGAAAGCAGCCTCTCATGTCAGTGAAAGGCCACCCCTGTTATTAGTATTTACTCACAGTGGTAATGATCCATTTGTGGTTATGAATCCAATAATGGAGAGCACTCTGGGGCAGCTGTAATGCATCTGCACTCGGTCCTGCAGGGCCGTGCTCGGTGGATTCGCCTTTTTTGTGTGTGTGCACAGTATCTCTTCATCACATCTTTCCGGCAATTTGTGTTTGAAAGATGGGCCCGCTCAGGGACTCGGGGTTTCAAACAGCATATACAAAGGATGTGAGGTCACTGTCTGGTGTTCAGGAAGGGTAAAGGTTTTCAGGCTGACCTTGTCTTAAGAGCGGGTGTGTGACTGAAATCCAGACTCTGGGGGTGTATTCAGGAAGAGCTTGAATGAAATCTGTGGCTGTTTTTTTTCTTACCTTTTATACTCCCAGGCTGCTCATCCAGTGCTACAGCAAGGACCCAGGCAGCTGAAGGGCAGCACACACACTGCAAAAAATGTCAAATACAGCAGTGTGAAACTTTGAATGTCTAGCTATTATCATAAAAATCTGCTGACACTTCACAGCTTAGCTCTACAAATGGATACAATATTCTCTAAATTGAATTATCCAAACATCCAGGTAGATTTTTATGCATACCTATAAAAAAAAATTGGCCACTAGATGAAGTTATGTTGCCAAGATGATCATTTTTTACAGTACAGTCCTGTCTCCAAGGAAGACAGTATCAAGATTAGACCAAGTGTGGAGAAACCTGACAAGAGGGGAGGGAAACCCCAGGCAAGAACGATGCTTTCAGACCCGTGGAGGTCAGCGTATGACATCCCATGTTGCGGTGCCTTCGAGAACAACACGACACTGTACTCAGGTCTGTTTCTTTACAGCGGTAATGACGAGGCCTGATAACCTTTGTGATGACATTTTGCTCTGTGACTCAGAGCTGCTTTGGGATGATGCCGTGCACCGAGGATGTTGTGGCCTCAGGGGAGCAGAAAAGAGAAAAAACAACTACAAAGCCGCAAAAGTAAGGGCAGAAACTGCGTGTGAAGCCAGTGGGATGCTCTCAAAACAGGTTTCTCTGAGTGTCAGCACGGATACGGGTGGATGAAATGTTGAATGAGGCCACTCGGAATGTCACATTTGGTCTCTAAATATTAATCTATTGTGTTAAGTAGCCTGCCTGCTTTCACATGAAGGGCTCATGAGTCAAAGATGTCACTGCTGAATAATGCAAAGCTCCTTGTGGCTTAGTTCGACAGCCCAAAACAAAAAAAAAAAAAAAAACACACCAGCTCTGTTCTTTATTTTCTTCAGAATCCAGAGGAGGAGAAAAACCCATGAAAAAAATTCTCAATTTTGTGTCAAAGATTGTGCATGTTGTACTCTCAGCCTCCATCACAGCCTGCTCTCTGATAGCGTCTGCTCTGCTGCTGACACGGCACCTGCTCCGCTGCACCTCTCTCTCTCCCTCTCTCAGACAATCGCTCACCACGAGCTGCTCCTCCAAGGGCGAGGTGCAATTTATTACCTGTTAGTCATGCAGAACGGTGGCGGGGGAAGATAAAATTAGAAAAAAAAAAAAAGGAGGAGAAGGAAAATGGTGTCTAGAGCTTGATGAGTTTATTCAAAGTAAAGATGGACCAAACTCTGAGTCGGGTATTTGTTTTGAAGTCAACTCCTTGAATGTTTTCGTGACAAACTTTAAAATGACAAATTGGATTATGACTCTCTTTACTCTACCCTTAACGCCTCTGCTTGAAAATAAGTCTGAATTTAGAGTGTGTTATAAAGCTGACAATAATTAAATGATTGCTTATTGATTTTTAGTGGAACATCCTTTAATTTATTGAAATAAAAAGACGGTATTTTATTCCTGCTCTACGAAATCCTGCCGTCATTATTAATGGCTCCAAGCTGATTTTAATTAAGAACTAGCCAAGTGAGTTATTGAAACCTTTGTTTCACACTTACGGCACGTTTAGTCTGACATAACTGCGGCTGTGAAACACTTAGTAATACTTTCCTTCAAGTTGCAAAGTCACAAGCCGTTGGCAATTATTTCTTCAAAACGTAGAAATGTCAAAACCAAGTTCTGCAAGGGTTAGTGCTTACATATTAAATTCTGGGGATGCTCTAATCTCTCTATTTTCCTGACACTGTAACACAGACTGTCTGCCAGCATCATCCCTTTTTTCTTCATTTTAATTGGCATACTTTTTAAACTCAAAGTTAAAGCTCCTATGGGAAGTTTTTAACAGCTAGTGGAAGTGGCTGAATTTAATATTGATGTCTCTTAGTGACCTAAAAAAGCAAACAAGATCATTAAAACAGAGTGCTTATTCACGGACAGTTATTTTTAATTTCTGAAACCACTGGCAGGGGGGTGTAGGGGTCAGACCAACTATTTTGCAAAGATTCTCATTAAATCAGACATTGAACTGTAAAAAAGAGGAAAAGATGGTGCTTATCTAATCAAGAATTACTTATAACACCAATGCAGGGAAAAATGAGCGAAGATGCGTCATCCACAGGGGGCGCCAAAAACATCACAAACTGAGAACTCCTCACAGTAGCTTTAATGTGGCCAAGGTTTGCTGTGGTAACATAACAGAGCTGTTAAGAAGCTGTGAATGTTTTGACTCTAAATACATTTATAAAAATAGCATGATCTTATATTAGGGTTTTCGCAATTTAATTTAGTCTATCTTTAATTAATCAGAGGAGATTAATCGCACCAGATTTAGCTAATTAGTTAGATTCTATCTTCAGTAAATGCTATTAAATGTCAATATTGTTGATGCAGCGTCACTTATGTGTAAAGCGAGTGAACTCCTCATGACTGAGGCCAGCTGTTTCTCACTGCTACAGTGCCTCAAGGATGAAAAATGGAGTGACACAGCTGACAAAGTTGCTCAAAAGTGGGACAAGTTATCCAACAACCGAGGCAGAGTTTAAGAGGTTTTCATTAATAAACGGTTTCATTAAACAGCAGAGAAACATCATATCATGTCTTTAGAGGGTGGTGAGTCATCTATGCTCATTACCAAACCTATCATCCAGACAACAGACAGAAGCTCATTATAATTTTTATGTTACTTAAACACCAGAAGAGCTTCGAACAAGATCACATTTTATTTAAAGCTCCTATGAGGAACTTTTGGTTCCACATTATTTGCGCCCCTTGCGGACAGAGTAGCCTTAGCTAATTTTGTCCACTACATGTTTCACTTCTGACTTTAGACCAAAATCTCATCCTGCTGACTTTTGACAGCCAACTGTATGATTTATTCTGAATATTTTGTGTGTGTAAACACCTGCTGCTTCAGCTACTCAGCTGACATCTACCCAAACAGTTACAGGCATTTACATAAAATTAGGATATAAAACTATGAGTCTTGTCGCTGATGGTCTTGTTCTCTTTCGGATATCGTGGACTAGCACCAGTGTGAATTTCAGTCTATTTCAAAGATGTTAGAAAACTCCTCAAAGGAGCTTTAAATGTGACAACTACATATTAAAAGGTATTCAATGAGTTCAACAAACAATTCAACACTAGAAATATGCTGATAACATACATCCTTACAATACCTGAGTTTACTCTGCAGACTTAGATGACAAGATTGTTGGGAATCTCATCCAGTTTAACAAGCAAACATACTAACAGTTAAACTGCAAACCCAATCAGGATGATGTTGAGTCTTTGCCCAAATGGTAAGCTAATTTGAGTTTTTGGCATCTCAAAGTTTTGACCTCATATCAAAACTGAGTGTTTTAAAAAGTGCTACATCCACCCCCTCAAGCTTAATTAGGACCAGTCGTGTCTGAGGTTTTGTGTTTTCCGAGCAAAAATGTCTGTATACCTTCACAAGTGCGAGAAAGATAAAAGATTCCTGGGAAAGATGCCAGTTCAGGGGAGCTTGAAGGCGGTTGAAGCGTTTTTGTCCAACACCCTGGCACAGACAGAGAGGTGGTGCCAGGAAACGACAGGAGAGGCATTTGTTCTGAGAGCCTGAAGATCCAGACATGCAGGCATCGTAGGGTCACAGAAGTTCTCCTCTGATGGGCATCAACGCATCACTTTAATCTCACACCTCAGGCTCTGTCTACACTTCAGCCTGAGGATGGGACTTTCAATTATTTAGATATGTGTCCTATTTAGGACATTTCCTGACAGTTTTGAGATTTTTGTCAAAACAAGCACTTTGTCAGACTAATAGAGGGATTCTTCTTTTATCTTGCACACACGAGCGGAATGATTTTGAGTCAGGTCACGGTGTCTTTAAATCCAATGATCTGCTGAGTATTTTAAGATTGTGGCAAGCGAGAAAGGAGCTGGAGAAGCTAAAATTATCTCATCACAGTCGCTGCTTTTTATCTGCTTAGGGAAGAGATAAGATTTTAATGCAGATGTGGATGAACAGGCTGATTTGCAAAGCGTTTTAGGGGCTGGGTTATTGGCGTTGTATGAAGATTAATGACGCTTCACCTCCTCCTGGTTTGTAAAAGTGAAGCAAAAATGCCTCAAAGATGGGTGCAGGACGTGACAGTCCGAGTTTGGCCTGTGCGTGTGATACCGTTTCCAGCTTTTCTAGCCAATCAGAGGCGAAGGAGGCGGGACTTTCCCCTACCGTCCAACAAAAAAATATATCCTGTGCAGGACATTCATGGACTCTTGAGTGTTTGCTCCATTTTATTTTGCTGTTCTCCTTCTGCTCTGCTAATTTGATGAGGGGTTCAACAGTAGCTGGCAGAGCTGTCAATCATGGCGGTGTGCCACTTTTTAAACAAATTAAACCAGACAAAACTGAACTTTTCATAAAAATAAGACATGAATCAGCATAATAAGAATCAACTATGATGACAGAAGTCATGTCTAAGAGAAACTTGGTATCAGCTTTGATTTTATAATTTTGTCCATGTCTCATCTGTTACCATGGAGGAGGCAGGCTCTAAGAATTTTGATCAAGCAGCATGATTAGGGATGTGGTTGATTGACAGAGAGGGGGCATGTTGTTGTAGCTGATTGCCAGGAGGCTAAAACTCTACCTCCAACACTGAGATGACAGTATGTTCATGTTTTACACAGTCACTAATTTTGGCTTCACTTTCAGGGAGCTGTCATGTCATCCGTCTTTCTATACAGTCTGTGGGCTGAGCGGTAAAATCTGCGGGGAACTGTGGCTGTCGATGCAGCAGGTTTAAAGCCAGATTGGGTTTAATGGTCTTAATCATGGCTCACTCTCCAGTCAGAGTTAGAGAAGCGTCCAGCGCGTTCCGTCTCGACTCTCCTTCACTCCTCATCGCAGACTAGGACAGCATATGTCCGCTCGTCTGTCTGCGCCATATGCCCCACCCATGATCATTTAAAGCCTCATGCCTTATTTGACATTCCCTGTCAGTAACCAAGTGGCCAGAACGGGCACTGGCTCAGTCACAAATGCATTTGGCATGCTGCATTCTCTCTTATTCATCTCAGTTCATTGTTATGAGCAATTATCTCAGACTGTCTGTCAGCTTTGGAGTCAAAATCAACTGTCATATATGAAGGTCACCTGCTTATTAAAGAGGTTTTTTACCTACCCAAGCTTTCACATTAAGGTCAACGCTTCCAGATGTGTGTGTGTGTTTGATCTGTGTTTCTGCTTTAACTTTGCACAGTGTCTTGGAGAGTCCGAGCCGGTTAGATGAAGAGCACCGCCTCATCGCACGCTACGCCGCCCGCCTGGCAGCTGAGGCGGGAAACTCCACAGTGAGTGTATGACAGGGTGGACTTTAGCCCGACTGACTTTCATGTGCTGTGACGTGGAAAACTGAGATGTTTGAGTTCCTATGTTGAGCCCTAGAAGTCAGACTGTGAAACATTGGAGAATAAATGATTATTTCTTGAACGTAAGAGAAGAAGCGAGAGGAAAATGTGTGAAAACAAGCATATGTCATCAGACTGAAGTTGATCCTAATGCCCCAATATGAGCTGCAAAAGAAATTTAGCCCAGAAGACAGACGACTGATCATTTATTTAGCCGTAGTCGTTTAATCTGCCTGTCAAAGCAGTCAGATGAGCACAAATAAAAAGTTATTAAGAAATCTGTCATGCAGAAAAACCAAAGTTATATTCACCAAAGCGGAAAACTTTCATGTCACTTTCACTTTATTTAAATTCATACTTTTCAGGCTGACTTTACTATAGCGGGATGAAGAAGAGCTGTGGTGAAGCTGAAATTGCTCTCTGTTTAGGCAGCAGCATAATAAGTCTCCAGCAGAGAATCATTTCTGCCCGCTGTGATCAGAAGGAAGCTGCTGCTGTTTTCACTTTTGTTCTCCCACCGTTGTTAATGCCTTTCTATGATAATTTTGTTTTGCAGCAACAATGTCCCCCAACAGATCTGAGCTTCAACTTTGATGCAAATAAGCAGCAGAGACAGCTGATTGCAGAGCTGGAGAACAAAAACAGGTATGAATGATCAAACCTCAGTCGTACAATAAAAGGGAATCAGTGTCTTTGTGTTAGGAGTAGTTTAATGTAATTACTTTAATATACTTAAGTGCTTCACTTGAATAAAGCTGCTAGGCACATGTGCTTTATCTTCTATGGACAACATCTGTCTTTTTTGGCTGTGTAAAAGGGATATTCCGGCATAAAATAAATTAAGGGTCAAACACACCGTAACACAGAGTTAGGCACCCCCGAGAGGTGAATGTTGCCGACCGCTTGCTTCTCTAGTTATACCAACTTTAGTAACGACCACAGGATAGCAATACACAGCGGCCTGAGGAGCCACGCGCTCAACCAAAACACCACTCTATAGCCACAAATAATGCTCAGAACAGCACCTAACTTCATCAACAGGACATATAGGGTGCCAGCCATAGTACTAGCCACCAAACATCTTTTTAGCTTTGCCTAATTTCTTTAGCAAAGAGACCTACACAACTCACCTACTCTCTTCCAGCAGCCACTTGTTTGTAGCGAGACCTCAGGCCAATCCATTACAGACTACAGTGGGGGGACACAGCTCAAGGAAGAACATTTACGATCATTTCTATATGGAAGTGCAATCAGACCAAGATGCTAAGACAGAAGAACTACCGTGTCTGCAGTGCAAAATGATTAATATGGTGATTATAACCTCAAGAAAATGATAAAGAAATGATCATAAATGTTCTTCCTTGAGCTGCGGCACCCCGCTGTAGTCCGTAATGGACTGGCCTGAGGTCTCGCTACAAACAAGCGACTGCTGGAAGAGAGTAGGTGAGTTGTGTTTAGTCTCTTTGCTAAAGAAATTAGGCAAATTAAAAAGATGTTTGGTGGCTAGTACCATGGCTTGGACCCTATATGTATTGTTGATGAAGTTAGGTGCTGTTCTGAGCATTATTTGTAGCTATAGAGTGGCGTTTTGTTTGAGGTTTGTTTATGGCTCCTCAGACCGCTGTGTATTGCTATTGTGCGGTCTTTACTAAAGTTGGTATAACTAGAGAAGCAAGCGGTCGGCAACATTCATCTCTCGAGGGGGTGTCTAACTCTGTGTTATGGTGTGTTTGACCCTAACTTAATTTTACACCGGAATATCCCTTTAAAATGGCACTCATGAGAGGATGAGTCTACCTGAAGTAAAAATTGGAAGGCTAGCATAAATAAAATATGGAGAGCTACACTGTTGTAATATCTGTCTGGTAAAGAGAAGGCCACAGCAATAAGACAGCTTGCCTGGCTCCGTCCAAAGGTGTCAAAACTCACCCACCGGCCCTCTCTAAAACTCATAAATAAACAATGTAGAAGTTTGTCTCTCTGTGCTGTTTATTGAACTGACCGACTCACTCATTCAGGGAGATCCTCCAGGAGATCCAGCGGCTCCGTTTGGAGCACGAGCAGGCCTCTCAGCCGACCCCAGAAAAAGCCCAGCAGAACCCCACGCTCCTGACTGAACTGCGGCTCCTCAGGTATTGTTATTCACCACCACGACACTTCTCTTAGGAGCATCTTCTTCCTGTCAACAGAGAAGAAAAGTCGTATATTAAGGAAATGAAGCAGTCAGACCACTCAGGCCCGTTGTATTTATGTATGCCGAGCTCATTCTCCCAGTCGAAATAATGTCTTCCTAATTCAGCTGGGTGAGTTTTTGGATTAGCTTCATCAGCAGCAGTGCGGGCATTTGTCATGCTGGCAGGGCGCGGAGACACTTGGGCGCAGTTCTTGGAAAAGAATCACCCCAAGACGAGTCGCTACTGCACTTGTTTCCCTGAGTGACTCACTTCGTCGTCTAGCCCAGACTTAATGATGGATCAGCAGTGAGATTTATAGTCCCCGACTGTGATTAGGATTAGATTATGTGATCGTTTGATTTATAAATCATTTACTTTCACTCACTTCTGGTAGGTAATAAACAGGGTTTTTTGCAGGGACATGAGATGCAGGACTTGTATGTGAAGGAAGTCATTTAAAAAAAAGAAAGTAATTAAACTGAAATAATTGGTTTATGAAACTGCAGGGCAGATTTATGCTTTTTAAAAATCCTCTTTAATCCCGTCTGTCTAGAAGCATGTGTAGCTTGCTGAGCCTGTCTGTAATTCAGGTTTTAGACCAAGATATTATCAATCATACTATCATGGACTGCACTAGCTCTGGTCCAAAACACTAGAGCTGAAGATATTACCGTTTGCAGATGTTTTGATAGCATGACATCATAAACAGAGGACCTGCAGGTATTTTTTTGCTTTTTTTTCAATCGCAGGTACACTTAGTGAACACTAGAGGGGGTTAATGAGACAGAATCTTCACATGAGACATATTGCTTGATATTAACCATGCCCTCTTTAACATTAGGTGTTTAAAACCTATGTTACCCGAGGATTAAGTTGTTGTTTCAGCCTTTAGTGTGAATGAAAATATAGTGCCTACCCTCATCCACATGCTCATTATAGTGCTGTACATTTAGAGCTGCTGACACCTGTCCTAGATTAAAACAGGTTTCATATTCTACACATCACTTTGAACTGCAGGTTCCTCTGTTAAAAAGTTTTGTTGTTAGGTGCACGGTAATCTTAGTCACTCATTTGAGTCTTTATTTTGACAAGAACTGCTGCTAGGTTATGAATTTTTAATGCCAGAAAGGATGAGTTGTAATTTTTGGTAATAATATTGCAGCTTTGTTTTTTCCATTTTTATAAAAGTGACAAGTGCAGAAATGAAAATGGAAGAAAAAAAAAATAACAGGTTGGGTAAAAAATTAAAGTAAGTTTCTCTACTTAGGCTGAACTTTATGACAGGCTCCAGCAGGAGCCAGATGTGGCCCTCTCTTGTTATCAAAACCTCCTGTTTCAATGTTAAAGGAGCAGTTCACCACTAAATAATGATAACTGACACTTTTGGAGTGAATTCACTAAAAAAGGAAGATACGGTTTGTTGAGTTTTTTGAAAACATAGAAGAAGATTAATTTTAAACAGCAAATGGTTTGAACGAATGTAAAACTAGTGTGTGTTTCTGTGGTTGGTGTGAAAATGTGGAAGAAAAGGACTGCAGAAACATTTTTCAGTTTAAGGAAAGATTTTAGTGGAGAATATGGAAGCTATACAAAAGCATGTTATGATGAAAGAGTTTTATTTATCTATTTTTTGTTTTATTTATGTATATTTTATTATTTTGTATGTACCTTTTCTTCAGGTTATTTACATGATTACTGTATTTCATTGGATTCATCTATATGGGTTTATTACACCGCAGTCATCTGATGTAAGTGGATATTTGTTTTAAGCAAGGTGCAGGGATTATAAATTTGCTTCATCCTGCACTTTTCCAGTCAAAAAAAAAAAACACAAAGATTTACATCCCCTCCAGTTTTAAAAATGATCCCTTAACTTCTTCCTTCTGCAGACACAGGAAGGACGAGCTGGAGAGGCGCATGTCAGCGCTGCAGGAGAGCAGACGTGAGCTGATGGTGCAGCTGGAGGGGCTTATGAGGCTGCTAAAGGTAAGACGATCACCTGTTACCAGTAGATTCAGATGTAGTAAAGACCTTAAAATCTTTTAATGTCCTGAGATATCCATTATCCTAAATCTGCTGTTCTTTGAAGCACTTTAGAGGGTTTGTCAGTGATCTAGATTATAGTACGAGGTTTTTTTTAAGCCTGTTGGCATGTCTTTCGACAGATATTGGCATGTTTGATCTAAGACGATGTCGTGATGTTGACTTTTGTTAATGTGTTGTAAAAGGCATGCAGTTTTCTTCCTTCTTCCTCTGCTGCTTTAATTCTGTTGCTCTCACTCTCCTTGCTCTTTTCACTGCTTTCCTTTGCTGGCTGATAGGATGAGGAGCAGAAGCAGGCTGTAAGTTGCCCTTAATTCAGTTTACAAGGCTTAATACTTGGCTCTAGTCTCAGCACTTAGTTTAATACTACTTCCCTTTCCCCCGTTCACACAAAAATGAAGGGAGGAAGTTTTTATTATAGATTTAAAGAAGGATGTTGGAGAGATAATAGGATTCTGCTATAACTGGGTTAGCATCACGTAGTCCCTCTCTACCGCTTCCTCGCCACTCCACTAAAGGGCTACGCAAGAACACAATCTTTCGAATGAGCTATTTCAGGTTCAAACAAGTTGAGGGAAGTGTGTTTCTCACAGCCTGAATGTCAGGGACCTGCTCCTTTCATCGGCGCTAACAACCTCCCTTCTAATGTGACTGCAGTCTGGCCAGCCATCTGCTGCCTGGCTCTGAGCCATCAACCCGGGCCCGCACCAGTCCCAGAGACACACAGCGATCCTTTCTCCGTGATATATATCTCTCATCTCAGCACAGGCCGCGGTCGCTCACCCACACATGGTTCTCATTACCCCCCTGACGCAGTAAAGGTGCACTATAGAGACGTGCAGAATAGCCGGGCTGTATAGGATTTCCAGAAGGTTTTTCTTACCCTGTTTTTGTTTGTTCCCCCCATAAGGATTAAGTTCTTTGGGTCACATCTGCGTCTATGTAGTTTTAATAAAGTCATCTGTAGAAGAGAAAAGGGCATCTCTTCCCAAAGCTGCAATCTGTGACTGCAATCAGGCGTCTTCCATTGGTGGGAGTTAACTCCAGTATTACCACGTTATAATGCCATTTTATTCCTTAAAAGCCCCCAAATCTGAGGTTTTCATATAGAAGACAATCCAGATTATCATTAAAATTACACAAATATATTGTTTTTTTATGCACCATAAAAGGGAGAAGCTGTTTTTTGCTCTTTAGCTTAAGCCAAAGTGAGCGCTGCATATAATTAAGTGTAATTCAGTGTTCAAGTGTTCAATTATGGTGCAAATCAGGACTGCAACTGAATAATAAGTCTGTTTCTAAATTAGTTTTCTCAGATAATTATGTGACTTTACAAAAAAATTTAACTTTCGTACAAAGGGGATGTATTAAAGGGATATTCCGGCATAAAGTTAATTCAGGGTCAAACACACCGTAGCACCGAGTTAGACACCCTGTTGAGAGATGAATGTTGCCGACCGTTTGCTTCTCTAGTTTTACCAACTTTGGTAACGACCGCACGATAGCAATACACAGCGAACTGAGGAGCCATAAAAAAACCTCAACCAAAAAGCCACTCTATAGCCACAAATAATGCTCAGAACAGCACCTAACTTCATCAACAGTATATACAGGGTCCCAACCACAGTACTAGCCACCAAACATCTTTTTAACTTTGCCTGATTTCTTTAGCAAAGAGACTAAACACAACTCACCCACTCTCTTCCAGCAGCCGCTTGTATGTAGCGAGACTTGAGGCCAGTCCATTACAGACTGCTGTGGGGTGCCGCAGCTCAAGGAAGAACATTTATGATCATTACTTTATCATTTCCTTAAAGTAATAATCACCATATTTATCATTTTGCACTGCAGACGCAGTAGTTCTTCTGCCTTAGCATCTTGGTGTGTTTGACCCTTAATTAATTTTACGCCGGAGTGAACACATTTCCTAACATTCATGTAAATACAGCACCAACCATTTCTGTCTGATCTGATTGCGCCTTATCTATTCTGGATGTTTTTTTATCTTTCAGTCCCAGTCTGGAGGATCCCCCCATTCCTCTCCCAGTCACGGCGCCGGCTGCTCCATGCCCATGCCCATACGCTCCACCTCAGCTGGGTCCACCCCGACTCACACACCACAGGACTGCCTGGCAGGGGTGGGAGGGGACGTGCTCGAGGCCTTCGCTCAGGGTGAGTTTGCACCAACACCCAAGACAAGTACAATTCATCTTTAAACTTCTGCACAATCTAGACACATAGTAGCTTTTCATACTTTAAGAAAACACACAGAAGTGGTGATCCACGAACAAAACTGCAGTATGAGAAGCTGTATGTGTTTTGAGTTTGGTTGAATTTGTCTCTGTTTGTGTAGGAGTACCTAGGAATCTTCGGAATGATCTATTAGTTGCTGCTGACTCCATCACAAATACCATGTCATCACTGGTGAAAGAGCTCCACTCGGGTAAGTCTATGGCACACGATTTAAAGTATTCTTTATCTATAGACTGGAAAGAGGAAGTGGGCGTGGCTTCGAGGTCTACAAAGTGAACCAAAAATATGCTGATCTGGTTTGGGATTTAGAGAAGCCTCCTTTAGATGACTTGATTCAAACCTTAATAAACATTTTCCTCATGTGTTTCTATGTTATACACTGTCTCTAAAATGCAGTGTTTTCTTTTAAAGTCGACGATGGGGCTGAGGAAGAAGAGACCAACATGAGGAACGGAGGGGACAGAGGTAAGTCACACATACTATAAAGTCACACTGTATAATAATGACATTTGCAGACATTCATAGTTAAGTTTGGTTGAAACATCAATAATATTTCCTTTCTTGTTTTTCAGCTGAAGCGGAATGAACAACAAAAAGTAGGAATTATAATCAATATTATGTTTTTCACATTTATCACAGCACACAAAACAAGATCGCCTGTGACTGTAATAATAATTTTACATCATTATGATAAACTTGGATTTAACATGATTACGTGTTGTGTTTGGGAGTGAATTTACAAGATAATGGGTCAGCCCATTTCAAGGGAACAAGAAACTAGACAGATGATTTTTCCTAGGAAGAGGAATAATAAGATAAGACGGCTGTCCGATCAAATTAATGTGTTTATTATCTAATTAAAAGAAAAACAAGATCATTTACTTCTTAACAAAACATTTCTCCTGTGTCATAGAAACAACAGCTTATTTTTTCTGAGGGTGAACAAGCACATCAACCCACCATCATGAGAAAAACACTCTGATAAGAGCATAATTCACTTTTTATCTCCATGTAAGGATGAGAAATGATTACAGATTTGCAGCCATGGCCAGTCTTTGCCTCTTTCTATAAATAAGCTGTACATACAGTGTTTTCTCTGAATCTGAACAAAGAGCAGTTGGTGCCGGTAATGAAAGCTTATTATTTGTTGGATTGGATAAAAAGACCACAGATAAACATTTGCATGTCACCTTCTTCAGCCAAAAATATCCTTCTTTGGCTCCTTATTATGGGCTTCTGCTACAGCTAAACCCTCCATCCAAAGTAACAAGGCACCATGGCACTTAGCCACAGAGCCATTTACGCTTTTTTTCAGACTGCATGCTGTGTGTGTGTGTGTGTCTGTGTGTTTCCAGGCACAGCGAGAGAACCGAAGCACTGAGGACAAAGCAAACACCATTCCACCCCGTAAGGACATACAGTCATCAACTGGGACGAATCAGAAACAAGAACAACAACCCCTGGCATTAGCACGTAGAGTAATGCATGCTGTAATCTAACAGGATTTCACTATGTGAAAAAAAAAAAAAAAGAAGTTTCTCCGCGTCTCGCAGGTAGCGAGATGTGTCCAATTAGCGAGTGTGTATGTCGTCCTGTAAACAAAAACTGCTGTAATTACCCGATGATTCCCTCATGACTGCTAAAGAATGGCTTGCTGTGCTTTATCCCATTGCAGCAGATCATTCTGTATATAAAATACTGTACACACACACACATGACCGTGGGAACACCCCGACATGAGAGTGACCACCTGTCACACCATGTTCCCTGTCATTGCTTTTGTATGATTAGCTCTAGTTTAATTTTTTTGTTTGTTTTCTTTTTTAATTATTATTATTTTTTATTTTTGCATGAAGTTGCACTCATGTCTGGATTTAGGTACTGTAATATGCTATGCCAGCTCTATGTGGGTTTACGATGACAGCTGAGGTGTCAGAAGTGTCCTGCCTCAGAATTCACTCCGAGTGTGTTTACTTGCACATCTATGTTCTGGGGATTTGTCGAAGAAAGCCTCTGTTCTCAGCCTGGTAATAGTTCAACACATAAACCCTGCAGAAACATTAAGAAGGCGTTTATTTACCGACTGAATAAACAAGATAGATATTGATTGTTACATGCATAAATAACCTTTTCCCTTTTAAACTTGTACCAGGAAGGATATCTTGATTCTCTGGTGTACAGAATGGGTTGTGCATGTAAACACACTCACTGAGTCATATCCTATACTGCTGCTACTGTGCTCTCAGTGAGCCACCCTTACAAACAAGAGGGCTGTGCGAGGAAAAGAAACCAAGGGGCTACTACAAACACAATAAGGAGCTGTGCTCGTTTATTTTACCCCCTTATACACTTATCTAGACACACCCGACTAGCCGGTAGCCTCAGTATTTACTATTAAGTGTAGGGAAGCACCTCAGGATGTTAAATAATAAAGAATTAGGCGATGAGTTTAGCTGTAACAAAACGAACTCTTATCCAGTATGTGAGGATGTAAGGTTGTAGTAAGCAAGTAGACACTGCTATGATAGCTTTATTTAGTGAATAAAGGATTACTGAACATGTTCATGTGCAATGAAAGTAGGTGCTCAGGGAAAGCAGAGGTACTCCAGGAGGAATATGGTCCTTTTACTGTAAGAAAAGGTTGGCTACAGCACTCGAGGTCAACGCGGATTTTAAAAAGGAGGGTTTCATTCCAAAATATGCACCCACTGTTGTTCACAAAGTGGTCCTGACTTTCTAAAGCGGATCATTTTACTCTCATTTCACGAGTTATTTTGTCACATTTTGGAATCAAACTCCTTGAATAGAAATAGAGGGACACAACAGCAAGTGTTAGAATATTTGGTAAAGGAAGTAGAAGGAGAGACGTTTTTCTGAAGTGCTATTTGGTGAAGCATGTTGTTGGATATTGTTTTTTTTTTCTGTGTGTGAATTTGTGTCTTTCACTGAAAAAGCTGAGCGCAGGGAGGCTGAAAACCACAAGGGGTATTAGACAGAGATCGGGTCTAAGTTACCTTCACATTTTTGTCCCCTGGTTCAATGTTTTTTGTCTTTTTATCTTCAGTGAAAACGAGCATTGATTGCTTTTTACGACGTGTCAAAGGCCAGGGAGCAGTTTAGAGGATTTTAAAGTTCCCAAAAGAAGCTGTAGGTAAAATTTGACCAGTCCCAACTCGACAGAAGACCCTCTTATTTTGAGTTTTGTACAGTAAGTCTGTCCAATAAGCTGAGTATAAGCTTTCATCAGCCTGTTACACTGTGTCAAGAAAAGAACAAAAGGAGGCTCCTCTGTTTTTGACGTTTCTAATGTGACTTTTTTAAAACTCTAAGTTCTCTGTTCTGCTCTATGTTAGCATTATTGTTATTATTCTGGTTTGTAGTATTGGTGGAGTATAGTCAGTGTAATAATTTTGTCAAAATTAAGCTTCACTTGTGCGCTTACACATGCGCCCAATTATATCTTAAATGGAGAGGGTAAAAAGGTTTAAAATTCAAAGTCTGGGACCGCCGCTCTTGTCAGAGTTAGGCTGAAGAAGGTCCAGAAATTTGTGAAATGTGGAGGAGGAAATAAGTAACAGTCTTCCCCGTCATCCTGGCCATGCATTTGAAAAGTTAGCTCTCTTTCTGTTCTTTCAGTTTGTGCCTGTGCTGTTCTGTAAAGTGCTGTAAAAAGTAACCATTCAGCAAATAAGACGATCTATCAGCCTTTTCTGTCTGTGACTTTGTAGAGGTTTTCTTTATTTATTAATTCAGTGTGTTCGGGGAGGGGGAAACTGATGCTCAGCCTTTACATTTGTGCCAAACTGTTTGCAGACATTGTGTGTCATGATTATCATTACAGGTATATATCAAAGTATATCTGCATTCGTGTGTTGTCGTTGCTCATAGTTTATTCACAGAATGCCTGGAGATGTTCACAGTAAATCGTTCTCATTGCTGGAAGCTGCTGAGGAAACTCGCTTTTAATAGTTGATGAACACATTCCAAATCTACAGATAGACAGGCACTGATGTCAGTCAAGCCAACGTGTAGGCAATACTGTATCCTCCGCCAGACCGACCCGGGGGTAACACTAATAAAACACAGTCTGTCATGCAGAGGTTCAAACATTGTGGTACTTTTATTGTTTGCAGAGAGACTACGTGCAAAGACTGCAACCTTGACACCGACGCTCCCCTGATGTTATTTATCTCTGTCTGTGTTCTGTACGGTTATGCTTCTGGTACACATTTGTTTCTCATGTTGATTTTACAAAACATAGTTTTATGTCACAAAGCCACTGTCTTTTGTAAATAAATCAAATGTGAGATATATTAAAAAGATTTAAAATATGGCTTTGACAGCTCACGCCATGTTTGTCTGTGTGGTTTTTTGGCCGTCTGCGAACACATGTATCATGGGCGAAAAGTGGGGAATAGGTTACTCAACCTCTTCTTAGTCTGCAACACACGTGGATCTATGTGCTCAATCCTTGTACCCTTTGGCGATCATCAAGTAGGATCCTGTAATTCTGGTGAAGCTTCATAATTGGCTCGGCTCTCAGTCTACACTTCCTGTTCAGTTCACAGCATTGTTTGCAGTGTAGTTAGGACCCTGAGGAGTGACCCTTTGTTCAGTTCAAAGGTGAAGCAGATTTCACCTCTTCATAACAACTAATACCAAATAAACACTATAATTTCATATCTCGTTGCCTTCCCCAAAGTACCCCTTTATCTGTTTCTATTAAAGTGCAAATAAAAAAGTGAATTTTTGCAAATATTTATGCTTTATCTGCATAAGGTTGTGATTTTATTCTTGTGACTCTGTGACTTTGGTAATTGGTAACCAATCCATGACTTTATTTACAAAAATGACTACTCTTCTCAAAGTTTGCAGCTTTATTCTTGTAAATTTGTGACTTTGATTGCCTAAACGTTTGGCTTTAATTTCAAATCTCTATTTCTAAAACACGTCCTCCTGCTCCGTCGTAGTTTGGAAATGTTTATGCTGATTGACTTTTGCATTGCCTCTCTTGTTAATGTCATTTTGGGGCATTTTTGCCTTTTTAAGAGAGACAGAAAATGTGGGGAGTAGAGAGCGAGGGAAGACGTAGCAAAGGGTTAAGGAAAGGAGTCCAATCATTGACTGCTTCAACCCCTCAGTATGTGGGACGATTAAACAGCTGGGATATAGGTGTAGACTCAAACACAAGGAGTTTGGCCCTGTGCCATAACACAACCATAGAGATTTCACACAAAGGCAATGATAAAAATCATCGTGAAAAAGACCAAAAAACAACAGCACAACCACAAGTGAGCCAAATACACATGCCTTAAATTCACCACATTTGGGTTTCTCTTAAAATGATTGGGAAAAACGAGTCATCCAAAAACTAAACAAAACAGAGCAGTGTCCTTCATGACCTCACCTAAAAACCTGAATCTAAATTGAATCCCCCTTATTTTTTTACTTCAGCGTAAAAAACTCTCCAGGTGTAACTGGGCTGACATACCATGGCCCATTGGCATCCCCTCATCTGGGTTCCTATGACGACACAAGCTGGTACAGTATCACACTGCTCCTGTCTGTGCCCGCTGCCCTCAGATGAACCATCTATGAGAAAGAGGAGACTCCTCTGCTTCCAGATCAGTGGAGCACATTCGCCCTCTGCACACTTATTTCCTCTCTCCCTCGCTGCTCCTGAAAAGCACTCACTCTGCCTCACGGGGAGATGTTCAGTGAAACTTTAGCCTTCCCAAATCCAGCAGCCGGTGACTCCTAACTCCCTCTGTCTCCGTCTAGTGGGCGTGCGTGGGATAAATTCTGCGAGCAGGAAACGGCTGATGAAGGGTTAATGTAATGAGTGTGATAAGAGATTTGATATCTTGTTCTCACTGCACTCCAGGAAATGGAATAAAGATGCGGCGCGAGATGAAACATTTCTCAGAGGATAAAATGCACAAGCCTGCATGAAATGAGCTGCGAACTCCTGCAACTGCGTTTACAGCTTTAAGGCCAAATATCTGATTTGAAACGAGCAAATCTGATTAACCTTCAGGTCAAAAATGCATGATCTGAAAATACTGAGAAATCAAGAATAATAATAAAAGTTATAAATGCAGAGACAGCGATTTAAAACACTCCACTTTCAAATTAGTGGATAATCATAGCAGAGCTTGTCACACAGGCATTAATAATGGTCCTGTCCCTGCAGTTAATACGACATAACGCAGCAATTAACATGCTTATTAGGTACATTTGTGTTTGGCAGATGTGTTTGAAACGTTTATTGCAGTTCAAACCATAAATTGTCTTGACATGGGAGAGGGTAAGAAGACAATTTACCCCTAATTAAATCCTCACAGCTAGCAAAGAGTAAATAGAGTAATGTAGACATAAATGAAACAAAAGTGATCCTCCAGGAGCGATTAAGTGTGCACATGTATCATCACACGTGTCTCACGATGGGAGAATAAACGGTGTCATGGTTAAGTTTTGTACAACAGAGTGAGCACAACATGCAAATGTTACCAACCACAACAAATTAATTAACCCCACCGCGCACATACACTTACACGTTAAATGCATGTATGTATTACAGACTGAATAAAATAAGAACTGTAAACTATAAGAAAGCACACGTCTGGTTTTATCAGGCCTCCAAGCTCGCCCCGGGCTGCAGCTAATCACAGAGCGGTTTGGGCCCCACAGTCACCATGGGGCCAATAAATACAGCATATTAAAACCAGAAAGTCTACATGAGTTCCTGTGTTCATTAGAACCTTATTTTAATGACATTACTTTGTAATTAATCTCTTTTGGTTCTGCACAAGGTTGGATTTAAAATAAATATGTACAACTTCGATTACAAAACACTGACACTGTTAAATGATCATAAAAACAGAATACGGTGGTTTGCAAATCATTTAAACACCATTTTTATGGCAATGGCAACTTATCAAATCTCTTAACTGTAAAAGATTCATGTTTTTTTCTCCAAGTTTCATGAAAAATATATGCTTTTTTAATTTGTTGCAGCAACAGTGTTTGGCAACTAAGGAGACCAGTTACCAGAGTGTTAAAATAAAATGTTTTCCTGTTCTTGCCTGATACAGGATTTCAGCTGCTCAACAGTTCAGGGTTTCCTTCGTTGTACATTTTGTTTCATGATGTGCCAATTTTTTTTCAATGAGGGACAAATTAGATCTGTGTATAGATGAGTTAAGCACCTGGACTCTTCCACTACTGAGTCATGCTGTTGTAATGCAGTATGTGGGTTGGTGTAGACTTCCTGAGATAGACGAGGTCTGTCCTTAAAAGTGATCTTTATTTAGAAAAGTTAATTTTTTTCCTTCATAACAGCTGTATACATTTTAAATGCTATGGACCATATCTTTAATGTGGTGTAACATCTCATGGCAAACATTTACCTTTACCACCATAACTTGGGCTGTTATGTGACCATGTAATACACACATAAAGCCAATTACTCCTTTTTGCCACAGCCAGCATGCTGCAGCTTTTATTTCTTGGCCTGCACAGTGTCTCCTCTGAAATTGAACCATACCAAACCAAAACTCCCTGTAAAGCCTACTGTTAAAAGCATGAAAAAGGTGGTTTAGGGGCAATTAGGATGACCAGAGTGGTACTTAGAAGGCTCCAGGGCCACTCAAATGCCTTTCAGGTGTAACATAGCTGTAAAAATTTATCATGGAAGTGCTGCAAGTGAGCAGTACTGTTTGAACTTTAAAATAAAAATGTAGGGGTGGGATAAAGGTACATTCTGCATGATCTTGAGGTCCTGATTCAATTTTGGCTTACTTTCATGAGACACCCCTTTGATTTATCCCTGTATGTTTACTATCAGTACCCCAATTGATTCTGTAATTGTCCCTAAAAAGGTTAAATTTAGCCTGAATACACATTATTTTGAAGGGTACTTTCAGCTGAGAAGACACTCTCTGGTGTTTCTTTTGAAAGTCAGAAGAAGTTGCAAGCGGGAGCACAACAGCTGGGGTATCAGTACCCTTATTAGGCACAAGCAGCAACATTTGATCTTTGGGAATGAAGCCAGTGCCTAAGTGCTAAAACTGCAGTTCCATAAGTGTCCACTTGAGGCTCCCTCCTACAGCCTCAGAAGCCCAATTTGAAACAGCCCATCTTTTCTTGCAAAAATAAGCACATTTACAGCCAGAATTGATAAATAAATGAATAAATAAGGTTTTGGTCTGAATAGCTAATTTCTTCATTCACACACACCAAACGCGAAACAAGGGGCATGGTTAACTTCACTGACTGACAGGCTGTTAGAGAGGAGGCTAAAGATCTGCCCCAACTCCACCTGTTTTCCTCTTAATGTTGACAAAAAACTAGTTGAGTCAGCCTTTACAAATTCCAAAGGATAATTTTGAGGATCTTTCGAAAGGGAAACCGAATCTTATCCTCCGCATTTTATTTCTGAAAATGTTGGCGAAAATCGGCGAGTTTTGGCCGATAACTGATTAGTCTCAAACGGGCTAAAATTGGCCAATTTAATTGGCTTGCTGATAAATCGGTCGGGCCCGAATACATACTTTATTTTTTTTTGTATCCTTATTTTATTATATTCCTTCAGTGGTTTTTTTGTACCCCTTTGAGTCAAGCTGTCCTCTCATCCAGGGCATTTCATTGCACTGTTGACCTTGTTTAAAATGCACATGACAAATAAACAAATCTTGAAATCTTAAAATAACATTTAACCAGTTTCATTGATCATGCATTGGTTGTATGCAACTAAACTTAACAGTGAATATGCCATTTGAAAGAAACGCTACTTCACCAAAATGGGAGTCCTACAGCAATGACTCATAGACCCAGACCACTTCACCCATCTCTGCCCACTGCTCTGTGCCTTCACTCTGGCAGTCTTTAGGACCACGCGGAGGCCGACAGACGGTCTGCGGGCTCCTGCAGTGAGAGCGGTGCATCTGGAAGCGAGCTGGCCGGCTGGGGAGGTGGAGGACGGGGAGAGAAGAGGAAGGAGGCTCCGGGAGCAAGCGAGACAAAAAGGGTCAGGCCTGGGACTTGGGAAAATCGGGTAACGAACACACAGCGATTCACGCATTTCAATCGGTTGAACCCGGCACTGTTAGCTGAAGCAGGAAGGGGAACCTTTATGTGAACAAAAAAAGAGAAAAAAAAAAAACGTGAAAGCCCTGAGAGCGGAAGGCGTTCGATGGAAATGGGGAAATAGCGATTTTGCTTTTTTGCAGATGTGCTGATTGGACATCGCGATGTGCACTTGAACCCGAGCAATTTACAGCACAGGAGCAGGATTAAGCAAAGACCGGCCTCAGTACATATTGTAATTGTAATCTGAAAAAGGGATTTGTCCTGCTTCTGGTGTCCGTGGCCTGTAAAAGAGCCACATCCCCCTTGGGTCACACTGCAGACTTTCCTTGCTATGAAAGACGTCCGAAACTTTATATTTTTAAGCCCAAAGCACATTGAATCACTGATGCGGGAGGGCTGGTGATGATGGCAGGAATGTACGCGCGTGGCCTGCTTGCAGCTTGCGTGGAAATGCGGTGACATTAAACGCATGTGTCGCCTTCTGAAAAAAATTATTTTCTAGTTAACACCTCCTGGTTGATGCTTTGCCATCATTTCAATGAGCGAAGACTGATTTCAAACCCGCTCAAATGAATCAGAAGCGGCTGTCATCACTGTGGATTTAACCCTTGGAGGGGATTTTACACATCCATCTCATTAAAGTCATAAAAGCGTTTGATTTTATTTTGCACATTTCCACGAGAGCATTACTGTAACTACAGCTCCGCGTTGAGTGTGTGTGTGTGTGTGTGTCTGTGTGTTTGCGCGTGTGTGTGTGCGCATGGCTGACTGCCGGAGCAACTTTAACCCAGACACGTCAGGTGAAAATGAAATATTAATAACGTAAGTACTGAGTCAAACAATGTTATCATCCCGGATGTATTTTGCAGAGTATTCCTGGTATTTACCGTCCATCAGCAGCCATTTAATGTCGACTACTGTACACTCATACATCCATGTGGTGGTGTAAAAAAAAATGGCCTGGGCCCTATAGGCGATACAAGCCATACAGTATCCTATAGCAGCCTTCCTATACATGACGTGCACTCAACAAAGGAAAGCTGATGCTCAGAAAGAGCCTCTTTATGACACAAAATGAAATTTAACTAAATAAAACTCAGCTAAGTGTGTAGAAAATGCATCTTCATGCTCTGATTCATAACAGTAAGTGAGTCATTACAATGCTGATTGTCATTTTCTGTCTTGTCTTCCAGGAGAGAAGAAGGATCATCTCTCATTCCTTTTTTTTTGTGTTCCTTTGAGTTTAATTTTCACCTCACCTACATCCCCCACCCCATCATTAGACATTACCCGTAAGACCCGCAACGATGCCGTCCAACACTGTCACCAACACCAACTCAGCTGCATTCAAAAGCTCAGACTACATGGACTCACCGGGAAACAGAATGGTAAGAAACGTGTGAAAAAAAGGGGAAGTCTCAGGATGCTCACTTTTAAGGGTTTTGAGGGGGCTCTTACGGCACCTGTCGTGTTTGTGAATGACTGATGATTGCGCAGCGTTACAGCCGGTGAGTTCAGGGAGTTCATTCAGTTGGATTTTGGCTTTTTTGAATGGCCTGAGATACGCCTCTGTGGTAATTTTGGATTTGGCTAATTCTTACTGTAAGGGATTTCTTTGAACTAAACAGAGTATGTTTTAAAAGGAGATTAATGACTCCTAGGCTTATCTACAATTGCACTTTTAAGTATTTTCTCACAGTTAATACAAGAGGAATGAAGAGGAATGTGGTTTGTACAGTCACTACAGCTCAAAGGCGGTTAAAACCTCTCCCAATTTTATGAATGGAGCTGATCCATCAGTCAAGCTAATGCCTCATTGATCTCTGAAATCCAAAGACTTACCGGCATCGACTCGATCATATTGATGTTCTCTGTATTGAAGAAATAGTCTGAATTTGACTGTCAGTTCGGCAGCATGCGGAGTGCCGTGTCACCTCTCATGAAGCAGATGCACTCATCATCATCATCATTACGGTGTGCATGTTTGTGTGTAATGGCAGGCAGCATCAGTGATGCGACAGCAGCATCACGCGGGCGGCTGTAGCGAGGCGCAGCTGTACTATGAGGCATTTGCTGCTGCGATGGAGGTTGGTGACGTGGGCGTTGGCTGTGGAGGTTTAGCTGGAGCTGGAATGGCTCAACAGCTCTTATACTGGGGGGTGGTGATGGTGGTGGTGGGGGGGTGGGTCTGTCCTCTTCCTCTACGTTCCCATTACACAGAACTGCCCTTAGTCCTGTTGCCAGGCAACAGACATTGCCTTAAATAACCGGCTATCCAGACGGAAATAGTGGAGAGGTATTGACAATGAAGTAGGGTTCACCCCAGGCAACAACAAATTATATTTCAGGTTTTTCTGTTGTCTTTTTTTGTGAAAATATTAGGGTGAAGCTATGTGTGAAAATGGCGCCTTGTTTTCCATCAGTGTGTCTGAGCTCTCGGGTTGGGAATTAGATGATGTTGTGTTCGCTGTTCCTGCAGGCACCACTGAATTGTGTCATCCATGTAAGTGGTTCCCAAATGAGCCTGCACACCAGGCTGCACTCAAAACGTGCTATTATCTATGCAAATTCTGCCGCCCTGTTAGGAAAAACTGAAGCACCAGGCTCCACATTAATAATCACACAATGAACGGACACCATCTGCAAAACACATTCTCTCGGAAAACATCTACATTTGAAATGAGCTTTCAAAGGCTTCTCTTTAACATCTGCATTCAGATTCAGAAATTCATTGTCAAATATTCTGTGGTGATTCTCACAGATTTGAGGGAAATATTTGTCAATTATAACCCCATGCCCATTAATCACCTCCTCTGATCACATCCATCTCTTTATGCAAATCAGTTTTTCACCCTGGGACACTAATGGTTGATGGATTTATTCCATTTCAGCAGCAAACTCTGTCAGGATAATACATCCCCTGACCTTTGAAATTCCTGCCTGTGTTTATTAACATCCTCCATCTTTTAAATTATTTAACATATAGAGTCTGGAGGGCTCCACGTGGGCACAGGTCCAGTTTTTTTTAAAGAGTGTTTTATGGCTTTTTTTTTTTCCTTTAATGGACGAGTGATGGAAAAGAGCAGAGAGTAAAGGTGATAAGGTTCTTGGCAGGCCTACACTCTGTATGTAGTGTACTGTTATCCTTCAGCGTGTGCTCACATCAAGTGCTGGTCGTATTACCACTACAAGCTAAAAAAGAAACGATTTAAAGAACTAAGTTGTAAATTTATGAGACAAAAGTTGTTACAGTTGAATAAAGTCTTACATGTAAAGTCATAACTTTAGTCAGCAGTGAATGTATTTTATTTTGAAGGGAAATGTCAGTACAGCATCCAGCCGCCTGCTCTAAGAGCTAGAAAACATCTCTTGAAATTTTACTTTAAACTTTTTTAGGTTTGATGAAAATCCGAACACTCAGTCTACACTCCCTCCTTAAAAGAACCAGGACTCTGACAGGACTGTGTAAGAATCTCTGTCAAAGACAGCCAGGCTGGTCGGCATCCTGTACCCGCTCCTGCAACTGCTGTTTGTACTCAGCTGTCAGATTTAACTTCACAAGATGATCCAAGTTCCTGATTTTAGAGCAGGCGGCTGGCTGCTGTTCTGATACCCTTCAATGTGTTGTTTATTTAAGGAAGATTAATCATGAACTATAATTACACCTTCTTCTCATGTAATTACAACTTTATCACGTCACACTGGAGACTAATATCTCATTCATTTACAAGTATCTTCCCATAAATCAATGAGATTTACATTTACAACCTCGTAAACCTGGGTTTAATCTTCTAAGTTGTAAAACTTTGATCTCTTCATTTTTATGACTCCTCAGAAATTTACACTTTTATTCTTGGTAATGCATGACTATTAGTTTATTCTTGATATTTTCTTATTTAATGTAGCCTTAGTACTCTCTTGTAATGAGGATACCTAAACACAGTCTCACCAAAGTCAAAATTTTGGATCTAGAAGGACTGTAAGTGGTTCTGAATTATTGCTGTTTACTATTATGACTTATTAGTCTATATATCTCAACTTTATTCTTGAACTCTACATTTTTTTCAGCCTAATGTGACCTGAACCTCACAATTTAGCATTTACATAGCTGTTTTCAAAAATGGTTCATTGGTTGTCAGCTAGTTGATGATATTCATTGCATTTTGCAGATTTTAAGACCTGCAGTTTGCACTAATTTTGGTTACCCTCACAGACAAAGCACTCTCTCTGGTCTCTTGTTAATGTCGTCCCAGTAATGAGGAAGTTGTGTCGTCTGATAAAAAAAACTCCCTCTGCTGTGACAGAGTGAATCTTTGCTGGTTGAAACTTTCAACCAAAGCTGATTCTGCAGTGACACCCGTCCAGGGGCAGTAGCTACCAGAGTTACAAAATACTGAAGAAGTTATCACTGAGGTTACAAATGGTCTTGTTTCCATTTATGGGTTATATTAAGGCATCAGTTTCAGTTTCATTTTTTGAGCTAAAACCTTCTCACAGGAGCTCTAAGGACACACATGGATTTATAAGAGACCAAAATGCTGTCACACTGCTGATTGGTAAAACATGTGTTATCATTACGTAGCTAATAAGGAATTTCTTTCTTCCTTTATTGTTGTCCTCGATGGTGATACGCCTGCAAGCAAATTATGGCAGTGGAATTGAGCTAACAGCCATACACCATAACTCGTCTACCTCCCCATCAGATACATATTTTTCCAATGTGACAGCCTGTTCCAGATAAGAAATTACCATTCCTCCCTTTGGTGTCTTAATGCTGCTCCTTCACTGCATCGCATTACCCTGTTCTCCAGGTTCACCACCGCCCTAACATTCCCTCACAGGCTCCGGCCTCTAGAGGGTAAAGATATTTTTCTCATCACTTCCCATCATTTCCATTTTAAACTTATCTGTTACTGTCTGACCTGTCACAACTTGGACACCCCAGGACTTAGTGTCCACTGGGAAGCTCCCCAGAGAACCACCAAATTGGCCTTTTTTCCCCATTACACTTGTATTGCCAATAGGAGCGCCAAGGTGATGTAAGCCAACTGAGGGTTGGTGTAACATTGTGACATACAAAAACATCAAGATGGGCGACATTGTGGTCAAAGCTGGCTGTTTGCTTTGGGTCCTGGGGTCAACACCTCTCTGCTTGATCATTTATCTGTGTTTATCCGCTTCACAGCTAAACTTACACAGGTATCTTAAAAAGGCAAATGTTGCTGCTGTATCATCTTATGTATTCTACCGGCCAACATTTATCACCAAAGGCTCCTCTCCTTCACTTCAAAGGTTAGAGCAACAAGTCCCTCTGAAAACTTAAACCAGTCCCAGCTTGTGTACTTTAGACTCAGGGTTTGCGAAATTGACTGAAAAATAACATCCGACATTTTCTGGGATTTTGACAATAACAGAAAAAATATGACATAAAACAAAAACGTGGTCATCAAACTCTTATACTGTGCTAGCTTGCTCTTGCTAAAATAGCTGTTGGACAATGGGCTCAGCGGTAGCAGATACACCCAAGCCAAAGCTAGAACAATCAAGTTTGTTTGGGAAGGACAAAGCCCAATGGACAGACCCAAACACTGTCCTGTTGGTTTGCTGTCTGCAACGCATGACTAGGTGATGGCAGTCAACCCAGAAAGGCCCAGACCTTGTTGAGACCAGACATCATCTTGGTCTCCTAGGCCTCAAGTCAACTCATTCTACTGGAACTAACCAAGCCATGGGAGGAGCGGATGGAAGGGACACATGAGAGGAAGCGGGCAAAGAACCAGGAGCTCATGGAAGAGCAGATGCATGCCAGTGAAGGTGTCCTCTCAGCAAGGTCTATGGAACCCTGACAATCACAGGTCTGAGAAGGAGAAGTGTCAAGGCAACGGAGAAGATGTCTGGATGGCTGTGGCTAAGAAGGGGAGAGCAGTGTTGTCAGTCGCAGTATGCCGCTTGGACAGTGGCTGAGGCTTGAGCAACTTTGGTAGGGTCCCCTAGTGGAGGGTGTATGTTGTAAGACCCAAAACACCTGTAGATACCAGAATTCTTGAAGGAGGATCAGCCGCAGGATGACTTCACCTCACCACTGTACTCCCCACACACTGCACACTGCAATCAAGGAGTGACTGGCGTAAATTCCACACCTTGAGTAAGCCAGTGCCTGTTGGCTGTAGACTCTCAAGACTTGCTTTTGCCAAATGAGTAAAATTCAATACTGTCATTGTGCACATCGATAAAACAATCAGGGCGCCACTTGCTTAGCTGTCCAAACATGCCCCATATACTTAAGTTACGCCTGGTTCAATCAGGCAACCAGGGATGGAGTCTACCACTTTAGTTTGTAGAAGAAACGTTATTCTAAGTTTATTACCACCTTTGAGCTTGCCTTGCCCATCCCTAGTCTTTCCTATGTTTTTTCTTCAATTCATTGATTGAATTGTCTGGCATTTGGGGTTAGGGTTAGGGTAGTCACTGTACAGTAATAGTCTATTATCATTCTATGCTACAGTGGCTGAGATTTAAACTCAAGTGCTTGACGTCAAGTAAACAAAGGACTTTGTAGCAGGATGCCTTACAGTGTGGAGAGCTCATCTATGGTGTAAAGAATCTCACGTTCAGTACTGAAGGAATTTAATAAGGACCCAGCCCTCTACCCTCCCACCACAGCTGTCAATGAAGGCCTTACAATCTCATTTGCATTCAGACCTGGTGCTGGTGGTCCTATTCAGTCAATATTGGAACTCAAAGCATCTACATTAGGATCATCTTTTCTCTCATCAGCCACAGGGGCACTTGGTGGTGGCGGACATGGGGCTTTGTTCATGGGGGTAGACAGTTTTATTAATCAAAGGGAAATTGCAGCGGGGGGAAGGCGGGGGCTGGCCGACGTCTTTGTAACAGTGTCAAGAGGGGATTGTCTGCGGAAGGTCAGCGCTGCGTCCGCGGAGCCTTCACTTCGGCGTAGTTCAAAGGAACGTGCCATTCACTTTCTATCTGCATCATTGTCTGCTCAGGCAAAGACACTCAAGGACCCACTGCAGCCCCCCTTCCCAAATGTTCAAGTGTTTCAGCGAGTTGCAGTTTAGTGTGTACAGCGAATCTATTCTGCATCTATTGCTGAGGTCAAACACTCATTACAAGAGCAAATAACCTGATAAAGTGGGATGTTTTATGTGAAAGTGTAAAAATAGCATTCAGATAGGAATGTGGAGTTGGTCCTTTGATTATGACAGCCAATTTAAAAAAAAAACATGGTGGTCATGATGTCTTTTTTTTATGTCGGCAGGGTGAAAGCACAATACTGGACATGGACCTGATGACGGAGGAGAAGTCAGCTAAAAGTAGTGCCTCATTTAAAGTCAGCAAGCCTGGAAGGAAGCGCAAGCAGTTTTCCGTAAGTGTTTACCCAACGCATCGTAAATGAGATCAACAACAATTTGAGTGCTAATTTTGTCTGTTAGATTGTTTTTGAACAATCCTTTGAACCTTCCTTTCCTGGAAAGTATTAAACATGTTATGCACATGAAGAGTTAAAGAAAAAGCTCGGGGAAGCACTTCATGAAAGGGGTATGGATGTTGGGCTGCAGATATCATCAAAGATTGTAATGAAGTTGTCAGGGTAAGGTGTTTCAAGTAAACTTTAACCCTGCTGTGAGCAATTCCGTCGGAGTAAAAAAGAACGCTCGCTGGCTAATTAACTAACTCTCACCTCTCCTCCCCTTGCCTAAAACTAAAACACTAAACAATTAAAGATTAACAACCTGGAACAAGGCTAGCCCTCCCCCACATTCCTCCAATGTCTGCATCATAGAGGTACATTCTTGGTGACTTCTCAGTCTCGACATCCAGACTCTCACTCCAACCTCATGCAGTGATTGGCTGATAAGTTTAAAGAAGTGCCAAAATGGGGTTTAAACTTTTGCCCAAGGCATGTTCTGGACATTTAGCGTAGTGTCATGAGTTCATAAGATAAAAAAACTTCAAACACTACCTCCATTAAAAGAGCTAAACACAGCATGGCTCTTTGACAGCATGTGTCATTGGCTAACTTCCCCAGAAGCCTCATCTTATACAGTTTGTGGTTTAGGAAATTAACCACAGTATATTTGACAGCACTGGCAGGTCACACTTTCACAATGTATTTGTGTCAAAAATGGTTTAGATGAAGAGAAGTGTTAAAATCTTGCGCAACTCCATGTTTCCATTTACATGTCAGGGACTAGATAAAGTAATCTTATGGTATCCATCCTCTGAAAAAGCTGTTACTGATCCCAATGTTAATACTAGGGGTGTCCTGATACAACTTTTTGACTTCCGATACGATACCGATGTTGTAGCCTTCAGTATTGACCGATACAGATATTGATCTGATATTGGCACAAACTTGTGCATGACAAGTTTTTCACTCAGCTGCAATGTCTTTTTCAGACTTTAACCAAAAGAACTGCCACAAGGCCAACATCACTCTTACTCCTTGGTACTTTGTTCATACCTTAGTACACACTGTTGTTGTGATTTTGTGGGCTCAGCTTGCTGGATCAGGGCACCACTAGTTTGCAGTCTGGAATGGACTGCTTGTATCAGAGAGCTTATATCGGAGATTTTAGATGCAGGCCGATATAATCTGATATTCCTTATTTTGTGTACCGATATCAGATATCAATATCATATCGGGACACCCCTCATTAATAATCAACCTTTTCCATTTCAATTTGTTAACTAACCTACAAAGAGTTATTTCAACCTTGAACCTTGGCTATGAAAAAACAAAGAGTCTTTTTCGGCGTCCTAAAACACCACATTTACCAAATACTTTGTACTTGAAAGCATCACACAGTCTCTTGCATGTTTCTCCCAAACACTACAGTAACATAAGTAATCAGCCTGTGATGTCTTTTGGAGTTAAAAGTACTGATTTAATAATGACTCTGGGGCCAGCATGAACCTGGGTGTTTTGTTCCCTGAGATGTTATCATTTGCATAAACCTCTGCTTACAATCGTGTTAATTAATTCTCGGGGTGCTCACTAAACACAGGGATTACAAAAACATTTACAGGTAGGTATGTTGCGGAGCAATACGCCTGGGGGGGTTTGTGTCTGTGTGTATTTTAAGCAGCTGAGGGGTTCTACCAATAACAGATGAAGAATAACTCGAGTCAAAATCGGGGTGCCTTAGCGACTGTTTTCACAGCTGTGGGGGATTGAACACGTGCCAGTCGCTTCAAGTGTTTCAATGCTGATATTCTTTGTGTGTGAGGGAGTCACCCACAATTCACTTTATATGCTTTCTACTCTCACAAAGAAAACAGGATGCTTTCTTGTATTTGTGCTAGGCACAAAAATGTCAGGTCACTGTCACAGAGTAGCTGCTTAAAAATGCATACCAAAGTTAGGTATTGACGATTCATTCACCTCACCTCACAGGGGTTTATATTTTACATATTAACAGACTTTGCTGCTCATTGCTCACATAGGCCAAAGCTGAAACAGTCAGTATCTCCAGCGAGTTGGAAGGAAGCTTATTAAACATGCACCTAATTCTGATGATACAATGTCAAGTTTAAGCCTAATATGGCAGAAATACCATCTGTTTCGGCTACCTGGTGACATGACTGTGAACTAATTAATGTGTTAATTGAGAGCAAGTACACAAAAAGGACACTTCTACAAATTTAGGAGTATTAGTAACATTTTTGGTAAAGATCTAATGTAGGAATAATCCATCTAACCACCTTAAATATAACTGAGATTACATCCCACTGCAGAAAACAGTGACCTAAATCTGTTTTTTTTTCCCCCTCCTTTTTTACTCTGAGCTGATTTTTTATGACACCTCAGGCAGCCCAAGTCTCTTCAAATCTTGTTTTTTTCAAATCAGAGTTTGGCATCTTCATATGGGGTCTTACATCAGACACAGACTGAATCTACAATCACGGATGTTGCCTTTTTGAACGGAAAAGAATAATAATCCAATCCTCCTCTATGCAGGGCAGGGGTTTTATGATTTCCAAAATGAATGCCAAATTCTGCTTCATTGACCACAGAGCAACTTCCTACTACAGAGTCACTTTAAATTTAATGCTATTTAGTGCTGATTGAGCATCTATTATTACTAGTAGTACAGTTTCTCACAGCGTGACTCATTCCTACCATTGCTTCTCAGCCTCTGTGAAAGTCCCTTTTTATATCCAGTCGTATCACAGCTAGAAAACATTGCTTTTAATAATATCTGCTGGTTAAAATAGCTCACTGATCGTGTTTAAAATAACACTGATGAGTACGGATTCTCAGTGGTAACAAATAATACTGCTGAAGACCTCTGCAGAGATGAGGGGAACTACATATTTGGTCCTTTAATTAAGGATAAGGATGAGCACAAACTTTATAGTCTTCTTAGGAACATTTGTCTTAGACCACAGCTGCATTCACAGTCCGTACAGACAGCAGACAGTTAAATAATAGACAAATGAGACACTCAGAGACGCTATTAAAGATGTGGATTCGACTTTAATAATGATTAGATGTTGAATGTCATGTTTGCAGTGTGCTGGATTGTGTAGCAACGGTTTACATTGACCTCTGCCTGCTTGTCTGAGCTGCCTCGTTTACCCACGGTGACCTCTGACCTCTGGCAGGGGCCACATGTAGTTCACTGGGTCGCTAATCTGTTGCGTAATTCTTTCAGCAACGGTTGTGTTTACTGTTTCCCTGCGTGTGTGTGTGTTTTCAGCCTATTAACCGAGTGTGTGTGCATATGTTTGACTTTCACACTGCAGCCTCTCTTTGTTGTTACAAATTGAGTCAGAATATTAATAACCCCTGAGCTTGTTGTTTTCATTCATGGTGTCAAACAGATTTACAAGCCCACAGCTCTGTATGAGTGCAACTGCTTAGAATTTACTGTTAATTTGTTCTGTTACCACTGCGATGAAGTCATGCAGATTTCTGCGGCTGTGAGTAATGCCGAAAACCCAACTTTGGCTTGATGGAGCTTTGTTTTATGAAACTTAACAACTATCACTGAAGTCTACTCTGCATTTTTGTCCAAATTAATTTACCGTGCATTTATTATGAGGCCTTTTAAGTCTAGTGTATCTCTTTACTCTCACATTCTCTCTGCTAGAACAAGGTTACATTTGACCTTTCTGCTTCAGCATCCTGTTTGCTAAACATTGCCTGCAGGAAGACAGATGCCTCCTGAGGCGTATGCTGTCTCATGCCCAAAACGCAAACTGCCCTGCCTTTACCTGCAGGGGATAAAAGCTTCAGCCCGGCTTTCATCAGCGCCGACAGTCTGATCTCACAAGGCATGCTCCACTTTCTGCTCCGAGTGACCCAATAATGGGATTGTCTGAGAAAGTGTCTTTTTCTGGCTATTTTTGGGCGGGAACAGAGACATGCAGATCAGCTTTTTTTAACACTCGAAGCTGAGACGGATCTTTTCTAGGTCTTACAAGAGAGTCGGTGTGGGTTTTTTTTCTGAGCCAAGGAAGATGTAAGAGCTGAATGTCTGCCTCTGTAACTCTAGATAGGTCAGCTCTCTTTGAATTCACTCCTCTGCAAAGAATGAAATAGTTTCTTTGGGCGTTCCAAAGCTGGCCGGAGTGAAAACGTCTTCCCTGTCAAACAGCCAACATTCTTGACATATTTCCGTGCTGCTGTAATGTTGAATGCACGGCCACAGGAAGCTCAGTCTTGTACCTGATGAACTCGAGTGTAATCCTTTCCGCGCTCGCAAGTTAATGGCTGTACAGCAGATTTACTGGCACGGCTTTGAAGTTTACAACTGGAGTTTAACAGAGCAGAATGGGAAATGCCATAATTCACTGACTAATAAGTGTAAAAGTGGAGCTACGTGTTTGATTAGGTCCAGATGGAGCTGAGGGATGAAATTAAGCTTATCTAACATTAAAGGGATGATTGCTTTAATTCACATTTTCTTTTAAACAGCCCGTTTCGACAGTAGACACCGAGGAGTGCTTATCTCCACTCGGGTAGTTCCAGCTGTTTTACTGTTGCTCATAGAGATGACCTTTTTCAAAGCATGCCGGATGATTTGTTGGAACTCCTGAATGGTTTTGTTTATTGCTCAGCTACAATATATCTAGAGATATGTCAAAACTGCCCATTCAGAAAGCGGTTTTATTCCTTCAGACTTCAGACTGTAACGTACTGCTGCAATAACGATCTCTGCCGCTGATAAAGAGCAAGGATGTTATAGTTTCATCCTCCTCTCCTCCTGCAGGTGGAGAGCTGCGGCTCTCTCAAAGGCAGCATGAGTTTGGCCAACAGCTACGCCGGGCTTGGTAGGCCGTCCATGGCACAGGTCCACAACGGAGATGTGGGCGGGCACAGGGACAGGACATCTGAAGCCTGCTTCCCCAAACAGGAGAGGAGGGAAGTAGAGAACGGGATCCCCAGAGACCCTTCCTCCTGCCGGGCAGAGGACAGCTTACAGGGCCGGAGCCTGAGCTTGCCCCAGGAGAACGGATTTCTGCCCAGCCGGGAAGAGCAGGACGCGGAAAAAGACAAGGACGACAGCCTGACGCCGCCGCGCAAGAAAAGAGGGAGGCGGAAACTGGAGCGTCCAACAAAATGTGAGTATTTTGGCTTCTGCCTGTTCAGCTCAGATTTATCTTTTGATCTGCTATCTTTGGATCCAGCAGGAAACAGTCATGTGGATGTGACGTGTACAAGACGTTTAGTAATGAAGTGTAAAACTGAAAGTGGTGCTGGCACACGAGGAGAGCAGTAGATCAGAGCTGGAATGTAAATCAAACCTGACTTTAATGTTTATGCAGTTTATTATTATTTAATATAACTTCATGATCGTTGAGAAGGTCTTATTGCACCGGCGAATCACTTGGCCATGTTAAAAACTTGGCTTTGATTTGTCGAAATTTCAGTCAGCAGTTATTCATTCAGAATAACAAAAGCAACGCCAGGGACAACCAGATCACACGTCATACAAAGTCAATCAGCACCAATGATTTTGTCTTACAGTTTAAGAACTCCATTTCCCATAACCACCTGCTCACCATGCATTATTCATTACTCATCAAAAAGTCACAGCCCAAGGTCTGTCTGTTTTTTTGATTGTTCTCTGCAAAAAAAAGTGACATGTTCGATATCGTGAAAAGCAACAATTGAGAGACTGTCTACGATGGTGCATGTTGCACACCCCATAGTCACAGCATGGCTTCTCTGTACACAACCACTTTGCATTTTAGAGTGCAGCCTGCACTTGAAGAAAATAGAAATCTTTAAAAAAAAACAAATAGAGAAGATAACTCTCTGATGATCCTGATGGATTACAAATAAACTTCATTTATGGATAAACACAGAACATAGAGGTTAGGGCTTATGTTCCGATATGTTCGAGTCTTGCAGCTTTATATGTACTGGCCTTTTTACAAGCCTTTGGCAAAGAGCCTGTTGTAAAAATCAATCATAAATTCATATAATTCATATATCATATTCATCCATTTCCTGAAGAGCACCTGACCCTAACAATACAGTGTTGGATTCTTTGACCCCACAAAACACTCAGCCACCCTTTTTTTCTAATTAAGGATTTATTTTGAAACATTTACATGCTGCCCTAACACTTGACATTTTGCTGAAAGAGTTATTTAAAAGAAGACGGGAATGAAAACTATTTCAAATAAAAATTTAGCAATACTTGAACAATAGAGCCTGTGATATATTTAGTGGACTGTTCCTGTTTTCCCTGTTTATTATAAATCATTTTAAATTGAGTTTTGGTCTCACAGAAGTGAACCATCAGCAGCCACAGTGCAGCGGCAGATAACATTAGCCTATAACGATGATATAAATCAGGGGGGCATTGTTTGGAGAGAGTGGTGCTGACAGGTAGTTTTTTAGGCCAAGATGAAGATTAACAATATCACTTAGCCTCCCCCACACTCTCTGCCATCTACCCCTCTCTCTCTCTCTCTCCCTCTTTCTCTGTCTCTCTGTCTGAGCCACGTGTCTCTCCCTCCTCTTTCGGCCACAGAGACACCGGCTATGACCTTGATGAGGAGTGCAGTAAATAAAGCCCAGGGAGGAGCCACTCGTCTCCTGGCAACTGGCCTCAGTTGGGAGCTGGCAGGTCTCTGTTGTGGCCGCCTCCCTGTCGGGGGCCGTGCCAGGTGGATGGCGTTTAGCCCAGAACTCTTTACTGTCTGAGTCTGCACCGGGAATTCACCTGGATCTGTGTTTCAAGGATCTGTTACGTCACTTTGGGGCACAGATCTGGGATAGCACCGTTTCCTTTTGGTGCAAATGGCTCAAAAATATCACTAACGAATCAGGTCTGCATTTCTGCTACCTGATCTGGGTTTGGGTCCTGTGCTGCTCAGCTTTGATGGACATTGTTTTGAACAGGTAGAGCATAAAGAATGTAGTCCGACTAATGCTGGGCTTCCACCAAACAATTTTCACAGCCCCAGACTAAAAACTGAAAGTCTTAAGTAAATCTTGGAGTCTTACTGAAGTTACAGCAGAGTCACAGTGCCCTCCCGTCATCTGGATCGTTAAGTTTAAGGTGTGGTCTGCGCTGTTTTATATCAGTCCTTTCCTAGTCTTGGGTTTGGGACAATATCAAGCCTGTTTGATATTATCGCAAGTCACAGTGACGTAACACAACCAACAACCGATAGATGAGCTCTAGCAGAAAAGAAACCTGACAGTCAAAACATGAAGAACAAGAAGAATTACCATAAAATTGATGCAGATAATGGAGCTGTGGGCCGATCAGACTCGCCTATTCAACATCAACTGCAGGGTTTCCCCTACATGTAATGACACACTGCCACGGCTAAGTAAAAGCCACCACACCTTGACAATGAAGTTTATTATGCGCTATCTCGGACTCAATATGTGTCTGTATATGCGGTGCACACGGGCAGCACTATTCGCGTCTATTTTCATAGATAAGGTGCACCGGATTATAAAGCACATTAAGCCAAACAAAACAGTCAATAATTCCACTACGGCTACAGTAGCTGCAGTGTTCAGACCAAAAGGATTTTAAGTGCGCCTTATAGTGCAAAAAATACGATATTAGCATTAGCAAGTTCCAAGTTGTCATATGCGAATACACAGCTGATTAATGAGCCGCCCCCCCTTCAAATCACACACCACCACAGATAGACTCCCCACCAATGGGAAACACTGAACTGAAATCGTGACCCTGCAGGATTCACAGTCTTTGTAAATTCTGTCTGAGACAAGGCTGTGACTAAAAACTCTAAACACTTGTCTTTAAATGTGAGCAGATGTGAGCTGATAATTTTCTAGGAGTCTTTTCCAAAACCTCTCAAAGTCCTATAGTGGATAGCTGGCCTTATTCACCTGAACTATGAGGGACCTTTTTACACTATTTGTTCGAATAGAAGAATTATTGTGAGATACGACAGGAGAAAGTAACCGGCTAATATTTGCATCCCACGGCGACTATGAAAGCTGTGTTTGTTTATGATTTAAATTGAGTATTTGATAGTGAAATTCAAAGGTACTCCAATACTGACTATGAAGCTAAGCATCTTGCAGTGTTGTCTATGTTACACACTCAGTAGCTAGCACAGGCTCATCCAGCTCAAACTGTCTCATACAGATCACTGTCAGAAGTATTTTGAAAGACTGACAGGCGTCACAGCACCTCAGCTAATCTAAACTGCTCAGCTCTAAAGCTCAAACCACAGGGGCACTCATACCAAAACAAAAACCCTTAACATGTCACTCAGTTCATCACTAAGAGGATGTCAAAAGGTGTCAGTTAGAGAGTTACGTGCAAAATGTCCTCCTGCAGGAAGTCATGTCTTTAATATTTTCATTAGAAGCACGAAACTGCAGACTGCCTCGACAGAATGAGGAACTGAGTATTCGGCAGAGGCAGTGTTAGCCACAAACAGAGAGAGAAAGAGAGAGAGAGAGAGAGGGAGGGAGGTGGATGGAAATTCAGATAAGAGGCCTGTGCAGGGTCTGCAGGCCCCCTCTAGACCTGCAGCAGATGTTGGTGACATGGTTTGTTCTTCTTGCTAGGGTGCAGGCGGACATACGCAGTCACGTAGTCATGTGTGCAGGATGAAGAGTTTGTTGCATGCCGGCTAAAGGTCGCAAACGTCTGTTTTCCGCTGCATTTTCTGCCTGTGAATCAAAGGAACTGAAGTCTCTCACAAAACTAGTTTTAGAGAGGATAAGAGGTGTTGTAAAAAACTGCATGTTTGTGAAGATATTCTATAAAAGAGCCATTAAGACTTTTGATTTGTATAATGTCAGAGTCTAATGGCGAAGTTATGTCCAGAGTGCAAAAACCTCTTGGCAAAGTTAGCTCTGCAGGATATCTTGATTCACCTTAAAAGCATAAAACAGCAAATCTGACCACGAGTGAAATACATCTTTGTAGTAATAAGGTTACAAAAGTGTTGGCATATTCATTAAGGAGAGGAGAGTCCTTGGTGTGGGGCAGTGTGGTGGATCAATAGTAAGCTAAAGCTATCCATCTGGAGGGCACAGGAAGGATTTGAGCTCCGGCTGGAGGGGAACTGAGCTCTAGCAATACGAGAGCTGGAACTCGCTCAAACTGGCAAGGTATACTCTCTGAGGGCAACATTAGCCAGCTCCCTCCACAAACCCAGTGACCTTGGCGGTCTGCAGTGCCTCACCGATTTGTTATTTAGTCACTTATTCCAGATAAGGATGAGGAGACACAGATAGGAAAATGAAAAAAGAGCAAGAGGGGAGGGAGGGACGAGGGACGAGGGGCTCGGCTACGCCTGGAACCAACTTGAAGAGGCTGCGAAGAGAGCAGACTATTGTTTGGACAGGTCTTTGGGGTACTTCACTGACAAGCCGGTGTTAGCTGTGCAGAAAACACGCCATCAGAAGGTGTCCGCAGCCTCTCAGGGCTGGAGTGTTATGATAGTGTTTGGGCTTGGACTCAGCAGATAGTAATGTTTACTCAGGCCGTGCCATTGTGCTAATTTAGGGAGCAGCTGCTTGAGTGATGTGTGTAAACTCTGCTGGTGTCATATCACTAGGCCTGCGCACTTTGAGGCACGCTTGTTTACATTGAAATTAAACATCGTGATAGGAGTACCTGAGGTGTTGGTTGGAGCTGCTGTGTGTAATGAAGCTGATTTTGGCTTCCTTATCTTTTTTCAAGCTGCAGCTGTGAGTAAAAATCTCTTCATGAATCATGGTTCCTGACTGTAGTCCTAGTGTTTCAGTTGGGTGGTGTCCATGCTCCCTGGCTAACCCCTGGCTGCTCTGCTGAACACAGGAAAACAATGTTGTTTAAGAATGAATAACATGCCCTTGTTGTTTTGGACCTCCAGATCTTAAATCATGGCCAAGTCCAGGGGAAATCCCAACAGGAGCGTTTATTGTGTTTAAGTTATTTTTATTAGACTGCGGTTTCAGCGCCTGTTACAGCAAATATTTTCTGTGCTATTTCTGAAGATCTCTTCACTGCTGCTGCTGCTTCTTGCAGCTCAGGTTTTGAACTTTCCGCAGCATAATGTAGGCTCTTTCATTCCTGTGGAATATACTGTATAGGTTAAGGCTCTCTGACAAACGGATAACAGTATGTCAGATTTTTTTCAGTTCAAAACATTCTTTGAGTGTCGGAGCAACAACAATATTGCAAAAGTAATAGTCCTGCCTGTAAAAATATCATACTCTATGGCTACGTTCATACTTCAGGTTATGATGCACAATTCAGATTTTTTGTTAAATCCGATCTTTTTGTGCGGTCGTTCACATTACAATGACGAATGCAGCCTCTAATGTGAACGGAATGCGTCCGTGAAGTGACCCGCATGCGCACAAAGCACAAATTGCTTTCCGCGCCTGTTTGTGTTGTCGAACAATGGTGACGTTTGTCGCATGTTGATGACGTATAGGTCGGATTATATCAGCCTGCATCTAAAATCTCCAATATCAGCACACCAATGCAAGCAGTCCATTCCAGATTCCGCTCTGGCACCTCTATCTAGCAGCGCCCTGATCCAGCGTGCAGAGCCCACATGATCACAACAACAGTGTGTACTAAGGTACTAACAGAGTAGCAAGGAGTAGGAGTGATAACGGCTATTTTTTGTTTCGGTACAAAAAAAGATGCTGCAGCTCAGTGCAAAACTAGTCATGCACAGTTTTGTGCCAATATTAGATCAATATCAGTATCGGCCAATACTGAGGGCTACAGTATCGGTATCGTATCGGAAGTAAAAAAGTTGTATCAGGACACCTGTACTGCAAAATACTACATGCAAACTTTTATTGCATGCATATAATAAATGCGTATTCACTTACTGGCCAATAATTGCATTTGCTAAAATTTTCCTGTCATCCCAGGGCATGGACTTGCAGGCACTTAAGAAAAAAGCATAATGCATGGACACCTGCTATATGCAAAACCAAAAATACCAAAACTCTCAAGCACGTTCTGAAACTGTTTAATAGTGTGCTAAGAATTGTAGCATCTCTTATGGATCTATCAAGTTACATGTTAATTGAAAATACTCAAATTCAAAGTATTATATGAAGATAGATATGATCAAGGGTGGGCGCTTAGTAAGAAAGGCGACAACTCTCATGATCTCACCTCATTTCAAAATGTTATAGATGAACACTCCTTGTCTTGTCTTGTTTTTAAATACTTCCATTGTTAAAATATACAAGTAGGTCAAGGTTGTGCAAAAAAGAGAACTTGAGTAAGTTAGACCCAAAAATGTCAAATACAGCAGTATGTCCCTGCTTTTAAAGTTCTGTGTCAGCGGCGTGGGAGGGGCAATAGTAATAGCAACCAGCTGCAGATCTCATAGAAGGGAATATAAGGTCAGAGGTGTGACATCTGCCAAAGTAAACCTGGCCTCTCGCCACACTCATCATAACCCAGGCAGACGCTCCAAACTCTCTGGGTTGCATCAATTCCTCATACGGCACCTGAGCGCTCAAGCTGCTGCGATCCTGGATGAGTTTCAGCTCAAGCACGCAAAAAGGAGTTTCCCCTTGAGCCAATGCCTCTCAGCTGTTTTATTAATTTGATCAAACACTCCGTAAATAGGATGATGTGAGGAGGGAGCCCTGTCTGGGTTAATGATTATGTCATGTGGTTTAATGATGAATGCGAGTTAGTTTCATTTCAGCACAGATGTGTGGACAACCAATGTGGTCAATTTCCACTCTCCTATGAATGATTCAGACCGTCCTTTGTGTTGCTGTCTTCTCTCTAGATGTGGAGCACAAGGAGGAGGACGGGGGTGATGCAGTCAAGACTGAGGTAAGATTTCCCCCTCTACTGAGTCTTTGTTCTCTGGATGACGTAACTCTTTAGGTGTCTTTCAAACTTGCTGGGGCTTTAGCTTCCTTTTTTGGAGAAAATTACCTTTCCTGTCACAAACCCTGATTGCTCTTCTTACCAGTAAGATAGAAGGTCAGGCTGCAGCTTAAACAGAAGCACAAGAGCTCAACTTGAATTAGAAAGAACATAGTTGGTGCAAAATAGCAAGTATTACAGAATTAAATGACTGTTTTTAACTAGTCTGTTACATGACAAAGCTAGAAAAGATAAGGGATTTTTTTCTTAGGCAATGTAGTATCACTAAAAATATAACTCCTGAAAATAGTGATGTGGATGAACCAGCAGCAAAGAATGGCGAGAGACAAAATGCCATGAGAATGGCACAATGCACTGTGTCATTGAGAAGCAGGTGGGATGGAGGTAACTCTGTGAATGCCACACGATCCACGCATTTGCACATTGAGTGCTTGGTGAAACTAAAAGAGAGTGCCAGACACAGGAAATGCAGGGCGAGGGGGCTTCAAATCCAGGCTGGATAACTCACGATTTCATTCGTCAGGATACTTCCAGCCGTTCCACTCAATTGGCAGAGCTGAATGTGAAATTTAACACCACCGTCGCCAGAGAAGAGCTTGCTTTCACTAAATATAAACCCATATTGCAGCTTGTGAAAAAGGATGGCACTGAGCTTGACTTAACATAACGTGGAAAAAATGAGAAAAGTGATTTGCCATCATCTTTGATGTGGTAGTGTATATGAGAACAGTGTAGTTTAAGTAATATCAGCTCTACACCTATTTTATCATTGATGGAGACTACAACCACCAGTGAAAGAAATGTTCATATGTGTCATAGTGCTCTTCAATTTTCAGTGAGGTGCTCCTAGATTTTTTTACTGGTGCTCCAAGCTTTTTAGAAAATGAGAGCACAAGCCCTGCAAGAGTGAAATAAACCTTTTTATCTTGCTCTCGGCAAGAAAGATGAAGAAAAAACCTTTTGGCCTCCTGTCCTGACTGAGAGTTTTGCAGAGTTCCCTCTCTTTTAAGTCTATGAAACCCCAGTAGCTCTTCAGCCTTTGAAAGAAATGGTACCTAATGGTGTATAGATTTGAAATATCAAATACACTTGGGAGCCCCTTGATTCAGTTGGGTTCATAACCTTGAGACTGTTGCCAAGGAGTTGGGCTTAGACACTGAGGCATCACTCACTGCTGCCTGACCAATCACAGGTCGATCGCACCATACAGCACACCAACATGTGAGTCATCATCTTTTAGGAAATTAGACCTCCCCATCGCTTTAACCACCAATTACTCGCTTGTTAATGAGAGTCTGACTCACGGGCTCTTTTGCCAGATTGGATGCATAGATTTACTGAATGCATCCATTGAAGAGACTCTCCTAAAGAATGACGGGTAGCTAACTTTTTTTTAACGTCTTAAACAGGGAGGTCGAGGCAGGCTGCGTGGGGGAGTTGGTTGGGAGATCAGCCTTCGTCAGAGGCCCATGCCCAGAATAACCTTCCAGGCTGGTGACCCTTATTACATTAACAAGAGGACCAGAGAAGAGTGGCTGGCCAAGTGGAAGATGGAGGTGAGTACCCCTCGATCTGTCCCAGTAGATTACAGGGTGAGCGACAGGCGTGGACCAAAAGCCGCCAGGGTCAAAGATAGGGTTTGTGGTGTGTTCATAGCCAAGTGTATTTGATGCATCATTCGATATCTCATGGAGGTACCATTTATTTCAGTAGATTTCCGGGGCCATTGGCTCAATCAGCTTCTGCATGTCTTGACTTTGTTCCTTTGTTACTGTATGAGCAGAGCAGAAACCACAAGCAGCTGCGATCATCCCATCTGTTTGATGCCTTGACATGAATCATGCTTCCTGGATGAAAAACTCTGCCGTAAAAGACTTGAGGGTTTTCAAATAGGAAAGCAGCAAAGCATTTTTCCAGAGACATTGTCCTTTTTAATCAGGGTTATCCACAGACTTGGTCGGTGTTCTGACTGAGAGCAGTTGTAGCAGCTGTGTTGGTGGTCCCTGTGTTGCTTCAGGTAATAGAAAGATGATGAAATACAGGAATCCTGATGGGATCCTTGGATTTGAGGACTTATCAGATGCCAAAACGCCACGCAGGATTAAAAATTTGATGAGTAAGGATTTTGCCCCTCGGAAATGTTCCCAGACTGATTTTTTGGGTGGGGTTATTTTCTATGACAACCGTTAAGGCAAAATAAGCAGATTAAGTTATTAATGTATTCTGTAAGTTACCTTTACCAGTATTGAGGTCAAAGTTGAGTCAAGTACAGCTTTTGTTCTGTTTTAAATGGCAAAAGAATAAACGTTACTTGGGACATTGATTAACTCCACTATCTTGCACAAGCTCAATTTAGTTACTGTTCGTAAATTTCACAAAAGGACCTTTTGGCGGGATTGTAGTCAAGAATTGTTTCCAAGATGAAGAGCAAACACACCAAAGAGTTTGAACTCTTCAAATTATGTAAAAAACAGGCTAGCTCTGTCTGCTCTTAAAAAAATCATGTGTTTGATTGAAATTGAAGCTGATTCTGATCTGATTGTAAGTAGCATGACAGATTTTTAAATTGGCAGAGTTTGCTTGTTTGCTGTGCGGTGTACTTAGGGACATGTCAGCCTCTCATGGTCTGATCAGTTTGTCCTGGATTGTTAGATGAGTTTCTGGCACGTTAGAAATTTTGGTTGGCCGACTTCATCCTCTCACTGAGTGAAAGCCAAACTACAAGTGATTTCCCGGCTTGAGGGCTTTTTTTCCTGATTGCACCTGTTCAAAATAGCAGATAGCATCTGAAAGCACCATGGCAACATGGTTCTCCGTGTGTACAACAGGAATCCACGTAGCAACACGACAATTGGCGATGACATTATGACCACCTGTGCAGCTTAATGCAGTTCAATACAGCTGCTCAAACAGAAAAATAAGCCTTTGATAAGCTTTTATCACTTTGAAGGTGATAATTCATTTTAATTTGAGTTGTTAAAGTTGTATTTCTGACTTCAACTTCCACGTATTGGGTTTTTTCAAGGGAACAAAGCCTTGTCCTGATTTCACACCTACAGTGCGAGCACTCGGGTTGTGCTTGACAGGCGAAAAATACAGCCTGGGCACACATCTTGTGTGTTTGGTTGTGTATCGTAAATGGTTCAGTCATTTACGATACACACTTCTCACCATGACATTTATAAAATTGTATTGGGTGTTTATGGAATGCCCAGTTGAAAGCAGCAAGATGTTAATCCTTATAAATGTGAAGTTCTCCACAGTGCCCATAACTAACCCATGTTAAATATGACTCAGGGTAGTAATATGCTGTAGTCCAACCACATCTGTTACATAATGAGGATTCTCCATAGTATAAACATGGGGTCTCCCATTTCTTCTGCCTCCCTGCCCCCCTCTGCTCTCCTCTGGAGAATCCTCAGAGAGAAGCTATAAAAATGTCTCCAGGGAGGAAATATTACCAAATTAGCAGGACATGCCAGGGTCCCACAAGTGAAATCTCGTAAAATAGGAGGCAAGTAGGCAGCTCACGTTTTCAAAACAGAGGTGGATCTTCTTGAACAAGTCGCTCTACAAGGCTGAGATTAAAGAGGATTTGCAAAATGCAAATTTTGAGTGTGCCTGTTTTCCCCTCTTTTGTCATCTGGCATATTGCAAGCTTTGATCTAATTTGCACAAAGAGTGATTTGTTCTGGCACCAAAGCTTCTTCCTGAGGAGTAATATGATGCACAGCCTTTAGTTATGGTCCTGCTCTTGACACGGAGCCTCTTGCTGTTGCATGTTTCTGCAGCAGGGAGGACGTGGTAGCGGAAAGGGTTACTGCCGTCTTGCACTTTCTGCGGGATCTCTCTTTTTTTCACGTGCCTTGTGTTACAGTGGACTTCTCCGTCTCTCCCTTTCTGTTTCCCTCCCCCATTCTTTCTTCTGACCCCTCCCCCCCAGCTATGGAAATGAACTCTGTGCTATGGATATGAGGGTGAAGATGAGGTTTGCAGCAAATTTCCAGTCCTGCTTGCAAGACAGCCTCTTGGCTTGCTGCCAACATTTTGCAAGTCCTCTCTAGCCAACCAGAATTCCTGTCGGCAATCACCTGACCCTGAATTCCCAGACAAAGAAATGTTCATGCTTTCTTTTTTTAAGCGATCTCCTCTACCCTGAGAGTGGGGGTGAAAAAAAAACTCCAGCCCCACACTGGATTATGAGGGTTGCGCGCTGGTGTGTATGGGTATGTGCACTGCATTGTTTGTTTGATAACACAGGGGGATAGTGTGCATGTTTGATTAGCCTGCTTACAGCGAGGGGAATATGCTGACTTCAGGTATTTCCACGAGAGTTGTCGTAAACCATCTGCTCTGCACGGCTTAAAGGGAAACCGTCTCTTTAAAAAAAAAAAAAAAAGAAAGGAAGAGTGAGCAGGCTTTAGCCGTGTTTGGGGAAAAAAAGTTGCATGCATGAAAAAAGTTTCTCTCGTGGGGTGATTATGCGCTGAAACTATTCCTGCTTCACAGCAGCGCCTAGAAATGTCAGAGTAGCGCTTTGTTTTTTGGGTCAGATATATTTACCTTGAAAATGTCGCTGTGTTTTGAGAGCACTGTGACTTCACCTTACATAACACCCAACTGGGAAAAGGGTGAAGTTGTTGTGTAGGCCTCAAATCCCTTTCCTTCCTTATCCTTGTGCACTTTGATCTGCTTTACTCTGACATAGATTTACTATAAGAAGAGTAATTTGATTACTAAAAAACACTTTAAAGGGCTGGGGGGTCAGGCGAGTAGCCTCTTCAGAGAGCTTTTTTAACAACTCCACTTGTGGATTCCTGAAAGAATTCTGTTTATGTATTCATGGCTGACTCTGTAATATTCCTAATTATTTCCTAAAAGGGAGCAATACAATGAGAACCAGATGGCCTATTTTGTTGTGACCCCTAAGGCCACTCATGAAATACACAGCCTTTGTAGGAATCTGTGCTAAAACCCGGCTAATGAATGTAGTAGCCACACTGCTGCACAACATTACCTGCCACTTGTGCCGTTCCAGACAGCATTAGCACTACAAGAGCAGGTTTAGGATCCAGCTGGAGTTAACCACACCTGTTGTAGCTTAAAGGGTTCTTATTATACGTTAGCATGGAGACGTATCTCACTGCATTAACCGTCAAAGCATTGCACACAAAACAGTCCCTGCTGCGGCTCTCATGCCTGTTGCGCATGAGAGACGACTGCATTCAAAGGTCAAACTCTTTTGTGTGGCTACAAAGGCGGGTTGTCACATCGTGTAAGAAAACAGTGTTCAGTGACAGTTAATTTCATCTAACTTTTACCCCTGATCACAGTCCTGCTAATTGTTTTTATTTGGCAGCGTTTGGAATGAGCATTGATCATCTTGTGTTGTAGCATTGAGAAGATTTTATCATTTACAATAATGGTGAAACTTTTCATCCCTAAATAATGTTAAATGTTTTGTGAAAGTATTGTATTTTCTGAGCTTACCCTTGTTAGTTGTATAATTAATGTTGTTAAAGCTCCTGTGAAAAACTTTCTGTGTTGACTTTTACGCCCCCTGTGGACAAATTGGTGACTCTTATATTGTTGCTGATTTTGATTGGTCAATTAACTGACAGAACATGAATATCTGCTTTGAGAAGAGTCACTAAGGCTGTTTTTATTATACTAATGAAAATAGACATACTCAAGAAAAACAGGCAATATATCCTTTCAAACCGGCTGATTCAAGTAAATATCATTCAAAAACACTGAAACCACAAAAGCCAGTAATCAGATCCAACAGTGCAAGTGTGAAGAAACCATTTCTAAGTGGCCTCAAGGATTAACTTTATAAAAATGTGCACAAAGAACAACAAAAACTAGAAGGAGAGTACTTTAAATCGACACTTTCCCTCAGTTTAAACAAGACATGAATGCAATGCAGTTAGTTGCCAAACGGTCACCTCTGGTTGACCCATTATGGATCAATACAATTGACAAGACGCTTTAGTAAGAGGCTAACAGCGTGAGCATTGAACAATGAAAGACTGTTGGTTTACTTTTACAGGTTTTTATAGTCAAATTTAGTCTTTTTAAGTCCTTTCCTTGCCTGTCAAGGTTTTGTTTACTACCCAGCTTTCTAACAATGAATTATTCCTGTGTAACTTCCAGCTTAAAGCCCAGTATGTGAACTCTGGAACGTGAACAGAAAACAGAAGGCCGGTTTTAGTCTGATTGTGTCAAATACATAACCACATTATCTCCTTTTGTTAGTGGGAGTATGATAAGTTTAACATAGTCCAATTTTAGTCCAATTTAAGTGTTTAGTCTTTTAAAACTGCAATTTTAGGCTAAGGTATTAAATCGATTTCTTTGACATGTAAACATACTGGCTGTTTGGGTTCTTGATGAGCATGTGCAGTAGTCTGTTCTACTCGGCATGATCAACTAAATATGTGTGGACTCTAAAGGCATGTTTTGATTTGTTTTTGCTAAATGAGTCTCACTCTCAGTACTGTCATTTCCCTCTTCGTAAAAACACTTTAGATGTTATCTTGGATTATAAATATCGCTCCCTCTTAGTAGCTTTCGGTTTGTTAAACAGTTGTTGTTTTTGGGCAATTATTTGTGAGTCCTCAGGGCCAATGCACAACAGTGGTTCATCTCGACAACAGCACTTGTGGCTCTTTGAAAGAGAATTTTTTCCTCGTAAAGTTAACAACCTTATAATAGGCTGTTGTTGTCTTGTAAATAAATGGAGCTTACGCAGTAAACGTGACCTTTTTGTTAACAACTGCAGCCCAGATTAGATTCTAAAGTATCGTCTGCACACCCCAGAGACCAATATCTCTTCTCTTTTTTCTGCCTCGCGGTGCACTCCGTCACCCCTTGAGCCCTCGGGGTATCATGCTGCACAGAACTCTAAGTCAGATTATCCCTGAATGCGCACACAGTGTGTCTCTGCACTCTTCCCTCAGCCTATAGAGCCCCTGTTTTCACTCTTCCCCTGAAAAAATCTGGATTACTGTTTGTACAGTATAACTCATGCATGTTGTTTTGCTCTATTTTTATTATGACTCTGTTCTCTAAAGGTAAACAAAGTCGATGTTTTCACTGGGGGGTTGTAAAAACACATTTTCTCGGCTTTGTTTACACATCTACAGTGTGTCTGCTGTCATTTTTGGTATTTGTCTTCGGTGCGGCGTGACAGCGGATGTAAGTGGTGGTATTTCTGAGCCGTCAGTGACGGGCAGGCGTGCGTAAATGATAAAGACTGCATTGTGTCTCAGCTACCTCCTTTTGCTATTTCCCCCTTTAGCTCAGAGGGCCTGTCTTGCTGGTGGAGCTGCACACACACTGTGAGGCCCCCAAAAGGGGGGGGGGGCATTTACAACTGGGAAGAAGTCCAGAGACAAATATCTGGTTCTTATAGCCACTGTACTTTCTCACCTCCCCCCACTGGCATTTTCAGCGTCACTTTCTCATTGGCTCAGAGGAGAAGGCACCCTGCAACTGACTGACCCAAACACAACAAAACGAGCAGAGCAACTGCAGCCCAGCCATTTAATTGCCATTTACAGCGTTTCCAGTATACCTGTGATTACTGGTCACCAGAGAAGAAGCAGCTCGCTCTGGAGTGAAAACACAAAACCTTGCTTTGCAGCTCGTCTCAGTCAGCCCATTTCTGCCAGTATGTATCAGCAAGTGCGGTCATTACTTTCCCATATGATTACAGATAGTTTCCCCTTTACATATAAGACATTTAGCAGTCTAATTGGCATTTGTTAGTTTTTGCAGTTTACCATCTGGAACCACACATCTAAGCAGGCTGTCGAACACTGACTCCAATGTGCCTGTGCTGGAGCCAAGAGGCCTAACACATATGGCCAAGGGCTTTGAACCATCCATCCAACACTACAGTGCAGATATTTATAAACCGCAGCAGAGCCTCTTGATTGAAGAGCACATGTTTCTACTCTTCAGAGCAGAGACCCCTCCTCAGGCCGTCTAGGCACCACCTCCTCTTAAAGGCGCTATTGTTTACGAGTCACACTGGGAGAGAGAACCAAAAGTTGTACTATACTTTCTCTCTCTCTCTCTTTTTCTCTCTCGCCCCTTTTTTTTCCCCCTCCTCTTCCCACACACCCGGTCCACCTCTGGACATTTACAGAGTGTGTGAGAGACCTGAGAACTTGAGAAAGACTCGAGGAAAGTAAGCACAGCTGTGCAGCAGTGCTCTCACATGGAGCCTATAGTGTGACTCACACATGTTTACATATGGGACTGCAGATATGTTTTCTGAGTGTGTGCGTGTTTTTGGGGGGGAGGAGAGTCAACATGTGTGTGCATGAGAGTCCTAACGTTGGTGCGTTTGAGAGAGACATCAGAATAAGTGCAGCTGTCGGGGATTTACTGAGGGAGGCTTTACTCTCGGCTGCGTCTCGTCCTCTCTGATCGACCTAGCGGTTCAGTGTCAGGTACCATAAACCCAGTGAACTCTCCGCAGCGGCTCCGGACACCAGAGAGTTACTGTATACCTTGCTGTCGATGATGAATGGGCCTTACAGTCAGAGATAAAGCTATATTTACAGGGGCAGTCAATCTCCCACAATCAAGCAGCATACCTTATTTGGTATTCATTACACTTCATATTGAATTCTGCAGAGCTTCAGGCAGAATATATCACTGCATATACTGCATGTTTACAGTTGAGTCATAGATAAGTGTGTGCCTTATAGCATGTTTAAATAAGAGCTGCATAATCGATTTCTTTAAACTGACAACACATCAGATGATTGCTGGTGGTATGGATGGATTATCGCCTGTTTAGCTCCTATTTTACCTATTTCTTTATAACCTCATCCTTACTTTGATTTACACCTGCTACTTTAATGAGCCTCTTTTTTCAGTCTGAGTGAACAGCAGCAGCAAACTAAACAAAATTTCATCCTTTATGTACAACCTTTATGTACAGTCTTATGAGTCAGCTGCATTTCGGTTTCACATGTGAATGAAAAGATAAGCGAAAGCAAAATAGGTTATTTGTGAATACTGAGATATCACCTCCCTCTGGTTAGCTCCAACACGTAACTGTCTCGTTTGCACAAATTATACAACATTTTTTCATATTTAAAACAGATTTTTGTGACACTTTTCTCATCTTTACTGTTCTTGTCATGAAAATAATTCTCTTTCTCCAACTTCAGATGTTTTTTATCATCCAGGTCTGTGTTGCTCTTCTGGGTTTGCACTGGTTGCATGATACAAACATCATCTACCCGACTCGGTTGCGGTGAATTCTCCTGAAAATCACCCCACTAGAATTGACTTGTTAGGAGTATTGTGCAAGTGTGAGCACAGCTTTAAGGTCTTTTTCAGGTCACCTGTCGATCATAGGTTGCTAGACCTTACAGCATTGCCTATTTGATTGTTTATTCTACCATCACGTTTAGAGATGCACCGTTCCATTTTTTCGGATCCAATCCGATACCGACCTGGGCTGAGTGTATCGGCTGATATCTGATACCGATCCAATACTACTGTTGAATAAATGAACTGTATACCTTGCCCTGTGAGTGAAGGCATCAGGCTTGACATTAGCCTTGTTAAAAAAAAGGTAACGAATTAACACAGATATAAATGAACTTAATATTACTTATTAACAAATACCAAATTGCGCATTAGCACACAGCAGAAAGAGGTAAGACTTCCATGTAAACGTTTAGTGCAAAAGGATAGACAGACATAGAATATAGAGCGAACAGAATCGCTGTGCTGCTGTGTATGATATTAATTAAAAGAAAAAAAAGACTGGATCGGCGTCATTCATCAGATGTCTGACCCAGTTAATTTGTCAAAATCAGAGCCAATATCCGATCAGAATATGTGATCAGTACATCCTTAATCACATTGTCTTAGAGGATGATAAGATTGGCACCGAAGTCAACATTGAGATTCAGCTGGTGTCGAGAGAGACTACTCCACTGTCTGAATATGGAAGATGTTTAAATAGGCAACATGTTGACGAGCATGTTAGTCATTATGGTTTACAAGGTGATAACATGAATATGTCGTTTGCAGCTTCTCTAACTGCCTCCAAGTGTATTATTAGACGTTTTGCAGTTGCTGTTGACAGTCAACGTCATCAGATGAGACAGCGTTGTCACTTTAATCCTGTGTGTGTGTGTCCTCCTGTGCAGATACGTTTCAGACTATCTTTGAAGAAAGTGGTCTTATTTTAGCTTTTACAGATTCTTTATTTAACACTAAGAGCTTGTGGGGCTTTTCAACCTTGGATTATTCTGTACTCTCTGGTTTGCAGTTTAGTATGTAGTCCGTTTTTAAGGTGGTCCTTAAATAGGTCCTTTGAAAACCGCTCTCTGTCAGGCTTAATCAATATCGAAGCTATTTCTAATATTTCTCGCTGGCTGACAAAGCTGGAGTTGTATACCTAAAGTTTTGACGCTTTTCCTAATCTAAAACTTGTTATTTGTGAAGTATGTTTAGGAAGCACCCCATGAACAAAGGTTTAAGTCCTCCTCAAACAGTCTGTGGCCTAAATTCCCAGTCTCCCAGTCATTCACCAATCTCTCCTCACATTTGCTGCCTCACTCAAGCTGTCCTTTTAAATGAAGGCAACAAGGCCAAAAAAAGTTTGAAAAAAAGCGACATCAACACTTGACAAACCATCTGCAAAGCTGCGTCCTCCTCACTGCTGTCACTGGCTGTGTTTCAGGCAGAGAAAAAGGCCAAACTGATGTCAGCGATGAACGCGATGAAGGATCACGAGGAGGAGAACGATATGGAAACTGAGAGGGAGGAAGTCTCAATAATCAAGCACCCATCGCCTTCGAGGCAGCAGCAGCCGCCGCAGCCTCAGCTTAAGATGCACACTAAATCACAACCTCAGTCACAGCCTCAGTATCAACAGCAATCACCGCCGTCGCTGCCACTGCAAAAACAACAACAACAACAACCACCACCACAGCAAAAACAACTACAGCATCAGCAGCCACCTCAGCAGCAGCAGCAACAGCAGCAGCAGCAGCAGCCTACCGACCCCGCCTCCCCCACGGTGGCCACGATCCCTGAGCCTGTCGTCATCGGAGGAGGAGACAAGACTTCTCCGAGGTCTGCAGACACCGAGTCTGAGTATGAGGTAAGATGATGAAGAACTCAGTATACCTTTAATGATGCCAGGCTTTCAGACGAACAGGATGTTGCAGCAGAGATCACTATTGGAAAAAGGATTTATTTTAAAGCCAGAGTAAGTCTGTACTGTACTGAGCGTAGTAGCCATTCATACGTGGAGTAAAATATATTCTCCAGGTGTTTTACAGCTTTCTGCCTCATGGAGATCGAAAGATTATAAAAACACTCCACATTCACGGTACAAATATCTTCGTTTTCAGCGTAATGGTCATGAAGAATTTGCCAATAAATGATGTATACACTTCTTTATATATGAGAATTATTTAATGATATGTATGAAACACTAGCCAGCAACTGTTTTGGATTTGAAATGCAGTTATTTAGGAAGGGGAATTTGTTCAACCATTTAAGGGGACGTTAACGTTGCTCAACAGCAGCCGCAGTGATGAGGCTGCCTGCAGTGTCCGCAGCTATAATCTGTTTATTTTATCCTATTTAAGTTTTTTTTTCCAAAGACAAACAAACTGAGACGGACAAGCGTTCGAGAAGGTTTTCACAAATACCCCCAGACATTCAGGCTGAGCGGATAGTTTGCCTTCTATTTTGGCTGCAGGACGGTCGTGGTTTTGGCATCGGCGAGCTGGTTTGGGGAAAGCTGCGAGGGTACTCATGGTGGCCAGGCCGCATCGTATCCTGGTGGATTACGGGACGGAGCAGAGCTGCTGAGGGAACCAGATGGGTCATGTGGTTTGGAGAGGATAAATTCTCAGTGGTGAGTGTTTATGGCCAAAATAAATATAGCTGTCAGGTGATTTTCTTCACCAAATATTAAACCAAACAGCCTCCTGTTTATACAAAACAGCCACACTAAATGTGTTGTTGTTGTTGTACTTGTTCATCCAGCGGAAACATTTAGGCAATATCATATGTCTACACTTACTTAGGACCTTCATTAGTAACTTTTCCAAAACTCAGACAGTTATTTGATTGTCTGTTTCAGATCTGTGTTGAGAAACTTATGCCTTTAAGTTCCTTCAGTAATGCCTTTCACCAACCAACTTACAACAAGCAGCCTACATACAAGAAAGCTATCTATGAGGTGCTACAGGTGAGTACAACATGTCTATTCAACCAGTGATCTTTTGCTGTGTATTTAACTTCAAAAAAAGACAGGGGCGTTTTTAACTCTGTGTTTTCTCCCCTCCTTTATTTCATTTTGCTTCATGATGGTTTCAGGAACACCAATTTAGCACCCAGACGCTTCTGCTTTGATGTCATGTTGTTGCAATATGTGCAGAATGTGGTTTTGCATTGTCTCAGTGAAATAAACAAGGCATTGTCTGGATGTCAGTAGTTTTTAAAATTCAATTTTAGATGCAGAAACAAACTTGTGTTTATGGAGAATAGTTTTTGGAGGTTGTTTTAAGCCCATGCTGAGATTTCCGTGACAGAGTCTAGTCTGTTTTTCAGTGAAGTGCCGCCTGAGTCCCGATAGCCATCCTGTAGTGGTTGTAATAAACTCCCTAAATTCTCTACAATTTTTAGCTAAGGACTATTTTCTGAAAATGTTAAACGCTTTGCTCACAGTCTCTTGCAGAGTGGTAAACCTCGTCTTATCTCATCAGGGTTAAGTTAGTTTCAAGAGGAAAAAATAGTCATCTGTTATATATCAACATGCTTATCTATGCAATCGTCTTCCTGAACATCTACAGCTAAAACTTCTTTCTGTGCACTGTCCTTGACACCACAGGATGGTGTGGACATGTTTCTGTTACAAGTAAAAAGAAAGACTTTTAATGAAGGAAGAAAGAGAATAATGAAAATAGATTTTTCAGCACTTGGTAGCAAACTTCAAATCCATCATGCTGAACTAACAGACAACTGCTCTGACTATACTGAGGAGAAACCTGAGTCTGACGTACTTTATATGTTAACAGGCGGCAGGCAGCAGAGCAGGCAAAGCCTTCATAGCCTGCCCCGACAGCAATGATACAGAATCCTCCAAATCATTGGAAATGCTGAATAAGGAGATGATTGACTGGGCGATGACAGGATTTCTGCCCACCGGACCGAAGGCCTTGGAGCCACCAGAGGGTAAGAAGAAGTCAGCAATATCAAGCTTGATTTGTTTAATATCTGTCTGAGTAAACTTCTGCCAGGAAGTGGGAGTCCTGACTTTTTATGTCCTGGAGACTTCCCACATGAATTTCAACCTTTGATTATTGCACATAAATATTTCATGATATTGCCCCTGATATTGTTTTTCTACATGCTGTGTGCCCCAGAGGAGCGTAACCCCTACAAACAGGTTTACCCTGAGATGTGGGCGGAGCCTGAAGCAGCAGCCTATGAGCCTCCTCCGGCCAAAAAGCCTCGCAAAAGCACAGCAGAGAAACCCAAGGTCAAGGACATCATTGATGAGAGGACGAGAGGTAAGGTGCCTCATTAATTTGGTCAAATAGGAGTCATGAACTCTGGAGTCCTTCCCTTGGGGACGACTCGGCGGTGTTGTACATCAGAGCAAAGTGGTCAAAGGGGAAGTGTGCGGACAAAAGGTCCATTAGTGTCAGCTAGTGAGTGATGTGACGAAGCAGAATTGCCGGGGATGATGGCAGACACAATGAAAAGATGTTCATGATGATCTTACTAACACTAGGGTATCTTAGATTAACATGTTTAAGAATAATAGATGTATAGATATCACCTCTCACATGAACCTTTCGCCTAGTTCTTTGCATCTGAATATCTGTTTGACCCTGAACTGAACAAGGTCATGAGTCAAGGTAAATTAAGCCAAACCATTCGTGGACTTCTTAGCATTACTGCAACAAGGAAAGAGATGGATGTGATAGATTTTGGGTCAAACTGGGCCAAAAATTGACTCAGATGTTAAGGGTTCCAGCACATTTTTGTCTATCAATTTCATGGTTTTTCCACATCTTTAAGAGAAAATTTAATCCTCTGAAAGGTCTGCATAAACCTAAAAATAAGAACACTAATCCATGCTAAAATGTGCACCCTTATAGCATGTTTTGATAGAAAAAATAATAGTTTAAGTAATAGTGACAGCCAGGTAGGATGTTTGCAGATTCTATCACACATGTATTTGTGAAACTAACTACAGTGACTTCTCCAAAACTTCTGCATGCCTGGAGGTTGCTAATTTAAAACACTATGATTTTTCCTGGTTTTTCACAGCCTTCATATAAACCTTGCATTTCTTCTTAAAACAATAGCAGTTCCAAGATTTTGGTGTGCCGCAAGGATCAATTTCGGGGATTCAGCGGTTTCCATTTTGCTATTATAGTCTAATGTTTTCAAATCTAAATCTGATGTTTTCTCTGCAGAGACTGTTATTTTATGTGATTCTCCTTTTGAAAACCAAAAACCAAAAGTTATTGGAGAAAAAGTCTAATTTACAAAATGGTTAATTTGTGTGAAGCACATGAGGACTGTTGAGGGTTTTGGGGGTTGTACATTCTTAGCAATGTCTTTCTCTGCAGAAGCTTATAATTTAAAAACTTTGAACAAATCTAATTAATTAAAGAGTGTAAATGTGCATATAGATTTTTTTCATGGGGAATAAATGAATTACTGTGTCTGGTACAAACACAAATGATAGACTTTTAAGTGTAAAAGCTTCAGTTTGGGGTATTTACAAATACAGTTGTTGTGTGATAACTACCTGTAGTGATCCATGTCAACGAATTTCAAGTTGTGGTTTTGCTAACCTACATTTCTCATTGTGTCTTTTTTTTTTCAGAGCGACTTGTTCTTGAAGTGAGGCAAAAGTGTCGCAGCATAGAGGGTAAGTGACGTGTCCTCTGAGTACTCTAGCTTGTAGCAGCACCGGGGGGCCTCTCAGGGGAGGAACACAGAGAGCCTCGTCCTTGGTTTTGACAAGCAAAGCAGCAGAAATGCACGCGTCTTTGTTAGTAAAATGATACGAGTAGAAATGGAGAAATAACATTCCTTGTCGGCTCTCCTCAAAAATACCAGCTAAGCTCATTAGATTTGAACCTGCAACACAGCTGTTCAAATAGTTTCAGCGGAGGGTGAAGTTCAGAGCATTTCAGAGTGTTCACACCTCTCTGACCTCGGCCTGTTTAAATCCTGACACACTGCACTTCTTACTGCAGACATCTGTATCTCCTGTGGAAGTCTGAATGTCAGCCTGGAGCACCCGCTGTTTGCTGGAGGAATGTGCCAGGGCTGCAAGGTACGCTGTGATAGAGGTCAATAAAAGTCTGGGACTCAGCGCCAACTACTGTCTCGTAAAATCACTGCTCCTTTCAAAGCTGTTAATAAACTGAACACACTTAAGCAGCACCTGATGTGATCCAGTTAATTGTGTTTTTTTCTTTTTTTCAGCTCCAAACAGTTCACTTTGTATTTATCCTTTTCCGTTTCTTTTCGCAGAACTGCTTCCTAGAATGTGCATATCAATATGACGACGATGGCTACCAGTCATACTGCACTATCTGCTGCGGAGGACGAGAGGTGCTCATGTGCGGAAACAACAACTGTTGTCGGTAAGGCCTCTTATGGGCTCTGACGTAGAAAAAACTTAAAGGTCTGGGCCTCTTCAGGAGAGGTGCAGAGACATTGAATAAACATGCAAACTAGCTAAACTACATTAGGAGCCCTTCAAAATAAAAGCATTTGTTAATGAAAAATAGAAAAATGTCAAACAAAAACTCTAGATTTCTCTGAAGCTGGATAATACAGATATTCAGAGTTAGGGGTTCTTTGATTAATGATCCAATATCTAAGAGCATGTGTCTATTTAAGTAATTCTTATTTTCTATACAAGAACAATGTACTTTTATAAGGTCAGTGCTCAGTGTTTGAAGCACAGAAATGCCCTCTGGATCAGCTGTTCTATGTTAATGCGCTCTAAGTTGAAAATTATTCGACTTTCAGAACTTACTGTGCTCGCTCTGCTGCCTAACCGACTAATTAAAATCAAGAAGGGGCGGGATTTCGGATACAAACTTTGTCAATAACTGCGGTGGAGGACAAACCAACCTGACTCATTCTTCAAGGGTACAACTTCCTACTCTATAGCTGTAATTAAAGTAGAGCAATTAAAAACTGAAACTGAACTAGCAGGTGCTTAAAGAGCAAAAGACAGTGTTAATAAACACAGACCCTACTTTCTCTCAGGTGGAGGTTAACCGTTACAGAGTAAGCCCCGAGATAAAATAATTAAAAGACTGCCAGTAAAAGCTGAAAGAAATTTACGACATTTCTGCTCTGTTTTTATATGCACATGATAAAAGTCATACTCTGACTGATGTTCTTAGGTGGACCTTTAAATCATTCCAGGTTAATAAGGGGAGGTAAATGATAAATAAGTTTTACTGCAGTTCCTTAGCTTAAGCTGGAACAGACATTTATGGACCGAATTGCTCCTTAGAGAAAGATCCATCCTCTAAATGTCCTTACAAACCCCCTGGTTATGAACTCATATGATGGGTCTATGTCATGCATTTATCTTACATATCAAACCTGGAGTTTTTTTTGCAGTCTGTAAACATGTCAGCTGCAATAACAGGACACATTTGATGAAGAGAAGTATTATAAATCTAATATTGAGTCAACTAAACTGCCAAATAACAAATTAAAACATTGCATTACTATGTGTAAGGTACAGTTTTTGAGTTTAATTAAGTTTTGTGAACTTCTTTAAACATTTATTACATTCTACTGACATGGTATCATTTTTTTATGTCTGTGTCATTACAGTTTCCAAGTTTCAAAATCAATTGAGATACACAATTACAAAGTTGTGCCATGAAGTCATTCAGGAATTCGCGTCCTTCTATGAACAGTTCTTTCTACAGCACAGATGGCGAGACACTGCTATCGCTGCACATACTGAACGCATAATGGCGTCTTTGTAGCGCTGTCACCGATATCAAAGCAGTGATGTTACACACTATAACGGTGGTCCGCTGGCCGTGAATATTTGATCACAAATATTACATAAAGTGTGGTTGTATGTCAGCTGAATGGGCCACTGTTTGTTATAAAAGAAACAGTCTGATGCGTGCGCCCTCACACAGTCAAACAACAAGATTAAAGTCGAGCAAAATACCACTGAGAACAGAATCAGCCTTGTCAGTCACATGTAGGACCAGTCAGCACACAATAGCTTGCTGTCTGTTTAGATGATAGTTTCTGGCATTTAGATGACATTTCAGTGGTAACTGGCTGCCACTCAAAACCCCCAAACATCATTCAAAACCATTAAACCTGGGCCTTGTAGATAAACACAAAGACAGACCAATTGTGGAAATTGTGTGTCCTGATCTCTGATTGGTCGCATAACAAATCCTATTAAAAGACAGAAACCAACCATGAGTCTAGTTATCATAATTATTGAGGCTACTTTTGCGGTACTCAGCCTCAGACCCTACCAGAGATACAAGTATGTGCAGTTTTATTTTCGGGGTGGAAAACTTACAGCTGCAGATCAAACCGGTGGTTATAACAACAACATGACTGTGCACAGCCTCCATGTTTGTTTCAATGACAGGATCATGTGACCCAAAAGCAACAGTGATGCTCTTTGATGAGGTTTGTAAAGTTATGGGCAACGATGGAGTACAAAGAGTACGATGAATCAGGCTTAACCACACAGAAACTTTTTATCCTTGCCAATTTTTTGCTCTTCTTTTTGATGCCTTAATCGGGTTGGTGACTAACCCTAACCCTAAATACAAAAGAATTGTTTTTTTAACAGCACTTACGCTTCTTTTGGGAATCAGGGTTGTACATTAACAGCCATAAATCAAATGAATATATTTGATTATGCGAACTAACAAATTTATAAGTGGAAAAAGAGAAGCAACGCATGGTGAAAAGAGACTGCAAGGCTCCTCATGAGATAGATTTCTTTAAAAATTATACTCTACTGTTATAAGTTCAGCTGGCTCTTGGCTTTTAAAGCTGATTTGCTTGCAGTTAATGTTTATTCTGACGTGTAACTACCTGATACCTTGCTGACTTAAAGGGATATTCCGGTGTAAAATTAATTTAGGGTCAAACACACTGTAACACCGGGTTAGACACCCCGTCAAGAGATGAATGTTGCCGACCGCTTGCTTTTGTAGTGATACCAACTTTAGTAACGACCCCACGATAGCAATACACAGCGGTCATAGGAGCCATAAACAAACCTCAACCAAAACGCCGCTTTATAGCCACAAATAATGCTCAGAACAGCACCTAACTTCATTAACAGTACATGTAGGGTCCCAGCCATAGTACTAGCCACCAAACATCTTTTTAACTTTGCCTGATTACTTTAGCAAAGAGACTAGACACAACTCACCTACTCTCTTCCAGCAGCCGCTTGTTTGTAGGGAGACCTCAGGCCAGTCCATTACGGTCTACAGCTGGGGGGTCGCAGCTCAAGGAAGAACATTAATGATCATTTCTTTATGGAAATGCAATCAGACCGAGACGCTAAGACAGAAGAACTACCGTATCTGCAGTGCAGATTGATCAGTGTGATGATTATTACTTCAATGAAATGATAAAATAATAATCATAAATGTTCTTCCTTGAGCTGCGTCACCCCCGCCTCAGTCGATGATGGACCAGTCAAGGTCTTGCTACAAAACAGAAAAATAATTTTAAGCCAGAATATCCCTTTAAAGAGAAGATAGATGGTGTTTGCTAATCATCCTCTCTGGCCCGTGTTTAGATGTTTCTGTGTGGAGTGTGTCGACCTCCTCGTTGGTCAAGGTGCAGCTCATGCAGCCATCAAAGAGGATCCGTGGAACTGCTACATGTGTGGTCAGAAGAGTGTGTTCGGCCTCTTACTGCGCCGCACTGACTGGCCTAGCCGCCTCCAGCACTTCTTTGCAAACAATCATGATCAAGATTTTGTGAGTAAAGCTCCTTCAGGCTCTAATTCAATCGTGCTAACTGTCTCACAAAGAAGTCCTTAATTTGTTTACAACCTCTGTGTTTCATTTCAGGACGCACCAAAGCTTTACCCCCCAGTCATGGTGGAGAAAAGGAGGCCCATCCGTGTCCTGTCGCTATTTGATGGCATAGCAACAGGTAAGAGAGAAAATAGAGCCTCTCCTTCCAACTTGACTAAACTTAATGTCCGTTTTTTTGTGATTTGACAACAAAGGCGACATTTCTCTTTGTTTATCACAGCCAAGTAAAAATATAGTCTAACCTCTGGCACTATTTCCTGCAGGGTTACTGGTACTGAAAGAACTTGGCATCCAAGTGGACCGCTACGTAGCTTCTGAAGTATGTGAAGACTCCATCACTGTGGGTATTGTCCGGCATCAGGGTCGCATCATGTACGTTGGCGATGTGAGGACCGTCACGCGCAAACATGTGAGTTTGATTTGTCATGCTGAGGGATGTGTCGAGTGTGAGTGACGTTTTCTTACAAATATACAAGGAGTTTGCTCTTCTCTAGCTGATCCCATAAGGAGCCTTTACATACTAAGACTGGATAGTTTGAATTTTTGCTCTTATTGGAGGGAAACAAGTGTATTGTACACAATTATGGAGGTGCATAGTTAATTTAAATGTTACTGTGCAACTTTAAAAGACCGTAAATTCTTGCTTGTGCATGAGCAAAAACAGAGATACACACTCACCGCTAAAGTTGCTGTTTGTGCAGAGAAATGGTCAAAGTAACAGAGGAGAAATGCTGTACTTGGGTCAGATTGTAGTCAAAGAAATGAAGCTGGAGGAAAGCTAACCATCAGAATGTCCTACAAGCAATGACAAAGGCATGCAGTTATAAATAAAACACAAGTTTGTATCCCACACACTTTGTCATTTTATCTGCTGACTGTCAACACCGACTGACCCGGTCCAGCTTGATCAGATCAGTCGCGGTAACTAAATCATATTTATAACCCACATCGCTAGCTTGTGTATGAGTGTGTGTGTGTCCCTGCTGCAACAAGCTCTTATAGCGGTGATTAGACTTTAAAGATTAATGAAGATTAAAATTTATCAGGCATGATTTTAATGAAAAACAAAACCTTCTTATCATACAGTGAAATATGGTTGAAGTATACATGCAGATGGTCCTGCTATGGACCATAAGTTTTCTCTGTTGAAATTGAGAAATCTAACGTATGCAGGAATACAAAGCGCTCCACTTTTGTTGGATTTTATGGGTTTGTCGTCACAGTCGAGGAGAGCAGACAGTCTCAGCTGCCTCACGATCTCACTACAGGTCCCTGTTCAGCACCACAATCTGTTGTAACATCCAACAGTCAAACACCACCACTGTGAGCTATTATATCATGCCATCTGATATCTGCATGACTATCACACGACTGCCTCTCGTATTAGTTCTGGACCGCTCTGCTGCAAAGAAAACTAATTTAGCTCGTGATCTCATTTCACACAGTGTTCCCTTTATATCTGCCTGATGACGTGTTGTTGACAGCTGAAGTATTCTTTTTTTGGATAAGCTGCTCTATCGAGAAGCTCTAGTATTTGTGGATTTTTGACACCAAGACCCCAAAAAAATATGCAGTCAGAAAATCTTTGGCTGACATTTTTATGAATGAAACTTGCTCAGGAATTAGACTGAAGACTGCTCTGTGTGAAAGTTATTTTTATGTTTGCTATTTCATGGCATCTGTCTGGACTTTTGAATCTATATCTTACCATGTAAAGCCCCTTCCTGCTGGGAGAGTGTATACACCTTTCTCTACTTTTACCTTGGAGTGTATGAACTTCTTGAAGTTCAGCACAATACATTACAATTTCAGCGTTATCTCACTTTTAGAATTTGCTATAAAAACATGCAAAAGTGAATAAATAACCATAACAACACAAAATTATCTGAAGTAATTAAGCGCTGCTCTCTCACTCAGTATACATGGATTTTAATCATTGGATGGAGGTCTGGTTATTACACCATTTGAATGCAGTCAGGTTGAACCCGAGCTGTCTAGCAGTTTCTCTCAGGACATTTTCAAAGCGTCCGCCAAACTCTGCTGTGAACTCTGTTTCACAATAGATGAAAGTTAAAGGAGAGTTTAACTAAATTACCTAACCATACAACACCTAATCTATACTGCCTCTGTCTGTGTGAAGGTGTTCCTGACTCTGTATCTTATCTCTTTACAGATACACGACTGGGGTCCTTTTGACCTAATTATTGGCGGAAGTCCATGCAATGACCTCTCCATAGTCAATCCTGCGAGAAAAGGTCTCTTTGGTACGCTCATTTTTCACTGTTGTGTTGTGTCGTGATGTTTTCATGTTATTTTAATTCTTACATCCCTCCACATGTTGATACTGAATGACTGTTTCTGTCTCACAGAGGGCACAGGCCGCCTGTTCTTTGAGTTTTACCGGCTGCTCCATGAGGCTCGACCGAAGGAGGGAGACGACCGGCCTTTCTTCTGGCTCTTTGAAAACGTGGTTGCTATGGGTGTCAGCGATAAGAGGGACATATCTCGCTTTCTAGAGGTCAGCTTTTGTCTGTCGGCTAAATAATAAGTTTATCTTATCCTACAGGTTCGAACTAATCATAACTTCTGCTAACTTTGTAGATTTTAGACTCGAGAGTAGATACAGTCAGATGGGATGCAATGATGTCGGGGAATGACAGATTATTTATGCCCCCTTGTGGCAGTAACTTATCATCTCTGAATAATGATCATTAGGAGACAGGGCACATTCACTTTATCTTGTGTTAAATATTGCCCATATTGAGGTTTGAGCCTGATTAGCTATTGGTAGAAGAATATCCTACCTTTTTCAAATAGGAATACTTTTGAGTTATACTGGAGCCGATCACTTTGAGGTTTTTGTCGTCTGCCAAAGCTTTACAAAGACAACACCACAAAGATGCTACTGTGCGTACACTTCCTACCTTGGATCCTCTCAAACTGCTGTCTTGTCCTCTCTGCTCCACTCTGATTTCAGTGCAACCCAGTGATGATCGATGCCAAGGAAGTGTCGGCAGCCCACCGCGCCCGCTACTTCTGGGGTAACCTCCCTGGCATGAACAGGTTGGTTTTCATGGCGAGGAGAGCAGCAGCCTGTGACATACACAAGGGGAATTGATATTTTAGATAACTCATGCTTTAAACAAGGCTAAAAGAGTCAGTCATACATCCATGACAGTCATTTTTAAACTAAATAGAGGTATAATTTCTTTTTAGAGATGAGTGTGAAATCAGGCAACATGAATCTTGATACTTGACCAAGATAGAAACTCTGAATTCCTTTTTATGACTACAATGCAGCTAAACATGTGGTTTAATATCAAACTAATGCATGTTTTGGAAGTCAGTATGAAAATAAAAACTGTCATTGAGGACAACCACTAAATCTCATTCCTATATAGGCTTTGGTTACTTTTTCTAGTGCTGAATTCGTTTATCAAACTACAGTATGTCTCACTTTACATTCTGTCTCCTCTGGACTCTTCTTTTCTAGACCTTTGACTGCCATGAACAACGACAAGCTCGGCCTCCAGGACTGTTTAGAACATGGCAGAACAGCTAAGGTACTTCTCTATTACTTTTGTATAAATACAAATACAGATTCAAATAAAGACAAATACAGTTTTTAAAAAGGTTGGGATACTGAGGAGACTGTTTTAACAAATTTTGCAAATCATTCAAACCCCTTGTTTGATTGAAAAATAGCATAAAAGCGGAAAATCAAGTGAGGGAGACTGCAAAAGCAAACAGTATGCATTTTACAATGATTTTCCTTAGGGCAAAATTGAAATTAGGTTTGGGATTTCTTAATCTGAAGGACATAATATCATGAGAAATCGCTGCACCAGCTTGTTATCAGCACAGATTTCAAAAGCCAGCGTTAGTGATGGTACTGGGAGCGTAAGTGCTCATGCCATGGGTAGCTTATACATTCAGGAAGCCACCATGAGGTTTTGGAGCAACACATTCTGCCATCTAGACTATGCTTATCACCAAGGAAGAGTGCGTATTTCAGCAAAGCAATGCCAAACAACATTCTGCACATTTAACAACTCCATAACAGAGGAGTCTGACCTGCAGCAAGTACATTTAATAATCTGTTAGTACAAATATGTTTTTACTGCTCTCTCATGCTTTTAAAACTGAGAGGAAAATGAGGAAGTTAAATGTGATATTTGTTTACAAAGGCAACAGCTTCATTAATAACATAAAAACGAATAAAACACGACATTGACAGTGACTGCTTAATGCAGGAGTTGCCAATTATGCACACTGGTGACACCCAGTGGCAACAAAGAGGTAACTAAATCTGACCCACACACACCCTTTTTGATCTATAAAAGATGTCAACCTTTATAACCTAATAGCAATGTCATCTCAAAGGATGGAAACAACTATTCATACTCATGGAGTAATTTTCCTTCCTCAGTTTGAGAAGGTGAGGACCATCACCACCAGGTCTAATTCCATCAAACAGGGCAAAGATCAGCATTTCCCGGTCTACATGAATGAGAAGGAAGACATCCTCTGGTGCACTGAGATGGAGAGGTATGTCGACATAAAGGTTCCCCCTCTTGTTCTTCTCTGCTCTGTTCTTCTTTTCCCTTGTTCTGCTCACCCTCCAAGACTGTTTGTTTAAATCTGCTGGTCTGGCCTTTACCTCCTATCAGGGTCTTTGGCTTCCCAGTCCACTATACGGACGTGTCCAACATGAGCCGACTGGCGAGGCAGAGGCTCCTGGGTCGATCATGGAGCGTCCCAGTTATCCGCCACCTGTTTGCACCACTCAAAGATTACTTTGCCTGTGATTGAGCAGCGGGGGAAGACTCACTCGGAACCTTTTAGGAACTACAACTGTATGTTGTGTCTAGAAATAAGAGCCTTGATCCTCAAATTATACTGTTTGTATAATTTGTAAGCGAAACATTGACGTAGATTTCACATTATTTCTTGTATTTGAATTGTAATTCTTATTCTATTTAATTTTGATATGTCATTTTACCTTTTAGCAGTGTTATCAAGTATTGTTGATTTGTTTGTGCAAGCTATACTTGAGACTATGCTTTCTTCTCAAGACACTGAGGCAGGAAAGTGCTGAACTTGTATTTAAAGCGTGTTGGAAAAGACCCGAGAGATAGGAAACAGTTTGGGTTTCTGTGAAATGTTTCTGCTGTGTGAGCTCGCAGCTACTGAGCCTCACAGGTGTGACGAGGAAGGCGATGTTTCCTCAGTGTCAGGAGAGCTGTGTCTCTAAGAATCCAAAACACCAGATCACATATACCTCTTTGTTTACAGTTTCTATACACAACTGAAGGTAATAATGGTACTACTGTAATATGGTTACAATACCATGGTGCTTCGAGATGATTTGAAACATCATCGCCCATGTGGCACTGCGACTTTCGACAATACTGAACTCTTTAACCTGTTGCTGGAAAATCTTGTGTTTGATGTTTTTACTCTTAAGGAAAAAAAAAACGTTTCTTGCTGTTTGATTGACTTCTGTAGTAAGTGAATGCAAAGTATCCTCTTATCTGCATTTTAGAGCTTTTATACTCTTTCTACTGGTGCTCATTTAATCACTCAGCCTTGCTACGCTCAGGCTTACCGCCTGGATCCGCACAAACAAGAAGTGAAGCGAGCCACATGGGATATGATGTTTTCTGTCATTTGACTAGAGAAAAAAAAAAAAACTTTAGATCAATGTCTGTGAAACTAATTTTTTCTAGTTTCATCCTGACCAATGACATTACTGTACAACTGTTATAGCAAGTGTGGGCGTGGAAGGAGGGAGGGAGGTTGACCGGGCCGGGTAACTCTGCTCCTCAGCTTCCACCTCCGCAAAAACTGTAAAAACTGTCAGGTGCAAATCTTCAACAATATGGTGCGGCTTCACAAAGTTCTTCTACCTTTTTATAGCAATTTGGTGCTGTTTTATCAACATTATAAAGCACTTTTTTATATGTACTTTCTTTTTTCTTGATATTTTTTAAAAAAAGATATTGGTTTTGTGAATTGTTTTCCTGTTTTCGTTTTATGATGTGAAATGATCTACCCTCGTGTAATACTTTTTGTATACAGTAGGGCTGTGCCAATAGAAGTGAAAGAATGGATTTTGAGATGTGAAGCCCATGTTATTTCAATGTACAATAGATGGATTGACATTTGGGACCCCCAAAACCCTTTTCCCTTTCTTCCATCATCCATACTGTTCTTCATTTTAGAGCAGCATTTCAGTATGTTGCTTTCTGGATTCAAAGAATGTCTACTTCTATTAAGATTGTAAAGGCAGAGTTAGGGAACTGTGTCATGTGCTCTGTATAATATTCTGTCCCTTGTAAAGGACATTTCCCTGAAAATAGTAGTCATGTTGACAAATTTAAGTGCTGATCCAAATGTGGATTATATTCACAAACTAAATTCTCTTGATTGTAACCTCTAAGCTAAATATGGAGGATTTAGGCTGCGGTTTTGTCAAAACAAAAAACTGACACAGTGTATGACAAAGACGTCAGCACTCAAAGACTTAAGAGGCTAATAAAAACAGATGTTATTGATTATCTATATGATATTTAAGATTGAAAATTTGAAATTTAATTTCTTATTGTAATTATTTTCTTAAGTGACCTTATTGCCATCATTTTTGTCCATGCGCGCTGAGCTCAATATGAGCTCCTGTGCTTGGCGATATATTTCCCCCCTCCTTTATTACTTAACATCCCCCCATGTTTGTACATTATGTACATAGAGTTTTCTGGTTGCTGTTTTCATCTTTTTTATTTTTTATTACGTATGAGATGTACAAATATAATTCTTTGCTAATATATATCATCAAATTAGGACAAATTTAGGTTAAAAAAATGAAAAAAAAAATCAAGTGACAAATTTGATTCAAAACTTGCTTTGAGCATTAGATGTAGGGTGACTCCAAGTCGACTTTATTGTACTGATTTGTTTGTGTCAAGTGAATCCAGATTTAGTGTCATGTGATCTAAATAGTGGCCTATGGACAGCTTTAAGATGAACGGTCTCAACTTCACTGCACAGCCCTACAAGGTGGTGTTTTGTTTTTGTTTTTGCTTCTGTTTCCTTTTATAAGACTTTAAAAAGAGGGATTGTAGGTGTTTCCAATGGTGCTAAACATTTTATCTAATCAAGAAAAATATATTTGATTGGAAGAGAATAAAACATGTCTTGACAATGACTGTTTTTAAGTTTAAGTTTCTCCTCGTAGTAATGGAAAAGAACTATTATTTCACTCATATAAATATATTAACAAAGGCATTTTAACTTTGTACTTGAAAAAATAAGAATAACAATTAATGAAAGGTTTCCTATATTGTTTTAGACTAGAGATTGCTGTAGTTGGTGCTTATCTGTGGGAAAATCGTGTGAGAAAAAAAACGGTAATAACTTTTACTGTAGCATAATGTATGCTTAATGCGCATTGCTTCTTAATCCTACATTCCATGCCGTACTACTCTCCATGTCTGTTTTCCAAATGTTGTTTTGAATTGATGAATTTGAATTTTATATCAGTAACAACATTTGATTTTTACTGTTCAACGCAGGTCAAGGATTCTATATTAAGTGAAACTGTTGGCACTCTGTGTGACTTTCTTTCTGTCATAACTGTTTATAACCTATACGCTTTTCCTCAAGACCAGTCCGTACAGCAAATGTAGCAGCCATTCTCCACTTTGAACCCCCCAACTCCCCCGCCCTCATACTTATGTTTAGTGTCCAGAAAGAAGATAAAGGCTCCGTATGTACTTGTGCTGGAGAACACTTGAATAAATGTATTGTTTTTGTGCAAAAAATTCCACCTCCTGTTTTTTTTTTACCCTCATATTTTATGCAACTTCCCACACATCTTGAACTCACATCAGTGCTTCCATAATGTGCCTTCAAATCTCAATGATTTTGTTTAAATGTGGATCATAAAGTATGCTTCAATCAAAACATCACCTGATTTGGGCTAAACGTGGATATTGCTCATTCAAGGGATGAGCGCATTTAGATGTTTAACAATTTAACATCCACCTTCGCTAATGGGCACCAGAGTCATCAGTCAGTTAAATGAATTATTTACATACATGTTTTTGTAGAGCGGATATGCAAGTCATGTTTTGTGTCCAAGTTGGAGAGCAGCAGACAGCCATCGGTCAGGGTAACTCCACAGGTTTCTGCTACCTGGATGTAAACAAGCATAAATGACACAGTTCAGTTTGAGTAACGTGAGTCTGTAGAACTAAAGGCTGTAGATTGAGGACTGCAATTCTAAGACCCTTGTCATATACCAAGGGCTGCATTTTTAGTGTCCAACAGTAACATTTGTCAGTGTCTAGCAGTAACAGTTTTTAGTACCAAACAGCAACTTTGAATGTTACAACGACACAAGGGTTCAAGTGATATAATCTCAGAAAAGACGTCCTCAAACTGCTGATGCTGCAGGCACAAAAGATTGTAGTTTGTTAGTAGGAAATGGAGTTTAACTTGTATGTAGGCTGTCTGGTTAAATTGGCATTTAAACACTCAATCAGGACAATGTGTAACCAGCCACATGTGGACAAGCACCTGTAAATATTGTGGTGCAAGCCCTGCGAAAGTTTGTCAACCTTATTTTTTTACTGACTGTGTTAAACCATAAAATTGTGCTGAATTGGGACAGTTTTCTTACCTTAGCTTAGCTGGCTAACTAGGAAAATCTGTCCCTTCTGAACACCTGTAGTCAATTTTATCAGTAACACCTGCCTTTTTAGAGTCCACCATCTGCTACAAATAAAGGTATTTTTTTACAGTTTGAATCACTTAAAACTTTTCTTTTACATTTATATGATCACGCACATATGTATAATACAGACTTTTTAAAGTTGGTTGATAAAATACTGCATTTATTGGCAAAAATAACTGAATAGGTTTCCACAAATTTAAGTTATTGTTTGGTTTTTTCTCAAAATTATTATTTTTCGTCTTATAAGGGCGAAGAAAACAATTATGACAAATCAAGTAGGCCTAATAATGTCATACCAAATAAAAAATCATGGCTAAACCAATGAAGAATGATAGTCTCCTTGAAATGCTACCATGGTAAAGGGCACTTTCAAAAATTATAAATCTCCCCATGGCTATGGATTAGTTTATAATTGTCAGGGGGCTGATGGATGAGATGTGAGTTTTAATATTCGGCTCCTGTTTCCATGCCATCCTGCCCTCCAGCGCGGGGATTTGTGGTTTACTGTGTTGCCACCTGGGTACTTATCATCATGAGGGTGTAGCCCTGCAGCTCATCTATGAGTAGATCTGAACATGCTGCCCTAATAAAGCTTTCATTGAGCCAATTATTTACAGAATTAATGAGCGTGCACTTGACATTTTTTTTCTATTATCCCATATCCTCATCTTATTTGTGTTTTATGTATATTTTCTCACATGATTGTTAGAGTGGGCCTTTATCATGTTCCTACTAATGCTGAGAGTAACATTTGGACCAATGACGATATCATGACTGTGATTACAATAAATTACAGCTTGTTTACCCCCCCATAAATCTATATCACCCCCTCCCTCTGATAGTGGTAGAGCCTCCGCAGAGTGGACACGCCCCATGTTCACAGTGATTGGTTGTTAGGGAAGCCAAGCCTTCACTGAGCGCTGCTGATAGGTGCGTCACCTCGCCGTACGGCCTGGATGCTGGGAGTTGCATCGAGTTGACACAGAACAGACGTAGACGTAAAGGAAAACGCCGATTTAACTACAAAATAAAAGCCTCTCCAGAGTGCTTTATCCTATTGCTTTTATATCCCACAATTGTCTCTTCATGATTAAGAATAGAATAGAATAGATCACAGAGAGAAGCATCACATATTAAGAAGAAGAAGTATTTTAGTATTTGAAGTATTGGGGGCAAGGGTGAAGAGTGATTTAAGATAATGTATTAAGATAATAATCTAATAAATGAAACCTGCTTCGTTTCTGTGAATGTCCGTCTTCAAAATCTACCCGGATACAGCAATGCTACTTTTGGATTGGCTGTTTGTGCCCGTGGCACGCGGCTTCTGAATTCTCGGGGGAACTCGCTTGAGTCCTACCTGTTCTCTCAAGTCTCGAGAGCCCTATAGTCCAGTGACGCTACAATATAATCGTTGTTTTTTTGTTGAGAGATAGCACAAAAATGCGACACTGCCTTTAGTTAGTTAAAAAGATTAGGTTCCTTCGTTATTATGGAGTCAACCTTAGCTGTGCAGCTAGCTAACATTCGCTGATAACGGTGGTTAACTTAAACACGCTTCATTTCAGTTCAGGACATTAACTTACTTTACAACTTTAGTTTCCTCATAAAGTCGTCTTCTTTCTTCTTCTTTGTCACCTCTGCTAGGGTTTATAGAAATTATGCTCTATGCGGTGACTACCAACGGTTAGACTCGTGCACGGCTCGCGAGGCAAACAGGTGATTTAAACGAACCAATCAAAATGCACAGGCTAACCGCTCGCTGGAACGTCATTACGTACACGGAAAAAAGTGGATTTTTTAAAATAAATATTTGTTAAAATAATTCAATTCGATGTCTTAAAGTGTACATTTTTATCATTTTAGTCCAATTCAGTTTTTATTCAAAATTGGAGATTTGTATTTCTAGGGGAATACTTTTAGCTGCTTGTTATTAACGACGACTTTATTTTTTAAGAAGTTTGCCGCTTAAAATCGATTGAGTTGAGGCGTAATCACCAAGAAATAAAACGGTGAATTATTTAGAGCCAAAAAGAATAACTACCCCCCTGGTGAGTATTTTTGAATTTTAAAAACCCACTTTTATTTCTTGGCTTTTGACCCAGCATGAGACGGCATTTGTTTTATTGTTGTTTTTTTTTATCGTTTTACAACTTTTTAAAAGTTTTTTTAACCATATTTTAAAACTACTGTTTTTTTGTTGTGTTATTTTTTTGTGCGTCATAAATAGAGTTGATTTGGGTTGAGTTTTACGTTGAAAACCCTAACCGGAAGTAATACTGCTGCCTCCCTGCCCACTTCACGATAATGATGCTGCGGTCTGCTGGTCCCGGACCGGCCAGGAAGGCATCCATCTGGCGTGTGTGCGTGTATGTGTGTGTTTGTGTGTAGCTATCTCCTTGGAAAGTGCTGTCCACACGGATTGTGTTGCGTTCATAGGAAAGTAAGCAGAGAGTCGCGTGGAGCAGCAGCAGCAGGCCCATAGAGGAGGTATGTCTCCCATGTCTTTCTGTTTTATTCTGACTAGTTATTACCCATCTTGTCTGCGGGCAAATGCTCCTCTAGATCCCGGAGACTTTGTTTCTCTCATGCCCCCTGGCTGCACGTCTGGGTGTCTGCCCTGCCTGCTGGTTTTGCCACCTACCCTAGATCTGTGGTGTGTAGTAGCCCAGGAGTAAAGCACTTCACCTGACCGGAGAGCAGGTGTTTTATTATACTGATTCTTCGCACTGTTAGATTATGCCCCCTCCTTAATTTATAGGAGGGGCTGGGAGTTAGGTAGGCGGTTTCTAGGTCGCTGTGCAGCCGATCATGCCGGATGGAGACCGGTTCCTTTGTGTCAAGTCGCACAAGTAAAAGTGTCATTTCACTTCGATAACACTTTCTCTGCAAAAATGCATCATTTGCACAGGTCCTCTGACATAAATCTGTGATAGATTTCTCCAAGTAGTGCTTAAATAGATTTCAAACAAGGAAATTCACAAAGACTGGTAGCTTGAGCTGGATTATTGCTTTAGAAATAAGAACAAATGATGAAACCCTAGTTGTATACAAAACGTCTATCATCAATTTCATGATTTTGTTTAAAATATATATATAAATACTAGTCTTAAAACAGGTAGCCTAAGCTCACCTGTCTACCTTCCTGACATGCATCAACTTTTATAGTGGTCCCACAGCAATAGGCCTCATAATATTACAATAACTTTATTGTTATTACAGCCTGTAGCTGCCTTCAGGCTCTAGAGAACATTGGGAATATCGTGTGACTGTTTCCGTATCACTTGCATCAGTGGATGAACATTGTAGATGCAGCCTCCCCTTCACATTATCATCCTTCAGATCTGGATGTGTGAGGGAGTCCACGCCATGCAGTAAAGTTGCCGCACCCTCATACGTACGCTGCCTGCACGCACACGCGCACGGGAGCACGCAGGATGGGCACACACTCTCTCACGCACATCACACCATTAATACAGAGGTAGAGTAGTGTTCAGGGCTGGGTGGAGGGGGATCTCGGTTATTGTGTCTTTGTTATTTATTGACTAGTTGGCCCAGATATATTGAGTTTATCCAAGTAGTGATTTGAGAGTGATTTTCATTTGTGTTGTCTGTGGGGTTAAGAGGAGTAAAAGCAGAGAGTAGGACACACTGGGATAATTTAGGGCATCCTGCTCAGTTAAGACCAGGATTATGGTCTCCAAAGTAGAACTCCCCCACCCATCCCGTAGACACTTGAGTCTTCATGTTTAAGGCAAAATTTTGAGCAAACGGTTTTACAAATTCACCCGACTTGAAGATCAAAATTTGTTTCACTTCTACCCCCCTAAATCACATAATTCATTGTATTTTCTCCACTGAGCAGACAATATCAAAAGTCCATAATTACTACTTCTACTGCTACTACTAATAATAATAATTATAACTTTTTTTGTATAGCACTTTTAAAAAGCAGAAGTTTACAAAGTGCTTTTACATGTAGTCATAGAGCACATGGAAAGACAGATAAAAACAAAAAGCTCAGTAAAATCAGAATTGAAGGCCATTTTCATGTCATAAGGAACCCAGACAATACAAGAACCATGCGACATAAAATGAGACCATGAGGACCAAAATAAAATATAAGATAGTTAAGAAAAAAGGAAAATGGAATTAAAAGGGGTGTCGAAAGCGGAAACAGGATAGTAAACATAAAAGGCAGTATCAACAATGATAATAAAATAATAACAGGTAATACTGATAATGATAGTAATGATGAAATAGAGCAACAGAAATGAGTGAGAGATAAAACAATAAAAGGCCTAAAAGGTTAATTACGAAAAGAGTACAAGTATAAAAAAAAGCTACAAAGAGATAAGAGATGACAGATAAAAAGATAAAAGACGGCATCACATAAAAGCAAGTCTGTAAAATTGAATTATATCATATCCTGATCCTCTAAACTGAATTTATATTGTTTCATCTTTTACTTGCTCTGCAACCACAACTTTGCATGAGCTGTTGTTGTTGCTGTTGTTTCAATGTTGCTGCTGTCCCCTCTGTCTCTCATTCTCACCCTCATTTTCTATTCTCTCTCCCTCCCTCTCCCTTACTAATTCTCTCTCCTTCCCTCTATCTTGTTCTCAGCAGCAGCTAGGTGGCTGTCTAGCATGAGTCTGGTCCTGCTCAAGGTTTCTGCCTGTTAAAAGGAAGTTTTTCCTTGCTACTGTCACTCATGTTTGATGAGATGGGCCAAATCACATCTTAGGTTGGGTCTTGATGATTCATCAAACAATGAGCGTGGTCTAGACCTGCTCTTTTTCTTTGGAAAGCGTCTTGAGATGACGACTGCTGTGAATTGGCGCTATATAAATAAAATTTAAATGATTGATTGATTGAATAAACACTTGAATAGGTTCTATGATTATGTTCATAAGGTTTGTATGTGGAGATGGTCTAAAACAACTACATGTCTAATTAATACTCTAACAAATCAGTCCAAAGGTTTAAAAAAACACTCAGAAAACAGTCAAAATTGATCACGATTTATTTGGCATGGCTAAAACACAGGATCCCAGAATCTGTGGGTTAACTCAAACTAGTTAACCAAGTATGGCTAACACTTGCAGAGCTACTACCCCCACCTTATATCCTATATACCACCCTGTTCGTACCATGTATAAGAACCTGTCCTGGATGATTGGATCACACCTGGACACTCTTAACTTGAGGTACAAACTCAACCAGGACCCACTGAGGACTGAGATCCAATCACTCAGGTTATATGAAGTGTAGTAGATAAGTAGAGTAGTTAAATTTGACTGGCATATTCATTTTTAGCCTCTTAATAGCCTCACATTGAGAGATCACCATTGTTATTAACTTTACACAGCTTCAGTCCTTCTGAAATAATGGCCTCATTGACATTTGTCTGCCTCATTGTGATCTACAACGGGACTCAGCTTTTCTCTATTTACGCGACATCAGTGTCCAGTGGGACGTCAGGTCACAGGCGGTGACTGACACAGCCTCCTCACAGTCTCCCACAGCTTTTAGCTGATGTCAGTCACAGCCTGACAGACTGCACTCAGAGCAGCAGCCTTCATTCTTGTCTCTGCTAGACTTACTACACTTACTATCAAAAATGAGGTGTTGTAAAAGTTCTCTCAAGTTTAAGTTTTGTAGCTTTTGTGCTTCTTGTAGTTAGTTTTTGTAGATGCTCCCAAAACGTGACAAAAAGTTTTAAAATCTCTCCTTTTTACTCTTCCTTTCAGAGCTATAGCCATGTCTTCCAGTGCAGCGATGGTGCGGATCCTGATAAAGGGCGGCAAGGTGGTGAACGACGATTGCACCCAGGAAGCAGATGTCTACATCGAGAATGGCATCATCATGCAGGTGGGGAAGGAGCTGATGATTCCAGGTGGAGCTAAAGTGATTGATGCTTCTGGAAAGCTGGTCCTCCCCGGGGGCATCGACACCAGCGTGCACCTGGAGGAGAGCTTCATGAATGCCACCACAGTTGACGACTTCTATAGCGGCACCAAGGTAACAACCTGCTGAAAACAGAACACAAAGACGGCTGTAGACTGGAGGGGACTTGATAGCTGGAAAAAGCAGCAGGAGGTTTTTGGGTGCTGCAGAAAATAAGACTCAAGACACACTAAAAACAGAGCAGCGCAGGTTTTGTGCTAAATTTATCTCAACTCTCTTAGACGTCCTCCTTTCTCTGATGTTGTATGATCAGAGATATTTAGTTTTCCTGTCTGGGTTGGATGGTACTGCAGCTAAATTTAACCAAAGTGTCAGAGAGGCTACTTTAGTTTGGTTTTGATGCCATCAGGCAGCCTCTTCAACAGACTGAACCAAATCATTTGTGGTTTTAGACACTTTGCTGTCTGTCAAATAATAAAATGTGAACGCAATACAAACACTTAAGTCAACATAATGGAAAGGAAAAAAAACAATTCAGCCCTGGCTTTCAATAATAGCATGAATGTAGGGTTTAATGTTGGGTATTTGAATGCAGTAAAGTAACAGTAGGATGCTCTACTTTAGGGTATTGCTTGTTATTAAAAAGAATATACTTCCTTTTTACTTAAGCCGTGGTATCAATTGATCTATTAGGAAAAATAAAGAAATAATCTGACCCTTTTTGGATGATCTAAAGACTCTTTCATGCAGTAAAAGTGGTATTTCTGAGCTTGGATGACGTAAGACCTTAGATGACTTCACTTTTACTCATTTCTGTGGATTATTGAAGTCTAACTTAAATTGAGCACAGTAATCTTTGGACGGATGAGCTACATACAGGTTATAAAAATAACACTGTGCTGTAATTGCTGACGTATATCATCTTCTCAGTGGCTGTTACTGAAGAGGGCGTATTTACAGGCCTGGCTATAACAGATGACATGCACCAGTCTCCTCAGCTTTGGTCAAACCAGGCCTGTACGATTATGGCCAAAATGATAACTAATAACCATAAATTTAATCAATACTGAGATCAGGATTGTTTATCACTATGTACAGTTGATATTTACTTTAAATATATATATTTATATATGTATATATGTATATATATATATATATATATATATATATATATATATATATATATATATATATATATATATATATATATATATATATATATATATATATATCCCGCATCTTATTTATTGACAAGTTCAGACAGGGACAAAGTTTCTGTCTTTGCGTTCCCTCTCTGCACTCACTCTGTCCCTCTGCTTTACTAACACACACCACCACATCCCACAGCTCTCAGCCTGTTGTTTGTACTGCAGATGTTTTCCCTGCACTCTTAAATTTACATTTTTAAAACACAATATGTCATTAATGGCAATAAGCCTCGTTAATAAGCAGTTGTCATGGTTGAAAGTATGATGGAAACATGAGTTGTGCTTTTTGGATGATTTTATAAAATGAACTGCTGACGTAAAATGTCTATCGAGCCTCAAGAAGACAGAAGAAGGAGGTAAATAGGGCTGTGCATTTCTTAAAAACCACGACTTTTAATGAAGAATTACTCATATTTTTAAGATTTGCTTTTCAATCTTCAATAAATGCCATAAGGATGACTTAGCCTATTTTTTTTTAAATACTTCAAGTTCCAAGGCTGACACCTACCCCCTCACACCAGTTTTAGGCATTTAAAATATACTACAATATAAAAACTGTTTTACATGTTGTTGATGGTCTTGTTTGCTTTTGAAGATTATAAAGAGTCAGAAATGTGAATATCAGTCTTTTTCATAAACGTGAGAAAAACTACCCACAGGAGCTTTAATTTAATGTTTCTCATCACACAGTTATAGTGTTTTATATAAAAACAAACATATACAGAACTTATGTAACAAATGCAATGGTAAGAGAGAAAAGCATTCAAAACAATAAAAACATAATAGGTAGGTACACATAAGGACAACTCCAATGGAGTACTAGGGCCACATTAGAGGTTAAGATATTAAGATTTGAGGACAAAGTCGCAATGTTGCAAGTATTTTTTTTTTCATCTGCTTTCTAACTAAATAAAGCAAAGCAAAGAAATAATAATATGAAGTGTTTAATAGGAATGTGCTAATGTTGGAGCTGGTTTCAGGCTTACAGCCAGTCCACAGTTATTAAAGGTAATGCCTTTACATACTCAATAAAAGGCTGCCAGATCCTTAAAAAAACATCATATCTGTAATTTATTTCATATGTAATGTTCCCTGACAGCATGCACTATTTAATATTTATGTTTTAATTTCAATAGAGAGATAAGAGAAACCCACTTCTCAGTCAGTGCATTAAATCCTCTGGAAGCAGCAAGAACTAAGTCAACACATTTCCCCAGCACAGTGATGATTTGGCACTTTGCTGCTGGCGAGACTACCAGGAAGTGTAGACTGGAGTCATCATGGCTGCTGATAAGACCGGGATACCCCACTCTGCCTCAGGGCACCATGATGACGCATCACTCTGTCACGCCGAGAGATGATGGAGGCGAAAAGATGACGAGTGCGTGGCTTCGGTTATTTTAAGGGAGCAGGAGGGACCGACTTAAGCTGGCAGACGCTGGTGACAGACACTATTCTCCTCTTTTCGCTCTCCTCGCCCCTCCCTCCTTCCCTCCGCTGCTCAAGAATCCATCCAGAGACAAATGCAGATCAGTATCTGTTACCATGGCTACCGGGGGGCTGCTGCAAAGACTGCTGCAAAGCCTTTTCACTCTCGCCATTGTGCAGGGAGACAATGGTTCTCAGACCCACGCCCCCCTCGTTCCTCCCTCCCACCGTCACACTCCTCCACTCTCGAGGGTCAGCTGACAGATGCTTGGTGAAGCATGCACTTGTACACAAAACACACTCTGTCCTCGTGTTTCAGGATTATGAACAATAAATACAGTGTCTGTTAAAACATCTTTAGAGGATCAGAAGTGCTGATGCAGGAAAGAAACTACACTGATATTGCTTTGAAACCCTCTTTACTACTATGTGCGGGGGGGGGGGGTCATCCAAGTGCTACCACCACTTAGGGATTTATATGTCCCTTAGCGGTTGTTTGCAAATAACCATAAAGATGAGCATTAACGGCTGTAGAAGCTCTTGGTTATATGATTACAGAAGGCGCTAAGTTGATTAGGTGATTACAGTCCTTTCAGCTTTTACAGCCTTAATATGTCAACATGGGTCAAACGTGGATATCAGTTCATATGTTTCAGTCCAGTTTACTCTGTAGTGGTATTTATAAATACATTGGGAAGTCAGAACAACAGCATTTCAATGCAAAAAAATAAGAACTTATCATCAAACTTACCAAAAGAAAAGATCTTACAATTTAAGCTTCTTGACAGCTATTGTGTGCATCTTATTCAGGCTGCTCTGGCTGGCGGTACAACAATGGTGATCGGGCATGTTCTGCCAGAGAAGAACGAGTCTCTGCTGGAAGCCTACGAGAAGTGCCGCAGCTCAGCCGACTCCAAAACCTGCTGCGACTACGCTCTGCACGTGGGAGTTACTTGGTGGGGACCCAAGGTATTCTACCACTGAGAAAGATTCTACATTTTACTACATTACTTTTAATTTTCCTCCTGGGGAAGACATGGGGAACATTGCCATGGAGATTTATTTGGAAATGCTGGGACAAAGTTATAAATATATTTTACTTAACACAACTTATGTGGAAAACTGACTGACCTGGTTGGTTTTAAGTCAAACTTATTCTCACCTTCCTCCCCTGCAGGTACGAGCTGAGATGGAGAAGCTGGTGAGGGAACACGGGGTGAATTCCTTCCAGATGTTCATGGCCTATAAGGACATGTTCATGCTGAGGGACTGCGAGCTCTACCAGGTGCTGCAGCAGTGTAAGGACATCGGAGCCATAGCGAGAGTCCACGCTGAGAACGGGGAGCTGGTGGCAGAGGTGAAGGGGATCTTTAGACTTTCTTCTCACTCATAATTCTGTCGACAACAATCAGCCACAACACTATAACCTCTGACAGGTCGAGGTAATGACAGTGATTATCTCTTTATAATGGCATCTGTCAGTGGGGCTCACTGGGTCTGAGAGAGCATATTATGTATTCCAGTGTTGTTCACTGCATAGTTGGTGGTGATAATGTTGTGACTGATTGGTGTACATCCGTTAGCAAAAGCATTTTTCTGTATTTTGGGTACAGTTAGATTATGCTGTTCCTTCTCCTCCTTCCAGGGGGCAAGAGAGGCGTTGGACTTGGGCATCAGTGGCCCAGAGGGGATTGAAATCAGCCGGCCTGAGGAGGTATCATTCTCACTTTTTTCTAAGAGTGTTAATTTAATATAAATATAAAGTTGATTCAGTCCTATTTTAATATTCACTCCTCACCTTCTTGTTGTTTCCTTGCAGCTTGAAGCAGAGGCGACCCACAGGGCAATAACCATCGCCAACAGGGTGAGTGAGATCTTCAAATGATCCATTTGTGAAATTGCAAGGTCAGTGTTTCTGTGTCATTAACTTTACCTTATATGCCTTGTGTGTGTTTTTGCTGTAAGGCCCACTGCCCAATCTATCTGGTGAATGTTTCTAGTATGGCTGCAGGAGATGTCGTGGCGACTTCTAAGATGCAGGGTAAGACCTGTTTCTGTTGTCATTACTGAAGTATTTGAAGGCAAACAAATTGAATCATGTGTTTCCACCAATCAGGCATTAATAATCGCTATAAGTACATAATCAACTTTTATGGCTTTAAGAACCAAAAGTATTAATTTTAGTCTTTTTCATTACCGTTCAAAAACTCCTCACTGGAGCTTTAAATGTCTGAATGTTTATCAGGTGGATGCATAAACTAAATGTCATACTTTTCTAAATAATAACTCATGGACAACTTTTTTTTTTACTGATATGATGTGTTTGAATTTTCCTGTTTTGATATTAGGCAAGGTGGTTCACGGTGAAACAACCACAGCCCACTCTGTGCTGAACGGCATGCAGTACTACCATCAGGACTGGGCCCACGCTGCTGCTCATGTTACCGTGCCTCCTCTCCGCCTGGATCCAAATACCCCCAATTTCCTCATGAGCCTCCTGGGAAAGTGAGGAGGAAAAAAACAACATGAGATTTTGCATATAACCTTTTGTACTTTTGGTGTTTTGACTCATTCATGTGATTCCTCTGCAGTGATACTCTGAACGTTGTGGCCTCTGACCATCGCCCGTTCACCATCAAACAGAGAGCCATGGGTAAGGATGATTTCACAAAGATCCCCCATGGGCTCCCCGGCATTCAGGATCGCATGAGCGTCATCTGGGAGAGAGGAGTGGTATGTATAGCTCTTTGTTCCTGTCCGACATGCCATAGAAATTCCATAAATAGGTGAAAGCACTCAGACTTTACTTATTCAACAGAAACACTTGAATATGCTGCACATCAGCATCATCATCATCAGCCTAGAGAGAAACAAAAACATGATATTAACTAACAGTATTGATGCAGTCAGATAACAAACAAGTGCTGAAGTTTTTGTTGTGATTCACAGATCGGAGGTAAGATGGATGAGAACTGTTTCGTAGCAGTCACAAGCTCAAACGCAGCCAAGATCTACAACCTCTACCCGAGGAAAGGCAGGATCATCCCCGGAGCAGATGCTGATGTGGTGGTCTGGGACCCCGAGGGATCCAAGTATGAAACACAACCCCTCCATTCATCGACCAGCTCGTCTTGCAGCAGCTTTTATCTCAAGTCTCTGAAGCTGATTAGCTTTTTGTCTGATATAACTGGGTCATCTATTTCTTCCCTTTCCTTTCCTTTGTCTGCAGAACCATCTCTGTGGATAACCAGGTCCAAGGAGGGGACGTAAACCTGTATGAAGGTCTCCGCTGTCACGGCGTGCCCTTGGTTACTATCAGCCGTGGCCGTTTGGTCTATGAAAACGGCATATTTACATGTGCTGAAGGCTCTGGAAAGTTTTGCCCCCTGAGGACCTTTCCTGATTACCTTTACAAGAAGATGGTTCAGAGGGAAAAGGTATCAGACTGAAGTGTTCTTGTTAAAACGGAAAAATCTGAATCAAAATTGAGATTTATTCTTGGAAAAGATGGACTGAGTGTTAGAGGAGCATCGAGATAGGAACCAAATAATCGAGAGACCCTTTTTTGTCCTCGTCTGTGTTCGTGGACCGCAGAAATATATTTGTATTTTTACGATTATGTATTTGTGATTCATTTGTGCTTGTGCATTGCCTCTCAGAGCCAGGCTGTGAAAGCAGTTGAACGTGAGCCATATGAGGGAGACGTTGTAGCAGTGGTCAACTCAGGAAAAAGAGACGTGGGGGCTCCAGAACTTAACACCCCGACCCGCCCCTGCACTCGGCACGGAGGCCAGAGGGACCTCCATGAGTCCAGCTTCAGCCTGTCTGGTGAGAATTGATGCATTTATTCAGATTACAGAAAAAGAAGAATAGTTTTTATGTCATTTTTGATACTTTGGTACCTGGAGACTTATCTTGTTTTCACTGGGAGTTGAAGAGGTGCTGCATTACGTCACTACATTTTCAACTTCTAAAAGATATACTAATTGGCCTTAAGGGGGCGCCATATTTATAGATAGTAGGAGCTTTGCTGCTTTGGGATAAAAACATTTAGGAGGATTAAACAGGTTTACGCTGTATTTAAAGCTCCACATAAGATGGATTTAGAAGTCAGAGCACTTATAAAAAAAATGCTTTTTAAACCAAGGTATAAACTGCTTATGTTATTTACTTTTTGGGCATGTTCGGGCTTGTGCTGCTCATGTTTTAGAGTACTTTTCGACATTTCATGCATAAATTTGACAAACAAAGCTGACAGGAAAGGTGAGCAGAAATGAGGAATAGGATGTTATTAGGATCAAACTACACAGGTCTTCCTGTTTAATCCAAACCCGATGATAACTCTTGAACCAATCAGTGGGGATGTGTCTCCAACAACATCTTAGAGTTTTGGATGTAGACAAAATTGCCAAATTGTGGTCCAGAATCTAAAAGTAAGACCTTAGTAGCTGCCTGCGATCACAAATGGTTTGAAAATAATTCCAACTTGGACTAAAAATTTGCATCTAAAATTGTCAACATTGCATAATTCCCCCTGAAACTGATTATTAAGAGAGCCTTTTGCCTGTTAAATGATAAATCTGCATGTTTAAACAGCAGCTCTTTGCGTCTCACTGCTGCACGTATTCTTCATCTCTGTCCTCTCCAGGTGCCCAGATCGACGACAACATTCCAAAGAGATCCTCAGCCAGGATCCTCGCTCCTCCTGGAGGAAGATCCAGCGGGATCTGGTAACCAATCACACCACCCTTTCATGAGGCAGAGGAATGATACCCAAGGGAAACATACGGCTGACTTGTTTTTCTCTCTGAAAGCGTAGAATGTGTGTGTGAGGTAATGAAGTCATGTTTTTCTTTTATACTCAGCACAGTTATTATTAAGACTGTAAAACTGTATCACATTGCCATAATATTCTTTGACTACGGATCAATATTGGACTGTTATAGCAACAAAACTTCAGTCAAATGTTAACCAAATATAAACAGCAAGTTAAAATGAGTTGACAATGGGTTACGTAACGGGAAATACTCTTAGCGATAGTTTTAGGAATATGAAGGTGAGTCATGGTTTTTATGATGCGATTGTGTTACCTCACTGTAAAATACGATTTTGCACTTGTATCATGTACTATTTAGATGCCTTTTTACATGATTTAATGTCACAAATATCACATGTCTTTTTACTGTGAGCCATGGGGAATTAAATGTCATAAATTATTGCAAAGGTGTGGGCATGACATGACAGATTTTCTCACTTGCTTTGGCTCAGTTATCCAAAAACGCTTAAAGTCGTCAAAATAAAACAGTCTGAAGTTCTTCATGGCACTTTTTTACTGCACATACAAAAACACATTTCTGATTTTCTTAAATTACTTATGGCAAATTGAAGAGCAGTTGTTGAAACGTATAAGTGTTGGTTTTCAACAATATAAGTATTCCTACCCATTTTTACGTGCTTTTCAGAAGCAGGAACTTTCCACAGGAACTAGGAACCCCTTAAAGAACTGTGTGTTTCTGCAGAAGGAAGAAAAGACCCAAATTTAGTTGCTTGAAACCCCTTTTAAGTCACTTAAAAACACAAAAATGATGCTAAAGAAAGCAGTTATTTTGGTGCTAATCACTCGTACGTTGACTTAAAATAATCAGACTCATTAAATTCACTAATTAAAGTTTCTGCTGGAGTTACAGCCTTTAGCGGAATAACAAAAGTTTTTAAATAAGTTGTATGGAGACACTTATTTTGAGTGCTAACAACTTTTAAAAATGATTCAAGAAACGTGCCAAAGCAAATGAAAAAAAAATGTTATATGTCAGTAAAAGAAAGAAGAGTGAAGTTGCAATTGAATAATTGATGAAGGATATCTGAATGCAAACTAAGCTTTCTTTTAAACTGTTTATTTATTTTTTTATATTTTGCATTATTTGTACTATATTCCGTTAATGCTGCCGTGTTAGATTTAGTTCCTGGTAAGAATGAAGTCTTTGTTGGCCAGTTCATCATTACCAGATTAGCATTTCTGATCATGTTTACAGCCTTATAGCAGAATAGACTTCTGTTCCACCCCCACCAAATGTGAATGAACCTATGCTGTGTGTACTGTGCATGGTAGCATAGTTAGATCTACTCTTATTAGCACTAATGTTGCTCATGTTGTGCAGCATTCCTTCGTGGTCATATCAGTTTTCCACAGATAGCAAAAAGTCTCACCCAAACTGCCTTTTTTCTCACCTGAGAACACAAGATACCCACAAACGCACCGCCTCATGCTGCCGGTTCAGATCACTACATGTTGATCCCTGATGTTGCTGACAGAGTGGATATTTTTACTGCTTTGGTGAAAGGTTCAAAATGTTCCTCTGATGTAACACACCACTGTGACACTTACAGAGAAGGCGGGTGATCCTCTTTAGCATTTGCAGCAAAGCACTGATACTACTACTGAACTTTAATGTTGTTTTCAGTTCTAGATTTTGTCCTGTGAATACCTGTTTGAGTCATTTTTGTTGTTTTGAGTCTACTCTGCATTACAAGCGGGAGTGCACACAAGGTTTTGACCATGTTCAGAATATCGTTCTGCTATAATTAAAGCCCTTCATTAGCCTTTGTTTGTTTTTGTTAGACAGGTTTTACTGTTTTTACCTTTAGCATCTTCAGTGAATTTTGTTGTGTCCCCGCTCCCTCCCAAATGTACACTGGTGCTGAACACAATGACTTCCTTTTATCTCTTATTTGTCTTGCAGCTTTTTTTCACATGATTTGAGTGCAAATAAACCACAATGAAATCATCCACTGAATCCTGTGTCTGATTGCCAACCATGGTAGAAAGTACTGCGTTTACTTTGTGTACCTCACTTCCTTTTTAATTAAAGGTTGTTTTAAACACATATTTCACTGTTTCAAAGGAAGATATTGTTCTTTTGCAACTTATTTAACATCTTCAGTCACCTATTTTTAAACATGTTGCTTGTTCATGCAACAAAGACAACAGATTTGGTTAACTTGAATTAAATATAGATAAGTCTGTTTAAATCAGTGTTTAATCATCTGCATATACATTAAAAACATTTTTCTATCATTAAAGCTCCTATGAGGAACTTTTAGTTCATGTCAACTTTGGCGCCCCTGGTGGACAAAGCAGTCTTTGCTCATCTTGTCCTCTCAATTCTAAAATCATCCTGGTGACTTTCATCACTCAAGTGTACCATTTATTGTGAAAATATATGGAAATTGTAAAAAAGGAACTGTTTCTTAGATTGTGATGATGACACCCTCTCACATCTGTTTCAGGGATTAAAAATGTGGGTATAGAAAGTCCCTGATCAATATGAGTTTCAGGCAATTTCATGGACCTGACAAAACTTCTCACAGGAGCTTTAACTTAATATGTGCTATGTTTCTGCTGCAGCACTGACCAGACAAACTAGAAACAAAAGCCTTTTTGTATTCAGCAAGTCACCGGGCAAACGCAGTGGTTGGAAGATAACAAAGATAGTTGTTGTTGTGCTCAAAACAATTTGTTCTGTTCGTCATTTTTGATGTTAAAAACCAAACATACTGAGGAGTATTATTTACATCATACTTATTATATTCTACAGGAGCTTCTTGTCCTCAAAGGGGTGATCAAGAGGGCATTTCAGTCCAGAATGTGAACATTATATATAATTAAACACTACAATTACTACACATGATTCCTACACATTTTTTTCTGTGTTTATCCTGAGATGAAGAAATGTCACTAAATCACCATTTATTTTGTTTTCTCCAATAAAAATCTCACAACCATGTACAAAACCCAATTCCACTGAAGTCAGGAAATCATGATAAATGTAAATAAAAACAGAATACAATGATTTGCAAATCCTTTTCAACCTATATTCAATTGAATACACTACAAAGACAAGATATTTAATGTTCAAACTCATAAACTTTATTTATTTATTTTTTTGCAAATGATAATCAACTCAGAATTTAATGGCTGCAACACGTGACAAAGTAGTTGGGACAGGGGCCTGTTTACCACTGTGCTACATCACCTTTCCTTTTTACAACACTCAATAAACGTTTGGGAACTGAGGAGACTAATTGTTGAAGCTTTGAAGGTGGAATTCTTTCCCATTCTTGCTTGATGTGCAGCTTCAGTGGTTCAACAGTCCGGGGTCTCCGTTGTCGTATTTTACGCTTCATAATGCGCCACACATTTTCAATTGGAGACAAGTTTGGACTGCAGGCAGGCCAGTCGAGTACCCACACTCTTTTAATGCGAAGCCACGCTGTTGTAACATGTGCAGAAAGTGGCTTGGCATTGTCTTGCTGAAATAAACAGGGGCGTCTATGAAAAAGACATTGTTTGCATGGCAGCATATGTTGCTCCAAAACCTGAATGTACCTTTCAGCATTAATGTTGCCTTCACAGATGTGCAAGTTACCCATGCCTTGGGCACTAATGCACCCCCATACCATCACAGATGCTGGCTTTTGAACTTTGCGTCAATAACAGTCTGGATGGTTCTTTTCCTCTTTTGCCCGGAGGACACGATGTCCACTATTTCCAAAAACAATTTGAAATGTGGACTCGTCAGACCACAGAACACTTTTCCACTTTGCATCAGTCCATCTTAGATGAGCTCGAGCCCAGAGAAGCCGGCAGCGTTTCTGGATGTTGTTGATAAATGGCTTTCTCTTTGCATAGTAGAGTTTTAACTTGCACTTACAGATGTAGCAACAAACTGTATTTACTGATAGTGGTTTTCTGAAGCGTTCCTGAGCCCATGGTGATATCCTTTACACATTGATGTTGGTTTTTGATATTGTGCCGCCCGAGGGATCAAAGGTCACGGGCATTCAATGTTTGTTTCCAGCCATGCCACTTACGTGCAGTGATTTCTCCAGATTCTCTGAACCTTTTGATGATAAATTGGACTGTAGATGTTGAAATCCCTAAATTTCCTTGCAATTGTACTTTGAGAGACGTTCTTAAACTGCTCGATTTGCTCACGCAGTTGTTCACAGAGTGGTGAACCTCGCACCATCCTTGCTTGTGAATGACTGAGAATTTTTGGTGAAGCTGCTTTTATACCCAATCATGACACCCACCTGTTCTCAATATGCCTACTCACCTGTGGGATGTTCCAAATAGATGTTTGATGAGCATTCCTCAAATTTCTCAGCATTTTTTGCCACCTTTCCCAACTTCTTTGTCACGTGTTGCTGCCATCTAATTCTAAAGTTAATGATTATTTGCAAAAAACAATGAAGTTTATCAGTTTGAACATTAAATATCTTGTCTTTGTAGTGTATTCAATTGAATATAGGTTGAAAAGGATTTGCAAATCATTCTATTCTGTTTTTGTATTCATGGATGTATTTTTAATTCTTTTACTTTTAACTCTGCACTGGTTTTACTGTTTTGCTGTCTGAGATAATGAGTTTTTTTGTACAGTTTGACCTCACTAAAACCCCACAAAGCAACAGGCCTAAAATCCCAACCAGACACATCATGTGTCTCTTAGCTGGAACAGGCCAAAGTCCTATTTATAATGAACCTTTAACAGCATGGAGTCGGGCGCATGCGCGGTGGGAGCTGGATTGTTGCAGCCCCAGACAGGGCGGCCCGTTACCAAGCACTGCACCGCGCGCAGGGTCTGACAACGACGACAGCAGCAGCAGCAGCAGCAGCAGCGGGCATTGACAGAGGGAATACAGGCAGCGATATAACAACACAGACACTCCTCAATACAGTGAGTACGACCGCAGGAAGAACCGCTTCGTGTGGTTTCCTCCTCCTTTTGTTCGTGTTTTTCGTTTCTTTTTTTATTCCCATGCAGTGAGGCTTTAATTTCCCCGTGCACTGACAGTCCTGAGGTATTCTGGGAGGCCTGCAGAGGGGGCCGCTAGAGGAGAGCAGCTCCGGCGTTGCGGCTTTTTAACCAAAAAGCAAAGCGACCACATTTATTGTTCTCCGCTCGGGCTTGAAATGTCAGCCCCCCCGCCCATTTATCCACGCCAGAGCTTGGTGGTCTCTGCCCTGAATTTGCTGCAGTCATTGTGGGAGCTCTAACACAGGCCTTACAGAGAATAGAGACAGGCTCCTGTTATCGCCGCTATCGATACAATGATCCATATTTATCAGAAATCACACCCACTGGAAGGTCCGCGTCTGCTTTTGAGTTTGACGTGTTTGCTCGTGGCTTAAACATGGTTTAATATCTGTGTGTGAGAGGTTGTAAGTTATAATCATGTAATTGAAGGCTAGCAAAGCCCCATGGGAGGTTGCTGGTGTAAAGCACGCTGCTGCTGCTGCTGCTGCTGAAGGTGCATTCACAATCTTATCAATCATGAGAAATCACTGCTCACACGGCTTTTAATCCCCCTGACATATAATGGCATGTGCTGTAATTGTCCTCCATAACTGTCAGCTACAAACACCAAGCCATGTCTGACCTTAACACCATCAATTCACAGTTTATTGTGTCAATGTGCATTTTTTTTTACTGCTGCAGGGGATGTCAAGGTGTCTCTGGCTTCATTTTGTGACATGACACTACTCCTGCAAGCAAAGTGAGCACAGACAAGGCTGAAAGCTGCCAGATGTGTAAAGCTGCTCACAAACATCAGGGTATTTCTGTGTAATCTAGTGAGGGGGGATTACGCTCACAACACATCTGTAGGTTTAAACTGAAACTAAAGATGCCTCTCAAGCCACATGTTTGCTGTCGAAAAGTATGTGTATTTACAAAAGAGTAGGGGTCACAAGGTCCACAGTTCACCAGACTCCTTTAGTAATGGATGTAGAAGTTATAGAGATAGAAAACTCAATGTCTATTATTACACCGGATATTATAAGTCTAGTTTTAGTGAAATAGATCCAGTAAGAAAGGTCAGTTAGAGTGTTCACAATTAGTCATAAATCAGGACACTATCACCTTTTTTAGTGATTTAATAAAAGTAGAAAATACATTTGAGATGTAGATTTAAACTGAAACTAAAGATGCCTCTCAAGCCACATGTTTGCTGTCGAAAAGTATGTGTATTTACAAAAGAGAAGGGGTCACAAGGTCCATGGTTCACTGGACTCCTTTAGTAATCAGGATATGAATGTAGAAGTTATAGGGATAGAAAATTCAATGTCAGATATTACACCAGATATTACCAGTCTTGTTTTACTGTAATATGCCATATCATTGAGATAGATCCAATAAGAAAGGTCAGTTAGAGTGGTCACAATTAGTCATAAATCAGGACAATATCACTATTTTTTAAAGATTTAATAAAAGTAGAAATATATTTGAGATGTCCGTGCTCCGACGTCTCTGAAGATAAGCTCTAAATCTGTCTAACGTGAAAGTACTTTGAGGATTTCTGGGTTTAGAGCCATGGGTGGGCAAAGTAGCAACAGGTAAAATATTTTAAAGCTGCATGAACCATCGCAGGAAATGCCTTAAATTTTTGAGTGTGATGATTTTACTCTATTAGATTTATCTCAGAGTAGAAGAACAATATAAGCTCTGTGAGAATTTAATGAATTTATTATGATTGAATTTAACATTCAGTGCCCACCACCACTGAAATATTTGGATCCATGGCACCACTGCAGCTCCAGCCACTTAAGTTTTAAAACCTCTCACAGGTATTTTTCAGTACTTGGTGACTGATTAAGAATATCTCCCCCAGGTTAATTTACAATTACAGTAACAGTTCACCGCAGACGTATCAGTTATGCATCCTTTTTAAGTCCAGGACGTCTGGGAGGTTGGATAAAGATTATGTGAAGGATCAGCGGACGGGGCAGAGGAGGACATGGCAGGCAAACCAGGATATGTTGAAAGAAGGAAGAAGAGAGGTTACAATTGATTACCTGATAAGGGCAATCAACGTGGATCTATATTTACACGGCAGCCGGTCTGAGACAAAGGAGGTAATCGGTTTGAGACGGTATCATCGGTTTAGAGGTGTAGGTCAAACTTCTACCAAACTTCATTGAAAGTCTTTGAAGAAATTACACCAAAAAAGATCAGAGTCTAAAGGATGAATAGATAGAAACAAAACAAGCTAGCTAGTCTGAATTAAAACATTCATTAAAACTAGAGAATGTAGTTTTAAATTGTAAAAAGCAATTATTAGCACAAGGACGAGTACCTGTGTAGATAATAGCTAACATTTAAATCAGTATGCCTGGTCACTTTTTGTAAGCTAACTCATGATAATAAATCCTAGTTTACAAATTTTTGTTGTTGTCGTTACTTTACAGTTTACGATTTAGCTTAGCTATAAATCAGCACATAATCTCATCACCCTGCATCCTGCAAAAAGTTTCAAAAAGAAGAAGATATTATGTTGCATTCCGGTTACTTCAGAAGTCGGATGTCGGAGCTGGGAATGATGTTACACCCGAGTTGACGGCGTTCCAGTTAACAAGTCGGAAAACCAAGATGGACGCCTTCAGTTAGCTGTTGTTAGTTGTTGTTTACGATTGTCAGCTGTTGTTAGCCATTGTTGTTAGCCGTTGTTAGTTGTTGTTCGCGATACCAGTTGTAAACAACGCACAACACAGTATTTTACTCTTACAAACACCATGGCACCGTGTACACAGTTAGATGTTGGGCAACACAAATGTACCACTTATTTAATTTCACAAAAACAAAACAGAAGTGCTAATAAATAACACATTACGAGAGCTTTCACTGTGACTCTTTACTGTTGCTGAACTGCGCTGCCATCTTGAATTATGATGTTGTCATCAAGTTGGGGTTGGCGAGTATCGTCCAACTTTCCGAGTTGGAAATCTGATTTCAGAGGGGTGTTCAAGATAATTTTCCGACTTGGAGCTCGGAAATCCCGATTTCAACACAACATGAAAACTCCTCACAATGGCTTTAAAAGTCCAGGTAAATAGTTCTTACAAACTGACTCTGATTTTCTGTCTGTTTTGTTTATTTTAGGTGTGGGATGGCAGTGAATGTGTACGCCACATCTGTCTCCATTGACAACCTCAGCCGACATGACATGCTGGCGTGGGTCAATGATTCTTTGCATCTCACCTACACCAAGATTGAACAGCTGTGTTCAGGTAAGGCCGAAGCTTTGGTTTAGTACTTTTCTGTAACAGACAAAACCAAACTTATCAAACTAAAAAGCTGTTGTGTCTTTGTGTTTTCCAGGAGCTGCTTACTGCCAGTTCATGGACATGCTGTTCCCGGGTTGTATCCTCCTGAAGAAAGTTAAATTTCAAGCCAAACTGGAGCACGAATTTATACACAACTTCAAAGTTCTTCAGGCAGCTTTTAAAAGAATGAGCGTCGACAAAGTCAGAATACGTTTGATCATACTGGCGTTCATTACATTATTGTGTATTTCTGTACTTAAATCATATGAAATCAAACATTCATATCACACAGAGTCACTGAAGTCTTTCATGTCTCCATCTACCAGATTATCCCCGTAGAAAAGCTGGTAAAAGGGAAATTCCAGGACAACTTTGAATTCGTGCAGTGGTTCAAGAAGTTCTTCGACGCCAACTACGACGGGAAGGAGTACGACCCTTTACTAGCCAGACAGGGGCAGGACGTGGCCCCTGCCCCCAACCCAGGTGATCACTTTATCCACAGACCAAAGAGAAACACAGGTAAAGCAAACAGTTCTGCCTCTGCTGCACGGTCTTCCTGAGCTTTGGATGGCTCAATCGCGCTCCCTGCTAGCGAGTGGTGTGAGCAGCACGATTCACAGAATGACCGCTGTCCTCTTAGACCCATCTCACTGCCCCAGCACTCACAAGCAACATGGCACTGCGTAGGTACGACTGAGTCAATTACCACAGTGAATTCTTGGATGCAGCATCATCTGGGTTTGGAAGGCCACAACGTGCCAACCCACTTGTAATTTGCTTTCCCAATTCTGATTGATCGATGCCAGCGATGCCAGAAGAATTACTGAAATGTGTTCGACAGTGTCTGCATTAAGCAGCTGATGCAACACTGTCGCAGCTCCATCTCTCTCTGAAAGCTGGACTGAAATATAAGAATTTGGCCCTATTTGCACCTGGTGTTACCATCGGTTTATTTATTTACAACAAATTCAGCAGAAAGGAGGAGGAAACGGAGGTTCTCTGTCTGACATCTTAAGACGGGGAGCTCCGGAGCCTGGACTGCAAATGATCAATCACCTTATTAGACTAGCAGAGATTTAGGAAAGTCAAGTAGGCCCTGCCAGAGGACCTCAGGAAGCAGTCAGGCTCATAGGGATTTAGTAGTTCCCAGGTTTAGGCTGGAGTCTGGCCATTTAAGGCTTTAAAAACAGGCAGTAAAATCTTAAAATCAATTGTAAAACTTACAGGTAGTCAGTAAAGGGCATTGAGGACTGGTGTTATGCGTTTGTTTGTGTCGCTCTGTGTTAAAAGCATGCACTTGGAATCAGTTGTAGCTTCTGGGTTTTGTGCTTGCTGATGCTGAAAATAAGCATATTGCAATAGCTAAGTCTGGTAGAAACAGCAGGGCTGCATAACTTTGGTTACCTAGATGCCAAATGTAGAGGTATCATACATTTTGCCAGAACTGGAGGAAGAGAAGGCCAGGCTTTAAGGGTAGAGGATTTGTCTCAGGGGAAGCATGTGAATTGTGAATAAAAGGGGACCTCAAATTGACCCCTGAGGAACCTCAAAAGAGATCCGTGCACAAGAGGAAGAGGCATTTCCTACAAAGCAAATGAAGCACATAAGAAAAGCACTAATCAGCTGTCTCTCATTTAAAGTGTGCTGGCAATGGAAGGAAATTAAACAGTAAACACAGTGAGTCCTTTTGGGATAAGTCAGGATCTCCTTGGGCACATGGTAATACCAGGAGAAAACAGGGTCTTTGTCTTACTTCACTCACAAAAGCCAGACCAGCCTTGCGATGTCTGTGTGAAAGCTTTTTTGCTTGAAAATCATGGCAAGCAATCTGATTTGACTTGTAGCGTGTAGAAAGCCTGCTTCAGGACTCTGTCGCTGTAAGCAGTGTGGTTATTCCTGGGCAAATTGACTGCACTTAAATAAAAACTCTGATAATGCATGTTTTGTAGCACCTCTGCTGTAGCACTTATAGAGTTTTGCAGGGACACCCTTTCTTCTAAAGTCTGACTCAGACACCTGAAATTTCAGGAATTTTAAAACTGTTTTCTTTTCTTGATTTGGGTTTGTTAAATCTGATGCTCATGCCCTGTAAAAAAAATCAATTTGAAACCCCTTTACAAACATGGTCTATCAAAGGCACTACATTATGCTATTAAACTCATATCAGCTCTCTATAATGTGCTATATCCATCGCCACAAATGCTACAAAGCCAACATTAATGCAGTTGATCCCTCGTGGTTGAAAATATTGATAATGAGGGTCATCTCTGATCATCTCCAGGACCACAGAGGACGTCTCCAACAGTCCCCAAAAACATGCCAACACCACAGCGGGTCCAACACAACACTCCAGCTATGAGGAAGAACCCATCTTTGTCAAGAAACGGGGGCAGTGATGCTGAGATCATGGAGCTAAATCAACAGGTAGAAACGCAGAGAAAGGGAGACTATACTCCAAAATAAAGAGCCGAATTTGTCCTCTTCCTCACGGTGAGTTTCTCCTTTTTTCTTAGTTGATGGAGTTGAAGTTGACTGTTGACGGCCTAGAGAAGGAGAGAGACTTCTACTTCAGTAAACTACGGGATATTGAGCTCATCTGCCAGGAACACGAGAGTGAAAACAATCCCGTCCTCAGCAAGATCATCGACATTCTCTACGCAACAGAGGTATCTACCCTGACCAGCACTAAGCGAGATCTAATATGTTTTTTTTCACCCAGAGTCAATAAACATAGATTGGATCACAAGTTGTAGCTAGATGCACTTAGTGTTTGGGCCTTAAAGGGATATTCTGGCGTAAAATTAATTCAGGGTCAAACACACCGTAACACCAAGTTAGAGATGAATGTTGCTGACCGCTTGTTTCTCTAGTTATATCAACTTTAGTCATAACCGCACAATAGCAATACACAGCGGTCTCAGAAGCCATAAACAAACCTCAACCAAAACGCCACTTTATAGCCACAAATAATGCTCAGAACAGCACCTAACTTCATCAACAGTACATATAGGATCCTAGCCATCGTACTAGCCACCAAACATCTTTTTAACTTTGCCTAATTTCTTAAGCAAAAGAAACTAAACACAACTCACCTACTCTCTTCCAGCAGCCGCTTTGTTTGTAGTGAGACCTCAGGTCAGTCCATTACGGACTGCAGCGGGGTGACTCAGCTCAAGGAAGAACATAGATCGGAAGTTTGTTTAAAAATTCTGTTTACAAAAAAATAAACATGAACATTTTTCTCTTGCTTTGCAGGAAGGTTTTGCACCACCAGAGGATGAAGACCTTGATGAACAAGCCCACCTGGACCAGGATGAATACTGAAATCTTCATCTCCCTCCCCCTCCTGATCTCCATCTTCTCTCTTTTTTTTTTTTTTTTTTTGCCCTCATTTGTTTTCTACTCTCTGCACGCTCTATAAATACCCGCCATTATCTCTGCTCTCCGTCTGTTTTTTCCTTTCTTCATCATATGTATATCTGTTCATAACCTCCCCCCCTATCCTGCCTCTGGCCGTCTACCCACAACTACTCTCCATCATCGGTCGCTGCTCCTCCGCACCTCCACTTACACAGTTACAATAACAGTAATCTTTGACGTCTCCCAGTTATTTCAGCATGAGTAACGTAGATATTCGGGCCGAGCCTGGCATGGAGGTTGTGATGGCTAACCTGCTGTGATGGATTTTAAGTCTGTAAATATTACCGACATTGTGATTTCTGCGGGAACAATGTCTCTGCTCATTCTGGAGTTATTTATTTGCCTTTTGTGCGCTGTGAAACTTCTATTAGAGCACTGAACAACGCTGCTCCGATGTGCCATCAGGTCACTCCCAGAGCTACTAAAACTGTAACTAAAGTGACTTTAACAGTTATTTCTTATTTATTTAACTTATATTTCATTTAGGTTAACTTTCTGTAGCAAATTTGGTGCAAGACTTACTGTACATGAATTGAAAGCTGAGGCCATGTGTGTTGTTTCAGTTACATTTTGTGCGCGAGTCAAGCTTTTTTAGTTCCTGATACGGTGGGTTCATGGCATGTAGAAACGCAGAAGGAAACCTTTTGGTGCAATGACTCAAGGTGTATGATCAGTGCTCTGCAATTATTCATATTTGATCAGCAACATATCTGAGCATGAGAATGTTACACATTGACTGTGAATGAGTGATATTTTGTAAATGTATTTTGTGTGGAGATTTTGTCTGATGTCGCACGATCCTGGTTATTTACCTTAATATCTTTAAAAGGCCAACATGCAGAAGCCCATGAGTTTGAAATTTAGAGGTGCAGACTGACAATACAGTCATAGATTGTAGCAGTTCTGATGTTTTATTCTAAGATATAAGGGAGCCTAAAACTTGATTAACATAGACTCATAACTACATGACTACTTGGTTATGTTTTCCCTGCAAACTACTCACTGTTATGGGTTCCCAGTGTGTATGAGTTGTAGTTTGGAAGTCAGTATAAAGAGATCTGTGACCAGTTGGTCGTTGTAAGCATCCAGTCAAACCAAGGAAGCCTCCTTGTTCTTCCCCAGCTTTTTTTACTTTGCAAACTGGCTGTCGTCTGCTCTGGAACTTGCATTCATTGACCATGTAAACATCTACAGAACACTCATCTTCTGAGTTTTGAATAAATAAACAGTTGTGAAATACCTTTTGTGGTTTATTTAATCGAAGAAAAGTAAGTCAAATTCATATATTTCTCAGAATAAAAAATCAATGTACGGCCCAGACCTGTCTTCCGAAGGATAAGCTCAAATGGTAGAGCACTCGCTTAGCACACGAAAGGTAGCGGGAACGATGCCTGCATCCTTCATTTATGTTTATTTTTCCTGCATCAACGCTGCATGTTGTTTAAACTCTGAAGTAGACATGTCTTGAGGGAGAAATGTGTTAAAGAATTACTCCATTTAGCGTATTCACAAAGTTTTTAGAGTATCTCTCATCATCAATACTTTACAAAAGAAAGGAGGTTTCACTGTCAGCAGGAGGCCCTAAAATCAACACATATCAAAAGTTCCTCACAGCAGCTTGAATCTCTGCCTGACTCCTACCCTGCGACAGCACTTTTGAAGCAGTCGAACATGTCACTTATGGTCTGATTTGCTTTTATAGGCTGTAAAGAGGTTTCACTATTAATTTTAGTCTGTTGTATTACAAGTTAAAAACTCCTCACAGGAGCTTTAACATGACAAGTAATATTAATCTGCTCAGAAAGACAGAGAAATCTGTCAGATACCTAAGTTATACCTGGTACACTGTTGTCTTTTTTTTTTCTTATTATATACTAAAGACATTGTTTAAAGTGTTTAGCTATATAATACTAATATAATACCAGAGTATATGTATGCAGCCTTCATGGTAAACCCTCACTCTGAGTCTAGATTTAAGGATTTTACTTGCACACCATGTCGTAAAAACAATTAGAAAACAAAACATTAAAACTCTTAAAGGAAGACAAATCAACTTACCTGTCAACTGTTTAGCCGGTCTCTGCTGCCCTTGCAAACGGTTGATTTGCTTGAATTTACACTCTGTGAAAATGGGCTCCATGCACAGCCCCACTACATCCTGAATTTAAGGCAGCTCCTTTATTTCCTGTCTTACATTATTGAACAAATTGATTAATCCAGGTGTGACTGATCATTGTGACTAGACAGACACACCTGGATTAATCAGATTGTCCAACAATGTAAGACAGGAAGTAAAGGAGCTGCCTTCAGTTCAGGAAGTAGTGGATCGGTGCTTAGAGCCCATTGGAGCAGTTAGCAGGAAAGGAAATCTCCTCAATTAACAGCCTCCTCTGTTTATTTAGCCCGGCAGATGGCAGTGTAGCCTGCTTTTGTTATAGCAGCTCTCAGTAGAGCTTAGGCAGGAACGGTTTAGTACACAGGATGTGCCGAGCTTTATTTTGAAGGAGTACCGGAAGTAATTGTTGTTGTTGTTACAGGGTCTGAATTGACGAGTGAAAAAGGGAAAGACGAAATTAAAACCGTTTGTATTGTTCTGTATTGTGTTTTTTAAAGTAATCTGACTTTTTAAATACAAATTTTATTGACAAAAAATGTTGTGGTGGTATCTTTGCTAATATATAGTTGGTTTAGACAGCAAAGAGTTAGCTGGTACCTTAAAAACACTCATGATCCCAAGATAAAGGATTTGACTCCCACCCGTTCTTGGGTGAACACAGCAAAAAGAAAAAAAAAAAGAAAAGAAAAAGACGTTTTGGTCAAACTTTTCTTCTTTTTTGTTGAAAGTATAATTTTTTACTTCTTGTGGCTAAAATGTACATTTGGTTTGCACTCGGCCTAGTTTCCTAAGCCTTCCTTTTCATAGTCAGTCCTGTTACAGTCTTGATATCAAATAAACCCAAAGCAAAGCCGGCCGCTTTATCTAATTTGTGAATTTAAGTTAAATTAATTAGGCTGATAGCTTTGAAATTGTCAATATAAAACCAAAAGTAAGCTTGTTATATTACCTGTGTCTACAGTGAAACACCTCATAGCTTGACTGTTGGTGCATTAACTATCTCAAAATTGAAAAAATAACATAACAGATGTCAAATGATGTGATTACAAACATGTGGAGTTGTCACTTTATTCAGAAATTTAAAAGCCAGATGAATACTGCAAACCATTGAGTCATAAATCAGCACAAATGTGAGGTTTTACCTTGGAAACCACAACAAAAAGAAAAAAAAAACAACATTTTCAGCTAGATGATATCAATTATTTTCAAATAACACATCTGTGCTATAACATTACTGCAATGATGAGAGATTACATGTCAACATGAGAATGAGTCTGTTATTGTATACTATAGTCCAAACAGTGCTAGATCTATTTCTTGAAGGTGCCTTTTGTCAAATGGCAGTTACTCAGAGAAAAAAACTTACAGAATATATTCTCGTAATTTGTGTAAAAGTCAAATCCAGCCAATGTTTTAAGCCCCTAACATTTTCTTCACCATATAACCCGGCATGTTGTACAGGAAGAGAGCCAGGATGGCGAGCAGCAGGAGAGCAGTGACGATCTTGATGGTCAGCCATCTGTACTGGTCACATATCAGGTGTTTCGCAGCTTTGAAAGGGATGAGGAACCAGAGGAGGGCGATATCTGGGCGGCTGGGGGAGAAAAGAGACAAATGGTGGGTTAGAAGTTTCATAATCTGAGTTTAAAGCATAGATGGACCAATTACAATTTGTGTTTTTTGAGTCGTGGTCAACTATCTACCAATAAAACCAAAGATCAAGTTGTTTGTTTTAAATTTGCTGAATGTTTGAGCCTTTGATAGTGTTTTTTGTGAGATTTCGGATCAGCATGTATTAGGACTAAATACAACAACCAAATTTGCACTAATCTCTTTGACCATGGACAGTTTCCACCTGTTGCAAAGTGATGGAGCCATGCTGATGACGGGGCATTAACAAACAAATCACATGACTCTGGGACAATTGGATCAGAGGTCCATTTATTAAGTTTGAAATATCATCAATAGAAACTTAATGAGAGCTTGAAAGATCATTTTACAGTTAAGGTGAGATCTGAGCACGAACACAAAACATCCATGCTAAAAATGTCATTTTTTAAACAATAAAACTTTAAATTCTCCTCTTGATGATCATACTATTTTTTTAGGTGAATAAACAAATCAAGAAAAACACACTATTATATATTTTACACAAAACTGAGCAAGAATAACCAGAGATAATTGTGCTGCTTCTGTGTTTAGACTGCTTTAATTATCCACAAGTATGCGGAAAAAGTAGACTGCAAAATGTCCACAAAACATGTCTAATATTAGCAAAAGCACGACCTTGGAAGAGATTATCATCTGCTAGTTTAATCTCAGACTCCCATCATTTTCTTCACCATGTACCCCGGCATATTATACAAGAAAAGACCCAGGATGGCGAGCAGAAGGAGGGCAGTGACGATTTTAATGGTCAGCCATCTGTACTGGTCACACATGAGGTGTTTGATAGCTTTGAGGGGGATGAGGAACCAGAGGAGGGCCACATCTGGACGGCTGAAGGAGCACAGAAACATTTAAGGATTAGAGACTCTAAAAAGACATGGAGATTTAAAATAATGTGCACTAACAGGGGTTCCCAAGATCTGATACAGACTGAGAGAGGACACGCTTTCCTTCATAAAGACTTAAAATACACAGACATCATGAGGATGTGGGCATGTCTACACTTTTTAGACCATCTCCGTTAATATGTTTGTATTAGAATTAAAATATTGCTCAAATTTTAAACAACTGCACCACTTGGCTGCATATAAATGAGACAAAATCCAGTCATTACTCCATATAATGAAGCATTTCAAGCATTCAGCTGAGCAAACATGAGGGTGTGGTTGTAACACACTGAGTAGGGATCTTCCAAAGTTTCAGAACTTCTCACAGAGCATTTCCTCAATTAGTTTTTGCCCTCAACATTTCTGAGTGAGTTTAACACTGAAATACAACATTTGGAAAACACCCACTTGTTAGGCTAGACTGCGACTCATTGCTCAGTCCTTGAAAACTGAAAACTTCGAACCCCATCTCTCAAGAAAGGTATCATTTAAGCAGTGACAAATAACTGGGCTGGAAGTCATGTCTGAAGATCTGAACAGTGATCTTAGAGATCAGTTCAGGAGGTGAGGAGGTGTTTGAATACGGGCAACTTTATTTAAAATAATTTGTGAATTTTTCATCCTCTTGATCAGTGTACATTTATGTAAACCAGCATTGGCAGATTGAACTAAAAACATGTCTCAGATTAAAGGTCGTTACACACCTGGAGTGTTTTTTTTCGTGCGATTATTTCAGACGTCAATATTTTTTTTCGAACCCGTATCCTGTCAATACAAGCGTTCATATCAGCGATGTTTACCCATCCTGCGATATTGCGGCATTTATTTTTTTGTATCATGGATGATTTTTCTAAAGTTTTGCATACTGTATGTCCACTTCTGACCAATCAGATTCTGTGTCTTTGTCAGATTCACCGGTATATCCAACATGGCCGACCGGCTGATTGTTTACGTGTCGGAGAACAGAGTACTTTTTGATAAAAAAACACAAATATTACAAAGATAACGACCTGAAGGACAACTTGTGGAGAGTCATAGCGTCGGATTTCTCATATGACAATAGTTTGTGTGCTTTAACAGTTTGATAAACGTCTTTGTTTTAACTTGTATCTGTGCTAAGTAACTTTCGCTCGTAAGCTAACCTGTTCAGATACAACATACCATATGTATTTTCACTGTCTCAAACTCAATCACAGCGTTGCTGTAACAGCACCATTAGGTCTCGGTTGTTATGTTACGTTCATGGATCATAGTTTAATGTTCTTATCTGCTACTGGCCCCGACTCAGTACATGCTATCATGACAGACAGCCATCTCAACACTAGTGTCTAATCAAAACTGAAAACACTCAGTCTGCTGTTGTGTCAGTCTTCTCGCTTCCACCTAAGACGTGTCTTTTTTCCCCCCGGAAAGTCGCAAAATCACATCGCACTTGATGAGTATAGACAGGCGTGTCAAAATTCGCCTCCGAATATTTCTTAATTTCGCGTTGTATATTTGCATCGTTCCCAGTGTGTAAGGACCTTAACTCAAAAACCACCATAAAAGTACAATTCAAATGCAGCTTTATGAAGTAGCATTATGGTACTGATACTGCAACTATTAAAGAGTCAGAGAGAGAGAGAGAGAGAGAGAAGCCATCTGGTTAGTGAAACTGCGGGAACCTTGTGCAGAGATGTCTTGGGGAAACATCTCAAACTCCCAGCATTTTCTTGACCATGTAACCAGGCATGCTGTAGAGGAAAAGAGCCAGCATGGCCAGCAGCAGGAGAGCTGTGACAATCTTGATGGCCAGCCACTTGTACTGGTTGCAGACCAAGTGTTTAATGGCTTTGAAGGGAGTGAGGAACCACAGAAGGCTGGTGTCTGGGCGGCTGGAAGGACAAGAACACATGTTCAGACGTAGAGCGACATGGACTTTTCTGTGAGATTGTTTCCTCTCTTAGCTAAACTAAAATAATAAATATAGTTTACATTATATTAACAAAAGGCAAGACAAAGCTTACAGAGTTACAAGAACTTAAAGGTGGTTCTAGGTAGAGATATGGAAACAGCAACTTACCATGAAAAGAGAGAAGATTGTAGGAGTAAGTCCAGAACTTGGGTGATGTAAATACGTACAAATGTGTTTCCTCACTTCAGGAAATTGTTCATTTTCATTTATTATATTTGGAGTTTATGTTAATTTATGAATGTTTATGCTTGTTTTAAGTTTGTTCATTCACATTTTCAGTTTATGGAAAGTTTATCTTTATTTTTATATCCAGACTTACCCGAACTTTTCTCATCATGGCGCTTATTTTACAAAGTTTATATTTGCGCTACAGCTGGACTTTAAGAAATAACTGAGTAAGTGTTAGGATGAGTGTGTGATGATTGTAGATGAAATATGGAGGTGATAACAAAGGATCCTTCATACTTGGGTTTTTCCAGCGGTTCTGGTTCGTTCCGTCCTTCACCGGCGGGGCTTTTCTCGGCTTCCTCTCCAGTCAGAAGGTGCAGCTCTGCTTCCACTTTGCCCTACAGGGGCAATTAAAGGCGTCTCAGTCACAAGGACGAATTTCCTCACGAGTTTTTCACAGCAATAACAAATACTCGAGGGTGTTTGCTACGTCGACCAACCGTGAGTTCGAACTCGTCCTCTTCGTTTCGGGCCACAAACGGCCACCAGCCTTTGATTCTCTTCTGTTTGAAGATGGAGACCATGGGCATCTCTGCTTCGTTCGTCACCATATCGATGCTACACTGCTTGGCTGTCTTTGCTCCGCGTGGGAAGCGGTTCAGATCCAGCTCGATTGCACCTGTAAGGAGACGTTGTTAGAGAAGATTAAATGCAAGAAAAGTTTTTTGGCAGGGTATTTAAAAAGGAACCTATGTCTATCCAAAAAATATCAATTAGCATATTTCTGTACCTAAAAAGTCATCTGCAGAGAAATGGTCAGCATCCCACACTTGAAGATTCAGACGAGCAGGGATCTTGTACTCAGTTTCATCCCAGGCAAACATGGACTCCTTTTTGGAGATAACGATCTTCTCCTCGGCCATCAGGTAATCAAAGGGATAGACGAAGCGCCAGTTGAAGTTTCCCTCCCCGGTGATGGAGTGATAATGGACGTCTGTGTCCTGCTTGTCCTCCTGCTGCCCCTTTAACCAGCTGTCAGAGGAAAAAGGTTCAGATTCAACATCTTGGAGAAAATCAACATGACTCTTAAGAGGATATCTTGTCCATCCAATTTGAAGTAGAATAAACAGTCAGTGTGTCCATGTATTAGGAATTCGCCGCTAAAAATTAAGACGTGACGCTGCTAATTACCCTCGCACAAATATGTCACTGGATTTCTCGCCGGTGAAGATATCGTCATCTTCCAGAACGACCTCATCAGTGTTCCAGACGATCACCCTCAGTTCAAACCTGGACACAAGAGAAAATAATGCTCATAAATAATTAACTCTTGATCGTGCTCTTAAAAAGTGTCAGGTCTTACTACGGGACATACTTCTTTGGTTTTCTTGGTGAAATGTCCAGGGCTGGACCAGGTGCAGTCATGTCTTTAGGGAACATGTCCACCCACATCTCGATTCTGCCCTAAAAACAATTAAACACAAGGAATTAAGTATGCAAACAAAGCTTTATGGTATGATTTAAGGTGTAGGTGGCGGGAGTAGAGCTTGCAGAGTGCGCCGGATAAATTACTTGTTCAATTCCTGCTTTATCCGGGTGGAGCAGCGGTCTGGTTTCCACGTGTTCTGGGACAAGTTTGCAGCCGACTCGAGGGATGTTCTCCCAGTGCCTCAGCACGGTCAGAGCCAGATGTTCATCTGTCTGCTTCTTCAAACCTGAAAAACATGGTCAAATGTTTGATAACCCAGGCAATAAAAAGGTCTGTTCAATCTGAGAACACGTTACTACTCCAGAGGAATTTGAAACAATCGTTCAAAGACTTTTGCTCGTACCATTTTCATCTTCGATCTCAGTCGGCGCCATAAAGACCCGGTTCTCCACCTTCACTCTTCCTCCTGGGCCGTAGTGAGGCCCGTCCAGTTTGCCATCTTTGCAAAGCTTAGCCAGGACGTGTGAGGGTTTCATTGGGTCTCGCCAAACATTGTAACCATGGCTACAGGAGAGAGGAGAAATGGCATGAAAAACATCACATTATTGATATCTTTGAACTGTGTGAAAACGTGACTAAGACTTTCCTCTTCATTGAACTATATAATGGAAATAGGTTTAACCAAGCGATGCCATGGCTGACTGCTGTCACCCGAGTCACCCCGACGCTCTGTTGATCTTGTCATGAATAATTGACCACCTCTTTTTTCCACAGTCTACCTCACAGAGCAGCTGGGAGTCTGATCTTTGGTTCTTACATGGCGTAGTTGCAGGAGACTCCACATGTGGCTCTGTGTTTGCTGTAGAAACGGTTCTCCAGGTCGATTTTTGTTTCTCCGATCAGATCATCGGTTCCCACCAGGTCCCAGTCGTAAATCGACACCGTGAGTGTGGAATCCATCGGGAAAGTCGCCTCCACGTCAAAGGATCTGATCAAATTAGGAATACAGTTTTTATATGATAGAAACGGCTTTGTGAGATACTGTGAGCCATGATAGTTTCATCTTTCACTCACTTTCCAAATAAAGGGTTGAGCTGCTTGGAGATGTAGTTCTCCTTGTCTTTGATTTCTGTCTTTCCCAGTTTGATCGCGATGTAGGGATCGGCTTTCCCGTTAATGTCAGCTGGATGCAGATCAGTCGCCTACCAAAAGAAAAAATAAAACGAATATTTGAACATCATCTGAGACATGTATGTGAGGATTCTTATGAAGATAAAATACGTGGACGCACGGCCTACCCTGATAACGTAGATGCGGACGAGGACGTTGATTGGATCGTTGTGAGGAATGTTCTGAAACATCCCCATGTTGGAGTCAAAGCTCATGTCTCTGGGCATGTCGTCTGACACTTTGTACATGCACAGTGAGCCCTAAAACGGAAAAAAAAAACATGTCAACTCAAAAATAAGTACCTTAGTTTCTAAGCATTTTCTACTCCAAACTTGTTTTAACCACAACTTCAGGTTCTTACCTTGAATTTTCCAACAATTCTGTCCTCATCTGTCACATTTTGGTCATCATCATCGCCTCCTTTCCCCCTGAACAGGTTGAAACTGTGGAGCCAGTCTTCAAAGTTGTCGAATTCACCCTCCAGCTCTTTAGGGTAGACCTAATTTGAGAGTACAAACACGATTCTGCTGCAGACAGGTCTTCATTTTTCCAGGTGAATCTTCATCCTGTGCCATTTAGTCTCTCACAAAAACAAGCTCCAGATACCTTTAGCTCATCCAGCTTGGGCTTTTTCTTCTCATACGGATCCACCTGCCTCTTCTTCTCCTTCTTTCCTTTCCCTTTCTTGGTGCCTTTCACAGGAAAGTCATCAGGTTTGATATCTGAGTATAGGTTAGCGGTGAGGACGGCGGGAAGAGAGGGAAGTGGGGGGATGGGGTGGAGGAGCAGAGCACTCGAGACATGAATTCTACATGAAAGTTGTCAAAACCAACTGTTACTGTTTACAAGCATACCATTGAATTGTAAACCAGTGAGGCAGACAATTCAATGGAGATACTTGGGGTTGAAATGATCCTCTTGGTCGTTTCATCTCTGCAAAAGAAGACACGCTCACAACTGGACCGGTTCTTGTCATTGACACCTCCAGTCTAGTCATGTCATGTCTGTTGTGTGTATCGTCCTGTAATAAATAGCTAATTCTAAGTGCACTTTGCGGTTTGATTCAATGACAACTTTCATGGCAAGCATACGTCTGATATGCATGTATGGGAGAGAAAAGCGGTTGTCCCATGTGTGGAAATTTGGATTCATGTCATCGTCTACGTGGAGGCATTCTTGCGCTACAGAGCTCGACTACTGCACTGTAGAAAAAAAACAACAAGCATTAGTGAGCAAACATAGTGTGAACATGCACGGACAACAAGGTGGTGTATTTCTTATTTTCTCTTTTCCAGTTTTGTGACCTTGCATTGCAACTAAAACATCCCAGATTTGCTTCGACAACACATACAGACAAGGAGTATTAGTGATGGTTACTACATGGTGTGGGGAGGAGATGTGGGACAAAGATAGCATGCATGATCCTCTAAAGATTTAAAATGGTTAAAACTATGTCTAGTGAGTATCTGGTTTTACCTCCACCATCTGCAATGTCCATTTCATCTTTGTCCTCTGTGTCTGACAGAGCAGCCTCTTGAGCCTTCAGTGACTGTTGGAGTAAGAAAAAGTTTCACATTCAGATTTATCAACAAAATAAGACCCAGTTTAAAGGGATATTCCGGCGTAGAATTAATTTAGGGTCAAGCACACTATAACACCGAGTTAGACACCCCCTCGAGAGATGAATGTTACCAACCGCTTGCTTCTCTAGTTATAACAACTTTAGTTACAACCGCAGGATAGCAGTACACAGTGGTCTGAGGAGCCATAAACAAACCTCAACTAAAATGCCACTCTATAGCCACAAATAATGCTCAGAACAGCACCTAACTTCATCAACAGTACATATAGGGTCACAGCCACAGTACTAGCCACCAATTATCTTTTGAACTTTGCCTGATTTCTTTAGCAAAGAGACTAAACACAACTCACCTACTCTCTTCCAACAGCCGCTTGATTGTAGCAAGAACTCAGGCCAGTCCATTACGGACTATAGTGGGGTGACGCAGCTCAAGGAAGAACATTTATGATCTTTCGATGGGGTGTCTAACTCGGTGTTACGGTGTGTCTGACCCTAAATTAATTTTACGCCAGAATATTCCTTTAACTCTTAATTTTAGAGCTGGTAAAGTAAAGCGAGCGTACAGACATTATATTTTTTAATTCTGTTTTTGCATCACATGACTAACTTCTGTTTGTCGCCTCTGATATCAACTTATTTATTCTCCAATCTGAAGGTCACACACTTGAGAGAACTGATTCGGCAACAAAATTAAGTCCACGTCTGCTACACCAGGTGACAGTACTTCCCCTTTCAGCTATGTACCAAAACAATCGACAAACAAGTGATGGACAATAACGCTGTAGTTGTATGTCCGCTTTGGGCTTCTGTAGCTGTCAACCCTGGCAGACTTTTCTGTATGAATGTAGCTCAACTTAATCCAAATATCAGTAATTTAAGAGAAGAAATGTCTGTTTTTCCTTGTCACTCACCTCTGTCAAAGTTTCAATGGAGGCAAAGTACTTGGACCACCAGTCCAACATGCTCTCATCAAGCTCCTCCTCTTCAATCTCGTCGCCCTTCTTCCTCTTCCTCTTTTTCCCCTTTCCATCTTTATCGTCATCCTGTTTTCAAAGAAATCCATTAAAGTGTCAGACTTCTTTGAAACAACGTTAAGTCTGTTTTTATCCTCGGGCACTGTTCAGTTTCCTTACCTCAACTTTGACCACAGCGTCGGAGCACTAGGCAGAAAAACAGGTTACATAATGATCAACAGTTTCAGATTTTGTCTGCTCAGTTTTATAATAAAGGTCTGATGAGTTGTCTACTGTGCTGAAGTTGTTAAACACCGTGACTTTTTCTAGGAATGAAGGTTATATATAGTTTTAGACACTTACTGAGTCGAGTTTGACCACAGTTTCCATCTTCTTGAAGGAAGACTCGGGTTCCATGTTGACGACAATGATTTCCTCTGAAACATTTCCAGATATTATCAACGTGTTACCTAACAGAGGGAACTCACACTGCACTCAAGAGTTTTAGTTCACACACCTGTAGTGGTGTAGTTGTTGGCCTGCTTGTCTGTCGGCCTGTAGATGAACTTGCGCAGGCTGGTGACGGCATTGGAGCCGACCAGAGTGTAGCGGCCAAAAGCTCTGCAGTCCACCACTCGGATGTTGAGCGGAGGGTGGAGCAGCTCATTCTCAGGCAAGTCCTTAAATCACAACATCCAGGGTTAGCTTAATTTTGGGATTGTGTGTGAGAAAGTGTGCTTTAAAAGTCAATGGTGCCCATCATGTCTTTTCTAATGTATGTTAAATGTGATTTAAAGCTCCTGTGAGGAGTTTTTAAGTTGTTGTGAAACAGACTGAATCTATAATGACCTTGAAAACCAAACAGATTAGACAAAACACTGTCCATTCATGTTAACGACAAGACAAGAAAGTAGACTGAAGGTACTGCTTTGTCCACAGGGGGCGGCAAAATCAACATAAACTAAAATTCCTCACAGGAACTTTAATAATTTGGGACAAATGTTAATTAAAATGATAAATTACCACTTCAAACCACTTGACAAGCGTGCTGAAGTTTGGGTTTTTCTTGTAGTTGGGTATGAGGGCAGACTGCACCCCCTTCCCTGCGCATTCGATGTCCACACGAGGCCGATCCACCTGGGCCAGATTCACCCTCTTCAAGTCTCTCAAGCCCCAGAACAAAACCTGAGAGATCGGGAAATTCATTTCTTTCTGATTCACCTTGCTTTATTTCTAATGAATAAAGTCCATCATGCTGGTCAAACAGGTTTTACCTCGATCCTGTATTTGCTGAGCACTGGTCTGATTCCAAGTGGAACCGGGAGGATGGGGCCGCGGTCCATATCAGTGGGCCCATCTATGGGTGGAAGGTCAGCTTTCCCATTGGGGCCAATCTAACACACATCAAAAATAACATCAGAAATATTCATCTCATAATGTATTCTGACTTTTAAAAGGTTTAGCCGTCTGTTAGCCTCACTTGGAGCAATTCAAAGGCTGCCAGCATTTCTCCAGCGGTGCAGTTCCCACGGTAGATCTGATAATACTCCAGCTGAGGGGGGAAGCGTGGCGGACCATAGTGCTCGTCCGCCATCTTTACGACGGGCTTAGCAAATGTTCTGCCCATGAAGTCTGCTTTACCCTGGAAGCAAAAAGATTAATAAAACTTAAATAACCCAGCTATGAAATCATGAGTTCAGGTTAAAATATTTGAAAGAATGGTCTTTTTGGCCTACCGTATTCATCCACCAGTGTTCACAATTAAACAACTTTTATGGCCCTATAAGGAAACAGAAACATGGCTTTGGATGCACATGTTTCTGGGCAGCTTATATAAAAAATAAGAAGATATAAGAGTCCGAAAGAAAAAGTAAACAAAAGCAGCATCCCTAAAATAACCAGTGAACTGCAAAACAGACATACGTGTAACTTAATGATTGAAAAATAAATGAAATCTCTCTTGCAGTTAGTGGTTGTAAAGAGATTTTGTTTGGGATCATACAAAGAGCACAAAACTTTATTTAAAGGAATGCAACAGGTGTAAGACGATCAAAAAAGAGTTGGTGCGTTTATATCTTATTCCTCTTGCATGCCTTTCATTCAAACTACTCTGCAAACATGACAGTGCTGCTACAGTGTATCAAGCCATCAGAATCCACACTCTACTTATCCAAAAGGGTCATCCAAAACAAAGGTGTTATTGCCAGGAACAAATATAAAATAGACAGTCAGCAAAAGCATTCTTTCAAATATAAATCAGATGAGATTTGACACAATGAAACTGAAGAAGTCCCTCAAACCAACTTCAAAACTGAGCTTTACAAAGAAGGACCCGTTACTGAGGGTGTATCTCACGTGGGTTTTAGTCTCATTAGTGGCTGTGAGGTCTTGTATTTCAGGTTTAAGACAGACTGACTCTCAAATTACAGGGGTGATAAGGTTTGAGGATTGCTATCTAGAAACTGAAGCTGTGCAGCTGCAGACTGTTTACTCCCATTAAAGACAAACTGACAAAGAGGCACCTCTATACCAAAACAACCCTTACCACTGTGTCTTGATCATAGATTTCAATGACAATGATAGGAGGGTCGTCTCTCAGTTCGCTGGCTTCTCCGAACAGCTCCACGTTCTCAAAGACCAGGAGCTGGTCCCATGTGGGGCACAGAGTCTCGGCCAGCACCTAAAAGCAAAACAAAAACATTTGAAGACGTTTCTGCGGATTCAATCATTTCCCAGACTGATGCCTGACTTCTACAAAAGCTTCTTGAGAGCTCTTACCTCAGTGACCTGACTTTGTGTTGAGAAGAAAACTCTTGCAAAGGGATCAGACAGACCGGTGCTGTCTGCTGCAAACAGGCTGCGAGCCTGGTACATGTGGACCCTCAGCTGGAAGATCTGTTTCACTGTGGACACATTGATGGATGAGGAATTTCAAATAAGACCCTTTTACTCCAAACAACTTTGATTTGTTATGTGTTCAGCTGGCAGCTGGGGGTCTTACTCATGTAGGTGAGGCTGATGGGAGGTGTACACGGCAGACCGGGTCCTTTGGACAACTTATTTTCCTCAAACCCATTGGGAAGTCCTCTCAGGTAGTCTTTGCGCTGTCTGGTCAGACCCAGCCACAGATAAATCTCACACTTGGACTGAACTGTCCATCCAGCAGGCCCAAAACCTTTCTTACCAGGGATCTTTGATATATATAAGAAGAAATAATATATATGTAAAGAGACAAAAAAAAATGTTAAATCAGATACAAAAGGGATCAAGTTTAGTTTTTTAGTGGTCTACACCGATGCTGATGTGTACAGAGCGACAGCCAATAGCTGATAAAGGTGAATCTCTAATTAGATGACCTGATTTTCATTAGTAATTGAACTCTCACCCTCAGAAAGATTGTCTTGACTTTGCCACAGTCCTTCCCCACCTCCTCCTCCACACTGGAGTAAAGGATGTCTTTGGAGGGAACACGGGCATAAGCAATACGCTTCCCGTTACTGATCATCCATATGAAGACATCAGGAACGCTGTGTTGAGGCTGCAACAGAAACATGAACTCCCATTCAGCATTTAACTAGCAAAACCTCTAATGCTGTTTTCTCTCTTTTTTTTTGGCCTTTTTATGATCTATTTTTCTACTGTCATTAAAAATCATTTTCTTTCTGTTTATTTGACTTTTGCCATTGCGTGTTTAAGCTTTCTAGACTTCTGCTTATTCCTGCCTTTGTATACATTTGTAATTAAAGGTGCTGTACGTGGCGTTGGTTGCCTATTAATCTAAGCACACCCACCGAGGCTATAGTCCTCCTCATAACAACAACCATAATAATAAAGTTGTTATAATTATTGATATTATTATACAATGAAATATGCAAAAACATGCAACACTATGTGTTTGATGTGTTGCGGTAATCTTACTTCATCAGCCAGGAAGCGCAGCTTTGACAGGAAGTTCTGAGCCAGCTTGATTTTATCCCTCACTGTGCTTTTCTTCACCTGCGTCCTCATGGTTTTAGCTTGCTGGCCGATATTCTCCTAAATCCAGAGAGAGCACCGAGCATTTGGAGACAGTTTCAATATCAATGAGTTAAGTTAAAAAAGAAAAAGCGTCACGTGTTTTTATCTTACGTACCATTTCTGCCATGCACAGCTTCAGTCTCTCCCTGTCCAGTTTGGTTCTGCCGGACTGGTTCTGGTCTTTGTTTGCTAGCTCAAGAAACTGACTGAAAGAGGTAGATCTCAGTCAGTTTTTAAGTCTATAACACTCTGTTTTTGTTGTTGTTTTTACCAAATATGGCCGAGGTTTGCAGCCACAGACCTGCAGCCCTGGCTGAGCGCCTCCAGTACCCCTCTCAGTCTCCGCTCAGGATACGCTTTCTCTGTCTTGATGATCTCCTGCACATCGTTCAGTCCATCCTCCTGTAGCAGCAATAAAAGATATTAAAGATCAGTCAATGACACTGCATACAGTCAATTTAACAGCTATCGATATGATTTACCAGTTTGTCTGCGATTTTGTCAATAATGTTGGCGTTGTACAGCCGTCTTCTCTGATCCTGCCAGTAACTCTTGATGTAAATACACGGCTTCCTCTCAAAATATGGCAGGTGGAAGTAGTTTCTGTAGATAAACATAGAAGGTACAGTTATCAACAGTTTTTAAGAAATTATTTTAACTATAAAACTCAAAAAACATCCAGTAAATTTATGTCCTATGATATAAATACCATTCGGGAGTGTTTAAGCTTAAAACCATCATACAACAACTGTACTATGGTGATGATATTTTCTGCTCTGACCGGTCAGTGATGACTGGTTTCATCGGAGGGGTGGTCGCCACTGACATCAGGTCCCCATCATCTTCCATCTCCTCCTCACTGGAGTTGTGGATCAGTTCAGTTTCCTCTTCATCACCGTCACTTTTCTTTCCTTTTGTCTTCGGCTGGGCGATCCCGTCGATCTCATTTCCATAGTAACCTGATACACAGCAAAAATGGTCCTAATCAGATCATGAAATGTGCTGCACTCTCAGCTCGTGATAAGATGTGGTCGACAAATCCAAGTTCCTACAGAGAAGGACTTCTAAACTTTGTTATTTTCTACTATTGAGTTTTCTACAATGGTTCTCAACTTAATAATACTCCTCTAACAAAATGCAAGTTTTAAAGGAGGAACTTCTGAGGGGATTTTACTCAGAAACTTTACTTAAGTGTAGCCTAATTCAAATTTGAGTGAAATTAGGTTATTAAGTTTGCATGATTTTTATACACAGTCAACCTGTGCAATAGCCAAAAAAACTACTGTCTTTTGCACAAAGAATGCACAGTGGATTGAAAAGCACCACAAACTGCACTGTTATGCAAATAACGTTTCTATAAGCTGTTGCTGTTTGCATACATTTAAAAGAGCCATTATGCATTTGATTGGGTCAAAATATGCCTCTTTTGCAGCCTAGGCTTGATTCCAACTTGAGGCCTTTTCCCCACGTGTCACTTTCTACTCTTTTCCCCAGTTTGCTTTATCAGCTGTGCCATCCTCTCCTCATAAAGGCACATAAAGCTGGAAATAACAACTTGAGAAAAACATTTCTCGAAATACAAATGGGCCTCATTGGGAAATTTGTGTCTCATCTGCCAGGAACTGACTCCATGTTGAGGTCTCATCATAGATGTAGATTGAATTTGGTATTGTCAGGATGAGAGTGCACAGTTCAGCTCTGTGCAGCAGAGAGTGGAGATGCAGACAGCTCACAATTAAAAACACAAAATCGGGGCAAACTGCTCTGAGCTGCAGAACTTTGTGTGTTTTTTTTGGGCTTGAATATCATCAGAATTATTATTTGTGAACTGGACTTTGAGACAGAGCAGATGGGGGCAAATGCTGCACAATTACTGTTCTTATTGGTGACCATAATCCATTCTTAATCAAATACCTATGGTGACCTCAAAGTTGATGGGCTTATCTCCAATCTTTCTGTCGATCATTGTTGCCTCTAGGAAGGACCCGAAAAGGAAGAACTCCTCGACCTTCCCAGTAGCAGTCTGTGAAAAGATGAACAAGTATAAGTGACTGAATTTAGGTGATTACAGTCTCAATTTTTCAACCTTTTTTAGTCAGACAAATGTTGGCAGTGTCATGCTAAGCTAACATGAAAAGCTATGTAGTGGTCCTGACAACTGTGTAACACAATATTGTGGATCAGAGAGAACTGACTCCCAAAGGATTTAAGGAGTTAAGGTCTCACTATGCTCCACTGAGGTTACCGTGTGACCTTCTTTGTCCACCAACAAAAAGAAGCCTCACTGAAGCAATCTGCGTGTTAATAATGCACCAGGTGGGCTAAATACAGACAATTAATAATTCACTCTAGCTGCAGGACAATGACCTGTCAGCAGGAGTTACAATGGCCGCCCTCTGCATGGCTGCCCATCCGAGCAGGGACCCACCTCTGAGATGTTGGGTATCCCCTCCAGCTGGACCTCTGTGGAGCTGGAAATGTCAGGAGAGGAGGTGTCCAGGATCTCCACGCCGAGGCTGATGAGCAGACGGGCCCGGAAGGACACTCCCTCCCCGAGCCCCTCGTTTAGCTCCTGGTACTCGTCCATGAGGGTGTAGGTACGAGTGGAGCCGTACATGTTGACCCAGGCAGGCCCAAGAGTAGGGAGGAAGCCTGATGGGTAAAGAATGAACACAATGGATGGGTTTGAGATAGACACTTCCATGATTGTTGTTCATAACTTCATGATTGGGTCTCAGATTGAGACACACCTTTGTCGCCATCATTCGAAATCGTCCGCAGGTCCAGGAAGTGTGTTCCCATGGCAACATCATTCACTTTATCAGAGTCGCGGATCTGGATTTTCATGCGCTTGCACAGGGGTGGAAACATCTCAGTGAAAACTATCTGCTCGTTCCAGATGGGCTCGTAGCAGCTCTTCTGAACTGACGTTTTCCCCTGAAATCACACATTAGAAACACATTTAAATCAATTCAAGAGTGGTAACTCAGTGATATCAAATAAAATGGGTCTTTTGGGTCTCTACTGTTGCCCACCTTCTGCCCTGCAAACTGAACTTGGACGTAAGGATCCACCAGGTCTTTATTTTCTCCTATGAAGGCCTTTTTGACGTTGGCCATGATGCTGGTGTTCATTCTGGGGAGTCCTTCGGCTCTGTAGATCTTCAGGTAATAACGAGCCCACTGTCGTTCTGCAGGGACACCCTCCGGTATTAGGAGATTTCTGAGAAGATGATAAAGGAGATTCTCACAACTCTGTAACTATGCACATGGCTGTGAAGATTTAGATTTCAGAAAAGGGTAAAACTGCTCATTTAAAGCTAGTTACCCCTCTATGTCATCTTCATCCGACTCATTGGCCTTGTGAGGTGTCTTTATTGTGTCTCCTTTGGCCACAACTGCAATATCACACTTAACGTAGCCTTTACAACCCGCTGTAATGTCATCGGGATCCGACAGCAGAGCCCACTTGTGGTAAAACTGATGATCTGCAGGACCAAAGGGAGGACATACTTAATGAGATATCTGTATCAGCAGCTCATAATGACAGCAGATCTCCTCTTATTATCTTTTTTACCAGGCTGGGAGTAGATTGTGCCGACATCCAGTTTGAAAGTTCCAACCAGTGTTCCACTGCGCAGAAGGTTTTTGGAGTGAATTACCTAAAGGTTGGTTCAGGGATACAAGACGGTGCAACATTACACATTGGTCTTAGAACTCATAAGGAAAAATATGGAAGTAAAGCTGCTCCAAAATGTGACTCTGAATTCAGCTCTTCACATTCTAGAGAATTTATCCCAAATGTTCACAAATTCAGATTAAAAAATTTAATGGACTACATTAAGATTCAGATTAAACATCCAGGAGCAGCAATTAATCCTTAATCTCGAGAAACCAATATCCAGCCAATCATGTCACACTCCACAGGTCACATGACAGCAGCTAATCTGAGGTCATTCTGTGTACCTGGACGGAGGGCGGAGTCACACATTATTGATTGCTCTCATTTACGACATTTAAACATTGTGCCTTGTATCTAAATTTGGCCAATTGAATTCGAGCACTTCTAAGTAAATTAACCATATTAAGATTCATATTGAAAAACTTGATACATGATTTAAAAACATGAATTACTTTGACCGAACTTACCGATATCTTTAGGATTTTGTCGAACATCACATCTGGAGGGACGTGGAAGTCAAACACAAAGTACTAGAGAGGAAAACAAGTGCGTGACTAAACTGATACGGCGAAAAATGTTCTGATTTTACCAAATAAACATATTCATTTTGACTCACTTCATTGTAGTATGGACAGTTGGTTGATTCCTTCATGGAGGTGTACTTCTTATCCTCTCCAATCTCCACACAGACCATCGGGTCCATGTTGAGTCCAATCAGCTGCCTCGCCTCAATCACTGTCACACTGACCTGAAAAGAAACCACCAAACAGTTTAGATATCTACAAACTGAATATGAATTTATTAATATTCAGACAGGCTGTTTAAAAAACATTGATCAGGCTTCTCTTACTTGGTAATCTACTGGTCTTCCAGAGCTGGGCTCCATCTTTATGTCTGGTTTTGATCTGTTTAACATCAGGGTTTCAGTCATAAAGTGGGATTTTCAGGCTGGTTCAATAATAAACAGAAGCTTTATTATGATTAAAAAAACCTCATCTGTACACTTGCCTCTTGTTGGATACATTGGTGGTGACGGCTGTGACTGAGGCCAGAGAGATGGTGTCTGGATCTGGGCCTCCTCCCATGAACATCCCATCACGGTCCAGGTTCTCTGTCTCCAGAATTGCTGGTTCATCTGGACATCATCATGAAGGAATTAGTGATAATTATAGCAAAATTTTGTAGAGTGCAGAACATCTTGATTAAATATTGTTTTTTGTGTTTTTGTTTTACTCTAAAGACTTCCTCTAATAGGCAAGAAGAAGCTGTGAGTCAAAATAATGTTTGAAATATCAGCCATGATTTTGCCGCATAAATGAACCAATCCTCTGTCACCCATCTTAGCGGCTGTTACCTCCATGTTTGTCCTCCTTGTGTCCTCTGTGCTTACTGCGCTTCATGGCTCAGAGCAGATGTCTGTGTGCTCTGTGAAGGACATTTATATTACACATTTAAAAACCTGGTTGTTTCAGTCGTTTTTATGCATAAAGATTAAATTTTCTGCTCATTTCGGAATCATTAAAAAAATAGTAACATGATGAGTCAGTTTTAATAAACAGGAGTATTAAATCACAACAGACTGAACTAATGTAGCCCCTCAACAGTCTCCTGGAAAGGACAAAGAGGCCTCCAGTTAGTAACTATGAAAATATCACAATAAAATGATAAAACACAGCATGTGCTCTGCTGTCATTTTAACAGGGGTGCCTGCTGCTACCACACCTGGTTTGGCCTTCAAATAGGGCTTTTAATTATTCAAATCAGCTGACCTTAGTGCATCAATTAAAGGGGATCTATTTCACATGCATTGTGAAAATTAATACACTTAAAATAATTAATGTGCTGTAATTAATCGGCAAAGTAGAAGTTTCATTAAATTTCACTTTTAGACTCGAAAAAGTTAAAAAAAATTACTGGTGGGATTGGGATAAGATAAGATATTATTGGTTATTTTGAATGACCGACATGCATTGTCTTGTTTTTATTCTACTAAATGAAACATCTAAAAGCTATGTGTCATGTCATAAGTATTTGCCACAAGTCTTTAAATGAATAAAAAACCCTCATTTGAATCTAATTCTGCAGTAAAACACATTTGGAATGAAGAGAAAACAGGGAGAGAAAAAAAAACTGATCAGGACACATTATATAGAGATCTGACTACTGATCAAATGACCTGCTCAACATTTAAACAGACCAAATATAAGAAACAGTAGCTCTTTTCCAATCCCATAAGTAAGCAACAAAACCTTGAGACCAAAATTTCAAGTTTTACCTCTCACATCTGATCTTTGGTGTTGCAGCCAAATGAAGATGAATGTAATATTACATACCATACAAGAAAATGATGCTCGTTCCCCTCCTCTGGGTATCTCCAAGAGTTCTCCTGTAAGAGAAACAGCAGCTTCTTTTTTGTTCTCCAAGCTGAAAGAAGCACCTACATAGACATTATGGATGTTAACGCAGCGGTAAGAATACAGCCACAAAGTAAAGTTGCACAGAAAAGAATTCGGTTCGTCCAAGACTGAAGTTGGGCAGGAGTGATGTGATACGCCGATGAATAGTGCATGAGTGAACCCGAGACTGGTAACTATAACTAGAGACTGCTGAGAGACGTCACAGTGAGCGGATCTGCCAATCCACACAGACTGTTGCAAAGTTGAGTTTTTTATTGGAAATAACTTTAGAAAAGTCACTTATTAGAGCAGCAGGCCTGGAGTTCATAATAAGATCGAACTGTGACATTTTAAATGTATGGTTATTCTGGAAATCGACTCCAGTTGCAGGTTAAACTATTGGCTTTGGTAGCATTCAAGTATCTGCTGTGCTTTAACTTGTTATTGCATTGAACATAAAGTATGGTACTGCACAAAAACATGAAGCATTTGTGAATTAGTATATCAGCATGTGATCAGCGTCAGGACTTCATCAAAGTAGGCAAAATGACAGCACGGCCTGGCTGAAAGTATGCTTCCTTTTAATATTTAAAAGGTTTCTGCTTCAAACTGGGGCTGGGCACAGACACACTGTCTGCATGACACCACCGAACGGTGTCAAGACCTACTTTCAAGGCCCTTGTACTTCAGATTCATTGAGGTGTTCAAAAAGGTTCGAGAAAAGGAGCTACATTTTTCAACTCCTTAGAGAGCTATCATTTAAAAAAAATAAATAAATAAGAAATAATGAGGAAAAAAAGGGGAGTGATGTGTCTCCAGTATCGACAAAGAAAATATGTCGAGCACATGGTTAATGTTGCACCATTTTGCTAAGCAGAGGCATGCTTTGGCAACTTTTATTCAATGCAAATTCCTCTATTGAATGCCAGAGTACAACTCATCATCTCATCAATTACACATCCAGCCAGTCTGTAAGCCATACGTCAACGTCTAAAGTTGCTGTTATCCGATGAAACGAGGCTTTGAATTATTGAAGCGCTCCAGTCAGTGTTGCATGCGGCATCCTCATTATGTTGAAGTATCAGTGTTCACAACAAAATAAATATGTGCTGCTTGGAGGTATTAACAGGGCGACATATCATCAGGGTTGTTAAAATGAGGATAATTATATCATGTTTTGTGGAAATGGTTGTATTCTGTGTCAAAAGAATTAATCATTGATCAATATTTTATAGTGCATTTGAAAATATTGCTTTACTTTATGCAACTTTATATCCTCATCTTTGCATCACATACTGTATGCATTATGTTGCTTTCTGCTGGAAGAGGACCCTGACACTAACCTTGCCATTGTGCTGAGGGATACTGCCCTTAATTACATGATTCAGTACCGGCTACAAGGGGTTGAGAAGGTGTCCTCATTCCTCCAGGGAAGGCCTGTAACCATGTCACCAGCGGTGCAAAGTTACCGGTTGCTCCTGTAGCCTAATATACCAACCTTATTCCCAGATGGATGTTGTCATCGAATGCAACTTTAAACACTTCAATGTTGTCATCGGTCACAAATCAAGGCCTGGTGAAGAGCAGAAAGTATAAAAGGTGCTGTAAAGTAACAATGTGCAACCTTACTTTCCATCAACGCCTGGCATTAAAACTGCACATTAATACAACCCTTTTTTGCATGCTTATTTGGATATAACTAATGAATATGCACAAGCAAGCAGCCAAGCCCTTAAATTGACACCTTTGACAATGTCCTCTTAGGTGAACCACAGAATGACTTGATACCAACCATGCAATCCTATCCCATGTAGGTCCAGTGTCCAGGGCCCTTTTTTTGGCTGTTGGTTGTAGGCGGGTTATCACCATCTTTGTTTGTGCTCCAGTGACTCTGCAAGCACACCACCTGACCACGGTGTAGTGTATCCTTATGACACATTTCAGTCTCCCTGATGGGGCAGTTTGGCAAGCTCCGCAAGTGAAACACAGCCGGACCGTATTGTTATTGTTGAAGTCAGGGAGGGCTCTGTACCAGGCAGCAAGCACGTAGTGCCCAGGTGGATCTGACCTGAAATGACCTCAGGAAACTTACTTAATTATATTACTCAGGACTGAATACTAATATTTGCTATTGTATGGATTAGTCTGTCTTCTATACAAAAAGGAAAAGACAGAAACAATCTATCAGTACTTTTTGTAATCTACATGGCTCCTTGTTGTGTGCACAGCTTACCTGTTGTGGGCAGGTTAATAATTTAGCGCTCCCTCTGGTGGCTAAGGAGTGTAGACACTGCAGGTCGCTCTGTGTACATTACAACAGCAACTAGAAGTCTCCTCCTGACTTCTTTTTTTTTTGCATTCTTTTTTATTTGCAGCAGTGGCCGTTCTCGGCCTCCGTACATTGGTTCGTACCACAGCACACTGACAAAATATAGGATAAAGTTCAGCCAAACTTTACTAAGCGTCATTCTCCAGGTTCAGCGGCTTATTTCGCAGATTCTGTGGCAATGCTGAGTTCTTGTTCACCAACAGTGGGTTTTTTGCCCTGTAGTCTTGCCAGGTACTTCTCTTGTGCTGTGGTCGTCTTCCGCTCCTAAATTCATGGTGCGCGTCTATTTGAATATTTGTGGTAACTGCCCTGGCTTGACCCAAAAAGCGCGAAACACGAAAAGAAGTTGTCTTACATGAGCAGCGGTCCAAACCATCGACATAATTTGTTTTTGTGCTTATTGGGTCCCCGATATCCTCCACTTAATTCACTACGGCCATGGAGTCAAGGCAGCTATCAAGGCAGATAGCTGACAGGAGCACTCCAGAACGCTATCATTTACGGTAATTTTGACATTACAATATTAACTTTAGAAATTAAACGGTTAAACATACAGACTCGCTGAAAATGTGAGACCTAGCTAGATATGCAAGGCTGTTCAGAGCATTTTTGGAGACCGCTTGGATCCTGAACCTTTAGGTAACCTGTGACTGTTGATTTTGCTGTGGTTATTTCATGTTGTAGCTAACAGCGCTAGACAGAGGTTGCCATCTTTGTTTTTGGCGTATCAACCAATCAGAGGCTGTATCTGCGGTCAGCTGACCTTTAACCGTTCACTCAGAAGACGACATGCTTCTTCTCAATAGAGCAGTGAAGCTAATTGAAACTGGCAATAAAATTTGTGACATTTTGACACTAAAATTTTGCACAACTAATAAATAAGTTTTCCAGGCTTACGAAAACAGTTCAAAGTATATTATTTACAATGTATATATATATATTTATATCTACACTAAATTTGTTCGCTCAGTTATTTTGTTTGGAGAGTGCCAGTGTTGTTCACTGTAGCTGCTTTGTCTTACTTACTGGTAATCATGTTATTCTTATTTTTTTTTTCTGACAGTGCCTCAAGGAGAGAGGAGGCATCTCCGACAATCAGTCTCTTTAGAGAGAGTCCTTTTACGACATGTGAGAGTTCTCCAGGCAGGCACGGTGTCAAAAACGTGGGATAATCAAATGTCACACACACTTATTCTCCCATGTGGGCTTGTGGTGAAATGGGATGATTAGCAATGGTTTAGGGAATGTCTCTAAATAAACTGAGGAAACTTTAAAGAGCTTTAAAGTTTCACAAGTCAAATAAGTCAAAATTTTAGTCAAAATGAGGCACCAGTGGCTTTTTACTTAGCACGATCATTTCATTTCGTTCATTTGATTTTATTTATTTTTTCTAAAATGCGCGTGCAACACCAAAATAAACTGGAAAAAAATAAAAAAATAAAACATAACCAGTGAGAATATTCAAAACAACAATAACAATAATCAGAGCAAAAAAGTAATAATAATAATACTAATAGTAATAGTAATAATAATAATAATAAGAAACCAACATGTCCGAAAAAGGAGTAGGATGAAGCATTATGCTTTTTTTTTAAACCTACCCCTTCTTCTTTTCTCAATAACAGCCAGTCTCCAGCAAAATTAAATTATTTTAACAAAAAAATACAACATAAATATAATAAATAAGTACATTAATCATTTGTGAAAACACCCGATAGTTATTGCCCTTCTTCCTCCCTGTACCTGGGGAGAACCATGTTTTTGTACCGCTTTTTAAACTGGGTCATGCTTGGACAACGCTTGAGCTCCACACCTAATCTGTTCCACAACCTTACTCTACAAACAGAAACACAGTTACTTTTTAAATAAAACTAAAACGATGCTCAGAAACAAAAGCAGAGATAATTGTCATTTCTGCAAATTTACTACTGACTTAAGACCAAAACATTTGAACTTAAAAATGGACCTCAGTGAATAAAAAGCTGGTTGAGGTAAGGCTGACATCAGCTGGTCCTGCAGAAAGAAAGACTTCCACCTAGTGGTCAAACCATTTTATTCATTGAGGAGGAGTCAGTGGTGAAAAATAAATAAATATAAATCAGCTTCATCTAATTGGGACAGTGATTCATTTAGGGAGAGTTAATGTCCAAGCGATGTATGTCACTGAGTATTACAGCACTGTTGTCATGGTAATTATTCATGAGGACAGGCTTTCAGCTTTGCCTCCAGTTTTTTTTCTCTGTCTCCAGGAAAGATTGCATCCTTTTAGCCAATTCCATCTCGTGAGCAGGCAACGTGGTGGGGGACTTAAAGTGACACAGCATATTATGTGAAAGTAAAGCAGAGCAGCCCACAGGGGTGAGATCTTTAAAGGGGGGAGTTGCCTTTTTATAGACAAGATCAGAATCTCTCCAGACTATCCTAACCTTAAAGGAGACAGGAGCTCATAACCACCCTGCTGTGGTTCATTTCAAAACCACTGGACTGCAGTTGAGCTGGATTCGTTGTTTTTAATGCTTCTCTCTTTATTCTATGGTTTTGTATGCCACAGATGGACTAACAGCTGATGCAGAGGGCAGTTCCTTTCACAACACACTTGCAACGCGAGGACCCGAAGGCATCTTGAAATAGAAATTCTAAAGAGGAGGAGAAGGAGGAGGAGAGAAAGGTGGGGGTTTTGAGCGAGAGCACTGGTATGCCAGGCTCAATCCCCAGCATGGCTGTGCAGAAGAAGAGTGTCATCCCTCCATCGCAGGGACCACTTTCTACACGTACAATAGAGAGTCAGAATAAGAAGAAGAGTGGATCTCAAAGAACAGGAGGTAAGACGCTCTCATTCATATCTTTGCATTGTTTTGGTTCAGAAGGAGCCTTTTACTAGAATGACTCTAGATCACAAGCACAGCATCATCTGATCTTATTGATGACGCATTAACAGACATATACAGTAGAGAGATCATTTATTATTTTACGATAAAGCATGAGTGTAACAAACATTACATAATTTAAACACAGATTACATAATACACAGAATAAGAAGCATACTGTCACTATTTAACCCTTAAGGAATACATCCTTGTGATGTCTTGCCACCTCGTGTGCTCTTCTGCTAATTACTCATAGTCTTGTGTAAAGCTTTATGTATTAATCCTTTCAAGGCTTGTCTCGGTTGTTTTCATGAGCACTGATCAGGTGCTGGTATGTTTGCTACGCCTTTTGATACACAGGCAGCTAATAATGGCTCTTTCATTTGGAGATGCCCCTGAGGCCATCCCTTCAAAAAAAACGGCCACTTTTTCGGACAGATTGGTCAGGCTGATGTTTTTGACATTTGGATGCATTTATGGGTAGAATCAAGTGATTGTGCACAGATTGCATATATGGAATATAGAGGCAGAGTTTAATATATTGATTTGAAAATAAACTGTTAAGTGAGTGAAAGGTTTTATGCACGCTTTCCCTAGATTTTTCTCAGGGGGGATAGGTATTTCCAAAAACATCCCAGCACATTTTCAAATCACTCCTCTTGTGATCATCAATCAAATAATTGTTTTATTTTCCAAATTTCTTTTATCAATCTGGTTCATTTAATCCTAATTTCACACAAATTATTCATCAATTAAATGCATTATCAGTGTCTTGATTATTGCCAGCCAAATGATGCACTTCAGCTGTAGTCCAGCCATTCACCATTAGCAGGGGGCTGTAACTCCTGTTACACTGAAATGCTCTACTACCCGTATGTAAACAAGCACAGATGGCTTCTTGCAGAGCAGCTTGGTTTGGCAGTATTTTGATTCAGAAAATGAAGATGAAGTTGTGAGCAGGATGTCTGATTAACTAGAGCTCTGCAACAGCTGCAAGCTCAGCCACATACTTCAAATTTATTTGATATTGTTTACAAGCAGAATCTCTGATCCAGTGCTTCACCTTATTAAAGTTCAGTTTTGACTGTTTTCTGAGTGTCTTTTTACATGCAGACTAGTTGGGAATTAAGTTTCGGGGAATCCTTTGCTTTTTTTATGGTCAAAACAGGCAGCAGCACAATTTATAGTGAATGACTAAGAAAGAGCAACCCTGCAATGCAAATATTACACTAAAAACACAGGATCACAAGTAAAAGAAGTCAAGCACAATCATAGATCAATAAGGCAGAACATCTACAGTCAGATTTCTCTCCCTACAAGTCATTCAAAAGCATTTTAAAGGCATCCAATGAGTCCAGATCCTTTGTAGTTTTAGGCAAAGCTAACCTAAAGACCATGTAACCCAGAGGTTTGTCTTTTAGACAATAGTTCTTTGGACTGAAAATTTTGAGTTCCTGCGCTCTCTTGTGTGATGCAAGTTAGAAGATCTAAAAGAGTTCAAGCTTTAAAAATGAGGGATGAACCTGCTGTTTTGTGCTTCCCTTCCAGACAATGGCTCCTGGATCAAACCAAACTCACAGGCAAAGAAGACTGTCTACTCTTTCAACAAGTTTCCTCAAATATGCAACACGGCCTCTCCACGGGCAGCTGCAGGTTTGCTACATCCTTTTCAGTCTGTAATAAAATAGAAATATTGCTCAAAGTCTCGGGGGTTTTCCCTCTTTTGAAGATTGTCATGAGTTTTTTGTGTATCTTTTGTGTATTTATGGCATTGAAATAAAAGGTATTTTGCCCTCTTTAGTGTCAAATGGACAAAATATTGACGAGAGGCTGAAAGCAGCTCGAGAAAGAAGAGAGGCGTACCAGAAACAGCTCGGTATGAGAGCTTCTTACTTTGAATGCATTGTCCTCAATTTAAAAAACAATTAACATACATGACTGACTAATCTATTTATACATCTTCATTTTTTTCCCCGCAGCCTCTCGGGAGCTGAGCAGGTTGGAGCGGGAGCAGCGAGCCCGTCAGTACTATGAACAACAGCTGCAGCAGCGCCAGAAGAAAGTCCTGGAGCAGAGGCTCAAAGAGGAGAGGAGGCGTGCTGCCGTGGAAGAGAAGCGCAAACAGCGACTGAGGGAGGAGAAGGTGAGTTTGGATGGTTGGAGATGAGAAATTATTTTTAGAGATGCTTTTGCTGCGCTGGATCGGACTCTGAGGTTTGTTTTCCTGAATGAAGGAACGGCATGAATCCACAGTGCGTAGGACGCAGGAGAAGAGCCAAAAAGCCCAGCTGAACCACACTCAGAACTCCAGAGGAAGGAAGCCCACAAAGACCGGTGAGTATACACGAACGTGCTTCTTTCCCTCTTTATTTTATTGACTTGATCTTCCTTATCTTTTTTTCTTTGTGTAACATTCTTAACACTGAGATTCTTGCTTTATCTTCTGACTCTGCTGTGCTTAAACCTTTACACTGATCAATGCACTAGTTCCACGTCGCTTACCGCTGACACCATGGGAGAAGAACCTGGTCAGTCGGCTCCTTACCCCCACATGCTCTTATATGGCCAGGAGCAAGAGTGCTGCTTGTCAGTCAGGAGAAGAAGGTACTCTGCCGCCATCTTTGCTTGAATGTAGCAGCAGTGCAGTGATGATATAGGCCAATTATAACTAACCTCTGCTGCCTCTTTTGTTACACTCATGCCGCTCATTTCCCTTTCTGTTCACGCTCTATTCCTTCATTTTTCCATCATTCCAACATAAATCACTATCTCAGTTGTCCATATTTGTCGCCGTGCAGTTTCATACTACTCCATGAACACCACTCCCATCACCCCCATCACCTCCACCCCTAAAAAACCTCTGCACCACTCTGGACCGGTTCAGCACAGGCCAGCTGCCTCTCCAAGCCCGAGCAGCAGGAGCATCAATCTAAAACAGGTATTCCCAGCTGTTCCTGTTGAATTTTGACACAATCCCTATTTTAAAAACATAGATTTTGATGGTTTGATATCTTTTTCCTTTTTTCATTCAGGTCAAAGCAGCAAGACAGCCAGAGGCTAAGAAGAAGAACACGAACAGTCCCTCTAAACCTAAATCACCTGCTGTAAAAACCAGCGTGAAACCAGCCAAAGTAAATCAAAGCAGAACAGCTTCCCCTTCACCTGAACGGTAGGTGAGATGTTACTGACAAAGCACTCCTGACACAGTGAGAGTAATCTGAAAAAAGTGGGTCATCTCCTCTCCTCTGCTGCTCTTCTGTTAAAGGAGCCCCCGACGATCAATCAGCCGACATTCAACCTCGCTGCAGCTCGAGCTCCCGTCGGTCCCGGAGGAGGACTTCGCTGTTTGTAGTCCTGCTGCCCTCGCTCCTGGTAACTGCAGGCCTGCCAGGACACCAGAAGAAGGTCAGAGGGAGATGAAGGATGGAAATCCATATTCGAACCTGCCTGATGAAGAGGCGGAAGCAATAAGCAGGACAGCTGAGGATGAAAGTAAGATAGAGAGATGCTCGAAAAGAAAGCAAAATCTCATCAAGTGTTAAGTTTGATACAGGGTTATTCTTCATGCAGCTTATCAGCCTCCTGAGGTTACATCCAAGCCTTCTGCTGGGACTACAGACCCAGAAGCGGCTGCCCGGCTCCTGGCTGAGAAGAGAAGAGAGGCCCGACTGCAACGGGACAGAGAGGAGCAGGAGCGCCTGCAAAGAGAGGAAGCCGAGAGGTGAAAAGCACATCCACCTGTGAGAGAGAAACACTCTTTAATGTTCGGAGTGTTTCATAAATGTGTCTGTACAGGCGGAGTCGGGAGGAGCTGGAGCGCAGGAGGGCAGAGGAGCGGGCAAGGCAGCAGGCTGAAGCTCAACGTCTCATAGAGGAGAAGAAGAGAAGGGAGGAAGAGGAGCAGAGACGAGCTGAGGAGGAGAGAGCTCAGGCCATGAGGGAAGCCGCCCTTCTGCAGAAACAGGTGGGACATACAGACACAGACGGAGACGAAGCTGCACCTACTGGCGTCCTTTGTGATGCCTTTTTGTCTCATCTTCAATAGTGAGTTCTCTGATTTTGTGTTTGTTTGTTGTTTGATACAGAGAGAGGAGGAACTCGCCAAGGAAAAGGCAAAAGCAGAGCAGCTGAAACAAGAGAGGGAACTCCTCGCACAGAAGGAAGAGGCAGCTCGGCAAGCCAGAAAAAAGGTGATAAATCAAATCCAAATCTGTCTCACGTTGGAGACTCAATTTTTCCACCACGTCAACCGTATCAAACTTTGACTAAAAGCTGTTTTTCTTCTCCAGAGACTTGAGGAGATCATGCGGAGAACCAGGAGGACAGATTCTCCAGATACAGTGAGTGTTAAGTGTTTGGTTCTTTAAAAGTACATCACCTCTGGGCTCTTATGACGCAGATACAGTGATCACTGTTAAATCACCAGATCCAGTTCTGAGAGCTGAGCTACTTGTCCTTAACTAAGGTTTTTTTTTTTTCTTAACCTTTAAATACAGAAATCAGCACCAGGGAAGATCCAGCCAAATGAAGCTGAACCAAAGGAGAACACCCAGCCGGTGCGTAATGGCACAATAGAGGACGCTGTAAAGCTGCCGGTGGGGACGAAGACCTCACAGCTGGGGCTGACCAACGAGGAGGACATGGTTCCTGTCGTGGCCTTCAAAGAGCGGAGGTCTCTCAGGACCCTGACAGGCTTGGAGGAAATCCAGACTCACCAACGAGCAGGTGAGGCGCAGATGGCGAATCAGCTGTGATGACTTATGAAACTGACCAAACGCTGACTTAGTGTGAAGCCCTTATAGGCGCCTGCACAGAATTACCGTAAAATTTGGTGTATACGCCACTTTTTAAAAAATTTGAATTACTTTTTGGACTTTTTGCCTTTATTGATGGAACAGCTTTGAGAGAGACGGAAATGCTGATGAGAGGGAGAAAGGATGGCATAATCCAATACATGCCGGGGTCAGGAATGAGGACTCCTGAATCCGTACATGGGGCGCACACTTAAACCACGAGGCTAACCACACCCAATAAGACACACTTTTAATTAGAAAGTATAAAGTATTACAAAATGAGCAGTTTCCTATGCACCAGTATTACCAGTATTAAATACAAAGAGGTATTTTATTGTCTTTTGGTGTTTCCCATGAAGATTACAGAGAGAAAGAGACCATGTAGTCTTTCTCTTTAAAGCAGAATTCTCAAATTAAAACCTTTGATTGTAGATAAAGATGGCTGACGCGACTACAACTCCTCCTACTGTACAAAAGTGAAGCCAAAATAACCCCTAATACAGGGGTGCATATTCATATATCTGAAGCCATAGTCTGAAGAGAGCTGCAGTATGGTGGTCCAAATATTTTGACATTCCTTTTTTCATCCATCTTTTTACTTTAGAAAGCACTTTATTTTATCGATAAATCAAAATTTGTCTCCCTTTGTTTAATTTTCAGAGGTCATCTGAGAGCCTGCATGCGGAGTGACTGGACCTGTCAAACCCTTCAGTGGAGAGCTGTGGAAACCAGGAGTCTCTGCAGCTCGGTCACTTCGCTGCCTGCCCTTCTGCACCTTGAAAGCGCATGTAAAATTACAGCCTTTCCTCCCAGTGAGGACGTCCGCATTTGGTCACCTATCTGTGTGTAAGCAGCAGCACAAATGTTGGAGAAGTTCATTATGACTTTCTTAAATACAGCAGGTTTATTAAGTAATAACTACTATCTAAAATTGTAGATGTAGCTCGTGGTGATGATAGTTTGCTGGCATATACAGTTAATCTGTTATGAAGAGTGTCGCCTCTGTGAAATACTAGGAATAGCCATTCTAACAATCGCAACATATGTCAGCCATATGCTTTTTGCTTATTCCTGATATTTCTTGCAATGTAAGCACTTTTTCTTTCCTCAGTTTTGTCACTGTGGAATTAGAATAGCACGAGTGGCTGTTTGTCCTACAGACACGCCAACTTTAGGTCACGACTTCCTGTCCTACTCTTTTGATTTTTGTAAAGTATAGCAATCACATATTTCAAAGCTGCTATGGAACTAATGCTTCCAAAGACTTTGCTTCAGTTTGTGAGTGTCGTTGTAGAGGGAGTTAAATGCACAAAGCCTTTCTTGCACTGACAGTTGCTTTGTATGATATTTGCGCGATCACCTTGCAAAGCAAGTTTGAGGCGTAGAAGTACATTTATTAGAATAAAAACATATAAAAACAAATGTATCCAACTCTGAATATTTGATCCTTTGGTATTAGTATTGCCTATACCTATGACTTGTTACAGTATATGCCATATTCAATTAAAGTTGATACTATGCCACACCTCTGCCTCAACTTCTTTGTTGCCTGTAAATATAAAAAAAGGTAGGAAGATAAAAACTCAAAACATGATAAAAGAAATGCTGCACCACCAGACAGTGCATGGCATGATAAACATAAGTCCAGTTCACACAGTGCTTCATACAGCGGTGTTTTCACTGAGGGAGTGAAGGGTTAACAGAACGTGGAGAAAGGGGCTGAATCATTTGCAGCAGTTGTCTGGTTTCCTCCATCTGCGCATGCACCCTCCAGAGCTGAACCTCCAACTCACTGTCTGCCAGCAGGGCAGAAAAGTCTCCATCTGCAGAGGAGGACAGCACATACAAGCTGAGATCTACTGACTCACACTCACAGCTGGGTTAGAAGACATCTAATTTAGATAGCTGCTTTAAACTCTGCTTCTAAATATGAAAACAAATACAAACCTTTCTTGAGGTTGAATGTTGTAACGATGGCAAGCTGCTGGAACTGCACATCTTTATTTTGCATAAACACCAGCAGGTACCTCATCATATCCATGTAGTGAGGTCTCAGCAACTGGACTGTCTCCTCTGGATGAGCAAATGAAAAAATAAACAGCATTAAAATATAGATGACGTAAAATAGTAAAATATATGCTCATTTCAAAAATCTTAGTACATAAGTACATAATATTATTTAATGTGTTGCATCACCTCTTCTTTGAATGAAGCTGTAAATGTAAAGGTAATGCATCAACGGTTTTCGATAGGCCTGTCTAACACCAGGACTCTTCTACTAGGGGGCCATGCTGTTATATCTGTGCAGAATGTGGTTTGGTACAGTCTTGCTGAGATAAGTAGAGTAAAGGCTCTGTGAATCTCCACAGGTGTTCAGAGTTAATTAGCTGATAGAGCTCGTTTAAAGACTGAAACACCTGGGAGGAAACAGTGCTTTTCCTCAATATTTTCATGCTTGATTTTTGAGCTGTAAGCGGGTATCATTGAGGTTCAAAACAAAAAAATCTTGAAATAATCAACTTTGTGTGTGATGAATAAAGAATATGTGGAATTTTCACTTTTTGAATCAAATCATGAAAAAAAGATGAACTTTTTGTGACTGCTACTCATGTCACATGCACTTATGCATCTGCACACTGTCATAGATGCTGTCTTTTGAACTATGAGCTAATAACAAGCTATAAGGTCCCTCCTATTTCTAGAGCCAAATATTCAGCATCCAGGGATTCCAGAGAGAATGTCAGATTTCTGTTCATCAGCCCACAGGACAGTTTTCCTTACTATGTAGGTTCATGTTTACACAGTTTGGTATGTATGGTATGGTCCTCTCATGGTACCCTGGAACTTTTTTTTTACTATTTTCTCATGCAGTCTCTCACAGTGTTGTGATTTTCCTCTCACCTTTACTTCTGATTAACTCCTGCTGTGTCTGAAATGGATCCCTAACCCCTATATAGGCGACTATATGGGGGTTAGCACCATTTTGAGGGGTGTCCGAAACCTCAGTGATCAATTCCAGTGCCCCATATAGGCGACTCAAAATTTCCCATAAAGCATTGAAAATGTAGTGACCATCCGATGGTCACTCATGAGTGGTGGGAATCCCGTCATGCATTGCGTCTCCAGAGGCAACGTCACAGCGGTAGTGTCTGAAACCTGTAGTGATTGAGCTCACTACATAGTCAACTATATAGTGAAACCCCATATGGGGGTTAGGGGTTAGGGACTGAGTGATTCATTTCGGACACAGCCTCAGAGTGTCTGGGTTGCTCTTTAAAAGCCTCGTCATGATGCAAATTAACATTATTAGTCGATAGATGTTTAGTGAGGTGTTTTGTTGTTTTCACATCACACAATATTTCAGTGTTATTGTTGTTCCTGGCCAAAATGTTTGGTGCCACAGGCATTAAATTTCACATTTCACTCAGTGTACCAGGTATTTTTTTCTTTGGAACTGGTGCTGTATTTGTGTGTAACATTACCGGTCATTTCTAGTTTACTGATGATGCCTGCGCTGTTGTAAGATAACTGAGGATTCTGCGTTTGTCCGGACAACTTCACCAGCCTTGAAACTTGTTCTGATGTTATCGTCATGGATACTGAGGTCTTCAGTGGATCTGAAATATGAAGAAAAATAAAAAAGGTTAAGCACAAGGATCTTATTTTGTAATGATGATCATTCAGGAGAGAGATGTTTAAGCCCAAAAGCAGCAACAGAACTAATTCATTTCACAGTTCACTCACCTCGGGTCATCAGTTGATTCACGTGTGACACCACATGCAGCAAAGTCTCATCTGACAGGGTGGGGGGCAGAAGGGTGCGGAGCAGCCCTGATAGACACTGACTCTCCAACACAGCCTAGATAATGATTGCATTCAATGAAGCTTTATCAACACGTTTATTAAACACAGACATGTGAAAATCGCTAATATCAGCCTCTGCGTACCTGCTGGCCCACGCCGGAGCTGCACAGGTCAGAGATGATCTTACAGCTGTGCCTGATAATAACAGAGTTTGATCCGTGGTGACAAAGCAGCTGATTGATTTCATCCAGCAGACCCTCACTTACAAGAACGTCCTAAAATCAAAGCAGACAGTATCATGAATAACAGGGATTTACACAGAATAGTTGGTGGTGGTTTGTGATGCTGTACTGTTGGAGGTCCTACATGGTTTGGTGTGTGTGCAGACAGTACAGACAGTAGTGTTAGTGCTGGCTCTGGTGAAGATGTTTTCAGCAGAGCCTTCAGGGGGAACACACAGTCCAGCTCCATCAGCTGCTCCTGGATCACCACTGCACACAAAAACCGCACAATCACAGCTGTTTTTTTAACTAATATTACATTTCTGTCATAATTAAACAGTTACCGTTCTTCGAGAGAGTCTGAAGGCATCTGCACGCTTGGGTTGAATTCTGAAAATGGATCGAGAAGTAAACATGTCGCTTATTTTCCAACTTGAATTCATCTTCAAGCCACTTCAGTTCATAAATACCTTGTTCACAGAGGACGACATGAGAGTCAGAAGAGACTTTAATAAAAAATGACCCCCCATGCTGAGCAGCTGTGGGTGGTGCTCCTCCACTGCAGCGATGTTGCACAGAGTGGAGCAGCTGTAAAACTGAACCACTGAGTCTGAAGACTGCAGCAGGAGAACCAGGACAGGGATGGCTCCTGCTTGACATAACATCCTCGTGGACCAGTCTGACAAAGAGAGGGGAGATTGAACTTGTTTTTTATTTCAATGCAACAGCAGAGTGGAAACTCCACACTTTTAGAGTGAAAGATCCCACCTGACTGTGTGAGGTGTAACAGAGCCCAGGTTGCATTCTGTTGCACCTTTGGATCATAGGATTTTGCTAAAGCCAACAGTGGGAGGATCCCATCCATGATGATAGCTTCACTGCCTGATTCTGTAAGAAAATATGTATTTTAAACTTCACATATAACTTAAGGGAGTGTAAAAAGCTCTGAAATATTATATACTTTGATTCTATCCATACAAATCCAGAAGTTTTTAGTAATTGGACTGGGTTTGAGAGGTCTTAAATGATGTTACAAATTTTTTTAGGGGTTTTTGACAATGATGCAACAGACTTAAATTCATACTGATGCCTTTTTACTGTAAACAAAAGCAATAATGACAAGACTGACATATTTTATATTGTCATTTTTAATGCTTGAAACCAGTGCAAGAGAGAAGGTGTCATAGAATAACTCAATTCTCAGGTACAAACCTGAGGAGGCGAGCATGGCCACACATGCACATGAGTGACACTGAGCGGTGGCATCACCAGACTGGAACATCTCCATTAAAGGCACCAGCATCCCCATCTCAACGGCTAATTCTTTACACACTGAAATCAGATTTTACAGATGATTAGGGGCCCTCCGGACCATGTAAAACATGCTGAAAGGGTTGAAACTGCATTAATTTGACCTAAAGGGAACAAATCAGTCTCTGGATTATGAATAAACAAAATTTTGTACATCCAGTACTGTGTGATTTTATCTGTTACCGTAATTCTTCACCAGGAGATTGACCAAAGAGAGAGAGACGGTTTTCTGCACATCCAGGTCAGCTGATAAAAGTAAGGCCATGACTGGTTCCATGAAAGCCTCTGACAGGGGAGACTTTACTGTAAAAACAATTACAAAACAGATAAAGAAAAACTTTTAGCTGGTTTTGTATAACATTTTTTCAAAGGATGTTCTCCTGTATTTTATCAACCTCAATCTAGCAATCACGGGAATCCCTCAACCGTCACATTTATGCAAAATGCACAGCACAGTATGTGGTCACATATTTGAATATTATATAACCTGTACTCTGCATAGACAAAATGATCTGAGGAAAAAAGGAAAAACTATATTTAACAGCACAGTCACTTGATATGGGTACATAATCCTGCATTAGTCATAAAGAGGGTTACAATAATGTAGGATTTCAAATTAAAAGCCTTTTATTTGTCCTTCATTATGATACCAAAGCCCACAAATGGCTGTAAATTATCTGCCCAGCCTGGGATAAAAGAAGACAGTTGAAAATTTGCATGATACTGGTCATACCCGTTGGGGAGCTTATCTGCACAAAGAGTGATACTATGAGAAACCTGAAGTGCAAACAATAGTCTCATTTTCTGTCTCACTAATCTGCAGGAACATCATGACATTTGTCGAGGTGACATAAAAATCTGTTTGTGTTCTTTACTCACCGTGATGGCTGAGGTGCAAATAGTACATGGCTGCAGACATTTGTAGTTCAGTGTTTTCTGAGGTTGAGAGGCTGTTAAGTGTCTGTAGACTATCTGGATTAAGAAGTTGAGTTTCATCATCTGAGAGAAAGGAACAAATAAACAATGATTAATGCAGTTAATTGTGCAGGCTGCAATAAAAACGGTGCACTTTAAGTCAGATCTGTACAAATGGAAAGTAGGGGAGACCGGGGATGGTTGTAACACAGGTCAATTGTAACACTTCCAATTTTTCTTCAGTCAGGAACAGGTTACAAATCATCTGACTCACTCTGCACATGTTTAGTTTAGTCCTTGTTCCACATGTGTACATGTAGGATCCTGTGGTAGACAGACAATTTTAAGAGAAAAAAAAACTAATTTTGAGGTAAGAAAGTAGTTTTTTTTATTCAGATATTTTTATGGTAGCATTGCCTGCTTTGAGGTTGAACTCATCAAACTTAAATCATGCTTTTTGTGTGTCTATTAATATATTTTTCTTGCAAGTTGTTCATGCTAAAGTTTTATCTGTTAGCTGTAAAGTAAGCTAGTTCCTGATGACAAGGCTCTGGGTTAGTTGTAACAGCAATGAAAAATGTTACAACCTTCCCCAAGCAAACTTTTTATTATCTTTATGTTTTTTTTTTTAAATTCAGTATGCCTAGTCTTGGAAGAGAAAGACTGACTGGGGGTTCCTCTCAATATTTTGTTCAGTTCACACCATAGACTGTATATAGAATGGACGCCGTCTGCCTCCACGATGGGTGAAGCCATTTCGAGAACAGCACCCTCTGTTGATGGGCTGCAGTATAGATCATAAATCCCGCCTCCGCAAGCAAAGCTTATGGGGCTGTGGACAAACTTTAGGAATTTATTACACAGAATATACATTTTTCAGTGTTGACATGTAGTTACTGTGAGACTGGTTAGTGCTCAAGTCCTCTTTTGTCTGTGCAGCTCCATTTTTAAAAGTTATTAGGGGGTTCATGTTTTCTATGATTGACACTTCATAAAGCCTATAGGCGTACGAAGATTACGTAGCTCACCCGGGTGATACGTTGTTTAAGCCAAGCATCATCACAAAGACTCTCAGCGACTCTCCCGCCGAATGCGCACAACGCTACTGTTCAATGTTGGTTTCAGAAATGAAGAAAAAAAACAGGCGGAAGGCGGAACCAAGTTGTCCATAGTATATACAGTCTATAGTTTAGACACATGCGCACACACACTGCTGTGTAATTGTTGAAGCCACGGCAAAGACACACACTCACACATAGCCTACTTATATTCAGTCGATTCATATTTTCACATTTTGTTCAGTTGTATCATGTTTAGTTGTCAGTCACTTCTAGAACTGGCAGTATCTAACATATAGGCTCAAACAAACACACACACACACACACCAGTTATATTAAAGTGTTAAATACAGAGCTTCCAATCAATAAAGTTTTGTCATTATCCTAATTTTTTAGTGTTACATTTCACCCCAGGGTATGTTACAACTAACCCAGACTATGGGGTGAATCGTAACATTTCACTACATGTGTTTCGGACTAAATTATGCGTAGTCTGTTTGTGTTGCAGGGGTAACTGCTACAGCATTAAATAGCAGATACATAGACCTAGTTTGTATCAAAGTTTGAATGCACTGGTTTAAAACAGCTCTGAGATACAGACAAAAATGTTACAACCATCCCTGGTCTCCCCTAGTCTACACTTTGCAATAAATATTTGCATGAAATAGAATAAAATCTATTAATTTTCGGCGCCTAATGTGATCTCTAACATTTTAAAAACAACTCCGTGTCAACTGAGAACATTTTGTTCAAAGACTCTTTTCCTTCCTCAACTTTGCTGCATTGGGCTGTTCACAACAAAGAAAAATGACGGCTGCAGAAAGCTCTTACCACACAAAGGAAGCAGAGACTGTAGCTCTGTCCTTCTCCTACGGAAAACCCTCTCAGGTGTACTCCTAAAGCACGTGCATTGCGCAAGGTCTCTGAAAATGTCTCTTATCGTTTCCTCAAACTCTCGGCAGAATTCCCTCAAATGAGCGATAAACTCTTTCAACAGTCGGGAACAATTTCTACAAAAACTCGAAGCCATGACTGCATCTTCTCTGGAGGGTTAAAACACCTGTCTGTTTTGTGCAAGCGGCGCATGGGTACGCCCACCGTCGTCACGTGACACAAAGGTAAATAAGAGTTAGCTAATTCAGCATCACAGCCATCTGACAGGTTTTATAAATAGAGATTTGCAAATACAAGAGAATTAATAATGTGGTTTAACCAGCATATATTTTATCACAAGATATCTGAAACAGATTTTTTCCTTTTGATTTTTATTGGACCGACAATTTTAGATAAAAACAACATTATTATTTTTATAATTCAGAGAGCCGAAACTTCTCCCAATTAAAACCCTATTTTCAGCTGTAAAAGTTGTAATAATCTCCGTTTTAAGTATCCAACACTTAATGGTTTCTGCATGGGAGGAAGCAACTCAATTCGTCTGGAGTGACGATACTACTGTCACCAATCTCATTGGTGGATTTGTTGTTTTGAATGTGTACGTCACGAACATGGTGGCTAAGCTCCGCCCATGAATTTAGCGGTTGGCTTGGAAACCGCTGAAGCGTTGTTGTCGGCCCCGGAGGTCAGCGTTAGCAATCACAGCCGTGTAGATACACTCGGTTAGAGATTCACAGTATGCCTTTTTATGGCATATACGTGGAATTTGTTGTATATTAATGCTCAGAGTATGCTTACTGAGGAAGTGAGTGTCAGGGTTTAAACGTGGTGAGGTAAAACTGCCATTAAGCTAACGTTAGCACTTAGCAGGCTAGCTAATGTTATCTAAGGGTGAACTGTAAATGCCCACAAAGGTTGTTGTACTGGAGGTATTTTTATCCTCTTGTTGACAGGATGCCCTTTTGTGTCAGTGAGTTTATCTGCGTTGTTTCGTTGTGTTCAGAATATCTGCTATCAGACCAACATAGAGGTGATCCTGTGACTTCTGCATTGTTTACAGTATTTCCTTTATTGATGATTTGAACCGAAAACCTTCATGCTTGGATTCCTCCCTCTTCGCAATCAGCATGAGAGACACTTCAGCGCCTGACAATGCCAGCAGGTGAGTTTTCTGCTGTCCCTGTGCCACTAAAGTGTTACATAATACTGATCAAGTAGTAATACCACAATGTTTGGTCCCGCTGCACAGTTTTCAGACTTATGATCATCAATATACACCTTATTTATAGAATTGCTGTAGTAAAAATGCAGAATACTTTTTCTCAGTCTTGCATTATTGTTGATTATTACATTTGATGCATTATAATGTGATTATAATTGTGTAGTTTTTGGTAAAGAACGCTTGGGTAGGGTTGCAGATGGGAGTCTGGGCATTTTGGCCATGATTTTGCACCTAATGCCAAATTTGCTTTTCTAGAGATTAACCAAATGAGGCCAAACAGAGATATGTAAGTTATAGTATATGAGAGGAAAAAGACTAACAAAAAAGATCCCAATTTTTATTACACATTTATCTTTAAAAAACCCACATTTTTTATGTCACAATATTTATCACAAAAAGAAAACATACTGCATTGTCATTTTTTCTCCCCAACATCCTGCAACCTTTGATTAACCATGATATAGTTTCTAGTAAAGATGGGACGTCTTGTTTTGTGCATGTGGAAAAAAAACAATGAAGGGAGTACCTTAAACCTGCAGAACATGAAAGTTGCGCCAAAGTACTGTTTAATGAACTGTATTTTATAATATTCACCCTTCACTATATAATTACTCAATGCTTTGACGGCATATTAACTGACTTCAGTGTTGCAAGCTCATGCCTGTTTTGTCCAGTAATGACTGTGATGTCTCCTTTTGCAGGTGAGAGTGATGAGCGGGCGAAGACCCGTGAAAGATTTAACGAGGTGTTCAAGAAATACACTGAGTCAGAGAAGAAAAAGGTGAAGAAGAAGAAGAATGCTGAAACTCAGGAAGCCATTGTGGTAGGTTTTCCACGAATGCAGATGTGTCTGTTTGTTCTGTACTCAACCATGCTTCTGCTGTGTGACACATGGGGATCATTTAGAAAATCTTGCAATTTTGGGTGTGAGTAGGTAGGGTCTGGCCTGAATGGCAAGTTTGCTGTGTCATTTTTACTTTCAATGCATTAGAGATGCAGGATGCATACCTAGCAAGTGAATAAAACTTTGCAAAGTGAAGCTCACAAATTTAATGGCAGAAGTCTGTAAGGAGTTTTGCATACACATATTTTAAATTCTCTTTTGTACCCTCATTTCCTTCAGCTTCAGAATCTAAAAAAGAATCTAAACCTTGACAAGGACACAGAAGACGATGAAACGATCCTCCAGAACACATATCACCCTGAGCAGGGCAGCCCTCGCTACACCAAAAATAAGCGAAGAGAGAGGGAAACGGCAGAGAAAATCAATATCAACAACAGCAGAAACCAAGAGGAGATCCCAACTCCAAAGGGGAAGAGGAAGAGTAAAAGGGAGCTTCCCTCCCTCCCTGTTTCTGAGGACGCCGCAAGTTACATTGAAAAGGATGTGAACGCTTCCAAGTCTGAGACTGCTTTGGAGGCGGATGACGAAGGCGGGGAGAAGGAAACAAAGAGAAAAAGTAAGAAGGGGAAAAGCAAAGGAGCTGCAGAGTCCAAAGGAGAGAGTCAGGTGGAGGATGCAGAGGACAAGCTGCTGCATGAATACCAGCAGCAGATAGCACAGGAGGAGGAGAGGACTTTAAAGAAGTCAAGAAACAAGAGCGAGGAAGACAGTATCATCTCCCAGAATGTTACCCTGAATAATGATGTAGGAAAGAAGAAGAAGAAGAAGCTGAAATCTGTCGTCTCACAGCCACAAGAAGAGTGTGTATACCTACTGCGTCTGTAGACTAAAATGCATTTTTTTAGTGTGTTAGCAGCATAACGGAGTAAGACTTTGGTTCTTGTAGGGATCAAGATGACGAAGCTGACAGGAACACTGGCGCTGACGAGGATGAAACCGAAGCTAAAGGAAAAAAGAAAAAGAAGAAGAAAAAACATGGTAACTTGATGTTTATTAGTAGGTAATCATCTACACAGCTAGTTTATGTATAATCAGCTGATGAATCTCTTGTTTGTTGTTTTTGATCTCTGTGTCTTTAGTCGTCAAAGAAGAGAGTGAAACTGAAGCAGACGTACCACAGAAACCAACATTTGATGACAGCCTTGTGCTGGGGGTATACATCCACAGAACAGATCGCCTCAAAACTGACCTACTGCTCTCACACCCCATGGTGAAGATCCATGTAGTGGATGAAAACACTGGACAGTATGTGAAGAAAGAAGACTGGTAAGAATGGACAAACTTAGATTTCCAAGAATTCAATGTTAAACTCTGCTGTTACAATCTTTGTTTGGTTAATTCAGGCTATACGGTCACTCATCTAATTTCAAAAACGATCTTAGAGTTAAAATGTTACTATTGTCTTTTTGGAGCCACCGTCCTGTTTCCTCGTTTTATGAGCAAGAGAACGTCGACCACATTCTTCCTATCATGACTCAACCGTTTGACTTCAAAAAGAACAAATCCATCATCCCCGAATGGCATGAGCAGATCATCTTCAACGAACGTTTTGGATACTTTGTTGAGCAAAACGACGAAAGCCCCAAAGTCATCCTCTTCTTTGAAGTAAGAGACAGTGCTGCAGACATATTGTGCTAATTTTGACATTTTTAAATAATGTTTTTGATATTTTTCAAAGATCCTGGACTTTATAACCATGGAAGAAGCCAGGGCCAACGTTGATGTTGACAAGCATGAGCGAGGATTCAGAAAGATCGCTTGGGCGTTCCTCAAGGTGACCAGTCATTTAAAGAATTAACTCCCTCTTTCTTTTTACATGCTTGTTTTAATGCTTATTCCTCTTTTTCTTAAATTATCCAGATGGTCGGCACAAATGGTGTACTGAATATCGACAGTAAACTTCGCCTCCAGCTCTTCTGCCCTCCACCTCGAGCAAAGGGACAGCCGAAGACGATTGAGGTGGTCGAGTGGTGGAGGAAGTACCCTCGACAGAAATATGCATCCACACTTTATGTCACGGTGAAGGGCATTAAACTCCCTGAGCATGTAAGTCAGTCTCTGCTGAACAGACACTGTGAATGATATCATAATGTCTCACATTTCTGCTTGAGGCCTACAGATCTATAAATGCGTAATGAATAAGTATTAATGTTGCCGTAGAGAATCAAGATTAAAGCTAAATACAGCAGAAGTAGTAGATTCACCAACACATTTAACTAAGATGGTTTTTGCTCTGCAGGTGGATCCCAGTGTGCGGTCCATGATGGCCCTGCAGGAGGAGAGGGGAAGCACCTCCTACAGTGAACTGCAGAATGAGGTCACTAAGAAAAGCCTTACTCAGCCTGTCGAGAGCAAACCGCCAGCCTTAAGATGGAGCAGACTGCCTGGACAGGTCGGTAGACTTAGGATTGGTTTATGTCCTTTAAATAGCAGGAGAAACGTAACGCTGTTCTGTGTTGTGTTTCCTTTTTTGTCCTGTTCTGGAGTTCTTGGGTCAGATTTCGGGTCCAATAATAAGGCCATGTGTCATAATTTTTCATTCTAGATAGAGAAATGTGTTATTATAGCTTGGCAAGAGTGAAGGAGGTTTCCAGAGTGCTGAGTTCTAGAGAGTAGTGGGCTGAAATGAGGGTTTTCAGTGACAGCAATCAGAGACAAGTACTTCTTTGAACCTAAAAGAATATAGAGCTATCACAAAGGTAATAGCAGGACAGTACAATGCCTGATAATGAGTATAGTACGGAGTATTATAGTATTCCAAGGAGTCACTATATTATGTAAGGTCTTTGTTGAGCCTCTCAAATATTTTGTTTTATGTGGTTCAACAAAATTGACAACATCACATATCCATTTCCAGAAAGTACTGTGTTTGTTAACAATAATAACAAAAGGTGAACGGTATGAGGAACAATCAGCAGCAGTCAGAGTTACTCAAGTTCAGTCAGAAGGATCAATTACAGAGCAGGAACTCTCTCATGTTATTGTTTTATAAGAGAGCCTAGAAAAAATGCAGTCATTTTCTTAGTGCGTGGTTGACAGCACAGTCCTTACAAGAGTCTCTTTGTTTAAGGTCTGCCGGATTCCTAACAAGCCCATACTGTCGTTCCGTGGTGGCCAGATGGGGTGCTTCACGGTGCTCTTCTCTCACTCTGGCACGATCCTGGCTGCTGCGTGTGCTGACAGAGACGCTTTCCCTGTCGTAGGTAAGCAACACCTCATCAGCAGCTGTAAACTTTCCCCCTCGCTGATGCTCTCGTAGACTCCTCAGCGGAAATCTCTGGCTAATTAACCTGCTCTTTCTGCACAGTTGTCATTACTCAGGAGCCTACTGCCCCCAGCATGTCCATACAACTTAAAGTACTCTAATTTATTGGCTAATAAAGGTGTTTTTTTTTTCTGTTTCAGTGTATGAGATTCCATCTGGTAAAGTTTTAGCAGCTTTCAGTGGCCATCTGAAGATAGTTTATGATCTCTGCTGGTCCAGAGATGATTGGAGCCTTTTGTCTGCCTCCTCTGATGGAACTGTCAGGTATGTTTCTGATAATTACATCATACAGAAAATGAATGACTGAGTTGATGTAGCTGCAGTGTTTTTGTTGTGCCTCTAGAGGGAGTAAACTGTCCTGGTATTGAAAAGTTCCCCTCTGGTGACACAGCATATTTTCCACAACTTGTCTTGTACATGCATTATTCAACTCTTCTTCCTCTCTTCCTCAGAGAATGGAACGTGGAGAAACTTTCGGGAACGGCCCAGAAGGTTCTCCCTCATCCCTCCTTCGTGTACTGCGCTCAGTACCACCCCACTGCCCAGAACCTGGTGGTGACAGGGGGTTACGACTCTTTGGTGAGGGTGTGGAGGTTGGATGTGGATGATGTGAACGGCCAGCTGCTGCAGGAGTTTGAGGGTCACAGCAGTTTCATCAACACAGTTTGCTTTGACTTTGAAGGTAACTATTGCTGTGTCTCTGCCGCACATTTACAAACATGATCATGAATTGGCACACTGTACCTCTCACCCAGTACGTGCTGAGATAGGACCAATGCCAACTGCTTTCATGCACAAGATAGGATTGATTCCAAATAGTGTTATTGTGTGACAATAAAACAGTCACGAGACTCAGATAAAAGTGGGAATTTACTGCATGCATGTGTCAACATAATATTATGGAGGGCACTATCCATTTTTTATGCTCTTACCATCTGCGACTCTGTTTATGAGGGGTGAGGCCCGTCTTCTTCTGTAATGCAGATCGAGTGTAATATTATCGCACCCTGTTATAGCTGATGCTCTGTTATTGTATTTGTTGCAACCAGGGAGTAGGATGTTCTCTGCAGACAACACGGGCCTCATCATTGTGTGGAAAACTTCCGTAAATGACAGCAGGCAGCGTCAGCCGTGCAGTCGCTGGAGTATAGAGAAGGTAATTGAGATCAGAGTCGACTACATGTGCATGCATAAAGCATAAAAAGTTCTGCTTGTGCAAGTTCAAAAGAGAATGGAGAGATGTTTGAAACTGTGCGTGTTTTCTCTTTTGCAGAAAATTGACGAAAGCGACCTCAAGGGGATCCCTGTCACCATGCTGCAGCTCCATCCGAATGGCCGGTGCCTGCTCATCCACGCCAAAGACAGTGTGCTCCGGATGATGGATTTAAGAATGTAAATAAGATTAGACAAAAGGATCTGTTGAGCTGTATTCTGAATCTTTATTCTGAGCGTGGCCACTGATTTGGTTTGGTTTTCTGGATTGCAGGCTGGATTTTTGTGGTGCATTTCATACCTGAATTGATTAAGTGTGTCAAATTCTTTATAAAACTTTTCACCAAGTTGACAGCCATTTAAAATATAAACTAAGACATGTTTTAGAAAGGCTGCACCCTCCGTTTTTTAGATGTGATGCACACAGATCTTGTCGTTTGCCAACATTACCAATCGGGCTTTTTAACAATAGTGATGACTCTAATAACAATTAAGTATTGTAGGAACAAATGGGAATAGGATAAAGCAAACATCTGAGCCAATTAACACACATACACATTATACTAGCACTAACAGTAGTCTAAAACATGTCCTCACATGTATATTAATACATGGTTGTTGTTATAGCCACATTTTCTCTCTCTTTCAGTCTGGCTGTAAAGAAATACACTGGAGCCACAAACTACAGAGAGCGGATCTACAGCACTTTCACGCCATGTGGGAACTTCATCTTCTCCGGTAGTGAGGACGGGATGGCATATGTCTGGAATGCTGACACGGGTGAGGATGATGCTTTTGCTTCTTTTTTTTGTGATACAGAAGTCAGGCTATTCTTGATTACTATATTTGCAGAATGACTCCAGCTGTCAGTCTGTTTGTCTTCCCAGGTGACCAAGTTGCCGTCTACTCTGAGCTTTGTTACCCCACTGCTCTACACGGTGTGTCGTTCCACCCGCATGAAAACATGGTGGCTTTCTGTGCCTTTGGTCAAGGCCAGCCTGTCCATGTGTACCTGTATGATCGGAAAGGTTTGTGGAGAGAGCATAACAAGCCCCTTTTTCTCCTCCTCCTCTCTTATTCCTGAGCTAACTGAGATGTAAATATGTCACTGTGTTTCAAAGCGTCCCAGATGGAGGTGCATCATATAAAGGCCATGAGCAGATCAGCTTCAGCCGACATCAGAACTATGAGGAACACACCTGATACGCCAGTGTTACAGGACACATCTGCTTCTTCAGCGATGGATCAGTTTGCACATACAGCACGACTTGCATTAAAAATGCAGTGTATCAAAGAAACACTGAACTCAGTTCTTGTAAGTAACATTTCTGACTCGTTTACATTCATTCAAATGAAAATACAGACATTCATACAGTTACATCCACTGAAACGTCCTCTTTCTCACTATTCCAGGAGCCTCAACACAAGTCTTCAACTTCTGGATACATGTTTGAGCAGGGTAAAGTTTGTGTTTTCAACCTCAGCTTTGTCCTGTATAATTCATTGTCTCTTAAGACAGCGAGTGATCCGTCTTTTGTGTGTTTGGTTTGCAGGCAAAACAGGACTGACACACACAGGAAGGAGCTTGACATCAGAGTCTGGCATGGTGAGTTCTGGATCAGTAATCCTCAGTGTTTGTTGAGCTCATACCTGGTGACTCACCAGTCCAGGCGCTGAAACTTGAAACACCACAAACACAAATCTCAAAGTTTAACATTTTGAAGAGTCAATCATGAAAATTATAATTAACCACTGACAAGGAAAGTTGCATTAGAAAGCTTGAGCTGGTGGTAATAAAAGGAGAGTAACAACTGATTTAGGATTATTTGAAGTGGAAAAAAATAAAAAATTTATCATTTTCTTTGCAGGCTGGGTTAAACGCTTCATTACCACCTCCGTCTTACTTGTCCCCACATTCCAAGCTGCAGCTGTCTGGTTCTCTGGCTGAGCAGTTGATCCCCCAAGCAGCTCTTAGCACCCAAAACCGTAAGTAGCTCACACTGTTAATGGCACACTTATATGTCTTAAACCAGTGAATGGTTTTACTGCTGCTCTTTGAATATTAAACAAGATTACTGCTGCACAAGGTACAGCATGAGAGCATCGTGTAACACTCTTAGGATGAAATAGTGATGCCATTCATTTTTTATTCTTGCATTCTTGTTTTTTTTCAGGAGGGTTTAGTCCAGTTGGTCAGCGGCTAAGAGGATCTTTCCGGCTGCAGGTATGGCTTTAGTAGTTTCACATTCTTTGACTGGAATCTGAACCAGATACTGCATTTGGAAGTCAACTATGAGCTATCATACAGCTCCTGCAGGATAAACATAATGTTTTCACTCCCCCAGGCCCTTCCTGACCTCTTTCCCAGCGGCATCAACGTAGAAGCAGATTCTGCACCTGTGCAACAAATTGTAAGTACAGACTGTAGCTGTAAACACATTCACATGAAACCTTCACTCTCATATGTAATCCCCCCGTCACCTTGTCTTTTCTAGGTCGTTGCGCTCTATGATTATAGAGCTAATCGCTCTGATGAACTGACCATACACCGCGGCGATGTCATTCAAGTGCTCTACAAAGACAATGACAACTGGTGGTTTGGGCGTCTGGTCAATGGGGAACAGGGATATTTTCTTACATCTTATGTCGTAGACCAGAGTGAGTGTTACATTTTCTTTTTGAAGTTCCAATTAATCTACAAGTCATCTAATTAGACAACAGGGCTGACACTTGATGTTATCTTCGGTAATAAGCACCTGATGGATGATATGCATTAGGTCCCAAACAGGGTCACATGACTTGGAGTTGTGTTGTATTGCAGGGGACTTCAATGAAGAAGCCACCCAGGCCGCGGAGGCACCACCTGCCCCTTCTGAGGGGACTGTCGAGAGGTCAACCCCAACCAGGGTAAGGAGATAAGTATGGGAAAGAGGTGAAACAAGGTGTTGTTGTGGTGGGGTATTCATTTCTTGCACTGCATATGGAGGTCTTCCTTTGCTTTGGTCTCTGGATAGTCATACTTTACTTAACTTTTCATGTTTCATACACTTGGGGCTAGAAAGGTGGCTTTGAAAAGTTAGTATCTTAATTATGTACAGGCCTAAATGGGGAATATTTGTATACCAACTAGCAAATTTCAGTTCCCAAATATTTCAAATTAAATCTTTTAAACATGCGAAATATTACACTTACTTAACACTTCTCTGTTACCGTTTTCATGTGAAGCTGTTGGTTTGCTGACTTAGCATTAAATATCTGCACTGCTTTGTCTTAAGCACAGTCTCGCAGTGTTTTTTCAATCCTACTACTGTAACCCAAATTCTGCGAATACTTTTAGGATTTGCATGTCATGTGCTTCCTTATGACTGCCTGAGCTACAGTGAGATTCTCCTGCTGAAAAATTCTCATGAAATCTACAGTTAAACGTGTACTATATGCTGAGAACATATTTCAGCTGTTGTGGAAAAATAAAACTGCCATGCTTTTGTAGAGCGATCAGCCCAGCTTAAGTAAAACTATGATAGATGATGAGCCACAAGTCAACCTGTAGTGGGATAGCACTTTTATATATGATCCAAAAGAGAGTTAAAACAATTCCTCATTATTGTGGTCCAATGGTGTTGGGTGCATTTTCTTCTCCTTTCATTCTGTCTTCTACTTCTTTTCTTCCCTCCTGCTTTTTCAAGGTATCTGCTGCAATTAGCTCTTCTGGTGAGCTTAGGTTTCTTTCTGAGCCGACGCACTCTGACACCGAGCCTGAGATGATGGACGCCAGGTAAGTGGCTCACTTCTTTCTGAATTCTCTGATTCTTTTTCACACGGTTGTGGTGCCTGCGTGAAGCTCAAAAGTTTTTATCTCTCAAGCAAAAATAATTCATGGAAATATGACATATTTTAAAAGATATACTTTTGTTTGTACACTGGTGCTCCCATAGAGCTAGGAGGAAAAAGAAGGTGAAGAAGCTAGCAGTCCCTGTGTCTCCTTCTCAAGCCACATGTTCAGATGCAGATGCCTCCGAATTGACCAGCACCCAGAAGAGAGGTAGAATAACCAAGAGACCCCTCCCGAAGAGACCGACAGGCCAGACTAATGGTGCCTTTGAGTCTGATGCATAAATGTGTGGACACAAGATTGTTTTTACTCTAAACTGCATTCATTTTTTATCCTGAAATACATTTTTTGTAACGGAAATAAAAGTAAAGATCTACTTTGTCATCTTTTTATATCTGAGCTGCCCCCAATGTTCATACTAAAGCTTTTATTGAATATAGACAAATTAATTAATGTTTTGCTATCTTTGTTGTTATTGTATGTTTCATAGCCTCTGAGATTAACGTTTTGGATTTTCCTGTGTGATATTTGCAAATTTTTATGTACATACTGTCATTTTTTTTTTTTTTTAAATATGTCTCAAGTACTGAAATAAATATGACCCTTGGCTTTCCTACATTGTGTGCAGTTCTTGAACACAACCCTCATAACTTTATAAATGAAAGTTGTAATGCTCGTGGTGGACTAAATACAAGTTTTAATTAAAACGTATGAGTCTGGAATTTATAATACTCGTACTGTCAGCTTCTGTAGAGTGGTACTTACTGACCCCAACTTCATTTAAGCGCATTTTAGAGAAACAGCGCTAACCGTAGGAGTCATATAGGCTAACACCAGAGCGGAGCCGGCGATGAATTTTGTCCGTTCTGGGCGAACGTAGAAAACATGGCGGCGCAAAGTGGCGAAGTTGAGAAGACAGGAAGCGCCCCACCTGTACTTAAAGGTGACTTAATTGTACGTATTTATAGACTAAAATATTACTTATTTGTGGACTAAAAGTGTTACTTTATGTATTGCCATTAGCTTAACTTGTGTCTATTAGATTGCCTTTCAAAATTTCCATTAAGAGGATAAAGTAACTCAAAAGTATCAAGGTAATGAATTTTGTCCGTTCTGAGCTAACGTAGAAAACATGGCGGCGCAAAGTGGCGGGGTTAAGAGGACAGGAAGCACTCCACCTGTACTTAAAAGGTGACTCAATATTACTTATTTGTGGACTAAAAGTGTTACTTAATGCATTGCCATTAGCTTAACTTGTTCCTGTTAGATTGTTTGCCTTTTAAAATTCCTATTAAGAGGACAAAGTTACTGAGAAGTATCTAAGTGATGAATTTTGTCCATTCTGGGCTCACGTAGAAAACATAGCAGCGCAATGTGGCGGAGTTGAGAGGACAGGAAACACCCCACCTGTACTTAAAGGTGATTCAATATCATTTATTTGTGGACTAAAAGTGTTACTTACTGTATTGCCATTAGCTTCACTTGTGTTTGTTAGATTGTTTGCCTGTCAAAATTCCCATTAAGAGGATAAAGTTACTTAAAAGTATTGTAAAGTAAAATTTTTATGGTACAAATGTGAAACTTCCTGATATGTAGTTTAACAAGCTCGTTGCTGAATAAGCCGGTTTCCCCCATGTTGCTGTAAATGTGGCAGGCATGCCGTGCGTCACGTCAACATTAAATCCGAGTCATGTGATGTTAAAAAGTCAGATTATTATCAGAACAAAAGGGACATTAGGTTTGCGTTTGAACCGGAATGTGCTGTGATCTGCACTGCTTGGTTATGTTCACCCACACTACACTCAGTTCGAGTGCAATCTGTAGTTCTCCACACTGTAAAGTAAGTCCCAACTCAAACTTAGTGTCACTGCTTTTTATACTTTTTCAGTCGGAACCCTCTACAAACACAACATTTCATAAATACATAACAACAATGTTATGTTAAAATATGCTTCCACGACGCAAGTAGAAAATATTACAATTTCTGCAACAACATATATGTATAATTTAAAATGTTAAAAAGCAATTAATGATATAAAAACTTTATAAAACATTAAGATCTTGCTTTGTTCAGTATAGCACACTTCCACATGTTGCTGAGGGCTTCAGTCGATCAGAAGAGGAGTACTTTCATCTGTGTGTTGATTACTGTCCAGGATTCTTGAATGTAAACATACAAGGGGTTGTTAGATCCAGAAAGTGAAAACAAACTCCAAAATAAAACCCATAGTTTCCCAGTTAGTTAACAGCTTCATTAACTATATAATAAATGTGACACAAATAAAATGTTAATTGTTACCTTTGTTGTTTTGGAGGTTGACAGAGGTAATATATAGCAAGTAGGAAGGCCTGAGGACAGAGGTGTCATGGAGTTAAATGTGTGATAATGCTGAGAAACCACAATCACATGCTTATTTTTCCACCAGTCAGCATATTTGTGATATGATAACCATGCTGACAAATGGATTTCCACAGTCTTGAATAAGTTAGGGTATCAAAATATGACAGTTTCATGCCGTCTGTCACGTCAAGATTTAACATGCCTTAAATTCAGCTACAGTCTCAAGCAAATGCAATACTTACAGCGAGAAACGCCAAGCCTCCTTGGACTGCAGCTGCCCATTCAAAACACAGATGTTGTGTTATAAGTCCCCCAACCACAGGACCATAAAACATCCTGTAACAGAGAATAAAAGATCAAAATGTTTATAAAAAAGCAGGAAATTAGTGCCAGCTAGTTGGATAATTCATTGTATATCAACTGTGTAAACAAAGCAATTAAGTCCTAATCTAGATACGGCAGTGATGTTCCTAATTGTTTTACACAGCAACACGTTTACAGCAACAGTACAGAGGAATAATATCAATAAGCTGAAAGAAATGTCATTAATTTGACATCAGTTCATTTAAAGTGGAGAAAGGAAAACGTGACAAAAACAGTATAAAAAAAAGCGATGGTGGAAAAACTACAAATTGAACACAGTTTGGTTGATATTGTTTTTCCAGGGCCTGATACTGATCAATCGAAGTTCATGAGACTAGTATTTGGGACTGGAAGTAAGTTTTTCCTCTCTGCTGTAACTTGCTAAATGCTGCAAAGTGTTTCACTTATGTGGTTGAAGATGGGATGGGAGTGAGTCTGATCTAACAAGATGGTGCTCAATCTTCTCCCATCTATATATTGGCTCTTTTTAAAGAGTGTGATCTAGACCAGCTTTTTTTAAGTTAGCAGGACCTACCCCAAAGACCAAACTGCCCCAAACAGTCCAGACACCATCCCAAGAGTGCTAAGTCCCTCTTCAAATCCATGTTCACTACAAGGAAGGGAGAAGAAATGAACGGAGGGTGTTTGTTTCACAGAGCATACATGAACAATCTCACTCAACAGGTCATGAATGTGGGAGCAGAACATGTGAAGCCACTCACTATGCATGTGCAATGATCTCAGGGAACGTCGGGATTGCAGTCATACCCAGAGAAAACCCAATTACCCCGAGCATGAGGATCAGCAACCACAGCTGACTAAACATACATACAAAACACACAGAGAAAAAAAACAAACACTGTTAACCAGCGGGTATTAGTTCTGCTAGTGTTCAAGAATCACTGTATAACTGAAACAGTTCCAATCAGCATTCTTAATACTGCTTTTGCAAATCAGGAATGACGCCAAAGTCAAAACATCTAATCCGTATCCTCATCTCCTCAGCCTAAGACAGCTGCAGTACAATCTTTATGTTGGTATATTTTGTTTAATCAACTTGTAACATAAGTATGTTTAGGTGCAAGACAAGTTAAGTGCATTACTATTATTGCACTTTTTAAAGTAGTTTCCATTCATTCTAGCGTTAAAAGCAGTCTACAGAGTGATTAAGTCCTCTAAACAAAGTGGGGAAATAAACTTTTATCTCTTGATTGTCCATGCTTACCTCGGGATGTGTAGGAAAGGGAGAGGACCAAGCAGACAGAAGCCAGTTGCTGTGGCAATACCTCCAATTACCATGAACCAGCTCCTGGTGGACTGATCAACATCAACATGAACAGCAAGTTTATTTAAACTCAAATCACTTAACACAAAAAAACTGTTGTAGAGGCACGAGCTGCTTTTGTGTGGATACTCACAGGATATTTATCTGTAAAATACCCCAACAGTGGAGACGCCAAACAGTAAGGTAACGACAAACCCAGCATGATAAGTCCCACATAGCCAGGTGAGAGATCAAACTGTAGAGAAAACAAACAACCTTTCACATTTTTGAGAAGTGAAATTTCTAACCATGTTAAGTTTAATCTTAGAAGTAAAATACCTCCTCCATAGCAAACAAAGACAATGTGGCATCCAAGAAGCCCAGACCTGCACTAAGAGTGAATATCACATAGCAGATGAGGACGATTTTTACATGGGTGAGGAGCCGGAAGAACGAATCCTGGGAGGGATCCGCTTCTGCAAACATAAAAACAGCCCACACTTTAATGCGAATCAAAACACAACTGGAGAATAAGCAAACAGTATGCTGATGATGGTACCAATGGTTGGCAGGACGTAAATGTTGAAAGGGACCATGATAAATAGAAAACATCCAAGAAGCATAAAGGGGACTTCATATCCAAATGACTGGTAAAACCACCCCCCAACAGGTGGTCCAAGAATAAGACCAAGTCCTGTGAACATCTCCAAACTGCCCTACAAAGAGAGAATCACAGTATATTAAATAAACGTTTAAAAAGGCAGTTTAAGATATAAACCAGAGTGCAGAATTAGGTATTATGTAAGCTGTTATACTGGGACTAAACACTGCATGGTGATAACTGTTATTATGTCCCACGGTGATGGGAAAAATAGTGGATTCAAACCCACTCCTGCTATAATGCTTTTTTGTTTTCTCGTGATTCTTATGTCTAAAAAACAACTCAGTCACACCACTGTTGTCCGCGCTCACCAAAACAGTCGCCACATTGTTTGGGAATATTTTCGCTGTCATGGCGAAAGTGGAGGTCATCGCAGCAGCAAAGCCCACGGCGTCAATGGACCTTACTATAAAGCACAGTGAAATGAAAGCGGGCCCTGCAGGAACCCTGTCAAGTAGTCTGCAAGAAAAGAGATAAACAGTCACTCAGGAATTTCAGTAGAGAGGTTCAACTAAACTGAGATGTTAGTTCAGTTTTGCAAAGTCTGAAGATGAAACGAGGGATCAAATTGAATAAATAAGAGATTAACAAAATCTAGAGACCTATGTCACGGCTTTGCAGTTTACCAGAATTCTTAAAGATACATTTTTTTCATAATTAGATTTGCCCGATGTAGCTCTGTATTTTTTTCCCACCATTTTCACAATGACAAGAACTTCATTGTGTTCATCCAGCTTTCCCAATTTGTCTCTCAGCTTTTTAACACTCACTGGAGATGTGATTTTGTCTTACATCATTAAATTGGCACAGTGAGGAGAGATAGAGCGTAATGTCTGGTTAGATACCATTAGATGTCATAAGCTTTACTTAAAGAAATGCTGCTGCAGGGAGATGTCGACTAGTTATGCTCTGGCTTCTGCTGACCATCTATCTTCATGCTACTGCTTTTTAAAATTTTAATTGAGAGAGCTTAGGGGTAGAAAAACATACTACAAAAACTTCAAATGTCAAGGAATTTTTCCACTAGAGTTGTCCCCTATCCTATACGTTCGGAAATCACCCCACAGGCTCACAGTCTGTTCATACATAAGCAACACAAAAGGATTAGTACAAGCACAAGGCCTCATATACTACTGTATTTGCCACACGACCCAAATCTAAATGTCTCGACCGTGAGGCCATTGTGACAGCTTTGAAACCTGTTGAGTGTTTGAGGTTTTTACCAGCTGTTTCTTATATATTTCGACATCAGTGTTGATCAATAAAACATGTTAAATACATTATAGTTCAGTGATATTGTTAGCATTGAGCACTTACCCAAAGAGTATGGTGCAGAACGATGACACAAAAAGCCCTACTATAAGCATGAACTTTGCTCCAATATGGACAATCTGATAAAACAACACAGAGAGATTAAATTACTGTTTAGCCGGGCAGTAAACCACACTTGATAAACCGTGACCTGATTGTGATTCCTCTGATTGCACAACATACTTACATATCTTCCCAGTATCAATGAACCAATTAAATTGCTGACAGCGTAGCAGCCAAATATAAGACCAACAACAGTCTGGCTGGCTCCCTTCTTTACCGCCTGTGTAGAAATATTCATATAATAACAGTTTCAATGATACTCATTATTGTGTTGATCATTTCTATTACTCTAAACACTCAGATTTGCTCAGTGGTTACTTCACATGATGTTAACTGATCTCACCTCAGACCTTTTGACCTCCGAGAATAACAGAACCAGTGATTCAAGGGTCTGTAGTTTTCTGATGTCAAGCACATGATAACTCATTCACTCAGAGGAGGAGGAAACACAAACACTGAGCTGTTTTGAGGGGATTTGGTGATGGCTTTGTAAGCTCATCAGTCACTCAGTTGCCTGTTGTAGTCTTTCCAAAGTTAGAGTTAAAACCCAAATTGGGTCGCCGGGTCTCCTACTAGCAGAGTAACATGTCCAACAATTCATACTCTTAATGTAAGGATGTCAGTAATTGTTTTCCAAATTCTTGTCCTCACTAAAAGCCACTAAAGAGACCTCTTGTAGTGTTACACATAAATCTTGAACTTAATTGAAGTAATAGGTTTTATTTACACTTAAAATTTTAATGTTTCATAAATGTAGATGATTTGGGGGTTCATGATGTATATTACTTGAATCTGGGTCACAGAAAAAAAAAACACATTTGGTTTTATTGGCTTTAATTGAAAGTTAAGGTTTTTTTCACCACTCTGATGGCAGTGATCAGCTGTTTAACATCTTTTACTAGCAGCCATACATTAGATACAAAGACACGTTAACAATACACCAAAGCAAGCCATTTTAAATGATCATTTCTGCCCTTTTAAGCTCACATGTTTGTCCTTTTTTCCCGTTGGCAGGTACATCAAACCCTTGAGAGAATCCAGCAATGTTTGTTTTAACCAGACACCAACAAACTTTCCTGCTAAGCATATAAAGGAATATTTCTTCATTTTCTTTATAACTACTGGTTAAAAATCAAAGAGCTTTGAATTTTAGGTGTTCTGCTATGATACATTACATATCATTGTGATTTCATATATTTGCATTTACTCAAGTCCAATTTAGTAAACCACTTAAGTACAAACTTCTCTGGCAAACTCAACATGGAGAGTAAAGTGTGCAGAAAAAGTGAGTCCGCATTAAAGGAGAGTGTCTAAAAATAAAAAATTTTAGCTCAAGTTGGATTTGTTAAATTGTAGATTTTTGCTTTTTGCAGTTCTGTATATTACACATTTTGTAGGGTGAACAAAGCCAAGAGGTGATCCTATTAAAACCTCACTTATAGTATCAAACCTGATAAGCCATTTACAATATAAATGTTTCAGTTGCTTGTTGGTGAACAATCCTTTTGACTTATTGGACCATATGACTTCCTGGGAACAGGCCGGAGAAATACATGACCAAAAATTATTTCTGAAAAGACTGTACTTAAGGATTATAGATGGTTGTAAGTATATTTTTTGAAAATAATTGAATAAAAAAGGAGCAATTGGGAATTTCACAACCCGGCAATCCTATCTTTAGCCCAGTTATTGCCTGTATTCCACCTGTGCACCATGATTAAATTATTTATCCAAATTAAGGCTGGGCTGTGGAACTCAACAGTGATTGATGCAGGAAAATGCACCTCTTTAGATGGTGTGTGTACAAAGGAGATTTTTCTGTGACAAGGTTGATTTTAAAATATTGTAGTCCTCTGGTCTGATGGTAATAATATCTTTAAAAATAGTGTTAAATAACAAATGCTTAAACTTAGAGGAGAGTGTAACAGTTCGATAAATATAAGATTTACAGCTATATCTACTCTTGTCATACTAGACCAAAGTTGGAGCAGGAATTGGTTTTTATCGCATATGAATTCAACTATCAAAAAGAGGCTCTGTTAAATCTCCTGGCCTTTCTTTAATGAAGCCAGACATCAAGACTTAATACCCAAGTGGTCCCCAAACCCCATAACTCCATATCTGGACATGTGATTTTTAATCTGTGGTGTGGCTTACCTCATTGGGGAAAAATGGTCCTAATATGGAGTAGCAGATCATAGAACTAAAGTTGACAGATGCCATTGATAGTAAGGTGAGGACCTGCTGTCTTGTCATCCTCGGTGGAGGATCTGTTGATTCAACCGAGGCGACGTTGTCTGATTTAAAAAAAAGAAAGAATTAAAAGTTAGGAGACCAGAAATAAGAAGTTAAATTTGTCTTAAAGTTGAATATAAGTGTCAGTTTATAGTTGAATTTATATATGGTCTTTAATTCAAACGTTACATTGGTTGTAATCAAACATTTATTTCACAGTAATAAATAAAAACCAACCTGTCGACTGATCGAGGCGCGTGTCCATCTTTGAGTTTTGAGGGTTTCTTTTCTTATTTTTCAGCTGGAGACTGCAGACGGTGACATAACGACACAGGAGAGGTGGAGAGAGGAATCCCGAAAACAGCACACACTTAAAGAGTTCCTTGACAGCCCGTTCAAGCGACAATAACCCACAGTCTTCAGGTCGACAAGTTCTCAGAGTGAGTGTTTCCTCATGACGCCGAGCGACACATGACGAATCCCACACTAAACGCACGTTCGTTCGCTCATTTCAAAATAAAAGCCTCCGGTGAGCAACTTCCGGTAGCTAATGCCAGACGGCCTTACTTTCTGAAACTTTAAAGATGGATGGATTAATCTCATTTTTCCACAGTATTGATTAAAAAATATCAAAAAATGAGCTCATCTATCATATAGATAATAAAGGAGAAAATAATAATAATAACAATAATAATAATTTTATTATTATTATTATTATTAATAATAATAATAATAATATTATTATTACACATGTAATAATAATAAAAATAGTAATAATAAAATAATAATAATAATAATACTATATATAGATTTATTATATCTTTTATTATATATTTATTATAATTTTGCCTTTTTGAGCTTCCCTCTGGGATTAATAAAGTATCTATCTATCTATCTATCTATCTGTCTGTCTGTCTGTCTGTCTATCTTAAACAAGTGTATATAGACGAATAAAAGGACAATATAAGTGTCACTGTATTTTCAATACATCTGTAGACACTTTTGAAAGAAATATCCTCTTGTCTGTTTTTAGTTTAACAAAGAGACACTTTCCTTTTTTCATTTAATGCTCATCATGCATATAAACACTTTTGTTTTTGCTCCCATATTAATGAGCTGAACTCAAAGATCCAAAACTTTTTCTATGCTCACAAAAGACCGAATTTCTCTCAAATATTGTCGATAAATTTGACTAAATCTGTGTTAGTGAGCACTTCTCCTTTCGTGAGATAATCAATCCACCTCACGGGTGTGGCATATCAAGATGCTGATTAGACGGCATGATAATTGCACAGGTGTGCCTTAAGACTGGCCACAGTAAACCGTCACTCTAAAATGTGCAGTTTTACTGTATTGGGGGTATCTGGGGGGGTTAGACAACCAGTCAGTATCAAGCAAAAGCAGGTGTTGTGTTTGTATTTTTGTTCAGTGCATTATGTACATGATAGACGTCATAATTTTATTCCTTTTATTAATAGCAGCAGAGTAAATTCAGCATTTAAATAAATTAATTGTAAATGTGGATCTTTCTTCTAAAATTTGCCTTGTAGTAGATTAATGCTATCTACTAAAAGAGTTAAGTCTCTCTCAGCTCTTTCAGATACAGTTTATGTAGTTTTTCTATTTAATTATTCAGTTATTCAAGCAATTCCTCTCCTGATGCTCCACAGATCTTTTACCTGAGTGTAAGATTAAAAAACACAATTTAAAAGTAATGGCTTATGTGACACCTTAAAAAAGAATAGCCGCACTGAGGACTGAAACCTTTGACTGATATCCAGGTTTGAGAGGTTTCTCTCTTCATTTTATGCATGCATATTGTTTAATTATACTGTAAATTTACTGAATAACTACAAATACAGTGTCATCTCAACCTGGAAATAAAACCTACCAACACAAACATTTGAAACAAATTTTTTTATTTCATATTTATTACACTCTGTCCAGCCTGCAGGTTCATATAAACCTATGGTCATATTACATTTTTTTCTTTTGTAAAATAAGACAAAGAAAGGAAAATTCAGACAGCCGGCTCCTATTTAGGCAGTATTGATGATAACTGACACATGTTTGCTGGAGTCTCTGAGGCTGCATTTAACTAAGAGCTATTAAATTTAAATCTCCACCAGTTATTTCCTGTAACATCCCGTAATAAAGTCTAATTTTCTTTAATATAGCTTTCTATTCATTTATGACAAATGTCCTCACATCCCTGCATTTTCCTCTGTATACATGAGCCCCAAATCTAAATGAACCTCCTTCTTACTTACATTTTATGAATGTTTTGTGTATTTTACCTCTGCAAGTTTGTTTTTCTCAACTTATTTTTCAAATGGAACATAAAAAAACAACTCTTGGCACTATGTCAAAGCAAAGATGAAGTACAAAATTACTTGAATTAGCAACACATAAGCACATTTTTCTAAGCATATAATAATGTGAAGTTATTTACTAAATACACAGTGCAAGCAGCATTGTATTTCTTTTGCAAGTTCAACATCAGTTCTATGTAGTTAGCATTATTGCACACAAGCTCTATCTATCTAAAGCAGCACAGATTTCCAACAAGGCAAACTACTGATGTAGTAGCATCATAAACACCCAAAGATAACAACACAGAGCCAACTGAGTTTGGAAGGATCTCAGTTTGTTTGTGATTTCTGACCATGAGGGACCATCTCCTCCAATACTTCAAATCCATTTACACACATTTGGCAATTTAATTTAATCTTCATTTGGCACACATACACAGTGACTGTAACCAGTACTGACAACTGTGAAGGGAGTCTGAAAATAAAGGATGTGAAAGCTAATTTCCTCATGAGAAAATTAAGAATGCATGGTCAGATCATGATATGTCTGAGTGAATAATGGTGTGCCGTGCTGTAGCCAAATGAATATGAAATACAATATTCATTTCTCCACTTCATAGAAGTATCATGGATAAAAAATTTACAAGCTATGATAAACTGTACTCGACTTCCCATGTTGCAGTAACAGAATCAGTATATTCTTCTATTGCAGCAATTTTGAAAAAAGTGGAGGACATTTATCAATTAAAACAAATAAAAAGTAAACCACTGCCTTTGGAAACTGTTACAAATAAAGATGCAAAATAAAGTAGTCAAAATTCAATTCATAAAATTAACTTCTATATATATGCCTATAATACCTCAAAACTAAAGAGAAACGTGCTGTACTGTATCAGATATGGTATGGCTCAATGAAAGGTAAACTTCATACATCACAATCAGATACAGAATATCTTGAACTAATTTTAAGTACATTAAACTTTCCATCTTTTTCAGTGAGGAGAGATGTCTTTGGCACCAGATGTGGTACTTATCCTTCAGACTGCTTGTCAAATCCAGCTCAGCACTTACTTGGTCTTAATACCTTTTAACTTTTCAAGGAAGGTTGTTTTTTTTTAATCTCACTAAACAACATTAGAATAATAACTAAAGTTAGCTTGAATACATTCAATATATGAACTAGAAATGATTGAGCAACTGCTATTGTCTCTAAGACAACCAACGAAAAGTGCCTTCGCCTCCAACAGATTGATTGTAAACTATCAGCATGTCCAAGACTGCCTCGTATATTAACCTCCTTAAAAACAGAACCACCTGGACACTGACGTACCCCCCAACTGTCACCTGACACTGGGGTGTAATACCGCTGTGGACCCTTGTGGCCAACACCATAGTGGCTTCTTTTGATTATGCCAAAGGCAACACAGAGTAACCTTTTCACTTCAGCCTTTGAGTCACATTGGCCAGGGCGACAGCAAATGCCTGCACCGCTGAGAAAGGATACTGGAAATCCAAGATATAGGCATTACCATCAATTCGCCCAAACTGCATCACCTGAAGGAAGGAAAGAAGAGGATGTTAATGAAAGACTGTTCTGGTTTAAGATTGCATTGCAGTTACTAGACCAAAGATACTTATAACTCTGTGTTTGTTCATTATGGTCTATTTCAATTAAACCCACTCAAGATTTCTTGACATTTTACCTGTCTACCATCCAGTTCAATCTGAAAGTTTTTCGCTGACTCCTGCGTGACTCGTCCTCCAAAATCCAGCTGGTAGACCTGCGTGGCCTCGTTCCACAGTGGCTGTTTATTAGCCATCACATAGACAAACCCTTGGCTTCCCAAACTACGGTCCTCTCTCTCATTTGCCTTGCGGCACTTAATCTCCTCCAGCTCACTAGCCATTCGCAGGCTGCGCTTGTTCTTCCAGCTCTTCTTACTGCTCTGGTTCTGGTTCATGAGCTCGTCTCCGCTGATAAACAGCTCCGGCTCACTCTCTGAGCTGTCCTGGAACTCATTTGTGGTCCTGCTCATCTTCTTGGTTTTATTGAGTTGCTCTCTCTGGCCTTTTGGCTTCTTTTTTTCTCTGCTGCCGAGTCTCGGACTGGAAATGAGAGTGTTGAAGTCAGAGAGCGCCCGGCCTTCTTTTCTGGATTTGCCTTCAGAGACATTGGTCATGTTTGCCTCCTCGGCTCTGCTGTCCAGCCTTTTCCGACTCTTCTTGTTGAAGCGCTCTGACTCCTGCGGCACAGGGCTTTCGTTGAGGGATGATGGTTCTGGAAAGTTGTTGGCAGACTCTGACAGATCCTCTGCGGCACTTTTGGATGGTGGTAGCTCAGTAGGTGGAGGAGGAGGTGGGAGAGGAGGTGGTGGTGGAGGCCCAGTAGGAGGTGGAGGAGATAGAATTGGCTTCTCTAGAACCTGATGTGTTTTGGTGGGGAGAGGAGGAGCTGGTGGGTCTTGCATGGGAGGTGGGCAAGGGTAAGGGTTCCAGGGGTGGAGGTTAACAGGGTGGAGTTGGAGTCCAGCACATGAGCTGGCTCCTGGGTACATTGGAGGGAGAGGGCAGCAGGCCAAGTTAGCTAAATTTGGAGGATAGCCTGGCGGTAGCACCAAGTTTGCTTCCTGTTGACCAAAGGGGACTGAACCAACCACTTCATTGGGATTACACTGGGGTGGAGGATTCTGTAAAGTCTGAAGTGGAGGACCACTGTGAGCCACACCTGGAGGGAAAGGTGAGAGGGATATCTGGTAACCTGATGGGAATGTAAGTGTGCTCGTGCTCGGACTGGCTGGAGGTTTGGTTGTGAGAACAAACGGCAGCCGAGTCATGTCCAAGTGCTGAGCTTGACTAATGATGATTGGAGGAGGTTTATGAGGTGCTGGTGGAGGACCTAACATTGTCTGTTCTGGGGTGAGCCAGAAATCGTCCGTGGTGGAGGAGTCCCACTGGTAAGGCGGAGGTCTTTTAAGCGTCAAATTGACATCACCAAGGGTCAGCTGACGCACAGATTTCTCAAGATGACACTGCTGATTTAGAGTCTCATCCTCGGTGAAGGCAGAGTTCACATACACTGTTCTGTCCCTGCTGTTATCGACGGCACCCAGCAGACTGTAAGATGACTGAGAGGCCAGAGATGAGGCACCCTTAGAGTGCACAATGATGGTGCTGTGATGTGCTCCCTTCCCCGGTGGAAAGTCCTGCCTCACCACTGTGCCACCTGCAATGCCGCTACTCGAAGTACCACCCCCACTGACACTGACACTGGTGCTGCTGCTGTTACTGCTGCACTGTGTGCATGTGTACAAAGCAGTGGGCACCCTCTGCTGGTAGCTGAGTGCGAGTGCGCTGTTTATTTTAGCCTTGGTGGGAAGGGTTCTTGAGCTTTCCATCATCTGTGGCACTTTAAGCCCTACGTCCCTGCGGTCACGGCGTAGAGTGGCATGAATCAGACTGCTGTCAATTCTCTGGGGAGGAGGAAGTGTAGCAGTTACTTGATTGGCTGGATCTGGATAAGGAGGAGGGTCGCCGCTTGGTATGGAGTAACGAGGAACAGAGAGACGGCTTAATGTTGCTGAGCTGTAAGGAAGCTGTATCTTTTTAGTCTCAGAGGAGGTGACTTTAAGAGTGGCTGAGCCATGGACAGAATATGCATTTTGGTTGCGGATGAGGCGCCTGCGTGGACGACAAACCTCCTCCACGTTGCCACTGCTGTCAAAGGTTGTGATCCTCTCATATCCCAGAGGAGTTGGGTACTGTAGAGTGACAGGGTGAAGCAGAAATTCATCTTTCTTTAGACAGGGGTCTGGTGCCAGGACACTTGGGCTGTCACAGTTTGTGACAAGAGTTTGAGGGGTGGTGGCAGCTGTAGCCGCAGCTGCAGACACCACAGTGCCTGGGTATGGAGGAGGAGGGTTAGCCTTCCTCATTTGCATCTCCATGGAGCCATCAGGGTCTGTAAAAGGAGGCAAAGTCCGTGGCAGACTTGGTTTAAGAGTGTGCCCATGTTCTACTCTGCTCAGCCCTGGCTCAGTGGTGGGAGGAGCAATCTGAGGGATAATATGAATCTGTTGTAAGGAAATGGTTGGATATCCGGTGGGAGGAGGGGGCAGGGACATCTGCATCTTCAGCTGCTGCTGCATCTGTTGGTGCTGCCTCTGCATCTGTTGATGTTGCTGCTGGATCTGTTGGTGCTGCTGCTGGAGCTGCTGCTGCTGCTGCCTCATCTCCTGGATCTGTTGCCGGATTTGTTGCTGCTGCTGCTGCATCTGCTGCTGCTGTTGCTGCATCTGTTCGTGCTGCAGCTGCATCTGTTGCTGCTGCTGCTGGATTTGCTGTTGGTGATGGAGCTGTTGGGGTGTCACTGGTTGTTGATTTGGCTGCAGTTGTTGGTGCTGCTGAACCTGGTGTTGTTGGAGTTGCTGTTGTTGCTGCTGTTGATGTAGCACCTGTTGGTGGTGGTGCAGTTGCTGTAGCTGTTGTTGATGTTGCTGTAGTTGCTGTTGTTGCTGCTGAATTTGGGACTGATGATGGTGCTGCTGCTGCTGCTGCTGCTGTTGCTGCTGCTGCTGCTGTTGTTGTTGTTGTTGATGATGATGCATTTTCTGTTGTTGCTGCGTCTGCATTTGCTGAGACTGCTTGGATGGCGGTTGGCGAGGCTGCTGTGAGTGTGAGCGTTGTGAGTGAGGCTGCGGGGGGAGATGGTGAGGGGGCGGCGGAGGAGGAAGAGTGCCAGGAAGGAGAGGACCCATCTCTAACCCATTGAAAATCACCTGACCGGGGTTTGAGTATCTAGTTGGCACAGGATACGGTGAAGCAACTGCATCCTGCCCATGATCCGTGACGGGGACGGAAGCTGCTGCGGCTGCAGCTGCAGCTGCTGCAGTGGCTGTGGGGTTAGTCAGGACATCAAGCTGAATGTTTTGATTGGCTAGAAGAGACTGGACCAGGCCGATACTCTGGGTTGGAGACATGGCCTGAGCTGGGCTGTGGATTGGAGCGATGGGAATGTTGACTGTACAGGGTGGATTTTCTCCTGCCACTCCAGATGGACCCATCACTATTGAAAAAACAGAGGAAAACTGTTTTAGAATGAGGTGTAACAGAAATAAATGCAATTACACTCATTTTTCAATATCTTCATAAGCTCCTGGACCAGAAAATTCTCTTAAAATTCCACCTGGGAGGTCGTCCTCATCCTCACTGAACACATTGGGGTTGAAGACAGGCAGGCTCATAAAGTCATGGGAAATCTTCCTCACTTCTGGAAGGTAGATTGTCATCTGTCTTGGTTGCAGATGAAGTAAACTGGTCTTATAGATGACTGAAACATAAAACCCATGTTATATTTTGTGTAACATTTGTCAGTGTGATTTGTATGTGCCTTTTTATTTTATATTTTTACCTGCACCAAGATTTGTAGGGAGAAAAGAAGCAAGTCCAACAATTTTGAATTTTGTCCCCCAAATGTTGGATGTGACTTGGGCAAGGTAGTTGTGCTGTGAAGAGGAGGAAGAAATACAAGACAGCCAAAAAGACGATGTATGACTCACTTTGTAACCATGTTCGCAATATAATCTTCATTTGTTAATGCAGACTGAGATAAATCACAAACTTGATTTTTTATGGGGGTAAAAAAAGATCAACTATGGCTCTTATTTTCCAGACATCCAGCTGACTTTCTTGACTCTACAGTCTATAACTGGCACATATACATGTTTTAATATATATATCAAAAACTTCTGTGTCACTGGCAGTATAATAGTGCACTTTAAGTTTTGGACCATCTCTTTACCTCTGTGATCCCGTCCATAGAAAACTCTCGGCGTGTCAGACTCGGAGACCGAACTGGAGGCTTTTTTGTCGGTAACCGCGGTGACCGCTGGCCCTCCTGATTGGCCCGTGACAGTTTTGGAGATTTTCTCAATTCCATATTCATCCTATAAAATAAAGAAGTGAAATAATTTTCGTTTAAAAATATGACTTTTTATAAATGTCATGGATTTAGTGAACAGGGTAAAACAAACGTTACAGAACTGTCTTTAACATCCTTCTGAAGCTTGTTTTAAAAAATCGCCTTTAATATCATTATAATCTGACGTGTCGAGTTTGAATGACCTGCTTCCTCGGGAAAGCTTTGGTGACTTCTTCCCGACCCACTCGTCGCTCAACTCGATGTCGCTGGAGTCTGAGCAGTTACAGCTGTCTGTGTATGAAATCATGGGGTTCACACACACCTCCTCTGGGAGAAAAAGGGACACAGACAGAAGAGTTATTCTTGTATAAAGCCTCTGACCATGTTACATTAGAAAGCCACCACAGTCTGTGCTTGTTCTTAAAGTTTATGGATGTACACTGCATCAATAAGTGAAAACATATTGTTTTATTTGAGGCAGATTAAACAAGATTCCCATTTTTCCATCTCTACAAGTCGTCTAGTTTTCCAGCAAGGGGATTGTGGGCACTCTTCCCCTGCTTTATATGCTATCAGCATCTTTAAAGGTGAATATACACCTTACCTATTTCTTGAGATCAATTGAGGGAGTAAGTGTGGGAACAAATAGCTTGATGAAAATGTCTCTCTATTGAATATCAGGCTTCATCCTGCTACAGATCATCCTAGTTGGGAATAAAATTGGGAGCAGAGGGAGACAACTACCCTGCCTCTTTCTACAGTTCATTAAACAGTCAAATAAAACTGTGTTTAGAGATTTGTGTCCCAGATTTAATATTTCAGTTATCTCTTGGCGCCCCTTTGTTGTTTTCATCGCCAAGAAACGTTTCCAGTAATGTTACGTAACTCCCCAATGAACGCAGCTTGTCAATTTTTTACATTTCTGATTGTTTACAGATTAATTAAACTACATTAAGCATATTAATTAGTAGAATTTAGAATATCTATCTTTAATGCTAAGCTTATTGTTTGGAGAAGCTGCTTTGTGAGCATAAGAAAGAAGCTCCTGTAGAGCAATCCTGGGATAAAAACTAGCCAGAAAAAAAGTCAAAGCCCACCTGCTTTGCTGTCTGTTTTAGGATCCATGATGACAAACTCTGGCCGCAGTTTGCTGATTCTCCTCCCTTTAAGAATAGGCACCAGACCTCCTAAATATTCCAGGTAGAGAGTGTAACAGGGTCCTCCGGCCTCAGGGCTGTCCTCGGCTCGCTTCATGGTGCAGTGGAGCCGCTCGTTCCCAGCTGTGGGATAGCTGACAAAGTCCCGGATGTTGTTTGGGTCTGGGATGGGGGGCTAGAACAAAGACAGGAAAGGGCTGTAGGACTGCTGGACACTCAGTCAGTAGTTTTGCATAAATGAAAGGGTAGCTGTCTGTAGAGTAAAGACCTTGATGGTGGGTATGAAGGCAGTTGTGACATAGGAGCAGAGCAGCGAGGGCATGTTCAGTTTCCCCACGTCTTTCTCCTCTCGCAGGGCGCTGGCGATGCCCTGCTGGCATAAAAGTTGGAGGCTGGCCACCCTGTGCTCCACACGCACCACATACAGAGCTGGTCCACACGCAAGGAACAGGCGGGAGTCTCTGTGACCCCAACAGATGGTGGTGATGGGTCTCTGAAAAACGAACCCCGACCACAGAACTCAGACAGTTTTCAGCATTCACTGGCAGCTCACGTAAATGCTTAGAGTGGCAAACTAAGCAATCCACAGAGATGCAACTCATCATTTTGAAATATAGTTCCAAAGGTCAGCAGTCAAAAGACATTTTTAAAATTTAATTTGCCGCAGGAATGGCTCATACTGACCCTGATTTCTCCTCTACTTACAGTATTAATCCTGGGCTAGGCCTGAGTGTTTAGATTTATATAAACTTTATGTGCATATTATTTTATTTGTGGAAGGTATAAAATTTAGATACACATTTAAATCATATTAAAAAGCATTAATTGCAAAAAAAAGTTGATAATCCTGAGTCATACTTCTCCTGTTTCAAGAAATGAAAACACAACTTTCCCACACCCTGACATGGTTAAGAATGCAAAAGTCAAGTCGAAGTTTATAGCCCAGCAAAGCATTCATAATATACCTCTGTTATTGGGATCTAACCTGTGCAGGAGTTTCCAAGGTATAGATGTGTTCCCCTTGGACGTTGTAGAACTTAACGAGGGCGTTCCTCATGATGGACGCACAGGCAGAGTCAGCAGGAAGCCCGTGTCTCTCCATGCCAGCCACAGCCAGGAGGTCTCCCTGAGAGCACCACTGGGCCTCAACATCTGCGGCGAGAAGGTTCATCAGCGACCTTATTCAGTACGTTAAGACAAGTCACGTGGATACCTGTTAACATATTTATTCCTGGACTTTTGTACCTTTCAGCCCAGAGCGGATGACAGCAGGAGAGAGGTCGTCGTAGTTGTTCATTAGGCTGATATCTCCTGATAAGAAGGTGACCGTCAACAAAGGCTTGACTCTCCGCACTTTGGGGAACAAAGGAAAATCTGTACATAAGCTTTATGAGGGGAAAACAGGGTACAAACTTTCATGTCTGCAGTGAGGTGACTTGTACCTAAAGGTAGAATATTGTCGTCAGAGTCTGTGTCGCTCTCTGTGCTGTCCTCCACCAGGAAATCAGGGCAGTTCCAGGACATGCTCACGATCCCATCGGACTCGTGTAACAGGACATGAGCAAGCATTCGTCCATGACAGTCCATCACGATCACCTGACCATCTGCTGTACCAAAGAGGACCTGAGGGAGCGTTGTACATAAAACGTTAAATGGTGAAAACGCTCTGGAGCATCAGATAATTTTTGCATTAAAGATCTGTTTTTATGTAGATCAACAGGAGAAAACCAACCTGCTGATCATCGGGTGTCCAGATGCCACAGGTGATTTGACTCTCTAGGTTAATCTCAGAGGACCAGTGCCTTTGCCCGCTGACTGAGCCGACCAGCACCGAAGCCGTCCCTGTACGCGATGAGGGCCTGAGTGCCGTCATGTGACCAAGTGAAGTCACTCACCTGGAGGAGAGTAATTTCCAGTTTTGTTCAGACATTTGAAGGACATTAAAGGAGATGAGCTTCAAAATACAGTGGTAACCCTTTTTAAAGCTCCTGTCAGGGACTTTGTGTGGTCATGTTGATTTTATTCATGAGTTTTTCTAGAGAAATCATCTCAAATTACTCAAATGTATCACTCATTGGGAATTGTTGAAATTAAATGTGAAAAAATGCTGTGTCAGCAATTTCTTGGTCTGACGCCTACCCCCTTAAACTTGTTTCAGGTTTTGAATATAACTACATAGACACGGTCCTTTTTCTCTTTGTTAGCCTTGTTTGCTTTTTTAGGTCACTAAGACACATTATTATTAATTTCAGTCTTTTTCATAGTCAGCTAAAAACTCCTAACAGGAGCTTTAAATTATCCATCAAACTGATGATTTTTGTGTAATTTCAGGACAGGTTAACATCTGTCCTTGCTGTACCTGTGCTCCTCTGTCGTTCACCAGCTCTACCGACCATCTTCCTTCGTACTGGATCCACACAAAAATCCCTCCCTCCATATCACAGGTGGCCAGCTTCTGAAAGGGTTCATTCCAGCGCACTAAGACAACCTGCAAAAACACCCAAAAAAAGACACTGTTATCACTTTTTTTCCTACAAACACAGGTGGCTTTCTGCTTATGTCATCACTCATGATTAATTTACAGCGCAAGCACAACGCTACAAAAAGCCTTTTAGTCTGAAAGTGCTTTCAAAGTACACTGCGGTTTGAGTAGAGGTCAGTCTACAGGAGAAATAAAGGTTCAGCTCTGATACTTTAGTCTGTGAATTTGATGGATTACAGGAGCAAAATATGCTACTTATATCTTTAAAATATCCCTTTTTTCTGTTTTTACCACACTCAAATTCCATATATACATTGTGTGCTGCATTTTCATGCAAACTTTTGACCTGAGACATTTTTGTCTGATCTCTGTTTCACCTCCGACTTCTTCTTCCCAAAACGCTTATTTAAATGCTAATTTCTTGTTTGGCCCCAAAACTCGGTGCTGCTGTTATAATTAAATTTCCCTGTGGAAATCATGAAGGCTTTTTCTAAATTCATCCTAAATTAAAAATGTTAAACACTTATGTTTTTATGTTGATAGGGGATTTAGCAACAGCAGGTGAGATTAAAATAAATTCTAGATTTCTCAGAGCCAAAGGTAGAAAAAGAAGAAGATAGTTGTTTTCCGAAATGAAGTCGATTCAAAGCCACACCTCACTGTTGTGTCCTCGAAGATTGAAATTGATTCTCTGAGGTGTAGTCCTGTCCCTTCTGCAGTGACTCGATGTGAAAGTCACCCCAACGACTCCCCTCCCGTTCCCTGTGGCCAGCCAGCCCTCCTCATAGTACCGTCTCCGGCACACTGGCTTGTCCTTCTCGCTCTTGGGGACCCGGCCTTTCCACGAGAGGCAGAGGATGTTGGAGTCGCTGCAGAGGATGGGACCATGTTCCACGGCAGCCAACATCCCTACTGAGTGACCAGGCTGGTGGGGTAAAACAAAGAAACAGAACAAGAGGTCAGTATGAGCTAGAGTGTGCAACATGTTTGACCTCATAATAACACCTAATTCAGTCTGGACCGTGAGCTTGAACTGACTTTTGTTTATGCCACCTGGAGACATACACTGCTGGCTTTGTAATATGGGCTAAATCGATTATACCTGTAACCACCACAGGGGGAAAGTTTTACATAAAAAATACAGCTAAACAAGGGTGATCGGCTACCAAATAGATCGGGTTTTATGACTTTTGATTCATGTGTGGATGTAGATCAGACCCCAGCTTCAGCACACATGCCGAAGTGTCAAAGGGAAAGACACTGAACCCCCTCACATTAGAACTAAATTATTTAGCTCTGGTGATCCCCTACAATAACATCATTAGCCATCAGGGTATAATTGTGGGGGTGAGAATATAATGAGTGGTGTAAAAGCGCTTTAAAAGGTCTAGAAAAACAGAAGATAGATGCGTTTCTTGTCAGATATAAATATTTTAGCTGACATTAAAGCTCCTTCGAGTTGTTCTTAGCCGGTTATGGAACAGACTGAAATAAAAGCAGATGTCTTTATGATCTACAGAGACTAATAACACCATTAGTGATGAGGCCGGCTGTTTCCATATAGCTATTTACAATGTCTGAAACCACTATTGGGTTAGGTGTCGGACAAAATGATTAACAACAACGCAGCAGAAACAGCCTTTGTTTACATTTTCTACTGCAGAGTTTAACAGCCTGAGATATATTTGATTCCTAAAAGACAGCAGGATAACATTTAAGAGTAACAGATAAGATTATCAAAGAGTAATCACTTCAGCCACAAGGGGCGCCAAAATCAATACAGACAGGAGCTTTAACAAAATCAGAACAGGGCTGAAATCTTGACTAAACCATTCAGCTAAACCATTTAAAAATGACAATCCAATGCTGATAGGGATTGATATTCTCTCTTTTTGTCAATGATCCAGTATCATATTGGACCAATACATCTATCATTACCTACACCAATGAGTCCCATCATCCTGAGTAATCAATCTAGTAGCTATAACAGGATGCTGACATGCTCTTTGTTTGAAATATTCCATCCAAATGAGTTTCCTCCAAGCAAACACAGCTTGCAGCGGTGAATCACTAAAGGTGCCCTTATAACAGTACAAGCACGATGTCTACTGCTCATAGTGCTGGAGCTGTTGTGCTGTTATTCAGAGAAATGATGGAGCAGCTCCATGATTTCTCTCGGGTTGACGTCATCACTTGTGCTGTCTGTCTTTTATTTGTACAGATCTACACTCCAAAACTCAAAGCATTTGTGTAATTCCACGCAACTCTGTTTAAGGGTAGATTAGAATTCCCCCCTGAATACGATGTTTGGTGCATTTTAATGTCTGTTGAAATGCTCTGTCCTGAGTACTGGCTCGCTCATTCAGGTCAGTTACAATCTAGATTAGTGCATTCATCCCCAGCATTGTCCAAGACAAACTCTGCACAGACATTGAAAAATTTGAGACAATAAGGGACTGGCATTTCAAATTCAAAGAAGAGAAAGACATAATTTCCCCTCCCCTCAACTAGATTTGATCAGCCACCTCAAACCCTAAGATGTGATTGGCTGGGGTGAGACTAATTTCAGCTAGTTGGGATGTTTTGACAGTGCCATAAGACGTGACCACTGACAAACCCTCTTCATTTTAAGATCTTTAAGAGCTAAGCTGAGTGATTATAAGAACATGACACCTTTTCTGTTGTGTTTATTTCAGTAAAAAATATAGACAGAGGGTTAAAAAAGCTGTATAGTATTTAAATGATAGCAATTTTAGACAGAAAGAAAGAATTTAAGACAGAAATAATCGATCTGATTTATTTGCGTGTGTATTCACACATAACCTGGCCACCCCAACCATGTCAGATCATCTGTTGGGTCCCCCTGATCAAAAAAGCTTGGACACACCCCTGCCTATCATATCAGTAATGGCAAAAGTGCATCTGAATATGATTATTTTATGGGATAAAAGCATGTTAGAAATTTTACCAGCTGACTGTATCATCTTACAAATTGAAGAAAACCTTTGAGCCTGATCCCTCAACTCAAGGACTTTTTTCATCTGATTGCACCTGCACAAATGGTCCACGGGGCCTGGATGTGCACTGACTAGCAACAACAGTGTTTGCATGTAACTTGTAAGCTTTGGTTGTTTGAAGATTTCCCTCATACAGTGTGGGCTGTCCTTTAACAACAACATTTTATGAATTGTACAGTGCTTTTCCAGCCTGAGCAGCATCTTGACAGCATAAACTGTAATTAAAAGTCTAAGCAAGTGACTTGTGTGACACCTATCCTTGCAGTTTAAGACATAAAAATAACTCCAAAAAACAATCAGTCATGCTCCTGATATTTTTGTTTGCTTTCTTAGCTTGGGAGGAGGCATCAGAGTTTATTTTAGTTTGTTTCATAGCCAGACATGAAACTTGGTACAGGAGCTTTAATTTCTCCTTAAGTAGCTTCACGATTGCTAAAATCATCTTATTTTACTGCATATCCCTCATCTTTTTGTGCCATCTCCTCACTGAGTAAAATTTTCTTGGCACTTGTTCAACCTTCAAACTGAAGACTCAGTTTTTGGCTACAAAGCTCCATTAAATTTTGCATATCTTGAACAATATGTGCAACATATTTCGAAAACATTAATTACTACTCTGAATCTCCTCTGTAATATAAAATGTAGTTTGGTGTATCTGCAGAACATTTGGCTACACAAGATGACTCTAAAATGACTGTCCCACTTGGCAGTAGATTGCATAATCTGTCATAATAAATTAAAACATGGCCAAGTAACCTAGAAAGATTTACTGTAAGATTAGTTTCTGATATGAGAACGTACCTCATAGTTCCTGGGCATGTTGAGTCACAATTCCTCCATTGAAGGTGTCCATATTTCCATTCAGATGATGCACTGAAAGGTAATGGCTGCTCTGCTCTTGGTACTTGCACTGAAATCTATGGGGAGGTAAAATGCATCATACAGCCAGATGTTGTCCAGCTCTATATTCATTTAAAACCAGCAGCTCTTCACTCCAGACTTGGCCATAAAATGATGTGAATCCTCTAGGTGACAGTGTCCCACCCCATGTCCTCTTGATGTGACTCTGGAGAGTTGTGTAATGATCCTTTTTGCAACAAAGAGGGGGGGAGAAGACGAATAAAAACAGCGTTACTCATCAAGTGAGGCAATTTTGAGGGATGAAAGGAGAGAATCAGAGTGAGATGAGCTTTTGCTTAAAATAGCCGCGTTGTCATTCAGTGCATCAACCTTGAAATTCACAGTTTTTCTCAGTCTCTATGCAACAGCAACACTGCATTGGAGATCAGGGCACTAGCAGTCTCCATGGGTACTGATACTGTCCGCTCTTTCTATTTTACGTCAAACAGCAGAGCAGCCAGGCAACAATGTTAACTCCTACATGCCAAACACATGAATACAAGAAAACCCACATTGTATGAATAAAATAACATTTCAGCCAAATCGCCTTTTAGAATAGCAGGTTTTCGCCTTCTTTGCGGAATTTAGGTAAAACGCATCCACTAAAAGTAGAAGTAAAAGACCAATCATCTCCTCTGTAAAGGTCTCCCACTAACTACGTTACGTTACATCAATTAAATGTCTCATTCAAAGGCGCCTTGTAGTCCGTCTGACCGCATGCAGCAGTCTGACTGAGCCAATGCGCACGAGTCCAAAGAGCTTTTCTAGAAAATGAAGAGATTTTTTATCGTTACAGAGTGGAGATGGACGCAAACAATGCAGTTTTACATACCTGGAGCTGCAGGAACAACGCTTATTCCACAGACAGTCGGCGCATAGTGCGGTCGTGTTGCCAGGCGCTTCTTCGCTGGCGCACTTCGGGGTTGTGGCTTTAAAACGGGTTGCCATGAGGCAGATACTACGGAAATTACACCCCGAACTTTAGGTCTGGTTGTAATGAAACCTCCGACACTAATAATCAGCACGTACAGAATCACAGAGTTTGATAATTTGCTGTATTTACAAATTTTTGTAATTTTTGATATGGAGTCTGGTTCACACGCTGCTAGAATCAGTATCAGGTTAATTCCTGCATCTCAAAGGGGGTTTCTTTCATACTGGCAACCTCAAAAGGCGTACCCCATCTTTGTAATTTAAGTTAAATTGACATTCTTGACACAAGACCTTGATGTGATGAACTGACTATCCAATCTCCTTCACTTTCTCCTGTTATTATCATCTTAAGGCCTATTATTGCTTAAAAACTGACCTCTTCTCTCACCTCTGGAAACAATATGGAGTCCTTATGAACACATTAAGTTCCTAATATTCCATAATGCAACAAAAGCACGGTGCACAGTCTAAAATCATTCATAATCTTTATTGTAATGTAAAATATAATAATAGTCAATCACACTGTGCTTCCATCATCACATGACCAGACTGAGTCTACCCTCAGGCTCTCTGTACATCATGTGATGCTCAGCACTGGTTACAAAATACTAGCACATATTAGCACTGCTGGGATTAGCCAGTACATGATTGATTGAGACAGTCTTAGAGCAAGAATGCCAAAAATTTCTCAGGATTTGCAGCTTCTTCTGTTTCATATCATTGTGCACTAAAACATTCTTTCATTTTGATCAAAACCAGGCAATGCACCTGGGCTTGTTTTTTTTTATACTTTTGACCGTCTAAAGATGAAAAACAATGAATATTAGACTAATATACAAATAAATCTATTTTAAAAATAGTTGCCCTAGATTGATATGTCATAACCAAGCTGCAGAAGCTTTGATTGGAAAGTGTCATACAAAGGTGTGATCTCTCAAAGTACTGTCCCATTTTAAGAGCAGAACACAGCCACAGAGAGTCCTGTGTAATCTCAAACTGTTTTTTCCTCCTTTTTCAGTTCTCACTGTTTGACACGGACGCTCTCAAGTGCACGTCTCTTCAAAGGCGTGGATGACACTGTCATATGCAGGAGGGGGAGTCTGTGAGGGCAGGAATCCTTTAAGTCCATTGTTGCCCAGCCAGAAGGAGTTCCTCTTGTTTGGCACCAGGGATGCTGAATCTGAAGACGTTGATGCTGCTGTGTCTTCAACCATGTTTGCCTGAGTGTCCTCTCCCATTCCCTCCAGACTGGCCCTGCTCCTCTTAGGTACTGGGCGAAAGGTGGAGGTCTCTATACCGGGCTTAAGCCCTAGAGGGCCTACTGGCTCCAGAGAGGGCTGCCTGTAGACGCTGAGAAAAGTGCTCCTGTACAGGCCCATTTGACCACCAGAGGGGTTTTGAGATCGTGAAGACCTTTTTTTGCAGCGTCTTGTGATCCTGGCGGTGGCCTGCCTTCTGGACGCCCAGGTCAGCAGGACATAAACCAGAGCGCCCAACAGCAGGCCCACAAGGATAGATAGACAGAAGGCGAGAATCATATCGCCTGAAAGAGAGGGGGGAAAAAAATCAGTGCAGAGTCAGGAAAGAGGAAGCAGAGCGATAAAAAAATAGTGGCTGGAAATGTTTAGTAGCTGAGAAGAGGATGCATTGTGTTGTCCTGAAAATGAGGAAGATTGCTTTGCCAGATGGCTGTTTGAGCAGCGTTTCAAGTTAGGAATAAAATCCTATTAGCACTGACAAGAAGCTGTTGCATCAGCTCTCCAAAGTACATATCAGTCTGTGCGGTACGTGCCCCAAGTGTTTCAGGGAATTTTGTTCTTTGTATTGATTTTTATGGCCGAACACTGCTATACTAAGCACAATGTTATATAAAAATCTTACATCAGACCAGCGTGGGGGTTCACCGTCTATGAAGTACCTTTGTGTCGAGTGGAAACTGACGATATCTCCGGTGCAAAGCGTAAAAAGAAGGATGTTTTTTCTTTCTTTTTTTAAGATAGTGGAAAGTCAGGAAATTGATATCGAAACAAAAAGTTTTCTGTTTTCTTATAAGATCTCTTTGGAGAGAAACCTTCTGGGATAAGTGACTCAAAATGCTATACCACACATATTTATAAAAAGAAAAGATGATGAACAGGAAAAACTAAGCATGTATGATTTTGGTTTTCAAAGACTTGGATGAAAATAAAGTCTGAGTGACATAGGATGATGGATGGAGTGGAAGGAAACAAAATTACAGGACGGAAAAAGCCCAGGGTTTTGACAACTAAAAAGAAGTTGCCAAAGGAAAACTGCAGTTTTAAAGGCCTATAAGTCATTCTCAGGACTGTTTTGACTTTGCAGATAATAATAATGAACATGTAGATGTTTTATGTTGATGTTATTGGTTTCTCCAACCTAACTGAGCACTTTATTTAATCGTATTTGCTGTCTTTCCAAAACACAGACACACATCTGAGAGTAATGAGTGTTTAGGGAGTCAGCCAGAACCAAGATTTCTGTGTTTTAGAGTAAAACATCAAAATATTCAGTGGATCCCCACAAGAAACCAAACATAAATACACTCACCTTGATTGAATGACTTTAGTATCTCCAAAATGGGATGTGTTTCATTTTGTGCCATAATTCCACCATATGCTCCTGTTATATTCGCTGTCTCCGAACACTCAGACGAATACTGAGCTTTTCCAAGACAGACTCTTTGCTTTTTTCTCTCCCACCACAGCGGTCTGTATGGCGGAAACTTTGCTGTCATGCTTCCTTCCCTCTCTGGCTTTAAAATTAGCAAAGTGCATTGCTTATCTGTGTGGGACATAACATGGGGAAACAGGGTTATTTCCTTTTGCATCATTTCCTCAGGATCAATACTTTTTAACAATGGCTTTATTGCCTCGAGTAAAATCATGATGCTTGTTTTCCCTCGCAGGCACACAACATCTGTTTGTATACACTGGAATTAAAACAAGAAAATCTGAACAAAAACAAACTGTCAGAGAGTCTTGACAAGGTTCTGGATAAGCTAAACCCTGAAAACCTCACCATGCACTGGAGAGTCTGCAGGCTGTCAAGCTCTCAGTCTCTGTGGGGATTTCCTTCTATTGTTGCCGTGTTCCCACTTCACCCCAGTGCTCTGAGTCTTCAGGCTGATGTGACCACAGCCTTCTGCAGCTCAGCTGATGCAGTTTGCAGATACACCAATGCCCTTTGTATAAACACATCTTTTTTATTTATTTCCACAAAGCTGTGGTAGAGCAGAGCCCTTAGTGTTGCAGTAGAGGCTCTTTTTTAAAGCTGAACTTTTGATATTGTCATCTCACAAACGTCCAGCAGGTGGAGCCGAAGTACTTGCAATAAAAAGTAATTTTGCTAAGTGCAGCACTGAGCACTTCACAGCTGCTTTTACATACATTACACTACAGCAAAATGGAAGTTTCCCTGAAACATCCCTCAAGAAATATATAATTCCTCCAGGGTAAAAAGGCTGCAATTGATTTTGGATAATGCTCTTGGCTGTTACTGTTTTACAAATCAATTTCAAGACACTTAAAGTTTTTTGTTCACAAAGGGCACAAAGTCAGATAGGGTTTTGGTAAAAACTGTTTACTTTCACAAGCTGACTTTAGACTCATTCAGCACAGTGACTTTTTCACAGTTTGTTACATAACCTTGAATATGAAAACCGAGCAACCAGCTGGCCGGTAGTGGCACAGACAGGAACAGAGAACAAAATCCCTGCAGTCACCTGCCAACGATAGGTCTGTAGTGAGATGATGCTTCTATGACTCACTCTGAAATCCTACTATTCCCCTAATATTCAGAAATAAATGTGGCTCAAAATGGTTATGTATCCTGTCACTGTCGTCAGAGTTGGACAGCACAACTGACACAGAATCAGAGTTTTTACCATCGCAGGTAATGACCTACCTCTTGCTAAATCATTTTTAGAATATAAGAAACTCTTGACATCCAGTCAAAACCTGTCTGACATTCAGAAGTACAGCTGCAGGTCATGTGACCCTCCATTAAGGCCCTAACTGGATTATAGTCCAGATGGCATGCAGCTCTTCCTCTCTCTATTGGGGGTTCTTCTCAATTAATTTAGGATCTACAACAGAAAGATAAAGCAAATGTGATACTTGAGGGACTTTTCTGACATCCTAACCAAGAAAAGTTCTCAGACTTGATGTTACAGTAGGGGAGAGTAGGGTAAGATGAGCCATTTTTCATATTTCAGATCACTACATCAAGGCAATCATAGTTTTGTCTCTAACTAGTGTATCTGCATATATTTCAAGATGTTGTGCATCCCTGCAAACCAACAGAATGAGTGTAAACATAACTGTCTTGATAATATAGCATGTCAAAAAAAGTGGTCTCCCATGGTCAACTTATGGGGGTGTATGGGGTAAGTTGACCCAGCTCTCCACCCCAGCCCTCCCTCACTTTCTCTCTCCCTAAATAACAGTCACTTCTTCACATTCATGTGTATTTTTATGCCAAATGTCTCAACTTACCCCAGAACTACTATTATGACTTTATTAGTCCTCTAAGCTAAAATGGTGGACTTTTATGCTACGTTTTGACCTCATGTTGTAGCTCATAGATACTACAATTGATGTATAAAACAAATTTAAAATGATCTTTTTGGTCTGAACACAATTCTAGTAAAACTTTGACAGACTAAATACACTTTCAAGAATGAAAAATGTTTTTTTTGGACATAAATGTCTAACCCCTTCACCTATGTGCTTCTAACCTTCACAGGCTCCATGAATTGATGCCCATCTCCTAAATATTCGGTCACATGATCAATTTCTTTTACCATTTCCAATCAACAGGGGGTGGCTCAACTTACCCTTTGGCCCCATTCTCCCCTAATATCATATTAAAGGCTGGAGACTGGGGATGACAGGCACTCATGTTTACTGACTACAGCTTTTTGGGTTGTGAAACAAAACTTTTAGTCTAAACTGGGGCTTTAAAAATTACATTATATTACAAGAAGTCAGTTTAGAGGCCAGTTTACGGTCACTGCCATAAATTAGCCCACAGAGGACACCCGGAATTCCTCTTTGTTTACCCAAATAAGGGACCCTTTTGTCCCCCAAAATAAGGAAGCGGACCACCAATTTCCGACCCCTCCTCCTAAAAAGACAGTATTTCCAGCAGTATGCTACTTCTGCGGTCACAGCAAACTTTACTTCACGCCACCATGTTTCATTTTCACCGTTACCACGGGCAACAAGGAAACACAAGTACCGAGACAGAGGCACTTCCTCTGTGAAGTTATCATGCTCTGCAGCCCTGAAAGTGGTAAGATGAAAAGTCAGATGCAATTTGTTCATTCACTCATAGTCTTGGGTTTTCGTGGTTTTGTTTAGGTAAGCGCTTTTCCGGCCATGCTCTACAGTTTGATGAGTTTGTAATGTTTGGCTAACTTCCTCGATTTGGTCTCCCGATAGCGGACTACACCTCTTCATTCAAAATAACCATACAGGGGGTTCTGTTTGATATGGTGGATTATTGTTTTGTTAGATAATCTCGCGATAGTTTAGTCCATATTCTGCGTACAGCTAATTTTCGGTCGACTGGACACCTGTTTGGGATAATGTAGACATTTATCGCACGTAATTTGACTTTCATTTTGGTACTCCTTGTTTAACTTCTGGGGTCATTTCAGTTTGCGGTTCTAGTCATGAGGAAGTACAGTTTTATTTTAAGTCTTTATTATAGTTCTAGACTGTGTTATGTCATAGTAGTTCGCTGTATTGTGTCGTTCTTAAGTTCTGAGTATATGCTAGCTTAATTTTCTTCTTTAACCTGCGTATTTCCCATTGACTGACAATTAATGAGACAAACCCTACAATGTTGTTTGACGAGTTTTAATGTTCTTTATCAATTTTAGTATTTAAAAGCAGTATAGGAATAATAATTCAGGTGTTATTGATGTAAGCAACAATGGCTGAGTTCCATTAAAGTAACTCAGCTGCTAAACTCCCTTTTACTTTTCATTATTGATTTACTGGCAGCTTATAAAAATGCTAGATGGAGTGCAGCCAGTATTCATTATGTTTTTTAATAGGTAAAGCATTAATTGAACCTCGTTTTACCTTGTGTAAATGACTTACTTATCATGACATATTTCTTGAAGGCAAATTTTTGCAGGGATGTAAATAATTCAATAATGGGTGGCAGCACAAAAGCACCAAATATACATTTTTAAAGTCACTTGCAGATGATAGGACATTTTTTGGTGTGAGGATTTGTCTCCTCCAAGGTATAATGAGGCTAAAGATTAACCCTTTGATAAGTTACTGTTAGGGGAATAACCAGTGTAGTAAACCATGCTTGGCAGTAGGTGTGGCTTCAGCTGAAACCTCAACATACTCTCTTTTTGCAGGCAGTGAATGGAAGACGTGCCTCTATTGGACAGTAAACCTGCTTGTCCCTGCATGAAACCTGAGATTCAATTGGACCCGGTCCTGCAGTGAAATTAGACAGAGAAGAAGAGAGACAGAGTGGGAGGGGCAGAGGGGATGTCCCGTCCAGGACAGTTGTGAAGGATCCTCAGCTCTCAGCATCTTTGACCCACCTTGTCAGACAGCTGCGACGAGACATCATGGCTTCTCCAAGGCACTTAGGTCGAGGGTCTGTGGACATCACAAATGTGATGCAAAAACTGCAGGGTAAGTGTCACTTTTTTACTCAGCTGGCTCACAGGACAAAACATTCTCTCCTCCTGCGCTGCTGCACTGTGGTATAGTGCTGATTCAATGCCTGGGCTGTGTGCCCATCTGAAGTTTGCCAGCTTCTGTAAAGCAGGATGCTGCTCACGCAAATGCTTACACACACACACACCCTCAGACACACTTACCCACACGGAAACATTAAGCATTCAGTTAGAAAACACTTAATGTAAATTAAACAGTTTTTGTCCTTATAAGGGTTCATGATAAGTGAGGCACTGTCTGATAATGGTTTGTATCCTCCAGTGTTTGCACTTAGTTTCACGAAAAATACTTGCATAGTAACAGTATGCACAAAAGTTGCAATGGTTAGACATGTCTATGAGAATGTGATCAGGCTGTTTGGATTACTTGAAACTATGTGAAAACCCCAAAAATATCTTGTTTTGGGAAATTTGATGTAATTTGCACATGGTGCCTTTGATTTTTTCCCAGTAGCACATAATCTTGTTTGAGATAATGAGAAAATTAATGTTCTGTCATGAAATGTCTTGTGACCAACCAACCAAAAGAAAGAAAAAAATAGGACACTTCACTGTTTGGCAGCCTAGAAAGGGGTTTTAAATAAGTTACTTGGAGGAATTTGATGAATACAACTATGAGGCTTTTCTTGGATTAGTTTGTCTTCACAGTTTCTGATTTTCTGCGGTGATTAGAAAACTAAATCTGTTATGGAGGGACGTGTTCTTTTTTCAATCATGCCATTATCACGGTAACATCCTGTCTGAATGCAGAGAGCTGCAAAGACACAACACAGAAATAGTTGAATCTTGATTTGGTCACTTCTTAGAAGTTCAAGATTTTATCCGAGTCCTGAATAAAGAGTTATCTCCTTGATTTGGTGGTTTCTTTGTAGAGCCATCCAAAGCTTTACAACATTTTGTCCAGTCTGAGTCTTGACATGGGATACTGGATCACATCAACTGTGGCTTGATGAATGCACAGACAGAGCACCGAACGAGACTAAAACCTGACACCCTTTCTGCCCTTGGTAAGAGAATAGATCGATAGCCGGAGTCTCTCTTTGTAGGTATCCCCCTTTTGTTACAAGGGCGTTAGGCTATCACTACACACGTCTGGTAAATTCTGGCATCCGTTTTGATTCAGTTAAATTGTATTTAAAGGTGTACAGCATATCAGGAAATAGTTCAAGATTTGGCTTGTTACCATGGCAACCGTTATGAAACATCTGTCTGTGGTTGTGCCAGTGTTGGCCAGTTCCTGCCCTAGAGACTTTCAGTTTCCTGTGCAAAGCTATTTCCATTCAATCTTTATTAATACATACAGATTGTGCGCATAATGAGTTTGAAGTATGCTATGACTAAGAATGCCTGCAATTTGGGTATGATCTCATGTTGACATCCTGACGTAAACTGGCTTTGAGTGAATCAAAGTAATTCAAGTGTCTCTAAAAAGGAGAGATGTTTTATCTTTTCCTTTTTGTATAATACATCAAACCGAGAAAAAGAAAGCATTCCAACCCAAATTTAATGATTCATATCAAGTGTCAAAAATCGAATCGACTCAAAAAATAATCAGGCAGCTGTAATACTGTATGCATAGAGGTGTGATACAAAGTACCAGCTACTGTTGTGGGTTCAGAATCTGATGTCATGTCACATCTGGAAGACATTATTGTGTTAGTAGTTATTGGTGCTCTGTAGAGGTTGTTTCTGCTGGTGGTCAAACTTGGCTTCCTGTCTTAAAAGAGTCCTGCAGAGAGACTTCAAACCCACTTCGACTAAGGCGACTGTCCATGTGGAGGGATGAATTAAAGACGCCAGCTAATTTGTAGCGCTGTGAAAAACAACTGGATTATCTTGTTAGTTTTGACAGCATCGTGTTGAGATTTTAAAGTGGAAGCCTCAAAAAGCTGTTGCAATGAAAGGTTTCCACTTGTTGCTGTTACATGGGTATCTGTCTGTGTGAATTTAGTACTGCAAGACTGAAGTAACATCCTGCAGCCTTAAATACCCTCAGGGTGTGACTGATGTGTGTTAGCTGTCTGGAGAAGTGTGCATGGCAAGCTCATTGCTTTATCATGCCCGCGCTTTTGCGGGTTTCTTGTTGGTTTCATTCTTGCTAAGGCTGTGTGTCAAACAGGAAATGATGAAATGCAGCTGGTGTAAGGTTTGTGGAGACGTCAATCAGATCTAACGTCTCAGACTGACAGAGGAAAGCCCATTAACGTGGATCATATATGCAGTCTTACAGAATTCTTGTTTTTGAACAGAAACAAGACTATACATACTTCTAATATTAAATAAAAATCAGATGAGACATATTGTACAGATTTGTTGCGAAAATGACAGTTTTTGAGCTGATTGTGCTTTTCACTAACCCTGACTTTTTCAACCAAGCAAAAAACAATCAGTTTAATTGTACTGCAGAATGTCATTAAATAGTTGTTTTGACATCTTCAGCTGTTATGATTTTCCTGTCCAAACAATCCAAAAATATGTAATTGAAAAATTAATGAAATTCATGACAAGTGACTCATCAGAAATCCTTAAAGAGGCAGTATGCAACGTTAACATTTTTAGGTAGAAAAACACCGTCCTCTCCTATTTTAATACCTTTGTCACTCTTCCAGACAAGATACCAGTACTGAAATAAAAACCTGGGTGATACCAATACAGATCAGATACAATACCAGACTAAAATGAACAAGCTAAATTTCTCTATATGAGGATGAGACTGTGAATTGTGTTTTGCAACATTAGCCTAGTTCAACTCAGTAAACACAAATAGAAAAAGTACGTATATAAAGCTAATGCTCAAAACTGAACTAATGTTATATATTGATGAAATTGATGTTGTGTTGCAATTATAAATCCGTGGGGCACTGTTGGGACCTAGTGGCACCAGCGGTCTTTGTTGCAGTAATCACTAGTTTCGACTCTCACCCACCTCCCCTCATTTTCTAAAAAAAGGTACAACCAGCTTGTGGGTTCACCTCTCATACCCAGACTGATGAATCAAACAACCTTTAGCGGCTTTCACATTTTCAAACCATCACTAGGAAGTTACTTAGGTCTTTGCAACACAGCTGAAAACACCACCTGCATTGTGACAACTTCTGTTTTTGTTTGGATGAACGTCTTTGATATGATGATGTTGGTTGGCTGCACTGGAGTTTTTGTAATCAAGCAAAATGTTTCTCCACTGCTGAACCTTTAAAGTTAGCTCCCTCTATGCTACATTAGCTCCTTGACTGGCAAAACTTTCTGCTGCACCAATGATGTAGTATGAGTAGATGTTTGCTATAAACAAAGCTTTAAACTAAGATGAACAGATCAGCTCCATGGATTGGCTCTTTGCCACCAATTCCTTGTTTAGGTTTTTGAGTTAGCGGTGAATATCTGATTCCAGGGTTTGATCAGTCTATCAAACTTATTATCATGCAATCTGTCTGTTTGGTTTTATGTTAGAAAAATAACTTGAACATTAAATAATCTTTAAAGATGTTAAATTAATTTCAATCACTCATGTTATCAGCTTCCAAGCACTCAAATTTGTTTGCTTCTATAGACTTCTGCTAATTCTTCCAGTAGGAGTGCAAAATTTCATTTTTTAAAGACCACAGCCAACCACTGAGGTCGAGACATCCATTGTTAGGAATCTATTTTCAAACAAGAGGCCGGTGTAGTTACATCACAGGTGAGAGAAAGAGAAGCTGGATGCTGTCAGCTGTAAGAGATGCTTCTACTCTACAGTGTCAGCGACAGCTGCCAGGAACAGACACTGATACAGTCTCATGAAGAGAGCCTCATTCCCACGTTACTCAGAGCCAAGCAAACAGAGGCTGTTGTTTTAAGATAGATATTTAATTTTTTACGGCTCAGCTTAATTTCCTTATTTTTGGTGACGTATGGTTTAGTGGGGAAAAATCATTCAGAAAGCATAAATCAAGACTGTCAAAGAGCCCTGAACGGACGGCTTCAGGATCCTGTCTTGTTTGCGTGTTGAAGCTAAGTAGGGCTGCTCTTGACTAAATGGAACAACAGCAGAGTGAATGGGCTTTTACAGTGCTCCCAGGTGACCCACACAGGCCAGTGAAGCCAAGCACCTTTAGTGCAGTATTGCCAAAGGTATCATCTGTCCTAAGATCACCTTAAGTACTACATTACTCATGTGAATAGCAGAGGCTTTAGTGGTTTGATCCACTGTGTGGTGTTTGTTTCCAGGCTTTCCACTTTTAATTGCCACTCAGCTGCTGGTGCTACATCAGGCTTAATTAAGTCAGTTGATTCGGACATAATGACTCAGTGATGGGGAGCCGTTTTACATGAGGATTTCATGCTTGTCAGAGCTACAACATTCAGGCCTGACCCACAAACATTATGTTCAAAGTAAAGGGTACATATGTGTTCAGGACTCTGGACAGCTCCTTAATAGCTACATGGATCTTAAAAGGAACAGCTGGAATAACAAGGGAACCTCTGTCTGTGTTTGGGCAAGTTTCAAATGTGTGAATTCTTTGGCACATACAACCTCAGTCCCACACGCTTTACAGTGAAAGCACGGTACCTTTTTTTCACAGTGGAGCCATTTTCTTTGCTTCTGGTGCATCTTCATTCACCATATCCCCATTACCAACTTCAGGAGTTACACGTTAGTCGGCCTACAGTGGATATCCCAGATTGAAGGTTTGAATTAACCAAGCTATGATTAGAATTAGACGCTCAGAAAGTCAAGCTGATGTTGGATTGTATATAAACAGAACAGCAGTTGATTAGTAATGCCTCAACCACTCTTCACTGTGTCGGCAATCTTTTACAAAGAGATAGAATAAAAAGTTGCACCACAACAATTATTTCCACACAAATGTTCCCAGATGTATTTTTTAAAATTAAAATATTGTAGTAGCATATGTGACCAAAATGTGCATATTTACATTATTTAGATATTTACTAGGACGTGGAGGTATGTGTGGTCAACTTTTGAGACTTATTGACTGAAGGTTTTTTTATTGTTATATTATAGTTAAAGCTGCTATGAAGAAGTTTTTGTTTGTGTTGACTTTGGTGCCCCCTGTGGATGAAGTGATACTTCTCATTACTTGTTCTGTAAATATAAAAATAGTGTTTTCAGACTCCTTCTGCTGTCCACTTTCAAGTATTTGACATTGCCAAAAACAGAGTAATACCTTATCACTCTGCATTGTTAGAAAAGCAGTGCTGAGAAAAGAATGTCTGTATTCCATTCATTTGCATTCACAGCAAATGTTTGCTTTGAAAAGAGCCACATCTGTACTGCAGTGGGTGATAGTATCATTCTGGGATGCACCCACAATCTCAGGGCTTTTAAAGCTTCTTTGAGGAACTTTTAGTCTGAATTAATTTTTGGTATCTCCTGAGTAAAAAGCTGTATCTTTTATCTCTGTGTTGATCAAGTAATATAAACTCATTATTTGACACCATGCAAGGTGTCTGCCCTAGTTTTTAAACATTCAAATGATATCCAGCCACAGCTATCTCTAGTGGAAACAAAAACAAAGGATGTCCTTTTGCTGCAGGGCTTGGAAAATGTAGCATTGGGCGTTTAATGCTGACCTTTTACCCTCCACTTTTGCTTACAGTTACAGGAACCTGAACCTGTCAGAAGGCACACCCTAACTGTCCAAAATAAAGTAACAATAACTGAGCAAACACATGGTTTATTCTCCAGATAGGTGGGTGTTAAATGATTGAAAATCACATGAACTTGATTTTAATTTGTGCCAAACCTGTAATCTGTAATCCTGACCTTTTCTTGTTTGGATTTAGCTTTCCATGAACGTAAGCACCAATTGTGGTATTTTCTAAGGCTCTTTGTTCCAAGTGCTCACAGCTGTCAACATGTTTTTAATGCCCCTGCCTCTAACCTTTTGCTGTTTTGATGTAAGAAAAAAAAAAATCCATTTTCACCCAAATAGCTTTTCTGGGCCAGCTCCACCAGCGGTCTGTAGAGCAGTATTAATAGAAACACAAGCTCAGGCCTATTTTTAGTGTATCAGAAAAGCTTTTAGTCTGCTGGTGGTCTTAAAAGAATGAAGGGATTTTTCTGCAGGAGATGCTAAACTATGAAGTACAGCGCCGTACTTATTTATTATTGTATGTTTTTAGATGAGTGTACAGAGAGAACAGACCAGTCAGAGCTAAAGTAGTTCATCTAGGTCTTACAGGACAAAAAGGGATATGCTTCAAAGCTTTTACACAAAATTGTGTGTGCAGCGGGAATCCCAAGGTGGGTGTGTCTCCCTTTGTCGTCACAATAGCATTGGCAGTGAGAGGGAGCAGGTGGTAGATGTCATTCACCAGCCTCAGCATTAATTATTAAGATTTGTAGCACCATGGTGAGCTTCATGCAGCAGTCTTTTAATCTTGTTCAGGCCTTCTTAATCAATGGGCCCATGGGGACTTGAATTGATTAAACAGTCAGATGATAAAAGGAATAATTAGAGAAACTTTGAAAATTCTATATTTTTTTGTAATCACAGCCTCGGAGATTGTTTTCATTTTGAAAATGTGTTAGTCCTATTAAAGATTAGACAAATCTCAGAGGCAGACACCATCCCCCTGCCCACCACACATCCTCACATGAATCGGGATAATGCAGGCAGCCAGAGCAGTGACATCACCGCCTCCTTCATCCTGATTGGTGGAGCCATGCTTCTAACTGATCTCTCCAGCCTCAGACGGTACGATGATACAGCCAGCAGTGCAGCGGGGGCTGTGCACATCCAAACAGGCATGGCTTCTCTGGATGGAAAAAACACAGGAAGATGGAAAGATGGGGTTGTAAATGACCCTGTCTGCTAGAGGTTTCTCCTCTGCTGCCTGCGTGTGTGTGTGTGCATGTGTGTGAGCGTGTGTGCCTGTGTGTGAGAGTGTCAGGGAGGAGGGGACGATTTCATCCCAGCCTCCAGCAGCTCTTTTGCTTCCACCGGGGGAAACCAGGCAGCCAGATCTGTTTTGCTTCCTGCTGGAGAGACTAGGGGAAAGGACAACTGTGTGATTCTGTGCTTGTTTTCCCACTGTGGATCTTTATGCACCCTGGAACTCATGAAAGGCAAAGGGAGAGAGCCCGAGAGTGGGTTGTAGAATGGCTCACATTAAGGATGTATCTGTCAGGAAGACTTCTTTAAATCTGGTGACTGGATTTTTTCAGTATCTCCGTGGTAAGTAGGGCAGCAGCACCCTTCGTCTCTCATCCGTGTGCACATACGTAGCTAATCTGGGATATAAATAGAGAAATAACATATGTGGATTGTTTGTAGGTGAATCCCTGCTACATGAACTAGTTACAGTGTAATATACTGCACACACACAGATGTATGTGTGCTGCATCTGTGTGTGTGGATATGTGTGGGCTATGCTTCAGTGGGCATCCCCTGTGCATCAGTGATGTAGCATTTGCCTGTAGGTTAACATCAAGTCTTTGCTCCTTGTATAGTGTTCGCACTGCTTCTCGAAACACGTGACCACAGTCTATATCTCCAAGGGTGGGTGTTTAAAAATGGCCACTGTGTGTGTATGTGCAGTGTGCAGCACTTTCCTGCTGGCATGCGTGACAGGGTGTTAGAAATCAGTCCTCGACCCAACACCAGGACCACTATGGGAGAAGAAATCAATTGTTTTGTTATACATGTTGCATAATGCATGAAGCACTGTGCCTGAATATATTAAAGCGACCACAAAAGAGGCTGGGAGTGACCCAAACAATCACGCATGTTAATACTGAGCACAGCAACGGATTGCAGCATGTGTAGGCAGAAACTCTCCCTCCACTCATTCTCTAATCTCCTCATATGACCTCCTTCTGAAAGCTCTCCTCAGGAGAATCTAGCAGGCTTGTGTTACCCACATTGCAACATCTAATCTTTGCAGAAGTCCTACTCAGTGACATGCTTGTTGCAGGGCTGCCGTAATGCCCCTCACTATCCCAGAAGCAGCGTAGAATAATGTGGTATTAAGTCGGATCAAGCAGGACTCAAGCATGGGAACGTCCTACCAAAGCTGTCGGACTTTAGGTAGTGATTAATATTTGATGTGTTTTATGCTGGCGTGGTAGCTATAAATTCGACCATATCTATTTCAGGAATCAATTGGCTGCCACTTTACAGGGAGAACAAGTCTGCAATCTCTGATCAAGTTCCAATGTGCAGGTGCATCTTAACAAACTAGAAAAATGAGTGAAAGTCCTGTATGTTTGATTCAAAAAGTCAAACGTTTGTTATTCTATACTCAATAAATGTAAAGTGAAACATTTCAAGGCTTATTTGTTTTGATTTGGATGATATTAGCTAATGAAAACCAGATATCAAATATCTCAAATCATTACTTTATCTCATACATTCAATAAAAAACATAAATTTCCAACTTATAAAAGTATGTTCATTGATGCAATCAGTATTTGGTTAGGGCTCCTTTAGCATCACCCATAGATTTAGGTCGGTTCAGATGAGTAGGCTGGCCAATCAAACACATTAATATCATGCGTAGTTAAATATTTGGTAGTAGTTTTGGTGCGGTTGGCAGGTGCTAAGTCCTACTTGAAAAGGAAATGAGCAGTTCTACGAAACTTGTCATCAGATGCGATAGTTGTTTCCTCTTTCCTGAAGACGTCTGTGCGTGGCGGCTCTTGATGCAACATCACCAGCTGCAGTCTACTCCTTGGGAAACTCATCAAAGTTCCTCAGTCAACTCTTCTCAATTACCTTCTCAATCTCTGTTACTTGTGCACCAGTGACCTTTTCCTAGTCGGTTTTCCATTTACCGTGCTTTTACCACTCTGCTTAGAGCCACCCTTTAAAGAAACTTTCTCTAACTAATTGTCCTTGTTGAAGATACTCAAAATTGAAATGGAAAAATGCTTGTGATATTTAAGTATATTTTATCTTCACTTTCTCAGACTGATCGAAAATCTTGAACTAGTATAACCTGTTGAGATGCACTTGTACACCTCTTTTTTTAATGAAATCTCCTCCCCCTCAAGTGTGAGTCTCAGGTCAAGAAGCCACCACCATGTTTTCATCTGTTCTCTGTGCTTTCAATTCCAGATGAGCAAGAGGCAGTGCAGAAGAGAACCTTCACAAAATGGATCAACTCTCATTTAGCAAAGGTAAGTGTGGATCTCCCCTCATGCTCTCTGCTGCTGCTTCCACATCACATGCCTGGCATAAATCACCTGACGGCAGCTGGAGATTTTACAAGCTCATATAAACACAAATTGTCCAAGCAATTACAACACAAGTGAGTTGGAAGCTGTGCCATGTTGGCCTTCATCATCAGAGACACTTTGGCTGTTTTATTGCTCGGCATGATTATGCAGCTCCTCCTTGGTTAGTGGTATTTCAGGCTACTGACCCGTCATCCCTGCAGAGAGCGCTGACTAGATGATGAGCCATGCTGTGCAACAGTAATGGCCCCTAATAACACTACACAAGATGATTGAATTTATCCGGTTAACTGAAAACAATGGCAACATTTGTTACTTAAGCGTTTAAAATCAAATCATGTTTAATGGAAGATGGTTTGTTTATGATGACGATTTGCTTAGTGTAATGACGGAGAAGGAACACACCCTTTACCCATGAGTCTACTGTTTCGTTTCCCTGAGAGGAGAAGCTCTGAAAAGGTCACGCCGCTCGCTGCTTTCCTGTATAGATGGCGCAGACATGACAGAGATAAGAGGCAGAGATGTTTTAAGGGAGCTCACCAGTGCCATTTGTACAAACATGAGCTGCTGTAGTGTTAGAGAAGTGAGTTTATGTGGGCATATGGGTGGTGAAAAGGAGTTATTCAGAAACCGGTGTTTGAGCATACTCCCTGTGTGTGAGTGTGTGGGCACTTAGTGTGTGTGTGGGTGTTTTGTTATTCAGCTAAGTGTGTGTATTTGTAGAAAGCATGGCCAGGGACTGTGCTGAAGTGTGCAGATGGAGAGCAAGAGGGTGAGGACAAATCCCTGCAGGCAGTTGTCTGCTTCTAATGCTCATGCATGTCAATGACAAGGAGCTGAGCACACAACAAGAACACATGCTCACATGCTGCATTACATCCCACTGTGAGTCTTAATTAACCAACTATATTTACCAGGGCTGAAAGGAATGAGAGCGTTAACTGCTCAGTAACCTGTAGATTAGCTGCACAATTAATTGGACACTTTTGGGGCCTATAAAATAAAATGACAACTCCAAAACTGTTGAGCAGTGCTCCTGAAACCCCATAAAGACTCTTAACTTATTAACCAGATTTTAACTTGACAAATTGCATAAAATCTTCCGGGAATTTAGAGGAAGTGAATTTATTTTTTTGTATTTAGAAAAAAAACCGTTCCAAAATACATCAGTCAGATTGAATTTAAAGTGACAATATGAATTGATGTTTTACCTTAGCATCAATCATCAACAAATCTGTCAAATGCTATCCTAAGACACTTAACAAAAGGAGCGCTCTGTCATGATATGTTGTAATGTATTTATTTAGTTTCCCCCTGGTTTTGTGATTTAAGTGTATTTTCTTTGTGTTCTGTTTCTGTCCCCAATTGTTCCTGTTCGCCTGTAGTCCTGTCTTGTGAGTTTTCAGTTATGTCTGACCACGTTTCCCTCATGTTTTCAGTGTTTTATTCTATTCTTATATTAGTTTTCAGTGTTCCTGTTTTATTTTGTAGTAGTTTCTTCCCTGTGTTTCTAGTCTTGTTTTACTTCCTCAGTTTTCCCTCCTCTGTAATTGTCTGCACCTGTGTCTCTGTGTCTCACCTGCCTCTCGTTGCTCGTTTCCCTGTGTGTGTGTATATATAGTCCTTGTCTTCCCCTGTTTCTTGGTTGGTTCACTGTATGTCTGTCTGTCTTTCTTTGTGTGTGAGTCTCCATGTGATTTTTTTCCCCCCTGTGCCTTTTTTATTTTGTGGATTTTGCTCCTTGTGTTTTTTTTTCATTTGGGATTTTGTAAATAGTAAGTTTTTGTTGCTTCTTATTTAGTTCTTTTTTAATATATCCTTTTTTTTCCGTCCTGCATTTGGGTCTTTTTCTTTGTTTAACCCTGCAAGTGTGACACCATCTTTGTTGTAAGTTACACAAACCCAAAGTTAATCTACCAGGAGAAAAACACTTAAAACATCCTTTTATCAGGTTGACACCTCAAGCTTTGACACTCTGTCATATTTTCTTCTTGTAATCATTTAAGACACTGAGAGAGAGACTGGGATTAATCTCAAGATTTATGTACAAGTTCATCATACAGTTTATTATAATTATTTGTAAACTCATATGCCTAATTACAAGAATTTGTGCCCTGACTGACAGAAACTTTAAGGTTTTATAGTATCAGACACATATCTGTTCAACTCTTTAAAATTCAGAGCGAGCTGCTGAGAGCTGAGTGATCTCTTTCTGTTTGTAACGACTGATGACACAGCAGAGCGTTCAGCTGGTCAGAGATCACTGCATGGTTGGAGTCTGTAACCAAGCAAAGAGATTTAGTTTGGAGCAATCTTTTGTTGAGCCTGATCTGCGAGCATTAGTTCAAAGAGTGGCTTCTTAAACTTGAAAAGAATCTCAGTTATGTGGTGGGCCAGCGCAGAGACGCTCTGTGGGTCTATTCTTCATTATTCATGCACTCAACTCGAGCTCACTCGCTGTGCATACCAATGAGATTAATGTAGAATAAGCCACGTCATGTTGGGGCTCCCAAATGATCATATTTACCCTCCTGAGTGAGCCAGATGAGCTTATTTAACAGGAGATTTTATATTGATGTGAGTTTTCTTATCAGTGCAGAAATTTGGAAATTTAGACATTTGGAAAAGCTTTCTGTCTTCGTGTGAATTGAATAATGTCCTGTTTGGGAGCTCTTTTTGAAGTCTGAAAGTGAGTGTTATCACAGTTCAAACTTCCTCCACTCGTCACTCATCACTTTTTCCCTCTAGCCTTTGTGTCAGTTTCCTCTGATAGTGTATAAGTAAGCACATTTCCACAGATTTTCACAGTTTTTCCACTGTTATGAGCTCTCATGTGACTCTGTTGTAAAGTTAGTTAATGAATTTTCCTAGGGTGTGGATCATTTCGTTATTAGACAACTCCTTTTTTGTCTGAATACACTTTTTAGCAGTTTGATTGGAATATTTAGAAGTAATTTTCTGTTTAAAATAGTTTATCTGAAACGACAGGTATGACCCTTTTTTCCCAGTTTTGGTCAAGCAGCTCAGGTTTTTAAAACTAGTATGTTTTATTTCACTTTAATCAGCGCTTACAATGACAAATCCTCTACAATGTTTTTGTGAGCAGAAGAAGAAAGGTGCACATGTACAGAATAACAGGGCAGACGCTCGCCTCTTCACACTGCTTTGCCCCAAATCGTCCGCCAACAGCATCCTGTCATGGAATATGTCGAGTTGTGAAATGGCCTGTCTGTGGTGCCAAATCAAGAATTCCCATGCTGAGCTTTCCCTTTAATCGAACCTCCACTCCAGCAAATAGATACACATCTGTTTCCTTTACTCGTGCAGCAACCCCTGCGTCACACTGTAGGTTATGATACGCTCATTCATCTGATTCTAGTGCTCTGTAAATATGTGCTTATTATGTCAAGAGACGGCTTCCAGTTCGGGTTAAAAGTGTACCATCGCCTCAGGTCTGGGCACAGAGCCACTGCCGAGAAAAAGGCACCATCTTTTCAGCTGCAGGGAGGCTCTGTGGCTGTTGCTAACAAGCCTGTTTCCCACAAACAACATTTGGTTTCTCCTCATGTCTGCTAATGGGTTAGAATACCAGTACCCTCTTAGATTGTAGCACTGCCACTGTGACATTTCTGCCTCTGTGAGTAACTAGATTAATTTGTTATTATCAGAGATGCAATTTGTTGATAAGTGTCAGTGCAGTTAAAACAGTTTTTTCTCTCTTTTTCAGTACAAACCACCACTAGAGGTTAACGACCTTTTCGAGGACATCAAGGATGGGGTGAAGCTCTTGGCTTTGTTGGAGGTTCTGTCTGGCCAGAGACTAGTAAGTCCTATATCTGATTTTTGACTTTCAGCATGGCTTTTTGAGACATGTCGGATTTCATTCAAACCATGAAGCTGTTCGAGGTGCAGTTACACAAATTGAGATTTACTTAAAGAGGAGAAACACCTTGTATGAAATTTGGTTGAATAAATGAGGTCCATAACGCCTGATGGTTCCTTTTGTTTATATAAAAACAAGACGTGAACAGATTAGCATCATGGCTAGCATTAGTTAGTGTAACTTTTTGTGCATGTCTGGGCTGTGCTGTTTGCTGCTCTTTATAGTTTATACATTATTTATCAAGACATTTCCATACACTATGCTGGCAGACCAACTGTTATCTGTTAACATTTGTCATCTGGTGTCTGGCAATGAAACGACCCTCATAATTCACCTAATACATGTATTTGTTGGGCTGCATGATTATTTATTTTTGGACCCCACTGGCCCCAAACATTTGGTCAAATACAGCATCAAATAGTATAACAGAAAAAACTATGACGATAATACAGCTAACCTTAAGTTTTTTTACTCGTCATAGAGTTTATTCACAGTGCACTTTCATGTACTGTATATATACTGAGTATTATCCCCAGATAATGAATGTACCCTATTGGACAGTATTCTGTCTATAATTCAAACACTTTCCAGTTAGCCAGGCAATTGCTAGCTCACTCTCACTTTTTATCACTCATTGTAGCTTTACTCTTTGCTCACTCTGCCCCTCTGCTTTACCAACACACACCTTGTCATCTCACTCTCTGCTTTGCTGCAGATATGTTTCATCTCTTAGTTTCAGAAAATTTCGAAAGGTTGCATCATTGACTTTAACAACGTCAGCACACCTGCTGTCACAAGAGGCACAAGGGTTCATTTTTAAAATGTGGGTTTTCTCATTACAGTGACTTTAAATTAAACTGCTGATGACTGTTATAAACAGAGCAGACACGTGATATTTGAGAGAATTGGGGAGGAGATCTCTGAGTGGTGCAGTGATCAAATATTGATATCAGATGGGAAATGTACTGACCGTAGATAACACAATATATAAACTGCAGTGAATCAAAAGGGCTCAACCACATAGAGCTTTCTTTTGGTGGAGCCGAATATCAGTGATCTCCATCAGTCGTGTTTCTTTTTTTTAATTGTGCAGCATGATTCAGTGCTTAGATAAGTAAAGCAGCTGACTATTAATTGACTTAATCTATTTCTACAATTTTTGCAGAACTGTTTTTTGACTTTTGATTTATTTGTTGTGTTACATGTTGAACTTCATCAAAACCCTGTTTGAAGGTCACACATCAGTCATGTCTTTGAAATAAAACAAAAACAAAAACAGATCCTCATATTCTCTATTTTCATCTTACATAACCGAGACATCACAAGTTTGGAGCGAATCTTTGTTAGTCCCATTACATGCCGGATCACTGCACAAAAATTGCAGAGCCATGATCAGATCTAAGCCGTCCCGCTGTGAGAAGCTGCTGGCTCAACTGTCTCTGTTTCTCTCCCTCTCAGCTTTATACACACACACACAGAGAAAAAAACACTCTGATAGGGATTTAGTAATCAGAACTGTCTTGAAACAAACTGATTCGTCGTCTGCAAAGCTGGTGCTCGGGAAATGAGTCAGTGCTTCAGCTGCCTGGTGCTGTCAGGAGTTCACCCCTGCTGGTTCATTTCTGCCTGAAATTCGACATCCACAGTCCTCACCAGAGACGTTTTATTTTTCTGTGAAAGGTTTTACTTTCTCTCTTAAATCAGCTTTGGCACTCATCTGTTAATTTATGTAAGTAAAGCCCTGCTAATACTCCATGTCCAGTTGTCCTATCTTTCTCCACAGCTAGAAGTAAACATTATTAACACTTTAATTTCCTAATATGTTTCCAAGCTGGAAAATGTTGAATGAAGACTTCCTCAGCTTTGCATTATACGGCGAGCTTAATTGTCTCTCTTGTCTGTAGCCCCGTGAACAAGGCCGCCAGCTGAAGAGGATCCACTGGGTTTCGAACATCGGCACTGCGCTCAAATTCCTCGAAGGCAGAAAGGTAAGCAATCGGCCATCGAAGCATTCTGACTTTTAGCATGCCATTCATTTCCACAATCAAAGTGTCACATAATGAAAACCGTAGTAAAAGCTGAGAGTATGCAGTGATTAAGTGCTCATGTGCAAAGTTGTTGAGCAGATATTTTTAAGTGCAAATGAGGTCTCAGTGTGAGTACAACATGCACCGTGTTGAGAGGAGCCGCAGATAGAGACAGGACTTCTTCATTACATAACCCATCTCTGAATCTTTGGCTCTGTAAAGCCCGTGTCCCACTTTTCCGCGGGTTCCCCGAGGACTGAGACTTACACTGTTGTGATCTCTCTCCCATCATGTGTGCCCTCAGTCTGTGTATCGAGGATCTCCGGTCAGTCGCCATTTAACGCCCTGTGTGATCATAAACTGTATGCATTCTTTTTATTTGATGCACGCTGTGTACTGAACCACGCTTGGATACAGCCTTTCTGTTTCTGAAAACCTAGTCATTACGCTTTTTCTACTGACATGCATTTTGATGCATTTTGACTACAGCACTGGTTAATGACGTGTCTGGCTCCCTATTATTCTGAGCTGCTCTAATCTAGGGATGTAAACATGGTGAATTGTGAAGCTAGGTTTGCAGTGCTGTGCCACCTCTGCTTTTCATTTAATGCCTAGTTGAACTCAAGTGCCTTGTCTTTTCTTTTATTATTCTGGTTCTCTTTCACACGCTGTTTCTGCTTTCCTGTTTTGGCTGTTTGACATTACTGAAATGCATCAAAGACCTGACTTTGATGAGTTTGAGCAAGAAGAAAAAAAAAGGAGCTTGCAACATTTGGACAGAGTGAAACTGGAGGGGCTTCTGTTGGGTGAAAATGCACAAGACTTGCACCTCCAGACTGCCTGTATGTGACTTATTCCTGGAATAATCCTCTGCTTGGCTTGTGTTCCAGATCAAACTCGTTAACATTCACGCCACAGACATCGCAGATGGGCGACCATCAATTGTCCTTGGGCTGATATGGACCATTATCCTCTACTTCCAGGTAACGCCAAAATCCTGAGAGTTTAATTACTTTGCTCACTCCTCTGTGAGAGGATACCCTGCAGATAAACCCTGCACTTTACAAAATCTTGGACTTTAGGACTCAAAAATTGATGCCTTCTTCCTAAAATGCTGTGATCACCGCTAAACCCTCTTCTTCTCTTGTTTTGCTCATCCTCAATTTAGATTGAAGAGTTGACCAGCAACTTGCCAGCCCTCCAGGCCCTGTCCAACAGCAACTCCTCTGTCGAGAGTGTAGCCAGCTCTGAAACGGGAAGCCCTCCCATGAAGAGAAAGGTGGTGAACAAATTTCAGGGCAATGCCAAGAAGGCGCTGCTCAGATGGGTGCAGTGCACAGCAGCCAGGTACGCCTGTTTTTAAAAATGTGTTAATGTGAGACATAGAGGGAAACTCTTACAACTTCGTGAATAACAAAGCCTACGTTCCTGTTTTTGTCAGGGATCATGGTATTGAGGTGAAGGACTTCGGCCCCAGCTGGCGTGATGGCGTTGCGTTCCAGTCTGTGGTTCACGCCATCAGACCAGACCTGGTTGACATGGAAGTGGTGAAGAGGAGGAGCAACAGAGAGAATTTGGAGGAAGCCTTCACTCTTGCAGAAAACGAGCTGGGTATCCCCCGTCTGCTGGATCCAGAAGGTACCCTTGACCTTTCCTGCCACTTGAAGAGTTCAGTGTAGAAAAGATAGCATAAACAACAGTTTTAAGTAGGTGAGTCTAACCAAGCAGCAAGTATTAGACATACATAAGATTCGTGAGGGCTGTAGAAATCCCTGACATCTCCAGGAGGATTAAAATTCTGTGTGCACTTGTGGCTGAGAGAAGTGAAGCAGTCTGCAGTGACTCTGCAGTCCTGTCTTCACCGGCAGAGTCATGATGTTTTATTGCAAGAGGATCTGCACTGAAACGGCTCTGCTTGTGCGAGAGTTTGACCCTGAATCGTGGCAGCATCAGGCCAAGAATGGAGATGAAAGTAGACATTTCTAATTAGCTGCCATGACGGGAGAGATTTATCCCCCTGAGGATGTAAAATACTTTTCTTTTCACATGTCTTATTAGCTGAGCACTTCATGTTTCAGCTCCGTCTTACTGGGTCCTGATTTCTTAATTTATGAGTCCATCTTTGAAGTAACATGCCTGTCACCCTGCAGATGTGGATGTCGACAAGCCAGATGAGAAATCTATCATGACGTATGTGGCACAGTTCCTCAAGCACTACCCGAATCCTCATCACTCTGAGACCGATGGACAACACGACGAGGTATTTGTTTAAAGTTATGATTTAATATGTTAAATAAATCATTTGAAGTAATAAATCAGGCTATTTCTGGGAAAAGTGTTGCTATTGCTCAATTTTCTCTGGAATTTTTTAGGTTTGATTTATTTCTTCCATTCTAATTTCCCTAAAATAGTCTCATAATTAATAGAAAATGACCACATGCAGAGATCATAAGTGTTTTTACATAAATCACGCCTTCATTGCTGCTTGGCTTAATCATCATTGTGCTTGCATTTTTTATGATTTATCACATAAAGCCACACGAATTGAGATAATCACAGCATGAGCACAGCGGTAATAAAGTCATCCACATTTTGTTCACCATCTTTACATTCATTTGATTTCTCCATCTACTTATTTTCTTTGTGCACATTAAGCTGCTTCTTGGCTCAATTCCAACTTTTGCACTTTCAGTGCCGGTACTTAAGGTGAGAGTTCAGGTCATACTGCTGCATGCTTCCTGTTTGGAGTGTTTTTTTTTTTTCCTCCCTCGACCTCATTCCGCTCCCATCCACTTTGCTCTCCACTCCCTCCCTCTCTCTCTCTTTCTATTTCTAATGCCTTTTGTGGTGTGCTTGCATCTTTTTGTATGCCTTGCTGCTTTCCTGGATAGTTTGGTGCCCAAGATATAGAGCAAATGCTTGAGGTATGTTTCACTCAACAGTCTGAACAAAAGAGACACCCCTGTCTTTCTGCTGTACTTTTAACACTCAATGAAGTATTAACAACCCTAACTGTGCGATTTGTTTTTTGTGAACTCGTCTGATACTGGCATGCTAGATTAATAGCAGGACAACCAGTTTGTACCTGTGAATCTAAGCTGCGTCTTTCTGACTGTGACAGAGAGAGGAGAGGAAGATGCTGAGAGAGCTGAAGGTGTTTTTAGACCAGCTGGAGAGAGATGTGCTGCGGGCTCAGGGAGCAGAGGGAAACCTCACTGACAAATACCAGGTGAGTCAGGCCTGCAAAGACTGAGCGCACTGTTACGTAACATTGTGCTCTGACAAAGAAATTTATCTCTCTTTCCCGTTTCTATTTTCGCAGGCATTTAAGAGCTTCCGTGTACAGTATGAAATAAAGAAAAAGCAGACAGATCCGCTGCTTCAGCCCGTCAGCAGAGACGGCAAGCTCTCTGTGGACCAGGCTCTGGTCAAACAGGCGTGGGACCGCGTGTCTGCCCGGGTAATTGCACTGCATACTTCTGTACATCATGAATAATTCATAACTCAGCCACAAAGACAACAGAATTAATTACGATAATTAATCATTTTTAATTGAGACAAACCTAAGAATAAATGATAGATCGCCTTTTTGCTTTATTTATTATGTTTTCCTCGGCTTAAAAACTGCATCTCTGTTTTGACACTCATCGTATTATGACTTACACTCCATTGAGAGCTCCTCTCCTCACTGGCTGCCAGTGAATGTTCAGGGGGGTTGCGAGCTTTTGAATCAGAGTTTGTTCAGAGAGGAGGAGAGGGAAACAGAGGACGTTTTGTTCATCGGGCACTCTGCCTCTCTGAACTTGTCTAGACTGGCATGAAACCCTTTTGTGGCCCGAACGCTTGTGAACATGTGGAAATGTTTTGACCAGCATCCCCTCCTCTATGGCAGGATCTTGTTTTGGTAGAGTGGGGTTTTTAATGGTTGTCAATTGCAGCTGCTGGACTGGCACATCCATCTGGACAAGTCCCTGCCTGGTCCTCTGGGAGTGATTGGAGCTTGGCTTCACAGGGCAGAGATGGCCCTGAGAGAGGACATTCCTGCCCAACACGCTCATGAAGAGACGGCCAATGTTCTCCACAGAAAGCTGGAGCAGCACAAGGTAACACAGCCAATCTTTGGTGTTCAGTGTCTCAGATTATAAGGGCTAACACATGGCTTTAAAAGGCGATTATATTTTGTAGGAGGTGTTAAAAAACCTGGAACTGCACAGACAACCCTTCCAGCAGATCCACAGGGACAGATCAGTGAATGGGGTACCTGTCCCACCTGACCAGCTCCAAGACATGGCTGAACGGTAAGACGTTTGCCTGAGTTATAACCTGAACATAAGTGTAAGTTCAGGCAGGCTGAAAAGTTCAACTCAGCCCACAATACATCAGCTAATCTTAGGTAGTTTGTTTGGTCCTCCGTGCAACAATATAAAGATTTGTATATGTCTGTTTAATCTGCAGGTTCAACTTTGTGTCTACGTCATCACACGCTCACTTGATAAAAATGGAATTCTGGGAAATGAAGTACCGACTGATGGCGTTCCTTGTGTTGGCTGAGTCTAAGCTCAAGTCCTGGATCATCAAATATGGCAGACGGGACTCAGTTGAACTGCTGTTGCAAACCTACCTTGTAAGTACACAGAAATTATGTGGCAGTATGAGTTACACGGTGACACTTTCTCTATCAAAACTACAGCTGTATTTAGTTTGCATGTTTTTTCTATTTCAGACTTTTGTAGAGGGCCACAGGTTCTTTGAGCAGTATGAGATCATCTACACAGGCCTCAAGCAAGCTGCAGAGGTCTACGTCAAGTCTGAGAGTTCAAGTAAGACTCTATTCTGTTTGATTTCTAACATTTAGACTATCTAATTATAAATACATATGTTATAATGTAGTCTTATTATTGATTTCATGTTACAGGGTCTAAGACCTGTAACAAAGGTAAGTCCAAATAGTCTGACAATCCTCAAATCCTGATCTCTGCCTGTCTCCTGAGCCATTTCTTCTTGTAATGTGGGACCGCATTTTTTCTTTCTAACATACTTTCAATCCCCAGAACTGAGAAATCATAATACTGCATTTTGCATGACAAAGCAACGATAATTTCATTAGCTGGAATGCTGTTTTAGCACGATCAGACCCTAACATGCTGGAGCTTCAACCACATGGCCACTCAATCAGCAGACATGATCAAAAGCTGCACGGGCGACGCCCACGTTGGCTTTAACAAAACTAATTTGATCCTGTGTTTTGTACTTTCAGTCGATGAAGCAGAGGGGGTAAGTAAGTTTCTCAGTGAGGCCACAGCTCAGTGGAAGAACCTGGCTCTGGAGGTGCGGAGTGTCCGCAGCATGCTGGAGGAAGTCATCTCTAACTGGGAGAAGTACAGCAGCACGGTGGCAGCTCTGCAGGCGTGGCTAGAGGATGCTGAGCAGATGCTAAACCATTCAGAAAATGCCAAACGTGTAAGTGCACCAACACATAGTAAAAACACACAACTACTGGATTATATCTTGTAAATATCGGAGACTGTGAACGGCTGGAGAGTGTGCTCCCATTGTGATGCATCGTTACAGTCTCTCTTTTCTTTCTTTCTTCTTACAGGATTTCTTCAGAAACCTCTCTCACTGGGTGCAGCAGCACATGGGCATGAACGACGCCGGAAACTTCCTCATTGAGACCTGCGACGATACAGTTTCACGAGAGCTAAAGCAGCAGCTCCTCCTCCTGAACGGGAGATGGAGGGAGCTGTTTGTCAAAGTCAAACATGTAAATACAACATTCTTTTGAACATGAAGAAAATACGACAAAGGTACTTGTGTTACATTAGCTATTTACTGTCCCATTCACAGTATGCAAGAGCAGATGAGGTAGATAAGCTGAGGCAAGACTACCAGGATGGGATCAATACCCTCAAAATGTTCATGGATGCAACCAATGAGAAGATGACTGCCCCTGTCCAAGTATCCTTCCTGAACGTCAGAACCTTCGCTCAGGATGTCGAGGTAAACAGTCAAGAATATATTCCTCTTTAGATTGAGTTTTATCTCTTGTGTACAAAATAAATCATTCGAGTATTATTCCTGTCTCGCTGTAGGAAATCAAACACAAAGTGCCAGCTATGGAAGCCGCCTGTAAGGCAGCCAGCCGGACCGCTCAGCTGTTGACCAAAGACACTCCGCAGGAGGAAGTTTCACAGATGATGGAAGTGATGGCGTCTATCAAAGAGCAGCTGGGCAAGGTGAGTACATGCTGTCACTATACCCATAAGACTAGGGTTAAAGACCAAAACCTGGCTCTAGTAAGGACCTAGTTGTGCATTTTTCAAATCCCAGAAATCATGTGTGGCTTTTCAGTCCTGCGATTAAGTCTTGTTTGCATGGTTGATCATTTAAGAGATCTTAAGTTTGGTTTAAGAACAAAACCTTTGAGTGTTTTGGGTTGAGAAAACTGTCAACATTTGGTCGGTCCATCTGTAGTAGAGTCATCCTCCTCTGCTCAGAGCAGCTGAGGTAATGGTCACTGAACTCTTCAGCAAAAATTGTCCAATGTTGAAATTTTTAAATGCCATATATTTTCACATTAGCTGCAGAAAAATCACTGAAAAGATGCAACACTTTTTTCTGTCATAGAAATATCTTTAATTAACTTTACTTTCTATGAAAAGGTAAGGGAGAGATGTTTACCTCTGCTGAGGGAGTCCCAGTCGCTGTTACCTCCATTAGAGGAAATGGAGAAAAACATAACGGGCTTCTACCAGGCTCTGGAGAAAGCCAGTCATATCACCAGCACCACCGACTCTGAAGGGCCTGTGGACTTTAAGCAGAAATGTCAGGTAAGTACTTTAGTTTCAGACTGGTACAGTGCCAATTTTGCTGAATGACTTTTAAATACAAAGAGGAGGAATTCTACTGCGAAAGTATTAAAAGCCTCCCAGATGCGAATAAATGGCCGACACCCTGTTTGTCATTGAATGCTGCAGGAGCTGGCGACCTTCACACACAGCTGTAAGAAGTGTCTGACAGCAATAGAGAAAAACCACCAGACCATCCAGAAAATAATGAACAGCAGTAAAACCCTGGAGCACATGGACATGAGCCTTCTGCAGAAAAGAGTATCAGACCTGCAGTCCTCCTCCCAGGTACAGAAAATGTCAAGGCTCGTTTTAAGGTCGACTTAACTTTTAAATCTGTTTTAGTATTAAACACCGCCTTTTTGCGTTTCTAGGCCATGATTAAAGAATCTACAGAGTGGAGGAGGCACGTGGAGGCAAACAGCAGCCTCATGAAGAGGTTCGATGAGTCACGGGTCGAGCTGGAGAAGGTTCTTAAAATGGCACAGAACTGTCTGACAGAAAGAGGCAACCCAGAGGAGCTGCTCAAGAAACACACTGTAAGAAATTAGGCTCTCTGCAGAACCGAGGACACGCTAACCTTCATGCTCTTAGCACAGCTTTATTTTGTGCATGTATGCTTCAAACACAGAATAAAAGAGATTAATTTTAATAAGATTGTCCTGATCGAATAACAAACATGACACATGACTTTTGTAGGAGTTCTTCGGTCAGCTGGACCAGAGGGTTTTGAATTCGTTCCTCAAGGCCTGTGATGAGCTCACAGACATTTTGCCTGAGCAGGAGCAGCAGTCGCTCCAAGAAACAGTCAGAAAGCTGCACAAACACTGGAAGGTTGGTACCACAGCTGACAGGATCACCATTGATTCTTAAAGCTGGAGAGAGTATGGTGTATATATCTGTATATATCTAACCCCCTACATGCAAATATGCATCCATTGTTTAACACGTCTGGTGAAAACTCTGTGTTATTATGCATAAAAATGTGTTTGTGTAAGCTTTTACATATAAAATGATGCATTTTAAACATGCTGTGTAATTAACTGTATAAATAAATAGGATGTTTGCATCATTTGTTTCAAAGCTCTGTAAATACGGCTTCATTTTTAAGCTTAAAATAATAAATATCACTCAGTAATAGATATTTTAAATTTGACGCATGAATATCCCAAGTCTTCTCACTAATATTTGCATGTCTCCTTTCCCAGGATATTCAGACAGACTCCCCCTTCCACCTGTTGCATCTCAAAGTGGAGGTGGAGAGGAGCAAGCTGATGGTGTTGCTGCAGGAGTGTCAGGCGGAGGTGACCAGGGAGAACCGCCACCTGGCCAGCATGGGAAGCGAGAGACTCATCAAGGAGCACAGGGTGAGCGCTGAGAGGCTGGCTGAGTTTCATGCATCGATTGACTCAGTGTGAAATAATTCAATACAAATTCGCTGCTGTGCAGCAGCGTGGGGGGATTTCGATGAACATGATACAAAAAGTACAAAAGCTTGAATATTGAGAAAATGCTGTAAGCTATCCTGTTATAATGTTGTCTACTTTTCAAACAACTTTTTGATCATTTTTGATCTACTTCAGGCCTTCTTTAGGGAAAAAGGCCCTCAGTCCATCTGTGAGAAAAGACTGCAGCTGATGGAGGAACTTTGCCAAAAACTTCCTGAGGGGGACCCTGTCCACCAGACCCTGGAAGCAGCGAGGAGGGACTACGCTGATGTCCGAGAGGAAATCGAGAACACCCATCAGAAACTACTGCAGCATCAAGACAAATGGAAAGACTACCATGCAAGGTTCAATATTCCCCTCTTTCAGTGGCAGCAGAGTCAATGCGTGATAGACAGGGACATATCAGGAGTACAGAGTGGGATGCAATCTTGTTGTTGGAAAACACACAGCTGCATTGTTCATTGACCAGGCAGCATCCTGCATTCATTACATACCCAAAGTAATCACATTTAAATTCTTTTATTCACATGAGATGATGAGAGAGAGGTCTGAGCTGAATTTTCAACAATAGATAATGAATACAAAGTTTAACCACTGCAGCAGGAGTGAAGACTCGTTATTATGCTGGATGTTGTGTCTCCGTGGTTAATGCATGCAAATAGTGTCACCAAAGCAGTAAACATAAGGAAACCTGACCCTGCCCTGATGTGTAATTACATTTCCTCTCCCTTGTTTCCAGATCAGATCTAATCTGAGTGATGGGAAATGGAAAATATTATGAATACTGTCGGCAGACAATTATTTTTAATTTGAAATACAACTTATTTGACACTGCACTGTTGCTGGATGGTTCAACTGTATTTTAGCCTGTCTTTTTAATCTGTTTTACTATGTCTTTGTAATGTGTTTTTATTCCATTTCCTACTGTTTTGTGTCTATGAGTGACATGAGAAGTGTTATTTAATTTAAATGTTTTATTACTATTATTATAATGATGGCAAATCAGACAATGTTTTTTTTTCTCTCTCTCTGCTCTGAAACAGGTACGCTGAACTTTCCTGCTGGCTCATTTCTAAAGAGAGCCAGCTGAGACTGCTGAGAAACCGAGCCAATGACCCCAGAAAGTACAGCCAGGTGAAGACAACCATCATGGTGAGTCTGTCCTCACCCCTCAGAGCCCGGCCATCCTCTGAAACTCCTGTTTGTCTCCTCTGTGATGCGTCACCTCCGATGTGCTACTGACCTGACAGCATCACTCCTGGGGCGATGATGATACTGTAAATACATTTTGTGTAGGATGACACCTTTGACCACATGGGCCGTATCGCACTCTTTTGTTGTGTTGCAGGAGCTGAGGAATGATGCAGAGCTACAGGAGGGGAATCTTGGCTGGCTGAAAGCTCGTATGGCTGTCCTTATTGAGATTAGCGCTGACAGCGATGCCCAGAGGCAAGGAAGCTCACTTAGCAAGCTCTCAACAGATTTCAAGGGTCTACTTGCCTCTCTCTCTGAGGTAAGTAAAGTCAGCGGTTTTAGGAGGTGCCACAATGCAGAACATCTTATACTCATTTGAGGGAAATTCGTAACATTTTCCAACAACCTGGACATGATCGCAGCATCAACTCATCATGTTTGCTCTCTTAATATTTGTGTCATGAATGCGTTGAATGTATTTTTTCTCTGTTTTATCTTCCAGGCTGAAAAGATGGTTCTGGCTGTGGGGGACTGTGTTCAGTTCAGAGAAGAGGTTCAGACTACTCTGGATGATCTGGTACAGGGGCAGAAAGAGTCTCAGGCTGAGGTCACCAAAATACTGGACTGTCCAACCGTCAGAGAAGCCCAGCAGCTACTTCTTGTTCACCAGGTACAGTAGGACATTTAAAGAAAGTTTGGTTGTTTTAAAGGCAGAGTTTACCCAAAGTACTGAATGTCATTAAGAAGAAACAGAGTGACCATTTTCACTGTATGTGACTCATATTTTATAGCAACTATTAAAACGCCTTAAGCTGAAGAGGAAGGACGTTCAGCAGCTGATCACCAGAGGCCAGCAGCTCCAGACTGAGGAGGGTTTGGGGGACACTCTGCAGCAGGACCTGCAGAGCTTAGAGAACACACTCAGCAAAATGGAGCAGAATATGGACTCACAGGAGCAAAGCCTAGAGGTGAGCGCTGACACTGAGGAAGTGACTTTAAAAAATATATTTTTGAGATACTATGTTTGTCCAGCAGTGAATCAAATGTTGCTGGTGTTTTTAAGGTTTTTATATAAAGCAACAGACCACAGCACTGTGCCTGAGACAAATTCTCCCTCTGCGCAAATATATTTCCCCCTCTCTCTCCCTCTCTGTTAATAAAAACATTTCACAGTTGATTAAGGAAGCAGCGGTGCTCCAGATATTTAGGTCCAACTACAAATTTGGGATGAAGGTTGATTTTGTAAAAGCTTTTCTTTGCAAAATATTAAGCAAAGTAATTGGTCATCATAACAGCTTTTAGTAATGCTTATGGAGTTATATAAGCAGTGAGCATAAGTCTTTATAAATATGTGGATAATATAATGCAATATACCTTAATGCAAAAGAAAAACACTGAAATTTAAATTCTATTATTCCATAAATTGGACATGTAGTTCTGATTGAAGTCTGCAGCTGAACGGACTTCCCTCCTGAAGTTTGTAGAAGATAATGTTGCAGCGAATCAGCCATCACACTCTCACTGTTGCTTTTATAAAACAAAGACCGACTGGAGATGGAAGTTTTGATGCACTCTTGTGCCCTACAGGGAGTAAAAGGTACTGAGTATGTCGCATACAAATCATCCTGATGTTTCAAACTGTGCAGCAGAGCCGCTGAGCTGAGCTGCTCACTGAATATTAACTGCTCCTCCTTTGTCAATATGCTGACTCATCATCCCCGCTGAAAAGACAAACACGGCAGTATCATCTGCATACCTAATCATGTGCTTCAAGCTGAATTGGCAGTACATGTGTCATCTGTGATCTTGATTTGTGACTACTGCTGTTTGAAAATGTTTTAAATATCACACCACCTTCAGACTAATTCAATATTTATTTATCAGTCTTGTTTTTAAGCCTGTCATGTCTTAAAGTGCAACATAATTAAAACTGTTGAGATTTAGTATCAATGTCTGTTATCCATAGGTCACGCTGGCAGCCTGGCAGGAGTTCGACAGCCAGCAGGAGGCAGTTCACGAGTTTGTTAACAAGGCACGATCGACGATGGAGAGAGACCTGAACTTTAGCAGTCCAGAGAGCCTGGCTGTTGAACTCGACCAGGCCAGAGTACGTAGAGTTCGTCCTTTAGAAATATTCCTGTGGATGAGCAAGAAGGAGAATTGTGCATGAATTCTTTATCCGTTTGTGACAGGTGTTGTTGAAGCAGTGTGAAGCCGAAGCCTCACACATGAACACTCTGCTGAAGAGAACGACAGAAATCCAGCTCGGCCCCAAAAACAAGACCCTGCTCCTGCAACAAGCTCGTTCTCTCAGCGAGCAGGTGGACAAAGTGGAGGCTGGGCTCAAAAAAGAGTAAGATGATGGATTTCTATCTTGTTGCTTCTAAAAAAAAAACAAGCTTTAAGTTGTCTTCAAATCAGCTGTTATGTAATTAAAATAATGTTTTGTAGTGTCAAGACTCTGGAGGAGATGAAGAGTCAGTGGGATCAGTTCGGAGCCAGATTTGAATCTTTTTCCTTGTGGATATCAGACAAGGAAAAGCAGCTGGATGCACTAAAATCTGCTTCCCTTCCTCTTGAGCAACAGATAAACACCATAAAGGTACAGTGTTGTGGATCATAAAGCTTTAACACTCTGAAATCGCCTCGCTGCTGTTATCTTGTGGTTGTCTTTAGCAGCAGCTCTGACACTTCTGACACTTTATCTGTGCTTTTTACACCTGTATCAGCCCCTTGTGCTCAACACAGTGAAACAAAGATAGCTAGAAACACAGCTGGTTTTAGGGTTGGTTGTAACAATGAAGTAAAAAAAAGAAAAACAAGGCTCTGTAGAGGCTGCACAGGCCAAAGCTGCCCACCTTAGTATTATCTGAACTCACAAACAATGCTCCCAAATGACCAATAAAGACGAACACTCTCTCACTTTCACTCTACGGTTCATAAAGACTTTGTTTAATGCTCTGTTTTATGGTTTTTACATTTCTCCTGCATGCTCAGGCTGTCAGCGCCGAGCTGAAGGAGCGAGCTGAGGTTCCTGCTCAGTTGGAGGCAGATTCTCAAGCACTGGCTCAGTTTGTATCTTCAGGGGAGGCGGCTCGCATAAAGGCCCGTCTAACCCAGATCGGCAGGTACTGGGAGGAGCTGAAGGAGAGCGTGCATCAGCTCGTTGGGCAGCTGGAGGAGAGCTCGTCTCACCAGCAGAAGTTTAAATTTAGCCTGGAGGAGGTAAATATGACTGAATATCGTAATATTATACAGACCAGCATCAATGAGAGGTCGAAGTCTGTGACATCTTTATCATTTCAGGTGCATGCATCTCTCAGTGAGCTGCACACAAAACTAGAGCATCCTATCAAGTCCTGCTCCTCCTCATCGGAAACATACAAAGCTCTTCAAAACCACATGGTGACTGGCTGATTTTACCTCGCACAACCGTTTGATTTTCCAGCTGAGAGAAAATGCTCTGTCGGTAACTGTGTTGTGTTTTTGTTCCCCAGGATGTCTGTCAGCTTCTGGAAAAGCTTAAGGGAACCTTACTGTCTCTGTCAGCTGGAGCTCGGAGACTCAGTGACAGAGAACAGGCAGAGAGGACAGTGACGGAGCTGAACAGCAGCTACGACAAGAACATCCAAGAGGCCAAGGACAAACAGAGCATTCTGGAAAACCTGCTGTCTCTTTGGCAAAAGTAAGAGTGACTCAGCTGACCACAAAATTGAAAAAGAGTTTAGTTTGTTCTGTTTTATTTAAATCAGACGATTAGGTCATTCTGGACAGTGATTTTAATATTTACATTTTTTCCCTCCTGAATGCTAAAAAAATTGAATTTCTCCGTCGTTGTATTTTTGTGTTTCAGGTATGAGAAACAGCGTTCAAACTTTGTGTCCTGCTTGGAGAGGAGTGAATCTGCTTCCAAACCAGAGACTCAGAGCCTGTCAGCTGATAAAGTCAAACTCCGCACAGAGTTACATGATATGCAGGTAAAAAAAAAACCACAGCAAACAGAATTCTGCATAGATAAAACTTACAGATCTGTCCCTGTGATTGGCAGTGTGAACAGGTTTTTCTCCCTCAACATGATGACTAAATTGTCTGTATAAACACAAACTTGCAGGCCTTGCACTCTGAGGTCCGGGCTCTTGAGCCTGCACACGTTGAGCTGACGTCCTTGGGGACTTCCTTGTGTCCAACTGCACCAGAAGAAAGAGTGAAGCAGCTGAAAGAGGAGCTAGAAACCCTGCAGAAGAGGCTGCAGGTTCAAAATGAAGTCCTCCCTCAAAGGTAAGATCATACAACACAAAATCACAGTTTTATTTTATCCTAACTTCCTCATAGGTAACTAATTCCTTTTAAAAGACCTGTCTAATGAGGGAAGTAAAGTTTAGTAAGTTTATTCTGTTTACTGAAACATAACTTTTTCATCTATAGTTAACTCCAGTCTGCCAAAATGAATACGGTGACACAGGTCTTTTGTTACCTATTTGACTCCCTGTGCTGCCATCTTGTCCCCCAGAATCAAAGAGCTTCAGAGCCACCTCTCGCTGGTGGAGCAGTTTGACCAGGCTCTGCTGAAATTCTCACAGTGGAGTGAGGGCATGCTCTCGAGTCTGCATTCAGCCTCTCAAGTTAACATCAGTAACCTGCAGCCTGCCACAGCACAGGTCAAGGTAAGAACCACACAAAAGCATCAATCATCTGTTTTGCATGCAGTATACTTTTTACCAGTCAGCCAACAGATGAAGCTACAAGTAATCATCTTTGACAGGAGACACAGGCAGCCCTACAGAAGCAGTCTGGAGTGAAGCAGAGCTTGGAACAGCAGACCGAGAAGCTCTGTAAGTTCTGCGAACCTGGTGATGCACAGCTCCTCCGCAGCAGAGCGGACACCTGTCTGCAGCCGTACCAGGAGGCCCAGCAAACAGCCGAGCTCCAGCTAGAGTGTCTTGAAAGGCTTGAAGCTTTCCTGCAGACGCACGGTGTCGCCGCAGGGGTGTTGCGGGGTCTGAAGCAGACCGTGGAGAGTGCAGGGAGCTGGGATCGTGGAAAAGTGGAGGAGCTGCAGCAGGAGCTGTCCACTATTGTCCCAGATATCACACAGCTGGAGACTCTCGCGGTCAACCTGGACAGCAGCCTCTGCAAAAGCCATCTCCACATCGGTGCTGACGAGGGCTCTCGAAAGTCCTGTCGCATGCTGGCTGACTCGCTCAGTGCTGAGCTGGACGCAGTGAGGAACTTGCTTGGTACTAAACAGAGTGAAGCAGAGGCCTTGGGGGCTCTCTGGACCTCATTCAGACAGAGAAAAGAACAGCTGCTCAAAGCTGTGGAGGACATCGAAGAGAAAGCCGACCACCAGAGCTTCAAAGAGCCCAGCCTGCACGCGCTGCAGCAGAGGTAAGACATGACAAGAGAACACAACCACATGTTCATACTTTACAAATACATTTAGGTCAGCTGAGTCATAAAACTTCTGACTCCGCGTGGTAAAAATCCTCTTATTGTCAGGTTGAGATTCTTCAATCAGATGGAGGATGAGCTGCAGTCACACCAGCATGAGGAGCAGTGGCTGAGGGACAAGGGCAACCAGCTGGCTCAGAGAGATGCAGAGCTGGCCGGAGAGGTTCTGAGGGAAATCAATCTGCTGGAGACCACGTGGGAAGATACCAAGAAGCTCATCACAGAGAGGTAACTGGAGGAGTGGAAGACGGTTTTCTAAATATTGAGTTAGGAAATGTTGCTCCTACCATTTAGACTAAATAAGTGTAAATCAATTTGGTTTTGATTTTGTGGATTTTTTCTTTTTGTTTACTGTTTATTCACATAGAAACTAATGATACTGATACACTTTTATCTTTCTCTGACAGACAAGAGCAGTGTAACGTCCTCGTCAATCTCATGAGAGAATACCAAACCCTGAAATCTTCCATCAGCAGCATCATTGACAGCACTGAACCTCTGGTTGACATAAACTCTGTTATGAAGGACTACGAAGAGACCAGGAGGTCTTTAACCAAGGTCAGGACACAGATTGTTTTATATTACTTTAAACTCTTTCATGAAATAAATCCAAAAAAGAGGGATTATCACATTTGAGATATGCCTTTATGTTGTCGATCAGACTGCTTCACAGGATTTTATGTCTTCTCCATTTGTAGCACGAGACAGTGAAGGTAGAGATGGCGAGCAAACAACATGAACTGGACCAGTTTTCCACTAAAGGAAAGCAGCTGGTGGTTGAGCTGAAGAAGATCCCTGATTGTGATGCTCAAATGCTGAAGAAGGACATGGAGACGCTTGTCGATCAGTGGCTGGATGTAAGTCTGCTGTTTTTTTTCTTCACTGTAGAGAAGAGCGTTGTTTTTTTGTCTTATTATAAACTCAAACTTGAAGTGCCAGACACTTGAAGGAGCAATTTCTTCCACTTCACAGGTTTCTGAAAAGATAGACGACAACATTGACCGTCTGAATCAGAGTTTGGCACTGTGGGACGATGTGCGTAAAATCAATGAGGACACTGAGTGCTGGACGAGCAGCAGTGTGATTGAGCTTAATGAAAGCCTGAACAACCTCAACGACAGTCAGAAAGTGTCTGCAAGGCTCTCCAAGCTCCAGGTAAGATTATAATGTCAGAGTTATAACTTGTGTTACCTTATTTGGGCCTGTAGCCTTGTGTTTTCAGGGATATAATGACTAAAATATAGATTAAATAGACTTAAAGTAGGTATTTTGTTCACCTACAGGCTGAAATGGGAGAGAAGGAGCAGAATCTTGAAACTCTACAGGGCAAAATAACTGAGCTGAAGAAGTTCAGTCAAAGTGAAGAGACTCCTGCTAAATTACAGGTGACAAATAACTGCAATCTTGAATGTTGAATTTTTCTGAATCGTTTCTCTGTAAGTATAAATTCTACAGAAATAAAAAGGTCCTCCCCTCCATTCATCATCCAAATCTCTTCTTGCTCTTGTTTCAGGTGCTTGAGAATGACCTTCGGAAAAAGATCAGCTCTGTTCAGAAGCTGCACCAGCAGGCCAAAGGAAACCTCATGGACTTCACTTCCCAGAGGAAACAGCTAGCGGACTACATCTCACAGATGTCCGCCTGGCTAAAAAGTATGGAGGACTCTCTTGTTTCCTCTCCCACTGGATCAGATCCAGAAGACATCTGCAGAGTAAAGGTGAGTCCTAATAAGAAAGTGAAGTATAGCTCTTTATTGAAAATGTATGAAATGTGCCTGACTGTAATGCCGTAAAGTGAGGTGTAAAAAAATCTAATGTGTGTTTTGAAGGACCTCCAGAAAGAGCTGCAAAACCAGCAGGGGAGTATCGACACCACCAGAGAGAGTCTCAACACCTTATGTCGGAAATATCCCTCTGAGGAGCTGGCTAATTTGGGTTCAGCTCTCACCGACCTTATCAAGACCTACGAGTCTGTCAACCAGCTTTCTGCGAGGACTCTGGTGTCTCTGCAAAGCTGTCTTCAGCAGCAGTTCAACGGTGAGAAGTTTATAAAAATTAATCTCTGCTGATATTATAAACTGTAGATGATAACATCCTTATGTTTTTGCAATTTCACTCTTAGAGACAATCACAGAGTCATGAATTATTCCGGTGTTTACTTTCTTCCGGTAAAACCTGCCACATAAAGAGACAACTTAGGATATGTAGAATCAACAACCTGATTCTGTCACACTCGATTCACTTTAAATCTACACTTGATATTGATTTACTGTCACGCTGTCTCCACAGATCTGGTTCAGGAGTTTCATCGTTGGCTTTCAGAGCAGAGGGAGATTGTGAAGGAATGCTCTGACCGATCTGGAGACACACAAATTGTTGAACGCAAGCTCCAGAAACTGAAGGTAAAAGTTTGTTTAAGGTTTATCTCTGAATGAGAATCAGTGTAGTGTGTTTCAAAGATGCTCTTCCCTGCTTTTAACTGGCTGACAGTGATGAGTTAATCATCATTATCATTATTCAGGGTGCCATGGATCGTGTGGAGGAGGGTGAGGTGCGCCTCACTCAGGTCTGTGAGGAGGGAGAGAAGCTTCTGCTCCATCTCCCTAAAGCCAGCGCAGGACAGGTCCAGCAGCACCTTTCCTCCATCCAGCAGGACTGGGACAGCTTTGTGGAGCAGTGTCGACAGAACCAACAGATCCTGGAGGACAGTGCATCACTCATGAAGGGGTAACTGACCGTAAATCACAGCCCTGCAAAGCTCTCGGTGAGATAATGGATTAATAATATTGATTTATGAATATCTTGCAGGTTTGAGGGACGCCTCAAGAAGCTGAGATGGTGGTTGGAGCACATGGAGAAGAGACTGACCACTGATCTGCTGGAAACTAAACAACGAGGCCCTGAAAAAGCAGTGCTGGAGCAGGTGGAGGAGTATCAGCAGGAAGTGCTCAAAGAAAGGTGTTGAATCTGATTCAGTCTGTGTATTTACAGAGAAAAGACAACTTGTGTGTTTTTATGATCTTATGATGGCCCCTGGTGGATCTGTAATAATCCTCTCCAATGACACATCAAAGCGCTCTTTGAAGCTTTGTTAAACATTTAACTGCTTTCCATGCAGGGATTCATTTGAGCGCTTATGTCAAGAGGGACAGGCTCTGAACGAAGGTGGGCGAGGAGATGGAAGTGAGACACGGGTGTCAGCTCAGCTGCAGTCACAGCACCAGGCCCTGCTGAGGCGTGTGAGAGACAGGCTGCGCAGCTGTCAGCTCACTTTACAGGAGCAGCAGGCCTTTGAGGAGACACTGCAGACTACCTGGGGCTGGCTTAACGGGGTCCAGGAGCGCCTGGCTTCTCTCAACAGCACAGTCGGAAACAAAGAGACCTTGGAGAAAAGACTTGGTCTTGTGCAGGTCAGTGAACGCCGTGATCTGTTAAACATCACGCTTTGTAACACAGCACGGAAATTAACCCACAGCTGCCCATGTCCATGCAGGATATCCTTCTAATGAAGGGTGAAGGAGAGGTGAAGCTCAACATGACTGTAGGGAAAGGAGAACAAGTGCTGAAACACAACAGAATGGAGGGGCAGGAGGTCATTTGTTCACAGCTACAGAACCTGAAAGATGCCTGGGCCAATATGTTGATGACCTCTATGAGTTGCCACAGGTAGGAGACATATAACTGTCTGTGATGCCATAGTTTACGATGAAGGTTTGATGTGCTGAAGTCTCTTTAAATCTTGTCTGTAGTCGTCTGGAGTGGACGGTGGCTCAGTGGACGAGCTATCAGGAAAGTAAAAGCCAACTCCAGCAGTGGATGGAGTCGGTGGAGCAGGAGTTGGGGATATCTCTCCCTCAGCAGCCCGGCCTCAAAGAGAAGTCGGCTTTGCTCGAGCGCCTCAGGGCCATCCAGTCTGATGTGGACGCCCACGCCGCTGCACTGTCGCGCCTCACAGACAAAGCAGTGGAGATGCATGAAAAAACTGGCGACCAGACTTTTGGCCCAGAGTCCAGGGCGGAGCTTAATGCACACTTTGCCGATATCGCTGCTGTTGTTAAGGTAACTGTAACATAGGCACAGGAAAAGTAGTTCCTGCAAACAGCTGTTGAACCTTATACTTTAAAGTTCCTGGATAGAGTTTTTTAGCTGGTCATGAAACCGACTGAAACCACTTGTGTCAGGTGTTTATCTTTTTTATTTCTTTTACTGTTACAAAGGGAAAAGTGCAGTCAATGCAGAACATTGTGTCTGAACATGAGCAGTATTTGGACGCTCTGAGAGACTTCAATGACTGGCTGATTTCAGCAAAAGAAGAACTCCAGCGCTGGTCGGATCTGTCCGGAGACTCAGTTTCCATTAAAAGAAAGCTTTCCAAAGTGCAGGTAAGAAACTTAAACTGTTGTATCTCTTAAATCCAGCTGATGGATTTGAGATATCCATCATCTCCTTCAGTCTCTATCCTGTCAGGAACAGGCACAGGCCTCTCAATTTGAGTTTCTTGACTCCCCTTTTCCTTTTATTTAGTATGACAATCGAGATCTTTTTTGTACTGTTTCAGGAGTTGCTCGATTCTAAGCAGAGGGGCAGAGAGAGGCTGAACCGGGTCCAAAGATGCGGGGCAGTGGCGAGAGATCACACCGGCTCAGGGGGCTACGAGGCCATTGAGCGAGAGGAAGCTGCCCTGGTGTCTTCATGGGAACAGTGGGAACGTGGGGCACTGCAGACAAGGGCTAGTCTGGAGACTGCTCTGTCCCAGATAGCCAGCTCTGAACAAGAGTTCAACAGCCGGTCAGTACAGCTGGAGCAGGACCTGCGGGACTTCAGCCGGCAGCTGAAGGACTGGCGTCTGCGTTTGGCTCAAGCAGAGGGGAAAAACGAAGGAGAGGAGGCTGTTAAAGGCTGGCAGATAGCAAAGGTACATCAAGGTTTAGCTCAGTGCTAATCACAAACCGCCATGAATTTGAAACAAGAAGTGGTAGCTCGGGATGAAAAAACTACTAAATTAACTATCTTCACTGGTTAACTTTTTTTGTCCTAACAGGAAACTTTGGAAGAACTTGTGAAAGCTGAGCCGCTGTCTGACAGTCTGAAGACTCAACTCAATGACCTGTGCCGATTCTCCAGAGACATGGGCACCCAGTCTGAGAGAGTCTCCGCTCTTATTAAAGAATACAACAGGTGAGAAGTTGATTTAAGACCTTAGACATCAGGAGAAGAAGTCTCAAAATTTTCGGGAACCCACAAAAAATATTTCAGAACTTTTGTTTTTGGTTGTATGAACAAATGATCTGCATCGATGCAACCAGAGAAAAAAAAAAAAAATTCTGTCATGATTTGTTGTTTTTAGTCTGAGTCTTCAAGCATCCAGGGAGTGCCAGAGCAAAGAGAAGTTGCTGGAGCAAGGCTTTCGCTCAGCCTTCAGAGAGTTCCAGCAGTGGTTGGTCAACGCTAAGATCAACACGGCCAAGTGCTTCGACGTACCCCAGAATCTCAGCGAGACCTCATCTAGCCTGCAGAAAATCCAGGTAGAACACGGTCCTCTAATGGCTGGCAAAATTATAAGTTTAATCACCACTGAAGGTGCCAACACCATCTAATTTTAATTTGCAGCAATTTGTGGGTTTATTAAAATGAACAATACAAATAAAATGAGACATGAAACTAAACAATGGTAATTTATTTTACTGTAAAAGATGAGAAAATGTCCCTGTATACTCGATTTATCCCTGACCATCTTTCTCCAGGAGTTCCTCAGCGGCAGAGAGCAAGGCCAGTCGAAGCTGAACGCTGTGGTGGTCAACGGTGAGCTCATCTCCACCATCGCAGCTAAAGACAAAGTGGATGCGGTTCGGGCTAAGATGCACACAGCCAGAGAGGACTGGAAAAATATCATGTCCAACCTGCACAACAGAGAGGCCAACCTTCAAGTGAGTCCTTCCTCACCGGTCTGTGAAAACATCTATGAGTGTATTTTGAGTCAAGGAAACATCTCAACAGTCTCCTTTTACTGTCTGTGCGTGTACTAGAACCTTTCATCTCAGATGAAAGACTTTGAGGCAAGCGCCGAGCCTCTTCAGGAGTGTCTGAACGCCACAGAGCTGGCCGTGCAGGAGAGCAGCACGAGGCTTCATGATCTCACCGCCAAAAAGCAAGAGCTTCACAAGTTACAGGTAATAATATCCTCCAAGCTCGGAACATCACTGCGTGTTCAGGACGACTCATGTTCAACACATCAGTGCTTCAGCATCCTGGCAGAAACTCACTTTATCAGCTCTGTATCAGTGTGTTAGTTTTACTATTATCCTCTAAAAGACCTGCCAACAGCTTAAGCTAACCGCCATTTGCCTACTTCTGAATTACTGCCATCTCTCTGCTTCTCTTTGCTACCCTCACATGTCCTTGTAACTTTAATATAGAATATTATTTGTAATTAGTGTCTGTTAATTGTTTAAATATGTCTACCAGCTACTTCCAGAGGCCTTGATTGCACGTAACAGTAACCCTGGCCAAATGTCTCATTCATTCTTTTTGCCGTGTCGCCATGTCTAACCCCTTCACTCTGTGTCCGAGTGTAACTGTCTGAAATCTGCGTGTCAGCTTGCATGCCTCTTTGATAACCTGCTTTGCTCTTCCAGTCTGTGCTTGAGGAGTTAGCCTCTCACGAGATTCAGCTGAACAAGCTGAAAGAGAAGGCCCAGCTGCTGTGGGACGAACATGCGGCCGGCAAGGGTTTTGTGCACCGCGTCTCGCAGCTCTCTGCTCAGTACCTAGCTTTAACCAACCTGACCAAGGTACAGTAATGCCTCCCAATCTGCCTGTGCACTGGGGCTCTTCTTGGGGTAGGGCTCGAGAGGAAACAGCAGCACTAGACTGGATCGAGCTCTGATTTGACATTTTATTTTACAGATTATAAACAGGGAAGTTACTAACTCACATGAATGTATCACTAATTTCTGTCTTTTGTTACTTTTAAGTCTCACATAGACAAAACAGTTTGATATTTGTTTTTTGTTTTCTACTTAATCTTTATGTAACATCAAAGGGTGAATGTACGCTGTTAAACTGACTGTGGATTCAGTTTTGAAACATATTCGGTGGTAAAGTTTGTGACTTGTTCAACTGCTCAATAGGAAAAGGCATCAAGGATCGATCGGATAGCGACTGAGCACCAGCTTTTCTCACAAGGGCTGAAGGAGCTGCAGAACTGGGTGGCTGATACGAGCCACATGCTGCAGACTTACTGCGCCCCCACTGCAGACAAAAATGTTCTTGATAGTCGGATGATCAAATTGGAGGTAAATGAAGTCCCTTGTAGATTTTAAAATTCAATCTACCGCCTTTAACACTTACAGAAATTAAATTAATGCTCTTTTTTTTTTTGCACCAGGCTTTGCTGACTGCTCGGCAGGAGAAAGAGATCCAACTGAAGATGCTGATCACAAGAGGAGAGTCAGTTCAGAGAAACACCTCAGCTGAGGGAGTACTAGCAGTCCAGAAGCAAATACAGGACCTGAAAGATTCCTGGGATGCTCTGCTCTCTGCTTCAATCCAGTGCAAAAGGTCTGTTCTGTAGCAAAAGTAACAGCATATTAAATTGCTGCATGACTGTCTGACTTTACTTTGCTTTGTGAATTAAACAGTCAGCTGGAAGGTTCCCTGTCTCAGTGGACCAGTTACCAGGAGGATGTTCGGCAGTTTGTGGCCTGGGTGGAGCGTGTGGAAGAGACTCTTGACCCCACTGACAAACAGTGTCCAGAGATGAGGGACAAAACTGCGAACCTGAGCAGAACCAAGGTAGAGACATATGTACAAATCATGCATTTATCAGTATATAGATGCATAAACATTTTGGGATTTTAACCCTTAGATTTTACAGGGGAGGATCAATGAGGAACTGAAGGGATCAGAGTTACACGAGCATCTTAGCTGCAGCAGGTTCACGGTTTCAAAGTGTCACAGTTTATTGATGGTAAAACTTCTCCGCTCTGTTTTAGCTGCTGTATGAGGAAGTTCTGAGCCACAGCACCCTGCTGGAAACCATCACTGCAAAGAGTGTCAGCATCACCGAGAGCTTTGTCACTCAACTGGAGCTCCAAGAGCTGCAAGAGCGCTACAACACCATGAAAGATAATGCCATGGTAATTTGAAAAAAAGCTAAATGAACTCCAACTCCAACTGTAATATAATCAGCAGCTTAAACACGGTTTAGAGTAAAGAGCTGACTTTATGGTCTGCTATCTTTGTTGTGTCTGTAGAGGGCAGTAGCTAAGGCAGAGGAGCTGGTGAAAGCCCACCATGAGTATCAACGGGGCCTCCATGCATTTGAGGACTGGCTGGAACAAGAACAAGAAAAGCTTGGCTGCTACACACAACTGGAGGGAGATGTGGATATGCTGGAGGAGACTCTGCAAAAGCTGCAGGTAATAAAACCTGTTGTAAATGAACAGATGAGATTATCCTACTACTGCTGCCAGAGATTCTGTTCAGTCAATATTTCACCGAAAAAGTTTACCTCGTTGTTGCTACAGGAATTGCAGCTGCACTGTACTGAAGGCCAGGCTCTGCTTAACACCCTGCTGGTCAGTCGAGAACTGGTCATACCCTGGGGCCTGCCTCAGATTGAAGACCGAGCTCTGGAAACGCTGCAGCAGGAGTGGAGGATGTACCAGGCACGACTGGCCGACACTCGCTCTCAGCTCAACAGCGCTCTGGCCAAACTCCGACAGATGGAGCAAAAGTTTCAGCGTCTAGACAGCTGGCTAAAGGGCATGGAGACCAAAGCACAGCTGCGTAGCCACCGGCGCTCTGACCGCACCACCAAAGATGCCCAGCTCCAGCTAATAAAGGCTAGTCTCAGATACATACAGTAGAAGTCATCACAAATCTAAATAACTGTCTATAAAAGGTTTTAAATTCTAGTGACTGTTTTTGAGTTTGTTTAATCATTTCTGATGCTGCTTGAATGTTCAGAGCTGGCAGGAAGAAGTTCTGGTTTATCAGGAGGAGATGGAGGGCCTCAGTGTCTTGGCTCAGCAGGTTCTGGACGAGACTCACATCAGCAGTCAGATCAGTAGCAGAGCCACCAAAATCACAGCCCGCTATCACGTCCTTCTTCTGCAATTACTGGTAATATCTTATTGAACGAATTAAACTATATCTAAATATTGAAATATTACTTTAAAGATGTTATCAGTTTAGAAACCCCCTAATATTCCTCTCCATCATCCTTTCCTTTTCCTGTTGTGATGCAGGAGACGATCAAGCAGCTCCAGGAGGAAGTGTCATGCATTGAAGAGGCGCAGTGTGTCTTCAGCACTTTCTCAGACTGGCTCAGTACAGCTCAGAATAACTTCAGCACGGTGGCGATCACTGTCGACGCAGTGGACCGCTTCGCCATGGAGAGGAAGATGAAAAAGCTGGAGGTATCTTTCCTAACCTGGTGTACATGTCTTCTCTATTTTTTTGTACAATGTGCTTTGTCAGACACTGAATGACACCATCCCATGTGCTTTTCAGGCTCTTCAGGCCGACATGGAGCAGGGTCACATTTACCTGAAGACGATGAGGGAGAAGACGGAGCGAGCCATGGCGTTCTTGGAGGAGCGGGAGGCAGAGCAGCTGAAGGAGGAGGTGGACACCCGCCTCTCCCAGCTGCAGGAGCTGACGGAGTCTCTGCGCACCGAGCACAGCTCCCTCGAGAAATGTATCTCACTCTCGAAAGACTTCATGGACAAATACAAGGCCCAGGCCCAGTGGGTAAAGGAGACCAGGAACCTTTTAGCATCAAATGTGGAGCCTAAAGCTGAACTGTACCAGAAGAAGGCTCAGCTAGCAAAATACAAGGTAATTTAACAGTAAATCTATTTGCAATTAAATCTAAACAGAGCAAGAAGGTTATTTGATACGATTTGAAATGTGCTTGTTTCCATACCTGCAGACTATCCAGCAGACAGTGCAGTCCCATGACTCAGCAGTGAAATCTGTCTTTGAGAAAGGAGAGGCCCTGCTGGACATCGTCCACGACGCAATGATAAGTGAAAACATGAAGAAGCTGCAGGCTGACTACCAAGAAATCTGCTTAGCTGCCAAGGTATGGACACACTGAGGCTGTTTCTGCAGATTCAGGTAATTTAGGGAAGCAGGGTCAAACGGAGCAGCTTTAGTAAGTCTGATGCAATGGATTCGTTATCTCTGAATGATAACTTGCCGTGCAGCTTCATGATCCAGGCTGTTTACTCTGTTGCAGACCCAGGTTCAGAACCTTATAGAGTGGGTTAAAGAGCACGAGAACTACAACAGTGAACTACAAGAGGTGGAGAAGTGGCTCCTACAGATGTCCAGTCGATTAGTCACCTCTGATTCAATGCAGACTAGCGGCATGGAGATGGCCACTCAACAACTCGCCCGACACAAGGTGACCACGACCACACCATCCTAAAAATCATCAGTAATTTAACCTCTGCAGGCGACACTATTTCATCAGTGATCCACTTTTCCTGATAGTTCATTTTAAATCTGTTTTCCAGGCAATCATGGAGGAGATAGCCAGTTTTGAGGAGCGTCTGATCAGCCTGAAGCAGAAAGGAGAAGATCTTGTAGCCAGTTGTACAGATCAAGTTCAGGCAAAGATCAATCAACAAGTCCAGGCTCACCAGCAGGGAACCAGAGACAGCTACTCGGCCATCTGCAGCACTGCCCAGCGTGTGAGTCATTTAGGAAATCAACCATGTTTCTTTCATCTTCTTATTTATCGAACCAGGAAGAGTCTGTTTGAAATTAAGACGGATTTCAAAGTCTTTCTTCACCTCCTTCTACAGGTTTACCAGAGTCTGGACCGGGAGCTGCAGAAACATGTCAACCATCAGGACACCCTGCAGCAGTGCCAAACCTGGCTCTCCACAGTGCAGGAGGAGCTTCAGCTTAATGAGCAGGGACCGACCGGTCTGCAGGAGGCACTGAAGCAGGTAATGACTCAATTTAGCTCAGTCTTGGAATTGATTATCAGCACTGAGTAATTTTTATTTAATGAATATGATTGATTACTATTGCACATCCAGGTGAAGCACTACAGGGCCCTTCAGGAGCAGGCCAGCACTTACCTGGACCTAGTGTGCTCTGTGTGTGATCTTTCTGACGAAGCTGTGAGAGTGGCAGCTGCTGAGGTCCAACAAGTCAAACTCACGGTCAGTAACTGAAGATGAGACATGTACTGACAATTGTATGTTTTCTTTGAAATCTATTCAACAGTCAGTCAGTGAGAAATAAGGTCTGCCTGTGTTTTTGCAGATAGAGGAAAGGATGTCCAGTGCACATGAGCTGTCGGAGGGCTGGAGGGAAATCAAGGACCAGAAGCAGGATCTGACCGGCCTGTTTCAGGACATGGAGCAGCAGCTTCTCAGCTTCTCTAGGAGGCCCGCAGAGTTGGAGACCAAGATCGCCCAAAACATGCTGTCACAAGCCAAAGTAAGAAACAGTATCATGACAACAATTACATGTAGTGGCTGTTAAATTATCATTTTTTTCCAGGATGTGTAAAATGAAAGAGATCAGCCCACTGTCTGGCTATATTTTGGGTAACCGTCCAGCATCTTGCTTGTCACACAGGAATGCAGCCAACAACTGCAGTCAAAACAAAGTACCCTGACCAAGATGACGGAGACTGTGAGCAGGCTGACTGGTGGCCAGGACTCTCCAGAACACGCCGAGCTCGACCGTCTGAGCCATTCTTGGCTCGAGCTCTGTCATCAGGCCAACAAGCTGGAAAGCCAACGGGAGGAGGACTTGCAGAGGTCGAAAGAATACCACGAATGCATCACCGCGGTGGAGGCTCTGTTTGAGCAGGTGTCCAAAGAGTGGGACAATCTGGCCAGGTGTGTTTTCACTCGAAGTAGTCAAATAAATGATCTCTTGCAAAGCCAAGTAATCTTCATTATAGGCTCAAGAAAATGCCAACTGGGCTCACTATTCTCAGTTTCTTTTTTGTGGCTAGAATTTGAGAAATTATGAAGATCAGTGTAAGAGGAAAATATCCCCAGCTCTTTCCAACAAAACATATTAAATATGACTATTACCCTTTTTTTTATACACTATGTTTTTGCTTCACAGGACGGATGCTGAGAGTTCATCTCAGCATTTGGAGGCTTTACGGAGGCTCGCTGTGACTCTGGATGAACAGAAAGGGACTCTTGAAGACCTGAAAGAGCAAAAACAAAAAGTCATCCAACATTTAAATTTGGACGATAAGGAGCTGGTGAAGGAGCAGATCAGCCACTTTGAGCAGCGCTGGTCTCAGATGCAAAACCTCATTGAGAGGAAAATCCAGGACTCAGTGGTGACCCTGGAAGATATGGGTCAGGTAGAAGCTCGTCTGAGGGAGGCTCGGGACTGGGCAGAGGAGCAGCAGCCTGCCCTGTCCGAGGCCATGAAAATGAGCCCTCCTCCAGAGCTGGCTCAGAGTTTCCTGTTTGACCACCTGAGTATCTGCAGTGAACTGGAGGCCAAGCAGCTCCTGCTGGGTCAGGCCATGGCTGACGCTGACAGGGTGCTGGCCCGTCTGGGCCTCAGTGAACGACAGCGTCTGCAGCAGCTTATCGTAGACACTCAGTCTGAGGTGGAATCTTTGAGTGAAAAGGTTGTGCAGCGCAGGAAACATCTTAGCAAGGCTTTCACAGAGAGAACACAGTTCCTGATGGCCGTCAGCCAGTCTATTTCCTGGGTGCAGCAGAATGAGAAGAAGGCCCAGGCTGAAGAGTACATAGCTTTGTTACCCGATGACCTAGCTAAGCAGGTCAGAACTTGTAGGAACATCCAAAGCAGTTTGAAAGCCTATCAGAGCGAGCTCACCTCCCTGTGGTCTCAGGGGAGGGATCTGATGAGGGACGCCAGCGAGGAGGAAAGGAACGAGATCCTCACAAAGCTGCAGGAGTTACAAAACATCTTTGACAAAACATTACACAGATGTGGTCAGAAGCTGCAGGAGCTGGAGAAGGTCCTCGTTTCTAGAAAATACTTTAAGACTGATCTGGAGAAAATTTGCCTGTGGATAAAACAAGCTGATATCGTCACGTTCCCTGAAATCAATCTGATGGTTGGAGACGCTGAATTAGAGGCTCAGCTGCTGAAGTATCAACACATTGTGGAGCAGGCGATCGAGTATGAGAATCTTCTTCTTATCGTTCAAAGAGCTGGACAGGAGATACTGCCCAGCCTGAATGAATTCGACCACTGCTACTTGGATGAAAAGCTCAACACCCTACCCCAGCAGTACAACAGCATATTAGCACTGGCCAAAGAGAAGCAGGAGAAAATCCAGCAGGCCATCCTGACGAGAAACGAGTACACCTCTTTCATAGATGTCACCCATAAAGCTCTGCTGGAGCTGGAGGAACAGTTCAATAACCTGGGCACTCAGCCTGTGGGCCTGCAGACTGAAGAGGTCCTCAGCTTGCAGAGTGATTACAAAATGATCCAGGTGGACCTGAGCAGCCTGGGCCTCGCCGTGAGTGAACTGAACCAGAAGAAAGAGGGGTTTCGTAGTACTGGGCAGCCATGGCGACCAGAGGAAATGACCCAGCTGGTGAGCCTGTACAACAGCCTGAAGAGGCTGATCGAACAGAAAGTAGAGCATCTGGATGAAACCCTGGAGTCATTCGAGGACCACAAGGCCATGGCTATGCAGGTTGACTCTGAACTAAAGGCCACAAAAGAGCAGCTTGTCAAAGTGAATGCAGAGACACAGTCGGCTGAAGAGAGACTGAAGAACTACCACGCTCTGGCAGGAAGCCTCCAGAGTGCCAACTCTCACCTGTCAAGGCTCATGGAGCAGATGGACACTCTCGCTCCCCGTGTCGACCAAGCAGCCAGCGATGCCTCCAAGGAGCAAGTGGTTCTGTGGCAGGAGGAGCTGCGATCTTTGCAGGCAGCAGTCGGAGATCTGATAGAAGAGTGTGAGAACAGGTTCGTCCAGAGTAAAGACTTTGAGACCGAGATGAAACGGACCCTGGACTGGCTGCAGCAGGTCAGAGATGACCTGGGTTATGCTGTGATTGTTGACGTGAGGGTGGAGAAGGTGCAGGAGGAGATCAGAAAGCAGCAGATCATGCAGGAGGAAGTGCAGTCCAGGCTGAGGATCGTGGCTGCTCTCAGCAGCAGAGAGAAACAGAAGTACACCAGCGCCAACGAGCTTGTTCCCACACACGTCGATACAAGCCTGGAAGAAATGGCAAAGCTGCAGGCGGATGTTCAGAAAGCTCTGAGCTCCAAACAGGTGAGGCAATATTTCATTTGTTTTGATCTAAATCAAACTTCAATCTCCCAGCAATTATTGTGACATCTTCTAATATTAAAATATCCTCTTGTTGCTTGTGTGTTCAGATAACTCTGGAGGAAGCTCTGGTGTTCTGCCAGAAATACCACTTCAGGATGCAGTCAGCCTGTGAGTGGCTGGAGGACGCAGTGTCTTTCCTGCAGCAGGCCAGCTTAGGTGTGGATGTGGAGAACTATGAAGAATGTCTGAGGCAGCAGGCGGACATCCTGGCCACAGAGCAAGAGTTTCTCACCCACTTGGAGGAGCTGCAGTCCCTTCTGCCTTTGCTGGAGAACCTGGTCAACCCCACAGCCAAAGAGCAGCTCCGTGTGAGCGTGGAGTCAGCAAAGCAGAGGGGCGTGGAGGTCCGAGATCAGCTTCAGTGTCACCATGACGTCCTTCACAGGTAATGAAAACAAAGAGTGAGAACACAAAACCTTTGCTTATAACGAAACTGACTTCCTTTACATGTTTTGCTGTTTTCAGCTGTGTGGATCAGTGGAAGACGTACCAGGAGGCCAGACAGACAGTCATCGAACTCATGAATGAGGCTGAAAAGAAGCTGACTGAATTTTCCACTGCAAAGGCGGGCACAGGCCAAGAGGCTGAAGATAAGCTTTGCAGTCATCGGGTATGAGAGGCCAGAACAAAGTCTAAAACATGTGTGATACTTCTGTCTATGAGGTAAACTTAACTGATCAGTTTTCTCTTCATTTTTCAGTCTCTCGTGTCACTGGTGAACGGTTTCCAAGAGAAGCTGAGTGGACTGGAGGAGCAAGCTTCACAGCTGGAGCTAGTGGGGAGTGATGCCAGTAAAGCCACCATCAGTCGCTCCATGACCACAGTGTGGCAGCGCTGGACACGACTGAGAAGTGTAGCCCGGGGACAGGAGAGGGTGCTGGAGGACACGGCACAGGAATGGCGAACTTTTAGAGAGAAGGTACACAAAAAAATCACCCATTTGATAACGACATTATTAGTGAGATGATTGTTTTCAGACTTAACTTCCACTTTTGTTCGGTGCAGATGGTGAAGGTGAGAGCGGTCTCCGATGAGCTCCAGAGTCGTTTCCCTGATAGTGCTGTGGAGAAGGCTTCCAAAGCCACCCTGCAGTCTCTTTTAGACCAGCATGATCTGCTAAGCCAAGACCTGGAGAGGGAGCTCTCGGCGCTCATGCTGCTGCGTCAGTACGCTCTCAGTCTGCTGCACGACGTGGAGGTGCCTTCTCCGACAAATGAGCAGGACGAGCTGCCCAGCCTGAAGGAGATCAGAGCTGTACAGGACCAAATGGAAAGGTAGGGAGATCACAGATTGTCTTTATGGATAGTCTTGAATCAAATGGAAATAGTCAGATTTAGATGGTAAGTGAATTACCTTACAGAGTTCCAGGATCTTTTCCTTTTACCTTTCAGCCTCTTGACACAGTCCAGGACCAAACGGGCTCAAGCAGCTCAGGAACTGAGGGACAGAGAGGAGGTGGAGAAGGAACTCAGTGTCGTAAAAGCCTGGATTCAGGAAACCAGGGAGCTTCTTCTCAATCCCACCCCAGACATTGACTCTCTGCTGCAGGAGCTGGAGGTATATCACACGACTGTGAAAAGAAGTTAAATTTTGATCCTCCAGCCCTCCCCAAAAACATTTCTAATGGAAAAAGTGATGTTTTTATTGTTTTTAGGTTGTTCATGGAGATGTAATCACATACCGCCAGAATGTGGATAAATTAGCAGAGCAGCAACAGAGCAAATACCTGGACCTCTACACCATACTGCCCTCTGAAATCTCCATGCAGCTGGCTGAGGTCTCCCTCGCACTGGGAGCCATTGAAGATCAGGTACTGTCTCATTAAAAAACCTTTAACCTAGTAAAGAATTTAATGGCCTCTATAGGGGTTTGTATGTTTGTTTGTAAGAAATGTAATAATGTGCGGTTTGTTGATGTTACTCACTGTACGATTTAGGTTCTTTCAAAAGAGAGAGAAATTCAGAGAACCAGAGAAATCAAAGAGAATTTCAGCTCCAGGATCCACGACATCTCTGAAAAACTCAAAGCAGTATCAGCTAAATTCAAGGAGAAATCTCCAGACGTTGATCACGCCAAAGAAGAGGTTAAGGTAAGTCAGTGTACTCATCTGATCTCAATGTGAATGAATCATCAATGTAACGAGATACATGGATTTGAAATGACACAATACTATGAGACATTGTCAGTTTGTTTTGGTTTATGTCTGGTTCTCAGAGCCTGGCTGAGGACTTGGACTGTTGTGGCCGCACCCTTTCAGAACTGGACGGTTCAGTGCAAGACTTCGGCCGCAGAAACCCCCTGCTGGCCAAACAGCTTGGCGATGCCATCAGCAAGCTCTCCGAGATGCATCATCACACAACTCGGTTGGCAGACTGCAGGAATAACTGGCTCAAAAAGGTTTGTGTTTCTGGTCTCTTATTGACATTGTAAGTTTTTTTAATGCCATGACCCCAAATTGAAACACATATCTGAATATACTTAATGCGTTTGCTTAGCTTACAGCTCACAATCTCTCTTATTCTGGCTCCACAGGCTGTCTGTTACTTAGATGAATATAATGAGATGTTGGACTTCATCGTACGGTGGTCAGAGAGAGCCAAAAGCCTGGTGAGAGCAAACATCATCTGGAACTCTTCTGTTCATCTGCAGGAGCAAATACGGATGTATCAGGTGAGATGGGCTACAAACAAAGGTTCTGATGTGATATTCAACCAGGGACATGGTTAAACTTACAAATACTGCTCCATTTAACTTTTAGGCTGTCCTGCGAGAGTCTCGGGAGCTTCATGGAGATCTGGAGTCAATGGCAGAGAAGGTGGAGTTGCTGTCTGAGGTGTTGCAGGTGGAGTCTATGAGCCAGCAAGTTTGTGAGCTCAGTCGACACACTGAAGAGCTCCAGCAAATAATCAAGACACGGCTGCAGAGCCTGGAGGATGCAAATAAGGTGCAGGAAGAGAACCTCATATTTCACCTCTGTCTGGAATGTTTGTATATTGTCTTTAATTCATATTGTACTCACTGTAAATCTGATGATGTCCTCAGAGTATGGAAGCCCTGGAGTATGAAGTCAAGGCCTTACATGTTGCTCTGGAGCAGGTCCAAGCCACCCTGACTTCACCAGAGTTGGCCCGCCAGAGCCTCAAAGAACAGCTGGCTCAGAGACAGGTATCCACACCGCATTAAAACTATAATAATACGGTCTTACTTACTTTACACATTGTAGCTTGTTAACAGTTTCACACAATATAAACTTTCTTTGTATTCGCAGCGCCTGCTGGCAGACATGGAGAGCTTCAAGCAGCAGGTGCAGGCCGTGCAGCTCTGTCAGAGTGCACTGCGGGTCCCAGAGGAGGTGATGCCCAACCTCGCCATCTGTCGCACAGCCCTACGTCTGCAGCAGGAGGCCAGTCAGCTGCAGCACGTTGCTATTCAGCAATGCAACATCCTACAGGTACAGTAGGGGGCACTGTTACTGCACCAGAGTGATCTTAGATCATTGGCATTCTTACGTCCTACACATAATGCAAAATATGAGTTCTGTAGGGAGACATTACCATCAGCATGAGTTTACATAAGCTAATTAGAAAAGCTTCTCAGTGGATTTTAAGGCTTCAAGCAGAGAGAATGAATACAATTTAAAACAGCAAAACAATCCCATTTTCTGCTCCAGGAGGCTGTGGTGCAGCACGAGCAATATGAACAGGAAGTGAGAGACCTCCAGGGGCTGATAGAGGAAGCTCACAAAGTCATCCAGGACCGACCCATTCCCTCAAACAACATCCAAGAGCTGCAGGCCCAGATCCTTCACCATGAGGTACAATACAGTAAATCACTGACTTTTCCTTCAAAGGGAAATGAGGCATTGAAAGTAAGGAAACCTGAACAAGGTGTCAGTCTGATAATGGAAGAAAAATATGAATTATGACATGCTCGGATGTGCGTTCAAGTTTGTAGGAAACTTAAAAGAAAGATGACTCATTATTAAGCATATGGATAGACAGGACCCTATATAATACTTTTTCTTTTAATGATAACTTATTTTACATCCTAAATAGGAGCTGGCCCAGAAGATCAAAGGTTACCAAGAGCAGATCGCCTCACTAAACTCAAAATGTAAGATGCTGGCAGTGAAGGCCAAACACGCCACCATGCTGCTGACAGTGACTGATGTGGAGGGGCTGCCTGAGGGGCTGCAGGAGATGGAGGAGGAGAAATCCAAGAAATCTTCTGCGCAGGCTGTCATGGTCAGAGAACACAATATACAGTGTAACATAATGTTGCTGACAAAGCTGTTTGCACTTTGTGATGACTCACTCCTGACTCATTCTGCTATTCCTGGCTTTTGCTTTAAAACGGTTTGACACCTTTGCCGACTAAAACTGCTTTTGCCTTATTTACCTTTCAATAAGGTGCACTGTGCACTGCAACAAAAAGTCATTGCAGATGACTAATCTTCTCTCTCCACCTTGCTTGTCTGCTGCTCTGTTAATATTTCTTGCATGGCGTGTCAGATGACAGCTGGCCGCTGTCACACCCTCCTGTCTCCTGTAACTGAGGAGTCTGGTGAGGAGGGCACTAACAGTGAGGTCTCTTCTCCTCCCGTCTGTCGCTCTCCATCCCCCATCACTTACACTGAGGCCACTATAACAAAGGTATCTACCTCACTTCTAACTTTTGGAAGCTTCTCCCCCAGCTGTCCTTGACTTACAGCCAAACTGCTCTCAATGTTTAAAGTCTTGTTTTCCATCTGAAATATTATACCCTGTATGCTTCCTCTCGTTCTTCTGTGTTTTTGTGTTAACTTTCTTGCAAAACAAAACACTGTCATTATTCCCTGTCTGCAACGCAAAGTTCATCAAAACTAACAGTGAAATTGGCTTTATGGGAGTTTCTGTTTGCCGTCAATCTGATGCCTAATTTGTCTCATCTGCCGATGCCTCTGTTTAAATATTCTTTAAGGTGGGAAGGGGAACACTAACCCGAGCTCCCATCCAAGAATTATATGACCCAACATTTGAGTCTGTGGCCAACTTAGATGACTTGCAGCGCTCGTGGGAGACACTTAAGAATGTGGTATGTGAATATAAAGGTCAACATGTTGGCGGTCTATTGATTCTCGGTGAACCCACTCGTGTTTTAAGACCAAGCACATTAAAATTGTCAATATTGTTTTCCAACAGATCAGTGAGAAGCAGAGGTCTCTGTATGAAGCTCTGGAGAAGCAGCAGCATTACCAGGGTTCACTTCAGTCTATCTCATCCAAAATGGAAGCTCTGGAAGCCAAACTGAGCGAGCCTCTGGAGGCAGATAAAAGCCCAGATAGCCACATTAAGGCACATGAGGTGAGTCATTACAGTCCAGTAAAGGGTTTCCAACAGTTTGATGGAGAGAGAGCTCTCACAGGTACCGAGTAGGAGGTTATCATACTGTTGGAGTAATGTCAAATAATAATGATTCAACAGCCTAAGATAAGGGTAATGTAAAATACACTAATCAAATAAAGAGAGTCATATAGTCAGATGATGCAGGACTGTTTAAAATATGTAGATGTATTTGATTTGTATACAAATCAATCAAGCTCTTTAATTTCAGCAGTCTTTTTTTAGCTCCACAAAACTAATGTAGTTTGATTAAGTGGATAAAATAAAGTATTAAAGTCCCGTCTATTCACAATATTCACACTGAACAGTTTCAGATACAGTTGCACTTTCTACATACAAACTACAGTAGGAGAAAGGAAAATGACAATGCCACAGCCAGTATGTTGTAACAGCTGCGATAATCTTGTTCTCTGCAGGGTCTGATTGAAGAGATCCAGAGTGTGCAGGAGGAAATCAACAAGCTGCAGACCAGCTTCACAGAGGACCTGGCCTCTGAGGCTGTGGACTCAGACGTGGCTGACCAGCTGGCCATGCAGTCGTCCCTCGCAGTCTTAGCTGAGCGGATGGCCACCATCCGCATGAAGGCCTCAGGGAAACAGCAAGTACTGGAGGTAGGTTAAAAATGACTGACAGTAAGTTACTAGTGAAGGAGTAGATAGTTGTTTTTTGTCAATGTGTAAGTAATTACAGCTGATAAAACGAGTGTTTTCTGTCCCAGGAGCGAGTTTATGACCGTCTGGAGGGTGAACGTCAGGAGCAGGCCATACAGCTCCATCAGTCACGGGCAAATGAACTGGAGCAATGGCTGATCAGAACACGAGGTGCGGTAGCCTCCATCCTTGAACCTCCAGAGGAGACAGACATGGAGGATCAGCTGGCTGAATGTCAGGTAAGAGCTCCCCCTGCTGTTCATTCAGAGCAATAAACACAAACATATTCATTATAATTCTTTATTGAATGATATTAACTAATCTGTTCGTATAGAAATAAGATCTCTTAATGATACAAATATGGGACGGGTCATCAGAGATGCAGCTCTGTCTGCCAAACTGTTATTTTCTGTAAAATCAGCAAATGCTTTCAGGTCAGCACTCTAATGCAAGTTTTCTAGGGGATTATTTTCATTATTTACACTCTAGTATTTTGTTTCCCCTTTCACATATGGATCACTCTAGGGGGGCAGGGACTTAAGTGGGTAAACAAGAGTATTAGAGGCGTTAGAGGGGCATACAGGAGGCTGGGCTCCTAAGCGACTGAAATACTAGTCTTAAGCAGATTATGCAGATGCCCCTGTGTGACAGGGGCCTGTTAGCAGGAGAGGGCGGGGAAGTCAGTGGTAGTGGTGATCAGCTGATTAATAGATCCCGCTGCTCGGATTGGTGTTGGTGACAAAGCTGCTAGAATATCCAAGTAGGGGAATCCTAAAGACCGGCGAGGAAAGGCGGGAGGGAGGGAGTTACTCTCTGCCTCAGAAAAACCTGCTGAAGCCGATTGATTGCTGAGTAGTAGCAACACTCGTAGAGGACAAATGTTTCTTCAGACATTGGAACAACGTTCATTGATGGGCATATTTCACTGGACTGGACTCAGGATGGTGTTCTGCATAGGGGAACTGCTTTGTAATCTGAGTGTTAGCATGTTTGCTGCAGGGCACAGAGCGTGAAGGATTAGTGGTAGTATGTTGCACAGGAGGCGAGGCCGGAGAGGTGGGCCAAGGATGAAAGCAGAGGGAAAGCTCTGCGTGTCCTGTGGCTGGAGAAAGCTGCTGGTGTAAGGGGGGGCGGGTTCAGTCAGACCCTGGTTTACTCCAGAGCTGCTGGCCGTGTTGGGACACCATGTTTGAGCTGGCCTCTCTCCTCCTGCTCCTGCAGAACATGCTGCTGGAGATTGAGGAGAAGGTGCTGGCGCTTTCGGAGCTGTCAATGCACAGCGAGAACCTGCTGCTTGAGGGTCGGACGGAGACGAGGGAGGAAGCTGAACAACTCGCTAGGAAGTTACGCACCTTAAAGGGAGGCCTGTTGGAGCTGCAGCGGATGTTACAGGACAAACAGATTAATATCCAGGTGAGGAGGCTGCATACTGAACCAATGTGTGTACATTCACTGCCAAACCTCCAATAATACTGGAGTCACTCCCTGCAATGGGTTTATTCCTAACAGTGGACACAATAACATGTTAAGACAATGTGTTTGACGTCTTCTTTCCTAGTGCAGCATTAAGAATACTTCAGGACGTGAATAAATTCAGACTTGATTCCCTCTCATTGCTTTTGTATCTACCAGTCAAATACAGCTACAGCCGATAACAGCACGAGTTTAAATGTGTTTGATGGGTCTTTGTATGTGCTGACGTGTGTTCTTCATATGTTGTAAATGATCTGGCTCTGCAGGGGTCTCTGCAGGAGCAGGAGGACAGTGAATCAGACTCCAGCCTCTCCCAGAGTCCAAGTCTGCAAGACTGGCTGGCCCAGGCGAGGACCACTCGATCTCAACAGCACCAGGACAGCCTGCAGAGACAGAGGGTATTTAATCACAAACAAATTTGTTTACTTCAATGTTGTGCAAATTCCAGTCCAACTGTTTTATGTTTGTGTTTTAGGAACTGGAAGAGCAGCTCGCAGAACAGAAAAAGTTGCTCCAGTCGGTTGCGAGCAGAGGAGAGGAGATACTCATCCAACAGGCCTCCCCAAGCAGTGCCAGGTGCGTTAAATCCTATTAAAACATACATGTAAATACCTATGTGACAGATGACTAAAAGTATCCATTAATTCATGTTTCTGTCTCCTTACAGCACAACAGAGCCGTTCTCACCGGCAGCTTTGGTTGAGAGGGAATCTCAGGCAGCTCGAGAGCAGATGAGGCAGAGGTGGGAGAGCCTGAGACTGGACCTGAGAACTAAACTGCAGCTCCTCCAGAAAACCCTGGAGCAGGACCACAAACAGCCGGTACAAATCCTTTGACATTTTTCTTGTTAGCATAAATTTAAAAAAGGGTGTCAGTTATTGATTCAGAAAGCCACTATTTTTGTTTTTGTCGGGGTTGTTGCAGGTTTACTCCAGAGCTCCTCGCGTGACCACAGCTGGATCGCTGTACAAAGAGGAAACTCAGGCAGACAAATCCTCCCTGAATACTCTGTATGATAGCTTCAGACATACAATCGAGGACATGACCACTCAGGTTTTACAATTTTTTCAACACTAACATTCATTTTAATTCACAACATTGCAGCATTTGGATATGTCATTCAACAAGTGTCATGAAATATTCCTACACAGCCTGGTGGTGGTGAGACACAGGTGCCGCAGATGGAACAGCAGCTCTACGCAGCTGTGTCATCCACCTCCTCCTGGCTGGATGGTGTGGAGAACAACGTCTTCTCTGGCTCTGTGCTGCTGGCTGAAAATGCAGAGACGCAGCTACAAAAGCAGGAGGTACAAAGCTCGTTTTTGCTGCTTCTTTATTTATTTTTTATTTTTTATTTTTCTTAATTTCTTTTAACTGTCCTGGACTCTCTTCCAGACTTTAGAGAACGATGTGAGACATGTCACAGAGGAGGTGAAGCACAGTCAGGCGTTACTCTCTGGATCTTCAGTGTTGGGACAAGATGACCGAGCGCTCCTGGAGGACAACCTGGACTGCCTGAAAGAAAGACTAGGAGCTCTGGGTTGTGCTCTGGGACAACGCTGTGACCACTTAAGGACTAAAGCACATGAGCTCACAGCGTACCAGGTTTATGCAGCCTCTTGAATTTGTTGTTTTTCAGGAATCTCTGTTTCATTTTCTTAAAGACGGAGCAAAAGAGAGATTTTGCAGCTTGTAAAACAGTTCTGGACTTAATCTGCTTTGTCAAATCTATCATTTTTACAAAAAATTACACCAGTTATCAACACCCGGCTTTATTTCATTTGTGTAAAAGAAAATATTATTCATTTATTATCATATCTACCATCTATCAGACTTCCTCTGTCCTAAAACTGTCTTTTTTTCTTGAACTCAGACTGAGTTGCAGCTTCTCCAGACTGCTTTAATCGAGACCAAGTGCCAGATCCTACAGGCCTTAGCTGGAGCCATGGACAGACCAGCCCCAAAACAACTGGAGGTAATACTCAGGGATAAATATTAACGCACATAGACGCACTCTTCTGGTCTCCCATCATAGCTAACACGAAACAAAAGGTGATCATGAGCCTCATCTCTCTTAGGTTATTGGCGGTGCCGAGGACAGCCTGAAAGACTTTGAGCAGAGGATTTCAGAGCTCAAGAGTAGAGGAACTTCACTGCAGGCGGATCAGATATCTACCAACAAAATACTGAAACTCCAGGTAATTCACATTACGGTTGATAGATAGACCTTGAAAATTGTTTCAGGTACTTTGTGAACACTTCTTTGTGATCCTCTCGGTGGAATAATTTTGGCAAAATAAAATAAATTCTGCTTCCAGGATTCCTATGAGGAGCTGGTGATGACAGTCGGATGCCGGCGAAGCGGTCTGAACCAGAACATGGCTCTGAAAGAACAGTACGAGCGAGCTCTGCAGGACCTCACTGACCTGGTGGACACAGCTAAAGATAAGATGGCTGCTGACCAGAGGATCATTGCCAGCTCTGTTGAGGAAGTCCAGAACCACCTGGACAAGCACAAGGTTGGCCGATTCAACTCTGTTAAACAGGCCAGACTGATTATCACACTGTGAAACATCTAACATTTTTGAACCTGGAGATGAACCTCATTTGTGTTTGTGCCATTGTGTGTCTGATTGTGTTCTCCAGGAGTTCTTCCAGGGTTTGGAGTCCCATATGATTCTGACAGAAACATACTTCAGAAAAATTAGTGCCCTAATGCTTCCTAAGGAGAGCCAGACCCTGGAGGAGACACTGGCTGAGGCTCAGAGCATCCTTAAAGAAGCACACAGCAAAGGAGTGGAGCTGGAGTGTATCCTGGAGGTGAGAGAGGAGTTTTGGTTCACTATTTACACACTGAATAATTGTGCACGAGTCTAGAGGGACTTTTAAATGTTTAATGGTGGAAAAGTAATCCACTGTTTCTAAAATCTGCTGTGTGATTCCAGTAAAAGATCATAATGAATTTTAAGTATTTCTATTATTGATACTTATACAAGCTTGAAACGATAAGAAGCTCAGTTTTCTGTGTTTTTTTAAAGTGGTTTTAGGTTTGTAGCTGTTTCAATTTTTTTTAAATTTGTTCGTACAGACTTGGTGCCGCTTGGTTCAGGATTACCAAAGTCTGAATCGGCAGCTGGAAGCAGTTGAAGGGAGTATACCTTCTGTTGGCCTGGTGGAAGAGACTGAGGAAAGGCTCATGGACAGAATCTCCTTGTATCAGGTATGAATAGCCAAGCAAGCTAGCACGCTGTTTGTGTCTTCCATTAAACCTTCAGATTTTAGTGTCACTTGTCTAAGATGGAGTTGTAAATCTACCTCTCCTACTTCTCTGTAAAGGGCTTGAAAGGGAGACTGACAGAGCACCAGCACAAGCTCTACCAGGTGCTGGATGAGGGCAAACATCTCCTGCTGTCAGTGTGCTGTCCTGCACTGGAGAATCAGCTCGCTCTGCTGGGTGAACACTGGCTCAACAACACCGGGAAGATCAACAAGGAGCTCCAGCGTCTGGAGGCGATCCTGAGACACTGGACCAGGTTTGGAGCACAACAGAATATGAACTTTTATTTTAACCATGAGTACAAATAATGCGTATTCATTGGATGAGCTCTGTTTTGAATCCAGGTATCAGAGGGAGTGTGCAGAGCTCAGCCAGTGGCTTCAGTCGGCGCTGGAGCGTCTGGAGTTCTGGAACACACAGGCAGTGTTAGTCCCACAGGAGCTGGAGACTGTCAGAGACCACCTCTCCGCTTTTCTTGTAAGCCTAAAGATATATATACATTTATTTATTTTACTCGTATTCATCAACAGAGTCAGGCTCCTTGCTCCGGGAATAGAATGCGACAGAATTTGACTGAACCAATCGACTGCTTTATTCAATTTCAGTTAAATTCTTGATGTGCTGCTAATAAACTTTGACCAGTTGTTCTAAAAATAGAGAAAATCATTTGCAAGACTCCTCTCAGTCTAATGAGATTATGTGTGTCGACAAACAGAAGAATTTATGAATTAGTACTTAAATAAATTCCTGCTCTAATGTCAGTGCCTCTGTCAGGGGCAGTAATTAAATTATTTGTAATATCAAAGATGGACTAAAGACGATGTAAACTAACTGAAGAGAAGCACAAAGCATCACAAACTCAGGACCATGGTACTTTAAAGTGAAAGTGAATTTTACTTTATGGTGTCAGCGGAGGGAGTTATGATTGATTGTTGCTGTTTTGTGTGTAAAATCTTCATAAAACCTCTGAATCTCTGTCTCAGGAATTTTCAAAGGAAGTTGAGAGTAAGTCCAGCCTGAAGAACTCGGTGGTAACCGAGGGCAACCAGCTGCTGCGCCTGAAGAAAGTGGACACGGTGGTGCTGCGGTCCGACCTGGCTCGCATCGACACCCAGTGGACGGAGCTGCTCACACGCATCCCGGTGGTCCAGGAGAAGCTGCATCAGGTATTGTCACATGCATCCAGCCTGCACAGGCTTATCGTGTCCGGGATGATAGGATTAGCCTTTTCTGATGCTTCATTTGTATACGGATAATTTTGTACAGTGTCGCTCTTATATAGCAGATGTGTCGTTCTCCGGTCTTATGGATTTCATTTTCATTCTTAGATCCAGATGGAGAAGCTGGCCTCCCGTCATGCCATTTCTGAGCTGTTTAACTGGATCGCACTGATGGAGAACGTCATCGAGGAGGATGAAGAAAACCTGAAGAGTGCAGTGGGGTCAAATGTGATACAGGACTACTTACAAAAATACAAGGTACACAAAGTTTTTAAGATTTTTTTTAGAAGTCAAATATGTTTTATGTCTTTTTGAGCGTAGTTTTGTTTTTCATGACTGCATCTTTCACTGTTTCTTATCAACACAATGAATTATGCACTAAAAACCACTTCAGGATTGTGGTCACGAGTTTGTGACTTCTTCTCTGATTGTGAATCTACATTTCCTTTTCTTCGATTCAGGGCTTCAGAGTAGATTTAAGCTGTAAGCAGCTGACTGTGGACTTTGTGAACCAGTCAGTGCTGCAGATCGGCGCTCAGGATGTGGAGAGCAAACGCAGCGATAAGACTGACTTCGCTGAACGACTTGGAGCCATGAACCGGCGCTGGCAGATCCTACAAGGCCGCATCAACGAGAGAGTGAGTTCATGACCCATGAGGTTTGTCGTTTGCTCTTAGGTGCAAAATCAGAATATTAAAGTTATAGTTGTTTGAATAACGTTGCAGATTCAGTTTCTGGAAAGCCTTTTGGGGATGTGGTTGGAGTATGAGAGCAGCGTTCAGGCTCTGAAGTCCTGGATGGGAGCGCAAGAGGAGAGGTTAAAGAGGAAACCTCGGATTGAGGATTTGACTTCGGTGCAGAATGCTCTCAAAGACTGCCAGGTAAACTTTGACTGATTAACTGAAACACATCATGCTGTATATCCCAGCATGCATCAGGCTGGTTGAGTTGAAATGTGAAAACTCAATTGCAGGAAATGGAAGAGTTGGTGAAGGAAAAAGAGAAAGAGCTTGAGAGGGTGGAGGAGCAGGGCTGTGCCCTTGTCCAGAACAAGACTGATGAAGCCTGTGCTATCGTCATGGAGACGCTCCAGGGTGTCAATCACACCTGGGCTAACCTGGACCACTTGGTGAGCTCCTCTCTTTTCCTATATTTTGAATTTGTGGACCCAAACATTCTTCTGCACTCTGCTCTACCCTTCCTGTTTTACACAGCCTCACTTTGTGTGTCCCCTCATCAGATCGGGCAGCTGAAGATCAGCCTGAAGTCGGTGCTGGATCAGTGGAGTCTCTACAAGCGCGCTTCAGAGGAGATCAATGGTCACCTGATGGAGGGAAGGTACTCTGTGTCTCGCTTCCGCCTCCTCACGGGGTCTCTGGAGGCTGTTCAGCTGCAGGTGCAGAGTCTGCAGGTATGGTCAGAGAAAGGAGAGTTTATTATACCTTACAGCTGGTCTGGTTATTGTGCTTATTTGTGTTTCTAAAATCCAGCTGCAGTTAAAGTAATGCTGCTGTTTTTAGTCGGAAAATGTTAGTTCCCGTGTATCGTTTGTCCCTGTTGGTGAATTGAACTCTGTCTTTCATCTGTGAAGGATCTGCAAGAGGAACTGGAGAAACAGGAGAGCAGTCTGAGGAAGTTTGGTGCTGTGACCCACCAACTGCTGAAGGAGTGTCACCCCTCTGTGTCAGACTCTCTCAACAACGCTCTTAAGGATGTCAATGCAAGGTGATATTTATGAGCTCCAATCATTTCTCCTCGCTTTATTTAGCAGCTGATATTTATGGAGTGAAGCTGTGATCATTTTAGCCGATTATTATCATTTACACTACTTGATGCCATGTTTGGGTTCAGATGGACTGGTTTACTGGAGGAGATTGCAGAGCGTCTGAGGAGCAGCAAAGCCCTCCTTCAGCTGTGGCAGCGTTACAAGGAGCTGTACGAGCAGAGCTGCAGCAGCATCCAGCTGCAGGAGGAGAAAGCAGACCAGCTGCTCAAGCTCGCCTGCAGCAAAGACATCGCCGACGAGGAAGTGTCCGACTGGATCCAAGAATGCAGCGTGAGTGAGACCACAGCTCCCCTGCTGTTGATAAATTCTCCATTAATGACTTTTACTCTTGCCAAAACTTTACCTCCTTTACTTTAAATTTTACTACTTTGTCTCAGGAGGTGCTCCGGTCTCAAGCTCCAGTTCAGGCCTCCCTGCAGGTTCTTCAGGAACTGGGAGACCAGCTGAAGCAGCAGGTGGACACATCAGCAGCCTCTGCCATCCAGTCAGACCACCTCTCTCTCTCGCAGCGGCTGACTGCTGTGGAGCAGGCACTCAACAGACAGCTCACCACATTACAGGTCGAGCAAAAGATAAATTATAAATGGTTTGACAATCAGTGCTATGTGGTTTTAAGCTAATGGGTCACTGATTTTTATCCTGCACATCAGACTGGAGTACAAGACTATGAGACCTTCAATGATCAGCTGGATTCACTGGGAGGCTGGATAGTTGAAGCTGAGGAGGCTCTGAGGGTGCAAGACCCCAACGGCTCCACAGATCTGTCCGTTATCCAGGACCGCATGGAGGAGCTGAAGGTCTGAGTGATGGTTTTAAACATGAAAGTCATTCAGCAGAATCAGTTTGACCCTATTTTGACCCTGCATTTTAACATTTGTCTCTGGTCTTCATGCAGAAGCTCATGCTGAAATTCAGCAGTATGGCTCCAGAGCTGGAGCGTCTCAATGAACTTGGCTACCGACTTCCTCTCAATGATTCAGAGATCAAGCGAATGCAGAATCTCAACAGAAGCTGGTCTGCAGCCTCGGCACAGACCACAGAGAGATTCAGGTATGAAGAATCCAGAAATGAGTGCAGTAGTTGTGCAGAAATGTCAGTTTCTTATACAAGTGGGTGTGCTAATGAGACACTTCATTTGCTAATTTGTTGTTTTGGTCCCTGCAGCAAACTTCAGTCCTTCCTGCTGCAGCAGCAGACCTTCCTGGAGAAGTGTGAAACCTGGATGGAGTTCTTGGTCCAAACTGAAGAGAATCTGGCTGTGGAAATATCTGGGAACTTTCAGAGTTTGATGGAGCAGCAAAAAGCTCATGAGGTAAGAGTTCCTCCTAAAGTAAAACACTCTGAAACAGCTGCTTTTAAAGCATATAAATCATTGATTATCATTTTTGCTCTCGCAGTTATTTCAGGCTGAGATGTTCAGTCGGCAGCAGATCCTCCACTCCATCATCAGTGATGGACAGAGGATGTTGGAGCAGGGTCAGGTAGATGACAGGTAAAGTCAATTTGATGTGTCTTAGATAATTCTTGACCTTATGCATTCATTCGTCTATATTTACCATCAAAAGTAACTGTTTGGTTTCTTCCTTCTGCAGAGACGAGTTCAACATGAAGCTGGCTCTCCTGAGTAACCAGTGGCAGGGCGTAGTTCGGCGCGCTCAGCAGAGACGGGGCATCATCGACGGTCTGATCCGGCAGTGGCAGCGCTACAGAGAAATGGTGGAGAAGCTGCGCAAATGGCTGGTGGAGGTCTCCCATCCTTCAGAGGCCCTTCAGGCAGGATCCACAGTGCCTCTGCAGCAGGCTCGCTCCATGCTGGATGCTGTCCAGGTCTGTAAAGTAAAAGCTTTCAGAGTCCACATGTCAGATTTTTGTGATGCTGCAGAGAAAACAGAGTAGAAATGTGTGGTGACTGTGAGGTCACTTGAACAGATCTGTAGCTAAATAATTTCATTTTCTACACCAGCTAAAGGAGAAGGTGCTGCAGCGTCAGCAGGGCAGCTACATCCTGACGGTGGAGGCTGGCAGACAGCTGCTCCTGTCTGCTGATAGTCGGGCAGAGGTGGCTCTGCAGGCAGAACTTACCGACATCCAGGATCGATGGAAACACGCCAGCGTCTGCCTGGACGAGCAGAAAAAAGATCTTGCCACCTTGTTGAAGGTAAAATATTCACTTGCTGACAGAGGAGAGAATAAGGGGGCATTGGAGTAATACTAAACATGTCTCTTCTTTAGTTTTTTTGAAAGGGACACAATTAGTAATGAAAGAAAAACTATATAACAGTACAATCTAATCATACCTGAAGTGATGAGGTTGCAAACACTGTTTCTGTCATGTACAGGACTGGGAGAGGTGTGAGAAAGGTATCGGCGGATCTCTGGAGAAACTGAGAGCCTTCAAACGCCAGCTGTCCCAGCCCCTCCCTGATCACCACGAGGACCTGCAAGCCGAGCAGATGCGCTGCAATGTAAGAGCCTCCAGGCGTTCTCCAGTCATCTCATCTTAATAATTAAACTCCACTGTCCAATTAAACATAGCTTTTGTGACATTACAGGCGTGGAAGTAGAGTAATCAGAGTTAGTTTTTGTCAATAACTTCACCTGCTGTGCTGACCTCAAACAAATGAGCTGAAAATCTAATTTATCAAAATAATACAACATTTGATTTCATGACAGGACCTGGAGAATACATTTGACGGCTGGACGGGGGATATGGCTCATCTGAATGTCCTGAGAGAGTCCTTATCGTGCTACATCAGTACTGAAGACTTGTCCGTCCTGCAGGAGAGGATTGAGCTGCTGCATCGACAGTGGGATGAAATCTGCCACCAGGTATGACAACACTTTTTTAGATAGCTAGAGAAGCAGCTACAAATACAGGGTTGACAGCCACACCCTGAATCACACACTGGTAACCATGAAGACTCATAGATGTGATCATCAAAAACACCAGTCTCATCTCTGCAGTTCCTTAAGACTCCAAATGGTGATGCTAATGTCAAGGGAAAGACAGGCCTGTTGTATACTGATCTCTTAGTGTCAGTGAGCTAAATGTAAAATAAAACTTATCACCATTTAGGGGAAAGATGTGAATCTTGAAAGAGAAACGTTTGAAGTAGATCTGAAGAATTTCCTGTTTTTCAATTTCTACATTTGTTAAGAAATCATGACCTGCAACAGTTACACCCTTGGTAAGATTGCTTAAATGCAGCTTTGAGTGGCACACAAAACTCCGACTATCTGCAACAGTTGGTTTGGTGTGCAAAGTGAAAACCTCAAGGTAATTTTTTTTCACGAGTCGCATCCTGTGCAGAGAAGATAAAACACACACACAGGAAACACACAGACACACACAGCTGCTGCTTGATGCAAATGAACCGTTGCTGTGCAGTGATCTCTGTACCGCTGCTTCCTTTTGACACTAATGGATGTTTGTTAATATTTAACATTATTCACACTCTACACCGATGCACTTAAAAATGGCTCTGTGCGTCTCTGCAGCTTTCTCTGCGCAGGCAGCAGGTGAGTGAGAAGCTGAATGAGTGGACTGTGTTCAACGAGAAATACAAGGAGCTCTGCGAGTGGCTCACCAACATGGAGAGCAAGGTATCCCAAAACGGAGACATCAGCATCGAAGAGATGATCGAAAAGCTCCGCAAGGTAAATATATCTGAGTGGATTTTCAGTTTTGCTGCAGTCAGTTTTTTAAGATACTGTGGATCTTAGAATTATCTCTGGACTCTGTTAAAATGATACTCTGCTGTTACTGATTGAGGACTGACATGTTAAAGATTTAGTTTCAGCTACACTTGATTTATTGTTGTAAGATATCTTTTTTTATCCTGTCTAATCTTGAACGTGTTCTGTTTGCATCACTCATATTCGTTGGCCTGTGTCACAAACAAACTCAGACTCATCCATCACTCCCCTCTTTGATTCTGCTGCACTCAAAAGCATCGCTGCCTTTCATCCATCTAGACCTTTTTAAATTACCTTCATGTCTTGTTTTGCTTTCAGGACTACCAGGAAGAGATCACTGTGGCCGAGGAGAACAAGCTGCACCTGCACCAGCTGGGAGAGCGTCTGGCCAAAGCCAGCCACAAGAGCAAAGCAGCTGAAATTGAGCAAAAGCTCAACAAAGTCAGTGACCGCTGGCAGCACCTCCTGGACCTCATTGGAGCCAGGTGAACAAACTAGTTTAAATGAGCATGAATAACCACATAGTTAGTTCCAGCATATCCTCTTTTGGAGATACTGCTTTATCATGAGCTGACAGAGATGAACGAATTATTTTAATAGGGTGAAGAAGCTGAGAGAAACTCTGGTGGCTGTGCAGCAGCTGGATAAGAATATGAGCAGCCTTCGCTCCTGGTTGGCTCACATCGAGACAGAACTGTCCAAACCTATTGCTTACGACTCCTGTGACTTCCAGGAGATTCAGAGGAAGCTCGACCTACAACAGGTGAGACACGTCACCTATAAACACAGATTTAATTTGACAATATAAGTGTGTATTCTCTGTACATACTGATCCAAATTGATCGTTTCTTTGTTCCTTCACTGCTCAGGAGCTTCAGCGGGACATAGAGAAACACAGCACAGGCGTCGCATCCGTGCTGAATCTCTGCGAGGTGCTTCTGCACGACTGTGACGCCTGCGCCACCGATGCAGAGTGCGACTCCATCCAGCAGGCAACCCGTAGCCTTGACCGCCGCTGGAGGAGCATCTGTGCCTTGTCTATGGAGAGGAGAATCAAGTAAGCTATCAGATATTAGATAAAAAAACAAAAAAGATGGGTGGATGACGGGATGATGTATTCACATTGATTTCTCATTATCAGGATTGAGGAGACTTGGCGTTTATGGCAGAAATTCCTGGAGGACTTTGCACGGTTTGAGGAGTGGCTGGCCACTTCAGAAAAGACCGCTGCTCTGCCCAACTCTTCTGGTGTTCTGTACACTGTAGCCAAGGAGGAACTGAAGAAATTTGAGGTACCATTTCCCACAAAAACAGACACATCAGAGGAAGAAGAAGGGAGCAGTTGATTTATCATATCTATAAATTTCTGTGTACCTACAGGCCTTCCAGAGGCAAGTCCATGAAAGTCTAACACAACTGGAGTTAATCAACAAGCAATACCGCCGTCTGGCTCGAGAAAACCGCACTGACTCTTCCTGTCGCCTGAGGGAAATGGCTCACGATGCAAATCAGCGATGGGACAACCTGCAGAAGAGGGTGGCATCGATCCTCCGCAGGCTTAAGGTACACGCATCACTTCCTTTCCTGTTTTCATCAAAACTCGAGTCTTTTATGCGTCTTTTCTGTATCCTTAAGCATCTGTGCCTGTTTGACTAGAATATCTGCAGTGTGATTCATACTCACTGAAGTGTCTCTGTCACTACTCTGCAGCACTTTATTAGTCAGAGAGAGGAGTTTGAGACAGCCAGAGACGGCATCCTGGTGTGGCTGACGGAGATGGACCTGCAGCTGACCAACATCGAACACTTCTCAGAGTGTGACATTCAAGCCAAGATCAAACAACTCAGGGTACGTTTGTCGACTTCATAACCATATGCAAGTCATACTGATGAGTTTTTTCATTGTACTGAGTACCAGATATGAGTATATGTATTTATTGTGGCTCAAAAGTTTCTGAAGTTTTCTGCCAAGTTCAGGCTTTTCTTATTACTCTTAGAGCAAGCAAGGTCAACATGCTTTGAGAACTACTTTGTTAGTCCTGCCTCTTGATTTGTTTGGAGAACTACAAGAATTCTCTCTGTACATGACTAATCTATATAATTTTTTGCAGCCTGACTTGTCATTCTTCTCATATTTGCAGTAAGGAGCAGCTAAACCAATAATGCACAGTTATTTTGTCAGATGCTATCAAACAAATCATACTTTGATTTTAATGACTCAATCGAATCAGGAAGTAAGATTCTGGATTAGGTTGCATAATGCGCTTGTGTTTAGCATTGAAATCAGGGCAGATGCTAACTTGTTTTTTTTCTATGCTCTACTTCTTCTTCTTCTTCTTCTTCCGGTTCTGCAGTCGTTCCAACAGGAGATCTCCCTCACTACAGCTAAGATCGAACACATCTTCCATCAGGGCGAGGCGCTGATAGAGAAGAGTGAACCTCTTGATGCCGCTGTCATCGAGGAGGAGCTGGAGGAGCTGCAGCGCTACTGTCAGGAAGTGTTTGGCCGCGTGGAGCGCTACTACAAAAAGCTCATTCGGCTTCCTGTAAGACCTGAAATCAAGATGAAGCATCATGCAACAGTTTAATTTTTCAGTCTGAAGTTTAAACTTGTTGTCGTGTCTGTTTTCTGTAGCTTGCAGACGATGATACTGAGGTGTCGTTATCGGACCGTGAGCTGGAGCTGGACGAACCCGGTGATTTGTCCAGCTTGCCATGGAACGAGCGTTTAGGGGACGGTTTCCTGTCACCTCTGCCCTCCTCAGGTCGCTCAGCCTCTATAGCCGCTCAGTTTAGGACAGAGCGCTCAGGCAGGGACACCCCAGCCAGCGTGGACTCCATCCCCCTGGAGTGGGACCACGACTACGACCTGAGCCGTGGGCTGGAGAGCGCCAGCAGGGCTCTGAGGGAGCAGCAGGGTGAAGAGGGAGACTTCCTCCAGAGGCCCGCCTCAGCCCTGTCAGGTCAGTTTGAAACACACAGAGTCTTAGAAGATGTCCACAGTTTTGTCATAACACTAGGGAACTTCATGTGTCGTTTAAAGGTGTAGTTACAAGAATCAACTTTACCATCTCTTCTCATTCTCACGGATGTCAAAAAACAAAATAAATAAATGTCTTTTTAGATTCTGATCTGTGCAAAAACAACACGACACCACTGTGAAAACACAGTATTCAATAGCAGCTCTGACACGGAAACAGTCATCTACAAAAGAAAGTGTGACGTCTCCACTGAGCAAAAGTTCTTGAAATTTAATTTACTTTTTTTTTCTTACAATTTTGACTTAACTCTGGATATCCAGCCTCATGTTACCAGTACAGTGTATTTCTCTGTATGTCAAACTCTGGTCAGACTCCACCCATGCGGCGGTACACCAAACAACGTTAACCACAGCAGATGACCTAGTTAATCAGTAAATGAAATCAAACGGTGTATTGCTCACTGCTGAATGTCTGTACTGTACGATGTTTCTTCCAGATGTAGTGATCCCAGAGAGCCCTGAGGCCTATGTTAAACTAACAGAAAAAACACTGAGGTCCTCCACTGGTAGGCATCAGCAGACCCCAGCATGCCACAAGTGTTTGGGGCCAGGAATAACAGCTGCAGTCTTGAGTGACACCACACTTGTAGCCTATTCACCGGCTTTGATTTGTGTTGATTTCTCTCACACACTTTGGGCACAGGCTGTAACCAATGGCAACACTTTTCTAACCCCGGGGGGAATAGGATCAATTCCATTTTTCTTCGTTTAATCGCTGGTTCTGCTTTGCTGTGAAATTCAGCAGAACTGAAATGGAATTCAGCCTAACCCTTCTTTTCCTAACCGGCTTTCTTACTTTGGTTTGCAGTGTGCTGTGTAGCTAACCTCTCCGGGTTTCTTTGATGTGCATTTTGTGTTTCAGAAAAGCATGTTGTTTCATTGTCTTAAGTGGAGTCTACTCTTCTTGCTGAAGGGATTGTAGATCTAGAAATCAACTTTCCAAAGGCTCCATTCAAACAGAGAGCTGAATATTTTTGATGTGTGTATTTCTGATGGAGGATGGAAACCTATCAGGAGAGTGTTGCTCCCCCAGGCACCATAAGTGATGAGTGTTTTGGAGACCGGTCTGCATTTGAGACACGTCCTCCAATCAGTCCTCTTGGGTTTCTCTGTCTGAATGGGGCTTTACGTCTTTCTTGGTTGCAAAGCACACTTTAAGTAACCATAGTAACAGAGTATTTAAGAGTACTTCATCATAATCTGCAAAGATTACCAGTTTATGTGTCGTCTACAGGTGATGCTGCCTCTTCAGACTCACATGTTCACCCGCTGGATGTCAGCCGTTTTCAACTGCATCAAACCGAGAGCGGCCGCAGTCGGACGCCAACAAGCTCAGAGATGGACGCCTCCTACATGGGATATGTATGTGTTTCAGGAGACGACACAATGACTCCAAAAACCTTTTCTCTTCTGCACGAACTTAACGTGATGATATTTTATCTGTAAACAAATGCCTGTACATGTCTGTGGGAAAAAAATCTTTATCCCAAGGTTAAAATCTCTGTAACGAGTGTGTTTTACACTTATTTGATCTAATATAAAAGTGCTTATAGCCTCATAAATATCTGTTCTGTAGATGCGGCTGCTGGGTGAATGTCGTGGCAGTATTGACACGGTGAAGAGGATGGGCTTTGAGCTGAAGGAGGAGGAAGACACGGTGTCTGGACTGGCGGATCCTAGCAGCTCAGAGTCTCAGACATCAGGTAACACAACCCGTTTTCTGCATGTGTTCATGAACTTTGCACTTTTTGATATAAATTCACCAATTTTTACAGCTTTCATAAATGTTTTTATCGTTTCTAAATGTGTTTTTGTTTCTTATGTAAAACAAATCATTTCAACTCTATGATGTCTCCTCTTGATCTGTTTGCAAACTAGGCGTGATTGAGCGCTGGGAGCTCCTGCAGGCTCAGGACCTCAGCAAAGAGATTCGCACCAAACAGAACCAGCAGCAGTGGCAGCAGCTGAACTCCGACCTGAACAAGATTTGGACCTGGCTGGGAGAGACGGAGGAAGAGCTGGAGCAGCAGCGGAGGCTGGACCTCAGCACGGACATCCAGACGATTGAGCAGCGCATTAAGAAGCTGAAGGTATCGTTGTTTGTTTTTATATTTTAATCTGATTCTTCTATCATAATATTTTAAATATATTTACTTGTTTATATCTTTTTCTATATTTACTGTATATTTAAACATCAAGAAAATATCTTAATTAGCTCAGATTTCCAGCATGTTCAAGGCTCCTTAGCTGACTGAGTAATTTATCATGGAAATAAGTCTTGAGACCCTTCTACCCCTCTATCGTTGAGTCTCTGTTTCTCCGTGTGCATTCATTGACTATTGAGTGTAAATGTCTACAGGAGCTGCAGAAGGCTTATGACAAGCGCAAGGCCATCGTGCTGTCCATCAACCTGTGCAGCGCCGAGTTTGTCCAGTCTGATTCGGAGGAGTCCAGAGAGCTCCAGGCCAAACTGAAAGACATGAACAACCACTGGGACAAACTGGGCAGCTCACTGGAGGAGTGGAGGTCCTCACTCCAGGAAGCTCTCATGCAGTGTCATGTAGGTGCCAGTCCTTAGACCCTCAAAATCATGACACAAGGCTAAAATGTAGTAGTTTTAAGAGCTGCGATTATCTCCGTTTATAGGACTTCCATGAGATGAGCCACGGTCTGCTGCTCTGGTTGGAAAACATTGACCGCAGGAAGAACGAGGTGGTTCCCATTGACCCAATCCAGGACAGTGACACTCTCCATGAGCATCACAAAACTCTTACAGTACGTACCTGTCAGCTCTTTGCATGTTTCCTGTAAAAAAACATCAGTGTTGGTGTGATTAGTCGAGGAGATTGGAGGGTAGCAGCATCAAGTAAAGAATTAAACGCTTCAAACTGACTCTCCAAACAGCAAATCCGACAGGAGCTGCTGGACTCTCAGCTCAAAGTGGCCTCCCTTCAGGACATGTCCCTCCAGTTGCTGGTCAACGCTCAGGGCAGCGACTGTCTGGAGGCCAAGGAGAAGGTCCACGTCATTGGGAACCGCCTGAAACTGCTGCTTAAAGAAGTGACACGAGACCTCCGAGAGCTCGCCAAGATCCTGGACATCACGAGCAGTCAACAGGTAGATCTTCACTCATTCTGCACTCTCTGTACTCTCAGCTTCACTGTCTGTTCTCATATTAAAAACCTTTCCTCCATCAGGATCTGTCATCTTGGTCCTCTGCTGATGAGCTGGACACATCGGGTTCCCTCAGTCCCGTATCAGGGAGGAGTACCCCAAGTCACCGACGATCGGTAACACACACATCTCCCAGTACATGCTGCCCTGTGAGAAGCCAGGTGTTAGGTTACCCCTCTGAGACAGCGAATCTAATAACCTGTGCCCCAAATGCCCCATTAAAGGCCATGTTCACCCCTGCCATCCCAAGAGCTCTCCTCACACTCCTCGGCACATCCACTCCCTGCTTTACACCCCCTCCCTCTGATTTCTACACCCTCTCCTTGTCCTTGACTCTTTTGCATGTGGTCTGTTCCCAGAGCAAAAAACCTGCCAGAGAACTCGGGAATTCCTCCTTTTTCTAACTTCCTTAACTTTCCTCCTACTTCTCGAATAACTCTTTCAATTCTCACCTGTTTGTCACTTTTTCTCTTCCAGTATTTTTACACTAAAATCTTCTGTCCTATGAGTCTTTTCTTCACCCCAGACTTTCCTCTAATTTCTTCTCACCCTGTAGTTTTAATCTCAGGAATGCTGGCTAACAAAAAAAACAACTTTAATTTATAAGAAGAAGAACACAAATGTGGTTTTATGATGTCAGAGGCATGCAGTCATATTTGTTTTGTAGGCTGCAGTGATTTAAAAGCGACATTTTCCACCAGTAGAGACTCATTAAGTATTCAGTCCAAATAAGCATGCTGCTGCTTATATTATGTGTATGTTATTAATGTCACTGTTATGTTTAACAGAGGATGTCATGAATCACTCTGCAGACTGTTTGTTGCACTCATGAGCCAAAAACACTTCAAAGTAGTCACACACTTTGAAAAGCCAGATTCCTTGATATCACAAGTTACAAAATCTGTCACCTTCACGTATGATTTTGTCGCTGCTCTTCTTTCATTTTGGGATTTTTCTTTTCATCGGTAGCTTTGTCTTGATTTGCCTGGACTGAAACATACTTTCTTTCTTTTACCCTCCCCCCCCTGTTCATTGCAAACAGAAACGGGGCAAATGTAGTCTGTCACAGCCTGGACCCTCTGTGAGCAGTCCACTCCACAGGTACCTTTCTGTTGGTTTCTAGCACACCCAGAAGATAATGGAACTCATCATCCCATGATGCACTTGGAGGCTTATTCAAACTCCCTAATCCTTCCTGAGTGGGAAACCTTAGCCTTGTTAAAAAGACAACAATGATAATACAAGTTTTTCGACCTTTTTTTTGCCAGATTAGCAGATCATGATAGTGAATTCCATCATCTTCTGTACGTCTAGACGCTCTGTGTAGGCTAGGGGACGAGGTGAAATGCAGCCCACACATCCTTGATAAAGGAGTCACACAAGGAATGATGCAAGGCCTCTTCTCCGCCACTGTCCTCGGCTGCTTAATATCGCTAACCCGAGGGCATTTCTTACATATAACACAAATACTTCTCTACGTCTAACTTTCCCTCGCTGTTACTGAGCAATTACCGAGCCAGTACGTGTCTGCAATGAACAATGCAAAGGCTGCAGTTTCTCTTTCTCTCTGGCTCTCCTCCTCCTCTTTCTTCCTCTCTTGTTTGTGTACGACATTTCTTCTTCTTCCTCTTCTGCTGCTAAATCACCAACTATCCACCATCGCTCCCCCCTCAGTCTGCCATCTGTGAGTCTTGCCTCTCAGGTCTCCATATGTGAAGTGATTAAGGGGCACATTTGGTTAAAGCAAAAAGACAGAGTCAGGGACACTTTGATTTGATATTTTATTCATATATATATATAAAGCTTTATTTATATATTTGAAAAGAAGACAGTTTTGACTTAAGCTGATGGTTATTATTAATTATACATACATTCAACTTTCAAGCTTTCTAGTTTAATAGATTTTGTGTTAAATTAGGCGTATCATCCTCAGGCTTTACCTTCATATTTAACACACAGACATGACAGCCATATCAATCTTCTCCTGTATACTAAAGAAAATATATTAAAGGCACTGTGAGGAGTTTTTCTACACAGTAAAATAAGAATATTATCTACAGGATGGGTTATTTCTGTATAATCGGCATCAGCCCTCATCAGGCCATTAGCTTTTCCAATTAAACCACATTTTTCTCATCATCTATTAACAGCATATCTAAAATAGTTTGGATTTAAATTCTGTTATCATGTTTAGAATAAACATTTAACCTTCCTCCTGAGTTAATTTTTACTACGCACCCACTATGTTAAGGGTCAGTTTTGACCTGAGTCCATTGATTCATTAAAAATCATCTAAGACATGTTACTGGCTAAAATAACATGTATATTCAGTTTTAACATGCATAGAGTGATGAATCTGCACATGGCTTTCTTTTTTATTTTAACCTCAATATTTACCTAATTTTTTCAGATTGTTGGGCAGAGATCCAAAAGTTCCTTGTGGAAGTATTATACTGAGCCAAATCTGATTAAATGTTTGCTCAAACGGGTGTGTTTGGTCACCTTTTGTAAGCTGTCATAACCTTACTTAGTTTCAATTTGATACAATGCAGATTTCGTCCAAAGGGGTCGCTGCCATCAACTCAACGTGTAAACTCCTTACTGTGCCTTTAATCTTTTCCCCTAAACTACTCCTCTGAAAAGCAGCCTAGCTAAACTACATACTAGAAGAAGCTGTTTCTGATTGCTATGCTCTACTCGCCTCGGCATGCTTTGCATTTTCAGGGGCCAAAACCTTCCAGAGTCCCTTTTAAAGGATTCGTCTGATTACTCAGCTGATACTTGCAGCATGCCTTTTGTCTCTTATCTTAACATCCTCTGCAAAAGAACTCGAGCTCAGAGTTTGACTGTATTTGTTTGATGTAGGATTGTACAGTTTGTCTTGTGACTGTCTCTGTAACTGTGTTTATCCACCCCAGTCAAAGTCGGCATGTAGATCACAATGTGGGACATTGTCCAGACATTGTTTTGAACCATACAAGCAATGTCTTCTGAACACAGCATGGTGCTCACATCAAGCACTGTCATGCAGTTCTCCTGTCTCTGAACTGAGGTCTTATTTGGATTGAAATTTGTGAGAGAAACACCTCATCTCTGAAGCTTTGAGAGATCAGATTATTGAGTTACAGAGCAGCTCCAGCAGAGTTTGTTTATTAAATCAGACTAATTAAATTGTCAGTCATTTTTACTGAGTTTATTTTTGTGAACAGCAGAGAGACACATTTGAGGACATGATTATAATGAGGCCATACAGACCTAAAGTCAGGTTCTCAAAAGACAAAACAGATAGTCTTTTGTGTTCTGTTCAGTGGGTTTAAGTAACTAAACGTCAGTCTGTGCTGCGTTGTGAATGCGCGTGTGTGTGAGCAGGTCTCCCGACGCTGGATCCGTTTCCTCCCCTTCTGATGCGGACACATCGCCAGCGAGCGCGTCCTCTCTGCTGTGGCGCGTGCTCTGGTTCGCGCTGCCCCTCCAGTTCTTCCTGCTCCTGCTGGTGGTCTTCGCCTTCCTGCTGCCGCTCTCCGAGGAGGACTACTGCGCTCAGTCCAACAACTTCGCTAACTCCTTATACCCGATGCTGAGCTACACTAACGGACCACCTCCAGTGTAGGCTGGGCGACTGACACAGCATTTAATTCCAGTATTAGTACATGAGTATGACCTGAATTGAAATCACGTTGGTATCCTCAAATGGCCAATTACATGGGAAGCAAAAATCTATCTCGGTCATCCATTTGCACTGCAAAAAAATCAGCGGCCATCTACAGACAATATCTAGGTGTGTAGCACATAGAATCAAGCATCTCACTATGTTACTCTGTGTAAAGCCGTGTCGAATAAGGACTATCTTTGGTGTAACTAAACTGAAGAGACTACGTTTGCCCACAGTGGACATTTCTGGATGAACTGAAGATCAAATCAGCCGTGTATACATGTTTGTATTTCTCTGAAGAGGTCTGTCAGCGATTGGCACCAAAGTTAAATGCTGGAAAATTAGCCTGTGAATTTGCTTGTAACTCGAAAATTTGTAAGAAAAAAAATAACAAAAAATAACATTGAATATATCTCACATTGCAATATTTTTTTACCTGTATTTTGGCATGCATTTCTCATCATTGTTTTTATTTACCGACATCCTCCATTGTGTCCGTGGTAAACAAACCGTCGTTAACTTGAGATACATTAACTCATGTAAGCTTGATCGAAGCCAAGTGCTGCGGTTTAATACGGAAACCAGACACAAGAGATTAACCTTTAACTGTGTTCATTCATGCTCTTTCTACATTTTGCTGTTTTATTTTTTAAACAAAATATGAAATATGACTTTATGATCGAGAGTTATGATATACATAGAACCACTGTATATTTTGTATGACTGTCAATTCCGTATCAAATGTATAACAGTATGAGATTATTAAACATGTAAATATGAATATGAGAAATATATGTATATGCGCCCATGGAAAACAATGAATGCCAAATCCTCTTTGTGATATTTGTCTTTTTATTTGTTTTGTACTTTTTATATATATACATGATCATTTTCATAGTATCCGAGGCTTGTTTTATATAGTTAAAGGCAAAGGTTTGGCACAGTTCAGGTCTAGGCTTCTTGAAGGGGGACCGCATCGCCGGGAAAAGTCGACCTGAGAGCAGAAAGATCCAAGGAGGAGTTGTCCTGGCGGTCCTGGATTTGGGGGAGATGAGTCCTTTGGTGAGTAGGACAGAGCCAGGGCATGTTGGGGTGATGGTGATGAAGGTGGTGGTGATGATGAGAGTGAAGAAGGGTCTCCAGTAATCTGATGATTTCGTAATTTGGAAGAGCCAGGTTTGTGTCGTCCACACCCAACATTTTGGAGACAACCATTCGGAAATCCACAAGCTGGACGCAGAAAAAAGTGTTTAAGGTTTTAAGAGTATTTAACTCTCACAACATCTCAGAAACTGTGAAATCTACAAGTGAGCACAGAGTCGAGCAAACAAGCTTGCCTGCAACAGTACAACTGAATTATTTTTTTCCTATTTTTTTATGCTTGAACAAACGAGGATTATTCACGTATTTAAACATTTTAACGTGGTATATTATTCAGGTAGAGTTATTTATAGATGCAGTCTAAGAAAGTAACTTGGGACCAGGTAGAAAACAAATGTTTTGCCCTCCTTTTTCGGTCACAGTCTGAAGCGATGTCATGGTTTACTGACACTCTCAAGGTACATGTACATCAATCTTGCATGGTGACCATTAAAAATCTCAAAGATCAGCAGAGATCTGGTAGAACATGGGTGCTGAGTTTCTCTCTTGAGCTTGTAAACATTTATAGTAACAGACTTCAATATTTCTGCAAAGCTCCTGATGCGAAACTTTCCAAACTCCTCATCTCCTCACCTCTCTCTCCCTCTCAGACAGCTGAGCCAGGCTCTGCCTCATGGTGCTGAGCTGCTGCTGGTCCTCTCTGGTCTTCATCTCTTGGCTCTGTAGGTCTGAGCTCACTGTGTTCAGCTTCTTCTCCACCTTGGCCTTCCCCTCCACCAGCTGATCCAGCTTCTTTTTCTGCTCCTGCACGGTCTGACTCTGCTCCATCACTTTCAACTTGGCACGTTAGACAGAGGTCATAAAGAGGCCTTATGTTTTTGCCTTACAGCTACCAAATAAACAGTGTAATAATAATGAAATACACACTCGACACATGGTGCACTGTTACAATGCATTATTCATGACACCCACACACAGATATTTGACACATAGATGACAGATTATGAGGTGAAGACACCTCTGGATTGAACTGGAGTCCTGACCCCTCTCCCCTCTACCTTGAGCTCATTGGTGTGGGACAGCTGGGCCTTGAGCTCAGTGTTGGACTGCTTGCTAGCTTTCAGCTCGCTTTGGAGGCGGTCCAGTTTTTTCTGTAACCTCCTAACTTCAAGATGGGCATCATCTCGTTCTACGGCCAGCGCTGATCGGCTCCTCTTCTCCTCCTCCAGCTCTGACACTTTCTTCCTCAGGAGCTGGATGTGGAGGCTTTTGCTCTCCAGCTGGTCTTTGTGTGACTTTAACTATTGAGACCAAGTAAGAGACAGCTTAGTTATCACTTAAGCAATTAATATCCTTTAATATCCCCACCTACTCTTTGTGTAGGTTACCTTTCTCTGTAGACTGTAGGTCAGGCTTTTGCTCTCCACTAAAGCAGCAGTTTCTTGTTTAACAAGCTGCTCTGCACGTGACAGGATGAGTTTAAGCCTCATGTCGAACCCCAGATCCACTGCAAGACTGTCAACCTTCATCATCTCCGACAGCTGCTCCAGAAATTCTTCAAACTGTAAAAAAAAAGTCATAATTTTCCTCTGCAATTAATACTTTTTGTCTCTCTTTTCCTCCTGCTGTCTTCATAGCGTCACTCACGTGCAGTTTGCTGTGTCTCAGCCCCTCACGGTGCATGTCTGCAGTCAGCAGCTCTGTCTCTACAGATTGCAGTCTCTCCCTCAGGTCCTGGACTTGCTGCTCTGCAAGCTGAGCCCTTTCTAGCGCAGTCTGCCGGTGCTCTGTTTGCTCTCTGAGCCGAGCCTCCAACTCTGTAAGGGACTGAATGGATAGAGTGTTTTTTTTAGGATATAAAAACCCAAAAGTGTAGTTCCAAATTTGAAACCTTTTCCAAATTAGCAGTAGACTTTGTGCCAGAAATCCTCTTTTTGCCCTTTACCTTATTGCAGAGATTGTGAAGTGCGTATAAAACATCTTCTTCTGTTGGCAGGATGATGCTCTCAGACTTCCCCTGCAGCAGACCGCCCACCTTTTCCAGAAACATCTGTAGTTTCTCTTCAGCTGTTTGGGTCTCTCTTTGGCTGGACTGTAGCTTTCTCTCCAGCTCCTCCACCTGCGTCTCTAAACACTGGGACTCTCTCCTGGCTGCGTCTATCACTCTCTTGCTGGCCTCCACCCTCTCCATTAGGGTACCTCTTTCCATCTCCACACTCCTCCTTCCCTCTGCTAAACCATCCAGCTCCTGTCAGTCAGAAAAAACCCCAAAGTATATTTAAAATATCCTTGAAAATTAAACATATTTGTGACTTGCCTTTTTTTTTAGGCATTAATATCATAATGAGTGTCTAGACAACTAATTCTACTCGAACCTGTGACTAGAAAGCTTTGGTCTTACTGATTTGAGCGAATCAAGCGCTGCTGCACTGCTGGCGGTCTTCCTCCTCTCCCTGTCCAGCTCTGCCACCAGCCTCAGAACTGTCTCTCTGCTGGCTTTACAGTCCACCTCACAGGACTTGACACTTTCCTCCAGAACTGCGATCTTCATCTTCAGCCTCTCCTTCTCATTAGACTGATCCACCTAGAAATAAAAACACCAAAATAGTTTTAATCGGATTGAAGTATCCAACTATTTGCATGCAAAGAAAAACAACTAGTTCAAACTTCAAACCAACAAAGTTCCCTTTAGAAGAGTTTTAAGTAAATGTCAGCTGTCTTCACCTACCTCTTTAGAATTTTCCATAACTTCTGCAAGCTAAAGTTTGGTAGGAGAGGTGAATATTCAGCAGAGACTTGTCACTGTTTTTAAGGAGTCTCCTGGCAACACCAAACACAGGTTAAGAAGCTTTACCACAGGGGGCGCTGTAGCTCAGATTACATGACACCAACTACGGACTTTATTTATTAACAGAGTTTTTGTGTGAACTGTATTCAATTTTTAGTTTAACAGAGGTTCATAACTCAAAGAAAATTCATAAAAGGGCATTGAAAATGAAAAACTAGAAGCTAAGGGAGATACTATGAAGGTCAAGTGAGCTTTCCAGGGGTAATTTTGCCCCGAGTAAGGACTTTCAGGTGGCCGTTCCTCAATCGCATTGGGACTTTTCAAGGTTACAATCGTACCAATATACTGTGAGCTCGGGAGGTAGATTAAAAAGCTCAAGCAAATAGGTCAGATTAGTTAAATGTCATGAAACGGAATACAGCAAAGCAAAAACAAAACAAAAAATTACAGTTTAAATAAAGTTTCCATATCTTAGCAAACAGGAGTTGTACAATATTTCGTTTTTTCTACAATGGATAAAAGAACAAAATTTTGATGACAGGCTCTTTGTGACGAATTGATGGTCCGTCGTCGATAAAAACATGACATGTTCATTTTTGAATTTGAGTTGGCAAAATGTCATTATATGGAATACAACAAAGCAACAGCAACAAAACAAATAACATTTTAAAGAGAGTTTCAATATCTTCGCAAAACGGAGTTGTGCAATATTTTTATTTGTCTAAAGAACAAAATGGCAGGCTCTTTGTAACGAATTATTGGCCTGTCGTCGTGAAAAACAAAGAAAGCTAATTTTAGATTTTGAGCAAATTTATCGGCTTTAAAGGACACGTAGATGCTATTTTCCCTGGTTAGACATATCATTTCTCTGAAACTGTTGCCATTTTGCCAGTGTGTTCACATTAACTTAATAGAACATCGTTAAATGGGAACAATTTTTACAGTTGTGAAGCGTAAGGAAAAGACGCTAGCCTTTCAGTCAACGCTCTGGGCGTACGAAACAAACGTGCTACGTCACACAAACAGGAAGTGAGCGACATGAAACTTTACAGGCAAACACAACACACGCCTCCTTCATTCACTGTCATGCAAAGAAGCTATGTAGCAGTTTTATATTAATCATGGTAATTTAACGCATCCGGTTGCCGTTTTTGCGACGAGTTAAGTCACCTGTACACATCGATTCGTTTGTTTTATATCTCATCGTTGATTTGAGAAGCCTCTGACAGGAACCACAGGTACCCTCATCTGCACGTTTTCCACCTCTGTTGTCTTAAACTTCATTTTAACACCCATTACGAGTCGTTTTTCGTGTTTATAAATGATTCACTCAGTTTATTTCCAGATTACAGGTTAGTAAGTGTTTTTCTGAGAGCCATTGTAGTCAAGGTCAGACGTGCTTGTATTGATCCATTCAGATTGAGATTACCTCAATTAAACGTATTAAGATTAAATCTCCTTGCTAGTAGATAAAACAACATCAGAGTTACATTAAAGTTATTGTAATGTCAGATTAAATCAAGGTATAAGATCTCCTGGTTGTGCTCTACCTGCCTGTGTCCTGTGTTGCAGCTCACCTGTGCTCCCCTAAATGCTGAGATGCTTCACCAGTCATTGTGGTCCAGATTAGGAGCTCAGCTGCTTCTAAAAAGGAAACCGGTCTTCCACTGGGCCTCAGCCAGCCTTCCCCAGTTTGTTCAATCACACAAATGTGAATCCAAAACCAGGACTCACTCAGATTGGTCTTTCCCATGGACCGTGTCAAGGACTTGTTCTTTTAGTACTCTTCACCAACAGCAGAAGTACAAAAGAGATGTTATCCCTACTTCACAGGGATTTACAAGTCTTACTAGCACATTTTTTAGTCATCCAACTGTCTGGAGAGGTGGAAAGGTGCGTTTTTACTCTCAGGACATAGTGAGGTCAATGCTAAAACAGACTCTAAAACCAGCAATAATCCCGGGAAGAAAAGCTCCCAAAGGCCCAAGAACAAAACAACCGTCAAGAGCCAACCAACCTCCCCTGAGTGAGGACCAGGTGATACCTCCACTTACTGAATGGACATTTTTCATGTAATGTTCTTGCTCTTGTGACAAATTCAACCCTGTGTTTCTTTGTAGGACATGATGCAGTGTATCGCCTATGCCACAGCAGACCAGTATCACTTGCCAACGCTTTGCCACGACTTGATAAGCAGCGGCTTTCAAGAGGTCGATTTACCCAGAGGTATCTCAAAGAATGCAACAAACTGATAATAATGCAATTCGGAACAACTTACACAAATTCATGACAGTCTTGTTTTGATTTCAGACGCTTCAAATGTTCTGGTGATAAACACAAACATGGCCTCTAAACCAGGTGATGAGGCTGTGATGTTCTTCTTCAGGTAAAGATGAAGTTGCATGTCTCAAAGGGTATTTTCTTTGATTTATACTAACCAATACAAGAGTATGTAAAGCAGTGGTTCTCAACCGGTGGGTCCCGACCCAAAAGTGGGTCGCGGACATGTTCTGGATGGGTCGCAAACAGCTGGTCAAAAAGTAAAAATTTAGCATCTGATGTTTGACATGTCTTTTATTTTGAAAAATAGCTTATTTTGAAAGGCACGCGTTACGTCGCGTACCTCCTCGGTTTTTTATTAATGTGGCCTGAATGCAGTAAAAATAAATGTTTGTTTTTTTTTTTAATTTGATTTGATATTTATTCACTTTTATCCATGCAGAAATGCATATAAGTAAAAAATTTTCATTTTGCTGGTCTGCATTTTGTGCAATTTATTTGATATTTCTGTGTATGCAACTTCAGTAGTTGTCATCCTCAGTTCATGTGCTCTGAAATGCACTTTACTCAATAAAATTGGTGTATTTATGTTAAAGATTTGAGTCTTCGAAGGTTTTGTTTATAAAAAAATACATTTGCTTGGTTTAAAATTTTATAAAAGTGTGTCGTGACTCATGGACCATGGGAAAATGTGGGTCCCAGAATGAGACCAGTTGAGAACCACTGATGTGAAGTGTTTTTAAACAAGCAGAGCTGGAGCAAAGATGTTGTCAAAGTTGAGTCTTTTTAAAAATGACTTCTATCTGTAATACATTTATTCAGAAAGTTTGTTATCTTTGTAAAAGTTGTGTTGACAGTGAAACACAACTGAACTTGTGATTTAAAGAACAGGCTTGGAGAAAATGTCTGTGTGTTTAATAAAAGGTTATAATGACTGTGATTGGTGGTTATTTTTAGGTACGGTGTGACTTGAGTTTTATTCTTTCAGAGAGGGCTCCGTCGTCTTCTGGAATGTAGAGGACAAAGCGGTAAACAAAACTTTCTGAAATTAATTAAGTTTTAAAGGCGTGGCAATAAAAATCATTTGCTTTCTTCAAAAAGATGAATTTTTTGTTGTGTTTTTACAGGTAAAAAAGGTGATGAGAATATTGGAGAGACATGAGATCCAGCCTTATGAAGTAGCTTTGGTTCACTGGGAAAATGAGGAGATCAACTACACAGTGGGGGAGTATGTACTGCAGATCATGTTTTATTACTGTTTCTTGATTGTTTATGTCTGTGTCAACTTTCATTCTGGACTTTTTTCTTTTATCAAAGTACAAATGAAAAAAATGAAATCATCATACATTAGAATTTCTATGGTATCTAAATCTTGATACCATCAGTGCTTTCTCAAGATGTAATTTTATTTCCATTCAAATATGCCAGTTTAATTCTAAAAGGTATTGACAGTTTTGTACTATTTAAATGGTGGTTATATAGAGTTTTTTAAACCCTGTTTGATTAAGATTGTTTTCTTCATGAAAGCAAGATTTAGTCTTTAAAGGGTATTGCCCCATAAAATCAGCTGTGAAATGAGGGGAGTCATTAAGTGTGTTTCAGTCATTATGGGATGTACTCTTATTTTTTGTTATTTAAATCTCTCTTCTCTTAAGGGGCAATTCAAAGCTTCAAGGTGGCAACTTTTTTCTGAGTGACCAGATCGATCCGTTTGAAGCTGTTCTGGAGAAATTTGCCTTTTCAAATGCGCTGTGTTTGTCAGGTGAGACTCCAGACTTGCATATATTAGTGGCAGCTCTGTTCTCAGCCTCTTACCTGACTGTAGCTTCTCTTTTCTCTCCAACAGTGAAGCTTGCCATATGGGAGGTGTCGTTAGACAATTTTGTGGAGTCCATTCAGTTCATTCCAGAGGTACAGTGTAGCAATAATGAATAATTGATTATCAGTAATGGTTGTTTGTCAGCCTGTTAGGCAGATTGTGCAGCAGTGCTCTTCTTAATGTGACTGTGATAATCCATTTTTGTCCCTCAGATGTTGAAGTCTGGCAAAAGAGTTAAGTTGTCCTCAGCAGAGGTCATGAAGAAAATAGGGGAGCTTTACACATTAAGGTAAACTTCTTTGTCGTTTTATATTCAGTTTGTATCTGACAGGTTAAAAAAATACTCAAACAGACACCAAAACAGTGTAATTTACCTCCTTTCTTGGCAGACACTGTATAAACTTGAGGTCTGACCTGCTCCTCACACCTGACTTCTACTGGGACCGAGAAAACCTGGAAAAACTCTACGAGAAAACTTGCCAGTTTCTCAGCATCAATCGGCGGGTCACTGTAAGTGAAGCTGACGAGACCATGGCAGAAATCTCAAAACTCATACTGACACTTCATGATGAGAGATGTGATTTATTCTGAGTATAACCTGGTTGTGTTTTTTTAAGGTTGTGAATGAGAAGCTGGAACATTGCACACAGTTAACAGACTTGATGAGGAGCCACCTGAGTGAGAAGCACAGTTTGAGGTTGGAGTGGATGATCGTCATCCTCATCACCATTGAGGTAAGCATCTCCTTAGAGCATGTGGAGAACCGTCTCTTGAAATATTATGGGTTCATAGTCTCAGTAACTTAGATAATGTTGCATCTCTTGCTTGTTTTCTTGCAGGTTATGTTTGAACTTGCAAAAATGATTTTCTAAAAAAGCTTCAGCAACCCCTCGATCCTAAAAGGGCGACTGAGGCTACAAAGAAAATATGCTGCACTACACAAAGGTACTTTTGTCTGTGATATGTGACTGCTTTACTTTTCTGGGAGCAACTGAAATCAGGAAACGGACCTCAATAGGCTTGAATGTCTTACTGTTCCTGTGTGCTGTAAACACATTTCAATAATCATGTTTCTTTCAGTGATTGTGGTGCATCACTGATTATTATGGCCTTTGCTGAAGCAGATCTTTACTGTACATTTACTGCTTACAGCTTTCTCAAAAACAAAGATTAGCAAGAGTTTTAAATTCTGTAATCAGCTGTCTATGCCTTTATGTTTCGGGTTACCACTATGAATTTCATTTTTACATGGTGTTTGAACATCTATCAGTATCTTTCATTGTGAGGGAAACCAGGAGTCTTACCTGGTCATGTGAATCAAAATCAAGCACTATTTATTCCGTTTCATCCGAGTGGAAAAACTCCAAATGTGAATGGTGTGAAAAAGATGCAATAAAGTATTTCTTTTAAATGTTTGCTGATTATGTTCAGTTTTTTCATACAGAGCATCAACTGGTTATACAACTACTAGTTAAGTAAAAGTCAGTCTAAAATGAGAATAATGCAGAAAATACAGGAAAATGTAAAATTTAAAGGCATTAATTTATTCAAAATAAAATACAATGTTATGAGTGAAACTCGGATAATTGTACTGCATAATGCAAATATATAAAGACGGGTTTATTTTTGTATTTTGTCATTAATTAACATATACACAGATCAGATCAGCAAGAAATTTCCATAAAAGTCAGTATACAAGGAAACAAATCCAAAAATGGCAAACTGTCTGTTATTACCTTATTTCTCTCTATCTCTCTCACCCTCACTGCACACTTTGATCGCTCAGTCTGTGCTATCATGATATAAATCTTGCAAGCTTATTAGAGCTTACATGAAAGAAAAATGTGGCAAAATTGCCTTGAAATTTAAGGCTCTGATGATCATAAGTATTTCAAGGTAAGAGCATATGAGCAGATGAGATTAAATCAAAAGTGTGCAGATATTTGATGTGTCATGCTCTCATCATGCGCTCATTTTAAAACCTGTAGAAATATTTGCAGCTTCAAAATGAATGCAGCCTTTATAAGCATTAAAACAGCTCTTATGTACAAGATAATATACAGTCACACTAGTACACTCAGGTCCATTTGCTGTTTTTTCCTGCATAGATCCCATGAGAAAATGTATTTCAGTGAAAAGATTTAACAAATAAGAAATGACAGAGATTAGGTAAAGGCTGTAATGTGCAAGTAACAGATGTATGCATGAAGAAAAATTAAGTAATATTACCTCTATAAGGGTATGTTCAACATTTATAAAAATACATTTGAAGCACAAACTGATAACAAGACTTTAATCTTATTCTCTTGAACATAGGCAGTCTACGGTTCGCAATGTTTACATTTAGTCAACCAGACAGTTCAGCTCAATCTTCTTACTAGTCGCCATCAGAATTAATTGCTAGTAAAACAAATGTTTTTTTTCTATATTCTTACTGTAGTGGGCCTGCTAGTAATGCTCTACTACCTGAATGTAAACAACCACAGATGGTAGATGACATCTTGTAGAGCGGTGCAGTTTGGCAGTATTGTGATCTAGAAAATGGACATCAGATCGTATGTTGACTGTGTCTAGTCAAACTAGCATATAACCACATGACTGGAGCAATAGCCTTACCAGCACAGGCATAAGGGAATCAATCTGCAGAGAGGACTGAAGGCTTATAGTGATGGTAACCCATTTGTTACGCTCAGACTCTGAGATACCATGTTTAGTATCTTAGTGATGTCTTAGTGTTCTTCATTTGACTTGTTGGTTAGTAAGAATTTATTCTCCAGTGTAAAACATTAGGATATCAATTGCCTCTGAAAATCCACAACAAAAACTTTGCACAAACATTAATGATTATTTAAAAGGCGTGGCATGATTAGTATGGAAGCTGCACTATGTCAAAAAGTCCTAAGATCAACCAAAAGATGCCACAGCATTATGAAGGTAGTTTAATGTCAAATCTTTAGTATTTATGTACATTAGGGTGAAAAACTCAACAAATATAGCTGACATTTGCATAATCTCTCTTGTTAATCATATGCTTTATATAAGTAATAAAATAAATCCATAAATAAAGGCCTTTTCCACCACAAAATACACATGTATTTTTGGTTCATACTGACGAATAAAAGCAGCAAACTGCTGTTTCCTGAAGGTCTCTCCCAAAGTCGGTCGTCATCTTAACGTCTTTTTGAAGAATACAAACTTGATTGACTTCATTTTTGATTGTCCAACCTTAAAGGCAAAAAACAAGAAGAGGAATATCAATTAAATTTGATATTTAAACAAATGAAAATCACGATTTAGTACAAGAGAAATGTGACTAAAAGAAGAGAAGCTCACCGATCTGCGCTGCTCAAGTCCAGTGAAACTAATCCCACTCTACTGTCGTAACGCTTCCAGCTGCGAATTCCTGATGTTCAAGTGCAATAGCAAAATCTTCACCTTCACCCTCACTTTCATTTCCACATGCTTCTTTTGTTTCGTACACTTCCTGTTGACTTCCTTCTTCCTCTGTCTGGACATTGGGAGTGATTTCGACCTCCTCTTCAAGAGCCGCTTCTTCCCCTTGCACACTCTCTGCTTTCGAGTCTAGATGTTCCTCGACCTCTTGAAAGGACACTTCTGTTTCCTCTTGGGTAGATAGACCCTCCTCAGCATCCATCCACACATCTTGGTCATTCTCCTCCTCTGGATGATGAGCATGCTTTTTCTCCACTTTTGTTTCTTGATCATCTGCTTCTGACTCCACCGGTCCACTCAGCAACACTTCTTCTTGAATGTTGTCTGTTGACTGGACACTTGAGGTTACTCGTTCTACCATTTCTGCTTTTTCTTCTTCTACATCTTCTACTTCTACTGTTTTGGTTGTATGTACACCATCATCCAGCTGAGCAGGATGGGTTGTGATCACAGCTTTTTCCGTTAAATCAAAGCTCACTTCTGGTTCTGTGATTCCTGTGGCTTCAAGACATGTTTCGATCAGCTCTGACTGCTTCTGGCCTTCAGAGGCCTCCTCTGCCTGTGCATCAGGATCTGACACATCTGCCTGTTTCAAGGGTGCCATTATGTCCACTGATACTGTGGGTGCATTTGCAACTTGATCTACCATTTCAGTTGTGCGTATGTCGGATTCCAATGACACTTGTTGAGTCGGAATCACTGGTTTCTCTTCACTCAAAGGTTCTTCTGGTTCTGTGATCTCTGTTGCCTGATCATCAGCTTCAGGTGGTTCAATTTGTGTGTGGCTCTCTGTTGGAGTTATTTGCGCCGCAGGTTCTACAGGTTCCACTGCTTGAACTTCATCATTTGAAACATCTAATGGCGTCAATGCTTCGGTTCTCTCAGTTATTGGTGGAGGGGAAGCAGGAGCCTTTGATTCTACCTCTACGGTTTTAGTTGCATGAACAGCAAGATCCAAGAGGAAAGGATGAGTCATGATCACAGCTTTTTCTGTTGAATCTATGTGAGCCACTGAATCCTCCATTTCTGTTGGATGAACATTAATCTCAATGGGCTCGATCTTGCTTTCAGCTCTTTGGGTGAGATCTATTGATTCTACAGGTTCTGCTGCTTCTTTGGCGTTACCTTCAACCTCTGATACATTTCCAAGCATCAAGTCCTCAGACTTCTCTGTTGTTGGCGGTGGGGAAGCTGGTGCTTTGGTCATTGGTTCCTCTGTCTCAATGTGGGAACCAACGTCCAACAGCCCTGGATGAGTTGTCATTGCAGCTCTTTCTGTTAAACCTGAAGGTTCCTCTGGTTCTTCAATCTTAGCTGCCTGATCACCAACCTCAGGTAGCTCAATTTGTTTCTGACCTTCAGCATTTTCCGTTGAAGTTATTAGCTCAACAGGTTCTTGGACTTCATCCCTTGAAACATCTGGCAATGTCAAGTCTTCGGCTTTCTCTATAATTGGAGGTGGGCTGGAAACGGCCTTTGATTGTACCTCTATTGTTTCAATTGCATGTATGGCAACATCCAAAAGTACAGGTTGAGTCATGATCACAGCTCGTTCTTCTTTATAACTGTCTGCTATGGATTCCTCGCTTTCTGTTGGGTGAACAGTAACCTCAGTGGGCTCGATCTTGCTCTCAGCTCTTTGCGTGAAATGTATTGGCTCTGCAGGCTCCACTGCATCTTTGGCTTTATCTTCTACCTCAGAAACATCTGTCTGTGTCAACTGCTCAACCTCCTTCTCTTTCGGTTGTGGGGAACTTTCTCTTTCTGCTACTGGTGTCTCTGCTTCAACATCCAATACCTCAGGCCCAGTAGCAAGTATAGTTATATCTGCTGGAAGAATGTCAGTGATAGCTTGTGCAAATTCTACGTGTCTGTCAGCTGTTTGTGTAAGATGTATTGGCTTTACAGGTTCAATTGGCTCTACTACATCAACTCCAGCATTTGGAACATCGACTTGTTCCACAGATTCATCCTTCTCCTCTACTGGTGGTGGAGGAACAGATTCCTTTGATACTAGCTCTTTCGCTTCATCTGCATGTATGGCTAAATCCAAGAGCTCAGGTTGAGATTTGATCACCTCTCCTGCAGATGAAACTTGGAGTGCTACTGATTCAGATATTTCCGTTGACTGATAATTAACCTCACTCATCTCTGTCTGTTCCTGAACTCCAACTTCAGAAACATCCACCTCTTTCACGGGTTCAGGTCCCTCTGTTATTGCTGACAGGGAAGCTGGTGGTTTTGTGTCTGATTCAGCTGTTTTGATTGTTTGGATGCTAACATCCAGCTGTACAGGTTGAGTTGTGATCTCAGTGCTTTCCTGGCCCTGAGCTTGATGTGTTGGAACTGTTGGCTCACTTGGTTTCGCTGCCTTTTCTGCTTGGACTCCAACCTCAGACACATCTTTCTTTTTCAGTGGTTCAGTTCTGTCTGTAGTTGTCATGGGAGGTTGTGCCTTTGCCTGACCAAAGTGGATGTTAAGCTTGAATTCCAAAGAAAGACTCGAAGGGGATTCAACATTACCCACTGATGAAACAATTCCTGTATTCTGTGGGATCACAAACCCAGTGTTGCTTGGTGTTGCAACAAGACTATGAGAAATTTGTGTAATTTGTGGTGGTTCATGGCCTTTTCTTACATCTATTTCCTCTGATAATGATTTGATATCTTCGCCTGCTGCTGTTTTCATCTCTTCAGCTTTGGTTTCCTCCAGCTTTGGAGACACTTGCTGTGCTGTTGCAGAGTCATCACTGATGAGAGCAGGTACCTCACCTTTACTCTCTGTCCCATCATCCACCTCTTTTTGATTCTCTGTTTGGGTTGATTCAGGTTCAGCCAACTCACACACTTCACTTACAGTATCCTGCAGTTTTGTTACAGCATGTTTCAAAATGGCAACTTCTGATTCAGATGCTGTTTCTGGGAATATATCTGGCACATGTTGAATAATTTCCTGAATGGTTGCCTTTGTTTCCTCTTCAATGTCATGAGTTGTTGAGAGATTCTCCACCTTTGTAACTGTTTCATGACAAACATTTATGACTTCCATTGTTTCTGTTACTTCAACTTCTAACACTTCAATTTTATGATAGTCTTCAAATGCCCCCGATGGGACATGCATCATCTGAGCCCCACTGAATTGTTCTGCTGTCACTGCTGAGTCATCTCTCTCTAATGGTACCACAGTGTTGGCTTTCTCAAACACCTCCTGATTTGCCCCTCCGTTGATCGGAGGTTTAGTAATGACTGTCATTTTCTCTGTCAAAACATCGGGTATTGTTGCTACGACCTCTTTGAGATGACATGTGACTACTTCTGCCACAACAGCATGCTCAAGTGTGGCAGCTTTAGTCTCACTGCTAGGATGTTCACCCTCCTTTTCCCTCTCATCAGTGACTTGAACTTCGCTGAGGTGCAGTTCATGTTTTGATTCATCAGTAATTGCAGCATTGTCTACAGCAGGAGCTTGGGTTATTTCACAAAGTAAAGTCTCTCCAGGGACCTGAACATTATTTGATTCCTCAAAGGATACATGAAGTTGTGGTATTGTTTCTAACTCTTGTGCAACTTCAAGGGTCAAGTCTTCCTGTTCAAATTTAACATCTTGTAGCATCTTCTCTGGCTTATGACCTTCTAATACTTCCTCAACTTGGTCCAGTTGTGCTGTAACTTCACTTTCAATTTGATCTGTGACAGACGATATGGCACTGTCAGTTTCTTTTCTGGTAACATGTTCTGGAAGTATATGGCTTTCGAGTTTCTCAGCACTACCATCCTTAGGCATTGATATGCCTTCCTCAGTTTTCACGTCTTTTACATTATCTTCTTTATCAGATGGTAATTCTTCTGTTACTTGTGTTTCTGCACCACCTAGCTCGGTACTTTCTGCGACCACATGAACATCAGTAGATGCATCATCCTCAGCCCTGGTGTCTGTCACAGTATCTTCTACATCTGATGGCAATACTTCTGTTTTCAAAACATGCTCAGGTTCAGAAGCTTCAGTTTGTCCTTTGTCTTGTGGTTCGCCATGGACGTCTGTTTCCTTTTGTGGTTCATCAATAATGGTCTGCACTGCTGGAATACCCTCAGATATGACTTTTTCATGGAGAAGGTTGTCTTTTTCTAAATCCAATGGTGGTTCTTGTTTTATATCTGGTTCTTGTACATTTTCAGTTTTTGAAATATCCACTGGCTCGGGACCTTGTTCAGAAAGAAGTGTTGTTTCCTTACCTTCATCAATACCCTCTGCGACTTCAGAAACAAGGACTGTTTTCTCTATTGAGGTTTCTTGAATGATCTCTTTCACGGTAGGTAGCAAAACCTCAGGTTCTTGACTATTTTCAGTTGTGTCAGCTTCAGCTTGTAGTTTTTCTTGTGCATTAACTTCGGTGTCCTTTTGGGGTTCTTCCACAACTGTTTCCACTACTGGAATATCCTCTGATATTTCTTTATCAAGTGATTTCTGCACAGTCTCTATTTCTTCTTGTTCTTGAATCTGATCCATATGAGCATCCACAGATGATGCCTCATCAAGTTCTGGCAGGTTAGCCTCATCTGAATCAATTGGTGATTCTTGCTCTGTATTTAAAACTTCTGTTTCATGAAGTTCCTCAGTTTTTGAAATATCCACTGATTCAGGGCTTTGTTCAGTGAGAGGTAGTGCTGGTTCCTCTGGTTCTTTAACATACTCTGTTGTAACACCTTCCATTTTTTCCTCTTGCTCAACAATCATTTCTGTGTCCTTTTGGGGTTCATCTATAACTGTCTCGAGTGTAGGAACATCCTCAGATACAGCTTTTTCAAGTGGTGACAGGCTGCTTATCTCTGGTACTGATTTCACTCCTTGTGCTGTATCAGTCACTTCTGGTTCTTGTTCATCCTCAGTTCTTTTAACATCTTTCAACTCAGGACTTAGTTCAGTGGGAGGTACCATCCCACTGCCCTCAGTGATACTTTCTGAAACTACAGAAGCCTGGATTACACCTCCCTCAGTTGAGGTTTCCTGAACATCTTTTACATAAGATGGTGGTTCTTCTTGTTCTTGAATGTTCTCTGTTTTTAGATCTTCAACCTTCACTTCAGTTGCTGGATGCGGTTCCTCTGTAACGGGTTTTTCTAGAAGGTTGGCGGCTGAATCTGATGGCGATGCCTCTGCTGTTTTTACATCTGGTACCTGAACCTGTTCTGTTGTGGAGATCATTGGCTCAGGACTTCCCTCAATAACAGGTGTTCTTGCACTTTCCAAATCAATACCGTCTTTGACTTCAGGCATTGGGACTGAAGTACCTTCTTCCATCAATGCTTCCTTTACAGCATCTTCAACAACAGACTGCAACACTTCTGGCTCTTGGACATTCTCACTATCAATGTCTTCAACTTGTATTTTTTCTTGTTGTTCAACTGTCACTTTAGTTTCTTCCATGGATTCCTCCGTAACTGTCTCCTCTACTGTGATACCCTCAGAGATTACCCTTTCAAGTGGTAGCAGGCCATCCCCCTTAAAAGCCAGTGGTGATCCTTGTATCTTATCTGGTCCTTGTCCATCCTCAGCTTTTAAATCCTTCACTGGTTCAGTACCTAGCTCAGTAAGAGGTAATGTTGCACTGCCACCTTCAATGGATTCTGTAACTACAGGCACATCTGTTGTTGCACCTTCTACACACAAGTTTTCCTGAACAGTTTCACCTTGTGGTTTCTCTTGTGCATCACCCTTGAACTCTGTTTCCTCTTGGGGTCCATCTGTGACTGCTTCCACTTCATGTATATCCTCGAATATTTTTTCTTGTACATGGATCTGCTCGGATGTGGGTAGATCCACTGGCTCAAGACTTTCAGCAAGAGGAGTTGTTGCATCAATTTCCTCAAAACTCTCTGTGACTTCAGGCATGGGGGTGCGTTCCTCCATCACAATCAATGTTTCACCCACAGCATCTTTTACAACAGATGGCAACACTTGTGGTTCCTGAACATTTTCAGTTCTGACATCTGCAACTTGTAAATTTTGTTGTGGCTCTTCCATTTCTTGTTGGGTTTCCCCAATAATGAATGGTGATGCCTGCCCTGTCTGTAGATCTTCTGGTTCTTTAACCTGTTCATTTGTGAGCAAATCCATTGACTCAAGACTCCCCTGAGTGAGAGGTACAGTTTCAGTACCTCCTTCAACACTTTCTGTGCCCGCAGGAACATCAATAGATGCATCCTCCTCAGCTGGAATGTCCTTTGCTGTATCTCCTGTATCAAGTGATGGTGGTTCTTCAACATATCCAGAGACAACTTCTCCCACTTGTAGTGTCTCTTCCTGCTCTATTCTGTCCAATGGTTGTAATGTCTGTAGTTCTTGTTCTTGTATACCCTCTGTTTCAGGAGTGTCTACTTGCTCAAGAGTATCCTCACTGAGAGGTATTGGTGTTATACCTCCATCAACACTTTCAGGAATTTCATGCTTATCTGTAAATATGTCTTCCTCAGTTTTGGCTTCCATCCCTGCTTCTTCTACATTAGATGGTAATACTTCTGGTTCTTGATCATCAGCAGTCTCTTCAGCTTTGTCCAACAGATTGTCATCTGGCTGAACACCTTCTTCTGGTTCTTGTTTAGGTTCATCTGTAGCTTTTTCCAACTCAAGCATACCCTCAGGTTTCACTTCCTCTGGCGAAAGAAGGTTGTCTACCTTTGAATCTGAAGACGCTTGTGCTGTGTCCACCACTTCTGGTTCTTCAACATATTCAGATGTGGAAGCATACAGCAGCTCAAAACTGTCGTCAGCAAGAGGTAAAGTTTCCTCTTTGAGTTCATCTGTGACTGTTTCTGCAACTGAAGCGTCCTCCGGTTTTACTTCCAATTCAAGTGATGGTGCACTGCCATCCTCTAAAGTTGGAGTTGCTGGAACAACTTCCAATACTTCTGGCTCTTGAACATGCTCATCTTTAAAAGCGTCCAGTTGTGTTTCTATGTTTTCTGGCTCATCGCTTGCTTCTGTGAAAATCTCCTCTGTCTCTTTGGGTTTTTCTGTAATTATTTCTGCCGATATTCCTTCCTGTTGTGACGGGTACTCACTGTCCTCTAAATTTAATTTTGCAGCTTCTGTCTCCGATTCATGTACTTTTTCTGTCTCCCTTTGGGCTTCACTTTGAGGCTCTGTAAAAACCATTTGCATTTGTGCGTCAACTTCTGAACTTTCATCCAGGACATCTTCTCCATACACAGGTGCTGCACTTGCACTTTCCTCCTTTACAAATGATCTGAATATTTGATGAAGAACAGATCCAACAATACTTTCAGACTTTGGAGTAGTTGAGCAAATTGGGACTGCCTTTGGAGCCTCGCTGATGTTTTCAACCACCTGGTGCAGGAGGGCATCTGTTTCCATGACCTCATATTCAGCTGGGACTGGTGTTGTGTTGCCTGATGTTTTTGAAGACTCTGTAGATAACTGAGAAACTGCAGAGATCATCTCAGTCTCATCTGCCAGAGTGGTTACCGAGGCAGGCTCAGGTGCAGTAAAAGCCTCCGATGTGATCTCTATCAAGTCCTCTGCAATGGTGTCATCTTTGCCTGCCTCATCGTTGGCTGAAGCTGGAGTAGGGATGGTCTCTGTAATGATGCCCTCTTCTGTAATGTCACTGAGTTGTTGATGTTTACTAACTAATTCTGAAACCTCCTCCTCATCTTCAGTTTTTGCAGGGTTTGTTGCTGCCAGATTTTCAGCATCCTTTGCTTCATTTTGTGGACCATCACAAGGTAGGGCTGGTTCAGGTGTGTGTTGAAGGAGGTCTTGTGGGATTTTATGGTCTGATTCCTCCAGTATGCGACTCTCTATATCTACCTGTGTTTGAATTTGCACCACAGACTCAGGTATATCAAACTCAGATAATGGAACCACAGCTGGTGTCTCAGAGTCTTCATCACCTGAAGGCACATCCTTATCAGCCTCATCTGAAGATACTTGGTCTTGCTTTTCAGGAGACCTTCTCTTTTTGCGACCAGGTAGGAGTTTCTTTATTGAAAAAGAGGACTCATCTTGCGATAGCTCACCATCAGACTGCACAACATCTTTGCTCTCGTCTTCATCTTTGGCTTTTCTTTTGGGAGTGACAAGTCTTTTAAATGTTATCCATGTTGATTGTCCATCACTTTCTGTGCGATGTACTCTGGGGGAAGACACCAAAGTGCCATTCTTTCTCTCATTGGAACTTTCGTGGGGTGACTCCACACCATGTTTTGAAGTAGGGTCTTGCTTATTGTCATTATCAACTTGAGGTGTTTCATCCTCAGAGTCAGATGTTTTTCGGCTTCTTTTCTTCCCAGATCCACACAAAACGGCTTCCCACGAAACAGACGAGTCTTTTCTTTTCCTGTCTTCTTCTGTACTGCGGTCCGAAATGTGCTCTCCTTCGCTTTGTTTAGGCTTTTCTGCTGTTGCTTGGATGTCCGCCTCTTTGTTGCTCAAAGATGGTGTCCTTCTTCGCTTTTTAGGTGTTAGAAGCTTTTTGAAGGAAGTCCACGCGCTATCCTCCTCTTCTGGTACTTCTGAGGACGGCTGTGTGGATCCATCTTCTTTATGATTCTCAGCTGACTCTGTGGATGACATGAGCTGATCCGCAGCTTGTTCTCCCGAGTCCGACAACCTTGATTCACTTGACCTCCTGCTTCTTGGCCTTTTGGAGAGTTTCTTAAAGCTAGATCCTGACAGTAACCTTCTGAGAGGGCTTGATGGAACTTTTTCCTTCTCTTGATTGTCCAGAGCTTCATGAGTTGATAGGTCTTCCACTGGTGGTTTCCCTTCATCGGTTGTTTCAGTGGATGTTGGGGAAAGGACCTCCTGCTGGAGTTCATTTTCTTTATCTTCTGTGTCAACCACAGCTGCCTCAATACCCGGATCAATTTGCACTTTATCAAGTTGTTGGATCTGTTCACTTTCTTCTAACACCTCCACAGCTCCTTTTGTTCCCATGTCAACCATCTCTTTCTCATTTGTTTCTTCTTCTGCGGGTCTTCTTTTCTTCCGTAGTCCAGAAAAGATTCCAGTTGTGAAAAATTTCTTTATTGGAGATACGACTTCCTCTTGTCCAGACGTGGTTTGCAGCTCTTCCTCAGGTGTGGCCTCCTGATGTTGTTCCTCCTCTGCAGGCGAAGTTATTGGTGGATCGGCATTGTCTGATTCACCATCCTCTTTGGCTTCTGTTGCTTTTTCTTCCGCATTTTCTACAACCTCCTCCGGTGAAATGTCTGTCAGTGTAGGACATGTAGTGGAATCATTGTCATTAGTTACCTGTGCAGTGTTTACATCAGTATTCTGTTCAGCACTCTCACATGTAGGTTCATTTACAACAACGTCAAGGGGTTCTTCTGCTCCTGGTTCCTCCCTGTTGGTCCCTGTTGGTTCCTCCCTGTTGGTCTCATCAGGCGACTCTCTGAGGAGGTCACTCGAGCCCCTCTTTATCGACAATCTCAAACCGATGTTGCTGAAAAACTTCCGAAAACCATCGTTAATGTCATTCTTTTTTGCATCTATTTCGATCATATCCAGCGGTACATCTTGAGCAACATCAACTCCATTTGAGGATTCCTTTTCATTCCTTTCAACATGTTTTGGTGCTTGTTCCTCCTCCTCTTCTTCTTCAAGTGGGATTTCTGTTTCTAAAATGTCACCATCTTGTGAAAGGACAGCTAAACCAGAAAAGTAATGAACATTAAAACATTTTAATCGCAAAAAAATGACAGATGAAAGTTGAATTCTGAATTATTGTGTTTCTGAACAAATGTTGCCGACCCTAATTCTCAATAGACAGTTTTATGAGTACCCACCGTCTGTCGCGACCTCATCCTCACAGTGACCATTTACTCCTGCTATTGAGATGCCTGCTTTTTCGTTGATCTCAGAGATTTGCACAATGTTTTTCAAAGGCTGAAAAAAAGCACAAAAATTCAAATCCTCAATGTCACTTTGCTCCGAACAAAAATCGAATCAAAACTCAAATCAAATGTAACCATTACTCAACTTCTGTCAGCCCCTTTTCAAAAACATTTCCCAATTTTTAACAGTACTTTCACAAGAACTTTGACGCTAATATGAAAGGGAAAAACCATTTGCTTGTGAGCTTATAGCTGGGAAACAATAAGATAAATCCATAAGACCTTTCAGGCCACTCAATGGTGGCAAACAAATAGACTAAATCTTGAAATAATTGGGCTCCAAAGCCCAAAAGTTTCCGTAAAAACAGTCTGATACCTTGGGGTTGATGTGATGATAGTCTTACAGGTTTACAACCGTAATTAACCCAGTTTTAAATCCTTGAGCCAGATTATCCAGAAAAGACTGAGCAGGAAAAGAGAAACACACGCACCACAACTGCTGTGGAGTAACTTTACAACCATAAACACATCCATAAGGTTCAAAACTTACAGCAAGATCTACTATTTTTTTACCATTTGAGGTGACACCAAGGAGTTTCGCAATCTCTTAGGCGTATTATCATGTCATCATTCAGCCACAGATCTTGTGGTTGCTTATAGCTGCTTTTTCGTGCAAGATAACCCAGCCTAGTGAGTTGACTTTTTAAGTGACCAAACTATTAGCAAATGCAGAAGAAAAACAGTTATCTGCATACTGAAGGAGGAAGAAGTGGTCTGTAATTTGATCAAAGATATCTGCGAGCTGATTTTTCTGTACCCGCTGTTTAACATGATCACACCTTTTCCATAGCATGGTCTGTGTGAACAGTCATCACTTTGTTTTCAGTCATCCAGAACCAAAACGCTTGACGGCACTTTAATGGATGGTACCATAAATAATCACAGTATCAAAACAGAAACAGTTTTATACTCAAAATAAAAGTTTTTATTCATGACAAAGACAAATAAACTCATCAAAGCTCCTGTTTTGATTTTGGCACTCCCTGTGGACACAACGCCATATGACACGGTTGTGTTTTTCTGATCAAAAATCGCATCCTAAAAATGTAAGTTTCAATCTAAGAGAAAGGCCTCACAGCAAAAAATGTTAACATTATAAAAAATTTCAGTCTTGCTTGCGATCTTGTTTATTTCTGTGGGCACTTAAGAGGTACCATTATCAGTTTTATTACCCCAACAAGATAAAAGCTCTTCACATTAGTTTTAAAGACTTAACTTTAAATAAAACTTTTTGAGAAAAACTTTTTAGTAGTGTTTTTGATAAAACTAGATGTATTTGAAACAAGAGGTACTCTTACAAATGTGGCAGAAACAGAAACTTACTCCTCCTATATCAAAACATTGACTCAGTTCTATGAGTGGTTAGAAAATGAAATATTCAGTTATTCTCATTCTCACAGTACAGTGCTGTGTAATTGACTTCCTGCTCAGTATGACACAGTGATCATGTTGTACACAAATAATCAATGTTTCCCTCTGCTGAGTGCAGCTATGAGGAAATTCCATCTCCCCCCTGGGCTTTAGGTTTCTCTGAGAATGAAAGGTCATTATTCCTCCTCTCTTCTTCATTTTTTTTCACCTATAGCTACAGTAAATGCAAACCAATGCAGTATCAGTGAAACATGGTCTTCATAATGGCACAGCAGCTCTTGTCAGACTAGACTAAGCAAAAGTTAGTAACCATGGTGACATTTTCTGGATACTTGGAGTTAAAAATGTATGTAATCCCTTTGTTTATAACCTGGACTTGGGTTTTTATCTTGGGGTTAATGCATGCGTTGGCAAGCAGCTCCTGCAATGTCCTGACAGAAAACCCAGCCTCAGCAGTTTTATTAACACACAACCACAGCCTGTGTTTTATTATGTTAAAGCAGCATCTATGTAGGAGTATGTTAATGTTATAGCTGAAGCACCCTCAATGCGCTAAAGCTGATGAAGTTTGTCTCTGGGAGTTTGATGCGCAGCATGTCAACAAACTGGATGGAAAATCTCAATGTTACCTTGTCTCCAGTGCTGTGCTCAGCCTGAGCATCATCCACTTTTCCGCTCTCCTCCTCAGCAGCAGCCTCATCCTTCTTGCCCTCTCGTTGCGCAGACTGAGCGTCCCCCATAACCGGAGCTGCAACGCGTCACTCTCCGAAATGAACTGATGGAAATATCCCAAATGGAGCACCGCGAGAGAAGCAGGGGGACGGTCAGCCTTCAAGTGCTGCAGGCTGGGTGTTGTTAAAAGTCTTGTTTAGCCCAAACGCCTCCCTGCAGGATCACATGAAGCCTATGAGCCGAGCCTGGTCCGGCCCGGCTCGGCCCGCCCCCCTCCCCTCTCCTCGCTGCATCAAAAAAAAATCTGCAGAGGATTCAGAGGGTGCCTTCAGGTGACTGATGACTGAAGCATTTGTCCGAAAAACAAGCATGCAGAGCTGTGCCTACATGAACATATAAGTTACAGTACCGTGAAATACCGAGTATGTTAAAGGTGTAAAAACGGTATCTTCATGGGAAACAGATGAAGTGAGTTCAGAGGGGAAAAGGTGAGTTTGTTTCTGGTGTTTTTCACTTTTATTTCACTTTTTTTTAAATGTACAATAACACACATTAACACTCAGATAACATAGAATTTAAAGTTTTATCCAGAACTTAAAAGTCCAAAAGAAAACTGCACTGGACAATAAGGACAGACTGTGTCGACTGCTTTTAAAGTTTGGTATAAGCTTTAGAGGTTTTAATTTACCTAAAACCTAAAGCTACTGTAAGGAATTCCAAAAAAGTGATGAGAGAGAGAGAAATTCACATTTCATGGGAAACAGATTTTTTTTATTTTTATTTTTTTTATTTAACAACAAAACAGAGTGACAACAACAACAACAAAATTTAAATAAACAATTAACAAAAATACTTTTGGGAGGGGAGGGGGAAAGAATATATATAATAGAGAATAAAAAAACAAAAAATAAAATAAAATAAAAATCTTAATTGGATCACATTTTTATTTCACTTTTTAGAAATGTACAGTAACACACTTAAATACTCAGATAACATAGACTGTGAAGTTGTCTGAGTGAAATTTAAAAAGTTTTATCATCTAGAAGTTTAAAGAAAACTTCACTGGACAGTAAGGACAGACTTTCAAAGTTTGGCTTCACTTCTTTCTGTTTTGCACATTAAACTGGACAACATCTACAAGCTTTAAAGGTTTTAATTTACATAAAACTTAAAGCTACTATAAGGAATTCCCAAAAAGCTGTGTGAGAGAGAGAGAGAGATTCACATTTATGCCTTTGTACGACCGACAAAACAAACATGTATTTATTTATTAGATCAACCACACCTGAGATGCAAAGCTGTGCAAAATTCTCCCCCAACCTACAGCTGTTGCTGTGCTGGAAATGCAGTCTGAACTCTGAGTGGACCCAGCATAAGGCAAAGAAGGCGGAGCTGAAGTGAGACTTGAGTCTGCCAGCTAACAGTGACAAATTTAGACTAACACAGATCACATTTACTTCTCCTCTGTTTTACTTCTACTTTTCTTTGAAAAGCGGCCTTTGCTAAACAAATGGAAGTATTAGGTGTCATCCAGGAAAGGGTAATTAATTTAGTCACAGTTTAAGACTTTGTAGAAGAAAATACTGTTTCAGCAGCTGGTTTCCAATAGAAACTTATATTTAGTGACAACCAAATGATTTCACACAAACTACTAATGCTAACTCAATTACAACAGGAATGCAGTCACTCCTTCTCTCTAATATCTTTATTCTTCTTCAATAGGTAGGTAGGTCCTTTCTATTGTATTGTTTTAGGTTATTTTAGGACACTTTGTGACTCAGGAAATTGAGCCTGATTTAATTTCACTCAGCATTAGAAAGCATGCTCTGTGCATCAGGACGTATCATGTTCCCGATAACCCCGCTGAAAGTAATAATGAGTGCTGAGATGATTCAGACCCTTTATCTGGAGTCTCTAAGGATTCAGAGCTGGATTTACCCGACAATAAACAAAGTAATTTCAGTCCAACTCTTAAATGGCTGTTTGAAAGTCCCAAAATTATCAAAGATTTTAACATCAAGAAGTTTCTTAGGAAATAGAAATCAAATGACTTGTTGAAAACTGCAGGAAAACAGACTTAATGTGATTCAAACATTAAACTAAGACATGTGGGCAGAATCTTCTGAACAGGCAGGAATACAGTCCCACAGGTTGTCCTGAGTGTGAGAAGTCCAGTGGAGGAGGGGGGAGGGGATAAGGTCGCTGGTAAACTTGACCTTTTGATGGAAGAGTAAACCATATTGCTCTCGTGAATCTAGCTGTTATTAACTTATCTATGCTGTGCACAACAACTTTTTAGGAACACACAGCTGTGATTGTTAAACCTGGAGTCTGTTCTTGGAGTTTGCTCCCGGAGTCATGTGTTAGATAAATAGTTCCCTGAATTTTGCTAATGCCAATGCTGAATAATTGAACTTTTTGATTGCATTCATTGCTGAATTTAAAAGGAAAAAACTGAAGCTTGTTGTTGACAATCCTTGAGAGATTGCTGTTTAAAGTGGATTATAAGCAGGTCCAAATAAAGCTGATATTGATTCTGCAGATAAGGAGAGAGAGAAGACGGACTATTTAGAGGAACTAATGAAGAGTCTACATGCAAAATTCAATGAGAATTTAATCGTTACCGAGGCTAATTCATATCCCAAATTAAATATAAAGACTCAGCCTGTAACATATTAGCTCAAAGTAAACAAAAAACCCACCAGCACTTCAAAAGATTACATATCAACAGATTGTGTCTCATCTGATTAATACCGCACTAAACCAAAGAACAAAAGTGCTTTAAAAGACGGAACAGAATAACTGGATTTCATCAGCAAAGGAGAAATAAATCATTGATTAAATAATTGAGCAAAAAATACGACTATAAAAGTATTAAAGGACAATAAAAAGACAACGATGTGGGAACGATCGATAAAAATAATTAAAAAGAAGATATATCAATAAATGGTTTGAACATGAAAGAAAGTTTCTAAATCAAATGAGTTGAATTGAAAAATGGTTTAAAAAGTGATTGAATTATAAAACGTAAAAGCAAGTCTGTTAAAGTGTGTTATGAGGAGTGATCGTCGCTGATTCTGTGCGTCTTATCTCTCCAAAGAGGTCGTTCAAAAGTTAAGGGGCGCTGATGGAAAAAACATGATCAAAATCAGGCAACATTTTGGAACAGAGGAGGAAAAAACACCTGATTTGAAACTGTTTTTTTTTTTAGCTCACCTTCAGGCAAACACTGTCAATCTCAAACAAGCACACATGCTGAGACAGAACTTGAGTACTTAAGTGTTGGTGCATCTTCTCCCGTCCATAACCCTGCTTGTTTTAAGAGTCAGAGAGTTTGGAGGTAAAATAAATGAACTTTCAGATGATACAAATATTCATTTAAAGCTTTATTTACCAATGAGGATCCTATCAAAGTGGTGTCATCTGCTATGAAAGCTCATGAGGGTACAGACAGTCTTTTCTTTGTTAAAGACATGAGTATTTTTATATCAAACAGGTCTCATGCCTGTTTTTGTCAGACGCAGAAGATGATTGACAGAGGAGGAGGAGGAGGAGGAGGAGGAGGAGGGCTTGAAAGAGGAAGATTCAGGAGAAAACAGCCCAGAGCATGAGACCTCCTCTTCAGATGAAGAAAATATCCCAGAAACCACAAGGGAGATTATTTTGTCAAAGGATGGATTTCCTTTGAGAGAAAGTCACACTTCAAAGCATTTCCGTCATAATAATAATCATCAAAAATGAGCTCTTCTTTGGTAAAATTCATGGATATATATTCAGTCTTTCCTGCTAATAGGTACACCCATCATCTCCTGTTTCCTGTTTGACTTAGCATTAGTGTGCTCCTGAACCTTTTTTATATGATTTGCGTCTCTTTTCAACCCTGAATCGTTTGTTTTTTTAAGTGTCGTGTCAGAACTGTGATAGCGTATAGAAATAAAATACCCAATAATGATCCGTTTAAACATGTGCGGATTAATTTCTCCTATCATTTTAAGGACACTGACCGTGTAAGAAGAGGAAAATAACAGGTGTACCCTCTCGCTGTTATCAACTCATCAATAAGCTCCAGACATCTGCATGTAAGTCCAGCTCTGATTATCCGGTTGTAGATATTGTTTTGAAACTCCAGCTCAGTCCTTGTGTCTCAAGTTTCTTGTTAGACTGTGAAAAATGAGAGGCACATGGGAAAGAAAATCCTGAAAGTCACGGTCTACACCACAAACCATAAAGAGATTGAGACCTTTCCCAAAGGATAAATCATCAACAAACAATGGAGGTGTCTGAGACTTTCACTTCCTCCTTTCCTGCAGGTGCTTTTTTAAAATCATGTCAGAAAAGAAAAACCCTCAAATGAGAATATGCCGTGACTCTCAAGTCTAACAGCAGGGGTTCATTGGCGAGTCTACAAGTCTTTTAAACAGATTTTGGAAATTTAAGGTCATGAAAAGTTTGAAAAGAACATAAATTTAAGTTTTAAGATCTTAAATTTTATTTTGGATGGAAAACCCCTGAGACATGTCCGGTTACTTGATTAAATCTACTCTGTCTTAATAAGGTAATACAAAATTTTAGGACTCTTTCAGTAGATTTGCTTGTTTCCGTGGTCAAAACTGTATCTATGGCGGGTAATTGAATACACATACATGTACATTTTTCTCTGTAGAGACCTTAAAAGTCTGAGAGCTCTGTTTCAGCTCTCATACCTGCACACTCTTGGATTTTAAGTCCAGACGATAACGTGAAATAAAAGCAGTCAAAAGAGGCCCCCTTAGCTTCGGTCTTTCTTATAATCAAACAGCTAAAACTGGACACAGGTTCACCTTAAAGATGATCAGGTCTAATGAGTCATTTGAGGAGAACAAAGAGAGACCTTAGGAAATCTCAGGACAGGGAAACATCTCCAAACTCATGACAAACATTCATGTTAATTCGATCAGATGATCTGAGACACTGCTGCTGTTTTGTGAACCTAAGTCTGAAGACGGAGAGTTAAAATAATTGGAGTCACAACTTTGGGTAACTGGAAACAGCTGATGTTTTCTTCACTGATTACAGACGGTCAACTCCTCCGGCCTTATGTAATACAACATGGAGGGGTCGACAAAAGACTACGTGTGTGCGTGACCTTTTTCTTTTAAGGTGCTCAGCGAGGTGCATGCAAAAAACCAGCTGGACCTTTGCTCCTGCAGAAAAGTTTTACTCTACACTTCATTTAAATAAAAACTAAAATTTAAGCAGAGTTTTGATATTAGTTACACAACCAGCTTGACAAATTAGATTTAACATGCCATGTTTCACAGATGATAGGCTTAAAATCAGAGGTGGCTCCTGTGGAAACATTTAATTACTTTATTTTTTTTGAAAGGAACAAAAGCGGGATACATCAGTTAATGTGTCTTTTCCTACAAAAATCAACGTCATTTCTTATTAGCGCAGGAAGGATGAGTTTTAACATGGTCTGAGAGGGGGAGGAAGTCCCTTTCTACTTGGATAATATAAGAAAATAAAAAGAGAAGACTCCCCTGACCCACTTTAGTGTAACAATCAGGTAAGAAAGCAGGTTAAACTCTTATTTCCAATAGATGTAATCTGACATAGAGGTGGATTTTAGACCCAAACTGGATTACCATAAAGTTGCACAATAAAAAGCCATTGTCTTCAGGTTTTAGGAGATTTCAAATCCATGGTTTATAAACATTCTTGGCACCCTCACAATAAAATGTTTCCCAGCGCACTTGTGCTCCAGTCTCGCGGTTCTGACCCCGTTTACAAAGCCAAGTTAGATTTCACTGGATCACATGCTCACTTCTGGTCAACAGGCAACGCTAGTTCTCAAACTCACGCACCGCACTTTATGACGATAAACATGCTGCGCAAATCATATTCAGCTGACTGAATACAATGAAGAATTTTCAAAACAAGATGTTTAGGGTGGTTTTTGGAGTTCAAAAGAAAGGGAATAATTTGAGGGAGAGACACCAGAGAGATTATTTGTGCTCTTTTATTGATCTAAATGATGAGCCTGTACGCATTAGTATCATTTCCTTTGACCTGGCATGAAACAGATGCAAGAGGCCTTCAATTTTTAACCAGTTAAATCAATTTTACTTGAACAAGGGAATATTTTTTGCGAGTACAACCAAAGAATTGTCTCTTAATCGCCTTCTGATAAAACTTTAACTTTGTTCATCACACTTTATTATGATAAATTCAAACATAAAAGAAGATATTTGGAAAAATGACGTATCTTTGAATAGATGCATGTTACATGAAGTACTGTTGCACTGCTGACCTCTGCTGGACAAAATGCATTTAACACAAAGTCAGGTCACATTTCAGATCAACCAGAATGATAAAAAACAAGTTTTGATGTTGGGATTTCAAAGAGCAGACCACAGAGCTGGGATCAGACTGTCTAACACGTCAGATCAAAGATGGTTGAGGAGCATTTCACGATTAAATAATGTTGGAGAAGAGTGTGGCAGAGTGATGAGGCCACCTTACAGACAAAAAAAAAAGGGGAATTTAGTAACAAAATCCTAAATTTACTGGATTTAAGTCAACAAGATAAGAACATCAGTCAGCTACTTGCTTTAAAATGAGAACTGTGGGGTATCCTGTGAACTTTTACTTAAATACTAGTCTAAAAAAACCCAGAGTACTCAATCTTTTAGAACATCAGCACCAACGTCATCAAAACAAGAGACAGTGATCTTTGAAAACAGAAAGGCTAATGTGCCGCCTGTTTTTTTTTTAATCAGCTGTGAGTTTGGGAAACTACGATGACCCTGAAGGTCAAAAGTCAGCTGTAAAAGTCAGTTAGGGTCATGAAACGTTACAACGGTTGACCTTCAGGGCCTCCGTACCAGATTTATATGTTTCTATATATGTTTATTAAAGCTGCTTTGAGGAATTTGGGATTGTTTTGACACTGGCACCCCCTGTGGACAAAGTAAGAACTCTTATTTCATGTCCTGTTAGTGATGTGTTTACAAACAAAAACCTCCTTCTGTTGTCTTTTAAGAGTGAAATATATCAGTGAAATTACAGATTATCCGCATGCTGCTTATCTCTTGTTTTGGTGGACATCTTCACGTCCGTCAGGCTGCTTTCTTGTGCCTCAGCGACACATCATTGTTTAAAAAACCCCCTTTGTGAAATGAGCATAGTGTGACTCAAACTCATGGAGACTGTAGGAAATTACTTTTCACACACAAACCATGACTGGCCATGGAAATCATTACAGCACAGCTTCCTACGCATCAACTGAACCATCCGTTTTCCTGCTTCAAATATACCACAGCTTCTTTCCGCGGCCCCATGACTGATAACCACCTGACAGATGGTGGTTTCTGCGTGACAGGGACAGAACGAGCCAGTCATGAAAGATCGGTTAGACTTTTGTCTGTGGAAGTGGTGGAGCAGACTTCAACTCTGCAGACTTTCTGAAGATTTGTTATCACATATGTAGAGTCCTGCCCCTTTGGAAGATAACATGTTTGAAATAGTTGCTCTGTATTTTTTACATACTTTAGCTGCTCACTTCTATCTGTGCTGTGATCCTACATGTCTATTATGTTTTTGAAGGTCAAGGCTTCACATGAGTCTCCTTTCACACCTCTTCACTGTCATATTCACAGTGAAGCACAAAAACAAAGCCATCTATCATAAATGTAATATACTTAAGTATGAGCTTCTCTGAGAGATCTGTTGAGTCAGTTTCATCAGGAATCTTCTGAACGAGACTCCGTGCCTCCATGTGACACTAAAGGAATGCAGAAAGTTTTGTTTCTGAAAACCTTTCCTCTTTAACAGATGTATAAGGAATGAGGGTTCACATTTTAAAAACACATTTACTCTCAACAGCTGACTCACCGCCTGTCAGACTGAAACACTACTCCGACGATCAGCTTATGCTACACAAGACAGAGACGCTGCAAACCTTTTAAAGGAAATCCTTTACCTCTCAGGTGAGCTCTTAAGTGCTGTGTATTTTACTTGGCTTTTCTAGAGGTAGCATTAACTGGACATGCGGCGACTGAACAGGGAAATAATTCTGAATTCAAGGCCTCAAACTCCCATTAAAACTGTGGTAAATAAAAATGCAGTTTAATCTTTCTTTAAATTAACAAACAAACTCCTTGTACCACTGGATATGTCTAATTTTTGTCAGGCTGTACCATTTTCATTGAAGTCCATTAAAAACTCCTAAAATTTAACTCTTACACTTACTTACAAACACTTAATACAAATGCTGAGGTACTTCTTTGTCGTACTTTCAGGCTGAAAACTTGTTTGGTAAGTCCTGAGTGGAGATTACTGTAAGTGTTAAGGCAGTTATGTGCACTCATCTAAGATTACCTGATACCTGGACAAAAGTTTTATATGTTACCGCTTTTGAAACCTAATTTTACGCCTCACTGAGACCTTTTTGTCCTGTTTCGGTTCTGTTTGTGAAGAATTTATCCCCAGAGCAAGCTCCTTTATAGCAAAAAAACCCCACTTTGTTTTCTTTGTTCATCTTTTGGTTCATATTTCCTTTTAACTTTATCTCAAACTCGTCTGTACCTCTGTGTTTGAGTAGACAAGGATATAAAACGGTTAAATCAGCTTTTAAAAAAATGTATTGGCTTCTCTTTACAGCATGATAATCTGGATTTAAGTAAATAAATTGTTCTTGAAAAACTTTTCTTTTAACAGGAAAGGAAGTTGTGACAAAAATAGTACAGTATTATCTCAAAGACAAACATGGTTTCTTTAGAGGAAGTGTCTTTAACCCGTCACCACCAGTGCAGAGAGAGGTGTGGCGACTGACAACCTCTTCAGGAATATTTGCCTTCATTTAAGATATCCTGAGGCAACTTTTACTGTGCAGTGTTTTGCCACTTTTTAACAAATATAATAATTGGGGTTTTTAACATACTATTATTGAGAGGAGAGGATAGTGGAATAGATGTGGAGAAAGAGACTATCTGTATATGGGTTACAATATTTAACCCCTGAGACAAACTGCTCCTTTAACATTTTACATTTTTTAGCTTTAGTTTTTTCTCCACTTCCTAAAACGAACATTTCGCAGTAGCATTGTGCGCATAGCCAATGACGCTAGGCTCAAACAGCGTATCCCCCTACGCAATCTTCGTACGCCCATAGGCTGTATCAAGTGTCAATCATAGAAAACATGAACCCCCTAATAACTAGGCGAGATTTATGACCTATACTGCAGCCCGTCACCAGAGGGTGCTGTTCTCACAGTGGTTTCACCCAGCAAGGAGGCAGACACTGTCCAATCTATATCCAGTCTATGGTGTTGACGTCTCAAAAGGAAGCAGTGTCTCCATGTAACTGATTGAACATACATTAAGAAATTTTGACAAAAGCCATGTAGTGATTATTTAAGTTTAACAACCAATAATGTTTAAGTAGTTTTCCAAAAACTAAGAAAAGTTTCAAATTTCATGACCTAACTTTGTGTTCCCCTTTTTATGTTCTTTCAACCAATAGTTTTTTTCCTTCCAGTCTTTCTGGACAATTTTTAGCCTGAAAGCTTAAGAAACCCCCTCTATTTTGAGCGACAAACAGCTAATAGACAAAGTCTGAAACTAGCTGGTGACTTCAGCAAAGTAAGTGAAAGCCAAAGAATGATATAGCTGTACTTAAAAGAGTTTTTAAATACTTGAAAATACTTTGACAAGACGAACAATCTCAAACTTTCTCCCGGACTGGCAAACATGTCCCAGTAGGGGGCGCATTTGCACACAGCGACCCGGCAGTGAGTCAGTCTCCCATCAGGAAGGAGGCTCAAGGTACAAAGTGGTACAAAAATAGTTTTCATCAGCCATCAGGAACATTAACGCGGGGAAGAAACCCTGAGAGCTGTTGGTTTTTATTTGGTTTTTATTTGTTTTTATTTGGTCTTGTTTCAATCATTTTAATCTCTTACCCCTACCCCTGTATTGTGCTGTTTGTTCGACTACTGTCATACATGTGATTCACTGCAAACAAAATTTACCTGAGGGTACAAATAAAGCAACCTTTGACCTTTTGACCTTTGACGTCTTTGCTTTCAGACATGAGGGACAGGCTGGGGCACCTCTTTCAGGTGCCGATTGACACTGAAGGCTTCAGCACAGTGGAGCTGGACAATTTCTCAGAACACAATGTGGAGGCAGCAACAGCATCATCATCACATCAAAATCAGGAGCTGGACGGCGTCCTGCAGGAGGCGAATCAGATCCGTCTGGAAATCCAACAGATCCAGAACGACATCAGCGAGCTGAAAGACGTGAACTACCAGACCTTAAACCAGACCTCTTACGCTGACGCCACAAAGAGGGACTCCAACGCTATTGGGGCGGATGTTAAACGTAGAGGTGAAGCTGTGCTGCAGCAGCTGCACATGATGAATGACCTCAGAGTAAGGCTGGAGGAGCAGCATGGTACCTCTCACCCCACAGTTCGCATCGCTCGAACACAGTACCAGTGTCTCAGCAATGCTCTGCAGGAGGTGATGTTCAGCTACAACGACACAGAGATGAACCACAGGGAGGCCTGTAAGCGGCAGATCCAGAGGCAGATGGAGGTCGTGGGCAGGGAGGTCAGCGAGGGGGAGCTGGAGGAGATGATGGAGAGCGGGGAGCTGAATGTGTTCAGCATTCAGGTGGAGGGGAAAACAGCTCGCTCGGCTTTCCTGCAGATCGAGAGCCGACATAAGGAGCTGCAGGAGCTGGAGAAGAGGATCGAGGTGATCCAGGAGCTGTTTCTAGATGTGGCCATGCTCGTGGAGCAGCAGGGGGCGGACATCGAGAACATCCAGAAGAACGTTCAGAACACTGGAGTGATTGTTGAGGAGGCCGTAAGTCGACTGGATAGAGCTATTCAATCTGATAAGAACAATCCTTTCAAGAAGATGTTCTGTGGCTGCTTCCCGTGTTTTTACAATTAGACCTGATGAGGGCCAGGTTCTGGTCCCTGCAGAGAAAGGATTAACATTTTAATCATCTATTCTTAATATGCATGAGAATAAGACGCCCCCCTGTGGACAAAACTATGCATCCAGTAGTTTTTGCTATACCTATGCAACCTATAAATTGCATCTCATGGTTTTCTGTCTTGTCAATTTTGCTTATTTTGGCTGTTTTGAATCATGCTGACAGTATCTTCCTTTTTATTTAAATGTAATATGAAATCATTTATTGTTCTTTAAGGACTTGGAGGCCTTAAAGGGATATTCTGACGTAAAATTAATTTAGGGTCAAACACAACTCACCTACTCTCTTCCAGAAGCTGCTTGTTTGTAGCGAGACCTTAGGCCAATCCATTACGGACTACAGCGGGGTGTCGCAGCTCAAGGAAGAACATTTATGATCATTTCTTCATGGAAATGCAATCAGACCGAGACTCTAAGGCAGAAGAACTACCGTGTGTGCAGAGCAAAATGATTAATATGGTGATTATTACTTCAAGGAAATGATAAAAAAATTATCATAAATGTTCTTCCTTGAGCTGCGTCACCCCACTGCAGTCCAAAATGGACTGGCCTGAGGTCTTGCTACAAACAAGCGGCTGCTGGAAGAGAGTAGGTGAGTTGTGTTTAGTCTCTTCGCTAAAGAAATTAGGCAAAGCTAAAAAGATGTTCGATGGCTAGTACTATGGCTGGGACCCTATTTGTACTGTTGATGAAGTTAGGTGCTGTTCTGAGCATTAGTTATGGCTATAGAGTGGTGTTTTGGTTGAGGTTTGTTTATGGCTCCTCAGACCGCTGTGTATTGCTATCGTGCGGTCGTTACTAAAGTTAGTATCACTAGAGAAGCAAGCAGTCGGCAACATTCATCTCTGGAGGGGGTGTCTAACTCAGTGTTACAGTGTGTTTGACCCTAATTTAAAAGGAATTAAGTTTTTAGCACTTATGTGTTGCCGCTCTGTTGTGTTTCTCTTTAAAATAAAATGAAATATACACCAGAATAAAAGAGCTGTGTTATAGATCAATGATGGTTTTACCCCAGGCATCCTTGTCCATAACAGAACCACAGTCAAAAAGTCTGAATGCACCCCTGCTAAGAGTTCAGCTATAAATAGTTTGTGGTTGACAACTCTTGACTGCAATAACTGGAGTGACAACATTATAAAGTTGTAGTGAAGAAATGGCATTAAAGACTACATTCAAAATCCAGTTAGTTTACAGCAAATTAGTCACACATCAAACCATTAACAGGTCAAGTGACAGCTGTCAGGAAAATTGTTGGAGCTCAGACAGTTTCTATGTAAAGGCTCATTCTTAAAATTGAAGACAGCAGCTGTTAAATGATGACTCTTATTGGCTCAATCCTCCAACCCAATCAAACACTCACCGGGTTTAGTCTATACAATGGACCTTTTGTGATCACTGTTTGTCTACAGCTGCTTTAAAAGTCAATATTGAACTTGTAGATGTATTTTTAATGTCAGGATAAAAAAGGTATTATGTTGTTTTAATATCCTGAAAAAGTGGTCTGAGTGGTTTGTTCATGTATCGTTTCATTCTGAGATTAAAGTGGATTATTTCACACTTTTATTTCCAGTCAAACTGTATGAGATTAAAACGATGAACTCTGAGCAAAGAGAAGTTAAAAGTGTGCGTAAAAGGAGGAAGGAGGCGTGACCTTCCGCATTAGTACCTGCTTTAGGCTGCATCACAGTGATGAAGGGTGATACTGTGAGATATCCTGTCAGATACAGGACTAGTACATGTCGAAATTTGGTGCTATAACGGAGGCAACAAAAAAAGAGGAAATGAATCTCTCAGTCGGGGCTGCTCCTGTAGAGAGTTTCACAGAGTAAAACATCGAAGGAGAACACAATAAGGTATGTGGAGTCTATTGTACATTAAATCCAACGTGTTGAGACAGAAATGGTCGATAAAGGGACTCGGAAAGTCATATCTCTGAATAAAACCACCGACTGAGGCCCTTCGCTCCTTGATGTGGTCAAGTATCTCCTTTCGTCTTTGGTGAATGATGCTGAAAAGTTTGTTGAGGTGTTTATTTTTATTTTTAAAGATAGAACTACCTCAACAAACTTTTCATATTTAACAAGCATATCATATTTGATATCCAGCCATTACGAACATCCAACCAAAGGCACCTGACAGTTATTGTGGATGGAAAGTAGCTGAAGTGAATCTGGAGACGACGCCCTGTTATTGGAGAAAAGTGTCAAAATGTCTCGTCTGAGGAAGTAACCTGTGAGGTCCCACAGATTAGTTAGAGCTATTTTTATCTTTTTTTTTTTTCATTAAGTAGCCTTCATTTAAAATTATGTTTCAGTTTACCTTTAAAATGTAGAGATTTGGGGATAATTAATTTACTGTTTTTTTAAGCTACCACATAAAAACCCCCTCAATATCCTGATATAAGATAGCCCACAAAATCTAGAATAAAGCCTAAAAATCAATGATAACATTTGTTTAATTTGAACTATTAATATTCAATAATAAAAAAAAGGAAGTAGGGGAGACTGGGACGGATGTAACACAATGTCTCAGTGACTCAAATTAGCATCATATGACTGGAGCAGGTAGGTTTAGGGATGTATAGGGGTTTCCAAAGACCCCGTAAATGGGTTGCTAGTGTTGTATCTCGTCTGCCTGCGATGTGTAGATGCAGAAGGAGGCTTTGTGACACTGGCTTGCTTGTATTGTAGGAATTTGGGAGAGGACTGCTAATGATGTCCATCTCTCCCAAACCTGACTTTGTGATCCTGTTAAATAGGGTTAGAGTTTTAGGTCCTCCTACATCATCTCGTTGTCCCCAAGTTATCTTTCTGTACCATCTGATTTACACCTAACTTTGAAGTGTGACCTGTGACCTGCTAACCCCCAACATCCAGGATGTCTGGACCAGGTGCCATAAAAGAGACACAATGCCAAAATTCCTTTCTCCGGTTATCTCAGGCTATCCCTGGGAAGTATCTCAAGGCGTTGCATGTTGGTGCTGTACTCCAGATACCACAGTAGCTAGAAAAGAAGAGTCATGAAAAGTTAGAAAGAACAAACTTTTGTTGGAAAACCTTTTTCACTGATGTCCTAAAAAATGGTGGTTAAGTTTTCCTGACCCTTCTTTCAGGTGAAATGAGGGACCGACTAGGGGAGCTGCTGACCTCGAAGCCAGCAGAAGAGAGCTGGCCTGTGGAGAGCCAGGATAACTCCGCAGAGGACAATGGGGGGCAAATGGAGCAACAAGCCATTGTGTTTGAGGGCGAGGACACGATGGACAGGACTTTCAAAGAGGCCCAGGCGCTGAGGAAAGAGATGCTGCTGTTCAGAAATGACGTGAAGCGTCTCGGTAAGCAAAACACCAGGTTCCTCACGTCCGTCAGGAGGTTCAGCAGCATCAAACGGGACTCCAATGCTCTAGGACGAGACATCAAGGCCAGGGGGGAGGCCATCTATAACCGCCTTAAAAGGATGGAGAAGCTGAGCAAAGAGCAGGAGGAGAAGCACGGGCCTACGTCAGCTGTGGCCCGCATGGTGCGTTCGCAGTACATCACTCTAACAGCCGCTTTCCACAACGCCATGTCTGAGTACAACGAGGCCGAGATGGTCCAGAGGGAGAACTGCAAGACCCGCATCCAGAGGCAGGCGGAGATCATGGGGAAGGAAGTGAGCAGGGAGCAGATTGACGAGATGATCGAGACGGGAAAGTGGAACGTCTTCTCGGATAACCTGCTCCTGGAGGGCAGGACCGCCAGATCGGCTCTGAATGAGATTGAAAGCCGGCACAAAGAGCTGCTGGAGCTGGAGGGCCGCATCAGGGACATCCATGAGCTCTTCTCCCAGATGGCCCTGCTGGTGGAGGAGCAGGGCTGCATGTTGGACAACATAGAAGCGAATGTTTATGCGACTCAGGAATACGTCGAAAAGGCTACTGAAAAGATCAGAGTAGCTAAAAAATACAAGAAGAGCAATCCGTGTAAGAAACTGTTCTGCTGCTGCTTCCCTTGTTGCAGATGAGACGGCATGAAGGTTTTTTTATATTAACGTCATGAGATTTTTGTGATTAGATCAAAATCACTTTCACTGCCTCATGCCTTTCTGCTTTCAATCCGTGTGAACGACATCAATATTTTATGCTAATGCCAAGACTGCAAGGAAAACCCACCAGTTACAGGCATTGTGGTGGAGTTTTCTACGTGCACCAATTTTGTCGTAACATGACTCAGCAAAGCCACTTTGGGGTCTCTGTCTCTGAACTGAGTGTTTTATTTACTGCATTTGACATCATCAACCAATTATTGGCGGTTTATTCGGCTAAAATTAAATTAAATTCGTGCCACAGACAATGCTGAGAGTATTGTAAACCATGAGTCACAGCCCACGCTGCTTGGTGTCCTGCAAACTGATTCGATTTTCCAAATCAACTAAAGCACTGTTCTACTCATCACATGTTCAATAAAAGAAATAGATCCATATCAGATTGAATTAGAAACCATCAAATTGCAGATTTGTCTTTGATGGTCCGGTGTCAACTGGTAGCAGCTGACCGCACTGGAGGATCGTTTCTCAGCTGGACTCAAACCTTGTATTTCTTTGCTTAGATTTGAGCTTATAAGCAGCAGTGTTTTCAGATGTAAGGTTCTCCTACTGTGAGCCGGTCTTCATTTTAAACCACACGTCCAAATGCAAATGTGATAGTGAGATAGGGTTGTTGTACTTCCTGATGCAAGACAACTGCAAGGACAGCTCAGCAACAGCTCAATTTATACAGCTGACAACTGTTTCCCTTTAAGGTTTCCAGCTTTAAGATTTATAATGTGATGTAAAATATTTAAGAAATGTGAATAAATTCCTTTAAGTGACTTTTTTTAAAAAAGTATTTCTATGTGCACCACTTCTCACAACCTGAAACTTGAACTTTAAAGAAGGTGCAGTTTCAAAGACATCCGTTGCCTAACAAGTCTTAACAAACAACACTACTTCTAGTTGTGGTTAGGAGGGGATGCAAGAGAGCTTTGAGTGGATTGGGTGAAGTTTGCCACCCCTGTTAGAAGCTCTCACCAGCTACAAGCCAGGGCCTCGAGTTTCTCAAGACTTGTTGCTTCATGTCAAAGGCAGCTCTCTTACTGAGTCGACCTTAAAGATATGGAACGGTGTCGTCTTGAATCATGATGACTATAACTGGCACACAACCAAAGTTAATCAAACTCAGAGCAGGTTTTCTCTTAACAAAAGAGAATCAAAACATCTTTGTCTCTTCATCTGTGTTTACTCAGAGACAACAGCAGAGGATGGGAAACTCACCATGTCAGAGTACTCTCTGTTTGCACAGCAGGCCTGGCTCTTTGTATTTTCAGTATGATGATAGTAAAATTCACAAGACCTTTATTTTCCTGTGCAGTGCAATCCACTACCCACTGGGGGGATTCCCACTTTCCACTTGTGAAAACTGCAGGCGGGGATTTGCCGTCTGCAGATTGCACATGAGAAACACTAGTGGGTGTTCGCAGAGCGGCTGCCTCTTCTCTGTGTTGAAACTAGGTTCAGGGCTGTAATGATTGCACTTCCTCCTCAGAGTGGTTTGGCTTTTTGGTGGGATGTTTTCTGCTAGGATGACTTTGCAGTGTGGCGTTACAGGTTTACTCAGGTGAACCCTCATTAGGGCCTGAGCCAATGCAGCAAGCAGCAGGCGAGAACCCTATGGGAATTGCAGGAATTTTTTATCATTGGTTACGTTTTTCAATTTAAAAACATGAATGGGATCAAAACCTCATGAACATTGGCAGGCAGGTTGGGCCTGGCTTAAATTAGTGTATTTTGCTGTACCCCTAAATATATGAAAAAAAAAAAAACTTGCTAACACACCCTTCAGTTTTCATGCTTAGGGAGTTTCCTATATAACTTCCCATACACTGGTTCCACCTTCACCAGATTTTAGTCATTTAATAACAGTCCAGCAACAGACAATTTGACACCCAACTTACGTCTGTATGTTGTAGCGCCACCTGGTGGCAGAGGTGAACATGTTTTTCAGTTAATAGCCTGTAACTCTGGCCTGCAATAATTACATTCTCATTTTTTTAAATCATACTATACTTTGATATTTTTAACATACTTTACTATGACATTTCCAATATACTATACTCTAACTTTTTTATCACAAATTTCTGATTTTTTATCATACTTTACAGTGACTTTTTTCTACATACTATACAATGGTATTTTAAACATACTACACTATGACATTTTTTATCATACTATACTATGATATTTTTAACATACTTTACTATGACATTTCTAATATACTATATTCTAACTTTTTTATCATACTTCTCTATGATTTTTTATCATACTTTACTGTGATATTTTTTAGATATTATACAATGGTATTTTAAACATACTACACTATGAAATTTTTTTATCATACTATACTGACATTCTTTATCATACTATAATGGGACATTTTTATCATACTATACTGTGATTTTTTTAGTCATACTATCCAGTGATAGTTTTCACATACTATACAGTGACATTTTTGAATTACTTCCAAGGTTTTTTGTTTTTTTTTGTCATACTATACTATGATATTTTTCACATACTGTACTATGACTTTTTCATCATACTATGCAATGACTTTTTTTTTTACTTAACTATTGTATTTTTTCATACAATACTGACATTTTTTATCATATACTTTAATTTTTTTCTTATACTAAACTATGGTTCTTTTTATCATACTGCACTTTGTCATTTGTATCATACCATACAATTATATTTTTATCATACTAAACTATAATTATTTCTTGTACTATGGTATGATATTTTAATCATACCATTTTGACATTTTTAACATACTATACAACGAAATTTTAACATACTATACTATGATATTTTTAGCATACTAACCTTTTACTTTTTAATTACACTATACTATAATTTCTTTAATCGTACCTTACTACGATCTTTTTTATTATACTATACTTTGACATTTTTAACATTCAATACAACCAAGTCTTTATCATACTATCCTATGACAGTTTTATCACACTATCCTATAATTTTTTTTTTTTATCATACTACATTATGACATTTTTAACATACTATACACATTTCAATATACAATACTATTTCAGCATAGATTGGGGAAATGCAGCGGACCAAGATTAAAGAAAGGCCAGTACTTCTGTGTCTTATTGTTGGCAGTGATTTCAAAGTGGTACCCTTTGAGACCCTGAGGCTTTTAGACCCGTCCTAAACCGGTTCTTATCAGTCTTATCTGGCATTGATTAGGATGAGAGCTCTTTGTACTAACCAGGATGGCCGAGTGGTTAAGGCGTTGGACTTAAGATCCAATGGACAAATGTCCACGTGGGTTCGAACCCCACTCCTGGTAAATATTGGAAGTTTTAACATGTAAGTAAAGAATAAACAAGCAGGATGATGGTACATTCATGGATGTGTGTTGTCTCATGCGTCATCGGAACTGCTTCTGAAGGTTAGTATCAGCAGATTAACAAATAATTGGACTGTTTGTTTATACTCCTGCTCCTTAACTGATGCAGGATCTTCAGGCCTCTATAATGCCTCTGGAGGAGGTCACAGTGATCGTGACTTTCACTCAGACCTCAAACATTTCAGCCTAAAAAACACCAACATTGAGTAGCACAGACAACGGACACTCTAAAGACTATTCTGAATTATTTTGTCCTGTTGTAACTTTGGTTTATTATGGGCTGAATGAATGGAAAGTTGAGTTAATCGTCTGTCTTCATTTTAAACAAACTGTAGTCCAGTTCCAAGTATACTGGAGGCATGAGCAGTAAAAAAGGCCAACTGTTCTCTGTTGAAGGATTTCTTTTTGATGAACTGAGAATATTTCCAGTGTTATTCATACTATAACATTTGTAAACACATATGCTCATCCAGTGTACCTTTCTCTAAATACACTCATTAAGCTGAGTCACACAGTGATTCATCTCAGCAGTGACATTGCACAAACAATTCAAGCCTTACGGTGTGCTGTAGATGAAATTGTGTGGATGTGGCGCCATCTAGTGGTTGATGGACATTACCCTTTCAGGTAGATCAAACTCGCCTGTCTTTAGGTACCATCTTTCAATAACACATTCATTTCTAATTTCTTCAGATAATCTGAGCTGGATTTAAACTTTACTGGACAAGATATTTTTGATCCCTCAACAGCACAGCAAGTTTGTTAACCTTTCTTTAGTCTTTCTCTTCAGGACTGACAGCTTTTGGAAACTTCTAACCTCTTTACAATGAGCAGTCTTCATCAGTTTGACCTTCAGGGTACAGAACAGTTATAGTATGACGGTGAGAATCAAACAAATAAGGCATCAAGAGTTACAAACAGAGCCTCTTTATTAAAACGCTTCAAAAGATGAACAAATGAAGCCGGCATATTGCGGTGAAAATTCACTTGAGCAGGAGTGGAAAAAAGTAAAATGCTGACACAAGGACACAAGTGTTGATACACTCCAAGTGCCTACAGAGAGAACATCATTACAAAAGGAGGTGTGCTGCAGATATAATACATCAAACTAAATGGAGTACAAACCTCCAAAGAAAAAAAGGACTGGTCATACTCAGGCAATTCGCTTAAATCCGTCATTAAACCCGAACAATGAGGGTGTGTGCTCAGATATCGTTAAATTTTAATACATCTTTTTAATGTAACAGTCAATATGAAAATGTACTAAAAAGATACAGCGTGCCTGAGGAGTACATTTTAAAAACCTGCAACATAAGTGGCTGATACTTTAGTCAAAGACACCAAACTCACATGCAAAACAAGAGGGAGTAAAACGGCTCAAAGGTGAGCAGAGAAACCCCTCAGAGTCATGATTTATGTTTACAGTACATGCCTTCATGTGCAAATCAATAATTCAAAGACAACTCCTAACATAACAGAGGCTGATTTGTTTTCTTTCAAAATACAAGTACCAGTACAAAAATAAGAAATAAACCAAACATGGATAAGGACTTATTCAGAGTAAAAACGCAGCTTAGTTTCATCATTGCTCGGGCTTCACATCAAACTTCAAAAGTATAAAAACAATAAAAACAAAGTTTTCTTAGAGGGACATTACTTTTCTGATATCTTAGACCCATTTCCTTTCAACAATGCAAGACATTTTAAGCTTTTTCCTCACATAAAAGGATCAAAATGTGTTGAATTAGATGTTTTATCTTAACTCAAACCTGTAGTATCATTTTAACCGTGTTCAACAAATCCGATCACACCAGAACAAAATCAAACTACATGTCTCCCGACTGCCTGTTTAGCTTGACCCTGATGGATGACAAACATGAAAACCTGTAATTTGTTAGTCCAGCACTGCAACACACACTGTTACGTCATTATAATACTGAATGGTACACCAGTCAGTTAAGACCCCACAATTATCAAGTAGCTGACATGTCGTGTTATTCCCAGCAATCCTGTCAACTAAACACACAACTACTGCAAGACAAAGCTTCATGCTACAACCCTGAGATGCCAACATTTGAATACAGTGGACCTGCGGTGCCAAAACCTCACAACATCGATCAGTTATCAATGAAAACAAAAGTTCTGATGTTGTTTGTTTTTTGGAAGGGGAAAGAAGCCCGGTATAGTTTTTCTTTACACCTGTCCTGCAGGGTTTTATGAGGTTTGACACGGACGAAGAGAAACTAGAGTTGCTCTGAAACCATTTTTCTGCAATAATTCAATATTGATTGATTTATTACACCCGTCCAACACCTGCAAAATAAAAATAGCATATCATATATATATTATTTTCATTTTTTTAAAGTTGTATACTACTAACCCTTTCAGGAGGTGATAGGATATCTTTAAATGTTGAATGGCCTGGCTAAGTTTACTGAAGGAATCCGCTAGCAGCAGCTCAGGTCATAACCCGTCTTGTGTGTGGAGAGCTTCTCGTTTGTGACATGAACTCTTTGTTTTGTTTGGATTTGGCGATGTGGATTTTCTTAACTTTAGCTATAAAAACACAGCTTCAAAACTGTTATGGAAAACAACTTTTGGTTTTTTTTTGCTACCTCTACCATTACAAACACACAGTTGTTTGCTATTCTCATACTGAATCATATTTGTATCTGTATCTGAAGCGTTCAAGATACTTGTAAGGATTTTCAAACCATGGATGGATTCTTATCGGCTGACTACATTCATATTTTATCTGCTACATTTTAGTCTCAAATAACCTACAAACTGCTGGTGATTTCTCCAAACCACAAAACACACTACATTTAAACACCAAAACATGATGATGGTGACATGCTAATGCTGGTGAACAAAAGAAATCAACTCCCACAGTGAATACAGTATAGCCATCTCAATAAAATGACATACATTGTGCATGGCTACCACAGATGTTTGGTCAGTCTTGAAATGTAGCGTCATAGCCGTGAGCTCACAGCAGAGCCCACATGGTCACTCTTGGTATCAGGGCAAGATATAAAACAAGATACCAGTAAATTGTTCCAGCACGGAGCAGAGAAATCTCGCTGAGTTGCCCTGAACAACCTCATGCCTGGAAAATCAAGTGTTTAGGTTAAGGCTCTACTCTTACCTCCATCGTAGCACAGTACTGTCTTTTTGATATAAAAATAAAAAAATTCTACATCAAAACATCTGATTATTTACATAAAGTCAGAGTAGGAGGATACAGCTTCAGTACTCAGGGTTTTAGAAGTCCATCAGAGAGGAAGAAAAACAAGGCTGGTTCGTTTATGTTTCTTGTTTTCAGTCCTGATCTGAGATCACAGCACGTCAACCTCAACTGGAGAATCGACTGGCTGTTTCAAAACGGAGTAAAGATCATTTCAAAGGTGAGGCAACGAAAATTAAATGGTTGGAACTGTTAAATTCGGAGTATTCTACTTTTTTGAGGATGGATGGGACTAAAGTCTGTAAACACTGGAGAGTATAATACACGTTTCTTGAGTTCTAGTGGTCTTAGAATTGTCCACAGGATGATTTCATCCTCAAATGTCTCTTATGCTACTGGTTTGAGAACTGAGCGTAAACACCTCCCCTCCTTCGTGAGCTCTCTGGTGAAGCACATGCACGGCAGAGGGATTGCTTCCTCTTTACGAGTGATGGTGTTGAACTTGCACTTCTTGAGGTGGTCTGCCATGCTGGCAATGTTGGCAAACTTCCACTCATTCACTGTCCCGAACGCCGTGCTGAATCGCCACACCTGAAACCAAAACAAAAAAAAATCAATCACGCCTGATAGTGTGACAGTGCATCGGTATATCGTGGTTGCACAGAGAAGATCTGTTTCATGTTTTTTTTTGGCTAACCTTGTCAGTGATCTGCCATGAGGTAGACCCATCGGCTCGTCGCTTCTTCTCCCACAGCAGGACAACCATGCCGCGCACCTGAAGCAGGCTAGCACACACATCCCTCATGGTGCGGGACACTCTGGACAGTTGGCACAAGCTAAAGCTATCCAGGAAGCTGGCTACATGTTGCAAAACCTCAAATGGAAGATTGCTGAATTGGTCACTCTGAGACCGTAAGTGGCAGCCATTTCTTAGGGGGGTGTCCCCGGTTTTTAAGGGCAAACCAGGCTGAACCCCGAATGAGCCGAGGTGCCTGTCATGGATGATCCTGAAGCCTTGCACAGATGGGCAGAATCGTCTTTGGGAGTAGGTGCAGCCATAGTAGGCCAAAGGGCAACGTTGCTCCATCCAGCCGTTGAGTCCGGCGTGAATATCCCCGTGAACATTTTTGAAGTGTGATGAGAACTCGTCACGTCGGAACAGCTGCCCGCACACAAACGTGAACATGGAGCGCTGCTTTGTTTGGTATCTCGCCACACATTCGAGCACCAGGTCCAGCCTTAAGGTGTGAAAGGGGCTCGGGTTGGAAAGCTGTGGGCTGGCGTGATCACAGGCCGAGGCAGAGGCGATATCTCCCACCATGGTGTTGGTTGCAAGAATAGCTGAAGGGAAGGAGAATGTCTGAGTACCAAAATCGATGTGGTAGCCGTCAACAAACCTGCTGTCTGAGATTCCTCTGCCTCCTGGAGAGTCCCCAAGGCAAAAGAGCAGAGCTGCAGTGATCAGATCAATGCCGTGGAGGCCCATGGGGTCATCTGCTACTTCCAAGTCAGATGTGTCAACAGCCTTGTCCTCCATCTTTGCCCGAAACAGGTAAGGGTCTGACAGCAGAGCTCGGCGACCATTTAGTGTAAACATACTTATTCCTCTGAGCACTTCTACGTTCTGCAGCTTACGCTCTAAATACCTGTACCTGAGTTCAGAAGGTAAGTGTTGTAAGAAATTGTTTCTCACGTGATCAGACAGCAGGAATGGCATTGGAGGCGAAAGAGGTGCTTGCTGAGGCACAGGAGGTTCCAGTGCTATGACAGGCATGTAATCCTGAGGCATCTCTGGCCAGACAAGATTGGAATCATTTTTTGGCTCCTCGATACTCTCCTCAACCTCTTCCTCTTCAAAAAACAACTCGACAAAATAATTCTCTTCAACCCATCCAACTCCATTTTCCTCTCCATTTGTTCCCTCTGCGCAATCCACACCACCTACTGCCCCGAGCTCACAGTCTGAATCAGAGTCGCTCTCCTGCATGTCTACATTCTTCCCACCTTCAGCACCATGAGCACGATGACTATCACCATTTTCCCCGTTGTGCAGAGCTCCATTTTTGTCAGTGTTTTCCCCGTTTATATTTCCCACTATGACACCCATCTCCTTGGAACTAGTGAGGATGTCCAAGGCTGCTGCTAAACTTCTGCTGGTCTCCACCGAGGCTCGATACAACTCATTATAGGGCTCCTCTTCCATTTCCACAGTTATGTTACTCGACACAGTCTCTGGAAGACTTGATGCTGTGGCCATCTTGTCACTTTCATCTGCTTCCTTATCTCCATTCTTTGACACAGTGGTTGTAACCTTAAGGGACTCTAACAACATCCTCTGATCCTGCAGGGCCAAAGCCATGTCAAGCTGCTCTACCTCGTCAAAGTCTTTGCTCAAGTTTTCGTAGGACTTGCGGTCAGAGTAGCTCACGGGCCAACGATTCCACTCCATGGTGCAACACACTATACTTGCTGGACAAGTTTCAAGGTGTTGTGCCATCTTGATCCTTGTGATAGTGAACGGGCAGCCAAACCCGCTGTTTAGGCATGGTAGGCGTTCATACGGACACAGCAGACGGTGTTCCTCTAGTTTGCAGGAGTGAAAAACCGCACCGCAGACGAGAGGGCAGCCGATGAGGTCACAGCAAACACCAGCCTCTGTTCTGGTCATGCATCTTCTGTTGATGCATTTAAGGCAGTGGGAGTGCAAATTCTCCATTATATCAATACAGTTTCTTTCTCCCGACTTTGTTTTGTTAAAGAGAGGGAAGAGTTCAACCCTGCAAAAAAGAGAAAAAGATCAGGGGAAAAAATGACTAAACATGGTAACAACAGTGTATCTGAAAGGTGAGCACATGAAGCACTCAGCTAGTACAGAACATGCTGGTGTAACTTAATCCCATGCAACCCTCCAACACAACACACGTGAGGTCTCAGACCTTCAAACTATTCTGTGACTTAGGCTTCCACATGTTTTCTCTCTCTCTGTGCGTGTTTACTATATCTCAGGCTGTTCAGTAACATTTCACAACACGGCTCTGAGGTTACATGGCAACACTGGTGCTTTTGGGACCTTAGGGCTCACTTAACCCTTAACCTTTGGTTTTGAAATGCTCCTCATATGTGGAGTTTACTAGGAATGCACTGTCAGGTCCGATATTGACAAATTAAGTGGATCAGATATCTGATGAATGATGCCGATCTAGCACTCCGATCCGGTTTCTTTTTTCTTTTAATTAATATCATACACAGCAACACAGTGATTCTGTTCGCTCTAAACTCTATGTCTGTCTTTCCATTTGCACTAAATGTTTACATGTAACTCTTACTTCTTTTTGCTGTGTGCTAATATGCAAGTCGTTATTTGTTAATAAATAATATTAAGTAAATTTATATGTGTGTTAATTTGAGTTGAGTTGAGAATTAGTCACCTTTTTTTAACAAGGCTAATGTCAAGCCTGATGCATTCACTCACAGGGCAAGGTATAGAGTTCATTCATTCAACAGTAGTATTAAATCGGTATCCGATATCGGCCGATACGCTCAGCCCGGGTATCGGTATCAGATTGGATGTTAAAAAAATGGATCGGCGCATCTCTGGTGTTTGCTGACAGGTTGGACTGAAATATTCATCATCCTTTGCAAGCTGTTTGCAGAGCAGCCACAGGTAATACTTAACCTCTGGGTTGAATTATGAGCCTCGGGCTTAATTGGCAGTGTTGCCTCTGTGCGGGGATTTGTAGGATCACGAACTATTGCTAAAACGCCAATAGACAATAATTAAAAGACCTGCAACAATGCTGCACGTTAAGACTGCAAAGCCGCACAGGAGACCCATTGTTCAGGTCTTTGCAGCCATGGCCAGCAACAGCTAGCTCCGTGACGCAAGCAAAGCTGGCAGGTTAGCAAACAGCTAAAAACACAAACAACACAGCTGCAGCCGGTATCATCACCATCATCACCGATTGTGGTCTCAACGCAAAACAGCATCGCACAGCCAATAAAAGCAACACTAAAATGATAATTTTGTGCTCACTAAATGGGCAGAGGAGGTTGCATATTGAATCAAAAACTTTTAAGTCGCAACAAAACAACATGGCCAGTCAGTTAGCATTAGCATCTCTACTTCGTTAGCATGTTGAGTTAGCTGATAGCTTCTGGAAACAAGCTTACCCGAGAAACGGGGTCCTCCTTGTGTGTCCTTATCAGTGTTTTTTGACTTAAAACAGCTCCGTTGAGAACAGCAATAAATAAACTACAGTGACATCCGCGCTTTGCAGCAGTAAATGTGTCTAAATCTCCTGGTTGTATGTACAGGCTGCGGCTTGCTCCTCGGTTAGTTAGTCCTTCTCTGAGACCGTCGGCGTTTATGTTGATCTAACAGAGGCACGCCGCAGCGCTACGTCATCACGTAAATGTCCAGTCATTTTTAGGTTTATGGACGCAGACCTGATAGACAGCACTGAAATAGACAGGGTGGGAAATACCCTGAAGGCAGTTTTACATGTAATCCCTTATGAAATGTATCTGCACTTGGTTTATTATATTTGTTATCGACTCAGACTCAAAAAACAACATTCAAATGATTTACAAACGTGCTAAGAGTTTAGGTAGTTGTGATTTATCCTCTTTCATTTTCAGCCATTCTCATTTTGAACACTCTCAAATACATTATTACCACCTACTATGTCTTTAATAAAGATATAAAGTACAATAACACCCTGTTTGTTCATGCAAGCAACAACTGGTCATTAAGGAGCTTCTTAAAAGTAGTTTGCAGAGCTGTTGCATTGGATTGCATCAGATTGTCCAGGTGCTGTTAATGTCAAGCCTGGTTGGTGTGTATTTCATTTTCCAAATCTAAGACCGAACTGATCCTTAATGAATGCAAAAACCTTGTGGTCCAAAAAGAGGGACATTTGCAGCACTTAAAGCACCTAAAAAAAGACTAGAAACATTTTTTGTGATGTGTTTAGAGTTTTAAGAAAGAGGAATAGAGCTTTAGGTCGAGACCCCCCTAAAGGGTTGAAGTGAAGTGAGTAAAGTAGTGATAAGACGCAAAGTTTTCCAAATAAGTTAAACGCCTGCATTTAATTTCAGTCTCAAATGAGAAAAATATAAGTACCAACCTTCAAATATTATGTCAAATTAAGAAAAGTGCTTATTATCTTTTTTCTTTACCTCTTTTACCTCTATCTTATTTTGGTTTTACTGTCTTTTTAGCTCTTGTTATACTTGTATTCTTTCCTTAATTAACCTTTTAGGCCTTTTATTGTTTTATCTCTTGCGCTATTTTATTGTTACTATTATTATAAGGATTACCTGTTATTATTTTATTATCATTGTTGATATTTCCTTTTATATTTACTCTCCTGTTTCCGCTTTTGTCCTCCCTTTTGATTGCATTTTCCCTTTTTCTCCTTATATATTTAATGTTTTTATTTTAGTCCTCATGGTCTTATTTTATGTTGCATGGTTGTTGTATTGTCTGGGTTCCTTATGACATGACAAATATAGTTATTATTATTATTATTATTATTATTATTATTTTTATTATTATTTTTATCATCATTATTAGGAAGACAGCATACAATGAGGATACATTTGTCAAGTACCTGAAAAAAATGTTTTGATCCTCTCCTCAAGTCAATTCACGCTTCAAAAGTGCAAAAGAACAATGAAAATACCCAAAGGAGACCTTTATTTTTGAGTTCTGAAACAAAAAAGCTTGGTTTATAAGAGAAAAATATGCAAAACTTTCATTATTATATTAAATCACACCTGTACATGTGTGTGTCTATTTGTACAGTTTCATGTTTGTTTGTTTGTCCATGTCTCTGTCCACAGAAGGTCTCTTATTCCCTTACGCTCATGAGGCCACCTCTGATATGTGGTGAATGTTGGACAGAGTGAGCTGTGCTTCCTGTGCCGGGTAAAAACGTCTGGATCGAAGCCACAGTCTCCCTAACACTCCTGTGACCAGCAGCAAGACCAGCAGCAGTGCCCCCAGGACAAAGGTCTCCACAGGTGGGACTCCGCCTGCAGCTGCAGTGAAAAGGACAGACAGAAGCCCGTTTTGCATTTGAATCCAATACACTTTAAGCTTTGAATATTTATTAGCCAAATCTCAAAGATCAAGGAGTTTTAGTGAAGGTGAAAACATACTCAGATTGGGCTTTTCTTTATCGTTTAGTAGTCGTCTGATTGGTCCGTAAGACACTGTATGTGAGAGAGGGATGTCTCTGCGTGTCCTCGTTAATCCATCATCACTCGAACAGTTCTGAGTGACAGATAAAGGAATGACACATGAATGAATGAATGATGCTGTTAACCTTGATGTCAAACACCCCCCTTTTAAAATCAGAACAAGCTAAGAAGGCTGAAAAGTAATTTAAGGCTGATGGGTCTCAGCCCCACATAAACTAGACTACATGTCTGAACTGGCCTCTGACTATAACTTTGAGGAATGGGTGTTGCATGAGCTCACTCACAGGTTGGCACAGCCCCGCGGTGTTGTGGCAGATCTGGACGTTGCAGTGGAGAAAGACGTTGGTGTACGAGCTGCCAACGAATTTGAACATTTGTATCCTGAACATGGCCTCTGGACCCTGTCCGTTCTTCAGCACACTCAAGGTCTGTTCATTTGACAACACCGGGCAGCTACAGGAAGAGGACAAAGAAGTCAGAAAGGCCTGATAGCAGAGAAATATTACTCTGAAAACAGGAAAAAAGGGGTGTATTCCAAGTTCATAGCTAAAAAGATAATGTGAACACCTTTAAAATGATTCTATCTGTTCGAGACAGATTTATTCCAGTGTTTTCTTTTCCCTCTGGCACTGAAATCATTGCACATTTCGCTGCTCTGCTGTTGCTAACTGCACCAAATACTGCCTGGTTGTCAAGGACATGCACACAGCTGTTGAACTGACAAACGCACATGGCCCCCCAGACAGGAGTCACATGACCGGGCTATGGGAGTTGTTGTCTTGCCAGCTCTCTAAGCAACAAATTCTCTTATTTCAGATTTCAACAGCTCTCATGGAAGAGGACTTGAAGCTGTTTGTGTGATGAAATAACAGAGCTAATTTCCAATAACAAGGTTTCAACATGCCATCCATGAAAATCCTAACCCAGATATTTGGTCTCACATGAGCCAGATGGCAAAGAGACAGAGGGGTTTTGTAAGTTTGAAGATTTACTACTTAATCTCTGCTTACTGGCCATGGCCCTCCCATACTGGATTTAAAAAAGGTATTTAAACTGTTCTGTTTTACATAATAGATTATTTTAAAGAAGAAATAGTTTTTTTTTAATCATGACTTTGCTGTCAGTATCAAAGATGCTGAATGTGCCAACAATCAGAGGTGCTATAAGGCGGAGAAAAGTTAAGACTATTCTTGAGCCTGAGTTATACTTCTGTGTCTAATCTAGGCCGCAGCTTACTCTGTATGTTGGCGCAGCTTTGCACCTATGCAGGAGCCTATATACAGTATGTAGCCTGATACACACTGACACAGACCACAAGCCCTGTGATCAGTCTGCATTGACTTGTCTGCATTTACAACATCAGGCAACTGTGTCATAGGGTACAAGCGCCTAAGAAACGCTCGAATGAGCAAACTTTTTATCTACTGTTTTAATCATTTATCAAACAACAATTAAACCATTCTTATTGTTATCAGACCTGTCTCTGATGAAGGTGTACTGAATATTGCTGTATGGATCACTGGTTGGAGTTGCCCAGCATCTCTCCATGCGCAGCATCAGGTGAGCCGGTATCTGTGGGGCAGACAGGATTGGGTTACAGCCCAGTATTTTTCTCACACTACGTTGCTCCATACTGGTTCACAAAATGATGATTCATGGTTGGTAAACAACAGCTGGACCGAGAGGTTACAACAACATGCAGGAGAAAAGGAGCTGCACTCAAATTACCAGCCGGTCATGGGAGGAGAGTCAGATTTACAGCATTGCTCAGGAGTAATCTCCGCCACAACATATTGCTTAACATCAAGTAACAACACGCTAACCTGCTCCAAAAACAGCTGCCAATTACTCGAATCTCTCTCTTCAGTGTGTTGTCAGAGCTCGGATAACACAGCCGTGACCCAGTGTAAGCCTTGATTTATACACAGTCTTCAGGTCAATGTGAGGACAAGGTATGGAGGCTTAATCTGTAATCCCCTTTTGTTTAAAAATAACAATTTACTGGGTATTTTTACCATGAAAACTTTTACAAAGATGCTATCATCCAGCGTCAGCGATGGCACAGTGGTCCATTTGTCCTGAAAAGCTTCATCTTTGTACAGCAGCATGGACACAGAAAAGTTCCCATCCTCTGTGTTCAGAGTGATAGTCCTGCAGAGAGACGAAGGAGCCGAATCAACAGTTTAGAAACAAGTATTTCTACTGAACAAGCAAGATTAGACATAAAATAAACACTCACCTCACATCAACCCTGATCATGTTTTCACCGTTTGGCTGCTGGACAAGGTAGTTGTTAGGGTAACGGCACACGAATGTGATGTTGATGTAGTTTCTTGTGATGATTTCTGTATCGTTATTATGTATGGTGTTAATGAACATAATGTGAGTGTCATCTGAGGCCTGTGGAGACGAGAAGAGAGAGACATTTTAGAGGATAATAAGATTAACATTATCAAGTAAGAATCGTCTTACTTGAAGAAGACCGACAGTGAAAGTCCAGTCAGGATGTAGTCGGAGTCATCTCCTCTAATTTTCTCCATAAACCCTCAGCAGCTCAACATTTCTCATAACCTACTGACCTTGAACCACACTCAGGTCCCTCTTGGCCATTTAAAAAATTCCATCATGACAATACACAACATTTTCTTCCCACACTTTTGGTCCCATAAGGAGATTCTCATAGTAAGTTGTATTAAGTTTTATTGTAGCCTGTAATATACATTCATTTGATCCCACTTATTATTAAGTAGATCTCTGGTGATAAATTCCAACATCCACAAGATTCTGCTTAAAAACACTTCTTAAAGCTCCTGTGAGAAACTTTCAGAACTTTCTATAACTTATAAAAGTAGCAGCAAAGGAAAAAAATAACCTTCATGCTTAAATCTTGTTTTTTAGGTCATATAAAGGCATCAAAATTAATTTTAGGCAGTTTTTTTGATCAGTTAGAAATTCCTGAGAGGGGCTTTAATCCCAATAAAAAAGCACTTTAATTTTATTATTAATTAAAGCTCCTGTGAGAAACTTTCAGAACTTTTCAATAACTTATAAAAGTTACAGCAAAGGAAAAAAATAACCTTCATGATAAAATCTTGTTTGTTTTTATGTCATATAGAGGTATTAATAAGAACTCCAGATGGCTTTTTGATCAGTTAAAAATTCCTGAGAGGGGCTTTAATCCTAATAAAACAGCACTTTAATTTTATCATTAATTAAAGCTCATGTAAGGGGTTTTAGCTGGTTGTATATTTCATATTGTAGCCTCTGTATGACCTACAAAAAGTCAAACAAGACTATTGATCTGAATATTGGCTATTTACATGGTGATTTTTTAATATCTGAAACCCCAAACCAACTCTGATCAGCTGATTTTCACAGCAAAGATTCGTACAGAGTGATACATTTGACCTTTAAAGGAGAGTAGGATGAGTTTTTGTCAGGTTTTTACATAGAAAAATCAAGTTAAAAAAATAACTAAAGTCAGGCTCCTTATGTAACCCTCATCTGACAGCTTATGCACTTGAAACCATAAAACTAAGAATGAGTGAAAAGGTTACATTTGAGGTTTGTCTGGGCTCCTGCTGAGAGCAGATGGAGAAAGGCCTTTGACTCCAACACTTTACAACCTCTTGGTAAACACCTCCATCTGGCCTGCAATAGGCACCCTTAACAGGTCTCTCCACCAAAGCAACAGGTCTTCATTAATTCACATCTGAACCACAGGCATTTGAACTTATAACCGTGTTACATGAGGACTCCCTGACTCACAAATTCAGCAAACTTTTGTGAGATGTGTCAGAGGAGGGCGCTGTCATGTTTCAATGAGAAACACTGACCTTTAGACCCCAACAACGCAACGGTCTCTCTTCTTCTCTGACGGCAGGTTTAAGGTCAAGGTGAAAACAAAGATCGGGAGCTCTGGCATTCTTCTCCTTTAGCAACAGACGTCTTATCCAGAGCGAACCTACTTTCCTCACAAAGTCTCGTAAAACTGCTGAGGGAGATTTCCTCTCGGCTGAAAGCTGCGTTAACCTTTTAATGTTCTTTACGAGAACAACCTGCACCATTCCAAGAAAACAATTAAATGACACTTGCGGGCTGAAGTAGGGATTTAAACCGTGCCAAAGTCTGAGCTCACAAGAGAGGCTGGACTGAACTGATGAATGATTGATGGCCTTCCTATTCACTGATCCCCAACAAATAATCATCATTTCCATGTAAATCCTGATAATTTAGAACTACAATAGCATTCAGGGTCCTTTCGCTGCTTTGAATAAGACCCTGCGCTGTTTAAGGGAGAGGAACAACGCTGCCCTTCTTTCTTGACATACACACAACCCCCTCCTCTTTTCTTTTCTCTTCAGCCTTTTCTGCCCACGCCTGGAGTTTGTGCCTTTCTCCGTCTGCCTTATTATACTTGCTATGAGCTAATTCAATGGTGTGGATCTGCACACAGAGGGTCACTGTCTGCGTTTACGTCACAGCAGGGGAGAAAAGTGTCCAAAAGGAGGTTATTTTAACTTTTATGTAAGGAGTCTGCAGCCTGATCGGGGGGCCTGATCCTTGAGCGAGCACAGGCGTTGTAAAATGAGTAATTTATTATGATTGGGATCTAATGTTTAAGTGCATGTGCAACATTTAACCTCTTTGATTCATGCCTCAAATAAAAACAGAACAAACTTAAGTGCAAATTTTTAAGAGATTAGGTTTTTACCATAATTGTTCCACAGTCAGAAAGATTCGTCTTTATGCTGAAAACATAATCGTCTCCAACTTCTTCACCACGACACTCCGGATCATTTAAATGCAAATCCCAAACCTAAACATGAAGGACACACACACAAAATAAATACTTTAGATGGGAAAATGTGCAGCTAATAATTTGGATATCTGTGCTGAGAAACATCAACCTCTACAGAAAGTACTTGTGGGTTTTCCTGGCGCTCTCTTACATGAACTGGAGGCTCTTTGTTGAGGAAAAAAGCGCTGGGAATGACAACCTCCATGTGGTCATTAGTACAGATGACAGTTTCATTGAGCTCTGGGAAAAAGATGAGAAAGGCGGATTTAATCCTACGACAAAAAACAATTTGTACAAGAAAAAAATATTAAGAGGTTCTGAAGGTTTTTTTTTTTGAGCTGTAAATCAAGAAGTCATAAATTTAGACGTCAGATAGAGATATTTCTTTTCATTTACAGAAAAAAACTCTAAAAGACTGTTCATGAGTTTGGATGCAATTTAAAATCACTAAGAATTAAAGGAGCACTTATGGGATTGTTGTGCGTTTGTAGAAGTACCAACTATTCATTTGCACTTTTGCACACTTTTACTTAAATGGACATAAAACTAAATTATTAGAATGATTCAAGATAAAAATTTTTATATAATTCTGAATGATTTTTCTTTTTTTGCAGTTTTAACTACATTAGAAATATGATATTGATATAAAACAATTAAAATCAGCTTCCTATAAGACAACTGTAACTACATAATGCTCTTTTTTAAAATTACACAGGAAAGAAAACGTTTGTCAATAACTTTCTGTAAACTCTTGAAACACCTGAATATTTCATATTGAAAGTTTTGTGTTTTTAATATGAAACTTGAGATTTTAATTTGGCTTTTTAATCAGAGTAGTTTCAAGGTTTGGATGAAAGGTCGTATTGATTTTCAGAATGGTTTTACTCACCAATTCATTTTTGCTTTATCCAACTTTGACTGATTTAAGCTGATTTGGCTGATTTCTTTTCATTTTATTGTTTTATTGTGTTGATATTTGATTATTCAATTTAATTCTATAGTTTGTATTATTTTAATCTTTTATCTTTCTAACTCTTGTTGTCAGTTCCTTTTTTTTTAATCTTCCTTTTGTAACAATGCATTTACAGCTGCGCGCTTTCATGGAAGAAAGGTGCTAAATAAATTAAAAACTTAGTAGCAAGACTTTGAATGTCTTGATTTTTCTTTATTTCTGCTGCTTTTCCTCAAGTCAAGTATTTTAATGAATTTTTCCAAGACTGTTAACTGCTCTGTACCAAACTGTCCAGCTCGTATCTATCAGGATAAAGGATGACGGCCTGTTTTCACATCTTAAAGCCCCTAAAGGCCAGAAAAATCTATCCAAGATCAATACTCGTCAATATGTTAAATCACTTTGTAATGAGGGTTAAAAAAAACAGTTAATTTGACCTTTGACCCTTCATTTGTGTCATGTATGATGTGAGCTTACCCTCCTCCTCCGGCTGCAGGTACACTGTTGAGGTGACCATCCTCATGGTGAACAGTAAGCAGGCAAAAACCAAACCGGCAGGTGCCATCTTCGAGGTCTCTCCCTGTATTTCTTCCTTGCTCAGCAACTCCGCAGCCTTTAGGCCCTTTTTCCCCGAAACTCTGAGGATCTTCTGGGTACTCTACACCGCTGCTCAGTGCTGTCACCGCAAGACGTAGTACCCCTCTCTTGGTGCAACCCTTGAAACACGGCTCTAATGAACTAGGAGCCTCCCTCTGGCCTTAAAACACCAGCTTGAATGATGTCCCCACCAACAATGAGATTCCGCACATGAATAGAGGGGACTGAAGGGAGTCCAAGGTAACTCATATGTTACCGCCTACTGCGGCCATGTCCTCTTAGTAAACATCTTACGACTGTTTCGGACTACAGGGAGCAACAAGAAGGCTGGTTACCACGTAAAGAGGAACAACAGCACAGGGGATGGAGCTCTTTGTTGTCTGCGGCTTTTGTCTGGACATTTTAAAATCTTTACTGGTGCAGGAATCCCAGTCAGTCAGGCAAAAAGAAAGTCATTACAAGTCAAGGGCAATTCAGTCACGTTTCCAAAGACCTCCGAGTGCATGTGTGTGGTGGAACAGACCATAAAATACTCAAGAAAGAAAACAGTATTTACATTGCATTTCTTCAATTTCAAGAGAGTAAAATAAAACATAACACCCACATGTTCTTCTATTTAGACAATTAGGAGGTTATTCAGGTACAAAGAGTTGTGAAGCAGAGAACTATTCACATTTTCTGACCTTTATGAGTTTAATTTACAAGATTAGTTTCCAAGACACTGAATCTTGTGCCTCTTTGTGTTGCAAATACGACAGGCACAAGGGCTCGGACAAATTGTTGGACATTGTTTCAGGAGACAAACAGCTCAAATAAGATTGTCTGGCTGAGGGAAATCTCTTATTTCTGCTCCTGTAAAAAAAGGTTTCAACGGCTTCCTTCCTGCGTCCATTTTTACCACATGGAAATAAAACCCAATAAAAGCACCGGACAAAAAGAGCTGGTCATAGCAGGTCCACACCCTGCAATCAACGGAACTTTTATTTCCTGAAAGTTGTAAGAGCACCTCGACTACCGGTGTGACTTTGTCGTGTGTGTTTCATCACTTATATTGCATCAACTTGCACTGCAGTTGTGCGCAAATGCATATACTTATTATTAGATTAAGACAGGCAACAATAATGTACAGTCTAGTCAAACATGAGAGCAGAGTTATTGAATCAGTTACATCTATGACAAGTGAGCCAAATACACAAATACTCCAAAGAGATCAGACATCACAAGTTTGAGTCCGTCCACCTGCTAAAATATTTTTTTTGGCAAAAAATTTAAGAGTGTTGGTATAAAAAAGTTAAAAGTGCAAAATCATAGTAAAGAGTGAGCTCCCTCTGCCATGAGTCTTCAGCAGGGACACCTCTCTCTGTATTCAGGTGTTCAGATTCACTCCAGGTGCTCTGTGTCTTCAGTAAACAGATCAGCCAGGTCGGCTACCGTCAGCACGGCGGCCTCTGAGTGCTTCATGGCTGTGCTGGTGTGACTAGAATAAAAAATTATATGAAATTAGTCCTTTAACTAAGATTTTAAAGCACGACTCAAAAATTTCAAATATTTGTTATTAGTACTGCTGATGTCTAAAGAGTTAGCAGCACAAACAACCCTCTGTTTTTCTGGGTTTCCCATGACGAACACTTTAACAAGAAAAAAATCAAGTGTGTCATGTTTATGCAAACTCCCAAGTGTTTTGCCTAATTTTCAAAAAACTACTGTGAATTTTCAAGAAAACATCTGGAAATTTTCTTTAAAAATTCAGGAAATTTTCTTGGGTATTAAGAAATGTTTCTAAACCTTTGGGATTGTCCTGGAAACATTTCCGTACCTTGCAGATCTTGTAGAGTTTTCCTTAAACTTTGGTTGAATTCTCCTGTAAACTTCTCAGGAATATTCATGAAAAATATTGGGACTTTTCCAACAGTTCTGTCTCAAAAAATTAGGGGGGAATTTTTGAGATTTTTCTTTTAAAATTTAGAGAGCATATTGAGAAACTTTTGATAACATTCCTTTTGGGGAATTATAGGGCAATGTCCTGCAAAATTTCAGAAATTTCCCTGGAAAAATTTTAAGAAGTCTTCCCAGGAACTCTCAGGAATTTTGCTAGAGCTTTTTAAAACAGTCCTGAACATTTTGGGAATTTTCCCACAAACAAATGGAACCACACAACACACAAAATCCAACTCAGAAATTAAAAAAACTTCATTATTTGCACCAGTAATAGACCAGTATTGAAACTGGATGACCTTGGATTCATTTTATTGCTGGCTAACATGGATGAGCGAGCTGTTAAAACTGAAAGCTTTCCACTTTAAAGACTTTTCAGCTCTATTTACAGCGCAGCCAATGCTAAACCCACACGGCTTAGCTCCGTAACAGCTAGCTGGCTAAGTTTAGATTTATTACTGAAGTAATGCTACACAATTAAATCCAGCTCTGTGTGCTACTCCAGTGTTTCTGCAGATGCCCTTCAGGCTCAATCCACCAATAGAGTGAAAGCATATGTAACAGGATACTGACTGCTGTTACTTTAAGGCCAGGAGGTCTACTGAGGACAAAGCTTTGCTAAAATTGCATACTGTATCTTTAAAGGGATAAAATATACAACTGATTGTTTGCTGTGTCTCTCACCTTTTCTCTGCTGTCTTCAGCATTGCCTGCATTCTCTCTTCAATAGTAGATTTGATGAGGAATCTGTGAACAAACGTCGGCCTAGAAACAACAGAAATACACACGATTGAAGCCACAAAACTCCCAAAATACACACAGATTAAATTTCTAGATAAATTAAAGACACTGAAATTGTGAGAGTCATTGCTGTGGGTGGTACAAGTCTCGAATAGTAGTGTTTATTACTTCTTGTAGGTTGAAACTTGATCACAGCTTTATCATCAGGCCAAGGTTTAACTGCTGTTGTCCACTGATAGACTTGATTCTCTGCTTCTTACTTAGTTTGGCCGATCCGGTGCACTCGGCCTATAGCCTGGAGCTCGTGAGCAGGGTTGAGGATCGGCTCAACCAGCAACACGTGAGTCGCTTCAATGATGTTCAGACCGTTGGAGCCAGTGTGAAGAGGAAGGAGGAGGATGTTTATCTTTTCTTCATATTTGAAGGAGCAAAGATTCTCCTGGAAATTCATATAAACACGCAAAAAAAAACATTAGCCAACTTTACATGTTATTAAGTTTTAAAGGTTTAAAGAAAATTCAAACCTGGAATTTGTGAATCCCGTTGATTTGAGAGAACTCCATGTTGTTGTCGAATAGGGCCTTGGCAATGATGTCGAGGACACTCAGCCACTGTCCGGGGGAAGAAAAGGGAAAGAAGTGAGTCAGAATCAAACTGGGTAACATTAAAATAAATCTCACAGAGCGGGATGAGTTTGCAGTTACCGTGGAGAAGACCAGACACTTAGCCCCGGGGTCGGTCACTTGAATCTTCTTCAGTGTTCTCACCACAGCCTCCACTTTGGTAGAATGACTTCCCTGACAGACACAGGGGGAGTAAAATATATTATAGGGCATGAAAACAAAAAAAAACCCTCCATGGTCATAAATGACATTTTTTCTAACGATCCAGACATCAGCATCGACAGCTTTTACACCAAACAGAGCAAAACTGAATTATTCTAACACCCAGATCCAACAATTTCTCTCAAATTGGTGCAGCTGACTGACCTTCACAGGTATGTCTTGGTCCTGACTGGATGACTGCGTGGTGAACACGTAGGAGATCTCTGCATGTGAGGTGGTCTGTCTGCAGATGGCGCATTTGATGGCACGCCGCCTCGACCCGACGCTGTACTGCTCCACGATGATAGCGATGCACTCGTTGCAGAAGCAGTGGCCGCAAGTCAGCACTGCCCACTGGGAAATAAGAGACAGTGAGATTATAAGGTGATAGCTAAAGTGACTGATACGGGTTTTTCCAGGGCTGATACCAATGCAGATATTGAATTTTTTTGCCGTTTATAAAACCTAAAAATTTTATAATAACCAAAGCTCTTATTCCATGTACATTAACACTTTATATCCATGATTATTTGAGCCAGAAATATGGATCAGTGTGAATTCATTCGGGACATAAAAGAATAATAATTTAGAGTATAACATATTTATGCCAGAGGTAAAGTAAATGTCAATTATTCTCCTTCAAAAACTCGTTAATAGTTGTTGAATCAAGATAAGAAAGACGGTAAAATCTGATAAATAATAACCTGAGGCACAACCTCAGGATCATTATGGCTAAAAACCTATCTTACCTCCTGTCCCAGGGGCCGAGCACAGATCGGACATGGCTCTGGGTTCAGCCCTCCGGTAGACTTGTCCTGGGACTGGAATGAGGAAAGTCAAATTATTTTGAGTGCTATTAAATCCCACAGCTTGAGATGAAGTCTAAGAATAAGCTCTGAAACAGATTTATGCGCCGTGTATTCACTGTGCAATTATAATGACCTTCTCCAGGTTGGTGAGGTACAGATACTGTCCCAGCTTCTTTTGCAGTTGAGACTTGGCCACCGCCTGGTCATTCAGGAGCTTCACTCTATTCTGCCCCACCTGCAAGCAAAACAAGCCGAGGGGGTCAGAGGTCAGGAATGCCATAAAAATAGTTGGGGCAGAATATTAAAGCCGTGGAAACTGGTTCAGTCTGCAGCTTGCTCTTAACATTGTATTTATGATGCACCGAAACCAGCCAAACCTGAAAAATTTGGAAGAACACAAACCTGAGGGCAACTTTTCAGCTCATTTATTACATATATAACTTTAACAATAGGTTTGAAAAGGGAAATAGGAAGTGATCTCTAAGATTTTTGCTGATTTAACATCAACACATACAAAAATTATGGTCTTGAGGAGTTATTAGTTTTCTGCTTTCTGCCCGGCTTTCTACTTGTGGTTTATTTCCATGTTTACACTTGATAGTATGGGGTTATTTTCACTATTTAATAGTATTGAAATGTAGTGCTAACAATTAAACTTTTAAGTTAGATCATGTGGGAGAGTTTTTCTCCTTTGAGGTTGTTGGTGTGACATGGTATTATGCTGGGTGAAACATGATAAAGAGGAATTTCACAACAATACCTGTCTTATCGTCTGAAACTCACCTCATGTGGCTCGATGATGTGCAGAAGTTTGGGCTTTGGCTCATCAGGCAGACGAACCCGGAGCCTCTCTGTAGCCATACCCAGCTCATCAATGGCCGACACGTGATTCCTCAGCACCATCCAGTACTCATGCAGCACCTGAGCAGGTAAAAGGAAGGCTCTAGATTCAGTCAAACTCATTCACAGATTTCCAAAACTCTTTTGTTAAGTGCTGCCATGTTTGCTTGGAGAAGAAGACGGGTGGTGGTGAAAGGATGCACAAACCTTGTACTCTTTCTTCCAGTTCTCAAACAGCTCCATGAAAGTGTTGCCCTCCTCCACCAGCTCAGGGTCCATGCGTTTAGCTTTAGCGAAAGACAAGATGGCTTTCAGGGTGCGCTCGGTCTCGCTGGCGGCCCACAAACCTCTGCTGGTGGTGGGGAGACGGTCATCCACCAACCCCTCCTCATCTTCGATCATTTCCTCAAAGATGGCCGTCTGACCCTTCACCCTGTCGGGGAAACATCCTCATGAATCAGCGATTTCTTTTTCGGATATTTACTTGGCAGTTAAATGAAATGTTGGTCCACTCACGTGTGAGCAAACAGCTTGGACTCGTAGTCGGTGAAAAGTTCATCAGCTTTGCAAAAGACACAACTGCCAAAAATAACACAAGAGAAAAAATGCTTACAAAGATATAAACACCACAGCTTTGACAAAAAATTAATGTACTTTCCAAAAAAAGGAAAAAGCTGAAGTCTTACTTATTGAGTGGCAGTCTCATCGGCCTGAGGTGACAGATCGTGGCTTCATCGATCACTTTCTGTGAAGCCGGGCCTTCGAGGCTCTTCACCGCATCCTGAACTGTCTTCTGGGACTTCATCAGATCCTGCATTTGTGATGTGAGCAGGAACTGCAGACCACAGGCATCCCGAAACCTGCAAAAATACAGCGTTTCATTTTTTAAAGAACACTTTCCATAAAGATAAGATCCTTCCATGACTTCTAAAATAAATAACTGGAGTACTTGTCTGCCATGGAGAGCTTGTGCGCTTGTTGTTTGTAGCTGGATGTCAGCTCATTCTTCACACGGGACACCAGATCGTCATCGTTGGAGCTTCGAATTGCCTTCTGGATGACATCGAGCCACCAGGGAGAACCCAGCTTCACCTAAAGGAAAAGAAAAGAAGTTTGTTCTGATCAGAATTATTCTAAATTTTACCCATTTTGAAACATTAAACATCTTCTTGACAGGTGGTATATGAAGAAATCGAGTTCTTGGCTCAGTCTTAACCACATTATAATTCTGTATATATGTCAGTTTGCCTAGATACACCCACTGAGCAATAGACGACTATTAGATGTCTGTTTTTTTGGACTGAATTTCAACCGTCTAGACTGTCTATTTTTAGACAGAACTTAGAAGTTGCTTGGAGAGCAACTCACAGTTACTTCTTGAAATAAAAAGTTATCAGATAATGGGTCATTTGATAACCTCTGTTTGCCGGCTAGTCTAGACTTGGTCTAAAATTAGATGTCTAAAAAACTTTCATTTGTAGACCTGTGGTAGTCTGATTCTAGGCTACATTTACATGTCTATTAGACCTTATTTTAGACCAAAAAATGCTCAGTGGGCAGTCAAGAATGAACTTTAATCCAAAATCTGTGCAACTAAATAAATCAATTCATTCTTGGGACCAACTAGACCTTCATGTACCTTTAATCAGAATCAGTTTTATATAATGTTTGAGTTAAAGTGGTGTGGTAATAACAAATATTTGATATAAAAGTATGTTGTCGTGTCAGATGTGCTCTTGTTCACATTGAAGATTCGTTGTTTTAGAGTGAAAAAACAAGTATTTTAAGAGTATTTGGGCGACTTCTTGGTGAAAAAATGTAAAGAATGGTAAATGGAAAAAATTGTAAAAATGGACTCTCTCTCCAGGAAAGCTCAAAGACATGCTTGTCTAGTTAAAGGTGACTCTAAATTGGCTTTAGGCGTGAATGAGAGTGATTGTCTCAACATGTCAGCCCTGTGATAGACTATCGACCCGTTCTCTGCCTTTTTCTCAATGCCAATCCCCCTAAAACCCCCAGGAGTGAACGAGTATAGATAACAGATGGATGGATGTAATAGACTTCTTACTTTGCGTTTCAGCTCCTTTATGTTTTGCAGGACCGGCTGGAGCCCTTGGTGGGCGTCTGCTACCTCAGAGTCATATTTGGTCATGTAGTGTTGCCGTAGCTGCTCCGCCTGCAGAGACATGGACAATAAGAGATTTTCAACTCACAGAACTAACCTCAAAATTAACCATTAATAACTTTGTCTGAAATTATCAGGCAACCTCTTCACTTAGCCGGTCATCTCTCAGCGTAGGAGGGATCCCAGGATGCTTTGCGCTTAGCAGTTCCATCAAATTATGTGTCGCATGGAGCCTCTGTTGGACACAGTTGTGAAAAGACACAAGATAGAAACATGTTTTCAACAACTTTTCAAATTAAACTGCGGTTAGAAAACTGATACTTTCAAACAGAAGTCTGAATATCTGAAACGGTCTCTTCATATGTAAATCCCCATGATTAGGATGAGGCTGTTTACCTGTAAAGAGTCTGTTTTCAGTCGGCCTTTGTGCTCCTCTGATGAACGGAGCACTTCTCTGTACATCTCCGCTGCCTCCACGAACTCATCTGCAGGTGACAAAAGACAAAGTGGTCGTCGGTGACACTCAGCCTGTCTGTCACAAAACCGGTTAATGAAGCAAGCTATAGAAACGGCCGCAGCACATTCAGCCACGTTATACATATAGATCTGCTGAGACAAAACCTCCTGGTTTCAAAACGTGCTGACGGACACAAAGATGAGATCCCAGCTTGTGTCTTCTTTGAACTGATTCCCATGGGAAAGCGGGGGGCAGAGGGAGCACAAGCGCAGGAGTGGGGATTTGTACCTCTGATGATGTGGATTCCTGCCAGGCCGTTGAGTGCGCACACCAATTGTCTGTGAGCTTCTTCACACTCCACTCGACATTTCTTCTGCAGGGACTTCAGGAGCTCCTCCATGGTCATGGTGCTGAGAGGAGGGAAGCAGAGCAGACGAGCCCACTCAACAAATACTAATTAATCTGAAGGGGTCACTTTTAAATAAACATAAATAGACACGATTAACAAACAGCCACGAAAGCTGTGATACTCTCTTTAGTCTGGCGGGATTGTTAATTAACCTGTGCAGCTGCTTTCTGATAAAGACCCCTCTTCTGTGACGAGTGTCCCGAAAACACAAAACCAAGTGTCACTTACCTTTTCTGCAGGGGCAGGAACTCCCCCCTCACAGCCTGGGGATGGCAGCACGCCTGGCGTAGCCTCAGCAGTGGGCACAGGATGGTGTTGACGGTGCGGCGGTCGAGGCTGCCAAGCTTCAGGCTCCAGTCGGAGATCTTCCTGAGTTTGACCAGAGCGTCCTGAGAGCAGACCTCGTGCTGACGGTGGTAGAAGTGACCCTCGACGGGGGAGAAGTGCAGCCAGTGCACCTCCTCTGTCTGAGGAGGGATCTGAATCTGGAACACAAAGGAGAAGAGCTCATTAATCACACCTAGAAAACGTTACCTAGAAGCTCTCCATTTCAGGGAAAAGTTTGTTTCCTACCTGATCGATGACATCTTTTTTAGCTGATCTCCACAGTATCTGGGCAATCACATTATACAGTGGCTCTGTGTTTCCACGACGATACGGTCGATAAAGCAGCTGGTCCCACCAGTGTTTCACCCAGTAAGGGTCAACTCCCAGGAAAAGCACAAGACCGTACAGATCTGTAGAAAAAAAACATTCATTTAGGTGGATTTTTTTAACCTCTAAATGTGACATTTACATCAAGGAGACTCATTCAAAGCCTCCCTCACAGATACAGCGCCTAGTGTTACCTTCTAAGCCTCTCTGAACAGGAGTACCGCTGACACACCAGCGATTTACAGACGCAAGACGCAGAGCCATCTCTGCAGCCTGAAACAAAGGTAAACTGTGATCAAAATTAAGAGTTTTGAATCTACCATACATCCTTATATCACATTTATTACAGGCAGGGTCAAAGTGTCAAGTGGATTTCCCTCCCCTCACCTTAGCCGTGGGACACTCAACCATCTGAGCCTCATCCAGGCAGATTCTCCACCACTCCACAGCCACCAGAGGGCTGGGTATGGCCATGTAGCGCTTCTGGTTACGGAACCGGCGTCCGTCTTTGCTGTTACTGTGAGGGATGTCCACGTAGTTGAGTTCTGAGCGCAGGACGTCGTAGGTGGTGATGACCACATCCTGCTCGGCCAGCATGTGCGGCTGGATGAACCCGTGTTTCTTTACACCCTGATAAACCTGAGATAGGGAGCAGAGAGACGGTTTGACAACAATATAAAACAGTTTGATGGAGTGTGCTTTTTAGAAATATGAGACACAATATCTGTAAGATAGTTGAGGAGAAGATTGGACGTGTTTTATTAAGAGACAAAAGTCAGAAGCGGAAGGGAACATCTACAGGGAATATAGCACCAGTGAAACTGCCTGGGAGCTGAATTATCTGAGCTGTCTGAGAGTTGAAGCAGAAATTCTCAATTTTATCAACCTGCCATGATCATGTTAAACACCTCAAATGATAATCTTATGATCTTAAATGTGCGTCAGCCTCTATTAGGCAGAAAAGGTTGTTAAATACTAACAAATAAAAACCCTGAGATGAAACAACATCCTGGTGTGACGGTGATATTTCAAAATTTTACTCCTCGAGATAAAAGAAACATCAAACAATCATCCTCTAAATCCATCAGCTTACTCACCAGCACTCTCAGCGAGGAGGACCTGATGTGCCTGTTGATCTCCTCCACCCACTGGTGGCAGATGGAGCTCGGGGAGATGATGAGGGTGGCCCCGGTGGAGACGGGTTTCATGGCCACCAGGCAGTGCGGGCAGTAGAAAGGTGTCGTTTCCAGACTTTCTTCTTTGTAGTTGACACACTCCGCATGCTGCCACAGCTGGCAGTTCATACACTGAACCCGAGCCTTGTAGTCGATAATACCCAGCTCACCGCAGATGCACTCAAAGCGATAGTCTGGCGTGTTGAAAGGGAAAACAGACGCTCTGGTCGGGGTTTCACAGGTTTCTTCAAGCTGAGGACTTTCTTTACTTTCTTCAGGGAGATGATCCGTTCTCGGTGCGCCCTGTGTATCTGACTCGCTTTTATCCTCAGACATCTGGGAGGCTGGGGTGGACTTTTCCAGTGTGTCATCGGTCTGATCTATTTTCTCGCTCAGACTTTCATCCCATTCTTTCTTTGTTTCTTTTTCCCCTGATGCCAGACAGTCAGATGTAGGGGAGAGCAGATCTGTTTGATCCTCTGAAAGAGAACTTTGCAGCGCTGCCTCTGCTTTTTCTTTCGCTCGTCTCTGAAATGTTTTCCTGGGCGAGCTCTCTGAGGTTTTGGGACTCTAACAACAAAGAAATCGGAAAAAGTCAAACAAAACAACCCAAAAAGTAGCACTATATCTAAAAAAATGGAAAATTGATGCTCTTTATTCTTACAAACTTGGCTGCTGCTAATGTCTTCTTTGTTTCTTTGTAGTTTTTTCCCAGTTTGAACGACCCTGCCAAGCCTCGACCCTTCACCCGGGTAACCAGACCCTCATCTATCAGTTTCATCAGGGTCTTCTTGATGTGGTTGCGGTTCTTCAAGAGGTCATAACCATAGGTGGCTCGGATGTAGGTGAAGATGGCGTTGACGGAGGCGCCTTTTCCTGATCTCATCTCCTTGATGGCAGTGAGGAGCATGACACGAACAGCTGCACGAAACATAATGCAGCAGAATTAAAACCAAACTGCAGCCTCAGTAAAAACTGTTATTTCTGAGTAGATCACGGGTGACGTACTCGGGTAGGAGATCTTTATTTTAGGCTGAGGGTCCGACTTGCGCCGATTGACTTGATTCCTCTCAAGAGGAGGAGGAGGTATAAAATAATTGACAGATTTACCCTGTTGGAACAAGAGAGGAAAATGTGTTTTTATCTGTGACAAAGAGGAGACTACAACAATAATAGAGGAGAAGGTTTAGGAGATGTTCTTCATTCCAGCTGTAGATGCGGAGTAACGCTCACCACAGGCAGAGTGAGGGCCTCCTGCTCCACGTCCTGACGGGTGTGAAACAGAATGAGAGCCAGAACTTCCACAGTCTTGCCTAGACCCATTTCATCCGCCAAAATCCCACCAGGCCACTCAACACCCGCCAGAGGAAATTCTCGGATTAAGCTGCAAAAAATAGAAACAAACAAACAAAAGCATTAAAACTAAAAATAAGCGAATAAAGAAACCTCACCAGGGACAATGTAATTAAAAGGAAGTGAACTTTTGTGGTGAGCTTTCAGGTTGTGCAGATTTTGGCACCTCTAACCTGGACGATTTACCGCTCTGGTGGTCTTGTTCTGTTTATGTCTAAACAGCCAGTATTTTCCAACAAAAACTGATAATTCTTTACTTTCAATTTCTAATGTACAACCTACTCTACATGCAGACAGAGTCAGTATCAAACAGATATTTTAAAAAAAGGACTAACAGGTGTTAAAAACTGTTAAAAAATAATAAACTAATCAAGTCTCTGATGGTCTTTTAAAGATGTAAAGAGGCATGAGTATTCATTTCATCTCTTTCATGGCCTTTTCAATAACAGCATTAATGGTAAATAAACAAAAGTACTTTTATTAAGTTAATCTGATTGTTAAACATTAAGGATTTCTATCTTACCAGCCAGTAAAAGGGTTGTAGAACAACTTCTTTCCACACAAAGTGATCAACTCTCGCCAGAGGAAATGCATTGTTTGTTCTGCAAAGAGAGAGTAAATATTATCAAGATCAATAACAACAACATGAACCCTTAAATTTAAGTGTGACAGCTCTGTTGCTCACACTCTTTCTGCTTCAAGGAAAAGTTCCTGAATTTCAGCGCAAGAGAATCTTCAAAATTCCCTTTTTTTTAAGTTTCCTAGACTGGAACTATAAACTAAGACCATCAGTCAGTCCTTCTGCAAATCAAATCAGCAACACACAGTTTGAAAAGTCAAGACGCCAGTACCTTTAGGTGTAGAGTTTCTGAATTTCTCTCTCTGCAGCATCCAGTTGACGGCCTGGCTCTGATACAGTCTGAGGATAGGAATAAGAGCTTTGTGCTGGACGTCATAGGTCACCTCGCTGCTCTCTCTCTGGTGGAGATGTCTGACAAAGTCGTAAAGCTCTTCAACGTTTTGTCTCTCCAGGTCGGTGTCGCATTCCTCCTCATCATTCTCCACAACCTCTGCGTGGGAATACATCAGAGAGGAGGAAGTTAAATAAATGATTATTGTAATTATCAGCTGTTGTTTTCCCCTGAATATGATGGTCTCACTGTCAGGGTAGCTAACAGAAACTTACCAGGAATGATAAAATCGTAAAAATACTCCATTAGCCTCTGCATTAGCTGATTCGCTTTCTTCAGCCGTGCATTTCCCTCACTGAGGAACTCTGGCTTCCCGAGCCCAGTCTCCAGCAGGTAAATTCCTACCTGCAACATGCACACGAAAACAACTAATTGATTTTTTTATTTTATATTTATTTTATTTTTTACTGTGGGACTAGATTTTTGCAAATGTTCTTAAAAGCATACAAAAGGCTGCACAGTCACACTGAAGACAACTTCCTGTTTACATGTAAACCTGAAACATCTTCATACCTTCACAGATCCTTCTTTCCTCTGGTGGCAGAGCTGCACCACCCTCCTCTTCTGCATCCAGTCGAGGTCCTCCAGGGGGATCACACTGAGGCTGCACTCCGCTGTACAAGAGTCCTCATCAGGCCTCCACTGCAGCCCTGAACTCTCATCACTGCTGCTGTAACTCAGACACAGCTGCTCGCCCATCCTGTGCAGAACGAACGCTCTCTGTTCACAGTCCGAGGGGCTCCAAGCCGGCTGGATGCTGAACTCTCCGATAAGCGCCTTCCAGATGTGGCCGGGCTTCACAGCTGGCTCCACGGTAAGGGACAGAGAGGTGGTGGTGGAAGTGCTGTCTGAAGATGGACCTGGTAGTTCCTCTGTAAACCTGACAGTGCTGGTGGAGGCAACCTCTGGGACGTCCTCTGTATTTGAGAAAAAAGAACTGCTGGGGGTCGGCTCGGCTGGAATAATTGAGCAGCTTGGTGTCAGGTCTTCTTCCTGGACCGCCTCATTCTTACGGTCATCCAGCATGTTCCAGTTCAGCTTCTTCTTGGCATCTTCGTCCACCCTCACAGGAGGGGCACGCTTCCTCCGGCTACTCATGGTCAGACTGTAGACAGGGGAAAAGAAAGAGTTAGTTTATTAAGTTATACATTGTTATTAAAACATCAGTACACAAGCAATTACAGTGAATAACTATATTTTTAATGTGTTGTTGAGTTTTTGAGCTTTTACTATTTCCAAGCAACAGGGGGTGGCTCAACTTAACCCACTCTCCCCTGCATATTTTTCATATGCAGTTGCAATTTCCATAAGAATTTTCTGTTATTATGCTTTCTTTAAAGTATTTGATATGACTTTGGGTGTTGGATTATGACTGACTGTTGGCTTCTCTAGGACCTCTCTGGGTCTCAGTAGATCTGGCACCTGTCAACCCTCATTTGCCTGATTCTATAACAGCAGCCCCTTCAGACCGGGTCTTATCCTGTCTGAAGACCATCCCATGTATTTCATAAACTGGTAACACCTCTGCTCAGGACTCCAGAGTCATGTGTTATCCTGTCCCATAAACCTGAGTGAGGTTTTCACAGTTCACATCAGTCCCTGTTCTAAGCTGAATCCTCATAATATAGATCGACCGAGGCTTTTATTATTAAATTACAAGCTCCTTTCGTTTGAGGTTCGATAAAGTTTTGGTCCAGTGAAACAGGTATCAGAGCTCCTCTGTTATGAACACTGTTACACAATGAAAACACTTCCAGACTCTGTGTGTGTCTCTGCGGCTACATGTTTTTATCGTTTTACCGTCAATAAGCGTCCTAAAGAGCAAAAACACAGTGCACCTACCGAACTGGTTTCTATCGCTGCAGAATTCGGTTCATATTCCAGCAGGTTCGCATAATAAACACCAAAACACACTTCATTTACCGACTCCAATGCTGCTGTCCGCCATTTTTAAATACCGGAAGTGACGCCAAACGGGAGGACCGCCCCAACTTTCGCTTTAAAGTTATGAAATTAGTTTTATTATCCTTAAAACATAAACATTTCTAAGTTTGAAGATATAGTAGGTGTTTGGCGAATTTTGAAAATAGACTGTCAGTTTTACTTTGACTAGAGTAAAATGTTATTAAAATAACAGTTATTTTCAGGAACAGTCCCCTGAATATCAGCACTTGTTTTGCCATTTCCCCAATCATTTTGATATTTTATTTCCAAATTAATGTTTAAATGAAATATTTTTAATAAGCTTAGAGTTTTTTGGTCGTTTAAGCTGATAATAATGCGTTTTATAATGGTTTTCGAGATTGTTGTCGGATTAAGTTGTTTTACGAACGGATACGCAGTACCTTCTATTGGCCACAAGATGGCAGCAGAGGTCATTTTACCTCAGGCTGCAGCGGTGAATTTCAAGTGCATCACATCTGTCACCGACAGGCACGACGAAGCAGGACTGTTCTGTGAAGTTTGACCGTTTCTTCTGTAGTTTTCATGACGGACATAAACAACCTTTATCTTATCACAGCTACGCTCAAGTAATATTTGCATTTCTGGTAATTGTCTTCACTCAGTTGTCCCCATTCCCCCTCAGTTTCACTTGTATATTCTCCCTAATGATGTCTTTTTATCAATGTTTCATTGCCCAGTACATGCTTCTGACTTGTAAGAGCTGTGTCTCCAAATCAGGGACACTGCAGTGATTGTGACCCGCTTTTAGGATGCAGTGAGGAAGAGGAGAAGAAGGGGGCACCTCATGATCAGTGCAGAGAGACAGGAAAAGAGAGAGAGCGAGAAAGGGAGAGAGAGAGAAAGGGAGAGAGTCAGTCCCACAGTATTTTCTCAGCTGAAGACACTACAGTCTGGTTGCTTCAGAGGAGACACAGACTCGACATGTCCCGAGCTGCCTGCTGCAGGTAGGTGAAGAAACACCAGTAAATAGACGCATGCTTTGCAGACACAGACTCCCTTATTAACACGGGAGCGTTTTCCCAACATGCTCGAATATTCCGTCTGCTCCGTTAATTAAAGCTTCACCCTTTAATTGGTCTGCATGGGCATGTAGGTGACGATGTAGGGGATCTGTCCTGTGAATGACACCAGCTGCTGTAGAGCTACAGAGACAGCTGTCTGGGGGTTAAAACAGGATTCAAACTGAGCACGTCCTAGTCTGTTTATGTGATGCCTTCAGGGGTAAAAGTTGAAGAAACAGTAGCAGGTTGAAATGAATCAGCTGCATGAAGGGAAAATATCATCTATGAAATGCTCAGCTGAAGTAGAGGCAGCTGTCCCTGGTGCTGAAACTCAAAAGATTAGGGTGTTATGAAAATCTCCTTCATTCTCTTGGATATGATATAATTTTTTTATGGTTTCAAAAGCAGGTTTAGTGCAACAGGACTCCAGTGAATATGACATTTTTCATGATTTTGATGACAGTTGCTGCAGTCCTTTGCATGATTTGTGAATGAAGATGAAGTGATAAGATCTTTCTACATTTTCAGAGTTGTAATCCAAGTTGGGTTCCAGATATGTCAAGCCAATATTTCTTTCTAATACTAGCTGCCTGCTGATTTTATTAATTTCACTGCAAGGAAATGTCAGTGAATTGTGGAAAAATGGCTGTAACAATTTCCCAGAGTTAAATTTAACGTAATTCAATGACTTTTTCTTCAAATCAGCATCTTTAAGCTCAAAGATGTTTGGTTTTATAATCAGAAGAACATAAAATGCATCAATTTTAAGGTATTAAAAGCTAAAACCAGAAGAATTTTAACATTTCTGTTTCAAAATGGACTTCAGTTAGTCATAAATCATTCAAATAACTTCTCTTTGTGTCATAAAGAAAAGCTCTAGTGTTGTTGTCAGGATTTAAATCTTCATTTGTCCTTTACAGGGTCACAGCTTTGAGCAGACGCTGCTGAGTTAACAACCATTTCATCCCCAAAGTGGATTGATGGACCTCTGTTATGGCCAAGAAGACATGATTCTTCATCCAGCACCTGTGGCACAATGTCCAATATGATCACCCTGACTGCCATCAGCCTTTTGTACTTGCCTGTTTTGCTCTTTGAGGCGTTTGTGTTATCTAAAGGAAAGTATGAGAGGTCAGCCGTGCCCAGTTCTGCGTCTCGCCTGGTGGCCAGGATGGACGGGGATATCATAATCGGAGCCCTGTTCTCTGTCCATCATCAGCCATCGGCTGAAAAGGTAGCAGAGAGGAAATGCGGGGAAGTCCGAGAGCAGTACGGCATCCAGCGAGTGGAGGCCATGTTCCACACTTTGGACCGGATTAACTCTGACCCCAACCTGTTACCCAACATCACTTTGGGCTGTGAGATCAGGGACTCGTGCTGGCACTCATCTGTAGCTCTAGAGCAGAGTATCGAGTTCATACGAGACTCACTCATTTCAATCCGGGAAGACAGGGACGGATCCAGGTGGTGCATCGAGGGGGCTCCATCCAGTCAGCCGCCGCCCACCAAGAAGCCCATCGTTGGGGTCATTGGACCCGGGTCGAGCTCGGTCGCGATTCAAGTTCAGAATCTCCTGCAGCTGTTCAACATCCCGCAGATCGCCTATTCCGCTACCAGCATCGACCTCAGTGACAAGACACTGTTTAAGTACTTTCTCCGGGTAGTGCCGTCAGACACTCTTCAGGCTCGGGCTCTTCTGGACATCGTGAAACGGTACAACTGGACCTATGTGTCTGCAGTGCACACAGAGGGTAAGACACACGTACTGAAGGCTTTAAAAAAGGAGAGAAAGAGATATCTGTGCTGCTGCCTTTACTTTTATGGTGGGACAGCTTCTTGTGGATTTACTAGAGAGAGTGAGAGCAAACACACTAAGCAATCGCTCTGCAGAAGAGGTCTGGAATGAGTTTACTTTAAACCAAATCAGATTCAAATTCAGACAGAGAATTAGTGATGAGGTGGACAGATCTACCTTTTCTTTAGTCTTGTTTATGATCTACTTTTATATGCCATATATTTGTCTCAACTTTTCACTTGTTCTTAGTCGGATTTGAACCCACAACCATTTCACTCAAGGGCAGCAGTCATGTCCATCACACTAGAGGCTTTGGAGGTGTTTTTATTTCAGCATTTTACTTTTAAACATCTAGTCTGGATTTGAACCCAGAACTCTTTTACTTTGAAGAAGCTAGGGTAACTTCATCAATATGCTACTGTTAAATTCAAGGTTTTTATGGTTTCCTGTCCTTTTTTTCTTCCACCTTTTTGCTGCATGAAAGGTTACCATTTCAGAGGTTCCTCTACTTTCTCGTTCATTAAAATGTCTTTTCCCAACTCCAAGATGACACACCTTAGTCTAGATTTTAGCCCAGACCTCTTTGATCATAAGGCAGTCATCTTACCAACTTCACCACTGAGTTTTGGTGCAGATTTCAACCTAGCACCACTATTAGCAGAGGCAGCAAGTTTAGCCACCTCACAATGGGCCTTTCTGAGAGAGTCTGCCTTTTTGGGTCAATATAAATTTCACTATTTTGTTGCTCAGCCTGTTAAAAAGTCCTTACAAAGGCTTTAAGTCTTATTCTTTTAACATCTCATTTTACATCATCTCAAAAAACTCATTTCAGACAACTTCATTTCATCTCTGTGTAAGTGGAAACCCCTTTGCGAAGGTGCTGCTATGGAGAATTTGAAGGTTTATCTTCGAAAAGGATGCTGGTTACATGCAGGAGAAAATATGTACGGAGACTAGATGAACTGCTTTGTCCACAGGGGGCGCCAAAACTGACTCAGAATAGGAGCTTTAATGAACCTAAACAACATAAACAGATGTTTGACACATTTCCAAAGCAGGTAAAAGCGTATTCTATGATATATAGCCTACTGTTTATATACTCTGATAACGGCACATCTATTGGAATCCAGTGTGGATTTTTAAAGAGGAAAAAATCCAATCACACTGCAGTGTTTCAGACTGAACCACGTAACTTTTCCATCATTTTGGGACTGTCACCGATGATGTAACATATAAATGCTTCCTTTGTCCTCAGAAACAGCAGCTAAGGTCACTCTAACCCCGTGTGCTCTGCTTGTTTCGCTCCTGATTCTATAAAAAGAAATCTTGGGACATTAAGGGGCTCTTAAATGCTGAAGGGAGAGCAGTTTGTTCTCTCCAAACCATCCCCAAAATCATTTTAGAGAGACAGAAGTACAATTAATCTCAAGTGCAGAATACAGAATGAAGCTGGAGTGAATCCAAACCCATTGATTCTCTCTATCCCTTCTGTGAATGGCCCTCCCTTAACAGCTGCTCTTTTTTTCCCCTCAGGTAACTACGGTGAGAGCGGGATGGAGGTGTTCAAAGAGCTCGCCTCTCAGGACGGCCTCTGCATCGCCCACTCTGACAAGATCTACAGCAACGCAGGAGAGAAGCACTTTGACAGGCTGCTGAGGAAGCTGCGCGAGCGTCTGCCTAAAGCTCGAGTCGTTGTTTGTTTCTGTGAGGGGATGACGGTGCGAGGGCTGCTCATGGCCATGAGACGGCTCGGAGTTGCGGAAGAGTTCCTCCTAATTGGCAGGTTTGTTACGGATTGTTTCCCCAGGAGATCTTTGGTTTGGTCTGTCAAGGTTTTTTTTTCTTCTTTGTGGGATGAAAAGCAGACAAGTTTTCTAACAACAGTGATGAAACGAACCTTTTCTCCATTTTAGCGCTCACTGCTGCTTTGGACGAAAACATGAAACACTGTCAGAACATGAGCAATCAGGTTTACTAGAGTTGAAACTAGAAACAGAAAAGAAGTCTAATTACCAGACTCTTCATGACCAAATTTTGTCTTATTTTTGTCAACTTTCTTGACACTCAAGGAGAGAGAGGGACTTTAATTTTCATTTTTGCTTTTATTGGCCATAAAGTTTTACTTGGGAAGTCTTTAAAAAGTTAGACAACTCGACAACTGGCAACTGAAATGACACGAAAGAAAGAAAATCACAAAGCTTCAATGACTTTTTCTGGAACAAGCTACATTTTTTATTCAATAAACAAACAAAAATAACCCCAAAATCTGGATTGGGGCTCCAAAGGCATTATTCTCATAGAGAGCAGTGAGGTCTGTAGAGTCCTGACCCGGCTAATGCCCCACTTTCCAAACTCTAAAACTTTTTTTCCTTCTTCAGCAATCTTTGGCTAATTTTAAACCAATTTGGACCCTTTCGCTGCTTCTGATGTACCAATTATTCAGCTATCATTTTTGTTCCCACTATCCCAGTTTTTCTCGCCTAATGACAGGTCCTTCTCTCCAAATGACTAACTAATAGCTGTGTCTCCCTGGCCCGAAGACTGGTCCTGTGTGGACTAAGATGAAGCGGATCTGCTTCAGTCTTTGGTTCTTGGGGTTTTGTTGTAAATTCACATGGTTAGGGTCAGGGTTAGGGTTAGGATCAGGGTTAGGGTTACAATTGGGGTTAGGGTTAGGGTTATGGTTGGGGTTAGGGTTAGGGTTAGTGTTTGGGTTGAGGTAGGGTTATGGTTGGGGTTAGGGTTATGGTTGGGGTAAGGGTTAGTGTTATGGTAAGGGTTAGGTTTATGGTTGGGGTTTGGGTTAGGGTAAGGGTGAGGGTTAGGGTTGGGATTAGGGTTAGGGTTAGGGTTTTGGTTTGGGTTAGGGTTAGTGTTTGGGTTGAGGTAGGGTTAAGGTTGGGGTTAGGGTTAGGGTTGGAGTAAGGGTTAGGGTTATGGTTAGGGTTAGGGTTTTGGGTTAGGGTAAGGGTGAGGGTTAGTGTTGGGGTTACGTTTGGGGTTAGGGTTACAGTTGGGATTAGGGTTAGGGTAAGGGTTAAGGTTATGGAGGGTTAGGGTTACCGTAGGGGTTAGGGTTAGGGCCTGGGTTAGGTTAAGGGTTAGGGTTAGTGCTAGGGTTGAGGTAGGGTTATAGTTTGGGTTAGGGTTAGGGTTAGTGTTATGGTTGGGGTTATGGTAAGGGTTAGGGTTTGGGTTAGGGTTAGGGTCTTGGTTACGGTTGGGGTTAGGGAAAGTTACGGTTAGGGTTATTGTTCAGGTTGTGTTAAGCCTGTCACTTACTAGAAGATTTCTATGATCCTCCAGTTGTGGATGATGAAAATATTGAAAGCCCCAAACATCACATAACATTAAACATCATAACATTACGTAGAATAATGAAAGGAATTTGTAGTTTGGTTCTTAAAGCTCCTGTGAGTAGTAGCAAGATCCACTTCTTTCATTTTAACTTCAGGGTTTTTGTCTTTATTCAAGATGAATGTAGTCAGAAGGAGGAGCCACAAGTGGGAATCAAACCCCCCTTTTAAGCGTAACCTCTGTATATAGAGCACACATTTAGACTGCTAGACTAGCGACATCTTGAGATAAGAAAATCTTAAAACCATCAGCAAATCAGGCGTCAAAAAGTTTTGGCTTTGCTGAAGAGCAGCCCATCTTTGTACACCCTTGCTGGATTTTAAACCCCCACAATAATTCATGGATTAAATGAGAAGGAAGAGAGTAAATTTTATTGTGTCTTGCAAAATTACACCACAATTCTGTTTGTAAAATGGTGGTATAATAAGATGTAAAATTCAGCCACAACTAGGATATGTGCGTTAAATAAAAAGTTCATATTGAACAGAAATCTTTTTTCTCCTTCTGGGAGGAAAAGAAGCTCTGAAAGCAGAAGCGGCTTTGAGTCAGGCTCAGTAATGAATAATGCATCCTCGCAGCGAGCTCTCCCTCTCTCACTGTCAGATCACAGGCAGGACGAGCTAATATGGGACAGCACCTCCAGCATAAGCCGAGGAGCGTGGAGTAGCTAAACATCAAAGCTGGTATCAACACTTGAAGCAGACGTTCCCTCTTTGCAGTGCAGTTCCAGCTCACCTCCAGTCCTGTTAGCAGCACCTGAAACGGGGCTGCCATTAAAGGCGACCACGGTTCATTTACACAGTGCGCTTCATTAATGCGAGGCCGTTTTATTCACAAAGGATGATGAGAAGAAGTCAAATCCATCTTCTCTGCCGGCATGATGAAAAGCAGGCATGAAAAAGCCTAAACTTCTGCTCACCCTTTTCACTTGAATTTGCTCTGCTGCTGAAGTCTCCACGGAAGACAAAGAGGGCAACTTTGGTTGAGTGTGTGTGTGTATATGTGTGTGTGAGCGTGTGTGTTTTCTGGGTCAAGGAGAACACTGAAAAAGGAAAATGTTTTTAGAGCAATGCAGTAAGTGAACACATGCAGGCCTGAGTAACGGGCCAACCGAGGCGCCCAAGGTGCTGGTCATCAGCCATCTATCTCTCCCTTCCTCTTCTTCTCCTATATGTGAGCAAAGATCTTGTCCTGTTTTCCCTATCACTCGAATCTCGATTTCTCCGCTTCTTTAACAGAATTTTTCACTCGTTTTTCTTTCACCTACATTAAGCACTTCCTGGTTTTGCTCATTTTTGAAGTCTGTACAGTGCATGTGTTGTGAGTTGACGTCAGAGCTGTTGGTTTCTGGCACTCACAGTCTTGGACTGGGGGGAGTGTGATGCTGTGAAGCAGATGGTCAGGTACTGTTGATACTGTCACACTGGACATTCATTGTCAGCTCATTCTTGGAAGTGCCAGCCAAGCCAAACGTGCTATTATTGGCTTCTGCTTCGCCAAATGTGGGCTTTTTATTTTTGAAGGCTGGTATTGGGTGATATTTTTGTGCTGCATTTTTGTGGAACCTTCAGTAAACGTCTGAAAATGATTCCAACACAAAGATTTGTTTTGTTGCCCCAGTTTTTGGTTTCGTCTCTGCGGGGCGAAAAAAAAAAAAAGCTTGTAAATCAGCATTTGAACTGCTTCAGTGTGACACCAAAAGAAACTGTTTTAGAGAATCTGTGCAGTTTGTTAATGTCAAAACAGAAAAACAAAACTTGTCAAGTTTATTGAAACTTTAGTGAGGAGTTTTTAACCAGCTATGACAACGATATAAAAATGCAAAAGGCGTCAAATGACCTAAAAAAAACCTAACAAACCAGACCCTTATTGAGAAGACTGAATGTGTCCTTATTTGGGATTGACTGATGCTGAATTTTCAAGGCCTAGACTGATGCCGATTATTGGTATCAGTCTAGGTCTTGAAAATACGGTAAATTTTTGCAACTGATAATCACTGATATTTGGAACCGATATGACAACTCCAAATTAAAAACTTTGCTTAAATGCCTTTTGCAAGTGTTTAACCAACATCATCTACAAAACTATTTGATTGACGTCTAGCCAATCAAATAGGGATGTGGGCGGGGCATCACATGAGACAAAGTGGTGCAAGAAAAGGGGGTTCCACACCAGCAGCAGAACAAAAGTGGCATACTTCTTAATCAGTCAGCCATCTTCAAATAAAAGGCCCATACAGACAATCAACAAAATGCCAAATATCGGCTTCCAATAATCAGCCAAGACAGGGTCTTTATGTTTAATTTAGACAGGTGTCAGACAGGTAGATTTACTTTGATCAATCTTTGTTCACACACTAATGTTAGCACAGAGAGAAAAAGGATAGGAAAACCTTTTATATGTCAGGGAACTCAACTTTCACATGTACAGGACAGGATGAGAATAAAGATCAAGGGTAATGGCCAGCAGGGGGGCGACTACACTCCTTGAACACGGTCTCCCCAAGGCCCTTTTAGTGGTCGATTATAACTTGGAGGTAATGCCATTGGAGGCCATGGATAAACATGGATAAAAAGTCCAGAAATGTATTACTTATTTACGACTATCTCAAGATTTTGATGTCTGTAAAGATGTTCCAGTCCAAATCAAACATGCAGAAGGACATTCAGAGATGTTACTAGAGTAATAAAACACACTATCTAGTCACGCCGTAGTCCTTTAGAAGCAATAATATGTCTTTATAACCCTCCAAAGTTATTGCCCTTTTTATTTGTAGTGATATATCTTGTTCTTACTGAGGCCATGATCGTGCTTCTCCTCTATGTATCACTCACGCAGCTTCACGTACAGTATATGCATCACAAATTCGATCCCACTCTGCCTGATGCTCTTCAGCTGCTTTGCAACTCAAATGAAGCTTTTTATTGAGCATGATTCAAATGCCAAGTGTCAACAAAAGCTTTTGTTTGCTCTTTTGTGAGATTTAAAATGCAAAAATTGACATTTAAACAGTTGAGCATTTAAACTATGAATACAAACAATAACTGGTGAGGAAACAAAATCACACGTACACAGAAAGAGTCTGTGAGGAGGCTGGGAGCTGTACTGTAACAGAGCTAATCCGTGAATTCGCACCAGACTTGTGATTGAGTCTGTGGAGACTTTTTTTTTTTTTTCTTCTTTCTTGCAGCAAGTGTTTGTGCGTATCCACGGTCGTGAGCGGGTAGGCTGAAAGAGGAACAAAGTCAGGGCAACAAAAGGGAGAATTTTCTGCAGGATTTAGTCTGACGCTTGTTAGTGAGGCGGCTTCAAAATGTGACGGACTTCTACAGCTTGAGCAGCACAGTGAAAGAGCAAACTTCCTTCAGCCGGATACAGACTAATGATGGTTGAACCCTTTTTAAAGTTAGCTAACAACAGAAAAATATCGTGTAGACTGGGTGGAAATTTCTGTACACATAAATCCTGACAATTGTGTCATTCTTTGCTTGTTTTCATAGTTTTTTTAAAACATATTCAGAACCCATCATCTCCAAATATCTCTTCCACAACCAGTCTAAAATTCCTGAAGCTGAATAAATTTCTTCCCAAGCTGGATTAAAGCTCAAGGAAATAAAGCTGAGATTTAAGTGACACATTGTACTGACACGTCGGGGTGAATACTGCTGTCCTGTGACTAATGCTGAACCTTAAATTCACCTGTCTCTGTGAGGGCAAAACTTTAAAATGTCTTTACTAATGCAGCAAACGGATTGACCTATGAGCGGCACACTCTTGTTTTATCTTTGGTGTTTATGTTGCTTTCCTCCCTGCAGTGACGGCTGGGCAGACCGGGTCGAGGTGGTGGAGGGTTACGAGCAGGAGGCAGTGGGTGGCATCACTGTGAAGCTGCAGTCTGAAGAAGTCTCCTCCTTCGACGACTACTTCCTGAAACTCAGACTCAGCACCAACACCCGCAACCCCTGGTTCCCCGAGTTCTGGCAGTACCGCTTTCAGTGCCGCCTTCCCGGACACCCGCAGGAGAACATGAATTATGCACGAAACTGCTCAGGTAGCTAAACTATCTGTCAGCCAGTTATGATGTTTCCTGCAGTTTTTCTTGTTTATAGATTCACGCCGGTGTGAGCATCAGCTTGTCTTTTTGAAGTGTTGTGATGTGTTCAACGCCTGAGGGATGGAGCCAAATGGGCCTCCTAGACCAGAACATGCTCTTTAATTATGAAACAGACTACCAAAGGGTAGAGATCTCCTAGTCGGTCCAATGACGTTTTGTTTTTCATATTTATTTTTGTGACACTTGGCTTTGCAGAAGATGATGATCTAGGTAAATGACATCCTTTTCTTTTGCAAAGGAACAACCTGAATGCATCGCCTTAAGATCATGGTTCCTGAAACAGTGCTCAACAAGCACGTTTCCGAAAACATACTTTTATGTTCTGCTTATTTTAAACATAGACTTACAAAATATACATATCCACAGATTATATATTTACGTTTTCAACAACATCGATTAGGTTCATCTGATAATTAAATCTTGAAAATGATCAATTCTGTAAGTGAATCTTGTGATAAACGTAAATATAAAATAATGCATGCAGTATAGGACATTTTTAATTTATTAGGGTTGCGTGAATTCTTTTTTTTTTTACTTTTATACAGATTCTTAAAAAAAATAATTTTCCCATTAAACAAACAAAAAAAAAAAAATGAGGCACTTTGCATGTAACCACTTTCAGTTTTTAAAACTCCTTATTTATTTGTTAAGTTCGCACATTAGCCACTAAAATATTCATATTTAACCAAGCTTGTGTTTCAATATTTTCACAGAGTTTTTATTTTGCCTCCTACGATAAGTAAATATGCAGTTATTCTTTGCTGTCCTGTTACTTCTGTTGTTTTTATTTCATTATTCATATTTATTTTTTGGTGTAGAACTCCAAGATGGTGAGTGAATCCCTCTGACTGGAACAGTAATCCCCTTATTTTAGCATCATTTATGATATACATAGAGGTTAACTGATATTAAAGTTTCATCGCGTAACTTTGCAAAAGTATTTTTAATGTCAGTTAATCTCTAATATATGAAGCTATTGGGATGTTTTTTGTTGTTTTTTGTTACTACACACCATCTGAGAGCCCAACAATTGATTCTGCTCTGCTCTCACTGTGACCCTCACCCTTTTCACAGCCGTATAAAACAACCCAATAACACTGAGTGAAATGGTAACCAGCTGGTCCAGCTTTAACTGCATGTAGCCGCAGATAAAATGAAGCCAGATAAACATGGCGGCCATTATCTGATGTCTCACTCAGGGCGGTCAAAGCTCAATTGCTGTTTTAATGTAGTTCTGATATTTTCCAGGTTGTAAATCGTATGGAGACTCCTTTTGAGAAATGTATTTATCTAGATACCCTGAATTAAGGTCACTTACTACATGGAAAAAAGCAGCATGACTTTACATCAGCATTTGAGCTTCCCAGCCCAAGCATGACGAAATACAAAAAAGAAATGGCCGCTGTGGGAATATGGTCATGTGTATTTCCAGAACCAGTGAATTAGAGTTTCATTTGAAGGGAGACAGTTAGCCAGTCTTATAGCCTAATCCCAGAGTCGCCCCTCTGCCTGCACGCTGTCAGCCTGACATCATTTCATCGAGGCTGAGGCTCACACAGCTCAGTGAGGGAGACGGGTGTCAAAGCCAAGGCGCTGTTAAACTAGGTCATCACCAGCAGTTCCCATCGGATGTTCACCCAGCTGTTACAGGATTCGGTGTTGATGTGTTTGTTTGAATAGACTCTTCTTTCTTAACTCTAATAACACCAGCGAGGGATGATGATCGTCATCCAGCTTACCTGACAGTCTCATGGAGTTCAATATCAGGGGCTGCTGAATTATGTTACACATTTTAGGAAAAATGGCATGTGCTGTAACTGATAGGGTTAATGATGAATTATGTTGCACACTGTAAATATATCCGTAAAGCTGGCACATCAAGTCTTCAACAGGGACATGGAGTTAAAAACCTCAGTTGTAATCCTCCTAAATTTTCTTACTGAGTTAAAACCAACTTCATAAAATTGACATCAGACATTTAATTAAAAAAAAAAGAAAAAAAGAAAAAATAGGCCAAGTTTTGAGATTTTATTTTATTCTACAATTAAAGAGGATCATACTTTTGCAGCACAAATATGTCTAGTTTGACCAAACCTGATTTTCTTGTTAATAGAATTTTTTCATGATATATCCGTATTTTTTTAAGGAGTTTTCTGATGTTTCTGACACAGACTAAAATTCATATTGATGCCTTTTATGGTCTACAAAAAGCAAAACCCCATCAGGGACAAGACTGACAGTTTTTATACTGTAATTTTTAATGCCTCAAATAGGTGCAAAGGGGTAGGTGTTGACACTGTCCAAGCATGTGAAGGACAATATGAACGAAGACTGATGTGTTTGCATAAACCAAAAGTTTCTCAAAAGTTATAACTTACTAACAGGAGTCCCAAATATACATTGTCATGCTGCAAAGCAAAAATACCTTCAAGGAGAAAAACCCAGTTATATTTTGGCGAGCCGTATAACTCCCCATTAAGAAGAACATTATCAGCTGCTACATCACTCTACACTTGCTTTCCATAAAATATGAATCAATCCTTTTGGAACGGATTCAGGGGAGACATCAGGGTGAAGCAAAGAGGATATCACTTAATTTTTAGTCTTGTTGGCGTCTACCGACCACCTACGATAAAACTTAAAAGTGCTCATCAAACTTGATTTGTGTTAGCTCGTCAAATTTTAATGATTGAAGAGTCCTTCAGTTTAAAACACTTGGGAAAAAAGTTGTCTTCACTGTCATAAAAAGATGCTTTTCTTGAAAGTTAGGTGTCCTTTGACAAAAGTTGTTCTTACACTCTATGTATCAGGATATAAAATGCCTTAAAACCTGATATAATCTAACTGAAGGTTAGAGTTGACACTTCTTGACTTGAGGGCAGCTGTGCTCAGGAGTAGAAATGATTGTGTCTTAATCAGGAGGTTTGAGGTTCTAGGTTTGAGAGGAATCTTTAAACAGGCAGTGAGGTTAACAAATGCTAATGCACACTTTACAAAGCAGCCAGTGCCACTGGTGTTTGAATCTCGTGTGGATGGGTGAATGTAGCATGTGATGAAAAAGTGCCTTAAGTGGGGATGTAACTGTATTATTAATGTCAAAATTATAAATCAGGCCTGGCAACGACTGCAATCATATCAGTTTTATACAGTGGAAGTAGTTTATTTGGATGAAAAGATGCTGTTAATGTAACTCACCAGTATCAGACACATAGGCTACTTAATATGAGACAGCACAAGTTAAGAGGAAGGGGCCGCCAACGCACGTATCTGCTTAATATTTTAACATAAACTGATGAAAGCATGGCTTTTGTACTGACATTAAGCTGACGTCTCACCTCAGCAATGAGCAACTTAAAAAACCTGCTTAGTCTGCTTCTAGCTTGCATTACACTGAACTGATAGGGTGTGTTTAGACATCACATGCTCAAACCGTTTTTGTGTCATTCACTCACCGTGTTTGTCTGAGATGAAACAGCAAAACAACAAGACAACAGATTTAAATGCATGGAAAAAACTTGGTTCATTCTTTACGCTTGGGGACACACAATCTCACTGATAGAGCGTTTTTAAGACAGACTCGAATTGAGTCCTGACTCATAAATGCAGAAACAAATAGTCTTGCCATGGTAACAAGCTTTCTTTGAAGCCATTTTCCGAGGCTTCAAGTTCCTCCAAAGCAGTCTCCCACTGAGGCAAAGAGGCGTGTAGCTGGCTGCCTGTTTTCAGAGAATCATTACGAGACTGTTTCAGTAAGCACCCTATCACTCCTTTGTAATATATTAAATTCATGCTTGACCTGTAAAGGACACCTGAAGTATAGGCCCAATTTTACTGCATTGATATGCTTCTGCTTGCAGCAATAAAGCACCCCAGTGAGGCTTAAAAAATTCAATTCCTGAAGACGAATCCTGACACTTCTTCTATGTGTGGACAGGTTATGAGAGTCTGGAAGACAACTACGTTCAAGACAGTAAGATGGGCTTCGTCATCAACGCCATCTACGCCATGGCCCATGGGATTCATGACATGCACACTCACCTCTGCCCGGATCACGAGGGTCTCTGTGACAACATGAAGCCTGTGGACGGCAGCCACCTGTTGGAGTTTCTCCTCAAGACGTCCTTCGCGGGGGTTTCTGGAGAAGACATTTGGTTTGACGAGAACGGAGACTCGCCTGGAAGGTAAAGTATGAGATCCTTGCATTCTGGTTGACACTGTTAAGTAATTTCCAATTTTCTGGTTTGTCAAACATTTGTCACTCCAACTTCTTGGATCAAGGAAGATCTGAGTGACCTGTGGCATAAGAAACAACTCAAAGCTATTATGGTCTTGTTTGGAGAGTGGATGCAAATACACTTTAGACCTCACATCCTTTTTTCTCTGAAGGAAGGACACCAGATAATTATATTAAAACAGTGTTAGAACATCGCTAACTGGTGTCCCTCTCTATCTCCCGTCACTCTCTCCACTATCAGGTACGAGATAATGAATTTCCAGCGTGTGGAGCCGGGAGTTTATGACTACATCAATATCGGCTCCTGGCATGAGGGCATCCTCAGCCTGGATGATGAAATGATGCAGATGAACCGCAGTGACATGGTCCGCTCTGTCTGCAGCGAGCCCTGCTCTAAAGGAGAGATCAAGGTGAGGGACAAAGACCTTCAATACAATCCTGTTTATGAAATATGTTGCGTCTTGGTTAAGGTTTAGCCATGCCAAGAATCTGATTTGGGATCGCCTTTACATGTCTCTGCATATTCTGTTGGCCAGGTGATCAGAAAAGGAGAGGTGAGCTGCTGCTGGATCTGCACTGCCTGTAAGGACAATGAATACGTCCAGGATGAATTCACATGCAAAGCCTGTGAGCTGGGCTGGTGGCCAGACACAGAACTTGAAGGTTAGAGTTTAATCCATGCTGTCCTTTTACCTACATCAGTAAATCCTCACCTGGAGACACTGTTCTGTTGCAAGTGATTGGTACCTTTTAACCGTATCGTATCGTATCGTATCGTATAGTATCGTATCGAGGTGAAACTCTTGGTTTAATAACAGGCAGTTGAAAGTTAAGTTCTTCAGAGCCTTTTCTCTCCTCATCCCCGAACTCTTCTCTTTGTCCTGCAAAGATTTTTGTAGCACCGTTTCGTAAAAACCTGTTCTGTCCTATTTTCATCGCTTTCCCATGACACCTGAGAGCCATTCATCATCCTCACCATTTTATCCGACAGCAGCCCTACTTCACTTACCACTCTTCTGGCCCACTTTCAAAGGCCTTCTGTGCTGTTCAAAGACAAGACACTTTCTTAATAGGATCATCCTGCCTCTCTCCGCGCTGTTTCACTTTCCCTTTTTTTTTTTTTCTTTTACCTTAAGTGACACATAGAGATGAGAAAATGCGAAGCCCTGGGATGACGTAAAAATGATTCCAGTGCAATTTTCTAACCCGTACCCTCTTTCTGCTATACAATAAATAAGTAAACCGGCTTAGATTAGGTATTCAAAGTGCGTTCACAACATGAGGCAGGAAGGAGATCTAATTTGGATCCATGAAAAATGGAGTGATTTACTTTGTCCTGCTGCATTGCCCCCCTCTCTCTCTGGCCGCAACCCAGCCTGGCCACGGCTCAGTAGAAAAGGGGTTTATTTATAGTTGCGCTAGAAACCTACTTTGGGCCTAACTGTATTTTCTCCAGCTTAGATGTATCAGATTAATTTAGGATGTTTTCATATGATAAAGTTGTTAAAGTCAGACTTATCTGTTATAATTAGTTAAAATATCGGCCTTTTTTAAAGGTAAAAACAACAACATACATATCTAACCACCAAGCTGATGTTGAATGAAAAATGTATGACCTGCTCTTAGTGGACATGGCTGTGTGCTCATGTTGTGTTTTCTATCCTTTCCAGTGTGTGAACCAATCCCGCTTCGCTACCTGGAGTGGAGCAACCCAGAGTCCATTATCCAGGTGGTCTTCTCCTGCCTGGGCATCCTGGTTACCTCATTCGTAACCTTTGTCTTCGTCTTATATCGCGACACGCCCGTCGTCAAGTCCTCCAGCCGGGAGCTCTGCTACATCATCCTCGCCGGGATCTTCATGGGGTATCTTTGTCCTTTCACCCTCATCGCCCGTCCAACAGTGGCGTCCTGCTACCTCCAGAGGCTGCTGGTAGGACTTTCAGCCGCCATGTGCTACTCCGCCCTGGTGACCAAAACCAACCGCATCGCTCGTATTCTGGCAGGCAGCAAGAAGAAGATTTGCACGAGGAAACCGAGGTTCATGAGCGCTTGGGCTCAGGTGGTCATTGCCTTCATCCTGATAAGTGTCCAGCTCACATTAGAGATCACCCTCATCATCATGGAGCCACCTGAACCCATCAAGTCCTACCCCAGCATCAGAGAAGTCTTCCTCATCTGCAACACAAGCAACGTGGGTGTTGTGGCTCCTCTGGGCTACAACGGCTTGCTTATCATGAGCTGCACTTATTACGCCTTCAAGACGCGTAATGTTCCTGCGAATTTCAATGAAGCCAAATACATCGCCTTCACCATGTACACCACATGTATCATCTGGTTGGCGTTTGTGCCCATCTACTTTGGTAGCAACTACAAGATCATCACCACGTCCTTCTCTGTGAGCCTCAGTGTGACTGTAGCTTTGGGCTGTATGTTTACACCAAAGATGTACATCATCATTTGCAAACCGGAGCGAAACGTCCGCAGCGCCTTCACCACATCTGATGCCGTACGCATGCACGTGGGTGATGGCAAGATCGCCTGCAGGAGCAACAGCCTGCTCAACATGTTCAAGAGGAAGAAGAACCCTGGAAACGGCAGGTATGTTCGTTAATTGAGTCTGAGTCCTGCTCCTGAGGCACCTCAGGGATGCTGGTTTTACTGTAATTCCCTCTCAAAGGGAACCTGATGTCTTACTGTATTCACTTTCATAGGGACACCTGGATATAGGTCAGTGCTCAATCCACACAGCCGTTTTGACCTTTGAATTTATGGTACAGTTAAAACGAGCATCTCTGTGTGCTGAGGGATGACAGGTGTAATCTCAGAGAATTCAGGGTTTCTGCAGAGTTCACAAGTCAAGTTTTGGAGGTTTTGAGAGTTTCTGTTTGATACCACAGAAAAACGAAAGCCAGCAGAGGTAATTTGGCCTCGAACCATTTCTCAGTAACAGTTTTTTTTCTGGTTCTGTTGAGCAGAATTTAAAGGGATATTCAGGCGTAAAACTAATTTAGTGTCAAACACACCATAACACCAAGTTAGACACCCCAACTAGAGATAAATGTTTTTAACTTTGCCTAATTTCTTAGCAAAAAGACTAAACACAACTTACTTACTCTCTTCCAGCAGCCGCTTGTTTGTAGTGAGACCTCGGGCCAGTCCATCATCGACTACAGCGGGGTGACGCAGCTCAAGGAAGAACATTTATGATCATTTCTTCATGGAAATGCAATCAGACCAAGATGGTAAAACAGAAGTGTGCAGTGCAAAGTGATTAATATGATGATTATTACTTAAAGGAAATGATAAAGTAATGATCATAAATGTTCTTCCTTGGGCTGCGTCACCCCGCTCTAGTCCGTAATGGACTGGCCTGAGGTCTTGCTACAAGCAAGCGACTGCTGGAAGAGAGTGGGTGAGTTGTGTTTAGTCTCTTTGCTAAAGAAATCAGGCAAAGTTATAAAGATGTTTGGTGGTTGGTATTATGGCTAGGATCCTAAATGTACTGTTAGGTGCTGTTCTGAGCATTATTTGTGGCTATAAAGTGGCGTTTTGGTTGAGGTTTGTTTATGGCTCCGCAGACCGCTGTGTATTGCTATCCTGTGGTCGTTACTAAAGTTGTCGTTACTAAAGCAAGCGGTCGGCGACATTCATCTCTCGAGGGGGTGTCTAACTCAGTGTTACAGTGTGTTTGACCCCAAATTAATTTTACGCCGGAATATCCCTTTAAGCGTAATTGCCTCTGACAAGTGATTTGCTTTTTAAGATTCTTGTAACATAAAAACTTACACAAAGGCTGATGAGCTCCTGTTGTAAAGCGGTATGTAAAGGTCCTATATAATGGTGTTTTAGCTATTTCCATTATATCCTATTTGTCTTTCAACCAAAGGCTAAAGAGCAGCTATTCGGTTTCTATACTGCCAGTGTATACTGAGGCAAAAACAAATATGGCGAGTGCTCCAGAAGAACCTGTGATATTGAATTACAGAATCTGTCCTGAGGAGGAGTCAGCTGTTGAAGCATGAGGTCTTTCTCTTGATTTTTTTGCTTTCCATGTGTAACTTTATGTGGTCGGCCCTTGTTGTTGAAGCACGTTGAGGTGAAATGGTTAGCACAAACCAGTTAGCATCAACTAAAGATGTGAGCTGGAACAAAACACAGGCATGTTTGTTGGTTTTGCAACAACAGGACAGATGGCATGTGTGGCTTGGACCTTTGACATCTTGACTCTTAGTGAAGCTGTTTTCCCAGTTGATAAAAAATGCAGAGGCTTTTTTGCTTCCACATTCTCGTGGTTGTTTGCATGTAGGATGACTGAAGTGTATAAATAGACAAGATAAAATGTATTTGTCATTATATTGGACCTTAAAGTTCATTTGTTACCTACACTGAAGGCTTTCCATGTCCTCCAAGACCACTGACTTTAGTTTTTTAAGATTTGAAAGACCTGCAGATACCCTGGAAAACTTCGTGATTACATTTTTTTTTTACACAGTTACACTTTTTTATATTTACATGAAGCACAGATGCTGTTTTTGTCTCCACTGTTCTGGGTTCCTGTGCAGTAACAGTCGTCTTTATTTTGTTCATAGTTCTAATGGAAAGTCTGTGTCATGGTCTGAACCAGGTGCAAGACATCCTCCAAAAGGGGATCACATGTGGCACAGACTGTCAGTGCATGTGAAGAGACAGGAAGCAGGTTCCAATCAGATGGCTGTCATCAAACCCTTAACTAATACCTACCAAAACAAAGGCTTGGAGTTCTCAGACCTCAGCACTAAGACTTTGTACAATGTGGCAGAGGAGGATGAGGGTGATCCGGTCAGATACAATCCCCCTGACACGCCCCCCATGATGGCCCACGGGCAAATTCCTGCCTGTGGGCTGATGAAAGACACAGAGCAGGAGATGGAGCTGTATACCCCTCATCATCTGCAGCCACTCCCCCAACATCCCATCATGGACCACCTTCAGGAGGAGAGGCTGGCTGGTAAATTCAACAGTGACATCCCCGCGCTGAATGATATGATTAGCATGCCTGAGGCTGTTACCAGCGGCGGCATGCCCGTGTACCACCAGGCCCACCTCATCCAGCAGGAACCCATCCTGCCTGTGCACCTCGACCCATTCGATGAGGAGCCTGCCTTCCCTCTGGAGGAGGAGGACGAGGAGATAGAGAACGAGCAGTTTGGCCTTCTCCAAGGCTACATATACAACAACTCCCAAAATCATGACGAGGAGGAAGACTTGGTTGAGGTAAAACTAGCAATGGAGGACTCCCTGGCTCTGATGCCTCCCTCTCCTTTCCGAGATTGCGCCGCTCCTCCTGTGAGCCCTTTCCCCAACTCACCCGTGTCTGAGTCGATTTTGTGCAGCCCTCCAAATGTGACATACGCCTCGGTCATCCTCAGAGACCTGAAGCAAAGCTCATCAACTCTGTGAGGGGTGCAGACTTAACATCATCTACTGTAACATACTTCAAGTTCATAATGACTTGTGTTGTATATAACGGAATATAAAGAATCATGAGGACTGATCATTTTTCACTCTAATTGATAGCTTTTACATGATCAAAGTGAGCAAGGCGCCGTGTTTTTAAGTTCTTTTTAGTTGTTGTCTACAATAGTGAAAGGAGTCTTACAAACACGCTAACAGACGCTTTTAAGATAAAATAGACTTTGTGCTTTCAAAACAAGCAGCTAAGATTGTGTATGAGTGTGTACAATCATTAAAATGAATAGACGAGACGAGACAAAGATGGTTTTAACAGGGCAACTTAGGGGTAAATATACTTTGTCTGTGATGTAAATTGTTCCATTTTGTCTGCAGTATTTTACACATAATGTGAGAAACTTGATGTGACATTTTTGAAAATACACTTTTTTGCTTTCTTGAGGAGAATTTTAAGGGAAAACATTTACGTGATAGAAAACACAGCAAGCAAAGTTTAGCTGACAGTAGATAAAAGACGGGGAAATCATTCGTCCTGCTTTGTATAAAGGTGCCACTGTAATCACGGTCATTTCTACCACACTCTTTTTAAAACAACACACAGTATGTTAAATAGAGAGGCTATGATATGTGATATGTACATTGTGCAGTCATCTAAATATTGTAAATTTCCTGAACTGTCTCCTGTCAACATGGATGAGTAATTTATCTTCAGAGGGAATCAAAAGGTGGCGTGTCAAAAACATATCTCATTTGGTGAAAAAGTGAATTTCTGATCGATACAGTACTGCCAGGTAAAGCACTGACTGTATCACGAATGTAGCAGCAGACAAGTGCCACATTTTCATGAAATTATTCCTTGTTTTGTACGTCAGTCAGATTTTTATGGTCTCCGAAAGTAATTTTAAGTAGTTACAAGTTTTTATCTTTTATATTTCAACATCCAGTTTCATATTTGTATAGATTTATGTATAAGAGGATTGGCATAATGTTTTGTGAATGTATGAATTGTGTCATATTTTGATATTAAGATATCTGTATGTGTTACAGTATTAACTCTTTTGCCGTGTATGCTTCTATTGTGTGAATTAATTTCTAAATATTAAGATTTTAGGAGCCTATGAAAACCATATAATGTGAAGTGCTAATGTAACTGTTAGAAGTGCTACTTGAACAAAGTATTTGCAGCCTGAGATATACATACTACTGATTAACTCTGCCATTTAAACTGAGATTGACTGTAGAGCATTTAAAAGGACACTGTTTGGTTTGAGTAAAGTAAGTTTTATATGCTTTTGTCTCCTGTTTTTCCTTTTCCGCTCTTTGGCCTCAACTCGGTCTATGCAAATAAGTGTTTTAAACCAAAGGTCAAAGATTTATGGCTTTGCTTTGGAGCAAAAAGGACAGTAGTAAGAGACAGCACCAGTAGATACAGAGGATCTGTCACAACTTTTACTCTGGAAAACATTTCTAACATGTTTCACTTTTAACTGGACATGAAAAAAACTGTTGACCTCTATAGTTCTTGTTAAGGATTACATTTGTGCCTGTCAGCTTTAACATGGCAAGGAAGTCTACGACATTATGTACAGACAAGCTGTTTAAGGTTTTGGTTATTGGAGATATGGGTGTTGGAAAGAGCAGTATTATCTTGCGTTATGTGAATAAACGCTTTCAGGAAGGATACAAATCGTCGATTGGAGTGGACTTTGCTCTGAAAACAATTGAATGGGATAGCAGCACAGTGGTGAGACTGCAGCTTTGGGATATTGCAGGTAAGTGTGAATATAAAAAAGTCTCCTTGGCAGTTTTCTACCTTTTTTTTATCATAAAATGATCAGGAAACATTTTCTAATGGCCTTTAAAATAGCTGAAAAAATCTACTGAAAACACATTTGGAAACAAAACAATGACAAAAATCATTAAGTAAATTAGTTTCCCTTGTTTTTGTCCAGGATTATACCCCATTTCTTTTCAGATGAGTCTTTAAAGTGAGCTAGCCAACTCATATCATCCAGAGTGGTTTGAATTTCGACAGTATTTTATTGTTTTGAAATGGTTCTGGTCAGCTTGTGCTTGACTTGTAACCTTAGAAACAAAGTTAACAACCCATGAAGACAATATTCACAAAGGAGACCATAAAAATATACCAGAAACTGAACCAGGTAAACCAGGTAAATGTTTTCACCGAGAAATATTTGACTTAGGATAAGCTGACAAGCGTGTAAGACAGGATAGGTCACTATGAGACACCCTGATCACGGCTCTCTGTGGGTGAAGCTAAGAAAACGTGCTGCCCTTTGTGGTGAGCTGTTCTCTTTATATTTTCTTATATTTCTTTAAATGTTAAATGACCGAGAACTGAACTCAATTAAAATTGAAAACCCTGCTAATGTTTTAAACTCTACTGTGCTTGATTTAGAATAAGCAAGTGTTCAGGTGAGAATACTATCTATGTTTTTCCTCCTTTCTCAGGTCAGGAGAGGTACAAGAAGATGTCCAGAGTATACTACAAAGGTGCAATGGGAGTCCTGGTGGTCTTTGACGTTACAAACAGGTCCACCTTGGAGGCCGCCTCCGAGTGGAAACAGGACCTAGACAGCAAAGTGTGTCTGGACAGCGGACGTCCGGTCCCTGCTGTCCTGCTGGCCAATAAATGTGACATGACAGGAAGAGACAGAGACGTGGTGTCCTCCTTAGATGACTTCTGTACAGACAACTGCTTCGTGGGCTGGTTTGAGACCTCTGCAAAGGTGCGTGTTATCTTTTAGTCATGGGAGAATCCAATCTGTCTGTAAGAACATTCAGGGACAAGCAGTCATTCACAGAGACCTTAGAAGAGTCCCATTTTCAGTGCCAAAGCTAGTTTATCAGTCAGACTTTTGGTAGCATCACATAAGTACATTTATCAGAGGTAATTGGGACTGTACTTCATTGCAATGCTCCTGTACTCTTAAAACCAGTAGCAGATATTCATGTGATAATGTTATTGCATGTAAAATTTATCATTTTATAACTGACATTCAGTTGGTAATATACTGAGTCACCTCTTTATGACCCACTCTTTAGGCTGTTATGTTTTGTTATGTTTCAATCTGATTCAATCTTGAAGCTCCTGGTAGGAAACATTGAAATTTATTTAAAATAGCTTTCATGAGCAACAATGGCAAATAAGACCATAAGCATTAAGATGAAGTTGTGCTAAATGACAGAAGAATGAGATTTTTTGTCAAACAGCATTACTTAAGCATGTAGACTTTGTCCACAGGGGGCGCCAAAATTGCCACAAATTGAAAGTCCCTCACTGGACCTTTAAAGGAAATCATTTTTCAGATCTGATTATGTCAGTAATTGTTTCTTTCACATGATGGAGCAAAACAAAATTAACACACTCAACAAAGGGATAAAAGATATCATTTTGTCCATAGGGGGTGCCAAAATCAACACTAACTAAAAGATCCTCACAGGAGCTTTACAGAGAACTGAGCGAGATTATCTTCAAAATCTCAGCCTATTCACTGGATGAGCCTTTTATTTAATAAACAGAGACACAAGTTATTCAGTGGCTAACTTACTTACTGAATTATTCATGTAATTTCTGCTTTCTTGATGGATTTGCATTTAAATGTTATTTTGCATTATTAAATCTCAGCCCTCCTCCGTAAGGTCACCAGAAGGTCTCGCATTCTCCATTTAGAATTGCATGAGGTCGGATTGTGCTGTGATTGTAAACTGTAACACTACAGCCACACAACCTGCGCATAAAACATGTTCAAATATTAACGAGTCCCAACACCGTGCTAAAGACATAGCTCAACAGATGCATACACAATGTACTAAATCATATTCCCTCTTTACCATTTACAGGAAAACATTAATATTGATGAGGCAGGTGCCTTCCTTGTCAAGCAAATGATGCTCTGCGATGCTGGTCTGTCCAGTGAAGAGGATAACAGGGATGGGATCAAAGTGAGTCAGCCTCCCAGGGAGAGTCAGAGCCAGACATTGTGCTGCTGGAGACCACAGCTCTGAAAAAAACAGACAAACAACAAAAGATAAACGCTTCTATCTTTTCATATATCCACTGGCCTTATTGCTCAGTGCTGTGTGTACAGTGGAGGCTGCTTCATTAACACCTCTGTGGCGTAGATCTGGCTCTCTGATAATCCACTGACACTGACAGGGTAATAAAGAGATCAGCATGACACACATCCTGCTGGGAAAAGTCTGTGACACTCCCCCCGACACCAAGACTTGCTTGTGATTGACCCAGTATAACGAGGTCCAGAAACTGTGAACCACTAACCACTGCCATCTTCTCAAACTCAACAAAACCAGCAAGAGAAGGGAGAAAAATGTCTGTGTTTAATCTGTGGAATACTCCCCATTAAACGCCGACAAATTCGATCCCAGCTCTGAGTGTTACTTGTCTGTTATGCAATCATGCATCTAATTATCTGTTAATCACTTCACAGTGAGATTAGCTAAGACCCGTGCATGAGCACCGCCGCCCGGCTTGATATGGCCAATAGCAGAGAAAAAGCTATCAGCATGACCTGATTCTGGTGGAGGGAGGGAATGTGTGAGAATGCGCCACACGGCTACAGACGCACACCACCCAGAGAGGATGGAGTAACTCAGTGTGCGAAACTAGAAAGAGCAGACCAGATCGGCTTGTTAAATCACAACTGTGTCATCACCTGATTCTTTGTGTTTTTATTAATGAGGAATATCTTAACAAATGCATGACCTGAGTTTGTGTGCACCAGTACTGCACTATCAGCTGATGAGCAGATCTTTTTGTGACGCAGATTCACACAAAAGTTATCTAAGGAGGAGAATCAAGACTGATTTTATCTGATTTAAATCCACCAAGAGCAAATGGAAGGAAAAAGTAACGCAGAAAGATTTGCCTCAACAAGATGGGCCCAAAACGTTGGGACAGAGGGCAAGACAGAGAGCGATATGGCTAGAGGCAAAGAGACAAAGATGCCCACAAACAAATGGACTGATCCTGCCATAGTGCTCCACTACCCGGACGTAAACAAGTACATATGAAGAACAGATGCCATCTCATAGCACAATGCAGTTTTTCTTCTTTTGGACAAGACAGCTGAAAAAAGACAGGAAATGTAGGGGGTGGAAAGTCCAGGGAAACATACAGCAAAGGGTAAAGGTCAGGATATGAACCAGCATGTTGAGTAAATTGTACTCAGTTTTTACTTGTTTCTTTCTACCTTTGGACTAGTCAGTTGGCCTTGAGTTTAAAAGTCTTGGATGTCACAGTGACAGTGAAAGTCTGATAGATACACAGATACTCAGAATTTCTTTCTTTAATTAATTTGAAGTCTTAATCAGAGGTCTCTCTCACCCCTACTAAATGCTAATGGTTCACCCCCCAACAGGGTGGGCTTAGTCTGTAGTGATGCGGTCCACGAAGGTATACTTTTATTCCCATTAATGCCTATGCCTTTAAAAACTATCATAACGAAAATATATAAGTAATACTGTAGGCCTACTACACTGTAAATGCCCATTTTATATATTAGAAAACTGCGTTTTAACTCAGTTTTTAATGTGCAGAGTCAAATCAATCTAAACTCTGAAGGAATCTGTATGTTTTTAATGCATTAAACTCTGTCTGTTTATCACAAAGTCTGTGAAATTCCTCTGTGTTTTTATTGTCTTATTGATATTTACATGAGGTGAAACTGTGTCCTTTGCTCACACTGACATGTTATGAATTAAAGAGTTTATTTTTGCACACCGATCTGTCCTTTGCTGTCCTGTAGTTTTACTTTTGGTGTCCTTGCTGTGCACCTTGGGAACTGTTCTACATCCTGCCACTTGATACCTTTACTCAGAAGCATTGTCCAAATTCAGGCCCCCATTGGTGTCCTTTTAATTTAAAGCTGGACCAGCTTACGTGTGAAACCTCACACTGCTTTTTAACACCGGCGTTTATTCATTTTGCTGATCGAGTGAATTGAAAAATGAAAGTCAGGATGGTAGTTTACCTCCACTGTGTCTGAGGGAAAGAGAGAAAGGAAGTAAATCACAACTTCTAATTATGGATTTATGTCCCAGATACCTAAGACCTAAATTCAGGAGTCAAACCGGGAAGCATTGCTCTGATACTTTTTCACATCGGGCACAAAAACTGAGCCTTTTAACTTGTTGTTTCTAAATATGACTGTCTGAATGGAAGCCCCACTCTCTAACAGATCCCATCACTTGTGCATTATTGATATTGCCCTATTTTATCTGCCCTCAAGTGTGCATTTCCCTGGCAGCTTCCTCCATATATTCATGATAGCATGAAAATTTCACTTTCCTCAAACTTGTGAATAGCTTGAAGAGGAGTGAAGCAGTAAGTGTATCTCTGCCATGCCTCTTGTCACACTCTTATAGTGTCCCGAGTGACCCATTTCAAAGTGGCTGCTGTTAATAAAGCATTAACTGTAAATTGAAAGCAGAAAGAGATACCAGGCTGGTGTTTAAATCTATATGTTTAATTCAATCTTGACTTGGACATGCAGGGCAAGAAAATGGCAAAGACTGAGCGTATGCAAAACATGCCACAAGCTGAATGATCATGACTCTTAAAAACAGGTCATATCCTGTATTATCAAAGCAACCAATCAGGGGCAAGGAATCCATATGTCGCTGTCCGTGGTGCTGAGTTTTGGCTGAAAGAAAAAGCTCTGAGAAAATGCTGCCAGATTGCAGGATGGGAGAATGTTGGTGGACTACACCATCTAGTGTGCAATATGTACATGTGCAGTATGGAAGTTGTGAGAGGAAATTTGACGCAGATGGGATTTTATGATAGATGTGAATGTTTTTTCTATCTCGCAAAGAGGTGGTTACAGGAGTAAAAGTGATACAAAGCCATAAATGTCACTTCGAGAAACAGTGTAGGGTTTGAGTGTGATTAAAATGTTTTTATTTTATGTGGCAATAATGGAGAAAAACACCCCTGACTTACTTGTACGTTAAAACCCCAGGTGCTTTATCCCAGATGTCCAATATAAAGACGGTGAAGCACAGCACTCCAAACTGAAAGTATTTTTTATTGCCACATTTTTAAGAATAATAAGATAAAAACTTTATTAATCCCCGAAGGGAAATTCAATTGTCTGTTGGCTCACATAATACGTCTCTAAAAGTTATGTACTATTTACACAAGAGTCCAACCACAGAGCCAGCATTTTTCACTAGTTTGTTCAGACGTCTTGCATCCTTGTGTTTGATGCTTCCTCCCCAGCAGACTGCAGTGTAGAACAGAACACTGTAGACACCACAGACTGATAAAACATCTGCAGCGTCTTACTACAGATGTCTATTGATCTGAGTCTTCTCAGGCAAAAGAGGCGGCTCTGTCCCTTTCTGTAGATGAAGTCTATATTCTTAGACCAGTCCAACTTGTTATCCAGATGTACACCTAGATATTTATGTGATTTTTTATACTACTACACCAAAAAACAAGGCTGATTCACTGTGAACCACTTAGGTCCTCATCAGGTGGTTTCGCATGCCACCATTACAAAGACTCAGAAGGGCTTTAACAGCATTTATAAAGGCTGAGACTCTTCAGCCTTTATACATTAAATAAATTACATCAGCTTTACTTTATCACAAAACGGACTGTGTTCTTCTTCTCTGTGCTATATTAGATGTATTATTTAAGGTGTTCTTCTTAGTTCCTGGTAGTCTGATTTATTTAAATTATGATCTAAATCACAAAGCAAGACTGAAAAAAGTCAGCCACTAAGAGAATATAGTAATCCAGAATGACGGACTACAAAGTTGATCGTGTAACTAGGTTTTCTGCTTTTCATCGAACCAGATTTTCTGTTTTTTGAATTCTCGGTGGAGGTCAGATAACCTCATTTTACCTCCTTGGGGAACAAGAGGAAGGAGGAAATACGACCTATTTTCTATGCATGCACAATGAATGGGATCCTGAATTTGGACCTAAACCAATTACAAAAGAACCGTCCTATCACATTACTGTAGGGAGGAGCTTCAGGAAAAGATGAAGGATTTAACTCTTTAAAAAATACAGTTTTGTTCCTTTGAAATAACATTTATGATGTGCTTTTGTTTGCTCCTTGTTTTTTATTTGACTTAGGTTTTGGTGGCTGTCAGTAAGAAGCTTTTTTCTTAATGCAGACTGAGGCAATTGATAGGCAACTTCTCAGCCACCAGGGGGCCTCAAAGAATGTAAAATGTTGAACTTTGGGCTCCTTAGTCTATCTTCACCCTTATTCAAGTACTTTTAACTGAATAAATGTATATACTTTTGGATACAGGTTCTCAAACAACAAAATAATGCCACCCTAAATGCAGCATGTGTATCCTGTAAGCTTTTATAATTGCATTTTCTATAAATTTGGCATAACTTATCAATTTTTTTTTTTTTTGTAATTCTTATAGTTCAAAGTTTGGTTGTTGAGCTAATTTCTGGTGCTGTTGTTGAGGTAGAAGAATTCAACTATCAAACTTCACAAGTTCAACCATAGAAGAATGTGAAAATCACAGTTTTTTTCACTGATCATACTTTTTACTGTTTTTTCTTTAAGTAATATGTTTGCATTGCCATTATTTTATTGCCATGAGGTACATTCAAGTATTAAAATAAGGGGTTTTGTATATCTTTTAGCTGCACGAATGCATTGTTATAATAATAATAATAATAATAATAATAATAATAATAATAATAATAATAATAATAATATTACTATTATTATTATTATTATTAATAATAATAATAATAATAATAATAATAATAATAATAATAATAATAATAATAATAATAACATTCATCGACCTATCTATGATTTAAACGTTTATTAGCTAAAAATCCTATCGAGGTCACAGAATCTGAAGGGTCACAATATTCACCGTAACACCGGCACAGCATCCGGGTGAGCGCACTGCGCATACTCAATCTCCGCTGCAGTTCACTGCGTTTCCGTAGCCAGTTTGCTACCCGCTGAGCCCTGGCTGGGGAAACAGCTCACGGAAACGATTGATCCCGATCGAATAACGTTAAAGCTGGCCGAGTAAATGGCGGATTAACACTGATATCGGAAAGGACTGGCTAAATCAATGTTCGACTCTCGGGTGCTTTTGGAGAGTGCGCTGGCAACACCCTCCGTAACATGTGAGATGTATACAGAAAGATATTAACTGTGCGTTATTACGGCTAACTAGCTAGCAGCTACCCCCCTCTATCCAATTTATGGTAGCTCGCTTGATCTGTTTTTTCAACCGTCGCGTCAGTACCGGAGGAAAATGAAGAAGTTTAACATTAGGAAGGTGCTGGACGGTTTGACAGCGGCTTCCTCCTCCTCCTCCTCCGCAAGTGCCCAACCGGGTACTCCCAGGGAAAACGATGTCGTCCAGGAGACCCTCCAGTCGGAGCATTTCCAGCTCTGTAAGGTGGGTATCCGTCAGTAGCAGCTCATGTTAACGGACTGTTTCTGCACACTGACAGTCAGATGACAGCGGCGTGACCACACACTGGCGTTGTTTTCATCCATTTCTGCTCACTGGCGTGGAAACTAAAGGGATAAATCTCTTTGCACGCAGCAGAATAAGAAAATAAAGGCATTAGGAGTACAAGTTTTATCTGTGGGGAAATCAGCAGGGAATGATTTTTAATTACTGGCTGCTGAGCTTGGCTCTGTCCCATGGTTGTATCTGGGCTGTCAGAGCACCACGGCTGTTTGCATTGCATTGAATCGTCGCCTCCAGTCAGTTTATGTTCACCTTACTGTAAGTTAGCCATCTGAATTCATCTTCATGCAGTTTGAGTAAAAGTATCGATTCAAAATGTTCCAGTGCGTCTTAATAAAACATAAAAATCTTGTCAAATAGGATGTTAAAAACGCCCCCCTGTTCTTCCTGGTCAAGAAGAGGTCCCTTCCTGAGATGATTCAGCCATGGAGGACTAAATCTACAGTACTTGCTCTGTTTAAAAATGCATTCACTTCAGCTCATGCTAGTATGAGCTCAGACTTGGAATAACAAATCAAGTGGATATTATTCAATAGAGACCCTGGCCAGTTTTCAGGGGACAGAAACACAAATTAAAAATACCATGGCTGATGCAGACCTTTTCTCTGTGCAGTGTGGGATAATTTTGTGTGGTTTGATACTGGTTACTGTTGTCCAAAACCAATACCTGCCAATGCTGCATCCTTGCTCTGTTTCTCCATCTGCTTTACTTACACACATCTGACTCTGTTGCTCTCTCTGGCTGTGTCCAAAATAAATCACTCAATCCCTAACCCCTAACCCCCATATGGGGTTTCACAATATAGTTGACTATGTAGCTAACTAAATCACCAGAGGTTTCGGACACTACATGGCAAGACGCAATGTATGATGGGATGCCCACCATTGGTGAGTGACCATCGGATGGTCACTACATTTTGTTATTTTTTATGGGAAATTTTGAGTCACCTATATGGAGCACTGGAAATGATCACTCAGGTTTTGGACACCCTTCAAAATGACGCTAACCCCCATGTGGTCACCTACATAGGGGTTAGGGATCCATTTCGGACACAGCCTCTGTCAATAATCATAGTCGCATATCATCGCAATACAGGATCTTGTCCTCTAAGGTCAAGTGAGGAAGGGAGCATTTCTAACTGGCACCCGACTGCTAGATATCACTAAATATTCTCATTTCTACACACTGTATCTTATACTTATATTAATCTTAACATATGTGTGAATGTCATGTTCTGTTTCTACCACGTCTGCTCTGTAAAATGCCACTAAATATTACACATTGCATCTTTAAATGCATTCACTTCAGCTCATGCTAGTTTAACCTTAGACTAGGAGTAACAAATCAAGTGGATATTATTCAATAGAGACCCTGGCCAGTTTTCAGGTGACAGAAACACAAATTAAAGATACTGTAGCTGATGCAGCTCACTGCGATTTTTGTTAGTTGGGACCCTTTCTCTGTGCATTGTGGGATAATTTTGTGTGGTTTGATGCTGGTTACTGTTGTCTGAAACCAATACCTGCCAATGTTGCATCCTTGCTCTGTTTCTCCATCTGCTTTACTTACACACATCTGACTCTGTTGCTCTCTATCTGCTTTGTTATTGTTCTTACCTCTCTGTCAATAATCATAGTCACATATGATCGCATTCATGTGATCTAAACATATGTGTAAATGTCATGCTCTGTTTCTACCACTGCTCTGCAAAATGCCACAAAATTTTACACACTGCACCTTTAAAGTGGCCTTATTGTTTGGCACACATGATCCCCCCCAGTGTAGTTTTTAAGTCATGCATATTAGATTAATAATCCAGCCCGTAAGGTCTGCCTGCCTGCCTGCCTGGAGAGGTTTCCGCCTGTGTGAAATATTTGAACATCATGGAGAGCCAGCCCACCAGCTCCCTGCTGCCCCAGCAGGGGGGAGAGCGGGTCAGGTCCCCAGGTTACAGGGGCCGTGGCATTACCTGTTACATAATGCTGCTGTGAGCTTCAAACAGCTCATGCATGGCTGGGTAAGGTTTCCAACCTGAAACAATTGAGATGGATGATGATAACATTTTGGTGGCAGTGATTGGAGGGTGGAGCAGGAGGGGCTGCAGGATCCTGGCTATGGAGAGCACTCCATGCCTGCAAATGTTGGCTTAAGGAGGGATAAGATGCATTTACCGCAGATGTTTTAAAGGACACAGCCTCCCCACATGTAAGATGGATCTCATTCAAGTCCTTGTGTGCTCTCATGTTTATGCTTCATCTCATTATTCTTGATAATAAGGCAGATTTTCCACATTAATGGATTACATTTCTGGGAGCTTATGAGAATGTTTTTTTTTTCTTCTCCAGTAATGCCAGCGTGACTGTGTAGCAGATGATTGATTATCTGACTGGAGCTCTAATATAAATTCTGCTCTTTCCTGCAGACTGTGCGTCATGGCTTCCCATATCAACCATCCTCGATGGCTTTTGACCCCGTGCAGAAAATCTTGGCCATTGGGACTCAGACTGGAGCTTTGAGGCTGTATCCTTTTTACTCTTAGCATGGCTGAAGGAGAAGCGCTACACAAGTTAAGTAAAGCTTGGATCATTCCAGTGATTTTACAACATCCTGCATTCCCTCGTGCGCACACAAAAATACACAAACAACACACTTCCTTGCGTCCGTTTTGAAAAAGTGATATCCCCCGAGCTGTCCTTCCACATCCTACTAAGTCTGTGGCAGAGAGTGACCTGCCTTTTCCTCTTGTCATTCAACACGGCACATACGAAAATCCCAACCTCACAGCGGGGGGAAGTACAGCACTCAGAGGTAGACAGTAGCTGGGGTGTGTGTCTGTGCAGCCAGCAGCCGCCTCCTCCTCGAGCACCGGGCTCATTAGCGCTATCTCTGCAGTAGCATGAACAGCTCCTCCGCCATATGCCGAGGAGCCAACCTCATCAACTGTGCTGCCCAGTCCGTGCCAGGATGCCACTTCATATGTGCTGTAAACATCACCAGACCTGCACAACACACACACAATCAAGCTGCTACAGTGCTGTGAGGCCCCTTGGGCAGCTGGAAGTCAGTTTTGTTTGTATTCGAGGTTAGAATTTGTTTTTACAGCTAACCAAGCCACTTCCATGAGTCACGGCAACGAAGCTGCCTTCAGATTCCAGGCTATTAAACACTGCATGTGATAGCGGAGTCATGTCCAAGTTATTCTGTTTACAGCATGTCTCCAGTGTTAGCCTGTTAGCGTATAAACACAGGGTTTCCCTTTTCTGATGATATTCTGCACGGGAGGCCCGTCTGCTTTATTTAGCTTCTCATTACGAGCGTCTCTGTCCTCGTCTTTATCCACTCTCCAGATTAAGAGAGCATTGTGTTTACAAGACGACACCCAGAGAGCACACACACAACACACACACACACACGCACTACTCCCATGTAGTACTAATGTGCGAGGTGGAGCTGATGGGATTACTGTCATTCAGGCAATAGGTCCATTTATCAAAAGACAGGCTGCATCGATCCACCTCATTGCCCCCGGAGTTTGGAAACGCTGCCACAGCTCAGTAGACATAAGCTCAATGAGGTGTCTACAAGCAATAAATGTCTGCTTTTACAAGATCTGTCTCTACTACAGTGTTTTAATCAGTGTAACTGTAGATACTCACCCCACCCATCCCCCCTCCTTCCCACTATCTTTACCCTTTAGATTTTTTTTCAGCCAAAAAGAAAATAATTTGACCCCCACAGGATCGGCAGTGACCGTCAAAGTTTTGATCTCTCTGAAAGAGAAAGTTGCAGCTGACTGGTCACGCTCAAGTTTGTTCTGATGAGCTCCCATCACAGACGAACTGTCAAACTGAGGGGCTAACTAGCTAAGTGTAGACCCCACTTCTTTAAATGCAAACTTCAAGAAAGGCACCAGAGGAATGTTACAGTTTTCTTTTTCATGTCTCAGCAAGTACGATTAAGATCACTTCCTGTCACAATGGTTATCAGCTGGCTACAGAAGAAAACCTGCTGATGTCGAAACGCTGTGGTGAACCACGCTGGTTTACCCAAAGAGGAAATGTCGATGTTCAAACAGGATGATTTAGTGTGTGCTGGATGTCCTCAGAGCAGAATCTTGTCTCATTTTTGGAGGGATGTCTTTGCTTTCACTGGACAGTTGGAGAGTGAGAGGCAATGTGGGGAAGAGAGTGGGCGAGACATGCGTCAAAGGGTTTGGGTATCCAACCTGTGACGAGAGGTGTGTGATATCAACAACATTGCTGACAGTAACTGAATAGATTTTACATCCCCTCAAAAAATGGATTCCTCAATGTTCACACCTTGGATTGCTCACCTCCTCTTCTTCTATTCCGTTCCCCCTCTTCGCCCCTCACATACGTCGTATTTACAGCTTTCATCTTGCTACACACACAGCCTTTGTCCCCCTTCCCTATCTGATCTTCTAACAGTATCCATCACCATCATGTTTTATAGACTTTGTTCTTTCATGAAGACTTCTGTCACGGTCAGCAATGTGCAGTTTTCATGCATAAGTGTAGCTCCTTCTGGCGCAATCATGAATCCCACCTCGCCAGCTACCTGAAGTGTTGTGGGGTCTTTTCAATCAAACCAGCCCTCCACAAAGATAATTTACCTTTTAATTAACCCCTATTTTCTTCAAATGCAGGATAATGACCAAGGAGCGTCATTCTCAAGGTAAAATGCAGGAACTAAGTGGAATACATCCGATATATTGGATGTAGATCAGTGATTCACAGCGAGTGGTACTTATGACCTGGGGGTTGTTTTTCATACTTAACAGTGTGAGACCTTAACAAATGAATTCAACTCAGCTAATGTTGAATTCTGCATGTATTTAAAAATATGAATGTTATGTATTTGTGCCAAAGAAAAAGGTGTAATGGGTTTCTTTCAAGTCGAAAAACACTGGCTCCCTAAGTGGCACATATGACCTGCTTTGTGTTGCAAGTCAAGAAAACTTGTCAGATGGAGAACATTTAAGTAAAAAAAGTAAAGCTAAATGAAGTATAAACATTCAAACTGTTCGCTCAAGCGGTGCACTTGGTATACATGACACAGCTCATTTTTGTGTAGTTTTGTTGATATATAAATCGTCCTTTATTCTTCTAATTATTGGAGATGGACCGATCAGTTGGTCGACCAAAGGTTTGAGGTTGAGGGTTGTATCCTCACGCTTTCAGCTGCTTTGAGCCAAACAGGAACCCCGATATTGTTATTCTTGACCCTAAATTTGGTATCAATCTTGATTCTCTCAATCCGTGTATCCTAACAAATCTCACTTATGTTCAGTAAATCAAAGGAATGATTTACCCAGAAAATACTTCAAATGATTCAAACCTGACCACATGACTGAAAGCTCAAGACAGGAACTGTTTCTTGAACTTTATCTCTCCAAGACCGAGTCGTTTTCTCACGCGCAAAGTCACAGCTGACTAGTATGACTCGGCTTCCTGTGCTGCAGACACAATCTTAGACACGAAATACTGTTGTCCCCCCCTCCCCTGCAGAATTTTCATCTCCGACTGTGTAGCCTACACGGTCATACCAAAGCAGCCAGTGTTAATTGGTGGTGAAGCAGCATCGGTGGTGCCCTACTTGTGACGGAATCTCGTTTTGTGGTTCGTCTTTGTAATTTCCTGCCAGCCCAGAAAGAAGTGAGACTCAGCAGCACCATTAACCTACATTGCATCAGAATCAGCTCAGACTCCAGACACCTGTATACACACACACACACACACAATGATGACACACAGAAAAATAAACAGGCAGTAACAGCATCTCGTATTAACGGTTATTAGGCTGCAGAAGCGATCCAGCGTGAAAACACCACAGTGTTACTTATTAACATTTTCTGCTCTTTAGACTGCTGCTCTGCGCTTATGTATTCACAACCAGCGGCTAAGTAACAGACTTAATGACTCTTCCTCCTCCATTGTGGACCCGTGCAGACATGATTAATAATTCGGACAAATGTTTTACAGAACTTGTGGGGCCAGGAGCTAAAACTGGACATAAAAGGTCACGAGTTCAGTTTTTCAACAGCCCTTGACTGGCGCCAGCTGAAAGTCTGCGTTTGCCTCCATCCTTCTCTGTGCAGTAATGATGCCCACTGTGCGAGTCCTCTGCAAACCCCACCTTAGTTTGTTTAAGGGGCTGAGGGACTGTTTGATCACAGCTGGGTTGATCCTCTTCAGACACGTTTAGCTGTGTCAGCACGAGATAGCGAACACAGCTGTCTGTCCGCGGAGCTTTTCATCAGTATTATCACATTAAAAGAAAGAGATGCAGATCACCTCTTATTGTTTCTCCGTGATTTGATCTCATGCTGCTTCTTTCTTCCTTTGTTGCTGTGCATGATTGGTGCTCTCACTATCCATCTGTGGAAGTGATTAAAGGCTGTTTGATGGAGCTTTTCCTCATTATGCTCTTCATATCTGAGCTGTTTATGGAGCTTTATGTGGGATACATTTCAGGACTGGTGCCACACTGGAGCACTGTGGTGTTCCCTCCGTGCATGCAGGCACTCTGGCTCCTCTTTTAGATCACACAAAGGTCAAAATTGAGTCCCTGTATCTAGTTCTGGCTCGATGGACGGATTTAGCAAACGGGGATTCTCTGACCTGAACTTACCGCTGCGATGTATAGATATATAGATAGATAGAAGGGAGAGTGAAGTTAATCATGCTGCCGTCATACTTGCTGACGCATGTGAATAAATAAGTCAGACAGAGCCCACTGATTTTATTTATAACGCACTACATCGCCTTGTTTCATGTCGCTGCCAGGTTCTGTTTAAGAATGCAAACTGAAAACGCCAACTTTTAGACTCACTGAAAAAACAAAGAGCTTCTAATGTAGATGAAAGGATCCATGAACTTCTTGTGTATTTCTTCCTTGACTGAGTTGCGTTTCAGTTTCGGCCGTGCAGGCGTGGAGTGCTACTGTCAGCATGAGAGCGGCGCTGCTGTCATCCAGCTCCAGTTCCTGATCAACGAGGTTTGTAGACAGAACCAGCTCCTTGTTTTCCTTGTCCTCCTCACCCTTTCACTCTGTGTCTGTCTACTGCATCTGTCTGTCCTGTTCTTATTTTACATCCACTCAGGGTCACAGGAGCTGCATTTGTCAACAGAGCTGTCAGTCATAATGTAACACCCCATATCAAGCATCAAATAGTTAATTAAAGATAAACTTTGCCAATGATTAAATATTTGCACATTTTTCAGCGTTAAACAAACGAACTATAATGACAGAAACCATGTTTGAATAAATGTCTGTGACGTGTTCTTTGATTTTGAAGGTTGACCCATGTCCAATCTGTTTACATGGAGGAGGCAGGCTTTATCACCGATACTGCAGCCAGTCTGTAGAGAGGGCTTTAAATATTTTAGCCTCACTTTTGGGGCTATTATGCCAGTCTATAGTTTTTACTACAGACAGTGTAAAATATGAGCTTAGTCACAGTGATGCCATCAACTGAGGGGTTATGAAGCCAGTCACTATGGAAACGTTGATGTAACCTAATTGGAGGTGGAGCCTATTGGTGACTTGATTAATGTTACATTAGTTAACTTTACATACAAGTCTACCCATGTGGCCCAGTGTTGTCCCTCAAAACTGTAACTACCTGTTGAAACAAGGCAGACTGTAAGCCCTGTGATTGGTCCACTGGGTCGCATTATTCCAAACATGATCAAGCTTCTGTAAACACCATATCGTATCAGTTTCAACTTCAACATAATACTTCAAATTCAGTTTCTATGCTTCCCAGAGTGTAGAAGAACAGGAAACAGGCGATATGGCTAGCATAGAAACTGTACTGCTGACTAGAATCTAGGCCGTGTATTACAGAGCAATGTGCACACACCATTGCAGAAATATGTAGTGCAACACTTCTTGGCCTCAACCTCGTGGTAAAAAGCCATCTTATGCCCAAATATGGACGTTTTAACACCAGTTTTGTTTTGGAGTCAGCCTCAAGTGGACACTCCAGGTACTGCAGTTTTTAGCCTATCAGCGCCTGAGGCTGCTGCTTTGTTCTTGGCAGGTAGGGCAGACAGTGGTACTAACTCACTCTTTATTGGCCATGAATCTCTGGTAGTTGTGTGAACCGTGCTTTTAGTGATCACATTGATTAAACACTAATGCTCTCTTTGTGACCCATAAGCTTCTGTGTTAGCTTGACTCATGATACAACCGAATAAAACAGACTGTATAAAGCCCCCTGTGTTTCTGACCTTGGCTACAGGGGGCGCTGGTGAGTGCCTTAGCTGATGACAGCATCCACCTGTGGAACCTGAGGCAAAAAATCCCAGCGATCCTTCATTCTCTCAAGTTCAACAGGGAGAGGTGAGTATCTGTTTATCACTTTCTACTTCTTTATTTGGAGTGACGCTGCAGTTTTCTCTCATGTTGTTTCAAGTAAAGAAGTTTGGAGGAAGTTCTCGGCTGTCCACATGCTTATCAGCTCAGAAACAGCAGGGTTGTTGCCATACTGTCTGTTTTAGGCAAATACGAAAACTCACGGGTGCTCTGTAACCAAAAAGATAAAATGTTGATGGTAATCTATCGCCACCTGTGAAAGTTTATAACTCATTTTGAAATCATATTTTTCAGATGTTTTCTTTTCTAAATTTAGAGAAGTAAGATTGTAAGCCATCACACAGGTGGAACAGGCACCTCTTGGGTCAGCTAAAACCAGACTGGATTAATGAAAAATTGATCTGCTGTTGTGGGTAAATAGTTTTTGTTATTTAGAGTTAGAAATCTCAAACTTAAAAGCTGCTTTCTTGACATATTAAATATAAATCTAAAGTTTTAGACCAAAACTACAACAAATAACTCCTGTGCTCTAAAGTTGACCTTGCTCTGTGAGCTCTTAAGCCCCTTTTGAGTCATTACTTTTATGCGGTTGCGCACAGTTTCCTCCTGTTGGCTCCATTTTTAGGAACAGCAGCATTCAGTCATACTGAGTCAACGCTTCAGTCATTATCAAGAGCAATAATGTGGCTCATATTGAGTACAAAAAAGAAGTTTCAAGCATTAGAAATAACAGATAAAAACGTTTATTACAAAAGAGCATCAGTATGAACTTCTGTCTATTTCATTAATGTAAAAAAAAACTCCTGACAGGATCTTTAAAGAGGGATTCTAGTGAGGAGAAACAGAATATGCTCCTACTACTCTGACAATGCAATTAGAGACATATTTTATGTGAAACCAAGTGATTCACAGGGAGCAGTAATTGGTAGGTAACAGCCTTGCTTTATTCTTGCTTTACACTTCCCCCTAATTGTGACCAAAAAGCGTTAATAAATGGTACAAATGGACCGCCTCTGCTATTGATTCGGCTACTGTAGCTCAACTAAACAGAACACCTGCCCAAAGATTTCCTGCTGCATGAGCTCTCCCTGACTTTACCCCCAAATTAAACCGAGGGGCTTGAAGTCAGGGTGAAATACTCGGCTGTTTGTGTTCACTCATGCAGCATTCAAAGGGTTTTTAGGAAGTTTGAGCATGTCTGCAAAGGGCTTTTTCGTGATTATCAGCAGCTGTCTGTTTTTAGCTGGGCTACCATTAACTAAATTGCACTTGCTAATGCTACAAAGCTGTCATTTATCATTGTATTCAGAGCGACCCGGGGGCATCCCTGAAACGGGCTAAAATCGTATGCATATGCTCACCACAACATGCAAAACTGAGCGCTGTGTGACTCATCATCTCGTAATGATCACTAATGAATAATTAGCAGGTGGCAGGGCTCCTGCTTCCTCCTCTACTTCCTTAATAGGCTCCTCTGATTTTCTGTTACATCACTGATGTTTCAAGTGAGATGTCAATCAGAGCTTAATCAGACACGCCCACACAGGTTAGAAAACGAAACACTAATCTGGGTTTGTTTCACTCAGATTATTGATAGTTATTCTTGCTCTTTTTGGTTTAAATATGTTTTCATAAATTCAGTTTTAATATTTATACTTCTTCAAAGCTTCAAGTCAAGACTTCTGCTGAAAATGTGCACAGAAAAACATCAACTCCAGCAAACAGTTAAGAGCAGTGATGTACTTTAAACATTTTAAATGTGGTGCACGGCTGAGTGAGTCTTACTAGTTGAGAAAAAGCAGCAGTGTTTTCTCCCTCCTATTCCTCCCTGCTGCTCTATATATAGTCTGGCTTCATTAGTGTGACACAGAGCAAGGCCTTTGTAATTAAATCTTAGTCACTCGCTACTCCTTCCAGTTGGAGCAGCATGATTAAGGGCTGGGGTGACTCTTTGATGGTACTGAGTCATGATGAGATAATGAAAAGCCAGGTTGTGATGGATCCTCCTGATCTTCTCCTCTCGCAGAATCACGTACTGCCACCTGCCCTTCCAGAGCAAATGGCTTTACATCGGCACGGAAAGAGGAAACATCCACATCGTCAACGTGGAGTCCTTCACTCTCTCAGGCTACGTCATCATGTGGAACAAAGCCATCGAACTGTGAGTCTCCGCTACCCAACTGTCTAGTTTCTGCTCCCTCCTCCTGCTCACTGCCTATTTGCATATCTGCGTTGCGCACTTGTGTGAGTTGACACTGAACCAGGAAAGTCTGAAACGCACAGGAATGTGTCTGCAGATACAGTGTGTGTGTGTGTGTGTGTGTCCTGAGAGCTGAGAACACTGGAGCTCTGATCAGTGTGAGGGCGGCACGGAGGTGGTGATTGTGCCTTGCCAGAACTTGCTGCTGAGACTCCTGGAGGTGTTTGCTGCCTGATTTAACTGAACATCTGTGATATAGGAAATGCCCACTTGATAACCCTGGTGACTTTCTCAGTGTCACCCACTCCCCCGTGTGAAATAAAAAATAAAAAAACACCCACAGTAGGAATCACAAGGAACTTGACATCACATCCTGTGCATAGGTGAACGTGGAAGATTTCCTGCAGGAATCAGATATACCTTGGCAGGCGCTACATTCTGGTAAAATTAGATTTCAGTGTGAGGAATCTATCACCCAGCACACTGACGAATGTCTTTAATGGAACCGGTCATAGTAGGTTTGCAGCGTCTGACTCTGTGAATGAAGAAGCTCTGAAAATCAAAAGTGAGGCCACTTCTTTCAGGGGAAACTTTGTGCTGTAGAAGTTTCTCTTTGCAGGTTTTTTTTTTACTCCTCGTGGACCTGCCACTGAGCTAAAAGAAAATATTTCAGAATGACTGGCAGCTCAAATTGGAGGCAGAGTATAAAAAAGTGTGTGTGTGTGTGTCTGTGTGAGAGTGAGTGCAGGGCTGCTGGTGAATCTGATAAATCCCTGTTTTAGATCTGGGAGTTGAAAGTGTCAGAACACCAAAGTATGCAATCAGCTCAGATAAATGTCTCTGAAACAGACAGCAGAGACAGGAAATGATTTTGGCTGTCTCACTGCGCAGATGATTAAAGAAAAGAGCTCTTGGCTTCGGTGTGGAATTTAAAAACAAAATATTCAGTGATTTTTTTTTTTGTTTTGTAGAGGAGGTTTGCAAGTTTTGAAAGAAGAAGTCCTTCCAACACAGTTTGACTTTAGCGATGCACGGTAATGTTATCTGTTTGTTATTGGTAACGTTGACTGTCTGCATCATTCAACGGAAGTAACAACTCTGATGTGCACGGCTGATAAGTGATGCTCACGCAACATCAGCGGTAGACTTCTCAGGTTGTTAAATGCCTTTCACTGCACACTACAGTGCATATAACAGTTTGCAGTTTGTTGAAATTGTGTTTTTGTTTGGCACAGTGAGTGTGCACATGTTTAAAAGTTGTATATCTTATGTTTCTCCATCATGTCTGATATGAGTTTATGCATTATTATGTAGTTTTGACCACAGGAAGAAGTTGGTGGTCTCTGCCATTTGGTGGAATTTGGTTTCTTTGTTAATAGCTTGTTTTTAGAAAGTGTGTTTTGGATGCTTCTCCCACTCTCTACTCCACACATTTCTTGCTCCTCTTCAGCTGTCGTGCCTAATAAAATGCCTAAAAATGAATGAATGAATGAATGAATGAATGAAACGTTATTTAACCAGAAAATCCTCATTGAGATTAAAAATCTCATTTGCCAGAGTGTCATTGTGTACATTTACAGAGTTACGGACATAAACAATTACAGACATATACAGACATAACAACCATATATATAACTATAAAAATATAACTAAAATGTAAACCAGACATGACTCTGCAGTGGGAGTCACTGCATGGGATTAAAATCACTTATATAAATAAAAATTTATTGAAAATTAAATAATCAAAATCAGCCATTACTTTTGAATTGTTGATTAACATGAATCTTCTGAGGCAAGATAGAAAACTGACCTGTGATCTGACAAATTACAATTTCACATTCAGACACTGTGTCTTCTATAAGTTTGCATCCATGATGAATGGTATGGGGATGCACAAGTGGCCATGGTTTCCACATCTGAGAGGACAACATTAATGCAGAGCAGTATTCTGAATATAGATTTTTAAGCATCATATTCTGCTGTCTGTCTGAATAGCTCCTTTCTCAGGGAAGATCTTGCATATTTCATCAAGACAATGTCAAACCACATTCTGCATGTATTACAACAGCATGACTCTGCACTAGGAGAGTACAGGTGCTAAACTAGCCGGCCAGCAGTTCTGACTTGCCATGCATGGAAAAATCTTTGGTACATTATGGAATTAAAAAGCATAAAGCAACATTAATTTTGAGTTTCAACATTTCTTATTGCTCAATTTTGAATTTAAATGATTTGCAAACCATCAACATTTTATACAGTTTCCCAACTTTTTCGAAGTTGGCCCCGCACTAGCGAAGTGGACCGTATCCCAGCCTCCTCCATCTCAGAGTTTTCTCGGGTACACTGTAGGAGTTTCATGGCTTCTTGACAGCATGGTTGATTTGATGGCAAAGTATTGATGGATCATGCTTCATTATTATGAAGCTTTTACTTTGGATAGCTGAGTCGGCAACATATGTAGCTCCTGATTGGCTGGTGTTATCTGCACATTCATATCAGATGGTGTGGCGTTCCTCCAAAAAGATGATCAGACACTTAAACTGATTATTTCAAGATAAATTAGAACTGGTTACAAAACAAAACAGAAATACAAAAATCTAATTAGTTGTAAAGCTAGCTTAATCTCTTAAGCTGAAGGTGTCATGAGTTATTGGGCTTGTGGTCTTTGCTTAAGCAGATCTTAGTGCAGTTGCAATATTTCTGTTGGGAATAACCGTATTCCTCTCCTTGAGGAGCCGGGACACAAATCAGTTTCACTTCTTGACCTTTTATTTCGTTGCTGTTTTTATCGCGTCTATACATTCACATTATTTTAACACTCAAAAAGAAGTCATTTCGAGTCCTTTCAAAATAAAAGTCCCTTTCATCCAAACAGAAAGCTAAATGACTCAGGGTTCATGCAGTAAAAAGGGAGAACAAAGGCAAACAAATAACAAATCTCTCAACATAAACTGGGTTACTTTGCAGTTTGCTAAGAGCAGAGCAGACACCCTTTTTCTGCAGTCTAATTTGCCCTCAGTAAACAAAGCCTTTCCAGTATATTATTGTTATTTTTGTCCCGGATTCACACTTTAAATTAACATTTGAAACCTTCTGCAGTAGACAGAATACGTTTATAGCAGTCATTTGTGGTGTTGTGGGGAAAATTAAGCACCTTTAAATCTACCTTTTTGTTTTTTAAAATAGGGATTATCTTGCCTCTCAGCTTTAATACTATAACCCATACTGTTTGCATATTTATCCTCACTCTACATTAAAAACATTGGGTTCTTTGGATGGTAAATCATGCTGTGATTAGCGGCGGCTAGACTATATATTCTTCGTCTGTCCCCGCCTTTTTACTCACTGCTGCATCTGCGACTGTATCGACTCATCAGCAGCAATGAGATCATTAGCCGATGGAGCCAGACCACATTCAGAGGCAGCAACACTTTCTTTAGGCCAGACCTTCACTTCCTCCGTGGCCCTTGCTCTGTTGCCACGGTGATGCTGTCTCCACACGCTATAATCTCTCACAGACCCTCAAGTGACCCTGCTCTCCCTCTCTCTCTCTCTCTATTTGTCTCTCTCATATGTCATCTCTCTCTCTCTGTCTCTCTCTCTCTCTCTCTCTCTCAGCAGCACTGATGCACATTTTCATCTTATATTCCTGCTTTTTCCCTCGTGCACAAACAGAGACTCTGGCTTTTTATCTCCTCTTCTCCGTTTTGAAGATCTTCCCTAATTACCTACCCATGATTTTCTCCCTCTAAAAGCAGAACATAAACAGTCTTACTCAGATAGAATGAACTCTTTTGAAACGTGTTAGGTCTTAATGCACAACACAGATACTCTTGAATTGCACACACCTTCGTTCTTTGACTTCTGTACTTTTCTTTTGTCTTTAAATCTTTCACAGATCCACCAAGACACACCCCGGGCCTGTGGTGCACATTAGCGATAATCCCATGGATGAAGGAAAGGTAACTCATATTAAACTTAACAGATCCTCCAAGTGTTGTTTAGAATTCCTGAGCGCAAAAAAAAAAAAAAAAAGAAAGAAAGAAAACGAATCCATTTTTGTCAACTGGGGGTAAACTCGTCTTGTTTCTCTTTTTCGCTGCAGACAATGCAATGTCAATAAGTCTTGTTCAGACACAGTGAAGAGTGATTGCGGACCATTTCCTACAAATTACAATGTCAATAGCCTCCATCTCATTCTGGTGTCTAAATTAATGAGAAAAGGCTCCATTTAAGGCTCATTGTTCACAGAATGAGCCGGCATGTTTTCTACGAAGAAGTGAAAACCATATCTTCATAGCCGTTAATCTGACAAATATTTGGCCTTTTATTTAAAGATATTTTTTTATTCTGTTCTTTCTTAATTCATGTCAAATTCTAGATCCAGTATCACAAAGTATCAGTCATTGTTTTAAAGGCACTGTCTGTCTCAGAAATTCAACTATCTTAAAGCTCCAGTGAGGAACTTGCTGTGTGTGACAGTTTTTGCACCCCCTGTGGACAAAGCAGTTTTTACTCATCTGGTTCCTGACATGCTCATGCAGTGTCTTTTGATGAAAAAGACCCTTTCATGTTGCTTTTTGACAGTCAAGTGTATAATTATCATGAATATTTTATGCAGAAAATGTAAAAACCTGAGCTAATTCTGCAGCTAAAAGGCTGACACCTACCTCCTCACTTTTTGAGTCTTTTTGAAAAATGTCCAAAATTTCCCAGAGGTGCCCAAAGCACTGGAATAGTAGATAAAGTGTATTTAATTATTAATTGATAAACATGATGTATATTTGTGTTTACTCAATTTCACATCTATCACTCTTATATGTGTGTTTTTGTCAGTAAATGACTTTATTAGGTTTAGAATCAAATCTATTCTTTATAATGCTAAGTTCTGCAGAGAAAAATCACATCAACTGACAGAGATTGAGTAATATAAAGAGCATTCCTAAGTCTTCTTAATGTTAACCAATCCTTTACCATCACAGACAGAGATGAAGATGCAGTGATGTTAACTCCAGGCAGAGCAGAAAGTGGTTATACGGCAATCATCTGAGCTGTGCTTTGCTCCTCTTGTTATTGCAGCTTCTGATTGGATTTGAGTGCGGGGTTGTGGTGTTGTGGGATTTGAAGTGCAAAAAAGCTGACTACCGCTACAATTATGATGAGGTAAGACATTATTTCCTCTCTGCTCCGTCCTTGTGAGGGTTACTTTGTTCACTGTTTTCACACTCTAGCCCCAGCAACATGTGGGGTCTTGAAAGGTTTGCGTTTTGTGTCACTTCGTACACATGTGATGGAACAGTGACTCCACAGTGCTTCCTCTGGAGACTAGAAGCTGCTACTCCTTGAACCCTTTCCATTGCTTTGTCTCAGGGGATTTCATATGAGATGACTATTTTTCTCAGTTCAGCATGTGATAGCTGTGAAGCTTGTTGTTTATATGCAACTGAGACTTAATTAAGAATGAAACCCAATCGATCAAATTAAGCACAGTACAGCATTTTTCACGGTGGTTGTACTAAGATGTAATGAGACAATGAAAAGTTTCCTGTTGTGTGTCAACAAGATGAAAAGATGCGTCTGGTGAAACTCGTTAATCTCTGACTGTCATCTTCTGTGTCAAGTCTATAAAAGACCCAAAAACCATCAGTGGAAGAAGAATCGCCTTTTGTGAACAAAGCCTGAAGTATCCTATTACTTGGTGCCCTTGAGTTCCTCTGTTGTCAAAACGTATTGAAACTGCAACAATACAATAGGATAGGATACTATATGATATGATATGATATGATCTGATATAATGTGATTTGACCGATATGATAAGGTACAATACAATAGGTTAGGATATGATATGATATGATATGATATGATATGATATGATACGATTTGATAAGGTACAATACAATAGTATAGGATAGGATATGATATGATATGATATGATACAATATAATTTGAACGATATGACAAGGTACAATACAGTAGAATAGGATATGATAGGATATCATATCATATCATACGATATCATACAATATGATATGATAAGATATAATACAATATGTTAAGGTACAATACAATTGGATAGGATTATATGTTGGATATGATATGATACGATATGAAATGGCACGATATGATATGATTTGATACGACGTGATATAATATGATACAGTATGATACGGTATGATACGATAGGATATATGATACAAGGCATTATAAGATACCAATCACACCCGATGATACAAGATTTATTAACAGGATAGCAGATGAGATAATATGATACAAAATTATACAGCATATTAGGATAAAATACAAGAATATTTGTATTGAGACAATATGAGTAGACACTATAAGATATGATATGATAAGATGCAATGATATGCAATCCATTTGGATACCACGTAATAGGATACAATATGACATGCAAAATAATGGGATATGATTTTACACATGATAGCAGGATACCATATGATACAGTACTGTAGAACACAATATGATATGCTGCATTATGATTCAATATGATATATAATGCTATACTTTACAATACAACCAAAACAGTATGATACAGTAGGAAACGATTTGACATAATAAGTTACAATGGAATATGTTGTTACCATACAATTAAATACTACTCTGTAATAGGATACAGTAGGATACAATAGGATGAGATGCAGTACAATATGACTTGATATAATCTGATCGTATATGTTAAATGCTTCAATATGTAAGAATATGATCAATCAACATATCACATTAAAAACCAGAACTTCCCCTCAAGGTAAACTGCAGGATTAATGTAATTAATGTCACGTTTAGAGGAAGGATAAAGTAGTACAGCCGTAAGGTAATACTTACTGAGAACTGTGTAGTTTTCTAATTGAAATACTGTTATCTGTTATATGACTGTTGTAGCGTATGAGTCAGGGCGACCAACTGTTTTGTCAATATTTTGTCCCACTCCTGCTGGGCATCATTCCCCCCTTCATGGCTTAACACATTCACTGTAATACTTGAGCTGATTCCACTTACCACCGTTCAGATGCCAAAGGTACTTGATCAAACTGCAAATGTGTGATAATCTGCGTCTGAAAGAAGTCCCTAAACATGAGACTACTTACTCCTGTTGACATTACTTCTGCTCACACTATAATGAGCAGGAGTTTCGGGAACTAATTCACCTGTTTTCTAAAGATGAAAGTATATTTTTCAAACACTTTTTCAAAGCCCGGTGTCTTAAGTAGCAACAAATGAGCCTGAAGTTCCACAAAGGCCACAGAGAAGTCAGATGGGTCTCACCGAGGACTAATGAGTTCTTGGTTTTGCTCATTAGTCACTTTTATGGAAAGATGTAGAACTTTCCAGTCTTCTTGCTCACAGAGCTGTGCAACAACTCCTGTTAGTTGTTGCACAGCTGTGAAATGTGCGCCCTCCTTCTAATGATGTGCTGCTGCGGGGTCTTTCAGGCCATCCACTCAGTCGCCTGGCACCACGAGGGTAAACAGTTTGTCTGCAGCCACTCTGATGGCACGCTGACCACATGGAATGTACGAGCCCCGGCCAAGGCTGCACAGATCATCACACCACATGGTAGGCACTGTTGTATACACACACTTTTACTGTCTATACACACACAGGGAGGTTAAACAGAAGCCAAGTGTCTTTGAAAGCACACATCAAAGCTCAAAGTCCCTCCGGTCTGAGAGGTGTGACTGGTTTGAAAAAGTTCAAGCATGTGTTGTGTACACACTTCGTTAACTCTACCTGCGCTTGTTTTAGTGAAATGCATTCGCTGTCTTTTTACCTCCCAGGGAAGCAACCTAAAGATGGAAAAAAGCCAGAGCCATGCAAGCCTATCCTGAAGGTGGAGTACAAAACAACAAGGGCGGGGTAAGTGTGATGGAAGAAAGTCTCCACCCATCCTGTGTCATAACTGACTCTGGTTTTAATCCATGTCCTGTTTCCAAAGTGCCCTTTCCTGTTATTCTGTCACAACAATACAAAATCAAACTGGCCGGTCCTGTTGACAGGGCCCCTCTGCCATGTCTAATTACTCCTCTGTTTCACTGCATTTGTTTTGTTGTGATAATTAGCTTAATTGTTTTCGATTATGACAAATGATTTGTTGTTGCATGTTAATTATGTTTTGATTATCATCGGCATAATTATCATTATCAGCTGAGATTTTTTACTTCAATGTCACATCGTAGAAGGACAAAACTTTCTTTAAATCCCTGATATTAAAGCAGTAACCGTTTGATGAAGGTGATCTAATTATCCCTTACATTTTCTCCTCAGGTATTAGAGGACAGGGATTAATATAGTCATCATTATAATTAAAGAGCGGACTCCTCTTTTTGTAGATGCTCCAGAAATGGGGGCAGAGCATCTCCAGAGGAATCACAACAGTAAAAATTTGGAGTCCCTCTCCAGCCGTTTACCGCTGATTGGACCGTGTAGCTTTGGAATTTATTGAATAAGCAATTAAACTGTTTCTGTGCGTGTTTGTGTTTGTGTTTCCTGATCTCAGGGACCCGTTCATGGTCCTGTCAGGAGGCCTGTCTTATGATACAGTTGGGAGGAGAGCCTGTCTGACTGTGATGCATGGAAAGAGCACTGCCGTCCTGGAGATGGACTACCCCATAGTGGATTTCCTAACACTGTGTGAAACTCCATATCCAAACGGTGAGCTGCGAAACTCAACACTGGGACATTCAGTGTCTTTATTAACTCCCCGAAACGACACCTCGGTTAATTTTGTGCTGTTTTGTGTTTTCTTTCTTTTGTCAGACTTTCAGGAACCTTATGCTGTGGTTGTCCTCCTGGAGAAGGATTTAGTCGTAATAGACCTCGGACAGATTGGGTATTTATATTGCTTTCTTAATATAGAGAAATTTTTCTGTATTCATCTTGGAAAACTGTTTTTGCCAGGGGCGTGTACAGAGGTGCGGCAAGGGGTGGGATGGTACCCCAGAAACCGGCCACCCCTGAATCCTAAACTATGATTCCCAATTAACCTCGTCAGATGAAAGACTGATGTTAAAGTCAACCATTTAGGCACCTGCACTGATTTAAAGTCCCACTCAGATAGTTTTTTTTTTACTTCTTAAAGTGTTCTAAGTGGTCTCTTAATTGTGATTATGACGTTTTTACCAAAAGTTGTGTTATCTCTGTCATTTTCAAGGGCTTTTCTTCTGCAGAGCTCCAGTAGATCATTAGTAATTCACCTCTAAGTCGTGGGCGGAGACAGTGCTGCTCTGCACACTTGTCTTCACGTGAGCTTGCACCCTAACATTACCAGTGTGGTAGAAGTAGTAGGTAACATAAGAGCCATTCAGCTCTCGGACACTAATGTCTTTCGGGACACGATGAAAGTTAATATCATAATTAGCTTTCTTACGATCATTTCAATCTGCTTGTTCCGCGATCGTCCTCCGTATTTCTCCTCTGTGTGGCCTGCATGGCAGGGCTCTGGGGGCGGAGCTTGGAGCGGTTACATATGAAATCTCACTGTTTCTGAACCTGCCGTTTGGGTCTGCCAGAGATTCACAGCGATTTGAATGAAGAAATTCTCAGAAAAGCAATTTTGAGTTTAGTTTTTCTCAAATGTCCTGTAGCATCAGAAAAATGCCATATGAACACATAAAAAAACAAGAACAACATGATTTTCATCTGAGTGGATCTTTAAAGCATTATAAAGTATGATATAAAACTGTTGCTGTTATTGTTTGTGATCTGTTTTGCTTTAATATGTCATAAAAAAGCATTTGGATAAAATTAGCCTATTTTATAAACATCAGAAATATTCTCACAGAAGCTGTAACAATACTGGTTTCTTGCTATTATTGAACTTAACTGATTAATTTAGTCAGAAAAGTGCAAATCAAACTTGTGAGGCTTGAATAAGTGAGAGAAAATGGTCCCAACCTGGGGAGTTGTTATTAAGAATATGAGTGCAATAAGATTGTAGAATACACAAGAGCTGTCACAGTTTTTCCAGCACTTTTGTTCTCTTAAGGTTCCCCTGAATACGAAAGTCCAGCCTTAATTAAATACAAGAGGGAATTGTTCCGCAGTCAAGCAAGCATTATGTTCCTTTTATTTTAATCTTATTATTCTCCCCCCTGGTGAATTGCAACTGTTTACCATTTTATTCTAATCATACAGCGAAAAAGGAGACACTTATGTTTAAAATCCCAGGTCGCTCTCTTTTATTGAGAAAAAAGAAGAAATCATGCAGTTCTCGTGAGCGCTTATAAAAATTCCACCCAGTTATTTTAATAAATTGAAGGGGATTCATCAGTTTATGGATAAAAACAAAGCCGTCCTTTTCTTGATTTAGTTACAGCGCTCATTTTTGGTCCCTATCAGCTGATGTTGAACTGAGCCATCAGCAGGTGTAACTCAGGTTAAAGTCTGTCGTATATCTGATAGTGAAAGTGCAACGTGGAATAGTGACAGCTCAGGTGATGGGTGTTGGGTTTTTTTCTGTTTTAACATCAAATTTAATGCAATTTCACACAAATTCTCGACATTTTAATGTCCATTTGAACATGTTGATTCATCAGTAAAGAGTGTGCAGCTGCATTGATTTGCAGCGAGGCAGCTGTCGATGCATCTCCAGCTGGTAGACATGTGGAGATAACATGTAGACATGGTTATTTTAAAGTCTAACCTATAGCACCTTGTTTTGGCAGGTATCCAATATTTGAGAATCCATATCCCCTGACTATCCATGAGTCACCAGTGACCTGCTGTGAGTACTTTGCCGACTGCCCTGCTGAACTTATTCCTGCACTTTACTCTGTCGGCAGCCGGCAAAAGAGACAAGGCTACAGCAAGAAGGTACACAACATTTCAGATCATTATTGATGCTTCAACACTGGAAGTGCTGTTGAAAGCTCTTGTGAGGAAGTTGAGATTAATGTTGACGTTGGCGCCCCCTGTGGACAAAGTGATATCTCTTTATCATTCTTATCCTGTACTTTCTGACAAAACCCTCCTCTCAAGAGCTTTAAAGAACAGATTTGTGTCTGTTTTCGCAGGAATGGCCCATCAGTGGAGGAAACTGGGGCCAAGGCACTCAGAGTTACCCTGAAATCATCATCACCGGGTAAATGACTCATGAATATAACAAATAGAGTAATCACTTTGCCATAACGATGATATGGCATTGTCCCAGTGACGCAGCAATCTAATACTCTTTATTTCCGGTCCCATGAATAGACATGCTGATGGGTCGATCAAATTTTGGGATGCTTCTGCATGTGAGTATTTATACTTGTTTAATTCCAGTTTATTTTAAGAAGAAGTTTGTTGCTACATTTAGCTGACAATTAATAACCATCAGAAGACATAACAGACTTGTAAATTAAGTTTTTATGATTGAAATCTATAAAAGTTATTGCTAGATACACATAACTTTCCATTATCTCGATTTGTTAGGATACTTTTATTTTGAAACTGTCAAATCATAGACTGTAAATAGAATAGATGCCGTCTGCCTCCTCGTGTGGTGAAGCCACTCTGAGAACAGCACCCTCTGGTGACGGGCTGCAGTATAGCTCATAAATCCCGCCTCCACCAGCAAAGCTTATGGGGCTGTGGACAAACTTTAGAAATTTATTACACAGAATATACATTTTTCTCCCCCCTGCTTGAGATGTTGACATGTAGTTATTGTAGACTGATTTGTGCTCAAGTTCTCGTTCTTTTCTGTGAAGCTCCATTTTTAAAAGTTTTTAGGGGGTTCACGTTTTCTGTGATTGACACCTGATACAGCTTAATGGCGTACAAAGATTGTGTAGCTCACTCGGGGGATATGCTGTTTGAGCTGAGCGTCATCAGTGTTTCAGTAAACGAAGAAAAATCGCAGCAATACCGAGAGCTTTTTGGCTTCAAAGTTTTCCATACAGTCTATGTGTCCAATTCATTCTGTGCAGAAACAGTTTTGGATACAAGGCGCATGTATTTGTTGTTATGTTGTCTCAATATGAGTTTTTTTTGTAAAGGCTGGTAAAAATGTCGGAATATGGTCATTTATGCATCATACTTCAAATAAAGGAAGAGGAAGAAATCTTAGAAATTAGATTTTATTCACGCATTAACAAAAAAACCCTCTTAAATATGGAAGATAAATAGAAGTGGTTCTCCTAAAAACTGAGGTTTAAAAAGGTTAGATTAGAAGCTTTAAAGCAGCTCCTTATGCTGTTGAAACATCCATATACACAACAGTATCATCTGCATATTAAGATACATCTAGTCCCTCAAAGTGCTTTAAGATGTTATTCATATTAAACTAATTTTAATTAATCCAAGAGGAAGCCCACTTCATAGTTTGAGCAGCCTCGAACCTCAGTACATTGTCTTGATCACAGTGCATCATATCTCCCTTATTCTTGATTTTCTCTTCTTTTCAAAGTAATGCTTCAAGTGCTGTACAAGCTAAAGACTGCCAAGGTGTTTGAGAGGACTCGCGGTAAAGAGGAGAAGCCGAGTACAGATATAGTAGAGGAGGATCCGTTTGCAATCCAGACCTTGTCCTGGTGCCCAGAGAGCAGGATGCTGAGTGTGGCCGGGGTGTCTGCTCACGTTATCGTCTATAGGTTCAGCAAACAAGAGATCACTACTGAAGTTGTGCAGGTAAATACACACTTACTGTTTAGATCTTGTTTTTCCAGGACAGTTATCAGAAACAAGCCTTATTTTTCGACATATCTTGTTTTTTCGTAGCTTTTGGAGGTGCGGATGCAGGGTGAGTTTAGCGACGGGGACTCCCCTGACCCAGGAGGGGAGCAGACTCCCACCCTACCTACCCCGGCAGCTTCCTCCAGTCCTCAGGAGGGAGAGCTTCCAACACAGCCTTCAACGGGAAGCAACTCCTCTGATGGGCCTCGGGACAATATACCCTGCCTGCAGTATGAACCCTTATTTCTTTTTTATTTCCTTTTTTGTGAAATATTATTCAAGCCATTGTGGACGAACCCAAAAAAGTATCCTAAAAAGATCATTTTAGTGAGTGATGTGGTCATCCTTCCCCTCCTTATTGCATCTCCTCAGTCCTTCATGATATCTCCACACTGGTTCACCAGAGGAAAATAAATCTCTATACAAAAATATTACAAACGATAAATTTTCTTTGACAGTAAAGGTGAGTGGGGGGGGATAAGGGTAATAAAAATGATGACATTGTCATTGTGGCCCACCCATAGGTAATCATTCTTATCTGTGTAATGTGTACCCCCGCTATCTCACCCTGCTGTGTGTTTGATGCAGGGTGCGGAGCTCCCCGCTGAAGCAGTCTCCGGGCTACCAGGTGGAGCTGGTGATACAGCTGGTGTGGGTGAGCGGGGAGCCACCTCAGCCAATCACGAGCCTGGCTATCAACTCCTCCTACGGCCTGTAAGTCCATGAAAGCAGCATGCTTGATATTTTGACACAAGCTCACACTGCTTTATGCCAACACTCCTCTTAACAGTGGTGGTTAACCCTGTCCTGGAGCTATATTTATGTGTCCAGAAGCTTTAATTGCATCCTGCCACACAAAGAGCCTTCCTGTATCATTGTGAGGAGTTTGAGCAAAAATACCATCTTAATTCCAAGACTGATGTAGTCATTTGCTCCTCTTGTGTTTCAGTGTGGTGTTTGGGAACAGTAATGGTCTGGCTGTGGTGGATTACCTCCAGAAAACTCTGCTCCTCAACATGGGCACGTCAGAGCTGTACAGCCCATCTGATCCCTACCAGAGGCAGCCTCGCTCCCCACGCAAACAACGGCAGCCCTCTGGAGGTACACTTGCACTTTTTTCGTCCGCCGCTCATAGCTGAATACCCGCACAGGCTACCCATCATTCACATTATGAAGCTGAGATTTAGTATTGGCTCCTTAAATCATATTTTTTTGAGATATGGACTTATCTGGAGGCTCTGACTCGAACTGTTGGAGGTTAGTCGGGGGGATGCAGGGCTGACACTTGGCAGCAGCTTTGACTTCGCACCATGAGCACCGCCCCCTGTAGTAGCTCCTGTCTCTCAACAGGGGGCATCACTGACAGATTCTCCATCTGTTCAGTTGGACACACCAGATGATCTTTGCAGTCAGAGCGAATGCAGTATCAGTGCCTTAATGTTTACTTTCTGTTTCTTTGATAGTAAAGCAAACATGATTCGTATGGATTTGTTGGTTTTAGCTTTGCTGTTTCTCTCATGTCTTTTACTATGTTTTTTGTCTCTGCCTAATCATCCTGTTTGTACTCATTCTTTTCAGTCTCAGTGGTCTGCTGCGAGATTTAAGTCTCTTTTATTTGGGTTCGCCGTCGTGACGAGCGAACTTTAATTAATGCACACTTGAAGAATTCATTCTGGTTACTCTTTCCTTTTAATTAGAAATCCTGCAGCAAGCCCCCGAGACTTGTATCTTTCGTTTTCTGTTGCACTTCTGATCATTTTCCTGTCTCACTGTTTTTACTGTCGGTCTCTCTCTGTGGTAAAGACGTTCCACCTGTGACTTCTTGCATGTCCAGACTTTCTAACTTGTATTCTGACTCTGTGAAAAAGCTACGCTCATCACACTTCAGTAAGTCATGTTGTGTGAGAATTTCTTCCTCCTCTCTGCAGTATCATTTCTCTCCTCTATGTCTCCCCCCTTTTTTTTGCTCATAAAGATACACTCCCTGTTTTTGGTATGGCACCCCCAAAATCCCCCAAATCCTCCGTATTGACTTCTTAAAAACAACAGCTGTGAGCTGGGAGGAAATTGGGTGACTTGAGAGCACTTGAACAAAAACAGGCTGTATATCTTTAACCCAAGCCACATATTTTTCCTAGACAAACAATACTGGCACTTAGAGCCAGCAGACTTGTACTAGATTTGTGGCGTGAACTCAAGTGTGGCTTATTTATTACTCTGTGTAAGTAGCTGTCCTTGCCTTTGTTCAAATTAGAAACCCTTTATTATTTCCACTTTACCTGTTTTCTGTAGGAAATGGCTTAAACTTGTAAAGATAAATCCAAGAGTGGATCTAAATTCTGCTGTTTTTAATTACAACTTTTGTCCTCCCTGCAGCACTTTGTGATTCCAACGATGGAGTCAACCCTCCGGAGGACCGCTGCAAATCACCCACTTCAGGTAAGCCTCCGTGACGTCTTCCTCCCCCCAAAAAACAGGTCATTTGGTCATTTCATCAAATCCGTCTTTTTTTTTTCAATGATCCCATTTGTCACGTAGGCTCTACCTCACCTTGCAATTCAGATGATGACAGAAAGCAGAAGTTCATAGAAAAGGGTACTGTATGCATAAAAGCTGCATGCGTTTTCTCATTTGACTTTAAAATGACTGCAGATGTCTGACTTGTCTCTTTAAACCCTGTTTTCAGTGAAGGTCAAAAGCAGACGTTTTTCCAAGACGGTTGCCAATGACTTTGGTACTGTATCATTTACATGTATCTTCCTCATAGACTGTATATGAAAGTGGATATAGCAACTGTAGCATCACCCTTTTTGTAGTTTGCCTTGAATTTTGCATTTTGGCCGTCAAGAGAGGTGCTAATCCTTCAAATCCAAAAGCTTGGAGTATCATTTATACATTTTAGGACTGGGCGATTTGGCAAAAAAAAGAAATTATCACAATATATTTTGTAATATCGTCTGATCTCGATTATTATCACAATTTTTTTTTTTTTTAAACTGCCAGTTTTGAAGCACCTGTACTAAAAACCAGAGATGGGAATTGTGGAGTCACCAAGTCATCTCCGTGCCATGTATTTGTTCTGCTCTGTCACTGAACCAGCTGCTTCCAATGAGCAGCCAGGAAGGTGAGCTCATTAGTGAAGGTACCTGGTTCAGTAACTGAGCAGAACAAATACATGGCACGGAGATGACTTGGTGACTCCACAATTCCCATCTCTGCTAAAAACTAAAGAAACTAGAGATTAGTTCAACATTTTATTAACATACAAAGTAAATAACAAAGCAAATTGAGTAAGATAAACTTAAAAATATATGAAAAGCATTTTAACTCAACAGTAAAACAAATGTAGATAAATACTAAATAATACAGTGAACTAGTTTACCGTCCAGAGTGTTTTTGCAGGTATGCAAGACCCAAAATAAACAAATCGCCTCCTCAGAGATGATGAAGACGCCTTAAAATGTAAACATTAGATGATGTAAACGTAGACGATAATCACTCGGGAAGTACTTCATTAAATGATTAAACAGATCTGTTGTGTTGCCGGTTTCTAAGTGCACCGACCGCCAACATACCTCGCACATCGGCGTAATTCCTCGACTTCTTTTTGGAGACAGCCAAACCGCCGCCACACACAACCGACGTTGAAAATTTTGTCTTCTCAACTATGGCATCTTTGGAGGATGACTCAATCTATTTTGCTGCCCTTAGCTCCACGTTTAGCTCCATGTTCGGTCATTCTTTTTACTTCCCCTGTTTACAGAAGTGGAGCAGGAAAAGCTCGACTCTGATTGGCTGTTGTGACGCACATTTCAAGGCTGATCACCATGATTGAACTTAAATTTATCATGATCATTGATCACGACCATATAATCGCCCAGTCCTAGTACATATACGACACTAAGCTATGTCATATAAACATAAGGTACTTTTGCTCTAAAAGAATAAGCGCTCGAAATAAAGGACAAACCATCTCATTCTGCTCTCAACTGTTAAATGTTCCCCAACACCAGAGCATGAAGATAAACGGCAAGAGTCAGGATAACGCCAAGTGGATAAAGACCCTCTCACCTCTCGATACACCCCAACTCTAAAATAGAAAAGGAAAGTGAAAAAAAAAGATGCAGAGATGTGTAAGAAAGAAGATAGAAGAAGCTTGTTCGGGCCTCTAGACTTTATGGTTTACCCCCCGTGTTCCTCTCAGAGTTAAAGCACTCCAGCGTAGTCTTCATGACTTCCACCTGAAGCTACATCCACTTCTTATACACGGTCTATGATCCTCTCCGATCACTCCATCTTTCTCTCTGAATGACAGCGATCTAACCACACTGTGCCTTAATCCTGCGTCAGTCTGTGCATCTTGTGCCAATGAAAGACAGATGTGCCATCATGAGATGTATCTTTACTAATCACGGTCTGGGGGTTTACAGTGCTAATTTGTCAATTAATGAGGATTTTTTTTTTATCAAATGCATGACAGGATATCTTAAATTCTGGGCATCAGATTTTCTATGCGTTCAATTTTATGCATTTTTCCATATTCTGGCAAATACAAAACTGGCAAAAACGACCTTATTACTCATTCAAAAGCATAGAAAATCTGCATCATGCCTCCGTCTTTACAGTACTAATGTCTAACCATGTCTCTCAAATTTTTCAGAAAATGATTTCTCTGTGTTTGTGTTTCTGATTCCAGGATTTCAGCTTGTTTGGCTATCTGCTGATTATTCCTCCCCCTCCTCCCTGTGCATAACTATGTCCACTGAATTGCAATTACTTTACTTCTTGTCCGCCTCTTGCTTTGTTTGATATTACAGGCCCTCTGCTGTCTGCGATGCCTCTCGGCCTCATTTGTATTCTCAGGGTTGCTCTGAGGGTGGTTGTAGACTGCAACAGACAACTTTCGGGGGTTTTTATTCTGAAAATTGGCAACACTCCTGGTAGCAGGCACCAGCTAAAATCAATTAAGATGTTTTTGAAATAGAATATTGCTCTCACAGCAGTACAGAGTAGTTCCATTTGAGACATAAAATACTGTATGTCGGCCCTCAATAGTTGTCTTCAATGATATATAGCCACCCTTAGGAATAAATCAAACCAATATTCATCTACATAATTATTTTCACTGTGAAAAAATTATCTTTGATTGTGATTTTCTTCAATTTCCTTTGAAGGAAAACTCTCATCCATCATTCCCAGCTCATAAAATAGGAATATTTGTTTCTGTTACAGCCAAGATGTCGCGGAAAATTAGCTTGTCTGGGGACCATGGTAAGCCACATCCACTCAACTTCAGCTACTAACAACCTTCATGTTCTCCTACAGGTTCATTTATTTTTGCCTTTTTAAACATCTGCTGCTGAAATAAGTCTGAGAACGTGCTGCTAACTGTGCCAGGCTGCTGTTTTAGGATGTTTTTTCTGTGAGTCCGGACAAATACTTTGTCTCTGTTTGCAATGCGAGCAGAGCAGAAGCCCCGGCACTGGCGCTCTCTCACATATAAGAAGCCCGTGTTTAGTGTGAACGAAGACAAAGAGGAGACGGCGATGAGCCAGAAGGGGGGCGTCTGTAGAACTTTGTCAGTCCCCGTCTCCAGTGAGTGGACCAGCTGACTTGGTCTGAAGTGGGATAACTTGGTACTAACCCCCACTACTGCTGGGGCTTTTATTCTGAAAGGGGCTGACGTATGACACTAATCCTCTCACAGTGATTGTTTGATTCTTTTAGAGGAAGCTTGGCTGACTCGACTGCAAAGAGTGTGAAAAGAAAAAAAAATCCTGCTTTTCTTGTTTGCAGTTTTTTTTTCCTTGTGAAGCCCACACATGACGGGCGGTGTTTGAGTTTCCCTCTGTGTCTGTGTTTCTGTTGGGATCCGTCATTAGCTCGTTTTGAAGAGGGTAAAAGCTTGTGCTTCAGCTGCCTTCAGCCTCGTAATGAGCCATGAATAATTCTTGCTCCTTAAATACCAGTTCTTCCTTGGGAGTCCCTGTAGTACTACATGCATTTCTTCAGCCCTTTTTCACATTGAGAATCTTGTTGTTGTCGGATTCAATTGCAAAGAAAAAAGGACATTGTAGAAACAATAGAGGAGAAAAATCGTTTTTGGCTGTAAACTGTGCAAGAGCATCTCAATGTTAAAAAGCTTCGAGTTGACGAGTGCTAAAAAAACAAGAATGCTACACTAAACTCATGTCAAAACAGCTTCAACATGTTTACCTTTTTGGACCTGTTAGATTTCATGCTGTTCTCGTCTCTCCTTCTCCTATTCGTGCAGATTTTCCTCTTTCAACTTCCTCTTGATAGAAAACAAATCATTTCCTTTTACTGTTTTTTTTTTATTTTTGTGTGTGTGTGTGTGTGTCTTCTGCCGCCGCCCAGACACCAAGGACAACTCATTCACCCGCTCTCGGAGTTCAAGCGTAACCAGCATAGACAGAGAATCTCGAGAGGCCATCTCTGCCTTTCACTTCAGCGAGAGTTTCCCCAGGAAGAACGACAGCCTGGTCGGCCCCTGCGTGCTGGTGGGGACCACTCAGGGCTCAGTGATGATGGTGGCCCTCAGCCTGCCGCCTGGGGGGGACCAGAGGCTGCTGCAACCCGTAGGCATCTCCTCCTGTGGTAAGAAGCTGAGCGGGACTCGATTTTATTCATCAGGTTTCAGTTTCATGAGATTGACGGTCATTATAGGTCCCCGGTCTGTCAATTTGAACTAGATTGACACATGGGAAAGCAGAATGGCTTATGTCCATAAGTTCGTCCGCATGTAAAATCTGGGTAGCAAAGGGTAAAATCATTTTCTTTTACTCTTGCAAGTAAAAATTCTGGATCTTTATATGATTTTGTTTCACCATAACTTGTGTGAAGTGCTTGAATCCAACTTTTACATTTTGGGAACAAGCAGGTCTTCTTATCTGGGAATAATCCCGGCAGATATGACAGAAACAAACGGTTAAGACTCTGGTTTAGGTTATGCATTTTTCATGGCGGTTATTTTACAGTTGTTCCAAATGAAGATATTTATCCTTGTTCTCTTCTCGCTTCTTCGAAAAGTAGGAAATGTTGCACTTTAGAAAAAAATTATAGATCCCCGGTCTGTCAATTTGAGCTAGATTGACACATGCGAAAGCAGAATGGATTATGTCTATGAGTTCCTCGGCATGTAAAATCTGGGTAGCAAAGGGTTAAAGCATTTTCTTTTACTCTTGAAAGTAAAAATTCTGGATCTTTATATGATTTTGTTTCACCATAACTTGTGTGAAGTGCTTGAATCCAACTTTTACATTTTGGGAACAAGCAGGTCTTCTTATCTGGGAATTACCTCGGCAGATATGACCGAAAGAAACGGTTAAGACTGGGGTTTAGGTTATGCATTTTTCATGGCGGTTATTTTACAGTTGTTTCAAATGAAGATATCTATTTTTGTTCTCTTCTCACTTCTCCTAAAAGTAAGAAATGTAACACCTTAGAAAAAAAAAGCTTGACATTTGCTAACTCACACGCTGGCTCTTGTCCAGGATTAAAAAGAAAAACCTCTGCTCCTTCTTCTTCTCCTTCAGGCACCATGGCCAGCCTCAAAGGCGGCATTCTCACCATGGCCCTGCTGGATGCCACTGGAGCTCTGCTGCCCCCTTCCTACGAGCCGTGGTATGACGCCAATGCATCAGACGAGGAGAAGGAGAAGAGCCGGAGACGCAGGCCGGCCTCACCTCCCTCGTCACAGGAGGGTCAGGATTCTCAGTTCGCAGTGCTGTGTTCGGAGAAGCAGGCCAAAGTGCTGGCTATGCCGTCTCAGACCCGCATCTACAAACACAACATCACGGAGACCTCCTTCGTGCTGAGGGCAGATGTGGTACAGATGGCGGGAGCTTACTGCATCGCTTGTTTCTGTGCTAACGGACACATCATGACCTTAAGGTAGGGGTTATTGTTGCTTCAGCTGCTGCCTGCATTCAGAGCAGACATTATGTTCTGCAATAATAACGCGATCTCTCTGTATCTCAACAGTTTGCCCAGTTTAAGGCCTCTGCTGGACGTGAACTACCTGCCGCTGACAGATATGAGGATAGCTAGAACGTTCGGCTTCTCCAACCTGGGTCAGGCCCTGTACCTCACCTCTCCCACAGAGATCCAGAGGATCACCTACAGCCAGGAGACTTGTGATAACCTGCAGGTTAGATACTCCAAATTAAGTGAGTGAGATTAATTCAGAGACCTGTGATAACCTGCGGATCAGACACCCTCAGTCCCTGAATGAGGTTCATTACTAAATCCAATAACTGTGGAGAAGGGTTTCCACGCTGAGGTTAAGAATCAGTGTTTGGACTTTTTCTCCTTTTTCACTTCTGGGCTTTTGTTGTTGAGAGGGATTAAATATGAACAAGAGTCGTCTACCTTAAGGAGCAAACGGTTCCACCTCTGAGCTAAACCCAGCTAAACCATTTCGTTAGTTAAAGACAGGAAATTGTCCTGGAAAATCGTTTAAAATTAGGTTGTGTTGATGTTTGTGTCGTCTTCAGGAGATGCTCAGTGAGTTGTTTACTCCTGTGGAGACACCAGAGGCTCCCAACAGAGGTTTCTTCAAAGGACTTTTCGGGGGCGGAGCTCAGTCTCTGGACAGGGAGGACCTATGTGAGTGCAGAAGAGCTTTGTATCACATCCTGACCGTTTTTACATACTTGTAATTGTAAAATGAAAGTTGAGATCTTGTCTCATGTTACTGGGATTACTCTTTTCATCTTTGGTTAGTCGGGGAAACAGCTGCCGGTAAGGCCTCTCGCAGCCTGGCGCAGCACATCCCGGGCCCTGGCAGCATGGAGGGCATGAAGGGTGCGGCGTCTGGAGTTGTAGGGGACCTGGCCCGCGCTCGGATAGCCCTGGACGAGAGAGGGCAGAAGCTGGGCGAGCTGGAGGAGAGAACGGCAGCCATGATGGCCAGCGCTGAGTCTTTCTCCAAACACGCTCATGATGTACGCGCTGGTGAAATCAATGAGCGCTTTAAAACAACATTCCCACGTTGACTCTTTAGTTCCTGACTGTTTTTTTTCCCTCTTTTCTCTGCTTTAGATGATGCTGAAGTACAAAGATAAGAAGTGGTACCAGCTCTGATGGCAGCGTGGAGAGCAGCGGACTCTGTAATCACGCACACCAGTATCTCTGAGGAGCTGCAGGTCCCAATTCTTCTCTTCTCTATTTCTCTCCACGGGGGGGTTCTGCTCGACAGACTCATGCTTTTATTCTCAGCACAATATCACACACTCTGGCGTCACCTCTGTCACCTGAGGGCTGCCGCAGAGTACACACCGGCCGAACCAACAGAATGAGAATGGAAAGAAATGGAAGAAGAGAGGCCCCCTCTGAATCTCTCTTTTCCATTTCACCCGAGAGCGATGGAGTCAGTGTAACATCAGAATGCAAAACAGAAGAGAGGGGACCTTTCATATCTGACCGCCATGCACTCATATATATCTGACATATATATCCACACATCCTGCTGTTTTGTTCTGAAAGAGAAAAGACAATTCTGCAAATCCTGTACTTGTGGTGGCCTGATTGCGATTGATCTCTTTTCCTTTCTCTGCCCTTTACGGTGTCTGCCAAACACAAGAGGACTAAAACGAGGAAAAAAAGTCTGATGATCCGTCGTCCTTCTTAAATCGAATCACTTCAGCATAGATGTAAACTTCTATCAGAATGATTGAATCAACGAAGGACTCGTGTGCGTTTATTTATCCAGTCTGAATTATTTTTCATGTTTGATCTTCTGAGTTTTCTTCCGTTTGTTTTTGTGTCGTTTTCGTCCAGAAAGGGCCTTTCAAGCACTTCGAGCAGTAGCAAGTAGACAGAGTGATGATAAATCTCTTCCCTCTCACCGAATAAGGGCTGGTAGTACACTAGTTCATCAGCGACTATTCCTTTTACAGCATTCGCCAACCAAGTTGTTTCAGGTGAGAGAGAAACAAATAGAGTTTTCTGAGAGTCCCTTTGGCTTTCTTTTAAATTAGATTATTTATTGGGGCAGTGTAATTTATAAAAGTTAAAGAATTTGTACTTTGGGCATTACGTATATTTGTTTGTTGATTAGGTGCACAAAAAAGTGCTGCAAATGTTTACCCCTAATGAAGAGTTTACATGAATCTATCATAGAAATGAAGAGCTGATACACTGGAAAAAAGCCCTGCAGGTCTTCGAGCTTTCACAGGGCTGTAGCTAAGTATGAGAAGGATGACGTGTTGAAGGGCAAGACAAAGATTGTCCTCGATATGTTTAGCATAAATGTATATTTTGGTTACCATTTTTTAGTTTTTGTGATAAAGATTCTATCTCTACATGATGATCAGATTTCTGTTTTTGCTATCCCGTCATAGCTGAGGTTGATTTTCGTCTCGTTTTTCAATGTGTAGGGAAAAAAGCATGTGTCTCTTACAGCACAACGGTAAAGGTATGCTGTCTTTGTATTCGTAGCTGCCAGTAGAAATGACCAAGCACCCCTGAGTGTTTCACACACACACACACACTGTGCCATTGGTCATCTCTCTCTGAATCATTCACGTAAAAAAAAAAACTGTTTCTCTTCTGCCTTTGCCTCATGATGCATATATGCTAACCTCTACCTATGTGTATGTCTGTGTGTTTGTGAACATACATATATTCTGGAATATGTGTATGGGCACCAATATTTATAATACTACATAGATGCAGTGTATTACAATAGGTCTTTTGAGGTTTTTGTTTTTGCTTGACAGTGTTTTTCAATGTGATTAACTCGACTTCTATTGTAATTGGATTTCTTTTTCATGAGGTGCAAGGATATGCTGCTATTTGTGTCAATGTAGGAGCATTATCTATCGGTCTTTTAATTTCGAAAGAGAGACAAGACTTTGTCGGTCCAGATTGCTGCCAAATGTTGTAAATAACACGACAGCTGGACACAAATCTGACAGTGCAGGTTCAGGCAACGTGACATACTGTACGCTCGCGGCCATGTTCTTTTCTGACACCAAAGAGTTGCTTGATTTCACAGAGTTGTCTTGATTTTTTTTTCTTTTCCCTAATGGTTTCGAGTCAGTCTGGATTTTTTTTTTCCCCCCTTCTAAGTGGAAAAGTCTGCTGTGTGTGTGAGAGGGAGGAAGTCGAATGGATTTGGCTTCTTTCTATGGGCATGCCACCCTCATCACCCAAACTGCTGTGTTCAGAGGACAGGCAAGGTGAAACTGAAGAGTTTCATTCCAAAATGAGATATCCACCAAAGAAAATCATATCAAACTCACTCCTGGAAAACGGTTGCAGGCATGAACAAAAACTCTTTGACACATTTGATCCATTTACTTAGATTTAGAGTATTAACTCATGTATTCTTCAAAAAATAAAAAATAAAAGTTTGATCCAAGATAGATGGGCAGCATTTTGGAATAAAACCCTTCACTTCTAACCGGCTGATTTGTTCTTCTCTGAGGTGAACTACTGAGAAAAACCCCATTTAAAGGAGCAGTGATGTGTGTGTTTTGCACTATTTTTTGTATTTAGAGTGATTTTGTTCGTATGATTTTTAATGTGTTGTCCCATTTTCTTGTTTTTGAAAGGACCAAAACATGACAGAACCTATGCTTATCTGTGTCATTTGCCAATTATGCTGATTGCTTCACTCTCAGATTTGTTTTCATCGTCAGGTTAATGATTCTATGATATATTTATATATTTGAAAACAAATATATATATACTTTTGATTTCAATAATCTATTAAAGATACCTTTAATGTACTTTTGGGATAGAATCACTGTCCAAACAATGGTTGTGCATAATGATCCATCATCCAGACATGACAATAAACATTTTCTGGTTCTATATTGAACATGCTCATCTCAGATTCAAGCTTTGCTACTGCAAGAGGGTCTTCTCCTCTTGGGGGGGGCCGCTGAGTCTTTCTACAAAGTGTGGCCTCGACTTTAAAGTGCTTCAGTTTGCAACATATATGTCCTAAATGGTCCCTTATTGCACATTGAAGGATGCATGATATTAAGTGTTTACAAACTTGAAACAACCATGTATTATCCCTCTTAGAGATTGTCTGTTCTGGCATTTGTATTTACCACCATGTTGAACAAAAACTAATGTTCTTGTCACACATCCGAAGCGTGTCCCACTTTTGTTTGATCATGCCAGTTGTACAAGTGTGAGAGAATATGTTGATTTCATTGGTGCATCTGTTTCTGTTACTGTTTGCTTCATGAAAACGTCTTGCTTTCTCTGTGCTGTAGAAATGCATAGAAAGCAAAGTTCGGTTCAGAGCAGCGTGCAGGAGAGCTGGAGGGTTTCTCAGTCGCCATACTTCCATCCATCCGTCCGTCTGTCTTCTGGGATGAATATCTGTGGAGTTGCAGTATTTTCTCATTGTAGGCAATTTTTGTACAGTTTTATTAAAATAAATTTCACATGGATGTCTGACTTAATCTGCTGCCACAAACAATTTAGACTGTAGATACAGTATATATATATATTATTGTGCAATGGAAAATAAATGTAAAACCAATCATTACTCATTTTGTCCTGTTTTCTCTGTTTCCTGATTCCTACTTTGTAAAATGATTTACTTTACTGATTCTTCTAAGGGTGTGACCCTTGCAGGTCAGAGGTCAGCTATAGATTAAAGTGTTATGTCAAACACAACCTTGATCTTCTTGAAGGACTGTATAATGGTGTAAATCTATACGTAAATGGGTTATAAGTACTACAAGTGACACAAAGCATCTCTTATTTTTGAAAATTCAAAAAAATACTAAGAGTTGAAGGACTTACCTTTTCAGAAAAATCTATCTTGTGACCCCCATCTTTTTGGCCTTACTCTGTCTCTTTATTGTTATTCCTGTCGATTATTATTATTATTATTATTATTATTGCGCCATTTTTTGTCCATTTTTTTGTAATTTATCTTCTCGTGTTCTGTGAATACTAACTGTTGTCTGCGGGAAAAAGGAAATACAAGGAAAAAACTCCGGAACAAGAATTCTGCGCCCCTTTAAACCCCCCATGCCTTCAAAATAAAAGCACGACTTTAAATATTTTGAGCCATTTCAATTTCACAAAATATCGGAGCCCTAATAAAATAACTAAAGCACTCAGATCGTTTATGACACTTACATAAGTCTTACTTATTTCCAATTACAGGATTATGGAGCCAAATTTGAGTTATTTTAAGGTGTAATTGAGTTGTTAACAGAGGACTGTGTGGTTTGTCGCTGTTGTAGTTTTTATTTGGTTTATTTCCAAAGGATGAAATATGACAGGATACCCTCTGTATGCCAACATATCAACAATTAACCTATAAAAATTAAAATTGCTAACTTTTTTGATGGATGGATTTGACTGAAATGTATGTCACTGAGTTTGAACAACATGGGGAAAACACTGACCTGAAAACAGCCACTAGAGAGAGCTCTAATACAGATCATAAACATGAGGCTGGTTTTAAAACTGGATATTTGATGACCTCCAGATTTTACATGAGTGTGAATTTCCCTGAAACTTGAAACAGCAAAAAACTTCAAGGGTTCCTGAGAAATTACAAGATTATTTAATATTTATAAGATTCAATGATTCAATAACAACACATTTTACTTTTTATTGTTTCAAAGTGCAGTTATGTTTCCTCCTGTGAGGATGTTTGTTTAACCTGCAACACACAGAGATATCATTTTATTATGTTAGGAGTTATTACAGTATTTGCTGGTATTTAAAAATGCATTATTGACACATTTATTACAGCTTGTAAGACACTTAGGCTTCTGATTACTCCTGATCAAATCATACAAATAACGTTAATTGGATGTTACTTGATTAAGGATTTATTAATCTTAATGAGATATTGCTATAAAAGTGATCCACCAGCTTTAAGTCCCCGTAAAAAAAGTGCTGTACAAAATGTGTTAACTTTTATGAATACTTCCTAACATATATTAATGTTTATTGGCACGTTAATGAGTCTGACATGTGGCTTTTAAATGATTAATCAGTGTTTAATAGAAGGACCTTAATACCAAGTGTTACTCCCTCATCTCTTAATTTACATGCATCTCTTCACGGATCTCTGGTTGTGAGTGCATAATGAAGCTGACCCTGAGTTAGGGTTCAGTTTTGTCAGTCTGGGTGTCACCTGCAGAGAGAGATTTATGATGTTTAACGGAGGCGAACCGAACCGTGTCCTCTGGGTTTCAGCAGAAGAGGGCCACCACAAATCTTAGGCCTGAGTCAGTTACGCTGAAACTGCTCTCAAGTGTTTCACTTCCCTCTTGGCTCAGTAATCATGGAAACGGACAGGCATCACTGCTTAACCATGGCAACAGATGAGTTTCAGTACCAAAGAAAGACAGTTCTGAGGAAACTACTGTGGAAACTAAAAATAAAATGCTGCTTTTCTCTCTAACAAGATGTTTTCTGTCTATTTTCAGTGAAGTAGACATAAATTGTCCATGAAATATCACTTAAAATTAATCTGTTCAACTTTCCATTGAGATAAAAATTACCAATCAAAGGGAATATTTTCTGTGTGATGACATTATTGTCCTACTCAGGCTCTCATATGTAATTTTATAGTTTCATTGAGATTTGTGTGAAGTACTTGAACATTTGTTGTATAATACCACGGATGAGCAAAGTTATATCTGAAATTAAAACTATTTCTGTGATACCCAGGTGAAGCATTTCCATAGAGAGTGAAAAACAGCATGCTCCAGTGCTCTGGGAGACTTTATAGTCCTGAGAGTTGAAGACTAGATGACTGACAGCTGTCCTTCATCACAACAGAAGCCACAGAAATCCTCCTCCTCTTCCTCCTCCTCCTGAAAGCCAAAGGATCATTGGTGAATGTGAGACTGAAACCTTCATGCTGTCAAAGCTGTGAGGGAGAAACTCCAATCATATGTAGAGGACAGTTTCAGATCACTGACTCTGATCACTGACTCTTCCTCTCTGCTCTCAGGTCTTAAGAGGTCAGAGTTCATGGGTGGTTGTCCGGACCCTTCAGAGACACAGACACGTCCAGAACACAATGATGAAGTTACTTGTTGTAGTGGTGGCCGCCCTGGGGCTCCTCATTGAGGGTCACTGCTGAACACTTGTTTTCAGACGTCTCCAGGTTCACCTCAGTGATGTTCTGCTGTGATTTAAAAACCCTGAAAAAAGCTGAATTTACAGTCTACAATCTGCTGAGTCTGTTTCAGGAACTCTTCTTCTTTTCTTCATGTTTTTCAGGTTCATCAGGAGATATCACCATGACTCAGTCTCCTGGAACTGTAGCTGTTGTTCCAGGACAGACGGTTTCTCTCAGATGTAAAGTCAGTGCATATGTAAGCACTGAGGTAGCCTGGTATCTTCAGAAACCCATCCCACCACAATGAAATTATTATTATTGTATGTTTCATTCTCTTTATTATTTTTCATTAAAATCACTGAACTCTAATCTTCCACTCTAAACACATGATATCACCGTACGCTGATGATATCCCGCTCTTCTTTGTTGACCTAAACATGTGACAAAGATCTGAACTATCATCACTTTTTCTCTCCGTTTTAAGACCTCACAACAGATGAAACATCACCAGCAGACTTCAGTGAGATTATCAGCTGGTTTCTATTGTTTAATGAAATCATACTGGATTTACAGTTAGCTTAGGGAGTGTTTGTTTATTTCTTTTAACCTGGACCAACCATAAACCACATAAGGTCAGAAAAACTAAAGTAAATGATATTTTTGTTCTCCTTTGGGGATCATGTCTGACTAATAATTTTATGATTAAATAAATGAGGAGGAAAACCACATAGAGCTGACTTTAATGTAATGTTTTTATTGAGTTAAACTTCTGAAACGATCAAAAAGAGAAAAAGCAAAAACATGTTTGAGAAGAGACGCAGAGAGAGAGAGTTTAGACTGAGAGCAGGGAGAGAGGAAAAACTGAATCTGGGTCCCAGTGAATCAGATCACTACTAGGAACACTGGTCTCTCCTCAGGGTCTGTGAGACCGGAGTCTGGGAGCCCTGGGTGGCCTCACAGGTCACAGAGCCCACCTTGTCCCACTGGTCTGCAGGGAGCCTCAGGGTGCTGCTCCAGGTGTATTTACCGTCCTTCTCCAGCACCCCAGGGCTCCTGCTCACCTCCCAGGTGCTGCTGCTGCTGCTGCCGTCCACCTGCCAGACCAGAGTCCAGTCTGAGGGGAAGCCCTCGATGGCCAGGCACATGAGCGTGGCCTTCCCCTGCTGCTGCATCAGCTCCTTTCTGGAGGGGGGCAGCACCGTCAGGGTGGGACGGGTATCACCTAGGAGACACCAATCAGCTTAGAGGACAGGGAGCACACAGCTGTCAATCAAACAGCAGAGACAGGGACAGCTTCAATGTTGAACGTCGATTTTCTTCTTCCCTTTAAGAAACCTCTCATGCACATCAGCACAGAGACTCTCAGATACTGACTAACCCCACTGAAAATCACTGAAATTATCCACAATCTTTACCGACTACATTTCTGTGTTCGTCATGTCAATCTGAATCAACAGAAAAGGAGGAGAACGCTTTTTAAAATAAAACATTGACGTCGAACTCAAAAAACTTTCAGAGGCTATCTTCAATTTCAAATCGATCACTTTTACAAATTGTTGAGAATCTTGATTCACATAAAAATCTTTAGAGTTATCACTGTGTGCAAATTTAAAATGCATTTTTAAGAGTTTCAAATTCCTAATATGAGCCTTTTAACCATCAGCCTGTTTATCTTAACTGTGCAGTAAAGCTGTCCTGAGTTCACTTCCACAGTAAACGATGAGAAATTAAAGAATTCTTTCAGTTTAATCTAACAAACGACATTTATCTGCATTAAACATCAAACACTCCTTCATACTCAGATTAAAAAACTTTACGGAAACTTACTTCCAACATCCAGTCTGGTTCCTCCACCAAAAGTCCACCACAGTGATACAAAGTCATTGAGACGCCTTATAAAAACCTCTGACTGTAGAGAGACGCGGCTCTCTGACTCTGACTGAATTAAACCTACGAGCCCTCGGGATCCAACTTTGTTCACTCAAGTCTGAAGATTAAATAGTAAATTTGTAGGAAAAGATGAGCCCGACTTCAAAATCTGAAATGACTTTTTCTTTAGTACCTCTTCAACCCAAAGTGAAATTTTTCTGTTTTATTAAAAAAATCATCTTAAAATTAAAAAAGCAAAGTGACTTTTGTCCCCTAAAAGTAAAGAAGCTTCTGAAACAAACAAAAAAAGACTTTATATTTGACTTACTTCCAACATCCAGTCTGGTTCCTCTACCGAACGTGTACCACAGTGATACAAAGTCATTGAGGCGCCGTACAAAAACCTCTGACTATAGAGACACGGCTCTCTGACTCTGACACAAACAAAGTCACCTAAACGTGTCTCTGTCTGCAAGAGTTTTGAGCCCCAATGAAAGCAGAGAATTCAATGTCGTCCATTTGGATGAATCCAGTTTTTGAAGATCTTTATTGATTTACTGAATAGTTGACATTCATTGTCCTCAGCGTCGGGCTAAGACTGAAGGAATCTCTCCAAATAGATGGATGAAGAAGAACAGACCTAAAACTTCATGATACAAGTCAGGAAAGCTGTTTGATCAATCAGGAGATGAATTGATTGATCCATTATTGAACATCTCTGTAATCCAAGGTCCTGTTGGAGTTAATCTGAGTATTTCCATAGAGAGTGAGTTTGCATGAGCAGCAGCATGCTCCAGTGCTCTGGGAGACTTTATAGTCCTGAGAGTCGAAGACTGGATGACTGACAGCTGTCCTTCATCACAACAGAAGACACAGAAATCCTCCTCCTCCTCATCAGAAACATGACTGTGATCCGAGTCCTCATCTGGACTCTCCTCTGCTGCTGCTTCACAGGTAAAGTCCAGAGAATCCAACTCCTCTCCTCTATGAACATCCGTCCCTCTGAAATGAAGCCCACAAAACCATGACGCTGCTTTCTGTGTTTCTCTCTGTATCCTCAGAGACCAGAGGACAGGTCACAGTGACTCAGCCTGAATCTGTGACTTCTGCTCCAGGAGCCTCCGTCACCATCGCATGTGGAACCAGTCACGATGCATATAACACTAACTATCTGCACTGGTACCAACAGAAGGATGGAGAAATTCCTAAACTGCTCATTTATCGCACTGTTAATAGAGTAGCAGGGGTATCAAGTCGTTTCACAGGCCGTGGATCTAAATCTAGTTTCTTCTTCACCATCAGTGTAGTCCAGACTGAAGATGCAGCAGTTTATTACTGTCAGAGTGGTCACTTCCTGAACGAAATGTGGATATACACACGGTGAAAAAGCGCCGTACAAAAACCTCCCTCAGTCAGACTGAACACACAGCTGCAGCTGAAGTTCCTGCAGATCCTGATACACTTCAGTGAGGATTCAGACACACACTAACACACACTCACACACACTTACACACACTTACACACTGCAGTCCTCATCAACAATAGTCCAAGTGAACTCCTTAAAGCCACCTGATAACTCTGTATGCTGATGATACTCTGTTATGAGTTCATAATGACCAAAAACTAGTTGGGAACTTAAGTGACTGACAACAGCTGATGTTTAGTCAGTAAATGCAAATCATCCATGGTTAGAAACCTGTATGGATGGCATCTGTTTTGTCTCGTGCATCTGTCCTCGTCAAATAAACGAGTGAACAAATGAATCCCAGTAAAGATGAACTGATGAGTGAGTCTCCAAACAGAGACAGGTGTTGTGCACATTTACACACTGAGCACAGCACTGTAACTTTGTTGATCATGTAGATGTTCAGACACACCAGCAGGATCAGTCAGACTCTACGTGAAACATGATTTTTACACATCCAGACAATATCACAAGGTCAGTCCAGGGTCATGCAGTCAATGAGTGTCCTTCTGAAATGATATTCTGGATTTGGAGCCATGACTCTGAGGACTGAAGACTCAGCTTGGACTCGAGGTTTGAAGACTGGACCACATCACTCGGTAGACCAACCCCCAATTTCCACTGCATCCTTAACGGCAGCGATTTTCTCTGTTCACCAATTCCTACCGGATCCATTTGTGAGGCGAATATCGTGGCGGATTACGGACATGCAATCGTGCGATAACGGGTTGTCTCTGTAAAGACAGCCACATATATAAGCAGTAGACTGTGTCCCTCCAGAGGAGGAATTCCCCTCATCTCCTCATCCATGGTGTCACTGGGGTGAAATGACGTCTGAAACTTTCCACTTGTTCGTCCCCACCCGTTTGCTTGGTGTGAAATACAATGTAGTGTTTTATTTTGAAAAGAAGCCGGATGTTTTATTTTGTGTCTGTGCCCGACTTCCTTTCCAGCACAGAATAATCTGTGCTGAATTTATACGGCAAGCTGCAGCGAATAATCTGGGAAAAATATAACTCTTGCGATCAGCTGCAGAGTCCGGAGCGGAACAGAGAGAAGCCGGTGGAAATGGACACATTAACTCGGTTAGGATGAGCAGCGATCGGTGGATACAGCCTTTTTGTAGCTGATCTGGATATGGTGGAAATTGGGGGTTAGGCTTTATCATGTCCCTCTTGAATAAACCTAGTCAAAAGAACTAAGAGAGTTTTTTGGTCATTATCAGTGTTGGGGCAGTTACTCATAAAAAGTCATTTTTAAACTGTAAACTGTAATGAGATTATTTAACTGGCTGCTACATTTGAAAAGTAACTTCACTACTTATTACTTTACTTTCTCGTGTAGAGGTACATGGACAAACATCAGAGCCCGAACATCACTGAGCATAGTCCGCATCATTTTGTCTATTCTATAAATGTTGCCTGTACATAGAGTTTCACATGAATATTTTTGTACTTTTTGTATTTTGTACGCAGCAATGTCACTCAAATTGATCCCTCCATAGGACTTTCAAAGGCCACATGATTGCGCAATGCATCTTTGAAGGCAACTTTTTGTTTACATTCGACAGGGAGAAGTTTTCAGTGGAGTGTGTTAGTTTACTTTGTTACCCAAAAAAGTAACATCTTCACTGTAATCCATTACTTTGTAGTGCTGTATCCACAACACTGATCATTATAAACTCATAACAGAGTATCATCAGCATACAAAGTTATCAGGTGGCTTTAAGGCGTTCATTTGGACCATTCTTGATGAGGACTGCAGTGTGTAAGTGTGTGTTAGTGTGTGTTAGTGTGTGTTAGTGTGTGTCTGAATCCTCACTGAAGTGTATCAGGGTCTGCAGGAACTTCAGCTGCAGCTGTGTGTTCAGTCTGACTGAGGGAGGTTTTTGTACGACGCTTTTTCACTGTGTGAAGAGCTCATACTTGTTAACATCAAATTCTCCTTTACAGTAGTAAACTGCTGCATCTTCAGTCTGGACTCCACTGATGGTCAGAGTGAAACTAGATCCAGATCCACTGCCTGAAAAACGATCTGATATCCCTGATGCTCGAGTGCTAGCATAATAAATGAGCAGTTTAGGAGTTTCTCCATCCTTCTGTTGGTACCAGGATAAAAAGTGTTTGTTGCTCGAAACAAAAACATTCTGACCAGTCGTACAGGAGATGGTGACGGTTCCTCCTGCAGCAGAGGTCACAGCTGCAGGCTGAGTCACTGTGACCTGAATTTTGGACTCTGAGGATACAGGGACAAACACAGAAAGCAGCGTCATAGTTTTGTGGGCTTCATTTCAGAGGGACGGATGTTCATAGAGGAGAGGAGTTGGATTCTCTGGACTTTACCTGTGAAGCAGCAGCAGAGGAGAGTCCAGATGAGGACTCGGATCACAGTCATGTTTCTGATGAGGAGGAGGAGGAGGATTTCTGTGTCTTCTGTTGTGATGAAGGACAGCTGTCAGTCAACTCTCAGGACTATAAAGTCTCCCAGAGCACTGGAGCATGCTGCAGCTCATGCAAACTCACTCTCTATGGAAATGACTCCAATCATCAGATCAATAAACTTCTTTTGTCAATAAGCTCATTGGTTAAAAAGAGTTACATTGCCACAACACCTGCTTACTTACAATGAGGCCTCAGTTTATAACATCAGTTCATATGTCTCAGTTTAAAACATTCATTCTGTGGGTTAATTGCACTGAATTATGATCTTGAAGTTAACAGGACAAACTTAAGAATGAATCCAGTAACTTTTTTGAACTTTTTAATTCACTAAAAAAAGCTCCAAACTTTTTGACAACAACATGTCGGCTAATTGTTGTTTTTTTTTCACAAAGTGTATAAAATGAAAAACCTTAAATCTATATGATTTTTTCATGGTTTATCAGAGGTGCACAAGACTTCTTTTTAAGCACTGAAACATGTCTGTAGTCATGGTTAAGCAGCGATGCCTGTCTGTTGCCATGGTTACTGGAGTAAGAGGGAAGTGAAACGCCTGAGATCAGTTTCATCTTATCAACTGTAGTCAGCTGTAGTGACCTCTTTTGCTGCAGTTTATTGAAGCTCTTTCTTCATCTCTCTCTCTGCAGTGGATCAGGTGAGATAAATGTTTCTAACCCCTTCACCCACGTTCTTCTAACCTTCACAGACTCCATGAATTGACACCCATCTCCTCAATATTTGGTCACATGATCAATTTCTTTGACCATTTCCAAGCAACAGGGGGTGGCTCAACTTACCCCACTCTCCCCTACATGCATGGGATTCAAACCAAGGGCCGTCTTACTGTGGGACAGGAACGCATAAAAGAAAAAACAGAAACTTTTGCAAGTTCTTATCAGCATGCGGAATGAGTATTTTATTTATAACCAGTTTATAAAAATAAAATACAAAATAATTTTAAACCAAAAAAGAAAAAAAAAACACTGTACAAGGCATTGTTATGGTACAAATGATAGAATAAACATAAATAATTACAGTTATATACAATGCAAAACTCCCATTTGTTACATTCTTTCCTTGAGACTGTACAGTTACATTTCAAAAACATGACATACCTTACAACACAAAAATATCGACCATTAAAAAATCTCAACAATTGAAGTCAAAATGATGAATGAGCGGATAAGCCGATGTTACAATAAATAATTTCTGTCAAGTACTTAAAGGCTACAAACAAGTTATCCGATATGATGACATGAGAAGTGTACCGGTGCACACTAAAGGTTTCATTAGCTTTAACCTCAGCTTTTAAAGTAAAATGGAAAAGCTGGAGTTGTTCAGTTGGCCTATGTAGATACTGGTAAGCTGTGATAAGTATCTCCAGGAAGAGGCCACTCTTGAAAGTAACGTAGAAAATCTCCCCTGAAAGATCTCACTATTACTACAGCTACGCACCACTTAAGTGTAATAATCAAAAATAAAACATGAGAGGAAATCTGATTATCTCTCTAAAACCAGCAGCACAGTTTAGTGTTTGTTCGTCCTCTTCACTCACACTTGTCAGCATATATGTTATGGTTTTACAATGTTTATCGATTTAAATAATTACTTTGAGTATCTTACAGATATATTAGAAAACTCTGCGGTCAACAACAGCGGTCTGAAATGTCTTGAAATCTGGGAGCCTTGATAGAGAGAGCATCGAAAGTGGGAGAATTCAAAGATACATTGCTGGCAGAATGTAGGTAATAAACACTCCTGCTGCAGAGCATACAGCTTTCACAGTTACAAAAAGGTTGAATACTGCAAGCTTCGATTTCCCACCGGCAGACCTGATATCTGTGGGATATTTGCGGCCCTGCTGAGAGGCACGATAATGCATGCTTCAGCTCGGCCTAACAGAGAAAAATGATCTCCTACACAGACAAAGCTCAGTCATCCCTCGCTACGCACAGAGGGGCAGAGAAGAGACATTAAGGCGGCTGACTGACTGAACACTGTCTGCCTTCAGGATGAGTCATCATAGCTGCTCCAAGAGGCTAGCGTAGGTATCTGCAAGATCTGCATGACTCGAACAAACACAATACACGTATATATTTTCAAAGCAATGCACCCATTCAACATCTATACACCTCCAAATGTCTCATATCTCAAGTTAAACTACATAATGCAAAATTTATCAAAATATTTGGCAATGCAATTTATTTATTATGTCTCATACAAGCTATGACTGCAATTCACTTCTCGACTTGAGTTGTCTCATATGATGCAAGTGCTTGAAATGCAGCAAACTTTTTAGTATCTCTGGTTATTTACTTTGTGCAGCATCTCAGCTAGTTGCATTGTTAAAAAACACAGTCTCTCTCATCTCAGCAACACAATCATCCCCAGTCAGTGCAGAAACTTGTCATACACATATCAAAATTGCTTGTCCAGCAGATAATGAAGTCACAACTGGGTTGAACTTTCCACGAGATATTGATGGGAAGTGTTATGTCTCTATTTACTTCCTAGATGTTTTTGATTTTCGGAGTTTCCTGTGTCGAGCATGCAGAGAGAAGCGCCGGGGAGGAAGCTGGAGATATTTTACAGTATCTTACAAGCAGAGGAAGAGGAGGGGAGTGAGTCGTATTTTTTAGTGAGAAATCCTACTTTAACTTAAACAAACTAACTCTGAATCCTTTGTTTTGTGGGAAAAAAAACAGTGTATATCATTAAATAACAGAAACAAGGGCACATTCTTGCACATGGAAGCAGGAAAAATAATTTTAGTGAGAGAAACATATATGTACATATGGCCTCCATTAGCAATGACATTAACCATAATGTTCTTTGAGGTCTGGAATTCACATTTGATATTTTCACTCCAACAGTGACCTGGTATACTAAGTCAATGTATATGTACAGGACAGTTGAAGGACCAGTGTGTGGGATTTGGTGGCATCTGGTGGTAAGATTGCTCATTACAATTTACTTCCTTCACCTTCCTCCTTCAAGGAGGAGAAAAAAACAAATCTCCACAAAATGTCAAATAATTCTGCAAGATAGCTGTTCAATCGCCAAAGAAATGCACAATTATATTTCCCCAATTGCCAAGATTTAAAAACCGCTGTATATCTTGGTTATAATGTTATTTCAATATATATTATAGTCAGTCTTAGACCCAGTATTAAATTCGCCAGCATGCTAGCGTCACATCTGTTCACGCAAATGGCGTTAATAACTACCAACCATATATCAGGCTCATAAAGGGTTTCCCCATGTCAAGTCCATTTCAATGCTTACAAGTGTTTGGTGTTTTAACATAAATTACTCCTGTTTTGAAACCTCTACCATTAGCAACTGATATCAATAAAGATAATTTTGAACATGGCTCAGACAACTATGCAACAGACAACAGATCATAATGTGTATAAAAGAACTGGTGTTACTATTCTAAAACTGGTGTAATTACAAAGGCAGAAAAATTAAAATAAAACTGGCTACTCTGACCTGCTCTCTCGCCTAATTGTTGGATTAACTATTCGAAAAAATGACAGAAACACTCGGCCATTTTTAACATTGTCGTCATTAAACCATATTCAGGCTTTTTAATAATGGGAGCAAAAGTATTTGGCAGCTCCACCGAAGAGCAATGGAGACACTGACTTTTTATTGTTTTTATGATTTCAATTCCAGATGTGTCCATGTAGATTCTCATTCATCCAGGTCATGGTTTTCTTGAAGACTCCAAAATCAGGCAACTGGACTGTGTAGAGTTGAGAAGACGTTTCACCTCTTATCCGAGAAGCTTCTTCAGATCTTAAAGTTCTTTTAAAAAAGCTTCTTGGATAAGAAGCGAAACGTCTTCTCAACTGTACACAGTCCAGTTGCCTCATTTTGGAGTCTTCAAGCTTTCCAGATGTCTTTGCTCTTGGCCGAAAACTTTTAACGGATCAGAAAACGAACCGGCAGCAGCTCCACTAACCCTCCTGACCGGAAACACTGACTGCTGGATGAGACTGAAGGACACCTCTGCAGATACTCCTACTCCATGAGTTTAGGTAATGAGCTCTTTAGATGCATGACTACACTGCTTACAAAGTAAAACCAAGATCCATCCAGATCTCACACGCTGGTCCTCGACGTCTTGAAATGTTTACTTCTTATTCATTACAAATATTAGCTTCTGTCCTCAGGTAAACACTTTCCTCAAATTGTGTTTGATTTACAAACATTTGTGTTGCTACTGTTTCTACATAAAAGAATATTAGTCAAAAGGGTTGTCTTATAACCGCTGGCACCAGTCCCATTTTGGCTCCTGCAACAATTACAAAGTGAATCCTCGAGCTGCCCAAAGTGCCAAGGCACGCACTGAGACAAACGTCTGTGTCTGAACATTACCCCTCAGTAATGCACCTTGTGTTTTTTTTTTAAGCTTACTACCGCTACGACTACGACTACCACTTGACAATCCTAACTTCATTTAGCGTGACATTTTGATCCCTTCTTAGCAACACAGTAGGCACAAAAAGGTGTGTGTCCTCGCGCGCTTTACACGATTGATTGTACAAAAGGTTCACTTTGGGGTGATGCCTCTGATTAAATGTTTCAAACTAGTGCGAGTGACACAAAACCGTACATCCACTATCACACGGAGGAGGGTCGGAGTTAAGCGTCGCTAAGCATTAAAATAAATATTTCAATAAATACAACTGTACACAGATTCTGGCTTAATGCATTCACATACAGCATAAATTAAAGAGAATACCCTGCCTGCTGTCTCCAAATACAGGAAGAAAACTGAGTCAACCTCAGGCCAAATACTTAGTTAGTTGTGTTCAGCTTTACTGCCATTTCTTCAGTTTATTCCAAGTGCATTCATAAAGGGGATAAATAGGGAGGTTATTTTGTTTTTCAAGATATATGATGATGAATTAACTCATTTATTCATGCGCCCACGGGCCCCAAAAACAACTGATTAGTCACGGTCTGGTATCGGCCAAATCTATTGAATGTTGCAGCTTGTTACTTTCATCTACAACATAATCACATTAAATAAAAGTTCTTGATACGTCTCCTTTGCTCATCTGATCATTTTAAAATCAGGGGGAATTCCATCAGTTGTACACATGTTGTCTTATTTCACTGTTTGGCTCAAGATTTCAAACTCATCGCGGGTGATTTTCAGTCTGAACAAAAAAGGGGGAGGGTTGAAGAGAATTAGGCTTCATGTTATTTCGTGGCATTATGAAGTTAGAATCAGTTTAAAAGTCAGGATTTTTCCACTTTTGCTACACACTTTTTGACCATAGACTGTATATAGAATGGACAGAGTCTGCCTCCTCACTGGGTGAAGCCACCGTGAGAACAGCACCCTCTGGTGACGAGCTGCAGTATAGGTCATAAATCCTGCCTCCGCCAGCAAAGCTTATGGAGCTGTGGACAAACTTTAGAAATTTATTACACAGAATATACAATTTTTCTCCCCCCTGCTTGTGATGTTGACATGTAGTTATTGTAAGACTGGTTTGTGTTCAGGTCCTTTTTTTTCTGTACAGCTCCATTTTTAAAAGTTATTAGGGGGTTCATGTTTTCTATGATTGACACTCGATACAGCCTATGGGCGTACGAAGATTGCGTAGCTCACCAGGGGGATACGCTGTTTGAGCCGAGTGCCATCACAGTGACTCTCGGCGACTCTCCTGCTGAATGTGCACAATGCTACTTTGAATGTTGGTTTCAGGAATTGGAGAAAAAACGCAGAATTACTGAGAGCTTTCCGGCTTTAAATCTGTAGACTAGAGGAAGGCGGAACCAAGTTGTCCATAGTATATACAGTCTATGTTTTCGACCATTTCTGGTAGAATGCATCTCTTAAAATCTGAACAGTTTCATGCAGGTGCTGCTACTAAGTAGCTGGAGTATCCTTTGAATCTTGGCACATTAGTAACTGACCATGTGCCAGCGGAGGGAGATAAGTGTTAGACCAAACTGACAGTGGAAAAAGGGACACAAGATTTTGTCTGATTGCTCAGGAAGACTCAGGTTTGAATCCTAACTGTATCCTACTCCATCATACTTGGAGTCTTCCCTTCTGGCAGCACAACTTTCCGAGTGACTATCTGCTCAACTTGCTGGAGCACTTGCCCTCTCGGCTACATCCCTTTCCCCTCGACAGGTGGAAGGGGCTCGTGCGGGCCTGGCGACTGCAGCAGGTATCCTGGTGATGAGGGTAGAAGCGGCGTGGAGGCGGCGAGCCGGAGAAGCTGGGAGGGGAACGGCTACGGCCCAAGCAACCCACTCCCCCGCCGCCACGGTGTTCGTGACGAGAGGGCGAGGAGCTGACAGAACGCTGCAGGGAGGAGGAGCTGCGCGGGCTGGCGCTGGAGCTGCGGTGGTGATGCGGAGAGCTGGTCAGGCTGCAAATGCCCATCCTGGAGCCTCCGTGCTGGGCTGAAGAGCGATGGTGGAGGGGGGAGCCTCGGGAGTTGTGCATCAGCTGAGCAAGGCATGTCAAGAGGTCTGAGTCGCTGGTGCTGCCAGCTCGAATGCGGTAACGTCTGAGCCTGGGTGGATTCAGAAAACAAAGGAGGTTAAATTTAATGTCACATTTTCCCTGGGTCAGGTTAGAAAATCAGTATCCCTCTGCTGTCCTGGGTCGGCAGGTTGTCAGTACAGATCAGCAGTAAGCTTAGCGGCGCGTAGCTCAGTGCAATGACGAGTGATAAGAGGAAACAGTTAGCCTGACACTGCTCAAACTGTAGAGAATAAATATGCTAAACTTTTCTAATGGTTTCTGTGTTTGTTTAGCTTTGTGTGTCGCAAAATTTCTGTACAAATTAAATCACAATCTCAACATCAATCTCAGAGGCATTTCAACACACTACCTTCCTTCCACTGTGGAGCGGCTTGGTGGCTTTCCAGGCGGCGGGCGGGGCAAGAATTGTGAAGCCAGCTGCTCAGCAGAAGACGCCGTATGAACGGGACGAGGGATCCGGCTCTTGCGAGACAGAGGGCTGGAGGAGGAGGAGAGGGAGGGAGCTTCATCAGCCTGGCGGTCAGAGCGGGAGCCCATGAGGGAGTCCTCTTCCTGAGAGCGATCAGAGTTAGAGGACAGCGGGTCTCTGGCGAGTGAGGCCACCATGGGGCCACGCCTGTCAGAGAGGGAGGGTGAGGCGGTGGGAGAGGGTACTGGACCCTGGTGGTTCGCTTTCTTTTGCAGGAGTTTCTCTTTAGCGGACCCTGGAGGAGGGAGTTCCAGGAGGCTGGACGGCTCCAGGACTGGGATGCGGCTTTGCCTCCGGCTGGGGTCCTTACGGGGGGCAGCAGGGGAGGAGGCAGGAGCGCTTGTCTGATCTGGGACCTGATTCTCCTCTTTGCACTCCTCGTCCTTAGACTGAAGCTCTGTGGCGCGAGGTGTGTGACCATGATCGTTCTCAGGGTCTTTCAGCTTGGGGAACGCCCCGTTACTTAAATCTCTTTGGCCGATCACAGGAGGGGAGAGGTGGCCGTTGGCAAACACAGGGCTGCGAGGGGAGCGCGGTGAGTGCGGAGAGGAAGGCGAGCGGACAGTAGGCGAGCGTGGGGAACGAGGGGAGCGCGGGGAAGACGCACGACTCGGAGCGGGGCTTTGAGCTTTGGCTTGGTTGTTCCCATTAACCAGCGCCTCAGCCAGGGGGTCTGTGGGCGTCCCCGGGTGAGTGGGCACATTGTCCTGTGGGGAGCTGATGTCTGCTGTGCGCTCCTGGACGTGCTGAGCCTCAGCTTCAGCCTCACCTCGCCTCTCCAGCAGGAGGCACTGTGGGGCACTGTCTGATCCTGACTGGGAGGACAGCCCAGAGGGACGCTGAGCCGTCAACTGGATGGGAGGGGGGAGGTGGAGACACGGGGAGGGAAGAGAAACACAAACATATTAGAAGGAGATAAACCACACTAAAACTTGGAAAAATATGCTAATAGTAAAAGGCCTGTTGCTGATAGACTACAACATGTCGAGTTGTGCTGTAGTTCTGTAGCAAGAGCCTGATGCAGATGAATGAAAAGAGAAGAATTTCATAATATGGGGTAATAAATGGTGATTAGTTTGGCAACAGCATGCAATACCATAGCTACCATTATCAGACCGAAACACACAAGTGCTATGGCAGTGTCAGTCAAGCTGTGAGTACTAAACCAGCAAGTAGGACAGGAAACGTTCACGCAACTTCGCAGGGGGCTTCAGCGAAGAGAGGGTGAGGAACAAATACAGGGAGAGAGAGAGGAAGAGAAAGATAGAGAGGACAAAGACGATCTGAAACAAAAGAGACCATGCAACCTGTAGTCATGACTCGACATTCCAAACACACATGCCACAATCTGACAAACACACACCCCCTATTCAGATCACAAGAACACATGTCCAGACACAAGGACACATCTGACCCATGCTCTGCCTGGCCCTGCACAATGCCCCCTTCATGGTTTTCTGGGGAGAGCTGCCTGACGACAACACAAAAGAGCAAGCCAACTGAACAAAGAAGACAAAATAAGCAACTTAAACAAACAACAAAGTAATGCGATGAATAAAAACGCAGACAGTCGGTGGGTTACTACTGATGCAGAGGAAGCTGAATGGAGGTTTTTTTGTTTAAAGGGACGAGATAGGCTCATCACCTGCTGGAGCTGGGCGCGGGTGATGCGTATGACGGAGGGAAACTTGGTGTTCGCAGCACCCGCCGGGATGGCCGGCAGTTTCCGGCGACTCGGCGAACGGGTGCTGGGGGCGGGGTTGGGTGGTAGTGGTAGGGAGGCGTGGCAGGAAGAGGAAGAGGAGGGACGCTCCTGCGGTTGCTGATCAGCGGACTGGCTGCGCCTCATTGAGCCCGGCTGACGAAGATGCAGCGGGTCCGACAGAGTGGTCAGGAGAGTGTGAGGGCTGGGAGAGCGCAGAGGAATGGGGCTGGATGTCCGCATTGCAACCTCCTCAGGCAGGGACGGAGGAGAGGTGGGGAGCTAAGAGACGGGAGGGAGAGAAGTGGGAGGTGAAGAAAGGAGGGGTTGTGAAATCGGCGAGGGAGTGAGGAGATGGAGGAGGAATGGTGGAAGTACTGTGAGGAAGGTAAACTAAGAAGCACTGTAGGGAGGGAGTAAGGCGACGAGTTGTTTTCGAACAGGTATCAGGGGGGTTATCAAGATTAGAGGGTCATCCACTACAGATAAGTAAGACAGGAAGAGGCAAGATGGGTTGATTTTGGGAATGCAGCGTACATTTTCAACTTGGAGGCAGTTGTTCTGGTTGTAGAGAAAGTGGGGAAACAGTTATTCCTTTTTATCTCGCTCTACGACAATCATAGTGATCTCAAAGGATTTCTAAAGTCAATTTGGTGGATTTATAAAATAAGCAAAAATAAAGTTATCTAACAAGCAAACCAAAGAGTTTTTAATAAAATAACTGAGCTTGTGAGGTAAATAAAACAAATCAAACACATTTGAAATGACTGCAAATATGATCAAATTATGCATGAATTATTTTGCAAATCAAAGTGCATTTCAAAGCCATAAGCTCTCCTCTCCCCCCCATGCTGTGATCTGATAACCAACTCTGCAGTTGTGTGACACAGATATAGTTTTTCTAACACAAGCGAAGAAGCGTGAAAACACAGAGCAGGAACACTTAGCTTCACACTACAACAAGATGCAGCTGGTGAAAATCTGACTGTTTTATATTAGCATTGAGCTTCAATAGCTATAACTCTGTGCAGCTTTTTAACTCAGTAAAAACGCTGACTACAGTCAGTATCATGTATGTAATGTTGTAAGATGACCTGCAAAGTAAAAAGAGGTTACCTGGGTGAGAACTCCCTCAGCCAGAGCCTCGGCTGGGCTGGTGGGAGTGATGGGGGGCAGAGCCCCAGCAGGACCCACACTAAGCTCCAACTTGTCCACCTTAGCGCTTCCTTTGGAGGAAACCATGCTTTCTTGTTTAACTTTACCAGAACCAGGGCTTGGGCTGCCCTTGTCCCACCCAGGAGACTGTTCCCCTGGTTGAAGCACCTCCGGCTCGTCATCTTCCTCTGAGGGGCTGGACGTAACTTTAGCTCCTGGGGAGCCAGTAGGCCGCTCCACCATGACCCATTCCTTTGAGTCAATGTCCTGCCTCCCAGAGCTCAGATTGAGGGCCACAAAGCCCCCGCTGTCGACCGCCCCCTCCCCCTGCTCCAGAGATCCAGAGGACGCTGGCTTAGGAGAAGCACCACCAGACCGGAACTCCTCATCATAGTGCCAGACCCTATCAGGACGCTCCCCGGTCGGCACAGTCTGACCCTGAGTTACCGGGATGATCGCAGCCCCGCCAGCCTCTCTCTCCTGGTGCTGGGTGCCGAGCTGCTGCTTTGCTGGGCTGAGGAGACACAGAACGGATTCGAACAAAGCTCCACTCCTTTCTGACAAAGATTACAAATCAACTTATCTGAGCTTTCTTCAACATACCTGGCCTCTAGGAAACGCTCTGGGCTCGGTTTGGACTCCAGGCCGAGCCTCCTCTCCAGCTCAAAACTGTGAATGTTACGCAGCTTCCTCAGCAGAGGGCCATCACGGTCTGCAGCCCCTCCCTCAGAGTGTTTGACCGGGGAACCTAAGCTTGGCCCTGCGTAGGGGCTCTGGTGTCCTTGGTTGCCTAGGTTGTTGCTGTGTTCCTCCTCTGTGCCCGCCTGCAGAAACCAGTTTGTTTTGTTAGTGACGAGTGAATGATAACCTAAAGATATATGACATAAGGCAAACACTCGCCTTCCACACTGCAGTCCTGATGCGGTTTCTATTGCGATCCAGCTCCTCCCAGACGTCAGCCTCCTGGTTGCGGTGTGGGTGCAGAGGAGAGCCCGGCAGGCGCTCTGGAGCAGGGTTGTTTTCCACATCGCTGAGCTGCTCGTCTTGCAGAACCTCGTCTGTGTTTTCTCTCATGAGGTCGCCAGGGATCAGGGAAGCATTCGCCATACTGTTCGCAACAAAAGGTAAAAGAAAAATTTACTTTTTGAAGCTACGGTTCATTTTCTGAAATGAATTATCGTCATGAAACCGTACCCCATGTGTGCTGGAGTGAGGCGAGTGTGATGTTGTGGTGTCGTTGCAGAAGCACTGATTGTCAAGGTGCCATCTGTGCCGGTCCGCTCCCAGTCATAAGGGTCATTTTCGACGACATTGTAGGTTTTCATGCTGTTATCAAACACTGACATCAGAAGCTGCAACACAAATTTACCAGGATGTTAGTTTTATTCTGAGATCCTACAGAAAATGGGCTCAAGGACAGAATACTTATGAGCAGATCGTTCAAGATTCTCCAAATGAGACGCCTGTGTCACCTGATAGTCTGGCTTCGTAAAGTAGTCCAGGTTGGAGATGTGGTCCAAGAAAACCCCAAATTCTGCCGGCAGGTGTTTGAGCATCAGATGATGGTCATAAGTCTCCTTCAGCTTCCCCACATGTTCCTGAGAAGAGGATGTACAAACACACACACATCTGTCAGATCTCATCCCACACTTCCATCAGGGCAGAGTTATTACAGTTGACAAGGAACATGACTGACTTTGTCCTTGATCTTCCTCCATGGCAGCTGACCGACGAGAAACTCCACCAGCATGTAGAAGAGAGACCACAGGTCGTCATGGCGACCCATCTCCTGCAGGATCACAGAGAGGTTTGGTTAACTTTTATCTAAATTAATAAATGATCAAACACTTAAAAGGAAGAAAGGCTGAGGCACAGGGCAGATGGAGACTGACCTTATTCTTGTGTGCATTGACAGATGCGTAACGGACTGTTCCCCTGAACCCTGCCACTGGACGGGGCTGACAAGCAAAAAAGGAAAACGCCAGAGGTTAAGACATTTGGAAGAAGATTAGATGTCATGTTAAAGTAGGGCTGGGCAATATGGGAAAAAATATGGGAACAGAAAATAAACTGTTTCTGTTTCGGCTGCACAGGCGCCATGAGCTCCTTGCTTCGCTCGGGTTTGTAACCTTTTGCCTTGCACGTGCTCTGCCACATGGCACTGCTTCAGGTGGTGAAAAAGATTTGGGGTATACCCAGACTTTACGAGAACATGTACTCAACATAATTTGCAGTGCACTTTACTGTACTCCATGTCCAACCTCAAAAAAACGAAATATCCACACCACCAACTTTTTCGTGCCAGTGTTGTCGATGATGTCGTCATCTGTTGAGCCTTCATCTGCATTTCTGCCAGGGGTAGCACTCATTTTCTTTTTGTCTCACTAACAGTGCTGTCGACTTCACTTGTATCAGTTTTCTCAGTGTATGATTGTGTGTAGCTGCAGTCTGCTACTACACAATTGTTTGCTACTTGGTTCTAATTCAGCACATGATTGGTTCTGCTCGAAGTGGACCCGGAGCAACTTCCCTTCTCACCGGCTATTCGTATAGTCTACCAGAACATGGCAGAATGGCGACTATCGAAAAGCACAATGTTTTATATGGATATTATATTGACCATGTTTTATTTTGATATTGAGGGAAATTAATTTTTGATATATTTCGTTATCGTTTCATCGCCCAGCCCCATGTTAAAGCAATAATAAGTCTGTCTCAGTTGGGTTTTGAGAGGCAGGTAGCTTAAAGTTGGAAAACAGAAAATCAGAAAAAAAAGAAAAATTTTAAATCAGAGTTTAGGGCTGTAAAACCAAGTTTTGAAGACGTAAAAAAGAAAATCACCAGAAGATCAACTTATACTCAAAAAAAGGAGGAATACTTACAGGTCTAACCTCCTGGCAAGAGTTGGTGAACTGGCGAGCTAAACCGAAGTCCAGCATGTAACAGGTTCGACATGTACTTGGGAAGCGGCCCATTGCGAAATTTGACTAAAGCGGGAAAACACAAAATCATAAAATTATTTACATCAAACTTCATAACAATTGAATTTCATGTTTAAATTTGCTCAGGGGGATATAAATGAGAGCATTTGGCAGAACACAAGATAAACATTTTTTTCCAGTATCAGTACCAGTGAATCAGCAACAATATTTGCAGCTGGAAAAAAAAAGATAGACACATCACTAAACTACCCAGACAATAGAAACAAAAATACTCCCATGTGACTATAATACATAGAGGGAGCTGTGCTGGGTAATGAAAAAGAACCAAGCTGAAAGGCTTTCTCTGCATTTATTTCTAGCTGTGACGCACTGGTTTGATGTCACGATGCAGGAAGCCGACGGAGTGGATGCTCTCTATAGCCTCCAGGATCTGGCGCCCCAGACGTAGTGTGGTGCTGATGCTGAAGGTTCCCCGTGTCATACTCCTCCTCAGGTCAGCCAGGTTTCGACCCTGAGAGATGACAGGAATAATAAGTTTGTAAAAAAAAAAACGGATAGGTTAACTCAACTGTGACAAAATCCTGTCTCCGAAATCCCAGCAGGACCTCGGTCTGTTACTAAACATGTAGCAAAAGATAAAAAAAAACAAATCTGTGTAGGTTTTAACTAAAAGCGGCATCAGTGATTTAAGTCTGACCAACAGCAGTCTCAGAAAAAACTCAATCCAGCTGCTTGAACATATAATTTGACACTCTGTGGTCGGGGAAGTGCACAAAAATGCGACATTCCTGTGGAGCTGGTTGTTAAAATCACAACCAGACCACTTCAAAAAACACCCAAACCTCATCTGTCAACAATTTCACAGAATATTCCTGACTAATTTGCGATCACGGCTTTGATACTACGCTACAGGATGTGTGCTGAACGCTGGAAATGAAAGTAATTTAATGCCTCTGTGGATCACAGCGGGCTACAAAGAAGATGAAAAGTCTGCTGTGGAGCTGCTTCAATTTCCTCATGGAGAGCACCGTGGCTTTAAGCCGGAGGTGTTTGGCCATGCTAGCAACAGAGGATGAGAGAGTCAGTCAGTCTGTCCAGCACATTAACTTCAAAGCAGACAGTCGTGACCCCCAGAGGATGAATCCTAATGATTTGAGAGATTTTCCACCTTTTTGTTTACAGCTAACTCCACAACTATCAGACGGATTTTCTTAAAATTTGGCAAAGCTCTTTGTGTTCCCTGAAGGACAAGATCTGGTGTTTTTGCTGATGCCCTGACATTTAGCTTAAATACGTAGAAAAAAATACAACTTTGCATTAAGACAAAAAACATACTTAACTTTGTACCGACTTATTTCTAGCCTTCCTACAGCGAGCATGTTTACTTTAATAAATGCTTGAATATCGTGTATACATGGCTCAGTTTCTTGTGACTAACATAAAAACCATAGGCTGTATATACTATGGACAGCTTGGTTCTGCCTTCCGCGAGTATTTTTTCTCCATTTCCTGAAACCAACATTGCGCAGTAGTGTTGTACACATTCAGCAGGAGAGTCGCAAAGAGTCACTATGATGACGCATGGCTCAAACAGCTTATCTCTCGGGTGAGCTACTCAATCCCTGAACGCCCATAGGCTGTATCAAGTGTCAATCATAGAAAACATGAACCCCCTAATAACTTTTAAAAACGGAGCTGTACAGAAAAAAGAGGACTTGAGCACAAACCAGTCTTACAATAATTACATGTCAACATCTCAAGCAGGGGGGAGAAAAATTGTATATTCTGTGTATTAAATTTCTAAAGTTTGTCCACAGCTCCATAAGGATGGCTGGTGGAGGTGGGATTTATGACCTATACTGCAGCCCGTCACCAGAGGGTGCTGTTCTCAGGGTGGCTTCACCCAGCGAGGAGGCAGACGCTGTCCATTCTACATACAGTCTATGATAAAAACATGCAAAGTCAGAGGCATGACGTCCTTATAGACCAACCTGAAGCTCCATCACCACGTAGTTAAATCTGTCATTGCGGCCGCATCCCACAAACCGACACACGTGGTCTTTACCTGTGAAGAGAAGAGAGATAAAAGTGTTTATTAAGACGCAGAGGTCTCTTCACGGTCACCTGACATCAGCTGCATCATGTGATCGTAAGAGGCATGAGTCATGATGAATTTAGAGTCATTATTATGCTGCTCACCCACTCAGTTCAACACAACAAGCCTCCTTGTGTAACTATCCAGCTGATTTATGTGCGATTGAGTACACAACATTTGGTCCACATGAGTGTAAATGCCTCATGATTGTGCATCTGAGTGGGACATCTTTCCTCCTCATTCCCACATCAAACACAAGCTGTCTCTTACAAAAGCTCAGTGTTCAAAACCTTTCCATACTAAAGTTAGAGGACCGTATTAATACTGCGTCTAATCTGCTTCCATGTCAGAGTAGTTATTATTAGCTGGATAGGAACCATTAGTCCTCTCTGAGCGCTGGAGGTCGATGTTGACTCTTTACAGCTGGACCAGTCAGCAATGTTTGGAGGACTGGAGTTCAGCCTGTCTAAAGTTACATGCTGATTCCCTGAGGAAGCAACAAACCCATGATGCCTCAGGCCGCGGCCATTAGACAGTAAACATGATCCCAGCCCATTGATTTTCCACTCGGGAGGGGGAGGAGAAAAAGGACCAAAGAAAAAGGTTCAAGGAAAGGAAGGAAAAGGGGAGGGGGAAAGATTTAGTTAAAAAGAAACAAAAAAGGAGACAGAAAGGAGAGAAACTATACAACCCCCTGCCCCCCCTTCATGTGACTCTGCTCGGCTGTGCGATGTTGGGAGCGTCCGGGAACACAAACATGCACTTCCTCTTGTGCTTATGTTCTGTCACAGTCAGCCCAAGCTTTTAACTCAATCTCGCAGGTTTATAACCTCAATGTTAGCTGCAGAATAATTTGTCCAAATGATTGCGTTTTTTTTAAACTGAGCTGAAGTCTAAAATGTGTTTCCAGATGAGTCTGATGAGTCAGATGATCTATATCTGGTCACAGAGGCAGAGAGTATTATAGCTGCTGTCAATGCACAAAAGGTCATCCCTGCATTTTCTCCTTACTTGACCTTTTCCTGATTTGTCTGCTTCTTTTTTTATTTTTTTTTCATTGCAGGACAAATTATTTGCAGAAAACATTTCACTTCTCAGAAGAATTTCTCTCCCCTCCACTCAGGGAGACTCAGTAGGTCACAGTGTCAAGGAAGATCGATGATCGTCTCCACAAATGTAACCAAACCCACTGAATCCATTTGGACTCACCCTGGAGCTTTTTGAGCACAGCCACCTCCATCTTGAGCACCTGTTTGGGCTGCTGGGCGGACTCCACCTTCAGCGCAACACTGACCCGCGTCAGCAGGTCCACCGCCTCGTAGATCTCCCCAAATCCACCACCCCCGATCTTCTTTACCTAGAGGGAAAGGTTGACGTATTAAATGAGAATTCACAGCAAAGCGAAGTACAACATTCACGATGATTGTCCTTCATTTCTGACACAGGCGTCCTGCCATACTTAAACAGATTTCTTTAAATTCTTAACATAATACAGACTTCTATATAGGACTGTCCTGTTATGGTATTCATATCGGGTATCGGTCTGATATCAGCAAAAAAAATGAATATCAGATTATATCGGCCTGCTTCTAAAATCTCTGATATCAGCACTCCGATACAAGCAGTCCATTCCAGACTCCGCTCCTGCACCTCTATCTAGCAGCGCCCGGATCCAGCAAACTGAGCCCACAAAATCACAACAACAGAGTGTACTAAGGTACTAACAAAGTTGCAAGGAGTAAGAGTGATGTTGGCCTTGTGGTGGTATTTTTTGTTTAAGTCTGAAAAATACATTGCAGCTGAGTGAAAAACTTGTCAAGCACAATTTTGTGTGAATATCGGTACCGGTCAAAGTCAAAAAGTTGTATTTGGACGCCCCTAGTTCTATATGTATTTTTTTATCTAACTCTGGGCTGCATCCTATATACTGATCTGACTCCTCAGTTTAAGACCGGTGGAAGTAGTGGTCACCGACTGTAGGTTGGTACCTCGCGATCAAAGATACAATAGGCTGGACTCAAAGACCACACTAGCAGACGCCAAGGTGAAAATGAAAAGAACCAGAAAGAACTTCACGGTTGCACATAAACTACACATTGTGGACGTTGTTAGGCATTGTCACTGAATTTAAACCTTTTCCCAGCTGGTGGATCCTAAAAACAGACTGCATCTTATTCAAACTGGTGATTTATATCAGTATAACAACCCTGATTCTCATCGTCTAAGAGCTTTAAATGAGTGTTGCAGCACTTATCTTTAGTTACCAAACAGCAGGGGTGCAACTACATATTTTTTCAATAAAGATCAAACTAAATATTATTTTCTAGCAAGATGAAAAATGATTAGATCTTTTAAAAACGGAGAAAAGATTACACCAAAATGATCAAATGACATTCCTAGTGTTTATTCAAACAAAATAAAAGAACAGAAAAAGATGAAGTCTTTACATTTCAGATGCTTAAAGTTTTTATTTCACTTTAGTTTGACAGCTCACTTGAAGACTAATCAATACACTAAAAAATGCAAGTATATTCTTGTGTTAACACAGATAAAGCAAAAGTGTGAGCACATCTTCTTCATAAAAACACTCAGTGAAAGGTATGTTGAAGATTTCACTTTGCTCTCCTCTGCTTTTCCTTCATTCAAACAGCCGCCCACGCTTGTACCTTCTCATTCTTAGCGCTCGCAGAGCTTTACGTTCCCCACGTGTCCTTCACTGTCCTCCACTCACTCACTCTCACACAGTCTTGTGTCGCACTCAGAGCTAAAGTCGTAGGATTAGCTGCAGCACGGTTATGTAACTCCACTCCTTAGAAGACAGGAAGTGGTGCCAGTGCTGCCAGTGAGGAATAACAGGCTCACATGGCACCCTGGCTGGCACAGCACAGAGAGAGAGAGAGAAAGAGACATGGGCCTCGGAAGAAACACTGCTGCTGCCACCTAAAGAACACTGCACTGACGCAAATAGCTACATGGGCTATATTTAGATGTCACACACTGCAGCAGGCCTACCTGGACAGCAGGACATGACCCCAAACTGTCCAAAGCACAGGTAAGATACTTAAGATGGAAGCAGAGAGATCCAGAGGCTGAAAAAGAGTAGTTTAGTCAACAAAGAGGTGTTGTTTGTCTTACAGAGGCTGAGCTGAGGGACTGGCAGTGATGGAGCTGGAAAAACACACCGCCTATTGTCACCAAACAACGTGTCACTTACCACTTTCCATCGTTCCTTGACCAGGGAGAGCACACTTAGGATGTCGGCTTGCTCTGCTCCCCCGCTCATCCCGTCTGTGGAACCGGGGACGCTGTCCTAACTGCTTCCCCCAGCAAACAGAAACCTTAGACTGGGACGGGCATTTCTAATCTTGATGGAGAACCCTTAAAGAGACACAAAGTACCAGAAGATTAGGGATAATTACGAAGAAATTAGTGGAGCTCTGTTTTGAGAATTTTAAACTCATGATTATGTGTTTTAACCAGCAAAGACTTCAACGCAAAAGGCCTTCATGAGGGGCAACATGTGAAAGCCCCACAGTCGCCCAAGTTATGACAAAGATAAACCCCTGGCTTAAATGGCTGGAGCCTTCAGATATCTGACTATCGCCGCAGCTGCCACACCTGCTGCCAGCAGCTGTTCTCCCAGACAAACCCACCCCACCAACTCACGGGCAAAAATCTCTGCGCCTTAAATTACAAAAAGGCTTCATCTGATAGTCGTTTTTCTCTGCCATTTATCTTCCGAGTGTGACAGCTCAGCGGCAGGTCTAATGAAGAAAGCACTCATAGTCTCATCAAGTATAATGAGACCATGAGTGCTGTTTATTCTGCCTAATTTTACATCAGGATCACACCTTCACTGCAGGATTACTGGCCAGATGAACAAATGACTAATATTTTCAGTATAGTAAATCTGAAAAGTGTGTGTTACGTCTAAGCTGTAGTGGAGCCACCCGCAATAAGCACCAGCACTGCTGTAAAACTCTACTATCCGGTTATAAACAAATGAGAAGTAGCATCTCGTAGCCTAATGGTTTAGTAGTAATTCGACCTAGAAAATGGGGATATGTAGGCTGAGTTTGGTTAAACTGGCAAATAACTGCTTAAATTGAGCAATTTTGGAGTTTAACCAGTAAGGAGAAAAGGGCCAGAGAAACTGGTTGCTGTCTGTCCCCCATTAGTTGGTCTTTTTATAGCTCATAGGTCAATGACGTTTTGTTCATCCATGAGTCCCAACAAACAAAGCCCTCCTAAAGAAATGTGTATCTATACAGCTCAAAATTTCCTGTGTATAAAATGCGTACAGAGTATACAATGAGGACGTAGTGGATTTCCCCCCTGGATAAACTGTGTATATTCTCCTGTATTATACAACATCCGCATCAGAGTCGGAGATAAGCATTCCTCAGGAGAGAACACGCCGTCACTTCCTTTGGTCTGTCTTCAAACACCCCGAGCAAACCCCGAAGAAACCTGACTTTCGATTTATCATTCTGCACACGGCACCCGGGCGTCTTCGGTTATGCAACAAGCCTTCAAAACACTATTTGGTTCCAGGGCATGATCCAGACATCAAGGAGGCAATCAATCCCATCATGCAGCAGGGTGAGGTTGGATGATGGAGGAGGGCAAAGCGTGGTTGGACTTGATGAAAGGAAATGACATGCATGCTGTAACACAGGTGACAGGATGAGGTATGAGAGTGCTACCCTGGTTAACTTTGAAATCTTAACTTTAATATTCAGTCCTTTATTTTTAACTAGATTATAGGTTTTTTTTAGTTTATTCACAATGAGCATAGAGACACCCCAATATTAACCTTCAATGAACACAATAAAGAGTGTCACAAAGTATTCTTACATCTTCAGTAAATTATGTTTGAGATATTGAAAATTTGTCCCACTCTTGCTTGATACATGATTTTAGTCACCCAATACTTCAGGGTCTCCTTTCTAATAGCTTCTGATCCAGAGTCACTTTTCCATTTTGCCTCAGTCCATCTTAAACTGACACAAGATCAGCTCTTTGGAAGTGCTTTTTAGCCTATGCAATAATTCCCACTGCAGAGTCATGCTTCATTATTATTAATGCAGTACAATCTGAGGGTCTGAATACTATATGGCCATCCAGTTCTGACTTTTGGCTTTGTTTTATTTGTTCAGTGATTTCCCCAGAGTCCCTTAATCTTTTAATGAAATTTTGTTCAGTAGCTGATGACATAACCCAATTTTCTGCACTTTAACACTTAGTAACATTGTTCTCAAACTACTTCTGGACTGAGGCAAACTGCTGATTTTCTCAAACAATCCCTCACAGTGGTGAGAGTCTTCCTATCTTTACTTCTGAGAGACTCAGCCTCTCTGTAATGCCCTTTTTATACCCAGTCATGTGGCTGACTTGTTGTAAATTAGGCTTTTTTATCCCCTCTCTTAACATTACATAACTTGTTCAGTGTTTTGTTGTCCGTGTCCAAACTTTTTGGAATATTTCAAAAAAGCATCAACAATAAAATATTCTTGTTTCAATATTTTTTGCACTATTTTAATTGAATACAGGCCTGAAATGATTTGCAAACAGTCATACTTGCTTTTTACACATTTTACACTTTAACACAGCATCCCATCATTTGGAACTGGAATTGTAGTTTTAGAGCACAGGTGTTAAACTCAAGGCCCGGGGGCCAAATCTGGCCTGTGGAACAATTATATGTTGCCCACAAGATCATATCATATTTGTATTATTATTGGCCCACCAGTATGAAGTCTGCAGATGTCCTCCAGTATAATAATGTAAACTTAAGCACCATTATTTAAAATGTCCTTAATAAGCCACCAAAAATCTGGGAAATTAAAGAGTAAGGAAGATTTGATAAATAGTCAAGAATGTGGGAAAAAATATTTGGTGTTTTATTTCATGCTTTGATTTTGTTCAACTCAGTATTCAAACTTGTCATTTTTATACTTTAGATTCCAATTTTAAATTTTAAGTCATATTTTGACCTTTTAAAACCTGATTTCAACGTTCTTCTCATGTATTTGCTCTTTACATGCATTGTTTTTCTATTTTTAATATCATGCTCTGATCTTTTTAACTAATAAATAACAATAGAATAAAAAATTAAAAAATCTATCTCAGATTGCCTTTAAACTTTTCTTTTTATTTTAAATTTCCAAATGATTTATAATCATTTTTGTTACATATTTTTCTAAAAGGAGGTTGACAGTTTTGGTGAAATGATGACCCTGTTTGGCCCTCAGGTTAGACCTAAATCCAGATTATGGCCCTTTCTGTAGTTGAGATTGACACCCCTGTTTTAGAGGAAGGCCCAAGGATACTGCTATTAGCCTTCTTGAGCAGTATAACATTGTGTTTTTCACTGTCAAAATATGTATAGATTCCACCATTAAGTATCTCTAAAAAAAGATAGACCACCTCTATTCTAGTTTATTACCATACAAGCAGCTACTTAATGCAAAAGCCAGCAGCCTCTCCTACTTCAAATATCATGCTAACATGTTGGTTATATAGCGTGTTATGTTTACCACTAGCACAGAGTTACAGCTCAGTATGCCTTCAACAGAGAAAACAGTCAAGGCCAGAGGAATGTCATGAGTTCTGGCTTACATACCAAAAGTACAAGAAGTAACAATCATGACCTGATGATGGTGGCGCGGGATGAGGAGTAAGAGGGTCAACACGGTTATTTATAAATCCTTTTGGGATTGTGAACCTCTGCACAAAACTGGAAGACTATTTAAGAACCAAAGAGGCATGACGAGGAACAAAGCTGAGCCAAACCTCTGCTGTATAGAGGCCTTTTTTGGCAATAACTGATGGAAATGTAAGGCATGTGTATGTAAATCCTCTTAGAGAGAAAACATCGGTGAAGAGTCTTACTTTTGAGAGAAGAATATGTTGTTCAGAGCAAAAGAAACATGCTGCACATGTCCATTTAAACCCTGAGGGACGAGAGGAACTGACTGTAAATAAGCTCTGCTGTGAGTGCTGTGTCACTACTTCAAGGTCACCCCATGTTCTGGTGTCTTCCCTCTTTGATGGGAGGTAAATGCTTTTATTAAGCTGCCATGTCTGAGAATATCCTCTCTGAATGAGTTTGTGGCTGCTGGAAAAAGGTTTGTCGGCTTTTGACTGAAAACTGAAAGAAAAAGAAAGAGGAGTGGATATTTTAGGAGGTCCTTTCTACCTGGTTCAAAGCTGTCGTACTCTGTTTTCATCCAGCACCAGTGAGTTTGAATGGCAGACAGCTTGCCCATTGACAGCACATCACATCTACTTCCAAAACACGTGCCTTCGAACACAAACTCGCACACACATTGACGGAGTGCAAAAGCCAGGCTGTCTCACGCTGTGACTAATCTCACACCTCCGAGAAATGCATGGTTCTTTTCATCTTCCTCCTCCTCCTCCTCCTCCTCCTTCTTCTTCTCTATACAAATCACCTTCATTGAAGAAAACCAGCCGAGGAGGAGCTGCAGTCTTTTAGCCAAAAAATGAACCAATTTATGACAAACCAGCACCAGTTTCATCATGAATCACGCTTTCCTGACCCCCCTTCGTCTCCATGGCAACGATGGTGCAGTGCCATTTTCATGTGCTGACTGCAGCTTGGCGTCGCCTGTGCCCTTTTGGTCTGCTGGAGGCAGCTGGTTTGCAGCTACGTAAACCAGCGTGAGAGGAGTCCAACTTAACTCTGGAGATATTTGATCTCTAAATACTGATGAGAGACGAAAGAACAACAAAAAAATCTTTGCATGCATATTTAATACCTGCTGCTCCAATATGTAAAGTTATCTTTCATGCTACCTATTAGTAAATGGCAAATACTTTATTATTGATATTAAATTGCATGTGCAATTGGTTCATTATGAGTCTCCAACACTAGTTTTCTTTCACAGATTTATGTGTTTATTATAATATGACACATATTTAGTTTCTTCAGGACTTGAATGTGTCTTTTTTTCTTACACCAACTACTACTCTCCCAAACTAAGAAACTTTAACCACATAATTTCCTCACACTATCAACAAAGCACGTCTCATTTTGATCCTGTTAATAACTTACAGCTCCAGGAAGAAATAAGTGATTGTAATCTTTTTGACTGAGCTTTTAACCGTTCCTGAGCCGGGTAGCGCTCTGAGGGCGTCAAATCAACTTCTGCTGGAGGTGCCCAGATCAAAACGCAAGTACTGGGGTGACCGAGTCTTTTCAGTCGCTGGTCCAAGGCTCCGGAATAAGCCTTTTCAAATCCCGGTTGAAAACATACCTATTTATGGTGGCTTTTAACACCTAGTAGTGTGGTGACACTTTATTTTCTTGCATTGTATCTTATTCTTTTTTTATTGCTTTTATTTATTCATTTTTATCTTCTTTCGTAAAGTACTTTGGTTCACTGAAAGGGTTGTTGTAAAGTGCTGTATAAATAAAGAACATTTACATTTACATAAACTTCACTGATTTCAAACTTCTGCAAAGTTTGCCATGTATCAAAAGTAAAGCCTGGCTCTGTTGCAAACTATCGGCCACTACATCATAAAATCTTGTTTGCAGCTAGAGCCACCATGAAGCCCTCGACTCTCCACTTCAGGCTTATTAAGTTACACGTGTAGAAAAGCCACAGTTTGGAAAATGACTTGCAGCATCAAGCTTTTCAGTGACAATGCATTTTTCTTAACGGTGTCACATTTGAGTAGTTTGGTGTTCATCTGACCTACTCTGTTAACAAATTACAAATCAGGTTAATCAACTATTGAAGGGAAGGTGATAAGAATAAGAAGGTGGTAAGAATGAGGTAACTGAAGGGTTGTTTTGGCACACCAGCTTCCAAACAAACCGGTGAAAAAGGCTGGCTCTGTGGAGGATGTGGCGGAGAGATCTACACTGAGGAAGGTGGAGACTACTCTTAAGAACATGGATCACACACTTTACAACACCTTAATGGACCCAAGGACCAATGGTGGTGGACGGCTCTTCTCTCCTCGCTGCAGGACAGAAAGATTTAGAAGATCTTTTGTACCCAAAGCTATCAAAGTAGATGACTTTTAGATTGAAATGACAAATGGGACAATTAAATTTCTACTCGTGTTTTGTGGACAAGAACTGTAGGACTGCAGTGAAAGTATAATAATGACCCTCTACTACCAATGATGCCCAAACAGGGCCTCAAATTCTTCATTTGAAGAGCAAATCGAGGAGGACAGGCAGCAAAGTACCTCTGTTGACTGGTTTCAATGAGTAGCCAGCTGCAGCAGTACCCCCATATGTTTTCCACGCAAGCTGTCATGCTGGTCCAGCTACTCTGCAGTGGGCTTTGCTGTGGAGAGCTGTTGCATAGCGAGTTGGTTGCCACAGCAGATTTACTCAGGCGCGTCCACGCACACTGGCAGTCCACAACCACAGGCCACGCAACCTCATCCTCTGACAACATGCAGGATAACAAACTGAATGCATGTAGCAGCTAGCGGGGGGAAATGGGTCGGGAAAGCGAGAGCAAAGGCAGCAGAAGCAAATGCAAAAGCACGACCCCCTCTGATTCTGGACGCTTACCTCAGGTCTTTGCTGCCAATCCTTGATCCAGGGAGGAAGAGCCGGGTGTGGTTACGAAAAATCCTCTACGTTTGGAGGCGGCGGAGACGACATGAAGCGGAATCCCATCGCGAGCGAACCGTCCATAGGAAAAGGTGAAGGCCGTCGTGTCAGCGGTGCGAAAAAAACACGAAACGAGCAGGAATAAAAGTGGAGGAAATCCGTCTGAATGTGGTCGTCCCTTTTCTCCTTCTGCCTGTCACCTCAGCATCTCTGTCGGTCGCTGCGGATCCGTGACGTGACGACTCGGTGGTGATCACCAGCTTTCCTGCGCGCGCGGTCCCGATCCTATCACCCCTCGCAACAGCTCGGGCGCGCGCAACGGGGTATTTAAAGCGCGTTCAAGGGTCGGCGCGCGCCTCCCCCACACACAAATGCTGGTCTTGTGTGTTTATATTGACAATTGAACCGTTTCGCCCCGTTCACAAACAGTTTAAGATTAAATGTGGGATCAATTTTATCTCAAAAGATGAACTCAAGTCATGTGGGTTGGAGAATACAATCTGATTAGTTTGGAACAAGACCACCAGGGGGCGACATTGAGCCAATGATGGCCTATGACCTATGTGAGTGATTGCATAGTATGGGGTCATACACAGCCATTTTATAGTTTCAAAAGTTTATTTATATTTTTAAGTCATTGGTCAAAAACAAAAACAAAAATATATTTATCTCTGCTGTCATTGACCTGTTTAAACCTGAAATAGTTCTGCAAAAATACCGCTTTCAAGTGTTAAATCAGGTGTCAAATTAGCCTTAAAGGGATATTCTGGCGTAAAACTAATTTAGGGTCAAACACACCACAACACAGAGTTAGACACCCCCTCAAAGATGAATGTTGCTGACCGCTCGCTTCACTAGTTACACCAACTTTAGTAACGACCGCATGAAAGCAATACACAGCAGTCTGTGGAGCCATAAACAAACCTCAACAAAAACGCCACTCTATAGCCACAAATAATGCTCAGAACAGCACCTAACTTCATCAACAGTACATATAGGGTCCTAGTCATAGCACTAGCCACCAAAGATCCTTTTAACTTTGCCTAATTTCTTTAACAAAGAGTATTAACTAAATACAACTCACTTGCTCTCTTCCAGTAGCCACTTGTTTGGAGTGAGACCCCAGGCCAGTCCATTATGGACTACAGCGGGGTGACGCAGCTCAAGAAAGAACATTTATGATTATTGAGGCAATAATTGATCATTTATGATGACTGAGGCAGAAATATTTATTTTCTGAACATAGTACAATGTTTACTTCTCCACATGAGTGAACCACTAACCTGCAGTTAAAGCGTGAAACCATTTGCTTTGTTTTTTTTTTTTTTTCCTGTTTTTGTCTCATTGCGTGCTTTGTCTCAGTGCCTTTGGTGGGTAACATGTCAGAAGTGCAAACAGGCTAGTTAAGTACTCAGACTATCCCAGACAAGAAAAGGGGTCATAATGGATTAACATTTTTTTGCTAAGATGTGCAAGGCCTTTCTTGAGAAAGGCATTATCTGGACATCAGAATATTGCACAAAAACCTGTTTTAGTCTCTCAGCATCAAAGGTACCTCCCAAGATATGTAATACCCACTATAGGCACTTGATTCTGAACTGTATGCTGATAATAAGCAAGGTCCTTCCCCACTTTAGAGAGCATGATTCAGCATGTAGGATTTCTAAGAAGAGTGTCAAATTTTGATTCATTAGACCACATGACCATTTTCCATCTTACCTCAGTCTATTTGAAACAAGCTCAGTCCAGAGTGATTGCCAGCATTTCTGGATCATATTATCTTCTGTTTGCATGGGACAGTTTGTGGGTGCAGCAACAAACGATTCACAGGAAAGGTTTTTTGAAGGGGGTTTTGAGCCCATGCAGTGATTCCCACTCCTGAGTCATGTGTGTTTTTAACACAATGCACCACAGCCATCTATGTCTGTCACAGGAAATTAAAACTGAATTTTGCAAACTGAATTTGAATTTTGCAAACTGAATTAATTAATTAATTAACTGAATTAATGAATTCGAATTAAACAATACAATTTAAAATTATGTGATTTCAATTCGAATTTTAATTCCATTTTCAATATAAATTGAATTTTCAATTCAAATTCAATGTAGTTTTCAATTCAATTATTCAAGTTTAGCAATTCAAATTCAGATATAAATTATTTAAATTCAAATTAAACAATACAATTTTCAATTTCTGATTCAAATTCAATTTTTGATTCAAATTCAATTCAATTTTCAATTCAATTATTTAAGTTTAGCAATTCAAATTCAAATTTAAATGATTCAAATTCAAATATAAATGATTCAAATTCAAATTAAACAGTACAATTTCAAATTAAGGGGATTCAAATTCAATTTTTTAATTCAAGTATTCAAGTTTACCATTTCAAATCCAAATATTACTTATTCAAATTCAGTTTCTGGTGGCACATATTTCAGCCCATATTGAACAGGCTCAGATATAGGCTAGAGGCCTATCCTATAAATATGGATGTAATTAGCAACATTGACCCACAATATTAATTCATACAAAAGTTATGTGTTTTGCATTCTAAACAAACAGACAAACAAATGAAATAAAGATATATGTGTGTAACTACACTTTTTTTGTTTGTTTTTTTACCCCTGAGTCCTCCAGTACAGCTTGCGGCGTTACTCTCGAAACATCTCGCGATAACAGATGCTGCACGATTGCGTTCGATTGCGGTACCCGGAAAACATGTCGGAGTGGGTGCTCTTTCCCATAGACATAATAAAAGGGTAGACCCCGCTGGCGGTGCTGCGCAGCGAGAAATGCGGCCGCCATCTTGGTCAGGTCAAGCTTCCCATACTCTCCGGTCAATCATATTCATCCATTCATTCATTCAGCGATGCCGGAGCACTGTGCGGCGTATTCCTGTGCCAACAGGCGGACAGCAGAGAACAGGGCTCAAGGAATAACTTTTCACAGTTATGATTAAACGTTTTTTCAACATTACACTTGACTGTAGAGTCATTTGTAGGCCAAAGAGGAAGACTATCGGTCAACTCCAAAAAGGAAACAGCATTTGCGAACAGCTAGCTTATTCACAATAATAGCAACTTTGCTCTATTATCAACAGATTTGCATTAGATTGAAAAACTTTTGTTTGAGAGAGGTTCTAAGAAACGTTAAGAAATAAAATAGAAAGAAGAAGGAAGAAAGTGAGCTCTGTTTTATTATCTGTTTTATTAAAGATTTCTTTGTGGTGATCTCCTGTTTCATTTTGAAGATTTCCTAAGGACAAAAACTTGAGGAAGAAGTGGGAGATTGCTGTTAGAGGGAGAAATTCGCAGCAAGTGATTCCTCTGTGCTGTGTAGCCAACAAGCAAATTGATATGTAGTTTAGATGCTGTCCTGTCATGCTGTTCTTGTGTTTAAATTTTTTTGATATGTAGGCTATATATTTGTGTGTATTTCTTTGTGTGTATTTTCCAGTTATTAAAATAGTGCTTCTATATGTCATTATTTGTGTGTGTCTACAAATGGATAAATAAAATTAAACTATACAAAAAATTATAATCAAATCAATATATATTGAATTGGCCTATTAAAACCGCCAGTTATTAATAATTATTTAGACATAGCAGGAACCTAGCTCTAAACCTAAATATATCCTTGAGTAATTGTTATACTATAATACAGCCACTGCTGCCATGTTCTAAAATATCATTTTATTCATTCTGAGTATTTGAAAACGCCAAAAAAAAAATATGGCCTCTATCATGCCTCTTTGAATGGCGTTTGCAGAGAAGAAAATTACGTAGTATTGAGCGAACAATGATTCATTTAATGCGCTCAGACTTCATTCCGCCGGTTAAACAGCAGTGCAGAGTGAGGCGGATGACCGGACCAAGATGGCGGCCGCATTTCTCGTCAGCGCCCATTCGTGGTAGCGGCCGATGCGGGGTCTATCTTTTATTATGTCGGAGTGGGTGCTCTTTCCTCACACACATCTGCTTGTGACGTTTCCCGATCTGACCGGTCAGGGTGCTGCTGTGATGATAGCTGGTAGGTAGCTAGCTGCTGGCTAACCCGCTGAGCTACCTCCTCCTCCTCCGCCTCTGAAGGCAGCTGTACGGAGCCGTGAATGAACCCCGCACGTCAATGCACCTCCTGGGGCCACGATGGCAGCGACAGACACGGTCTGAGTCGTACATCCCCGCCATGTAGCTGAGTGTTTGACCGTATCTGTAGTTAATGTTAGTGTGATCCGTTCTCCCTTAGCTATTTCCATCAGTAGCTAGCTTTTTTTCTCTCTGTCCGGGACACACGGCGGCAGCTAGCCCCCTCTCTCGTCGCTACAGGAGGATGCTGAAGCTGTTCGGTGTGCTGGTCATCCTCGGACTGGCCCTGGCGTGCATCACCTCCTGGGTGCTGGACAGCTATGATACGGCTTGGCACCCTAAACGAAGCGTTCAGCACCCGACAGTGGGTGATGGAGGGGAGACTAAGGGGACTTCTCCACCATTTCCCGGCGGCGAGTTGAGCAATATATTCTGGTTTATACAGGTGGGCTTTAACTAAACCGTCTTTGTTTGTGAAAAGATGAACCGTGCCAAGGTTTAACGAGCATTCATGTTTCTGGTTTGACCATCTTTGAGGCTGAAATGAGGCTAGCTTTGGTAGTTCACCCACTGAACTCTCTCTGAATGATTGACAGAATGGGGTCACTGACCACAGAAGTGTGTCATTGTCAGGTAAAAAAGAAAGATTCAGCAACACAGTAGACTGTAGTTAGACTTTGGACTTTTAGTGTTTTACAGCTCTGATACTGCCATTTAGAAAAAAACATGAGAAAACAGTATGAGGATGTTATCTCTCATCACTGATTGTGTTTTACTGTGTGGTTTAAGGTGTCTGATATTCACATAAGCCGGTTTCATGATCCAAGACGCATTCCAGACTTTGAAAAGTTCTGCACTGACACCGTCGAAGCAATCAAACCTGCTTTAGTACTCGCAACAGGTACAGTAACAGCCCTATCTGACTGGGTGGGGGCCCTGTCTTCTAGATGTTACTTCCCTCATGGCTGTTTCTCCCTCCCACTCCGCAGGGGATCTGACAGACGCCAAAACAGAGAGTAAAGTGGGCTCCCTGCAGCACGAGGTGGAGTGGCAGGCCTACCACAACGTCCTGAAGAGGTCCCGAGTGATGGAGCGCACACGGTGGATAGACATCCGAGGAAATCATGGTAATAAACTGCGGCACTTTGTTATCTTAATGTTCCCCTCCACATGCACTGCTTCAGGCGCAACCCACAGTAGTGAGTACACTATTAAGATTTCTGAAGAACCCATTAATGCATCACAGAGGAAGTCGTTCTGCCCCTCCTCTTCGCTGCTGCCCTCTCTGCTCTGTTATTGAATCCCGGGCTATTAGACGCGAAACAAGATAGAAGGAACAGTCAGATGAAAGAAAGCTCATAATTCGATAAAGAGTTTCTCTGACAGCTTTTCTGCCATGATTGATCACAAGTTGGGGATCCGTGTTGGTCGGGTTCTGCTGTAAAAGCAGATTTGGTTTTTAATATTTTTTAATATGTATCTCTCCAAGAAGAATTTCTACATTTACATTCTTCTTTTCTTGTCCCTAAACTTATTTAAAGTTTTATGTTCATATAATTGTCACACTCATTCCTTCTTTTTTCCCCCCTGACAGATGCCTTCAATATTATATCACTGGACAGCACCAACAACTATTACAGGTCTGTATATGATTCTCAATGCAACAGTGAATGTGTTATTTACTCCCAAACTACTCCTGCAGGTCTCTAAGCAGCGAATGAAGTGCGAAGCTGATCAGAGCACATAGTAACTTCGATGTCTCTGAAACCTGAGCTGCTGCAGACCTATTTATTGACAATAACCCGAGCAGTCTGAGCTTCCTGAGGCCCAAAATAGATTGTGCATGAACAAACCGACTCTCTTCTCCTCTTTTGACACAAATAATGTTTAATGTGGCATCGCTGCTTCCGTTAATTCTGATTGATCTTTCATCTGCTCGGGATTTTTTTAATGCCGCGGTCATCCTCTGCGAGACAGAGTCTGTCTCCTCGGCGAGCCTAATTTATTTATTAATTTATTTAAACTGCATTAACTGTATCAGTCCAGTAGAACGACTGGCTCCAGCTCAAACCACAGAATCACGTTGCTCACATTGACTCTTCTTCTTCTTCTTCTTCTTCGATCTCCTCAAGGAAATACTCGGCCAATCAGAAAGTTGGCTCTTTCCACTACGTTCACAAAACTCCCTTTGGCAACTACTCCTTCGTATGTGCGGACGCCACTCTGACTCCAGGACCCAAGAGGCCATACAATTTCTTTGGGATACTAAACCAGGTATAGCCGCCCTCTTTTACTCGACAGAACACAAACTGGTGCTGATGTTTTCACAAACTTCAGAAAGCAGAAAAATAATATTTCAGATACCTTTTTTTATTGCAACGGTTAAAGATATGAGATAAATTTAGCTTGAACTAAACTAAATAGTCCACAAAAATACAAAATAAGGTGTTTAGGGTCAATTCCAACCTGGAGTTTTTTGCACTATCTGCTGTTACTCATATTATATAAGACATAAGAGGCTCACAATTAACTCAAAATGTAAATTTGCAAAAAAGAAAAAGTGTTTGTGCTAAATGTACACCTTTTTTGTACTTTGAATCAAGCAAATTTCTAAAAATCTCAGTTCCCTAAAAGAAAACAATGTATTCCACTTGTACATCCCATCAAGTTTCTGTCTTAATGTCTGACAGACACAGATGGACCTGCTGGACAAGTTCAGAGCTGAAAGTCTAAAAAGCAACCAGTCGATCTGGTTTGGCCACTACACCACCTCCACTGTTGTCTCCCCTTCTCCTGGAGTTCGGGATGTGATGAGGTAAGAAAAGTCCTTGCTTTGCTCTTGGACCTGTAGACTTGATTTCTATCAAACAGCACAATCGAGCCAAAACCAATAAATCAGCGATGGTCACCTGTCTGATGATTGGGAGTTCTTTTCTTTTTCTTTTTCTTTTCAGATCTGCAGTTGCGTATCTGTGCGGCCACTTACACACACTGGGCGGCCTGATGCCCGTCCTCCACAGCCGGCACCCCCAAGGAACTCTAGAGCTGGAGCTGGGTGACTGGATGGACAATCGCAGGTGTGGAAGACGACGGGATGATAAAATACATCTGTGTTTTTTTTTTTTACTCCTTTTTATTGTTGCTTGGTTTAGATCCTGTTGCAGAGAAATCCCCTCAGCTATTCAGTTATCTCCCCGAGTATCAGCGGGTCTTAATTAGCCTCATAAATTTCCTCAAATAAGGGTTCAGAGGGTAATAAAGGGTTTAGATTTAATTAAGACTTTGCTGATTTTCTTGCCGTGGAAATCACATCAGTTGTTAAAATGATTTGATTCCCTTTGTGGGTTGTTGGTCGATGAGATAAACCAAAACAGTGTGCTTGTTTTTATCAATGCGAGCAGAAGGCTGTTTAATTTTTGATTTTGTGCCATTTCGGTGGCGAAAACACTGTCATTACCGTTCGCTACATTCGCCAGCGTGCTCAGTGACTCATGATTTAGAGGGTCAATCCCAAATGAACTCTGATGAATTAATTGTTGTAAATTATGCTGATTTCACAGGCTCAGGTTGCATAATCATGTTATTATAGACAACTGTTGGCCATGCTTTTGACTCTTCTGTTATGGTTGGTAATAACAAGGTCTTGAAATGTCTTCGATGTATCCCCCAGGTACCGAGTTCTGGCTTTTGACCACGACCTACTGAGTTTCTCTGACCTGAAGTTCGAGCAGTGGCCTGCAGTGCTCATCACCAACCCCAAAGATGCGCAGTACCTGCACCCTGGTGTGGAGCCGCTGGGTCGAATGCGGAGGTCGACGCACATCAGGTGCTTGTTCTGTGTTTGTTGACCCCCGAGGCTTTCTGTGACGCTAACACACATGCTCCTGCAACACCAGACCTCTCTGCAAGCATGTTTGAGTCGAGCGCACGTCCCTGATATTTTTACAAAACCATTGTACAGAAAATATAGCCACCCCCAGACCAAAAGGAGGCATTGAAGGTGTGATTATGCCCTTCAACCCCCTCTGAGCCACGCCTCTGAAATCCTGAGGGCAATTTTGAGAAGGGCCCCCAGATCCTGAGGTTTTCTGAAGTGTTGAGGTTTACAAAAAAGCTGATATCTTGGCCTCTGTGGCAGATAGAAACAAAATTCAAAAAGTATTTGAAAGCTTACACATGTGGCTTTCAAGATGACTATCTTTTATTTTTCTGAACCTTCATTACATTATTGAAAACCTTGAACAAACAAACTCAAATCAAATAAAGCGGCTGTATAAATAAAAGTAAAGGCTCTGCACTGGAGAATAAGAAACAATTTGCTTTCTGTAAAACAAGTGGCAGTCATGATAAAGTGTCCATTTAATACAAATGTAATTATAAAAAACAAAGTGATGAAAAAATGCAGCTGCCCAAGTATAGTGCCAGTACAAAAGCAGCACTAAAACTAGAAAATAAACAAATACGTGGCTCAAACTCACAGAAATTGCCGATAGTTTGAGCCAAAACTCTCAATGTGAAGAGGTTGTTCACACTGCTGGATGCTTCCCCTCCGAAGCTGCTTTCTGCCTCCGTCATTGTCTACTTTCCTCACGAAGCACGTAGCAAGAGCCGAGCATGAATCGAATCGCTTTTTTAAGCTTTATTAGCCTATCAGAGGCAGTATGATGGCGGTATGATGATTTGATTCTCCACGACCCCAGAAATGATAGAAAAACTACAGAGTGTTACGAAATGACGTATCTGCGCTCACGGGTTGAAGGGTTGAAATGCGTACATGCTGTCCCGGTTTAAATGGGTTAACCAGGTGTCTGTATGTCCTCTCATTATTTTATATTTTGTTTTGCTGGGTGCAGAAATTTAAAATCTTCTCCAACTTTGGCAGAGGTTTATGAGTTGCATTTGAAGTGGGCATCCATTAAGCAGCACTCTGAGCTGAGTTTAAATCAATCACTTTTTGTGTGTTTTTGAAAAGAATCCTGGCCTTCTCAGAAGCAGCGATCACAGCCGTGCATGTTAGCATAGACGGGGAACCTCTAGGGAAATGTCTCCCGGCTGGAGGTCCTCTGTATGTTCTGCTGTGGGATCCATCTCTCTACCTCACTGGGCTGCACACCATCAGAGTAAAAGTGGAGGTCAGTGCAGTCTTCATTTATCTTCCCCTTGCAATGAAATGCGTTTGGAGACTTTTGAATATTTTATAGGCTTTAATTACATTTGTTTGCTCAGGCTTAGCAGTGACTAACTTGATCTCAGTCTGCTGTCTGGATACTGAGGCTTTGACACTCTTCTTACTTATATTTATAGATAGGACAATTCGAATCTGAGTGTCTTTTTGTGTCTTTTTCTTTTTTATGTGTTTGTGTCAGGACGCGGCAGGCCGGTCATCAGTGCGGGAGCAGCACTTTACTCTGGAGAACGACTTGACTCCCAGCTTCGGTTTTGTGCAATCATTCATCCTCCTCACGGACCACTACATCCTGGGCCGCGTGGCCTTTATAGTCATGATGCTGCTGAACATCGGTGTGCTGCTGGCATTCAGGTTCCTGAGCGTTCCCTCCAGGAGAGGTGAGTCCTGATGGTTTCATTGTGATTACAGACAAGTGCCGAATCTGATTGTCGACGGAGACGTTTTTGTTTCTAAAAAGGCAAAGACACTTTAAATATCGATCGTTTTTCACTTAACGTTGAAATAGTTTTCTTTTCATCAGCAGCGTACTCTCAAGTCTGCATGTCACTCCATCTTGTCAGTACAATGGACACCTTCTTCTACTCTCTGCTGCTCTTCAACCTGTGCACAGCCTTAGGTGGGTTCATCTTCATCAGTTGATAATGGAATAGACGAGCTACAGTAGTACAGCGTCTTCTTATTTTGCTCTTGGTTCTGTATTAAAGGCTTCTTTCATTCTCTTCTCGTAGGCCCGTGGTTTATTGGAGAGCTGATAGACGGCCATAGTGGTGCCTGCTTCGCCTTTGGAGTCTTCATCGATGGACACTTCCTGGAGGGCAGTCTCACGTATGTTGTTGGAGTTGTTCAGGTGAGCAGATAAAGTCAAAAACGACATTATAGGTGCATAGATGTCTTTTTTTATACATATACTCTAAACTTTGGCTGGAATTTCACACGTTTATGCAATGATTCACTTTCTAATCTTCGTACTCCTCCTCAAAAATCAGTAATTAATCTGAGGTATAACCCTGACATTCACATTAACTAAACAAATAACATCAAATCTGACTCATTTCCTGTCTCACAGCTGCTGTTCTTCAACATGCCCCTCACCCTATACCTGTGCTGGAGCCTCCACCACCGTTGCCGCGGCAGCACCTTTCGATCCCACTTCCTGCGGCCGGGCTGCCGCTGGCGGACTCTGGCGGTTCACGTCTTCATGCTGCTGCTGCTCACCTGGCAGGCCCACTCCTGTTACTTCCTCTTGGAGACCTACGGCCCCACGGCCTTTTTCCTGTCTCCGGTCCGCACGTGGGCGCTGGGCCTCAGTCTCATACTGGTGTACCGCGCCTGGACAGGCCCCACCCCTCTTCTCCGGGAACACAGCAAGAGCGTCTCTTCCTCTTGACAGTAATTGCACTGTACCACCACCACAACAACCACTCCCCCGGTTTCCCTTCGAGTCTGACTCACAGATATATTTTGCTGTCTCTATCCACCCTGGACACCTCAGTTTCTCCCTTCCTTCCAAATCCACTTCACAGCACATCACTCACTCTCCTCTTTCTAGATAGTATTGTTTACTTAATATGCATGTTATTGTAAAGCACTGGTGAGCACATTTCTGGCCATATTCATAGCAATGTGTACAGTGTAAGTAAAACCTTGGAGACATGAGGGTAACAAGCTTATTCGAGCTATGTGAGGACTGTTAAATGTGTGCCGCAGTTGACAGTGCACTGAATACAAGCTGCAGTTTCAGCTGACTCATTTACTTGAGCTTACGCACTTTTTGGAAGTGTTGCCTTGGCTTAATGCCACTCCACCACTGCCAAATGATGAATAAGAAAGATTTCACCTTTTATTCTTCCCTCTGGAAATCATTTCCATTCACTTTAGAGGCTGGACGTGCCAAACCCATCCTCCTGTTTACCCTCCAGTATGCAGTTAATGTGAACAAGAAAGAAGCGCGCGCCTCATTTTGTATACTGTGAGCTTTCCCTGACTACTCATGACTGACAGAACGCAGTAGTAGGGGTCTCTTAGGGGGTGAAGATGACAGCAAACACAGCCTACGATGATCATATTTCCAAGTTTATTCTCCACTTGTTACAGGAAATCAAAGGAAGGGAATATAAATCAGTTAAGTACTGTAGATAATGATTTAAAGTGTTTTTTAATGATTCCATTGCACATAACTGCCACTAAAAAGTCTCAATTTTAGCATTGAATAGTCATATCAACAAAATTCGATGCCATTTTTCAGACACACACATATAAACACACACACACACACACTTAAAAACCAAGTCGGCCTGACTCTTAGTGCTCTTTCAAACGTGAATACAGAAAGCAGCTGTTTGTTTCTCAGGAATGTGAGCACTCAAACGACAGGCTGGTCCCCAGAGGTATTTCAGGACAGTGTTTTTATACTCCACAGTAGCTCAGTGAACTCAGACCTTGTTAAACAATCCAGATGTGTGGTGGCGAAAAAAAATAAATGAATGTGTTCTAGATGTGGTGAAATGAAATGAAAAAAGTACTATGCTGTTTTTTTGTTTTTTTTTTCTAATTTATTGATTCTGATTGTATTGAGTGATTTCTTTTATTCCCCTTCATGTTATATTATATCTGCACTGGAAATGCCTGCCTAATGGTCGTGCGGTAAAGATGATAAAAGAGCATTCCCAGATTTGTGTGTGTGAAGACATATTTGTCTGTATTGCCTCTGAATGATGATCTCTTCATTCCTGTGAAGGTTATGGAGTAGGTAGCTGTCTGTTAAAGAGTCCGCTGCGCTCTTCATACAATCCTTTCTCGTCCGTAGTAGCAGGTGCTGGATTCTACAAGAGCAATGTGAGTTTAAAAAGTGACCGCCTGGGTGAAGACCACATTAGTCGACTTTTTAATCGAAGCATTGCTCCGCTGAAGTTTTTCTTTCTTACTCAAACCATTCCCGATGTGAATTTCCCAGCGCTGTGAAACAACCCGCAGTTTAGTATTTGAACTGCAGAAAACATTGAATAATGTGCACTCATGCTGGCAATGGTTTATTAAGCCTTCTCCTCTTCTTCCCATAATCCAGTTTTTAATGTATGGGAGCATAACCAAGTGTATTATTCCATTATGAAGACAGCTGTTTAAAGCAGATGGATTTTCGTCATTGAGAAGTTCCCCCTGTAATAATAACGCCCTCCCATGCTATGTGTTGTGTCCACAAGATGGCAGTATTGATTAGATTCAGAGAGAAAGAAAGGATGACTGAGTTATTCACACTTCCAGATCATGCATGGGTCTTCAATTTATTTTTCTTTTTTGCAGAAAAGCACCAAATGTTTGTCTTGAGGATACTGTTTTGATAGTTTATCGATGCTCACTGGTTTTGTTCATCCATTGATCCGATCGATCATTCTGTACTGTACATGAATTTGTCTTTACTGAAGGAAAAAAAAAAACAGACCTCCACTTCAACACCTCTATCATCACAAAGGATATACTGTAAGTGATGTACTGGTGTTCACTTGACATCTTCTGCATCCCCTCCTTTGTTCAGATATTGAAGTATATGAATGAATTGATGATTTTACACCTGCCTCATATTTTTCTTGTGACAACTGAGATTAGAGCCAACCACTATTTTATTTTATTAATGGTTTATAGTGCTGTGGAATAAAATGTTCATTACAGTAAAGCATGTCCTCTTTGTGTTTTGCTTCATCTTATTGTCACACAATGACACGGGACATATTATACTCCCTGTCCCTTAAATGGTATTTTCCATTAACTTCACCGCTCCTCCTCCAATCTGCTTTAGGGCAAATGCTCCAATAAGATTTGAGGTGAGATGAAACTTAGTGATAAACACACCAACCTTTTTATCCAACTATGGCTCATATAATTAAAAAAAAAAAATAAGCAAACAGTTTCACATCAACATGCAATTGACTGTTTGCCTCAACTTAAGCTGATAACTCAAAAAAGATGCAAAAAGAGCCATAAATTACGTTAAAACTCATGAAAAATGGGGTATAATCTTTTATGTTCCAGTTGATTTTAATCGCTTTCTCTTGAATTTGACGTGTTTATGTATAAGGATAATTATGGTAAACCCTTGCACTCATAAAAAGATTTGCTTCATTATCAGTGAGTCATGTTTCAGGTCTCTGATTGGCTGGGATCTCCTACCCCTCACTCAGGGTTGGGAGTGTTTTTACCGATAAATTTCCACCCTTCTGTGTTCATAGTTTATTTCCTTACTTTTTTTCCCCTTCCCTCGCTGTCTCAACCTTGTTTTCGCCCTGCGCTGGAATGAAACCAGTCAGAAGACACAGAGGGGAATCACATGATACATTTTAAAGTCATTTAATTTCTTTTCAACTGAGACGCAACCAAAAGCAGTTTGGGACTTTTTACAAGACTGCACTGAAGCATTTTATTTGTTCTCATATGATACTCCAAAAACATCACACTGCATATGGTCAATCCCTCTTCTTCAACAGTTATTTGCATTGTGATTAATTCTTTTTAATGTAATTACGTGTCAGTTTTATGTGCTGCTACTCTTGGCCATCTTAGATCTCAATGAGAATAACCTGATTAAATAAAGATAACAATAATAGTAATCTTATACATGGCACCAAAATAGAGCTGTTTTTAACCATACTCTTAAGTTATTATAAGGTCTGACCCATCTTACGCCACCATGAGTGTTACACCTTGAAGCAATTAGCAGGTCACAATGACAAGACAAAAGTTCCTTTTAACAGGCAGAAACCTTGAGCAGACCAGACTCATGTTAGACAGACATCTGCTTAAGGACTGAGTTTGAATATGTACACTCCAACAAATATCATGAGACAGTGCTTCAGTATACAACTTTATTTGTTAATGTCTACACAACTTTCCAAAATAGATAAAATATTAATAATCAAGACTTTCCCAGCCAACCACTCGTAAAATTTAGTTTTTCATTTCTGAGGAAGACAATTTCTGGCAATGTTTTTTTTTGTTTGTTTCATAACTGTAACCAGCTGGTGTTAGCTAATCAAAGCAATATCTTACCACGGTTCCAAGATTAGTGTTGATAGCAGGGTTATAAAGATAATTGTATGTTTATTTCCCATGGTGTCTGTTAAGAACAGTCTCTCTCTGAGAACTGGAGGCTACAGTCAGTTTCTTCACTCTGATATCTTTATGATTTGCTTGCCAGTGTTTCCCCCTTTCATCATAGAGCAAAATGCACCTGCAAAGGAGAGGGAAGAAAAGACTCAAACTCCTCCCAGTTTACAAAAACAGTCTTGTGATGAAGTGAAACAGCGACGTAACAATGTAAAATTCATAATCCACATACCTCCCATATTTTCAATCCCGTCAACTGTAGTCTCCAGAACCTGCAGGATGGAAGTAAAAATTTAATACAACAGTGTGAATATACGGATGAGAAAGAGACCTGCATTTTGCACACAAACACTGGCACCCACACATCATCATAATTTCCTCCCTACCTTGATTTGGCCTGATTTAATCCACTGGCTGAGCTCACTCAGGGCAGTTTCTGCTTTGTTCATGTAGTTAAGCACCATAAATCGCTCCCGGGTGATGTTCTTACTTCGCAGGATTTCCTGTATCTCCTCACTCAAAGGGGGAGGATAAGGCACATCCTTGTTGTACTGTGAGATCTGCCCACACAAGATCACATGGCCTCCATTGTTCATCTGAAGATAAAGAGAAGGCTAGAGGTCAATGTTTGAAATCGATTTTATAAGACACAGAATACTCACTGCTGAGAAACAGGAGAACACAAAGTCTTGACTTTCTAATTTTGCAAATATTGGCAGCACCAATACCAAAAGAAACAAAGCCAAATAACACATTAGATTTAACAAATGATCATGCCAAAAACAGCATTTGGTACTGCTCTGCACCTAGATACATTCAAGCAGTACCTGTGTGATTACAGAATCACTGATGTTTCCTCCCACATTGTCAAAGTAAACATCTATTCCATGAGGGCAGCTCTCTTTCAGCCTTGTAGGAACATCCTCTTGACGGTAGTTGATGGCTGCATCAAAGCCCAAGTCTTCCACTATGGCTCTGCATTTGTCACTCGAACCACAAATACCTACCACTCTTACGCAACCATCAAGCCTGCCAATCTGGAAAAAGGAAACAGAGTGAAATCAAGTCAATAATACCATATGTTAAAAAAAAAAAAAAATTGAGAATGCTGTTTCTTTACATTAACCTCAGATAACAGAGGCACCCTGTTATACTACTTCTACACTTTGCTGTATCTACCTGTCCAGCTATGGAGCCGCAGGCCCCCGCTGCGCCGCTCACCACCATTGTCTGATTGCCTCCTTTGATCACGTTACCCTTCTCTCTTACACCGAGAAGCGCTGTTAATCCTGTTATGCCCACCGCACCCAGAAAGTAGGACAAGTGTCCGTCAACCAGCCGTGGATCAACCTGTGATGGACAAAAAGAAACATAACAACTCACGATGATACGATTTAAAGCAATCGTTCTTTCTAAGAGGGGAAATATAACAAAGTTTACCGTTAAAAATGTTAAACAGCATGATGCCACACCTTTTGTAAGATACTTCCTTCCATGACAACATGGGTCTGCCAAGGCCAGTTAAAGCTTGTGACCACATCTCCCTTTGTGAAACTGGCACAGCGACTAGACTCAACCATGCCAACACCTCCACCATCCACACACTCAGACAGCTGCCATGGAGTCAAGTACTCAGCGCCAGTGTCTTCATTCATTCTACACCGCTGCAAAACAAAGACAGAAATATTAGTGATAAAGGGGACGTTTGCAGCATTAAAGGGATATTCCGGCGTAAAATTAAGTTAGGGTCAAACACACCGTAACACTGAGTTAACACCCCCCTTGAGAGATAAATGTTGCTTACCGCTTACTTCTCTAGTTATATCAACTTTAGTAACGACCGCACGATAGCAATATCCCTTTAACCTGTAGGTAAGGCTGAACTTGATGAATGCATTATTTTGAATGACAAAGGCAAGAGGCAGCTTGAGTCATCATTTATTCCCTAAACTAGAACTTATCCATATCAAATACTGACCCTTTCTATTTTGTGGGGTTTATACTAGACATGTAGGATACCAAATCAAACAGTATAAAAATGTAAGTGCATTCTAAATGTATCTATACCATATAAGGGTCGACTGAGAGGTAAAGCGTCCGAAGTAGGACCTCTCCATCTTTCAGATCAGGTGATAAGGTCGTATCCTCCAGTCGGAAATTTTCCGGTACAGGGGTCCCATTTTTACCTTAAAGAAGAAAAGTAAAGTCAGTATAAATGTTATTGCTGCATGGATGCAGTAATGTTTCAACGAAAGACAGTAGAGGAGAGTGGGGTAAGATGAGCCAGTTTTCATATTTCTGATCACTACATCAAGACAATCATATTTTTGTCTCTAACTAGTGTATCTACATATATTTCAAGATGTTGTGCATCCCTGCAAACCAACAGATAATAAAGCATGCCAAAAAAGTGGTCTCCTATGTTCAACTTACCCTGTGTATGGGGTAAGTTGAACATAGGGGTGGGGTAAGTTGAGCCATATCCCTACCACCTCAATGACTTTATAATGACTTTATTAGTCCTCTAAGCTAAAATGGTGGACTTTTATGTTTTTGACCTCATGTTGTAGCTCATAGATACCACAATTGATGTATAAAACAAGTTTAAAATGACCTTTTTTGGTCTGAACACAATTCTAATCAAACTTGTAACAGACTAAATTCACTTTCAAGAGTGAAAAATGTTTTTTTTTTTTTTTTTTTAAATAAATGTCTAACCCCCTTACCTATGAGCTTCTAACCTTCACAGACTCCATGAATTGATGCCAATCTCCTAAATATTTGGTCACATGATCAATTTCTTTTACCATTTCCAACTAACAGAGGGTGGCTCAACTTACCCCACTCTCCCCTATAGAGAAAAAAAAGGCCTCTCCCTCTTATGTAGGACAGATAAAGGAAGTTTATTTTCCCACCTGGTCGTGAGTTGAGTACGACTCTCTGCACCTGCATCCTTGAAAAGTCTTGATATCCTTGATACTAGTGGTATGTGACTTTAAAGACTCGGTAGTCAACGTAGAACCTCTTGCTGAGTTCCTCGTTTGAAGGTGTTAAGTAGCGTAATTGTTTTGTCTTAAAATGCAACACAGAGGAACTGCAAACTTGTTAAAGTCTCAACAAAACCCCGTGTTTACATTGCACGCTAGCAGAAAGTCAACAGTTCACTGAAAGAGTCCAATTCAGCTAAAAGCGAGAGGGCTCACTGTTGCGAACTTCCGCTTTCGCCGAAACTATCGTTTAGTGAGTTTACTCTACTCATCTATGACAAGGTCTCTATTAATTAAACTCACTGATTAAAACATCAAGCTAGAAGCACCCTCTAGTGAAACCCACCGTCGATTTTGTGTTTTATACGAAAAATAGATGTGTTTTATTTTCACACACTTAGCTGACGCGCGTTTCAAGTTGCGCATGCGTATTAAGTAGTTCAAATTTGCATTAACCGTAAAATAAGGCCGATAGTTCACTTTTATATCATTTGGCTTCTTTCACGCCACCTATCTACCCTTTTTCGTGGTATATAAAGTCTTAAAATTTAGCGGTACAAAATGTGACAACGCTTGATGAAACTTCCGGTATATAAGACGGTAGTCATCTTGTTGTTCCTGCATACTCTTTGAAACAGGCGCTTGAGCCGTTAAGGTGGCAACAGTAAACCAGAAACTGCGCCCTGAACAGGCATATTTTTTATTCCGGATCAACAATAATGCATCTTTTTGACCCAATCCAGTTGTTATCAAAACAACATTTGGTTGTACAGCCGTCGCTACCAATGCAATCCGTGTTCCCGTAGATTAAGTCCGTGGGAAGGTAGTTTGCAGGGTCGTTTGCTAGCTAGTTTCTGGTATTGGAACTGGGAAGGGAAAGAAGCTTTAGAGGAATTGGAGAAAAATAAGTTTGTGTGGGTTTATTTGCAGCAGCTGCAGAAGGATAGCTTCACACAGTGGAATGGAGACGTACGTGCCATGGAGGGACGTAGTGTAATGTAAGTACTTCTCAACAGTGCAAGTCAACTGATGCTGGAAGTTTGTTTATGAGACAGCTGGGGGTTTCTTATGCAGCTATTAACGTTTAGACAACTTGTCAACATCATATACCATGAGGAGGCCCCTTTTGCTGTTTTTAATCACACAAACAAACACACAGACAGGCATGCAGGACATTTCAAAATACAAGGAAGTCCCACAGGACAGGCATGTGCCATTTCATAACAGTGCACAGCAGTGGCAGAGCTAGACTCTTAATCCAAACTAGAAAATGCAATCTCTGAAGAAATTGCTGAATCTTGAAAATGTGTCAGAGATGAGAAGGTTTGAACTATCAGGAAGGTTTGAATCAATTTGAATGAAGTCACTGAAAAAATGCATGAATAATAAAAAGAAATTCAACATGTGGAAAATTACAATGATTAAAAATCCTAAAGTATGAAAAAGGCTTGAAGATTCAGAAAGGTTTGAATTAGTTTAAGTAAGTTGGGATTTGTTTAAGAATTGAATAATGCATGAATAGTGAAAATTATTTAAAATAAGGAAAATTAAAATGACTACAAATCCTAAAGTATTTCAAATGTTTGAAGTATCAGAAAGTATCAGTAGCTGATTTCTTGTTAGTTGACTACATGATCAATCATTTCCACACTGATTCACTAAAAGCAGACATGCAGACTTACAGTCTCCTCAGCTGCATCTGTGAAAGTATTCAGTTTTGCAGGTTATTTTAAGGCTCAGTGAAGTAGAGGAAAACTGCAGTCCTGCAGAGTCTGTCTGGCACATGCCTAATCATGTTCTCTGCCTGATATTGCAATATTTCCTACATTGTTTCATCAAAATCAGACAGCTTGACTTCCCTTTGCAGCTTTTTTCATTGCAGATGTTTACATTTGGTGTATTAGCAGAAATACAGGTGTTGGAAACAGCATGGCTAGTTCCTATTTGCTGTGACAATCAGACACAATAAGTTTTAAAACATGAAATGAGTTGATATTCTTGCTCTTCTGGTCCTCCCTCTTCTTCTATGAGCATGTTTAGATTACTGAAAACAGATGCATGTTTAACTCAGTCTTAAGAGAGTTTGATGATTTGTTATATGACTTAAAACTAGTCAGAAAATATCCCACTTGTGGATTTTGACACAGTAACAAGTCTTAAAAAGGCTGTCACTAACAGACTAAAGAGGATGTCACTGAGTTTAAATCCCATCATGACCGACACAGACACTTTCAAAGCTTTGTCACCCTGTTGAACTCTGATGCAGTACGTCTGATACTGTTGTGCAAAGCTAACTCTATAGTGCTCGGCAAATATTATGTTCTGCAATTATTAAATGCTTAAGGGAGTAATTATATTTGCTTTGATGGAGAGGGCCAGCACTGACTTTAGCAATGAAGCAGGATGTTGTCTTAGTCACTCAAAATGAGTCAAGCTAAACTAGTCCACTTAATTCTGTACCAAGAAAACCAAGAGTGTAGGTTATAACCTTAATGATTGCACTATAAGATGACAGATAAAGATAAAGTCTGAGATATAGCACACACTAGAAGCTTGGACTCAGTTTTTGTTTTACCTTTAAAGGTTAAAACTACAGGCTTAACCTGTTTCTCTATTACGTCACGTTTTATACTTCCTTTTTGCAGTAAAAAAAGTACAAATTTGACATGAGCACAAGATGTGTTATTTTGCAATGCATATGTAGCAGTTTTTGGTTTCCTTGAAAATGGTCCCAGATGTTTTTTTTACGTAAATTGAACAGCTTTTTTATTGTTGTTGTTAGCTTCATTAATGGATTATAGTTTAATGTTCTTATCTGGTACTGGCCCCAACTCAGTACATGCTATCATGACAGACAGCCATCTCAACACTAGTGTCGAATCAGAACTGAAAACAGTCAGTCTGCTGTTGTGTCAGTCTTCTTGCTTCCACCTGGGAAAAATCACAAAAATCTCCCTGGAAAAGTCGCAAAATCACATCGGGCTTGATGTGTATAGTCAGGCGCATCAAAATTCGCCTCCAAATATTTTGTAATTTTGTGTCATATATTTGCGTCGGTCCCAGTGTGTAAGGACCATTTTTCTCTGTTACCTTCACGCTTCATACTTTCGTTTTGTAGTAAAAAAGTAAAAAAGTTGCGTTAACTTGCAGTGCATATGTAGCAGTGTTTTTTTGTGTGTTTTTTATGTGAATTGAACAGCTTTTTTGATTCAAAAAATTTCAGGGCCTTCTTAAGCTCTCAAAAATAAGTCCTTGGCTTGCTGTGTCATGAGAAAAACTACAGACTTACCCTGTTTCTCTGTGACCTTCACATTTCATACTTCCTTTTTGTAGTAAAAAAGTACACATTTGACATTTGCACAAGTTGTGTTATTTTGCAATGCATGTGTAGCAGTGTTTTTTTATGTGAATTGAACAGCTTTTTTGATTCAAAAATTTCAGGGCCTTCATCAGCTTTCAACAAGAAGTCCTTGGCTTGCTGTGTCATGAGAGAAACTACAAACTGACCCTGTTTCTCTGTTACCTTCACATTTCATACTTCCTTTTAGGAGTAAAAAAGTACAAATTTGACATGAGCACAAGTTGCATTACTTTGCAATGCATATGTAGCAGAGTTTTTATTTTTTAATGTGAATTGAACAGCTTTTTGATTCAAAAAAAATTCAGGGCCTTCATAAGCTTTCAACAAGAAGTCCTTTGCCTGCTGTGTCATGAAAAACACACACAGGCATTTCAGAGAGAATTTCGTCAGAATAAGGAAGTGTGTGTGAGTTGGAAAGAAAAGTGAATGTACGCCGGGGTGTGCCTTTCCCCCCTCCATCGCCGCCGTCCTCCCATGTGTGTCGGAATTTCCCGCATGGACTGAGAAGGATCTTGCTCCGTAAATTACAGCGCCTTGCGTTTCAGGGGAAGACCATATATGGGCATGGAAGTGGGTGTGGCCAACGAGCTGCTGGCTGGAGAAGGCGGGGGGTAAGGGGGGGTCACAAGACAGGCAGAGACACGGAGAGACTCGATGTACAGCAAAAGGCCGCATTGCTCGTGAGTTTTTTGTGCAATCTCAGTGCAATAATGTGCAACAGACGGCAGTGGCATTGCGCCGGCGTTTCTGCAGATTAGCGTTGCGCTTCCGGTTAGGGAGGACTCGTGTTTACACGCCAAGCCTCTTTTTTTTTTTTCTTAGGGGTAAGAGGGGAAAAAGTACCCGTGAGTGAGGTCAGCAGCATAGCATGAGTCAACCTTGGGGATGAATGTAGTCATCATCTTGGGTCTTGATCGTGCGGGCCTGCTGCTGCTGCTGCTACTGTTGGCCGCGCGGAGCTGCGAGCGTGCGATCCCGCGAGTAGCAGCTTTCATGACAAACACAGTAAGTATCGAGGGAGAGCAGACAGGGCTCGAGCCGCGGTGTCGGTGACTGTGGCGTTGTTGTTGTGGTCCACGGTGCTTGTTATTGTCTGCTGACAAAGTTTTGTTTACCTCGCAAAGACGAAGTGGGGGTGCGCGCTGATCAGACTCCATACGGGAGCAGCTGGTCATCGGTCTGTCCGTCTATACTCGGATGTTTTCCCCGTCTCAGTCAGAGGCACAGACTGTGGTCAGAGCCGATTGAGTGAGAGGAACAAGACGTGACGTATCAGGGCTTGTTGACAAGTTGCATCGATCTGCGGTAGGTGTTTGTTATTGCTCTGCACACACACTGCATTTTTGGCTTGTTAATCCGTTTTCTCCAGCAACAAAGAGAGGTTTCTGAAAGTGATGTGGAGGAAGGTCCGTCCGGGGAGAGTCCTGTCATGTCCATGGGCGGACTCGGCGTGTTTTCTGTGTTTGTCGTCTCCTTTGCACGCTGCAGGCCTCGGATGCCCGCTTGCACGGTGTGCGCGCCGTGCCACACGGGCCGATTTAAATTAGGAAACGGCGATGGATTAGGGAGGCTAATGGCGCTTGACATTCATTGTAAGCCAATTTAACGTGTTACTTTGTTTATTGGGCTAAACCCTCGGCTTGTGTAAGGTTGCACTTGTGATGCGTCACGATGATCTTGCTCGCACAAGCATGGTCGCTTTAGAGAGATCAGCGGTGAAGTGTTTCTGCGATTCTGCAAAAGAAGATGTGCTTTTTTTTCCACGTGCATATTTTTCAACATGGCTGTAAGCATGTGTAGCATCACATGGTAGAACTTGTGCACAGTGTTTGTCAGCCACATTGCATGGTATTTCACTTTCCTTGCTCTGTGGTGCCTCTGAGCCAATGCAGGATCTGAACAGCTGCAGCCGTCTATTTTAAGAAGCTTGTGTTTTACTAGGCCACCAGAGTAAAGGGTGATGAGTGTCAGTCACTTCCTAGGTTGCCAAGACCTTGTTGTAGAGATTCAAGTATTAATTTATGTAAACAGGGTGTTGAATTTCTTGTTAGTGCACTTCTAATGTGAAGATTTTTCTGGCCTGCAGCATAAATGTGACAAGATTCTGATTCTATACAGATGGAGCAAGAACAGAACAGAAACAGTAGGGATCTGTGTGCATCCTGCAACTTGGCAGACTGTACTGTGTCAAAATCTGCTCTGAAACCTCACCATCGGATATTATTTTTTATATAATAATCACAGGTTACCATGGAAATTGTCAAAATCCCCTACCATGTTTCAAAGCCTGCAAGGCCGTTTTGACTTTTTCCTGCTTTCTTTTTCCCTCCTCTGATGCTCGTGTCATCGTGACTCATGCTCGCTCACTTTCAGTTGCCCTTTTTGAGTCTGCAGCCGCGGTTCAAAGGGCACGTGTTCCCCTTTTTTCCTTTTACCTCAGTTGAGTAAAGACCGTTACAAACCAGACGTTTCTATTTTGCTCAATCTGCCGCCTGTTCCAGTAGTTAGGTGGGGGAGAGCGTGCGTGCTGTTTCTGGGTTAGTGATCTCAGATTGCTTCAAGGAACTTTTCCAGCTAACATGAAGTTTTCTGCTGTATTATCTTGCGATGACATTGTTGTTTAGTCATCTTTTCCAGATATCAGGTGTACGTGTTCAGCTGTGTGCAGGACCTTATCCTTGAGTCATGTGATCACAGTGAATAATGACACAGTTCAGACCTGCCCCTCCCCTCCTTTATTCTCACTACCAGATACCTTTCAGTGGAGGTCTATTGTTGAAAGAGCAAACAGCAGGTTTTTACATGGCTGAGGCAGGGTTTATAATATGCCCCCCCTTCCTCTCCCTGTGGGGACCCCTTTAGTCTGATGGCTCAATGCTTGACCTCTCTCTCGTTTTCTCTTTACAGGGTGTCGCCCGTGAATGAGCAAAACAGCCAGTGACCTCTGAATGGATTACAAACAACTTCAAAGTGGAAGAGAGGTTTGTCTTTCGACTGTTCTCAGTAAAGCCAATGTAGTATTCCAGCTGTAGTATTCCAGCTTCATGTTAATGTGGACGGCATTTCATTTTTGGATTGATATATTCACCGAGCGGAGCATTTTAGCTGGTTTGGTTGGAAATACTCACCTGGCTCGGCTTATTCATGCCCGTCATGAGTGTACCAGCCCAGCAAAAACCCAACGCCAAACGAACGGGCAAACGCATCACATTTTTCAACGAACAAAGTGTAGCAATGAAGGAAAGTTCCCAGCACCCTGAGGGTTCCTATTACGTCCCAGGTGGCACCGCTCCAGATCCCGGACAGAGTGAGGCAGCAAGTACTGTCACTTCTAATCCAGAGGGCCCTCACATGTACCTCAACTCTGTCATCTTTAGCCCAGATAAGGGCGACCAGAACAGAGGTCATTATCAGCAGACTGTGCCTATGAAGTGGGCTCACCAGGAGCCCAGTCAGCAGCCCTCTCTGTCCCAGCAGCAGAGAGCTGCCTCCTGGAACACTATGACAAACTGGGGACAGAACATTGCTAATTTTATTGGAGGGGTCAATGTAACGGACTCAAGGACCCAGAATGCATTTGTGAAGTCAATGCATGACACGGCTGGCTTACAGCCCCCTACTAGGGCTGCGGACAAGCAGGCCCAGGGGCCAAACCCTGCAGCTGAAGCATACAGAGATGCTGTTAAAGCTCGAGAATGGGAGCAGCAGCAGCAGCAACAACAACAGCAGCAGCAAACTCAAGCCTTTCAAGAGACCTTAAAACCCGGGGCGCTGAACCCCCAGCAGCACAGCACAGTCCACCCTGGAGGAAGCTCAGTGCTGCAGCCCTTCCAGTTGGCTTTTGGTCAGCCCAGGCAACATCTGCCAGCTTACTACCAGACATTTCAAGGCAACAGGACAACCCTGCCTAACCCGCCCATTTACTCAACACAAGGAAAGGCCACTCACCAGATGCAACAGCTGCAGAAGCAAGAGCAAATACAACGCCAGCAACAACAGCAACATCACATAATCCAGCAGCAAATTCAACAGCAGCACCATCAACAACTGCAGCAGCAACAAATCCTTCAGCACCAACAGCATGTCCAGCAACAGCTACAGCAGCAGCAACAACAAATACAGCATGAGCAGCAACAACAAAAGATACAGCAGCAGCAACAACAACAACAGCAACAGCTCCAGATTCAGCAGCAAATGCAACATCAGCAGTTGCAACAACAAAACCCTCATGTGGTTGACTTTTACCCCGGTGCACAAAATGCACAACCTCACCCACACCCACAGCCTGTGGTGGTTCACTCCCAGGAGTCCTCTGCATCAGGGCCTCCAAAGATCCAGGAACCAATCATCCAGGATATCACCCCAGAACCCCAGGTACCCTCAGATCCACTTCAACCCCCACTTCAGAGTGATCCCCTGTCCCAGTCACAAGCCCAGACTCAGCTCCAATCCCAAACACAGCTACGCAGATCACGGCGGCTTTCAAAGGAAGGAGGGGCCCCATCTGAAAACCCCTTTTTATCTGTTTCTACGGATCAGGCCGCACCGGGGCCCCAGGGTTCTCAAAACGGGGCCCGTGACATCCAGGCTGCTCCGACGGGTGTGATCCAGAGCACACGTAGGAAACGCAGGGTCTCCCAGGAGGTCAACTTGGAGACGCTTGCCCAGAAAGCATCGGAAATGGAGTCCCTGCCCTCACATGTAGTAAAGGTAAATATTCATGTTCATGTTGAGATTCTTAAAGTATTCAGCTGTCTTCTTTCTTTGTCTGGCTTCTCTTCTCTGTCTGGTTTCTCTGTTGTACTCTCTTGCTCTCTTGTTGTTCTGCTCTCTCATCTGTTTCTCAGCTGTTTCATCTTGTGCCGAAGAACCACAATAATAATCCTAAACAGAAGAGACTCAGTGTTCCGTCTCCATGATTGCCTTGCAGTTTATTTCTGAACTGGTCCCCCCAAAGCTGGAAACCTCGATTGCAAATATCTCAGCAAGAGCTAAAAATCTATTTTTCTGGTGTTATCCCAGGGCATAATTGCAGTGGGACATTAGCTCCCTTAACAAGAGCGAGAACTGGAACAAACTGCTTAAGGCAACTGCCAGGAAAACTGCGCCAAAACTTGTGTTGTTTGTGATTAACATGTTGCTGGAAGAGACGCTGAATGTAATCAACACCCGGCAAAGTATACGCCTCAGAAATGAGCTGCAGCTCAGCTCAGCCTTATAGAGGAAAAAAACAACTAAACTTTTCCCAGGTGTAAAGCAAACTCAACACAGACTTGTATGTGAGTCTTCTGGATGATGTATTGAACAAACCCTGATAAGTCTCCAGGACTGACATGTAAAGTCATACACTTATCTGTGTTTCTGTGCTGAATGTCTTGATTGTGCAACAAGTTGTGTTGCCAAACAGCAGTGAGTCAGTATGTCTGTAGCTCAGCATGCTGTGCCCTGGATTTGCCTCGCAGGGTAGCTGTTCATACTGACACTGTGTTTGGTTACATGCCTGCACACCTCCCCCCTATCCCATCAAAGGAGAGAAACTCCAGCCTGGCCTCGTCTGCCCCATCCCTCCCCCCCTTCCCTCTATACTGGGAGGGGTGCAGTGTTGCCCTGCTTGCCTGCAGTGCTCAGCAGAATATCTCCACCGCTCTGGTGTAGGAGCTAGAGTTTTCCACCAGCAATAATGAGCACAGATCCAGTGAAGCCACGCTGCCACATGCCTCTCTGCCTATGCAGATGCAGCATGCAGCAATGGAAGGAATCTGTCCCCCAGTAGCCTGTGATGTGGTGTTTTAGATTGCTTTGAAGTTGCTTCGGTTTGATCGTTGCACACATTTGCTTTGAGCTCACTGGCTGCTCGTGCCCACTCATGATGGTAACTCAAAGAAAAATGTGAAGAATGCTCTACGGGGTAGTTTCTGTCACTGTGATGCAGCACATAGTACAGCAAAATGCAGGAGTGCAAAGAACTTACACAGGATACAGAAACAGCCGAGGCATATTTCTAACTCAAAATCTGTATTAGTTGTAATGCCTAATGCTCATAGATTGAAACATACTACTAACTGTAACTTTGAGTTCTGATAAAAACAGGATGAATTGTCTTTTGATCTGAGATAAATCTTACAGTAGGCCAATAAAGGGGAACCCAGCAAATTTTCATTTCAGACCTTTGGTGCAGGGTGTCTTGAATGGTTTCATCTAGATCTAACTTATTCTGTGCAGAAGACCAAAAACTCAAAGGTTTGGGTTTAGCCATAAAAAATGTCAAATATTTAATAATACTATTATGATTATTAAATTAAATAATATTTAATAATTTACTCCTGAGAAGCTCAAACTTTTTAGGGAATTTGTAACTTTGTAAATTCTCTCCCGCGTCTTTTTCAGGATCCTCACAGGCCGTGGAGCCCATCTGACTCCGAAACCCTGAATGCCAAGCGACCCCGAGACGAAAGCCTCCTCCCGCTCGTCATCCCCGTGTCCGTTCCAGTGCGAAGGCAGGAGCCCTCCTCTCCTGACAGCGATGAGGGAACTCTTGCCTCTCACTGGCCTCCCAGACCAACAAATCCCCAGGACCTTGGCCGAGCAGACCACAAGCCCTCGGTCATCGTCAACCGGAGACGCTCGCTCAGGAATTCCTTATCGGAGAACCCAGAGCAGGTGGGTCCAAGTGGTGTTTATGTTTTAATTTTTGCTGTACTTAGATGCAAATTTTTAGGTTGGTACCTTTCTGCACTTGTGCATTTGTTCATCAAAAGTTAAAATAGATTTCTGAGGAACAGTGTGATGATGAGGCAGTCTTAAACTGTCTTCCTCAGTCTGTATAAACTCCAACTTTTAAATCCCCACATTTGGGCCATATTGCTCGTCCGTCGCACGCTCCCTTCCCCCCACCAAGCTCTGTGTCTCCCCTGCCCCCATTTCAGTCATCCACACTTTTCTTCCTTTCCCTGTTATATTGGGGGGGATTTGGTGAACCAGTTGCCCTGCCCCAGATCAGGCAGATTATCAGGGTTTAGCAGCCATACTGTACAATATGTACTGCACAACAGAGGGTTGGGGTACCGCTGTCTTTCTGCAGGATTTCTCCAGATGAATGTTAAACTGTGGTTGAGTTTTTGTAGACTTGACAGGATGTTTCACAGAGTGAACAGTGTCTGATTTGATCATCCATCTGTTTCAAACTTTTTCTTAATCAGAATGGAGCTGATGGGGAGAGGGACGATGATGGCAAAAAGTCCAAACGGCGCCCCCGGCCCGAGCCTCTCTTCATCCCGCCACCTAAACCTGGTTTATTCATCGCCCCTCCGGTCTACTCCAGCATCACACCCTACCAGAGCCACCTGCGCTCCCCTGTTCGCCTTGCCGACAACCCCCTTACCATTCCTCCTTACACACCACCGCCAATCCTCAGCCCCGTCCGCGAGGGCTCGGGACTCTACTTCTCCACTTTCCTGTCCTCAGCTGCGGCTGCTGCAGCCAGCGGGCAAGGCCTGCCGCCGCCTGCGACCCCCAAGTCTGCAACACGCAGCCTGTTGCGTTCCAGTAAGTGAAGAAATTAAGATGCTAGTCTTCTCCGAATTACTCACAGGACATCAGACTGTGGGATTAAGATTGTTAGTTGATAGTTTGCATGTATGATGAATCGATTGTTGCTTCTCGAATCCTCAAATTAAGCTTGACTGAATCGTTTGTGCGTTGCATGGTTTTGTTTCGAACCTCACAAGTTAGTCTCTGTAATATCAAAGTCTGAGTCCTCTGATCACGACAGGAACCTTTTTGATAATGTTACTGAGGATTGTGTGTCCCTGCTTCATTTCAGACAGCTGCGACATCACGCCACCAGTTCTGTCTGCTATGAGCGAGGCCACTCCAGTCAGCATAGAGCCGTGAGTATTTTCTTCCCAGAACCCACCAAACCGTCCTCTTTCATTATGGAAAGGGAGGTTTTCAGGGGGCTTGGTGTTTGTTATTCTCAAAAAAAAAAAAAGGAAAAAAAATTACATGGGAGCTCAGAAGCATGCAGGATCAACCGGAGCTCTGCAATCAATTATTTAAACCATAACACTGGGCTGAATCTTGAAACACAAACTTCTTGTAACTCAAACCCATCCTTTAAAGCAGCGCTCTTCTCCACCGCTCTCACCACTGGAATCTTTTGCCCTGTCATCCTCTGCTAGCACCAGCGCCAGCACTCATCTTCTTATTTAACTAAGCAGTCAAACGTCTCTTTCAATTTAACTGTATCCTGTCAGAATTGCTCCATATCAACCGTCCCTGTAAAAGCTTCGGGGCCACTCAGAATCTAATAGCAGGAAGTCATCAGAAGCCTGCATCTGTCCCTTTTAAAAAAGTATCCAGAAACTGATTGAAGTGGCCAGATATCCAGGGTTAGAGATAATACCACATGAGGCTTATGTTGATACTTAAGATTTAATCTGTAAGGTTTAAATCCTCATTGGTTTAGGGACACTTACAGTCACTGTGGCAACAGTAAGTGCTGTTTAATATTACAGCCAGGACTCATTGAGCGGCCACTCTGTCAGGAAGACAACAGAAGAGCAACTGGTGTATCTGTGTACACTGCAGCTCAACAGACTTCTATTGTTCTAGGAAAGAAAATGCTCATTGATAAAGTCAACTGCGGTCTGGTACCAGTTAGCCTGTGGAGGATCTTGAGTTTTAAATGTCAAACTGCTGCTCCTTCAGTCCATATTTCAGAATAAAAGCCCTGAATATGATAAGTTTGAACAACTGCATAGGAAAAAGCAGTAGAATGATTCACCTTGGTAGGATCAGAAACCATGAATGGGTCAAATATTAGACAAATTATTGTGATCAAGAAACTTGTATTAAATCTCAGAGGTGTATGTTTTCTTTTCTGACACCTAAAGCCAGCAGCTCTGGGTATCACATACAGGATGCGTATTTGGAGCGTAGCAGCAGCGTAGTGCAGCCCCGGTCAGCTGGGCTCAGGATAGAGGAAACGATATGCTCACAACAGGTCGTTTTGCCTTTCTGTGGTCAATTTCCTGTTAATTTGGATATAATTCAGTGACCGTTGAGCCTCTACTAAATGTGGAAAAGCAACATGTTTTTACAGTTTGGGGTTTGCAGGTTTACTCGTGTTTAATAAAGTAAACTATGTTCCTTTTATGCTGTGCTGTCATCTTCAGACAGAGTTAGCAGTTAAACATCCTGTTGGAGTCCACATGGATCAGGGATTGACCATCTGATTGTTCTGTGTTACTGATAAATCCATAACCAGGAAGTATTTCGCATCTACACGATCTGATACACAGTCGGGAGTTCGCATATGGTGTTTTATTTTGACATACGTGGTTTTCGTGCTTGACTTCCTGTCTAGAAAGATCTTCTCTGTGTGGATTGATGCGCATAGGAAGAGTAGAGCAGCAAAAACAGACTTGTCGCTTCTCTTTAGCAGTGCTGCTCTCGATACAATGCTGTGACGGAGCTGATAGGCATCCTGTATGCTTTGCTGCATTGGTTATTAGAATGGCAACCTATTTGCAATGTGATATAAATACGCACCCTGTATGTTTTAGCCTTAAGTGTAATATAATGCCACTGCTAGATGGTGTTTGTAGCACCTCTGAAAGCTGTTTACTAAATCCTTTTAAAAGGAACAAAAGTAAGGAAATAAAACTGTTGAAATGTGGAACTGGACAAAACTGCAGAAGTGCAAACTTGTTATGATCAGCATATCACAATGTAACTAGATCAATAACAATGCTCAGAAAGCAGATTAGCCTGCAGAGAGTGGTGCAGGTGGACTACTGGAATAGTCATTCAATAGTCCTCAGTGATTATCAAATGGTATAAATGTGCATATCAGTCAGAAACTCGCTGCAGCTTAAACAAAGTTTAAAGACAAAACAGTGAGGCTGTCATAAAATAGACAAAGCCTGTCAAATACATCTGTTGGATATCATATATAGGCTTATTCAGGCCTGTCACTGATACACAGTATTTGTTCTGGTGGTAATATTTCAGATGATGTGCAGAAATCAATGCTGAGAGTGATAAAAAGAGTGCCAACTTACAGTTTCTATAGCAGAGCGTGACGCTCAGAGCAGTGTCTGCAGCAGATGTAATGGTATCAAAGCGTGTTTACATGCACAGTAGAGTCAAGCTTTGGTTATAACTGGATTAGGTGATTTAAGTGGACTGTCTTGTCCCAGTGAACAAGCACTGGGCGAGAATCGGTTTATCAGTTAAGTATAATTGCCCTCGCTACCTTAGGTCGCCTCATAACATGTTACATCACACGCCATAAACCATCAGGATCATGACGGCAAAAGTCTAAACAGTTGTTCAAACTAGCTTTATTGGCAGCAATGACCAAACTCTGTGTCTTTCCTCTTCAAAGTTGACGTTTGTTTTGATTCCCAATATTAGCCTAGATATGATACGAGATATGATTAACATGCTGTTGTGTCCTCTGCATGGATGATAGTCTCTTGAATGGTTGGGGTCTTAACAGTGCCTGTAAACTTGAGCTAAATAAGACCAAAGAAAGACTAATAAGCAAACATCCAATTAAGTCATTCATGAAAAGATTGAGTATCTATAAAATCAGGGTTACATGAGAGTATTTAGGGCACAGATACTCCGGCTAGTTAACTTTTACACTGTTAGTCAAGGATTCCTCTTTGTTGTTTTCACATTCACACTGAAGCGTAGTCTTTGGGGGTTGTATTGTGCAAGTTGTTAAGCAGTTAGTCAGGGGTCGAGCCATTGAGGCTTCACATAAATCATGCTTTCAGCCGTGCCTGCTGCACTCCCAAACACACCAGATCCCAATCCCAGATGAACTTTTAGCAGCCTACCTTCCCTGGAGGAGGCTGCCAGAACACAAACACTCATCTGGAAATACTGCAGGCCCACTGGAAATGCAAGGGAGGGAGGCACAGGGGGCATGCTGGATCAGGATTGTCCGTTAATGTAGCACAGCATCATTTTCACAGCACAGCTATAGCTCTGAGATATCTAGTTTCAGCTGACATTCAAACCGAAGAAGATGTACGCATTTATTGTATTAGGAGCCATTTTCTTTGTACTTGAATGTGACCTTTATCCCACACCAGGGTAAGGATCCATTTGGCTTTTGTTCAAGAGGAGTCCTCCGGTTTAAAAGGACAATTTTGAGCAAAATGCATTTTTATTATTACGCTGAGAGCACAAGAAACTCATGTTCCAAGATTGAAATGATACCAGGGCAGGACTTGTGGGGCACAGAGCCTCAACATCTTCTGTGACTCAGTGCGTTTACATGACACTTGAGAAAACTGAATTATTGCCTTACTCCGATTAAGATTAAGACACCCAGACAATGTGATTGGAATTCAATTTTCTCTACCATGTGACCAGCATAGTCGGAGTATGATCGGACAATGCATGTGCGCCACACTCTCGTAACCCTGGAACAAAAACACCAGAGAAGAGGAGTAGCGTGCGTCTCATCTGCAGAAAAAGTAGTGTGTACACAATACATGACAAAAACAACGCTGTACGATGCTCCATCTTCTTGCTTGAAAACACCCAGCAGCAGTTGTAGCAACTTCTGGCACGGACCTGCCCTTTTTGTTGGGTCAACTGGACACAGGGCCATATCTGTGCATGTAAACGCACTGACTGTTGAAAAATCAAGACACACAGAAAATCCTAGACATAAAAATATAATCTCTTGCTGTCTTGTTGTTCACACTATTGTCTTGTCTTTAGACGGATAAATATTGGATCACGATACCAGGCAGAGGTCCCAGAGCTAAGGCAGCGGTCAGCTGTGGAGCTGGATCATCATCGAGCACAGCTGGTCTGGGCTCCTCTGACTGAGCAGGAGGAGAAACCTGATTTCCAGGAGAAAGGTAGGAAATACGATATTTTTAAACGATTGTATCACCTGAACCTGAGTGCGGGACTGCTGGTTGACACAGTGTGGGTTTAGAAGCAGGATCCTGTTGGTTTACTCATACAGCAGCTTCTCACAGTGAATCTCTCTTCTGTTATTTATTCCAAGAAAGGAAAAAAATGTTTTTCCTTTTAAACTTTGTGTCTGAACTACATAAACGTTTTGTTTCTTTCTGCAGACGGAACTATGAAATATTCCTTAAAACAGAAAATGGTGATTCAAGTACAAGTTGTTTGGGTTCAGGAATTTTTAAGGAAAAAAAAAATCATCTCCAAACAAGATCCACTTTTTCTTAGCACATCCCCTCTGTGTGAGATCAAATTCAAGCGGAGAAAGCCTCTTGTTTTCACTTTTATGAACAGTCAGCATGCAGATATTCCCAAAGAATTTTCAAATTAAGTCAAAGACGTGTTTTTATTTTCTGACTCAGAGTATCGCCGACCCTGGAAATTTCATAACATGAGTAAAACAACAGCAGCACCAGAAACCACAGTCACATTTCTGTTTAATATGTGAATCTTGCAATTACTGCTGTGTGATGTCTCTTCTCTCACTAACCAGAGAATATTGTCTCCTCCTCAGTATGAAGAATAATGAACCGGTGTTATTTTCCTCTGTTGCTTTAACCTCCTGCCTCTCGTCTCTTTCAGTGGACAACCTCATGCACCTGGCTTGCTCTAGTGTTTTGTGTGGAGGAGGCACCAACCAGGAGTTAGCCCACCATTGTCTGTACGAGTGCAAAGGGGACATAATGGTGAGCAGAAAAGAACAATCCAAACAGACGTACGAGGCAGCGATTTGCTGTTATAATGTGCCAGGAGCTATGTTCTGCACTGTGCGTTGAGGTTTTCTTCTAACCCACACACACTCGAACACACAAGGCCTGCATTGAAGATTCCTTTGACACTCAGAAAGCCTGCCCTAGTTTTGACTAGAGGCTCCTAAAACCTTTCATTTCAAATAATATTTTGCTTCCTTTAGTCAAATCTGATTAGATTATGCTACTTTTTGTGTGCTAGATTTTCAAAACTGGTGTGGCAGTTTGGATGTAAATCTTTAAATCATCTTCTCCCACTGAAAGCAAGCAGATCATGTGGAAAAAAACAGGACGAGGAGAGTAAATTTCTATTTACTGACCAGCTGCATGTGAACCTAATGTTAAAAATAATCCTATTGTTGCGGGGTATGCTCGCACGCAGAGTCGATATCTTCAACAAACCAGTTATCAGAACGTAGTGATTGAATGCCTTCATTGGAGATCTTAATGTTTACTGAGCGGATGTGACTGATCTATAGACTCTCAGTATGCTATGTACTGAAACTGTGCGGCGGCCTGAGATGACTGAGATAGTACAAAGGTTCAGTTGTTCAGTCAGAGGCGGAGAGACGCCAAGTCGTAGAGCACAAGAGCTGCAGATACTGGAAGATGTGATGCACTCAGTAGACCTAAATCTATCGATCTGTTAGTCTGTTGCAGAAAAATAAACATCAATTTATCAGGTTACATAATTTTCAAGCTGAAGCTGTAGGGATAGCTGCCTTCAATGTGAAAGCATTAAGTTGTTTGTAACTCAACTCAAAATTATTTTGAATTCGTTTTTCTGTCTTGCTGTTTGTTATAATTTCAGAGCAGGACAATAGGGCAGCTTATTTTCAACAAAAATAAAGAATACTGGGTTGCTTGGTCAATGTTGAGATCATGATTTTTATGTGAGACACAGTCTGTTATGAAACTTTCTTGATGAGTATTTTTCTCAGTTACTGGTGAAATTTAGGAAAGGATTAACTTCTTTGTCTTTGTATGGAAAATTCTTAATTAAAAAGGAGAAAAATCCCCACAGATTAACAGATTAATCTGAGAAATAAATCTGTAGATTAAATCAATGATCATGTGGCTCCAGCATAATCCAAAAAAAGAAAACAGACCTGGAAAAACATGTGAGTGTCCCTTCAGTGTAGAACAAAAACTCTGAGATGGAACCTTTTATTTTGAAAATTTTAAAATATGAGCATTTACATAAAAAGTCATAAATATCTGCCCCTGTTGCAACTGTATCCTGAGATTTCTTTCAGTTTCAACAAGTTAAAATCAGGTGTCATGCAACATGAAGAAACCGACTTTAAAGATGCAGTCTGTAGTATTTAGTGGCATTCAGCAGAACATACATGCACTGCCATATCAAACAGTAGTTCAGTGTTTATTTATTTAACAAGTTGCTGAACTGCACTAGCTGGAAGATGAAGGAAAAGAGTGGTTTGTTATCAATAATTAAAAAAAATGATCTTAATGAATTGAATTCAAGGAACCTGAGTTCTAAAATGGAAGAGCGTACAGGAGGCTAAACAAACAGGAAGGCTAAACAAAGGAGTGTTTTAATCTTGAATCCGAGCACTAGACATAGTTAACAATTCCCATTTCTACGCACTGTGTCTTTAAAGCCACTTGAGCTTTTAAGTCATAAATATCTGAGAGGGAGGTCAGCGGTGATGCGTCCTGTGTTTCATCCCTTTCACATCACTGTCAGACCACTGATGACATCAGAGCACATCATCAGGGCAGCGTGCGGCGCAGACACCCGAGGATGTAACTCATCAAGCGCAGAGTTTAAAAAAAAGAAATCATCTGACTGAAGCACTTTGCCTGGCTCAGATGAAACAGAGCACTCAATAATGAATGTGCTGTGTTACTGATATTAATGGGGTAAAAAGTAGGAACACTGTGCTCCACACCGGCTGTGGTAAGTGGGCTTAATTGCAGCCAAAAGCAACATAAAAAAAAAACATCCGGACTGGTACTTTCTCGATCATGTCACTCATCTATGATAACAGTTAAGGGTGCTGTCATATTATATGTAATGTAAGACTATGTAACAGAGATGAGCAGAGTTAGATTGCCACTAATGGATGCTAGGATATTAAAAAAAACAAGTCAAATCTTTACAAGAAAAGCTTCACTTCCTGTGACCTGCTCATAAAATACTGGTGCAGCTCAAAAAAACTATCCCTTAAAGTTAAATTTTTTTCCCCCATTGCTTAATTCAAAAAGTGAAAACTAGATTCATCACACATAAATGAGTATTGTTGTGTGCTGAACCAGAGTGAGAGAAAAAAGTTATTCCTGATAAGAGCTCTGATCAGGATTGAAGTGACTGACAAGAAACTGGACATTTACTGTGATTTCTAATGTTTCAAGTTAGTGGATTTTTGTGAGCTGTTCACTGTTTTCATCAAGATTCAAACAAAAAAATACTCTTTTAAATAATTCACGGTGTGTGTGATGAACCTAGAATATTTTCAAGTTTCACTTTTTGAACTAAATTATGAGGAAAAACAAACTTTTGTACAAATCAACCAATTGCTGTAGTTTCATTACGTATAAGAAAAAAAATTGTCATCTTTAAATGTCGGTGATTTGGGTTTTTCTATTATCTTAATTTGACATTTTAAAAATTAGGTCGCACAATTAACTTACCAACTTTATCATTTTAGTGCAAGGATCATTGGACTTCCTAACCTGCAACTTCGTAATAATCTTTCCAGAAATCAGCAACCTCTAATGTCCCTAAGGTGGTTAAACATTACATATGCATGAATCCCAGAACCAAAGTCTGAGTAATCTTCATGTTTAGACTGTAGTCCACAGTGGATATACTGTAATGACATGCTGGGTTAAAGCCTGAGATACTTCATTTGGCTGGTTTGCAGAGACGTACATGTCACTGTGTTTCTTCTGCTGCTGTTGAAATTCCCACAATAACCTCAGGGGTCATATTGCAACAAAGAAAAAAAGAAAACAGATGTCACCATTCTTTATTTGCATGATTTTAATTCAGTTTGAAGTACTTAAAAATTGATAAAATATGTATATAAAGACGTGTTTCAGCCCTCTCTGTTGGTGTCCTTTGGCTTCCACTTAATGCTCTAGTGGGAAGTAGACCCGCTGTGTGAAACTGAATTACCATGGATTTAATTACAAAAGGATTATTTGACACTTAAACAAGTACTCGTGTTTAACCTGAGTGATTTTGACTGTGAGTTGACTTACAGAGTAATATCAGAGCTGTCAGACTGCTCGGTGGTGGTACTGGTGGAGATTTTTAGGCCCCAGCGACCAGCGCTGGTCCAACGTTGTCAAGGAAACAAAGAGTGGAGGGGTACCGAGTCGCCCACTCTCTGTAACTGCAGCAGCAGTCCAGCTCAAACTGCTGCTTCAAACATGAATGCATAGTTAAAGGTTTTAGAAGTTACTTTTTTATTTGCTCGATTTAATGAGGTGCTTTCATCATGCTGTAAAAATGAGAACGATGGTTATCTTATCTTACTTTCTTCGTCAGTTATCTATAGCGGTTCATTCTTTGTTTGGCTCTGTGTGCTTTCCCTGATTTATAAGTACAATTGGAGCGCAGGAGCTGACTTGGCAGGAGTGACCCGCTGTATAAGGGCTCATAACAGTCACAGCTGTGCAGCCAAATGTGCCAGGTTTGATCACTCTCCGGTAACATTTCGATGTTTGTTTTTTTCAGGCTGCGCTCTCACTTCTAATGCTGAGGAATCCAGTTTTCTCCAAGGGTCACCATCTCTGCAACTACCACTACTCAGGTAGGTCTTAAAGATAGTTTGTTGAAGGTTTTTTCACGTACCGTTTACAGCTTGAAATACTGAATAGACGGATCCTTTTTGTCTTATTCGGTATTAAGTGGAATATTTTGGGTTAAAGGTCGCTGAGTGCACAGAACAAGCTAGCTTAAAGACGTCGGTGTGTTTTTGTTGTGATTGAATTTGTTGGTGTATCATGACTTCTTACTTATCTAATCAAAAGACGTTCATTTGATAACATGATCTTGAACGTCAGCTTTAGATTTATCACATCAAGATGGTGCTTTAGCATGAGTGAACCAGATGAGTTGAGGCTGAAGTTTCCAGCAGCATCCCTCTCTCTTTTATCCGTTAAAACCCCACCTGGCTGGTGTTTGTTTACTCAAAACAATCCCTCATAAAAGCTCCAACTAATTTATTTTGCCCCACATGTGATTTAGTTCCCCGAAAAAAAGGATTTAATGACCACATCACACCTCCATCTCTCAAAACCATTAAAGTGTAACTCTCTAAGCCCCCCTCTCCCCTGGTCTTGCTTCAAAGCGGTGGCAGCTGCAGCAGTGAGAGTGTCCGGGTGTTGGTGGGGGTAGCTGGGTGACTGTGGAGGATTGTCAGGGTCGACGTGGTGAGGGGAGGAGGGAGGGGAGAGGAGGGGAGGTTTACAGCATGTGGTTAATCCCAAGCAGAAGACAGGAGAGCCATTGTTTATCGGCTGATTTGAATGTGTGTGTGTGTGTTTTTGGTGCATGTGTGTGTGCTTTAAGGGTGGGGGGTGGGATTTAATTCGCCAGAGTCTGCGTAAATATAGAGCATGAGCTGGAACTTGCTCAGTGTTCAAATGTTTAAACGGACATTAAACATGCTGCATGTGCCTCTTTAAATTCTCCTCTCCTCTCCTCTCCTCTCCTCCCCTCTCTCTCTCTCTCTGTGCTTCTGCCCCCCCCTCAGGATCAGACAGTTGGACCGCAGCTGAGAGACGCCAGTTCAACAAAGGCATCACTGCATACAAGAAGGACTTCTTCATGGTGCAGAAACAGGTATGTCGTGGTTTCAAGCACAAGAACCTCCGAAAAACTCTTGACGCTTTCTGATTCCATTTGCTTTTCCAGCTGTTTACTTCCTCCCCCCTCTTAAAAAAAACTGGCGCTCGATATTTGACTATTGGTGGGTGGGGAAAGGAAACAGAGTCACTCTCAAACAATGTTTCCTTCATGTTTAATTATTTGCAGCTCGAGCAATGGTTACTTTTCCACAAAGCTGCAGAACTACCCGTCTTAATCCCCTCGATGATTAAGAGGAAGAAAATGTATTTCTGTGTTTGTTTTACACTTCGAATCAGTCCAAAAAACACCAGATTAAAGCAACGTTATGTAACTCTTTTCCCTTAAAGTAACAGCTCCGAAATGATTTAACAGCACACTGTCTTTCATAACTTCTGCCCGCCCTTAAGGCTTGTTTTTATCTCTTTGTTTACAGGGTATGAGATTGTTTCCTCTTATTCCCCAATGAGTTCTGAGTATTGACTTAAACCGAGTCTCTCATCAATATTAGTATAATACATAGAGGTACCATTGAGCCATTTAGCTATATTTGATAGTTGTCAAAATCATAGGGACTCTCCAAAGCAACAGATTACAATCTATGTTACAGTTACAGTTGGTAGACACTTTTGTCAAAAGAATAAGTACAACACAAACCAAGATCTAGATAGAAGGAAACCACATGAGAAAGTGCCGCAAACTGCTTTTAGTCCTGAATGTACTGAATGTATTGCCTCTGCAGTGCCTGAGGTAATACACAGTTGTTGTTTTGAATAATCTGAGATCAAGAGTATCAATATCGATCAGTTTCAAAACCAGATTAAAACTCCGAACTGAATTTGTCAGGTAAATGTCATTTTAAAATAGGAGTACAAAATGTATTTGTGTGTGTGTGTGTGTGTGTGTGTGTGTGTGTGTGCGTATGTGACAGGTGGGGGGACAGGGGGATTTACCTGCTCGTCTTTCAGATAACAGTCACTCTCCTGATTCATTTCTCACCAGCACGCTCCAGTTCTCATCTCCGTAAATGACTTTAAAAAACAAGTACTGACTAAAAGGGAATTTGTGTGTTTGTGTGTGTGGTTCACAGGTGACAACCAAGTCCGTAGCGCAGTGTGTGGAGTTCTACTACACATATAAGAAGCATGTGAAGATCGGTCGCAACGGGACGCTGATCTACGGCGAGGCTGAGCCTCTGGAGAACAGGACCACAGAGGAGGAGACAGACCACAAGGTCAGCTGCGTGTTGAATAAAGGGGTCACTGAATGTTGATCAAACCTGTCCCAAAGCTGCTCTGCCCCAGGAACAAAAACAACAACAAAGTGCAAACATTGATTTAAGTGTTTACAGTTTTTGCCTTACGTCTCCAGAGCATTGTCTTAAGTAAGGAGGACTTAATGGACTGTGCGCTCCATGTTAATCTGGTTAGAAATAAGCAGAAGGAAAAGACGATTTGGCTTCAACATGATCTGATTAAACACAAAACAGCAGAGTTTCACTAAGAGCTTAAACTGCAAAGGTGCAGTCCAGAAATGAAGAATAACTCTGTTGACATTTCCACCCATTATACCGTCCTCAGCATTTCAAGATGAGTCGTTTATTTTTTGCACAATGGAGCTACAGTTTTGTTGGGTCTTATTTTAATTATTCAGAATCGTGCAGCAAAAGGTAAACTCTGACTCAGCATCCTTCCTTAGACCCTGCGTTGCTGCATACAAATCATCTAAAGTATATCACTCATAGTCGATGTTCCTGAGATGTTTGTGTAGCTTATCATCAACATTAAAGTAACACTTAGATGTCATTTCCTATTTTCATGCCGGGCATTTCTTCACTTCTCCCTCGGTCCAGCAGGGATCTCAAAGACTGGGGCCGCAGCGGGAGGAGGACAGCAGGAAGTGGGAGGAGTCAGCTGACAGGAAACAGGATGTCGGTCCCACCAGAGTGACACACTCGCTGCAGTCCACGGATATTGTGAGTGTGAAATTAATTACCAGCTGTGCGTGGGAAAGGAACAGCGGAGTGAAAGAGGCAATAGAAACAGAAGTTTAAGGGATGAAAGGTGGAAGAGTTTGTGCTTGCGTCTGTTTGTTTACTTCGGTACATCATGGACTCAAATTCCTTTTATAACCCATTTCAGATTTGACCTTAGCTGAGAGGGTTTTCTGGATTAACCCCAGAGACCTGAACTTCTTTATTGAAGCGTATGAAAATGAAACATGGTTAAAGTCTGTTTTTCTCTTGTGGGACTAATAAGGGAGTATCTCATCTTTTCTTGATTTACTTTTCCTGCAGTCAGTGAGAGATCCTCCTCTCACTTACCGCTCTCAAACATGAACAAACCTTTCAAAAACTTATCAGGTGAAAAAGCTTCTCAGGAGTGTGTATCTTCATAAAAAGATATTTGTTTTGGAGGCACACACCCTGTGTCAAGAGGTTACGCCTCAAGCTGTTGACCAGGGCTCGGTTCCAGTCTGTGGCTCCTCTCCAACATGTCATTTTCCAGCTCTCTCTTCCCATTTCCTGCTCTGTCCAATATCCACCATATTACCTTACACATGCTCTTGGTGCTTTCAAAATAAAACCCTTTTTTTTTATATGTATATATATAATATCTGAAAAACAAATTAGCATTATTTATTCATCAGGTATATAAGAGACTTCTTCCCAACCAAGAATTGAAAGTAGAAACGAACAGACTTCATTTCATGTTTTTCGGATCCTGTTTTTGTTTGATCTTTGGGAATATTCAAACAGTTTTGAGTTTCTAAAGTTGATGATTTTCATGAGCTTTGAGACAAAATGATCAAATTTCAAACAAAAAATAAATCTTGAAATATTTCACTTGACATCCAGTGTCTGAAGAAAACCTGAACATTAACCCTTTTAAAGATAAAAACAGACACAGCCAGGCGTTATTTTGGAGTTTGTTTCTCTAACGCAGGGTTTCAGTTGATTTGAGCAGGTATGACACATTTGTCCTTTTGAACTTTGCCTGACTCGTCCTGGTTGTGAGTGTTTGTTGGATTTGTTGCCCTCTGCTGGATGTTTCATGGGGCCGGTTTGGCTGATGTCTATCTTCCTAGATTGTGTAACCTCATTATGTCTGATAGCAAACAATGACTCGACAAGAAATCTTTATTCCAGTTATTTGCCTCGCGTTACGCCGTTTAGCAGTGAGCGAAACACAATACGCTGCTGAAAAAGAGCCAGATTGTGTGACTGTGAGCGTGCGTTTGCTTCAACTCTGTAACACTATCCAACATAAAGGTGCTCATAAAGCAGCTCCAGGCTCATTATGTTCCTTCCTTGTTGCTCTCAGTGACACTGTCAAAGGTCTTTTGAAGCTTTGGTGTTAACTACACCTCTCACTTCTATTGTTCATGCAGCCCGGGACCGTCCTCATCATGAAAGGCCAGGAGGACACAGCCAGGGACCAACCGCTGCCCCGGGTCATTCATCCTCCCCCTCCCAGCTCCAAAACACGCTACGACGGCAATGCGCGCAGGACCAGCCCTTCAACAGGCAGCAAAGGCGCGGCCAATCAGGAAGGAGAGTTCCCCTGCAAGAAGTGTGGCAGGTCAGTGATCAGAAACACCTCTTGACAGTCGGTGCAGCTGTTTTGGAGACGCCGGCATGTCTTCTGTTTACTCATTCAAAACTGACAGCAGCGGTCACTTCGGTTACATAAGCGGCCCGAGGCTGATCGAACCCGATCCGACGAGAAGACTTCTGCAGGGAATATTTCTCCTGCTGTTGCCCACTTGGAATGGGTTTTCAGTAAATAAAAGGAAGTATTTTGCGGCGTTTGAAAGAGCCGAATCCTCCTGTTGTGGTTTGATTAAGTAACAGCCTGTCCTCCAGCAACACCAGGCCTGTTATTGCCAACTGTGTCCTAGCAACTGAAACACAGAGTAGATGCGGCACATCTCACCTCTCTTCAAATGCAACTCTACACAGTGACATGACAAGAGCTTCACTCACACTTGGAAATACTTGCCCTGCTCACATTGGCCAGTTATAGATCAGACAGCACTGAACAGATAAACGATGCTGTAGGACCTCCAATCAGTCATGAACTACTATGAAAGTGACACACGCAGCTGCCGACCAGCTGCTCCATCACACGCTGTGATCTTCATCGTGCTGATATAACTCGACATCAGTCAGCCTTGATTTTATGTATCACTCTGGCTTTATGAAGAGAGATTAAGAAAGGGAGGGAAAAAAAAAGGTCAACAGCTTTAGAGTGTCAATGCAGTTATGCTCCATAGATTAGTAAATTACCTGATAAAATATTTGTACATCTCAGATTACTGAAATTGAAAACTTCAACATGTGACAACCCTGATTATTACACGACCCTCTTCCTTCAAGGTAACATCTTATGAGAACCTTATTGGAGGCCAAATCTAAGTTTTTTAAAGAATTCAGTTTGAGTTAAAATACCGATAAAAGGCACACAGATGATTTTAAAAATGTAAATTGATTTCTTGAACAGCTTTTAAATGAAATTATGTTTCATGCGCTCCTAAATTTCAGACGTTACACACCCTGGTGTCATATGTTTGACATTTCTATAACACCTCTGGCAGTTGTGTTTTTCTTAAATCACCAAACGCAGCTCAAGGAAGAACATTTATGATCATTACTTTATCATTTCCTTAAAGTAATAATCATATTAATCATTAAACATATTAATTTTACACTGGAGACGCGGTCTTCCTTAGCGTCTCGGTCTGATTGCAAGAAATGATCATGAGGTTAGGTGCTGTTCTGAGCATTATTTGTGGCTATAGAGTGGCGTTTTGGTTGAGGTTTGTTTAAAGCTCCTCAGACCGCTGTGTATTGCTATTGTGCGGTCGTTATAAAGTTGAGAAGCAAGCGGTCGGCAACATTCATCTCAAATAAAAAGTATTGATAATCTCTCGCCACTCTTTAGCTGAGAGCGCTGAGTCATGACTGTAACTTCACCAGCTTCATGATACCAACTCAAAGAGCCTCAGCATTAACCTCTCCTCCCTCTCTTTCCCGTAGGATTTTCTACAAAGTGAAGAGCCGCAGCGCCCACATGAAGAGTCACGCCGAGCAGGAGAAAAAGGCCGCCGCGCTACGCCAGAAGGAGGCCGAAGAGAGAGCGGCGGCGAAAGCAGCCGCTGAGGCCGCCGCCATTCTCGCTGCACGTCAGCAGAACGGGACTCGGCAGGTGGGCGGGGACAGCACCAACGACGACTCATCGGACGGCGAGGACGAGGACGACGAAGACTGGCAGTAACTGAAAAAGCCACGTATACTGACACGTAGACATGCAGCGCGGCTCACCCTCTGTGATTGGAGGAGGAACTTTGAAACATTCAAATGAAAGAAGAATCCCTCCTGTGAACTTGGTGTACATTTTGTGGAACAAGGAGACTTCCGTTGCTTGGCACATTCAGGGACATGTTGACTCCCGTGTATGTGTTTGTGAATGCGTGTGTGTGTGCGCGTGTGTGTGTGCGAGTGTGTGTGGGTATACCAAACTCACCGACACCCCCTTTACTCTGCTTGAAAAGCTTTTCAAGAGTTACCTCTCTTGGTCACAGGGCTCTGTCAAATCAAAGCCATGCCGCCTCTCTTGGCGCCGATCTGCTGTCCTCACGAGGCCGCAGCCTTCCTCAGCACTTCAAGTCCTGCCCTGTGCCCTCTCTCGGGGCTTGGTACTTGGCGTACCTTCTTTTTTTTATTTCTCTCTCTTGTTGAGCCGCAGCACGCGCAAGCTTAAGCCACATCCCCGCCGGATACATCTTTGTTGATCAGGAGACAGAATTCTGACAGCTGGAGGAGGCGCGAGCTGATCTCGGATAGACAGATGGAGGATGGATGGATGGATGGCATGTGCAAACTGTTGCCTTTGTTCTGTCGTTCCTCTGCACTCAAGGCTGCCAAAAGCTTTCTCTTCTCAGACGCATGATGTGCACCAAAATGGGTTCCCCCTTTTGTTGTTGTTGTTCTTTGGGCTTCTAGTTCTGTGAATCCCCCTTTCAGCCCTCGTCACTTTTTATAGCTCCGAGTTTGCTCCCTCACTGTTGATGCCTTGGATGTTTTGATGCTTTTTATCTTGAAATGACAATCAATTTTACACTGTTGTTGTTGTTGTTGTTGTGTTTTTTATAAATATAAATATAAATATATATATATATATGCAGGTAAATGTTACTTTTTCTGCCTGTGTAGCTATATATGGCTCTTGTTCTTGTTTTTGTGAATATTCTTGTTGATGATTATTAATATTATTATTATCATTATTATATTCTGTTTTTGGATGCAATTGAATTGAGCGCTTTTCTGTACATGTCTTTTTTTTTTTTATTTAAACAAAAACAAATTAATGCTACTTGCTGCCTGTTTAGAACTGTGAGATTTTCTTTAGGAAGCCAGAAATGAAGAAAAGGCAGAAAACGTATGTGCAATAGAACAAGTTGACCCCCTGTTACCTGAGCGTCCAAGCCCTCCCACCCTCCCTCTCTCTCCTCTTTGATTCATGCTCATGACTGGCTGCACTGGATGCCTCCCTGTCAACCCTGTAACTGATAGGAGGTCCTGATCCAGACTGTTGAAACTGCAGGTCTCTATAGATACACACAACAGAGTGGGAGGGAGGGAGGAGGGGGTGGAGAAAATAACCAACAGCACAAACTTACTCAAGACACACATGCTCACTACCCTGACATTTGAGCCGGGGTTTATTTTCCCTGACATGTGCTAATAGTGCTAATAGACGGTTTGCTGAGACAAACAAAGAGAACTGGAAACCAAACTCAACCCAGAGTTTAAAGGTTTTAAAAACAGAGAGTTTTTATGTTGTCAAAGGACGGACATTTCACTCTTTTACGAGCCAGACATCAACACCTAATATATATATTTAAACTATTTATGTGTACATGACCTTCCCTGAATATAAGAAAGTCAGATTATTTACTCTCTAGAGTCTGTAAACTTGCCGCTAAAGTATTAACTATCAGAAACAAATCCATAGTTAGCTGTAAACCAGACTCAACCTGGATTTTACTCATTTCAAGGATTATACTTAATCTTCAAAAAGTGTTTTTTTCCACTTTAGAGTTGGATGCTAAAAGAAGCAAACCTAAAGAATTGTCTTTAATTAGATTTTAACTCATCTGAGTCAAGTCAAACTTCTCCAAGAATTTTAAAAGCAGAAGGCAGAAGCTATCTCGTCTGCAAACCAAACTTCACTCAGATTTTGCAGGTTTTTGCAGAGTTTGTTAAGATCCCTGGAAATCAGTCAAATGAATTTTTTTCCAGCACACAAGGTCTCAAATATCAACAGTGACAGTAACCTGCTGTGTTCAAACCTTAACCAGAAGTCTCATGTAAATAAAGGGCCTTTTTATAAATATGTCAAGAAACAGGCCAAAAATGGAGTAAATTTAGACTGCTTCCTGAATAACGGGGTGCTGTGGACATATTTCATTTCTTTTTAAAGCTTTTAAAGGTTCAGTATTTCTCCATCTACCCCAAACATGTATCCGTGGCTGAGTTTCTTCCTCCTGTTTACCTTGTTGCTGTTAGCAGCAGGCACTGAATACGACTGTTGAAACGGCATGTTTTGATTCGTCTATCTCTTCATATCTCTGCGTTAATCCCTCCGGCCCAGAGCCAGCTTTTGTTGCCATAGCAACAAATGGGTTATAGGGTTATTTTCCTTTAAAGGACAAACCACAATGAGGAGGATCTTTTAAAGGGGGGGGTTGCAGGGAGACACGGCTCCAATCACCAGTTACTCCACAAGTTTAAACCTGGGTCTATGCACCGACTGTGTGTGTGTGTGTGTGTGTGTGTGTGTGTGAGGATGTGCTGCTGAATGTGTGTGAGTGCTCTGAGGTCATATTTTAAACTGTACACCAGTCAATGAAAAAAAAAAAAGGTTTGCAGACTGTTCACATGTTTGGTATGTTAATTTATATTTCCTTTTGTTTGGGCTTGTCTTGAGGTTCTTGCGGGGCGGGGGAGGTTATCGTCGTCATGAAAAGGTTGTTTGTTTTTTAAAAAGAAGACAGATGAAATCGAGGAGGCCACGACACAAACACACAGCTGTAAACTTTCCTCATTTCATCCAGTTGGTTAAGGGAATTTTAAGGGGACAAAGGTTTATTTAGCTAAAGATTAGAATATATATATGAATGAAATGCTATGTTTGCATACTTTCTATGCTATTTTCATATGGGGTTCACACTAAATGACGAAAATAGAAGGAATCTCAAGTGCTTTTTACTACAGTGTAACTTATTTGTTTCAATTTGATTTTTACCACCTGTGTTTTTAGTAATGATTTATGAAGCACTGTATATTAAAGTTTTAAAATATCAAGTCAGGTTTTTGTGAGTGTGTTTACTAGGAATGTTAAAATGGCGTTCCCCAAGACCAGAGAACATGACAGCTTTTCACAGTCGGCTTTTCTATGAAATGAAATTATAACAAAAACAGATTGGTACAATTTTCAACTCGGCTTTAACTTAACGAACTTTAAAGTCAGAATAGAATAATAAAGAAAAGATAGTACGGGTAGATTGTTAGCTGTCCTTTCAGTTTTTCTTCTCTGTCTTAATGTGAATAATGAAACTAAGACTAAAGTTGAATCTGTATTGGATCTCTCTTCAGTTTCCAGTGAGTCCAGTGTTGATCAGCCTGCCAGCAGGGGGAGCTGTAGAGCTTTAGATGATTATAGAGGTGAGGAAAGATCAAGTTATATGTGGATTGTTCTCAATTAGAAAAAAAGAAGTATATAAAATCATGAGCTGATTTCATTGGTTGAACTTTGAATGACAAAATGAGCCTCATGATGGTGAAGTATCGCTCCACCACACCTCTGCTGTTCCTGTTTCACATCAGCAGGTGTGTGTTTGAATGTGTTTTGCATGAACTTTATGTCCCGCTGCTCTTCAGACTTTAAGTTCCTCTGTCACAGCGAGTCTGATCTGTTTCCATGAGCTCTGTCTGAAAACTAAACCAGGATGGTGCTGATAGTAACTCTGCTGGTCCTGTTGGGTTTTCTGAGTCAGGGTGAGAGATTCAAAAATGAACATTATAATAGAATTATTTATATGACTGTTGTTTTAATGTTTGTGTGCAGTTTTTCTCTTTTTGTGTCTTCTGTCAGTGTTTTTAATCTTTAGTTCATTTTCTAATAGTTTGATGTTCTTTGTCTCATTTCAGAGTCTTCTGCAAACAAATTTCTGACTCAGGCTGACAAATTTAAGTCTGTACGTCTTGGTGAGACTGTGACAATCAGCGCAACAGGGAGTTCAGACATTCGTGCTGATCTCAGTTGGTACATTCAGAAACCTGGACAGGTTCCCAAACTGCTTATATACACTTCATCAAGCCGTTTCTCAGGAACCCCGTCTAGATTCAGTGGAAGTAGATCTGGTTCTGACTACACTCTGACCATTCAAGGTCTTCAGGCTGAAGATGTTGGAGATTATTACTGTCTTGGTCTCCATAGTGGTGGAGTGTTCACACAGTGATTTAGAGCCGTACAAAAACCTCCTCCAGTTCAGCTGAAGTGAAACCATCCTGCTGCAGGTGCAGAGGGTTGGTGTGGTGTAAAGAGAGGCGATGGTCCAGTGAACAAGAGAGTCATCAAGCAGAAACACAGACGCTCAGAATCAAACGGAAAGAAACTCACAGATGCTCCTTTATTTGAACATTTTAACAGCAATAGTAATAATTTAAGATGATTAATGAATCCACGTAAAGAAATTATTTTAAAGAAATATATCTCTGATTTAAAAAACATTCAGCAATATCCCGATTAAAAGCTACATAACAGCTTTTCAACAAATAACATGATCTTTTTTTGTCTGAAAACTGAACTTGACATTAAAATATAATTTCAAAACCAAAAACAGTTTCTTAGGTTTTATCAATTCTTTGGTATCACTTTAGTATCAGGTTTATTATAACACCAGGAAAGATAGTCTTATGAAGAAGTGAAAGAATTTAAAAGTCATAATATAAATGAAAAGACACAGACTCATCATCATCTGATCTTTGATTTAATGTTGATTTCAAGTTCATGCTACATCATTAAGGAATAGAAACTTTCTCTTGGACTGATTTCAAATGTATTTAGTTTTATTTGAAGAGTAAAAGCAGAAAAATGAACATGCAGAAGTTAAAGCAGAGGAGATCTGTCATCATTTCCAGACTGAAAATGTTGCTGAAGCTCTACTCTGAGCAGAGCTGAGGGTCCAGACTTTGAGTGACAGGGCTCTGTCCACTCAGACTGGCCTCACAGCTCACTGAGCCCGCCTTCCTCCACTCCTCTGCAGACAGGCTCAGGGTGCTGCTCCATCTGTAGCGGCCGTCCTCCTGCAGGACCGCCAGGCCGTGGGACACCCCTGAGGAGCTGCTGCGGCTCCCCACCTTCCAGCCCAGACTCCAGGACGAGGGGAAGCCCCCACTGGCCAGACACACCAGTGTGGCCGTGCCCTGCTGCAGCTCCTTTGAGGAGGGGGGGAGGACGGTCAGGGAGGGCTGTGTTACTCCCACTGGAGGGGGGAGAAAAGAAACCGACATACTGGTTATTTTTGATTCTGAATCAGATAAAAGAGACAAACTTAAACATCTGTGCTGTTATAAATCACTAAAGCTAATCCATCATCAGTTCATGAAGATTATCAATAATGTCTTCATGCATGTTTACAACATGTGACAGAGATCAACTTTAATTTGACATGTGAAAGTCTAACTTTAATCCTCGCTCTCTTTCACTTCCTCTAAACTCAGCATGAATGAAATGAACCATGAACACAGAGAGGAGCTGTTTTAACTGATGAAGTATTTTTAGTCTTCACCAGAATTCACACTTTCAATCTAAAACTCTCTTTAAATGAAATAAAATTATCATGTTATCATATCAGCCCACCTAAAATAATCTAGCTGACCAAATTTCCAGTCAGATTTTTAGATGAAGAGTCACATTCAGCTAAATTTAAAAACTACTAAACTGTCTTTTTCTTTTACTTTAGAAATAAGCAAACTGACTGAATTTTGATCTCTGTCGTGTTTGTTCCCAGATTGTCAGACAACATAAAAAAAACATTAAAATCAACAACTCTGAAATACTGGACCTAACAATACTATCACTCAATATTTGAAAAAGAGCAAATGTTTTTGCTTTTTTAAAAATAATTTTAAGCAGAAAATTAAAATTTTAATGTGTTTTCTAAATTTAGTACGAGCTTCTTATCTACGTTCTCAGGTTGTGAGTTCAGCTTCTCTTCAAATAATGACAAAAATATTTAACAATTTAAAAAATCAAACTTATATCAGTCATATCCACAATCTGAGAACATTTATATTTTCTATGAATAGTTAATAATAAAACTTTCAGGTACTTACAGTCAACGACCAGTTTGGTTCCTCCACCAAAAGTGTACCACAGTGATACAAACACATTAAGCTGTCGTACAAAAACCTCCTGCACTCTGAACAAGCGTCTGACTGAGGAAAAGTCCAATTTTTGTATGGAAATATAGAAAAAATAACAGAATTATATAAGTAAGATTTATCTGTAGTTATGTGAATTAAATTTGGTGCATAATTTTAGTTTTTTTTTTTTTATTATTTAATTTTGTCAATCTTTGAACACTTAGCCAAGAAATGATCAAAAACTACATCAAACTCATTAATTTTTACACTTTAAAATGAACTAATTTGAGTTTTCTGTTACATGTTTTTTTCAAATTATAACTTACAAACCCAAATTAAGCAAAAGTGAACATAATGTTTATCTTCAGTCAACCTAAAGACGAAGATGCAGACAGACAATAGAAATATCAGACCACAGGTGCAGATAAACTTGTCCTCAAATCCTCAACAGCCAGTCTAAAATAAACTAAATTAAAACTTCTTTTAAAGTCATAAAGAGAGAGTAAATCCAAGCAGTATTTCTTCAGATTTCTGTGCCGCGCTGTCTTCAGTGCAGAGAAATCATTTCCATAGAGAGGAGTCTTTGCATCTTCAGCTGATCCTCCTGTGAACTGAGAAGCTTTATAGTCCTGTGAGTTCATCTCTGCAGCACTCAGATCTGTCAGTCAACGCAGCACAAACCTCAACATGACTCTCAGCACCTTCTTCATGTGGACGCTGGCCTGCTGCTGGTTGACAGGTTTGTCCTCACAGAAACATTCAATCATCTTGTGTTGACTTATTTAATTCTGCTGCAGAATTAATGATGAATTTTCTGTCTGCAGGATGCAGAGGTCAGGTGACTGTGACTCAGCCTTCAGTGGAGACTTTCACTCCAGGATCCACGGTCACTCTCACCTGTAAAACTGACCCAAAGGTGAAGGTTTGGACAGATGGAGGTAGTCGAGTGCACTGGTATCAGCAGAAACCTGGACAGGCTCCCAAACTCCTAATATATAATGGTATTCACAAACCCTCTGGTCAAGGAGTTCCAGATCGGTTCACAGGCAGAGGAGACGGAGTGAACGCTGCTTTGACCATCCGTGGGGCTCAGGCTGAAGATGCTGCAGTTTATTACTGTCAGAGTGCACATGAAATAAACAGTGCTTGGGTGTTCACACAGTGATTTATGCTCATACAAAAACCTCTCTCAGTCAGGCTGCAGAGACTCTGAACAGGAACTGACAGCAGCTGCTGAAGAGGAACTCTGACACAGACCACTGAACCCAGAGCTCACAGAACATCAGTAAACATACAGACTCAGATTTACAGTCTTGATAATCACAAACCACTGAATTAATTCACTAAACAGAAACATATGAACTCATTCAACATTATATTTATACATATATAGTATCTGATTCTGCTTTAGATGATAAATTTCAACATATTTTCTTGTTGCACCATCCCTTTAGAAAAGGAAATGAATTGAATCAGTTTCAGCTCTCAAGGCCCATTATTAACCACCAACAAACTTCAGACAGCCACCTCACTTTAGTTCTGGAGTCAATCATATGAGACATTCCTCTTTTTGTTAAAATCCAACTTTTAAACCTCTTTTAAGTTCAGTTGAACTGTAAGGAACATTACACGTCATGCACAGAAGCTCCAAACTTTAAAGTTAGGATAGAATAAAAAAGAAAAGCCATTCGCACAAGTTTAAGACATTACAGGTAGATTTTCTTTTAAGTTTTTCTTCTCTGTCTTAATGTGAATAATGAAACTAAGACTAAAGTTGAATCTGTATTGGATCTCTCTTCAGTTTCCAGTGAGTCCGGTGTTGATCAGTCTGTCAGCAGGGGGAGCTGTAGAGCTTTAGATGGTTATAGATGTGAGGAAAAACAAGTTATATGTGGATTGTTCTCAATGAGAAAAAAAGAATTATATAAAATCATGAGCTGATTTTAGTGGTTGAACTTTGAATGAGAAAATGAGCCTCATGATGGTGAAGTATCGCTCCACCACACCTCTGCTGTTCCTGTTTCACATCAGCAGGTGTGTGTTTGAATGTGTTTTGCATGAACTTTATGTCCCGCTGCTCTTCAGACTTTAAGTTCCTCTGTTTCAGCGAGTCTGATGTGTTTCCATGAGCTCTGTCTGAAAACTAAACCAGGATGGTGCTGACAGTAACTCTGCTGGTCCTGTTGGGTTTTCTGAGTCAGGGTGAGAGATTCAAAAATGAATAACATTATGATAGAATTAATTATATGACTGTTGTTTTTATGTTTGTGTGAAGTTTTTCTCTTTTTTTCCGTGTTTTTAATCTTTAGTTCATTTTCTGACAGTTTGATTTTCTTTGTCTCATTTCAGAGTCTTCTGCAAACAGCTTTCTGACTCAGGCTGACAAATTCAAGTCTGTACGTCTTGGTGAGACTGTGACAATCAGCGCAACAGGGAGTTCAAACATTGGTGGTGATCTCAGCTGGTACATTCAGAAACCTGGACAGGCTCCCAAACTCCTTATATATTATACATCAAACCATTTCTCAGGAACCCCGTCTAGATTCAGTGGAAGTAGATCTGGTTCTGACTACACTCTGACCATTCAAGGTCTTCAGGCTGAAGATGTTGGAGATTATTACTGTCTTGGCTATCATGGTAGTGCGTTCACACAGTGATTTAGAGCCGTACAAAAACCTCCTCCAGTTCAGCTGAAGTGAAACCATCCTGCTGCAGGTGCAGAGGGTTGGTGTGGTGTAAAGAGAGGCGATGGTCCAGTGAACAAGAGAGTCATCAAGCAGAAACACAGACGCTCAGAATAAAACGGAAAGAAACTCACAGATGCTCCTTTATTTGAACATTTGATAACAGTTTTTATAAACTCAGTAATTCCCTTTGGTATCAGGTTTATTATAACACCAGGAAAGATAGTCTTATGAAGAAGTGAAAGAATTGAAAAGTCATAATATGAATGAAAAGACACAGACTCATCATCATCTGATCTTTGATTTAATGTTGATTTCAAGTTCATGCTACATCATTAAGGAATAGAAACTTTCTCTTGGACTGATTTCAAATGTATTTAGTTTTATTTGAAGAGTAAAAGCAGAAAAATGAACATGCAGAAGTTAAAGCAGAGGAGATCTGTCATCATTTCCAGACTGAAAATGTTGCTGAAGCTCTACTCCGAGCAGAGCTGAGGATCCAGACTTTGAGTGACAGGGCTCTGTCCACTCAGACTGGCCTCACAGCTCACTGAGCCCGCCTTCCTCCACTCCTCTGCAGACAGGCTCAGGGTGCTGCTCCATCTGTAGCGGCCGTCCTCCTGCGGGACCGCCAGGCCGTGGGACACCCCTGAGGAGCTACTGCGGCTCCCCACCTTCCAGCCCAGACTCCAGGATGGGGGGAAGCCCCCACTGGCCAGACACACCAGTGTGGCCTTGCCCTGCTGCAGCTCCTTTGAGCGGGGGGGGGATGATGGTCAGGGAGGGCTGTGTTACTCCCACTGGAGGGGGGAGAAAAGAAACCGACATAGTGGTTATTTTTGATTCTTAATCAGATAAAAGAGACAAACTTAAACATCTGTGCTGTTATAAATCACTAAAGCTAATCCATCATCAGTTCATGAAGATTATCAATAATGTCTTCATGCATATTTACAACATGTGACAGAGATCAACTTTAATTTGACATGTGAAAGTCTAACTTTAATCCTCGCTCTCTTTCACTTCCTTTAAACTCAGCATGAATGAAATGAACCATGAACACAGAGAGGAGCTGTTTTAACTGATGAAGTATTTTTAGTCTTCACCAGAATTCACACTTTCAATCTAAAACTCTCTTTAAATGAAATAAAATTATCATGTAATCATATCAGCCCACCTAAAATAATCTAGCTGACCAAATTTCCAGTCAGATTTTTAGATAAAGAGTCACATTCAGATAAATTTAAAAACTACTAAACTGTCTTTTTCTTTTACTTTAGAAATAAACAAACTGACTGAATTTTGATCTCTGTCGTGTTTGTTCCCAGATTGTCAGACAACATAAAAAAAACATTAAAATCAACAACTCTGAAATACTGGACCTAACAATACTATTACTCAATATTTATAAAAATACATGTTTTTTGCTTTTTTTTTTTTTTTTTTTTAAATCATTTTAAATCAGAAAATTAAAATTTTAATGTGTTTTCTAAATTTAGTACGAGCTTCTTATCTACGTTCTCAGGTTGAGAGTTCAGCTTTTCTTCAAATAATGACAAAAATATTCAACAATTTAGAAAATCAAACTTATATCAGTCATATTAAAAATATGAAAACATTTTTATTTTCTATGAATAGTTATTAATAAAAATTTCAGGTACTTACAGTCAACGACCAGTTTGGTTCCTCCACCAAAAGTGTACCACAGTGATACAAACACATTAAGCCGTCGTACAAAAACCTCCTGCACTCTGAACAAGCGTCTGACTGAAGAAAAGTCCAATTTTTGTATGAAAATATAGAAAAAATATCAGAATTATATAAGTAAGATTAATTTATAGTTATGTGAATTGAATTTGGTACATAAATTTAGTTTTTTTTTTATTTAATTTGATCAAACTTTGAACACTGAGCCAAGAAATGGTCAAAAACTACATCAAACTCATTAATTTTTACACTTTAAAATGAACTACTTTGAGTTTTCTGTTTGAGTTTTCTGTTACATAATTATTTTTCAAATTATAATTTACAAATCCAAATTAAGCAAAAGTGAACATAATGTTAATCTTCAGGAACCTTTAGGACAAAGATGCAGACAGACAAACAGAAATATCAGACCACAGGTGCAGATAAACTCGTCCTCAAATCCTCAACAGCCAGTCTAAAATAAACTAAATTAAAACTTCTATTAAAGTCATAAAGAGAGAGTAAATCCAAGCAGTAATTCTTCAGATTTCTGTGCCGTGCTGTCTTCAGTGCAGAGAAATCATTTCCATAGAGAGGAGTCTTTGCATCTTCAGCTGATCCTCCTGTGAACTGAGAAGCTTTATAGTCCTGTGAGTTCATCTCTGCAGCACTCAGATCTGTCAGTCAACGCAGCACAAACCTCAACATGACTCTCAGCACCTTCTTCATGTGGACGCTGGCCTGCTGCTGGTTGACAGGTTTGTCCTCACAGAAACATTCAATCATCTTGTGTTGACTTATTTAATTCTGCTGCAGAATTAATGATGAATTTTCTGTCTGCAGGATGCAGAGGTCAGGTGACTGTGACTCAGCCTTCAGTGGAGACTTTCACTCCAGGATCCACGGTCACTCTCACCTGTAAAACTGACCCAAGATTGCATGTTTACGAACTTGGACATAGTCGAGTAGCCTGGTATCAGCAGAAACCTGGATAGGCTCTAAAATTAGTCCTCTACCTTGCTCAAAATCCTACAAGTGAGTTTTCTTCAAGATTCTCAGGCAGAGGAGACGGAGTGAACGCTGCTTTGACCATCAGTGGGGCTCAGGCTGAAGATGCTGCAGTTTATTACTGTCAGAGTGCACATCCATTAAACAATGCTTGGGTGTTAACACAGTGATTTCTGCTCATACAAAAACCTCTCTCAGTCAGGCTGCAGAGACTCTGAACAGGAACTGACAGCAGCTGCTGAAGAGGAACTCTGACACAGACCACTGAACCCAGAGCTCACAGAACATCAGTAAACATACAGACTCAGATTTACAGTCTTGATAATCACAAACCACTGAATTAATTCACTAAACAGAAACATATGAAATCATTCAACATTATATTTATACATATATAGTACCTGATACTGCTTTTGATGATAAATTTCAACATATTTTCTTGTTGCACCATCCCTTTTGACAACGAAATGACTTGAATCAGTTTTAGCTCTCAAGGCCCATTATTAACCACCAACAAACTTCGGACAGCCACCTCACTTTAGTTCTGGATTAAATCATATGAGACATCCCTCATTCTGTTAAAATCCAACTCCTAAACCTCTTTTTAGTTCAGTTGACCTGTAAGAAACATTGAACGTCATACACAGGAGCTTCGATCTTGTGCATTTTTGCTATAGTTAGTCAGAAATACACAAATTAGACTGTAGTGCTAACACCTCCTCTGACCTGATATAAACCCTCCTTTAATAGTCGTTTCATAGCTTCATTTTCAGCTTAGACCACAGAGATGTTTCTGCCTTTTTTGGGGAAGTAAGCTCTCAATCATTGCGGAAGAAAAGTCAGCAGAGCTCTGAAACCATCCCCCATGTTTTATTTGGAAACAATAGCTCATATTCTCTCTCAGTTAAGGCTTCGTGGATCAATAATATTTTTATTTTGTTGATCATTACATCTTTTCGCAGCTCCTTGAGTCAAAAAAATGAGCAACCAGAGAAGAAAAGCTTTGAAGACAATCCTCCAGCTGATCAGTAATCTCCTGTGGGTATGTAAGACAGTAGATGTTTATCGTAGCATGACGTGTTTTCTTCATAAGTATTCAAAGACAAAGTGTGTTGAATTCAATTTTAAAAATATGTCAAACGCACCCTCTTCCTGTGATTTATTTACCAGGTGGTGGGGCTGATAGTGATCCTTGGTGGACTTTACCTGCTGCTGCTGAACTACAGACAGAGCAGCTTGTTCTTCTGTCACAAGTACATCATCCTGCCAGCTGTCCTGGCTTTCCTCAGCGCTGTGCTCCTGGTGGTCAGCGGCTGCATGGGCTCCTGGAAGAGCATCAGCAATTCCCCTTTTCTTCAGGGACTGGTAAGATTGTGTTTTATAACATCTGTACACACACGCATGAAGTTTTGGATTCTGAATAACAGTGTTATCCTCTTGTCCAGTTTGTTTATTTGCTAGTTGTCATCTTCTGTCTGACCTGCACGGCTTCAGCATTGGCTTATTTTTACTCCTCACAGGTAGAGAAGTTACTTTGAAATGCACGCTCCCTTTAAACATCAGTGCAGATTTACACCGTTTATACGTGTTGTCTTCTTACTCAGCTGGATTCAGAGTTAGCCCCTCTCAGTGCAGCGTTTCACACATACACAGGCAGCAGCCAGGACCCCAACTCTCAAGCTGTGGATGCCACGCAAAAAGAGGTGTGTTGTGATACAAACTAAGAGGTGGCCGTACTGGCAATGAACGCATCCTAATGATGTTTGTTTTCAGTGTGAAAAATGTCAAAAAATGTCAACAAAAATGATCCAAAACAGCAGCTGATACTGACAATCTCAAAAGTAACAGAGACGTGACAATCAGCAGCTACAGTAACAGAAGATATGTCTTTGTTGAGTTGAACTTCTCCTCATGGCCACTAGATGGAGCCTGTTTCATAGAGAATCTTCAGTCTCCTCTGAAATGTAGTTCTCCATTTAAAAAATCTTCATCTTGGATATTTTTCAGCCCAAAACAACTCAAATAAGTCTAATTTTGATTGTTGATTCCTGATCTGTTTTCAGTCTTATTGAGTAATCTTTTATCTTCCTCTTAGCTGCAGTGTTGTGGCGTCCACGACTACAGGGACTGGTTTGAAACCGCCTGGTTTAACAGAACAGGAGGCCTGTCTGTGCCTCACAGCTGCTGCAACTCATCTTTCCCATCCTGCAGTGGCACAGTGGACCGACCATGGGAGCTTTACTCAAAGGTGGACATTTACTTTCAGATAAATTCAACATGCATGAAGATTAAAATCTACAGCCGCTTAATTTCTGCATAAATATCTCTTCAAGGGCTGCAAAGTGAAGCTGGAGCTGGCTGTTCAGTTTGTGCTGAGTTTAATCATTTGGTGCTCTCCGGCTGTGTTTCTGGTGGAGGTAAGGAGACTGAATCACTCAAGATGAATTAATTAAATGGACCCAGAGCAGACAAAACAGCTGGAAGATGGTGACTTTTTTTTTGAGGAGGGATGGTTTTAGCTGAGACTGGAGTTAGTGGAGGAGAAACCATTTGTTTTTTATACTGCTGCTTCTGAAGAGATGAGTTGCAGGTGGATGCAAGAGGTTCCCCTTTGTTTAAGCTGAAATAAAGTTTTATTGCAGTCTCAAGAATCACTACCGCCCACAATTAGTTTAGCTTTTTTCCTGCAGGAGTTAAACAGATAATTCTGTGCAAAGTCATTCTCATTATGATTTTTTTGTGCGTACTCTTTCTCTCCTGTCTTCTCTCCTTTTCTGCAGCTCATCTTGTTCCTGATTGTAGGACAGCTGATGACAGACCAGTCATTGATGGGATATGAAATACTCATCAGAAAGTAGACACCAGGTTGGACTTAGTTTTTGAGCAGATATTTAAGAAATATACAAATGAACTACACTTTTAAGGAGCTGTGTTTTTCACCAAGTGTTACTCTGTAAAATGCATCTGGATTGGATGTTTGTTTTTCTCAAGCAGTCTTATTTCCTAAAAGGACCATGAATTGAACTTTGTGTGTTTGCACTATGTTGTAATTTCCACCTGTATTACATTAAATACTGTTTCCTTATGAAACCCCAGTCCTCTCTCTTGTTTACCTTGTATATTTAACACTTTACTGCCAATGAATTAGTGCCGAAATACAAACGGTGATGGTTACACACACTGTGTGCAACACTGAGCCTCAGCACAATGATTTATTCATATTTTGTGTTGAGAAAACCTTCAAATTGTCGAGAGAGCCGGTGCTTTGTATTCACTTTGTTGAGTCAGGTGCTCTTGAGTAAGAAAATGTCACCATCAAAGGGGGTGGGGGGACCTCCATTTCTTCATGGAAATGCAATCAGATTGAGACGCTAAGGCAGAATAACTACTGCGTCTGCAATGCAAAATGATTAATATGGTGATTATTACTTCGAGGAAATGAATTCCCGAAAAATGCCATTCTGTAATTCCCATATATTCACATTAATTCCCATGAAAAGTTTCCAACTTTGAAAATTCTGGTAATTTTGCAACCCTAATCAAGACAGTTCTGTTTACACTCATTCTGTTGGTTTGCAGGGATGAACAACATCTTGAAATACATGCAGATACATTAGTTAAAGACAAAACTATAATTGCCTTAATGTAGTGATCAGAAATATGAAAAATGGCTCATCTTACCCCACTCTCCCGTATAATTCATGTTAACCCTGGATGTTGACCACGCCGTATCCTCCGCAGAGGCGTGGCTGCACGCGAGTGGGCGTGGTCGGATCCTCACGTAGCTCCTTCTTCGGTTTCTTCTCCGTGAGTGAGGCCGACTTCTAGTGGAGTAAACGCCGCCAAGTGATCGGGGGAAAAAAATACCAGTCGAGAGTATAAACCAAAACTATCATCAAAAGCTGGTAAGATCTGAAATGTTGATACATGTTTTAGTCGTTCACGGTGATATTTGAACGCTCTGTAAAGTGCGGCGGGCTGCCATGCTGCTCCGCGGCCCGTGCTGCAGCCGTTGATTAGCCGCGGTGGCTAACGTTAGCCTCCGTGGGCCTGTTGGCAGGCCGCTGGGGTTTAAGCGCGGGGACAGAAACACGAATATCTGACGCTCTCCAAAATAAGAGGACGGTGCTTAACGTTAGCTTAACCTCCAAAGACTGCCGCCAACCTTATCCACGTCGTGTAACGCGAGTTTGTTTGTTTTATTCGTGTTTTTATTGCGCTGTAGAGTATTTGTGCGCCGTGTATTCCTGACATTGTTGAGCGTATGTTAAAAGAGGGAGGGAAGGTTAGCATGCTAAAGCCGCTCATGCTAGCCAGGCCTCTGCACGCTTCAGAGGGAGGCAGCAGCTCCTCCTGAATGACCCTGCTGTTGTGTCGACGTGGAATAAAAGCACAGGTGTGTTATTGAAAGTGTGTTTGTGCTTGCAATATTCCACGTCCAGTTAACCCTGTGTATTTTTTATGTAGAGCTTATTACAGACCTCACCTTTAGATGTATGACAGTGAACAGCTCTGTCCGGGCGGAACACATTGTAGTATCAACAAATAACCACCTTTTCATTCGCGTTATATCATTGAGGCTTCACGCCTTTTATTTGCACATTACTTAAAATATACGGTGGCCGAGAACCGCCATTGCTGCAAATAAAAACATAATGCAAAAAAAAGAGAGAAAAGAAACCGATGCCCACTGAAAATAAAAAAGAAACGGTGCAGATAAAAAAGGCTACAGCAAGTTAACGATGCCAAAAAAAAGTGGCAATGGAAAAATGAAAATGAAATTAAAGGGATGCAAATTAAAAAAACAAAAAAAACAATGGAAGTGAGCTGCCAGGGACCAATAATGATGACGCACTGGTGTTATACCATCTATGCACAGAAGACGAGCAAAGAAGTTAGTGGAAAGGTTATTGTTTATTTCGCTTCGTAAACTTTTCAATGTGTCATTCGGTCAGGCCATGTAGCACCCGAGATGTGTTTTATTTTTGTATTTTTTTTTGATCAGTAACTTTTATTGTGGTTTCCTTTTTTTTGCATTCTTATTATTTGCAGCAGCGGCAGTTCTCGGCCACCTTAAATCTGATATTATGGTCACAATCATTCTGCAGAGCAAGAACATTTGTCTCTGTTTCTCCTGAGACGTCAGCTGGTATTAGGTGATTCATCAGGCGTTTGTTTTCTTTGTACCATGTTGATTTATTTGGTTCATTAATAGAATTCTGCATATTAATTCACTGTTGGATTTGTCTTTATTCCCACCCAGCCTCCGGAGCAGTGAAGTGTCTTCATGGCAGTTCGGAGAGGACACATTAAGTACTTAAAAGTGAGTATTTAAAAAAATTCTCTCATAGCAGGGACTGCTGTCGTGTTTTACTGTATGGGTATACTGTTGTAACAGGGAGTGTGACACTGACTTTTTTCAGAAGAAGCACATCGGCATCTAAGTTAAATTGATCAATTTTTGTCTTTTTTGATGACGTAAGTACTATTATTTGCCTTTAAATTGAACACTAAAATTTTTAGAGGCCAAATCAGGGAAATAAAGAGGTGTGTTCTATTGGTGGATATACGTACTATCAATCAATTTCAGGTCAATTGGTCACATGACATGCAAGTTATTGAAGGAAAGCGGCCTTTTTTGAGAACATCAACCAGTTATTTATTGATGGTCCCTTATTCAACACCTAATGTTGACAGCGTGGGTGTCGAGTAGATTTAACCACGCTGTTGTTGCAATGGATAGTTGAGTAGACACACCGGTACATCCACAGTGAATGTCCTTAGGATATCAAACTTAAAACTAACTTTGCTGTGGTATTTACATGAAAAAACATTTGTTGCCTTTCTTATGCGCACATGTCCCTCTAACTACATTTTACAATTCGCACACATCTATTTTTAGTCGCAAATGCGAGTGAAACAGTCGCACTGTCGAGCCCTGTGTAAGTTAGTGCATAGGATGACATTGCAGTCATCTGTTGTTATTATACTTCAACTAATGGCTCAGTACTCTGTAAAAGGGCAAAAGCATTAAGAGAAATCAATGACACAGCCTGATGCCAGCTCCCACTCGCTATGACTGTGTTTACTGGTTGAAACACGACTCTCATTCATCCTCCCAGGCAGCGTATCCTACCCACCAGAATGCACAATTACAACCCTTCTCTTGCATGAATGGTCCACTGTCAGATTGACCGCTGAACTGGTTCCCTTTTCATGCCTGATCCCATTTCAGCCGCCGGTATATTCGTCCGACAGGACACGCTCCACTAAATTGTTTTGAAATCGGCCTGTAGTCTTATTGGTGATACTTTAATTGCTAATCTCAAAGTCTTTAGACCGGGTACCAGACATCAGACCACCATGTGACCAAGATAAGCCAGGGGTAAAGAATCCATCGTTTTAGCGTTTGAAGCTCCGTTGTTTAAGCTTTTACAACAAGACCAATATAGTGCCTAAATCCTGTCGCATGTTACTATTGTGTGGGTTTGTAATACATATAACTCTACTTTCTTTGAAAACTAATAGAGCTGCATGAGTTTTCTCCACCAAGAAGTACCAGGAACTTTTGAACAAAGAAAAAAAAATCTCTTTCCAGGGCTCGAAAGTGCAACCGTTTCACTTGCATGTGCGACTAAAAATAGATCTGTGTGAATTGTAAAATGTAAAAAAAATTTGCCAAGGCAGCAAATGTTTTTTCATCATCATCTAAAAAATGTTTTTGTTAAATTTAAAGGCAAATTTTGAACATTTTCTTCAATAGCTTCCACATCATGTGACCAAAAGACCTAAGATTAATTTCAAATAATAGTACTCATGTTGACCAATGAGACACACATTATTTGATCAATTTTCATTGTGCCCCTTAAGGTCTTTGTGTGCTCCTTGTGAAAAAAAGTTAGTGTCAAGCCCTGCAGGAACTTTTGAAGGAAAAAGAAAAAAAATCCCCCTCTTATGTAATTTGAAAACTAGCTTCAATTGAGAAAAAAAGTCTATAGTATCAATACCCAAGTCCTATGTGATGTATTGAAACTTTAAGAAAATTAGGTTAAAAAAAACAGTCATAGACCATCCATGGATTTTTACTATGGTTGGTTGTTTTTTTCCTACCCTTGCATGTTGCCGTGTGTTTACCTTCCTCTTTGTTTCTCGGCCCACCTGGCTGAACTGCAGGAGGTGTATGACATGTCGAACGGATACGAAGACCACATGGGAGGGGACGAGGGGAAAGACGCCAAAACCAACTTGATTGTGAACTACCTGCCTCAGAGCATGACGCAGGACGAGCTGCGGAGCCTCTTCAGCAGCATCGGGGAGGTGGAGTCCGCCAAGCTGATCCGGGACAAAGTCGCAGGTACGCCGCGCTCTGAAGGGATCAGGCATCATTTGACAATTCAACCCAACACATGAACTCAAGATTTTTGACGGATTTGTGTTACAGCCTTAGCTAAAGTAGTCCTGACTCTAGCCTCTCACTGCAGCAGTGGTGGTTTGCTCTCAGGCTCCACTGGTCCCTGGTAATTTTGTGATGTAATTTTTTATTTCTAAAGATTTCCCAAATTGAAAACTTTGGACCACCATGAATCTGTTTTTATTCATTCCAAACAGTCCAACCCTGTTGATCCATAGACAGTCTGTTTGTTTATTTGTTTAGACTAGCATGCAATGTTAATATTTGTTTTGTTTTTAGAGATTTATTTGTTTGCAGATTTTTTTTAACTTTACACCGTTTTTTTGTTTTATTTTATTGTTTTCCTTTTTTTTTCTCTAGGCCACAGTTTAGGGTACGGATTTGTTAACTATCTTAACCCTAGTGATGCAGAAAGAGCTATCAGTACACTGAATGGACTAAGGCTACAGTCCAAAACTATCAAGGTAACGTGCAATAAGGTGTTCTACAATTCTCAAACCAAAGATGTCATGTCATATAACTCTCCTGTGGCTCCTGTGCTGTCCGCTAACTAGCTAGTACATGTCAGCCCAAGGAAGTGATACTGCTTTACAGCTCACTTAATGCCCTACCTGACATGTCTGTTGAGTTTGACTTAAATTTTACTTGTTTTATTTGCGCATCTGTCCAGTTAAATGTATTTATTTTCCAAGAGTACCTCCTTTCAGTAAGCTTACTTTCACTTTTTCGTTTTCTTGTTTTGTAGTGTTCATGTATGCTTCCGACAACATTCATTCTGACTGAAGACTTTATACCTAAAACCTCTGAAGTGACTCTGATTGATATTTTTTTTCTGTGTAGTTTAAGATATTAACTTCTAAAGCACTGATGTAATGACGTTTAAAAATCCAAACACATAGCTTTTTTAGTCAGATTCAGACTTTTTTGTACTTTTCAAAGCTGTTTTTGTCTATCGGTGGTTTTGATTTTGAAACTGTTGCTTCCTTTTTACCAGGTTTCATTTGCACGGCCGAGCTCTGATACAATAAAAGATGCCAACCTGTATATCAGCGGCCTGCCAAAGTCCATGACCCAGAAGGATGTGGAGGATATGTTTTCTCGATACGGACACATCATTAACTCGCGGGTACTCGTTGATCAGGCCACAGGTACAACAGGTTAATGACTTCCTTGCTTTCAAAAATACCCCACTCATAACATATTAGAAACACAGCAGAACCCTGGTGCTCGATGCGGAGTAGGTAGTCAACGGCTGCTCCCCCCCCATGTGCGTAGGTGTGTCCCGTGGGGTGGCCTTCATCCGATTCGACAAGCGGGCGGAGGCGGAGGAAGCCGTCAAAAACCTGAACGGCCAAAAGCCACCCGGAGCCTCCGAGCCGATCACGGTGAAATTCGCCGCCAACCCGAACCAGGTGAAGAACACGCAGCTCATCTCTCAGCTCTACCACAACCAATCCCGACGCTTTGGGGGGCCCTTACACCACCAGGCACAGCGGTTCAGGTGAGCAGAGTCGCCGTGTATTAGTGACCATGTGGTTAAATCTGGGAAATAAGCAGAGGTGGGGGGAAAGTCCTTATGTTGCAAGTCCAAGTCGAGTCGCAAGTCTTTGCTCTCAAGTCCGAGGCAAGTCCAAGTCCTGAACTTTCTGCTACAAGTCCCAACCAAGTCAAAAACGAGTCATATCAAAGCCATAAACCATAGTGCAACTTTAACCAAACTATTTTACATGTCATCCAAAAATAATCAGACAAACTTCAATAATTAGAAACTTAGACAATGTGCACAGAAATAAGGAAGACTCAAATACAATTAAACATTAAACTGATTCTCTAATTCGTGTTACCAACGGCCGTAATTCCTGACTATTAGTTGATGCGACACTTTTTAAACAATTTGGGCTTGCTGTAAGGTATTAAGTGACTTGAAAAGACTTGACTTGACTTTTCAAGTCACTGGGCTCAAGTCAAGTCTCAAGTCTTTAGCAATCAAGTCCCAAGCGAGTCCAAGTCATTTCTTGATTTCATCAAGCAAGTCAAAAATGTGACTCAAGTCCAAGTCGAGTCTCAAGTGGAGTCGTCAAGCCCCCACCTCTGGAAATAAGTACAACAGTATTGGCTACAGAAAGAATAGGTAGAGATTAAACATAAGCGTTTGGGGAGAAGTTTACCAAGCATTTTTACTTCCAGGTTCTCCCCCATGGGTGTTGATCACATGGGTGGCATGGGGGGCGTCAGCGTCCCCGGTAACTCCACCTCAGGCTGGTGCATCTTCATCTACAACCTGGGCCAGGACGCAGACGAAAGCATCCTGTGGCAGATGTTCGGCCCGTTCGGCGCGGTCACCAACGTCAAGGTGATCCGAGACTTCAACACCAACAAGTGCAAGGGGTTCGGCTTCGTCACCATGACGAACTACGAGGAGGCGGCCATGGCCATCGCCAGCCTGAACGGCTACCGGCTGGGAGACAAGATCCTACAAGTGTCCTTCAAGACCAGCAAGGGCCACAAGTAGAGAGAGAGAGAGAGCTGGACAATCAGGTGTGGAGGAGGGACTGTGCTTGGCTTTGGTTGCAGAGAGCAGAGTTATGAGGTTGAGGAGTCTGGCACATTTGTTTGGGTTTTAGTTCATCATGAGTTGACTCATCTGCACCTTTGTTACTCGTCTGAAAGAGTTTTTTTTTGTTTGTTTTTCATCTTTTTACTCATGCTTGGGGCTTAAGGAAATTGAGGAGTTTCTTTTTTTTTCTTTCTTTTTGTTTTTTTGTTTTTTTAGCCAGGGGATGGAGAATGAAATTCCATGAAACCCCCCCAAGTAAACTTTTGAAATTGACCTAAAAACTAAAATACTGTCCATGTGTGTTGCATGTTGAATTGTGGGGAGATTAGATTAAGGAGGCAAGTGGTTTTTAAGCAGTGCACTGAAATGTGAAATACGAGAACACGAGGGAAGGCCCTGCACGTATATTTCTTAACATTTTACTGTAAAGCAGGAGAGGAGTGGTATTTGAGGCGGGTTCATTTTCAAGAAATCAGTGCTCTGTTCTGGATCCTCAACATCAGTAGAAATAGATGCCTTAATTTATCATCCAGCGGACACATAAACTTGCAATACCACTCACTGTCTTTAGTCGAAGAGCTAAGCACTTTCCTTATTCTGTTTTAGGTTACCATGGATATCAGTCAGTTTATTTTTTTTCTCTTTTCCTCTCTTTATTGTTAACCTGACTTTATTTTAAACTCCCACTGGTTTATCAGTTTTAAGTGTGACAAGCTCTGGAGGGAGATTTTATTTAACGAGTCTTGTATCAAGTGGCTTTTATAAAGTTGTGTTTCAGCGGAGTCCTGTTGAATATGAGCCCCAGTCAAAGAGGAGGAAATTGTGGTGGACCAAAGGCAGGCAGGGAGGGATATGATCCAAAAGAGGAGATTTTTCACAAGGTCAATTTGAACCTTTTTGGACTTTTATTTTTGGTAGTTGCTGTTGTTGTTGTTGTTGTTGAAGAGGTACTAAGTCTATATCTAATCCTTACTTAGATCAACATCTCTGGCTTAGCTTGTCGTTCTGTTTTGTTTTTGTTTTGTTTCCTTAACTTTTCGATTTGTTTTCTTTTGATTTGCTTTCTTCTTTCTGAAAGATTTAGGTTTTTATTTGTCTTAGTGTTCATTACAAACTTGTTTAAACGAGTGCTTATCTCAGATTCTGAGAGGAATTAATGGCCTTTGTTAGTGATTTCAGTTTACTTTTTTTCTTTCTCTTTGTTTTGTTTTGTTTAACTTTGAGCATAAACCATTAAATTTTCTTTCTTTTTGCTGAACGTTTTTTGTTTGGTTTGTTTCTTTGTTTTTTTTTTTAAATTTCACATTTTTAGTTTTGTTCTGTAATTTTTTCTGGGAGCAGTGCCGTTAAGAGATCCCTATCTGAGCAAAAAAAAAAAAAAAAAAAAAAACAGGCTGTTGGAGGATTATATGCTTCCAAAGGAGGCCGTGAAACGTTTGAGACAGACTTAAATTTTTAAGATTCTCAATGTTAGGACCAATTTCAGTTGATTAAGTTATTCAGACACTAAAAAAGAAAGAGACGGTCTGGAAGACATTTCATAAACTTTTCTGAGGTTAAACCACTGATGAGTAACATAAACATTAAGTCATAGCTGTACTGTGTTTTCACTTTCGGTACTGTCATCTTCTCAACACTTGTAACTTGAATGTAAGGCTTATTTATTGACATTTAGGTAAGAAAATATCCTTTTTTTAAGTCCTAGTATTTGGAGCGAAAACAGACATGATAAAATGTGATTAGTCTGCTTCAGCAGTTTGTGTAAAGTGAAGCTAGATTTCTTGTGCATCAGTAGTGTTCGATATTTAAACACTGCAAGTAAGTATATACGGTTCACTTGCAGATTTAGGCTTTTAGAACCAAACCCATTCATTTTCTGCTCTTCTTATGATAGAAAGTATGTTTATATGTTCAAGACTTCACTTTGTTCTGTTAGAAAGGTATTTCCACAATCCAGGAAAAGTCATTGACATATCAGAGCTTCTCTTTTTACAGTGAAACTGAGGTAGGGTGTCTTTCTTTCCGAGGTGGATGAGGCGTCGGTGCTCAGTGTGTCCAAGACTTCAGCGAAGAAGCCACCTCACACGAAATTTCAAACCTTTTTCCCCTTCAATCTGTGTGACCCATCTGTAAGGAGCTTTCCAGTTCTAAGCTTCAGATTTCAAAACCTGAAAGTGCTTTTTGATTTAGTATTTTACTGTTTTTTCTCTGTCATGATCTTTAACTTTGTGCAATATTTCCTAACTTGTTAAAAGCAGGTAATAGAAACCTGTTGTCTTGGACTGTCATCTTTTTTTATCATTTCTTTTTTTTCTACTGACATAGTGTAACTGCCTAGTTGTCTAAGAAACCTTGTTGTAATTGCATGAAAGATGCAAGTGAATTTGTTTTAGGGGCAGTCTGAAAAAACTGCATTCTGCCTTAATTTATAAGTGGAAATGATGTTCTCGACATCGGCGGAGGCACAGTATTTATTTGATAATGTATGCGTTTGTTCATACTTGTTACTTATTGGAGTGTTTTTAATGGATTTAGTTTTGTTCTTTTGCTTTTGAAGGAAACTCGAGTCCGTTAAATGTCTTCTAACATTGGATCATTTCAATAAAAACATGGTGGCTTTTCAAAATTGAAATCTTCAGCAGCTTATTGTGAATTTATCTCAAGGTTTCGTCAACTACTCGTCTCGGAGTATCAGTGTTCACAGTTACAGGATGGCTGATCTCACTTTTTTTAAATTCATTAGCTGGATAGAAATTAAAATGAAGTTACTACTGCACATCGATTACATGATCATATAGAGGCATCTCTGTCAACGTTCAAGGGATATCCCGGCGTAAAATTAATTTAGGGTCAAACACACCGTAACACTGAGACAGACAACCCCTCTAGAGAGGAATGTTGCAGAGCGCTTGCACTCTACACAGCAGGCTATAGAACCATACACAAACCTCAACCAAAACGCCGCTCTATAACCACAAATAATGCTCAGAACAGCACCTAACTTCATCAACAGTACATATAGGGTCCTAGCCACAGCACTGGCCACCAAACATCTTTTGAACTTTGCCTAATTTCTTTAGCAAAGAGACTAAACACAACTCGCCTACTCTCTTCCAGCAGCCGCTTGTTTGTAGCAAGACCTCAGGCCAGTCCATTACAGAATACAGCGGAGTTTCGCAGCTCAAGGAAGAACATTTGTGATCATTTCCTCATGAAAATGCAATCAGACTGAGACGCTAAGACAGAAGAACTACCGCGTCTGCAGTGCAAAATGATTAATATGATGATTATAACTTCAAGAAAATGATAAAGAAATGATCATAAATGTTCTTCCTTGAGCTGTGACCCCCAGTCGATGATGGACTGGCCTGAGGTCTCGCTACAAACAAGCGGCTGCTGGAAGAGAGTAGGTGAGCTGTGTTTAGTCTCTTTGCTAAAGAAATTAGGCAAAATTAAACATGTTTGGTGGCTGGGACCCTATATGTACTGTTGATGAAGTTAGGTGCTGTTCTGAGCATTATTTGTGGCTATACAGTGGCATTTTGGTTGAGGTTTGTTCATGGCTCCTCAGACCGTTGTGTATTGCTATTATGCGGTCGTTACTAAAGTTGGTATAACTAGAGAAGCAAGCGGTCAGCAACATTCATCTCTCCACAGGGTGTCTAACTCAGTGTTACGGTGTGTTTGACCCTAAATTAATTTTACGCCGTAATATCCCTTTAACTGTTACAAAGCTCATTATGTGGCATTAGCAATGTTATTACACTTTATGACCAGATGAGGGAGACACAGTTGCATTTTTCCCCTGCAACTCAAGCATCAACAAGTCTTTTCTCTGAATAAGATTTGTCTGCAGAGCACAAGGCTGCAGTTTCAGGACTGTAACTCTGAGACTGCATCCTCGAGACCCTTGTGTTGTGATAGGAGTTGAGATCGGGATTATTCTTATTCATCTCTGCCCTAAAATTCGCCTGATTAGGTGCTGTCACTGCAAACAAATCTAATAATTGTGGTCCTCGTTGTGCATGCTACCCCGTAGTTCAGCAACACTGCAGTAGCTGTAATCAGTGTCCCCCTTCATGTGTTTTGATTTAGCCAGTAAGTATACAAGATAAGGCTGATACAGGTGTGATCGTTTGTATGTCTGTACTTCACAGGGATGTTTTGGTGTTTGAACCTTTATCAACACTTTGTGAAACACTCCCCGAAATATAAAACACTTGAAGAAGGTGGGACTGGATTACTTGAAGGATCTTTTGTGTGTTTTGTGACTTTTAAAAAAAAATAAAATAAAATAAAATCAGCTGCTGTGATTTACTTGAAATGTTTTATATTCTGCATAATCCACAGTGATCATGGCAACCCCCTAGACAGTATTGACTTAGTCGTTATCATGTAATTACCAGATAATTTCATGTTGTTACTAGGTAATTACCTGGTAATAAGTGTACCATAGGAGAAAGTGTTACCCTTGATTGTTATGTGGAGGTAAACATACTTATATACAGTATGTATAGTATTGAAGCTTTATGCTCAGTATCTATATATTTACACATATTTAATAGGATCAAACTAAATAGATGAAAAACACCCAGTCGAGTTTGTTCACTGCAGAGTTTTATTAGAAAAAAATGAACAAATAATTCAAAGCATAGGTATAAAAACACAACTGATCATCTCTAATGTGCATGATGTAAATATTCTCACTCATGTTGCTTCAGTGTCCTTACATAATTGCATTACCTAACATGGATAAAGGTTCACTTCATGAAAATCTGCGTCTTCTCTTTCAAGTCTTTCGTCTTTCCCCGAAAACTGAGATCAAGTTAAGGCAACTCAAAACATTTCATTTCAAACCTGCTAGAGATTTTACCGTCACCACTGAGCGATGAACTCCTAACTCATGTGATGCACGTCACTGAGAGTCATAATCATGTCTGTACGTTTCTGTATTGTCCTCTCAAGATTTAGGTTACATGTAAAACAAAACATCTCCTCCCAGAGGCCCCTGTCTCAGCTGAACGGAGACAAACACTACATCAAGTAATGGAGGTTTTTGTTTTCAGCATGGCACAGGTGAAATCAGTTCAAGTTGTTAAATCCTGACGCTTCAATCTACTCCATATTTGATCTTGTTTAGAGCCGAGCCCTGACAGGGTTTTCTTTTCCAAACTGGGTTTTTCCGAGCCCCGTGTAATGGTCCTTTTTGGTCCCAAGTGAGGTGAGTCTTTGTGCTTTAGAAGGCAGAATCATTCGCTGTCCGCTTTTTCGCTCTCAGACTTGACAGAGGTTGTAGCAGGCCACAGGTCTCTCTAGTACACTGTCCCCGTCTACTTCAAACACGTAATCACACCGGTGTGAGATCAGAGGAGCATCCGAAAACGCCACGCTCTGATTGCCAAAGGAGATCACTGTGTCCCTCTGTGGGAGGAAAGACATATAAATACAGTTAAGACAGTGAAAGCAGTTCTCAGAACTTAAGCCGGAAAAACATTTTTCCATTTGGTACAACAGTTTCTTCTCCCTCATTAAGACGGATCTGACTCAGTTAAAGGTCCTGCTTAACACATAGGGGAGAGTGGGGTAAGATGAGCCATTTTTCATATTTCGGATCACTACATCAAGACAATCATAGTTTTGTCTCTAACTAGTGTATCTCTTAATTTCAAGATGTTGTTCATCCCTGCAAACCAACAGAATGAGTGTAAACATAACTGTCTTGATAATATAGCATGCCAAAATGATAGTGGTCTTCTATTGTCAACTTACCCCGTGTATGTATGGGGTAAGTTGACCATAGGAGCGGGGTAAGTTGAGCCATATTCCTACTCTCCTCCTCAGCCTTCCCTCACCTTCTCTCTCCCTAAATAACAGTCACTTCAATGGTGGACTTTTATGTTTTTGACCTCATGTTGTAGCTCATAGATACCACAATTAATGTATAAAACAAATTTAAAATGATCTTTTTTGGTCCGAACACAATACTAACAAAACTTATGTTAGGGTAATTTTCTTTAGCCAGTCGTGTCAGCCTTTTGGGTGATGGGGCTTGTCACTCATAATACCTTGGAGACTTTGGTGCTCGATTTCTGGAGCCATGGGCCTCCGACAACATCACTCAGGCTCCCAAAATATGTTGTGCTTTGTTATTACCCAACATGGACTCTCCTTCAGGTCAAGAAGATGCAACAAGATGTTTGGAAATGTGGACAGCTATATAGACCTGAACTGTCTCAGACCAGTCTTTGATACACTGGTGGCAGGATGAAGCTATAACCCAGATCTGCAATCAGTAAAGCTTGTCAAAATGATCATTCGTGTGGACCCTCCATTCTTTAAAATTCTAACCTTCACAGACTCCATGAATTGATGCCCATCTCCTATATATTTAGTCACATGATCAATTTCTTTGACCATTTCCAAGCAACAGGGGGTGGCTCAACTTACCCTTTGACTCAACTTACCCCACTCTCCCCTACTGTAAGTCATCTCCCAGCAAAAGTTTAAAAATCCCAAAATATCAGTATCAGTAAAGTTGTCCTCACCCGTTGAGGACCACCTCCGTTATCAGCAGCGGCGGCAGCGGGAGCCGGAGAGGAGGAAGTGTTTTTTTTCTCGAAGTCCTTCCTACATAAATCCGCCATGATCCCAGCAGCTAAGGCATCACCGAGGACATTGATCATGGTCCTGAATCGGTCACTGCAGAAAAAAACAAGGAAATATTCAAGACGCTGTCCCAACAAATCCACAAACGAATGATATTATGCACTGACTTTGTGGGGACTTACAGAACCCAATCGATTGCCACAATCAGGGAGATGTCTGCAGGTGGTAACCCCACAGAGGTTAGGACAATCACCATGGTAACCAGACCTGCCTGAGGTATCCCAGCGGCACCGATGCTGGCAGCTGTGGCTGTTATACTGCAAAGACGAGACCGAGCCATGAGATAAGCTGGTCCTCTTTTCAAGAGCATATTATGAGAGGATGATAGCTAAACGTCCGATCTCACCTGATAGTGACCAGCTGACCAAAGTCCAAGTCGTACTCGTTGACCTGTGCAATAAAGATGGCCGCCACTGCCTCGTAAAGGGCTGTTCCGTCCATGTTGATGGTCGCTCCCACTGGCAGCACAAAGCGGGCGATCTGCCGGTCCACTCCACAGTTCTCCAGAAGACACTTCATCGTGATGGGCAAAGTAGCCGAGCTGAAGAAAACAAAAGGTATGATCAAACCGGGCTTCAGTCACTAACATGCCAGAGTGGACAAATTTTTACACTTGTCTTACCTGGAGGATGTGGCCAGTGCGATAACGAGAGCCTGCAGCAGCCCCCTGATGTAGGGGAAGGGGTTTTTGCGAGTGAAGAAGAAGTAGAAGAGAGGCAGCAGGATGAGGCCGTGCACAAATAAACCAGACAGGACTGTGATGAAGTACATTCCCAGCTTCTCCCCCAGGTGAGCCGGGTCGTCCATGTCCAGGATCTTCCCAGCCACAAGGAACACAATACCGAAGGGAAAGTACCTGTATATGAGAGGGGGAAACAAAGTGTCCTGAACCTGGAAATTTTTGTTGTTTCTTTTCCTCCTGAGACCTGGATCATGACACCTGATCACGGAATTTTAAACGCCAGCTCTCTTAAAAGTTGTCCTGTTTGTTCACAAGCTTTTTCCGTTCAGAAAAGGTTTCCAAGTTTAGCCTTGAAGACCTTGACCAGCCTGACCTCAAACTCATTGAGCACTCATTAAGGATTAATTGGAATGCCGACTGTGAGCCTTATCTAGTCTTACTGCCGTCAGTGCCTGACCTCACTAATGATCCTGTGGCTGAATGTGGGCGAAAGGCTTTTTCAGAAGCAGATTAATGGCCGTGACTTTGGAAAAAGACGTCAAAAGTCTCAGATCGGACTGAAGTTTAGCTTTCTACTAAGTTTTCCCCAAGCGTCACGAACCTGATGTAACTGACAGCACAGCTTGACCAGTTTCAGTTTGTGGCACCTCCTCTAGTTGTGACCCTGTAGTGGATCACATAAACACAACCTCAGCCCTCTTTTTCATTACTTTCAGAGGAGACCAATTACTTCTGTTTTAAAAAGGAAACCCTGTCTTATTCTTGCTTGATGTTGGATATTTTTAATTTCATGATGTCCCACATGTTTTCATTGGGGACTTAATGCCATTTTAGCCACCAGTCTCCTCTATGATGATGATAGACTGTTGTTGGGCATTCATAGGCGAGGTCCTGTTTGAAAAAGTCTGCAACTTTTTTACTGTTTGGTTTTCCTGTCCCAATATTTTGAAAAACATCGGATTTTAAATCAGCATGATTCTATCCCACACATGATAAACTTTGCTCTATTTCCTATTGAATAAGTTGAGTTTAAATAATTTGAGAACGATCCAACATTTTACACAGTTTCACACCTTTTTAGAATAAGGATTTCAGTAAAAAGTGAGATTTTTAAGCCTAAAAACTCAAGTTAATATTTATTTAGTTAGTTTTGTTGGTAGATTTATTTGATCCATCTCTACTTTTATTGTTTATTCTTATTTTGGTTCTCCCTTCCTCTCTCCCCTGTTGATTAGTCCATTCATTTTATTATTTATTGACTTATATATTCACTTTTATTGAACTCATTCTGTGGTGCAGTCTGTGACGCATTTTCAAGGTTATAGTCAGGAAATTTTTTTGTCAAATGTTTAAATAAAAAGTTCTAAAAAATAAATAAAGTTTTATTATTTATTTACTTATTCATTTAATCTTATTGAACTCATTCTGGAAATTGTCAGGAAATTCTTTGCCAAATGTTTAAAATGTTGACATAAAAAGTTCTAAAAAAATAAATACATAAAATCATGTTTTATTATTTATTTACTTATTTATTTACTATTAAACTCATTCTGCGGTGCTGTCTGTCACACATTTTCAAGGTCATACGTGAGGAAATGTTTTGCCAAACGTTTAAAATCTTTAAATAATTTTTTTTTTTTTTTTTTTAAATCAAGTTTTATTATTTATTTACTCATTTATTCACTTTCATTGAACTCATTTTGCGGTGCAGTCTGTTGCACATTTTCAAGATCATACATCAGGAAATGTTTTGCCAAATGTTTAAAATGTTTAAATAAAAAGATCTAAAATAAATAAATAAATGAACTCAAGTTAACCCTCCATTCTTAAGTATCTTACACACCGTGATTCCTTCCCCCCATCCTCTTTATGATAGCTTTCCTTCTTGTTAAGTAACTCTATCCGGGCATGCTCATTACCTCTGGAGAAACAAGTTTCTGTAAGCCCCTCTTACTCCATTCATACATCCTACAGTGGATTTATCAGCTCCAAGGACACTCCAGGCACCGGGGTTGAATCTTTCCTGACTTGGCGCCTGAAGTCTATTTTTAGCTATAATCTGGTCCTGCTGAGTGTTGTCTGTCTTTTTATAGATGTTCTCGCCGGACAGTGTGTGTGTGTGTGTGTGTGAAATGCGTGTTAGGGAGAGAGTGCAGCCTCACCACATAGCTGCGTTAATGATCTTCATGACGCACTCGTTGATGCACTGGCAGACATTGACTAGTGGCGCTCCACGTTCTCCCATCTTCCCCAGCAGCAGACCTGAGAACATACAGAACATCCACACGTGTTTTAAAAGCCACTCCAGGTAGCAGTGTGCTACAAGTCAACCTCACAAAAGGGTTTGGAAGAGAATTAAGCCGAGGGAGGAAATTATTCACTTATGCCCTGTAGGTTACTTATAGAGACATATACAACAGCTTTCACAAAACTACACATTATTAGTTCATTGTCAGTTTTCTGCTCGATTTTGTATCCAAATATATTTATGTGATAGTTGCAGTCAAAGATGTGTAAACAGAATCAAAACAAAGTGCATTTAAATTTAAAAAACCTGTTTTCAACCTATTTCGCCTCTGACCCCTTCACTGTGACAAAAAGGCAGCATTACTCAGGCTGTTGATGTACATGTGTTTTCTGCAACTTAATAATAAAATTATAGCTATTACAATTAAAAGTGCTGTGCAAAAAGAAAAATGCAAAATTAAGACATTTTAAAGGGAACAGCCAGCTTGGATTATAAACCAGCGCCATATATGATGGAGAAAAAAAGGTTTAATGGCAAAACAACTTCAGTGCAATGTTATCAGATATTTCCTGAAAGTCTCAAGAATTAGTTAAGAGCTTAGTTTCCTGATTTTTTTTTTATACCCATTGAGACTCCGGTGCTTTAATTCTTCATCTCAAGAGAATCAAACACCCTGATAGAGGACCACTTTATTAAGTACCCCACAACCAGCCACAACACTAAAGTGCTTCTTTTGGTCTGAGGCATACAAAAAGGTTTTATTTTTCATCAGTAGCAGGACTATTCAACCTTTAAAATTGAAACTTCATGGAACTATTTTAAAGCATTTAATGCTGGTCATTCACAAAAGAGGTAAACCACCACTTTTAAATAAAATAGGAATCTTGTTTTGCGTAAAAAGCTCCCTTTAAGAAGTAAAAATAAGACAATTTTTTTCAACCTTACAACTAAAGTTTCCATTTCTTTTCATGTAATTTACATAATAACAGGTAATGTCCTATAACTAATCCTAACAGTATTGATTATTTCATATTGAGTGAAGCAGCAACATTTACCCCTTTTGTACAAGCTGAATGAAGAATGATGAGCATGATACTTAAAGCTCCGGTAAGGGATTTTTAGCTAGTTATAAAACAGACTGAAATGAATAGCGATGTCTTTAAATGACCCTTAAAAGCAAAAAAGAAAATCTGGGACAAATTTTATCACATGGTTGGTAGTATTGGGCATAAAAACTGGATCTTTTTTATGTTTTCTGCTGCAAAGTTTCAAATCTGGGATATTTTTAAAGACAGTAGGATGAGTTTGTTTGGCTGAAAACATGATGCATGATGCGAACTAAAAGAGCTCTAAACAAAAGGAACGTTTACATGTCGTTTCATGAACTCTATTAGCTGTGTGGTTCACTCACCCATAGTAGCAGAGAAGATGACAATCCCCAGGACGTTCATGCCTTTGCTGGTACTGGGAACTATTTTGTACTTGATGTCAGGGGCAGGGGTGATCTCCAGGAAGACCGGATGGCCCAGTTGGGGGTTGTGATAGTCGGGCATGACGTAAACATAGTTGGCTTGAGATTCTTTTGAATCAGAGTTCTTTACGATGGGGACCAGGTCTGTTCGGTACTGAATCGGATGAGAACAGAACAATATTAGAGATTTGTTAATATTTGGAGAAAGACTGTTATGGTTTGAAGCAGTTCATTCATTCAGACAGGAAAAAGTTTCCTCTTTTTTGTTGACTCACCTGCTGAAAAGTGGCTTCGATTAGATTAGATGGAATCATGTTCCTGAAAGACAGTAGAGACATAAACATTAAATGTATAGTGACGTAAAGAAACCAGAGACCTCATTTATTTATTTCACCAACAACAAACTTATATATTCATTTTTGTTTTGTTTTCCAGCTGACACCACTCAACCAGAATAAATGTTAACTTATGTCTGACCAATCAGCGTCTTGAAATCAGTATAATTACCAGCATGACTCACATAACAGGTAGAAAATGTTACGATTAGGCCAACCCCCCTCAATTCTTATTTATTTATACATTTGGTTCACTTGACCTTCTACCATTAGAGGTTTTTTTCTGGTGTTGGTGTCTTTCCAATATCTCTTTAAGGGTTTACTGCAAACTTGACAAAATGACCCCTCTCAACCACTGTGATGGATGTTTTCTTCTCTTTGCTGAATGACCTCAGCCTCGGCATCCACGATTTCCGAAATGAGGGTCACGTTTTGATTTGTTAGACCAAAGAACTGCTTTCCTGTTATCTCAATCCAGGCCTTGAAGAGTTGTCTAGATCACTTTTGTGCATAATTTTCTCTTTGCTTTGCCTGGAGCCACAAATATGTTCCCTGACAATGTTTCTTGGAATTGATCTTGAGCCTATGCAGTGATATCCACTATAGAGTCATGCCTGTTTTTGCCTCCTGAGGACCCCAACCATGACTGTGCAGTATTCATTTTAAACCTTGACCCTCACGTGCAGAGATTTTTCCAGATGTTTTAAATCTTTTGATGATATTCTGTACCGGAGTTGATCAATTCTGCAAAAATGTATTCTGAAATTCTCCACTCGAGATTAAAACATCCCCCGACTCTTTCTACTTTTAAATCGTGTCTTAAAACTCATTTTTACTCCTTGGCTTTAAGCTCAGCATGAGAGTTGTGTGATCTCTGTCTTTTTGTGTCTTTTTTTTTGGTCCTTTTATCACTTTTATTTCTTTAATGCTTTTGTGTTTTTTTTTTTCATTTATTTTATTTCATTATAAATCTTTTTTACCTGCTTTTATTTATTTCATCTTGGTGTTTTCTGCAGTGTTTGTTCTTTTAATTTCATTGTGCAGCTCTTTGGTTAACTTAATATAAATAAAGTGGGTTGGATTGAAATTGTTGAGCTATGTTTTCCTTAGGAATGTGTAAAGCAAAATAACACATGAAGCATTTCCTCTGCATAGATGTCTTAAACTTTTGACCTTTTAAGAACCTCTAATGGAAAAAAATCTGGTAACGCTTTCTTTTACGGTACACTTATTACCAGGTAATTAACAGTAAATAACATAATTCACTTTTTTTTAAATAACTTTTTATTTACTTATTTTTGATGGAGAACGGAGGACATGCTACTTTTGCCTGAGCAAGATCTGAACACGACATTCACTGGAGTCGACACAAAGTGAGGGACTCTTCCTTTTCACAGGTTTAACGTTCACTTATGCAATCTGAACACGTAGCACAAGTGTATCAAAAACATGAACTCCTTAAAGCCGTGTGTACATCATCACACAGCAGGGGGGGAAGGCATGAAAAGTTCTAGGTGCAGGATCACAGATTGCATCATTCTCAGGGATTGTAAACACAGCATACGTCAATGACACCAAAGCCACGCAGAAGCTTGTCAAACACGTAAGAGGACTGAAATGTACACCTGACCCTTGGCTTACAGCAGCAAACACACCAGTCACAGCTCACTACAATAATCGGGTTTAAGAGGCAGGAATTAGTGGATCTCTGACATGAATGGCCTCTTAGAAAGCCATGTACACACACACACACACTGAACTGCAGACTGTGTGGCACATAACACCGCTGACCAGACCTTCTGAGAAAGTGTAGGCTTAACAGATCAAAATTAAGTTTCTTCCTATTATTAGCCGGTGTGATACGTAGAAGTGACTCTGCAAATCTCCTACAAGCGCATATTCTCTCCTCCTTCTTAATTTTTCTGCTGTGATTCCTCCACTGCTGCAACAAAGACTTTGATATTTCAGTGAGATTATAAATTTAAATCAATCCAAGGGTCCAGCTGCTTTATGTTTTATTGACATTTTTAGAGTTCATGAAATGTTAGAGGATACCGTGTTTTCAGAAAGCTTTAATCGCAGGTTTTTCCATGATTCCTCAATTCTCAGCGTAAGAATGATTGTTTCAGCTCCAGCCATCGAAGTGATCTCTCGAGTCTTTGCGATTACAGAGCTTCCTGATCCCGAAGCACAAGGGGTCATAAGGTCTGGATTTAGTTTAATTGGTCTGTACCATTGACTTTGTCTACAGTCTGCACTGGTTTACCTCGGGTTGAGAGAGGTATTACGCAGCAATTCCTCATCCAAGTAAACAACACTTGAAATAAAACAAAGAGAATTGTGTTCAAACCTCAGGGGAGTGTTTTCGCTCCATCTTACAGAGGGAAAAAGGTTTTTTTTTTCTTCGTTTGTCTTTATGCCTTTCTGTTTCTTTCATTAACACACACAGAGAGGCTAAAATACTGCAGCATCCTTAAAACTGCAGTTCTGATTTACCAGAGAGAAGGATCAGCTGTCCCGAGATCTGCAAACAATCAGGTCCGGACATTGTCTGGTCTTTTCCTTTCACATGCTGTACACGTTGTTGTAAGACGATTTGATCATTAACTGAAAAGGACTTGGTCTGGTTCAGGTCAGGGCAGGAAACATGTTGGGAAACGAGCATGCAGGAGGCAGAGCGGTGTTTCATCAGCGTGCCTGTCCCCCTCACTGCCTGTTTCACGCACTTTCACTCCCTGGCTTTTAATTCCTGAGAACTTCTATGTCCCCCTGTTTTTAATGTGTTTCCGGTGTCTTTGTTTTATTGTTCATGTTAATTGTCAGTTTTTTAATTGTTTTTTAAGCACTTTGGTCAGCGTTTTGTTGTTTTTAAATGTGCTTTATAAATAAACCTGGATTCGATTGGATTGCCCATTTGTTTGATGCAAAATTCCCAGAAAATAACCTGCTGATTTAAGCGCACTTTGATGATTTAACCAACTTCCTAATAGCTTTGCAGGTTTCCGACTTGGCTGCCTTCTGCTGGTGTCAATACTTGTGTAGACGTCTCATTTTGATCAATAACCATGAAAAGTAAGATGTATACTCATGGCACTCAGAGGATATACCCTGCAGACTGTGTGAGTTTTAACTAGCTGCATCAGATCTATAAAATCTGCATGATTACTACAGGATGAATATTATCAACTTCTGTCAACACTCTGACATTTTTCCTATTAAGAGTTTTTTGACATTTATAAAAATTCATACTGAAGAAAGCAGAAAATCTCCGATAAGATTGTCCATTTTTATTTTGCAAGATTTAACCCTATAATGCCTGAAACCACAAATTATGGGCAGTAAATTCAAATTTTTTTGGAGCTGAAATGTTTATTTCACTTACTACTGAAAACCAAAAAATCAAAATGCCCTTAAATTTTACAAATTTATCTCATTTGATACATCAGATGTTTTTGGAAACCGATAAACCACAAGAGGACATTTTTATCATTTATCGGACTGTGTTTAGGTGGTTTTTTTTTGGAATTTGTTGATCATATTGATTGATAGAAGTATTACAAAAGTATGTATCAAATATGACACAAAGGGCAATAAACGGTTAATGCCTAGTTCCTTACTGGAGCTTTAAACTAGCATTTGGCCAAATGTTTTGTTTCAAGTTATGAGTGAAAAGTAGTGGCTGTAAACCTTTGTTGAAGGGAGAGCAACAGTAGATAATGTCATGGGTGAGGTAAAGGTCGTCTTTACTTCTATCACTGGTGTTGAAGTTGTTGTGTCTGTGGATATTAACCTGATGAGATCCAGCAGAGCGTCAGCCGAGGTCATTACAGGCCCTGAGTGGGCATGGTGGCCGTCTATCTCTGAGCCCACCCCCGGCTGAATGATGAGCACCAGCACAATACCAACGATGACGGCGATGAAGGTCGTCCACAGGTAGTAGGTGATGGTGAGGACGCCAAGCCGACCGCTCGCCTTCGTGTCCATGGCTGACAGGCCGGACATAAGACTGTATGGGGGGAAAAAAGAGTTGTCAGGCTGATTCAGATTTGAACAGTTTTATATCAACATTCAATTTGGTGTCACAAAATATCAATTTTGGTTCAAATTGATCACTTTTCTGGTTGTGGTTTTTACTGAGCAATTACAATTTACTTCAAAAGTACCAGATATCTGAATCATAAGATTTTTTCAGAAACAGTTATGATTCAATCCTGTTGATCTGTAAGTGACTGTGTTGATTTTCTATGACAGAATGTACAGCATATATTCAGGATACCACAAAAAAAGAGGTATTTACCCCAGAATAAACCCTCTTTGTCTCCTACAAAGCTATTTTTTCTAATAATTGAAAACAACCTCATAATGCTCATTTTCTCAAACTCACCTGGAGGTGATGAGAGGCAAAATCAGCATCTTTAACATCCTCATGAGCAGCTCTCCAGGGAAGGAGAAGTAGATTTTAGCCTGTGTGAAAGAGAGAAACACCTGAAGCAAACTCGCATACAACATAGACGGTACAAACATTGTCCAAATCAAAGCAGAGGTGCACAGAGATGATGCATGATTTTGTTTTGTTGATATTGTGATTTACTGTCCTAAAAACCCCACAAAACTATGACATGCCTATTCTAGTTAAAGGCGCAGTAAGGGGTTTTCATATTTGGTTGATTCTGGCGACCCCTTTGGTCAATGTTTGTTGTGTTTTTTTTATTGTGCTGAACTGAAAAGACGTGGCTCTTGCCAAAGCTTGAATTTGTTGAAGAAGCAAATGAATGAGTTACTGATTTTTCTCCTGTCCCAGTCTTGACATTGACAGAAAAACTAATTTTTTTCTTATCCCCAAACTTTTGCAACAGAGTTCTGAAAATAGACTTAGTGTTGAAATCTGACTTGTACACAGGAACCAAGACTCAGTATGAAGGAATTACTAATGTTTTGATTCAGAGTCTATCTCTCTCCTACATTTTAAGTATTTGACATAAATTGTTAATTGCTCCTAAAATCAAACTGAACACCATTTTCAGCCTACATTTTGTTGCTCTGCAGCTGATGATTCTCACATTTTAACCGAGCACACAGGACGCTTGTCTCCAAGTCTCTGACTCAGCCAAAACACATAATCTACTTGATCAATTAGGAGAGTCTATAAGGATGGTGACTCGGTCGACCTGAAGACTATGAGCATTATGACGGACATTTCCAATGTGTTTATTTTGTAAGAGGAACTTTAAATAGAGAATCTGTTGGTGACACATCAAAAGGGGTTTTAATGTACAAATCGCAGGTGGAATCAAAGAGTTCGGGGCCACTTTTGCTGATGCCAACACTTGTTTTTAACCCAACATGACGACCTACAAGGGGTATAATTTTGCTTTTTAGCCATTAAATACTCAACTATGCCTCTCAAAGTTTGGTTAGTGGTGTAGTTTGAATATTTTTGCCTTTTTAAGGATGGCAACGTTAAAAAAGTCGTTAATCCAATTACAGTAAACAACGCGCTAATCAAATCCTTTGATTGGCTGCGTTAAAGTATGGAGAGTGGCTTGTTAAGGGGAAAGGTTCAATCATCAGGGTACGGGTCGACGGAGGTAGAGTCAGAGTGGGACATGAATTTACTGTTGGACATCCCCGGTCACCACCAGACCAAATTAACGAACGCAAATCAATTAGAAATCCTATTTTTTTTTCCTTTTAAAATCAAACAAACAACAACTGAATTCATCCTGATGCTCCAACTATTTAGATCGACAAATTGTTTGATGTGTTGGCTGCTCAGCTCGGTGGTTTGTTTTAATATCTACGTAAAGGATGATATAGTGACTAAATTTAGCTCAACACCTATCTTTGTACAAATGTGAACTATGCAAAAACTCCCTGGCTCTTAGACCGACCACATTAAAGATAATTTCCCCTGACCAGAATCACATCCCAACCCAAATCTGTCTCTAACTTTGCCTCCAAAACATACAGTTTGTTTGAAATGGAAAAAACCTGTCTGTATAGTAGCTAGGTTACATAATGGATTACTCCAGCCACAGTGGTTCCTCTTGGATCTGCATCACTTCCTTCATCCATACCTGTGTGGAAAGGTTGAGTGACCTTAGGAGGAATCCAAGAACACAACCGGTCACCACGGCGATGACCGACAGTGTCAGTAGCCCGTTCCTCCGGCAGTAGTCCTTCACATACTCCCTCACTTTAAGCGACACTATGCCATTCAGCATCTTCTTGAGCCCCTCCATCTCGCTTCAGGCTCGGTCCGTATCCCGGCAGACCCCCCCCTCCCCCCTGAGTGAAAACAGATATCCGAATCTCCTGGCGGGTGAAGGCGATACGTTTCTATCCCCTCAAGATCCAAGGTAGAGAGGGACCTCCGGGTTGGACCTGATCAGATGTGTGCGCTGCCTCAGAGTGATGAGCTCCTCCAGTCTGAGGGAGGACACTTTGACTGAGTTGTTCCTGGTAAAGCATTGCCTAAAAGGATTATCCCTATCTCATGCTAACAACAACTCCTCCACAGTCACTTAGGCCTATTAAAGCGGCTGAAGACAAGAGTTCAGCTCTGATAAGCTCCTCCATTTATAGCGCATTATGAGTTATTACTACCTAACGCCCTTAAGTCAGCCCGTTCATAAAAAAGGTGCTCAAAGCTTAAACTGGGTAACTTGTACTCAGCCCACATGTGGACAAGGGTCAAAGGTCAAGGTCAACGCAAAATTATACAAATTGGTAAAAATCCTTGAATCATCGTGTGCATGTTTCTGGTGATTATCATTAATTGGACGATACTTTTCTTATTTACTTTTTGCACTGCACCTTTAACATGGTTTGTACTTAAAATTCTGAAGTTCCTGAATTTCCTAAAGGTTCAATCAGATTTATGAGTCAATTTCTACAGATTTAAAAAAAAGAACAAATGTGAAAAAAATTTACATTTGCACATCTGCCAAAGTACACATAGATGGGCAACCACTGTTATCATCAGCACAACTGTCATCCATCTATTTCTGCGTCCAGTTTGCATGTCTTGTTCTTTTCGCTGACCTGCGTCTGCTGGCGTCACAGCAGCCATGCCGACTCGGGCGCTGATCCAGATCTGTCCAACAATGTCTGCCCACGTCACCTGTAACCAATCCAATCACATCTAATCCCTGTCTTAAACAATGCAGGACACAGGGTCAACAAAACAAAAGGGACTCGCACAAACATCTGCCTCTGAGTCTTTGTTCCCTCGTGACTTTATAGTCGCAGAAAACGGATGTTTAAGTGAATCTCCAAAAGCGCCAAACGGACACAACCAGCAACTAAAACCCCAGATATGCAAAATATATATGCTCATTTAAAATTTAGCTGTTTGTCAGTTATATGTGGGAATAAAGCTGGGACATGAACAACAAAAATGGGTTTTACAATGATGGATGGGCATTTTCATGTTAATATGGTTAATTTGCAACAGGTTAGTAACATGATTGGGTGCAAAAAAAGGACTCCAGAGAGGCTGAGTCTCCCAGGGGGAAAGTTGGGTAGAGGTTCTACACAATCTCAAAACCAATTCTGGATGGTCGAGATCTTTGGGCCCGGGCAACAATGCATTTAAAACAAACATGTCTTTGTAGTGGAAATCTCTGCATGGGCTCAAATTCACTTCCAAAACCTTTTTATCTGTGAACCAAGTTTGTTGCTCTTTGCATGCTTAGAGAAATACTGCAGCTAACTTGATCCAGGGGCTCCAGAGACTTCTCTTTATTTGATCCCATTTAGTGTGGACTGAGGTAAAGTGGGAAAGTATCCTGTGATCTGATGAATCAAATTTTTACTTCATTTTTTGAATAAAGAGGACTTGAACTGTTAAGAAGCTAAAATATCATATCAGGCAAGAACAGGACAACGTTTAACTTTCAAAACTGCAGGAACTGTTCCTGAATGTTTCAACTTTTCCCGACTTTTGGGGAATATGGGGACACAGATTTTGCACATTGAAAAGCCTCGCGTTAAGAAGGAGCCCAGTATCCAGTTGAATGAGTGAAAGAGGTTTCTTCTGCCCCCAAGTGGCCGAAGAATCAAAGAATCAGTAATTGAAGGTGCATTGTGTGGAGCAGCACAAGCATGCTCAAAACATCAATCCTGGAATAACGATGATGATAAAATATGTCAATAGTATATTAAAACACACATACACAGTCAATATACCACTGTGAATAAAAACTCTGTCCTCCATGATTGTTCTGTGAGCTCTGGGTTCAGTGGTCTGTGTCAGAGTTCCTCTTCAGCAGCTGCTGTCAGTTCCTGTTCAGAGTCTCTGCAGCCTGACTGAGAGAGGTTTTTGTATGAGCATAAATCACTGTGTGAACACCGCAGCACTGTTTATTTCATGTAAACTCTTACAGTAATAAACTGCGGCATCTTCAGCCTGAGCCCCACTGATGGTCAAAGCAGCGTTCACTTCGTCTCCTCTGCCTGAGAATCTTGAAGAAAACTCACTTGTAGGATTTTGACCCAGTTTGATGACTAATTTGGGAGCCTGTCCAGGTTTCTGCTGATACCAGAACACAAAACTATCTCCATCATCTTCGTCAACAGCTACTTCTGGGTTAGTTTTACAGGTGAGAGTGACCGTGGATCCTGGAGTGAAAGTCTCCACTGAAGGCTGAGTCACAGTCACCTGACCTCTGCATCCTGCAGACAGAAAATTCATCATTAATTCTGCAGCAGAATTTAATAAGTCAACACAAGATGATTGAATGTTTCTATGAGGACAAACCATAGACTGTATATAAGATTCTTATAAAGAATATCTGATTAAGAATCAAAAATAACCAGTATCTCGGTTTCTTTTCTCCCCCCTCCAGTGGGAGTAACACAGCCCTCCCTGACCGTCCTCCCCCCCTCCTCAAAGGAGCTGCAGAAGGGCACGGCCACACTGGTGTGTCTGGCCAGTGGGGGCTTCCCCCCATCCTGGAGTCTGGGCTGGAAGGTGGGGAGCCGCAGCAGCTCCTCAGGGGTGTCCAACAGCCTGGAGGTCCTGCAGGAGGACGGCCGCTACAGCTGGAGCAGCACCCTGAGCCTGTCTGCAGAGGAGTGGAGGAAGGCGGGCTCAGTGAGCTGTGAGGCCAGTCTGAGTGGACAGAGCCCTGTCACTCAAAGTCTGGACCCTCAGCTCTGCTCAGAGTAGAGCTTCAGCAACATTTTCAGTCTGGAAATGATGACAGATCTCCTCTGCTTTAACTTCTGCATGTTCATTTTTCTGCTTTTACTCTTCAAATAAAACTAAATACATTTGAAATCAGTCCAAGAGAAAGTTTCTATTCCTTAATGATGTAGCATGAACTTGAAATCAACATTAAAGCAAAGATCAGATGATGATGAGTCTGTGTCTTTTCATTCATATTATGACTTTTAAATTCTTTCACTTCTTCATAAGACTATCTTTCCTGGTGTTATAATAAACCTGATACCAAAGGGAATTACTGAGTTTATAAAAACTGTTATCAAATGTTCAAATAAAGGAGCATCTGTGAGTTTCTTTCCGTTTTATTCTGAGCGTCTGTGTTTCTGCTTGATGACTCTCTTGTTCACTGGACCATGGCCTCTCTTTACACCACACCAACCCTCTGCACCTGCAGCAGGATGGTTTCACTTCAGCTGAACTGGAGGAGGTTTTTGTACGGCTCTAAATCACTGTGTGGACTCTCCATCACTATGGGCACCAAGACAGTAATAATCTCCAACATCTTCAGCCTGAAGACCTTGAATGGTCAGAGTGTAGTGAGAACCAGATCTACTGCCACTGAATCTAGATGGGGTTCCTGAGGAGAGGGTTGATGCATCATATATAAGGAGTTTGGGAGCCTGTCCAGGTTTCTGAATGTACCAGCTGAGATCATCATCAATATCTGAACTCCCTGTTGCGCTGATTGTCACAGTCTCACCAAGACGTACAGACTTGAATTTGTCAGCCTGAGTCAGAAAGTTGTTTGCAGAAGACTCTGAAATGAGACATAGAAAATCAAACTGTGAGAAAATGAAGATTAAAAACGCTGACAGAAGACATAAAAAGAGAAAAAAATGCACACAAACATAAAAAGAACAGTCATATAATTAATTCTATTATAATGTTATTCATTGTTGAATCTCTCACCCTGACTCAGAAAACCCAACAGGACCAGCAGAGTTACTGTCAGCACCATCCTGGTTTAGTTTTCAGACAGAGCTCATGGAAACAGATCAGACTCGCTGTGACAGAGGAACTTAAAGTCTGAAGAGCAGCGGGACATAAAGTTCATGCAAAACACATTCAAACACACACCTGCTGATGTGAAACAGGAACAGCAGAGGTGTGGTGGAGCGATACTTCACCATCATGAGGCTCATTTTGTCATTCAAAGTTCAACCAATAAAATCAGCTCATGATTTTATGTAATTCTTATTTATAATTAAGAACAATCCACATATAACTTGATCTTTCCTCACCTCTATAATCATCTAAAGCTCTACAGCTCCCCCTGCTGGCAGACTGATCAACACTGGACTCACTGGAAACTGAAGAGAGGTCCAATACAGATTCAACTTTAGTCTTAGTTTCATTTTCCACATTAAGAAGAAAAACTTAAAAGAAAATCTACCTGTAATGTCTTGAACTTGTGCGAATGGCTTTTCTTTTTTATTCTATCCTGACTTTAAAGTTTGGAGCTCCTGTGCATGATGTGTAATGTTCCTTACAGTTCAACTGCACGTAAAAGAGGTTTAAAAGTTGGATTTTAACAGAAAGAGGGATGTCTCATATGATTTAATCCAGAACTAAAGTGAGGTGGCTGTCTGAAGTTTGTTGGTGGTTAATAATGGGCCTTGAGAGCTGAAACTGATTCAAGTCATTTCCTTGTCAAAAGGGATGGTGCAACAAGAAAATATGTTGAAATTTATCATCTAAAGCAGAATCAGATACTATATATGTATAAATATGATGTTGAATGAGTTCATATGTTTCTGTTTAGTGAATTAATTCAGTGGTTTGTGATTATCAAGACTGTAAATCTGAGTCTGTATGTTTACTGATGTTCTGTGAGCTCTGGGTTCAGTGGTCTGTGTCAGAGTTCCTCTTCAGCAGCTGCTGTCAGTTCCTGTTCAGAGTCTCTGCAGCCTGACTGAGAGAGGTTTTTGTATGAGCATAAATCACTGTGTGAACACCGCAGCACTGTTTATGTAATGGTAACTCTGACAGTAATAAACTGAAGCATCTTCAGCCTGAGCCCCACTGATGGTCAAAGCAGCGTTCACTCCGTCTCCTCGTCCTGTGAACCGATCTGGAACTCCATGACCAGAGGGTTTGTGAATACCATTATATATAAGGAGTTTGGGAGCCTGTCCAGGTTTCTGCTGATACCAGTGCACATTACTATTTCCACCTGTCCAAGTATGAACCTTTGGGTTAGTTTTACAGGTGAGAGTGACCGTGGATCCTGGAGTAACAGTCTCCACTGCAGGCTGAGTCACAGTCACCTGACCTCTGCATCCTGCAGACAGAAAATTCATCATTAATTCTGCAGCAGAATTAAATAAGTCAACACAAGATGATTGAATGTTTCTGTGAGGACAAACCTGTCAACCAGCAGCAGGCCAGCGTCCACATGAAGAAGGTGCTGAGAGTCATGTTGAGGTTTGTGCTGCGTTGACTGACAGATCTGAGTGCTGCAGAGATGAACTCACAGGACTATAAAGCTTCTCAGTTCACAGGAGGATCAGCTGAAGATGCAAAGACTCCTCTCTATGGAAATGATTTCTCTGCACTGAAGACAGCGCGGCACAGAAATCTGAAGAAATACGGCTTGGATTTACTCTCTCTTTATGACTTTAATAGAAGTTTTAATTTTTTTATTTTAGACTGGCTGTTGAGGATTTGAGGACAAGTTTATCTGCACCTGTGGTCTGATATTTCTGTTTGTCTGTCTGCATCTTTGTCTTTAGGTTGACTGAAGATTAACATTATGTTCACTTTTGCTTAATTTGGGTTTGTAAATTATAATTTGAAAAAATTATGTAACAGAAAACTCAAATAAGTTCATTTTAAAGTATAAAATTAATGAGTTTGATGTAGTTTTTGACCATTTCTTGGTTTTAAGTTTTAGAAAATTTGTTTAAAACTTAATTTATGTACCAATTTCAATTCACATAACTACAGATTAATCTTATTCCTATAGTTCAGGTTATTTTTTTGATATTTTCATACAAAAATTGGACTTTTCCTCAGTCAGACGCTTGTTCAGAGTGCAGGAGGTTTTTGTACGACGGCTAAATGTGTTTGTATCACTGTGGCTCACTTTTGGTGGAGGAACCAAACTGGTCGTTGACTGTAAGTACCTGAAATTTTTATTATTAACTATTCATAGAAAATATAAATGTTCTCAGATTGTGGATTTGACTGATATAAGTTTGATTTTCTAAATTGTTGAATATTTTTGTCAATATTTGAAGAGAAGCTGAACTCACAACCTGAGAACGTAGATAAGAAGCTCGTACTAAATTTAGAAAACACATTAAAATTTTAATTTTCTGATTTAAAATGATTTAAAAAAAAAAAAAAAAAAAACATGTATTTTTGTAAATATTGAGTGATAGTATTGTTGGGTCCAGTATTTCAGAGTTGTTGATTTTAATGTTTTTTTATTTGTTGTCTGACAATCTGGGAACAAACACGACAGAGATCAAAATTCAGTCAGTTTGTTTATTTCTAAAGTAAAAGAAAAAGACAGTTTAGTAGTTTTTAAATTTAGCTGAATGTGACTCTTTATCTAAAAATCTGACTGGAAATTTGGTCAGCTAGATTATTTTAGGTGGGCTGATATGATAACATGATAATTTTATTTCATTTAAAGAGAGTTTTAGATTGAAAGTGTGAATTCTGGTGAAGACTAAAAATACTTCATCAGTTAAAACAGCTCCTCTCTGTGTTCATGGTTCATTTCATTCATGCTGAGTTTAAAGGAAGTGAAAGAGAGCGAGGATTAAAGTTAGACTTTCACATGTCAAATTAAAGTTGATCTCTGTCACATGTTGTAAACATGCATGAAGACATTATTGATAATCTTCATGAACTGATGATGGATTAGCTTTAGTGATTTATAACAGCACAGATGTTTAAGTTTGTCTCTTTTATCTGATTCAGAATCAAAAATAACCAGTATGTCGGTTTCTTTTCTCCCCCCTCCAGTGGGAGTAACACAGCCCTCCCTGACCGTCCTCCCCCCCTCCTCAAAGGAGCTGCTGCAGGGCACGGCTACACTGGTGTGTCTGGCCAGTGGGGGCTTCCCCTCATCCTGGAGTCTGGGCTGGAAGGTGGGGAGCCGCAGCAGCTCCTCAGGGGTGTCCAACAGCCTGGAGGTCCTGCAGGAGGACGGCCGCTACAGCTGGAGCAGCACCCTGAGCCTGTCTGCAGAGAAGTGGAGGAAGGCGGGCTCAGTGAGCTGTGAGGCCAGTCTGAGTGGACAGAGCCCTGTCACTCAAAGTCTGGACCCTCAGCGCTGCTCAGAGTAGAGCTTCAGCAACATTTTCAGTCTGGAAATGATGACAGATCTCCTCTGCTTTAACTTCTGCATGTTCATTTTTCTGCTTTTACTCTTCAAATAAAACTAAATACATTTGAAATCAGTCCAAGAGAAAGTTTCTATTCCTTAATGATGTAGCATGAACTTGAAATCAACATTAAATCAAAGATCAGATGATGATGAGTCTGTGTCTTTTCATTCATATTATCACTTTTCAATTCTTTCACTTCTTCATAAGACTATCTTTCCTGGTGTTATAATAAACCTGATACCAAAGGGAATTACTGAGTTTATAAAAACTGTTATCAAATGTTCAAATAAAGGAGCATCTGTGAGTTTCTTTCCGTTTTATTCTGAGCGTCTGTGTTTCTGCTTGATGACTCTCTTGTTCACTGGACCATGGCCTCTCTTTACACCACACCAACCCTCTGCACCTGCAGCAGGATGGTTTCACTTCAGCTGAACTGGAGGAGGTTTTTGTACGGCTCTAAATCACTGTGTGGACTCTCCATCACTATGGGCACCAAGACAGTAATAATCTGCAATATCTTCAGCCTGAACACCTTGAATGGTCAGAGTGTAGTCAGAACCAGATCTACTTCCACTGAATCTAGACGGGGTTCCTGAGAAAAGGGTTGATGCTTTGTATATAAGCAGTTTGGGAGCCTGTCCAGGTTTCTGAATGTACCAGCTGAGATCATTCGCAATGTCTGAACTCCCTGTTGCGCTGATTGTCACAGTCTCACCAAGACGTACAGACTTGAATTTGTCAGCCTGAGTCAGAAAGTTGTTTGCAGAAGACTCTGAAATGAGACAAAGAAATCAAACTATTAGAAAATGAAGAAAAGATTTAAAACACAGAAAAAAAGAGAAAAGCTGCACACAAAAAAACAACAACATTCATATAATTAATTCTATTATAATGTTATTCATTGTTGAATCTCTCACCCTGACTCAGAAAACCCAACAGGACCAGCAGAGTTACTGTCAGCACCATCCTGGTTTAGTTTTCAGACAGAGCTCATGGAAACAGATCAGACTCGCTGTGACAGAGGAACTTAAAGTCTGAAGAGCAGCGGGACATAAAGTTCATGCAAAACACATTCAAACACACACCTGCTGATGTGAAACAGGAACAGCAGAGGTGTGGTGGAGCTATACTTCACCATCATGAGGCTCATTTTGTCATTCAAAGTTCAACCAATAAAATCAGCTCATGATTTTATTTACTTCTTTTTTTCTAATTGAGAACAATCCACATATAACTTGATCTTTCCTCACCTCTATAATCATCTAAAGCTCTACAGCTCCCCCTGCTGACAGACTGATCAACACTGGACTCACTGGAAACTGAGGAGAGATCCAATACAGATTCAACTTTAGTCTTAGTTTTATTATTCACATTAAGACAGAGAAGAAAAACTTAAAAAGAAAATCGACCTGTAATGTCTTGAACTTGTGTGAATGGCTTTTCTTTTTTATTCTGTTCTAACTTTAAAGTTTGGAGCTCCTGTGCATGATGTGTAATGTTCCTTACAGTTCAACTGAACTTAAAAGAGGTTTGAAAGTTGGATTTTAACAGAAAGAAGGATGTCTCATATGATTTAATCCAGAACTAAAGTGAGGTGGCTGTCTGAAGTTTGTTGGTGGTTAATAATGGGCCTTGAGAGCTGAAACTGATTCAAGTCATTTCCTTGTCAAAAGGGATGGTGCAACAAGAAAATATGTTGAAATTTTATCATCAAAAGCAGTATCAGATACTATATATGTATAAATATAATGTTGAATGAGTTCATATGTTTGTGTTTAATGAATTAATTCAGTGGTTTGTGATTATCAAGACTGTAAATCTGAGTCTGTATGTTTACTGATGTTCTGTGAGCTCTGGGTTCAGTGGTCTGTGTCAGAGTTCCTCTTCAGCAGCTGCTGTCAGTTCCTGTTCAGAGTCTCTGCAGCCTGACTGAGAGAGGTTTTTGTATGAGCATAAATCACTGTGTGAACACCGCAGCACTGTTTATGACATGTACACTCTTACAGTAATAAACTGCAGCATCTTCAGCCTGAGCCCCACTGATGGTCAAAGCAGCGTTCACTCCGTCTCCTCTGCCTGAGAATCTTGAAGAAAACTCACTCGTAGGATTTTGACCAAGGTAGACGACTAACTTGGGAGCCTGTCCAGGTTTCTGCTGATACCAGGCTACTCGACTATCTCCATCTCTCCAAACATTCACCTTTGGGTCAGTTTTACAGGTGAGAGTGACCGTGGATCCTGGAGTAACAGTCTCCACTGAAGGCTGAGTCACAGTCACCTGACCTCTGCATCCTGCAGACAGAAAATTCATCATTCATTCTGCAGCAGAATTAAATAAGTCAACACAAGATGATTGAATGTTTCTGTGAGGACAAACCTGTCAACCAGCAGCAGGCCAGCGTCCACATGAAGAAGGTGCTGAGAGTCATGTTGAGGTTTGTGCTGCGTTGACTGACAGATCTGAGTGCTGCAGAGATGAACTCACAGGACTATAAAGCTTCTCAGTTCACAGGAGGATCAGCTGAAGATGCAAAGACTCCTCTCTATGGAAATGATTTCTCTGCACTGAAGACAGCGCGACACCGAAATCAGAAGAAATACTGCTTGGATTTACTCTCTCTTTATGACTTTAATAGAAGTTTTAATTTTGTTTATTTTAGACTGGCTGTTGAGGATTTGAGGACAAGTTTATCTGCACCTGTGGTCTGATATTTCTGTTTGTCTGTCTGCATCTTTGTCTTTAGGTTGACTGAAGATTAACATTATGTTCACTTTTGCCTAATTTTACTTTGTTAGATGTAATTTGAAAAAATTATGTAACAGAAAACTCAAAGTAGTTCATTTTAAAGTGTAAAAATTAATGAGTTTGATGTAGTTTTTGACCATTTCTTGGTTTTAAGTTTTAGAAAAATAGTTTAAAACTTAATTTATGTACCAATTTCAATTCACATAACTAAAAATAAATCTTATTTCTATAATTCTGTTATTTTTTAAATATTTTCATACAAAAATTGGACTTTTCCTCAGTCAGACGCTTGTTCAGAGTGCAGGAGGTTTTTGTACAACGGCTTAATGTGTTTGTATCACTGTGGCTCACTTTTGGTGGAGGAACCAAACTGGTCGTTGACTGTAAGTACCTGAAATTTTTATTATTAACTATTCATAGAAAATATAAATGTTCTCAGATTTTTGATATGACTGATATAAGTTTGATTTTCTAAATTGTTGAATATTTTTGTCATTATTTGAAGAGAAGCTGAACTCACAACCTGAGAACGTAGATAAGAAGCTCGTACTAAATTTAGAAAACACATTAAAATTTAATTTAATTTTCTGATTTAAAATGATTTAAAAAAACAAAAACATTTGCTCTTTTTTAATATTGAGTGATAGTATTGTTAGGTCCAGTATTTCAGAGTTGTTGATTTTAATGTTTTTTTATTTGTTGTCTGACAATCTGGGAACAAACACGACAGAGATCAAAATTCAGTCAGTTTGTTTATTTCTAAAGTAAAAGAAAAAGACAGTTTAGTAGTTTTTAAATTTATCTGAATTTGACTCTTCATCTAAAAATCTGACTGGAAATTTGGTCAACTAGATTTTTTTAGGTGGGCTGATATGATAACATGATAATTTTATTTCATTTAAAGAGAGTTTTAGATTGAAAGTGTGAATTCTGGTGAAGACTAAAAATACTTCATCAGTTAAAACAGCTCCTCTCTGTGTTCATGGTTCATTTCATTCATGCTGAGTTTAGAGGAAGTGAAAGAGAGCGAGGATTAAAGTTAGACTTTCACATGTCAAATTAAAGTTGATCTCTGTCACATGTTGTCAACATGCATGAAGACATTATTGATAATCTTCATGAACTGATGATGGATTAGCTTTAGTGATTTATAACAGCACAGATGTTTAAGTTTGTCTCTTTTATCTGATTCAGAATCAAAAATAACCAGTATGTCGGTTTCTTTTCTCCCCCCTCCAGTGGGAGTAACACAGCCCTCCCTGACCGTCCTCCCCCCCTCCTCAAAGGAGCTGCAGCAGGGCACGGCCACACTGGTGTGTCTGGCCAGTGGGGGCTTCCCCTCATCCTGGAGTCTGGGCTGGAAGGTGGGGAGCAGCAGCAGCTCCTCAGGGGTGTCCCACGGCCTGGCGGTCCTGCAGGAGGACGGCCGCTACAGATGGAGCAGCACCCTGAGCCTGTCTGCAGAGGAGTGGAGGAAGGCGGGCTCAGTGAGCTGTGAGGCCAGTCTGAGTGGACAGAGCCCTGTCACTCAAAGTCTGGACCCTCAGCTCTGCTCAGAGTAGAGCTTCAGCAACATTTTCAGTCTGGAAATGATGACAGATCTCCTCTGCTTTAACTTCTGCATGTTCATTTTTCTGCTTTTACTCTTCAAATAAAACTAAATACATTTGAAATCAGTCCAAGAGAAAGTTTCTATTCCTTAATGATGTAGCATGAACTTGAAATCAACATTAAATCAAAGATCAGATGATGATGAGTCTGTGTCTTTTCATTCATATTATGACTTTTCAATTCTTTCACTTCTTCATAAGACTATCTTTCCTGGTGTTATAATAAACCTGATACCAAAGGGAATTACTGAGTTTATAAAAACTGTTATCAAATGTTCAAATAAAGGAGCATCTGTGAGTTTCTTTCCGTTTTTATTCTGAGCGTCTGTGTTTCTGCTTGATGACTCTCTTGTTCACTGGACCATGGCCTCTCTTTACACCACACCAACCCTCTGCACCTGCAGCAGGATGGTTTCACTTCAGCTGAACTGAAGGAGGTTTTTGTACGGCTCTAAATCACTGTGTGAACACTCCAGCACTATGGGCACCAAGACAGTAATAATCTCATACATCTTCAGCCTGAAGACCTTGAATGGTCAGAGTGTAGTGAGAACCAGATCTACTGCCACTGAATCTAGACGGGGTTCCTGAGAAACGGCTTGATGAAGTGTATATAAGCAGTTTGGTAGCCTGTCCAGGTTTCTGAATGTACCAGCTGAGATCAGGACCGATGTTTGAACTCCCTGTTGCGCTGATTGTCACAGTCTCACCAAGACGTACAGACTTGAATTTGTCAGCCTGAGTCAGAAAGTTGTTTGCAGAAGACTCTGAAATGAGACAAAGAAAATCAAAATTTTAGAAAATGAAGTAAAGATTAAAAACATGGAAAAAAGAGAAAAACTGCACACAAACATAAAAACAACAGTCACATAATTAATTCTATTATAATGTTGTTCATTTTTGAATCTCTCACCCTGACTCAGAAAACCCAACAGGACCAGCAGAGTTACTGTCAGCACCATCCTGGTTTAGTTTTCAGACAGAGCTCATGGAAACACATCAGACTCGCTGTGACAGAGGAACTTAAAGTCTGAAGAGCAGCGGGACATAAAGTTCATGCAAAACACATTCAAACACACACCTGCTGATGTGAAACAGGAACAGCAGAGGTGTGGTGGAGCGATACTTCACCATCATGAGGCTCATTTTGTCATTCAAAGTTCAAAATAACTCTACTTATCTACAGTGATGGTTTACATGAATCTGTTTTCCAGTTTAAAAGAATTTATTTTGAAGAATCAAAAGGAGAGTCAGAAAATCTGTCTACCCCCATACCTGCCCTTATGAAACAAAATAAAGGAAAGGAGGAGGAGGAGTTTAAAGCCCATAAAACAACAACACAGCTACAAATTTAGGCTACAACATCCTGTTTTTGGACTCTGTTGAATCCCAGAGGCTCTTTGGTTCATTAATTATTGCATACTGCCCTCTACTGGCAACTCAGATGTACTAAAAACTCAAGATCACTTTTCAGTCTTCAGCCCTCAAGTTTCCATTTGATGTCAGTTTCTGATTCTAGTTGGTTCATAGCATATATAAGAATAAGAGACCAGAGATCCAGCCTTGTTACACTCTTAGGTTACCAAACAACAATAACTTCAACTTCAAATCAGGGAGGTTCACACATACAGAAAATCAAGCCCAAATAAGCAACTACTAGTTAAAAAAAAGCCCCAAAAGCACGCCCACGACTCACGAGTTTTACAAGCGACTTCTGAGAGAAACAAGCCTTAAGTTATTTATAATAAGCGGACTTGGCAACCATAAGTTGTCTACGTATATTTTGCCGATATTTAAACTTGTCTTTGTTCACAAATGCAGGTCTAGGATGTATGCACATGCGTCCAAACAGAAATAAAACAACGGCTCGGTTTTCAAAATAAAAGCAACACACTTGTAAAGCATGTTGATGATTTCATTGACAGACCTCACGAAGGGCCGGGCAGGGACATCCAAAGGGCCGGATGTGGCCCTCGGGACGTAAAATGCCCAGGTCTGATCTAGAAGGTCACAATATCCCATTGTGAAGTCACCGTATGTTTAAAATGAAACAAAATGGAGGGCCACAACCAATATTGGGGGCCCCATCCCCTCTTGTCTGTGTTCAATTTATTTTGAAAGATTTATACTTTTATTTGTATAATTTTTTGATATCCCTATGTGTGTACATGCATTCATTTTGTTTGTGGGTTGTGCAGGGAGTGTTTTGGGGGGGCCACCAAACAAAATCTAACTTAGGGCCACCAAAATCCACCAGCCGGCACTGCCCTTCCCTCTTTGTCTTCCTCAATCCACAAAGCACACACCGTTTTTTTAACACCTGCTGTAGGGAACGTTACTCAGAGCAGCTCTGTGATTGGTCAACGCGAACCTTCAAACTCCTCCCCCCTCTGCCACCGCTACTTCGGCGGAGTCAGCAAGCCAGCCATCCAACGGCGAGTTTTCGGGCAAATTATCAAACCAAGGTTGGTGAAATAACCCATTTATTTACCACAAATCCGTCTTTTGTGACATATGTGTAACTTTTGTGCGGTTTTGTGTCGGTTACAGGCTCAGGAAAGCCCGAAAATGAGTCAGTTTAAGGAGCGCTTCACCACCCTGCTCCATGAGAAGAACTTTGTGACAGATCAGTTGGCGAAGCTGGAGGAAAAAACGGGAGTGCAGAGAGAGTATATCGCCTTGGGTATGTTCACAACTCCACGAAAAGAGAAGAAGATCCGGTTAGACCAACTTTTACACCTAGATGTATATGTAAAACAACGTCGTCTGCCTTCCAAAACCATTCAACATTCAGTCTTTTGTCTTCGTCGAGTCGAAACTTAATCGATTAACCGGTTGTCGTCGTCACACTGTCGCGTGAGTTACTTAACTTTTGGGTGTAATTTCATATCCTGCGGCACAGTGAGCTGGCTCAGTTTATCACCGGATACCAAAGTTCACCCAGCTCAGACCTTTATGCTACTTTTACAAGATTAGATTTGGAACACAACCCTCCAAACACACACCTACTTCAGAATATGCTGCCATCAGAATAAACCGTTTCTGATATCCATGGGTCACCACCAGCTGGTCTTAGGGGTATTTATATCACATCCTGAAATATCCAGAGGTGGAAGGAGAGATATAGGATGACTGGTTATTCAACTGCAGGCTGCTTTCACTTCACTCTCAGGAGTTGGTTTTTGACAATGCTCTGCTCTCAGTATGCATAGAGGATGTCAATAAGAGACACATACCTCAGGCTACATTGCCAGTAATGCCACTACACAGGAAGCATGTTACCCACTATGACCTACTTTCAAAACCACTGACTTCACTCAGAATTGATTTAAACGGATGTGTTGATAAGTGATTTTAAAACAACTGCAATGTCACATATAAAGTGAATGTTTGAATGAAATTTGCTGTAAGTTCTCTGGTGGACTATCAGACATGGATCGCAAGTGATTTTGAGGAAACATCTGAAGATTTGACTGAAAAGTAATGCCCACTAGCTCTAACATTGAGCTTTTTTATTTCGCTGCTTTTTTGACCTTTAAAACGATTAAGAAAATCTCACAACAGTACCATAAGTCCTGCTTCAGGAAGGACTACGGGGACCACAGACTCATTATACCAAAGACTCTCCTGTCCAGAGCTGTCAAAGTATTTTTTGTCTACATTGCAGGTTTTTTTGCTAACACGTACACTGATAATGGTTTTGTATCATAATGCATACAAGTAATTCTTTCCTGTAGGCACGCCACTGTGTTATGTTACACTTCTCTTTGATCCAGACATGGCATTTGAACAAGCAGCGTGTCTTTAACTGGCTGCTGTTTAACTGACAAACATCCTGAGCTCATAGTCAATCTTTGACACTCTCAAGTGTGAAAACCAATATGCTGACTGGAGTCGGCAAGACTCATCTCCAATGTCTCTGCAGCCAAATTCATTCGGTGTTAAGTTGTTTAGTAGCTTTGTGTTTTTAAATTCAGCTTTACCTTCGGTTTGAATCAAGGATTTTTGTGATTTTTAACTTTCATGGCTCTGTAAGGAGTAGTTTTAGTCATACCTATGGCTGGGCGATATGGACCAAAAGTCATATCCCAATATATTTAGGCTGAATATCGATATACAATATATATCCCGATATTGTTATTGCAAAGTGAGAGCAAATGTTTAGTCACAGTCAAAGCCAAATATGACATGTCACAATTAGTTCTATTTAAACTGGCTGGATGAAATTATGCTCAGCTGTTCAAAGAACAATAAAATAAATACTGTATAACCACAGGAGTACCTTTTTTTTTAATTGGAGCTCCATAAGGTACACATTTAAATGAAAAATTTATCTTAGCCCATAAAGTAAAATAGGCCAATCTTTTTCTGAAATAAATGTATTTATATGAGAAAAGCATCAACATTTTGACAACAATAAATGGCCGATTTAAATCAAATAGCAGATTTTCTTCCTCTTTTCTCTAACAAATCCACAGATGCAAACAACGAACACTACAAAAGAATTAAATGTGACAAACCCTAGTAAAGGCAGCATATACGTTTTCGTTGACGATGACATTGACGAAAATATTTCGTCAATGTCATTGTCAACGAAAACAACACTGGTTGTTTTCGTTGACCAAGAAGGAGACGTGACGTTGACGAGCTAGACATGAGTCTTAGATGACTAAAATGTGACGAGACTAGACGAAAACGTTAGTGGTGGACGACGAACAGAGTTGCAAAATTCAGAAGCATTTCGTCAGTCAAACGCTAAACATATATTCTGCATTGTTGTTTTCGTTGACAATGACGTTGACCAAATATTTTCATCAACGTCAACGAAAACAACACTGGACAGAACAAAATAAAGTGCTCAGTTTAAGAAAATTGTTTTTAAACATAATTTTGAGATTACCTATCTGTCTTTCTTCTCTTCAGTCTTCAGTTAACAGTCTCAACCACTTGGACAAGACTATGACAGATTATAAACTCAGTAAACATTTCCCCCTCTTCTTTCTTTTTGACTTTGATAAACAGTTAGTGCTGTCTTGAGGTCGACATTAGAGGACGGACAAGTGTGTCCTTCTTTGGTTAAAGATTTTGTGCGAGAAACACCAGTCTGTCAACAACAGCATCTGATATCTGCTATCCAATTCCATATCTCATTTAAAAATACATTGATATTCTCTTTACATCGATATATCGCCCAGTCCTAGTCTTACCTACAGGATAACATGGAGCTATAACTGCTTTTCCTTTCAGTAAGAAACAGCCCTTTTTATTGTTCGTCACTGGCTAATGAAAGACCCCACTCAATGATTTTCTCACATTGTCCAGATAGGAGCGTCTGTGTATGTCAGCACATTTTTCTTTAGGGTCTTCGGTTTTGACCAGTTCTTCCAGTTTGCTTTCAGTGGAGAGAGAGAGACGGGATACTGGGAATTGCCTGAATATTTGTCTATGAGCGAGGACAAACAAATGAGATGCAAAAGAGCAGGCTCTGTTCAGCTCTGTATCAAAGGCTTGTAGGTCTCTTGACTCTGTATGCCTTCATTGTGTATATTTAGCATTAGAGGAAGTCCAATTTTGTATTGATGGCTGGGTTTTGCAAGAATTTGGTTAACATATTGCCTTGCCTGCGTGTACAGCTGCCTTCCTCTCTGTGTAATGTTTTAAAGAAGCTGGGAAACTACAAGTGCACAAACTAAAAAAATTTAGACTTTAGAAAAACAGACTTAACCCAAAGAAATGAGTCAGTTCTAGAGGATGTGGATAGTCTATAATGGCTGGTTAAACTGCAGCATTTTTCAGACGGAGTCAACTCCTCACTGCCAGCTGAAAAAGCACGCCCATTAGGCCTCTGAGGGATTAAGTATCGCAGCCAAGTTTCTGTTGTTAAGAAGTAAGCTGCAGCATACAGTGTCGCTCACGCAGAGCCGATTGTTCTGCAGACTTTTTGGTGTTTTGTGTTTAATTCGAACGTAGGAATAACATTGTGCACAATCCTTAGTGGCTGTTGTATTTATCTTGATTTTTTTGAAGCCTTCATCGAGTTAACAAAGTCTGGTTTCTGTTGACATTTTCAGAAAATCATTCATTCAGATGTGTGTGTTATAATAATTATTATTATAAAGAGGTCATGGATAATAATGAGGTGTATGACAAATCCTCCTGACTGCAGTCATACAAGACCTTTGCAAAATAAAGACCTGAGTGTTGAAATATGAAATAGAAATACACCTTAACCACTGTTAGGAAAATGGACAAGTAAAGGCATCTTAAAGCAAAGTCAAATATTAAAATTTATTATCGATTCATTCAGATATTCGCTCTCTGAGTGCATCATTAAGTTTTGGGTGCAGCACGTATAAAAACTGTATGCAGAAAATCTTCTGTATGTTATCTATTATTGCCTCTCACATTGTTAAAACGGGACAAACTCAATAACTGTAAAACTAATAACATTTGTGGAATCTCACACACTCATGGATACTTGGTCAGGGTGTCTGACATTCCTGTTGGAGACTGTGGGATAGTCAAAGTCAACTTCCACTGAGTGAATTTAAATACCAGTGTTTGACTTGTGTTTAGTGCTCCTCCTAATCCTGGTACTGTGCTATCCTAACATCCTGGTATCAGACACTCTGTTGACAACAAATTAATGTTGCTTGACATGAGACGAGTTCTTTGAGTAAGCTAAGCGGGTAACCTCAACCCTCCCTCCCTCCCTCCCTTTCTTGTCTCACCCTCTGCTCTCACATCACTGCTGCCTCTCCTCTTTCTCCCCCTGCAGGACTTCTCAGTTTTCTCGGGTTGTATCTTCTGTTTGGATACGGAGCCTCACTGCTCTGCAACCTGATTGGCTTTGCCTATCCTGCGTATTTCTCGTAAGTATACTGTTCGGCTCCTCTGAATGGCTGCAAAAAAAAACAAAAAACAATTGATGTGAAAATCAAGAAAAAAAGTGTTGTTTTTTTTGGCTTTACTCTTCCTTAACAATATTAACATTTATCATGTAAGAGTTGTGCATATACTTAGTTATCTCTGCAGCAAAAGCACAGGTGTACCCATATTTATGACTCTTATCGTTTTATGAATGAAACGTGTGAATGAATGCCAGCACTGTTAATTATTAAATGTCATTGATTCTTCCTGTTCTCCTCCTATAATATCAAAATAGTTCCGCAAAGTGCAGTAACTGAACTCCTGAGTTAAAAGGTCCTTTCACACTGGGACAATTTTTTACGAGCGATTACCCGTATCCTGTCAACACAAGCGTTCACATCAGCGACGTTTTCCCGCTCTGCGATATTGCGTCATTTATTTTTTTGGATCATGGTCGATTTTTCTAAAGTTTCGCATACTGTGTGTCTTCTGACCGATCAGATTGCGTGATGTTGCGACGTCTGATTCACCGGTATATCCAACATATCCGACCGGCTGATTGTTTACATGTCGGAGAACAGTGTTTTTTGATAAAAGACACAAATATTACAAAGATAACGACCTGAAGGACAACTTGTGGAGAGTCATAGTGTCGGATTTCTCATATGATGATAGTTAATGTGCTTTAACGTCTTTGTTTTAACTTTCATCTTATGATTGGCTATAAGTGCTGACTGTTTGGCTCGAGCGTGTAACAACGTTTCCAGCTTTTCTAGCCAATCAGAGGCGAAGGAGGCGGGGCTTTCCCTGGCAAAAGTCTTCCCCGCGATGCGTCTTGATGTCCTGGAAAGTCGCAAAATTGCATCAGGCTTTATGTGTATAGTCAGGCGCGTCAAAATTCGCCTCTGAATATTTCGTACTTTCACGTTCTATATTCGTGTCGGCCCCGGTGTGTAAGGACCTGAAGTCTTAACTTTTTGCACCACTGACTTTTTTTTCTCTCTTGCTGCTTTAAGTGATGACTCATCCTTTTCTTACTCATCTCTCTGGAAATCCTCCCAGTCTGAAATATTTTCTCGATGTGACTAACCTTTCACTGCAAATCAACATGTGAAACTCATTTTTCTAAATCAACAAACAGGGTTCTTTTGCACCAAGTTTAGCACGTTATAGTCCTTATTATTATGATGCGTAATCACACAATTTACTATTATATGCAGACATTTCTACACTGTGGATTTTGCACTTTTGTGACCCCATCAGTATCCTAAATCCAAAGTTTCCTCTTGTCATTCAGTATCAAGGCGATTGAAAGCAATGTGAAAGACGATGACACGCAGTGGCTGACCTACTGGGTTGTTTACGGACTCTTCAGCATCGTCGAGTCCTTTTCCGACATCTTCCTCTTCTGGTTCCCCTTTTACTATGCCGGCAAGGTGGGCTGACCTCACAGTTATTAGTGTGTTTCTGTACTTTGACTCCTAATGAAATCCTACCAGGTCTGCTTTCACTTTGAAGCTAAAGGCAGTCACAAGGTTTTTAATCACATGAGGTATTATGCCTTTGGGCTTTTTTTGTAGCGTGCCAACATCGCCCTCTTGTGGATTTGTCCTGTAAATGCAAAATAAGAAGGACTGTCCCCATGTCATACCACATTTTAACTCCATGCTTGTTCAGAATGATTCCACTTCCCTCTTTATAGGGTTGTTCTGGCCTAATGACTCTGATTCATGATCATTTATATTCATTAAATGCTTCAGAAACACTAAGAACAACTGACACCTTCAATATCATGTCATGTTATGTGACCTACAACATTACAGCACATGTTTTACTGTAACATTTGCTTCTGTTCAGTAACAAGATCCTGTTTTTTTTGTATAAACACAGCTGCCAGTTAAAAAAAAACCCACTATGAATGTACACAGGCCCTTAACGTCACACAACACACAAAACAAACACCTTTTTCCAGTTCAGTGTATCGTCTAATGCCTTTTCTGCTCTCTCTATAGTGTGTGTTCCTGATTTGGTGTATGGCTCCAGTGACGTGGAACGGTTCAGATATCCTGTACAAGCGCGTGATCCGCCCGTTTTTCCTGAAACATCAGGCGACCATGGACAACATGGTCAGCGATCTGAGCTCCAAGGCCAAGAACATAACCGACACTGTCACAAAGGAGGGTGAGCTAACTGCAGTATACATGCAAGTACAGCCACATTTTTTATTATTCGCACTCCGGCAACAAACTCTCTCAGCGGACTAACCTCTTATCAGCTCGCGCAGACCTAGGCTACGGCCCGGGTCACATGTAAACATAAGGATCGGGATTTTGAGCCAGACTAATGGTGCATTCAAGTTACCTCAGAAGTCAGATGACGTCACACCCAAGTTCCAAGCGTTTCAGTTCCCAAGTCAAAAAAAAGCTAAATCAGAGGCCTGAAACCACCATCTTGTTGCCATCCTGTTTTCATCTTCTATTTTGCTTTTTTCCGACTTGGTAACTGAAACGCCGGTAACTCGGGTGTGGCGTTATTTTCAGCTTGACTTCCTAGGTGACTTGAACGTAGCATCAGACAGGAGCAGTGGGCGAGCGTTGAAAAGCTGCCCGACCCTAATCTAGGGTTTTTGATTGGAGGTTGATTCGTGTGGGTAAAGGGCGAAAATAGCCTCTGATCCATGTCCTGCCATTTTACTCCAGTGCTTTTATGTTTTAACTAAACATGAAGTCAAGGGTAAGGAGTCAGAATCCAGTGAAGAGTTTATTTTGAACTGTTTAAACTTCACACAGAGGCACACGCCAAGTAATCTCGTGTTTCAAATCTCTCATTTTAAAGGATTTCAGGCCTCAATTTGATTTATCCAGCGAGTTACATAAAATCCAACCCCTGAAGCCCGCCCCTAGTGGCCAAAAGACTACTGCAGCTGACACGACTAGTCCAAAAACACTCCCATGTCTTAGCATCGAGTTGTAGCTGCAAGAGAAAAAAAAAGAAAAACTCAGGAACTTTGCTTCGTTCTTCTGAGCTGTTGCTGAATATTCTGATATTTCACACTCACTGTCATATTCACATCTTACTGCTAACTTTACTCTGCTTTGATAACTAGCGCTCATCTGGGCATGCAGGCACACTTTAATGGCTGAGTACTTACTTCACACTTCCCACTTTACGAATGCATCCTGAAAGTCATCCTTGAGTAGTCTGTGTTTCCAATACTTCTCGTGCTATACTCTGATTTTTCTTGTTTTAATTCCACCAGCTGTTAACCGGGCACTTAATCACGACAAGGACCAGTGAGGACCACAGGAAGGCTCGTGTGCGTGCATGTGTAGCTGAAAGACTGACTGAATGAGTGCGTCTGTGTTTGCTTGTGTCTTCATCTTCGGTCCGTCCTCCCTTTCCACGAGAAGTAATGATGGTCTACCCCCCTCCATGTTACGTGGTGAACTGAAGCTTCATACTCCTAAAACGAATAAAAAGCCTGTTTCTGCATCAGTTTACTGCCATCGGTACTTGCAAGACAATCGGTAAAACTGTGACCTTTTTTTTATGTGATTTTTCTGTCGTAACACGTTTGGGGCAAAGAAATGTTTCGAATGTAAGAGTCAGAACTTTAAACCTGCAGGTTTCAGTTTACCTGGGGATGTTTTGAATCTTATTTTCCATTAAAATTGTTGAAAAAATGAGTGATAATAATAATAATTACAAGTGCTTGACAGTCCTTAAACAGCTTTTTCTAACACTATTATTACAAACTGGAACTTTTACTCATTCGCACATACGCCAAGCAGCATTTTAAGTCTGTTTGAACTGGGGGAGGTTCTCTATCTCTAAGTTTAAGTGGATGACTTCTGTCTTTTGATATGTCTTAATTTATCTTCTCAATAGGATGAAACAATAAAACTGGAACCCTGATGAACTGGAGAACTGTGTCGGTCTGTCTGTGTGGGTTTAAACTTCTGTTCTGGTCTGGTCTGGTACCTTTGCTTCTTTTTTAACCTTAACTTTCGAGTTAAACGTGAATTTTAATATTTAGATTCGATCGAGAAAACTCTGAAGTATAAGTTGAAAAAAATTCAAATGCTGTGCACATTCCCTCTCCCATCTTCCGTTTCCACTTGATCTTTTGACCCGTCAACCTCAAACACATTTACCAGCATTCAGACAGTCTAACCATCCTCGCTGTAATTTGTGTTTGGCTCTGAATTCACGCTTCGCGGGCTCTGAATGGAAGGCCTCTTGTGTTCGTGCGCTGGATGTAATGCACGGGAAATGGTAGATGGGAGCCATTGTGATTGCCACACGCCGCCACAGGGAGAGGAAGGCACCCATCTGGAAATGGCCGCTGTGAAGATGTGTCTGCTGGGTGTTTGCGATGTATCCCTTCAGCCGGTGGTGGCCGACGGGTTATTGATTAAACAGAAATTGGATGCAGGAACCAATTATTACACTGACGTTGAGTGGGTTGAGCCAAGGCTCTGTGCTGGGTGTGGGGCCTGTAATGACTTAAGATGGCAGCAGGAGGATAAAAGAGAAGGAAACAAAAGGAATGAATGTGAGGAGGGAGTAAGTATAGATGGTTTTTATGTAGTTTCACATGAATCTCATGGCTCTGGGATGGCAAAATAAATCTGCGTCGTCCCCCTTTAATCCAGAGAAAATGCCTCAACACATTTTAAACCTATTAAACTGACATTTTCCAGTCTGTGTTCCTTGATTAATCTTTCAGACAAGGGTGATCCGGTGGCTTTTCCTTCAGTCTAGTCAGCTGGGTGTAATTTATGGATTGCAAACAGATTGCAAATGCAATTCATTTAGATACAAAGCTATGGTTCCCAGGGGGGATTGTATAAGATAGTTACGATTATTTCTTTTTTATGTAGTACTGCACTGCTGCCAGTCCAAATTTGCCAGTCCTTGAGATATTTTGACATCTAAAATGAATTTAATCAAGACCTCCACAGGCAGAAAATGGATCCTTATTTTGGTAAACAACTAAAAACTTAAACCGCCAGCTCACAATTTGTATGGCACTTTGCGGACAAAAAGATGTATTTCAAAGTAAAAACAACAATTAACAATACAACCCGACCCTCCCACACACACACACACCCTCACTCACCCACTCACCCACTCATCCAATCCAAGCCAATCCAGGTTTATTTATAAAGCACATTTAAAAACAACAAAGATCCTGTCAGCCAGGTATGACCTAAACCACTCCAGGACAATACCCTTAATCCCCAAGACGAGAAATTAAGATGTTGTCAAAAGCTGCAGGAAGATCTACAAGCATAAGAACAGCCGAATCCAGCAATACAATATCATTAAAAACCCTTAAAAGTGCTGTTTCAGTGCTGCGCTGTGCTTTAAAACCAGATTGGAACACCTCGAGGATGCTGTTTCTGTCTCAAAATGATTGCAGTTGACTAAAAACAACTTTCTCCAGGATCTTAAGAGAGGAAGGGGACACAAAGTGAGAATTTAAGATATATTGTTAAAGAGATATGGCCTGACACTGAGACATTACATGAGGAAAGAGCTACCTTTGGGAAACCCTGGAGATAAAAGATTAAAAAAGTAAATAATATGGTGAAAAGAAAGAGTAAAATCTGATGGACTAAAACAAGAAAATCATAAAAAGACAAAGAAATATTAAGAACTTTATCAACAGTCTCTACCAATTTCTTGTTGTTTTGGGGGTCATACTTTTCTTATTCCAATCAGACTCTCCTTCTTTTCTTCTCTAACCCTGACCCTTCATTACCTAACTAATTTAGATCTTCTACTCATTACCTCCCCCGTGTCTACGACAATCAGTGGTACTTGAAATCATCCTGTCACTTTGTCTGAACATCACTGCCTGCTTTAGTGAGCTTCAATCCTGCAGTACCTGGACTCGACGGCAGAGGGAGACAGAACCGAGACTGTGTGTGTGTGTGTGTGTGTGTGTGTGTGTGTGTGTGTGTGTGTGTGTGTGTGTGTGTGTGTGTGTGTGTGTGTGTGTGTGTGTGTGTGTGTGTGTGTGTGTGTGTGTGTGCATGGAGGGGTTGGTGAGTCATACAGTGAGACCGTCACGTAGAGACAAACAGCCCAAAACAAGGCTTGGTCTGACTTAACCACAGGGCATTATGAGCACAGCCGTCTATCCTCGTATTTATTGAAATGAAACTGAACCGCTGACAGCAGAGAGACGCTGCATTTCAGCCTGTTTACTGCTTCACTTCCTGCTTAATCCGCCTATAGGGATCGCTCACGTTTCTTCGAGTTGTTACATGTTTATATTTTATATTACGAGTATAAAGATTAGGAGTCTATAAATTTAGACTCTAGTACAAACAGGTATAGACGGGCTCTGTCCATGGTGCTGAAACAAGTTGGGGTCGCTGTCCGTGGTGCTGACACCAAGAGGCGATTTTTGTTACAAAGCAAGTCAAATTTATCAAAGCTCTATAATCATCAATACTGAGCATTTATGAGTGTAATTCAAATATCTTTGGGTATTTTTTTGATTGATTGAAGTTTAATTTGAATGTATAAAATAATAATAATAATAATAATAAAGTAAAGAATACAGCAACAAATGACAAAAAGTTATTCCTGTTAAAAAAGGAGTGGGAAGAAGTCGAGACTTATCTAGTCCCACTCCTTCTCCTACACTAATGGTTTAAATATATGTCATCATATTATATAATAATATTAATCATCATTGTCATCATAATAATAATAGCAAAAATAACAAAACAATGATGATAATGGTAATAGTTACTGTGATTGTACATCCCTGTATCCAGTGAAAACAAATTCCTTATATTTTGTTTTAAACTGTTTTACGTTTGGATATTGTTTTAACTCCTCACCTGTAAGGATGCCTAGCCCAGGTTCACACTTTAAAAAAACGGAAGGTCTACACGAATGATCATTTTGACAAGTTTTACTGGTTTTAGATCTGGGTTACCGCTTCATCATGCCCTAAGTGTACCACGAGTGTCACCTAAGTGTAAGACAAAGTGTAACAAAGATTGGTCTGAGACCGTTCAAGTATATATAGTCGTCCACATTTCCAAACATTCCGCTTGCATTTTGGTGACCTAAGGGAAAGTCAATGTAAGGTAATAACAAAGCACAACATATTTTGGGAGCCCAAGTTATGTTAAACATGAGCACAAGGTAGATGTTGAGGATAGTTGTCGGAGGCTCCAGAAATCTAGCACCAAAGTATCTGAAGTATTTGAGTGACTGGCTAAAGAAAATCATCCTAACATCACCCAAACCATTCCACAGTCTCGCCCCACAGAATGAAATGCAAAATGGTTTTCTACTTGTGCGGATTTTATTAATTTTGAAGTTATACTTCCCTCTCCCCTCTCGATCCCCAAACAAAATCTGTATATTTTGTGGTAGAAGGTTATTTTTAGCTTTATGTATAATTTGTGCTGTTTGGAATTTCACAGTGTCAGTAAGTTTAAATAATTTTGACTGTAAGAAGAGTGAGTGAGTGAGTGAGTGAGTGAGTGAGTGAGTGAGTGAGTGAGTGAGTGAGTGAGTGTGATCCAGATACCTGACATAATGAAAGACCCTTATTGCCCTTTTTTGAAGAATAATCAGTGAATTGATTGAATTCATACAGTTACTGCCCCAAATCTCTGCACAGTATCCTTATTTGACTGTTATATAACTGATATACTTTTGATTTAGTGCAAGCTGCTAGTTTAAGGATTCATATTTTCCTACAGAATATATACATATATAAAGGACTACAAGGCCTTATGTGAAAGAGAGTTAATGTAACCGGAAAACAATAGATCGAACAGCTCCGACCTCTTAAACTCAAACTGGATATTTTTAGTTTAGTCACGACCAAGATAAAGCGGACATAAACTCTTCTTTGTTCTGTTGTGCTTTAAAAAACACTGACAAAATCAAAACACGGCTCTCAGATTGTCCCAGAATGTGTTTCTCTATTATACATTTACTAGTTTGCATCAAATTGTCTATTCGGTCTATTTTTCTCAGTCCCACGCCTTCAGATTCCCATAGATGCAAATTCTCCACTTTCTAAGAGGGAGTCCTTTCTTTTAAAAAAGCTTTTCTCTTTTGTTGGCATGCAACCACTTGATTTTACATGAACTGAGAGAGAATCTAGAGTGGACAGAAAAGGGAGAGGGCATAGCACCTCCCACGTCCTTCCTGTGAGAGAAGGAGAGAGAGAGAGAAAGGAGGATAGAGAGGGATAGAGAGAGAGGGATAGAGAGAGAGAGAGAGAGAGAGTCTGCTGTGGTGGCGCTGGAAAATCGGTCGACATGAGCTCTACATGAACCGTGTAAAATGCTTTAAGACGCTTTCGGCGTTTGTCTTTCATCCGTCTAAACCAAGGACGAGCCTGAAGCGGAGCTACACACTTCCACGACCAGGTATGTCGGTGTTGCTCATCCCTCTTTTCCCTCTTCCATGGAGGTTACATGTTGGTATTCAGCGGCGTTACCGCGGTGCTGCTCCCGCTGCTGCTGCTGCTGTTTGGCCGTGTTCTGTGCGCACACCATTACGCGCATTAACAGCTTTGTTTTCTCTCTTCGTCTCATTTCTCTGTTGTTTTATGGTCATCCTCACACTCGGCTCTCTACTCTTATCGTGTGGAAATCTATGTCGCCTATATGCCCGCACAGCCATATTGGCAGTCAGCGGGAGAGGGAGAGGGCAGAGATATGAGGGTGTTGGGTTTATCATATTGCTTTGAAGAGTAGGGAGGGGAGGGGAGGGGGGGAGAGACGTGGCGGCGGCGGTGGGGGGGTTTCTGCGACTGCGAAACGATGGCACCGCTGTGAGATGGCGATCCTCTGGTATTTATGAATGAATCCGGCAGAGTAGGGTGGTCTGTAATGGCGTTGCATACCAAAATTGCGCACCGACGGCAAGCCCTCTCCTCGCCACCCCCTTCATTCCTGACTGAGATGAACGTCAACATTAGACTCCACGGTTATAATGACGCCAGCGTGACGCATAAAGCCTGATTTCTGGTGCAAAAGCCACGGTTAATCCTCCATCTGGATCTGTATTTGCTCCCCCGTCTCCTCCGCGCAGTGCCTGATGGACTGTTTGTTTGTTTGTTTGTTTTCCAAAAACCGTCATGACATGCAAAAGGAGTTGTGAATCATTCAGGCCAATCTCTATGTATATGTGACTATGTATGTGACTCAACTTCCTGTATGCATTGCCAGTCATGGGTGTGAGTGAGTAAGTGTGTGTGTGTGTGTGTGGGTTGCAGAGGAAAAAGAGAGAGGAGAGCAAAGATGTATGGCAGTAAATCCTGTGATTAAAGCTCTAAAGTGTGTGGTTGGGTGTAGAATAGAGATGCAGATGTTAAAGCATGCATGGGGGGGGGGGATAAGTGGATGTGTGTGGGGGAGAGTGTTGATGGCTTGCCCGCCCGTTTGTTTGTTTGTCTGTCTTGAATGGCCACACTATGGTTGCATAAGAAGCGAACACTTCTCCGAGCCGTGGCAGGACAAAGAAATGACTCAATACACAGAAACAAGGAGAGACACAGAAAGATGTGATGATGCTGCTAATGATGCTGTCGTTTCCCATGGTGCTGTATCCCGATGATGAATGATGATTTTTTTCTTTCGACCCGTTGAATCACAGTAGCAAAGCCCCTGTGAGATAACCGGGGTCCGGAGGGGCCAGATGTCGAGGAAGATGCGCCGTCTTTCGGGGGCTTAGATTCTCATCCAGAGGCGGATCAGCTGGTTCTGCACACACATGCATCCTCCAGTTTTATTTGCAGTGAGCATGACTGGGTCCAACTGGGGATGTTCAGCACAGATTTAGTATTTAAAGAAAAGCGGTTATTATCATCACTTCATCATTGGGATGATTTGGAATGGAAATGTGAAAAAAAGTGAATGTTGAGGGCAAATAAATGCAGCAGTTCTCTTAGTGCACTGTTGTCGAGATGAGTTTTTAGCTGGTTATGAAACAACCGATGGCCTGTTATGAGCTGCAAAAGCAAAGAAGAACAGCATAAAGATCTGACTATCCTCAAAGAGGTTTCAAAGGGACTAATAGTTAAGATGGACGTATAAATCATGCCTCTCCAAAGGTAAGAAAAGAGTGAAAGAAAGAGGACAATTTATCGGACATGGCTGCACAGAAGATCGTAGAATCTGTGGGTAAATATTGTTATAGTAATAATAGTCATAATAATAGTGCATCAGATTTTATAGTGCTTCTTGTCAGTGACCTCAAAGCTCTTTACATTGGGTACATCATTCATCCGCTCACACAGTCACACCCTGGTGGTGGTAAACCATGATCACGATATATTCTGTCATATCGTCCGATCTCGATTATTATCACGATTTTTTTAACTGCCTGTTTTAAAGCATCTGTACTAAAAACTAAAAAAAAACTAGTTTCGCCAACATATCTCGCACATCGGCTTAATTGCTCGACGTCACTTTGGAGATACCTGAACGACCGCCACACAACCGACATTGAATAACTTCTCAACAATAACATCTTTGGAGAATAACTCAAAGTTACGGATGACATCTATCTTGCTGCCCTCAGCTCAGCGTTTAGCTTCATGAACGGTCGTTCTGTTTACTTCTCCGACAACTTACAGAAGTGAGCAGGAAAAGCTCGACTCTGATTGGCTGTTGTGACGCGCATTCCCGCTATGTCTGATTGAGTAAATATGCTCACAGCTGATCACAGTGATCGAACTGAAATTTATCACGATCATCGATCACGATCATATAATCGCCCAGTCCTACTTGGTAGTCACAGCTGCCCTGGGACAGACGGGCGGAAACGTGGCTGTGGTCTCTCTGACCACCACCACACAACCCTCACAATCACACACCAGTGGAGGACACACACTGGGAGCAAGGTGGGTTAAATGTCTTGCCCAAGTACACAACAGACAAGACTAGGGATAGGGCGGGACTCAAACCGCCAAACTTCCAGTTATTGGCCGACCGCTCTACCCTCTGAGCTACTGCCTCTTTTCGAGGAAATGCCCACATATCTGTGCTCTGGTCACGTGGTCATGTGCCAGTTTAACTTGACAAAGCCTATACAGCTTGGTCTCCATTTTTTAAAAATCAAAATACTGCCAATCTGCCTCGAGTGGCGAGGTATGGTAGTCTTAAGGAACTACAGATTCCTGCTTTAATGCTTCAAATAATCTGCGTTTTGGGTCTGCATTATGATCATTTCGATTATTAATTTGGTTACTGTCTCACAAGTTTGATAACATATAATCAATTAATTTAATTTCCATACAGATACTTTAAATGCCTTGAACTTAATTGAAGTTACAGCAGTTTTTTGCGACTATTAAGGCGTATTGCATGGAATTGCAGGCCTTTATTTTCCTTATTTGGGGGTATTTCTGCTTTTATTTGATCGGACGATTAAAGAAAGATAGGACAGGCTGCTACGGACACGCAGTAAAGGTTTCATAATGGCCTCGACTCAGTGACAGCTGCAATAAGAACTACAGTTTCTCTACGTAGCTTTAACTGCTACACTAAACCCAAGAAACAAAACTGTTTTCACTTCTATGATACAATTATGAGCCTCAAAACCATCCGTTTTATTGATAAATAAAGTTAACCGTTTCCTCTTCTTGATTTGAAAGTCTGTCTGCCGCTCTGCCAGCAGAAGTCCTGCACCATCAGCTATATATAACAATATACTGCGTAAAGTCTGCTTCTGTAACAGATCAATGCTAAAGGGTTTCAGCTCTTCTGACAGCACCGGCTCATTGAAAAGGTCTATATAGTCTTCATTATACATAGCATTCAGCTGAATTGTCTTGGATGTGCATAACTAATCGAAGGCCAGGATGGCTGTTCTGGCCAATTATGCAAACCATGACCTCCGAGTCCTCGTGTTTTATTTGACATTTTGTTCAAATGTCAGATGTTCGTTTAATGTAAAGCACCATTTCCACCTTCCGTCACTGAATCAGGATAACTGAGAGGAAATTAGCGCTGTTTAGTGTTTTCGGTCACAAGGAGCAGGTTTACGGTGCCGCCCCGTTTTTAACCATCCGTGTTGTTATCAGACATTTGATCCACTGGTGTTATGAAAGAAGCCGTCTGACTGAAATTTCAGGAGAAACCAGTAGAGTCCATTTAAAACGACCAACCCTGTCACCATCTGTCACTCGAGGTTTCTGCAACCCACTCTCCCAGTCTGTAATTAGTGCTTCAGTCAGGTCAGGGCCTTCACAGTAGCTGAGATTGTGCTGTCTCAAAAAATAAAATATTCAAATGCATAGTGCAGACTTGAAATAGAACACGAACCCTCCAACACAAGCTCTTTCTTCCTTTTTCTTTGCATTATTCTGTTGCTAAAAGTCATTTGCCACCGTGTTTCTCAGATTTGCAGGCTTTGGTATTAACAAAGTCTTAGGGAGAGGCCAGACGGAGCATCTCATGGATCTCCTGGCCAGGCTAATACTTAATACTTCTAATATAAACACACACGCACTAACTATACGGCCCTCTTGCATCGAGTTCTGCAGAGACAGTGTTAGGAGGGTTGGCAGATAAGATTACGCAAAATCTTTCCCAGAGTCACTGAATATTTCAGACATATTAGGGAGTAGATGAAGGTGAGATATGAAGTACAAAGGCTGCTGTGTGCCGCTGGCTGTTTTTCGCTCATAAAGCTGAAGAAAGTCAGCATCTGTCTTTTGGTAAACAGGTGCCACAAGGTATCATTTCCCTTTTCAGAAATCTGACAACACAACACTAAAATTTTCATCTGAATTTTTTGACTAAAAGGCCTCAGCCTGTGGCCTACCAGATGATCTTAACCAGAGATAACCTTTGCCTTCTGCGTCTATCATATTTGGCCTTTCTTCATCATTGATACTTTTAATGTGTCCGTTTCTTAAAGCAAAAACGAGCTCTTGTGCCAACAGGCTAAATGCTAATGCTGATATTTATATTTGGATTTTGCAGCATGACCTGTGAGAAACTCTGTTGCTTTATATGTGAAATTGTAAATATCGTAAAACTCCAATTAGAAATTTTGGGTTAGTTATAAGAGAGACTTAATTCAATACTTATGCCTCTTTACAGCAAACAACAACCAACAATAGCACCAGTAAAAATGCAGAATCTGTTTTACGTCCAAAGCTATTGCCGCAGGGTTGGAGTCAGACTGTTTGATTAACATTAACCTGTTAAAACAGTCTGTTTATATTCTCCATCCATTTTCTACCACTTTTTCCTGTTGGGGGTCGCGGGGGGCTGGAGCCTATGCCATCATGCCACGCTCACATTCACACCTATGGACAATTTGAAAGTGGCCAATTAACCAAACCCCACTTCTGCATGTTTTTGGGATGTGGGAGGAAACCGGAGAACATGAAGTAAACCCACACAGACACAGGGAGAACATGCAAACTCCACACAGAAACGCCCTGACCCAGATTCGAACCCACGACCTTCTTGCTTTGAGGCGACATTGCTAACCACTACACCACTGTGCCGCCCGTGTTCATATTTCAATAAATTTCCTCAGTGGCTAGTAGATTTGGCAGCTAAAAGACAGGAGGGTTTAGATTTCTTTCAGGAAAGTCGTCTTACACAAGTACAGGACAAGAGCAACAAAGAGGTAAGAGTTACTCTTTTGTCCACAGGAGGCACCAAAAACAACACGACCAAAAGCTCCTCACAATTGGCCTGTGATTGATGCTCTGGTTGAAATTGACCTGATTTACCTCATCTTAAAAACTGCAAAATGAAGCTTAATCTTATTTTCCTGCTCTGGAGCAGATATAAAAATGTAGATCTGCTCTCAAAAACTAAAAACTTCCACCAAGTCTTTCAGATTGTCCTACCATGTTATGTGTGAATGGTTTTCCCCTCTGCATCAGACATTTAATGTTCTGTCAGTACTTCTCTATGTAACCGATTGACACTTCTTCACCCTCCTCTTTACATGGGATGGAGTCCACCATCCCTTCCAAAGATTCAAACTGATCTGGTTGTTTATGTTGTGTTTTAAAGACACACACCAGTTGCTTAAATTGCTGTAGTAATAAACCCCGTGTGCTGTGAGAGGTGCCTAATCACGGATTAGGGATTACAACCTAGACTAAAACTGAGACTGGAAACAAAAACAAAAACAGATGCTATCTTGAACACTTTTTATAGTGTATATTTGAAAAAAAAGAGAAACATGGTGCTTGGATTTGAAAGTGAAATAAAATAATTGTTGTAAAAGTGATTTAGCAAGGTGAATCTGTCAAAGCTCCTGAGATGACCCTATAGTTTATGTTGATTTTGGCGCCCCCTGTGGACAAAGCAGTACCTCGTCTGTTTTTGATTTTTTATATATATACAAGTATATAAAACAAAGCTTGTTTGCTGTGCTAGCAGATGTGACTGGCATTCGTAAACACCATCAGTGTATGAATGTGGCATGTAACGTAAAAGCACTATGTTCAGTCAAAATGCTTGAGAAAGTCTCTATTTATCCTGCAGCAGCATTTAAAGGCATTGACAAAATCCATATTTTTTTGCATATGGTTCCTTTTGCAATTTTAGTTCAATTAATATCACCCTGATTCATAACCAGCTGAAAATTCCTCACAGGAGCTTTAAGTTTTGCTGTACATTATTAGACTGTATGTAAATATTGCCCCTCTTATTATTTAGTGTGATATCCCGTGACGTTGGTGCTAGTGCGCGCTGAATCAAAGGTATTCACTCGAGGTATCAGATGGTTTCAGCGTGCATCAAAAGCTGCATTGAGTCTTATTGGGAGACTGCTGGTAACTTAAGTCCTGGGAATTGGGTCAATGCAGAGCAGGCCAGGACCACAGAGGAGGTTAAGCTCAATGATTAGCTACTAAGCCAAGACCACAGTGCAGCAATCTCTTGTACAGTCTAAGGCACACAGTCAAACGCATGTAGGGTGGTGTACACTCAATCACAGTATATAGATTGACACTGATGAGAGAAGCAGTCACACTCATCAGGCATACACTCAGGTATCACTCAGAGGAGGTGAGGGGATTGTTTCTATGCTCTCATTGATTGATCTGTCCGGCTACTCTCCACTGAGATAAACAGCCACTCATGCTGTGAAATGCAGATTTATCAAGTTTAATTTCGATTGGACACACATTTCAATTCCTCTCTGGATGAAGATAATTCTCATAAAGATTGTATTGAAAAATCATGTAGAGACACTTGCTTACGTGAAGTTCAATGATTTTGATGCTTATAGAGATGTCAATCAATCATCCTTTTAACATGAAATAATAAATCATGATCATCATTCTCTGAAAACTTAACACTTTAAAGTACTTCTAGTGGCAGAGATAATATTTGAGAATCATTTATTTGGCCGATATTTTAATTTTTCTGTTTGATTCATGTTCCATCTGTTGGCATGGAGGAGGCGGGCTTAAAGACCTTTTACTGCTTAAAGTTCTTCTCTGTTACATTAACTGCATGTTTACCTGCACAGAGCTCTCTGGAATAGAGCTGAGCAGTGATGGAGCCACTTTGGTAACACTTTACAATCACCATAATTTATAAATGGTAAATAGATAGTTGTTAAACTTTTAATCATCATTTAAAAACAGCATATAGACCAATTATAAATGGCAAATAGATAGTTTATTAATGTAAGTTAATAGTTACTTTACCATTATCAAGCAATGAAATTATGATTAATCATTTTTATTAATTATTAATGGACTATTAAAGGTTTATAAAGGGTTTAAATGTTGGTTGTAAAACATCTAGATTAAAATTTGTGTCAGTAGCACTTTGTAAATGGTTAATATTTGGTTTTAAACCATCTATAAACATTACTCAGATGGTTATTGTAAAGTCAGGGTTAGGTTTTTAAAATTGTAAAATGTATAATTTATTTATGGTCTATATGCGATTTATAAATGATGATTAAACATTAATAAACTATCTGCTTACCTTTTATAAATGCTCTATTCACCATTTATAAGTTATGGTTATTTAAAAGTGTTACTGTCACTTTTGATCAACTTTTCCTCCCCTATGATTTCAAGGTTATAAACATAAACCTTGTGAGGCGCTGGTTTGTTTGAGGAGACTTCTTAATTCTAGAAAATAAATGAAGCAGCAGAGTTGGGCGGCACGTCTGCGGACAAATCAGTCACTTGTAAGTCAGCATGCATCATTTGAAGGTTGTTAACACGTCGGACAAAAAACAGCCAAAACCAAGGGCATTTTTATACTGAGGATGCTGAAGTGAATTCATCCTGGATTGAAAATAGACACTGCCGCAAAAAAAAATTGCAAGGAAGCTGCTTTTATTGTAATTACATGCAGCAATAGTTAAAATGTGCTTTTCCCCTTTTTTTTTCGAACAAAAGTGTCACTTTTTTTAATCTTTTGTGAGCAGTTTTTCCACAGGTTTTTCATTTTTGGGAGGTTTAGTTTTGCAGGAGCGTGACTGAATATGTGAGACTGAATCAAAAGTCATCAATTGAACCTCCTCAGTCTGCTCAAACCCTCATTAAACTGCCCTGTTCTAAAAACTGCTCTCTCTCAAAATGCAGATTCATTCCTCTGGTAAAACACACACACACTAACACACACACATGCGCACGCACTTGAAAATCCTAAGCTGATGCGTGCACGGAGAACAGGGAATCTCTCGCTTCACTGCACAGATTCAATCACACACACGCACATGTTCATACACTATCCTCCAGTCTGGCGGCCGGAGAAACTTGGTGCAGGTTTTGAGGCATTTTTGAAGAGTGTGTATATGTGATAGTGTTTGCAAAATACGTCTGGAAGAGGCAGAAATATTTCAGAAAATCCCCGAGCTGAAAATCTGTTGATCCTGTAAAACACTCGTCGCAAAAGAGTCGTGTATGCACAGCATTCCTGTATCCACGGCTTGATTAAAGCCTTTTTCTCCACAAGATACCATGGGAGCGCTTTGTGGGTGTCTATTTAATCACGCTCTTGATCTGTTGAATGGCATTGTGTTTGATGTTGGTTAATGCGCTTCCTTTGTGCCGTGTGTAAGTGGCTCTCTTGAGGGAAATTATGTGCATATTTTTGCTAAAGGTGACATTTCCTTGCTTGCTCCGAGAAAGAAACGAGCAGAAAATGTGTTTTCTGACTGAGAGGACAGTCGGGGCCTGTTTGGTCTGTGCCAAAGCTATCTTGCTAATGGAGTTTGGCTGCACTGCCACAGATGCATTTACAGTGTGCCATTAATTCATTAAGGAACTGCAGTCCTCTCATTTCAAATAAAACAAGAGAAGAGGGGAGGGGGGTGAAGCAGAGACAGCTTGCATTTGGGAGGAGTGTGATTAATCTCAGAGGCCTGGTGTCAAGGACAAATGGTGAAGAAGCGGAAGTACAGTGTGTCAGTGTACGTGTGCTTTCATGTGTTTGTGTGTCACTCTGGGGTTGCACCTGTGTGCGCAGCTATAGCCGCTGACAGAGGGAGGGAGATGGCTAATTTTAGTCCAGGTGAAAGAAGGGTGGGTAGAGAGGAGCACCGTTGTCAAGCAGCTGAAATCCTCGTATGAAAAAAAAAAACCTGACAGGCACCAAGCAAGGCAGGATGAGAGACTGACAGGGCCCAGACAGACGAGCCCCATCGATCAAAACCGCAGTGGCCTGAGTTTATTGATCAAACAGCATGGAAACCTGTGGTGTAGAGGAGGAACAAAAAGGAGCTCCAGGAGGAGGTCAGAGGAGTTATATTCAAAATGCATAAACGAGGAAAAGATGGCACTGATATGTAAATGGATGGAGTATAAAAGAAAACCTAGATTCATCATTATTAAAAATCTAGCTCTACATTGCAACACTATCCTTATAGATATGTGTGATATTTGTATTTGAGCACCTCTCTGTATATTCATTCATTCAAACTTTCCCAAACTGTATTTTGGACTAAAGCCATGTTTTCAATTAAAAGTAACACTGCATTCAGGAAGAGGAACGATGCTACACTGCTAAAAATAAACCAGACAGGACAAGAAATCCCCTCCTCTGCTGAGTTTTTCTTTTTTCTTTTGAGGAGACAATGAAGGCAAACTAGCTTTTACAATCTTGCTAAACGATTGGGGTGTTTCTCAGAATTGGCCGAGGCCAATGTGGCTTTGTTGCTGTGTCGACAAATTTCTTCAATTATTCTAATCCTGATGTAATTTATTTCTGGGAAGTTGGAGGAGGCGCAGCGATCCATATACTGCAAATAGTCGCTGAATGCAAAACCAGAAGACAGAGAATTATTTGGATCATTTATGTCCAACTGTATATTTTTAACCTTGTATTCAACATCTTTTATTGCTCTGTTTTTGGTCTCCTCCAAGCAACAAGTGCATATCTAGCTTCCAAACTGCTGCATGCCTCAGCATGTTGTTGAACCAACTTTAGTAACGACCGCACGATAGCAATACACAACGGTCTGCGGAGCCATAAACAAACCTCAACCAAAACGCCACTCTATAGCCACAAATAATGCTCAGAACAGCACCTAACTTCATCAACAGTACATATAGGGTCACAGCCACAACACTAGCCACCAAACATCTTTTTAACTTTGCCTAATTTTTTTAGCAAAGAGACTAAACACAGCTCACCTACTCTCTTCCAGCAGCCGTGTGTAGGGAGACCCCATGACAGTCCATTACAGACTACAGCGGGGCGACACAGCTCAAGGAAGAACATTTATGATAATTTCTTAATGGAAATACAATCAGACTGAGACGCTAAGGCAGAAGAACTAGGCAGAAGGTGATTATAACTCCAAGGAAATGATGAAGAAATGATCATAAATGTTCTTCCTTGAGCTGCGTTACCCCACTGTAGTCCGTAATGGACTGGCCCAAGGTCTCGGTACAAACAAGCGGCTGCTGGAAGAGAGTAGGTGAGTTGTGTTTAGTCTCTTTGCTAAAGAAATTAGGCAAAGTTAAAAAGATGTTTGGTGGCAAGTCCTGTTGATGAAGTTAGGTGCTGTTCTGAGCATTATTTGTGGCTATAGAGTGGCGTTTTGGTTGAGGTTTGTTTATGGCTCCTCAGACCGCTGTGTATTGCTATCGTGTTATCTTGAAGACTTAAAAACAGGCAACTGGACTGTGTAGAGTTAAGAAGACGTTTCGCCTCTTATCCAAGAAGCTTCTTCAGTTCTAAAAGTGCTAGTGTCAGGAGCAGATATTTATCTTACTGGAGAAGGGGGACAGTTAACGACTGGGAGGAGTTGAAAAGAATGGGTCGTAGAAACCCATCTCTCGGTGTGTCCCCCCCAAGTCGTTATCCTGAAAGGGTCGTTAGCGACTCCTATCATGTGGCCACATGACTCATGCCACCTGAGTCATGTGGTTCCAGGTGTGAATGTTTGTGGAACTTTCTGGGGAGAGAGCTGAGAACTGCATTGTAAGTGCCAGAGAGATTGTGCCTGAGTCCACCCCCTCTGTTCAGAGAAGGTTTCTCCAGCCTGGTAAAGATGGCTTCTTTAACTCCTCTTTCAACTTTTCAACTCCTCCCAGTCGTTAACTGTCCCCCTTCTCCAGTAAGATAAATATCTGCTCCTGACACTAGCACTTTTAGAACTGAAGAAGCTTCTTGGATAAGAGGCGAAACGTCTTCTTAACTCTACACAGTCCAGTTGCCTGTTTTTAAGTCTTCAAGATAACCATGACCTGGATGAATGAGAATCTACATGGACATATTGCTATCGTGCAGTCGTTACTAAAGTTGGTATCCCTAGAGAAGCAAGCGGTCGGCAACATTCATCTATCGAGGAGGTGTCTAACTCGGTGTGTTTGACCCTAAATTAATTCTATGCCGGAATATCCCTTTAACAACAGGTACTAAGTTGATCAATTTACTCCACAAAGTACCTTTCTGTGGTATTATGTAAGTTCTGTTTTAATTCATGTCGACTGCTGGCCAATATAACCGTAGTACAAGTATTAACGTTGTTTAAGCTGTAGCCACATTTGAAATCTTGTTCATTAGTAACATTCAGATCAATTTTAGACTGTAGCAAATTCCCCTGTATTATAGAAAGAGCGAAAAAAAGTGCCGGGTGTATCATTACTTAAAGGCACCATAGAGACAATAAGCAAGGTTTGCTGCTTTGCAAGAACAGCTGACAGTCTCCAGGCATGTGGACCGTTCAGCAGTAAGGACATAAAACACTCCTATATGTCACACAGACTTACTGCTATAGATTGACTATAAAACTCAAGAGGCACCCCCTGAATCCCCATTTATTTTCCAACTCCTTGACTGATATTATCTTGAACCTGGCAATGCAATTACAGTGGCCCTGCCATCAATAGTGGGTTCCAGCAGTGCAAGCATGACAGAAATCCACTTATTCCATCTGGTATTGATGTCAATTTACTGTTTCATTACAGCAAGAGCTTAGAGAGCTGCACATGATCACAACTGAATGAATATCTTATTATGGGACCTTAAAGCAAGTTTAGAGCCACAGCAGATAAATAATGCAACAGATACAATGCGTAATCAGGCAAAGATGCTTGGCAGACACACAAGCACTTAAAAAAGGCAAATAGATTAGGTGAGAGGGTGTCGTTTGGATGCATATGTATGAGTTGCAGTGGGAGAGTGAATATTTGTCGAGTCTATTAATGTGCAGTGATGCTGCAGACTATAAACCAGGTGTGTTAAAGCTGTGGAGTTCTTCATTTGATCGGTAATCTTATTTAATATTGATACTATTCCCAGATTTATTACCTGACTGTGCACGATGCAGATGTTGCAGTTTTATTTTTGTGTGTGCACTTCATTTAAGAGCAGATACCATACCCTCTGCCAGGACCACCTCCATCTCAATATTTGCATGCAGGAGTTATTTGGCAGTGTGGCTCTGTTGTAAAAGCTCCCTAACCTTTCATGAGTGCATGTGGACTGCAAAATCCTGTAGTGAGGAGAATACATCTGCATACATGAAATATAAGGCAGGCAGAGCAGCAGCAAAGACCCAAACAGAGTAGGCATCAGTGACAACACATGTAAAAGCGAGTAGAAGCAGACAACACATTTTGGCATTTTCTGTTTAGGTGTGTGGACAGCTATTATATGGGCTGAGTTTGACTTGCCTGAACTAACACTACTTCATTCATAAAAGAATTCTGGTTTTAAGTTCACTTTCTCTTTTTTTAAAGAAAGTATTTCAAAGTCATAACCTCACAAGTGCACAGCGGGTTTTTAAAGACGAAATACTTAGTCGTGAATGGTTTCTAAGGACTTACCTTGAGGGACCACTTATAACGGGAAATACAAAGTGTACAGTCTTGGTTACCTTTAAATAGGACCTTTTTTTATCGACATGTTTACTGGGTCTGTTATACTTGGACTAAAAGGATAAACATGACAAAAACGACAGCTTTTTGAAGCTACACACGTTTTCATTCAAGATAAATGTACAAAAGCTGATCTTCTATCACACAAACACAACCTGACACAATCCAAAGAGGTGTAGTCATCATAGCTGAGGCTATTGTTTGAGGTCTGTTTGTATTGGATCGCGTTATTACACATAAGCTCATGTTACTGTTGCTCTTTACGCAGTAAGAACTCGGTGTCTCTGCTGGGGTTTGCTGCAGTTCCTAAAGTTGATAAATGAGGAAATGTTAGAGTGTCTTCTAGGGCTGAATCTAAGAAACTGTGACTCCGGGAGCAGTATTGATCAGGGAAATGCCTGCGTCAGGTGCAACTCTTGGAGCCCCACCAACCCCATCCTATCTAATTTGTACTCTGGCTCACAGTCAGGCCTGGAGTACGACGGTTAAAGTGCTTCACACTCACTGGCCTTCGGTCCAAAACCCCCTGCACCTCTCTCTCTCTGCTGACGGCTCATTTTTTGAAATTCCTCTTTGGTAAACTTATCCTCTTCTCTCCATCTTACCCTGTCCCCCCTCATCCCCCGACTCCCTCAACATCACAGGTGTAACACTGTCTCAAGCCTGAGGGGGGCAGAATGCCGGAGCAGAGCAACGACTATCGCGTGGTGGTGTTTGGGGCAGGGGGAGTGGGGAAGAGCTCCCTGGTCCTCCGCTTCGTGAAGGGCACTTTCAGGGACACCTACATCCCGACAGTGGAGGACACCTACCGCCAGGTGATCAGCTGTGACAAGAGCGTGTGCACCCTCCAGATCACCGATACCACAGGGAGCCATCAGTTCCCGGCCATGCAGCGCCTGTCCATCTCGAAAGGCCATGCCTTCATTCTGGTCTACTCCATCACCAGCAAACAGTCCCTGGAGGAGCTCAAACCCATCTATCAACAGGCGAGTATGGAGAGTGATTGTCTGCCTGGATGTGTGTGTGTGTTTTGATTGTGGAAATCTATGTAGGTGTTAACACATCGATATGTTTCGTTCAAGTGTTTCAACCATAGACTGTATAAACTATAGACAACTTGGTTCTGCCTTCCGCCAGTAGATGGACTTAAAGCCGAAAAGCTCTTGGTAATTCCGCATTTATTCTCCACTTCCTAAAACCAACATTGCGCGGTAGCATTGTATGCATTCGGTTGGAGAGTCGCCGAGAGTCGCTGTGATGACGCTCAGCTCAAACAGTGTATCCCCCGGGTGAGCGACGCAATCTTCGTACACCGATAGGCTGTATCAAGTGTCAATCATAGAAAACATGAACCCCTAATAACTTTTAAAAACGGAGCTTCACAGAAAAAAAATGACTTGAGCACAAACTAGTCTTACAATAACTACATGTCAACATCGCAACCAAGGGGGAGAAAAATTATATTCTGTGTAATAAATTTCTAAAGTTTGTCCATAGTCCCATAAGGATTGCTGGCAAAAGCGGGATTTATGGCCTATACTGCAGCCTGTCACCAGAGGGTGCTGTTCTCAGAGTGGCTTTACCCTAGCCTGGCTGGGCCATCCAGTTGCGTGAATCACTTGCCGTTCCTTCCCACAACAGTCTGGACTTCGGCCAATTGAAAGCGAGTATTAGAAATCAGAAAACAACCGAGCCAATCAGTGACTGTGTTTCCACTGTTCCCCCGACAACAGGGAAAGGCAGCCCCTGATTGGTCCATGTGTAGATGTGACGTCTAACACATGCCACGGGACTTTCCAAAGCGCCGTTCATTCAGAACGCCATTAATTCTGCAGTTGACTTTGCAAAGTCGGCGGAAATCGTTTATATCCGCAGAAGAAGACGCAAAAGACATTGTGTGCTCGCACACGTTGAAATATTACCAAACCTTTAACTGATGCTCGAGAGCCCAGCAGGGAACACAGTTGCGCACTGTGATGACGTCAGATGCTTGGTTACGGTGATTGGTTACAGTAGTCTGTCTATCAAGGAAAGTACTCCCGCCCACTTTTAGGTCTCCCAATTGGCCGAAGTCCAGACTGTTGTGGGAAGGAATGGCAAGTGATTCACGCAACTGGATGGCCCAGCCAGGCTAGCTTTACCCAGCGAGGAGGCAGACGGCGTCCATTCCATATACAGTCTATGGTTTCAATAGGTCTACTCTTCATGTAGTAAGACAAAACTGTCTTTAAGTTACTGTACGCTGAAGGCTTTTGATCAAGACCAAAACAATCCTACTTTAAATAAAGAGTATATAAAAAAGCACTCAGTATGTTGTGTCAATACATGAAGTAGTGGTCTGTAAAGTGGTAACAATGTTAACCAGCCAGAACACAATAACCATCCCCATTATTCTTGCAGGTTTTGGCCATAAAGGGTAACGTCGAGGCCATCCCTATCATGCTTGTGGGCAACAAGAGCGATGAGACTCTACGGGAGGTAGAGACCAAGGACGGGGAAGCCCAGGCCAACCAGTGGAAGTGCGCCTTCATGGAAACGTCCGCCAAGACCAACCACAACGTCACCGAGCTCTTCCAGGAGCTCCTCAATCTGGACAAGAAGAGGAACATGAGCCTCAACATCGACGGCAAGCGCTCAGGGAAGCAGTCCCGCGCCGAGAGACTGAAGGGCAAATGCAGCGTGATGTAAAACAAGGAGGAGGAGGAAGAGGAGGAGGACGAGGAGGAGGGGAGATGGAGGCAAGAGAGGAAGTAAGGAGGGAAATTAGGAAGACAAAAGACAAGAGAGACTCACTTTCAGTCAGACAGAGCTAAAAGACTGGAAGGCAAGGAAATCTTATCGTCACAACCTCCTCCATTAGACTGGTGCATTTTCAAACCCGACACAGCAGTTATTTTGAGAACATACAGGATATCAGTCCGGAGCTTTAGATCCATGTGCATTCTGATGACGGGAAAAATGAGGGAGACTGATGCAGAACATGGAGAAGAAACGAAATACACATGTCAGAAAACAACACGGGAGCGGGATCCTGCATCATCCAAGAGTCACAAACCGTAAAAGAGGAACTCATCACGACCTTGGACTGCATTACAGATCACAATCTGCAGCACTGCTTCATAAAAAAACTGAAGGTTTCCAATCTACAAAAGACTTTCAGTGTCCTCTCTCACTTCTTTACATCCCTCCCTGCCCTGCTCTGCTCACACTTCAACTCCCACCCTTTGCCATCCCAGCGACTTCATCCTTTGCTTACTATAAAAAATACAACAACGTGCGTGTGTGTGTGTGTGTGTGTGTGTGCGTGCGTGTGTGTAATTTAAGCTCACCTATCTGGTAGAAACACTCTTTTAAAGACTGATGTGTCCATCGAGCTCGAAAGCACACAAAACCCCGAGGGTTTGAGACTGCTAGCATGAGCGGCACACATTACAGCAGCAAAAACATACGACTCAGCTGAGGACTCTGATGTATATAAATATGGGATATTTCAATATATTCCAACTGGTCTACACACGCCCCACCCAAACTACTTAATCAATCAAAGAAAGGGTCGAAGCTCACGGGAGTTAAGCTGAAGTTTGTGGCTTGAGGACAAATTTTCTCTTCTCTTCTGAAAAATAAAAAAAAGGCCCTGAATTGCCTATAGCTGTCAATACGCTCGAACCCCATCTGCAAACTGTCGAAATGAAGCTACAGATTCAACGCAACAGTCCTTTTAAAGACTCTCGTTTAGTGTAGAATAACTCTGGAACAAAAAGAAGCTCACGAAAAGCTCGGGAAACAAGTCTGCCTTGTCCAACCAGGACGATACACTCGGATAATCATCGCCAAGCTGGTACACGGGAAGAGAACTGGGATGACTTTTTTTCTGTTCTGAGATCGAGAATGTCTATTTGCTTTGGCACTTTTCATTATCACACGTTTCTTTCTTTTGCCTTTTTTCTCGTTTGCCTAGCATTGCTGTTTGAATCCATGTAAAAGAAGACAAAAAAAACACCTTAAACAAAAAGCACACGAGTAAAGAGAAACAACGGGATGGATGTCAAATACGCTCCACGCAACCTGAATCTGTATTTTTTCTAGGTTGTATGTTGTTTTGGTCGATTTTCCTCTTGAACGCTCATGCAGACACACACACATTTGCATTTACTTGCACACACACACACACACACTGCATGCGGACTGATGCATTAATGCAAGAGTCAGAAAAACAGTAAAGGTTAATTTGAGTAACATGAAGACACACAGGGCTCAGTCAGCCTAAATGCCCTCACATTGCACTTTATATCATAACCACACCCACACACATACACACACACTCACACACACAGCAGTAATTTATCCTTGTTTGCCTACTTTACATCCGTTTAAAATCAAACATCCTCCTGTTTCCACAGAATAGCTCGGATTTTTTGTCACGCAGGAGCTCAGAAAAATTGTACACAGTGTACACAGGACAACCAAAAGCACAATTCTTTTTTAACAACATATCTATTTGTATTGTTTCTTTGTTCCTTTTTGTATATTGTTTGCGATTTTCACCTTCAACATTCATCAACTAGTGCTGAAAACGGACGAACAACCCCATCACGCTCACAGGTGGCTCTCCGTCCGTCTCCTTGTTAAATGTTTTATTTGTCCAGTTTGTGGCACAATGAGGTTGTGATTCTGCTGAGCAAACAGGGTATCGTGATGTGACGGCTTATCCGCGGATGTGAAGTGTGTAAATGTGACCTGACGCCACCCCGTCCCCTTACAGGATTGTAGATGGTACATTAGGAGGCAGCAGAGGAAGAGTCAGATTATTTGTCTCCATCTCTCAGGCGGTTTTAACTACAATTCGGGTGGAGGATAATCTGCTCCTGTGCTGTTTTAAAACCCAAAGACACAGATGATGCCCCTCTTTTAAGTGTGTATCCACCTCTTTAGAAACTTTAAAAAAAAAAAAAAAAAGCACAGCAACTGATTTCATCCGTCTCTTTGTCTGTTTGTCATGTGCAGCAGAATCAACAACTGGGCACTTTAGGGTGACATTTTACTTGAAGGCTTGCTTCATACTTCATTCTGAAACCTTTTGTTGCAGTGTTCACACCCCCACACACACACGTAAAGAAGTGCAGTTTTTGTAAATAAGCATACGATAGTGGAATTCGCTGTTTCTAAAAGCTTCAAGTAAGATGTTACCCATGTAAAGAAAAAAAACTATACCTTGGAAAGAGTCCTGATGTTACAGTAGGAGGTTTGGTGTTGCAATGTACTGTAATACACAGCTAATAATGTTGCTCATGATATATGTAAGTGTATTTGACACGACCACAACTCGGATCTATCAGATAATAATAGCAAAATGTGAATATGTAACTTAAGGTTTTCGCTCCATGGCTGTTTTTTTTTTTATTTTCGATTTTGCTGAATGAATCTGTCGTTATTGACGTGTTGTACTTTGCACTAATGTGAGGTCCTGTTAAACTCAAAAATGTGCATTGTAAACGTACCCTTTACCTGTTAGACGCCAGGGATGCACACTCAGACTCTTTCATTTACACCTATCATTTGTAGAAATATGAAAATATAAAGTTAGGGAGTGAATTCTATCATCGATCTACCTAATGTGTCCATCTGAAGCTGGAACATGTATCAGGCAGCTCTGCCCTGATCTGATGTGGAAGCTACCTGCAGCAGCGGTGGTGCACCCGTTGCATAAATATAAGCCCGGCCCGCTTCACGCAAGCGAACGCCAGATTGCGAGCGCATGTTTGTGCAATGTGTTGTTCAGGAGACTGCCGTCGTCCGTGTTCCTGTGTGAAATCTGATACAGCAGAGGGGAGGGAAAAAAAAGCAATGAGACAACGTGCAGCGTGGACAACAAGCTGGGGCGAGAGGGAGAGGGAGTTGTGCTATTATTAGAAACGGTGTGAAAGTATGAGGTGTAACTGCACAAACAGAAGCCCGGGTAGGATTTAGATAATGTTTGCATGCTGGGAGGAGGAGTATAGGAGAGTGTGTGTGTGTAGGATAGACACCTCTGCCCGTCCACTTAGCGCTAGTCTCTTCTTGTTTTTCAATGCTGCTGCTGTCTGTGTGCATGTGACCATGAGTGCATCCATATTTGTGCAGAATCAGCCACCTATTTGCATCACTCCATTCCAGCCTGCACGAGTGTGTGTGTGTCTGTGTGTGTCTGTGTGTATGTTAGTGCCCTCCTTTAAGATGTCTGTCAAATGTTTGCAGCTTTCCTGCGGAGAATGCCTACACATTTCTGCATGAGTCATCGCCCACTCCTCAAACACACTCCTATACACACACACACACACACACACACGTACACACACTATCAAACAGGCATGGCGGCTAAATAGACAGACTGCATGCCTTTAGCTACACACAAACACACACTAACACACATACTACACAGGCCTCATTCTCTCACCGGCGAGTTTGCTCTGCTCTGCGCAGTTTTTTTTTTCTTACTCCACTGTTCGCCTTTACCTTTCATGTATCAGCCATCCACCCCCCCTTTAAATTTGGAGTGGCTTTCATATTCAACCACGTCCGTTTTATTTATTTTTTATTTATTTTGTTCGTTTGTTTTTTCCGTGTGTGTGTTTGTGAGTCGGTTGCTCTCGAACAGACTGGAGGCGGCTCACATCTGATTGTAGATAGTTGTAAATAGTGTGTAAAGGACTTCATATTTCAGAGATGAGAGAGAGAGGGAGAGAGCGTGCAGAGGGAAGGACGCAGAGGTGGGAGGGTGCTGTCACCTGCGAGTTTCTTCTAATAAACTAAAAAGTGTCCGATTAGTGACGACACAGCGAAGGGTGCAAGTTTGGCGCCGACTTCAAAAGCTGTCGAAGCAATTTTAGAACGATTTTTCCAAAGAATTTGATGTTTTTGCTGCTTGAAAAAATGCAAAACTGACTTTTGATGTTCGAATCTACGGGAGCCTAAAGTGTTCAATATTAGATGAAATAATAAGTCTTTGTTTTAGGAAAAATGATTTGCCTACTTGGAGAGAAAAAGTGGAATAATTCATTATTTTGCACTCTAAAAAAGCCGTTTTCACCCGGTTAGTAAGATTGATTGTTTATTTAATTCATAAATGATTGTTTATGTCTGGTTTTATTCTACGATGTCTTTTAAAACAGACCAGAGCTAGTTTGATGATTGACTGTCGACTTAATCAGACGAAAGCAGCAGCCAATTACATAAAAGTAGCGCTATTAACGTAAAAATCCCTGAAAAAATGCTTGAAAAAGTCGAAATCTCAGTTGGACAGTTACGATTGCTTTAAACGTCTTTATTTTGGTCCATAAATGATCTACAGTCAATGGTTTAAAGATGCTGTTTCGCAATGTGACTCATCTTGTTTTTCCCAAAAAGTAACATCTATGTATTTAATATTGAACACTGTGGGCTGTCTACGTAGATAGCATTGTCACTAAATCTAAATTCCAACCAGGCGAGTGACTCCTTAGTCACCGAGTGTTGTACAGCAGAGTTCGCGTGATTCACTCATGTTCTTCAATAGCAGGATGACAAACATGACCCTGAGACGCCATGAAAAGGGCAGTGAGTAAGAACGAAACACACAAGCGAAGGTTGTGGTTTTCTTGTCTTACTGGTACACCCCGTCAACTCATCTGTACCAACGAGGGCAGGTTACAGTCCAGCAGAGCCAAGCTCAGAGGCAGAGGATCTAAAGGGAATCAGTGTTTGAGGATGAATGAAAACTGACCCATTGACCTCTCCAGCTCACCCCTTTACATCTGCTCTGATCGCCTCAGATCCTCACAAGCTGTTCTTGTGTGGACGATGCGGCGTAAAGTGGGGCATATAGACTTTGTGGATAATGTAGTTTGGTACTATCCTGTCGCTCTGGCCCTTCATTCCTGCATGGTCCCTATTGGTGTTCCAGCCAGCATGAGAACAAGGACACAAACTGTGAATCATCTTTGTATTTTTTAAATAAATTCCTCAGCAAAATTTACCGCTTCAGTTTTTGCAAATGGTTCATTTCATTTAAGCACTTATTGTTTTTTGTATATTATTCTACTGTTTTATTTTTCTGTTGGGACATTTTTTTTTATTTTATTAACTATGATGTATAGATATTTATTCTAGCAATAGTCTTCCTATTAAGATATACTGTGCTGATGCATCCTCTGAATAACTGAAAATAACATATATAAATATATATATAGATGATAATAATAATAATCAAATCTGCAAAATGATTTTCCTAATAAAAACGTGAACTGAGAAGTGTTTTTGTCTTTTTGTGTACGATTTTTAAGCTTTACAAGCACACTTCTTCTGAGGCGACAGGCCGGGAAACAACTTTTGAGATGATTTAAAAATGTTATCATTTTGTCTTTTCCGCAGAACCTGATTTGACTTTATTGTTTACTTGCAGCAGCACATATCTATAATAAATCAGTTGACAAACATGATTTGTGTTGAATATCTTTTAGATTAATTTCTAATAGTCTAATAATGAAGTCTATACCTGTGCAATGTTAAAAGGGATATTCCGGTGTAAGAATGATTAAAGGTCAAACACACCGTAACACCGAGTTAGACACCCCCTTCCGGGGATGAATGTTGCCAAACCGCTTGCTTCTCTAGTTATACCAACTTTAGTAACAACCGCACGATAGCAATACACAGCGGTCTGAGGAGCCACACACAAACCTCAACCAAAACGCCACTCTATAGCCACAAATAATGCTCAGAACAGCACCTAACTTCATCAACAGAACATAAAGGGTCCTAGCCACCAAACATCTTTCTAGCTTTGACTAATTTCTTTAGCAAAGAGACTAAACACAACTCACCTACTCTCTTCCAGCAGCCGCTTTTGTTAGTGAGACCTCGAGGGACTACAGCGGGGTGACGCAGCTCAAGGAAGAACATTTATGATCATTTCTTCATGGAAATGCAATCAGACCGAGACACTAAGGCAGAAGAACTACTGCGTCTGCAGTGCAAAATGATTAATATGGTGATTATTACTTCAAGGAAATGATAGAAAATGATCATAAATGTTCTTCCTTGAGCTGCTTCACCCCGCTGTAGTCCCTAATGGACTGGCCCGAGGTCTCACTACAAAAAAGCGGCTGCTGGAAGAGAGTAGGTGAGTTGTGTTTAGTCTCTTTGCTAAAGAAATCAGGCAAAGTTAAAAAGATGTTTGGTGGCTAGTACTGTGGCTAGGACCCTATATGTCCTGTTGATGAAGTAAGGTGCTGTTCTGAGCATTATTTGTGTCTATAGAGTGGCGTTTTGGTTGATGTTTGTTTATGGCTCCTCAGACCGCTGTGTACTGTTATCCTGCAGTCGTTACTAAAGTTGGTATAACTAGAGAAGCAAGCGGTCGGTAACATTCATCTCTCGACGGGGGTGTCTAACTCAGTGTTATGGTGTGTTTGACCCTAAATTAATTTTACACCGGAATATCCCTTCAAGTGAGATTTATTTTTTCCTTTTGATTCCTGCTTTAAAATGCCATGGTCAGCCATATTACAAATAATCTATAATTTGTATCAGTATAAATAGCAGTACTGGTATCAAAATGTCAAATTAATTAGGCTAAACTGAAAACCTGCTAAATAAACAATATTCGTATTAGCTTCGCCTACCACCTACTCAAAGTTTTAATGTCAAGTAGTTAAAATTAGAAAGTCAGTGGTGAGAGGATTTTCTTATGTAATAGTCAAACTCATCGAATAACAATGACGGTGTAAGCAGACGAAGACTAATTCCTGTTTTCTTCAGGCTGAATTCACACTGCATACTTAACAGAAAAACACATTAAGCATTCACACAAACACAGATAGATGCTGCATTCACAGCCTCCCACTCCTCCTCTCACTCTCACTTCTCTCTTAACCCTCTAACATCTGCTCAGGGATGCTGTGCCCGGCGCGGTTGCCATGGAGACGCGGTGACGTTGACGACGGTTGTCGCATCAGAGAGTGGTGTGACCCTGGTGGGGACAGAGATGCGTTACGACAGGCAGAGGTCTCCCAGGCTGCTGCTGCTGGAGCATGTGTAGTTACAACGCGTACGGACCGACATTGGCACCCCAAAGGCCAGTGTGGCAACCCCTTTAATCGAAATGAGATCACATACATGTGCGCACACACGCACACACACACAAGGCTGTTGAGTTTAACATGATGTCAGCACACGTTACGCCTCAGTGGAAACCGAGGGAATCAGTCTGCGTGGATGGGGGGATGCCACCTTTGTCAGTCTGTAAGCATCTTGTAGTCGTGACTCATGGGCTTCCACCGCTCCTTCCTTCAAAATGAGGAGCTCTGCTGTAATTCACTGTAACCACTCTGCCTCACACACACACACACACAAGACAGTGGGCTGCAAAATGGTCGAACAAAGTGGGATAAATGAAGGTGTGTGGGGGGGCAGAATAAATGGAGCTAAAAGGTGAGAAAACTAGAGATGTATAGGCATCAGCATAATTTCACACATGAGAGGAAACGAGGCCAATGCGAATCTCTGTGGGGTTATAAATAGCCCTCCTATAGTTAAAATAGGCAGCTAGGAAAGGTTTCCATACGGCAAGGAAGGAGATATGGCTGCAGCACCATTACCAGAGTGTATGTCTCCAAAACTCCATCTGTGTCAGTACAATCAGGATTTTGTGCGAAAATAAGTCCCTGTCCTACACACCAGACCTCAAGTCCCCTTCACCGCAGAGAAACCCGTCCACAGCCCGCCAATAACCACGCAGCTCTTTTAACTGCGTGTGGAGGAGGAGGAGTGCAGGACTACAGCTCGGTGCTGCTAACGCAGGATGCGCCGGGGCCTGCCAGGAATAGAAGGGGCGGCCCACACCTCCCTGGAGGAGATGGAGCTACAGCTGGGTCAATAGCGCCCCCATGTGGCCACACAGAGAAATAGATATGTGTGGTAACAAAAAAAAAAAAAAAAAAAAAAAAAAAGGTCATCGACTGGGTAGTAAATAAATCCAGATGTGCACGAGAGAGAGGAAGTACACCACTTACAGGCCGGATAGGATCGTTCTGTTGTACTCTTTAAAGGCTTTCAGCACTAAGGGGACAGGTGTGTTCCTTGTGTTTGATGCTTCCTAACATCTTCATGTATATCCCTTTATGTGTTTTTTATTAAAACAGAAATAGAGGACAATTATTCAAGGAGAAAAAAGACATCACTCAAACTGAAGAAAGCAGACATAAAGCCACCACAAATCACCACACAAGGACCTTATAAGAGTCATTTTGATGTAACATAGCTAACTTTAAGAGCTATCATGCACAATGATAATGTTTTTTAGCACTTTTATGGGCAATAAGGAGCATCGAAATTCATTTCAGTCCATTTCATAACCAGCTCAAATTTTCTCGCAGGAGCTTTAATGCTATAAATGTTGTTGTCATACTATAGAATTACATAAACTTTTATAATATTATAATCAAAACATGTGCAGGGGATAAAGTTTGGGACATCTAAAACTAAAATTAATATATTGCATCTGAAGATTGATGCAAAATATAGATACTCTATTGTTTCAAATAGGTTTTTCTGCATTTTTAATAAGGAAACTGATGCTGTAAGATATTTGATTACTTATCCAATCTGATTATTTTTACAGTATTTCATTATTGGCCTAAAATCTGAGCCAGTTTATATTTTCCAGGTTATAACACCACAGGTTAAGTCTTCCACTCAAAAAATACTTCAACCTCCTACCCTCAGGGCGCAGGTAGCGGAACCCTAAGGTTTCGCAAGGCCCGCTTTAGGAAAAGCCTGGTCCCTGCAGCTATAGATGCCCTGAATAGTAGGCCCCGGTGAATAATCTGTCCTGTTGCCTCCTTGCTGCTTGTTGCCGATTGCCGTTGTCCGAGTGTTTGTTATTAGTTGTCTGTTCCTTAAGGTCTGTCCTATGTGATGTGCATTTTTGTCCTTTTATGTAATGTACAGAACAATAAATCTATCAATCTATCTATCTATTCAGCCTCTGCACCGGTGTTTTACAGATCAAGGTACCAAACGAGAGCTTTTCATGTGATATTTTTGACTTCATTGTTAAAGAAAGTAGCACAATGGCAGGGATTGATGTTGAATGAGATTTCCATTCATGCAAGTGTTGCCCAATCTTCACTTCCAAGAACCAACCAGAATTTCCAATCACACATGAGCTTCATAAGAGGGATTTAGGGGTCCTAACAGGGCACCAGCAAATACTCTACCACGAAAATCGAGTTTTTTTCTCTCTCTGTTCTTTATTAAAACAAACTAATTACCAAGAGGAGATATTCAACCATCTTTGGGATTTACTGGCAATGTTTTGAGAGGTATTTTAGGTTAAAGGTGCTGTCACCGGATCGACTAAAGGTAGGGAGAAGGAGAGGGGGAGGAAGAGGAGAGGAGAGGAGGGGGGGGGTAGAGGAGTGGATAGACACTGGTAGCGGAGGGGGAGGCGTTTGGCTCGGCGAAGACGGGGAGTGAACGAGCAGAGAGGGTGAGAAACCAGCGGATCTGGCCCTTTAAATCACCAATACAGCGCATTCGGAGGTGAGTTTGGAGATATTCGGGTATTTTTTTTCACTCTCACTGTGTATTATAATTGTAACGCGTCTGTGCGCTTCTGCAACCCCGGCTTCCCGTCACCGAGGCGGCTGCAGCGGAGAAGGGCTTCATCGGTGTCACGAATCCGGTTTTCCCCAGCCCTTTGCCGGCAGAGAGGGTGGGGAGGACCGGGGACAGGGTCAGTGGAAGATTTCCTACAGCTCGACTGGACTCTAAGGACGCATGAGCCACTTGTATATAAAGGGGGGAGGGAAAAAAAACCTCTGGATTTCATGTGCTGAAGTAGGCCGATCAATTTGCATAATAGCGGAACATAAAGGCATGCGCTCCGGTCTCGTGCCCATTGTCGCTGTGGATGGGTTCATATTGGCTGCTGGAGCCTGAAAACATGTCACCACCCTGCTCCCACGGCTTACAATCAGGGGCCTGTGTGCAGAGCCGAAGCGGTCTAGTCTGGTCCTCACTTGGGGGAAAATATCTTTGGCTTTTGATATGTGCACAAGGTCTGCCCGTGCTTGCGCGCCCGTGCGTTATGCGTGTGTGTGTGTGTGTATGTATACGTGTGAGTGTGTGTGGATAGCCATGGGAGAGAGGACATGCTGTTCTATCCATCAAAATGCCCGCATTGTGTTTTCCCACTGTAGAGCAGCGAGCAGGGGCCTATCGCGTAGGACATGCAGGCCTGATCAGGGCTCATGAGCTGCGAGGATCAATATGGATTGATGCAATTTTTGCGCGTCTTGAGAGCGGCTGTGGGCTCGCTGAGCTGGCTGGGCTGGCTTGCTTACTGGTTGGTTCGGGGCCTGGTAATGTTTTTGGTTCCTGGCTCAATCAAGTGACCAGCTTCTGTACAGGTTTCTGTGTCTGTGCATCGCCTTAAGCAAATGTTTTCAATTTTAGGGGGCGTAGGAGGAGAGAGGTTTGACTGAAGAAGGGCAGAGATTCATATGCCCATTCGAATGCGCTATAACAGAAAGTTTGACAAATCAACAGGCTTGAATGCCCATGTCTGTCGCTACTAATGCTGCTTATGAAATATAAAAACAAGCATATCCGAGTCTGGGAATGCAACAGTTTGTAACTTTTAATTCTTGGAGGATGTAGATCTGAAGAATCTGACCACAAAATAAGATCACACACATTAACTCCCGCTTCAAAAGGCTCTTTATATGGCTGCTGTTGCCTAGTGTGTGATGTTACCTTGGTTTTATGATAAGGAGCTGCTCTGGTTTACAGTCATATCTGTATTAATCTTCTGTTGGCAGTCAGTGGAGCTGTACTGTGGGAAGGGTGATTCGGGGACACTCCTCCACTCATGACAGTTAATGAGTGTGTGTGTGTGTGTGTGTGTGTGTGTGGTGGAAAGGTTATGTGAGAGTGTGTGCGTCTAACAAACACATTTAAGGGGCATACGTCTTTTTGCACTTTAACATCATTAAAAAAATCCTCAAATGCTCGATCTGGTCTGCCGATGGACTTTGGCTGTTTCCATAGATATCACGTCCTTACTTCACACAATAAGACAACAATTATTCCCAGAGTTAGGGATGCACAGTCTATAAGTTCTGCGGATGTGACTTTAGGCTAAACATGCACCGATAAATCGGTCGGCTGATCGATCGGCGTCGAAAACTGATTTTATCCACCGATCTTAACTTCCTCAGCAAAGGTCTGAAAGTCAGCCGTTGACAGGCCCACCCATCAGTTTAGTTTGTCCTGTAGATTATTATTTTACTAACTTCCTTAAACATTGTGATTTCCTTTATTTTTAAAATCAAAATACTGCTGTGCTCTTTATTTTGGTAAGATGCTCAAAACAGGCCTGCAGTGTGACCTGTTGTGCAAGAATGGTTAATTCTTAACATGTGGAAAATAAAAGACTAAAGGAACTGATATAATTTAGTAGTTTGGGCAGCTATATTCTAAACTTTTCATTTATATTTGAGAGAACTACTTCATGTGCAGTTAAAACAAACACAAAAAGGCTTATTTTGTTCCACAATTATTGTTTAATGTTTTTCATTAAAATAAGATTGGAGCATCAAATGTGTATGTTGTTAAGGTTTGGGCCAAAACTGGTATCGGCAGGTCAAGCTTTTTAAAGATCGGTTGGCCAGAAAATTGTGATCGGTGCACCCCATACTTTAGGCTGATTCCAATCATGGAAAATACACACTGTTTTTAATTAATACGAACTGTCTCATCTCAAGTTAAGTTTACCTGTCTGTCACTGTTCTTCTGTATGTATTTTCTTTCAGGTACAGACATTCCTAAACAGTCACTATATTTCCTATCTCTGTCTTGAAATTGAGGCTGCTTTCAGTTTTCATCTGCGCTAATTTTATTTCATTCTTATGCTCAGAAACTCTTGGTGTTGTTCAGGATGACAGATGCGAGATTAAATAAATAAAGTTAAAGGAGAGTTTTTTTTCCTCCTAGCATCACCTGAACTTTACAAGCATTTCTAAGAACTGTTTTGCTGTTTGTTTTTGACACTTACAACCACCGTCAGCTGACATGTTATAACTCAATGCACATAAGCAGTCAACGCAGGCAAATGAAATGAATTGAATAGTGTTGGTCAGTTTTGGCGCCCCCTGTGGACAAAGCAGTCTTTGCTTATCTTGTCCTCTACATGCTTAGAATAGTGTTGTTTGACCAGAAACCCTGACAGAAATCCAGAAATTGCGGATATTTATGACAGAGATATAAAAACAGGGCTTGAGTTAGGGTCAGAATAAGGACTCCTCCCCCTTCAGACCTTTTTAAGGCATAAAAAATTATAGTATAAAAACTGTCAGTCTTCTTGATGATGGTCTTCTTTGCCTCTATGCATTACAGGAGTTTTAACATCATTGTACTGTCAAAACATCACTTTAAAGTTCCTATGAAGAGTTTGCAAATCAAACATAACCAACAAAAATAAGCTTGATAATTTCAATAGTGAAAATTTTCAGTTTCATAAACACCAAATGGGGTTCAAGAAAACACTTACGTCAGACAACACTACTTAATCATCAAAGATGTAATAAGTACTGCTCTGTCTACAGGGGGCGCCAAAATCAACACTCACAGAAAGTTCCTCACTAGAGCTTTAAGTGTAAAAAGATTTGTTTGCTTGAGTGTTAGATAAGACTCCTCAGAGGAGAGGCCCTCTACAGGCTTTGTTGTTATTAGAATTAGGCTTAAAATCAGGATTCAGGTTTAGTTTAAATCGTCAAATTAGATAACCTCCACAGAAAATGCATGCAAAGACAGAATAACAGACTAAATATCATGTGTCTAATACATGTCTATTGACTTGCTCTCTTTCTGTCTGCCTCCTCTCTCTCTCTCACACACACATGAACAAAAGCTCTAATTACAGCCATGAATCTCAAAGCTGCTCCACAGTAGGAGTAATTAAAGCAGGACTCTCCTGCCGGGAGGGAGGGTGACAGACAGACAGAGAGACAGGGTGAGAGACAGTCGTAACACATTCACAGTGACACGGTGAGGAGTCAGGTGTATTCTGATCAGATGTAGCAGTGAGGGAAAAATCTCTGCTATGCAAAAAAAAAAATTAAAGGATTGTAAGGTTGTTTGGTGAGTTTTAGACATCGCAGTAGTGATCGGAGGTTAGGAAAAGTTCTTGTTTGAAACAGTGATGCATGAATGTCACATCATCTGACATGTGAGGGGATCTTTTTTTAGAGCTCTGTGCAGAAAAATGCAGTTATAAAAGCTGATCTCCAATGACATTTCACCCTTTATGAAGCCAAATGAAGTCTAGTTTGAGTTCAAAATATCTGTTTGTATACAGATTTTAAAACATAAAAATATTTGGGTTTTAAGAAGCCGTCTAACCAGCTCTTCTTTCTCACAGAGACAAGCAAATGTGAGCTCAGCTGCCGCCCAGCTCTGTCGTCTTGACTTGGCAACTGTCCCTCAAACTCTCACATTGTCCTCTCCGTCAAGTCAGTCTTCAGAGAGAGACCCACCTGTCTGCCTATCATCAGCCAGGTAACACTGTCATCTCTGTGCAACATGTGTGGCTATTCACTCGATAATGGGCATGAAAACATTTCTTTTTAACTTCTCAAGCTCCACCCTTTATTATACTCCTTTTCTCTTGCTTAAAAAGTGTAATTTTAACCAAAAGCTGCTGTATGATCCTTATCAACGGTACTGCACTACCATGTAGTCACCACACAGGGGTGCTGTATGTTCACAACTAAGGCTAACAAGCATTCAGCTAATTGAAATCAGAGCACAACAATCGGTGAAATGTATAAGGAGAGCATCATGCAGATGAAAGCTTTAAGGAACTAACTACTCCAACATCCCTGTGCTTTATATCTCCTTGCCTGACAACAACCCGGCAAATATACTTTATATGAATGATCATTTTTCTTTCTGATGGTCTCATTTGCATCAGTAGCTCATTGAGAGGAATCACTATTATTTTCAGTATGTCTAATAACCAGCTAAAACTCCTCATCAAATTGATCTACTCTTCCTATGTGAATAAAGTTATTTACTTATAGCAGTAAAAAGACCGTCTTTTGTTCTTTATTCCGCAGTTTTCTCCGGTGTCGGTGTATTCTGATGGATCAGCATGTCTACCACTAATAATATCGCCCAGGCCAGGAAACTGGTGGAACAGCTGAGGATTGAGGCAGGGATTGAACGTATTAAGGTAAGATGATAGTTAGCCTCCATGTTCGTTTAAAGGGATATTCCGGCGTGATATTAATTTAGGGTCAAACACACTGTAACACCGAGTTAGACACCCCCTTGAGAGATGAATGTTGCCGACCGCTTGCTTCTCTAGTTATACCAACTTTAGTAACGACCGCACGATAGCAATACACAGCAGTCTGAGGAGCCATAAACAAACCTCAACCAAAACGCCACTCTATAGCCTCAGATAATGCTCAGAACAGCACCTAACTTCATCAACAGTACATATAGTGTCCCAGCAATAGTACTAGCCACCAAACATCTTTTTAGCTTTGCCTAATTTCTTTAGCAAAGAGACTAAACACAACTCACCTACTCTCTTCCAGCAGATGCTTGCATGTAGTGAGACCCCAGGCCAGTCCATTACGGACTGCAGCAGGGTGACGCAGCTAAAGGAAGAACATTTATGATCATTTTTCATGGAAATGCAATCAGAGGGAGACGCTAAGGCAGAAGAACTACCACGTCTGCAGTGCAAAATGATAAATATGGTGATTGTAACTCCAAGGAAATTATAAAGAAATGATCATAATTGTTCTTCCTTGAGCTGCGTCACCCCGCAGCAGTCCGTAATGGACTGGCCTGGGGTCTCGCTACATGTAAGCATCTGCTGGAAGAGAGTAGGTGAGTTGTGTTTAGTCTCTTCGCTAAAGAAATTAGGCAAAGCTAAAAAGATGTTTGGTAGTTAGTACTATGGCTGGGACCCTATATGTACTGTTGATGAAGTTAGGTGCTGTTCTGAGCATTATTTGTGGCTATAGAGTGGCGTTTTGGTTGAGGTTTGTTTATGGCTCCTCAGACTGCTGTGTATTGCTATTGTGCGGTCGTTACTTCTCCACCCTCCTCCTATGCTCAAAAAATCCTACACACTCCTCTTCCCTTAACTCTGTCCTTTTCTCCTCCCAGGTGTCTAAAGCAGCAGCCGACCTGATGAGTTACTGTGAGCAGCACGCTCGTAGCGACCCTCTGCTGGTTGGGGTTCCCACCTCTGAAAACCCTTTCAAGGACAAGAAACCCTGCATCATCCTATAGCTGAGCTACACTCCCTCTGCCCTCACACACACATACATGCACACATACACAGACACACACTCACACATGCACACACAGTACTTAAATTTATCCCCAGATATCTCAAGACACAAACACACACCATCTAGCGCGCACACACACTCATATAAAACACACACTCCCAGAATAGCCACTCTGGAAAAGCGCCATACCCTGTAGCCACAGCTAGGGGGCAGGTATCTTGTGCTCACAGTGGCTGAGATCAGTATATCACTGAGAAAGGTGCTTTGGTAATATTCATATCTGCTGGTAAATTAACTATGAGCATCAGTTTAACTTGAAAAGGGATTTGGACATTCAAAACCAGTAAGAAAGCAGAATTCTCTTTTCCTTTTCTGTTGTCATGAAATAAGGTGTTGGATAAAGGAGTGGGAAGCTGCATGTGGGCAACACAACAAGACAGTAGGCGCTCCTGCCAACCGTGCCAAACACGACCTGGTGTCCTAGTAAACGCTTTTTTATGTGAGGTAGTTAAAAAAAAAAAAGTCGAAGAGCTTGCCCTCGAACCTGCCTGAGCTAAATCATGGTGGGGTATTTTGAAGTGAGTGGCTCAGCCTCTGCCTTTTATCAGGCTAGCATGTTCCTACCCAAACCTCTATCAACAAACCTTCTCTGCCTGTGGCCTCAACATGGCCGTCTGCAGCCTTTGGCCAAACCTCCAGCTGTGCCAACCTGTACAGAAAGCCGTCTCTAGATGCCGATCTGCCGTCACCGATTCCACTGCGGTTCTTTACGAATGCTGTCGGTCGAAATCTATGTCTAAGCTGACCTCAGATCTGCAACTATGAGGGGAACATAGTGAACTGCTCTACAGAACTCAAGCTATTAACCCTGGACGTTTACTGCATTTTTTCTTAAGAAATACCTGTTTGTGAATTCAATGTACGTTTTTGATATTTTGTTGAAGCATTACCTAACAGATAATACTGTACCTTTTTTTAAATTATTGTTTTTGCTTTGATATGGGTGTTTCCCCTGGCTGATCAGGTTTCTCCTCCTGTCTGGTGATAAAAGTTAATTAAAAAGACAGGGGATCTGGTTGAAAGCCTTGGGGAATGCCTAACCAGATACCTGCTAGGATCTTTTTATCAAAAGTTTCTACTGTACATCCAGCCTCCCTGTGCTTTACCCCAAGAGAGAGCGAGGTCTGAAACGAGTCTGTAAGGCCTGCAAGGCTGGAGGAAATAACCCGAACTTTAAATGTAAAAGTGACGCTTTCCCTTTCCCAATTTTCCCGGTATGTGTGATTCTTTTGATCTGTATTTTTTTTTGTAAAGGAAAAGAGATTTATTGTATCAGATCGTACCGAGATACGCATTTTCTTTGCCTCTACAAAAGAGAAAGGATGAATTATTCTGTCTTTATATCAGATATATCAAACAATCTTAACCCCCCCGACCTAAGAGAAGTATACATGTGAGTTAGTCTGCTCTGCAACTGAATAGGTCTTTCTTTCTCTCCTCCATAATGCCCCTCCTCTCTGAGAAACCAAACTTGATTGTAAAAAAGATGAAGTGATGAAAAAAAAAAAAGATGAAGTTAAGAGAAACAAACTAAGTGTAAAAACTTTCTTTCAGACATGTGCAGAAGTGATAAGTTGAAGAGTAGCTGTTTTGGGTTTAATTTTTGAGTTTCTTCTTTCTATGGAGTCCATGGAACCTGGTCAGTTGAGTATTGCCCTGTACAGTGTTTGTAAGATAACAAACCCAAACACAGAATCCCCATCTGTGGATGTTGGATTTTTCTTTTAGTACTACTTATTCTGTTCCGTCAGTCAGGATCACGTCTGTCTTTATTTCTTTATTTCTAAGTCATTCAGGTTTTTGTGGCGAATGATAGCAGAGGATGGTTTTAACCACAGTTACAAATACAAACGCCTGATGAGGATATATCAGAATACACTAAGATAGACATTTAAAGCCTGATGGGTCTCAGATCATATCCTGTTAGAGAATGAATCAACATCGGACCTCATTCGAGTGGCAAAAACCAACCTCCTGATCTATCCTTTAACACCACGGCAGCCCACAAGCATTTATCATGTTGTTGGTTTTTTAGGTGGGTGACAGGCAACCATAGGACAACACACATTTTCACATCACACACTCTCTGATGCAGCTGGTTTTCAGACTCAGTGGTCAAAGGTTAAAAGGAGTTTTAAAGCTGGACATATAGTGCTGCTTTCTGACTGTTAATTGCTGAAAGAGAAGAGCTTTGTGTCTCTGTATCTACATTTGGGCGTTTAGTAGAGGCTTTTGCCAGGACTAATGTACAGTGGCAGAGCTGGGTGGAGTCATTTGGACAGGATTGTGTGAACAGATGAACCTGCTGTCTTTCTGTTGTCTAATCACTTGGTCAATATAAGCCACACAGGCTGCTAGGACTGTCCTAGGACTGAGAGTTGAGCAGTTGTTTGTGTCACACAGAGGGTCCACACTTTTCTATGTTTGCACAGTAGCTTGACCTGCAGAAGAACAACTGCTAAAGCGTCATAACCCCACTAAAAGGTGATTCAGAGTCAGTTTGGAAATATTTAAGTGTTTAATAATACAGCCACGACGAGGAATTAGCAGGCCTACCGTGTTCATGTGAAAGACCAGCAGAAAAATCCAATAAAAACGTGCAGACTTCCGCCATTTTCACCGCTTCCTTAATTGTACTGGCACCAACCTTTACCATATAGTCACGTGACTGACGGTAGCCTACCGCTATGAACGAAACAAAACAACAATAATAGTGAAAACGATTTTGTCCCGTCAAAACAGCCAATGCAATAGTAAAATACTGTTTATTTTCTTATCGCAAACAAAAACGAAAAAAATCAAACAAATTGAAATGTTATGGTGCGTTCGCGTTACCTCGGAAGTAAGATGTCCGAGCGGAAAATGACGCTACACCCGATCGGAAAAAACTTAATCGGAGATGGAAACAAGATGGCTACATCTATAGTTATTTTAGCGCTTGCCTTGTCCGAATATAAGGCAAGTGCTAAAATAACTTTTGTAGATGTAGCCATCTTGTTTCAACTTCGAACGCATCATTGTTGCTGATGGACGTTCGCAGTAGTGTTGTGTCGTTCGCGAACGATTCGTCCAAAAAAACGAATCTTTTAAGTCAGCGTAATGATCCGAATCACTTCATTAAGTAATTCGTTCATTACTCACTTCAGTTGAGTTGAAGTGAGAAACAGCATTTCCCGGCGAACGAGGGTCCGCATGCACCGACACCTGAATCACTTGGTGAACGAATCACATTGAACTACACTCTCTGGAATCATTTTTGTCAGACAAAACTACCTTTTTTTAACCGCTAAATTGCCACAACAACAACTTGCTTACAATAGGACACAGCATGTAACAAGTAGTGCATTAAACCTGCAGCATCCTATCATTACAGCAGTTTGCGAGGGAACAGTGCATATCAGTGTGAATTCTTCTAAATGGTCAGTGAATGAATGAGCAGACCTGATAAATAGCATACTATAGGACAGTACACTTGAAACATCATGACTTATAAACAAGTTCATTTTAAAAAACCTGTTTGCCAAAGCAACACAGCCAAACACTCTTGTCTTTTGGTCCCAGAAACTGAATCCTGAACCGTTCAGCTGTGTATCAGGTCGGAGTCGCGGGCTTCTCCCGCCAAGTGCTACATGATTTGGTGATTTGGTGAACAAATCTTTTTAGTGAACTGATTCTAGTGATTTAGTACATCTAAAAGAACCACCGTGCCCATCACTAATTCACAGTTGAGTTTGGTGACGTCATCGGTTGTCATGGGAAAAGGTCCTCTCTCATGTAGCTAAAGTGATAATTATGGAAATGGTTGGCTAGCCTTGGTTAAAAGCTAAATAATTTTACCATACACACAAAAAGTTCACTAAAATAACGTGAAACCTAAAAAAAAAAAACTGCTTCTCAAGAGCTGGGTGCTTCAGACATCTCAGACATAACGAGGTCTTACTGTTTTTCCACTATCAACATTCTTGCTGTAGGCTAATAACTGTGGCTTTATCTTGAGGGTATAGATATGAGTGCTAGACCATCAGTCCTTACATAAAACTCCCAGCAAGAAAGCAAATAAGAGATTTTCTCGGACTAATATTTGAGAAAAACAACACTTTATCTTTTATTACAAAATAATGTTGATTTTTGTTAGTTTTGATTAAAATACCTGTGTCATTTTCAGCAGCTGTAACTTAGAGGCAGTCGTGATTATCTTGAGAAAATTCAATTTTTATTCACATTATATTTTTTAGGACAACACTGTTACACATCTAGAAGTCCACATCCAATCAGTGTCAATATAATGTGACATATGTGTCAAAAATTTATTTTATTGCATAGAATCACCAATTCTTGTTTGTGGTATAGAGCTGATAAAAAGCCGTGCTATGTCTTTAATTTGCCTTTGTTCCACACAGACAGAGAAGGCTTGGGGGTGTATGTGTGTGTGTGTGTGTGTGCAGATGTGGGGGTGTTTAGTAGCTAAAAAGGATGATTTGGCAGAGCAGGAGGCGGGGAACAGATAGCAGAGGTGCACGTATGAGTGTGTATGTAGGCCTGTGTGTGCACAATAGTAGGAGAGACACGGTGAGTAAGAACGGACTGGGGCCTCTGGAGCTTTTCCAGAGTCACAGTCACACAGTCATGTTACAGAGCAGCCCAGCAGCCCAGCAATTCCAGGTCAGGGTGAGTCTGACCTGAGGAGCGGTCATTGGACGCAGTAAAAGTCAGACCAGCATGTAAACCCTCGATTTGCTCTTTTATCCATCTGGAGTAAAAGAGTAAAAGAGGATTCAGCCAAATGCTTGAATGGTTTAGGTAGAGCATGAGCGGCTATTTCTGGTGTGATCACAAAGCTGCAATTTCATTTTTTTTTTTTTGAGAAATTTTTGTTGTTATTAATCTCCATCTGTGCCTGACTCAGTTGCATAAATTAGATTTAGTTTATTTTCAGAATTTATTCAAGCTTTGCAGACCAACATTCATTGTTTGGTGTTTCAGAAAACAATTCAGGGCTTTTGCTTTTGGCAAACTAATGCCCAGGTAGACAAACAGTAGTGCTTTGACTTCTTCTCATCAGTCTGTGGCCTGGGAAGCCCCTCTTGAATGACTGTGGCCCCATATCTCATAATCCAGCTACTGACCCCTTTTTTGTTTGTTTTTTTTAAATCTTACTTCTTTCTAATCTCCTCGTCCTGTCTCCTTTATGAAGGAATAGCTAGATAGCTGCTGGGATAAGCTTATGATGTAGCTGTTCTTTAACAAACTGATGCAAAATCTTATCAATTTAATCCGTCAATTTAAGAACTTTTCAGTGAATCTTAAACTTTTTTTTTTTAATCAAGTACATACAAATTATCGATAAAAGTCTATATTTGTTTTTCCCTGGGGTCTGGACTCTTGAGCTTGAGGAAAATACTGACTCATTATTTGTCTTTGGGAATAGAAAGACTGCTTCTTGTAATGTATTTGCAAAGTGCAGCTAAATTTAAAAGAGAATTACAAACTGCAAACATCCACATGACATGAAACAAGCATGCATAAATATCAAAACACACAGTCATACACACACTCATGTTGTCCTGGAGATGCTCCTTTTTTTTAATCATTCTTGTTTTTTCTCAATCATTCCATATTCAGTTGGGCTACAATCAGAGACAGCCGGCCTAAAATCGCTGGTTTGGCTTCGAGGTCATCTGATTGGTTGCTAGTTTGCCTTACAGTGGCGTATAATGTGCTATCCCGGTCTTTGGGTTATCAGATCAACACGACTTGAAGTGTTACATGAGAACACAAGGCCTTGAGATGGCCAGAAAAATCCACTGGCGTCGCGACACAAAAAGCGGGCCCCCGCGAAATAAATTGTGGTCATGTGGGGAGGTTTGAGGCTCCTCATTGGTGGATATCAAACATGGCTGCATCGCCTCAGAGCCCTTCCTGAGACTCATCTTTTGTGTTCTGATCTCCTGTGTATGCATACAGTATATGTATCTTTTTGCCTTGATTGATTATGAAGAAAATATATCTATTTTTTGTAACTGTTCTCTGATGTGCCATAACTCATGTTTTCTTGCACATTGTTAATATTTTGTGGATATTGCTGTTAAAAAGATGATATTGAGAAGTAGATAACATTAATAAAAAGATGATATAATAATACATATTCTTGTGTTGAGTGTTTGTCAGTGTTTGTTTCTTGATTTGGGAATTGTTTCATTTAATTATATTTATTTATGATCCTGACTTTTAGATTTCTTGTTTATATAATTGTCACACTCTCTTGAGGATAACACTGTTACACATGCGACGTCCAATTAGTATCAATGTGATGTTCATTATCCTGTGATCATTTTGATTACTCACTGATCAGACCAGAGTGACGGCATTTTTTATTTTCAGGAGATCCAGTTTGATGACTTCCTCCGTGTCATTTAAGTTTTGTTTACGTGACTTTCACAACACCAATCATTCAATCAACTTTTATTTATACAGCGCCAATTCACGACAAATGTTATCTTAAAGATGGGATAAGATTTAATTGGATTAGACCCACTGCTATCCCATATTAGCAGGTTACACTGGTAAGATCATTCTATCAAGCTCCAGCAGATTTATTGATATTTATTTATCTTTATACTTTATCAATCAAATTCAACTAAATTCAATATGAAACATGCTGCTCACACATAGTCCAAAATACACTCACCATTCACAGACAGAAGCTCGTGAACATGCACTAATGGAGAGGTGCAGAGTGAAAGGGTTTGCTGGTGGAGAGCACCTGCCCAGGAAGTGAACTGGCACCTCTCCAGCTAAAATCTCTAAACTCGGCCTGTGATGAGACTTGGACCGGTAACCGGAGATGCTCTATACGATATGTTTCTCCTTAAGAGTGCAACATCTCATCTACTCTTAAGTGACTGCTCTTGAATTTCTCCGGAGACGTTAAAGTTTTGATTTGTCGAACCAACTGGCAGAGTTTATATTCTTGGAGATGAGTCAGACCTTGAATTTCTATTGGCATTCATATCAGCTCCTGCCAGGATTTAGGCTTGTTGTTTTTAAGAACTTGTTAGCGTGCTACTATGTTGATGGCATAACTGGTTTTACTACATTATCATGTTTGCATTGGCAGTATTTAAAGACTCAATAAATACATCACATTGAGAAGTTTGCAGTCATGATTTGATTGGACTCAAAAAAATAAGAGTTTTCTATGTTGCACTCAATTCTCACGAAATCAAAATCCATGACTCTGTGACATTTGCACTCTGTACACTGTCTTCTTCCTGCGTAGTTGTGTTCTCTTTCCACTGTTAATCATTAGCTGCAGTTCTCTGAAGACATTTTCTGTTTTACTTTTTGTTTCATGCCGCCTAAGTAGGAGGACCTTACTCCTCTTGATTGCAAAGGTACACTTTGCACATGGACCTGCATTCTCTTTGACCAAATAGGTACATGGCGTGCAGAGCAAAGATGAAAAGCAGCTGCAATAGACAGAGACAAAAGGAAAGTGCTAGGTAAGGCTTCCCAGATGGATCATTTGTCAGGAATGTCATTGTTGCTAGTCTTCTGTCTTGGCTGTGTCTGTTCCTTTACAAGGAATGCCTCACAAGTCACGGGTTTTCTTGAAGTTTCAAACCACGGTCTCCATTGAAGCCAATCATATTCAGGGTGGAAGGAGCACAGCCAATCAGAGATCACTCCCTCGGACTAGCCGCACCCCTGTCCACTAGATTGTAAACAAATGGGAGGTCCATGTGCCTGAGTGTTCCCTTTCTGCAGCTCCTCAGTTCAAGCTGTGCACAGACATGTGAGAGCGCAGGGTGGAGTGTGGAGCAAAACAGAGTGAAAGGAGGGCAGAGGGGGAGGAAAAAACATTTGTACTATGTTGCATGAGCAACCTGCTACCTGATCATGAGGAGATACTGTAGCATGGGTGGGGTGACACTGGGGCACGGTTCAGCTCTCTCTGCATTTGCATATCTGACTGCACAATGTGACATTTGAAGAAAAAAAGAACAAGGCTTGAATGCAGAGTTGAGGGAAGAAAGTAAACCTAAAGCACAAGCATGCAACCAGCATCCTCCCAGCAGCTTCCCCCCCCCTGATTCTTGTCTTGCAGGGACAACAGGTCTCAATCGGCTTGTTTTGCCTGTTCGCGTTTTTTCTAGCACAGTTTCTGTCTCCACCCGGTTTCTTTCTCCAACTGTCTCAAGTTTGTTTGCGATGATCGGTGATTGACAGACATTGCCGTAAATGTGCATGTTTTTTCCATGACCTCATGTGAAACGTAAGCTGCGGTTGCATGACTCAGCTATTTATAGCTCCATGGCACGTACATGGCTAATGTTTTGAAATCTGAGCACCAAAAGCCGGTTTTATATTATGAATACAATAATTTATTGAATTCATCAACAGAGAAAAAAAAAGACCATAAATAGCAAAACAAACACCTAATATAATCAATAAATTACTAATAGAACATATATAGTTTTACAGCATTTGATCAAAGGAGCAGCAAATTTGAAGGCACAAAGATAAACTCTTTTTTTCCTGCAGTACAAGAATTTACAGATCAGACAGTTCTTTCTATCACTCATCCTTACATCAAAACCAACATGGTTTCAAACTCTTCTTCTGTCTATTTTGCCTAAAAGATCCTCTGCTTTTAAATTGAACATCGTTACATTGTTAGTTTCCATGGTGATGACTCCTCCACAGGTTTGGCTGTTCATTTTTAGGAACGCACACGCTGCACGCCCAGTCTTTTCTAAAGAAAGACCCGAGGATTGTGCATGCATACCACACATTCACACATTCACACACACACACATACACACACACCTCTCTTTCCAAGGACTCTCCCATGTCAGAATGCACAGGAATGTTGGGCATAGTTTCATTACTGCATTCCTGTCCTGTCCACAGAAACACACTGATCCTCCACAGGTAGAAATCGGGGTGTGGACATTTTTCAGTCAAAGCTACTGTTGATTGACTGTCACACCCCATAAAAAAGCAGAATACAGATGCTCGGATCTAGTTTTTCAAACACTCAGCCTTAAAGGGAATCTGCTTGTTCATCCTTTTCTTTCGCACAACACTAGTGTTTCAAACCAGGCTCCTCTCTGACTACTTTACAAGTCCCTGAAAGGGGGTCCCTGCTTCCTGCCTGATATCAGTCAGGACAGTGTGTCCCAGTGTACAGCAGGCTGTCCCAGCATGGGCAACAATGAGTCCAAGTATTTGAACCCAGAAAGCTCCAGTTTTTGTTCATGTATTGGATCGCCAGTCCTGTCAGCGTTCCTGCAGGACCAGCTCAGGAACCCACTGGTCCAGGCGTCGACTCTCCTGGCAGTAGGTCCCCACTTCTTGTAGTCTGCAGTGGTCAGCTTGTGGATTCTGAAGGGGGGAAACAAATGCAACTTTAACTTCAATTCAAAAACCGACAGAAAGTTCAGGAAAAGTTCCTGCATGAATCAGCAGAAATATCAGAGAAAATGTCAGCTGCTGCATGAAAATTTATCCGTAACAAAATATTCCCAGCTTGGCCTTTCAGTTACGTAAGAGAGAGGGCTGTTGTGTTGAGTCAACACACCGTAACCAGCATGCAGTGGAGGTCTCCTTGCTCTTCCTGGTTTCTGTTGGCGTCCACGGCACAGAGCAGCTGTTGGAGTCTCTGAACCCCCGATACTCGCAGGATGTTGAGGCCGCTGTCGCAGCAGAAGGACTGCAGCAGGGTGAAGTGGATCTGCAGTGCCACATCATCTGCATTGTCAGCTGCCAGAACACACAGAACCACACTGTCCGGATCCCTGAGGAGGGGAGAGAAGAATCACGAGATTTAGAGAGATTATAAAAGTTCAATATCTGGGACGCTTGGCTTGAAAGGACTTATTCAGTACTTTCAACTCACGTATTGAGAAGTTTGGCTGATTCATAGATGCCAACGGTTAAGCAGTCTTGCTTCTGAGCCGTGACTAACAACTCCTCCAGAGCCAGACCTGCAGATTGCATCCTAGTAGGAAGAAGAGTGCAGCGGTTAGAAAAAAAACTTGTACATTTTCCATCAAACATGAGCTGCTGCAGTTCTTAAATATGTGCATTTTGTCAAGACAAAGCTAGTCTTCCTGGAGAAATTATAAATCTGTTAAAAGTTTCCAATTCCTCCTGGAGTCACATGAGTTTTAATAATAATTCTGCATGGCTGTGACTGTGATAAAATAAAGAAGGGATTTGATTAGAGGGCTTACATAACAGGCATTGCATAGTAAACACAGCCCACTGCATGCTGCAACATGCATGCTTAATGTGAAAGAAACTCTTCAAATTTGTGTTCTTACTCTTAAAATGTCCAGTGCATTAAGCTTATAAGTCATTATATATTTGCTGAATGTTTGCACACTTGAATGCCACATATGAGGGGCCATATATGGCGCCTTCAGTCTCAGTTTGCACCCGGATAAAGTCAGGAGTCTACGCACTCAAAGTTGGATTTCACCAGCTGCAGCAGAGCAAGCGAGGTAAGGTTCAAAGGACAAGACACATTCCTCTCCAGCACATGATGTCCGTCCACATGTCTCAAACAGTCATAAAGCTCCAGCAAGAACACAAGATCGAGCATGAAATCTCACCTGTTCTCCTCGAAGTTTTCCTCTGGGATCATAATCGGAGGTAAATTCCAACGAGAGAGCGTGACAGTAACTCAGTGGTGTGGATATTTCCGCAGTGTGTGAGTGTGCGTGCAGGTTTCTGCAGGAGAGTTGGCAGCGTTTGTTGTTGGCAACGTTGCTCAACAGTCTTTATACCGGAGCTGAGAGGAGGCGGGACCGAAACTACTCCAGCTCTGCGATTGGCTCCTGAGAAATCCAGCGCCTCTCTTTGTCATGTGGACTGCGGGTTTGTTTATGTGGTTACACTGCGTGAGAATTCAGCCAACATACAACTATGACTGCTGCATCATATTGACCTGATCTGTGGACGTGACATTACAGTGTAGACATGTTAAACTCTCAGTGAATGGACAATTATCATAAATAAACTCATTGGAAATGAAACGCAGTTGTGCAACATGAGGCCTTATCATCTTTTCATAACAAGTTTCTATAACTGATCGTCAGTGGTTATGAAATTTTGAGTGACATCTCGTGGCTGAATGAGGGGAAGGCAAGTCTGAATAACTTCAAACATGAAATCTGATTTTAACTTGTCAACTTGTCACTTTTGAGAGGGAGTATCCAGTGTCAAACATAGATCAATTCAGTGACCAGTACTGGGTGTTGAATGAGGGGCTGGTGGCATAATTTGTAATATCTTGCTATTTGTTCTGTGAAAGCCATTATTCTGCAAAATGTCATTTTTTTGTAGCTGAAAATATAGCTTAATCATTTTCACAAGGGAACAACGAGATGGCGTGTGTCCCCCTCTCAAAACCCCCAAAGTATGATCAGTTACTTTAATTGGCCTGTAAGAGGTGGGGCTTATTTTGAAATCTACTTCTGGGGTCTTGCATATCTGTGGTTGGAAGTGGTCTTTGCATCTCAGAGTATTACATCTCCTCCTGAATTTACATCTTCTTTTAAAGTAACTAATACTACTCTTGGGGATGAGCTCTGCGTGCTTTCATCTTGGTACTTTGGCTTCTGGACTTAAAAATTCATACTGGATAAGGTTCAAACCCACAACCTCAGGAGTCCCAGTCAGTGTTCTCATCCACTGAGACACATGGACACACAGGAATATGCCCTTTGCTTCCTCTTTCACTCTCCTCTCTAGACACTCGACTTTAAAATTCACCCTGTCCCGAATAAGGCTCCAACCCACGACCTCAGAAGTCCAAGTCAGTGTTCTTATCCCCTGAGTCACTTCTCTTTTAATTGCAATATACACAGTGATTTAAAGTACTTTAAATACTTGTTGTAAGTATAACGCATAATTCAGTCCTCCAGCTGGGTTTGGGCCACCTGGTGAGAATCAGACTGGACTGAAAAGTGGTCAAAGACGGCTGATAAGCAAATAAGCAAAGGAATAATAAAAATATTAGACTATGAGCTCCCCATGACCTTAAATGTATTATACCTGGCAATCTCACGCAGGAAAACATACAAACTAAAGAGAGATACTTGACTGAAATACTTCTTGTAGCATCAAAGAAGGCCATCACGAGGAGAAGGAGAATCCACCCAATCAGAAAAGCTGTCTGCACACGGTGGAAGGACGATATGAAATGGAGAAACTAACACACGCTCTACGACTCCAGCAAGAAACAAACACCCGAAAGTGGGAAAAATGGAACAAATATAAATCTATCAACACAACTTTTAAAAAATGGACAACTTTGATGGAGACCACATGGACGAATTTCTTTTCTTCTCTGTGAATGAATCCATGTTTTGTGTTTTTTTTTTTTTCATTTATATTTTTCTTTGTATGACTGTATATCTTGTTTCTGTTATGTTAAAAAATGCAAATAAAATCTAAGTTTAAAAAAAAAGGTGGTTGGCAAGACTCTGTAAATGACCCACAAAGCAGAAACAAGAGTGAAGTTGACTTGTTTTCAGCTTCAACAACCTGAGATGTAAATCAATCTGCACTTTCACAACTTTCGAATGGTGATGCACATTCTTTATTCATACATTACTTCCTGCCACATTGCCTTTTTTTAACAATGTTACTGTGTTTACTTACAATTACAAAGTGAAAGGCTGTTCATGTTTAACTCCGCCATGATGCTTTTCATCCCGCCACCCTGCTCTCCCACAGTTCTTTGCTCCCCGTCTTCATGAATATCATGAATGAAACATACAGTACATACAGTATTTAATACATGCGGACAAATACACATAGTTACAATTCACTTCATTACAGTGATGTTAGTGTCATTTTTATCCATGACTACTCAAATCCCAATAGTTTCTTTAATCCAGCGGGTTTGTTTGCAGAAAGCGTTAGTGAAAGGGGTTGTAATGAACTCATGAATCATAAAGAAAGAAATATAACAAAGAGAAAGGATTGCATAAAATGAGAAAAGTCTCAAACATGGCAAATGTGAATCCAAAAGCTTAACAGTGCATACATATAAAGTAGAGGCAGCATTCAGATGGAGAGGAAAATAGCTGGAGATGTGTTTGTGATTTCATGTTTTGGTTTTAAGGAAGCTAAATGCCACATTCACATTTCTGCTGATCAATCCTAATATTTGATTAAAGAAAGCTCATAATATTCCAGGATTTATTGTTGTCCAACCAAACCTAGTCTGTCATTTCTCTGCATTCACAAAGAACAACCTTGAAGCTGTTGTTGCACCCAAAGGTGACTTCACTGAGTGCTGATGCAGTTTAATCATGTACAGTAAACTGTTTAACAGTATCCACAATCCAAATACATCACTTTTTATTAGTAAGATAACAACTAAAAGTCTAATTCATTAGTCTGATTCATGATGATTTTAAGCAGCAGCAATGCATTACTCTTAAATACCACATTTTAATAAAATACTCGCTGTAATTCCATTACATTTAATCTAGTTAGTCATTTAATCCCCGTAGATGGATTTATCTCTGCACACTCAGATTGAGTAATCTCAAATCCTCCAGGGATTATTCCTCACTATGATCAGTTACACTGACTCTGCCCAGATTTCCTGACCGCATACGATGAATGTCACTGCATTACAAGCACATTGTTCAACTTTCCTTCAGCAAACTTCAACAAATATGAGGGAAAAAACGAAACTAGTGCTATCAGGAGCAGTGCGATTTCAAATCAAACATAAATTCCATTTAAAGCAGCAAAATAGACCCTTCATAACAAAAACTACTATTGCACTTCAGAGCATTTGCAAGACAAGCCCACAGATTGCACCTTTTTACCCTGTGTATGCTAATTGTACTGACTAATCTACAGCTTTCATGTGGATCCACAGGTGTGCAGCCCGACATGCATCTCTTGCAGCCCGCATTATTATCTCCTCTCCTGTTTTTCACAGGGTCATAGGTAAAAGAACAAAATCATGCAACACTCTCCACAGGAATGCGCTCCCTCGGATTAAGAGAAATTCAGGTTTTTAGGGTGCAGAATTAGCCCACAAAGAAATGATTCACCTGGAGGAGATGGGATGGACTTCTTGTGTCATCATCACTCGAAAATGCTTATTCTTTTCATTTAACCACAATCTTTGAGTCTGAATCATATTTATTTTACTCTTTTGGCCGTCTTAATTTTAACCCTATCCATCTTTGAGTCCAGATTCACCCTTCATCACCTGTCGCGGCACGTCCCAAGAACTCAATTCTTAGAACTCGATTTTGCAGGCAGGAAAAGTCTCGTCCTGCATGGCGACGGTGCTGTTAGACCCGAGCACGGTGATGCTCAGCTCCCTCTGCCTTTCCAGAGTCTGCTGGTACCACTCCTGCATCAGCAACGACTCGAAAGTGGGGATCACCGTCACCTGCAGTTACAGAGGGAGAGATAAAAAAGTGAGTTATACTCTCAGGAAAGAGAGACCAGATGTATGGAGGTAAATCTGTGCCAGCTGATTTTTAATTTTAATTTCTAAAGCTGATTTTTTTTGCATCAAAATCAGACTTTGAATTTCAAAACCATCGAATTTCAAGCACGCATTTTTATTTCTGACACTCATTTTTTCACAATGATGGAATAAATTTGGTGTAAAAAAAAAAATCGGTCTCTCAAAATATTCGTTTAGTGAACATTCAACTTTAAAAACTGTAAAAAAAAAATTCGACAGCAATCGATTGGATTTAATCTTCCACTGGGGTCTGTGCCACATGACCAATCTAGCAATAATTGATTGGCTGGATGATGGATGATTGAGGAATCGATTGCTTCTCCCTGGTTTCCCCGGATGTTGAGTCAGTCTTTTTACACTGAATTTTTTAACACTAAATTTTTTGACACTGAATTTTTTTATATTGAATTTTTTTCACAGTTTTTTCAAGCACACATTTTTTACTAAACGAATATTTTTGAGACCTTTTTTAACCCTGAATTTATTGCATTATTGTGAAAAAATTAGTGTCAGAAATAAAAATGCTTGCTTGAAATTCAGTGGTTTTGAAATTCAATGTCTGATTTTGATGCAAAAAAAATTCAAAACTCAAAATCAGATGGCACAGATTTACTTCCATATAGATGCTAATAATCTTGTCGAGATCAATAACAGCTAGCATCAGTTTGGTTTTTCCTCTGGTGTTAAACTCTCATGTTTCTGGCTTCATAAAACAAAGACTGATGTAACATTATTTACCTGCACAGCGTCAGGCCAGGTCATCTTTCCATCCAGCAGTGCATCCAACGTGTTTTTCAACAGCTCCTCTCGCTCTGGACTGTCGCCACTGATGATGTAACACGAGGAGCGAACACACCTGAAGAAGTCCACGTTGACTGTCGAAGAGGAGGCTCCAGAGGGGATGTAAGCCAGGTCCACGTACACGCTGACTTCCCCATTGGAGGTAGATTTAGAGCCTGAGGAGAAACAGCAATGATTAAAGGACCAGAGAGGGGTTTATCCTAGAAGACAACAAAGCGTCTTATATTTGATAGTACACACCTGGATTGGGGGAGGATTTTGCTGGTGTTGAACGGTTGCTGGAGGAAGGGGTTCGTGTCAGAGAGACCTTTGTGACTCCACTTTGACTCCCCGTCCTGCTTTTACCTGAGCCTAATCTTTGGGATGCTTCAACCACCTGGAAAAAAACAGCGACATTGTTTACAAGGTACAGGTATAATAAAGTAAAAATGCTATCTTTAAAGCGCCTGTATGTAACTTTAACTTTGTGTTGATTTTGGAGCCCCCTGGTGGACAAAACAGTCAGTTTCCTCTCTTTGTTGACCCTGACCTACGTTCATATCAATAGTACCTGACAAAAATCTCACGCCGCTGTCTTCATAAGTTACATTCATCAAAAATTTAGGCCAAATCAATGTTGTTTTCGTTGACGATGACAAAAATATTTTGTCGCCCCTTTTTTCCACAACGAAGACGTGACATTGAAGAGCTAAACATAAGTCTTAGATGCCTAAAATGTGACAAGAGGAATGTGCGTTTATGTTGACGAGATTAGACTAAAGGAAAACGTTAGTGGTGGACGACGAACAGAGTTGCAAAATTCATGAGCATTTGTCAAATGCTAAACATACAGGAGCATCTTCAGTCCGCTCTGACAGCGGTCATCAGCCCGCTGTGCTCCGCCAACGCACACACACACACACCAGTGTTGTTTTCGTTGACGATGACGTTGACGAAATATATTCGTCACCATCAGCGAAAACAACACTGGGCCAAATGCTGCTTTGAATTATCTCGGAAGTCAGCAGTCTGAGCTGGGAATGACATCACACCCTAGTTACCAGCGTTTCAGTTACCAAGTCAGAAGAAAGCAAAATTGGAGGTGGAAACAAAATGGCAACATCTACGAAAGTTATTTTAGCGCTTGCCTTGTCTGAATATAAGCAAGGACAAGGCAATGCTAAAATAACTTTCGTAGATGTTGCCATCTTGTTTCTGCCTCTGATTTAGCTTTTTTCGACTTGGCGCTGGTAACTCTGGTGTGACATCATTCCCAGCCCGGACATCTGACCTCCAAGGTAACTCAAACGCAGCATAAGACTACATTAACTTGTTGCCCCTGTGTAGAAAACTTACAGCTGGCGTTTTTTTCCCTCGCATGCCGGCTGCTTTTGCTCTCTTCCCGTGAGCTTCGGTGTCAGACTGAGGGACTGGCATGGAGGTGTCGGGATGCGGAGGCAGGGGAGGACTATCCCTGAGAGGAGCTGGAGGTGGATCCTGAGGCAAAGCCCGACTGGTGTCATGGGGGGAGTTAGACGGCTCGCTGCACGACTCGTCTTCATCCGAGTCCAGAGCTCCGTCTGCTGTGGTGGACGGGCAGTCCTCGGTGCAGGCAGGGGCATTTGACTCGCTGGGCGACGCCTCTTTTGGGTTGTTGTTGTTGTTGCCGTGGTGGAAAGCGCCTCTGGAGGGCTCGCTCACACCCGAGCTGGAGTCTGGTGCTTTGAAATGCTTGAACTCGCAGGGGGAGACCAGACACAGATCCACATCATGAGCAGATGACTCAAAATGGAGTGAACTTGGAGCTGAAGGCCGCCCCATATCTGAACCCTGACCTAAAGATCTCACAGCCTTCTTCCCTGGTAGAGAAGACATCCCTGCAAAATGGCTGCCATTGGAGTTGGAGTGATGACCGCTGTCGTCCCCCTCTCTCTGGCTCACGTATGTCGGTCCTTGCTCCAACGACATTGACAGTGATTCGTCTACTTCTGTGGACTGAGGCGAGCTCACCTCTGCGGGCATTGAGTGTGTGGTGGTCGTGGTAGCAACAGAAGGAGAGGGGTCTGAAGATCCGTCTTTAAAGGAACCCAGAGAGAGGAAGGTGAGGTGCTTCTCTCTGGGGTTCGAGTGGCTCTCTGGAGTGGTTTTGGGCTGCCCCTCACTTTGCTTGGACGACCCGTTCGGCTGGTTGGCGTCAGCTGAGTCTTGGTCGCTCATCTGGGCCTGTAACCTGCTGAGGGTGGCCCTGTTACACCACACATCATCCGGGGACAGACAGTAAGGAGTGTGGCCAGCACTGTTGGGCCGTGACTCAGGGGAGGCTTGCTCTACGGTTTCCTCGTCAGGGCTGATGTTAGCCGGGTTTTCTGGAGATGATCGTGACGGGGGGCTGCTTCTCAAAGCCCCGTCCAGGAGCGTGTATTCGGTCGGGGTTGTGTCCTGCTGGGCCGTTTGCTCCGTCGGTGGTGCTTTGTTTAAAGGAGTTGGAAACCCTACTATCTTTGCCCGTTTGGATGCATTCCCAGGTTGCACTTTCTCCTCCAGAGTCTGAAGCTTCTCTTGTGCTCCACACTCTCCTCCTGTAATCCCTTCACAACCCGCTGCTTCTTTGCAAAGTGTATCAGCAGCTTCATCGACCGACTCTTTGCCTGGACTTCTTGCCTCACCGGGCGTCGTCTTTTCCTTCTCTGCTTCTTCTTTTTCTGTTTCGGCCTGGAGCTTCAGAAAATCTGCCGTCATATCCTCAGGGGTGGAAATCTTGGAATTGCACGGGTTCCCTTCAGACTCCGTCTCTGGTTTTTGCTGCTCTGTATTCAAACTCTCTGGTTCTTGGGTTTCTAACGCAGTCCCAGCACTGGGTTTTGTGGAGTTGTTTTTTTGCTGTTCAGCGTTGACCTGTGCCTTCTTGCCATTACTCGTATCTTTTCCTGATGGTTTTTTTGTTTTCTTTGCTGCTGTTTTTGAGTCGTTTTTCGCTTCTTTTTTGAGTTTAGTTTTATTTTCAGTCTTTGGTTTTGAAGAGACGGTATCCTTTTTCCCTGGATCACTCCTGCCAAGACTATTCTCCTCTTTACTACCAGACTTCTCCTCCTTCTTCCCATCCTTCCCTACACCTTTCTTTGAAGTGTTCTTCTCTGATGTTGCTGCTTTTTGCTTTGCACCTGCTTCTTTGATTCTGCTTTTGTCAGCAACTCCATTTAATACTTTTCCCCTTCCAGAGTCCTTTCCCTCGTCTTTTCCTCCCCGCTCCTGTCCATGTTTGGGTGTCATCTCTTTCCCCGGTGACCTCCCGTTGTCCTGGCTCTCAGTCCTTTTGGCTTGTTTGTCCTCCTCCAGTTTCTCCAGATCCCCGCTGGTCACAGAGGGTTTCTGGAGGAAGGCCAGCCCCTTTAGCTTCTCCAGCCCCTGCAGCAGCTTTGCCTGTGGGGTAACACCAGGAAACAGCACCCTGACTACCTTCTCCTGGGGACACGCTGGGTGCCACACGAGCAGGGCGGACACCGAGGTCAGAGTGGTGAGAGGGAGAGTCTGGCATTTGGTTGCAGATGACGCTGCATCAGGCCAGTTTTGCATGAATGTTTGGTACTCTTGGCTGTTTTTGCCAGGGTTGAGGATGTAGAGGTCCAGCTGTCCCACTCCCATTTTCTGGAACAGGGTTAGCGGCTCGATGGGGATCACCTGTGGTCGAAACAACGGATGGGGTCTGATGTCTAACTTCTTTAACAGCTGAAGAGTGAGGGCTGCCTGGTGTGTGCTCTTCAGTACATAGTCAACACCTAGAAGAAGAAGAATTTACAGGAGTCAGTCATATTTAAAAAAACAGCTGCGCTTCTTCATAACTGCTTATCACCTGCAGGTTATGGCAGGGGCTTTTCCAGGGGGTGACCTTTGGGTGATAATGCCCCCTGAAATCCGATCGGTACCCTGATCTGTAATTCTAGCTTGCTGCTGGTTTTCATCTTATTCAGGGACAGGGTTTAGAGTCAAACCAAACTGTCCTGATGCAAAGTGTGTATGTGGATGTTTGCGTGTACATACATGCAACCCCTTTTTTTAGTTATTCACATGTTCAATCCCCAAAAAGAGGACACGACTAGAGGGGGCGGAGTCACAGAGTTGCGCAAAGTAAATTTTGCGAGTTTTTAGGGTCGGATCGAGTGTTTTTTTATGCGCTTCTAACTCAGTAAGTCCACGCAACACAAACTCAAAACTTCCACACAAAATTTCGGACATTTGAAAAATTTTATAAACCCCTCAAGACAAGGCCGGACAGCCCCCCAAAAGAGGTAAAGTCCGGGTAAAAGAGGACGTATGGTCACCCTACATGTTGCACTTGCACACAATCACACACATGCCTGTTTTGCAACTGCAGAGGGCAGCAACACTTTACATTAAATGGTGAGAGTGTAGTCAGGGTAGTCGGCCAACTTCTTCTATGAAAAAGGTGACAGAACAGCACATGCATAAACATGTCTATTAATACAGATTTTGTGAGATCGGCCTATTTGCAGATAAACTGGCACTTTAAATTAACAGGCAAAGGTTCAATTTACACCAAGACTTCAGCACTTAAACACTTTACCACTAGACTTTGCACTTTAAAAACCTAATGAATTTCAGCTCTGACTCCAGCTTTATCTCTGGTTTGTCTGAAACACAGATTTACAGCCACCTTCTGCAGTGTTATTGAAGGGTCTTTGTAGAGTATTACAGCTCATGTTGTCTGGTCTCTGCCTCAAGTCTACTTCTTTGTACTCATTTTCTTTCATAAACATACTCAATGTACATTTATTTTTTCCAACAACTATTACTTGGAAATTAGCTACTGGCTACAATCTGTCACATTTACGTACTTTTAAATAAAGAATAAATACATCTTTTTAAAAGGGCTAAAATGTTGGTGCCATTGCAGTAAATCGACACTAAGCTGACTTACAAGTGTGACAGTGAAACCTGGCGGTAACTTCCCACTCCGACAACAGCAGCTGCTTCAGTCTCAACTTGGAGGAGATCAAACAAACCTAAACCTAACACTCCTTTATAAACTGGATTTTATAACTCAAGACTATGAATGTAAATCTAATCAAACTATACTGTCATCTTGTTTTAATTTAATCTTAAATGTTCCTTTTTCCGACTTGTAATACTGTGAAGCTCTCTTTCGCTCCGGTACAGTCACAGTGTTTTATTCTTATCATAGTTATTTCTGCAGTTGAAAGGTGTGTGATTATTTTCCCTCCTTAAACTCAATGAAGGCAGATGAATAAAAGGCAAATAAATCCAAATAGATATTAACGGTTGTGTGCTAAAGGCGCCCGTTTCAAAGGTGTTGTGTAAAAGGATACCAGCAGAGCATGTTTGACTGAACAGTGGGATTCAACCCGTCACTCACATGACTGTTCTTCCACCTGCAGCCTGCTGGGGGCGTTAAAGAACATGACTCCGAGCTCTGGGGAGATCAGCTTCTTTGACAGGTCATCTGTGCAGACAAGAGAAAATCAGAGGGATGTTTGAACATTAAGAAAAGGTTAGATGAAAGCAGAGGAATCACTTCACACATCTTCCTCAGATCAACACCGTCACAATCGTTCTTTCTCAAAGGAAGGATCCCTCATTTGTTGCTCCAGACACAGATGTACAGGTTGTTTTTATTTTCCAGCATCTAAGTGTGAGTGTCTCCTTACCTTTGACGTCAGAGCTTATTTCCAGCTCAGCCACCTTCCTCTCCAGAAAGGTGTTGACCCCCGGGAGGTTCTCTGTCCCGACGTGCGTCAACAAAACTGCATCCACCCGGTCGAGGTGGCGGACCAGCTTCCAGAAGCAGGCCTGAGAGTCCGAGCCGCCGTCCACCAACACCGTGAAACCGTTGACGGCGAAAAAGGCACAGTCACCACGACCAGCAGGGAAAACGTAGCAGCAGGGGCGGGACAACTTGAGGAACCCCACAGTGGTGGGAGGAGGCAGGAGCTCGAAGGGAGACGGAGGGGAGAGAGTTCCAGAGATTAGGGAGGTGAATTCCCCCAGAGCCTCCATGGCGGGCAGCACCTCTGGGGGGTTGATGTGCAGTGTGAATGGACCCTGCAGAGGCTGGTTCCCCAACAAAACCTTCCTCCAGTGGCCGATGTTTGGACAACTGAGGGTCAGGCTGAGTTTGGAGGAGAAGGAGGCAGGGGTCTCCTGATCTACGAACTAAGGACAGGGTATAAGTAAGCGTAAAAACTAGAAAATCAGGAAACGCAGCACACAAATTAGACATTAAATTAGACATTAAAAGGAGATTAATCTTTGAAGCTAAGCTAAAACCTGCACATGAATTTAAAGAAATGAATAAAGGCCACACAGGGAGACATTGTGGTACCTGCTCTGTTAGTATCTGCTTTAGCTGGTGTGGTGAAAACAGCCCTCTGTGAAACAGCAGCTCTCCACTCTCCTCAACACTCTGACCGGCCAAGATCAACAGCTTGTGTGCCGAGTCTCTGGACAGCAGAGTCAGCACCTGGCCGGGCCGGAGAGATGGAAAAGTTTTTAGTTTGCACTTAAACCGTGGAAATAATTAACTGAAGAAGAGAATAGGATGGAAAAGAAAAGAGAAGAGGGAAGAATAACACATAATTCATTTCAAAACTTTAGAGGTGCTTTGTTACCGACTCTGATTTGATTTTTCTGCTATTTTCTAAGACAGCTTGAAGGTTTAAGCTGGTGGTCGGATCAAACAAAGCAATTACAGGCATTTGCTGTCGTCAAGTAAAACTCTAAACTCGCACTCTTGATTATCCTGTCATTGTGTTTGAACAGTATCAAATTAGAGACAATCGTTCTCAAACAATCTGCTTTTTTCAGATCCCACTGAGCAATAGACGCTATTAGACGTCTAGTTTTTTTTTTAGACCTAATTTCAACCGTCTAGATTCTGTTTATTCTTAGATGGAATTTAGACATTGCACTTTAACCCATTATTCGATAACTATTTATTTCAAAAAGCAACTATGAGTTGCATAACTGATCTCCAAGTACTAAACCAAAATAATTATGATAGCCGTTGAGCAAAATACAGTGTAGTAAAGATATAGCCCAGATTTAGATTTAGTCCAGTGGTTCTCAAGTCCAGTCCTCGAGCTCCCCCCGTCCTGCATGTTTTGGATGTCTCCCTGCTCCAACACACCTGATTCAAATGATGAGCTCGTTATCAAGCTCTGTAATGGCTTCATAACGAGCTAATCATTTGAATCAGGTGTGTTGGAGCAGGGAAACATCCAAAACATGCAGGACAGTGGGGGCCTCGAGGACTGGACTTGAGAACCACTGATTTAGTCTAAACTTGGTCTAAATTTAGACATCTAAAAAACGTTCATTTGTAGACCTGTGGTAGCCTGATTTTAGACCAGTCGTCTATGCAACATTTAGACGTCTATTCGACCTCTTTTAAACCAAAAAAACGCTCATCGGGGATACCACACCAAACTGTTTTAAATTCACAGATTATATGAATCCAGGGTTTATCCCCTCACCTCTGATTGAACCTGGTCTGAGGACGGACTGATCAGCACCTGAGTGTCCAACACTCTGGTGCTGTGGCGCAGACACTTCTGCCCTGAGGAGGCCGAGAGAGAGAAAGACAGAATAGAAAAGGAAAGACAGACAGTCAGACAGCCAGATAGGGAAGGAAACTCATTGAAGCCTAAATCAAGCGGGACAGCCAGGCGAGTGAGAGACTCTCTCAGCAAAACAGAGGAAAAAAGAAGAGTAGGACAGCTGAGTCAGAGTGACTGTCTGAAGATAAGATGCCAAGTTAACTCAATCTGCAGCGTATATCCAGTCTAAGGGAAACTAGATCAACGTTTGATGACACAGACACTAACGCAGCCAAATGGAGAGTAATGACCTGAATATCAAAAAAAGAAAACCTTTGAAAAGAAATTTAACTTTTGATATGAGAGATATCAAAGTAACTCCTTCAACATCTTAATGACGTCAGTTTAGGAAACAGAGAAAACAGAAAACGCTTACAGTAGCTTTAATCTATCTAACTAGGATAACAACATTTAGAGCCAAAGTGACAAAGTTAAAATCATCTTCCCCAAGAAAACCATCTATCCTGCTAAAAATATTAAAATCTCATGACAAGATTATTCATCTTACACAAACACAGTGTTAAAACCCCCTTTTAGATGATTAGGTATCTTGAATGAAAAAGCTGTCATCTTGTCGGAACAACTCTTCACACCCTTAGAGGATATGAGCACTTTATCTGTTTCCTACCTACCAAACATTTAGAACAAGATAAGCTCAATTGTTCCTGCAAGATATTCTTTTTTTTTAAGAGAAATAGTCAGCTGTCTCTCTGGAAACACCAAAATCATGGTTACGATCTTGTCCCACAAAGAACTTCGGATCTTGCACTGACAGGTCATGATCTTATTCTAACAAATATCTATCTTGTTTCAACAAGATCATACTTTCTAGATTGTACAAGATAATCAGCAAAGTTTTGATGCAAGAAGAGGTTACAATCTTGTTGCCTAAAAACAGTCATCTCTCAGCAATAGAATATAATCTTGATCACCTGAAGGTAATCATCTTGTTTTCCCGAAGCCCTGATGGTCTACTATTGCCTTTCTTGCACAAGACAATCGCTAACAAACAGGTTATCTTTCTTTAATTCTGTTTTTTAGTGGAACAAGATACCACCGTTTCAGTAAATCTGACAAAAACATGTTAGCTCCTCGCCTTATCAGAGGAGAGTTCACTACAGAAGTGTCTGCCAAACCTGGTAACCTCTCTGGCATCTGTTCTGTCCTCCACAGACGGAGATGTGCCAGTTTTATATCTGTGTTCATCACCTCAAACCTCAGCTGTAACACAAATGTCTGGCTCTGATGTTTGTCAGCATTTTACCATTTCCCTTGTTGTGCAGCTCTGCATACTAAATGGCCTCAGAAGGGAGGTGGCACCGCCTGGTTAAAGGTCTCCATTGTTTTCTCTCTGCAGGGCCCACCCATGTCTAACAATCGCCCGACTGCTCCTACACTTTCCTTCCTTCCTGCCTTGTTGACCCCAGACCGGACGGCCTGGCAAGCAACCATGGTTACAGGGGGGCTTTTTGTGGTACGGGGTCACAGAATTTGACGTATTTACCTGCGCCTTTGAAGGACGCCGTATGATGGGAGAGAAACTCTTGGAGAAAAAGGTTCAGGTTACAGGATTTCAAGTCCACGTCCCATGACCGGATACCTGGAGTTCAAACAGGTCACACAAGATAACAGATGGTTTACTTTGCCACACACACAACAACAATGTCAGGTTGTGCAAGTTCAATGGGCAAATTTGCATGAAGTCATATGTTAATATTTAATGTTTAACCACAGAACATCATGCAGTTAGTTTTTGGCAGGAAATCATGAAAAGAGACGTCTTAAGAGGACCTGCTTTATCAAAACAACTGAACAAATCTTTTTTTGACTCTGACTTTTCTGAGCTTAAATGGAGAACAGGGTTATTGATGGGTGGGTGAATGTGTGGAAAAATATAAATAAACAATAATAAAAAAACACAAAGCATGATCTCTTCACATCTCATGCCCTGGACAAATCTGAGAAAATACTCTCAGACCCAAAACACCCCTTGTTCAGAGAGTTTGAGCTGCTGCCCTCAGGCCGCAGATACCGGTGCCCAGCCCTCATCAAGAACAGGTCCAGGCGGTCATTTGTACCACAGGTGATTTTACAATTGAATAAACTAAAATAGATTGTGGGCAGCTTTATTTTTTGATACTGGTTCAGCTGGTCTTAGCACAGATACATTATCTAAAGACTATTTATTTTGAATTGACAAAGTACAGTACAGTAGTATTTTTATATTGTCTTTTCTGAGTTGTTTTTGTTTTGTTTTTATATGGGACAGTGTATGGAACAGTGTATGTGTGTTGTCTTTGCTCTACCTGTCTCTACCTACCTACCTTCATAGAGAAATACACGAATAGCAGCTGTATTGAATTGTATTTGATCTTATGGTGCAACACATAGGCAAAAACACTGCATTAATAGAATTATGTTATATATTAGTGATACATACAAAGACACAAGTGTGCGTCTCTCATGCTCATGAAAATATTACGTTGAATACATTGAATGTGACCTGGTTTTATGAATATCTCAGTCCTGTTAGTGTCTTATTTTATCATTTTTAAGGGTAAATACATTTATTTTTATGAAATATCCATACATAATGCCCATTATAGCTGCCCACACTCAGTTTGTAAAGGGTTATTCTTGCATGTCTACCCTCTCTCCTACACAAAGGTTAATAGCACACCGTTTTCAAGTGTCTATCTGTTGGTTTGCATATTACAATTTTCCCCAAAAGCGCTTTCTTACATAAGGATCAGCTGTTTCAAAGACAAACCAGCAGCCCTCAGACTGCTTTTAATTACAATGTGCCTTCAGGGACGAGGTGGTGCTGATGGTGGAGCACCGCCAGATGACGCATCCTCGGTCAGCAGGGTGGGTAAAATCGCACAAACCCTGCAATAACGCATCACCAGTTCAGATTAAAGCGACTAGAACTTGTAGGACGCGGATTTCAAGCGATTAGGAAAGGAAAGAAAAGCGATTTACTGTGTCTGTTTGAGGCGTGTTGGGATGAACGTACCTCTCTCAATGTCCCCGCTGATTTGTCCCGTGTGTTTGAGGTGAGCTGTCCGTCCAATGATGATGAGCAGGGAGTGCTTGTGGGGGCAGAAGTCGAGGTTTGCGGTGGCAGCGCGCCGCGGCTCCTCCTGGACCTCCCTCTCCAGCACCCGGCTGGACGCCATGTTGGAAACTCGCAGTCGGCTGTGATGTCATTGAGAAAGGCTGACAGCAGCAGCAGCAGCAGCAGCGCCTCTTTAGAGATGACAGCTACTGTGCAGGAATGAAGCCTCACATTAATGGATGTGTGGGAGGAAACTGAATTATTGATGACAGACAGCAAGAAGAATCGATGTATTTTTCTTTATTGGTGTCCAGCAGAGAGTGAAGTAAACAAATCCTTTACTTATGAATAAGCACACTGCCACAAAAGTACTCTGTCAAAATAAAAGTCCTTTATTTAAAGTCCAACAGGATTCTTCCAGGTTCAATTTAAAGCTCCTATAAGGAATTTTTTGATGTTCATGAAATATGCAGTAATTCAAATTGATGCCTGTTCATATTATCCAAAATCAAACAAGATCATCAGGGAGTCAAAATTGACTGTAATTGAAAGTTCCTTACACGAGCTTTAATAAGTTAGAGGACAGGCGTAAATCAAATATGACTGCTCTTCAGTCAGTGTGTTTACATCATAGACTGTATAAAAAATGGCTGCCGTCTGCCTCCTTGCTGGGTGAAGCCACTCTGAGAACAGCACCCTCTGTTGATGGGCTGCAGTATAGGTCCTAAATCCCGCCTCCGCCAGCAAAGCTAATGGAGCTGTGGACAAACTTTAGAAATTTATTACACAAAACATAAATCTAACCGTAAAACAGGAAAAATTAAATCGGACTAAGCTCATAATTTTTTTTTTTTTTGCCAAATTGGACTTCTCCCCTTGTCCGCGTATACATGCAGCTGAGACAATTGAATTATTGACGTGAATGTGTCCTCCTCCCAAAAACTAGGGGGCGAAATGGGTCTTTTCAGAAGCGCTGTTTCCAACTCCAAACAATAGTCAACAACAACAGCAGGTCCGTGCCAGACGTCAGAAGTGGCTACAACTGCTGCTGGGCATTTTCTAGCAAGAAGACGGAGCATCGTACAGTGTTGTTTTTGTCTTAAATGATGTACGTGCCTCTTTTTCTGCAGATGAGGTGCACGCTACTCCGCTTCTCTGGTGTTTTATGGAGGCGTGGCGCAAGGGCACATGCGTTGTCCAGTCATACTCCGACTACGCTGGTTACATGGTAGAGAAAATCGAATTCCAATCGCATTATCTGGGTGTCTTAATGGAAGTTCTCCGACTATAATCCGAATTCTCAAACTCTGATTATAGTTGCACTAAGGTGTTTACATGCACTTCAGTTGTCCGGTCGTAATCGGAATATGGCAATAATTTGGTTTTCGTGGGTGTCATGTAAACATACTGTTTTAACAGGTTTTTCACAATATTGCATCTGTTTATTTATTTATTGGAAAAATAAATTTGCCATCAACAATAGCCCCTAAGTAAATAACAACAACAACAACAACAACAAGAAACTACATAAAACACTTGGGTTTTGGGTTTGAATGTTTTTGAAAGATAAAATATTTTGAAATTGACTTTCATCAATCAAATTATCAGACAGTTGAGCAGGGTTCTGTCCCTACCCGCACTTAATTTTTATGGTTCTGCTTGTGTTTGTGGCATGAAGAAAAAATCCACTTAAATAGTAGTCAGTTTACCATCGAGGGATATTTATGAATGGAACAAAATCAATCCATCTGTCAAAAGGCAACAAGACGATTTACTTTTTAATCACAGTAGCCTCCTTCATGTCCATTACTGCAAAGAACACGCGGACACTTGTGTATAGTTGAGTGCATTTATTGATCCTTATCTTACAAACGTTATAGAAACTTGAGATAGATCTATCTTTCACTTGACATGAACAACAGTTTACAAACAAAAATAGTTATAAACATCAATGAGACAAAAAAAATGCACTCTCACAATGTGCCAGAATCTCTCTCTTGTGTACAAACAACACTTTGTGAAGAACAAATATAAGACAGATGCACACAAGCCATGAAATATACAGAGAACTTACAGACTGACTTTTTCTAGTCCAGGTTTATAAAAGAAAATCGCTCTTCCATTGGCTCACAACAGTCACCTTAATCCATTGAATATTCACCCGTTGTTTTTTTTCTTGCGTCTCTGTTTTTTCTTTACAAACATTTGAGAACATAAAAGTTACAGGCAGTCCCCCGGGGACAGCTGCACAGCGTGCCAATGCGTGCGCCTTTGCGCACTGCGCACGGTTCTCCGGCGTCACACTGCAACAATAGAACCAGATAAAAACATGAAAATTTAGATTAAAATTACAGGATGATTTTCTTGTTCAAACTTGGGATTCAAAAGCGCATTTTTAAAGCTGTTGATGTACGCTATCATTTTCTGTAAAGAGTTTTAATTGATGTATTTCTTTCTAACAGGCCAAAAATCCCTCCTTATATAACTGTTTATATATAGAGAGATACCAAGCACTTTGAAAAACAGAAAAATAAAGGTTTAATTTGTTACACTGAATTTTAAATTAGATATTTGATTTTCTTACCGAAGGCAGCCAGCCAAGTTTTTTCTCAGATGGCATCTCTTTGCTTCTCAGCTTCTCCAAAACTCCTTGCAAGGCATCAATCTGCAGTCAAAAAGTAAAACGAGACTCTTATAAAGGATAAAAAAATTATTAGAACTTAAAATGGTGTGTTTTCATCGTGAACACTCATTTCTCTAGGATTACAAGCGTAATATCCAAGCTTGTAATCCTTTGTCGTTTCCCTGTTTCATTTTCAAATGTTTTACTTTAAGCGCGTAATATTTCTCACCAGATCTTTCTCCTGCTGGGCCTTCATGGTGAAATCCAACGATCGGGTCTCTAACGAGGAGTCCTCCGCACGAGCGAGCCACAGGAAGGCGCAGCAGCAGGTGGCCGCGAGGAGGAGAGTCTGAGCGCTGACCATGGTGCTGAAACACAAACAGGAGGAGTCTCTTTCTCTTCAGTGAGGATCTAAGTGAAGGCTCCCTGGACGTGTGGAGGGTTTGGAAATCTACAGGACTGAGATATCCCCCGTTTTATAGGGACTTTGCTGACATCAGCAGACCTTTGAAATATTAATGAAACAATGTGATTCAGGGGACACTGATCAGCACCTTTGTATATTTGAGTATTCACAGGAAGTAATCTAATAGGATGAAATGAAGGAGGGTCAAAGGTGATCTGGCCGTGGGGATCAAACTCATTTTCAGTAACAGCCTCTTTATTTGAACACACTGTATGTCTGACTCATTGGTGGGTCATTTTGAACTCATTCATGGCTTTTTTAAATCACAGAGCTTTTCTCTTCTGTGTTTTACAGCTGATCCATTCCTACTGGTCTGTCACCAGTGTTCAATAAAGCTGAAATCACACCTCAGGTTGACCCACATTGACATCAATCTTTAATCAGGATCCAATTTCCCATTGTAGGAATAACCCCGCACCACCTGTGCCCTGTGTGTCTGCATGTGTGTTGGGAGGGGGATGAGGCTGTGCTTGACCCATGTTCACCAGGACCTCCTGCAAAAAGACAGAGAAGAGGCGACGATAAGGCCGGTTTCATCATATATTACCTATGACTTATTCAGGAGGGATAAATGAAAAGAGAGACTTGTGAACAATCTGATTTTGAGGAAGAAGGTAATTAAGGAGCATTATAAAACAATTTGTTAAAAGATGCTGAAATGAACCTGAAGACATCTAAATCTCTTCTCAGTAAATATCTATACTTGTGATTGAATGTATGCAACTAATACTAAGCTATATTTGAACCAATACAATGGATTATGGATAACACTTATTTTTGACAACATTATAAATAATAAAAAAGCAAAGTACAATGATAACTTGTCCAATAATGTCAGTGAAGAATCAAAATTTTGAAGCTTCCTGACAGGAGAATTTGTGGTAGAACTGCTATATTACTAAGGGCCGCAGAGACCGTTGATGTTTTAAAGAAGAAGCTCAAGACTCGCCTTTTTAACCAGGCTTTTCAGTGACTGCCTTTTTATATTTCTTTTATTGCAAATATTCATTTGCATCGAAGTTCTTATTGTTTCTGTTATGTAATCTTTTTAAAGTGAGGCACTTTGAACTACATTATTCTTGTCTGAAAAATACCATAAAAATAAAGTCAAATTTTAAAACGTAACATAAAAACTCATCTATTCAGCCTGGCTTTTATGTACAGCTTCATTATTTTAATTACTACTATAATTTATTTATTGTTTGGTATCACTTTTTACCTTATTTTATGAATAAGTTCAAGTTAATATTTTATTGTATGTTTAGTCTATTTTAATAACTTTTATTTTTCTTGTCCCGATGTAAAACACTTTGAGCTGCAATTTCATTTGTATGAACAGTGCTATATAAATAAACTTTGATTGATTTTACTGATGTTTACTGTAAGTACACCCTCCCTCCGCTAGGGGGCAGCAGGATTCTTTCAGGCACTGATGAGATACCGGAAAAAAACGAGATAGCCGGAAGAAGCTAACGAGCGTCGTGTTATTAGCTCTTAATCTGTTATTTCAGCGTTTGAGGTTGTTTTTTTTGTAAGGTTACTAACAAAAAGCAACAATGTCTGAAAGAAAAGTGTTGAATGTGAGTATATGAACGCGAACTTTGGGTATTTGTTGTGTCGAAGCTGAAAAACTAAGCAAACCTTAACGTTAGCTGTGAATCGTGATAATAACATCACACTTTTTCATTGTTTACAGATGTAATGATCGATCCTGTGATGGATATTATGTGTAATATAAGGGGTTTTTGTAAGGTGTTAATGATTGACAGTAACCTACAGAAGGAGTTTAACTCTAATCTGTTTGTTGTAACCCTTTTAGAAATACTACCCACCGGATTTCGATCCATCCAAAATCCCCAAACTCAAACTCCCCAAAGATCGCCAGTATGTGGTCAGATTGATGGCTCCATTCAACATGAGGTATGTGAGATTATTCTGCATTATGAACGTACTGTTGTTCTGCCATTGAGGTTATTTGAATGGGTTAAGGAGGCTGATCAAACCCACAGACACATGATATGATATGACAATGTCTGTATGATATTGACCAATGAGAATTCAGTTTACAACACAAATAGGTGGTCAAACCAGATCAGTGAAGGCTGTCTCTTGATAATGTCTCATGTAGGGCTGGGCAGTATGGGAAAAAGTTTATCACGATATATATATATTTTTTTTTCATATCAATAAATATCACAATATGAAATTTGATTGGTAGCATGTCTTTTGCAATACAATAAGCGACTACATAAGGCTGCACGATATTGGAAAAAAAATAACATTGCGATTTTTTTTCAAACCTGCAATATATATTGGGATATTAAAAAATACAGGAATTTTCACCAAATGACCTGAATAGCACTTTATGCTGTGCTGCACTACTGAAATCTTGAGGACAGTTAACCTGCACTGATCATACCTCTTTTTGTGAATGTTAGTAGAATGGCTTCTGTTTGTTTCAGAGATATTTTTAGCTTTTATTGTGCTGGGATGTTATTGTGGCAACAGATAAAAGGCACTGCCGTCACTTGTTTGGTCGACATCATCCTTCTTGTAACCAAAATAGTTCCAGATAACTGACTTCCCTTTTCTTTTTGGCAACAAGTCTTAATTTTCAGTCGTTTCTCTTGTTCGTTTCTCATTTTGCAATCGTTGTTGTTGTTACCGGTGTTGTGCCGAGAAACGCATGCTCGCCGAGAATCGCATGCACCTGGCAAAGTGCGCACCGTCTGTAGTATATTAGAGTGGTCCACGGAAATGTGCAATTTAAAGCCCATGCAATTCTTATTTGTAGGGCTAAACAGGGATGAGTAATGTTCCAAAAGCAATTCTCGGCGGGTATGCGTTTCTCTGCACAACTCTGGCAGCACCAGCGACTCACTCCATGTGCCGGGGCGCGGTTTCCTCCTCTCTGATTTTGATTGATGGCTGGCAGGGTAGTCTGATTGGCAACTGAGTAAAGAACAAATGTGATTTGTGGATCGCTGCACAGCACATGCAGAGTCACATGTAGAGTATCTCAGTCAGATACTCTTAAAATTAAATGAGTTCATTCGCCTCTGACATCGCAGGCACTGCGAAGTGACTATTGTGCACACATACATCGCAATTACGATGCTCAAAGGATATATTGTGCAACCCTAGCTTTCGGCTTCACGTGTTAAAGTGCTATGGCTTTGTGTAGCTGCAGCCTGCTAATACGCAGTTGTTTACTTCTTGGTTCTAATTCAGCTCATGATTGGTTCAGCACGAAGCAGACCCGGAGCAACTCCCCTTTTCATTGGCTATTCATGTAGTCTACCAAAACATGGCAGAAAGCCGACTATCTGATAGGATATTGACCACGTTTCATATTGATATTGAGGAACATTCGTTTTCAATATATATCCTTATCGTTTTATCGCCCAGCCCTAGTCTCATGATAAGTTGTCACTTTTTTTTTTTCTTTTCAATTTGAGGGCTGCTCTTTCTAAGATATGTGGCTGAATAAACAGAGAGACCAGGGTTATCTCTCAGTGTCGTCTCTTTGGTGGTTTGCAGGTGTAAAACATGCGGCGAGTACATCTACAAGGGGAAGAAGTTTAACGCTCGCAAAGAGACTGTTCAGAATGAGCTGTACATGGGACTGCCCATCTTCCGTTTCTACATCAAATGTACTCGCTGTCTTGCTGAGATCACATTTAAGGTGAGAAAATAATATACTCAAGTAGTTATAATGGGTTTTTAATTTAAAAATAAGACACTGAAACTTATTTGTCGGGCTTTCTTTCTTATAATGTGACAACAGACCGACCCAGAGAACACAGACTACGCAATGGAGCATGGTGCAACAAGAAACTTCCAGGCTGAGAAACTGATTGAGGAGGAGGAGAAGAGAGTCCAACAAGAGAGGGAAGAAGAAGAACTGAACAACCCCATGAAGGTCTGTGTTGTAGATCTTATCAGTGTTTGTTATTTTTAATCATTATCAGAATGATGGGTTGGTGATTTTGACATTCTGGTACCAGGTGTTGGAGAACCGCACAAAAGATTCCAAGATGGAGATGGAGGTTCTGGAGAACCTTCAGGAGCTGAAGGAGCTCAACCAGAGGCAGGCTCAGGTGGACTTTGAGGGAATGATCGAGCGATACAGAGAACTGGAGAAGATGGAGAGGGAAAGGGAGAAAGAAGACGATGAGCGAGAGACAAAGTGAGTGAGGGAGCTTTAAATAGTGTTTGGGTAATTAAAACAAAAGCAACGATAGAGGAATTAAATAAACAACTGCCACCCAGAAACTGGATAAGTTGTGGTGCAGCTATATAGATAATTTTGTTTCCGTTTTTGTACTTTTATGTTGAGCAGTTTGAACTCTCAGCTGCAGCCATAAAAAACCCAATCAAATCTGAATGTGTTGATGGTTTCACAGGGAGATGTTGGATCGCGCCCTCGTGAAAAGACTCAGAGATTCAGACTCTGACTCAGAGAAGGAAGAGGAGACGAACAGCTCACAGTCAAAGAAAGCCTTTACTGAAAATCCAACTGAAGTTCTCACCTCAGAGAAACCTACAGAGGCACAGGTATGAGTAATTCTCCTCAATAAACAAAGTTTGTTCATTTCCTGTCAACTGGCAGGGTTTGGACAGCGTTCCAGGCAAACATCAAGGTTTATTTACGCAATCCATTATATTCAGAAGGCAGCTTTTGTCTTGCAGGAAATGCTATACTGCTGTGCCTCAGTTGTATCAGCGTAACAGATCCAGCAGTTAGTAACAGTTTCCCGCTTTTGGAGTTGATGAGCAACTCAAAAGATGTGAACAAAGTTGTCTAAGAAAATTAGAGCACGATATCATCTAATTCATGTAACCTGACAAAGATGAAAACATTGAAAACTCTAATAAAGAAACCAAAGGTGGATAACTGATGCTTTGTGTTCAACAGGGACCCTCGTCTGGACCAGTAAAGAAGGCCAAGGTGGAGAGCTGGGAGAGGAGTGTCGGGACACTAGGCAGAGGTGGGGCACTAGGCTCCCTGGTTGTGCGGAAGAAACCAGCAGCAGCAGCAGCAGCAGTCAGTAAACCCAGTTCAGCAGCAGCTACCTCATCACAAACAGGTAAAGCATGAGTATCTCCAACAGCCTGAATGAAAGTTTTTTTTATAGCCACATTTGGAATGATTCTTTGTTCACATCTTTTATTCAAAGTTTGTTCATAATTTTGATGGAACCATTGTTGTGTTTGCGCTGTTTTACAGATTCAAAGGCGCCTCCTGTTCAGGAAAATAATGCCTCCAAGCCTGTCAACTCTCAAAACGGCTCGTCATCTCTCAGCCTGCTGGGGGCGTATTCAGACAGTGACAGCAATGACAGCGAATGAAAGGAAGGCACCGTGGAGGAGTTTCGATCAGTGTGACTGACACAGTCATATAAAGGACGCAGAGAGGAATATAATGCTGTGTGGACCTGTTTTTAACACTCAGCAGACATTAAAATCGTAAAAAAAAAGTTAACTTTTTCCTTGAAAGCATTTCTATACAGTGATTATAAGTCAATATAATAACAGGTGGTCATTGGAAGGTTATTTGTTATTGCAACCCAATGTAAAAATGACCTCTGATAAAATACAAAATGTTTATTTTATGTGTTGATTAAAATTCTTCATCCCCTTCACTTGTTTTGACACCTTTCTTCTTCTCTTGTAAAAAACGATGTTTGCACGTTTTTCATCTAAGATCAGAGAGCTGATTTGTTGACAAATGTGTCTTTTCCAGGTGAGAACATTTCATGACTTTTGTACTACATTTTTCTGTCCCATTAGACTAATAACACGTTTTCTCATAATACTCACATAGATCATTTAGAGTGACATTTTTTAATCACTCTTGACCTTTAAATCAGCAGGTAAAAATGCAATAAACCAGTCTGGTATTTCCCCTGTTCTAACAGGCCCTCTTATAAGTGATCTTTTGAATGATATTTTTTTAAGTGTGTTGAAATCCTGTCAATCACTGGCTAAAGTTGAATTACTGTGTAGGGGAGAGTAGGGTAAGATGAGCCATTTTTCATATTTCGGATCACTACATCAAGGCAATCATAGTTTTGTCTCTAACTAGTATATCTGCATATATTTCAAGATGTTGTGCAAACCAACAGAGCGAGTGGAAACATAACTGTCTTGATAATATAGCATGCCAAAAAAAGTGGGGTAAGTTGAGCCGTATCCCTACTACCCAGCCCTCCCTCACCTTCTCTCTCCCTAAATAACAGTCACTTCTTCACATTCATGTGTATTTTTATCTATTATACGCTATTCAACTGGTACAATAATTCTTTTTATTATTATTGCAAATAACTGAAAAGAAAAAGTAAAACATTTCAACAATCTGAACTGAAACTCTGATCCTCTCATCAGACTTCTTTACTTTCTCAGTTACCCCAGAACTATAATGACTTCATTAGTCCTCTAAACTAAAATGGTGGACTTTTTATGTATTTCTAATGAAAGCATCAGGAAAATGTACACTTAATGTTTGAGAATTCAATGATTTTGACCACGAGGAGACACTTCATATTTAGATTTTTCATATTAATTCAAGAGCAATACCTAAGAGCTGTGTAGCAGCTTTTCTGTCGGCAGAGTAAAAACCAGCTCACCGATCCTCCCCTTTAAGGCTGCCCGCCGTGCCAGTGACTGTTGTGTCGGTCGGAGACAGTCTGCTCCTCTACGGTCTGGACTGGTCCAGCTAACATTAGCTGCCTGCCTGCCTGACTGACTGACCTGCTTGGCTCAGAAGCCGGACGGATTACACGGACATCAGTAGTTTTATTTTTAGGCCTGCTAACTAACGTTAAAACGAATTGTTGGATGGTAGCCAGGAAGACATAACTGGGCCGGGAAGCCGTCAATGCCGAGAAAGACAGAGGGTGAGTTCAAAGAAGTACCGTCTTTTCACGGCTGGGACGTTATACGAGGAGGAGCTAACTTGGCTAACTTAGCTTTGGCAGTGTTGACACAGCGGTGACCGTAAATAACACGGCTCGAATGAATACAGTGTTTTATTCTTTTAAAATAAGAGAAACTTAAAAGTCAAAACACAGGCTTTTAATAACGTAAATCTGTGTTGATAGCTTTGACGATAACACTTACCTTAACACTCTTAATACTCCACCCCCTCAATGCTAACCAGTATTAGCTATTGTCAATGTTTACACTGATTTTCTTATTATTTTAACTCCTGAAAGTCTTCCACATCCCGAAGTAATCTTCATTTAAATAATTTTTACCATGCTGTGCTGGAAATGTGATTTTTGCTGAACCTGTTGACACTTAGGATCACATTTATAATAATGGTAATAATAATAATGATAATAACTATTTGTATAGGACTTTTAAAAACAGAATTTTACAAAGTGCTGTGACATATAGTCATAGAGCACATGGAAAAAGCTAAAAAAAACAAAAAGCTAATTTAAAAAGGAGTTGAAGGCCATTTTCATGTCATAATACAAGAACCATGCAACATAAAATGAGACCATGAAGACCAAAATAAAAACATTAAATAAGAATAAAAATAAGAAATATATGCCTCTAAAAGTTATCTACTATTACAGTTATCTCCGATTTACACAAGAGTTATAAAGTCTGAAAAATCAGCAGCCAACAAAATGACAACAAACATGTCTCACATTTGAGAAGCTGATAATGAGTATTTATTGATCCCACTCTCATCTTATGTGTATGTCCTTTTATTCCCAGATCCATGGCAAAGTGGCTGAAGGACTATCTAAACTTAGGCAGCAGGCGTGACCCTCCTCAGCCCCCGAGGCCAGACTACACCGAGAGTGAGATTCTGAGGGCCTACAGAGCTCAGAAGGAGCTTGATTTTGAGGACCCTTACCAGCACTCTGATAAGGAGCATCAGAATGGTGGTTTTAGCTCCTGCAGTGCCACAGTGAGCCTTCCCTCGTTCCCTGCATTCGGTTCAGTGCTGCCCAATGGTGTGGAGGTATGGCATTCATGCTTTATGCTCATGTATCCAAATAAAGTGTATTTATTTAAAGGGATATTCCGGCGTAAAATTTATTTAGGGTCAAACACACCATAACACCGAGTTAGACACCCCCTCAAGAGATAAATGTTGCCGACTGCTTACTTCTCTAGTTTACAATTTTAGTAACGACCACAGATAGCAATACACAATAGTCACCTACTCTCTTCCAGCAGCCGCTTGTTTGTAGCGAGACCTTGGGACAGTCCATTTTCATTAATTAATGATCATAAATGTTCTTTCTTGAGCTGCGTCACCCCGCCGCAGTCCGTAATGGACTGGCCCAAGGTCTCACTATAAACAAGTGGCTTCTGGAAGAGAGTAGGTGAGTTGTAGGGACCCTATATGTACTGTTGATGAAGTTAGGTGCTGTTCTGAGCATTAATTGTGGCTATAGAGTGGCGTTTTGGTTGAGGCTTACATGTGATATTTTCCAGGTGAAAGTTGTGTCACCAAAGCACAGACTCATTAAAGTGGACTCCCAGGAGTTTGGCCGTTGTAAAGTCCCCTTAAGTCCTGTGACAGTACAAGAGGAGCCTGTAAGACAGTTTTCCATTTTCTCCTCTGCTTTTCTTGACTTTTTCTGACCCACGTGACCCAGGAGTGGGATGTCCTGCTTTCTCACGTGTGAATAGCTCTTTATTTATCTCTCTCTACCAAGGTGGTCCCATCTGCCCCAGCAGCTTTGGACGCTGACACTGACTACTCGGATCCATTTGATGTCCGTCCAGACCCCAGGGGTAGATCAAACTGGGAACATAAACCTGCGCCAACAGACTGCTGCAGCTATATGGAACCATTTGAAGCACAGCGGATTATTTCAGGTTAGCTGGACTTGTATAGACAGAAGATGCTTCCATGCAGCAGTGTGGTGTAAATTTTACGGGTGAAATAGCCAACAGGGTTCATTTGTAATGGTTGCATTGCTTTAGGACTGTCAGGATATGGTTACAGGCGTAATAGATGAAGATTTAAAACACTCACAGTAAATAGATATAAATAAATCCGTGTGTATTTGAGATTTCGATCGGCACAGATGGCTGATGTCTGTTTGTGGGTTTAAGTTCTGCAAAGTCATTTCATGTCTTTGTTTATCTTACAGAGCTGCAGCACAGTGCAATGATTAACCGATCTGGAGGAGGAGATGGTGGCCAGTTATATGATAACCCATACGAGGAGAGGACCCGTCACCACCACCGATCTGCTCCATCAGGGCAACAGCAAACTCAGAGGATTGAGGGTGGACTTTCTCTGATAGACAGCAGGGAGAGCAGGCTGCCTCAGGATGACGAGAGGCCGGCTGATGAGTACGACCAGCCCTGGGAGTGGAAAAAGGATGACATCTCTAAAGCTTTAGCAGGTGAACTTGCACTCTCGGTAATTTCAGGTCAGGTGTGTCTCGAGTTTTTTAGTAACTAACCCTTGTGATCCTTCTGACTGTAGTCCAGTTTGAAGGGGCTGAGAGGGAGCGTTCAAGAGCTCAGACAGACCAGACCAGACTCACTAAGCCGGGCACTACATCTTCCTCAAACGACTCAACGACACTGCGTCTAGTTGGTGACACTCCTCCTCTGTTGGGCGAGAGAGTGGATCCCTGTATGCCACTGGAGAGACAAGTGTAAGTGATGGTTTTATCTCATGACATTGGACAGCCAGGGTCATCTTTCTTTCTGAAAAACTTGATTTTAGTATCTCTTCTGTGCTGAACTATTTAAATAATGCGAAAGTTTATTGATTTTCTAATGAGTAACGTCTGAAAAATGATTATAAGTATTAAATCGGAAAATTCTTTTTCTTAGTAAGAGAATTCAACTCACAAATAAAGGATTTTTGTAAGCTTATTTTGAAGACTTGGGAACTACACTTTGAGCTGTACAGTAGTCTTTTGTTAGCAAGGACTGTAAAGTCGTTTAACAAGACGACACAAGGAAAAAAAAAAGTTCTTGGAAAACACAGAATCATTATACTTCCATGTTTGAAGGAATACCTGAGTTTTAACTGTATATTGTGTTTGTAGCATAAGAAAACATAACATAAGGGCTTCCAGCTCTGCATGGAGATATTTTGGTGTTTAATTGTTGTTTGCATCGTGACAATTAGGCAGATAAAGAAAATTACTATCTGATATTCTCAGAAACAAGGTGTGAGGTTTAATTTCCTTTGGGAAAGCAAATATGAATATGCGCTCCTCTTTGTTTTATTCCCCTCGTTTGTGTTTAGCTGTGTGTGTCCCTCGGCTGTGATCTTTTTTATTACATCGACTCCTTTGGATTTTACGTAAAAATCTGAGCTCGGTAAAGTAGCAAGAAACATTCAGTGATAATCAGTCATCTGGGGCAGAGTGTCGAGAATTTCATTATCCTTTTATCACCATCTTCATATCTCTGCGCTCCTTATGGAATCGAAATATGCAGCGATCATTTGAAGAGGTGGTGTCCTTTTTCATATTTTACAGATAAATATCAAGTGAGAATGTTTGGCGCCAATAAAGAGCAAGTTTCAGGTCGTGAGGTAAATAGGAGGTGGAAAATCTCAGGCTGCTCCGAACTTGTTCAAAACGGTCTCACAAGACTTCCACAAGAGCCGCACAAGATATCCTTGAAAGAAGGAAATATTTTAGGTCCTTTTAAAAATGGCTATATTTTATCATTTGTAATTTTAAATGGAGAAATAAAGCGTAGTTCCTGAATTCGGGGTTCCTGGAGTTCTAGGAGAGACCGTGGGTGAATAAAGCGTTTCAGATAGGTGTTGAAATGAGACTTCTCTGTCCGTCATTGGTGGTTGTTGCTGCCTGTGCCTAATCTGCATGTCCTTCCAGTCACTGATTAGTCATGTTTCTGCTGGTAGCAGCCTCCACGTGGTACAACAGCTGACATTTGTTTGTGAATTTATCAGAAATTCATTGTGATTCAGAGGGTCTAACAATGCCTCAGACCAAGCACTGTTCAGCCACTTTGACTTGTTTGCTGTATAAGAGTATAATCTTGCATTTTTATCACCAATTACTTTGAAACCACGTGACCAGCCAATCACAATGAAACAAAATAGGACCAGATTTTTGTCATATAACCGAATCTAGCTGAACTTGTTGAGTATGTACACTAAGGATAAAGAGTACAGAAGGAATTTTATGGTGTATGACTTTAAAAGAAAGGGTGAAAACAGGATCAGAGAACCACAAGCGGCTCGAAGCTACACTGTCTTGATTGAAGTAAACTGTTTTCTTTAAATGTTTCCTGCTGGTCCCTCTGCAGGTGGTACCATGGCACCCTGAGCCGCTCTGAGGCCGAGACTCTTCTCACTCTGTGCAAAGAGAGCTCTTACCTCGTGAGAAACAGCCAAACCTGCAAAAATGACTACTCCCTGTCCCTCAGGTATACTCCCCTCCTTACACTTTACCCCAGCTGTGTGTGTTATGATAAAACCACGAGTGTTCAGTACTTCATATTCTAGGCCAGTCTCATTACTGAGCCGTTTGTATCAGCCTCTGTTGCAGTATTTAACTGTTTCCCACAGTCTAAACTTGTTACATCATTTCTCCGTCTTAAAGGGGAATGGTGCTGCCTGAAATAATCTTGTAATAATCGGATACAGTTTTGCTGTATTCATATTTATTACTTTAAGAGTCGAGACCTTTCCCTCTTTCTTGGTCGAGGTTAAAGGGATATTCCGGCGTAAAATTAATTTAGGGTCAAACACACCGTGACGCTGAGTAGACACCCCCTTGAGAGATGAATGTTGCTGACCACTTGCTTCTAGTTATACCAACTTCAGCAACGACCGCACGATAGCAATACACAGCGGTCTGAGAAGCCATAAACAAACCTCGACCAAAACACCACTCTATAGCCACAAATAATGCTCAGAACAGCACCTAACTTTATCAACAGGACATATAGGGTTCTAGTCATAGTACTAGCCACCAAACACAACTCACTCACTGTCTTCCAGCAGCCGCTTGTTTGTAGCTAGACCTCAGGCAAGTCCATAATAGACTGCTGCGGGGTGACGCAGCTCAAGGAAGAACATTTATGATCATTTCTTTATCATTTCCTTGAAGTTATAATAACCATATTAATCATTTTGCACTGCAGACACAGTAGTTCTTCTGCCTTAGTGTCTCAGTCTGATTGTATTTCCATGAAGAAATGATCATAAATGTTGTTCCTTGAGCTGCGACACCCTGCAGCAGTCCGTAATGGACTGGCCTGTGGTCATTTTGCAACAAACAAGCCGCTGCTGGAAGAGAGTAGGTGAGTTGTGTTTAGTCTCTTTGCTAAAGAAATCAGGTAAAGTTAACAAGATGTTTTGCTGGGACCCTGTATGTACTGTTGACGAAGTTAGGTGCTGTTCTGAGCATTATTTGTGGCGTTTTGGTTGAGGTTTGTTTATGGCTCCTCAGACCGCTGTGTATTGCTATCATGCGGTCGTTACTAAAGTTGGTATAACTAGAGAAGCAAGCAGTCGGCAACATTTATCTCTAGAGGAGTTATCTAACTCGGTGTTAAGGTGTGTTTGACCCTAAATTAATTTGACACTGGAATCCAAAGTATGGCAGCTTTGTGCTCGCTCAGAATTGTCTTTTCTCTCCTCTATTCCCCATCAGTGTACATCCACTGTACTCTCTGATCATAATTAGACCTTCAAAGTGAATCATCCTCTCTCTCCCTCTGCCAGGAGCTGTAAGGGCTTCATGCACATGAAGTTCACTCAGTCCGCAGAGGGACGCTACGTGCTTGGAGAGAACAGCCCTCCCTTCGCCACCATTCCCGAGGTCATCCACTACTACACTACACACAAGCTGCCGATCAGAGGAGCCGAGCACATGTCCCTGCTGTATCCTGTCATAGTGCAGACCCTCTGACGTGGACATGCTCCTCTCCTGGTGCTACTGAATACAATATACACTCCACATTTACCTTTATTACGCCCCCTTTTTTTCCCTCACACCTTGTCTCCTCTACCTGCACTGCTAGTAAGAGATTGGATTTTTCTGTGCCATTTTTTTTCCATTAACAAACCCCAAAAAACTATCCTGGCAGCTAATAAGAAAGCTCAGTGCCTCATACGTATCCGCCTGTGAACCAAGTCCCCATATTTTGAATCTGTACACTCCTGAATATCAGTATTAACCATTATCAGGATTTGTAGCTGAGTATTTAAAGATCAAAAAAACAAACTCAAGGTGTCTTGAGAACATTGCATGGGTTCGTCTGTCGTATTACAAAGACAGACTTTACTGCCAGGTCACTTTCAGGACTACGACAATAGTGTTTTATCCTGTTGTGACCCAAAATAATAAACCATGATCTATATTTGACAACAAGATTTAAAATTAGATGTAGAAAGTAGAAAAATCTGTTTTTAAGAAGTGCTGTTGCCACAAACAAAATGTTCTCGTTCTTTAAGTGTTAGCTACACTATCAACCAAACACTACATCTTCAACCCTGGGCCCTCTTTGCCGCTGGGTTTCTGTGTTTAAGAGGAGTGAATGTGACATGATGCTGTAGCTGTGTGCCCTGCATAGTTTCCTCATGTTGTTTTGAACAACACACAGTGACAGTATCAAACAGACCCCGCTGTGTCGATTTCATGCAGTAACAGGCTCTTGCAATACTAGTTTAGAGAGTAATAACTAAAGTATTATCCTGAAAAGCTCGTGGCTTTGTGATCATGATTATCGAAGAAGCTTTGGTTGATTATATACTGTTATTTGCTGTTTTATAAGATTTTAAATGTGTGTTGAAAATAAAGGTGTTGTCTGTTTTTAAGCTGTCTGTGTGTTCAACTTCTGCTCTGTGAATCTGAGTTGAAAGAGAGCGTTCACTCTGCTCCTCTTTGCTGAAACCGACCTTTATAGACTACAGGTTTATCATAATCATATCATAAAACCATGACGAATGCACGAGTATGTTTCATGTTTCAATACTGTGAATTCTGATTGATTTGGAAGCATGTATGGCCATCCCACTCATCCCTGCTCATAGAGGATCTCTGGTACGCTGCACCCCAATAGTGTCACCTGATCCCCTAGCAACCAGCAGGTGTTGGTGTCACCAAGGGAGAGCCAGCAGCTGCAGGTACGATACAGGTAAACATTTCCACTATTTAGTAACTGCAAAATTCTCTGCTAGGTTAAAGATCACACTTGACTCTGTTGTATTTCCGTTATATGTGATTAGTGAGGCAGGCATGCAGCACTTTAAGGAAGATTTTACATGTTGAGTGCAGCCAGTCTGACTTTCCACTCAATTATAAACTTTTAAGATGTAAGAATAAGAACTTTTATTTATCCCCGAAGGGAAATTCAATAGTTTTAATTCAAGTTTAATAAAATAAAAACTTCTTGTTTTTGTTTCATGTCTATCAAAATTGGAAATTTCTTTTAGTCTCTTTTTAGAAATGTCAAAAGTTTTTGGATGCCGGTTGTCTCTCGTGACATTTTGGTTCCACGCTGGTTTAATTTTGGCACAAATACGTTGTGTTCCCTAATCAGCTTCTACTGTTTCCATGGCAACTCGGACAGAGAGGCTCGCTCAACCCAAACCCGACCACCTGAGATACCCAGACCGGTAGACGTCAGTGGTGACTTTGTCTCCTGTATGAGTGTCTTCTGTCTTTGTTTTCGTCTAAGGCCTCTTTTGTTTGCTTTGACAGACGCTCAGTTTACTGGCTGGATCATCTGCCGCCAGAAAAGACGGGGTCCATCACCAAAACTGGTACCCTTCACTTTACCAACCTTAACAGCACTTTTCATGTGGGGTTTTGTTTCGTTTTGTTTTGTTTTTGATATAAAGAATGACTCTTTTCTTGCAGAGTTAACCCCTCGCTGGTTAGAGCTGTGCAGAAATAAAAAGTCCTACGCTCCAATCACGTAAATATGACAAGTTCTAACATTTTTCTATGTCTCTGATTCTTTGCTTGTTTCTTGACTCTGTTTGCTATTTCCTTAGTCTCTTTACATGTCAGTAAGTTAGTAACACCGTGTAGTACTAACTTTATGAGCAGCAGACAGATTCGGCCTTTTAGGAGACGGGCGTATTTTAAAGATGTGCCTGAAAGGTTGAAACTCATGTCTTTCTCTAAATCAATGTTTTCATATTCTTCTTTTTGGTTTTGTTTGCGCTGGCCCTTGATAATAACCATTTAAACCAGAGCTCAACCTCCTCTGTTTGCAAGTTGTAGATACGGCCCTGGACAGGCCTTGACAGAGACAGAAACTCAGTTCACCGCACTCTCAGCTGCATCCTCATCTTTAATGGTTTAGTTGATCATGACTTTGAAATGTCTAACTGAATTTGCTCTGTAACTAATCTCTTAACCAGGATTAATCGAGGGTTAGATATGGAGCAGTAACAGCAGCAAACAGCTGTGTCTGGAGTGAGGAAGCAGAGAGGATTACGGTGCACTTGTTGCAGATATGTGACACTATTGTCACCTCATCCCTCAATTTACAGAATGCACAACTCAAATCTGAGTCGAAGGATCTATTTGTAAGAAAAATAGGAGTTTTTTAATTCTTTTTGTCTCATCATCTTCTTCTTCACAAAGACACGAGCGAAATGCATTCAGCTTGATGAAATCACCTCCACAGGCATCCGTTAAGATCTTTCTAAAATCACTGTCTGTCTATATTTATCGTTCGTCTCTTGTTTCCTTTGCCCTTGTTTGATTCCTTACTTTCGTTTTTCTGTCTCCTCAGGCAGTCAGTCATTCCCTCTGTTCTTTTGTTACCTTTTCATTTGCCCTCGCCTCAAACACTGCTGTCGTGCCCTTTTGCATCTTCTTTCATCATGCTCTCGTTTTTCCTCCTCCTGTCTCCTGTTTCCGTCACTTCTCTCTTTTTCTCCCCCAGACTTTCACCTACATGGGAGGTGAGTAAGTGGGCTCTCCAGGCTGTTGCATCTGATCGGTTGTGCCGGCTGGCTAAACCTCTGCAGCCTGCAGCTGGTTGGCAGCCGGATCGGCCGCTGCTGGCCCCTGTGAGTAACTCAAACTAGGCGGTGTCTGTTTGTGTCTGGTCGTAGGGTTGTAGGCAGTTTTCCAAGGTTATTCCATGAGGGCCTTAAACCTTCAAAAAGTCTTTGATTCAAAGCCAACTTGGCTTACCCAGCTTATCAATAACTGATAATAGTTGGTGAAGCCAAACAAGCAAAGGTTATTGAAGGCTGTTATGGTAGCTGAGGGAGGAAGTTTATTTAAGTCCTTAAAGGGATATTACGGTGTAAAATTAATTTAGGGTCAAACACACCGTAACACCGAGCTGGACACCCCCTCAAGAGATGAATGTTGTCGACGGCTTGCTTCTCTAGTTATACCAACTTTAGTAACGACCACATGATAGCAATACACAACGGTCTGAGGAGTCATAAACAAACCTCAACCAAAACGCCACTCTATAGCCACAAATAATGCTCAGAACAGCACCTAACTTCATCAACAGTACATATAGGGTCCCAGCCATAGCACTAGCCACCAAACACAACTCACCTACTCTCTTCCAGCAGCCGCTTGTTTGTAGTGAGATCTGGGGCCAGTCCATTACGGACTGTTGCGGGTTGACGCAGCTCAAGGAAGAACATTTATGATCATTTTTTATCATTTCCTTGGAGTAATAATCATCATATTAATCATTTTGCTCTGCAGACGCGGTAGTTCTTCTGCCTTAGCGTCTCGGTCTGATTGCATTTCCATGAAGAAATGATTATAAATGTTCTTCCTTGAGCTGCGACACCCCACAACAGTCCGTAATGGACTGACCCGACGTCTCAATACAAACAAGCGGCTGCTGGAAGAGAGTAGGTGAGTTGTGTGATGTCTCGATCTGATTGTATTTCCATTAAGAAACTACATTTGGTATAACTAGAGAAGCAAGCGGTCGGCAACATTCATCTCTCGAGGGGGTGTCTAACTCTGTGTTTGACCCTAAATTATGTTTACCCCGGAATATCCCTTTAAGCTTCTCAATGACTCACATTGTATTTATAGTTAAACAGAGCTACACAGACTGCCATGCCCACTTCACGAATTTGTCAGCTAGCCCAGCCAAGACGAAGGCCGGTTCTGGAGGGTGATGACCACAAACCTAAACCTGAACCAACCACCCACATATCCTACAGAGCATCCGCACACATAGAGCTTCTTGCGAGTAAGTCTGTTTTTCTATTACAAGAAATTTCTAGATTTTTCTTTAACTGATAGAATTATTTTTGTCTCTGCAGCCCCAAAACACGACCACACCAAGTTCAGAGAAGAGCGCCCGGTGAGCTGGATCGTCTCCAAAGCAGCGAGAAACTATGTTGCGAGCAAAAGAGTTCTGGAGCTCTCCAGTCCAAAAGAGAGAACGGCGTTGTTTGAGGGATACGACCCTTACGTAGTCAGCCGGGCAGCCCGATCTGCCAGCTCCTCACCTCGGATACAACAGCTCTCTCTGCCGCTGCCTCGAAAGTGCAGCTCAAAGAAAGAGGGATGAAGATTGGAGCTTGAAAGAGTGTTGATTAATCTGCTTTTTCTTGATAAAAGAAATACATGTATCATGACAAAGGCATATTTATTGCTCTGCTACGTTCACTCTTCTCTTCTTTTGTGGCTGATTCTGTTTTTCCAGAGCTCTGGTAGCATGAGGCGGTATTTACAGCCCACAGGGGTTGCCAGCGCATCTGTATGCACCATGGCTAGAAATTTTACTGTGTCTCCAAGCATAGTCTCAGGAGACTCAGGGAGATACCAGGAGACAGGTCAGTACAGCAGGAGAGGTGGAGAGGACAACAACCTAGCAGCAGGACACCTACCTGCTCCTTTGTGCAAGAAAGAACAGGAGGACCTCTGCAGGAGCTCTCTAAAATGACCCCCAGGAGGCAACTCATGTACATGTTTTTGACCAGACTTTCAGAGACAGACTCCATGAGGATGGCAGACAGGGCCAAGCGATATGGGAAAAAGGTTTATCAGGATATAGCATGTCTTTTGCAATACAATAAGCAACTGCATCTGTGAGGTCTTTGTGTCTCTTTGACGTTTTGTCGTAAGGCGTTGCGCTAGAGAAAGCGGACTGAATGGTCAGCTGTTTCGGCTGCGCAGGCGCATAGGCTCTTTGCTCCACTTGGGTTTTATAACCTTTTGCATTGCACGTGTTCTGCCGCACGGCACAAAAACATTTGAGGTATTCCCGGACTTTGCAAGAACATTACTCTGCTTCATGTCCGACCTCAAAAAACCAAAATACCTCCACACCACCGACATTTTCGTGCCACTGTTGTCAACGATGTTTTGACGCGAAGTGGACTTGGAGCAACTCCCCTCTTCGTTGGCTATTCATATAGTCTACCAAAACCAGAATACTAAGGATCAAAAAGCATACTGATCATGTTTTATATTGATATTGAGGGAAATTCATTTTCAATATATGTCGTTATCGTTTTATCGCCCAGGCCTAGGTCCAGACATCCTCAAGTAGCACCTGTGCTCACAGCCCAGAAACACCAGAAGTGGAGGACTGGCTGGTGGGGTCTTGTTCTGAGGAGAACATTTAGATGGCTGCGGTGGGTCACTTGTGATCTGGGGAGGCATATCCTTGAATAGATTTCCACAGGCCAGCCAGAGGTACCCAGACTGCTGGCAGTACCTGGATTGGATCCCCAGACCCTTTTGTCAGACCTCATTCTGGTTTCAGAGGGCCTGGGTCTCTTCAGGTTCATGACAATGCCTGTCCTCGTGAGCTAAAGCGTATTAGCAGTTTGTGAATGATAAAGTCATTGATATTAGCTCACCTGCCTGTTCCCAAGACCTGAATCCAACATCCCGAATTCTTGCATTTTCAGCCACCAAGGTCTAAGGGAGGAGATCGCCCAGAAGACCATCAATCACATGGCTTTTACTTTTGTTCTTCTCATCGATTTACACTCCATATTAAATAACTGGAATATTTCCAACATCGAAACACCTAACTTCACACCCAGAGTGACTGAACACATTTTAAAAAGCTGAAAACTAAAGGTGGGCTTTGACGTGGATTCAATTAGTCAACGCTATTGACTATTTAAAGTCTGTAGAGTTCATATTTAATAGTTACTGCAGGGCTTCTGAAAACTATCTGTGATTTATGATCAAGACTATTTGTGTTAATGACGGAAGTCATGAGTTAGACTCTGAAACAAATCAATCAACTGAGAAATATTGTACCCTGGTGCTCATATTGCTTTGAGATTCCCCGCAGATAGCCTCATTTACCGCTAATTGTTTTCTTGTCTACTTTCAACACATGATGCTGAGGGCCATGAGTCAGCCCTGCAATGGACTGTGGAAATATGAATCTGCAGTAAGATTAACATGGGACTCTGAACTGAGATAACTTTATTTGAAAGTATTGAGTAGATCAGAGGGAGAAAGAGAAGATATGACTCCTCTCTGCGGGAGTTTTAACCTTGATTGTTGTGATGTTTAGCGTGAACAAAGTTACTGTTAGTCAGCCTCAGACCTCCTTTTCATAGCTTCCCATAATTCGCTCAGGGGAGAGGAACTCCAAATATGGAGCTGCTGTTTTCCGGAGTTTTGACAGACAGCTGGGCGGAACAGCTGAGCTTTACTACAGGCTAAGAGGAGGAGGCTGCCGCTGCTGCTGCTGCTGCTGCTGATGGCGACACACTACAGAGAAAGACCCACGGACACGCGTGTTTTCAAGCTCTCTGCGATAGGAGGACGGCACTTTGGACTTTTTTTTTGCAGAAGTCTTTTATATTTTGTGCAACTTAAACTCTTGTTTTGAAGTTTGACGGTAAGTGCAATGAAAAACTGTCCCAGCAGGTGTGAGAGGATGCAACGAAGTGTGTACCGAAATATGCGCGGTTTTCTAAAAGTAATAAAAGTTGTGTAAAGTTCGGATTCACTTTAACTTTAATGGCGGATTAGCAACAGCTGCAATAAGTGATCGACTATGCAGGTAGGGGAGAGTGGGGTAAGTTGAGCCACCTCCTGTTGCTTGGAAATGGTAAAAGAAATCGATCATGTGACCAAATATTTAGGAAATTGGAATCAATCCATGGAGTCTGTGAAGGTTAGAAGCACATGGGTGAAGGGGTTAGAGCAGTGGTTCTCAACTGGTCTAACTCTGGGACCCACATTTTCCCATGGACCCACTTTTATAGAAGTCAAACAAAGCAAATTTAATTTTTATAAAAAAAAAAAAAACCTTTAAAGACTCTAAACTTTAACATAAATCCACTTGTTTTATTGAGTAAAGTGCATTTCAAAGCACATGAAGGGGACAAAATGAGGACCACAACTACTGAAGTTGCATGTGCAAAAAATATCAAATCTCTAATGAATATCGCATTCAATATTTACTTTAATGACCGGCTGTTCGTGACCCATCCAGAACGTGTCAGTGACCCACTTTTGGGTCGAGACCCACCAGTTGAAAACCACTGGGTTAGACATTTATTTCCAAAAAAAACTTTTTTCACTCTTGAAAGTGAATTTAGTCTGTCATAAGTTTATTAGAATTGTGTTTATATATCAATTGTGGTATCTATGAGCTATAACATGAAAACAAAAAAGTCCACCATTTTAGGTTATAGGACTAATAAAGTCATAATAGTAGTTCTGGGGTAAGTTGAGCCATTTAGGTAAGGTAAGAACCCAGTAGCTCAACTTTGAAAGTAAAGGAGTGATAAGAGGATCAGATTCTCAGTTCAGATTGATGAAATGTGTGACTTTTCCTTTTCAAAAATACAGCTGTGAATGTTCTCATGTTAATCCCCAACTGTTTTTTTAAGTGTAAGATTTTTGCAAGTTTCTTCGGGTGATAAAAAAGACATAAAAACATTTGAATCAGAAACACTTTTGTGTGTGTTTCAGAGACTAGTGAGCACTCACTAATTAATGAAAAGTTTTCCTGTGAATTGAAAATGAAACCACATTTGAGTCTCAGGTATTTCTAGTTTGTTTACTACAACTCATACCACTGTTAAACTTTTCACATAGGTGAACATTTTGCTGTTTTCTAGATGAAAACTGTCCTTGTAATATAAATTTCACTCTGTTGGGCACGTGTTAATCATAAAAAGATGATACTGCAAAAGTTAGAGTTCAAATGTTATTTTTCAGTTATGTATATTTCTCTTTATTGCAAAACTTATGGATCTGTGCTCAAACATCAGGAGTTACAGACTTTAACTGCTTGCATGTACATGATTGTGCATACCAAACTATAAACCACCTCAACATTAACATCAGACGCTTTTCAGATATGTGATTTCCAGAATTTTCCACTTTGCTCTTCTCTTGTTTGTAGCAGGTGATTTTTTCACGCTGTTCAAGGTCACATCTAGTACTGTTTTGATTTTGATTCAGACTTTCATCCATCACAATTCACCCATTCACTCCTAAAAAATAAACCTCCACATCCACTTCAGGAAGTCAAACTGGACCAACGTCTATGTTTTGTTTTGTTTGACCCATTTCCTCTGTTGCACCGCGACTAAACGATGAAGTTTGAGCACCTGAAGCAATAACAGTTCGTGATAATTGCGGTTTTTATTGTGCGATTACAAAGCTATTTTAAGCAAATGATAACCTGAGTGTTTCTGTTCATTGTGCAGCTGTTCGAGCTGTAGTGGGATAGAGGAGTGAGTGGCTGCAGGGTCAGGATGGACAAGCTGGTGTTGATGGAGCGGAGCTCGGCTGTGGTGTGGACCTGTCTGCTGGGGGCGACACTCACCCTGGGTAACAGTAAATCATTTCCTCTCTTACCTTGACGCACAGACCCGATAATTTATGTATGCTCACTTTGTTTTAGTGTTTGTTTGCGTGCGTGCTGCATCAACATTTATAGTTAATAAGTTTTAAACCTCATCATTCAATCCTTTGTTTGGATTTGTTAATATATTGAAAATAGGAATGCTGTTATTGACATACTTATCGAGAAGGAGCAACTCACGCAGGTATTTAAGACCTAGTATGATCATGTTGACTATCCCCTTCGAGGAGCGAGATGAACCAGAAAGACTATATTTGTGGAAGTGTAATGCATTCAAGCATCCTGCTGAATCTTGTCTGAGCCGCTCTTTGAACCTCGGGCCAAATAGCAATCCTCTCACCGAATCAATTGTGTGTGTGCTACCTGGTAAAATGGGTAGCAGATGTAAGAATTCAAAGACGCGCTTCAAGAATTCTTTAAAAACTATGTAAGTGCTCCAGTTGAGAAACAGTCCTCTCTCAGAAAATATTCACACATTTCCTGCTTGTTTACGCCTTATTCAGTTACTTTCCTCTAGCTTTAAACAGTCATGTTCTGCACAAAACAAATCAGTCTTTCTTCTCCGTCCATCTAGCTTTGCCTCCTGTTGTCTCCATAACAACCTCGGAGACAGACCCCAGACCCCCTAAGCTGATAAGCTGCGTGTTCATGAATCGAGTTAATGTCACCTGCAACTGGGAGCCCGGGGACACTCCAGCAACACGCTACACCCTGCAAGTGAAGAGGATCCCTTGGTGAGATGATGCATTCCTTTAATATGTGCTAACATGAGCAGGGAAGAGAGCTACACAGATTGAGTCTCTGAGGGGATTTCATTCACAAAACCGCACTATGAAAGTCATATCTTTAGATATGTTCCACCTTGGGTGAATAATTTAAGAGTGGATTTTCCACCCTGAAGGATGTGAAGTTTATTAAAGGGGAAAATACATTAGCCTCCGTTTCAGGTGCTGATAGGACTGTTGAGAGGCTCTTACATGCTGCCATATCAAAGTGGGATATTTACATCTCTGTTACCTCTTGTCCTAAATGTGAGGTTAGGGTAAAGTCCTTCCTCCTTTGAGATAAAATCTTCTATATAGAAAATATTGCAGCTTTCCTAGTACCTTTAAAAAAAGTTGCTTGAGTCTTGTAAATTTGTGTGACACACCACTGCTGTTCCGAAGAAGCACCCACAATTCATCAAAGGCCACTTCCACAGTGTCCAGTGATAGAATCTGTGTACATTTTGCGACGTGTAACATTGCAAACAAAGAACACAAAGCTCGGTCAACAAATATTACGGCTACCTAGACTCACCTCTCCACCCCAGTGCAGGTAAGACCGCTTCTTATATAAACTACCGGCTTCAAACACAGTGACCATGTGACCCAAACCAAGCGAAACCAATGACAACCAGACAGAAGGAACTGATCACAGGATAACCGATTAGCAAAGCAACATTATGGTTCCTACAGGAAATATTAGAGGGCTGTAACAAAGGTAGGAAGGTGGGAAATGGGGAGGAAAAGGGGTGATGGCCGGGCTAGAAGGGCAGAACGATGTTGTGTGTGTGTGAACCCTAGTGGTGTTGTAGCACAAACTCAAAGTGAACACAGGACTTAATTTGCAGAAATGCCACAGTTTGAGTTATTAGCATCACATCAGGAAAGAAGACATTTCTTTAGAGGGGAAAACAAACACTTTTCATTCACTCTTTTTATCGCGTCATGTTTGATTTCAGCTCCTACTCCGCGAGTCTGCAGCCTGCATGACACACGTCAGCATTCAGACTGGAGATAAACATTTTCCACTCAGTGTCTGGCACACAGGAAATAGATATTCCTTTACATAAACATCATATCCGATGTATTCTGTATTTGATTAATTCATCATATTCACAAAATTGTGCCTTTTCCATCGCTTTCTCCTCATGATCAGAGCTGTCTTCACTTTTACAAAACATTCCCACATAAAAACGTCTCCTGACATCAATCATTATAAATTCAAACACACCGCTCTCTAATGAATCACTGTTGTTGTTCCTGTGGGGTGTTTATCAGTGTTGACAACAGTTGAAAACGATCCTGTCAAACTGGATCAGCTGTATCTCTGCAGAGATACAAGCGGCTGTGTTTTTGCATGTTTTCATGTCTTTGCCAGCGCTATTGTTAGATAGTAAGTCTCCATATGCAAATGCTCGGTTTCATAACCCACTTAAAATCTCACTTTCATGTGCGTCTGTGATTGTGGGTTTGATATGATGAAAAAGGCACATTTCTTGCAGTTTGATCTTTTTTTGTTTGTTGGGTAAATGTCAGTTTTTTCCACCTAAAAAGAACAGCTTTAACATGCTCTTTGAAATGATGACTGAATTATTGACCTTTGCTCAGCATTTAAGAGACGATTTTTGCTCCTTCTGCATGACTGAGCGTTCATGTATTAGTGTTGTTATTGTTCACCGTGGCGTGTATTCGCTTGGCAGTTGTTGTGCGTCGAATAAAAAGTGAATGAACTCCATGATTAGTCACCTCCTTCTTAAGTTTCACTCTTTCTGTCTTTATCTCTTTATGCTTATTCAAGGATATGGAGACTCAACATCTCATCCAACATCCCTCTGACGACATTCAGCTGCACCACGTCTGGCACCAGCTGTACGGCGGCGCTGAATGGCTCATCTGTGAGGTTCACATTCTGCATCGTCGTCACTGCTCACTGCCAGAGCGGGGATGTCTTGTCGCAAAGTCGCTGTCAGTCTGGCAGAGTTGAAGGTGAGGCCTCTATATTTAAACTCTGATTGTTCTTGTTTTGTTGCTCCCTCACTCCTCATCTCTCTTTCTCTTTCTCTCTCTGTCTGACTCAGTGGTGTTGCCTCCAGTGAGTTTGAACAGTGTGAAGCCAGTCAAAGAGAGACCTCGGTGTCTGAATGTCACCTGGGGTCTCGTCATACTGGCTGACTTTCCTGTGTCTCACTTTGAAATCAAAGCGGGGAACCTGACGTCTCAGATACAGTTCACAGCAGAGGGACAGGTCTGCGAATACAGAATCTGCCGAAACACAAACCCTCACATGAGAGTCTTAAAGGGATATTCTGGCGTAAAATTAATTTAGGGTCAAACGCACCGTAACACCGAGTTAGACACCCCCTTGAGGGATGAATGTTGCCAACCGCTTGCTTCTCTAGTTATACCACCTTTAGTAACAACCACACGATAGTGATACACAGCGGTCTGATGAGCCATTAACAAACCTCAACCAAAACGCCACAAATAATGCTCAGAACAGCACCGAACTTCATCAACAGAACATATAGGGTCCCAGATACAGCACGAGCCATCAAACACCTTTTTAACTTTGACTAATTTCTTTAGCAAAGAGACTAAACACAACTCACCTACTCTCTTCCAGCAGCCGCTTGTTTGTAGAGAGACCTCAGGCCAGTCCATTACGGACTACAGCGGGGTGGCGCAGCTCAAGGAAGAACATTTATGATCATCACTTTATCATTTCTTTGAAGTAATGATCCGCATATTAATCATTTTGCACTGCAGACATGGTAGTTCTTCTGCCTTAGTGTCTCGGTCTGATTGTATTTCCAAGAAGAAATGATCATAAATGTTCTTCCTTGAGCTGCGACACCCCGCTGTAGTCCGTAATGGACTGGCCTGAGGTCATTTTGCTACAAACAAGGAGGAGAGTAGGTGAGTTGTGTTCAGACTCTTTGCTAAAGCAATCAGGCAAAGCGAAGCAAATTGTTACGGTGTGTTTGACCCTAAATTAGTTTTTATGCCGGAATATCCCTTTAAGATCAGCTGTAATGTAGAATATCATGGAGTAATAAATAAATGTTTCATTTCATATAAGCAAGGGGAACACATTATAATAACTGCATTGCTCTCTTTCTGAATCACCAACCTCTTCTGTCTTGTTTCTCTTTCTTAAAAAGTTGGATGTTCAGGTCCAAAATGTGACCGTGAGAGACTACAGCTTCCTGGTTTGTGTCTTCAGACCTGATACAATATACAGTGTCAGACTACGTCACCGTTTCATGGGCCCAATGAGCCCCTGGAGCCTGTGGAGTAATGAAGACCGAGGAAGAACAGGAGAGGCTGGTAAGAGGGAGTTTATGTGTTTTATTAAAATCTCTTGCCTTCTTGATACAGACAGCACTGGTGGCTCAGATCAGGAACTATAACAAGACTGATATTCTCAATAGAGTGGTGTGCATTTAAGCAGGTGGTCAAATCAAATACAACCTCTACAAACACAGTTTCCTGCTGAGAGTTGAGCAGATGTAGATTATACTCTGACCATACAAAGACTGTGTGGGTCATAGTATCAGCGCTGGAACCCCATATTCTCACAGCAATGATCACAAGTGACCCCAAGGGAACAGTTACAAACACTGTACCAATAAAACATATCATATAAACTATGTGGTCAAACTCCCATGACCCCATGAGAGAGAAAAACAGACCTAGACTAGGGAGAAATATCCATCTCAGAAGATGACCTTCATGGAAACCCTGACAAACAAGGTGTTAAAATCCATCCAAAAGAGGACTTGAATGTGGGTTTCACTTCTCATAGCAATCCCTCTGAAGGGTTTACAGACATCTGACTTCAAACATTAAAAAGAAAATCACAGCTGATCCAATGCTGACGTTTTAATGCAAATTTCCCACTCCTTGAAAATCTACATGTCCTCCTCGGGGTTAATCATGAATCTGGCAGAGATGATCGTCCGGCCCTCTAAGGAATATTTGCATTTAGTTGACTAAATTATTTAAAACTATCACCTTTGCTTGTCAGCATCAGTCTGACAAATTAGTAATACATCCATTATTGTTGGCCCAGCGCATCAGTTTGACATTGTTCACCCAGCCTCTGAGATCCTGGCTGTTTTGAATAGATTCGGCTCAAGTCGACTGTTTTCTTGCCTTCATACCAGTCAGTCTACCAAAGTTAATATTTACATTTCCTTTAAGTCCAGAAGGGCTTAGACTGATGATATCTTTATGGACACATGGCCGCCCCTCATGGATAACTTGCCTTAAGGTCTGAGTAAAACTGTACGGAGGGGAGATGGGGGTTTAGGGGGTCCCAGACTGAGCTGACTGGTGATAAAAAATACTTTTTTTATAAGTACAAAGACACATATTTCTTTAATTGATGACACATTGTTGTGTTGTTGTTGTTTACCCTTCTTTTTGTTTCATTTTCCTTTTTTTCCCCCTCATGTTTTATCCCTTTCTTATCATTTTCTACCTTATTTGAATCAAAATGTTGTCTGGTTCGATGTAAATTACGAAAATAAAATAAAATCTAAAAAAAAAAAACAGAAAAAAGAAAAAAAAACAGTAAAGCAAAAGTTTCCACTTCAAGCTTTGATTGTTGAAAATGTATGTAAATGTGGCTTCTAGCACCTTACTATGTGTGTGCCATGCTTTATATTAATCATATTGACCCTCCTTTAAACCCACCAGCCCCTTTTGCAGCCCCGGCTTTTTGGAGACGAGTGAAACAAACAGATACGGACGGGCGGAGACTGATCTCTCTTCTGTGGCAGGTGTGTGTGTGCGCGCTTGAGTTGAAACGTGTGTGAATTTGAGTCATGGGTGCTCATATCACTCTGAGCCTCACAGTTTAATAACCTTTACATCTTTGGATTTTTCAATCACCCTCTGTCTGCTCATAATTTTCTGTAATACCTCCATGAAATGAGTCATTCATTGGTTTACAGTCAGATTAGAGGTTGAAAGGAGAGAGAGAGAATCAATCAAATCTGGTTTTATGAATCTTAATTTAAGTCTCCATCATCTTACAGCCGCTCAGTTTAACCTGTTGCTTCCTGTTTGCTCTCCTCCTGGTTTGTAATGCGTAGCCCCTACCTCGATCCCTGGCCAGTGGCAGAGTCCTCTTCTACAACGTGACCTGTGAGACTCAAAGCAGTGAAGTTCTGAACGATCGTGGCAGCTGCGAGGATTTGGACCATGCGAGTTTGTCCTGTAGTTTGTCCCTCCCGGCTGGACGGTGCTCATGCGCTCTGACAGCATCCACATCCGGAGGGACTTCACCAGAAACACGGATATGGCTCCTCGGGGCTTTTGAAACAGGTACTAAAAATGAGACACTTTAAATTTGTTGTTTTGAGTGACAAAGTGCAGAAGATCTTATTCCAGTGTCTCAACTTAGCTTTTATGGCTTTTATTCCTCCTGAACCGAAGAAGATATTTCCTCATGTAGCGTCCAGATGATGTTGGTAAAGATTCTTGTATGTGTGCCAGAGCGCAGATAAAAAGCCTGATGATGAATAGCTTTTATGGTAACTTCTGATGACAGCTATTCCTGCAATCTACGCAGCTCGACAGGTGTGTGGAGGCAGCTTCTTTCAGAGTTTTTTTCTCTTTGTCATTCTTCATAGATGAACCTGTCACCTGTTTTTTTTTTTGTACATCAGAGTGAAACAATACGAATGTCTTCAAAGAGGCATGATTGGTTTATGAAGTGATCGATTGACGCAGCAGCTGTCGTCCACTCATTGTCACATGTCGCATGTCTGTATGCCAAAAGCTGCAGCTTGAACTTAGTCTAAACTTATCACCCAAATTTGTAAAGCAGTCTGAGAAATCACAGACCACCCGGCATAGTATCATCTCACAGTTCAATGACTTTGACAGTGAAGACAAGAAGATGCTGAACTACATTTTGCACACATTTCAACAGCATGGAGGTGAAGTAGAAGAATCCAGGTGTGGGTATGGCCTACCGCCAGTGCATGTCAACCACTGAAAACATTTGGCATCATAAAATGAGGTCAAAAGAGCTCCAGAAACTCTTGTAGTTCAGGAAAAACAGCTTTATTTGACCTACGCCTAACGGCTTGTGGCCTTCATCAGGAAAATGAGAAATACTACAGGGGAGACTGAAGGGAGCTTTCTCCACCCTCAGTGCCCTCATTTCAGAGAATAATGCCAAGGGAGTGTCCTCTTGTTTGTCTGTAGTAAAAACATTATAAAAGGTTTCCTCTGGTGTCTTCTCTATGACAGAGGACTAGGGCCACGTTAAAGTAAAAAATGTAAGACTTTGAGATTTAAGTCGTTAACTTACGAGAATAAATTCATTACTTACGAGAATAAAGTCCTTCTATTCTAACCTGTTGTTTAAGATGACAGTTGTTGAAATAAGAGCCATGGAGCATTTCATGAAAATGTACTTCAATAAAGGTTTCTCCTACAAGGAGATACTAAATCTTTTGGCACATCAGCACCTCATTATCATGAGTATCATAAAGATTTGATTACAACTTTATTCTCGTAACTAAGGATTTTATTACGACTTTATTCTCGCAAGTAATTACTTTAATACAGCTTTAGTCTTGTAAGTAATTACCTTATTACAACTTTATTCTCTTAGGTAAGTTACTTATTCATTACGACTTTATTCCTGTAAGTAATTACTTTATTATGACCTTATTCTCATAAGTAACGATTTTATTACTTTATTCTTGTAAGTTACTTATTTATTACAACTTTACTCTTGTAAGTAATCATTTTAATACGACTTAATTCTCTTGAGTAATGATTTTATTATGACTTTATTCCCATAAACAATGACTTTATTCTTGCGAATTAATGACTTTGACCTTAATTACTTTTTTTTCTTAATGAGGCCATAATACTCTGTTGTTCTTTTTGGTGGGAAACATTTGAAAAAATTCCTGCTTGGCTGCTCCTCAAGTGAATAAAAGTGTTTAGAGACCATCTGAATACCCTTATATGGATAAAACCTATAAGTAACTCAACCTTGTGTTTTATGAAGTCAGTAAAGTCAGTGTGACTTCATGTGATTTTACGTTAGACCACTCAGTATTAAAATGACTTTGTGAAAAATAACAGATCAAAACTCATGTTTTTATAATCTCATATTTAAAAGTTTCTGTCTTGTTTCTTTTCCTTTTTCAGAGCCGCCTCCTCCGAGCAGCCTTGCTCTAACTCCACTGGATGACGGCAGGTTGGATGTTAACTGGACATCATCGAGTGATGAACAATCGAGCGGTTTCGTGGTGGAGTGGTTTACTGTCAGAGAGAAGAACAGCAGCATCCTACACTGGGAGAGGCTGAACAGTTCCTGCACGGCATTAGTCATCACAGGTGATCCCACGACTCCTACAACAGTTTGACGTGTGGAACGATACGCTTGAGATTGCAGGGTTATTAAATGTCAAAGAGGGAACTTTTAAAAATCAATCCAACAGTTAATCGCCTGCTTTACCTGATTTATGTGTTGCCACAGAAGGAGTTAAGCCGCTGGAGCGTTTGGCTGTTTCTGTCAGAGTGCTGTACGGTGAAAGAGGGGCGGGGCAGAACAGGACCGTTGAAGTTTACACGCGCCAAGGAGGTACTGTATGGTCATCTTCATCGTTCTTCTTATGCTGTTTGCCTAAAATGAAAGTAGATCCTCAAAGAAGGATACAACAAGAAGTCCAAACGGTTTAAATCTGATATATCAGCCCCCACTCCCTTTTTTTCCGTCCCATCCTCTATATACATCTCTCTCTCTTTCATAATGCATCGCACATCTTAGTTTGATTCATTTATTCCCCTCCTGGCGTGCTGACCCAGTTAACGCAGAGATGCCGTGCACCACAAAAACACGGTCGAAGTTTTCACGCAAATCTAGACTTATCTCCGCCCTCATCTGTGTCACCAGATAAGTTCAGCTAGCTTTTGAAGAAAACATCCATTTTTATCACACCTCCTGTCATGAAACAGAGATAGTGATCGGGCATCTTCTCACGTCACGCCTGAGCAGAAAAATCCTATACTCAAAATATAGGCAGTGGTTGAGAGCAGAGAGATGCAGTTCTTTAACTCATTATCACATCATTATTCAGCATGTTTCCAGCCTGGTTCTTCTTATTCGTTCACACTTAGAGAGTGTTTTTCTAACTTAACTGTTATGATCATTTCAGGCCTTTGACTTATGGAAAATTGACTGACAGGTGGGTGGGTTTAAGTCGTTTTCCAGGACTCTCAAGGCCCGCTCCAGTTCCACTCTTTCCCCTCTCTCTTTAATCTGATAGAAAGTAAGGTGGATATAGCATTTTAAATATGGCGGCTGCTGTTTTCAGGCTTTTTTGTCCCTCACTGTGTCTGCATCCTTGTTTTATACAGTCAGTGAACAGACCCCCTGTGGTTGATCCTCTCGCCCCTCTCCCTTTAAAGCCCCCTTAGCCGGTCCTCTGGTAGAAGTGAAGCAGATCTCTGGCAGCACAGTCGAGCTCACCTGGACTACCGCACCCGTGGAGCTGCTTCACGGATTCATCCGCAACTACACGCTCTACTTTAAAACAGCAACACGACCAGCCAGGAGTGAGTCACACACACACACACTTCACGGTGTATTTTTCAAATTGTATTAGTTTTTGTGTTTTCCTCATCTGTCGTTGTTCGTTCAGGTGTGTCTGTGCCCGCTCACGCTGTCAGTTACTCTCTGAGGAGTCTGTCACCTGGTACCTACGACATCTTCATGCAGGCGAACACTGACGCTGGAGCAGGAGCAGCTGGACCTGTTGCTAATGTGCACATAGGTGGAGACATGACACACACACACTCTCACACACACATGTTTCAATTATTATAAAGAGGGAAATTGGGTTTTCAGCAGGTGTTAAAATAGGGTGACCATATTCTGACTTGCCAAAAAGAGGACACAGAGTTACACAAAGTTATTTTACTTTACACCACACTCAACTCAACTCTCGCTTAATCTTCAAGTGTGTGTCTTTGTACAGTTGTGTTCTCATCTGTGTGTCTGAAGGCTCTGAGGAAGTCTCCGCACTGATGTGGACCATCCTCCCTCTCACACTCACTTCCATGATGCTCATGCTGATTGCCTGTTTGTTACAGACCAAGATGTAAGATCACATATAACTCTGTTCCCTCATTAGTTGAAAGTCCGTGGCTGAAACCTCTTGCTCCATTTGATGAAATACGTGCTTTATAACAATCTTACAGGGTGAAACAGAAGCTGTTTCAAGATGTTCCCGATCCTTCCAATAGCAGCTTGGCTCACTGGATCCCAGAACCGACCTTAGAGGTAAACCCTTGAGCCCTTGAATCATGACTGAAATACAAACATGATGATCATATGGTATTTTCTTCAAATCAGAGTATTAGGAGCACATTGAAAAAAGTCACAGTATAGATGACGTGACACAACAACATCTAGTTATCTCAGATTTTGTCAAGTTTGTTCCCATGCATGAAAGAGAATCTATTTTTTTAATCCTTTTTGCACAATTATAGGTTTTCAGTTTAGTTTAATTGTCATCTATAAAGGCGTGTATCTTCCAACCTACATGAACAAGGTTAATATCTTAACCACTAGATGGCAGCACACGCCAAAGTGCCATAGCTCAAGCACTTTCAAGCATTTAATTCACAGTACAGGACCTAAACTACACTTATCTATACTGCAATTTAAATTTTTTATAAAGCTGATTTTATATTTTTATCAGGACTGAGCTCAATAAAGGGATCTGAGAAAAAAAAGTTAAAAAAAAATCTGTGTTATTGTTTTTTACAGCAGCTAAAGGTAACGGCTAAAAACGTCCACGAACAGGACGAAAGGGTGTCAAATTTAAAATCTGATGCTGCGCAAAAAAATTATAATGCATCAAGGCCAATGTTGTTACTAATATTTGACATATCCAAGGGTGTGATAGCATGTAAAAAATCTCCAGCCTCTGATTATTTTTTATATTAAAAATCATTTTTTGTGGGTTTTTTTCTCACCAAATCAGTGACAACACCTCTGAAATTGGTATTTAAAGGGTTAAAATCCATAAGAATATAAAAAAAAATAATAGTTCTGATAAAGACTGAGGTTAATGAAGAGATTTGAGCAAAAAAAATGAAAAAATATTTATCCGATATGTTTTTACAGCAGCTAAAGTTAGTGTCTGAAAATGTCCACTAACAGGATGAAAGGGTGTAAAATTTTAAGCCGTCCACAAGAAGTCCTAAATATGCTGGTTTCTCCTCTCTGTGAGAGACTGCATGAGGAAAGAGTGACTCCAGAGTGATGTTCCTGAGAGTACAAATACAGGGATTTCCTCGTCTAAAATACATTCTGAGAGTCTGGAGAAATCTTTGCTAACGAATTTTGGCTGCATTTTACAAACGTGACTGTTGTGAAAATCAATCTCATCTAATAATTGTTATCTTTGAACACAGTTTGTTACAGCCTCCATATATAGGGTTAAATTTTAAAGTTTAAAAATGTTTAAATTAAGGTTTGGTGTTTGAAAAGAAGATTAAAAACAAGTAAAAGTAACTTAATTAAACTTGATTTAAGCACCTGGTTTCTCTTCTCCTCCTCAGAGTAAGAAATGGCTGGCTATCGCAGATGACTGCATGATCAAACACTCTGCCATCCTCCTGCTCGGTGAAAGAGAGCTGCTGAACGCAAACCTCGATGAAGGCCTCACCTATAAAAGTGTGTGTAACCTCCAAACATATTCCTACACACGTTACTCTCAGCTGCCAGTTTTGGGGGCCCAGACTCTTCAAAATGACAGAAAGTCAACCTCCAACACTGATCTGCCCTCAGTCTACTCAGATGTCCTCATCTCTCAGATGCTTCAAAGTCTCCCAAAACCCCTCGTTTCGCCCTCTGATCTCCGGTTCAATGAGTGGCGGCAAAGAGTCAGTGACATGGAGCCGCAGCTAGAGGGAGACAGTGACCTGGATAGAGGAGCCTCAAAATCAGAGCTTTCCCAAATAGATGACCTGAAAATCTTCTGTCACCTGCAGAGACAGAGTCAAAGCCCCGATTCCAGCAGCATTTCTCATTCCTCCTCAGTGTGGATTTCTCATCCACCTAACATGAAATCCCCCCAGCACCCTCTCACCAAATACATCTATAACTCCGTCCCTCCGCTCCAGCGGGACGCCCTCGGCTGCTCTGATGCTGTCTGTGACACTGTGTCGCTTCTGCCTTTCCCTGGATCAATTTTTGTGGATTTCTCCTACAGTCCTGTGGAGTATGACTGTTGCATTCCTCCTGCTGTTTAGTCCATCCCCTCAAAAAAAGGAATATTTAAGTGATTTTGCAGTAAACGCTCATCCTCTTGAGGTTGTTGTGTTTTTTTTTTTCTGTAAAACTTGAAGTTGAGATAGTGATAGTATCTGTGATAGTTTCCAGACAGTTTTATTCAACTCTTGTTTTTAGTCTTTGCAGAAAAAATGAAGGGGGAGGTGAGCAGCTGGCCTCTGTGTGGGTCTGACACTGTATCCAGGGGCGTGTCCAGACTTTTGGACTGGGGTGGCACTGCCTTATCTATTTATAGATATATATGTTTGATCACTTTGGATGGATTTACTCCTCTTATTTAAAAAGATGTACGAACTATTATTCCACAATTCGAAGATTTTAGGATCTTAGGGTGTCACCTGGTGTGCCTGACCCCGCCTCTGGACGAGCCCTTGACTGCATCAAATCAGCTGTTTTGTGGTATCAGTGGAAGTTTGATTCATTGTGATATATTCAACGTTTTGCTTTATTATGCATATTTGCCTCACATGTTGCACATTACACAAGCCTTGACTTGAATACTAAGTGATGTAAATAGATGAATAACTGCCTACACCAGTGTACTCTATGCTGAAATGTAAATAAGCTTGTTTTATTTATTTATTTTTTATTTTGTACACCTTAATTTGTGAATGTACAGATTCGCAGCTGAAAAACAGATCTGAAAGCTCTACTTGAAGCTCTTTTGTGCTGTTTAAAATGCATGAATTTAGCAAAATAGTCAGAACAGACGAGTATTTTCTCGATATTTACCTCTCATATTACTACTTTAACTTTCTCCTTGCTGTTTCTCTTTGTTGATGAAGACTGAGTCGACTCTTCCTCTTCAATATGAACATATGTTTGGATTTTCTCACTCTTATGAATGTTTTGTCAGTTCTGTCATGTTTTTAAACCTCACATACCTCCGATTCAGACTTCTTTTACGGCTAAAACGCAGCATGTTTGTGAATGTGATATTTCAGAGCTGGGATCTTTTTCAGTTTGTGTTGTTAATACTTGAGCATTAAAATCTTAGCTGTTGTTAATGAATGAATGATGGAAAGTTATTATTTGTTTGGATGAACTCAAGATCTTTGACAGAAGGAGGAGAAATGCATCTTTTTCTTTGGTGAGTTGAATAATGCAAAAGTGAAGGGGAATAAAAGTTATGCTTCAAAACGTATTTGTACCAAACTTACCATGAAAATACATCTGAAGAGTAAAAGTAAAACATGCACAAAAAAAAAAGGTGTAGGGGAGAGTGGGGTAAGTTGAGCCAAAGGGTAAGTTGAGCTGTTGCTTGGAAATGGTCAAAGAAATTGATCACGTGACCAAATATTTAGGAGATGGGCATCAATTCATGGAGTCTGTGAAGGTTCGAAGCACATAGGTGAAGGGGGTAGACATTTATTTTCACTCTTGAAAGTAAATTGAGTCTGTCATAAGTTTCATTAGAATTGTGTTCAGACCATAAAAGATCATTTTAAATTAGTTTTATACATCAATGGTGCTATCTATGAACTACAACATGAACATAAAAGTCCACCATTTGAGCTCAGAGGACTAATAAAGTCATAATAGTAGTTCAGGGGTAAGTTGAGCCATGGAGTCTGATGAGAGGATCAGAGTTTCAGTTCAGATTGTTGAAATGTTAAATATACAGCTGTGAATGTTCTGAATCACTTAAAGACATTCTCATGATAAAATGGCTTTTTACAAAAACAGCTGTTTAACAGTTATATGCAATAATAATAAAAAGAATTATTGTACCAGTTGAATAGTGTGTAATAGATAAAAATACACATGAATGTGAAGAAGTGACTGAAGGAGAGAGAAGGTGAGGGAGCTCAACTTATTCCACTCCTATGGTCAACTTACCCATAGGAGACCGCTTTTTTTTGGCATGCTATATTATCAAGACAGTTCTGTTTACACTCATTCTGTTGGTTTGCAGGGATGAACAACATCTTTAAAATATATGCAGATACACTAGTTAGAGACAAAACTGTGATTGTTTTGATGTAGTGATCCGAAATATGAAAAATGTCTCATCTTACCCCACTCTCCCCTACTAATAGTTCATGGTAAATGGCTGTGTGAAGCCCAAAAGTTACCCTGCTTTATCAGAGTGAGAGAGTGTAACAAGGCTGGATCTCTGGTCTCCTATTCTTATATATGCTTTGAATCAACTAGAATCAGAAACTGACATCATGATCGCCTTAATGTAGTGATCCGAAATATGAAAAATGTCTCATCTTACCCCACTCTCCCCTACAGTTTGGTTTTGTCATTAGATTAGTGTATCCACCTAGTTTAAGAAATGGGACTTTACATCTATTTCAGTTTATACCAAAGTGTTTTCTTTGAGTTTCTTTCAACTGTCTGTAAACGATCAAAACTAGAAACTTCTTTCAAGACTGTGCTTTTGAGTAAATCAACCTCTGCAGGTGTGAAATATGATCCAACAGGTTCCTGCCTCTCTCTCACTAGATCACAACGAGGTAATGAAAATAGTGGTTGAAATAGTGGTAAAGTAGTGGTAAGTGGTTGAAACTAGCAAAAGGGACCCATTTCGCGGACTCACCCTCGAGAGGACACCGCCCCCTCCTGTGCGTAAAGAGGCAGGACAGAGAGGACGCAGCGTGACGCGTCCTCTGCTGCTCACCTGGAACAGCGCAGGCGGCTGCAGAGAGACAGACAGACACGCAGACAGCCAACAGAGAGAGAGGAGGGCAGGCAGGTAGACTGCGCAGAGGAGCGGAGCCGGAAGAACGAGCAGGTCGACGTCTCCTGATTGTAGCCTACTTTCTCCAAAGTGACTCCAGGCGGTTTTTAGGTCCATACTCTGAGCGGTTTTTATTTATGAAAGTGAAGCGACAGCGGAGGAAACATGACAGAACAAAGGAAGAAACTGATCCTGGTCGTGGTGGATGTTCTTTGTGTCTTTGTTGGTGAGTGACTCCCCTCTTGTTTTTTGTCTATTTTTTAACAGTATGGCTGTTTTACGCCATATGGATGATCTACTCTGCACTGATCTGTGCTTTCAAATAAAAAAACATGACTCCAAATGAATTCAAATCTTGCACATGGACGTGATTTAAAAACAAATATCCACTTGTTGCTTCTGTCTGCAGATTAATCATTAAATTATTCTCCTGCAAAACCAAAGAAGCATGTCAGACCTCCTACACGGGTAGTGATTTTACACTCAGCAGTCCAATGAAAGATTGCAAGACATCATTACTCTCTATCTTGTTCAAACAGGTCAATCAGTGTTTCCCAATAGTTAGTGAGAAGCCTGAGATCACTGAGGTTAAGACATGACACACACACTCCTCAGGTGTGACAGACAATCTGAATCCATGAGGAGTGTTTTTATATCTGATGTGTGGACGAGTGAGAGTATTATCTCTGTGTGTGTTCATCTCCTGTGTCTCTTTTCTTCCATGAATAATTTCCACGCTCTGCGCCTGCTTTCATGCTTTCTGCGTATTTTTCTTCCTGCACCCCTCTGGCCTTTTCTTTTTTAAACGCAGGGTTAGAGGGGAAGAGCAGAGACCATGTCAATGAATCTCTCTCTGTGTGACAGTTTGAATCCTGTTTTGGAAACTGAAGACCAGGTGTGTACGTGTGTGTGCGGTTGTGTTTGTAAGTGTATATGTGTGTGTGTAGAGAGAGAGAGAGGGATAGAGAGGGGGGCTCTCTTGTGTGGAGAACTGTAAAGGGAACAAATCTGCTTGTCCCAACTTGCTCTGGACTTCAGAGAGGACACAAAGCCATTAAGAGAATAGACATCTTCCAGCTGTTTGTGTCACATTTCTCTCACCACGAGGCCCACAGAGGTCGGAGTTTAGATGATGGAAGAAAGGAGGGCGTCTGTCGTGTTCATCTATCACAGAGTTTACTCTTGGTAGAGGGTTTAAGGGGTGAAATACAAGGGTTAAACTGGAACCTGGCTGCCTACAAATCTATGCGTGTGAGTGTGTGTGAGTGTGTGTGCATCCAGTCATGGATCCATCTGGTGAGTGACAAGCAGGAATGATAATGACCGTTCTGCTTTGCAGCCCACTCTGCTCTGAAAGACTATGTCCATGTGAGCGCACTTTATAAAGAGTCCTTTATCAACACAGGCCTTTTTTTTTAAGAGGTGAAACTCTTCAGTCGAGGGAGACATCAGGAAAAGAAATAGAAGATCTTCAATCAGGAGAGTTCAGGAGATTTATACCTGAAGTTGTGTACCATACCATTGTAATTTAGGAAAACAGCTTTATTTGGTCGAATAAAGCTGTTTTCCTAAACTACAAGTGTTGCTGGAGCTCTTTCGACCTCTTTAAGACCCTTTTTCTCTAAGCACCTTGGTAGTTGGTGAAGCTGTGCCAGAATTTTTATCCTCAGTTTGTGTTTTTTTAACTGTAGAATTTCCAAACCTGATCCCACGATAAATTTTACATGGCAAAATTTTCCTGGTAGGATATCCCGGTGTAAAATTTCCCCAAAAGACCATCTTTCAGTGTCCCGTGATGCTTTAGATCAGTGGTTTTCAAGTCCAGTCCTGGAGGCCCACTGTCCTGCATGTTTTGGATGTTTCCCTGCTCCAACACACCTGATTCAAATGATGAGCTCGTTATGAAGCTCTAGAATGGCTTAATAACGAGCTCATCATTTGAATAAGGTGTGTCGGAGCAGGGAGACATCCAAAACATGCGGGACAGGACTTGAATTCAGTAAGAATATCCTCCGTTTTTTCCCTGGTAAAACGGGAGAGTCAAATGTCTCCCCGCTCTGGACTTCTTGACGTTAAGCGTTTGTGAAATCGTTGATGAGATGATAAATGACTCGTCAGATAAGGATTTCTTCAGCTGACTAAGAATAAGTTCACGCACTTCATCATCTCTCAACTTCTGGGGTGTGAAAGTTTACGCGATCGGCGTGAAACAACGCTTAGTCATCGGCTTTTAAAAAGAGAAAACAGCGGTTGAAGATTTGTGGTCTGCATTCTTATCAGTCACTTTTCCTGTCAGGACTTTCACTTATGAATGTAATGAATAGAAGCCAGCCCTGATGATGAACTTGAATGCTGAAGTACACACCTGCTGAGCATGAATACATCCAGTGATAAAACACAAGGACAAGTGTTCATGCTCAAGGAAATTAATGTTCGAGGTCAAAATTAGACCTGCACATATCAGGTAGAAAAGAAGAAAGGTTAGAAAACACTAACTTAGGAAATGCTTTGAAAACTAATAGCAAAAGTACTGAAAGTAAAGTTTTAAGTTCCTGTGTAAAATTCTGTGAACTAAATCATAGAGAGGAAGTGTGACTTTTACTATAAACCACTGGTGGAGGTGTGGTGACAGACCACGTGTTTCACAGCATGTTTTTCCACACTTTTCCACACGTTCCACAGCAAAGATACTCAAAAAAGAGCAAACAAAGTCTTATTCAAACCAGACAGATTATTGGAGAAGTCACAGAGGAGGAAACCACTTCCACTCTTTTTGGAGTTTCCTTTCTGTGACCCAATTTTGGTTAGAAAATCATACGATATCAGACTTTGATTTAAAGGAAGTCAAGTGGAGAAAGAAGAAGAAAAATCGGTAACCCTTTCTTTCACGGTACACTTATTACCAGGTAATTAACAGGTAATTACCTAGTAACAACATTAAATTATCTGTAATTACATGATAACTACTAAGTCAATACTGTCTAGTTTTTCTTCTTTTCTTTTTTCTGTGCAGCTCCATTTTCAAAAGCTATTTGGGGTTCTTATTTTCGATGATTGACACATGATACAGCCTATGGGCGTGCGAAGATTGCGTAGCGATACGCTGTTTGAGCCGAGCGTTATCACAGCGACTACCAGATACCAGAGCAATTCGGCTTCAAATGTGTACGATAATGGAAGGTTACCTACCTGGTAGTGAGACAGTATTGGCTTAGTAGTTATCATGAAATTACCAGATAATTTCATGTTGTAATTACCTGTTAATTACCTGGTAATAAGTGTACCGTAAAAGAAAGGGTTCCTGAAAAATCTGATCCGAATAATACAAAGTCCCAAGGAATGGTGAATGATGAATGGATTGATTGTCTACCTTGTCATGCTAAACTTGTGAGGTCTTTATGATCATGTTACACCATGAGGCCCAGGGTTCGATTCCACCTTTTCTCATTTATATTGTTCCCTGCTTACTCTCTGTTTCCTGCTCTGTCCATAGTCACGTCCTCTCAAACTAAAAGCAAAAAAGCCAACCACACACCAAAAATAGGTCAAATCTCAATCTTATCTACAGCTTCTTCTGATGGTTTGATAACAAACGGTTAATGGACTTAATTGAATGTTGACTTTTTAACTTGGTATTTAGAAAGTCAAAGGAGTTTTTATCGTGCTTGTTTCATCCTTTGGCTCCTCTGGTGTTTGGTTAAAGATCTTACTGATATATCTGTATCTGTATCCAGTTCCCATTCCCAGGTTAAGATAACAGTCCTATCAGAGTAAACTAAAGTCCTCGACTCTTCTTGTGTTTTAATTTCCTTCTTTTTATCGCGGTGTCTTCATTTTTCTTCTCCCTTGGCTCTTATTGTATGTTTTTATCTTGATAACAGTAATCTGTGAGCGCAGGGTAAACTATCATCAGGTAAGAGCCCCCTCATTTAAAGATGGGCTGAGTGTGTGTGTGTGCATGTGTGTGCGTATATGTGTGTGTGTTTGATATGGCAGGAATGTGCTGACCGTCCACATTATAAGTGATCTGTGATTCTGCTCAGTGTTTCATTTCTGCCTCTTCCCCTCTGCAGTCAAACCTCCATCCTGCCATTATTTGTTGCCAGAGCACACAGTAGATACAACACAGCTTGCACACACACAGACACACACATATATGCACGGTCACACACACTTATCTGGCTTTGACCCAGCAGAAAAACTGTTGTTACCCCGTCCTGACATTCAGGTTTCAGTTACATGTAGCATCTCTAAATGTTTTGGTAAAACAGATGAGCTTTTGAGAAAGTTACGCTCTCTTCATTTTCGTCTCATTTGTCACCGTCTCTTTATTTTTATAAATGTTCTGATCTCCGTCCAACTTTTCCAAAAGTATTATCAGTATAAACACGGACAAAATCAGGTTTTTATTAAACTGATGTGACTTTTTTTCACAGTTCCTTCCCTTCTTTGGGCTGCAACAAACTCCCACATGAGTCTACAGAGTTCTCATGTTAAAGTCTTTAAGCAAATATTTGTTCACCATGACTCAGTCATACGCAGGGAGCAACTTTCTGGATTTTCTTGAACAACGAAAACTTTTGGAATCCTGTTTTAGAAATCCACCGAGCACCAGCAGGTTTGTCTGTGCGCTCTGTTTCAAAGACGCAACTGCTTCATCTAGTGGTTTTACTTCCTGGTTACCTGGTCAATCAATCAATCAATCAATCAATCAACAGTTGTTATCCCAAAATGCTTCCCAAAGAAAAAGAGCAGGTCTAGACCACGCTCATTGTTTGATGAATTATCATGACCCAACCTTAAGCGTCTTAGGATGACGATTATTTTGAATTGGTGCTATATAAATAAAATTTGATTGATTGATTTGATTGATTGATTGATTGATTGAAGGTGGGACTGATTTGACCCATCTCATCTAACATGAGTGACAGTGGCGAGGAAAAACTTCCTTTTACCAGGCAGAAACCTTGGGAAGGACCAGACTCATGTTAGACAGCCACCAGGCCGCTGCTGGGTTGGGGAGAGAGATAGGGGAGGTAAGAGAGAGAGGGAGGGAGGGAGGGAGAGAGAAAGAGAGAGAGAGAGAGATAGAGAGAGAGAGAGAGAGAGAGAGAGACAGCAGCAACATTAAAACAACTGCAACTACAACAACAACTCATGCAAAGTTGTGGTTAATCCTTGAGATGGGAGCTCCTATTGGCCCTTGGTTTGCTTCAGAAACTGTTGCCATTGCTGGTCATGGTTTGTAAAGCCTCATTATGTCTCTGCGTATAGACTGTATAACACATAGATGTCATCTCATTCTTTTGTTTCTGTAGCGGAGTGTTAAAGTCTATTAACTGAAACTTTAGGTTCACCTAACAAGAGGCACAGAGTGGGAGTTAAGGCCTTTAGCGTCCTCGCTTACAGCTACTGTGTCAGTCAAGTCAGCAATTCATATTCTTATCTTTAAAACAATTGAATCATTTTAGAAATGAACTCCTAAACAGTGTGTGTGGAGAGAGAAATGAGCTTTACCGACCCCAGACTGTAAACATGTTTAAATCACATGTGGAAGTGTAGTTTTTAATACTCCAGGAGGTTGCTGCATCTGTTCCCAACAAAGTGAGTAAATCATGGGAATCGTCCAAGTTTCTCTTTTGTGCACTAGAAGACAAAGAGGGCGTGACTTCTTTTCGTACTGTATTTCTGTGAGACTGAATTCAGCTGTTGCTGCGTTTAACTCAGGTCACTGGGATAATATTTCACCATAAATGCTTTTATGACCGTGGTTACTCCCTGTTTCTTTCAGATCAGGCCCTTTGGTCCGCTCCGGGGTCAAAAGACAGTCTAAGGATAACTGAGATAAATCAGACACACACACAGCAGCAGCATAAATAAATCTGATTTACGCTCATGTTTCTTGTAAATTGATTTACTTTAGATATCATTTCTAACTAAGAGGTGAATTGACAGCTAACACCGGTCATTCAGCAAGTTCAGCAGTCAGGGGAATGACCTCTGATGATTTAAGGGACTCACTTCCACATATTCACTGTAATATCAGGATGAAAAACTGTGGTTATCCCCACTTTTACAGCTTTAACCCTGTCTAAGCTAGCTTTGAGGAACTACTCCGCCCCCCTTAATCGTCTTTTCTGTTTTAAAGAAGCACAAAACACTTTGGAAACATCATGAGGAAGTTTGAAATCTATTTCCTTGTTTGGGTTCATGTATTGTTGGCTGATCAGGATGTTGATTCAGGACAAAAGGAGGGTTAGATAGTAAGAATAAGAGGTGAAACAGTCTAAATGCAAACGGAAATGAGTGGTTTTTTTCAGTCAGTGGTGTCAGTCGGACTATTCTTGGATAGAAAGTGGTGCATAATCAGTATTTTTGTAAGATATCTTCATCTGGATTTATGTATTTTCCTTGGGTGGGAATCAGCGATGAGGAAATGAAACTTTGCTCATGTTAGTATAAAACCAGCTGGATGTTAAAGGTCGTCACAAGCTTGTAGGATTGAAAAGGTTCGACTAGCTTTAAAGACAAGTTTTTCAGAGGAGACGGCTGACAGCTGCTGTTGTTTGTCTCTGCGCCATTTTTACAGTTTGCTGTCATGTTTGAAAACTCTAACGGGGTTCGAAACACTTAAATTCTTCCTCACACACACGGTATTTTCTCCTGCCAAATAAGTGTCAAAGTCAAGTGGGAAGTGTTGACTTCTGCTCCCTGACATTCCTGTGTGAAAATGAAAAAGCGATGCTGAAGAGAAACTGCATGTGAGAGTTTTGCGGGCTCGTTTCTCACAAAACTCGGCGTTGCGAGTGATGTAGACCCCGCGTGGTTTTGAATCCATCGTCTATGAGGTTTCAGAAAGTCTTTTCAGAAGTGTACGATGGTTGCAACTGAAAGCAGAAGGACTAATTCTGTTTTTTTAGATTAAAGTTCAGGGTTCACACCTCAGTGAAATACAGGAAGATTGATTATTGAGACAGATTTAAGGTAAAGCAAACTTAAAATCCTAGGAGATGGTGATAACAGTCATGAATTTACATGCTATACAAATAAAAATGGTCAGAAATGCACTTCATGTTAAGGATGAGATTTGTCATATTGCAATACTTAAAGGGATATTCCGGCGTAAAATTAATTTAGAGTCAAACACACCGTAACACAGAGTTAGACACCCCCTCGAGAGGTGAGTGTTGCCGACCGCTCTCCTCTCTAGTTATACCAACTTTAGCAACGACCGCAGGATAGCAATACACAGCGGTCTGAGGAGCCATAAACAAACCTCAACCAAAACGCCACTCTATAGCCACAGATAATGCTCAGAACAGCACCTAACTTCATCAACAGTACATACAGGGTCCCAGCCACAGAACTAGCCACCAAACAACTTTTTAGCTTTGCCTAATTTCTTTAGCAAAGAGACTAAACACAACTCACCTACTCTCTTCCAGCAGCCGCTTGTATGTAGCGAGACCTCAGGCCAGTCCATCATCAACTAAGGTGGGGTTTCGCAGCTCAAGGAAGAACATTTATGATCATTTCTTCATAGAAATACAATCAGACCGAGATGCTAAGGCAGAAGAACAACTGCGTCTGCAGTGCAAAATGATGATTATCACTTCAAGGAAATGATAAAGAAATGATCATAAATGTTCTTCCTAGAGCTGCGTCACCCCGCTGTAGTCCATAATGGACTGGCCTGAGGTCATTTTGCTACAAACAAGCGGCTGCTGGAAGAGAGTAGGTGAGTTGTGTTTAGTCTCTTTGCTAAAGAAATTAGGCAAAGCTAAAAAGTTGTTTGGTGGCTAGTTCTGTGGCTGGGACCCTGTATGTACTGTTGATGAAGTTAGGTGCTGTTCTGAGCATTATCTGTGGCTATAGAGTGGCGTTTTGGTTGAGGTTTGTTTATGGCTCCTCAGACCGCTGTGTATTGCTATCATGCGGTCGTTACTAAAGTTGGTATAACTAGAGAAGCAAGCGGTCGGCAACATTCATCTCTCGAGGGGGTGTCTAACTCGGTGTTACGGTGTGTTTGACCCTTTACAAATAAGTAAAGATGTCCACTCAGGGCGCTAAAGCTGACACAAACAGGAAGTTTAAGAAATACAAAGACTCAAGACTTGGAATTGCAGTAGCAGTTTCAGTGAGATTTGGTTATGGCACTTCCCGTTTTAGACACGCAGTTCACTCAGTGTTATCTCACAGTGTATAAATAAATGTAGGTTAGTTTTAATGTGATAAAACAAGACCACAAGTCCAAAGTCGTGAGACAATTAAGGTCCAAAGAGGTTAAAGTCAGGAGGGTCAACATCTTAGTGTACAAAAAGATTGCGCACCTCCAAAAAAGAACCTTTGTCTTTTTTAAAACATCCATTACCGCTCGGACTTTCCCAGGAAAAATCCCCGACTCACAGGATATGATGTGCTCTCTCAGTTTTCCTGAATTTAGTCAAAGATAGCCCCCCCCCTCCAAAAGGCACAACGAACAGGACCACCAGAAGATAAAATCTTATAAGAGGATCTTGTGAGAGGGCAGAGAGTTAAAGATACAGCCAGAATAAAGATCTTCAAATCTAAATATTTGTTTTTTGAGCACCTTGGTGTGATTTGGAAACACCGGTTGCAAATCCCTGTTAAGTTAGAAACCGTGAGTCGCCAAGTGAAACAGTGAATCTCACAGTCCCCTGTTGAGATTTAACATGCGGGACTCAAACAAATGTTCTCATAAAACATGATTACCTGTTTCTTTTTCCTCGCTCACTCGCTCAGGGCCTCGGCCGCTCATCTTGAAGGCTGAATAACAGGAACACTTCCCACTTCCCGCTGGGTCAGAGGTCAAGGGGAAGTTGTACTTGTGTCTGATCCCAAATTCCACCATGTTTATTTTCTCAGAGTGGAATCAGGGGTTCGCTCCTGCCAGAGGAGATTGTGAAAGCGTAAAACAATACTTTCCCTTCTTCCTTTTTTATCTCTCCCGCAGACTTTTTGTTACAGAGGACAGAAACTCAGCAGCCTCTTTGGAAAGACAGGCTGGAACTAGTTCCTACACTGTTTGCAGATTTAAAAGTTTATCGAGGGAGTGATTGATATTTCACACATGGCAGTTGATTTTCTCCTCTCAGAGTAGGATGAGCTTGATAGAGGACCCAGTTTGTTAGTTTCACTTGAATTTTAACATCTAAGCAAGAGTTTTGCTTTCTATGACAGGTGAGGCAGGTAAATAAACTCAAGAAATGAAAGTGGAGTGGGTCAGGAGGTTTAACTTTCACTTTCAAAGGAGGACAGGACGGACCGGAGGAGTAAGAGGGAGGAATAAACGGAAGAGTTAGGCCGTTTACGGTAAAACTTCGACTTTCCGGGGGGGAAAAAAGACGCGTCCCGGGTGGAAGCGAGAAAACTGACACAACAGCAGACTGAGTGTTTTTCAGTTCTGATTAGACATTAGTGTTGAGATGTCTGTCTGTCATGATAGCGTGTACTGAGTCGGGGCCAGTACCAGATAAGAACATTAAACTATAATCCATAAACGTAAGCTAACAACCGAGACCTAATGGTGCTGTGACAGCAACGCTGTGATTGAGTTTGAGACAGGGAAAATACATATGGTATGTTGTATCTGAACAGGTTAGCTTACGAGCTAAAGTTACTTAGCACAGATGAAAGTTAAAACAAAGACGTTTAGCAAACTGTTAAAGCACACAAACCATCATCATTTGAGAAATCCGACGCTATGAATCTCCACAAGTTGTCCTTCAGGTCGTTATCTTTGTAATATTTGTGTTTATTATCAAAAAGCACTCTGTTCTTCGACACGTAAACAATCAGCCGGTCAGTCGGCCATGTTGGATATACCGGTGAATCTGACGTCGCAACAACATGAAATCTGATCGGTCAGAAATGGACATACAATATGCGAAACTTTAGAAAAATCGACCATGATCTGAAAAAATAAATGGCGCAATAACGCAGAACAGGAAAACATCGCTGATATGAACACTTGTATTGACAGGATACGGGTTAGAAAAAAAATAATCCCATGACAAAAACGGTCCCGGTGTGAAAGGACCTGTAGGCTGTCGCTCCTCACTGTTCGATTTTTGTTTTATCCTTGTGACATCTCCTGATTCAGGTGAAAAAAATCTGATAGAATTATTTTTTCACGTCCTTTAACCAGAGGACATTTTACTTAAGAAAATACATCAACATACAAACAATATAACTTCTTAGTCCATCATGAAGGAATTATAGACAGTATTTGAGATGAAAATCAAGAATAAAAAGATGGAAAGTTCTGGGAAAATAGTAAACAAAAATAACACAAATTCTCTTAAAACCCTCAAATACATTTTTTTAAAGAATTGTATATCCAACAAGCTTTATGTCTACTGTTAAGAGATGTCACAGAGTGTATTATGGTCATTTTTTCTCTGCCTCTGCTAAGCTAGGCTAACCACACTTTGACTAAGAGGGGTACTAACTCTGGCTAAGAAGGCTAATTATCAAAATGATGAACTTATTGTTAAGAAAACTCACTTTAATGCACAATGCAACTCAGAATAGTGGATTTACAACCAAACAAACGCAGTTTTTCTTCTCAAAGGGAAAGGAAAACTGATATTTTTGTGTAAATCTGTGAAACAAACCTCCCTCCCCTGCCCCTCTACCCAGTCTCTAGGGAGGGCACACTGCCCCACCAGCACTGGCCTTTAAAAACATACCAGACCTTCTGTAATAATAGAGCCGATAGAAACGCTCAGTCCCACTCTGATAATAGAAACTCTCTGTGGGCTGGACTCCCAGAGGCTGTTGGAGCATGTTTGATATGCAGTGGAATTGACTTCCTGACTGATTCTGTTGTTGAATAAGCTTTGCAGAGGGTTTTATGTGCATGTGCGTGTGTGTGTGTGTGTGTGTATGTGTGTGTGTGTGTGTGTGTTTTGAAGGCCACTGCCATGCTCTGTCCACCCTCCATCTCCACCCTAGCAGTGTGTGCAGCCAGCAGTCCCTTATCTAAATGTTATCCCTGCACCCTGCAGAATCAACAATGGTTGGAGCTGACTTCAAAGAGGAGCTGAGAGCACGCTTGACCTGCTGGAATAATGAACTCTGAGATGTGAGGAGGGGAGGGAGGGCATCCTGTCATCTGAATAAATTCTGTTTAATGAGGAAACTGCTACTTATCGAAGAGCATTAGAGGCACTTGTGATACGTGCACCAATTTTTAACACCACTCTTTGCAGTCAGTACGTGTCCTCTTCTTCAGGCAGCTTGTTGTGATGTAAACCAGTCGATGTGTCAGGCTGAAAGTTAGACGATAAAACAGACCCATGTATGGACATCGTCACCATGAAAGACGGCCACTATAACTACCGTATTTTTCAGACTATAAGGCGCACTTAAAATCCTTCAATTTTCTCAAAAATTCACAGTGCGCCTTATAATCCAGCACGCCTTATGTTTGATTACTTCTTGTGCTCACTGATCGATTTTATGTGGTACAATGCGCTCAAAAATCTGTAAAAATGTGTAAGTATGACTTTGGTATTCAACAAAACCGCTCCGCTCAATGGATATTCGGAGCACTACGGTAACTGTCGTCTGAGCTTTCACGAAAACTGGAATGATCAACGAACAGACAAGTACCGGTAACATTTGATGGATTTGTGGAAGAGGAATGAATCAATAAGTTGGCGTATTTTTCTGTTGTTACAACTGAGTTAAATAAAGTTTGATTTACTGGAATGTGCGCCTTACAATCAGGTGCGCCTTATGTGTAAACATAGACATGTTAATTCATAGTGCTCCTTATAATCCGGTGCGCCTTATGGCCCGAAAAATATGGTGTTTGTTTGATTGGACAGCACTGCAAAAACTGGTATTCTATGCGAGTCCGACTGAAAAATTCTCAAGATGCAACACGATAGTATAAAGAAAGTTGTGATTTTTGTTTTAAAGATTCAAAACACTCTGGACAAAATCAGCAAAGAGAACAGACACTCTGCATTGTCCACTGGGGGCGCCAAAACCAATGAAACAAAACCATGCTAAAATTCCTTACTGTAGCTTTAAAATGTGATTATAGATCAGTGTTGTCTTCCGAAATGTTTGAAATTCTCTCAAGTGACATGAAAAAGGCATACAGCCGAGAAAATAATAATAATTACAATAACAATAATAATAATAACTTTATTTATATAGCACTTTTAAAAACAGAAGTTTACAAAGTGCTTTGACAAACAGTCAAATAAAAACAAACGCTCAGTTAAAACAAAGTCTCCTAATTGAAGGCCAATTTCATTTTTTATAAGGAACCCAGACAAAACAAGAGCTCTACAACATAAAATGAGACCATGAGGACCAAAATAAAAACATAAAATAGGTAAGAAAAAGAAATGAATTAAAAAAGGGGGATTGAAAGCAGGAAACAGGATAGTAGATGTAAAAAGACAATATTAATAATGATAATTAAATCATAACAAAATAATAATTATGGTAATAGTAATGAACGAAATAAGGGAAATGTGGGGTCCATTTGTTTACATGTGACACTACTATTAAGAGCTGAAAGAATATTTATGTTTAAGCAAGACAACCCAAAGTTATATTACGGTTATTCTTCCCCGTCCTTTAAGACTCTATTTACCCTAAAACAGAGTTCCTTCATGTACTCAGAGCTCTTGGCTGTGAATGTTTACATGACCTCAGATTTAAAGCCGCCCTGTATACTTGAAGACAACCACCTGACATTATGTTGGAATTACCTTCTTTAAATGACCTGTTTGGGGTGTTTTCGTGTGGTTTTAGTCCGTCCTGCCTGTCAAAGCACAGTTACACTCTCTGGAGGAAGGAAGCAATTTGTTAGCGGAGAGCCTCTCTCGTGGCATTTGCTAGTTAACATCCAGCACTCTTTGCGAAAACAAAACTCCATCCAGTCCTCGCTATGTAAACTGCTCGCTTTTCAAAACAGGAAAACAGTCCAAAACGTTTCAGTGTGGAGGGTCCATGGCATCAGCTCTTCAGGACCGGACTATTGTCCCTGTTCAGATTTAAGAGACAGCTTTATGTGCGTCTCCTGCTCTGAACTCTGACTCTTTTGTTTGCGCTTGTGCAGAAACTGTAAAACCAATATTTCTGTCTGTGCCACACACAGAAACAGCTTTGAATGACAGATTTACACATGCATGTTTTTTTGCACTGTCCTCAAAAGTCAAGTAAGGTAACATGTCTTATATGAGAGTGTGCTCCAGTGTAATCCTCAGCTCCCAGGCCCTTCACGGCGTAAACACAACCTCAGTGTCAAAAGTCACGGCTCTCCTGTCCTGTCTTCTCCTGTCCTGCGTTTCTATGGTAGCAAATCCATGCAGAGTGACCCGTGGAGGTGAAGTTGTTGCCTTTGAGCTCCACTGATGACATGTTCATGGACTTGGCAGAGTCAGACCTTCAAACCCAAAGCCAAAAGTTTAGTCCGTCAGTGTGTTTTTAGCTGTTTCCTGCTCCTCTTTGTGTTTTGGTTCGCTTGTCATCACTCAGTTGAAGGATTCTCGTCGCTCTCATGGATCGATCTCCAGCTGTTAGCAGTTTTACAAAGAGGCTCCCAAAGACTTCAAGATGACTAGTTCAGTGCACCAATCAGAGACGCCCTCCTTTAGGTAGCAAACACTCTTTAGTATCACCTTATTTAAGAGTGCTACTCTTAATTTCTTTCCATTAACTGCAGTATGTGTTTGTGGTACTGGTACAGGTCAGCTGTCAGAGTAGCTTTTCAAATGACGAAGGAGACTTTTGGATTCTTTTTGTCATTTGATTAACTGACAACAAGGTTTGTGGGCGTATAAAACCTAGTTACTAATGTCAGTTGTAAAATAAACTACATACGACTGAGACGAAGAGAAAAAAAGGAAAGCAGAGGGGCAACATCATCTCAAAATTTATTCTTTCTTCACTTAAATTAAACAAGGAAACAAAATGACAAAAATGTACACTTTTCCAAGCAGGACCACAATGCTTTTTACTGTTTGGTAACACTTTATTTGATGCCTATCTCTAAAATGCAATATAAATATTCTCAACTCAACTCAACTTTATTTGTAAAGCACATTAAAACAACCACAGCTGATCAAAGTGCTGTACATAAATAGAGAAAACAACGAAAACATAAAAAACAATTAAAAAACAATTAAAATAAAAGCAGATATTAAAAAGTAAAATATAGTTTCAATGTTTTTAAAAAATAATTTAAAAACAATAGAAACAAATAACTAAAAACAAACCATAAAACACTAAAACAGGAGCGGAGTCTCGAGCAGGGTTGAAAGCCGATAAATAAAAACGGGTTTTAAGACGAGTTCTGTTGCCTTCATGTCATCTTTTCCTCTGTCTTTTATGTCTTTCTATGCCATTAAATGCAAATCAATCAAACACACACAGTCCTGTTGGGTTTATGTACAGTTCTGAATGAGCAGCAGGTTTGAACTTTGAGTGTCAAGTTTGAGAAAAGTCTTTTTCCTTCCTCCTCCAGCTGCTCTGCCCTCGGCCATCCTGACACTCATGTTCACCCCGTACCAAAGAGGGATCTACTGCGATGATCAGAGCATCAACTACCCCTACAAGAGAGCCACCATCTCTCACGGAGGCATGGCTGCCGTCACCATCTCCTGCACCATCGTCATTGTGAGTCCTCACACCTGAGCGCCTTCTCGCACCTTTAACCCACTTCAAAACCCGTCATAATGTCTCCTCTGTCTGCTCCTCAGATCACCACAGGCGAGGCCTACCTCGTGCACACGAAGCGTCTGCACTCCAACTCCCAGTTCAACCAGTACCTGTCCGCTCTTTATAAGATAATTGGCACCTTCCTGTTTGGAGGAGCCGTCAGCCAATCACTGACAGACCTGGCGAAGTTCACTATCGGTCGTCCCCGTCCAGATTTCTTATCTGTGTGCGCTCCAGTCAGCTGTCATGGATACATGCTGCACATCAACTGTACTGGCAACCCTCGTAATGTGACTGAATCCAGGTGAGATTTCTCAACATTCAGCTTCACTGTCTTTGAAAATATTCATAATAGATGGAGGTCAAGCGAGTATTAGACAACCACGTAAATCAGTGAGGGAGTTTTCCGATTAAATTCTTCATTTTTGTGTTTCTTTCCTTCAGGTTGTCCTTCTACTCGGGCCATTCGTCCTTCGGGATGTACTGCATGCTCTTTCTGTCGGTGAGTGTGTGTGAGTGTGTGAGTGTGTGTGGTTTAGTCCTCATTGTTGCGTGAGACAGTCTGAGGCTTGTAAAAAGTTGTGTTTACCAAAAACACCTACAAGTGACTGAAAACAGGCGGAGGCGCTCGACACGGGGCGAACAGCTGATGTTTGAAAACATCATTGTTGTAATGCGACACAGTGAACAATGGTAGGAACATGAGTGATCCAAAAACATAAAACCTGGAGTTTTATACTCTGACCCCTATGTGGAGTAAAGTGGACTGAGTCTTTGTTTGTTATAGAGGGAGTAAGATAGACCATTTCCTCGTTAGTTTTGGTTTGTATGATTTTAATTTGAAAAATCCTACTGAGCAACAGACGCTTTTAGACATCTAGTTTTTTGTTTTTTTTTTGTAGACCAAATTTCAACCGTCTGGATTCTGTTTATTTTTAGAGTAAAAGGAAGATGTTGCCTCGTAACCCATTATTCGATAACTATTTTATGAGTTGCATAACTGATCTCCAAGTACTTAACCTAAATATGATAGCCGTTTAGCAATATACAGTGTAGTATAGATATAGCCCAGATTTAGATTGGTAACACTTTACAATAACCATAACTTATAAATGGTAAAAAGACCATTTATAAATGGTGAACGGATAGTTTATTAATGTTTGATCATCATTCATAAATATAGACCATATAAACCATTAATAAATTATAAATTTTACAATTTTAAAAACCTAACTTTACTATAACCAAGTATTGTTTATAGGTGGTTTATAAACCCCTTATTAATCATTTACAAAGTATTACAAACATCAGTTGCAACTTTACAATAACCAACTAAGTAATGTTTATAGATGGTTTAAAAACCAAATATTAACCATTTACAAAGTGCTACTGACACACATTTTAATCTCGATGTTTTACAACCAATATTTAAACCCTATATAAACCTTTAATAAATAGTCTATTAATGATCCATGAAAATTATTAATCATAATTTCATTTCTTGTTAATGGTAAAGTAACTATTAACTTACATCAATAACTATTTGCCATTATAATTGGTCTATATGCTGTTTTTGAATGATGATTAAACATTAATAAACTATCTATTTACCATTTATAAATTATGGTTATTTTAAAGTGTTACCTTTAGATTTAGTGTAAACTTGGTCTAAATTTAGACGTCTAAAAAATCTTCCTTTTTAGACCTGTGGTAGCCTGATTTAAACATCTATTAGACCTCTTTTAGACCAAAAAATTGCTCAGTGGGATGCAGCTCTTGCGTCTTTTCGATGGCTAAGAACCTCTCTGTTTTTTCAACAGCTCACATCTTTTCACTTTAATTACATCTAAACACCTTTCAGTAGAGCAAACTCAGACACCAGGTGATTTTAAACTGCGGCGTGTTGTTGTGTGCACAGCTCTACGTCCAGGCGAGGATGCAGGGGAAATGGACACGTCTGGTCCGACCGACTATCCAGTTCTTCTTGGTGGCGTTCGCCGTCTACGTGGGGTACACCCGAGTGTCCGACTACAAACATCACTGGAGCGACGTCCTGGTGGGGCTGCTGCAGGGCGCCCTCATCGCTGTGCTCACCGTGAGTATAACATCATGCGTCTGTGCCATCTCAGCAGGAGAGAAAGCCTCTCTTAAACTCAAAACTGTATTCTGACACCACTATGTCCAAACTCCAAACTCTTAAGTTGATCTTTAGTCATATTCTTCTGTTCTTCCAGTAAGATGTTAATAATCCAAAGGGAATGCTTTACCCCGTGACTCTGCGTGACCCTGTAATGGGATTCATCCCTAAAAAACCCTCACTCTTTGCTGAGTCAGCTGAAATTACTGACCCACATTACCACAAATGATTTCATCATGTCCAAAGTGTTCTGGTTTAGCAGCAGGAAGTCGTGTCAAAACGCAGAAAAAAGAGGTTACAAGCAGTGGGAGGCTGGAATTAGCGAGCATCGTGATACATTAGTTACCGCAATGACTGTTAGACGTCATCAGAACATTTACCGACCTGATGGTTACAAAAAAAAGTCAGTGAATGTTTCCAGGCTGGTGAATTAACGTCTTTGTTTTCATCATTTACACTCTGTCACTATGTCTCTGTTTATACCAAGTCAAATATTCACCAATGATGATAGTGTAATTATACTTACAAAGTTGATTCAAGGTAGCAGCAGGTATGTACAGCTGATAAGGTGACCCATTTATCACACGCCTGTGTGCCAACAACAAGCTCCGACACATCAGCTGTGTGGAAATATTTTGGAAACAGACAGCAGACACGGGACTTAATATCTGGAATTAAAGGTTTGAAGGTTTGTCTGGTTTAATGTCTGTTTCTGATGATCAATCTAAGAGCAACAGGTGAGGAGAGACTTAGTGTTTGGATATATATAGATGCTGATATTAGTATCACCCAATACTAGTTTAAAAATATATCAGCGTATCAGATAATATATTAGCAAATATCTGATTGTGCGTCCCTACGGACTGAGATGGCTTTTGTACCTCTGATGCGATACCGATATTGTAGCCTTCAATATTGGCCGATACTGATATTGATCTGATATTAGTACAAACTTGTGCATGACAAGTTTTACACTCAGCTGCAACATCTTTTTCGGACTTTAATGAAAGTTACTGCAACAGGGCCGATATCACTCCTACTCCTTGGTACTTTGTTAGTACTTTAGTACACACTGTTGTTGTGATTACATGGTCGCTACATGCTGAATCTGGGCGCTGCTAGATAGAGGTGCTGGAGTGGAGTCTGGAATGGACTGCTTGTATCGGAGCTAATATTGGAGCAGGCCGATATAATCCGATATTTGATTTTTTTGTTGATATCGGGTCAATATCTGATATCAATATTGTATCAGGACACCCCTAATTCATATTTATGGTTTATCCTGAGGTTGAAACGTCTTTGGAGAGGATGTTGCTTCGTTCAGCGACTGTTTTTCATGTCACTTTACTTCCTGCTTTGTTAAACTATGCTTTTATTTTGAAGTCAGTTATCAAACTGAATGTTGCTTTACTTATTGGTTATCCTGCATTCAGTTACTTTTGTCTGGTTGCTATTGGTTTCACATGGTCACTGTGTTTGAAAGCTGGTAAGTTATATAAGGGGTGGTCCTACCTGCACTGGGGTGGAGAGGTGAGCCTAGGTAGCCATAATTTTTGTTGACCGCGCTTTATGTTCTTTTGTTTGCTATGATACTCGTCGCATAGTGTACACACATTACATCAGAAAACTTCTGCCTCAAGCGACTTTTTTAAAGCTACTTAGAAAGTTGCAATAACAGCAGTTAAAACAATGATCACTTACTCAAAGAGGCACAAGCTCTATTGTTTTTTTTTCGGATCAGTCTCAAAAGTGCCGGGTCATCTCTTAGAAGGTTGCTTCAGCTAGTTTGCTAGCAGTCTGCTTCTTCTTCTTCTTCTTCTTAGTCTGTTCTTAGTTTTTTGACGCATGGCAACCAGGGTTAAGGATATCCTGAGTAACAGAAACAGCTCTGAACGATATTGATCATTTAGGTTTTGATATAATCTGATATCTGAAAATATCTGCATCGGTTCATGTAAAAATAAGCTACAAAAAAGAGCTCATTGGTGTTTCATTGTATGACATTATCTCTTTATTTCTGTCTTTTAAGGTCCGATATGTGTCCGACTTCTTCAAGCACCGCCCCACTAACTGCACTCGACCCGACGAGGCAGAGGTCGAGCACCTGGAGCGCAAACCGAGCCCGCAGCCGCCGGACTCGCAGCACGGAAACCACTACAACTACTCTGGACCTGTATGAGCTCTTCAACAGCAGCAGCCACTCTTACTAACCTGGGCCTACACTCTCTAACAGCAGCATTTTAACATACAACTGTGACTTGTACAGAAAACCAAACAACTCCATACAGAAACCACTACATGGAGATCCAGACCAGACCTGCTCCCAACTATGTCTACTGCTATAAAAACTCTCTGAGTCCTGAAACCTGTTGGAACAGAAGCTCCACCGTCGCTGTGTGTCTTTTAGTCGGGGTGTGTGAAACCGAAATATGTGTGACTGATTTGCAGTGCGTTGTGTGTGATTATAGATATTTTTATTTGCGGTGAGAGTTTCAGATTTTATGCTGTGATTCAAACTAAAAAAAGGGGAGGTGAAAGGCTGCTAAAGGATCTATAAATTTCAAAAAACACCAACCAAAGGTTTGTCTGTGTGCTTGGCTGGAGTGACGAAACTTTGGAGGCTGAATGTTTTCGACTTTGTTGCTTTTTCCAGTCAGACTTGAGTTTTACAGTCGACACTGGAGCTACGATATAAAACTGCCGATGTATGTCTCTCTGCACATCTCTGTCTTTCACTGTCCATAGAGGATGTGCATGTGTTTTGACCTTATCGATATCTTTGTATAGTACTAACATTTTTATTGTTTTTAACTACTGTATCTAATAAACTGTGTAGCTTTTAAAAAAATGTACCACTAAGGTTACAGTGCAAACTGAGCTGGCGACACGTGCTTATGTTTTTAGTCTGTTTTATTGTTTTATTTTACCCACATGTATCAGTAATGGTTAAAAAAAAAAGGCCACAGCAGAGGCGTATTTATTCCATTATTATTTTTTTGTATCTGTTGCTTGTGTAATCTAATTTTTAGTTCACGTCTGACCCAAACCGAATCACTGCCATGGACCTCTCACTTCCTGAGTGTAACACTTCTGCAACTGTGCGTAATGTAATCCTGTCTACCCTTGTAGTATTCTCCATAAAATTGAGCCAGCATGTCGTCTATGAGTGATTACTAAAGAAGAAGCGCAGTGAGCGATTATGTGGTGAAGCGAAGGATTATACAACAGCTTTTCTTTTCTTTTTTTTCCCTCCCTTGACCTATCTCTGTGTTGTGTTCTTGCTGAAAAATAGAGCACAACACGCTGACGCAGAGTTCATGTCTGGACCTGCAGCTGATGCTTGTGGGATTCCTCCACGCTGAAAGGAATGAGGCTGCGACATGTAAGAGGTGTTTATAACAGGAGGGCTCTCATGAAGGAGCATCGTAGTTACTGACTTTTATGTATAAGGAGGTTTTTCTTTTAGAGCAGGTCACAGTTTGGGTTGAAGTGTCATCAGCGGATTTTTGCCTGAGTTTTAATAAGGAATAATTCAGTTAAAAAATGAATCATAAATCCAGATTAAGTTACAAAATAATCCCCTTAATTTGACAGAGTTGTTATGAAGTTGACTCTAAATCGTATCACACACTTGCCCCACTACGGTCACGTCACACTGCACTGTGATTGTGTAAATGTTGCCGTGCAACATCAGCTCACACTGTATGAGTATGAATCACTGATGTTGCACAATAAAAGCTTGTGTACAGGTGCAGCTCAAAAAAAAACTTCAGTCCTGACAAACTTGATCTAATTCAGAAAGTGAAAGAAAGTATTTTGGGACTCTTTTTTTTTTGTTAAAAAAAATTCACCATCTCAAACTTAAAATAGTAGAAAAGTTCAGTTTCTTGTCAGGTTAGTCCTCAAAATGAACTTTCTCTGACCTTTTGAGCTGCACCTGTTTATTTGTTTGTTACACTCATATAGTCACACACGACCTGAGTGGGACTTTCTTTTGAAAACTCCCACAGATGCAAATCTAAAACAACAGTGACCGTCTTGTTGTGTCAGTGAAAACCGAAAACGTTGAAGTGGTCTTTGTGGTCCAGCTGCTGCGTATTCGCTTCTCTTCGCTCGGCGGTCTTCATGTTATGGTTGATCACCATTTATCTCAGTTTCTACATCCTGTATCGTGCTGTCGTGGTGTTTGCAGATGTTGTCAGTCAGTTATTGAATATGGGTCATCAGCTTGTTGCCCTGTAAAGCAAAATTCCAAACTTCATTTGTTGAATGTTCACTTTAGCCTCTAGTTTTGTTCTTTCCGAATGAGGAATATTCTTCAGAGTAACTTCAAATGTTTGAGTTCTCGCTCATCAGTGAGGTATTAGTCACTAAAAGGAAACATGTGGTGCATTTTGAGTGCGTGTTCATGAAAACGTAGCTCGTCCCTGAAAACGCTAACTTGTATCTGACTCAACCTTCATACCGCGAATAATTTCAATCGAGCTGCGGAGGAGCCGAGTGAAGTTTTTATCAGGCTTCCCAAAAACCTGCAGTTTTTCGTCTCTGTGAGTCAGCGTCGAAGGGATGTTGCAGCTCTGACCTTCATTTTATTTTCCACTCAGAAACAAACAAAATAACCACTCTCAATCACGTCTTTTATTTGTAAGGCACCAGAGAAGCTTCCTTACTGCTAAAAGGTTGATTCATTCTCATTAGAGTACACAGTTGCTTGTTTACATCTTTGTTTTTTTTTTTGTTTTTTTGCCCCAGGTATCATAAAATGAGACTGTGTTCATAAACACATTAAACTGGTTTTTGTTTTGCACAAAAAGATAAAACATTTACAAACCAAAAAAACAATGTTAAGTGTTACTGCCTACTTGGAGAATGGGAGAAAGAACAGGAATAACGACATGGTATACAACATTGTGCCTCTGAACTGTAGACTTGTAAAGCACACATACAACACTTAATCTTCCATGATACACACACGTTAAAAAGCAGCTTTGAAACATACAAAAATGCTTTAAAAAATATGTATATTGATATATTCATATGTATACAAATTGGCCCTTCACAGCAAAAACAAACACACATACCATTCATATGTCTGAGATTTGCCTAAGGAGGTTTTCTACAGAGACTGACGTCAGCGTAGGGAGTTCTCGCGCTCCATACGTTAAGGTCGAATCTCCAGGGGAGGAAAATCTTCAGTTCTGAAAAACTAGCACAGACAGAAATAGAAAAACAAAAAAGAGCACCGAGCCACTGAGGCTGAAGTGCTTTCAGAAGATCAAAATACAGAGAAGGGGGGAAAAAAAATTAAGAGGGCTGGAGCTCAGATCTTGGACGTGCTCAGACATTTAAAGGTGGGTTGTCAAAGCTCTGCACGGCACTCATGCTACAAGTGGGGGGGGGGGTCCAAGCTGGGACAGTGTCACGTCATAGTGATGACTGCTGCCCTCTGCTGGCTGGAATATGAACCTCTGGACAAACACACACTTGAGCTGTGTCCCATGAATAATGAGCAAAATATGAACTTTTTTAAGTATTATTGACTCATTTGAAGGAAAGATTACACCACTTTAGGGCACTGCCAGTTAAAGCTCCAGTGAGGAGTTTTTAGCTGGTTACGAATCAGACTGAAAAGCCAAAAAAAAGGAAACAGGCAGAGGACCATCAGAGTCAGACAAGATGATAAATGACATCTACGAATGTTCAAGTCAAAGAGTCATTTTAGTCATTTTAATAAGATATTTTAATGTTATAATTAGGACACAGTTTTAATTCGAGGAGATTTCAATTAAAAACCCATGTGTGAAAATACTCTTTGTGGGGATCATGTTTGTCACGATGCCCGAAGAGCTTTGGCACCCCACCTCTGACACATTCTTCATGAAATCAAAGGGAAAACGTGAAAATCCTTCCCCAGACAATCACACCTAAAGTCAGACAAGACAGAGAAAGACCGGTTCTTCGCACAGTCTCAGCATGAACAGAAGCGCGCCGACTCGCAGGAATAACGGGACTCAAACTTGTTCGGACCGCCCTGGTTTCTGAGTTTACATCACGTTCCAGTTTTGTTTTGGTCGGATCGAGAGTGGGTGAGTATGTGGGAGTGAGAAGGGGGGCGAGGGGAATACAAAAAGGTGCTTTAAGAAAAACGATAAAATTTAACTTAAATTTTTCAATCAGGTTTCACATTCACTCGAGCACACAGCGACACATTTTTAAAGTCTAATTAGCTTCTTGGGTTAAAAAAAAAAAAAGTGAATCTTTTAGGGTTTAAATTTTAATAATTTAAAAGACAAGTCATGGTCCGTGCCATGTGGCGTGAAGCAGCAGCTCGGCCTTTTATGTTTGGATGGGTATGCTACTACTCATAAACTAAAGATTGTTTAAAGTCGTTTAATCCCATTTCTGAGATTGAGGTACGCAGCTAAAGGCGACGCATCCAGTGGTTGGCTGAATAAAAGCGACAAAACGTGGTTCGTGTTTTAATGCACCTGATTAGTGAAATATCCCTTTAAAAAAAAAAAAAAAAAAACATCAAAATTAAAACCAGACTAGAGTTTAATTTGGCCCTACGTAAATCAATGTTGAGATTCACCGTCCAATCAGTGATGAGGGTGCTGTAAGGGGGTAGGGACTTAAGAGGGAACGGCTAAATATGACCGGCAGGGAGTGGCGAGTGAGACACAACAAACAGATGAACTAATAAAGACAACAATGAAAAAGAGAGAATAGCTCTGATTATAAAAAAAAATAAACCTGTGTGAGGTGGATGCATGTACACCGCTGTTAGCTCTCATTCTCCGCCCTCACCCCAAATGGGAAAACATTGATCAGGTTTAAGCCTTACATCGGTGGCTTACGCTAAAAAAAAAGCATCTATTCAAAGTCTAGAAGCCTGAACTGAGTCTATTACCGCTAAAAAATATGAACATTTAACGCTCACTCACAGCCGTTCAGCAGTTCTCTTTCTCTGCACATTTTGTCATCATCATCCCTGCAGTTACTCTTCTAAACGTCAACACTCAACAGACAGGCAGCCAGACTTACATCAATCTCTGTTTACAGTTTTACCTTCCCTCTCCTCACCCTCGTCGCCCTTCGCCTCGTTGCCCTCCTCTGCTCGCGTCAGCTCTAGTCGGACTTGTCCCCGTCCTCTCCTCGCGGCGCTCTCTCGGCGGCTTCCCGGGCCTTGTCCTCCTTCGCGACCTGAGCCTGGCCGTGCGAGTAGTTGGCCAGGATGGAGGAGAGGGAGAGCAAGCCGGAGCTGGAGGAGACGGCGGGCAGGGTGGGAGGGGTGAGGCCCAGGGGCAGGGGGGTCACGGGGAGAGCCAGGCCCTGCAGCTGGGACAGGTGTTGCACCTGGAGCTGTTGCTGAAAACGCAGAACAGATGCTGTGAGCTCAAAGTTTTCAATGAGGGCCTCAAAAATCAGAAAATGTTCTTTGCATAGACTCCATTTTTGTCCTCTAGCTTCTACTCGCTGGTTGTTCAGAGAAGGTCCTGCCCTCCTTCGCCTCTGATTGGTTAGAAAAGCTGGAAACATCATCACATGCTCAAGCCAAACGGTCAGCACTTATAGCCAATCAGAGGATTAGCACATGAAACTATGGTAACAACCGTTAGCTTACGTTAGCTCAGATAAAAGTTAAAACAAATAAGTTTCACAAACTGTTAAAGCACACAAACCATCGTCATATGAGAGATCCGACACTATGTCGTCCTTCAGGTCATCTTTGTAATATTTGTGTCTTTTATCAAAAAGCACACTGTTCTCCAACAAGTAAACAATCAGCTGGTCGGCCATGTTGGATATACCGGTGAATCAGACGTCGCAACAACACGCAATCTGATCGGTCAGGAGTGGACATACAGTATGCAAAACTTTAGAAAAATCGACCATAATCCGAAAAAATAAATGCCGCAATATCACAGGACGGGAAAACGTCACTGATGTGAACGCTTGTATTGACAGGAAACGGGTTCCGGTAAGAAAGGACCTTTAAGGGTCAACCTTGCTGACTAAATGTCCTTACACATCGGGACTGTTTTTGTCGTGCGATTATTTCGGACGTCATTATTTTTTTTTGAACCCGTATCCTGTCAGTACAAGCGTTCACATCAGCGACGTTTTCCCGTTCTGCGATATTGCGGCATTTACTTTTTCGGATCACGGTCAATTTTTCTAAAGTTTCGCATACTGTGTGTCCACTTCTGACCAATCAGGTAGCATGTTGTTGCGGCATCTGATTCACCAATGCTATGACTCTCCAACTTGTGGAGAGTTGTGGAGAGTCATAGCATCGAATCTCTCATATGATGATAGTTTGCTAAACGTCTTTGTTTTAACTTTCATCTGTGCTAACGTAAGCTAACGGTTGTTACCATTGTTTCATGTTCTTATCTGAACGCCTCTGATTGGCTGTAAGTGCTGACTGTTTGGCTTGAGCGTGTGATGACGTTTCCAGCTTTTCTAACCGATCAGAGGCCAAGTCGCAAAATCACATCGGGCTTAATGTGTATAGTCAGACTCAGGCGCGTCAAAATGCGCCTCTGAATATTTCGTAATTTCGCGTTCTAGATTCGTGTCGGCCCCGTTGTGTAAGAACCTCTAGTCCAAGCTCCACCGAAAAGCCCCACTCTGAAATGGACTTGTACCATAAATGTGATGTACTTACCCGTATGATGGAGTTCATCTCAGGGGGTGTGACCTGCTTGGCCCTCTCTATGGCGCCCATGACCTGCTGTTGATGCTGAAAGAAGAAAAGACTCATTGTTTAACAGCTGGAGTCCGCACAAAATAGAGCTTGAGGAACATTAAGTTCAGAAATACATCGCAGCGTTGTTACCTCTTGCGACAGGTAAGGCAGCACTTGAGCACAGATCCCGTTCAGTCTTTTCACTATTTCGGCCTGAAAATGAGAACATCAATAAAAAGTTCAGACCTGCATAGATGGGTGGAGGAAGAGTTCACTATCAGAGGCAGCAGCTTTTACCTGTTTGTGCATTTCAATGTTCAGCCCGTAGGACATTTCATAGTACTACAAGAGAAAGAGGGAGGAAAGAAAAACATTAAAGTGACCTTCAGGATAAGGAAGATCCCACATCCTGTTCAATCTGAATATATCAATCAAATATCGTGCACATGTTTGTAGATTTGATATGAAGAAGTGGTTTTTTTCAGGAGATCCAGGGTTGAACATTGGTATAAAGAATGGCTCTGGAAACGTTGCAGATCATAAGGAAGGCACAAAGTGAGATGTGCCTTCTGCTCGCACATTTGAAATGATGTGAGACTGAATATCTGTCATGATACAGGCAGTACAGTCCGTTTCAGGGTACGGAATTTCTTTGCCTAAGATCCAAATCCTCATCGACTTTCTGTGTGTTCAAAAGGACTGCTTTAAGAATCAGACGTCTCACCTCCGAGATTTACAACAATACTAACCATGATATAGTGGCGCTGCATCTCTGACTTTTCAGAAGCCAGTTTGTCACACTCCAACTTCAAACTGAAATGAAAAAAAGAACAGCGAGGATACGTCAGTTTCAGGGAAAACACACAGCATGTACAAGAATAGACATTTTAGGAGCTATGCAAAGCTAGAATGATAGCATTATATATCATATTACATATAGAAATTATTAGGATTAAGATCTTATCGATATCGATGCCATTATCGATTCTGCTTATCGATTCAATTCTTTAACGATTCCCTTATCAATGCCATTTCTGTAAATACTCCAAATGCAGATATCTTCTCCTTTCTCATCCTGAAACGGTTCTCTTTGTTGTTAACCATGCTGTTACATCCTTTTCCACCTGGTTTGCACAGGTCACTTAATGTAAACATCACTCTCCAAGTCTACCTGCTGGTGATGCATTTTCCTAAATTTGCCTAACTTTTTGCAGAGATTGCAAGAAGTTGGATTAGCAGGACAAACTCCAAACTAGAACGGGGTTAATTTTTTTTTCTGTTTGCACAAAGAAAATGTTGGTTTTGTGCACATATAAAGAATTAGCACTCAGCAGATGAGCTGAATTTCCTGGAATCGCTCTGAATCTGCACACTGTTGCTCTGTATTTCCACCATTACTAAGAATGTCTATTTGACAATGCTGCACTCTCTTTGTGAAGTAATGTATGTCATTGTTTTGCATAAGAGAAAGACATTATGGAAATAGCACCGGATTCACAACCCTCCTCAGAAGGAGAGGTGACTCAAAGAGAGATTCGCACAAACGTTTTAAGTCAGCGTACCTGTGATACTGTGCTTGAAGGAACTGGAACTCATCCTTGATGCGGTCACAGGAGTCAGAAGTGGTGAACTTGAGAGGCTGACTGGACTGAGAGGAAGCCTGCGTGACAGAAAAGGATCCTTTTATCAAAATATAAAAAAAAAATCCCCACACTCTGGATGCAAACAAAGGCCAGATGTGTGTTTGGGTTTATCGGAAACAGCAGTTTGACCTTTGAGATTAACCCTTTGAGATTGTAGCTTAATTGAAAGTCGGCTAAACTTCACGTCTGAGTGAAGGGTGTGGATGAGAAAAAACAGGACGGCATGTTTAACCTACAATGTGCTGATCTAGAAAATAGACGGTCTCTGCCTTTAACAGACTGATATCAAACATCTGTCTGTAGAAAACAACCAGGCATGACCGTAAAGTGTGTGCCGATTGAGGAAATGTGTTTACAGAGGGACAGATTAAAACGCACTCATGCCGACCATATGTGAGAGGTATTTACAGTCTGCATTCGAAGTCTGGATATGTATAGACTACACTTGAACCATCGGTCTAAAGCTGTAATCCAGGGTTTATCAAGTGCCCTAAACCTTATTACCCTCAAAATAAGTGGCACAAGGGCGAAAGGTCCGCGGTGGGATTATGGGACAGAGTAGTGAGGATGGAGGCCGCTGGTAACACACAAACGCACAGTGCACTAGTGCTCTAAATAAAGTAAAGTGCTGAAACTATTGATTGTCCTATCGATCGCTGCAATGACAGTAATCTATGAAATCTTTCAAAACAACTGCTGGCACTATGATCAGGTGAAATGTTTCACAGTTGACTTCAATCATTCTGAGACTTAACTGCATTAGAGTTGGATAAAGTGATAAGAAAAGAGAAAATTCCTCCTTAAAATGTCAGATTGTGCCGTGTGCCTTTGATATACATGTTAGTGAGTCACTGCAAGAGCAGATTGAGAGCGAGTTAACAGATTGCTGATCAAACAATAACGCAATATGAAGATGTAAGCAATTAATCTTCAAATTAACTTGTTTCTTATAATCTTGAATTGTCTGGTTTCTGTGTTTTCAAGATGAAGTGATGTGCTTTTTAATTTTTATACACAGTATCTTTGTGAAACTCAGTTTTTCTGGTTTTGTCCTATTGGTCAACCTTAAACTTACGTTTGGAAAACAGATTACTTTCAATAGGATTTGCTTATTTTTCCCTAAATTTCAGTACTGTACAACTTATTAATGTATAGATTTTGTTGGCTAATTTTCCAGTAAAGACACACGATCAAAAAAGTATTGTTATCTTAATTATAGATTAAATTAAAGGACAGATTTGTAAGCATAATGTTGATGCATGATCTATTGTTTTAACCCTAATATACTGTTCAAATCCTGTATCCTCACAGTATGTTCCGGGTCAAAATTGACCCAGCCCAAGAATTGCCCATGTAGCAAGTATTTTCACCAAAGTTCTAACCCCAAACCTATTCATAATGTTTAAATGACCTCTGCTACTTCAAAAAATTGTTGATTAGTCCTTCCTAAATGTTTCAAAGAGCAGGGAAAGTGTATTTTTTAAGTTTTAACACCACTCGTTTTTGGTGAACTATATATTTTGGAGAAGAATATCTATTAGACAGGATAATGTCATGTTGTCACATTATGTAAGAAATAAAAGATTATAAAAGTCATAATGATAAAATTTGATAATTTAATGAACAACAAACTTTATATTGAACACTGTTCTTACTGCTTGTCACTTGTCCCACACTGGTAGATCTAAAACACATCTAAATAGATGTGGGTCAAATTTGACTTGCAAATTTGAAGCAGATTTACAAAAATACACATAAATATTCTTAAATTAATTTCATGTATTTTGGGCCAAAATAGTTTAAGGCTTAAAGAATGATGTTTAAGGTATTTTTTTACTGCTGTTAAAAGTCAAAATGGGTCAAATTTGACCCGAACAGTCTGTAAGGGTTAAAGCATTTTATTCGTCCTCTGATTAAAGCTTTTTTCATTGAGTGTAAGTCTATGTGCTCTTTTCATATGCTACTTGTTCATATTACTAACAAACTACAGTAACATTGGCATAAATTTAGGACATTAAAACAAAACTACTACAGACTTATCAAAATACCAATGTTTACCTCGAAAAACGAGTGACTATTCCGTCTAAAAAAGCTTATTCTATATACTCTTATAATTTAAGGAGCATTAATAAACACACATTAACAAAAACCTTTCATTAAACCTTTGTAGTTGACTCAAACTGAGCTGTTGTAAATATTTGCTGCCTCTTCATATTCATGATGAATCTCGGTAACGTGAGTCGTCTTTCTCGCTTCAACATTAACCTAAAAGGTCAGTTCTGAGTGTTAGAAGTCGCATAAATATATGTATTTAAGGTTTAAAGTGCAGTATTAGAGTAAAAACGTCGTGGGAGATGCAGAGAGGAGGACTGGTTATTGTGACAGCAGCTCCCTGCAGCCTGCACTGCTACTATCAGCTGGTTGCTAGTTAGCATTAGCTCCCTGTCTCAGTGTTTAGTTTCATTCTGGGACAAGTTCGAGCCCAAAACTTACCGAGTGCCTTGATTGAGGAAACATCATGTCAGCAGAGAGTTTCGCCGTGTTCCCTCGGTCGGATCGAAATACCAGGCTAGCTGGCTAAGCTAACAGGTCCCCAGATATTATTATTATTATATGATTGGAGACGCTGCTGTTCGCACTTTGTACTCTGTCATCGTTTAAAATAACGTTAGCTAACGTCAGAGCAGCACGAGCCCAAGATCGTCTTCTGCTCTCAACGGTCGGAGAAACCCCCCGAGGATGAAGAGGCTTTAATAAGCACAACACGATCTTCAAAAGAACATCAGGGTTTTTTTTTCCTCTCTTTTTTCAGATTAACGTTAACGTCCCACCTCCCCGGAGAAACCCTGGATGTTGACACATGAGCCCCTGACTTTCCTCTGCTTTGAAGAGAAGAGCAGCATCACCCGGAACACAAACCGAGCAGTGGAGGAGCGGGCGCCCCGTGTGACACACCGCTGAACTGACCCACTCATCCAAGCAGCAGGGCCGGACACAGCAGGGCCGGGGGGCCGGGGCTGGAGCTACAAATGGGAACCTATGAATGAAAGATAGCTCGGTAATATTATGAAACAATAGAAACTCAGAACTCAGAAGGGGTTTTATTGCCATTGTCAATGAACAGGATTCACAGACAAGGAATTTGTTTTGGCATGATGGTGCAACAATAAACAGAGAGTAATATAAAATACTAGAATAAAAACTAATAAGAGCATGCAAGAAATATATAAAGTATAAAAGTATAAAAATATAAAAGGTTATGTACAATGCTATGTGCAATAAGTATAAAAGGCTATGTACAACTGTACAATCCAGAACAACAGTGCAGTGGGACGAGTGCAATTAAAAATCCAGTGACGGAGTTAAAGTGACTGAGTTATAAAGTGTTCAGAAACTGTTCTTATGGCAGGAGGTTCTGGTCCGAATGGACCGTAGCCTCCTGCCCGAGGGGAGTGTCTCAAATAGTCCATGTGCAGGGTGAGAAGGGTCAGCTGTGATCCAACCTGCTCAGCCCCCAGTCCTGAAGACGTACAGGTCATGAAGGGATGGAAGGCTACAGCCGATCACCTTCTCAGCAGAGCCCACAATGCGCTGCAGTCTGTGTCTGTCCCTGGCAGTGGTCCTGGCGTGTTTAGAGACTAAACACAACTCGCCAACTCTCTTCCAGCAGCCGCTTATTTGTAGCGAGACCTCAGGCCAGTCCATTACCGACTTGAGTGGGGTGACACAGCTAGTCGGTAATGAAGCACAGCTCTTCTGCCTCCGTGTCTCATCTGATTGCATTTCCATGAGGTAATATTCATAAATGTTCTTCCTTGAGTTGCGTCACAAATTATCCGTAATGGACTGGCCTGAGGTCTCGCTACTAATAAGCAGCTGCTGGAGGAGAGTAGGTGAGTTGTGGCTTTTTGGTTGAGGTTTGTTTATGGCTCCTCAGACCGCTGTGTACTGCTATCCTACTGTCGTTACTAAAGTTTGTATAACTAGAGAAGCAAGCTGTCAGCAACCTTCACCTCTCGAGGGGGTGTCTAACTCGGTGTTACGGTGTGTTTTTACCCTAAATTAATTTTACACCAGAATATCCCTTTAAGTTTAACTGTTCATGTCTGAGTACGACCTCAAGATTTGCCTGAATATTAACATATACAATACAGTACAACTCGTGTCACAGCAGCTCCCTTTACAACATAGGTGACAAAATACAATAACAGACATTTCAAACAACTATCAGACTTCAATGTACTTTTTAATGTAGGATTCAACTCCAACTCTGCCTTTGAACACACAACCTGACCGAAATAACACAGATGAAACCACATTAAATTAAATATCTAGTAAATAGACACACATGATGAAGTTAACAAGATATGTAACTCGTCTCCCTCATTTTCTTTCTTCCTCTTCCTCTTATTTCTCCCGCAGCTCGACCTGGACATGTCTCTGTGTCTTCTCCCCGTCCTGCTGCAGCTGAACAGATGATGTTTCAGTGATCAGATGAGTTATTTACTTTAAGCCTACATACAAATATTATGATATTCAGTTGCGTGAGCCAAATTTATTTTATATGCCAACATCTGTGAAAGAAAGAGCCAGGCCATGGAGCATGATGCGTCCTTTACGCACAGATGTTTCCGATTTTATGCCATTATTGGAGTTTATGTTGTGATCTGTGTGCACAACCCACCTTTGTCACGTGAGGTCTGAATATATGCAACTTTATGTGAGTGTCTTTATTTGTGGAAAAGGGTGTTTGTCTTACCAGTTGGTCCAACCTTACACACACCAAATCCATCTGTGCTTATATGAGACAGTGCGGAGCGCGCCCTCTGCAGCGCTTACAGCGACACTCGTTGAGGGGCTGCCTTCTGTCACCATCGTGTGGCATTGCCGTCTTCAGACATCTCTTGATCTCTTCGACTACTTCACGAAAATTATAATACAGGTCTTGGCTGTGTTACCTGACTTACGTCGCGCCTACGCCACGCTGCCGGCGAGAAACAAAAATAGAGCCCCAGATCTTCACCTTCATGCCAATCACTTAGAAATGATGAAACCCACTCAACACACACACACACCATGAGCAAGTATAGGAACAAATTTATTTCAATTTAAAACAGATACCTTGTCATTATGTTTCTCTCTTAGAAGGCGGCAATGATCATAAGTCATGTTCATGTTTGAATGAGGATCAGGCAACAGTGGTTGAAACAAATACATGAAACACATAAAAAAATATGGCAAGAGTTATGTAAATCAATAATCGATAATAACCAACTGATCGAAACCCCCTACATCGAGGGCTCTGCTTCAATGAAAACATCAAAGCCCTCACTTCCAACACAAAATAAACAGCACATGCAATTATAATTACAGTTTCTTAAAAAACAGCAGATTATCTTTTAAATCTTCAATCTTAAATACAGAATAAAGTCTTTGTGTGAACTTACTCGTCTATCCTTTTAGTCTCCGGTGTGTTTTACTTAAAAAGTGGGAGGAGGGGGGGGGGGACCATCTCAGGTGGTGGTCCTGTGATGATGACCACAGCGTTGGCACTTAAGAGAGAGAGAGAGAGAGCCTGGCTCTAGAGAGAGTGGGGTTGGCACACTCAATATAATACATAATTTACATTTGGTTTACATACAAAAGAAAGAAAAAGAGAGAGAAAAAAAACAGCATTTATACACCACTACACAATTGACCTTCAGGTTTCATTGGAGTGAGGAAAATAAATCAAGTGGTCCTATAAAAAACAAAAGAAAAGAAAAAAAAAACAGTGTTCTGGTAATGTTATCAAAGAGGAAATGAAAAAAAAAACACAAAAAAGGGGGAAAGATTTAAGTTTTGAATATGCAACAACTCCCCGCTGATGCCAGAGAGATAAGTTTGATTCCACTTATTCAATCTACAAGCCCACAGGAAGTGACATCACACGACTACGGCCACCAAAAAGGCCACAGAGCAAGCTCGAAGACCTTCATAACCGGCCAGCAACACCATTGCTTTCTATTCAAGGCATTGAAAGGCAATAAATAAGTGTGTTAGTGAAATACCAATCCCCATCCCAATGCACTCTTCGTCGCTGGAAACGGCCACAAAGTACGTTCACACGGTCTGCCTCAACTCTCTTGAGATTTATAGTGTCCAAAAAATAATAATAAGCGTGCAAATAAGAGTGTCGTAGTGAAAAACGAATCCAGTCTCTCTTCACTGGTCATTGTTAAAAATCGGTCATGAGTTTCAGAGTCTGCCTCCAACTCATGTTTTAGTGTCGAGATAAAATGCGTCAAACTCAAACACACTGTGCAACACCGGGGCTGCTAACACACTACCAAACCCAAACTAACAGCCAGTCAGCCCTTTACCATGTGCCAGAGTTGTAGTGTCAAGTCTACTAATACGACATGGTTTGTAACCACTTAGTGAGCTGCACTCAACACACAGTAACAACACTGCTCGTTAATACTTGGGTACTCACACCGGTTCCACTTTCAAACTAGCATCCAGGTCCTCTAACGGTTGGCTGTCTGCTTTTTTATTTAAGGTTAGTGTCATTTCCTGCAGACAAAAATGGCAGTTATGGCCAAAATCAATATTTTAGCCCCATTAACTTTGATAGTGTTACCATTTTCAAATGATTACTTGGGTAGTGTTGGCAGCCTGTTTATTGGTGTTGATATCAACTATGTACAAGTATGACATCTCTGATCCACATTAAAGCTTCTTCGCAAGTGTTATGGTTGAATTAAACTTATTTGACAAGGCCAAAGCTGATCTTATCTAATCCAAGTCATACAGAAAATAAACATTTTTACACTGCCCTCGACATAATATTGGTAAACCTTTTAAGTTTGATTCAATAATTTCAGAGTGCAATCCCAGGAACTGCTCTGAAAGGAGAATTTTGAAGCAACCTGACTGATAGTTGTGTCTATAAAATTAAAAAAATTACCTCATACAATCAGATTGAATTTGCAGCAAGTTATATGTCAGATTTTACTTGGATAGTGGAAACTAACAGCTGCCACAGAGAAGTGATAAATTAGGAAAATGGTTAAAAAGTTAATGGGTTAAAATATTCAAAACTACGAGCGAGCGCGGTCTTTACTTGGCTTTCGGCTGGACTTCAAATACTAAGGAAAACGTGCAATACTTGTCCTGGTAGTAGTGTTTGTTTTACGTGAAGTGTTTTTAAATATACTGAATGAGGTACTACAGGGTACACTCTGATACCCACAAAAGCTGGGGAGGCCTGAGAGCCAGACACTGGGTACATTAAATTCACCAAAGGGCCAGATACTTATAGAAACACAGAAAGAAAACTGCTTAGTGTCGGTAAACTCTCTATACACACACACCTTATGTTTACATGAACACCCTGCCTATACTTGTTATAGCACATACTGCAAGTAATCTCCATTTATGAACAAGGATAAGTAGTGGATGACTTGGTTCACTGTGGTCCTGTACTCCACTCCCCGCTGTCTGATGCCTGATGCACTGTGATAGCCCTTAATGACGATGAAGGATAAGTCACTGTAGAAAAGGTCAAAGACCAAAAAAGTATATCTGCACTTCACTGGCACTATCAAAGCAAGCTTCAGAAAACTGGAAATTAACAATGCAGAGAAAAAAAACGGCAACAGAATTTCTGTGTTAAATTACAAATAGCAAGCATGGACCCCCATGGGTCTTCAATCACTGATAAAAAAAGTCCACCTACGTTCGTAATGTACATTTTTCTAGGTATGCGTTACAGCGCTGCGTCTATTAACCAAGAGGAAATACAAGGTCTTTTTTAATCAAATGAAAAAAAAAAAATCAAACAGAACAAATGTGAGGGCTCCTAAAGAAAAAACCAAACAGTATTATCATGGATGGAGATGTGATGGCGAAGTACAACTGGAAATGTCTCAATAAGAAATAGAAAGCAGAGATAAAAGTCCTTACTATACCAGACATTCGTTATTTTTTTTACAGCAGTTCAGACTCAAGTACGCTCCGCCATGAGAAAAGGAGCACTTCAACATGACAGAATCAAAAGCAGTCAAATTATCAACACCTTCAAACCTGGTCCATAAATTAGATAAATAAAAAAATCTTTAATTACTCTTAAAATCATCTTGTCACCATACTGTGAAGATTTTTACCAGCCCTAGTTAGTATACTCAGGAGCCAGAGCTGTTGCAGTAGTGTGGAGTCGAGAGGCCGGTTGGGAGGAACCTCTTTTCTCGGACTTTTGCGTTTTTTTACTTATCGTTTCCCCGACACCACTCAGCTCTGCGCCATCCTATTAATCAAGTGAACAAAATCCATAATCACAGTATCACTACTACCATAAATTCATAGGAAAAACTGTATGCTAATGAAAGAAGTTGATTTTTTTTTGAAGATTTTTTTCGTTTGTTTGTTTTTTGCCAAAGATGGTGTACCACAGAGCGTTTTTGTACAGGAGTGTTTTGTGTATATGTATTTACAAACAAATATACACAAACGTTTGCAGACTTCAGAGTGCGCTTTCAGTGAAAGGTTCTTAGCCCCGCCCACCCCTCCCTCTCACCACTCAACAGCAAGCAATCTCTATATAAACAAAGTGACTATACAGTAAAAAAAAAGTAAACAGAAGCACATCCTGATGTGATGTCGCCATCAGGAAGTGTGTCTGATTGGACGGCTGGGTGACGCAGGTGTGACGTTATAGCAGGGATGGTTACCGCGTGGATTCCGCTCACATCGCAGGATGTGTGGGTGTGTTTAATTTACAGCTTTTACTTTGTTGAAAGAAGCTACTCGCAGCCTGAGCTGCAGATGTGCTCTGCAGTGCTGTTAAACACTGATGGCATCACACACGCCACCCCCCCCTCCACATCTGATTCCACCAATCGGAGTCGAGCCAGGAGCTCTTCTCCTCTGTCGGAGGAGGCCGGGGTGTGTTGGTGGAGCCAGATGCTGTCCCTGTGAATCCATACAGAAAACACATGGAGGAGGGAAGCCGTGTGATCGACGGAAAAACACTGAAGTCCCACAAAAAGTCGTTAAAGGATACTTATGTCAAGTAAGTTTTCTTCTTTTCAGACGCCTTTGTTTGTCAAAGTTTTAAAAGTTTTTATAGATTTCTCACCGCTTCTTATCACCGCTCCTGTTACCCATTATTTGTTAAATAGAAGTAGACGTAGCAACAAATTTCTATCGTTAAAAACATTTAAAAAATCTCAGCAATTAACAGATTTTGATTAGCTATGTCTTGCCCTCTCGTGCTTTTTGTCTTAAGTGTGTTTACATATGCAGTTACTTCATAATATATATTTGATTTTTTGCGATTGCGATGCTCACACTGGTGGGTACATTCATAGATGCAAGGTAGAGACAGAATCCTCGGCCCCGCCGCCCCCCTTGTGTCCAGTGTGCGACCTCACTTCCTGTCACTGAGTCCTTTTTGAAGCGTGATGCCACTCGCTGGTCCACAGTTGGCTTCAGGAGGTACGAAATCCACATCCTTCCACACGGACGACGACGCTGAGGGTCAACTCCAGAGGGGCCACAGGGGGGTTTGATGCCACAAGTCACCAAAACGCAGCTCCTTGCCAGTCAATGCTGCCCCGAACACACACATACATACACACACACACACACGCACGCACACATACACACAAACACCAAAGTCCCCTTAAGTCACCATACAGCCCGTGTGAAAGGTTTGTGTGCCAGATGAAATGTGCCAGAGCCAGCGGCAGCCGGAGCCAAATCTGACTGACGGAGCAGCTTTGGGGGGGAGCGAGGACTCTGACACAACAAGCTGCCGAGCGAAGGAGGAAGAGGGCGAGCTTTGGTGAAAGATGAGGGGCGGCGTTTGCGGGTGGGAGGGGTTGGTGAATGTAGTGTACAGAGAGAGGGGAAGAGGGAGAAGGAGGGGCTCCGTCGGGAGGTGTGTGTGTGTGCGTGTGTGTGTGTTTGTGTGTGTGTGAGCCGTCATGGTGTGCTGTGTAATGCATGTGGAGTTGAGCGCACACTCCTAGAGGAGGTGGGCATTTGTGCAATGGGGGGAGGAGACGTGCGTCGTACGTGAGCCCTCACACCAGGTTGTATTCTTTGAGGTTGAGCTGTAGGATGGTGTCTTTGACAGCTGCAAACACAAAGCGGATGTTCTCAGTGTCTGTGGCACAAGTGAAGTGAGAGTAGATGATCTTGTCGCTATCGGGGTTTAAGTCCACAAACATCTTGAGGATGAACTCCCGCGCTGCCTGTGCATCTCTCTGAGGACCTGAAACACACACACAGTTGATCTGGTCATAAAAAAAAAATGTCTGAAGATATGGAGTCGACAAAGATGATGAGAGTCGAGTCTGTGCTGTCAGTATGGAGCTTCATTTGTACTCATACCCGTGTTCTTTTGCTCCAAAACCTTCAAAAAAGGTTTCTTAAAGGTACAGTGCTTACTTTAATCTAAACTTTGATCAAAAACAGGAGGAAATCACATCTGGACTAGAGGATGACATTTTTCAGGAATTCCCGTGGGTCACATGATTCCCGCGGGAATCCCACGGGATGGGAGTCATTTTTCAATTAATCCCGTGATCAGGACGGGACAGGAAAAAAAGCAACGGGAGCGGGAACAGATGATCTTTATCAGCCGTGTTTAACAACCAGATGAACAGATGCGTCCATTTTTGTAGTCCTCTCTCAGTGAGAGCCAACACTCTTGACCGCACTAGCAACATAAAAGAACTACAACAGTTGTTTGACTTCCTGTCACCAACGGAAGTGAAAAGCGACTCGGAGCGACTGCCGGTGTCGCCGGGAGCGACTGCCGCTCTGACTCCGCTGCCACTTTTACCTAAAATAAAAAAATACGTTTTTTCAACATGTTTGGTTTTATTCAAACGGGAGCGGGATGGGAGTGGGAGTTATTCTACGGGACTGGGACAGGACAGGATTAATTTTTTTTTACTTCGGTCCAGGATTGGGACGGGATGGGATTTTTTTTCTCTGGGAGTGGTACGGGACAGGAGTGAAAATCCGCTCCCGTGTCATGCTCTAATCGGAACATCTCAGATCGAACTTCAACCAATTTTCAAACTTACTTAAATACAATTACCGTATTTTTCGGACTATAAGGCGCACTTAAAATCCTTAAATTTTCTCAGACTAACAGGCCCAAGTTCGGTCATTGTTGGAGGATGTGTGGCAATATATCTGCTGGACATTTCCACATTTTTTGGGAGTGTCCTGCACTTTCACCATTCTGGGGAAATCACTCCAATCCTAGGTTGAGATAAAGAGCGCTCTTTCAGTCTTATTTACTTGGGGAATTTACCAAGAACCACGAGAAAACCAGACAGGTACTTGGTCTGGTTGCAAAAAAGCAACAACCTAAAAAAATGGCTCAGGAAGGACCCACCATCTATTTGGGAATGGACAGAGATCATAGAGGAGATTTATATTAGGGAGCGTTAGACATTTTCACTGAGATATGCAAGTTTGAGAGATATCGGGAACCCTGGAAATCTCATACAAATTTAACAAACTGAAAATGCTTGTCTTACTCTGTACAGATGTCACATTCTTCAATTTGTGTTGGATATGATGTATAAATGAATGTGTCCCCAAATAATCGTTAGGTGCAGCCCTAATGGACACGCTTGATGTGCTCACCATCAAACTCTGGGAAGTAGTCCACCAGGTGAGAGTAGGAGATCTTCTCCTCTAGCAGGTCCTTCTTGTTCAGGAAGAGGATGACCGAGGAGTTTTGGAACCAGGGGTAGGTGATGATAGTCCTGAACAGAGCTTTACTCTCCTCCATGCGGTTCTGGTGCAGAGAGAGTGTGGAGAGCACCGAGTGTGAGAGGAGTCATCATCTAAAGCTTAACCAGTACATCTGTTTTCACCTCCACCTACCTCGTTGTCTGACTCTACCAGGACCTGGTCGTACTCGCTCAGTGCCACCAGGAACATGATGGAGGTGACATTCTCGAAGCAGTGGATCCACTTCCTCCTTTCTGACCTCTGACCTCCTACATCCACCATTCTGATGGCAGGATGAAGGGGACGAGGAAGGAGCCGAGAGACGGGAGAGGAAAAAACATGAGTACATCCGTCTGGTTCAGTGATTTATTCTGTTTACAAACATTTTCTATACCCATAACTGTTTGAAGGCCTTATTTAGAAGGTTTTGAATCCAACAAGATTCCTCTATCGGTGGGAAACTCTACATAAAAAATGGTGTTCAGTATAGTGAGTGAGAATCAGGAGGAGCTGAAATGCAAGGCGTCTTATCATCACATGACTCAAATCAAGATAGAGGCTCTGATCGAGTGGATAACAGGAGGCCACTCATGCGTTATACAGCATTTATATAACTCATCTTTAAGGAAGAAAAAAAAGAGAAAACACCTGCTGGATTCAACACCTTCAGAAATACTTGCCTTAAAGTTTGAAGTTTTTCCAAAAGGAAACATGCTGAAGTTTATCTAATCGACAGGAATCTGAAGTGCAGTGTGAACACCCCGATGTCCTTGCAAGTAAAAGTGAGTCATGCATGCCACCACATATCCAAAGCTTCCCCGTCAAAGACAGATCTAGGACCAGCTGTCTTAAAAAAATGCCACTCAGTTTAGGATTTCTGCTTTTTGACGAATTAGAGCTGCGAATGATCGAAACCCTTAAACAGAGCGTCATTCTTTAAGAGGGGGAAACGTCCCGTCTGATGCTAGATCGGTCTGTTCTTTTGTTTGAGATACAGTGAAAGTGGAGGACCATCACGCCTTCGTTTCTACACTGGGCAGCTTTTCTAACCCTCCTCAGTGTGTGTGTGTGATAAAGCACCCCACACAAACAACTGTGGATGAGTGCCGGAGAACAGGAATGAGTGAATGGGGGGGAGAACATGGAGACAGATGGGGGCTGTACGGGGGGCCGTTGTTGCACGAACAGAAGACACAGAGGGGATTACAGAGGACAGGAGGCTGAATGAAACAGAGGGCACCTCTGATGGGATCCTTCTCAGGGTCGGAGGACTCCTCGTACGTCGCTTGAGGAGGAGCTACAAGCTGAAGAAGTGTGACACGCATGTTTGTAAAAGCTAATCGAAACTTGGACTTGGAGCCGTGGCTGTGATTCCTCGCACTGTTTCAGCTTCTCCTTGACAAAGTCACCTTTCACTCATGAGGGAGTTCAGGTCCCAGTTTCATTAAGCCTTCATTTGTGAGGACCGGTCTGTTAAGATCCACTTAAGACCTTTTGAACTGAGTCCAGTTCGGCAGCTACACACCCGTCTGCGGGCGCTCGTTTTCACCTCTGGGCTCAAGGGGTGCGAGCTGTCAGACCAGGGTGTGACAGGGTCTACGCGAGAGCTGCACAAACTTCCTTCCTTCGGTTCACAAAGCAAGGCTGCCCTCTAGTGGTGGCCTGGTCTGCTGAGGTCCACAGAGACCCGGGGCCAATATAGGCCCTGCAGGACCTGCTGCCCAAAAATAACATTTCTCCACCGCGGAGAGGACGACCTCGTTTCTTCTGCCAGCCGGAGAGGAAAGGAGGAGAGGAGGAGGAAGAGAGGAGGTGACCCATTTACAGAGACCGGGCACCAGAATGTAGGACTTTGTATTTACTAGGGGGGTTGTGTTTTGTTTTGTGGTGGTCCTGTTGGTGGCAGGAGGTACAGGAAAGTGTGAGAACGGACTTTTATTTTGAGGATTTGAAGGTAGAATGAAATAAAGACACTTCAAAAAAGGAAGATAAAGTAAAAGTAGTGGGTTATAAAGGTTTTAAATTAACGTCGGGGGTCACTGAACATGGGTTATGTAGAAATTTGGGAGGAAAAAAAAAAACACATTAGATGACACATGGGTTAATGATGTCATAACAGAACAAGGAGGGACTGATCCACAACGAGAGGCATCTTTCTACCTGAAAATGATGCTCTGCAAGTCGAATGGATACTCTATGATTCCTGTAGTGGGGATGCGCACCCTGAGCACATCCTGCTGAGTGGGAAGATAGCTGGGATCTGCAATACGATCCAGATCGGAAAGATAACTACAGGCAGGATCGGTGGAGAGGGGGGAAAGAGAGATAAGGAGAGAGAAGACAGAAAAACAGTTATATAAAGCGTGACAGGCAATTACTGCAACCCTCCCTTGTACCATTCCAGGAAGTGTGGATGAGTCCTGTTGAGGAAGGCTTCACAGGGGGAAATAAAAAGCCACATCTCAGAAACAAAAGAGTGTTATAATGTCACTGGTCCACGCCGACACTGTCTATGAATCCAGCAGGGTGCTCTGACTTGACTCTTCTCAATCGCATTGATTCGCAGGTAAGTCAAGCGGTGTGGATTTTTCCATAGACAGTGAGGAGGAAACCAGTGACGGCAGCGGTAGTGACTTCAGCAGCACCAGGGCTCAGCGGAAGAAGGTTAGAGCGCGTGTGATGTCAAAGATACCAGGAAACACCATCCCTACTGTTTATTTACCGCTCTTTAATGAGGTTTTATACACTTTTGGACTTGTGATTCATTTGTGTTGCCCAGTCGCCTTTGCCGGTTGTGTAACGGCTTCCTGGAGAATCTCTGACATCACCGTCTAATCCGTTCTTCGTCTGGTGTTTGGTGGCTGCTCCCCACATGCTTCAAGTGCAGCATGTCTGGCCTCTAGGAGCCAGAACCTCAGCTCAACTCTGAACGAAAACCACTGACATCTTAAATCGAGTTCGCCCACGAGGCCCTGGAGGCGTTTTCGCTCAAACACGACCTTCTCGTGTGTGTGATTTTTCTTCATCTTTTAATTTGTGAGCGTCTTATTAAGAGTCGTCAGTGGTTTCCGTCCCTCTAACTATGGTGATGCTGCCGTCCTGGCACCATGGGGGGGTACCTGAAGATGACGTTCTCCAGGTCAAACGGGTACTCTATTATACCCGTGGTGGGAACACGGACCCTCAGCACATCCTGCTGGGTGGGAACGTATGTCTCTGCTGTCACGCGCTCTAAATCGGTAAGGTAACTGGAGATATACATTACAGCAGAGTGGATAATGCTGGAAGATACACAATCAACAGTCTTAATCATTCACACACATGCAAACACACACATACGACTTACAGCAGTATGGCATTGTAGTACAGCAATTTGACAACCAGGGGGCACTAGAAAGTGAGTCAAGCGCCTGTAGCTGTTAAGCCAGAGGGTTTACATAGAAGTACACTGTAATTGTGGCAAACACACAACCACAAAGTAGACTGATAACACACGTGAGTACAAGGTGTTTGTCTTTAAACTGCGGTTAGGAAGGTGCCTTGCTGCTGACAACCAGACATTAATAATAGAGATGTGCTCCACTCCTGGTGGTTATTTACATGTGTGAAAGAGAGGGGTGGTAAAGTAATGGGAGGTACAGACTTAAGCCGACCTTTTATCGTGTAATCTTTCTAATGTTGCGGTTTTTAATAGATAGAAGCACTTTAAACACAAAGCCCGGATAACAGCCACTATTCTGATCTCTGTTAGAGTTGGTTGAGAACGCATCCTTTCCCTTTAATGACTCACATTATCCCTCTTAAACATAGTCCACAATCAGAAGAGCGTTCCTTCATTCCTTCATCCTCTACCTGACGCTTCTAGATCCTCCGAGAGTTGTGAAACACGTGAGTCGATTTGGAAATTTTGTCTGCGGTCTCACGTGCCGTGCTGTTGCCCTGCCCCGGTAAACATTTCAAAACCGACCAGGTGATCTCGAACAGAATGTAAACGGAAGGTTACCGCAAAACACACATCCACACACACCCAAACGACTCTGAGAACTGTTCCCTGGAAGGCACATGAGCCTTAATGGAGCCGCGGCAAACACAACAGCATCCATGGAGGCAAACATCTCCTGAATAAAAGATCTTTAATGAAAACAGCGAGAGATTCGATGCAACCATCAGGGATCGGTCTATTTTTACCTCCCACACCAGAATATTGGGCATACCTAAACATAAATTACATAAGCGCACTCCCACATTGTGTCACAGCCAGTCACAAAAATACCTTTCTTCAATCCCAAACAGCCACCGCAGTGTATGACAACGCAAAGACGCAGGAACACAGAGGGACGTACTATTTAGTGGAGTCAGAGAGCTGGTACTCTCTGCGGCGGTCGTAGGCCTCCTGGATCCCGGGGTCGGCCCACAGGCTTTTGATAGCTACGACGTAGTGTTGGTCGAAGCCGTTGATCTTCTCAATGTCCACCTCCTTCACGAGCATGGCGTTGGACTGGAGAAAAAGAGGACAATAAAGGAGATAAAGAGGAGCAGGATAGGTATGAAGAGCAGTGATTGAGACGCAGAGGCAACCAGAAATAGACGCCAAGTACTTCTTCCAAAAATCTCAGCTGAAGAAATTGAAGATATGTGTCTGTTTGGACCCGGTGGCTGATCCTAACCACCCACATATTCTACTTATTCCAAAGATAATGTTTCAGCGAGACAAACTAAATGCATCGCTTCTGAACTGCTGATTTTTCCAAGGAGAAGTCGGGGTGGTAAACATGTCAGGAGGAGGAGTTGAAATGAAAGAAAAACGGAGTGAAAAAGCAGAAATCTCAAAGTTCATCTATATGAAAATGAAGAACTTGAGCCCTACCTGATTGGTTTTAGAAAAATGAGTCCTGAACCCTGAATGATAATTAATTTAGAGTCATTTTTCAGTCTTTGTTGGACTTTCATGTATCCATTTTCTATCTGCCTTATTATCGCAGATTTGAATGTGCGCTGAAAACAGCCAGCCTCAGCCTACATGCAACATAAAATACTTCCCATTCGCTTTGACCTCTAACGCCTGCAGGTCAAAACCTTTTTCACTTCTTTTTCAGTTCCTGGGACATTTGATCAAAATTAACCTCTGAATTCTTGAGTTATCGCCAAAAGTTCCTTTTCCTTTCAGACGTCAAACTGACCTCAACCTCTGACCACAAAATCAATCAACATAACTTTGTGCCTGGTTTGATAATATTGCCTGCGTATGAAAGAGGATTAGGGCCACATGGGGAGAAAAAAAATAATTACAGGAAGGAGATTAAAGTCAGAATGTCGAGATTAGATTTAAAATTTCGCGAATAGTCAAAATTATGTCGATAAAGTCGAAATTTAGAGATTACAAAATGTCGAACTGCCGTGAATAATGTTGACATCGGGATTTAAGTCAAAATTTCGACCATGTTCACGTAATTTCAATTCTTCATCTTAATTTTTTTAAATTTACGACTTTAATCTAAAAATTTCGACTTTAATCTCGAAACGGAAATGACAAAAATCTCCCTCCTGTAATTATTTTTTCTCTTCTTGTGGCCCTAATCCTCTTTCATACCTGCGGGCCTTCATGAGAATCTTATGTATGTAAGGATAATTACAGCGGTAGGTCACTTCTGTAACCTTCTTCTTATATGATTACAGAGTATTACTCCAGGAAGTTAATGGTGCAAAAAGTTGGTGTTGCTGGATTAAATCTGATTTAGAAAGTCACAAAAATCCTATGATCTTGCTATGAGGCTAATCTGTTTGCTATTTTGATTGATGTTAATCCGTAATGTAGACCAATAATTCTGGAAACGGGTGTTGGAGCGTACTGCTGGGTTTCTGTCCTACTGAGCAGCGGACTACATTCACCTTGTATCCCAGGTGTAAATCAGTCCTCATTAAGAGGTTCACAATAAAAGAGCAGCAGGGCTCTGAGGACTGGAATTGAGAACCACTGAAGCAGACAATAATAGACTATAATTATGTAGTTGTATTGTGCTCACACCAACTGTAACTAGTTCACGTTCAGCCATTCAACGTATTAAAGGATGCAAATATTTAAACAGTGCATGTAAAGAGCGCAGCTGTATTTAGTCACAAACACCGGCCGGCAGAGCTTCCACAGCTCTCTCCTTACCCGGTTCTGTTCAAATTTGTAGGGGATCTTGAGGGTCTCAGTGGCACGGATCATGGACTGCATGGAGGTGAAGATGTTTTGGTAAACAAGTCGGATGAAGCCCCTCTTGTCTTCGTCTGAGTACCCGGCTCCGTGAATGATCCTCATCTGCTTGATGAAGGTGCTTTTGCCACTTTCTCCCGTACCTGAATGGGACACAGAGGCGCAGAGTTCAAGTTAGAGAGATATCAACAATAGTAGAAACAAAGAATAAGACACTGGAGTCTGCAACGAATGTCATCTATACAGCGCAATAATACCACCATCAATATGGGAACAAGAGGATGAGAGGGGAGTACGGGTGCAATGGATGACCCGAGTTTGGACCAGATCACTCTTGGACCGGCCAAAAGAAGGTTATTTGTTACGTAACTTTTCTATTCCTAACTTGGCCATGACTGGAACTGTTCATTTTAGGGCACAATGAATCACAGCGCACCTCCATGCATCTCAGCTTTTACAGCACACACTCAGATAAATCAAACTCTTTAATTTTTAACACTTTTCTACATTACAAACTCAAAATGAATCCTGTTGATTGTAATTCAGCTGTGATCTTCTTGCTCTGAGCCTCCACAGCCTGCACACCTTTCCTTTGATGGATGCATAGGCATCTTTGTTCCAGCTGGTCCTGCTGCACACGTTACGTGAGTAAATGCTAAAAGGTAAATGGGCTCGTACTTATAAAGTGCTTCTCTAGTCTTTGCGACCACTCAAAGTGCTTTCACACTGCTCATCAGCATTCGCCTGTTCACACCGCGTTCACACACTGATGGCAGAGGATGCTGCTGTACTGCTCAATCAGTATTTATCCTGTTCTCACTGCTGACTGTAGCACTGGCTGTGATTTGGGGTTCAGTGTCTTGCCCAAGGACTCTACCACCAAACCCTGATTGCTCCGTAAGAGTCAGTACAGTTATGTGTTATAAAAAAAAACCCGAAAAGATTGATTGCCTTAGTTCGACTGAATCTGGACTTTAAAATATGATGTAAACTAGAGGTGGGTGAAAAAAAATTGATACAGCAAAGTATCGCAATATTTTTCGTATTGTCTCATTTAGGATTTATCCGCGAGATTAAATCAGCCAGTTTTGGCCCGTTTGAGACTAATTGGTAATCGGCCAATACCTCGCTGATTTCCGCCGATATTTTCAGAAATAAAATGCGGAGAATGAGATTTGGTTTCACTTCGAAAATGTTCCGCCATTTGAAAAGTTCCCCGACTTATCCTGTAGATGGCGCAGCGACCTCATGACAATCTTTATCCACTAACTGTGGGTGACGGATCTGAAGCAGACAGCTCAGGGATGCACGGAGGAGTAATCCGCCTCAACGGTAAATAAACCAGCTTGTGAAATACACAATAAGTCAACAAGTTTCAGTTTAACCCACTTCACCATGTTCCCCGCTGTGCTGGTCTCGGTCACGCCAAGTTAACGGTGAAGCACCGTGTAATATGCAAGCTAAAGTTAGAGCTAGCCACCTGCTATTAGCCTTGCTACATTGTTAGCCATGCCAGTAACGGTAGAATAAACAACAGTACACATTACGTGATCAAGCTACTTCTCTCACTGAGGCAGTTGCACGTGTAACGTGAGTTAAGACACGGCGGCACTGATTGGCGCAGGGGGTGGTTGAAAACGCTTTTCTGGTCCAAGTTTGATCAGTCAGTCTTCCTGTCGGTGTGAAAAGCAGTAGCCTACAGTATATATATATTTTTTAGAACTTCATAAAAAAAAATTAAAAATCAGCTGATTAATCGGTAATCGGAACGCAGCATGAGTACAACAAATATAAGGTTTACAAGATGTGCTACCTGCAAATAAAATAAAGTGTTAATAAGACAAACATAAAGGAAAGACAAATGCTGGATTAGCTAAACAGTTGAAAAAGTTGTATAAACTGCAATGTATTGTATCACAATACTTACTGTATTGTACATTGTCGCAAAATCACAATAATATTGTATCGTGGCCCAAGTATCGTGATAATATCGTATCGTGGGGCCACTGGTGATTCCCACCCCTAATGTAAACACTGATTGAAACAGCACAACATCAAACTTCTCATAGTCAGACTAACAAACGGGAATAATGCAGTTAGGAGTCGTGGTTTTATGCCGGTTCAACTAGACACAGCCTTCATACAACTCCACGTTCCAGACCAAATACTGAATCACAGAATAAGTTCAGAGTTCAGATGATATGCTACAGTCCGAACAAGCACCTTTGCAGCAAGAAGAAACTTCTCTACAGCTCTTTCACATATTTCATTTAAACCATTCAGAGGGACACACATCTTTAGGTTTTCTTCTTATATCAAGTTTTATAGTGCACTGCGTGTTGCTCTAATCCCATTTATACCTCTGGACTATTCAATGCAGCTAATCACTGGATGGACAGTGTCATGGTAAAAGTGCATTTTTATTATTTCAAACCACTACTGACTTAGCACCAAGATTTTATGATGCAATCTCCTAGTGGGCACCGGTCCCCTGTCCTCTCCAATTAGTGGATAACTTCTTTTGAAACGGGGGCTCCTCATCTGTGCCAAGACCATGACATGGAGCCAAAATCTGTGACGCTCCACCACAGACTAAAGAGGACTCAAACTTTCCAAGAACATGCACCCGTCTGCTTTGGTGAACCTGACATTTAATTAGAAGTTTCTGTTCGTTAATTAAAAAGGCAAAATTACGCCAAAGTCATGGTCTGACACATCCCTCAAAAATCCATTAACATGGATGCTCATGTAAGTCCGTTTTATTGGATTACGGAGCTCTTCTGCTGGAATTACAAGTTTTATCAACTCAACTGGTTACCAATAGTAGTATGTCAAACGCTTCTTTGTCTGCTGCAGGTTGTTATCTCACAGTTTCGAAGGCGAGGGAATCAAAAATGTTTCCAGGGAAAAGAGGAGAGATGAGTGGAAGGAGGAGGAGGGGGGTGCTAATTTAATGAAGATGATTAAGAGAACTTGTCCTACATTCAGGATCTCACAGTGAACTGCCTCAGCTGAAAGGTGACGGCAGGGGTCGTTGTCAAAAAGGCTGCATTCCTTCAGTGATCCTCCTCTGCCCTCCTGAGTCCATATCTGGCTGTAAGATCATCGCAATATTTCAAGCGATGGCAGCTTTCCAGATTTACACATATGGTAAGGAACACCAGGAAAAGGCTCTGGATTATAGGTGCACACTTTGGAACACTTTTTCTGCTTCTTTTCACGAGTAGCTGCTTGATTTGAGTGGAAAAATCACAGTCTCCGCACACAGGGTAAAAACACACGTCTTAAGCTCTCTCTCAAGACCGAAAACCCACTGCCAAATCAACTCTCATTTGCTGGAGGGTTTGGGGAGGGGGGTCTGGTGGGTCTAACCCACATTTCATACTATGGTCTACATGCCCAGAAACACCACCCTCAGGCCTGAAAAAAAAAATAAAAAATAAAAAAAAAAGAGAGAGAGAGAGAAAGGCTGATGGCATTTCAGTCCTCGGTGAAATCAAAAAGGATCCAGCACATCCATAATATCTGCAAAACTGAAAGGGAAAGACGAGGAGGAAAAAAAAAAACACACACATACACTCATCTCACCACCACCTACATTCAAGGTTTTTGAAGAGCAGCCATATTTCTGTCACCATAGCAACCCCTCCTCTGTCTCCCTCTCTTTTTTTTTCCGTTCCTGTGTTTTTTTCCTTTTTTTTTCTTTTTTTATACCCCTCCCTTCCGCCCTTTCTCTCTCCTCTTCTCTCTTTCGTAGCAGACAGTAAATATAACTGCGAGTCCCTCAGGCTCGCTCTGTGATCTTCATCTTTTTGGCGTACCACAGAGAAAGAAGGGTCTTGGCTCCACAGAGTCTTGGGTGATGAGGAGGGGTGAGAAAAAAAAAAAAAAAAAAAAAAAAGCCAGTCTTAGGTTAGTGGAGGGGGAAAGCAGGAATTAAGGTGTTACTCTTAAAATGACAAAAAGAGGGTTTCAGCCTCACACGTCTATCTTCTCCTGCAACTAAATACCTCATTTAGGGAAATGTAAAGAGCGTCTTTATAGTTTAGCAAAAAACTGCATTTGCGAAAGGAACAAAAGAAGTCAAACAGAGAGCATATTCTTTGTGGAGGGCTTCAGCAGCCTCAGCAGCAGCAGCAAAAGGAGAAAGAGAATCACTCTCCAGCTTGATGTCTGATTTATTTCTCGTGACCCCCGTCACAAGATCTCCCTCTGCTGTGTTCTCTTAACTGTCTTGTCCCTCTTACCCCAGACAGCACACTACGAGCCTCTGTCTTCCCCTTCTTCCTCCTCAGATTGTACCAGCACCATTCATAACCGTGTGCGAGCCCCCACCCCCACCCCCACCACAAATACGCCCTCTCTCGCTCCCCTCCTTCCCCTTCGTCACAACCCCTCCTAACTTCCCTCAGGCTGGAAATATGCCTCTCCATTCTCATCCCTCTCTGTCAAGAATTTTGGATATTCATAACTAGAATCCATCCATTCTTTTTTGGTAATGACCTAGAAAAAGGAGGCCACCTTTTAATAGCTCGCACGCTACTTGGGTTTGATAACGCTTTCCGTTCCAGGTAGCAACGAGCATGAGAGAGAAAGAAAGAAAGAAAGACACGGGAGCTTAGATTGTGCCCCAAATGTAACAGTCCGAGGCACACTACGCAGCCCACACGCCGACATGCTGCTCTTCTGTGGAGCCAATGTGTTTCTTGGAACGGTCTCAATCGGGGGTAACCTGACAACAATGAGGAGAGCATTAAAAACTCGTTCCAAGTGGCCAAATTAAGAAGTGAAATGAAAATAGTAACGCCTATCCGTCGTGCACGCATGCCAAACGCTTCACCTGTGTGCTTCGTTGCCAAGCTAGCTTTCATAAGCCTTTACATAACGTGAGTGAAATCAGCCCCTGACACAGCAACACCTGACGGACTTTGTGAAGCAGTTTTGGCGGAGCCTGGGTCGTCACTTTATCAGGTTATGCTCACGTGTGTGTGGAGGGCCTGCCTGTCTGTCTGCTCGTATCCTCTGATGTAAGCACTAGCAGAAAAAGGACCACCTTATATGCAAGCTAACCTTCGCCCCACTGTCCAATGCCTGGTGCAGCTTTCTATGAACGAGACGTGAGGACACTAGCATGGTAACCCACATGCAAAAACACACATAAAGTTATTAAGTGATTAGTGGTCAGCTTATCTAGAGTTATGAGCCGTCTTTTCAGGAAGTGCACGGCAATCCGATCGCAGCAAACAAGAGGACATTTGCATCAAACAAAGAAGTGGTTGGACTCAAAACCTCACCACTGGCACAACCGGCAACGCTGAAAAGATACTGTATGTATCAGGCAGTCACAAGGACTGAGTGAAATGTAGCGTGGTCCTCAATCTTGTACTGAATTCATCTTGGAAAGTGGCCTCTTTTAACACGCACAAAAGGAAGAGATTGAGCCAAGGCAGCCTGGAGCTACACAACACACACACCAGCTGCCTAACCGACTGAGGACTCAAACAGATCCTGTGGTCAACCTTCAGGCATGGATGTTACCTTTTCTGTGGCGGCTCATTTTCTTCTCTTTTTTATGCTTCAACCTGGCTATGTAAGACAGGATCACACACAATCACAAAGACAGCGGAAAGATGTCTCTTTCAGCGCTGGTGCAGATTTCCAGCATGTATTTCTGCTGTCAGGATCTGGGCACAGCGAGCACTGCTGCTTTGTGCTGATGTCTCTCTGCATCTGCGGAGTGCTGCACGTGCGTGGGAGTCAGCGCTGTAAACCGAAAAAAGACACACCGCGGCGTGCACTGCACATTGCATAGACACACTCGCAAAAACCTTCATCTGACCACCTTAGGACGGTTTTGTCTGTTCACCAGCGAGTGTGCGCTGAGTGCTGTACTGGTCGAGTGGGTGTGGGTGAGCGAAAACGAAAAATCAAATGCAGGCTTTACAAAAAGGTTTTAGTCTGCAACACACACACTTATACACACTTGCACACACATACAGAGTATTCAGCAGCTAAGAACTAAAAACAGATAAATCCTAAGATGTTGACATTATTTCTTCAGCCATGGCTCGTATTTTAGGAAACCTCATCATGTGGATTGTGTGAGATAACATCTCTTTGTGTCCACACATGGGCAAAACCCCGTTATTAAAATCTCTGGTGCAGTGATTTTTAATTGTACCAACATAAGGGTTACACAAAATCACACTATAATTCACAACCGCACTGTGAATCCAACATCCTCGACAACAACAACAACAACAACAAAAAACGCTCATCTAGGCGCAGTCTGTGATTCTCAGTCCAACTCGAAATTGAAAGATGAAGTGGCGGAAGTTGAAACGGTACGATCACAGAGACGTGTGGGCTTTACTGTACACAGCAGCTGGTGGGAGTAAGCAGGAATGAACATGCCACCCTGTCAGCACAGAGCGAGCTGAAGATAACTGGCAGCGAACACAGAGGCGGGCCAGGTCCCCGGTCCTGTCTGGGGAGCGGGGCAGCGGCAGTAGCAGCAGTATGTGGGACAGTCAAACATCCAGCCTCATTCACCCCCGTATCCCCAGAGAAGCAGCCATGACCCCATTTAAAAACCTGTGTGTGTGTGTGTGTTCATCTGTGCAGAAACTGTGTAAAAGACACCATGTCGTAGAGGGAGACCAAGTGTGTGTGTGCGAGTGTGTGAGTGTGTGCAAGGCTGGCTGAGGTCAGGTCGAATGCCTGAACATTTTGTGAAAACTAGCAGAGGGAGAGACGGAGGCAGTGGCTTTGTATCGGAGTGTTACTGCACTTACTCACAGGATTAATGAATTACTGAAAGAGACTTAGGATCAAATAAAGAGCTGTAATATTCTTATAACTAATCCTGAGGGCCAGTGGTCATTACAATGAAAGACATGTCTGCAATAAACACAAACATGGCAGATTGGTTCATAATGAGCTCTTATTTTAGGGCACAACTCGACATAAGTCAAGAGTTCTAGTCATTAAAAACACAACTTTCATGCAATTTCACTGCTACGAGCATTTGCAATAAACACTTGAGTCTAAATTTAATTAAATATACAAAAAATCATGCTTTCTCAGTCAAGATGGTTACAATTTACCTGTTGGGTGGAGGCCTCGGTATTTCGGCCAGTCTGATTCAGTCAGATGACGCCTAATTTAGCTTTCTACTACCTCCAGATTAACTAATGCCAGGTTAGCAGTGGGAACGAACAATGCTCTTGGATTCCATTTGGATTGGAGTTATAATGCCTGTCTGCTGTTCTTTGTTTCCCATAATATCTGAGATAAAGCTCATTTATTTTTCTTTTTATCGTTTAGCAGTACGGAACATTATCATGCATTAGGGCTGGGACGATATGCTTTTCTCCCAATTGATCTTTTGGACGCCAATTCGATTTGAATTGCGATCCTACGATATTGTCGATTTTTTACTCTGCATTTTTAACACCAGTGAAACAGCTGAATGATTATGATTGTTTACTTACTGTTCCAGGAACCATATTTCCCCAAAAAATACACATCACGTGTAAGTCAGTTTTTAAGATTAAAAGGTACTTACACACCGGGGCTGATGCGAATACAGAACGTGAAATTACGAAATATTTCAGAGGTGAATTTTGACGCCCCTGACTATACACATCAAGCCCGATGTGATTTTGCGACTTTCTGGGAGGAAAAAAGATGCATCCCGGGGAACGTCTCGTCTCCCTCGCCTCTGATTGGCTAGAAAAGCTGGTGACGTCACCACACATTCAAGCCGAACAGTCAGCACTTGTAACTAATCAGAGGCGAAAGAGGGCAGGACCTTCCCTTCCCATCCTACAGCGTCCCGAATATATGTATGTAGCATGCTACATACTCCTAGCATGTACCCAGTCGGGGCCAGTACCAGAGAAGCACATGAAACTAACAACCGTTAGCTTACGTTAGCACAGGTGAAAGTTAAAACAAAGACGTTTCGCAAACCGTTCAAGCACACATAGCATCGTCATATGAGAAAACGATGTGAACGCTTGTATTGACAGGATACGAGTTCGAAAAAACATATTGACGTCCGAAATAATCGCACGACAAAAATGGTCCCGGTGTGAAAGGACCTGTATTCTTAAATTTGAAAAAAAAAAAACGATTTTTGAGCATAAAAATCGATTTAAAAATTGTAAAACAAAAAACTGCAATACTAATATGAATCAATTTTTCTCCCACCCCTATCACGCATCCAAGCTCCTTCTTACAATATCTAATCCTACTTCTGACTGCAAGTGGCTGAAAGTTGCTCCGTCTCTTGATTTACACCCCTTCGAGTTCTGCTGTCAACATCACTGGAAAAAAAAATACCTACAAAGTTTTTTTTTAAAAATGTAGAATTTAAGGATAAGTTACTCTTTCTATTAAGACACCAAACAACACAATAACACAACATCTAAAGGCTTTTATGTCGCCAACTATACAGTGGTGGCAATTCATGTTTGCCTCGAGCTAGTTCTGTGATATTGTCCTGACGTCGGCCCCTAAAAGGGTGTATTGTATAGTCAGTTACCCTGCGATTCCTATTCCGCGTATACAAAATTCTGGGTATAGAGAGCCAACTTGATAATCATATTATCTGATATAACAACAGGAAACATGAGGCACTATGCTTTCATTAAAACAGCCTGTCCGCAGGAGACAAGTCCATATATCTACTGCGTGACAAATCTGAGCCACAGCTCTTTGGTGACCTTGTTTAATAAAACTTTATCAAAAATGTTTTTTTTTTTCATGTTTATTCAAGTAGCAAACTACATCAACCTGCGTTTCAATATCTGCCTTACATAGTCCTCAAATATTGCAAAAGCCGGTCTCATAAAGATTTCCATATTAAAAACTGCTCGATCTGACCATGATAAAGAGGATTTCAGTAATACCTGACCATCCGCATAGCTCCACATTCACTGGTATTAAACGTACCGTGTTAACACACACACACACACGCTGACACACACACACACACGCGCACAACCACTGAGGAGTAGAGCAAGAAGATCCCTATTGCCATATATGATCAAAATAAGAAGGCTTGGCAAGAGAAGTAAGGTCAGCAATAAACATCTGAGCCTAACCCCTGATCCTCTTCCTGGTTCAATCTCTGGAGGATGTCTTAACCTGGTAACAAAACGTACTGCTGAGACAGGGAGGATCAACCGGAGCGCTTCGATCAATGGAGACTTTGCAAATGACCGTGCATTAAACTTTCGCCTGGGATCATGTGCGAAGGAGCCGTCTACAACTTTCTGGCGGTAGAGCCAACTTTTTGCCCCAGTGAGTCTCCTCTCTTAAACCCAGCGCTTTACAAATTCTCCGTTGACCAAAAATGCCTTGTCTGACGTCACTCCGGGGATGTTTTCACTAAAAAACCCAGACATTCTGTTCTTCATATTTCACCCGAAACCCACATTTTCAGGAAAGGTTGATGCCAACTGGTGCCCGGACAGTTTGCCTAGATCAGCACTTTGAGAAACCCTAAAGCATTTGCCCTTCCATCTCACTTTACTGACCGTTCTCTCGCTCCAGCAGTTCATTTACCCGAAGCAGCAGAGGCCACAGCTCGCAGCCCGCTGTGTTTTGACCAAGTAGAGGCAAACCACTGATCTGTGGAGCAGGAAGCTGGCGGTATGGCCTGATATGGCTCTCAGTGACAGGCAGCCAGACTGTGGGCACTGCTGCAGCCCTGGCAGACTCCTTCTTTTCTGACCGAGTGGATAAGCTTGAATATGTTCTTGCTTTTTACCTACAAAACCAACCCTCACATTCTTCACCACCGTATTCTCAGTCCGGAAACTTCATGCTTGTGTCTGGCTCGAAAAGAAACTGAACCTCACCACCGCTTCCTCGCTATTTTGGCAATGCACCCTGGCCATGTAGTAAACCCTGCCAAGACGGGAGAAGGAAACGGAGGGAGGGTGGACCTGAATTAGTGTGAGAAAAACACTTGGTTTAAGGAAATGCAAAGACACGAATGACAGTTACTCTTTTAAAAAACCCCAACCCACATGTTCAATGAACGATGTGACGACACCAAGTTGTTTTCTCAAGCAAAACTGCACACTGAACTTCGACTGTTGCATCCAGAGCTTTAAATTTCTACTAACTTTATGGTGCAATTTTGCTTTTTTGCACTTTATCTCTTTTACTCAAAGACTGATCTATGATGTTTACACCATTTCGTGTTTGTTTTTTTGCTAAATACGTAAAATAACTTGAACGATGTTCTCAGCTTAGTTATTCCAGTCCAGCTAGCACTGTTGTTAAAATTAAACACTATCTGCTTTACATGCTTTCCTTTGCTGTGTAAGACCTAACGAAGCGGAGTGCATCCAGTACCGCACGCCTAAATTTGAAAAAGGAGGAATCCTTGCAGTGAGTAAGGTGTTAGAGCTCCGACTGACTGTTGTAAAGCAAGAGGCTGTGAGGTCGTGTTCACACCTAAAGGTCCATTTCCTGATTCGAATCCGAGGCAAGACGATACATTTGTTTTGACTGTTTAACTGGTTCGGTTTGCGTTCACAAAAGGACAAACTCAATCGGAACCGAAAGTCACGTGACAGCGAATATCATTCGGTTATTGGTCATTATACAAACCCCGCTCTGCTGTCTTCGCCTGTCATGGAACATCGTAGGCTGATTTTGCTTTTGCTACTCATCTGGAGCGCGTATCAAAAGATGCTAGTCGATTGCGCGTCTGAACGGCTCGTTAGCCAGCGAGCACGAACTGCGGCATTAATTAATACATTCCGGAGTAGACGTGCTGCAAAAAACAGACAAGACGGCCACAGGCTGGCGTGTGTGGTGCTTTTCCTGTGATTGGTGTGGATGACGTTCACGCCAGAAATGAACCGCTCCAGAGTTCACTTGATAGCGGTCCAAGACCACCTCTTCTGGTGGACCAGAGTTCGTTTATTTGGTCTGCACCAGAGTTCGAGGTCAGCGTTCACACCGACCCAAACAAACCGCATCACCGGGGGTAAACGCTCCAGGGTTCGGTTCAACTGGACTAAACGAGGGTGGTGTGATGCCATGGGCTTTGCTGTACAGTTCCAGTAAGGCTGCGTCTGAAATGCAGGTGTCCAGATACAAAAGGATGCAAAAGCCCCAACAGGCAACACAAACCAGCAGAGATGGGCTGGTTGTCCAAAGCTCCAGAGTTACCTGTTTTTATAACTTTCTTTCCACTCTCTCAACAATATTCATCCTTTTTAAGTCAAAAGTTTGTTGCTTTGGTTTAGACGCTTCTGTCTGTCACAAACTGTCTTGTTTTTGGTATATGTTTTTACCTGTTGAGGGTTTGCTGTTGCTGTAATCTGGCTGGTTGTACACGTGTGTTCATGCAACCAAGTTTAAGTTCCACATTAGTTCCCTGTTTAACATTCTCAGGTAATTACACTTTTTTAAAGCATATGCAGGTAGGTAAAGCAAAAAGACTGGTTGCACTTAAATACTCACACATTTGCTGCAAATTGTAGTCACAGGCACCACTAATTACTGACCCTTGATCAACTAAAAAATGCCCAGTTCAGCTCCAATCCGACAGCCAAGATTGGAATCGGGACAATCCTACTAAGAAATTGAAACAGTGAGTGAAACCAGATCAACAAAATTGGATTGGTACCCAAGTTTCACCAGACACCAACTGTTAACAACTATATCTGCATTTTTCATGTCCAAACTCATCCAAACTGCTCCATGCCTACAAGTTGTCGTCTTTGCTTGTTTACATCCAGATTAGTAGAGCGTTATAGCGTTACAGCAAAAGCCATTAACTGGAGCTAGTGGTGGGTGTGCTACAGCTTAGACACAACTTATGACTGGCACATCAGGCCTAGAAAAATCAATATATCAATAATGCATGTAACCTATCAGAGAGGATGAGGATGTTAAAATGGTCAGGGGACATCTCTTTGAGTGCAGCATTGCAGGTATTACAGAGAACATGCTGACTTGTCTCAAAAGAGGAATTTTCTTCAAGCAATTTAACAATTTTGTCATTAGATATATTTCAAAATCCAAAAGCAGTGACGTCGATTATGACCTGAACATGTGAACATGAAATCTGCATGTCAAGTACCACCAAATGTTTCCGAACCGAAGACAAAGCACACTGCAGCGGAACAATGTTCAATTTTGGTTTAAAATAGCTGAAGCCCTTGGGTCAATATACAGCACAGAAAAGCTGTAACACAATTCATATGACACTCCCAAGGTAGCTGGTGTAATACAAATATTTAGTTTTCAATATGCAGCTCAATATCACTTTCCCTTTCGAAAACACACTTGTTGGAACATTTTCAGGGAAAGGCAGTTGTTGCCTTCTTCCAGCGAGGTGCAGAGAGGCAGGCTGCTGACTGAGGCCATGGGGCTGAGAATAATAGCTGGGGATAATAGGAGTCAGTGACATCTCAGAGTCTGAGCAGCGGATGTGTTTAACCAAGCCTATTAAGACCTGCACTAATCCTGCCTTACACGTCCTTATCCAGGCGTCAACTGACAGTCTTAACTTATACAGGATGGGCCACTCATGCCGTGACTGATTGCAGTGCTTACTTAATGCCTCACATGTTGCAGAGTGTTTTGTCTGCTGTCAAAATCGTAGAAATGCAAAAACAACAGATGCATTAAGCTACGCTGCAGAGAGTTAATGATCAGCTAAACTTTGACATATCCTGGAATAACAGGGTAAACACACGCCTTTAATGATCATCAGAAGGCATAAGACAGCAGTGCAAAAAACACACCATCACAAAAAACAGCCTTTTCAACATGCTCACCTTGGCTTTAAGGTGGAATGGATTGCAACGGAGATTAAAATGTATGACAGAATAGAATACGTCCCATTAACGGTATGGCGGTGGTGTGGCCTATTTTCCTGAGCTGAGGTATTCAGCAGGGAAATGAAAGTAGACACACATGTCAAATATCCAGGGCCGCTTTAGATGGGCGAGAAATGGGAGCAAACGTTTTGAAACTGAGGATGCAACCTAGATAGTTCTAATTGTCCTCAAAATGGACGCTTAATTATTTTTTTTCCTTAGTAGCTTTTGCATTTATCTGCTGTTTCAGGTGCTGGCAGGCCTCAGCCTACAGATGCAGTTAAATGTTTACCTGTTACAAGAGGCTTGCACACCAAATACATGTCCCTGAAAGCAACAAAAGAACATCAGTGATGGCCTATTGTTCCTTTTACTGTGCACAGAACTATGAATCAATGCAGTGCAGAGCAACTTATTCAACAGCAGCTCCCACCTGCCCACACACCAGCTATAAAAATAGCTAACCTACTCAGCTAGACTACAGGATGAGGGGGCAAAACCCTGTATCCTTCATCTACGAAAGGGTAGATTGTGTGCAGGCTAATAAATCAGAGACGTTGATGCATGTACGAAAAGGAAGCGAGCAAGGTCTCGATAAAGATTCTGGAGCCATGTCCAGCTGCTGAAATGTTATGCAACCTGATGAAAGCAACAGTGCAGAGCAACCCAAAGTGCTACTGTTTCTTCCTCTGTCAAGTACCAATAGCATGATCCTGTTCAACTAATTGGCTATTGAGCTTGCCAATGAGAATTTATCATTACCTTGCACTACTTTAAAACATTAATACATAAAAGCTTAACAACAATCGAATCGATAAGACGAAGATATGAATAGCAAAACTCTTTAACAGTAGAGGGCACCATTAGCTTTTGGCCTCTTGCTTCTACTCACTAGCTCTTTTGCATCTGTAGCTGAATGGTAGCATGCAGACATGGCAGAGGCTAGTCGAGATTTTGAAGATGAGAATGCACCGTCTTCATTCATTTCTAGGATGTTGCAGTGGAGTGAGAAGTCTGCAGACCAGATGATAGCAGTGTGCAAGGAGACCAATGAACCGCATAAAAAGCATCATGAACATGACGTGGCACTCAAAATGGCATCGCATTGACAAGTTCAAAATAACACATAAAGATACACTCAATACACAGCAATATACAATATACATAAGTATCAATAATGTATGATGTTAAGTGGATTGTGAAACATTCCTCGACAGACCAAGTTCGAAAGCTATAGCTGTTGCTGAGTGTAATGGTCTTTTATATGTGTATGATTTACATGTGACAGACAAACTGTGGTACAGGTTGTGTTAGTACTCACTAATAGCAAATACAGACCTAAATCTTTATATGTGCTAGAGACGACTTAGTTTGGGTGTTGCAAAAACAATTGTTAAGAACATGGACTGGTTTCGAAAAGCTATCTCTGAGTACTGGCTGCAGCATTGTTTAAGGCTGTGTCCGAAATGGATCCTTAACCCCTATATAGGTGACTACATGGGGGTAAGCGCCATTTTTAGGGTTGTCCGAAACATCAGTGATCAATTCCAATGTCCTATATATGCAACTCAAAATTTCCCTTATAGCATTGCAAAATGTAGTGACCATTGGATGGTCACTCACCGTTGGTGGGCATCCCGTCATGCCATGTAGTGTCCGAAACCTCTAGTGATTGAGTTCACTACATAGTCAACTATATAGCGAAATCCCATATAGGGGTTAGGGATTGAGTGATTCATTTTGGACACAGCCTTAAGGAAATTTTCCTGATCCAAGGTAAATTTTTATCCATTATATGTTAATAATTAGTTTTTTATTTAAATAATGTTGGGTAAATCATTACCAGTGTCACTTTAAGTTTTTTGGAACTAGAAAGACCTCAAAACTTTTAATTTGCGTAGAATGTGAAAGAAAACATGATGTTGTCGCTGTATACTTTTTATAAAGTGTGGTATAAATCAGAGAGTAATCTATTTCTTCACTAAATATCTTTGCTTCTTGAAAGATAAAAGGTTATCGTATCCTGAGAAAATTAAACCGCGATCTCAGTATCGCGATTTTGTATCGAATCGTTAGTTGCAACAGTTCGTTACATCCTTGTTTGACAATAATGTCACACTGGCCGACTGACAAACATGTGGGAGCCTGTAAATGGTGACATCTTAGACCAAACTTCCATGAGCTTTGCGTGCAAACCAATGCAAATGCAAACACTGAAAAAAGAGGCACTATGTCCAATTTGGTAGTTATTGAAGAAAACATCATCAAGCTAAGAAATTTTATCACGTAAATCCAAGAAAAGCCACGTATGAAGGATATCATGACATAACGTTACTCAGACTGAAACTAGGCGTCCAGCTAGCAACCTTAACTAGTAGCATATTTGCTAGCATTTGCCAAGAAGGCCCAAGATGGTTAGTAGTCCACAAAACGACACGAGACATGACAATAAGAGATAACTCGACAATTGATGTGCCACATACCGAGAAGAAGTAATTTCAGCTCTCTTCTGGAGTCTCTCTTGTCTCGGCGGAGTTGTTTGTCAATTTCTGCATTGATTCGTTTCGACTCCTTCGCCTCTTCGCTCAGGCAGCAAGCCATCATGGACTCCAGAGTCATCCCCTCTGCTTTTTAGCAGCCCGGTTTACACGGGACCCGGCCGGCGACGCTTCCCACTGGTTCAGCTCAGCCTCCCCCAAAAAATCCCCCCGGCCCTCGCTTCGGTTTCAGGCGTGGAGGCGATGGTGTTGTCTGCCGAGCTTTGACGGACGGATGGATGGATGGATGGACGGGATAGGGGGGAGGGGAGGACTAGCTAGGGGCCTCGCTGTCAAGTTGTCCCCCCAGCCGAGAACAACTACGACTTCACCCGGGTGTTCTCGGCAAATCACCGGGGGGAATCGGGAGCGAGGAGATGGTGGGGCCTTCCTGAGATGCTTTAAAACAGCTACTGTTAAAATAATTCCCACGGATGATACACTCCCTAATATCCGCTTGATACAATAAACCCCCCTTCGTTACTTTCGTCTGTCACTTTGGTCCAATTCTATCTGCTCAATCCACCAAAAAGGGGCTCAAAACTGCAGTGTCGCGACATCCAAACCCGTACCAGCTGATATCTCTACAGTATCCCGGCGTTAGCTATCTGGTTAACGCGAGTAAAAGTAGTAGTTGTAGCTGGTAAACTAACAGTATAGACCGTTATTGCACTATCCACGCCGCAGCAATGCGCCGTTTGCTTAGAAACTACATTAGCTAACGTTCGCTAACATACGCGTGAAGGCTGTTCCGCGAGCCTTTCGCTAGCTCACCCAAACGACGCCTCGGCTAACGTTTGTGTCAACCCGCAGTGATTGAAGCAGCGAGCTGGTTGAAGGAATTTATCCGCCTAGCTGACGATAGCAGGGTAGCACCCCATTACATCCTGACTCATTTTTTCTTATCACGGTAGAATTTAAAAGCTTGTTTGCACCGCCCGAGAAACGCGTTGTATTTTCTTTTCTTCTTTTTTTTGTTGCTAGAAATGTAACCGCCGCAAAAACAGCTGGCTTGTCGGGGGTAAAGCTCGTCGCCTGAAACAAGGTCGGCACACACACCAGTCTGATGCCGAGAGAAGAGGAGGAGATACTGTGGTTGGTGAGTGACAGATGGAGAATTGCGTGAAACAGGTTTGTGACAGACCAATTGAATGAACGAGGCGGGTCTTCAGGGTGGGATCTGACTCCGAGCGCACAAGTTAGGTCGATGAGAAGATGCGGTAATCGAGATGTTTGAATTAGGAAGAGCTGATTTTAATAGATGATATGATGGGGGTGATGTGCAGCTCGATTACAACCACCTGTACACCCTGCACTATTCTTAATGTTTACGCATAGTGTCACATAATGGTGATTATCAAGGCATAAGATAATTTAAATAATGGATACAAATCAATTAATCAATAAACTGCAGTATAATGCTAACTGCATTATTCAGGAGTAATTAGGAGCGACAGAGGTGGTTGTGCACTGTGACAGCAGTGACACCTTGTGGTCTAAAGGTGCAATTGCATCCAATAAAACTATGCTAGTATATCAAGTATATCATATTTTTAAAAGCAGGCTCAAGACCTACCTATTTAATTTGGCTTTTAACTAATGTCTTATTCTTATCTATATTTTTATCTTATTTAATTTTTTTTTAAATATATATATTTTAGTCCTCATTTTACATGTTATGTTTATGAGCCAGACAGAGCGACTAATGCACAATAAACTAGCAACAGCTGATCCAAAACTCGGCTGCTTGAGTTTTGACTAGGACCGGGGGAAGAGCTCATATTACACCCATTTTAAAGTCTTTGCACTGGCTGCCTGTTAGTTTTCGCATTGATTTTAAAATTCTTCCACTAGTTTATAAAGCCCTACATGGCCTGGCACCAGAATACCTTACAAAGATGATTTTAATTTATGAACCAGGGTGGCCTCTCAGATCCTCTCAATCTTCTCTTTTAGTTGTTCCACAGAGCAGAACAAAAAGATTTGGTGATGCTTCTTTTAACTGCTATGCTCCTATACTGTGGAACAAACTTCCAGAGGGTCTGAGACAAGCTGCAAACATAGAAATCTTTAAACGTAGCCTAAAAACTCATCTATTAAACCTGGCTTTTATGTAAAGCTTCATTATGGAATTACTATTATTATTTATTTATTTTGGGGTGGGATCTCGGAGGGGATGGGGGGAAGGATATGGGGGGAGGATTGTTTTTAACATGTAAAGCACTTTGTGTTGCATTTCTTTTTTGTATGAAAAGTGCTATGTAAATAAAATTTGATTTGATTTGATTTGAAGTATCGATCATGATTATTTATTGTGTATGTAATGGGACAACAATTCTGTCCTGGCATTTTTGGCTAACACTGAACAAAGAACATTAACCCTAGAACACTATCGCTAAAATTAGTAATACCATCGCTATTGCCGTGTGATTATTACCCGGAATAATATACCCAAGAAAAAGTACTTGTCATCAAAATAGGACAATACATGACAAATCAAAGTAGTTTTCTTTTATTTTTAACTGTGCAATATCCAAACGGAGGGAAAAAAGTGCCACGAGGGGACCATATGAAAATGCAATAAATAACTGAAATTAGGCATTCATGAACAAAAAGTTCTAAAAAATATACATTTATAGAAACTGTAAACTTATTTTCTTTGCCACCCATTCCTGGGGCATGTGACTCTTCCCTGGTGAAGACAATAACAGCTGCAGGAGAGAGAACCAAAATACGGCAGATTTTGAGTAAGTAAAAATGACCAGCTGACTTAATATTTCTTATCACCGTATGAATTCCCTTAAAAATCACTACTTTGTGATAGTTATTCATAACCCCTGCGCTAAACAAAGATAACATGCAAATTCCAGGACCACTCTTACTGACCTTATTCACCTACATGCAGCTATCAAATCCACCCAAACCTACTTTACCCTCTATCACTATTACAAGACACACTGGTTACAAGCTTACAATATGGGCAGTAAGACAGCATAGAACATGATGTGGGTCGATAAAACTTGATAAAGGAAACTGGGATCTTTACCTCATATTAAGTACAATCTAGAGTGTCAAAAAGGTTATATGTTACATTATTGTACAATTTTTTACAAAGTTTTTACAGTTTATATAAAAATGAGTTTTTTTTTCAGGCATTCAACTGTTCAAAATAGTCACAGAACAGTTGTCGGACTTCCTCAGCATGACTTTCATCCACACTGTTGGAGAGGACCGGCTTGTGGATGGGATGAGGGCTCTCGGCTGCTGCCACCTCCTCCTGCCACTCTGCCATAAAGGCATCTCCGTGACTCTCACACACGTTGTGTAGGATGCAGCAGGCGAGGATCATAGTGGGCACCACGTCCAGGCCACAGTCGTTCCTCTTGCTCAGGCACTGCCAGCGCGCCCTCAGCCTCAGAAGCGCCTCCTGAGGAACACGCAACGCCGAGGTGAGCCGCTGGTTAAATAGCTGTTGCTGCTTTGTCAGGGAGGTGTGGCTCCCCCTTCGACCTCTTTCCTCAGGATAGGCTTTTAGTAACCAGCTCTGGAGAGGGTAGCAGGTGTCTCCCAGCAGCACATACCTGAACATATATATATGTAACAGATTGTAGTTGTTGCATCTATAACATACTCAGAATTGCAGTATTTCAAGCTCCACCCAGATTCAACAAAATTAAAAAGATACTGTACAAGCCAATTACAAGTATTCTATCGTAATTGGGGGATCCTTCAACTTGATTTGGCTGAGAAGGAAATGGGTTTATTTTTCAGTATGCCTTCTATGCAAAGAATCAATTCAATGGCTCCCTAAGGTAGTTTTGCTTTTACACTTCTCACTCTTGCAATTGATGGTCTTGCTTTCATTTGTGTGTCATAAAAAAGCAACAATGTTACCCCACTGGCCCAATCCTTGTGTTGTTTTTTCTCACACTTACTTTAGTGGTTTTCCCATGAAGATGGGCGGCTTGGCTGGTGACAGTCTGCCCTCTGCTCCTGTGGCCCACAATGATGAGTTCTGCAAGATGTCTGCTGGGTCTGTCCCTCCTGGAAAGCTGGCACACACATCCCAGAACTGCCCTTGGCCATTCACAGCCACCTAAAACCCCACAGAAAAACAAGATCATACAGTCAAACCTCATCCAAGACATCCAACAAACGGACAACATGGGGGCGTCCTCTACCTGTGACATCACTGAGAGCCAGCCAGCAGGGTTGATATAGTCAGAAGCGTTGTTGGATGGGGTAATGATAGCTGTGTGGAGTGTTGCTATGGCAGCAACACAGTGAGGAAAGCCCAAGTTCAAGAGGAAGAGCTGCGCAGAGTCCTCCAGCTCCTGCTCACACGGAGGCCGCAGGTAGATGGAGCTGAGGAGCGCCACGATGGCGTGACACATGTCTCGGACACACCTGCACACTGTGGACTTACCCACACCAAACAGGGTACTAATGGTGCGATATTCGATGTTGGATGCCAGACGCCACAGAGCAACCGCAACACGCTTCTCCACAGGCAGCGCCAGACGGAAGCTGGTGTCCTGGCGAGCCAGGCGAGGCCTTAGCTTCTCACACAGGTAGAAAAAGGTCTCCTTACTCATACGGAACTTATCCAGCCAATCAGACGGCTGGAATTCGGTCATGACCACACGCTCCCACCAGTCGGTGCTAGGAGTTGTGGTCCAGGGACGTGTGCGGATGCGGGCATTGGAACGGATACCTCCTGCCAGCATCATCTGGGGAACAGATCACCAACAGAATTAAGATTTCATTCACAATAATTCACAAGCTGCAACTCACCAATGTCCTTTGTAAAGCTACTGTCAGAGCCGACCCAAGGCATAAGCAAACTAAGCGCCTGTTTAGGGCCCCGCCGCTAGTCGGGTGCCCCCATGAGCAATCAAAAAAAATATATATATATATATATATTTTTTTTATTATTTGCATGAATAAGTGATGCTTTCTGTATAATCAGATACTATATATTGATGTAAAAATAAAATAAAGTAAAAACATTTTAGTGTTGCTGCTTATGTAGGCCTATAATTCTTACTGCCAATGATACTTTTACAGTAAACACAATGCTTTATCACTTGGAATGTTGTGAAAATCAGCCCCAGGCCACTCTTGTAGCTGAATGCGTTACACTTTGAGATTGAAAACCATATGTGGCACCCTCAACATCATTCATCAGTCATTCATTGGTATTATTTGTATGATTGCATTGGTATTATTTATGTTATTTATTTATTATTTCATTGTTAATAATTATTTTATTATTTTCTATCTTTTCAAATTCTATAATAAAACTTGGATCAACATAGGAAATGCACACAAATACAAGGGTAGAATATGTATTGTCCTAGAAATAGATGTGATGGTAAATGTCAACTATTATAGTTTGTATTAATGCAATATTATATTTATATGACAGAGATGAGTCGGGGTAGAAGGACTGACCATTATCATCCTCCTCTGTCTCTGGAAGAAGTACTGCCGATGTCTGATCCGCCTCTGGATCTCATTGCGCCTCTGGTTGTTGGCGTCGTTGATGTCCCTCCTGCGCTTCATCAGCAGGTAAGTCATGAGGAACAAGACAGACCGCAACTGTCCGTCCTCCTCCATCCTGACAAGGCTCAACCGGCAGGCAGCTCGGAAAACATCACGTTAATGCGTTTAAAGTGGCGGATACTGAGGTGTTCACGCGCCGTTTGCTGTCCATGGCTTCTTCTATCCCCATGAACATAAACAATGAGCTTATGTACTTCCGCTTTTCTTCCTCGGTGTCTGTTGAAACAGAGCGGTGCTGCCATCTAGCGGCTAATAGGAAGTAGCAGTTGACAGTATGCACCCATAGACTGTATATACTATTATAACATGTAGAAACATCTGGCCTGAGATGCGGGCCTTTTTTCTTGACTGTTATTGTATAAATATAGAAACGCTCACAAATTATTGTCATTTTAACACCACCTAATTAATAAATGACTGAAAAAGAAAATAAACACTTCACATCAAAAGGATACTGAGACATTTCTCCAGGAAAAAATTCATATTAAATGACTCATTGGCCAGCACTGAGTTTTTTTGAGCTGTTGGCTAAGGAGTGACGACATGCTCACAGAACCTTTCTTTTGATGTCAATAGTCATAGCATTTTATAGTTGTTTATTAGTCGGGTAATGGTGAAATAATGAATGTGTCAGATGCCTTACAATCTTGAGGCAGTACAACATCACAAGACAATCTGGGCTTAGTAGGAATGAAGAAAAACATTGCCATGTGGATGTGTTGAGGTTAGGAAAGGTACACAGGTCACTTTTTACACTTAGATATACTTGGAAATGTTGCCCATTCTTCAAGTGTTAGACACCTAAGACACGACTTTCACCCTGGTGATAAAAAGTTCTGCAGCTGCATTTTCAAACTCTTTAGCGTCCATATCACCCCCTGGGCCCCGTGATTGGGCTCCAGCCATAGCCTGAGCGAGCTTATAAGGAGACATCTTGGCACTGGCCTCAAGGTAGCGTATAGCCTTCATGTTAGCCTCTGAACAGGATGCGGTTTTTGTGTTTGCATTAGGGGAACAGTTTGCATCACAGCCTTGGGAAGTCTCCAGGGCTTCACTCAAGGTCCCCAGCACCGCCAGGCACAAGGCCCGAGAGGCAGGCCCTTCGTCTGGACAGCACACTTCGGCGTAAAGCCGCTGAGCCTGTCGGATGTAGTCTGAGAAAACTGCACATGTGAGCACGCCGTGACGGAAGATATCATAAGGGACAGCCTCGTGGTCCTGGCAGTGGAGGCGACGGAGGAGAGGGGCAGAGGTGGAGGCAGGAACCCCACCCTCACTGCACAGACACTGGAGAGTCTGTGTGTAGAGGCCTCCTCTCACTCCTCCTCCTCCTCCTCCTCCTGTGGGACTGTCAGCGATGGAGCTGTCAGGGCCCTCCACAACCTCACTGGATCTTCTTAGGGGTGTGGTGAGGTTCAAAAGGTCATAGGCCACACGGACATTGTTGCTAAAAGCAGATCTGGGTGAAAAAAAGCACCATGTGAGAAAAAATGGCATATTTTTTCGCCCACATTTTTGACTATTTATCAAAATCTTCCTTACTGTTTAATTTCCCAGATTTTCGTGGCTTATTAAGGACATTTTAAATAATGGTGCTAAAGTTTACATTATTATACTGGAGGAAATCTGCAAACTTCATACTGGTGAGACAGTATTAATACAAATATGAGATGATCTTGTGGACCACATATAATTTTTCCATGGGCCAGATTTGGCCCCCGGGCCTTGAGTTTGACACCTGTGATGTAGGGGGTGTAGCCTAAATACCCCTGCAGTAAGCAGTGTGCTGTGTGCATGTGATTAAGGAGTGCACTTGCATTAAATCTGGTTGTTTTAGCCAAGATTATGCTACAACTTATCTTCCCCAACTATATTTAAGTTCCCTGTTGAGGGCCAACCTTCAATTTTGTAAATTTCAGATTTATTCCCGTTATGGAAAGTTTCCAACTTTAAAAATTACCGGAATTTTGCAACCCTAATCCTGTGGTATATATGGGAGAAATTAGATATCAGACCTCTGGGAGTGGTGTGCCAGCCTCAGGTGCCACAGTGCCCGGTTAAGATGCTGCTGCTCCTGCGCACCTGCGCTCACCAGGCCGTTGCTAAGCTGATCCCCATCGCTACATCCAGCTGTGCCGGTCTCTGACACGGACGCCAGGTTGCAGAAGTGGTCTGCAAGGAACCCGATGGGATCGTCCGATCTGGCCTCCACCATCTTCAGGATAGCCCCGCGGAGCAGCTCCCCAACCCCGGCCTGCGTCAGAAACTCTCTGTCGCTGTCCGATTTGGTGGCTTTGCCCTCGGGCATCCCTGGCGGAGTTGCCCCCGACCGGCGCTTCTCCTTGTCCGCCATTGCTGGTGACGTATCGTGTCGCAGTTACGGCAGCGGAAGTGATAAATGACCGTTGAGATGACAGGAAACACACGAGCTGGTGGTGTCGAGGAAAAATAGTCCTCAAAATTAGACTGAAAACGTGAAAAAAAAAAGACCAAAAAAATGAAAAAATGAAAATGAAAAAAAAAAAATGAAAATGGCCATAAATTATCTCCACGGTAGTAGAATTTTGTTTACAGACTGGTATCCCATGTCCCCTCTGTTGCCTGGTTGCTATGGATGCAGTTTGATGGACGTGTGAAGTATATGCAGGGGCGTGTGCAGGGATTCTGCTGACCCGGGCAATTTGTTTTTTTTTTTTTTTGAAAGATGGTAGGGGAAGGTCCCGCCTTCCTTCGCCTTTGATTGCTAGAACTATTTTAATATTATCGTCCTCTATGTTTGATTTACTTTTGAGCCATCGTGAGTTTTTTAATATTTGTGTAAATTTAATGATTGTTTTGAGTGACTCGGGGTGCACAATTACAGTGGCCTAGAACCGCTACTGCTGCGAATAAAAAAAAATGCAAAAAAAGAACATCAGAAATTTAAAAAAAAAAAAGTTAAGTTCATGACGCAAAAAAACAAAAACAAAAACAAAAAACATATATTTAACTTTTTTGAAGTAGCCAAATGATCTTAAAGGAATATTGCAGCGTAAAAATAATCAACACCTAGCGAGACCTTAGGCCAGTCCATTACGGACTACAGCGGGGTGACACAGCTCAAGGAAGAACATTTACGATCATTTCTTTATCATTTCCTTTCTTGGCTGGTTTAACTGCAATGAATCTGAGGCATTATTTTGTATGGTGGCAGAGAACCGCCACTGCTGCCAATAAAAAACCCATAATTGAAGTTAACAATGCAAAAAAAAAGTGTCGATGCAAAAAAAAAAAAAAAAAGTGGCAATGGAAAAAAAAGTTTTATTTTCACAGTAAGTAAGTTTTTTTTTTTTGCATTAACTTAAGTTATGGCTTTTTTTTTTTTTTTTTTAAATCTGCACTGTTTTTTTTTTTTTTTATTTGCAGCAGTGGCAGTTCTCAGCCACCATACCAAATAATGCCTCAGATTCATTGCTTTTTTCAGAGATCTGTAATTTTAGGGATACAAGTAGGACTTTGCTTCATTGCTGTTTTTTTTTTTTTTTGTATGCTTTAAATTCAAAACCTGTACTACAAGACTCAGTAAAGAAGTGTAATGTATTTGTGTCTTTCTCAATGCACTAAGCCAGCTCATGCAAGTATATGTACATCCTAATGGCAAAAAGTAAGACAAACAAAAATGGACATTATATTTCCTTAAACAAGTTCACTTCAAATAAAAGTATTCAAATGTTTATTGCTTATAAATAGGCCGTGTAACCTTCACATAAAGACATTTAAAACCACATCCATATTAACTGTCAATAGCAATACACAAAACACAATATATGGATAGCTTATGGTAGTGATCGATAATACCACAAAGTACAGTACATCTTCACAGCTGCAAGATTTAAAAACTATGAACCTGTTTTAATGTCTTGTGCTTTTAAAGTACAGTAAAATTTTACATTCGCCAAAGAATTAATATCCACTCCAAAAAAGACAACCAAGGTCAATAAAAACAAGAGAAAATATTAACTTTTATATTGAATACAGAGTTAAGTCTTATAGATAAAACTTTAAAAACATAGGCTGCCTTAAAGAGTGTTGTGTGGGGATACTGCTAGATACTGATGTTTTTAAATGCATCTCAAATAAACGTCAGGTTTACTCTGCAAAGTTATCAAATCAACGGTGCTTTTGTAGTTAATCAAAGAGGGCCTTCAGTCTTGTTTCAAAAGATATCTAATTTCAGTAGTATCTCAAGTCGCTGCGCTGTATTTGCTGTCATATCGCATGTGCTGCATCATCACCATGTGCACAGATGCCGTTTGTCAGAGGTATATGGTTCCCGTTCGTAAAAGCACCTTTTTTCACAGCAGCTATGTTGCCATTTAAGTGGGTGGCGTGTGGAGGCAGGAATTCTCTCTGTAGTTTGTGCTCCAGCAGCATGTGGTTCTGAGGAGGGAGGCCGAGGCAGGCTCTGAAACACACACCGAAAAGAAGTGATGGGAACATTACATCTGTGCTCAAACCAGACTCTTTAAAAGTATCACTCTTAAAAGCAAACCCCCTGAGATGGGAGAGGAGTCTAGTGCTAACCTCAGGATGTTTTCTATGCAGGCCCTCTGACGGAAGAAAGCATTAACCACTGGGGTCCCTGATGGTACCAGAGGGGCTTTGCAGAGAAAGGAGAGCAGAGCTAAGACACTGTGGAAGGACTGGAAGTCTTCCTCTCCCTGTGGACGGACAGTCACACGCTGACAAAGCTCTGTCAGAATCACCAGGTCGAGGATGATCGGGCTGGCGAGCAGAGAGTCCTGTTACAAAGACAGAAAGATGAGGTCGGTATAATGATATAATACAGGAATACACATTTATTAATACTGTAAATTACCCTTCCTATCCCAGGTTCTTAGGAACTTTATCTAAACATCCACGGATTACTTTTTTACTGGAGGCCCAAATCCAAAACAGCTCCATGGTTCGCAAATCATTTAAACCTTAAACTTATTGAAAATCCAGGATCCCTGATGGTATAGGGATGATAAGTGCTCATGGTTGCTTACATATCTGGACACTTTGCAGTATACACAGGTTTTGGAGCAGTGTGTTACACTTGCCTGCCTGCCTGATTTGGCACATTATAAAACAATAACAACCAAAGAAGAGACCCTGATCTGCTGAGGAGCTGAAATCCTTCATTGGGAACGAATGAACAAATATTTTTCAGACAAAAAAATTTAAATCAATAGTTGAAATGTCATCTTTGCACTATTTTCATTTAGATAACTGTTATTATAATTCGTAAACCTTCAAACTACATGCACTGCCAAGTTCCTGACTGTATTATTCTTTAATCCTAAGGGAATTAAATGCCAATATCAACAGTGCATTTAAGCACTTATGCATCACATGTCTAAAAACTGTACCTTCAGATAAACTCAAGTTGATTAAATTGACCCAAAAATCTTTTTTTTTGTGATAAAGAATATCTGGAGTACAAAAAATAGATGTCTTTCTTTCTTTCTTTTTTAAACCAGTCTGATTTTATACAAAGTTTGAAGAAAATGTGACCATCCCAGTTAAAGTATGAGACTGAAATATTCTGATTTATGTGTCTGTTTAGAATCTGGTCTTCTCTCATCCACCACTAGGGTGCACCAAAGTTTGATATTTTCAGATCTATCATACAGCGGCTCAAATTCTACTGAAAGAATCCAACAATCAGTTCACTGAAACTTGCTTTGCTGTGTGTAAAATGTAGTAGTAATACACATTAAATGTGTAATAATAAGCAGTTTCGGTTAGCTTATGTGAAGAAATGGCTGAGGGCAGGTGAAAGCAGTGAGTCAGCGACCTGAAGACATCTCTTATAATTAGCTCCTGGACTTGTTAAGAAGGATTACTATAAGCTCCGGCACTCTCAAGCCTCCTCCTCCTCCTCCTCTTCCACAGCTACAGTCAAATAAAGCAGCACAGATTGTGTTTAGTGAGCAGTTAGCGGGTTGGACCACTATGACCACTGACCTCACAGGTGTTGTGCAGTACGATGGTGTTGGTCCCTCCCATCATTATCTCAGAGGTGTACTCATCCATGGCACGCTTGCTGTCTCCCACATAAGGGACGTACTTGATCACCACCTGAAACAGCAGTTAATGAATTTGAAGGGCTGGTTTTTAAAAACACAAACATGTCGCTCGTTATCTTTCTGTGGGTCTGAGCAACTCACACAGTGGTCAGGTTTTTCTCCAGGAGAGTACAGTACAGGGTTGGACTGCACCATGTCATCCACCACGTTGCTCTTGGAGATCTCTTTGGAGCGGAACTGCTGCGGAGCAGAAAGGTTCTTCCCATCATTGTTGCCGAGGTGATTGTAGCTGACGATGGAGGTCGGCTGCGGGGGCGGGAAGAGCTTATTAGGGTAGGAAAATACCTCGCAGCGTAATTTCAAAGCTGTCATCCTTTTCTCAAATTAACCAGTTTGGCAATTAAGTAGGGTACTCTGAGTGCCACAAACTGCAGCTATGAGGAAACACACTGTGGGTTTATTCTTTTCTTGTTGAACACACCGCATATTCTTCTCTTTCTCTTACCTTGATACCCGTGCTGACCAGAAAGTCCACCAGCACAGACTTGATCTTAGTCTGTCCGGATTTGAAGTCATCTCCTCCAATGAACACCCCTCTCTGCACGGCCAGCTCCACGACCCCTGGGACGAAAGTGTTCTGCGGGGACCCGTTGATGTATGCGCAACCCTCCAGTATACTGGCCACTGCAAACAGAGTGGAGGGAGAAACCTCGGCTCCAGCCTGACAGATACAGGGGAAAAAAACTGTTGTGTCTCATCATATGAAACAAAGAGGGGAAAAACTTAACTCACGAGGCTGAAATTCTCCTGAGACTCTCCTCATCGTCTCCATTGCACATCTCTTTTGTGCTGCTTTTTAAAATAAGACGTTTGATAAGGATCACAAGTCTGAGAAATACACTATTTCAGCTGACATCACATCAGGCGCGCTGCGGGCAGGAGATGCAATAAAAAGTCACCCACAAGAGGCAAATCACAATTTTCCTCCCTGATGTGATTTAAAGGGAGACTCATTACACTCATTTTGGCAACCCATCTAAAACCCCACAGTGATGTATTACGAGAGCTGATCTTTCATCCTCTAAGCTTTATTAATCACCAAATGTGATGAAGGATTACCATTTGCTTCTCTGAATTAAGAGGAAATTAAAGTTTATCAGGTGATTCACAACCACCAGCCATCAACTCATTTGAAGTTGATTGGGAGTACAAGGGAAGCAGATCAAACTGGATGTTGTACTCAAAAGTATTATTGCTTGGATTTTTACAGCGGACTCTCGGCTCCCACCTGGATCGCAGCTAACAGGTTCTCTGCGTTGTTATTAACTCCGGGAATGATGTCACAGAAGCGCTCGGTGTTGGCGGTCCAGAGAACGATGACTTTGTCCACGCCGCTCGACTGATGGAAGTCTCTGATGTCAGCCCGGATTTGCTCCACCTGAAAAACAGCTTGCAGTTAGAGCCGCATAAATAAAACATGTTTGCTGTTCCCAAAACGAGCTGCTGAGACGCAATAAAAAGCAAAAAATTAGCATAATATTAAACTGTAAAAACATTAAAGGGAGTGACTAATGTTTTAACTCATTTGTTTTGATTACAGAAAATCTAAAAGCTATGTGAGGTGAGTTGGAAATGGGTGGGCACATTGTAACGTGTTGCTAGTTTCTCCTAGACCTGCTTTAATCCCACCCCTTTCCTATGTGAAGGTGTACTAACAGGATGAGTCAGCATTTCTAATGTGGTGACCCCCCCTCTTAGGCTTCATAATCCTTTCCCAAGAAACTGAAGAGGAATATTTTTTTCTTAGTTTATAATTGAAGTTATCACAACTAAAATTAAAGGGGGGGTAGGCAGGATCTGGGGAAGTGCCAGTTTTTGGGAGAAATCTTGAATGTAAACTCTACCCCTCCCAACCAGTTTTACCCTCAGCTCCTCCTCTCCCCTCCCTCTCTGCTACAGCAAGCCCCGCCCACAAACAGACGCTCCTGCTCGCTCGTTTCGTTTCAATTAAATTCAGATATAATGCAGATAAAGACTTCAGATAATTACAAATGGGGCCCAGTCTACGTGAAAGTAAAAAGCATTGGTGCTACTGTTGGTGCAAACACAATGTTTGCAGGACTTCTACAGGACTTCACTTGGCTTACTTTGTTAAAGTGTTTACCTGTCCAGCAGAAAGGTTACAGGGTCTGTAAGATCCCGAAGCATCCCCCAAATGCTGCATTGACGTTGACCCGGCTTTCAGTTCTTGTCCAGTCTACCTTCAATTTAAGCGCCCGTTATTTCGCCAGAGTCTCCGGTATTTACTTTGTTGTCTTGCTTGTGTCAGCGGTCGTAGCTAAAGGAGGATTTAGACAATTTTCTGTACTTTCTGGTTGGTTTCTACTGTCCGATATTCTAGCACGCTAACTTTGTTTTGGGTTTTTGAACATTACTCAAGGTCGTGGAGCGTGCTTCAAAACATGGGAGAGCAGTGTCCGCCTCACAACCAATCAGGTCGGGGAGGTGGAAAACGGCTTTGTTTACAGTCAGAAAGAAAAAAATTAAAATGTTGACTACACAGACATAACAAAACACAGCGATATCATTATATTCCCTAATTTCATCAATAACTAAAACCTATTGACTGATATTAAAAGCTTTTTTTTATATACACCACAAAAAAAGATGCTTCTTTAACGGATACCCCAAATTTAACAGATAAGCTTAAAAAAAACAGAGTCTCAAATTTGCTTCATTGAGCAGGACATAACAAAAGTAGGCTGCAGCTAACATCTGCAAAGTTTTAAGGTTTGGATTCCTCACGGTTTTAACTGCAACCCTGTCCGACTGCCAGTCATTTAAGGCTGATAAGTAACCATGGCAACACACATCAGCCAGCTCACTCTTTGATTAGACACCTCAGTGGTGCAGCTATGGATTGTTCTCCTTTAACCAACAGTATCAGAGCATCTCATTGAAACACAGAATAAGCAGGTCAATCACCAACCATTACCTGCTCTGCCATGGTTCCCATGAGGACATTGTCAGCACGACTCTCCTGGTTGGCAGCAATGAATTCTGGGATATAAATAGATGGTCTGGGTTTCATGCAGCTCATGTGTGGGCGCAGTTGCTCTTGTAAAGACCAGTCAAGCACCTGAGCTCTCTCCATCGCACTGCCAAGATCCAGAGAGGAGATATCCCAACCTGTAAACACAAAAAGCATGCTTCAGAGTAAAAATGTGCCGCATGGTTTAAACTTCTGACATCCTCCACTACAAGACTGTAGCGATCCTGGAGCAGATCTCCCCTTATGAAGTAACAGACTAGACTTTGACCATCTTCACCTTATGGAGGGAGGCAGCCCTCAGAAGCTGCCCTCAGGTCAGATTTTCCTGCTGTTACCTCACTTGCTCTCTTTCAAACACAACTCAGTTTCTGTGTCAGAGGTTATACCACGAGGAGGAGCGTACCGTCAAAGATAATATCATTAGGATGCACCATGGGTAGGAGGTCATGGAAGGGCACGTTGACATCACCCTCCAGCCCTGATCCAAGACACACAGTAGACGCCTGCAGGAAGGAGCCGAAGTAGTTTGCTTTCTGAGGAGCGTGAGAGAGAAGAACACAAACTGAGTTTTCTGTATGATTTATTTTCTTATGAAGTGTTTTATGAGATTATTAAACCCTTTAAATAAAAGAAAGATGGCTAAAATGGAAATGGCAGATTGAGGTAGAATACATATCCATATAAGGGAATTTTCCCAAGACCCAATTCAACTAAGCCCTTAACACTCCGCTGAACATGTCAGCATAACCAGCTTATAATGAGTCTCTCCTGTTGTATCATGGGACATACAGTAGGCTATATTTAAAAAATAGGACAAGAAGTTTCTCCTTCATGGCAGCCTCATCCTATTACGGTCCATTAAAAAGATTTCCCCTACCATCTGGACTTTTTAGCACTTTTTAAATGATTTATAGCGGTAAGAAACAGTTTACATGCTTTAGCAGCTTAACTAAAGACATGTTTTACAAAAGGGATTATATGGGATAATTTTCTGCTTTTGTCCACCTTAAGGCAGTCAGAGGTCTAAATTCATTTGTATGTAAATCACTGCAGGTTAATCCACACGATAAGAATCATCTAAGTTATATAATCAGTGTTTCTCTTGAATGGAAGTCATCTCCAAGCAGAAAAAGCACTTACTTGTATGGTTGTTGTCATTAGTCTCTTACCATCTCTTTCTCCCTCTATCCCCTCTCTAATGACGGATGACTGTCTAACATGAGTCTGGGTCCACTTTAGGTCTCTACCTGTTAAAAGGACAATTTCCCTCTCCACTGTAACTTGCTAAATGCTGTTAAGAGCTGCACTCATGGAGGATAAAATGGAAAGATGGAATTAGAGTGGGTCTGATCTGAACAAAATGGGACTCAATCTTATCCCACTTTGATGCTGGGTCTCTGTAAATAAAACTGAAGAGTATAGTCTAGACTAGCTCTATTTGTAAAGTATCTTGAGATAACATTGTGATTGGTGCTATAGAAATAAAGATTGATTTATTGATTGATAGGAGAGTGGACAACTACTAAAGGTTTGGATGCTTCCCCGCTTAAATCTATCCCATTTGTCTTACCAGAAAAATGTTATCTCATTGTTCATTTCAATCACGCATTAACTCAAACAGTGCTCGTTCATGCCCCCCCGCTCACCTTCAACCCTGTCTTGGACCTCCAGGTGAGGCCCAGCTTGTTGGCCAGTACAGCTGCTGTAACTGTGGTTCCGTTGTTCCCTCCCCAGCCCACCAGCATCACACCCAGCCTGGGCACACGCCTCTCTGTGCAGAATGTCATCTCGGTGGTTTTGGGGGTCACCTGTTCCCATAAAAGCAAAATTATAATGAAACTGTAGGGGAGAGTGGGGTAAGATGAGCCATTTTTCATATTTCAGATCTCTACATCAAGGCAATCATAGTTTTTTCTTTAACTGGTGTCTCTATATATTTCAAGATGTTGTGCATCCCTGCAATCCAACAGAATGAGTGTACACATAAATGTCTTGATAATATAGCATGCCAAAAAAAGTGGTCTCCCATGGGAGCGGGGTAAGTTGAGCCATATCTCCACTACCCCCCAACTCTCCACCCCAGCCCTCCCTCACCTTCTCTCTCCTTAAATAACAGTCACTTCTTCACACTCGTGTGTATTTTTATCTATTACATGCTATTCAACTGGTACAATAATTCTTTTTATCATTATTATTGCATATAACTTGTAAAAGGCCATCCTCTGGACTGTTGCTGCAGACATGAACATCAGCCTCACCAACATCAATAACATAAGGCTAGAATTAACTACTATTAGGCCTGCTGATTGTAATCACATTAAATTATTTTAACATCGTCCATAATTACTTGTATCCTAATCCTGTAAAACTGAATTCATTTTGTTTCATCATTGCAGCAGCTTGGTGGCTGTCTAACATGAGTCTGGTCCTATTCAAGATTTCTGCCTGTTAAAAGGAAGTTTTTCCTTGCCACTGTCACTCATGTTAGATAAGATGGGACAAATCCCATCTTAGGTTGGGTCTTGATAATTCATCAAACAATGGGCATGGTCTAGACCCGCTCTTTTTCGTTAGACAGCGTCTTGGAATGACGACTGTTGTGAATTGGCGCCATCAGACTCCTTTAGTTTTGTAGTTGAGCCACTGACTCGACTTACCCCTGGCTAAATGGCTCATTTTACCCCTGAACTACTATTATGACTATTAGTCCTCTAAGCTAAAATGGTGGACTGTTAGTCTAGGTTTTTGACCTCATGTTTTAGCTCATAGATACCACAATTAATAATAAAACAAATTTAAAATGATCTTTTTTGGTCTGAACACAATTCTAATCAAACTTATGACAGACTAAATTCACTTTCAAGAGTGAAAAACTGTTTTTTTTTTTGTAAATAAATGTCTAACTCCTTCACCCGTGTACTTCTAACCTTCACAGACTCCATGAATTGATGCCCATCTCCTAAATATTTGGTCACATGATCAATTCCTTTTACCATTTCCAACTAACAGGAGGTGACTCAACTTACCCTTTGGCTCAACTTACCCCACTCTCCTCTGCTGTGAGACACCTTTACACAGAATTGCATAAGAAAGATGAACTTACAGTGACGCTGTTCCCATCTCTGTGCACTGATGAGGTCTGGTAGGAATACTGAGACACAATGTGAGTGTCTGTGTATTTTACATTAGGGCTGTTGATGTGGATGTTCACAGACATGGCTGCAGGGTCTGTAAAGAGAAGATGGGAAACAATGAGGACTTCTGTTTCTGTGAGTGTGTGTGGCATCATGGGTACAGCTGCATTTCCTCATCACTTCTGTCTCAAGCTTGCTAAGATGAAAGATTTAAAAAAAGGTGGAAGTTTCCTTTACTATCGCTCCCCTTTTGTTTACAACACCGTTATTACCATCAGAAACATTACCACCCGAGTATTTTTGGCTCTTTTGTCAATTAAAAACGTAAAAAAACGACATGAACCAATGACTCACTCGCCTATTTTAAGCTCAACCCGGAAACCCCTTACCTTTCTCTACCCCACGATGTAAGTCACGATGTAACCACGCTAAAAACACTTCCCGGTGTGTCTTGCAGTCAGTTTATCCGCGTGTTTGGATGGAAGTTGCGACGTCTTTCCGTTTTAAGGTGCCGGCAGCCCGTGTTGCACGATTATTTTATCAACCCTTCTTCAGCCAATCAGGGCGCGCCTAATCTCTTACGTAACCTGTGAGGATGTAGAGGCTTGACAACCGCGTGGCAACTGCAGCGAATGGAAGAGATTTGCGTTCAGTCGCGCTGCCGGTGGGCGGGGCCTATACCATGGCGTGGGCAGGGCGGCTGCAGAGTGGTTAGGAATCATCCCTGGACAATATAGACAGGCTGTGTATGGCACCACTTTTGTTATATTCTTAGAGTTTTCCATAAGAACAATCCTTACAACGCTTTGTTGTAGGGGAGAGTGGGGTAAGTTGAGCCAAAGGGGAAGTTGAGCCACCTACTGTTGCTTGGAAATGGTCAAAGAAATTGATCATGTGACCAAATATTTAGGAAATGAAGCATCAATTCATGGAGTCTGTGAAGGTTAGAAGCACATAGGTAAAGGGGTTAGAAACATTTTTCACTCTTAAAAGTGAATTAAGTCTGTCATAAGTTTGATTAGAATTGTGTTCAGACCAAAAAAGATCATTATAAATTTGTTTTATACATCAATTGTGGTGTCTATGAGCTACAACTTGAGGTCAAAAACCTAGTATAAAAGTCCACCATTTTAGTTTAGAAGACTAATGAAGCCATAATAGTAGTTTTGGGGGAAGTTAAGCCAGTGGCTCAATTGAGAAGGTAAGAAAGTAATAATAATAATAATAACAATAATACTAACTTTTTTGATATAGCACTTTTAAAAACAGAAGTTTACAAAGTGCTTTGTCAACAGTTGTAAAGGACAGAACATCAGCACATGAAAATAAAAACAGATAAAAACAAAAGCTCAGTTAAAAACAAGGCCTACGAATTGAAGGCCAATTTCATTTTTCATAAGAAACTCAGACAATACAAGAACCCTACAACATAAAATGAGACCATGAGGACCAAAATAAAAACATAAAATAGGTAAGAAGAAGAAATGAAATAGAAAAGGGGGCCAGAAAGCAGGAAACAGGATAGTAAGTATAAAAGAGGATATTAATAATGATAATAGAATCATAATAAAAAAATAATTATGATGAGAGGATCAGAGTTTCAGTTCAGATTGTTTAAATGTTTTACTTTTTCTTTTCAAAAATACAGCTGTGAATGTTCTGAATCACTTAGAGACATTCTCATGTTAAAATGGCTTTTTACAAACAGCTTTTTAACAGTTATATGCAATAATACTAAAAATAATTATTGTACCAATTGAATGGTGTAGATAAAAATACACATGAATGTGAAGAAGTGATTGATATTTAGGGAGAGAACTCACCCCAAACATGGGGTAAGTTGACTAAAAGAATTATTGTTCCTGTTGAATAATGTATAATAAGATAAGTTGACCATAGGAGACCACTCTTTTTTGGCATGCTATTTTATCAAGACAGTTATGTTTACTCTCATTCTGGGATGCACAACATCTTGAAATACATGCAGATACACTAGTTAGAGACAAAACTATGATTGCCTTGATGTAGTGATCTGAAATATGAAAAATGGCTCATCTTACCCCACTCTTCCCTACTTTAAAAGCTTCAAAACAATCACTCATGAGCTTATCATCAGTCCTAACTTTGAGTGCTGTGTGGAACCTTTTTCACTTTCATCATAGTAATCACCCACATACAGATAAATTAATCATTTCCTTTTGAAGCATCAGTCAGCCGTCCTCATTCAAAAAGAGCCTGAATTTCAATTGAGAGAGACAACACTGAATGCAAAAACCTCACAAAGAACAATTGGTTACAAAGCAAGCCAGACACAGAAAACAGTCAGCTGACAGAGAAGAAAAGAATCAGCTTCTTATCAGCAAAGTCAGCATAATATGGCACCACTCTGAATATAAAGGAGAGAAGCTTTTACCTGATCTTTGGATGGAAAGACTCTCTCACAGTCAGATTTCTTATCAGCCTAGTATCGCAGCCATTTTACGTATTTTATCAGGGAAATACACCAATCAGCTGTGACATTACGTCCTCTGAATGATAGGTGTAAGGGGTAGAAAATGGGAGGAAAGGGCCAATGAAACCTGAAACAAAAATGTAACTATAATTTTCAAAAGATGATGACTTCTATAGATGGCTACAGATGAAGTGTTGATAATGGTTCTTGTGTCTGTCTTAACATTATGGTCTCAGTAGCTACATTTCTAAGCATCAGTACTTCACAATAGGTATCATTTACGGGGGGAGCTTATCACTCTTACTCCACTGAATTTGGATGACAAATATTGTAATCATGACTCCACAGGGGATTTTCTTCTCCAAAATATGATCAGTAATCTGATGGTGTTGTTCTATGTGTTGTTTGTCCAGGTGGAGTTGCTATATCTGTCTCTATGTTGCCAAATGCAGGCAGCTCAGTTCAGTGGTGGTGCAAGACAATGATTCTTAAGCCCCAATTTATGGTTTTTGACATGAAAAATAATTCATATTATTTTGATGTTGGCTCTGTTTAACATGCACAAACCTCACAAACTTTATAAACACCTTATAACAATGCCAACTCATGACAGGAAACAGCCTTATACTCCTTTCTTTCAGATATCTTAAGTAAGGAATCATTCTCGATATCTATAATTTAATCTTTTTTTCCAAAAGTAAATTGACAGAAAGGAAAATACAAATGCCAATATTCACATTTGGCACTTTGGTTCGTGAAATGCATTCTCAGATCTCCACAATAAGGATTAGGATCAGAAACAATTCAACTGCAGTTTTTGGTTTTCCGAAATCTGAAATTTCCAACATGTAAAAGCTGGACTGTATCAGGACAATGATTTTTTTTTCTGAGAATAAAATCTCTTGCCCTAAAATTTAGATAATAGATAAGAAGAATTAAGTTGTGGATAACAGAAGTGCTCATTTCAGCCTGAAATAATTGAATCACAGACAGGTCGATTTATAATAGATATCCAGTTGGGCAATTAAATATCAAAATGGTTTTCAATACCCCAAGTTTGATACAGTGAAATGATTTTGGGATATCATTTAAAAGAGCAATTTGCTAGTCATAAGAGCTTTTGTAAAAAACAAAAATCTCGAGTTGTAGCCCTTTATTGCCTTTTGTATCATATTTGATACATACTTTTATGATACTTCTATCAAATCAATATGATTAACAAATTACTGAAAAACACCTCAATACAGTCTGATAAATGATAAAAATGTCCTTTTGTGGCTTATCAGTTCCCAAAAACATCTAATGTATCAAACAAGGTAAATAAATATATTTGTTAAATTTTTAAGGAGATTTAGATTTTTTGGTTTTTAGTTGTAAGTGAAATAAACATTTCAGCTCCAAGAAATTTTGAATTCTTGGCCATAATTTGTGGTTTCGGGCATTAAAGGGTTCTTACCAATCAAAAATACGTATTTATAATGAGAAATACTGCTTTGGATATGAGATCTAAACTGTTATTGCAGAAAGCATAGACGGCTGAATAGACGGACTGCGTTCTTGCCATAGACGCCCTCTGATTGGCTAGCGTGTGTTTACGTAGCAACGGTCCGGAAGATGTCGCTGAGGCCAGTCCTAAAAAACTTCCGCCTTAAGTTGTAAAGAAAACATTGCAGCTAAAAGGCAATCGACGGCGTAACCAACCCATTTAAGAAGCCAGAGCGAAGGTAGATACAAGTACACATTTGACACACGTACACCGACTCACGCGTCTGCCATAAAGCTGTTTGTTGGCGTGTTTAAGCAGATGAAAAAGTACAAATCTGTCATTTACTGAAGCTAGCTCAGAGGCTGCGCCGTTAACTGCTAGCACTTCGCTACCATCGGTTTCATCGGCCACAGGCCTCTTATTGGTTTCTTAACGGCTCCATCGTGATAAAATTCTCACCAGTTTAGGTCAATAAGTACTGGGATGTAGCATTTATAAATTATCCTGCCTACGAAAAACAGTTAAACTCAGATAAACGCCCTAAAGCTACTTTCTTAGCTACGTCCAGTTAGCCGGCTAGCTCTTACACGGGGCTGAGTGCTTTCAGTTTGCTTGTTAGTTTATGCTGATAAAAAGCCAAAATGAGCATAACAGACGGAAAATCTTCCTATTTCAGCTTACAAATATACAAGTAAAGCTGGTCACACTGTCAAATGCTACCGATCGCATGATTGTTAGCCTTGAACCAGTACTCAATATTGTTTTATTCCCTGTTTAATGTATTTAAGCATGTATGAAAACAAGGAAGAAGAGAAATCTGCTATATGTCTCCTAACATACAGTACGTGATCACAAAACTGAGTGGCACAATTGTGTTTCGACTAATGAATGTGGAAGTTAGAAGTTTTAAGTATTTGTAATGGAGAAATATCCAGAATATACAGTGGATATAGAAAGTCTACACACCCAGGTTTTTGTCATGTAAACAAATTAAATAAAGATAAATAATTTCACAACTTTTTCCACCTTTAATGTGACCTATAACCTGTACAACACAATTGAAAAACAAACTGAAACCTTTAAGGGGAAAAATATAAAATAGAAAAGTTAAAATAACCTGGTTGCATAAATATACACACCCTTAAACTGATACTTTGTTGCAGCACCTTTGGCTTTTATTACAGCACTCAGTTCTTTTGGGTAGGAGTCTATCAGTGTGGCACATCTTGGTATGGCAATATTTGCCCACTATTCTTTGCAAACCGCTCCAAATCTGACAGATTACGAGGGCATCTCCTGTGCACAGCCCTCTTCAGATCACCCTACAAATGTTCGATGGGATTCAGGTCTGGACTCTGGCTGGGCCATTCCAAAGTCTCAATCTTATTCCGATGAAGCTGTTCTTTTGTTGATTTAGATGTGTGCTTAGGGTCATTTTCATGCTGAAAGATCAAGTTCCTCTTCATCTTCAGCTTCCTAGCAGAAGGCAGAAGGTTTTGTGCCAACACTGACTAAGGCACCAGTTCCAGCTGAAGAATAACAGCCCCAAAGCATGATGCTGCCACGACCGTGCTTCACTGTGGGTATGGTGTTCTTTTGGTGATGAGCAGTGTTGATTTAGCGCCAAATATACCTTTTGCAATGATGCCTAAAAAGTTTAACTTTGGTTTCATCAGACCATAACACATTTTCCCACATCCGTTTGGGAGATTTCAGATGTCTTTTTGCAAAATCAAGCTGGACTTTGATGTTTTTCTTTGTAAGATAAGGCTTCCATCTTGCCACCCTACCCCATAGCCCAGACATATGAAGACAGCGGGAGATTGTTGTCACATGTACTACACAGAAATTCCTGCAGCTCCTTCAATGTTGCTGTCGGCCTCTTGGTAGCCTCCCTGACCAGTTTTCTTCTCGTCTTATCATCAATTTTGGACCGGCGTCCTGTTCTTGGTAATGTCACTGTTGTGCCATATTTTCTTCACTTGATGATGACGGTCTTCACTGTGTTCCATGGTATATTTAATTCCTTGGAAATTCTTTTGTAGCCCTCACCTGACTGATATCTTTGAATAATGAGAATAATGGAAGCTCTCTGCGGACCATGGCTTGTGCTGGAAGATGTGGCTACAAAAATGTCAGGAAAAGCTACTAGAACAGCTGAACTTAATTTGGGGTTAATCAGAGGCACTTTAATTGGTGACAGGTGTGTGGTGACTCCAATTTAACCTGAGTTTGAATGTTATTGGTTAAATCTGAACACAGCCACATCCCCATTTATTAAAGGGTGTGCACACTTATGCAACCACATGATCTCAGTTGTTTATTTTTACTTCACCTCCCTGAAAGATTTCTGTTTGTTTTTCAATTGTGTTGTAGAGGTTATAGGTCACATTTAAGGTGGAAGAAGTTGTGAAATTATTTATCTTGATTTAATTTTTTTTACCTGACAAAAAACTGGCAGTTGAAAAAGGGTGTGTAGACTTTTTATATCCACTGTATGTGAGGTATTACAGGTGAAGTGCCACGGTTAGAAAGCTCCATTTCATACAGCTCTATTAGAAAATGTGCTGGTCTGTATAAACAGTATAAACAGATACTTCCAACCCTCCCAAATACCAATTGTAATGCCTAATCTCTACCCTAACCCATGCCAAGTACCAGTGTGATGCCAAGGCTTTTCCCAGCGGTTTAAAGTTGAAAACTTTTAATGCTGCACTGCAAGGAGCTCTGCAGAATCATTTTTGTAAGGCAGCATAACATCAGAGATTGTAGATAGCCAAAAACTGACCTTCATAATAACTCTGCAAAAGAAGCTGTATCCAATCTGGACTGCTCACTTAATAGCCAGAACCCAGCCGGCACTAGAACTATACTGTGATCAGCTCTCTGAATCCCTAAAGAATCACATTACAACCTTATTGAAAATACTTACTATCTAACTACGGTGTACAACTCTGAGGGCTAGAATAGCTTTGTTTGCCTCTTTGTTATGTTATCTCCAAGGCTAATTTTTGGTGATAAAAAGTAAAGTGATCTCATTATCTTAAGAAAAGACGGACTAAGCAACCATATGGCGTCTACATATATTTTGCCGATGTTTAAACTTGTCTCTGTTCACAAATGCAGATCTAGGATGTACGCACGTGCGTCCAAATGGAAATAAAACAACAGCTAGGTTTTTAAAATAAAAGCAACACACTTGTATAGCATGTTGATGATTTGATTGACGGACCTCAAGAAGGGCAGGGCAGGGACATCCAAAGGGCCGTAAAATGCCCAGGTGTGGTCTAGACTAACTGCTGGATTAATATCACAATTTCTTACATTGTTAAGCTGCTAAAGCTGTCCAGATTTTGGACTTAAAAATATTAGCGATAAGAAAATCTGAGTAAAAATCATTTTGTTATTAGAAAATAATTATCTTATCTTGGGACAACAAAGCTTGTTTTGTCAATATTATATTACAGTGACCATTTACACTTGCAGCAAACCTTAAAAAAAGGCAAAAGTCGTGCAGAAAATTTGTCCGATATTTATCTAAAAACAAATAAAAATGAACGTCCAAGGTTTCATTAATACTCTGCTGATTTTCTTTTTTTTTTAACCAGGCTCTTGTCACTCTGGAGCTGGTGTGGTTTCCGGAGAGTGTGTGAGTGTGTGTGGGTGAGTGTATGTGTGAGTGTGTGTGAGCTGCAGATTCCTCCTCACCTTTTCACCAACAGCTGCTCCTCCCTGGAGGATGACAATGGAGGAGATGAAGAATGAAGCGGAGACAAACTCCATGGTATCCATGACGCTGTACGCTGTGATGTACCCAGTTTTCAATGAGGTAACACATCTGGTTTGGACAGATGGCACCTTAAGCACATTATTAATCTCGCTGTTACTGAGTGCTTGTTTGGATCCTGTTTCACCTTTTTATTCAGGGTTACTTTGAATTTTTAGGTACCAGAATGTGAATCTGTGGAAACTCTGCGCTAACATGTTGAATCCATGGCAACAATGTTTTAATAGATGCAAGTTTAAAGAGGGCATGAGGCTGTTTGTGAACGACCAAGACTGATTCCCGCTGCAGTTTTAATAAAGCCTCATATCACAAACAAATTATATCCCACATATCTTTTAGCGATATCAAATCAAATCTCTGTGGTTGATTAAGATAAGCATTCCAATATTTGTTACAAATGAGGACAGCGATTGGGTTCAACTAAGAACACAGCCGCTGTTGAAGCACCTGCGAGTTTGAATCGTAATGCCATGAAACAGCATTTAAACGTCCTTTTATATGTTGAATTAATGTTTTTTTTCTTCACCAGCTGGAAAGGATCAACCTATCAGCAGCTCAGACCCTCAGAGCAGCCTTCATAAAGGTACGTCTGAATCACACGACATTCATTCAAGATGATTGTATTTTTAATTTTGTTTACCTGCATGCGCAAGAAGGTGAAGTGCTGTTCCCTCAGCTTACAGCTTTATAACAGAGAAGAAAGGAAGGATGTGTACATATATGTAAGACGACCTCCTTTTTAAAACAACCATGATAAAATAACTTCAAAACTTTCTGAACAGAAACTTAGGAAATAAAAACCACCAACATATCAAGCCCTTTAAAAATGACTGGTTGAAGTTAAAGCTTCATTATACATTTAAAATAAACTACAACTTCATTTGAATTTGCATCTGCATCAAAAACATCAATGAATTCAAACTCTGAATGTGCTACATGTCGATTGCTCATGTTGCTAATATGTAGGGCTGGGCGATAAAACGATTACGATATATATCGAAAATTAATTTCCATCAGTATCAATATAAAACATGGTCAATATGCTTTTTGATAGTCATCATTCTGCCATGTTTTGGTAGACTATACGAATAGCCAATGAAAAGGGGAATTTCTCCAGGTCTACTTCATGCTGAACCAATCATGTACTGCATTAGAACCAAGTAGCAAACAACTGCGTAGTAGCAGGATACAGCTACACACAACCATAACACTTTAACACGTGAAGCTGACAACTGTTGGTGAGAAAATAAGAAAAGAGTGCTACCCTAGACAGAAATGCAGATGAAGGCTCAACAGATGACGACACCGTCAACAACACTGGCACGAAAACATCGGTGGTGTGGAGGTACTTTGGTTTTTTGAGGTCGGACATGAAGCAGAGTAATGTTCTTGCAAAGTCGGGGAATACCTCAAAACTTTTTCACCACCTGAAGCAGTGCCACACGGCAGAGCACGCGCAACGCAAAAGGTTACAAACCCTGAGCGGAGCAAGGGGCTCATGCCGCCTGTGCAGCCGAAACAGCCAACCATTCAGTCCGTTTTCTCTAGGGCAGCACCTTACGACAAAACATCAAAGAGACACAAAGACCTCACAGATGCAGTAGCTTTTCGTATTGCAAAGACATGCTACCAATAAACACTGTTAAATGTATTTATTTATGTCGTGACTTTTATCGATATCGACTGTTATGAAAAAAATATATTGTGATAAACTTTTTCCCGTATCGCCCAGCCCTACTAATACGATAGAATTGTGCTGTTCAGCCTCGGCATTCATGCATTACTGAGTACTTTATCATTTTAAAGACAGGGCAACGCAGACCAGACCTGGCTCCACCGAGGAGCTAATTTGAGGAGCCGTTTGAGCCGATTGGTTCTGCTGTCGAGTCTTGTGGGTCCTGTTATGTAATGTAATATCTCCAGGAAAGTCGCATCATTGAAATGAGATCACGGGTGCATAAACACACTATGATTGTCTGAATTTTTCATGAAATTTTATTGGCAGTCAGCATGCATGAAAAAGAATCAGCTGCTTGGGAGGATGGCTAAAAGTGCAAAGACATCTTAAATTCAGCATAATTTGACCAAAATTGAAGATAATGAGGGAGCAAAATGTAATTTGCACAATAATTGATTACAAGGGGAGAGGGTGGGCGCTGCTGCCGTTACTCAGCACATCAGCATTTTACATCAAATCAAACCAAAATGTGTTACTTTTGACTGTTTTTGGGGATGAAATAAGCTTTTCCTTGTACCATCTTGTAATGCTACCAGCCACTTGTGGGGTCATTGAGCTCATCAGTAGTTAATAATGATTATCCACTGTTGAAATCCATGTTGGCATCAGGGGGGAGAGGAGGAGCTGAGGGGAAAACTAGTTGGGAAGGGTAGTGTCCACGTTTAAGATCTCTCCCAGAATTTTCTTGAAGACTCCAAAATCACAGACAAGGACTGGGAGGTCTGTCCCCTTCTCCAGTTAGATAAATATCTGCTCCTCACACTAGCAATAATTAGAACTGAAGAAGAGGCGAAACGTCTTCTCAACTCTACACAGTCCAGTTGCCTGATTTTGGAGTCTTCTAGAAAACCATGACCTGGATGAATGAGAATCTACATGGACATCTCTCTCAGAAACTGGCTCTTCCTCAGATCCTGCCCACCCCACCTTTTAGTGTTAAAAGTCAGTATGATGAGATGTAGTGGACAAGAAAAATAAAGGGAGCTTTTTTCCACAGGGGGGTTGCCAATGTTGACACAAATGGAAAGTTCCTTACAGGTGCTTTAATAAAACGACTATTAGGAATAGATAAATGGAGGTCTGCCTGTTCTTTTCAAATGAATTGTCTTGTTTTTCCATCAAATGACTCTAGTGGGTCTCGGAGAGTCTAGATAATTGTACTTCTATCGACTGAAATCAACAACCCCTGCGAACAGACTGCCAGAGAAGTTGGAATAAGCAGTAGATTTGTTTCTCTCTGCGGTCTTATATATCTGCTCACCAACAGACTCCTGCTGTCGAGTCTATTAGCAAACTTTTCGGTGAACTTTCTTTTCCTGAATTTTGAACTTTTCTTTAACTCACTTTTATCGCATATCAAGTCATTTAACAAAAAGCGAAAAATTGACATACAGAAACTAGAATACGGAGAGTATGATAGCAAAAAACGCTCTTCCCTGTCCTGATTTTCAGTGTTGGTTGTGCTCCACAGCAGCTCAAGCACATTTGTGATGAATAATCTATGAAGTCATAAAATGCTCTGATTAGTTTTTAGATTCTCTCTTTTGTTATCAGTCATGCAGACTCTAGTAGGTTGGGTTTATACGTGTTCATTACCCTCAAGCAACCCCATTTGCATGATTGATATTTTAATGGATGAACTCAGCTGACATCAATATATCCACATTGCTGATATTCAGACTCGTGTATTGATTTCACAAGTGATACCTGAATGCGGTCATTAGACGTGACTTTTAGGAAAAATCCATACACTGCTGTGATTGCTGCGGAATAATGAAAGCGCGATGGCCATTGATTCCTTCTGTTCTGCCGGCGCTGATGAGCTGTAGTATTCACTGAGAGCTCAGATGAAGTATTAATGAAGGAGAAGCAGCTTTGTCGTTCTCCAAACCAAAGGGAGCCGCGCTCACCTTACAGCTGTTTTACTGTGACATTTGTGGCTCTTTTGTTCACTTGTCTCACTGATTGGTGTCTCTGCTGCCCCCGCTGCTTCCTGGCTGCTGTAATTCATGGTTGAATAATTCAGGAGCAGCGCTTTTGTGCATTCGTCTGAACTTACATTTAATAAAATTCTCTCTTTGTTCTCTGCAGCTCAAAGCCTCGCGCTGCTTTTGTTGGAGAAGAAAAACTTCCTTATTTTTCCTCTCATACGAGTCCCTTCATTCTCTTCCCACCCAATTATGCTCCTCTTTTTTTTTTTGTCAGGCGGAGAGGGAGAACCCCGGTCTGACTCAGGACATCATAATGAAGATCTTGGAGAAAAAGAACGTCCAAATAAACTTCACTGAATCTCTACTGCGCATGGCTGCTGACGATGTGGAAGGTAAGGTCGTGAGAGAAAGAAGGGGTTTGATGTTGTGTTGGAAATGCTTATTTCTGACAGCATGGTTTATTGGTACACGCCGTCACTCTCTTCTCTATAAATCATGGAGTGTCTGTACTAAACCGCCTCTTTCTGCAGAGTTCATGATCGACCGGCCTGAGCAGGAGTTCCAGGACCTAAACGAGAAGGCCAGAGCCCTGAAACACATCCTCAGCAAAATCCCTGATGAGATCAATGACAGAGTACGCTTCCTACAGACTATCAAGTAAGTGGGAGCGCACACACAAACACACAAACACACACACACACAAATAAATGCACAATCGCACTTGTGTTTGGGAACACTAGTCTAAGCAATTAAAGATCCTGACAGAAGGAAACAACATGAGGGAGTGCAAACAGGACATAGTGCTGTCATAGTGTCGTTTGTGGTTCTCTATCATCAATATTACCCTGTAGTAGGGCCTTGTTGTGATGGGAGCACCGGGCGCCTTTCATTGACAGAGGGAGTGTAGACCTGCAAGAGGGACTGCAGGTGGGCAGGAGCTGGTTTTTAAGCAGTCTGGTTTGCAAGAAGTTAGGGTTGTATAAAGGGATGATGTTTAAACGACCATTTTGAAACCGAATATTCGGATACACGAAAATTAATTAACTCCCAGAAAATAGCCCAAATTGAGCACCATGCTTATGATATCAAAATGTGTTACAGAATCTTATTTAAGCACTTGAGAATGACAAAGTGACATAACGTGCTCAAGCCAAGCAGCCTTCTGCGTCATCGGCCTGCCTCACGCCATAAGTCAGAAAACATCACGTTCAACAATGTTTATTTTCCAAACTAGATTTAAACTTTTCTCTTTTTTCTCACCTACATCGCTCTGGTTGATCGCATGTGCTGATTCACTCTGAGGAAGTTTAACCCATGATGCCATGCATGCTGCAGGCCAGCGCTGCAAGCCCAGAGCGGCAAGCCAGGCAGAAAGAGTCGCACGCAAATGATCCACACATTTTAGCTTGTTTAATGCACACTTTTATTAAGACATGACGGTAAAAATGTAATTTAAAGAAAAAAAAAGAGAAGCAGGAAGTCGGTGCAGAGAGGAACAGCAGAGTGATATGTGCTGTTGTGGGCTGGTGGAAAACCAGATAGGCTGGTCCTTAATGGCACAGGTTTCTGCTAGTAAGGAGTTGCCGATGCGGGATATTTTGAGAGCCTCTACCACCCACAACTTGCTAAGGCTGTGGCTGCCTTAAGGCTAAAACATACAGGATGCGTATTTGGAGCGTGGCAGCAGCGTTGCGTATCACACAGCAAATAGGTTGCCATTTAAATCAATCCAGCAAAGCAAACAGGACGCCTATCAGCTCCGTCACACCATTGTATTGAGAGCAGCACTGCTAAAGATACGCGACGAAGTCTATGTCTGCTGCTCTACTCTTCCAATGCGAGTCCAGCTGACCGGGGCTGCACTACGATGCTGCCACGCTCCATATACGCATCCTGCATGTGATACCTAGAGCTGCTCTACGGAGCAAACACAGAATGGGCTTAATACGCATCCTGTATGTTTTAGCCTTAATGCTATACTACTCAGATGTAAACTAGCACAGATTACAGATTGCAGGTACAGTTTGGTGGAATTAAACCCAGAGATTGAATAGAGGCTGTGTCTGGTTAAGCGATCATATAACCACTCAGCCAGAGCAGAGTGCTCACGTGCTCGGCCTTGACTGTTTTCTTACCTCCGGACTAGTCACTTCCCATTCGAATCCCTCGGAAACTAGTCGCTTTGGAACATCCTTACCTGCAGTGCTCTCATATTGGTGTCCCAGCATGTGATTTTTCATTGTGTTCCTGTGTTGTCAAAGCAAAAGAGGATAGACAGGTAAACAAACAGCAGGGGCCTCACAAATACACCCACGCGCACACCGCATTGTTCTGACCCGCCGGCTCTGTCTCTAACAAAATTGCAGTTTTGCTTTTATGTCTCTGTTACCATCTCCAGTGGGGGGCCCAGCAGCAGAGCGGTTTTTATCCAGCATTACGCCGCTGTGCGTTTGATAATGCAGCCGGGGTGTGACAGCCCTGTGTTAGCATGGAGGGTGAGAGGAGACCACACATGGAGCTGCGAGAAGATGGCTGATGACTTTACTCATTAGTAGTTTCATACAGAACTCACTCTCACTCCTTAATTCTAGTTATCAATCAATCAATCACTTTATTTATAAAGCACTTTTCATACATGGCTTGTATCACAAAGTGCACAGGGGATACAAAATAAAATGCAAACAAAACACAAACTGCAAAAACCCCACTCAGTAAAGCCCGCATTTATTAGAGACCCCCACCTGTCCACACACACAGACACAGACACACACATACCCACACTCTCACGACCATCGGGACACCAAGTCAGGGCTTAACAGGAAGCCACAGAGGACCTAGGAAACGCTATCTTAAACTAAAATGGGGGAACACTGGAGCTGAAGCTAAACTGATAAAACCATGACAAGGTATAAAAAAATATAATAATAATAATAATAATGATAATAATAAAATATTTATAATAATAATAACAATAATGATGATAATAATAATAAAATATTACATGATAATAATAATTATGATAAAATATTTATTATAATAATAACAATAATAAAACATTATATAATAACAACAACAACAATAATAATAATAATAGAATATATAATAAAACTTTTATAATCAAACAATAAAAGAAAATAAACAAATAGTGTTTGAATATACTTAAAAGAAATAAAAATAAAATATGCTAAAAATACTTAAAAAGAGTAGACTAAAAGAGAGGCTAGAAGAATAAAACAGAAATCAGCTAAAGGCCAGACTAAACAGGAAGGTTTTGAGTTTGTGTTTAAAAATATGAACCGTAGGTGCTTCTCTCAGGTCTTTAGGCAGACTGTTCCACAGACGGGGGCCATAATAAGTTATATCTCATCAATTTATATAAGAGAAATAGCCAACATAGAGATTTCAGTGTTTTGAGATAGTTTTAGATCAATTCAGCTGTGTAAAATAAAGGCATGAATTCAGGTTCGGCTAAGTACTTTGAATTGATTTTTCAAGGAAATTTGCCGATGATTAAAAGGAACTGAAACTGTGTTTTATGCACCGGATTTTATGATACTTGCAAAGTGTGATTATATTAATGACTTACGAGTTAAGCCTGGGCAGCCTGTTAGGACTGGATTTACTGCCATCTGCCAGCCCCTCACCACTTCCCAGCCCAACTCTCATGCCAGATACAGCTACCTCTAAGTCCAAAAAAAACCACATGGTGAGAGCCAGAAAGCTCAAGTTTTAAAGCCTGTCCACTAACTAGTGGTGACCGGTCCACTTCTCATAGGGTCTGTACATTAAGACTTTCCGGTAAATGTGACTGAATAAAAAGTTGTTTGTAGTTTTTCTTTTGATTAAACAGTTTGACATGGTGCACCTGGCAATAAAGAGCAGAAGCTTCGGAGGGAACACACAAGAACACTTTGTCCTTTAAATCCAGCCTATTCACATCTTGCTTTGACAGAAATGTCAGATCTGTCCCTAACACAATGGTTGCTATACAATCAACCCTTATACTCGGCGCTACACGCTTTTATGGAATTTTGAGTTGTGAAATGTCCCATTTGTATTCCGACAGAGACATAGCCAGCGCCATAAAAGAGCTCCTGGACACAGTCAACAACGTCATTAAGAAATATCAGTACCAGAATCGCAGAGTGAGTAACAAACATTCAACACACACACCTTTTTTTTACCTTCAGCATTTCTTCTTCCTAGGTTGTTTTTTTTTTAATGATGTTTCTGTTTTCTCTGTTTGTTTTCTTTGCATGAAGGCCCTGGAGCACCAGAAAAAGGAGTTCGTGAAATACTCCAAAAGTTTCAGCGACACCCTCAAAACATACTTCAAAGACGGAAAGTAAGTGCGACCACCGTCCAGTCACAATACACAAGATTTTACATGTTAAGGTCCTTACACAAATTTCCTTCAAAGGTCCTTCAAAATTTGCCTCTGAATATTTCGTAATTTCACGTTCTATATTTGTGTCGGCCCCGGTGTGTAAGGACCTTTAGATCAGTGGTTCTCAAGTCCAGTCCTCGAGGCCCACTGTCCAGCATGTTCTGGATGTCTCCCTGCTTCAACACACCTGATTCAAATGATTAGCTCGTTAGTAAGCCATTACAGAGCTTGATAACGAGCTGATCATTTGAATCAGGTGTGATCAGAACCACTGATTTAGAGAAGCGCAACCCCCTTGAAATTATACAACATTTAGTCCATATAATGACTGTGAATCATCTAAATTTCCATTGGTATCCTGGTTTGTCTTGCCCAGTTACAAGTCAATTTTTTGCTTTTATTTTGAGTTTGGACTATTTTAAATCTACCTGACCCCAGTTTGGGTTTAAATTCTTCCCCTGAGGTTCATAATCTCCTACAAAGCCCTCCTGGACAAGAGCGATTCATAAATAAACTTCCACTTTAAAAGACAAGGAGGAAAAAAATCCCAAAATAAGAAATATTCAAACTATACAAAAGCAGACTGGCTCATTTTATAATCATCAAAACCCTTCGTCTTGCCTTTCAAATCTTTCATCCCTCATGAATAATCCAGTTGAAGGTCTTTTTCACTTTTTTTTGCGGACAGATTTAATAAATAATGCATGTTTTAAGGAATGCCGTCCAGAGCTGAAGTGTTTGATCGGCTTTGGTATTAATGTGGATCAGCAGAATGTTTAGGAAGCACATAATGCAAAATCATTCGACAGTTCTTGAAGCTACATCCATCAAACGGAAAGAGGATTCAGTGGGTCTGTTTACCCGGCATCATAAACCAAAATCGAGGTCTAAAAATGAAATAAAAGACGGAGTTTCAGCCTCTCAGTGAACTGAGAAAGTGAGTGGATGAAGGATATATGATGATCTATTTTGTACCATCCTCTTTTGTAGAAGTAACAATAGAGGTTTGACAAAGAGGAGGGCACACGGCAGGAATGTTTGCCTTACTTCGTGTTCATTTGTGAACCTGCTGCAGGTCCTCAAAAGCCTCTACAGACGCAGACCGCTCCTCATTCCTAATCCTTTAACTGTTTGTTTGAACAGCGTCACCCAGCGTCTCCTCTCTGTTTTCTCAAGCTGTGATTTTGTCTCCTTTCCCAGGGCAATAAATGTCTTCATCAGCGCGAACCGGCTCATCCACCAAACCAACCTCATACTGCAGACCTTCAAAACCGTGGCCTAGCCTTTACAGACCACCGAGTCCCCCCCCCCACCCCACCCCTCTCCCCTAACCCCTCCTCCTCCTCCTCCTCCTCCACACCCCATCCTTTGGGGAGCTACTGCTCGAGAGGTGGAAGCTTGAAGAGCGCCTGACCCGTATATGTAAATTAGACAGAGTTGATTTTAGGGTTGGGGGTCGATTCCATTGAAGTTGATATTTTAGATTCCAGTTCAAGAGACTGAAAAGTGCCATTTGTTTTTTTGAAATGAGGATTTTCCAGTCTTGAAATGGAACTGAACGGGCCCAAAGTGTTGGTTGATTGATTTTATTTGGACAGTTTTAATTTATAACCCTGGTCTTATTGGGCGTAGGTGAGGCGAGGTGTTTATTAAAGACTAATTGCCATTTTTCTAATATATTCATGTTGATCATTTTACTTTTAGCTTTTCATTCATGGCTGCGCATCTCAAGACCGCATTCAGTAGGGGTGTGTCTCAGCCGTCTTTACTGGTTTTTTTCTCTTCTCGGCTCCTTTTTTGTGTCATTTTGCCATGTTCTGTACGCGCAGGATCTAGCTGCGGGGAGAGGAAGCAGAGCTGGACATTCGAGAGGCAGACTCAGATTTCTTTTTCTCTTTGTTATCAGAAGACAGAAAGCCAAATGACTTCCAGCACAGTGTGCGCCTTACCAAGTCCTGTAACATTCCCTCCTCTCAGTGTAATGAAGTGGAGCCTGTCCCCGCTGCAGGGGGATGTAGAGAGAGAATAGAAAGTTCTGTATTTAACTGATATCTGGTTGCAAATGTTCAATAAATAGTTTCCAAATGATGATGCTTTTTTAAATGTGTCCGAGTCCAGTATGTGTGATTTGACTTCATGTTTTATTGAGAAATTATTACGTCATTGTCGAAGAGAGAAAAAGCATCAAAGACTTAATTCATTCAGCGGGGTTGATGAGCTCTAAGTGATCGTTCAAGCAGCCTGCAAATTCAGTTCAATCTCCCAGAACAGGAAAATAAAACCAATAAAGAAGTATAAAAACTGCAGTTCCTTCAGCGGCCACTTGGAGGCTGGTTTTAAAAGTTAGTAAAGTAGAATAAACCCATTCAATTAGCCGTCAAGGTGAAGTAATTGAACTTTTAATGACTATACCCGGGAGGTGTCTACATGACTTGCCTGTTTATGTTGCAGTAACACAAGTAGATACCTTCAATAACAATTGGGTGCAGCTAGCTCTCTGTAAGGTGTCTCCTCCGCTTATTCAAACCAGTGAGCATTACTGTTTCCATCCCAAGGCCAAATATGGGGCCTGAAGCTTTAAAACGCACCTTAAGGTTGGCTTCATTTTACACTTGTTTTGTGCTGCTCACATCACCTCTGAATCAGGTTACATCACCGAGGCAGTATAAGATTTCATTTAGCCCCTTTGCAGGACGACAAAAGCATTTTTCTCACTGAGTCACTCAGACTAAGCAGTAGCTAAGCTCTTTCAGATATGTTCGGAGATAGTGTCATGCTTCCAATGTTCATATTAAACAAGTTATTTCTTTTATGTTACAGGTGCATGGTTCTTAAAGGGATATTCCGGACTGTTTGCTTCTCTAGTTATACCAACTTTAGTAACAACCGAAGATACCAAAAGAGAGAGCCACAAATAATGTTCAGAGCAGCACCTAACTTCATCAACAGTACATATATAGCACTAGCCACCAAACATCTTTTTAACTTTGCTGGATTTCTTTAGCAAAGAGACTAAACACAACTCACCCTCTCTCTTCCAGCAGCCGATTAATTGTAGCGAGACCTCAGACCAGTCCATCGACAGGGTGACGCAGCTCATGGAAGAACATTTATGATCATTACTTAATGGAAATGCAATCAGACCGAGACGCTAAGGCAGAAGAACTACCGCGTCTGCAGTGGAAAATGATTTATATGGTGATTATTACTTCTTATACAGGGCTCTGTATAAACAAGCGGCTGCTGGAAGAGAATAGGTGAGTTGTGTTTAGTCTCTTTGCTAAAGAAATCAGGCAAAGTTAAGAAGATGCTTGTTGACTCGTGTTCTGGCTGGGATTCTTTATGTACTGTTGATGAAGTCAGGTGCTGTTCTGAGCATTATAAGGGCTATAGAGTGGCGTTTTGGTTGAGCACGTGGCTCTCTGTATTGCTATCGTGCGGTCGTTACTAAAGTTGGTATAACTAGAGAAGCAAGCGGTCGGCAACATTCATCTCTCGAGGGGGTGTCTAACTCGGTGTTACGACCCTAACTTAATTTTACACTGGAATATCCCTTTAAATGCCATAAATAGTGAAGACAGTGAGCAAATGCAATCAATCTGGGCCACCCCTGCTTATACTGGTGCCCCCAAAAGAGTCTGGACACGCCCCTGATCAGAACAACCCCAAGAATTGTTGGAAATTTCTTCAAAACAGCAATAAATGTCAAACAAATGCAGGATTTTTTAGGACTGTTTTAAACATGCTGTGTGAATAAAACTAGATCTTTAATTAGGACCAACAACTGGGGAGTTAAACATATAGATTTGATGTAAAAGTATCAAAGCCTCGGCCTGCAAAGAATGCTCGCTATCATTAGGTCACTGCCCTTTATTTTGATGAGTGTGCAAATCCTTGCCTGCAGATGCTTCCTGAAAGTACCGCATCATTTCCTTGATCCTGCTCTTGTCAGCTGAAACACTGTTGTCTGGTTCCATGGGGCACTGGGACAATAACATTTCCAGGCCAGCGCTGCCTGGAAACGGCATCACAGCAGACCAGGAAACAAAGCAGCTGAAAGAATCTCTCACTGTAAAAGGAGTGGTCGGGTCTTTGTGCCTCTTTTCCTGTCGATCTGCGAGACTTAAGACCAGCAGCATGATTATGTAGACACACTGTGATAGGTAGTGTATTTTAGATGAAAAGCTGCATGTAAACAACATTTGGGAGCACAAGGAAGTGAAGTCTAAGTGGTCAGGAGAGAGAGGAGCAGGAAGAGGCAAATAAATATGCAGAATAAGGTAGGATTTTCAGACATAAAACACACTCTTTAAAGGGATATTCCGGCGTAAAATTAAGTTAGGGTCAAACACAGAGTTAGACACCCCCTCGAGAGATGAATGTGCCTGAATGCTTGCTTCTCTAGTTATACCAACTTTAGTAACGACCGCAGGATAGCAATACAGAGAGCAACGTGCACAACCAAAACGCCATCCTATAGCCATAAATAATGTTCAGAACAGCACCTAACTTCATCAACAGTACATACAGGGTCCTAGCCATAGCACTAGCCACCAAATATGTTTCTAACGTTGCCTGATTTTCTTAGCAAAGAGACTAAATATCACTTGCCCTCTCTCTTCCAGCAGCCGCTTAATTGTTGCGAGACCCACGGACGAGCCCATCACTGACTGCAGTGGGGTGACGCAGCTCAAGGAAGAACATCTATGATAATTTTTTCATTACTTCAAGGAAATGATAAAGTAATGATCATAAATGTTCTTCCTTGAGCTGCGTCACCCTGCTGCAGTCCATAATGGACCGGCCCGAGGTCTCGCTACTGACAAGCGGCTGCTGGAAGAGAGTAGGTGAGTTGTGTTTAGTCTCTTTGCTAAAGAAATCAGGCAAAGTTAAAAGACTGTGTATTGATATCTTGCGGTTGTCACTAAAGTTGATATGACTAGAGAAGCAAGTGGGCAGCAACATTCATCTCTCCAGGGGGTGTCTAACTCGGTGTGTTTCACCCTAACTTAATTTTACGCCAGACTATCCCTTTAAGATTTGAACGTATCGCTCACTGTGAAACTCAGTCTGTTTCATTAACAGCTTCACACTCCTCTCTCCACACCTTTGACATGTGCGGTGACAGATTTACCACAGGGAGGGAGGATATGTAAAGTTGTCGTAGAAAGGAATCAAAAAAACTGACCAATCACCCTGACTCTATAAAACAGGTAAATCACGACACAGGTTTAAAAATATACACATTCACAGTCATTCAACCTGATCCTGGGGAAACCCGTTGACTTTATTTTTTCTGGAAACCTTCCAGACAAGAAAAACCAGAAACCCTGTGGATTAAGGGAATTCTTTTAAAGTCAGCTGGGCCACGGGCACAGACTGGTTGGTCCTGTTTGATCGGCTTGTTTGATCCTATGCATTCAGACTTATCATCGTGATTGAGATGAATTTTTTAATGATGCTCTTTTTGTCTTGGAAAGCGATATGAAAGGAGAACAGTGGATGAATACTTATTTACTCTACAGGCAAATATCAGTGTGTTGTGTTTGTATAATGTCCCCGCTAATGTTTGAAGTTTGCAGAAAAACAAGAGGAATATTTACAGAAGGTGGATCCATTAGCTTTTTTATGAGTGCATATTAAAAAAGTAAACAGTGCATTATATAAATCAAAGAAAAAAAAGCAATATTACTCATACACTGAAATGTTCACAGAAATATGCCACAAGGGATTTATTTACTCAAACAAAGCTGCTGGTTATGCTCACATGTACTCACATCCCTTTACGTCTTTAATATGAACTTAAATACAGTGCCTCGAAAATGCCAATAGGTTTAAACACCTTTGTTGGTTTAAAATTAAGATAAGTACGTGTACAGCATAAGAAAGTTTCATCAGCGTCCTTCAGCGAATCATTTTGGTGTTTTGTTCCCCAACTTTTATTCAACTCCAAGCTGTCGTTTACTTTTTCAAGCTCTTGCACCTGCTCTTTACCTAATGACAGACTGATCAAGTTAAAACCAGCCGGTGAATTTAATGGAGTATAAACCAGCCTGATTTTTTCTGCAGGAGTTGGAAAAAGCGAGTAAAACTTGAGACTGTAAATCGGGCTCGACCAAGTGGCCAAAAACCAAACCGTATGAATGCTAGCCTTTCTAAACGTCTGGTAGATGTTTGATTAAAAAGTCCATCACTTTAATCTGAAGTTTAGCTGCAGCTTTAACATGTTTTGTGATAGCTGCCCACAAAACAAGCCCCTTTGGTTATATGTAAAACATGTTTTTGCGTCTCCTGCCTGGATAACACCAAAGGGCAGCATATCTGGTAACAGGGATCAGGTTTCAAACTTAATCCTCCTGTCAGTGCCTCACAATCGCAGGGGAACAGCAGCATTGTCCATCATGAAGCAGCAGCCACTCAAAGGAGGCGGTCGTTGCGGCATTCAGGTGACAAAGCCTTTCGAACTTGGACGGACATGACCATGTGGCGGCTGCACAAGGTGAAGTCCACCTCAGTCTGCACTGGTGGTGCAGAATCAGATCTCTGGTGGGGTCATTTCACAATTTTAATGTTGTGTATTTATACATCAGTATCACATCTGTCATGTTCATATTCGAGGGTTACACAGTGTTTGACAAATTACACAGAGGAACATTCAACAAGATTTGCATTATGTGTAAATAATGCAAATGAGAAAATGCACCAGGTGGACTGAGCTAAAAAAAAACATGCATTACCCGGAAAAACCCAGCGAATTCTCTTTTTGTCATATTTAACCCTCCTCCTACCAGTTTAGCACTTTGGATCATCCAGGAGGTTTTTCCTGATTTTTGGGTAACCGTACTGGATTTGTGTTTTTAAGGAGAGTTAAGAGGTAGATGTGCTGTAACAGGGCGGTAGCTCTGCCCCAACCCTCTCCAAATAAAAGCACAGCCACTGAATAGTCGCATAACAGCCTGAGTAATCACAGGAAGGGGTTTCACCAATCTGGTATAAGTACTCTTTGAGTTCTATTAGTGAAAAGAAATCAGGAGTTTTATAACTTTTAAAAACACAAATTTAGTCACATTAAACATAGAAATCATGACGTTCTGGCCTCACAGCCTGGTTCTACTATAAATACGCAGAGGTCATGTGTCCAAATCTATTTATTTTTTCTTAAGCTGATTGAAATCTTGCAACTTTTTCTCTGTTCATGAGTTTTCTTCCACAAAAAGCGCAACTAACAATGTCTTTCAAAGCAGAACTAGGAATGTTGCTCCGTGGGTCCGACATCTCCGCCGGCGCTAAAGACCTTTAAACCAGTCCTGTAGGTTTTCATAAAGATGTCTTTCCCATTGTTGGAGTGACGGCTACAAAAATGTGCTCATCGTCTCTGCTCTGGAAGGTTCAGTCTGCAGCAGCATAATGGTGGTCATCGTTCAGTGTAGAGAGAGCGATTAAAAAATATAAAGATAATTGATATAAATACATATGTATAAAAAAGAGTCAAGGTCCCCCAGCTACCTGTCCATCCCATTTGTCACCTGCCCCCCTCTGATCCCAGCAGCCCAGCTCTCCTCAGAGCTTTGTCCACGTTGGGAATCAGTTCTTCATGGAAGTCCCACAGCCGCTTGTCCTCTTTGAGCTCCTCCAACTTCAGTTGCCCCCTCAGGGGCACGCGAACGTGAATGATCCTGCAAACGTCCGGTGAAACGGTGTATATTGCTCCGAAAGTTTTGAGAACTTCATGGACTGACACCTGCTCCACCAACCTGTTACACACAGACGGACGCAGGATAAGCGCATTCACTTGATTCACCATGACAGTTAGAGCAGTGAGCATCACCTGTGAGTAGCAAGTGTGAGATTTCCAGAATTTTTCATACATTAAAATCATGAACGAATCTGTGTCTGGGCAGGTTGAGGATGGGACTTTAGATCATCTGATTTTCAGGCTTAAATGTAGTTTTAAATGTTGATGGTTCAGACTAAGATATCTCTAAACCAGTCCTGTGGGTTCTGATTAACTCAGACCATACTGTCCTGTGATCTACAGTTTAAAATCTGACTGTCTTTTTGGAAATCTTGGATGACGCCACCTACAGGCCTTAGAGAAGATTTGGAACAACAAACATTTAAAGGGATATTCCAGAGTAAAATTAACTTAGGGTCAAACACACCATAACACCGAGTTAGACACCCCCCCGAGAGATCAATGTTGCCGACTGCTTGCTTCTCTAGTTATACCAACTTTAGTAAAGACCGCACAATAGCAAAACACAACAGTCTCAGGAGCCAAACACAAACCTACTCTCTTCCAGCAGCCACTCGTCTGTACGGAGACCTCAGGCCAGTCCATTACGGACTACAGCGGGGTGACGCAGCTCAAGGAAGAACATTTATGATCATTTCTCAATGGAAATGCAATCAGACTGAGACGCTAAGGCAGAAGACCAACCACGTCTGCAGTGCAAAATGATTAAGATGATGATTATTACTTCAAGGCAATGATGAAGAAACAATCATAAATGTTCTTCCTTGAGCTGTGTCACCCCGCAGCAGTCCGTAATGGACTGGCCTGAGGTCTCGCTACAAACAAGCGGCTGCTGGATGACAGTAGGTGAGTTGTGTTTAGTCTCTTTGCTAAAGAAATCAGGCAAAGTTAAAGAGATGTTTGGTGGCTAGTACTCTGGCTGGGACCCTTTATGTTCTGTTGATGAAGTTAGGTGCTGTTCTGAGCATTATTTGTGGCTATAGAGTGGCTTTTTGGTTGAGGTTTGTTTCTGGCTCCTCAGACCACTGTGTATTGCTATCGTGCGGTCGTTACTAAAGTTGGTATAACTAGAGAAGCAAGTGGTTGGCAACATTCATCTCTTGAGGGGGTGTCTAACTCGGTGTTACGGTGTGTTTGACCCTAAATTAATTTTACGCCGGAATATTCCTTTAAATGTCATCTTAATTGTTGATGGTTCAGACTAAGATATCTCAAAACTGGTCCTGTGGATTCTAATTGAGTCAGACCAAACTGTTCTTTGGTCTGAAAGTTCAAAATTTGACTTTCTCTTTGGAAATCCTGGATGGCGCCACCTACAGGCCTTAGAAAAGATTTGGAGCAACGAACATTTAACTGGGTAGAAGAAAGCCTTCCCTTTAGCCAATAGACAGCTGTTAGACCTCTTTTAGACCTAAAAATGCTCAGTGGGTTGGTTATACTGTCTCAGAAAGACAAATCTGATGCTTAACTGGAAAGCCTTTAACCCAGGAGTCCTGACCTGTTGAACTGAAATCCTCTGTCAAACTAGAAAAGCGCTCAGCTGGTGCCCTAAGCTCCCAAACATTTACAGGATGTTGTTTAAAAATGAGCAGAATGGTAAAAATGATGATCCCCATCAAGACTTTTATGAAGCATATAGCAGGCATTAAATCTAGACGGGCACACAATTTTCCAAAAACTGTGCTGCCTTTATGCTATTATGGATTAATAAGAGGTTTCAGTGTATTCAATTTAAGTTGTTCCAGAGAGACAGCTTTTAAGACGGACACATTTCTGAAACAAATCATTTTAGCTGGGTCGCTGTTTTTGTTTTTATTTCCACACCATTGACATTGATGTAAATTAAATCTGATTATTACCTCGGCTGAACTATCATCTTGTGTGGGTGGTATTTCTCCCTGTCAGGCTCCTCCCTGTAGATGTGCTCCAGTATATTAACTCCTGGCACCCCGCTCCACTGCGGGAGATGAAACCTCCCAGTTGGCTCGAAGTGTTTCTTGGGGAAGATGTGGTTCTCGATGAGAAACACGCCCGCCTACATAGCAAAGGAGAAGGAGACGGAGACGAGGGTTTAAATACTGGGAGATGTCAAATTTAACATCGATGTTATACATTTCATGCCAAAAGGAGCCCACCTTTGGACTCTGCTGCTGGACCGTATTCATGAGCGACATCAGGTTGTTGTGTTTGTATGGCATTATGATTTCATCGATGTCATTCAACAGGACGTAACGGGATCGCTCCATGGATCTGTACACGCATTCGTTAAGTGTGGTCAGCTGACCAAAGTAATGCAGGTCCCCCCCGCTCCTCGAGAAGAGCCAGCCTCGGGATGGATTCATAAACAGGTCAATCGGCCAAGGAACCATCTCCACAAAGCCGGTCTTGGTGTAGCTCTGCAACAAGCGGTTCAGATCTGGGCCACAACTGGTGTTGTAGATCACCACCCTGTCCACACCCAGCAGCCTGGAGAAAAGTACACAAAGATTACGCCTTTTGTGAAGAAATAAGGAGATTAATAGCCAGACAGATCCTGTTTGATTTTCATGAGATAGGCAAATGAAATAGATTGGCCTTTGTCGGATGATTTCAGGATTCACAAATTTTCATCACATGGATCTCACTGAGGTGATCAGCATCAGGCGTGCCTTTACTAAAACTCTGTGATTTAGGTGAGAAGCAGCAGCGGGGCAAAACCTGCAGGATGAGTCCCTCGTGATAATGAATATATTTGTATAATAAAAAAAAACAAAGGGAAATGATAAGAACACAAATGAGCAGTGCATACAGGGTGTGAAACAGCAAAGCTCCCCTCCCTGAATCATGTCCCCACCCTGTTCACTTGTTTAGGGTCTTCAGACTATGATCTGCTTCATCCACGGATCAGCTCGCCACATTCAATGAAATGTAACGGCCGTTTTAATAGGAAAAAGTCTGACGAATCCAGACAAGCAAAATCAGGAAATCTGAAGGAGTGCAATAAACGAATGAAAAATACGAAAGAGTTTCCAGAGCAGCATCCAAAGATTTCTTTAAATCTTATTTTCTGTCTAAAATTCAGTTTTAGTAAATCATTTTCCTATAAGAATAAAGTTGTCGTACAATCACTTTCTCATGTGAATAAAGTCATTGAGAATAAAATCATTGCGATATGAAAGTTGTAGTTTAGGTGTGTAGAGAGAGAAAATGTGTGTAGTATGCAGCAAAACCAGAGCTCAGGAGATAGGATGAGATCTGATTCCTATAGATAAAGATTGACAAACAGAGACTAGACCAGAATCTTCAGAGGAGACTCTCGCTCTCCTTTCCCTCACTCTTATCCTGTTGAGTGTGTTTCGTGAATATAAGTATTACAATTGCGCTTCTCTCAGATGTGTGTGAATAAAGTGTTAGTCCCCAAAGATGCGTGCTGAAGACTGAGTATCATCAAGTCTGACAACCAGAGGCCCGAGAGGTGAGCCAAGGACGTACTAGATTGTTTTATAATAAAAACAACATTAATTCTTCTGGGAATGCTTACTTCAGCTTTCCTAGCAACCGTGGAGATCAACAACTGGGGAAACTCAAGAGTGATCCTCCGCCTTTTATAAACCGCTCGCACGGCACGGCTGCATGAACCAAAATGAATAACACTTCAGCACATCACACAATGACTTAGGTAACACTTTATTTGACGCCTCTCTCTATAACGCATTATAAATATATGTATAATGCATTATAATCATGTTATAGCACTGTATAACTATAGTTATAAACACTCATTAATGATCATAATGCTTTATAGCAATCATCATAACACATTATTAAGCATTTTATCATGACTTACAAGGCCAGGTGTTATAATGTGTTATAACTGTTTGTATTGCATTATCTATGTGGACATTGTTAGTGAGTTGTTAACAGTTATAACACATTACAATACCCGACATTGTAAGTCATGATAAAATGCTTTATAATGTGTTATTATTATTGCTATAAAGCATTATGATCATTAATGAGTGTTTATAACTATAGTTATACTGTGCTATAACGTGATTATAATGCATTATAATCTACTTCCACCTACGCAATATCAATCGTCTCCGCCCTTCCCTTACCCCCCACACTGCCGCTATCCTTGTTCACAGTGTCATCACTTCCCACCTGGATTATTGCAACTCTCTCCTTTTCGGCCTCCCTCAAAAAAAACCTCCATAAACTCCAACTGGTCCAAAAATCAGCTGCCCGCATCATAACCTGTACCCCCTCCATCCACCACATCACTCCAGTCCTTCAACGGCTCCACCGGCTCCCGGTCCAGTTCTGCATCCAGTTCAAAGTCCTCCTCCTTACATTTAAGGCCATCCACAACCTCGCCCCTTCATATCTGTCTGATCTCCTCCTCCTCCATACACCTGTCTGTCCCCACCACCGCCCGCCTCAACACCATGGGGAGCAGAGCATTCAGCCACTCTGCTCCCCCGGTTCTGGAACTCATTACCACCCGATCTCAGGAACATTGACTCTTTCAGCCTTTTCAAATCAAGACTCAAAACACATCTGTTCAAAACTGCCCATCCACCATAATGTCCATTTCTCTGTCTCTTTGCTTTTCCTTATTTATTTATTTATTTTAATTTGATATTGCTCTTAAATGTGATTTAAACGTTTTATGCTGTTTTTAACGTGATTTGGACGGTGACCTTGAGTGTCAGAAAGGCGCCTTCAAATAAAATGTATTATTATTATACATATATTTATAATGCGTTATAGAGAGATAGGCGTCAAATAAAGTGTTACCAGGTTTGACTATGAATTTGTTCTTCTGAGAAAATGTTTTTTTTTTCTACATGTAGCTCCAACTCTCTGCTGTTGGGTAGTTTTAAGGCTGAAGTTTCAGAAAGGAGGATTTTTCAGGCTTCAATAATTTGTGAATTTTGTAGTTTGATCAAAAACATGACACTGTAATCTCTGGGTGATGACAAAAAGCTTTCTTATTATTGATCAAAGCTCGTACAGAGACAGGCGCTGCAACATGTTTCCAAACCTCTTCAGACAGAGGGGGGAATTGTTGTGGGTTTTTAAGTGTGTAAAATATTGTCATGCTGATGATCACGTACCCACTACGTCTGAGAGGCAACGCTTGTCAAAAGGTGAGTGCAATCTTCAGTTGACTGAGTAAAATAAATAAATAAATAAACAGCTTTTGTAAAAAGAAGGCGGATTTGTGGCGAGTTACTTACTTGTACATCTCTAGCGTCTGTGCAAACTGGAGCACGTTGTTGTAATCTCCAAACAGGTTGGAGATGCAGACGGTGAAGTTAAACTGCAACTTTCTCTCCTCATGTCCTTTACTCTTCTTGTTTCCTATAGGAAGCCAAATCTGGTTAAGTGCGTTCGTTCTCACCGGCTGAGTCTGTAGAGTGACGTGCGTAGCGTCGCAGTTTCCAGGAATGGGACACATGACGTCCGTGGTCACGAAGGGGAAGCCAAAGTTGTCCGAATGTTGGACAATTTTTGCTGGTACTGTATCTGATAGCTGGCCTGCACAGCAGAACAGACAGTAAAGAGGCTGGATGGAGTCTCTTTTGAATATGCTAATAATGCGAACATCAAATCCTTTCACTCTCCGGTCCATGTAGGCCGACACCATGAAGTGGTAAGTGTTGTTGAGGGGGGTGATGCTGCGCACGGCTGTGTATTTGGGGCACACTCTCAGAGGCCATGGCAGTTTCGGAAGGTAATCGTACACTTCAGGTGTTACGTTCGCGATGAAGATGACGAGGAGGGAGGATAGAAGGAAGAGGAGATAGAATGTTTTCTTGAAGTCTTTTTTCATGTCCACCCAGCTTGAGAGGAGGTTTCCAATCTGCAGCAGATAAAGGAACAAAACATTCACTGTAATGAGTTAGAAAAAGACACCCCTTTTTGTTGTTGATGATGGCAGAATTTAACCCCTATATGAAAATGAAATCGATGTCTAACACTTTTCCAGAGATGCTCCAAACCATTTTTTTAATCTCATTATAATAATAATAGACAGTGAATTTGACACAGTTGGTGCTTATTACTCTGCAGTGTTGGGTGCAGATTGCAAAGCTGTTGTGTCGCAGCAACATCACACTGTTCTGTCGTGCTGTTGTGGATGTCAGCGCGAACGCCAAATTACTAGGCTTGATAAGTTTTTACACCAAAATAGTCTTTGAGTTCAGCTGGAATCCAGTCAAGCTTCCGCCTTTCATTAAGACCCAAGAAACATCAGACTTTGAACACTGACAGCTTGAACTGGAGATGGGGAAAAAAAGGTTCCCAGAGGCTCAGTCAGTCTAAATCAATTTATCGACTAATCCAAATTGTTATTCTCTCAGCTTCTGTGTTTTTTGGAGGAAGAGGACTACACACTAAAAGTATCTTTTACGGCGTTCAAGCCTCATTTGTAGATGATTTTCACTATGCGTCCTATCAGGTTTCAACCGCTGTGTCTCTAAGGGAGGAAGGAAGGAAGCTCTGGCTGCATGAAGTGGATTTCAATATGACTTTTAGGTTCCTGGTTACCACAGTAACATGTAGAAAGCTTCTTGATGTCGAGAAATGACCATTTACAAACAGCAGTGTGGTCGGTTCGTTTTAAAAGATCTTATTTGAGAAACAAATCTGAAGTGCCTGCAGTCAGTGCTGAGCCTAATTTGCCGTGCTCATTTTGTTAATTTAGTCCTGGGGTATTGCAGTCATGGAAAAACGCAAACAGGATTTGCCCTGAACCACATATAAGTACAGTCCCTTAAAAAAAATTATTAAAATAAAAACAGTTGTGTTAGTGATACGGATCAGAGCAGACAGCTGACATTCAGGTGGAAACGTTTGTTTTCTAAGCAGCCTGACAAACCTGCGCAGATTCTTTGTCTGCTGTTTGTTCGGGCTGACAGGTGATGCCATCAGATCACCAGGCAAGTGTGTCGACAGGTGCAACAGAGGAGTAAGAAGGAGAATTCACACACACACATACACACACACACACACACACACACACACACACACACACACACACACACATACACACACACACATACACACACACACACACACACACACTTCATTATCTCAGGAGAAGTTTGAGCCAAGAAGGGAAATTTGAAAAGCAGGGTCAAAACCAATTCTCTCCTGCTGTACAAATCAATTCCCTTACTCTTCACTAAACCTGTAACTATAAATATAATTCAGTTAATTAGTTCAACGTTTTATAAGAGTTGGGCATCGTTTCAAATTGGGAGAAAAGCGTGTGTTGGACAAATACCCAAGGCATTAACAGCAAAAATCACACAAGAATCACGTATCACAGGGACTGGAGGGTGTCTCAATTTGTGACATCACTAATTGGTAAATTTTCTCAAAGTGCCCAGTGGATATATAATTCACCAAAATATGCTCAGTTCTTTGTTGCTGAGGATTTTTTTTTTTTTTTTGTAGTTCTGTTTCTAAACTTTGAGGGTCAGATTCAGGATCTGAAGCATATGGCTTTGTTTGATTGGAACCAATGGTAAATTTGGTGACAATCAGTACTTTTAAATGCAAAGTTCGCCCATATTCAGTTGTTATTTCAAAGAACACTATGAGGTAAAATGTGTTGGTTTAAATCATTTCGCTCGAACATCCTGGTGCTTTTCTGTGTTAAAAGAATAAAACTGAACCATCCTGACCTCCCTGATGACCAACTTATAAAAGGTCCTCCGTTTGTTCTATATTGTAAACGATTTTTGGCTATTTTTTCTGATAAACAACATTGTGACTTTACTTTAAATAGTGATTATAATTTGTAAGACTGTTAGTCACATTTATGTCGTCATTGTGGATATTGAAAAAGGCTGGCCGCTGGTAGTTTAGTTGATGAACTTTAAGGAATATTCCGGCGTAAAATTGATTTAGGGTCGAACACACCGTAACACCAAGTTAGACACCCCCTCGAGAGATGGATGTTGCTGACCGCTTGCTTCTCTGGTTATATAGTCTGATTGCATTTCCATGAAAAAATGACCATAAATGTTCTTCGTTGAGCTGTGTCACCCCACTGTAGTCCGAGGTCTTGCTACAAACAAACGGCTGTTGGAAGAGAGTAGGTGAGTTGTGTTTAGCCTCTTTGCTAAAGAAATTAGGCAAAGTTAAAGAGATGTTTTAGAAGATGACCTCGGTGCAAAAGTGCAGAAATGAACTACACGAAGACAGAATCAAGCTGGCAGCCTCTCGGCGGGGTTTTTATTCCGATCACAGCATTGAACAATAGCTCATGAGCAATCGAACAGACAGAACCAAAAAACAGCCCATCCACATATCTTTTATAGTCCTCCATTGACGTCAGGGACCTTAGTTTTAGCCAAATGTGCGTGCGAAAGTCCCCTTAGTGACTTTCTCTGCCACTATCTTTTGGAGCCAGATTTCCTGTTATTGTAATTAAGCTACCATGGGAGAGGGTCACCATGACCTGATATGAAGTTTATCCCAATCTGACCACTCCACCCATAACCTGTTTTCTTGCCTCATGGTAACCTCCAAAACATCCAAACATATCTGTTATTTTCCCCCACAATGTTTGGTGGCTAGTGTTGTGGCGAGGACCCTATATATCCTGTTGATGAAGTTAGGTTCTGTTCTGAGCATTATTCATGGCTATAGAGTGGCGTTTTGGTTGATGTTTGTTTATGGCTCCTCAGATTACTCTGTATTGCTATCGTGCGGTCGTTACTAAAGTTGGCAATGCTTGTTCGTAGCGAGACCTCGAGACTTTGCAGCTTAAGGAAGAACAATCAGACTGTACAACTAGAGAATCAAGCGGTTGGCAACATTCATCTCTCGAGGGGGTTTCTAACTTGATAAATTGATGGCAGTTGTTTGTCAGTGTCAGAAACTTAAAACACCCTAAAGTGCATTTGCATTGGATTCATATACATATGTTTAAGGTGGGGTAGAGGCATCTAGTCTTCATTTGATAGGCAAAACACAGAAAATGTGTTTAGCTACATATAGACCTGCAGCAAAGGACAGAAGCTGTTTCAAACCAGTGACTGCAGTGACGAAGACTATAGCTTCTGCCCTAAACCATGACAACGAAACTACTCAGCATTAGCGTGTCTCCTTTTTTCTGTCATCATTACCTCCTTTTGTGTCTGACGCTTTTACTGCCTATTTTTTGCCGTATGATTCAAACATTGGTCGCTGATCCGTCCAACCAGGCTTCATTTTAAAGATCTTATCCAGCCCAAATCTACAGACGTTGGATCCTTTCCCAGATGTGTTGGATAAGAGATCTCAGGCTGCATGGCGCTCGGATATTACAGGGCAGATAGAGACAGATAAAGCCCGGCTGACACATTCACATCAACAGCTGCTGGTGATTTCCAGCTTCCAATTACCAAAGACGTTAGAATGGTAGAGTGGGGAAACACTGAGAATGGCTTGATAGGGAGCACGGTAGGTTCACAGAGGGTTTAATTGCTTTGAGACAATAGAGCTACTCACTGATTCACTGGGCTGTGAACATCTGTTCTGCCCACCAACATTAAATCGATCAGAAAAAAACAAAATCTGATTGGGTAATATGGTTTTACAGGTCACTGTTCAAAGTTAAAGACTAGATAGTTTCCATAGCACTCCTTTATATTTTGCTTGGATGATTAAACTGGAAGGTCTGCATTGTTTTGAAGTTGGGTTGGTCTGATCACGCAGCTATCAAACAATCACATGTGCTCCTCACTGTCAGTGTCATCACCTTATCTGTCACCAGAGCAGTCACTGAGCCCTGGACCTTCTTTACCTCCAAGATTGAGAGAGCTCGGGTAAAACAAATACTTAAATCTCTTTCTCAACTCCCTGCCGACTCACACTTTAAAAAAAAAAATCACACTTTAACTCGAAAAGCTGTGATGAAAGTGAACTTTTTTTTTCTCTCTAAGCTAAAGCTATTTGCTCGATTTCTCACAAACGAACCACTCTTTGAAGCCTGAACCTTTTCAACAAGCCGTCTTTGATAGACGCCAGTTTAATCAGTGTGTGAGCTTCTTTGATCAAGTGTTTAGATGGAGTGAGCGTTCCTGGACAGATTGACCATGATTAATCTGTTTTTTTTTTTTACATTTCATGATACATTGAAGTCGTCGACCGATTAAACCGTTTCTCAACAGCTGTTGCTGATACTTATAATGAGATGACAGGTGGCGGATATACTAAATACGGATGTACAAAATACAACAAATTAATGATACTTGTTGATGAGCAAAATATATTTCTCTCTTCATTTATTTAGAAAAGTGTTTCCTGAGGTTCAGAAATTTTGTTTCTTCTATACAAGGATTTTATGATGTATGATGAGCCACCTTGAATGAGTAACAAGAGGTATAAAAATACAAGGTAAACATTAGGGTTAAAACAAAAAGGAAAAAAATACATCACATACACATTAAAATCTAAAATATATAGTTGTCTTAGCCAGTAAGATGCTATAGATAGATTTAAAATTGTTGCTATTGCTAAATTATTATTGTATTTACCTTTTTTCCCAGTTTGTGCTATTTCAATTATTCAACTTTTTCTCCTGTATGCAATTTTTACCTCCCCTTTTAAACTTCTCTTTACTCTTCAACAACTTCTTACACCAATTGTGCTGCTTGTGCTCTCACTGCTCTCACTATTTCTTTTTTTTCTTTTTAAGACCAGAATCTTAGAAAGTTTAATGACTGCCTGTACAAAAATACTCCACACATCTCCCCTAAAGAAAAAGCAAAACACAAAACAATCCTTGAAAAAAAGTTTGCTCACAATAGTACTATTTCAAAGGTCTCACATTGGACCCTCTATATACATCCAGCTCTATATGAGTACAAATATTCCAATTTTATCGTGCAATGCATTCAGACTCATTAAGAGAGTGTACACAAATATGCATACACACACAGCAGCCATATCCTATTCTTCACCACAACCTGCTCACAAGAAAAACAGAAATATAATACCTGTTACTGTTACCTGTTACTTTGTTTTTTTAAACTCTTTTTTTAAACTGCTCTCACTAATTCAACCTCTGGTACATCTTCAACCACAGCTGCAACCACAACTTCTTTAAGTTAAACTCTTCAACACTTTATATGTTTATTCATTTCTCCTATCTTTAGCAGTTCTGCCTGCTTTTAATTCAGCTTTCACAATCCAGCATTTCCACACTTTTTCTGCAAGGACATATTTTTCTAGTTTACAGATGAAAAAGACAAATACACCGGGTCATTGTGTAGAGTTCAGAGCACCAGCAAGGAAATGTTTTAGATTTGATTCCCTGTTATAGTGGGTGGAAAAAATGTGTTTTCATTAAGGAATAATAACATTGACATTGGCCTTTGAGTGATGACTGATACTAATTTGATACAGATTATGCCAAAAGGCGATTAATCAGCCTGATTAAACAACTAACCGATTAATCACTCTACCTTCTTTGTTTTAAAGACGACTTTTACACACTATAAAGAAAGAAAAGTGTTTTCACTTAGGAATGATAACAGTGACATTGGCCTTGTGAGTGATGACTTCTACCAATGTGATACCAATTATGCCAAATCAGCCTGATTAAACAACTAACCGATTAATCACTCTACCTTCTTTGTTTTAAAGACGACTTTTACACACTGTAAAGTAAAAAAAAGTGTTTTCACTTAGGAATGATAACAGTGACATTGGCCTTGTGAGTGATGACAAGTACCAATGTCATACCGATTATGACAAAAGGTGATTAATCGGCCTGATTAAACAACTAACCGATTAATCACTCAACCTTTTTTGTTTTGAAGAGGACTTTTACACACTGTAAAGCAAAACTTCTGTTGCCTTTTCGACTAAGTCACCGTCTTTGTTCATCTGTCAGCCAAACAGTTTATGGTGTTGTCAGGAATTAAATAACTGCAGGGTAATTGAGCCTGTACTCTCCATTCACCGAAAGCAGAGAAACAAAAGTGGGTGCGCGTGTTTGTGGGAGGCGCGTTCACAAATAGAAAGAGCATATATGCGAGGCGCGTTTGTCATCTGCTTTATTCTAATGTGTGAGAAGTTTATGGAGAAAACTTCAGCAAGAAGACGACAGGGACGTGTCTAAACCAGTTTTTAAGACAGACATAAAACACACATAATGTTTAAAATTTCACTAAGTTTATCAAACCCACAGTGGGTGATGCTACAGGAGTACAAAAGTGGTTTACTGTTTCCCTGCGACAGAAAGATGCAAGTTTATCTAGTGTACAGCAGAGCTCAGTAGAAAAACACATAAGTGAAAATATAAATCTAAGTTACTCACTCAAAGCTGGTGTGAGGTTCCTCTTCTTCTCCTCTCACGGGTTGAAGTCAGCCAGAGGAGGCGAGCAGGTGAATCGCACGCCACACAGTCCTTGTCCGTCAGGTTTTTGCAGGTGACTTTTCCCGTTAAGCCGTCCATTCCCCTTTTAACCCGAATATCTGTGGGCGTGTCCGTGTCTGTGCGGGGCGGGGCAACAATCCAGGCAGCTGCCGGTGTGAAGATGATAAAAGGGAAAAGTGAAATGAAATCAAACTAAATTATTTTAACTAAATTGAATATAAGGGAGGAAAATCATCCTAACTAACCACATTTCCAAATAAATGACCTCCTACTCAAGAAAAAGTTCAACTTGTATACACTAAGGTATAATTTTTAAGTGCATCTTACTTTATTTCATCCTAATTTTCAATTAGTAATATTATTTAAGTCAAAGTCAACTTTATTTTCAAATTTGATATACATGTTAAACATACAGCACAGATGAACTTGCAGTCCCCTCAGACCCACGGTGCATAAGAATAAACTATAAAAGTATAAATATGCAAATAAACAACTAAGCTAAACAAAAGACTGTTTTAAATACTCTCAATTTGCAAAATAAAGATAACAATATAAACAGCATAACAGTATAAACAGAGTAACAGTATAAAAATAAGGAAGAAGGTGAGTGGAAGAAAGTGCATGTAAACAGTATGGCAGTCCTGATATGGACACAATAGTGCAAATAAATATAATATAGTAGTAATGAGGGTGCAATGATGATTTAATCTGTCACTGTCAGTATCTGTTTATGTTATTTTCTTTATTTGCCCTCATCCTGAAACTGTCTTAGCAAGTGAATTTCCCTCACGGAGAATCAAAAAGGTGTATCTTACCTTATCTTTTGTTAATTTTTCTCTTTAGGGCACAATCCAAGTATCTAATGTCATACCCATGTCATGGAGATGTTAAATTCCTGGGCATGTTTAGAAAGAAACATAACTTGGGCATTGGTTTTACTAAGTTGGTGAAGCGGGTATCACTTGTGCAGAGGCAGCAATCCTGGTTATACCTGTCTGGCAGGATCAGTTCCTGGTGGTACAATGGTTTGATACATGCCATTTCCTCCTCTCTGACCAAATCTCATGTCTATCGCAAGCGGTCCTATAAATATGAATGTGCAGCACGCCATATTGCAACAGAGCTCAGTTGGTCAATTTAGGGTTTTGGAATGGATATCTCAAAATCTTATCGTTTTACCGCTGCATGTCAGATTAAACGCTTCCATCAATAAAGTTCTGATACTCTGTGTCAGACAAAGGTGCGCACCATTAAAAGGCATCACAAACTCCTCGGGGTCGTTTCTGGTAATTAGGGGATTTACAGCAAATCACTGTGTGGCTCTTATAGAGCTGATTACAAACTGTAAACACTGATATCAGGTTAGTTCTGCTCAAGCACAGTAATCATGGCATGAATAAAGTTTTAGATGTGACACAATAGTAAACTTTAGATATTTGTCTCCTAGAGAGTGAACCAAGCAGTTGTTCATCAGACATCTTTTTTCATAATATTCAAATTCAACTTTATTTTGATGGCACTCTTCAGATAAAAAATGCAGTTCAAAGTGACTGACAGAGGCTAAAACCAACAATTAACAACAATAAAACCCGAACCTCCCACCCACACACCCACCCGTGAACCCACACGCACACAAAGACACACACCCACCCTCACTCACTCACCCACACATGTGCACACAGTGTGAGAAGTTAAGATATAGTGTTAAAGAGACATGGCCTGACACCGAGACATTACGTGAGGAAAGAGCTACCTTTAGGAAACACTGGAGATAAAAATAAAAATGGTAAAAAGAAAGACTAAAATATGATGGACTAAAACAAGAAAATGATGTTAAATAAATAGATAAGTAAGAGCTCTTTACCGTATAAAAAGGGGTAAAAGAAGTAAAAACCTGTGACAGGAATTAAGAAAAAAACTAAGAACAGAGATAATTAATAAAAAGACATAAAATAAACAATAAGACCCAAACAATAAGAATATAAAAAGGCAATTTGAGAAAAACCTGGTTAAAAAGGTGAGTCTTGAGCCTCTTCTTAATAACCCAAACAAGTCTTTCCTGTGTTTTATACTTTGGCGCTTGTTCATTTCTGCATCCACGCCATGTTTGCAATGATTATTGGTTATAGCAAAAGTAGCATTTGTGACACTATGTGTCATACTCAGAAAATAATGACCCAGAGGGGTAATCTTCTTGGGAATCAAACTTGTTTTCAGTCAGCAGGTGTCACTATAGAGCAATTATTGACCAGCATTGTCTGCTGCTGCTGCTGCTGCTGCATTATAGTTGTAACCCCGTCATTGCAGAATGTACTTTGTCTTTCTTGCATTGATGCATGGGACTCCGGCAGATACATAAAAAGGTTAAGGTTAAAACAGTGACGTCTCAACAGAGAAACAAAAATGTGTGCCTCTGTGAGATTACACAAAAACAAATCAGTCCAGGTCCTGACAATCTACGTGGGGAAAAGATCTGCCAGTAACCTTCCTCTATCAAAGTGTCCCTGACGTAAAAAAACGAAGTGTAACAAAGTCAAATCGTTCCTTTCACAGTCTGCATTGAAGGTCAGCTTGAAAATCTGCAACCCTGGCTGGGAAATTCAATCCAGATATAAGCATATTGCAACGTCTGTATTCAGTGTAAATACATCCTTGTCCTGTTCCGCAGATGTGTGCTTCCTCTGAGTTCATAACACAAAGATTTGCATTCACCATGGAGATACAGCGCACTCCACAATGCCTCCATAAGCTGAAGAGAAAAGGAGCACACAGGAAGAACAGCAGTACTTGTTAGAGTAGCCTTGCTAAGTACATCTTTTCAGGCCCGTGGTTGTTGTTTCCTCAAACGTCCTTTCTTGATAAGTTTTAATGAAAAAGATTACGCCACAATCATATCATTCTGCTAAAGGCTAGACAGACGGTTAGCGTAGCGTAGAACAAAAACAGTCTTTAAGCGGTACTATGTGCTTTTTAGTAGCTATTATGTTGTAAAATTTGTCATGTAATTTCTTTTGTCTTATCTTGACACTGGTGCAGAGGCACTGATTCAGCTATAAAGCTACTGTTCGGGCTTTTGCTGAGTCCACCTCATTTCTCCTATATTTGTCTTGCAGCGTGTTGACCTGCACGTCTCCAGGGTCTGTGAAAACTAGAACACATCGTTGTTGTCAAAATACAACCTTGTCTCCTCTTCTCTGTTGCTCCCTCTTCTACTACACACCAGCTTTTACTGCTGCACAAATTCATGGGATGCCATGCGTGAGAGTACATTTGCAGAAATATTTGCATATGCTATTGTGACACGGCCAAGAATATCCTGCATCCATGTGGATATTATCTACGCTGAAAACAATGAACTGGGAGAGGCCATCACCTTTTAATTCTTTCGACTTTTTCGCCTTGTCAAAGAGAAAAATCAATTCCCGACCTGAGGCAGAAGAAGAAATCTATTGAAAAGGTTACATATTTAAGGAACAAAACGAACATGATCTATAATTACAGCAACGAGTCCTCAAGATGCTTGAATGTGACCAGGTTTTATTTGAAACACTCCTTTAAACCTGCAGATCTCATTAAAAACAAAAGTTAAACAAAGCCCTGTCATGTGTAAAATAGCCTTTTTAACTCCATTCTCTCTTCTTTGTGACTCTATATTTAACAGCTTGTGTGTGATGCTTCGCCAACATTTGTCACCTTGATGCCTGAGTTAATTTGCTGAAATGTTCTACTTATGCACTAAGTGTATTTTCACTTTCAATTATACTCCAACTGAGTGGGTCTCTTTTTTTTATGTACATCTGAAAAATCTCAAACATTCACCGCAACATTTCGGGAAAAAAAAAAAAAATCCTTTCTTTAGGAGACAAATTAAAGTACATTATATTGAGGAGAGTTTTAAGTATTTTCTCCAACGATTACACAAAGAAAGATCAAACTCCTCTTGATGTAATGCAGTCCTGTGTGGCTCTTTAATTGGACTGAATGTGCTTAAAGGGATGTGCATGCTTAAAACAACTTAAAGGGATATTCCGGCGTAGAATTAATCTAGGGTCAAACACACTTTGACATCGAGTTAGACACCAAGTCGAGGGATGAATGTTGCAAATAATGCTCAGAACAGCACCTAACTTCATCAACAGTACATATAGGGTCCCAGCCATAGCACTAGCCATCAAACATCTTTTATAGCTTTGCCTAATTTCTTGAGCAAAGAGACAAACATCTCACCCACTCTCCTCCAGCAGCCGCTTGTTTGTACAGAGACCTCTGGGCAAGTCCATTAAGAACTGCAGCGGGGTGACGCAGCTCAAGGAAGAACATTCATGATGATTTCTTCATGGAAATGCAATCAGACCGAAACGCTAAGGCAGAAGAACTATCACGTCTGCAGTGCAAAATGATTAATATGGTGATTATTAATTCAGGGAAATGATAAAGAAAGAGTCGAGAGTCGCTGTGATGACGCTCGGCTTAAACTGCGTATCCCCTGGGTGAGCTACACAATCCTTGTACGCCCATAGGCTGTATCAAGTGTCAATCATAGAAAACATGAACCCCATAATAACTTTTAAAAACAGAGCTGGACAGAAAAAAAAGAAGACTTGAGCACAAACCAGTCTTGCAGTAACTACATGTCAATATCGCAAGGAGGGGGAGAGAAATTGATATTCTGTGTAAAAGATTTCTAAAGTTTGTCTACAGCTCCATAAGCTTTGCTGGCGGAGGCGGGATTTATGATCTATACTGCAGCCCGTCACCAGAGGGTGCTGTTTTTGTAGTGGCCTCGCCTAGCGAGGAGGCAGACGGCATCCATTCTACATACAGTCTATGGTTGTGTTTAGTCTCTTTGCTAAAGAAATCAGGCAGAGCCTAAAAGATGTTTGTTGACTAGTACTATGGCTGGGACCCTATATGTACTGTTTTGCTATCTAAAGTTGGTGTTTAGAGAAACAAGCAGTCGGCAACATTCATCTCTTGATGGGGTGTCTAACTCGGTGTTACAGTGTGTTTGACCCTAACTTAATTTTACGCCGGAATCTCCCTTTAATTAGTAACCCATGTCACGGATATGCAGGACATGTGTTCAAACTGGACTTCAGCCACTTGCCTCTAAGTAGGGCTGTAGCTCCTGTTAATGGGCTCTG